ACTTACCCAGCTAGGTGTTCCAGGGGCGCTCACAGCAGTGGAGACCGCGGACCCAGCCCTCACACTCTTTAACGTTAGGTAGTTATTTTATTATAAGCTATTCTCTTGTCTAAGACTAGAGCTTACTTTTCGTAAGAGAAGGTAAGAGGTATGCTTTAGGCTAGAATCTTTAGTAATAAAGAGGTAGAGGTAATAATACTGTAAATCGCAAGTCGTAGTAGTAATTTAATAAATAAAGTAATAACTATAAGAAGCTATAAGAAGCGAGCTTCTTCTAGTTATATATATATGCTGTCTTAGCTAGATTAGGAGCTAAGACCTAGCTCTCGTGGATTCCTTGTGTTAGGGTCTGATCCATGGATCAGGTCCGGATCCGCCTGATCCACCTGATCCACGCCACGTGACCCTGATCATTCCCGTGACTTCGCACGTGATCCCCTGTCCCGTGATTCCGGGCTTGGCCCGCCGTCTCCTCCGTCCTGGCCAGCCAACCCTGTTTCCGATCCTGTGATCGTAACAGGCGTTCGTTTGTCTGGGGCGTTCGTTTATCAAGTACGTTATAAATTAGGTAATTTTTTCGTCTAAATTAGGAACGAAAGTTTTGCTAGTATTCCGCAAACTTGATTGTAATTGCTTCGCTCGTACCTCGCTACGCAATTATCTTTCTGCTCTTCTATCTCTTCTTCTCCTCGAGGATCTAAAGATTTCTTTAGAATCTGGAAACGACCAGGAATATTACACATGTGCTCCCGGCAGAATCAAGAGCGGGGAGAAGGCAGGGTTCCCTTAGCAACCGCTTCGCCTGATGGCCCAGCAATTCACCTTGCGCATCGAGGCCTACAAGAGAAATGCTTAGCCTCCTGTGGAATCGATAGCCTCGGAGGCGAGGAAGAAGGCCAGAGGTGTGAAGTGCAGAGAGAGCCAAAGGCATTGTGAGGTGATCGTTGATGCTGACATAAGCCGATAGCGTCCAAAATCGGCGAGGGGTCCAAGGCCAGTCAAGATGGGAACGACTTCCATTCCCTTCTCATCAGCTAGCAATGGCGCAGACTTCTCCTTCGCCAGGCTTCCTGAGCCTGGCAACGCTGTTTGGCGGAATTGGTACGTTCACCCTCTGCCCTGCACGCCGCTGCTGACTCCCCATAGCCTCCACTGCCATTGCGCGTCTCCTATCATATCCCTTCCGCAGTCGCCGCGCGCCAACCTTCCATAAAGATGTTTTGTACGCTGCGGTTCGGGCAATGCTCTACCGCCTTACCATACCGCAATCCCGCTATATCAATGCCTCGACCACGCAGCGACATCTCCAGCTCTGCAAGGACAAAGGAGAAGAACCCAAGACAATTGAGGTAGACGGAAAGGATGGCAAGGCTGTGGCGCATTGGCTTGGCAGCCCGGACGCTGAGCACGTCGTCCTGTATGCGCACGGCGGCGGATACACACAGCCGGCATCTCCCGGGCATCTGGAGTACTTCTACAAACTGGTACAGGATATGAACGCCCAGCCACGGCCGAGCTCGTTCGCTGTCGTCGTTCTAGCCTATACCCTCGCTCCGGAAGCTCGGTACCCACACCAGCTGAGGGAAGCCGCGATCATGCTTTCGCACCTCATAAACGACGCTAGCAAATCGCCGTCTAAGATCCTGCTGTCCGGTGACTCAGCCGGTGGAGGCCTGGTTTTCTCCCTCTTATCACACCTACTCCACCCTCATCCCCATGTCCCGGAGGTCAAACTGTCCGCTCCATTAGCCGGTGCCTTCCTGTATAGCTCTTGGGTTAGCTTCCGAACCGATCACGATAGTTTCACCCGCAACGCGCACATCGATGTACTCGTGCCAAATGTGCTCCGCCGATGGTCAGCAATGTACATGAGCAAATCGAACGACGACCCGGAAACAGATCCTGGTCCTATCTCGGGCGACTCCTACTCCGAGCCCGCTAGCAACGACCCGGCGTGGTGGCACGGCATGCATCGTGTGGTAAGCAACGTGCTTGTTTGGGCTGGTGGCGACGAAGTATTAGTAGACGGGATGCGAGACTTCGACCGCGACTTTCGCAAGGGCTGGGAGACAGGCGGGGGAGATGCGGAGAATGTGTTATTTGTTGAGATCCCCCGTGGGGCTCACATTGGGCCTATTTTGGAGAACATGATCAGCAAAAGGAAGGCTAATGATCAGATGATGATTGAGGAGTGGTTGAAGGCACGTCTAGACTCATAGACGCTAACTGTGGCAGGGCCTGGAGTCCAACGTCATTATAGCCCTATCGGAGCCCTTTTCCAAATACCGCCTATCGCCGCCCACATCATTTCCCATCCCGCATATTGAAACTAGCGAAAAGTGGACATCCACTAGCTGCTCTGCATAGAGCGCATATATACGCTGAACACCGCGGGCTGCTACAGCTCCCAATGCTCCACATCTCCTTCGCTTTCCGGCTTCGAGTTCTCCACAATTTCCTTGAGATGCAACTGCAGTTTTTTCCGCACCATTTCCTTCAGATCCTTCTCCGCACCCTTCCCATCCCAGAGGTCCTTGGACAGGCGGAAGTTGGTGGACAGCGATACATTCGCGGCGACGATGATATCCTTTGGCGATGAATCCTTGTCCAGCTTGAGAGCGAGCTCCAGCTTTGGCTCTTCGACCTTCGCTATCTTGACATCCACCTCATGCTCGGCTGCCGCCTTCTTCTCTCCTCCAGCCTTCTCTCCGAGCACCAACTTCCCCAACGCCTCGGTCACCTCTTTGCCCTCCTCTCCTCCCTGCTCCGCTAACGTCTCTTCGTCACCCCCACTCTCACTCTCACTCTTGGCATCCCCATCGTTCTCCTCCCTCGGCGGCGACAACCTCCCATACTCCGGCTTGTACGCTCTCGTCCCCGGCTTCTGCCGCGGATCTCGTCGTGGCGCGGCGCTCCACGCGCGCTGAAACGCTTCGGCACTCGCGTTGTGGACGGCATCATCGTAGCTCTCGTAGTCGCTATCGCGGCGTCTGCCCGAGCGAGGAGCCTTCGGGTTGTTGGTGGACTTGGCGTTCAGACGACCGTAGCTGGGGTCTTGGGAGCGGCGGGAAGGAGGTGGAGGGCTTTTGCTGAGGAAGATGGCGCCGCGGCCGCGGGGCTCGGAGGTGGGTGGTGAGCGACCGTGATTCTGGCTGCTTATGGAGCTGGTTTTGGCGTCGGAGTTTTCTTTCCCGGATGGAGAAGAGCGCGACGCGTTGTCGGAGCCGTCAGCTTGACCTGCAGCTTTCGTGTCAGCTTTCATGGTGGTGGTTATGGTTTGGTAGATGGACGTGAAGCAGCGAAGAAGTGGCGGGGGTCGCATGTAAGAATTTTAAAGCCAGCTAATTTCGGAGAGCAGGAAGTGAAAGCGGCGAATCTTTGTTGGGAGGTGACAGCTATTTGGGCTAATATCCCGCTTCCAGACCGCATATTCTAGAAGGTACGCGGAGGTGAATGATGTTCTGTCGTGGTTGAGAGTGAATGGTAGAGTGCCCGTTTTCATGTGACCGCCACGGTAAGTCCATGTGCCGATTTGCACGGAAGCTAGAATACAGCAATTGTCCACCATGGAACGCCAATGACTCCGGACTCTTTATCGAATTCCTACGACGGCATCATGGTCTGCCTCCCACTCTGTCACTCGGCATCCCTCTCCAGGCGCTTTCGGTCCTCCTCCACCGCTATCCTCTTGCCCAGCCACTCAATGGCGAAGCTATTGCTGAGTACTTCGAGATCCCCAAGAGTATCCTCAGCACCCCCAATATCCTCGCAAATCCGGATCACAGCGTCTTTCGGCGTGATAGATCCATCGGTCGTCACCCGAATGATAGACTGCTCATTAAGTGGGTGTGGGACCTTATAAGCCGAAAACGTCGTAGACCGATACTTCAGAAGCCGCTGAGAGACGAGGTTCCCGAGCGTATGTTGGTCAGCGTTGAAGGCGAAGACGGCCGTGTGCGGAATGCGTGGATGCGGTGCCCATCTGACGCGCAGCTTCGCGGCGCCGTGACTTCCCTCTCCGCCGCTTCGGCTTTTATCGCTGAAATCGAGGAGCTCGTCAATGAAGGCATCTTCTTCCGTCCCGACGGTTCTTGCTTCGTGGGGCTCGGGAGTGTTCTCGCTTGCGTCGGCCATGCCGTGGGGCCTGTTGTTGGCGTTGCGATTCCGGCCACGGATGGTGTCGTGTTGGGCCATTTCAAAGGCTATGAAGTGCTCGGCCATGGTGGGATACGGCGAACACGGTAGGTCTGGTGAAGAGGTTGTTTTGCAGAGCTTTTATATCCGCTGGGGGCTTGATATTGATATGGCAAACACGTGGATGGCCGCTTAGTCACCTTGTGATTGACCGTGTTATACCTAGGTACCGAAGGTAAATAGCGCAGGTGCCAATTACGGAGGCAGGCGCGACCAGCACCTGAACTTCCTACGGATGTCCCCCAAACCCCAGCTGCGCCCCCAAGAACCTAAACTTCAGCAAGCACTCCCTCTCAATCTCCTCCGCATGCTGCTCCATCTCGCCAACGTCCCAATTAACACTCAAAAACCCACCCCTCGCATACTCGCTTCTCTCACTCGCCAGATACACAGTCACCGCGCCAGCCAGTTCAGGCGTGTCCAGCGCGTACGGCTTCATCGGCTTTGGGAGATCGCGAGTACGGACAATGCCTGGGTTGAGCGAGAATGCGCGGATGGAGGGGTGCTCGGCGTGCAGGTATTCGACCAGCCCGGCGTTCGTGCGCTTCGCGAGGCCGTAGGAGGATTCGCCAGGCAGGACGAAGCCGGCAATGATGCTGGAGATGGAGATTATGGTACCAGTGGGAGGGGTGTTCGGAGAGTCGGAGGGAGACGATAGGCTGCGGATGTAGTAGTGGACGGGGAGGTATGTGCCTTTGACGTTGAGCTCCTACACGTCTTTAGATGATGGTGTGTGGCTTTGAGCAAGATAGACTCACGATATCCCCCCACCAATCCCTCGTCTCCATCTCCCCGATCTTGAGATGCTGGCCTGCCGTCCGCATACCGCCTGCATTGCAAACCAACGCATCTAGCTTCCCTACTTTACCCTTGACCTTTGCGAACATCTCCGCGACTTGTACTTCATTGGTCACATCGCACGGAATGCACACAACCTCCGTCGACGGCGAAACTCCCGCGACTTCGGCTGCAGTGGCATCTAGAGTGTTTTGCTCCCTTCCGCAGATAAAGATAGTCTTCGCTCCAGCTTTGGCCCAGGCCAGAGTAATACCCTTTGTCAAGTCAGCTCTCGCACGAGAAGATGGAACCCTTACGACTCGCCTTTCCGATTCCGCGACCTCCTCCCGTAACCAGCACGCTTTTGCCCGCAGCACTGTTTTTGGGTTTCGTAGGGTTTACTGCTTCGTATATGTCCGCTCGGCGCATCGTCTTTGTGAGTTGAGATGGCTTCGTGAATGCATGCGGGTCGAAGTCTTGAGCTTGGTCCATGCTGTTGGATACCAAGTTCTCTTAAGCGGTCGGTCAGGAAGATGTTGAAAGACGCCTTATCGTTTGGCTAGAATCCAGTCGGGCGAAGGAGGATGGCATGAGCTATATGCAGCGGGACCGAGGCATGATATATCGGCTGAAATGCAATAATCCTGGCTGGCGTTGCGGCACAGTTGCTGACTAGGTGGGGAAGGAGATACTAAAAGATGACCGAACAAATCTGAAGTTCGCCGGCACTTCCGAAGGACTGGGGCACAGCATTCGCAGGATCCCGGCCTGGCGTATATGCGAATCCGTACGTTTAACTAGTGGGGAACGAGTGCTGCTCGTTGAACGGAGTCATCGCACCTCAGGAAATTGGGATGATTGTAGAGGGTGAAGGAACATGCTCTTGAATGAGGTAATGAAGAGGAGTGAATGTATAGTCCTCGAGGGATAAAATAAGGATAATGTATCGCTTTATTGCGAATGGAAGACATAGTGAAAGGATGTACCTATCTATTCTTTCTATGTGTTTTTTTGTGGTTTTGTGTCTTTCTATGGTACTGATAACGGGAATTCGGAATGAGCGAGAGCCGATTGCCTCGAAGAGGCCCTTACCTAACCCGCCTTGTCTAACTATGGTCCATCATCCATGAACGCTCAAGTGAATCAAGTGTCTCACCGTAAGGATCTTAGTGTCCACAGTCCGACGATGTCGGACCGAGCATTCGATGCGCTAACAGCGAGATCGCAGTTGTGCTGAAGCGCACGAATGGCTACGACCGGTAGACTAAGGCTGCGAGGCGCTGGTCAAAAAAAATGTCGTCATGATTCCGTGCGCTATACGCCCTTATGCCTCACCCATGTCGATGTCACGAAGAGGAGGATAGTCAACCATGAAGGTCTTCTCGTCGAAGCTCAGCTCATTCGTCGGCGCATTCGAGGACTTGGAAGCGCCCCAGAACGAGGTGATTTTGTCTGTCAGGGATATCTTCAAGCTGCGATACCCGCGGCGCACTTTAGAAGTACCCCAAGCGTACTTCTTCGGGCGGCGGAGTTGGAGGTCGGAGTTGGCGTTGGTATTCGGGTCGGATTGGGTGATGCTATCCGGGTTAGAAGTGAAGACGTAGTTGTAGTCACCGACACGACGCTTCTTATTGTGGTCTGAGGCGTCCTTGTAGGTCGTGGGAGCGGTCCGAGTGTTGGGGTTGATATCGTGGTCGGATGGCTTGCGCTTCAGTCCCAGAATAGTAGAGTAAGACACGCCATCATCACCAGCCGGGCGCTTCTTCTGCAACTTGGCGGGATTGCGGCGCTCGGTAGGAGCTGGCCCTGCAGGCGTGAGACCATCCGAACCGGCTCCGCCCCCAAATTTAGGAGCGAAGCTATCATTGATGGCGAAAGCAAAGCCAAAGAGCCCGCCTCCTGATGGATTAGCGGAGTGGTCTTTGGCGTTCAGCGGCTGCGCTTCGTCGCCAAAGTCGACCTCGTCGGTGTCAGGAGCGAGAGTGATGAGACCGTGCTTGCGGGGGTTGTAATCGGCGGCTTCGGCCATGTTAGTTCGGGCGAAGGACGGAGCGAACATGATGGCGCGGTGGTGGCAGAGGTGCACTACGTGTATGTCCGTGGAGTACTGACGCGGGGAACGGGAATGATCGTACACTTGAGATGGAAGGATGCGGATTACTTCGGGAGGAGCGATGAGGACAGTGTGGGAGGCGGATTTTTCGAGACGATCAATTGAATGGCTCAGTGAGGCGGCGGACCGATTCCAATCGTCGATACTACGAGTTCCAGATGAAGGCTTGAGAGAGCAGGTTCAATTGGGGTCGCAATGTGCGCACGCGCTTTGGTTGAGCTAGCTACGGAGGTAGTTGGATGTCGAGGGGGATAGAGTGCTCTTTGTGGGGTGGGCGTGCGATTTATATATGCGTGAGGCGTGGAGTAGACCGCTGAAGAACCGAGTTAGTAGGTCGGGATGCCCCAAGCGTCGCTGTAGCTGACTTTCCCTCAGTGACCGCTGGACCTATGGTAAAATATAACATTGCTGCAGAGGAATAGGCGTGAAAAGAATCGTTCCTTGTCGGCATGTGAATGGGGCTTGGGACAAAATGTTTCCGGGTGCATATTGATAAAGTAGATGGAGGTGAACGTTGGAAGTTGACGCTCAAACCTCTTTCCGCGCTAAAACAAGCCACCGTGGCGTCAGACGTGGCTGGTGCCTCAACTTCATCTCGTCTTTTCCGTCGTCTTATTTCACCCCCGACAGGCCCCGTTAAGATACTAGGCCTTCTACGTGACAGAGGGCCTTCGTAGCCTTACGCACGCTCACTCGCGCCGTGCTAAATCCCTTGAGGTACTCCGGGACCCCAGATACGGAGGAACCTCAATCAAGTGTGAATTTCATCACTTTCAATGTTTTCCCAGCTCATCCTATCTACCATCTCCAGTATTCTCAGACTACCACCCAAAGCCATGCCCCCATCAGCTCCTGGTAGCCTTTCCCCCCATGCTGTCAATCATCCGCAGAAGCTCCTCCTCGCTCCACCCCTCTCTGACACCCCGGTTATACCTCGCGCACGCCTCCATATAAATGCCGAGTTCCTCAATCTTCAAGAGCTCAGAGGACGCTGATCGCTTCAAGGTTGGCGGCTGACTGGTGTATCTGGGAGTAGGGGTAGGAATAGGGACCGCTTGTTGCGCCTTGCGGCCGATAACGGCGGTGATGGTCGACTCCACGCTGTTCGCTTGACCGACATTGCCGTCGGTGGGGATGTCCGGGGAGATGATTTCTATAGAAGGTTAGTGGTACTACGTGCAATGGCTTCAGCGAAACCAGCTCACCTATGTCGTTGCTCTTGCTGTTGCTGACATCTTGCAGGCGTGCCGAAAAGCCTAGCTCGCGAAGGGCCTTCGGACATTTCTGTTAGACTGATATGTGTCGTGTGCGTGATACGAAGCTCCTTACAGCTTTGGCTTTCTTCGCTGTGGTAGGCTTTCGGTCCGGAAGAATCTTCTTCGCGTCCATCGCTGATACAAGCCGATATACGAATTGCGTTGCGGAAAGCAATATATGCGCTCAAATGCGAAAGACAGTCCGAAAGATGCAGGTTGAAATGTGGAGCTTTTAAATTGCGGTTCTGGCGGTGAAAGACCAAAGGGCCGGCACACGTGAGTTTGCTTCCGTTTCCTTCACCTCGCGTTTGACGCAAGAAGGCTGTCTGAATGAATCCCAAATAGCTTCAACGAACTGAAACCGCGGTTACCTGGCAAATACATCCGACAGACCTCACTGCGCCCATACTCAGGACTAGACATATTTCACAATGCTTGCGGGAGAAAAAAAGCACAAAAGGTAGAGTTGGTCAAAGCAATCCGACAGAAGTTTAGAGATCCCGCGCTTCGCGCCTCACTGTGACTGCCTTGCCGACTTCAATATCCCGGAATATTTTGGCGACCTCCTTGATCTCACCTTATCCTCCCTAGATATACCGTTGAAGCCCGCCGGCCCACCTCCCCAAGACCCCGACTCCAGGCTCACGAACCTACTTCTTCCTACCCTTGGTGCCCTGCGCAGGGCGAATATTCCTGCGCATGCCAACCGGCGCACCAGATGTGGGGCCTGCCGCGCTGCCCTGGAAGCCGAACATGTTCCCTGGGGAGCCACTATTCGTAGGACTACCGAAAGGGTTTCCGGACGGGTTTCCAAACGGGTTTCCGAAAGGACTCGCGCCGCCTCCGGTGCTGAATGAGCTCGGAGGCGTACTCGGTGCTGTCACGGTCGGACTGCCAAAGGAAGCGAAGGACTGGGCAGCAGTACCCGGAACGGAAGAGAACGAGGCCGCAGGCGCCGGCGATTGCAAGGCAGGGCTGCTGAAGTTGAACCCAGATGGCGCCGGCCGGGCGTCGGCGCGGAAGGCTGCTGGCTGGTTAGGAGTGAAGGGGGACTGACTTGGGGTTGTAGACGTCGCAAAGGGGCTCGTCTGCGTAGGAGCAGGGGTTGAGCCAAACACCGCGGTGCCTACCCGTGGGTTAGTATAAAGAGCCACGATGCCGTTCGGATGCGGCTTACCCCAAGCGTTTCCGCGAGGCTCTGGCTGACCGAGCGGTGGCGCGGACTTTGTCATGGAGACTTCTACCGATTTCATGAAACCTGCTGGTATGAATTTCGGCGCGTTTTGGAGGATGGAGGCTAACTTACTGATGCTAGGCCCGCCAGAGGCCTGCAGCGCTTGCGCCTCTCGGAGCGCCAGCGATGGCTTCTGAGACGCCTGGGTCTGCTTCTGGGTGGCCTGTTTCCAGACTCCAGGTGCCTGGCGCGTTGTAGAAGCAAGCTTCTCCTTTGCCGGACTCTGAGTAGTGCTGATTGCAGATGTCTTGGGCTCCGTGTCCCGAGAAAGGCCATACTTGTCGAACCGCTCCTTCAGAACATTCGTCAACTGTCGCGACCCATTCTCCATCTGGATGTAATACCGGACATTATTATTGAGCCGACCCTCAGCATCGAGGTTCAAGATTTGCCAGGCCACCATCTGAACGTAGTCGCCTGCGTGCCTCAGGTATGGCGGCTTACAGCCCTCGAGCGCCGACGCCGCCTTGAACGTCTCCCAAATCCAGAACACCTCTTGAGCCTCAAGCTCCCTCTCCCCAAAGAGCCTCCACAATTCCGCTGACAGCTTATTCGTCCCTCGCTCCATCTCGAACAGCGCTAGCACGCAATGCAGCTTGATCATCTGAACGGGCTTGGTCGCTAAGGGTAGGACTGGGGATCGGTCCTCCTTCGCGCCCTGGAGAATCGCCTGCACAACGTCATACACAACGTCTTCGTCGATGGCGGGAAAAGCGGGGAGGAGGATCCGCCGTCCAATAAGGTATTTCCTAAGCCCTGGTGCACCACGGGACTGGTTGAAAAGCAGGTGTGGCTCGACCTTCTCGCAAACGGTGACGCCGTTCGGCATGCCCTCTCGCTCCACGGCGACTTGGATGTACTTCTGCTCGTCTCCGGCCGGGAGGTGCCAGGTCGCCCTAGTAGCCTTGCTTTTCACCGTGAATAGAGAATAGGAAGGCGGGTCCTCGGCCGAACGTGATGACTTTGCCGCCCTCTGCTCCATATCTGGCGCCTTTTCGGGCATCTTCACTCGCTGTGCTGATATGGTCGCGCGGGAAGATGTAGAGGAATATTGAAGGCCTTCAGTAGATGCCGTTGGGTGATGAGTTTCGGGAAGGTGCGAGGGAGAAGAGTCGAGTCGGTTGCGCCAGACAAACTAGTTCGAAAAGAGGAAGTTTTGAAATAGTCCCGATGGCACACGCGCTAGGCCAGGCAGTAGAACCTTTGGGGTCGCCATAGTGACGTGACGTTGTGAAGACCCACGGGTCGATTCACAATAGGCAGATATCAGAGAGGAAGGTCAGGGTGTCTACGTGGCGCGCGACACGAACACATGAGTTGCCTGCTAACAATGTTTCCAGCGAACACAGGAAATGCTAGTCGCGGGGACAACTCACCATACCGTCTTGGGAGGCTTCACACACCGACGGCGAGCTCAACACATCATGACGTAGCCCGGAGGCTTTCACTTAACCCAAGAGCGACATCGGCGCAGATAACCATCTGAGTGTGTCCAACCTCACCCAACGAACTCCTCATAGCGTACCGTCAAGATGTCCTACCTTCTCCAATTCCCATTGCGCCCTCTGCCTGAGAACGCCCGCTCACCACCTTTCGTCCTCTTCGGCATTAACGGCGCCGAAATCTTCGACTCCCTCCCTACCAACATCTCCCTCGCCCTCGTCCTACACTTCGCCCCCAAGCTACGCACATGGCTTCTCCCAGCGCCCGACCTCTCCTCCGCGTCCGCCAGCCTAGCCCTCCGCACGCCCTACATCGGCATCAACATCCTCGCCGACATCGACGTCGAAGGCCTCGCCTGGATCCTCAGCCGCATGCTGCAGCTCAGCGGCGCGCCCGTGCTGAAAGAAGCATGTCTCACACACCCCAGTCTGCTCACCGCGATCTCCATCCACCGAGCGTGGACCGCGCTCGAGCTGCCCGCGTCGGGCATCCAGGCGCTGCACCTGCACATGGTAACCAAGCTCATGCTCGGCTTGGCTGTCTGCCCCGCCGAGATCAAGGCAATATGGAATACCTTTCCTGTCGACTCGCCCATTACCCGCGAAATGGGGCTCAACTTCATCCGCTCGCACATAAACTACGAGTACACGCAGGCCGAGTTCTCCTCTATCCGCCATTGGTACCTCGCCTCGCGGGAGCGCACGCACTTCTTCAAGTCGCTTGAAGCCCGATTCCCGGAATTCGAGGACGTGCAGAATCAGGTGATCAAGGCTGTTGTTGAGAGGACTGCCGCGGCGGAAGCCCGTGCCGGGACGGTAGGGACAACGGGGCAGAGGAAATCGGAGGTTCTGGAGAGGAAGAAGACGAGGAGGGTCAGTGTCGTGGAGAAGAGAGAGAGGGAGAGTAGGGATCGGGCGGCGATGAGGCGGAGGATGGAGAGGGCGGCGAGCAATGAGAGCTTGAGGAGTGTGGAGACGACAGTTTGGAACCCGCAGACGCCGACGCAAAAGCAGGATGAGAGAGGAACGCAAGATCAGACCAGTGGCGCTCAATCCAATGCGGTCAACAGTTCCGCGTTGTACGAACTGCTTGAGGAACTCTCCATCAACGAGCGAAGGGAGAGCGAACTCAAAGCTGCGCTGAAAGTCCAAAATACTAGTCCACGACCGCAAGAACGCAAGGAAGAGCCGACAGAGTCTGAATGGTACCGTGGGGAGAAAGAAAACAGAAGGGCATCCAAGGTCTCGTATCGCAACAGAAAACTGAAGCCTGGTTCGACAATTGCGGTCGACAATATTGATACCGATAAGGTGGATGAGCAGATGCGAGCTACGTTCAAGAGACGCGCACTGACAACGGCGAACGATAGCGATGATGACGTTGGACAGGATGGGGGAAACAAGCAGGAGGGGGAACTGGTCTTTCTTCAGCCGACTGTTTACGAGGGGATGGGATAGGCATTGAAGGCTTGTCAGGCTGGGGGGGCCGCCAAGGCCGCTGCTTTGGCAAAGCAAGTTGATGAGCGAAGGGGCGTCATGGGGAAAAGAAGTGGCGTTAGGCGTATTGCCGCACAGAAGCCTTTTCGTATAGCCCATTGATTTTGGACCTGCTTCATAGTCAGCAAAGAAACGCTGATTCCCTACCGTACGCCACCGACGAAGCGAGGACGAGCAATGACATGCAACAGATAGTTATGTGAACACAGAGATGAATAAGATTCATCGCAAGGAGCGACTAGAAGTACGAGCGTGAAGCTCTCGTATATATGCTCAGAGGTGCCGAACGTAGCGTTCCTGGCACCAAGGTATCAATTTCCTGATGCGACCCAGCTTTTGAAGAGAATACAAGCGCAGTCTATGAACAGACGATGTGCGATATAGAATACAAACATGTGGTATCAATCTTTGGTGTGGATGGCGAACGAGACATTAGTCGTAGATGGATGCGAACCAGCGATCGGTCTAAGCGGGGTATCTGGAGCGACTGGCGTCAACGAGATGGCGTGATCTCGGGTGCGGGGATAAAGCGAAATGGCCCCAGGCGTAGGAAGGTGACGACGGCCGTGGTCAGGCTTCATCCTTCTTCGACCTGCGCAGTAGTTCTTTTACGCGTTGCCTGATGGATCGTTTCTGGGTGACTTCGTAAAGCGGCTTGTGCTCCTCCTTGATGTCGTGTTCGTTTTCGTAATCGACGTGAACGTAAGCTCTCTCCACATTGGCGAGGCCTGTGTTGGAGTTAGTCTGGGGGAGCCCGCAGTTCATATACTTGAGAACGCACCTTCGAGCTTCCGTTGCAGCGATTGACTGACATCGTGGGATATCTTAAGAGGGGTATCCTCGTCCATGACAATATCGACTTCCACGTAATAGTTTTGGCCGGCATGGTAGGCTCGGCACTGGGCAGATCAGCCTCTGTCATATTTGTCAAGAGGGTGGGCAAAACACTTACTGTGTCAACTTTCTGGATGCGGGTGTCATGCGTGACGACGAGGTAGATAAGCTTAGAGATAAATTCCTTGGGAGCGGACTTGCCCACCAGGAGCCACACGTGCTCGAAGGCGTTGGCAGCCCAGGAGCACAGGATCAGGACACCGATCAGGATGGCTCCGATGGGGTCCAGGTACCACACGATGCGGCTTCCGACAATGGACATGGTTAGACCGAATACGTTGACAACAATGTCGTTCCGATGGTCCACGAAGAAGACGTGCACGGATGGGTAGCGGCGGTACAAGAAGCAGTAAACACAGAGGCATGCTTTCGAGAAGACTGGGCACTGTGAGCAAAACATGCCGTGCAGAGCATCATGCCTAGAGGTTACTTACTTGCGACAGCTACGAAGGCAATAGGGATGATGTGGAGCTCCTCAGATTCCGATGGACCTGATCCCAAGGATCGCCCAGATTCGATCTTGATATCCATCAGCCACTGCCATGAAGCAGCCAAGAAGGAAGCTTACGATCAATTGGATGGCGACGGTCGTCATCAGACAGCAGAACATGATGATGCCGATCGTTTCAATGCGCGTCCGTCCCACAGGATACTTGTAAACACTTGGCCTCGCAGCAGCGCGGGACGTGACAAGCATTACAACTGACGACACCAGGTCCATGAAGGCATCTGCGGCCGTCGCGAACAGGGACAGCGAACCCGTGGAGACGGCGGCATACAGCTGGATGACAAACAAGCAGAAATTGACGGCAGAGGAAGCGTTCACGGCGAAGGTGACCTTGGGGCCGTTCTCCAAGGTGTCGAGGGCGGCTAAGCGCTCCTCGTCGCCGCTCTGGAGGAACTGGTCAATGAGGGCATTTTGCCTGGTGTAGAACTTCTTCATGTGACGCTTGTTGGCCTGGGGATGGTCGGCCTTCATCTGCTTTTGGGTGACATCTGACCGCCTGTGCTTCCTCAGGCCCAACGGGTCTTCACCGTCGGCAGTGGTGACCTCGACGACCTGGTCCTTGGCGCCCGCATTGGCGGGAGCAGAAGCAGACAGCGGACTGATAGCATCAGGGCGCTCATGGGCGGTGACGGTGGAATGGTTTGATGAGCCCTTCGGGGACGAGGGGCCAGCCTCGATTGGAGCCGATGTTTCTTCGGCCGCTTGGCCTTTCTGTGAAGAGGCTAAAAATATGGTCAGAGGAAACAGTGCTGGGTCCGGGGACCTGAAACGTACGACGAGATGCGGAAGTCATGGTTTCCGACACTGTAGGTGTGATGGATGGAGTGGATCTGAGGTGTAGATGCCTGGAATGGAAGACTGAAGGTCCCCAGTATAGGGCACGCCCAGTATTAAACAGCGCCGAGGGGCGAAAAGTGCAGCAGCACTAGGCCGTCGCTAGAGGGCTTCTCTGCACGCCGAGAGGCCATGATGGGCGCTGCAGGTGCGGCATGCAGGGTGTGCGGAGAAGGGGAGCGGAGCGAGGAGCGGAAGGTAAAACGCGCTAAGCACTCTTGGACGAGGCTTGGGGCCTGAACCGTGCACGGCTTGGCGCTGGCCGACGGCGCCACAAGCGGTGCCTCAGGCGAACGATGCAGGTGTGGGTAGGCAGTGATCGCTGTGTTTGCAAATCACCCGTGGATGACAGATGGTGAAGCTTTTGGGCCATCGCAAGTGGCCAGGTGAGTCGGGACGAAAGTGGGTGAGGACAGGAGAGAAAGGAAAGAACGACCTCCACGGGCTCGGTCGCGCCTGCCCGTTCTGCCCGCGGTGCCTCCAAGTTTTGGCTATTCTTGCCGTGCTTGGCTCGCGGCTTAAGCAGCGGCCCCCGGCGCGCCAAGCGCCCAAGCGAGCAGGCGCGCAGGCGATCCCGCGGAGGCATGGGCACCTGGGCATGCTCGACGATCCGCGAAACCGCACATCCCAATCACGGCCTCCGCTGTTTTACACGTCCTCATCCGGCCTCAGCCAAGCCTTCGAGTGCTATGCCAAACCCGGCCTCCTACCGGACGCCACAATGCCGACTTGGCATCTTCATGTCAGACCCTTCGCGCCGCACCCCATTGGCCGCGTCGATTTGAGAATCCGCCATCTCCAACCCCAACTGCAGCAGGCCGCTTCCATCAGTAACACCAAGCGCATCAATCAAATGCTTCGCAATCGTCCTTTTCGTCAGCCGCCCCACTAGCCGAGGACCGCCCTTGAGCCGCATCGCAGCCTCCTCCCCACGGCGCTTGCCCCATGCGCCATCCTGCCACGACCGCCTTGATGCCTCAACGCAATGCTCCCCTCTTGGTCCGCTGCTCCCTGGGTGCTCCGCTGTCAGATAGCTCTGGGACCGTTTGAACCTCCGCCTTGCTGTGTCAAGCCTCATCCAAGACCGGAAACTGAGGCATGGACCACGTTATTGAAGCTTCACTATGGCCTTTCGAACACCCTAAACGTTCTAGAGACATGGAGATCAGTCAGGAATGGCTAGCGTAGCCCATGTCATGAAAGCCTTAAAGTAGGACGCATAGCCCGCCGTGCCGAGCCTAGAGTTGCATCACCGGATTCGTAGTGCTCAACACGTTCCTTTCGCACACTCTCTGGAAGAGACCTTTTCTTTCTCTTTCCTTTCTTTCCTCTCTATCGTCGCCGGCGACGAGGCTGCTGGCGAGTTTAGGCCGACGTCTTTTCATCAACTTCTCTTCTTCTTTCTCTAATTTAGACCCATCACAATGTCGGACACGGATAAGCCACAGTGCGGCAGCGAGGTCGATGGAGCAGCGTACGACTTCCCTCTGCACGTTGCTGCAGTCTGTAAGTGGATCCCCCCTTAGTTTTGATCAGTGTCGCTAACCGTCCAAGTCATCGTCTTCCTGGCCAGCATTGGAGGCGCAGGTTTCCCGGTCGTCGCGAAGAAGGTCAAGTGGATGAAGATCCCTCCCCCGATCTTCTTCTTCTGTAAGCACTTTGGTACCGGTGTCCTGATTGCGACTGCATTCGTCCATGTATGTCTGCCGTTTCCGCATCACGTTGCTGCATCTAATAATCCAAGCTTCTGCCAACTGCCTTCGCATCACTCAACGACCCGTGCCTTCCGGACCTGTTCACCGACAAGTACCCCGCCATGCCCGGTGTTATCATGATGGGATCGCTCTTCGTTCTCTTCGTTATTGAGATGTGGCTTAATGCGAAGACTGGAGGACATAGCCACGGAAGCGCAACTGGAGCTGAATTCGCTGGTGGAGCCGCACCAGCAGGAATCCAGGACGCCTTCAACCACCCGCTCAGGCGCGCGGCAAGCTACGGCTCGCAGACTACGATGGCGTATCCCCCTGACAAGCAAGGATGGGTCGAGAACACGTATCCGGTGGACAACTTCCCTTTCCCCAAGGAGGACGGCCTTGATGCCAAGTCTGAGATGCCCCCATGGTTCATTGTCTTCTACGAGCAGTACGTCCGCCAGCGCGACGAGATGGTGTCCCAAATCAACCGTGTGATGCCCGCTCTCCCCGGCTATAGCCAGCAATCGACCGAAAGCGCCAACCAGCAGAAGTCCTACTTCGAAGACGACGTCGAGAACCAGGCAGTCGACCCGCTTGTGCTTAAGAAGCAGTCTATGCAGATCACTTTGATTGAGGGCGGTATCCTGTTCCACTCCGTCTTCGTCGGTATGACCGTCTCCATCACGGCCGACGGCTTCGTCATTCTCCTCATCGCCATCGTTTTCCACCAGATGTTCGAAGGTCTCGGTCTCGGCTCTCGTATTGCGGCTGTTCCCTACCCGAACGGTAGCTGGAAGCCCTGGGCTCTTGTCGTCGCTTTCGGCACCACTGCTCCCTTCGGCCAGGCGCTCGGCCTCGTCACCCGCGGCAGCTACGATCCCAACAGTGCTTTTGGTCTGATTCTGGTCGGTGTCTTCAACGCCATTTCTTCCGGTCTTTTGATCTACGCTGCGCTCGTTGATTTGCTTGCCGAGGACTTCCTTTCTGAGGAGGCCCAGCACACAATGAGAGGAAGTACGAGGACCAAGGCGTTCATTTATGTCCTGATGGGCGCTGCTGGCATGTCCATTGTCGGTGCTTTCGCGTAGAGAGTCACTCCATTGCTCTTTTCTACCATAATGGGACCGCTCATGATTCACGCTTGTCTCGCCCTTGGAACGGGTATCTCATCGCACGTTCTCTCTTGAACTACGCACATCCCACCATCCCCAGGATGCCTGCGGTCCCGTTCATGCGGCGGCTCCAGGCACCCTGGGGTTTTCTCTTTCCTCTCATTTGTCAAGAAGCGACAAGTCTACAGCATCCTGTTTGGGTAAGGCTTAATGTGGTCATGTCACGCACGGGGATCCTGTACACTAGGGGCCGAGGCCTGGGGCGTGTTGGTGTTTTTGCTGTACATGTCTTTTTTTCGAATACACTTACAGAACATCTAAAAAGGGGCAACCATTCTTTCTTTTAATGGTTAGGTGGGGTTAATGCCATGTATTATCAGTTGCCTATCAACTATGGGATCTAGACTATCTGGGATGCTCGTATCATGGGATGCAACCGAGACATTAGAGTTAGGACAGGGAAATCCAAATCCGGTGCCATGGCATGAGAAGCCTTGACCTTTGCCAAGTCCGTCGAGTTCAAGCATTTCCCTCGCTGATACCAACCTCAATGCCTACCGTGGGACGACCTGCTACAGCGGCTTGGCATCTGATCTCTTCCCTTCCCGGTGGCTGAAATAAAAATCCCAAATACCGAGTCCCACAGCAGCTTCAGGACCGGGAATACCGCGGAGGTTGCTGATGACAGTTTCGCCGGGCGAGCACCCTCACGGTACTCCCGCGTTCTTTCGTCGACTGCCTCCAGGACTCGGAAAATTGCAGGTGTTCGCAATCCGCCGTAGAAAATGGAAAATGGATAACATAGTCAAAAAGTTCGCAGCATCCGGAAAGAAAGAAAAAAGATATCGAATCAGAGGTTCGCCTCAGGCCTCATAAGATCAAAGAGCCAGAGGTTCCCCTATCCTAATTCTCGATAAATTCGCCAGAGCTCCGCCGCGCGCAGAAGAAAGGTAGGACTCTGGCCGTCGTTCGATGCCCCTTTGTTTTCGCTGCCAGCTGTCTCCCTTTTATATTGCAAGTACCCAAGGCGAGTGTAACGTCGGTCCTAGGCGGTAGCCCAGCATCCCGGTGGCCGAGCACGGGAATCGTCCACGCCGGAGCCTCATCGGGAGCTTCGTCAGCGGAGAGGCAACATGCCGTGAGGAACTCCGGGTGAGGGCATGATGCTAAGAAAGAGTGGTGGGCAATGCTGTGAGAGCTTGGCTGGAGCAAGGCGTGTGAGGATTTGTTTATCCTTCCAACTGTCGCACTGGGAGCTTGTGGGCCAAGCCATAGATGCCCCATTCGAGTCGTGCGTGTCTGGTTTCGGCCGGTGGCTTGACGTTTTAAGGCAGGCTTGGCGGAAGGGGGGGGGGAAGGGCGACCTGTTTCGTCAACTACGAACGACCGGGGAGTTCTCGATGCTTGCGCATGGTCTTGCGTGTGCTTCAGAGAGGGCTCCAATCCAGAGGTGGGTATTATGGAGCTTGGGAAGCTAAGTCTGAGTGCCGTGTATCAGGTTCCCAGCCTTATGGGAGCCGCGACTTGTGAAACGGGGAAGGAGCGAGGCGAATGTGGATCCGACGAGCGGTGTTTGAGGCTGCGGAAGCGTAGATGGCTAACGCTTTTGAGGAGTTGTGCCAAGGAGGGATATGATTCGTGCGGGAAAAGTCGTGGCTTGGCGCTGAAAAGAGGAGGTTTGGACGATCCCCGTCCTCGCTCAACGACTCCAGCAGCTCCTCTGCCCGCTCGCTCTCCGACTTGACAAACTCAGCATCAACTCAATCAAGGCTCCCCCGTCCTGCCCTCACCGCTCTTCCTCTCGGATGCCAAAAGAGCCGCGAGATCATGTCCAGATCAAGTTCGTTATTCGATGGTGAATTCTGCGCGCGCGCGGGGTGGATTCCGCTCCGCACTTGCGTCCGCACTCGCAGCGAACACCATTTAAGCTGCATACGGATGCAAACGTTTCCGCGCCCTGTTTATGATCACAAGGCGATAAACATTTTTCGGTAGTTGGGCGTGGAGGAAACGAGCTAGAAGCTGCGGGGAAGGTTCGCACGAGAGAAGGGGTGTTTGTCGGTGCAGGCACATTTGCGCCGGAGGAGTGAGGACGGGGAAGCAATTCGTGAGCGACGTCTGAAGTCTCGTAAGGATGCAATCATCTCTGGGAGACTTCTTGCACGTGTTGGTAAGTCGCTGAGGGTCGATCGGCCTGTCCTCTCCTGCTATGTGCGTGGTGGTGGAATCGCATCGATTTCGAAGGGAGGGAGGCATTTTGCACACTCCAGATGCCCAAGAGCAAGCAGCTTGGCAACGGCGACCGCGTGGCTGGAGCGTGGCTGGAGCGTGGCTGGAGAGTGGCTCATGGGAGCACGTGCGCTGAGTCAGCCGGCAATTCGCGGCTCCAGGTGCAGGATTTTGACGCTAGTGCCCGCTTCAAAGCGCACTCCTCTTTTGTTGCCCATCACCCCGCTTCCTGCGATATCCACCATCTGTCGCATCATGTCGCCCCCAGATACCGACCCAGCACAGGTCGAACCACCCCTGGATTCTGCCGCCGCTCCCAGGAAGCGGACCCACCCGGACGACTTCAAGCGCGCCTACAAGGCCTGTATCAATTGCCGGCAGAGAAAAGCAAAATGCATCCTTGACCCGGCGCCTGGGGGCGAGCTGAAGCCGCCATGTCAGAGGTGCAAGAGAGAGATGAGAGAATGTGTGTTTAGATCGGAGAGATCATGGGTGAAGAGACGGAAGCCCGGCGAGGCTCGAACGCAGGGTGAAGAGGCGGTCGCCAGCAACGATACGTCAGTGACAGGTGATGCTAAGGCAAGTTCAATCTCGACAAGCCAACAATCGCCTGTCCAGAGGACCCCGTCTATCTCTGGCCTGACCCACGCTGATACGCCTCATGGCCGCCGGTCTGATATCTTCTCGCCCCCGGCTACGCTGCGTCGCGGGTCTACATCCCAGCCAGATCTCGCACATTCAGTAATGAGGACCGTCGTCTCTAGTGGCACCGATGCTCTGAACTTGCTGTTCGAGGCCGCGAACCATCGCGATGCAATTGAGAATCAGGACCAAAACGGTTCTCAGCCATACGAGACACCCAGGTCAGCCCCGTCAGGGTACGAGTTAGGTGGGTACTTTCCTATCAGCAATCTCAAGCGTGATGCATTTACTATATGTGATCAAGTTCTCCGTAAGATGTACCTACCTGTTCGCTGTTACTGACAGTCTGGACATTAGGACGCGATGGCATACCTTCGTCCCCGTTCATCTTCAGGGCGCAACCTGTGCAAATGTCCCAACCTTCCCCCGAGACTCTCAAAGTCTGGACGACCTGTCGATACGTGCAAATGGGCTGGTTCTCGGCGCACGAAGCAGTTACCTATGTCGACCTGTTCTTCAAGAATTGCTCTCCGCTGTCGCCCATTCTATCTGAAATCTACGCCAACCACGAGAACCATTGGTCTTTGATAGCTTTAGATCCATTCTTGTGCGTTACGATACTGATGGTATCCTCACGGTACAACATCCTACCCGGGATCGGCGGAGCATCGAGGGGCTACTTTGTCCATGACCGGCTGTGGGAGCAATGCCAGAGATTCATCATGAAGATCATGCTCGGGCAAGTAAAACCATCAAAGGCGCAATCACGGACCATTGGATCGATTGAAGCACTCCTGTTGCTCTCCGAATGGCACCCTCGTGCTCTTCACTTTCCCACCGCCAGCGATGGATGGGATTGCGAGTTGATGGTCGGGGCCAACAATACTACAGCACAAGGCATAAAGCTCCTCGAAGGAGACACAACATCGAGCCGCTGGCTGGAGGACGTCATCGAACCTGCGAAACGCTCCGATCGGATGTCCTGGATGCTCATGGGGTGTGCCCTATCGCTCGCACAGGAGCTTGGCTTATTCGAGGACAACGGCAGTATTGAAAAGGACCAGATATCATACCCCAAGTTCTCCAGCGAGTTTCTCGTTCTGCGGCGAATACGCGTACGGAAGCTGTTGTATGTTTTCATTGAGCAGCTGTCGTGGCGTTTAGGGTGTACGTCGATGATTCCACAGAGCCTAAACCATGCTTTGATGGAGAAGATGCCTGTGGATTCTACGACTGGAGCGGTGGAGCAGTGGCAGTCGTTCATGAGCGCCTGGGTGGAGCTCACGAAGCTCGCAAGGTCTGTTTCGGATACGGTTTATCCTTCCGCAGCCACTACGCGCAGTTTACTACGTACCGGACGCTATATCGGGCTGCTGGAGCACTTTCAGCCTCTACTGACGACGTGGAGGAAGAAATACCTGGACCCATGCAGTAAGTTTGCCTCCACGCTAGCCCATGATGCAATGGCATTGATTACTTCGCAGAACTCAAGGTCGGTCTACATGACATGCTCTCCATCGAATATCAGTACGTAAGGATCTACACCAATTCCCTCGGCATGCAAGCCGTAGTGGAGCGCACTCTCGCAGAGACCGACCCGGACGGACCCCAGGAGGAGATCTTGCCGCTCAATCTAGAGCCGAGGGACTACGACTTCATCCAGGAAGTCGTCGACGGAAGCTGCCAGATTCTACAGAAGGTTGTTCAGCTTTCAGAGTCAGGAGCACTGCGCTACTCGCCTGTCCGGATATTTCTCCGCATCACTACATCGTCCATCTACCTCATCAAAGGCCTCAGTCTAGGCTCTCGCAACCAGAAGCTGCAATCCTCCCTCGACATTCTGGATAAGGCCATCGCCGCCATGCGCTCCAGCACGCTGGACGACATGCACCTCGCATCGCGCTACGCCACCCTGCTCGACCTGCATGTTGCTCGGCTGCGCGAGAGCTTCGTCGTATCCTCAAGGCCGCCTCGACTGCCCTCCCGCGGTGTGTCCATGGAGAAAGGCGTAACTTCGGGGATGGACTTCTTGCACAACCACAACGCAGGGAGCTCAGGCATAGCAGCACTTGCGGAGGATGTGAATGGGTTGATGCCGGATGACGACTGGTTGGCACTCCCGTTTGATGCGTCTATGGCGCCTTTTGGGCTTGATTCGGGGCAGAGCTTTCAGGGCTTTGATGATGGGACGTTGGACTTCATATGGAATCTGCCCATGTAATGCTGTCACAGTGATGATGAGTTGCCAATTAAAATCATTTTTATTCTAATGTTCTCTCAACGAGATGACGATGCCGCTACTGTTTTATGATCACTACGAAATCCCGAAAATCCGCATACGCTTTGAAGTCCGTCACGTCCCAATCCCCACGCAAAATGGCCGAAGCTACAAATGCTAAGGCCCATCAGGCCCTCCCCATCCTCCGCCAACCTATTCAAACTAGATTCCCCCTCAACGCCTGCTCCCTCTCAATCGCCTCAAATAAGCTCTTGAAATTCCCCGCCCCAAAGCCATCAAAATTCTCGCGCTGAATAATCTCCACAAACACCGTTGGCCGATCCATCAAATGCTTCGTAAAAAGCTGCAGCAAGTACCCGCCCTCGTCAAAATCAATCAAAATATCCAAGCCCTTCAGCACCTCAAAGTCCTCATTGAGCACCATCCCCGCCTTCTTCAGCCGCAGCCTCATCGCCTCGTAGTACGTCTCGGGCACCTTGATGAACTCGACGCCGCGCGCCTTCAGATTCGTGATGTCGCGCACGATGTTGTCGGTGCGCAGCGCGATGTGCTGCACGCCGGGGCCGCCGTAGAAATCGACGTATTCCTCGATCTGGGACTGCTTTTTCCCGCGCGCGGGCTCGTTGATGGGCATCTTGACCACATCGTTGGGGCTGCTCATCACGATGCTTTTCAGCGCGGAGTACTCGGTGCAGATGTCCTTGTCGTCGACGGACCAGAAGCGGTGGAAGCCCAGCACGTTCTCGTAGTAGGCGCAGATGTTTTCCATCTCGTCCCAGTCTTGGTTGCCGACGCAGTGGTCGATGTTGGAGAGGAGCACGGGCGGAAGCAGCTTCCTGAGCGGGTCGGTGGAGGCCGGTAGCGGCGCGTAGGTGGGCAGGAAGACGCCAGTGTAGGAGGTTTTTTCGATGAGCGTGTGGGTTGTGTCGCCGTAGGTTTTTATGGTGGCGAGGCGGACGGTGCCATGGGAGTCGGAGATTGAGTGCGGTGCAGTGACTGATTCAGCGCCCGCGGCGACAGCAGAGGAGTATATGGCGTCTAGGTTGTCGACTTCGAAGGCGACGTCTGGTGTGGGTTAGTGTCGTGGTTTACGGATAGACAGTGAGCCATTGCTGACCTTTAACGGCATCCCCGTGCCTCTCTTGGTGCTCGTGGATCTCCCTCAGCAATCTCTCTTCTTCCTCGCTGAACTTGGTACTCTGCTCCAAGCACCGCAGAGGAGACGTGAGCACGAAAGTGACATTGCCGTTCCGCACCACGTGGGAGGCGATAGCGCGAGATCCAGTTTCTAGTCCCCGATATGCAACGCGTTCAAAGCCCATGCGGGAGACGTAGAAGGAAGCGGCTTGTTTAGCGTTCCCAACATACCAGTGCACATGATGGTAGCCACGATACGCTGAGATGTCTGTTGAAGATGATTCCGAAGGCCCCGGAGAGCTTGGTGGTGAAATTCTTGAGGGCGCCATTACAGTTGCAATGTGGAGAGAAACCGATCCGGATAGTTGTATAATGGTATGCTCCTATATGTAGGGGCAGGCAAAGGCAGCGGATATTGGGAATAGTGAATGTTTGGTCGTCGGGTTCACTCCGTTTTATCTCCATCTCTTTCCCCACAAAGCCGAGCCGCAGTTCTATTGAGGTCAGCACCTTCTCTGGCTAATGGTCCGATCTGCATCATTTCGCTTACCTGCGAGTTGTGCCGAGCGGTGTTCCTGAATAGGCCGCTGCTCTTTGTCTCCGCGCGTATCCGGCAAGAGTCGCAAGACCGAACGGCCGCGAATGAGCTGTGGAACAGGCGGAAAGGCCAGAGCGCTCCCGCGCGACACGTACCCACGTGTATTAGGAAGCGTCATCCGCTGTCGCTGGCTGGCGTTGTGTGGAAAGCTGGTGATTTACTCCGACAGCTGTTCGGCTGTTGTAGGAGAGCGTGGAAATATTGTGGTGGCAAAGCTGGACATCGGCACTGCGTGTCTGCCATGCTGTAGAGAACAGCTATCCCTTCCCCCAAGCCAACAATTCAAGGTGCAAACGTCCTGCTAACTGCAAGACGTTCACAGGAAGCTGGCGTCAACCTCGCCTCTTTAGGAAACCTCCTTACTGTTTCGGTCCTAGCGCTTCTTCAATACAAGGAACCACAACATCCGCCGCGAGCCGCAAAGCCGAAGTCACGGGAACACGGGACGACCGTGAATAATCGACTATTCTAGTGATCATTTTCTTGAATATCAATTAAAAAACCATCTGATTTAAAGCGACAATTCTCCAACCTCATCCCTACCCCTCTTCAAAACCAAGTAGAAATCGAAAAGCGGTAAGGATGGCGATCCACTCCCCCAACACCACCCTCTCCACAAACGACGCACGCATTCTAAACGCCCTCTTCGACCCCGAAACACTCCCCTCCTCAGTCGCAGCCTCGAAATCCGCCTCTATGATCGACGCCTCCCTCCCACCACACCCAAACATCCCCTCATCGCAACTCTCCATCCTCGAAACGCAACAAAACGACATCGTGCGAGAAATCTCCTCATCATCCTCCCCATCCCGCATCGAAGATGCCATCAGACAAGAAGATGCCATCATAGAAAAGCACCCAAACTACCCCAGCCCCCACCTAAACCGCGCAATGTTGCGCCGTCTTCACCTCGAGTCCGCATTACCAAAGAACCAGACCCTATTCTCCGCACCCGAAGAGCAAATCTCAGCACTCTTCACCGATCTTTCTCGCGCAATCCACATCTCTCTTCCCTCAGCATCGCCGTCTTCCCCCGTCTCCCCCTACCAAGCGCGCATCCTGCGCACAGCGTACGCGCACCGCGCGTATCTGTATCTCAAAGCCGCGGAGACGGGCGTGCAGCTGATTGGGAAGGGGAATAGCGAGCTGGAGGAACTGGCTTCGAGCGATTTCGCTGCGGCGGCAAGGTATGGGGATGAAGTGGCGAGGGAGATGAGTGTGAGGACGAATCCGTATGCGAAGATGTGTGGGGCTATTGTGAGGAATGCTTTGAAGGAGGAGAGGGGGGATTATGGAGGCTGATGGGCTTTGGGGGAGGATGGAGAGGGAGAGTGGAGGTGGGACTGGGGGTTGAGGGACTCCAGGCTGGGTGATGGCATGACGGGAGTGGTAGTATCAAGGCGCTAGGATGGGGGAGGAAATACGAAGGCTAATGGGCTTCAGGGTAGGATATAGGGAAGGATTGGAGGCGGGATAGGGGGTTGAGGACTTCAGGCTACGTCTTGACAAGTCCAGGAGGGTGGCATTGGGGCCGTGGAATCAGCGTATTGCACATCAGATGGATAGTAAGGTGCGGGTCGACAAATATAGAGGTGTAGGAGAGAAGGATGAATCTTATAGAAGCTATACTGCTGACTTCGGCTAGCACAACGACCTAGACTCCGGCACTAAATGTGTACTCATTGACACACCAGACGTCTTCGTGTCAAACGCTCCTACGCGCAACTACACCGTACCACTTCTCAAAGCAGTCATCGCGCTACCCATAGCCGGAGTAATGTGATTCGCATTCGGCGCATATGAGCTGTTCGTCAGCAAGAAAATGTAGCGCACCATTACGGTCTTCTCGTCCGTAATGACATGGATGCCGCTGCTCACGCTCCTCCCGTTTCCCACCACCTCACATCCAAGCAGAAGCCTCATGTTGTTCAGCCCACTATTCCGCCACGACACCGCCGCAGGCGAGTACGAGAAGGAGGTTGCTGGCTCTTCAGCCATATAGATGCCCTTGCCATGGGCGGCCCCAGTTCTTTGAAGAGCTGTGCCAGAGTATATTTTCAGGCCCTGGACCAGGATCGATTGAAGCCGGTCGAGCGACGTGCCATGGAAAAGGACTTTCGTCTGAGGATTGAATCTCGGCAGCTTCGCAGCAAAGTCGCTCTCGAGCCTTGGACTTGCGTTCGCCAAAATAAATTGATGCGTTCCAGCCGGCATTCCCGGGATCTTGCATATCCCGGATGCGGTAGCTATGAAGCCCCGGAAATGCGTACAAGCCCATACCAGCAGCTTCTCCGCTTGTTGATGGCATGCTTGCAAGGTAGCGGAGATATTTGTGGCTACGCGGAGTGTGTTGAGGTTTGGCAGAGCGTTTAGGATTGCGGTGACCGTCGTTGTGTTGGAGATTGGGCAACCGGGGAGGAGTTCGGTTCGTCCGGACATAGCAGCTGCGTAGACTGTCGTGAGAATCATGTCGACGGCAAACGTATCGGTGCGAAGCTCGGGTATGCGAATATCCACCGGTACATTGTTCCATATTCTTGTGCACCCGCTGGAAGTGCAAGGCGTCGACCGTCGCAACTGGGTGTTCCGCGCGTTGTGCGTCTGTCCGCAAACCACACAGCCATGGGTCATATCTTCCATGCTCTGCTTCACGAACCCGTGCAGATCTGCGATACCGACGGGGCCCTTTTTGTCCTTCAAATAGCGGTGTACGATCCGACCCATCTGCCATGTGAACGATGTGGACTTTCCGGAGCAGAATACTTGTTCGGGAGACTTGGAGGCCGCTAGACATACCCACGGCGTATGCTGACTATGGGTTTCTCCGGGATCGGCATCCAGATGTATACAGAACGCAGGTGGCATGTCTGTTAAATAATCCAAGAAGAGGCGTACGAGGAGTGTTTTCGCTGAGCCTAGGCCCATAGCACCGCGTTGCAGATCTGTGTACGATGTGAAAGGAAAGCTAATCCCCACCTCATTATCCCCATGCTTCTCCACCGCGTCCATAACTCCAACCGGTAGACCCGCGATCTCATCATCTAACGGGCTGATATCGTCGACTCCGAGCTCTGCTAAAAGGATCGCCGTGCCTTTTGGATCACGGGCCCTCAGGGCCTTCTGTAAACTTTGTAGACGATCGACTTCCTCGAGCAACTTCATTTCTTGCTCCGCAAAGTATGCAGTCGCTTGCCGCAGCTTGTGCTTCGGAATGCCCCATTCATAGATCTCGAGATTGAGTAAGAAGGCGAGCACTCTTATGGCTGCTTTACCGCAGAAACCATCGTCCTGCAGATACCCAGCTATTATGACTTCTATCACTGCTACTGGAATGTCCTCCTGTTGGGCGGGTGCCGCCTTAGGGACTGGTTTCCTGGGGAGCTTCATGGGGCTAGCTGGAGTTGGTGCCGGGGTCTGCGGGGGGCTGCCCAGTCCTGGCATATTCAGCAAGCCGTGCTTTGCGTTGTATATCCTCTCGCAGGCTGCTAGACCTTCTGGTGTCGTACCCAATAGAGCTTTCAAGCAATCCGCAACCTCAGACGCGTTATTTCCCTCCTTCGATAGCTTCCCGACGATCTGCTGCATTAGCTTCTCCGCCGGATATCCGCTCGCACTTGTCAGTGCCTCAAGTAATTTAACGAGGTGCTCCACCCAGAGCCCTTCGCCACCTCTCAGGATAGTTTTCACGGCTATCGCATGAGGCCCCAGGATATCCTCTAATCTCGCGATGACCGGTAAGAAAGCCGAGAGCTGCTGTACCCAGAGATGTAGGTGTGGTTGAAGGATGAACGGAGGTGATGCACTCGGGTTCATGATCTCGTCCGAGAAGAGAGCGCTCAATTGGAGCATAAGCTGTGACCACTCCGACGCTTTGAGATGCTGAAACGAGTAGTCGATGATGGCCGTGGGCTGGAGGCTCTCAATCATATGGTAGAGGATGCGCTTGAAGCACTGGACCACTTCAGCATCTTGAGTGTTCGCCAGGAGCTTTATGAACCCTATGCAGTTGATCTCCGGCCTGCTCTTGAAGTCTTGCAGGATAGCAAGAACGGTGTTGACGAAGCCTCCAGACAGTGTGCTGATCTGGCTCAGGCAGCGACACCGCAGAGTGAAGTCCGTTCCTGTGCATTTCGATACGAGTATTGCCAGAGTTTGTCGGTCAGGGTTGTTGACCTGGTCCCACACTTGTACCATCGTCTCGACTGTCTTCTCCGAAGCATGGTTGATTGTCCCTCGTTCCATCAGACGATCGATACACCATGCTTCAATCGAGTTCTTCAAGTTATTTGCACCTGAGTCTGTTTCAATCACCTTCTCGCCTCCCGCTGATGTGTAAATAGCGGCAAGTGTCCGAAGGTACTCAACCGTCGGTAGGACGTCCAGCTGTTTCCGGATATCGGAGGGTAGTAATGATAGGCACTTCTTCGATCCTTTGACGATTGCGCAGAGTGAATGGAGCTCGATTGCTAAGTGTGTCCAAGCGAGACCTGTCTCGATGTGCGTCCGTACTGCGGCGTAACATTCCTTGAGGCATTTCTCGATACCCCCTACTAGCCATGGCCGTAGCAGAACTTTCTGCAGTTCCTCTCCTTGGGGATCATCTAGACCGCATATCAAGTGTTGAAGAGCGGATATATGTCTCCCTCCGATATCATGCTGTGCGAGCCATATTTCGAGGACGGCGTTGTGAACGTGAAATTTCGGCGTGTCCTGGATCTTATTAAGTGCTTCGAGGAGCTGCAACGACTCTTGAGTGACGGGTCGCTTGACAGTGAGCTCGACAAAAAGCATGAAAGGTCCATCATCTCCTTTTAAGGCTGTCTCGAGAAGCGCACCAGTCCGGTCCAGCATGATTTTCAATTCCTCTTTGGTGCAGTTCGGTACTTCGATGACGAGACCCCTAAAGCGAACGATAGCTTTCTCAGCGCCGTACTGTGCTACCAGCCCATCTCGTAGCGTAGCATGCGTCCCGTTGATAAAGTCCGGTCCTTCCAAGGCCATCATATCTGGGATCACGGCGCGCCTGGCGCTGTCGGCTGCAGCCAATGACTTTGTCCGCCCTGTGTTCGGATTCCACGCCACCCATATACGCCATATGGGGAATTGAGCATCCAGTACGTGTTCCGGTAGAAGGTGTCCCGGAGGCGTAACAGCCGGCGTAGTTCGTGCCAGCGCCGACATCCATCCTACCGCAGCCTGCGCTGACACCCACTGCGATCTTAGCTTGTAGCCCTCCAACTGCGTTGCGAAATTCTTGAATGCTCGTCGGGCGAGTATCGCAAAATCCGGCAGGACGTTCATATTCGGCGTGTCGATAGCTCTCAGCGCGGAACACAACCCCTCTAGATACCTACCAGCTACACCTGCCCCATGTTTCGCGTAAGGAAGAAGTTGACGCGCCCACTGTACTTCTAGGCCTGTGACTGCTTTTGGGCTGCAGTAGTTGGCTGCAATAAGAGACTGCAGATACATCTCGAGCCCATAGTATGTAGCCGGTGCAACGTTCAGCTCGACATTCAATAGCGCCCGCAGCCCAGTTGGGGAGATCGCGTGGGCACATGCGGCAATAGCAACATCCCTAGCCTCATGGCGTTCGATCAATGTCGCAAGTCGCACATCGATCTCTGCCTGACTGATCTTTCCCTTCTTCTTGATGTAGTGGTCCGTATGTTTCTTGATCAGGATCCAAGGGAACTTCGAATCTGACGGTCGAAGGACACCAGCGAGGAAGTCGATGTTGTGGTGCCATTCATCGCTATGCTTTCTTTTGGAGAAGAGCGTCTTCTTCGACCATTTTGGGAGCTGAGTTTCGGTCGGACGGTCGGATAAAACAGATACCCACGACATATCGATTGTCTAAAGGCGTCGGGGCATCTTTCGCACGTTAGTGCATAGACACTCATCGAAAGTTGAGATGGGACTTACTGGCTATACACACAGGATTAATGAGGTGTATGAAGATGCAATCGAGAGGTATGTCTAATCTTGGCTGATGGGGCCGCGTGCCGTTGGACCAGGCTGAGGCGACTTATCGTACCAAAGGAAATCGAGAACGATCGAGCAAATTACGCAAACGACATAAGAGCCTCAATCTCTACTCAATACTGTGACGAGGATGAAAAGCTCTCTGTAGCCTCCTCGGTCGAGAAATGCGCAGTTGAGCCAACGAAAGACAAACTACTTTTCGTGCAGCAACCTATGGCGAGGAGAAGGGTTTCGACCTTCTCGCCAGCCATGCATTACAAGGGCTAATATGAAACGCAGAATGGAGATGCTAAGGCACGTACACATGGAATGCTAAGTGAACGTGCTCCTCGTACTGGCGAAGAAGCAGCCTCGAGGCTGTGCAAGGCTGAAAAGCGCAAAGCCCGTTGTGGCTTCACCGGGCGACCAAAGTGAATTAGGTAGCGAAGATCGTGCACGCTATTATTTCGCTAAGACGGGAAAGCGAGAAAAGCTGCAAAGGTGGGAAATTCGTTGGAAACGGCGCTGGATGTGCTGTGCCAAGTCGTGGAGGGGGAAGGTTGCCTTGGGGCTTAGCGTTAAGTACGACGTCTCTAGTGCGATCGTCCGGGTGCGATATCTCGGCGACTAGACGCAGTCAAAGCAGCCGCAAGTGTGCGTACTTTCAGGCATCCATCCAAGAACAGAATGTGCCCTTCTTTTTGCGCCTTTGCCGGTACTCTTCACCTGAAACAGCGACGCATGTAAGTCGCGCCCCACTTGTGCAACATCCTCTGTACCGATGCTAAAGAACGTGTTCCAATCACAACCGGAAATGCGCGCCGAATACGAGACATTAGTCTCGCGCCCGGTGGGTTGCAGAAACATGCAGAAACATGCTTTGGCGGTATCTATCTATACGGAAACAACCGGACTGAGGGGGAGCCGAGCACTCCTCGAACCATTCGCAAGTTGCGGTCATTACATTACTGTGCACTTGTCGGGATCGGGTGGTGCGCCACGATTTTGCCGCAAGTAGGTCGCCGCCTGTCTAATGAAATCGCCTGTCTTGTGGAAGCAGACGCGGTTGCCTTTGGCGTCGCGCACAGCCTCGCCAATTGAGAAGTCATACGCTTGACCGGTGTGGCTGTCCTTTGCGGGGCATCTGAGACCATCAATTGCCTTTTGCTCCAGATCGGGAACTGCATTGGTTAGTACGGGCGCTGAAGCGTGGCGGCTGCAAACTCACGAGTTGCGATATAGGCCAGAAACTCGTCGATCGCGTGGCGGCTGGCGAGTTGGTCGCTGCTCTGGTCCTCTAGAAGCGTCTTCGATAGCTTCTCCATGTGTGTTATTGTCTCTGGACGGACACCTTTTGACATCTCGTGTTGTTCGACCTGCAGAGCCGCTAATTTGTTCCCGTGATGGTGCGCCAGAATCCCTCGGATGTCCTTTGGGGTGAACATTTGCCTGCTCAGAGGATTGCGCATTACGCCTCCATTTACGGTGATAGCTTGGGCAAGCTCTTCCCTACAATGAGACTATGATTAGCAGATTTCAGTGCAGAGGAGATATTCTCACTTACATGTCCCACGCATAGTTGTCCTCAGTGACATAAAGGTTTTCCCTTAGGATATCCTTGACATTGTCTCCCAGCATTGTCTCGGTATTGACGTATGTTTTCTCCAGGTTCTCATGTACGACGTGCATGAGTCCGAGCTCGCAGTGGATCTTCAAGTCGTCCGGCAAGGCAGCTTCCACCGCGTGCATGCGCTTGACGAGTGCGTCTCGAACGCTATCATTGCTTGCACCCGAAGACGTCCCGTGCGGCTCCCGCACCCAGTACATCATGTCTTCCAGATCTGTAATGACCAACTCGGTAGCTTTGTTGCGATTGTTTTCAATTGCACGCGCGACCGATCGAGCGCTACCTGGCGGGCCCGCCCTGGCTGGCTTTCCCACTGTTCCGCCCTCAGCAATAAGTTGGATCCTGGCCGTGTTCTTCGATTGCAGATGTGGTAGGCCATTCTTCCTTTGGAGTGATTGCAGATGGAGAAGGTCAGTCAATAAAAACTTGGCCTTCACTCGTAGCGCTTGATATCCCTCGGTCAAGTCCTTTCTGGCTGAATCCAGGTTGCCGCCCAATTGAGGCGGAGGATGGGAAGACTTCTTCATTGCTCTCGATGAAGGCTTTGGTGCCGCCTTTTGTGCATTTGAGGATCCTGCAGGTGTGCCGTTGGCAGGGGGTTGTGCTGGTGGTTCTGAGGGCTTTTGCAGGACGTTGGCTAGATTCGTAACTTCTGGATCCCTTGGAGCCAACTTCTTCAGTTCCGTTAGATTATCACTGGCCGCATCGAGCCATCCTACGGCAACGTAGTGCTCCAGTAATAGCTTTCGTGCTGCGATGGCGGGAGGGTTCCGCGAAATCTCTTCGAGAAGTTCGGATATAAGCACCATGTCCGGGTCGCCAGAGCCCGTGGTGCCAGCAGTCGCCATATTAGTTGGCCCAGGAGGGTTTGCTCGCATAGTGACTCGCATCGGTTCTGATCGCGAAGGTGATGCCGAGATTGGCGAAAGGAGGCCGACACGGAGTGAAAAAGGCGCTGCCTCAACAAATTAAGGACGCTGACTGCGTGAAATCCTACGAGAGTACGAGAACATGCTCAAGAACGGATGGAATAGAAGGGAGCAGAATGCGGTTACAAGGCTGAAAGGGAATCGAGCGCTAAAGTTGGACGAAATGTTCAAAGGCCTCACAGTCATGCGGTTTGGGCAACGGAAGATCGGCAGGTTTCGGGCTGTGAATTGGTGGCCAAGCGGCCTGCCCCACGGATGTGGTGACCGGTGTTGGGGTGGGCAATTGTAGCCTGGCCCAGCTGCGGTCGATGAGAGCGAAGAGCGCACGGACATATTTTAATCTAGCCTGATGTGGGTTGGCGTCTCGCGCACCCCAGTTCACCGCCACAGCATAGCCGGCCCTCGACTCCTGACATCGCGTCGCAAAGGCAGAGTAGCTCTTTTCCGGACCCCGATTTCTACACGTCTTCAATACTTGCCCTATCCTTCCTCGATCGGACCCGTATCCCACTTCCCGCCGCATTGTTGCATCGTCCCAACAAAGTTGAGCGGGGTTGGAGTATGAAAAGGACCACTCCTGAGAAGCACTGATAAACCTCCCTATCATCCTCTCGAGCTTACACTTTCCTTCTAGATTACGCGCTTTATTCAGCTGTCACTGCCGGCAACATTGCTTGGTCGTAGTGTGGATCCCACCTGTTCATACTCTGATCCACGGTATTCATCTCATCCTTTGGTTCTAGCACCGTCCATAAACACTGCGACAGCACGTCTGCGATTCCGGAAAACTAAGCAGATTAGCCTCCTACCCCTCGATAGGTACCGTCTGGCTGACTAGCGCGGATCCTGGCCGAATATGACATGCTAGAGATGATGTAACGTTCACTAGGAGCGCAGGTTAAATCGCGATGTCACTTACCGCTGGCTCTTGTCTATTCTACCTGGCTCTTTGGTACATCCTCTGTCCCTGCATAAATGCAGTACTGCTTCAAAATTTCCTACCGTACTGTACCACCCCCGGTGTTTTGAAAGTGCTTGCCCTCCCGCAGTATGCACCATTACAGTCATTCCCGACAAGTGCGAACCCCGCACCTCCTGAGCACCTACAGGTGCCTACAATGCCCTGCACTTGAACAGGCAGTTATAGCTCCTTGTCGTGTCTATCAGCCTTCTGTTCATCTCTTGTTGAAGACCGGGGTTGTCGGTCGTGCATCTCACTGTTCCCCCTTACTCCCCATACTACCAGCCTCCGTCACTGCAGTGCGCTTATCGAGGCCCTTATCTATACCCATTGAAGATGGCCTTGTTGAGCAATGGCGAAAAGATCCGAGGGGTATCGCTAGGCATGGGCAATTCCACTTCACCCTAGAGCAACTCCTTATCTGCAAGCGCGTGAGTCTATACCCTCCTCTCGGCTCAGCAATAACTCAACAAGACAGGGGCAATAACGAGACACGCATCCACGGCCAGAACGGCTTTTGTCCGCGGGGTTGGTCAACACCTGCTTGTGTCTCTTATCGCGGCGGACTGTACGACACTGCGATATCTTTGCCCGAATCCACGCCAGAGGATTACGGATCGCGCGACGGGAAGGAAACCTAGTGGATTGCGGATACCCTCTAGATACGTTCCAACCTCTCAATCCGCAACTTCGCGTTCGTCATCCCGAATGCGGACCTCAACCAGCGCTGGATAAGCGAAGCATCGCTCATGCTAGGGCGCGACTCGCCTCTCCTCTACACGCTGAAGGGAGCCGGCCTCATTAATGCGCGGTCGTACTCCTTCTAGAGTCTCGTAGGCGGACCAGAAGATCAACAAACGCATGAGAAGAGAAAGAGACACCCGACACGCAGGCGGGGCCAGAGATCGCAGAGCTGAACGGGGCCCAGCCGAGGTGACAGGCGCAGGAATGCCATTCCCCATTCGCAACATTGATAATTCGTAATTATGATGAAACAAGGGTACGCCGATATCTTCTATGGATGTAGTACAACAACATCTATCGAACTTCAAATCTATGCAACCATCTAGGGTATATCCACCGCCGCCTCGACTAAAACAATAAATCCGCATACTCCCCCAGCACACCGTCCCTCCCACCATCAAAAACGTCATGTAAACCGTCTAGCGCTGCGAAATTCTCCGCGAACTTCAACCCCTTCAGCCTCTCCCGTTCGATAACATCCCAACTCCACTCCTCCTTTTCCATCTCCTCCGGCATCACCGCCTCCGCCTCCGCCTCCGCCTCCGCCTCCCCACCCTTATACACCCACCCCTCGGGCTTCACAGGCACCATCTCCGCATCCAGCAGCGCCTGCTCCGGCGCCACCGTGATCCGCCCCCTCTTAATAACATACTTCGCGATCGCCGTTGCATAAATCGCACCCTTCAACTTCTCCTTATCCACCTCTTCCGCCCTCTTCACCCTCCTCCAAGGCTGCAGACTAAACGCCTTCGGCCTCGCCACCCCCGGCTTCACTAAATGCGTCACCAGATAAAACCACTTGCGATCCCAAGACAGCAATCTCGTCCACATTTCAAACTTCGCATACGGCAGGATCTCGTGTTTAAAATTACACGCTATGCCGCCGAGGGCAATCATGTGCTTGCCGCGCGTGCCGGACGTTGCGCCAACGCCTTGGATGCCCCCGGCTTCGTTCTTCTTGTGCCCGTATAGACGCGAGGATTTCTGGATTGCGTTGCGGATGAGCGCGGTGAAGAGGTGGGTGCGGGAGATGTCCATGTCCGAGAAGTATGTGCTGTTTGATTTGTGCAGGTTGTAGTCCGTCTCTAGGAGCGGGGTGCGCGTCGATGTGATTATGGGTTGGAAGAGTGCGTGTGGCGGGATTGGGGTGGGCTGGAGGTACAGTTGGTAGGTGAAGGCACGGAAGAAGCGCAGCTATATCCCATCCGTGTCAGTGTGCATGCTTCGCTCAAGGCTGGTTAGACAGCGGGATGGAAAAGAAACAGGAGGACGTACATGCCACACAAACGGCAAATTCTTCAAGTTCACCAACGCCAGCAGAATTGCGAGCATCCTCCACACGCCTCCAGGCGCGCTAATACCGCTCCATTTGGCCAGAAACTCTCTGGACGACGGCCGGCTAGCCAGCGCAGCGATTGAAGCCGCAGCGACCGCGAGGCTGGCAGCTCGGGTCATCTTTCTCATTCCAGAACAACAACGACGAGAAATTAGAGAGTGACGGTATGGATGACACGGCAAAATGAGCGACTAGGCGGCATTTAAGTTTCTTGGGCTGAAGTACGCGGTGTTCAGCTGCATCTGCTATCCTTATCGCGAGCCGAGGCTCGGGAGGGATTTCTCCGGGTTCCGAGCACGCAAAGGGCTTAGGGCTGCGGCCTCTTCTTTGATTGGAGAACATGGTCGCAAGGTTTTCTTAATTGGGAACTTGTGGGACTAGTAGAGAGGCATGAGGAGTTGCATTGCCTGTGCCTAATCGTGTAGGGTGCATACCCGCTAGACGAGTCGGCGTCGGACGAGCTCTTGGACACTGAAGACTGAAGGCTTCCAAGTTGGCGTAACGTACCCCCACGCCTTGTAGGGCCTGGTTGTTTTTTCCATATTCAAGAATACACTCGGTGCCTTAGAGAAAGCATCCTTCTGTACCCCTAACTAGCTAAGACAGGGTCACCACCAGTAATCCCTTTCTACCCCTTCTTCTTTCCTTTTGTTTTGTCCGTGACCTCCACCCAGTTCCTGTGCACGCCCCGCTTCTCCAACGCTTTGATTATAGCATCTTTCTGCGGTCCTTGAACCATTACCTCCATGACCGGGTTCTTGGGACTGCTGCCCTGTAATCGGTCGACGCTGGTACTCCCAGCGCACGTTTTTCTCAGCTCGTCGGCGAGTGGTTGTGGCGCGATGTAGTAGGCCTCGACCCCACTAGCTTTTGTCACCGTCTTGTTGCCACTGCGCGTCTCCATGACGATCTGGATCTTGGAAGGTGCGCCGGCTTTTGGTTTCGAGTCAGCTATATCGGCATCATTGCGCAGAATGGAGTGGAAAGGGGACGTGGCAGCAACCATGCGCTCGGAGAGTGCGTCGCGAGCAATTGTTCCCGCTGCTAGCGCTGCGTTATCTGCCGCCGACGTTCCTAGTAGCGCGTCTGCGATCTGAGGGTTGATGTTGACGAAACGCTTATTCGTTGGAGACACCAGATTCTCGGCTTCAATGTAGGCTGCCAGAATCTGCTTAAGCTCTACAGGCGTATAAAGACCGCGCGGATCAGCTTTCGAGGCATTGAGGATGGGAGCAAGCTTCTCCTTGGGCCGGAGCAGAGAGATGAGCTTGAGCTTCTGTCCGATAGAAGACTCGGCGGGAAGTGATGCTGCTGGCTTTCCATTTACGTTCGAGGACGTTGGAACATCCTTCTTCGGCAACCGATATGGAACGAATGACTTCACATGGCGGTCCTCAAAGCCAATGTCCCAGATTACCACCTCGTTTCCGTCGCGGTCTTTAGATTTGACGATCTGCTGTTTGTCCAGGTATTTAATGAACTTCTTGATGTTCTTCCAACTTGTCTTCTTGATCTGAAGAGAGGCTGTTCGGGCGGGCGTGTAAGTGGGGAGGAATGGCTGTACGAGGAGGGACATGACCTTCGACTGCGACAGAGGGAGGTCAAGGCCGAATGCTGGGTGGTCCTTGTTGTTGTCCATGTGGTATCGAATGCCGTAAAGGAAGGCGTTCATGAAGGCCTCGTCGATCTCTGTTCAAGATTAGCGGGCTCTGTGTGCAGAGTCGAAGAGGAAGCGTACCCTTCTGTGACAGCTCCTTGTCCTCCACCTCCTCGACTGAGTCCTTTAATGACGACGCGTCTTCGCCATCGACGCCTTGCGCCTTTTCCGCTTCCGATCGTTCGGTAGGGTCAGCATTGAGGGATACACCGCCTCCGTCCTGATCGTCCTCCAAATCCATAGCTGCAGTTTGCGACGCAAGCTCTGCTTCTGTGTCCTTCTCGTCGTCCCAACCCTCGATATATTCCGGCGGATCAGTGCCAGGCTTCCCCGCAGAGTTCCATGACCAGAGCTCATCGCCCGCCCAGTGGAATGTCTGCACTGCGTGTCCCTTCATCCCTTGTACCTTCTCCAGTGAGCTCACGTCGATTTCGCATGTGCCGACTGCCATGGGTACTGTAGGTGCCTCCAGGCTCGCGATTCCTACGACAGCACCCTTGACAGCTTTCTTCGGAAACGGAGGGCCTCTCTGGAGTCCGGGGGTCATGAGGTCGGCGCCGCCTTGTAGCTTCTCGACGACGACTAAAGGCGTGTAGAGGAGTGGGACGATGCGTGGGTTATGCCAGAGCGTGTACACTGTGTCGGTTAGCGAGGTCCCATACCAATAGAAGTTATGCCTAACCAGTAGGATACATCTTCTCCCCAACCTTGACCCAGAGTATTCTCTGCTCGTCCCCAGTCCCCTCATGGCTACCAATGTACACCGTCCCCGACACTTGCTTCAGGTTCGGCCCAGCTGTTGTCGTGAATCGGGCCGAAAGCGCGCTGTCGGGGAGTATCGACTTTCTCAGAGCTGTAAGACCTGCCGTGGAGGCTGCTTTATCCGCTGGATCCGCATGCTGGTCGACGGGAACCCCAAGGCCAAAGTCTGAAATGATCTGATCGGCGGTGCGGCGGCGGTCGGAGCTCTTGAGAGGGCTAAGGGGTTTGATCTTTTTGAATGTCAACACGTATATATGCTCTTGCGGCATGACGGGCGCTTACATTGGGCTTCTTCTTGAACATGATGGCTAAAATCGCGCTTGAATTGCGTTGGTTTGCTGCGTGTTCGTGGCGTCCTCGAGCTCGGTTTTATGCAGCTCTACCTTCCAAGGTTGATGACTTCAGCGGGGTTCGCTCTAGGCCGCATAGGGCTAGTGCGGGGGATGCGAAATGAGTCTGAATCACTCATCCTCCGCCCTAGATGGGCTCCACAACATTTACCTAGGTACGCTGAAATGCACCCATCCTACCAGGCTTCAGCTGCCATTCATCAGGGGATCCATCAGCCTCTGCGGGTGCCGCGTCGTCTTTCTACGGAAGCGCCAACACAGCAGCTGGCGAACATGCTGGATCGGGCAGGTTCCGAGAGCCATCGAAAGCTGTGTGGTGACACAGTTCTGCGCCAGCAAGGACGTGCGGCGGTGGTATTGCTTGTTAGGGCAAGTTTCTGGTAAAGCATGGCTCGCAGTATGCGAGTTCCCGTGTTGCCAAGCCCCCTGGCGTGAATGTTTCGGGGTAAATGGCGGCCCGAAATCGCGTCGCGAATCGCCTTCGACGCGTCTTTCGGCTGGACTGCAGCGGTGCTCTACGCCCACAACAGACCAACGCTCAATCACACCGTCTCCACCATGGCCGATACGCAAGACGACGTCCAGATGGACACGCAGGACATTGAGCACGAGGCTCCGCCGTCGGACGTCTTCATGGCGCCCTCCATCTACAAGTCCGACATCCTCGCCGGGAAATCATACTCCCATTTCTCTCCGATTCCGTCGCAGATCTCGGACGACATGTCGACAGAGTGCGTGCTAGGTGTCGATGAAGCCGGCAGAGGTCCGGTGCTAGGTATGCCGCGCAATGCTTTGGTCTGCTCGCACACGCTGATGAACCAAGGTCCGATGGTCTATGCGCTCTTCTACCTGCCTCTCGAGCTGCAACAATCGCTGCTCGCGGAAATGCACCATTTCGACGATTCAAAAGTCCTGACGCGCGAAGTCCGCTCAGACCTGATGCGCAAGCTCTGCACGACAGACTCAGACCTGCACAAGGCATGTGGTTGGGCTACGCGGCTCCTCTCTGCTCAAGATATCTCTGCGCATATGCTGGCACCGGCGCAGTACAATCTCAACGCTCAGGCGATGGATGCAACAATTCCGCTTATCAAAGACGTCATGGCGAAAGGTGTCAATGTCAAGGAGATATACATCGATACCATCGGCAGACCAGAGGTCTACCAGAAGAAGCTCGAAAGGATCTGGCCTACGGTCCGAATAACTGTCGCCAAGAAGGCCGACAGTCTATATCCCGTTGTGAGTGCTGCATCGGTGTGCGCCAAAGTCTCCAGGGATGCAGCGCTCGAGGTGTGTTACGAACCGTACCAAGCGTCCGCGGCCAACGAAGATGACGATACGGAAGGAAGCAAAGAAGATATTGTCTGGGGATCGGGTTATCCTTCTGATGTCCGGACTTCTACGTGGCTGAAGCAGAATATGGATCCCGTTTTTGGCTGGGGCAACGAGTGTCGCTTTTCCTGGGGAACGGCGAAAGAATTGCTTGAAGGCAAAACCGCCGATGTCAAGGTCGACTGGCCGGTCGGCGACGACGACGATGGGAATATGCGCATGTCAGATTTCTTCGCTTCCAAGAACGAGGCCAGCGGCGACGAGCTCGTTGATTGGTTTGGCAAACGTGTCACGGAAGAGATGGAAGTCTTCTGAATATGCAGGATAAAGCCACCACGACGACTATCTCTTGCTCATTGCTCGCCTATTACCCAAAAGAATCAACGGGCAAATATCCGGAGTTGTAAAAGACTTGTAAGGGGCCGGTTGGATGGTTGCATCAATGTTCGGAGAATACGTCTGACGATGGAGGAGCGTTGTGCATAGCCACGGATTCCGGGCCTAAAGCTTGGTCGCCGGTCACCATCTCCGACGCCGTGGCCGCACCAACGCTAGCCCCAGATCTCGCTTCGCTGAGAGGCGGATTTCATCTTCGAAGTCGATAACGTCTGTCGGGCAACTCCTTTAAATCAGGCCAGCTCCTTCGGTTGTTGTTGCGGTTGCACAGGGTTGCATCATCTCACTCATCACTCTCTTTCAGTATATTATTCTATTCGTTCGCTTTTTGCTTTTTCGTTTTGGCGTTGGGCGTATCCGACCTCACCCACTCGGTGATTCGCCCACTAGTCGTTATCCTACATTGTCCGTACTGGAACTTTGACTACGGCACAGTCGAACACCTGCGCCTCGCACTTGCACGCGTCCAAATCCCAGGTCTCCGGTGGCTTCCACTGCGGTCGCCCAGACCGTCGGTCAGCCTCTAGCACATTAATTAATCAAGCGAACCCTTGACCGACGTACGACCAACTTAACGACATTTCGAAATCAGCTCCTTATACCTGGCTACAGGAGCCATTGATCGCCTTCGATTATCCCAATGTGCATCATCCTTCCTGTCGACCATATCCCATGCACTCACACGGTCGCTATTTGGCAGCATTGTATCGACGCGCCGCGGTCTAGGCGCGATGGCCTCAAGCCATGCTCTCGGATTCGACAAGCTGCTCGACCAATCTTGACGAGAAAGCTATGTTTCAACTGCGGTGGCCCCAGGTACTTTGCTCGAAGAGGTGGCGTGGCTGAGCGGGGCAATGGAAGCCCGGTGATTCCTGAGGTAGACGAGGAGGAGAAGGACGAACACAATGAGCCCTACGACTCAGGATATCAGAGCGATGTCATACACGAAGAGGATGAGGACGGCGATGACGAGTCGGCCTTGTCACCAAGGTCATCCATACTTCCAACGAAAAGGTGGAGGCCTGCTCCAAGGCAGCGTTCGTCGAGCAGACACAGATCGCCCAGTCGTAGGCCCAGCTGGAGACCAAATCTCAAGCGTGACCTCAATGCGGAGACGTCCTATTTCCACCGTCGCGAATCTATCGACTCTACTCTCTCAAAATTTGACGAAGACAGCCATTCGTCTCGTACTCAGTGGTCTCCGGAGGAGCTTGGTTTGCTTCAGCGCTCCATGCCACCTACAATACGAAAACCATCTCCAAGACGCAAGGACTCTACGCTTCTTCATCCTTCCCCACCACCGGAGACAGAAGACCTTCAGAACACTTGCTCGTTCCCCTTGGCAGAGCTCACTCCGCCATCTACGCCTCCGCAACGGCCCCCGCCACCGGAACGGCAAGGCTCTACACTTCTACATCCTTCGACACCGACGCTAGAGCCAAATACGGACGTGGAAGAGCCAAAGCCCTTCGCCTTCACCTTCTCTTTGCCGGCACCCATCACTTCTCAACAACCCTCTACTTCCATGCCTGCACACCCCATCCAACCAAAGCTCACGTATCGCAAGAACAGCACGCTTCTCCACCCGTCCTCACCTCCCGACGACGAACCCGCTCCATCAACTGTCCGTTCCTTCCCCTTCCCTATCCTCACTAAAACGCCGCAAGGCTTCAGCCTACCCCCTACGCCGCAAGGCACTCCAACCTATCAAAACCACGAAAATCGCGGCTCCGTTTTGCACTCCGCCCTCTCGGAAGACGAATGGGAGGCACCACTGCATTCGTGCCTGTCAGACGGCGAGGAGTACGAATCCGATGACCATTCAGCGGAAGGTGACACTGAATCCTTCAACGATAAGAGCGATAAGAGTTCAGCTTCGGGGGATGAGATTATCATGGCACTGACGGGGCGTATGGCAAGGGCGAGCAGGATATCCTTCCATGGGAACCAGTTGCGCATATTGCAGGATTGAGTGCTTGATACGGGTTCCCTGAGGATGTTGGTTCCCGCATCGGAGGAGCTGCATGTGAAATGCAGATAGGAACGAGGAATGCGGGTGCCACCAACTCATTTTCATTGGCGCGCCTATGCGGCGCGACCTGTCTATCGATCGCTTGCAGCCTTACACGCACGCTTCTCAGAATATGCAAGATGCTTGCACTTTCAACCCCGAGTATCTCTTGTTGGCCAGCCAATCGATATTCCTTCGGTCATGTAGGTCTAAGAGGCGGTCAGTCGGCGACCGGCCTTTGGGTCTCTGCTCGCTTAGATACCTATGCAGGCATATTCGAGTATATGCCTTCGGGGTTCGTTCACTCGCTCAAAAGTCGATTTTCTGGATTAGCGTTGGATTAGCGACGGCGTTGTTGGGATCCCTTCCTTCCTCTTTTCCGTTGTGCATATATTGTCTATAGAACTGTACATACATTTCCCATGTAGATTTGATCCTTTGAACAATCTCTCCTCACGCTCCGTGGTCTCCAGGTCGTGTTCCTCCCAGCGTTGGCGTTGTCTTACTCCCTATGCAAGGGTTCCCAACCCCGGCTTGCAGCCACGCTAAACCAAATGGGGACTTACACATTCACCGCCGCCCCCGATCGTTCCCCGCACATAACACAACACAAGCTCAAGCCCAACCTTGAGCAAACCGCGCCGCTCAAGCTAACATGTGATGATCCATCCAAGACAAATCCGCCTACCTTCTGAAGCGGTAAGAACTCTCCTACTTCCAGCGCCGACGTCATTTGTCCCTCAGCCTGATACACAACAACTCCAACAGGTGGCACTTGCAATGGTGGATCGCCGCATAGATTGAACCGGCATCCTACCACGATGATCTCATAGGGTTTCAGGCTGAGAACCGCTCCCACAAGCCTCTCTCGCAAGCCCATTTTCTATCCAACCGACATCACTACTGGACGGAACAGTGGATTTGTCGAACTTCAGCAAAACTCTCATGCAAATACATATCTGGTATGGGCTTTTTCTGACGTCCAGATGCGGTCCGGCAAAGGCAGACGGCTTTGGTTGATCGCCTGCTTTCGAAATCGCCGACCTCTGTCCTGCGAAGAGTATAGTATTCCGAGCAAGGCATGACATGGCGGCGTGAGGAGTGTTTACTTAGTTCTGTAGTCTCTCAGCCGCTACATACCACGTACTAGCTTGAATCGAGACACGAGACCGCGGTTGGGATGTGGCTTCTCGGCTGACAAGAACTCCCTCCGTCTCTGACCGCAAGGATATGAGCTGCGTGACGTCTGACCCGTTACAAGACGTTTCCTTTAGAGCCTTTAGAGATTAATGCACGTAGCGACAACCTGCTCACGTGCAGTTGATGAAGGAAGAGCATATGGAGATGGAATTATATAATTCTACATAAGTTATCACTAACAGAAAGCGTCTTGTCAGTGCAGGACCTATCACCGACAGAACTGTTCTGCCAGTGCCAGATGTGTATGCGTTTCCGACAGAGCACGCTCTGCCAGCCTTCAGGAATGCTAACCGCCCCCACGTCGACAGTTGCGAGCCTCCTTGAGCTCGCGGAGTTTAGCATCCCTCGCCGCATTGGCAGCGCACAGCTCCTCCAGCTTTCTCTTTTTGCTGGCCAACTCCTCCTTCTTCCTCTCCAGCACGGGGTCGACCTCTCGAGTAATGCGGCTGGCAAGCGACGGTGCTGCCCGGCCGTCCTTGCCAGGACCGCGTAGTCGGCGAAGACTAGCAGCGCGTGCAGGAGCGCCGTTTCGGCCCGTGGAAGGGGACCGCGGAGATTTGTCTCGGCCACGATGGTGACCGCGGGGAGAGTCGTCTCGGCCACTATAGTGACCGCGCAGGAGATTACGCTGATCGCTGCGATCAAACGTCGCTGAATAGCCACCCTGAAATGAGTACATTCTAGGCTGGTCGCCTTGCGTGGAGAACGGGGACAGGTTCGGACCAAGGCCCACCAGCTGGTTGATTTCAAACTCTTGGCTTTGAGTTTTGGCCTGGAGCTGCTCAATCCTCAGACGTGAGCGACGAAGCTGTCCCTCAGTCTCAGCGAGCTTGTCCTTGAGCTCCTCGACTTCATCTTCAGCATCGAGCGCACGCTGCTTCCAGTAATCATCGCCAGAGTTCCGACGGTCGCTGTAGTCATCAGGATTCCGAATCAGACTCCTCGAGTAAACACTATAAGATCGATCAGTGTTATGAGATCGCTCAATGTAGGCAGGGGACCGCTGCCCCTGACGCTCTGGTGCGCGGTCCGCGGATCTGCCACGGTCGTCAAGCGAAGGTGCCCTAGGACGCCTCTCTGTTAGCCTTCTACGTTCATCCCGAAGATGCCTCGTCATAAACGGCTTATACGCCTCAGTACCCGCAGGTGCATGCATCGTCGCCTTCATGTCTTCAGGCGGGAAGTTCCGGAACTCTTTCATTCCAAACCTGTTTACGAGAATCTCGCACTCTCTCGGAGTAGGTCGAAACTGAACGCCGTCTGGCAGTTCATCGCTGTTCAGCTTCTTCTTGTAAGCTGCAATGCTGAGGTACGCGTCGGGGCACAGCTACACAGTGAAGTCAGCTACAATCAGTAGGAGTGAGTTGTCATACCTCCCCATGATGCGCTCCCTCTTCAGACTCGTCGCCACAAATGCGACACTTGTGCGTGCAATTCTCCCACCTCCTATGGGCGGGGCCGCGAGGATTACCGCACCGAAGACAGTTGAAAACCTTGCTTCGGTCAAACAATTTCGGCACACAACACGCCGCGTTCCCTGGCATGGCAGAAATATCCGTCTGGTCGACGAATCGCTTTGGAGGGAGGTACCGCTCCGGCACAAACCTCAGACCCATAAGGTCTTGTCGACCTGCGCACGCGTTAGTACAAACACCTCTCGCCGAGATTACCGGACGTACCGTTGTTGCCAGACGCGTCCATTTCCTCTGCCATCTCGTCGAAGCAAAATGGCGGAGGACGCGCGAGTGAGTGTATTGTTGATGGTTTGCGGGCAGGCGCAGTTGCGCTTTGTGGGTGTTTGCGACTTAGCGCGGTCAGGTGAGACGCACCTGCTCCTGCCCTTTTCACCACGACGGCAAGATTACCCGAGAGACCGGTGGCAGCTGCGGGCTCGTGATGTAGACATTGCCATCTCTAAGGAAGCTACAATGCGTCTCCTCTCCCTCCTCGTCTTGCTCTCTCTCAGCATCCTGTCCGCCGCCGACATAATCGCCCGCTCCATCTGCGGCTGCTCCTCTTCCACCCATCGCGGCTACTCCCTCGTCTTCAGCTACCTCCCCGCACGTGCCCTCAACACCACGCTCGTCATCACGGATCGATGCGTCGCCGAGATCGGACCAGGTGCTTGTGGCCAAGTAAATCAGCACGAATCTTTAATAATGAGGAGCATGTTCGATACTGACGTAGAACAGGACCTAACCTACCTGAAGAAGTACTCCAACACGACCGCTGGGCACACCCTCCGGTACCACAGGGAGCTATTCGGCCCAGACGAGTATGAGTTCGACGGCAGTGGGCGGCGGAAGATCCCTACCAAGGCACCAAAGACCGTGCCGGATGTCAAAGTGTAATTGCGATCTTGAAGGCCTTGGAGCCGCAAGAGGGCCGCATGCTGATGATGGGCAGGCATTGTGAGGAGATGTGCGGATTGGTAGACGAGGAACTCAAAGCAGATTGCTCTGGGGCGTCGGCGTGTAAGGGCCAGGTAGGCTGAACTCGTCGGATAAACGGAGTCGGGTTGGAGCTAATGTAGAGATAGTGGTTCGACGTGCCGGATCTATAAGGCCTTAGGGTGAGGAGGAATGACCGACAGGCGTGGAGTTTGGATAGCTCTGTTTGGGCCCTGAGACCACGAAACCGGCCTCTTCCGAGTTCGGCAGATAGCTCAGTGAAGGGCATGACCGGCCGGTTTGATAGGCACTACTGGGAAAGCCTTCCTCCTCTATAGGTAGATGGGTATCGATATAGGGGTATCTTCCTAGATTTATGAACGCCGATATGCTCCATATCCTAGTGGCGCTACGTTCCTCCCTCTTTGACTCGCAGATTCCCTATCTTCCTCGCCTCCGCGGATCCCGGCTCGCATCATACGTCGTTCTTACTCCTGCAGTCGTTGGCATAGTAGTACTCTTACTCGCTCCAGTTGCAGGCTCCGTACCTCCCATGACCACATCCCCGCTTGCCCCCGAAGTAGAATGCCGTCTCACAGCTCCTTCTCTGCCTGCACTGGAAGCAGACTGCCTCCTCGCTCCTCCACCCTGCCCTCCCCATGTAGGCCTTCTTCCACCATTCGCAGTAGCCCTAACCCCTTTCCACCTCTGCTCTTCCTTCCCTTTCTCTTTACCTCTTCCCTCAACTAGGCTCGATTTTCCGTCCATACCGCCCATATCTGTATCTCCATCTGCATTTCTGCCTTTCACACCATCCTCCGGCACGCCCAACACGTCAAACCGCTCTCTGGGGTCATACCCCGCATGTGTGGCCGCATACTTCTCCTCATCATCAAGCGCCCTCTTCAGTTCCCCATACACCTGCCTGACCTCGTCCGGTAGATCACCCACCATAGCTCTCCTCCGCTCCGTCCTGGACGGTCCACCGGCGGGTAAAAACCCAGTCTTCGTTTCCGGGGCTGCGAAGCGCTGGTGCGGGTAGAGTGGTTTCTGAGCCGGCGCTGTGACTTCAGCATGGGTGTAAACACCGATGCCCCTAACACAGGGCGGGCCAGTGCTGTTCGGGGGGTGCGGGCTCTGGAAGAACGAGAGTATATCGCGGTTTATGCGGGTCTTGCGTGAGTAGGCGACATCGGGGGGGAGAGAGGTCGTGGTCGAGGAGCGGCGGGGCTGTGCGAAAGGCAGCTCTGCGCTCGCCCGTCTTGCAGCGGCGTTCGTGCCCCACATTGAGTTCTGGGTCATCATAGGGGGCAGTAGAATATCCTGGTTGTGGGTTGAGCTCGAGATGGAGGGTTTGTTGATAGCGACGAGAAAGAGGGATAATGCGTACCTGGTTTGAGCCGTTCCGGTCCGCCATGGTTGTGCCCGGCAATGGTGCTTCCATCACCATCGGACTCTAACCGCCCATATCAACGGCGACAGCTTGAAGTGGGCAGCTGTCACCAGCGAGCATGCGATGTTGAAATCCGGGGCTAGCTTTATCGATAGGGAAAGGCGCTAATCCCTTTCAGTCGCCACATCTCGCCAAACATCAGCGCGTCATCGCGTCGACAAGCAATCGTTCTTGACATCAAGAGCAAAAGCCATTGGATGGAACCTTTTTCTTCTAACCGTCATGATGGAACACAGATCTCGCATAAGATCTGCCTCGAGCGGGAAATCTCATAGATACCCGAACCCCTGCGTTCCTCCCTTCCCTCCATGAAGCAAACCTCTTTGAAGCTTCTAAAAGCCTCAGCATACCATATTTCCAAAAGACCAACGCCCCAGCTTAGCGTCAAACTCCGTTGCAACATCAGCATGCAATCCGTCAAGAACACCGTCGCCGAAAACCTCGGCCAAGTCGTCCCTGGTAACGCACTCACACCGAAAGACTCCCAACTCTCCCTCGAGCAAGTCCCCGATCTTTCTGGCAAGGTCGCCGTCGTGACTGGCGGCTCCGAAGGCATCGGGTATGGTTGCACACATACTCTCCTTACGCACAACATCTCCAAGCTCTTTGTCCTCTCGAAAGCTGAAGACATCGTCTCAGACGCGATCAATGCCATCAAAAGCGAGATGGGCGAAACCGCCGCAAACAAAGTCGAGTGGATGCAGTGCGATTTGAGTGACTGGGAGGCTGCGGGCAAGACGGCGTTCGAGATCGCGAAGAGGACGGATAGGCTGGACATCCTGATCAACAACGCCGCAAGGGGAATCATGACGGCGCAGCTGGCGAAGAACGGCGTGGACTTGCACATGGCTACCAACCACAATGGCCATGTGGTGCTGACAAGCCATCTGCTCCCGCTGCTGAAAGAAACGGCGAAGAAGGGCGACAAGGTCCGGATCGTCAATCTCGGGTCTAACGCGCACCAGAACGCGCCGAAAGAGACCAAATTCGAAAGCCTAGAAGAGCTGAACAAGGACTACGGCCCGATGGCACAGTACGGCCGCACCAAGCTCGCCTCCATCCTATACGCGAAGTACCTCAACCGACACCTGACCTCGCAGGAGCCGAATATCCTCGCAAACGCCACGCATCCGGGCATCGTCGAGACGCGGCAGTCTTCCGAGCATATAAAAGAACCATATCCTCTTGGCGGATATTTGATGAGCCATGGGCTGGCGCCTTTCAAAAAGGACCAGTTCGAAGGAGCGGTTTCCACAATGTATGCAACCGCGGCGGAGAAGAGCGATCTATATCTCTGCCCGCCGGCGATAGTAGAGCAAGGCAGCCCGCAGGCGAATGATAATGAGCTTGGAGAGAAGCTGATGGATCTCACCTGGAAGATCGTGAAGGAGAAGACGAAAGCAGCACAGGAAGGCTGTCCGTTCGAAGAATACTAGAATGATAGATTGGGTAGACATTACCGAAGATTAATTAATAGAAATGGAATATTCGTGTACCGCCTAGGTTTTTCTCAAGAAATGCCGTCCCCATTATTATGTTTCGAAGCGCTAATATGCGCCGCGAGAAGTTCGTGACATCGTGTACTCGTCCAGAAGAACAAGCGAGAAAGTGATCAGTAGAGCCGCTAAGTGGAAGGAAACATACCGGGTATGATACTATCCTTCCTCAATGCCTCCCAGGTCCCGTCGTCCTTTCCGAAGCGCCAGCAATATACTTCTGCTCTCTTTTCCGGCACAACCCAGTACGAAACGCCTCTCCCGCCAATTGGCGCCCCGAGATCCTTGACTGCATCCAGCAACCAAGTATCGTTCTTCGCCGCTGTCGATAATCTGATCTTGAAAGTATGCAGCTGTGGGGCGTAGGCAGCTCTCTGCTCAAGGTACTCTCCAATCCGTCCAACCTTCTTATTGCAGTTAAACCCTACTGCCCACGGACAGTAAGCCACGAAGTCGTCGCGCAAGGTAAGCTCTTGAATGCTCGGTGGGAGCACTTCCTCCAAGTGAGCCGCGAAATCGGAAAACCAGCCCAGAAACATGACCATCGGTACCTCAACCCGAGTTAGACTCCTCATCTCTTTCAAAATGGTAAGGGTTCCCTGAATAGCTGGAAACTGGAGGTTTTGATAGAGGATCTCGCTCGGAGACAGAGAACCCGGGACCAGACCAAGAGTCAATTTGCACTCTTCAAGAGTGTTCTTCAGGTTCGCAAGAGCAATGTTCAGCCCGTCGAGATTGAGATATGGAGACAAGGGAGGCGCTCCCGGCGTATTGGCGTTGAACAAAATCTCATGTTCGTGGGTGAACCACTTGAGATTTGGTGTCGCTGAAAGAAGCTGATCAAGTGTTCCCCTGTTGATGTTCGTCCGAAACATGCGGATCATTGTGAGGTTGTCACTACGGGGAGCTTCGGGTCGATCCCAACGTAGTTGCCAAGGCTGAGACATCGTGTATTCAAACCTGTTCACCGTCGACGAGTAAAAGATCGGCCGAATGAGGTCGAGATCCATGTACGAAACTCCGTTTTCTGGGTCCGGTCTCTTATCACCAAGAACGACGTGGCTGAGCTTAGGAAAAAGACGGTCTGCTCGCTTCATAATCTGCGGAAGAAAGAGCGAATACATCAAGAATCCGTCTCCGAGATCCAATTTCGCCAGTCCGGTACAGCGTGTTAGTACTAACATGACCAAGGCGTCCTTGTTGCGGCCCTTGAACTGCTCTTGTGACTTGTGCATGCTCTCGTCAACAAGCTGATAGAAGAGGTTGGACGCGAAGATCTTTTGGGCTTTGGAAAGCGTTGTGCAGCCCTCGAGTCCCCAGAGGTTCACGGCGGATGTACGCCTCGCTTCCTCCGGCCAAGGATTATATTTGGTCCAGCTGCGGCACACATTAGCATATGCCCTGAGAATTAAAATAGACGAAGAGGAAGAGCCAGTGCCTCAACATCTAGCCTTTTTTTCTTTCTTTCTGAATGCCTTCATGAATGGCTACCGGATACGAAACAGAGACGTGCAGGACTGTGTCCGGTGCTGTACGTACCAGGGAAGCGGACCGCGCAGTTTGAAGGTAGTGACATGGGAGGCGAGTTGAGGATGTTCGAGCAGAGTTCGAAGGAGGAAAGCGAGCTTCCGCGCACATTCGCGGGATTTCGTGGCCTCGAATTTGATGTCGCGATACAGATAAGGTATCGCTTCCTTGTTGAGCGACTTGGATACTCGTACGAGTGCGTCGTAATCCCTTCTATTCAGGTAGTTCAGGATGACGAAGAGTATATCGACCGGTAAATCGGAGAAATGCGCCATATCAAGGCGGGTCGTAAAAAGGGCTGGCGATGTTCGAAAAGCAAAGACGTGGAACTCTGATATATCCTCTGTGAATCTGAACGGAAATGTAGTTGACCACAACTGGCGCCTTCCGTTACTGGGCTGTGTATTGAAATTGGGGTCTCAAGTGAAGAAAGGAAGGTGAGATAACTGACGAGTTGAGTGAACTTCACCCGTCACATGCTTTAGCCGCCGCGCCGTTGCCTTAAGACGGAAGCTTACAAGGACCAGGTGCGCTTAACCGGAGTGAGATTAACCCGATATTGACTTTGCTCCGACCACGCAGAACCGATTTTTCGATTCTTTTATGACTTTCTTTAGGACCTCCAATGGGGTGATAGGGTAACCTGGAGCTTTCTGCATGTCTCTACAATCGGAGGAGCCCGCCGACGCGCCGTTTTGGTATGTGCCACGAACCTACAAGTGGAGATACAGTCCCCAAGAAACCGAGGCTGGGGCCAAAAGTGATCGGCGCGGCTGAGGTATGTAATGCCACTAGTCATCATGATATCGGAGGACATCGTTAACGTTAGCGCGTTTGCGCATTCGAAGAGGAAGTCGATTATCGTCGACATCGGTAGCAGCTAACCATGGCATTGGAACAGTTCCCATATCGCGATCGTCGAATGCGGGCTTGCTCAGGCGGAGATACCGGGTAGACCAGCCGTCATCAGCTATTCGCACTTTAGCTGCCTTGACAGCTGGTTTCACCAATGCCTGCGGACATGTTTGTTGTGGAATTCGCCCAAGTGGTATTGGGTAGCCAAGCCCAGCGGCACACTCCCAGCCCTCTCTCCCCGGAACAGTTGTTTAAAACGTCCGCTCTCTGGGTGCGCCGGATCGAACAGCGTTACTTCTTCAACCAAATCCCAATACTCGGCTGCCTTCCACCGAAACATGAGAGGATATAGCACCTTCGCCGCCACGGCTTTGTTTCTGCACGTAATGGCGAAGTCATCCAATTGGCCATCAAACCAGTTCAGCGTACGGTCGGGAGGCTGCCACACAGTGATTGATTGTAAATGGTAGAGCTGGTCGAGCAGGAACAGGCAGGTCTGAAACAGGTAGGCGATGTCCATCCTAGCGGTCATTAGATAATTCGACTCCTCCATAGAATCTTTGAACGAAAGTCCCTGGGGCAGGATCGACGTATCGAAAGGGAAGGGGAACTGTGCGCGAGACAGGTCGGTCCGTAGAGTCAGGTGGCGGAGACTAAGCGGAAGGCAAGGTTCAAAGCTCACAGCGATGGAGAAGTCAGGGTCACCGCTAATGAAGGGAACAGGAACCTCTAGAGTATGCAGGGTTTCGAGCGCTCTGAGGTCAAGATAGCCCGTGATATGTTTTCGCGGGTCGGGTTGTTTGAAGAATAGCTCCTGGCAGTTGCAAAACTCCACGCTTAGAACAAGTGTTTTGAGAGTGTGTTTGACTAGCTTCAAGTCCTCGCTCCACTGGCTGAGGGGGATCCACGGTCGATTGTTCCCAAACGCAGCGCGATTCCCCGCTTGAATGCATTTGTTGGGATCCCACCACAGCTCGCACGTCAGGGACTGAAGATGAGGGGTCCCCTCGAGGAGAGATCTTAGGCACTGAGAGATAGAGTTGGCGTGTCTTATGATCATCGTAGTGATGTTAGTCCGCGAAAGCCCCGCAGGCAGAGGATGCCCCAAATTATGGCGTCCCAAGGGTTCAAGAATTCTAAGCACCTTTCCGTCTGGAACGAAGAATTCGACTTTCTGGACACCGGGAAGATCCAAAACTTCCCACAGATTGACGGAGCTCCGATTACCTGGGTATTGGAGCTCGGACTTCCCATCAAAGTTGTAAGAGACCTCTTTGATCGACAATATGCGATCGTTGAGTACCTGCGACGGGCGTCCGAGACTCCCGGTTTCCTTAGGGAGCTTGCGAAGGACGTTGTGGAGAAGACGTAGCGTTGAGTCCTCATGATCTGCCATATCTAGGCGATATAGAGATGGGAGAGTCAGTAGCAGTAATGCAGCGTACGCTCCATAGTCCCGCGATGAGATAGCCTCGCGTAAGTTTTCAGCAGTCGAAACCAAAGGCTCTTGGTCCAGGACATCCAGTACTTTCTCGAGTTCGAAAGGCGCCAGGGTTTCGAGGTCATCTGGAAGTAATCTTGGGCCACCTCTTGTTCCTTCCTTCGGTGACAAGCCAACGCGAAGCGTTTTGACGTATTTAGCACGCTTCTCGTCCTTCAACAAGTTGAAGAGGAATTTGTCGATTCGGAGAACACGATCTCCTGGTGAAATGAGGAGATCGACATGACGATAGAGGAGAGAAATAGATAAGTCGTATAGGGACCTGGAGACTTGCGAGATGGAGTAGAGGTCGGGTTGGGTTAGATAGGCTAAGACCTGCTGACACAGCTCCGAGGGCAATTCCGCAAACGATGCCATCGGTGGCAGGACGAGTTGGTAAGGATAGGCTAAATCTTCGCCCCTGATCTTCTAGAATGGGGATTAGAATAAGTCTAAGGCAGGTTGTCAAATCGAAGGTGGTGGAGGAAGTGTAAGAGCGATGGAGTGCCTAAACGAGGGGCTCAGTGGTCCGTGCGTTCGTGGCCTACTATCCTTTCCCACCAATGATGATCGGCAAGTACATAAGGAAACCTTCTGCTTGAATAGAAAGTGGAGGTCATCTTAGGCGAGATGTGTGTAATGCCGCTTGGTGTCTAACGGACTACTATCGCCTGCTTCTTACAATGCCGGAAGCACCCTGTGTAACCGTCCCCTAACCACGCCCAACCGATCCTTTGATGATTGGTGCCCTTCTCGTTCCTCGTTACCGCCAGGCAACTATAACGCCAATTCGACCCAGAAGCAATCTTTACAGTGTTCTCACTCATCAACACGCAACTGAAGCTCTGGTCCGTAACCTCTTCGATAGTGTCAAAGCATACATCACTATCATACCCACCGTCCGCATACCTCTCCAATTCTCCCAGTGTCGGTCGCTGGTCGTTGACCAGAGCACGATACTGTGATCCCGACGGAGCGTCGAACCTGTTTCTCGTACTAGGAAATGCGGGCTTTGGAAGTGGAATAGCCCGAAATCCATCTAGCACGAACGCTTCCACCTCGATGAATCCAGATGTCACTTGACCGAACTCGTCAGCCACTGGCACTGTCTCAGCACCGAGTACATCGACCCTTGTCCGCCACCTGGGGTCCAACATGCAAGACATGGGGCCATGGCCGTTGGCATTGCCGTTCTGGAGGTATTGAACAGTGCCAACGACGGATGCCCATGACCAGGACGGGGCGACGTAGACATTTGGTCGTTTTGGATTGTTGTTAATCGTTGGATCGCTCTGCCACATCAGCCCTGCAGCGAAGCTCAGTTCTGGTGCGCCGACTAAACGCTCGTCCACAGGCTTTGGTGACGGATGACTCCATATCCCAGCAAAGTACCAATAACCGGTATTCTGTGCAATGGTCTTTGCCAGACCCACCAGTGCTGGCAGCTTGTCAACTGGATTGGTTATTCCGCACTGAGCATAGTCTTGCACCAAGTCACCCCACTTCCAGGTGGCTGCGTGATGATCGGTGGTGCTGAGGATGTCTGTGCGGTCCGTTTCATCTATGGCACTTCGGAGGACAAATCCCTCCGGCTCGCACTCAGAGGCCCAAAGCTCATTACACTGCCAGAAAAGACATTCCGATGTCCAGTGAAGAACCCGTCTGGAGAGCAGGCGCTCCTGCAAGACCCATGCTCGACGATTCAGCGGCGATGTCCTCAGCGAACCGTAGAGCGTAGGTAAAGGCGGAACAATGTGGCGATTCGTCACGGCATCATTAATACAACAGGGCTGAACTTGGAATTGAGCTCCGGATCGCTTCCACAGAAACCCAGCATCACTGTTCGGTGAGCAGGTGGCAGCAATGTTGCATACGCTGTTCGCATAAATGTCGCCCATCTTGCCTCCTTTCTGCTAATCACGGTCATCGCCCGGTGTTGGTTGAACGATGCAAAGTGAGTCTATCCAGAGGAATCGTTGGCCGAGCTTGCGGGTGATGAAGATGGCCTCATAAAAGTTGCGCGGTAGGATGGAAAGCGGAATACTCCTTTGCCACTGCTCAAGCGTCTGATAGGACAGTTTGCAAGAATGCTGGCTCCTGCCCCAGCAGTGGCTTAGCGAAACGTATTCTCCTATTTCGCCTTCAGAAGAAATGTGTAATCGTGGTTCCCTGCTATCATCGCCGACATCAATGACGCGAGTAGGCAGAGGCATTTGACTTGATCGCCTGAAGGAACCCTTCGGTCCACATTTGGAGTGAGAATTGATACATTGAGCAATCCATGCCGATGCTTGCTGAAGGTTTTCTGGAGCAGCCGCGTCGTGATGTATAGGGCGATTTCCTGAGACATTTAGCTAGGCTGGGGCGCACGTTCAGACTCTAGAGGATCTTATAGCTCCTTCTAAGCCACTACTTCGCCTATGTCGTTCGCGAAAGCACCAGGAGCTTTTGCAGGAAGGAAGATAGTTGTCGTACCTGCTTCCTCATCATCATTCCCTGTAATGCTCCGCTCTTCAAAGGAAACTTCAAGAGTGCCGCTCAAGATCCATCCGCCTTTATTAGCTTTTCTGATGGTGACTGGTGAGGAGTTCCTCGTCTCTTCTGGGGCCACATGTTCGGAGCCGTAAATCAAGTAAGCACGCCATAGACGGCAGAGCTCGCAGCCCTTGTCTGCCGACTGCTCCAATTCAAGCACTGGACCATAGATTTTCCGTTCCCATTTGACAATTTCCAGGAGGGCTGCAGGCCTGCTCCCCGCGTCTACTGTTCCAAGCGCCGTGCAAGGGCCACATCGCATTTTCTCTTCTGTCTGTAGATATCAAAGGGTAAGAGGTAATAGTCTGCGAAAGCGGGAAGTAAAGACGAGGGAAGCGTTGAGATGTGAGAAGAGTGATCTGCGTGTGAACTTGGCAGTTGAGGTCTTGGCATCAAAAGCTCGGACCATCGAAGGCAGCAGATGGCCGCGTCGAAGTGTCGTTCCATCAACACCACCTCATCGTCCGCCCTTCTCACACCCGTTGAGCCTATTCTCCCCAAGTCTTTTCCTTTAGGCCTCGTTGCAGCTCCACACATAACCTTCGCGCAGTTTCTCCGATCCTCTGCCAAATACTCCAGTCAACATGGTATGCGCCGGCTCCAAGCTCTTTAGAGCTCAGCTTGCTAATCTGAGCAGTTCATAGCACGAAGCGAATATGGTAAGCGAACCTAAAACACTTACAGAATGAGCCTATGCTAACATAGCTCTCTAGACCGTGGAATCAAGTCCGTAGCCCCATCGCCCTCCGAAGCACCTCAAACTCACATCTTCATAGTACCTTCTCCCCAGAAGGCCGTCTCTTCCAAGTCGAATACTCCCTAGAAGCCATCAAGCTCGGCTCAACAGCAATAGGCGTATGATTACTCCCCCCCGTCATGGCGTCTTCCCGAGCCCCAGGGTAGTCCCCGAAGGTCTACACAAGCTCACAAACACCCTAGGTAGCAACCGGTGACGGCGTCATTCTCGGCGTAGAAAAGCGCGTGACCTCCACCCTCCTCGAAACCAGCTCCGTCGAGAAGATTGTCGAAATCGACCGGCACATCGGCTGCGCCATGTCGGGCCTGCAAGCCGACGCACGAAGCATGATCGAGCACGCACGGGTCGAGTCGCAGAACCACGCCTTCAACTACAACGAGCCGCTAAGGGTGGAGAGCTGCACGCAGGCGATATGCGATCTGGCGCTGAGGTTTGGCGAGGGCGCGGAGGGCGAGGAGAGCATTATGAGCAGGCCGTTTGGTGTGGCACTGCTGATTGCAGGTTATGATGAGGATGGTCCGAGTCTGTACGTCTCCCTGGTACACTTCGCAAAGGCCCTGCACAGTATCTGACATTTTACAGCTACCACGCCGAGCCCTCCGGCACATTCTACCGCTACGACGCTAAAGCGATCGGATCCGGCTCTGAGGGCGCTCAGGCCGAGCTCCAGAACGAATTCCACAAGTCGCTTACCCTCCCGGAGGCTGAGGTGCTCGTACTCAAGACGTTGAAGCAGGTTATGGAGGAGAAACTGGATAGCAAGAACGTGCAGTTGGCGAGCGTGACGAAGCAGAAGGGCTTCCGAATCTACACGGACGAGGAGATGGAGGAGGTCGTCGGAAGGCTGCCTACGAATTAACCGGCGGGAGTTCGTGGGCTTGGGAAAAAGTCACTAGGCACGGATTGGAGTAGAAAGGATATGATAGCATCTTTGGGCGCCTTGTCCCGGACATGACGAAATAGACAAATGTCTCAATGCTGCTCCAAAGCCTTATTGCGGGAACGTGTCGTGCCCATTCGACATCCACACCTGCATATCACACAATGGAGTCCCCGCAGCGAATTTGACAGAAAGAAGTCTATTCCTCAACTTTCGCCGCTAGAATACAGCATGCCATTCGCGCTTTGCCATCATGCTATGCCAGCTATAATACACACGCCCCATGCTCCGCCTCCCAGTACCAACTAGAACGGGTTATCCTCCGGTGGTATCTCCTTGATGAAGTAGTCCCCTAGAATCGGAATCTTCTTCATGATGTCCTCGCGCACACGGGGCACCTCGGCGAAGAAGAAGAGCGCGAAAACACCAGCTACGCCGCCGAAGGCGGCGGCGAGGCCACCGCTGGGATGGTATTAGTATTCGGAGGTTGCGGAGGAGCCAGGAGGGCGGGCAGGAGGTATGGGGGTGCAAGGATCGAAGGACGTACTACTTGATGACAGTACGGGTGGTGATGCCGTGGAAGTTGGGCTGGATCTTGTATCTGCGCAAAGGATGGTTAGCAACCGGATCTTCCCAGGAAAGTAGTTCCGTGTGGGCTCCACAACGTGTCCTCGCCTTCCAGCTGCTGGTGATCCCCATTGATGCTTCCTCTTATCCGCAAAGCCCGGAGTTGTCTCATCAGCTTCCTTTCGCCCCTCCTCTTCTTCCAATCCACCTTCCGGCCACTCATAACCCTCGCAATTTACATGAACGATAACAGGTGTACGTACTGGGGACCAAACGGACTCTTATACGACGTATACGGGCTGCGCTGGCTCTGTCTTCGCATTAGCTTTCATGCTCTTCCTCGACCCAATCGCGTCTCAATGGCTCTGGAGATAGCTTACCGTCATCGCAGGCGTTCTCGCCATGTTGGCGGGCGGGACTTTTACCGAGGCCATGGCTGCGGTGGTGTTGCGGATGGGTGCGTAGAAGAGGTGAGGTTGGTGATGCAAAGCAGCTGGCGAGAGGTTGTCGGGCTTGGCGATGCGAGAGTTGCATTAGGCCAATCAGAGGGGTTCGGGTGGGTTCGGGTGATCGGACGGGAGCATCAAAGTAGCCTTAGTTCCCCTGAAGATGCAAATGATGAGAGAAACATGAAATTATTATTCTGTATAATTACGATTATTTCAGCCTGCGGCTGCCCATTGTTAATTTTAGCCCGTCGTCATGTTCCTCACAAACCACTCCTCACCAGACGACCATCACCTCGTCGCGAGCGTATGCCTCCCGATCCTCCCAACTCAAGCACCTGTCTCCATCTACTCTGCGCAAAACGGTTTCTGGGCGCTTCAATCGTATTTGCACAAGGCCATACCGTCCCCCCTTGTCCCTTCAACCCCGAATTACCGAGTACCTTTGCTAGCGAGAGCGCTGGCAATGCAGTCGGTTACGGCAGCCATGCGTCCCATCGGAGACGAAATTTCTCATTTTGACGAAAAGGGCCCTAGACATGATTCTCTCCTTCTTTCTTCGCCGCTTTCCTAGCATCTACGGCGTCTCGCCATTGCTTACCGTGCAATGTCGTAACGTAGGTAGCAATGGCCGCTACAACCAAAAACACCGCTGAAATCGTAGAAAACCACCCTACGCCGATAGCTCGGACAGCAGGAAGGCATACTGCGGAACCTGCTGCTGCGAACATGTATCGGACCATGTAGTTGCCAGCTATTCAGCGGTTAGCCAACCGTCCTAATGCTAGAGAGCTGCAGACATCTTACCAACAACCTCAGCGCTTCTCTTCTGCATAACATCCAGACAGTACGTGTTCAGACTCGGGAAGCAAAACAGCTGCGCAACACCCTGGAGGAACATCATAATGACCGGGACCGCAATCCCCCCCTTCTTCAGCTCAACCGTCCACCCGTAAATCACCATGCAGGCGGGGATCACAATGCCAATGAAGGGAAGGCAGCTTCGGAGGCGGTCTTCGGCAACTCGCTGGCCTTTGATCTTGATGTACTTCTTGACGATGTGGTCCGCATAGCGGCCGCCGAAGAAAGTCCCAAGAAGGTATCCGCAGCCCGGAGCGATGTAAAAAAGGCCGGATTGTAGAGGCGAATTGAGGTTGAATCGTGGGTTGAGGACGTATCGAATGGGCGTTAGGAGCGAATACATGTTCCAAACGAGGGAAGAAGACGCCAGGGACTGTGATGTTGTTAGGAAGGATGCCAAAACAGCGCCTGAGAGATACGTACGACCGTAAGGAGGTTCGGATAGCGGTAGAGACGAATTACCCTCAACGGATTGAGCCACTGCCACATTTTATGGGCTTTCTTTCGACGCGGCAGGCCCCCCAGTTCTTCAGAACGCTTGTAATGAATCGTTTCCGGCTGAAGGAAGAATACGAACAGTGTCGCCGCACCGGCCAGTGCCGTCTGTAGCCAGAAGATGTCTCGCCACGTGCAGAAGGTAACGATTATACCTCCAATAAAGGGCCCTGAGGTTCGTTAGTATAATGCAGCCCTACAAACAGTACACCCACTTACCCAAAGCAGGGCCGATGAGAGTGCCAGACATGAACCTATAATGTAAAATACTGTCAGCATGGGTTCGCGGGACGCGCCCATGTCTTAAACCAAGTCCTGAGTTGACTTGAGAAGGAGCCGAGTTTCTGGTTCAGCTTACCAACCAAGTGCCGTCCCACGTTCAGTTGGCTTATATATATCCCCAATGACGCTCGATCCGATAACCAAGAAGGCGGTTCCTTGGAATGCGGTCAGAATCCGGAAGATGAAGAAAGAAGCCAGGTTAGGTGCTAAGGCAGTTCCGATAGAGAAAGCGAAGAACAGTGCAGCACTAGCTACTGAGACCTAAGGGTATCTTGTTAGTCAAAGCGTGTCGAAGCCGGCATCACCACATTACCCACGAGGATGCGGTTGCTTATGTATATTCAGGTTCATGCGTACCCATTTCCGTCCGTAGATGCTCGCAAACGGTCCATAGAAGCAAGGACTGATGCCCATAAATAGCATATACATTGCGTTGGACAGGTTGATAATGGAGCCATCGCACTGATACGTTGCGGCCACCTCAGGTACAGCAGACAGAACGGTTGTGGAAGAGACGGGCGCCAAAAAGCTACAGAAGGACAGGACTGCTGTTATGACCATCTTACGGCGCTCCGAGAATCGGTTGTAAACCTCATCGTTGTCGCCCGTCGCGACGTAGGAGACGCCGGCCATATCATCATGGTTACTGACAGCGGAGATGGTGGGTTCTAGCTGTAGGCGGTTGCTCTCTTCTGGTATGATGGATGCGAACTGCTTTTCCGATTGCGCGGGTGGAGGCCCGGCCGGCGCTGATGAGGAGGATGTGCTGGTGTGTGCCATGGCGGGGTATCATCGATCTCAATGTTCAAAAAGACGGTGAAGCAAACTGACTCGCTATTGACGATACGGGCGATTTGACCTTGAAACCCAGGAATGAAGGGACGCAAACGCGAATAGCGTGACAATAGAAGGGAGAGTCCAAACCTCTGGGTTTGACTTTCTGCGCCAGCGTTTGTGCATCGTAGTTCTTATGCGCTAGTGCGATCATGTTGGCAGGTTGGGAGTGCTTAACCGTCATAGGGGCGCTTTTCCGTGAAGATTTTCATAGCCGGCCGATAAGGCGGATACCCGACGGAATTGCCACAAAGCACGTCGGAATATCTCACTGTCTTGCCGGAATAGCTTACGGAATGCCTTAGGAGAACTGAAGGTCATCTGATTGGTGAATATCGTTGCTGAGCGAATTTCGCGCAATGCAGGGAGTCATTGGGGACAGTCATCGGGAAGAAAATGCCATGTGTGCGCTGAGATCTTTTGGGACCAGTGGCCTTGGCAGTCACGTGGGGATCCATCCGCTTGCCGTCTGCTGTTCGAGAGTATAGTGATAACTCATTCAAGCTATAGACATGAATGCGGCATGCAGCCTGCAAAAGTTATTTACCCATTCGGAAGCATCCGGCCAAGTGCTGATACCTGTGAAGGTCTCCTGTTAACGCCTGTTCCAAACCCAGATCTTGCTTGCGATCTCTTGGTGTTGAATAATGCCTTGAACGCCAGCCATGCAAATTCTAACTTTTGATATCGGGAAACGGCCTTCGTTATATACTGAGTCTGTCGAGGCTCAGTCGATCCACGCTCTTGTGTCTCTTGACCATGCCGAGCTTGTAGAACTTCTCTTCCCCTGCCGCAGTCCGCCCTCCGATGTACCACTTTTCTGCTCCCATTACTTCATGGAAGCCTTCGTTCGAACTGTCCGAGCCTCTCCTGTCCCGTCTTGAAGCACCTGGTATCGGGAAGGCTGTTGCCGTGGGCGATGTGGAGCGGTGGTACGGAGCGGCATGTTGCCTGGTAGGTTGGAATTGGCCGGTTGCTTGCACGGCTGCTGTTGTAGCGCCAGGTGAAGATGGCCCAGCCTTCGTTGCTATTGTCCGCGACGATGTCGAGGCGTTGTGGTTGGGAGAGGAAGCTGTATTGTGCGAGTAGGAGCTTGCTGCTGTAGACTGCGAGGTTGCAGCCTTCTGTATAGCGGACTGGGCGCGGAAGGCCGCGAGGAAATTCGAGAAGAAGGGCCGGTTCGTAGACATGGTATCGTCGGGTGGTTTCCGCCCTGAGCGAGAGCGCTGCCGACCGTCGTGCATCAATAGCCTGTACGAGAGGTGTGCGGCCTTGTGGGAGCGTCGGGGACTTGGAGAACTATCTCTGCCACTTCCGCTTGCCCTCGGAGCACCGTGGCTGCTTTTATTGGCAACTCATGCAAGGCCTGGGGGTTCGTGCCGTGTCTTCCTGTTATCGATGTCCGTAGGCGGCCAACGTGAGAGTGACGTAGGGCAAGAACAACGGCGGCGTCGACACGGCAGAGAAGGGTGAAGTCCAGCGTTTGACTGCAAGAAACGGTAGTGGGATGGCGGGGTATGCGTGTGAAGCGGTGTTTATGTCGTCTCCGCGGATGGGGGGAAGTGGAAGACGGTTGCGGTGCTCACGGAGCCGTCAAAGGAAGGAAGAAATCGGAAGCAGCTGATTCGCAGTGCCTCGATCTGTTCCGAGTTAGACCGACGAGCCGAAACCCGACACCTCACAACATTTCGCGACCTGCACGGTCGTAGTTATATCGTACTAATTGAAGCTATACACCATGCGAGCTGGCTCGCCTATTTGCACCGTCATCCGTCGTCGCCGGTCGTTCGGAGCGTAATGGTGTGCAGCTGCTGCACGATTCGTTCATTGATTCCCAGCGCATGCGACGCCATATGCACCTCCGTATCGCCAACCCCTCACTGCCCCTCAACGGCCAAACACAGCCCTAGAATTCGTAAGGCGATGAGCCGCCAGCCGTTTGCGAGCATCGTTCGACATGCTGCAGGCTCGGTCTCGCATGATACAAGCCGCTCTGCAGCAGAAGCAACCGTATCGCCCACTCTGCTTCGCAAGATCGCGATGAGGACCTTTGGCAAATCTTTTGATCGACTGGCATGTGATAACACGCTGTAAGTAGCATTTTCAACCTTGTTTTCGTCCATAAACGTTTGGCTGAGCGCCTACATACCTCAGTCAGCGTCGGAGCGGTCCGGCAATCCTGGGGTATGCCCAGGCAAAGCCACGAGAGCTGCTTCGTCAGAACCTGCGTCTAGCGGGCCTTAAAGTATCAGGCCATGTATTTTCTGCCCGTAGGCTTATTCTTTCCTGCAGTCTTGGAAGGATTTGCGGACAAGAATCCCCGCTTCGTCAAGCCACCATGCTCCAGATCTTCAGTCTTCGCCCTCCACAGTAAATGCCCCGCGTTCGAGTCCTCTAAGGGGAAGTTCGAGATGTAACACACGCTCACCTGATCCGATCGGGCTCGTAGTTTCTGCCTTCGTTGCCTTGAGGTAGTCTATGTTAGCAAAAGTCGTTGTCTCGGAAGCGCTGCGGCGAATGTTCGGACACGCCAACTTCAGGTTCTAGGTCCATGCCGTCTGCCTCCCGCTCCGCGAGGCCCTCCAAAAGATCAGGTCATATTGGCATTTCCTTTTCTGAAAGCATCTCCTAGCAGCATCTCATCCCAGCGATGTGCGGGTCACTCTCGAATCACTGGTTCCGTATGGAGCAATGAGACTCTCGAACGACGTTGATGCCCAAAGAGGAGGATGGTTACGAAGCCTAACCGAGGAGTTGGAGGATGAATATCCTCCCTTGAAGCATCGAGGAGCGACTTGTGTGCCCCCAAGCGTCCGCCAAGCATAGAAGAACTGAAGCCGTGTACGCCTACCGGAGGATGCTTTACGACCGCCTCGCATTCGCGAGCCTGTGTGCGTGTCTGCAGAGGTCACTCTAGTCTCCCAGGAGGTAACATTGGGCAAGCTGAGCATCTTAAGCGCACGTGCAGGAGGAGGAGTCAGAAATCTAATCTGGATGTGAACTAACAGGTTGAACAGCCCAATAGAACCAAGCATCTTCTCTCATCTCAATAGTTTGTAGGACGAAGTTTGGAAAGCTTCTTTCCACCCGAATAGTAGTCAGCGCAATAGTCGGACATGGCTTCGAAGAATACAAACGTGACGCCCACACCCGCGAGAGAAGAGGCCGAAGGGAGCCTGGGCGTCACGGGCGTCACGGGCGTATATCGCGGTCAACAGAGCGAAGATAACTACCTATGCTTAGTGGAAGTGCTAGCGCCATGGCGGTAGGCAACCTCTATGAACGCCGGGAGGGTCTTCGTATCCGCTCCTTCTGACTGCAGGTGCCCATGAAGCACCGCACATACACACTTCAAAAATGCGAAGACGCGGTCAAACTACTCCGTCGGTGGTATAGTGGAACAGGTGCGACCCTGGATGTATCTTTCTGAAGTGATCTCGAGATTGAGGCAGTCCTAGTAGCCCTTGAGCTAGTATTTGTGACCGGTGACTGTGCGCTCTCTGAAGCCTCGATGCCATTATCAGGTAGCCACAGAATGTTTCCCATATCTCAGCGGTACGAAGAAGGCAGCCTACCCAATTGGGCTTAGCGCGCGAAAGCCGGTGGCTTTCACCTGGGCACCTCCGCATCGTGGCGCCGTACCGAAAACGTCGTCGCGGGATTTAAGAAACTCATCAAACTCAAAGCAGACGACATCTCTTCGACACATTTGTTGGCGATGTTTTCTGCCTTCCTTGTCTCTCTTACCCCTGCGTTGCACAGTGAGTTTGTATAGCACAGGCATGTCAGCCGCTCCACTTTGATGTTCTCGAACCATTTCTCCTGAGTTCGGACCGCGTCCACGTCATCTGCCCCTATCCTCCACGCCGACCTCTTCGCTGGCTAGCCGTGCTGCATTGTTACCACAGAGAAGGAAGGCTCGCCGTGGGACACAATTCCCTAGGCCATCGAAGGCCATCAGCCGCTGCCATACCCGCTCGCCGTTCATCGATGAAACATCGGACAAGTCGGGATCCACAGGGACGAACACTTTCTCCGATTCGCGAGACCTAACAATGCAGATTCCCGACTATGACGTGCACGGCCATAGGGCATGGCATCGGCGACCTCCTTGGTCCACGTTATTGTGCAAGGCGATATCGTGCGCTGGAAGGACGCACCGTCACGTTGTCGCAGGCGGTCTGTACGGCGTAACCTGACACAGCACGCGATTCCACCTGGGTGGCGATGGCCATAGGCATGAAGACGTCAATTTCGATATTGCATGTCTGGTGAGGGATATTTTTATACGCGTTTCGTGCCACCCGCATTCGATAATCGAGCCCGGGCTGTTGGGAAATATTGGATCTCCACAATATTAATGTCACCCAATCAGCGCCGAGCCCTGGGCGAGTGATCATCCAGGCCCTTCCCCTTTTGGGCTTATTCCAGAAGAACTGCAGATGTCCACACCAGAGTTGACGCCGTGGGAGACAGCGCTGTCGCCTGCCAACCATGGACGCGCGGATCTGTGCCTTCGCCAGCAGGGCACCTCGCCGCCGGCGGACACGATGAGGGCGAAGCAGAGCACAACGACGAAGTCCATCGCCGAGGGCTGCGGGCCACTCTATGCACCCGGTCGACCCAGGAAGGACCACGCCCCGGACCCCTGCAGGTAATCGCCGCCGGCCCTCCGCTATTCGCTGTTACCCCTTGGCTTAAGGCATGCCTTCCTAGTATCCCGGCGCGACGTCACTACAGGCCATCCTTAAATTCTCTGCTGCCGTCCCTTCGTCTCTTCGCGCATTCTTCTGCTTTGGAACTCCTCTACCTCTGTACTCTTTCTAATACTTGTAATTTCTCGCCTTCGCTCCGACGCATTTCACCTTTGAATTCTTTTCGTCTCCGTCGCCATGCGGTTTACGCCCACCCTGGCTGCCGCAGCCGTCCTGGCTTCGACCGCCAATGCCGCGTACAAAGGCTTCAACTACGGCTCCACCTTCGGCAACGGGCAGGGCAAGGTATACGCCGACTTCAAGTATGAGTTCGAGGCCGCAAAAGGCCTCCCCGGGACCAATGGCCAATTCACCAGCGCTCGGCTGTACACGATGATCCAGGCCGGCACGACCAGCACGCCCATCTCCGCCATCCAGGCCGCCATCGACACGCAAACTAGTCTTCTCCTCGGAATCTGGACTTCGGCAGGTCAGACGGTCGTTAGCAACGAGATCGCCGCGCTCAAGGCGGCCGCCAGCCAGTATGGAACCAGCTTCACCAATCTGGTTGCCGGCATCTCCGTGGGCAGCGAAGACCTGTACCGCATTACCCCTACGGCCATTGAGAATGGAGAGACAAACCCTGGAGTGCAACCCAGCCAGCTAGTCAACTACATCCAGCAGGTACGTGCCGCTATTAAGGGTACCGGCCTCGCAGGAAAGCCTGTCGGACACGTCGATACCTGGACCGCGTATGTTAATGGCAGCAACGCCGCCGTTATTGATAACCTCGACTTCCTCGGCGTCGACGCATACCCCTACTGGCAGACGCAGATGGCCAATAGCATTGGTAATGCCAATGCCACCTTCTACGATGCCTATAGACAGACCGTCGCTGTCTCCAAGAACAAGCCGGTGTGGGTGACGGAAACTGGCTGGCCTATTTCTGGACCTCAGCAGAACCAAGCCGTTGCCAGCGCTAACAACGCCCGCATCTACTGGGAAGACGTCACTTGCAGCCTGATCCAAGGCAACATCAACCTGTGGTACTACACTCTTCAGGATGTTCAGTACAGCACCCCGAGCCCGAGCTTCGGCATCAAGCCTGGTGGCGATCTCAAGGCAGTGAACCCGTTGTTCGACCTGTCCTGCCCTACCGGCAGGAAATCGGTAAGCTTCTTCTTTCCGCTGCTCCTTTCGTCCTTCCTGTCTCCACTCCTTCTCCTACTCTTATACAATGTGTCAATCGCCTCGTTCCTGGTATCTCCTCTTCTGCCTGCTGCCAAAACCTGCCCGCCTTGCTTGTGCAACTGCACCTGCACACGTGCCAGAGGTCCCGTCGTACAACCACCACATTGGGCCGGATGGCCCTCGAGCTGGGTTGCACGGGCTAATGGACTTGCAAAGCCCTCGGACACTCCTACGGCAAGCTTGAGCATCAGCAGTACAGAGGCGCCAACGAGCACTGGTACATTCAGTTCGAGTAGTGAGATGAGCGGAGCTTCTTCAAGCTCTGAGCTGAAATTAACATGATGCAGCGCTCCCTATAAGCAATGTCTCGACGACGCCCCAAACCACCACCGCACCAGCTACCGTATCCACCGCCACTTCCGGTCTCTCGGAACCCTCAAAAACCCAGCCTTCACTCCCTACCTTCACCTGGCCTCGAGCGCCCAATGGTATTCGAGGCCCATTTGTAGCACCTAACCTTATCGTTCCCATCGACTCGTCCTCCCCGAACACGGTGATTGGCAATCAGTATACGGCACAGATCTCTCCGACACGTTCCACCTTGTTCAGATTTGAATCTTCGCCTCTGCAGCAAGGCAAAACTTGCAATCTCGTTTTCCATGTTCCGCCGCCATTCGATCCCCAATTTGTTGCGCCTTACACTCAAAGGTCGCCCGGCGGTATCAGCGTTTCTCGGCTCGATCAGCCAGCCACAGAAATGACAAGCTCGAGCACGGTCTCTGACGGTCAATCGGTTGGCAGTGTTCCTTCGTTGCTGCCGGGTAACAGCTACACCGTCTCCAGTGGACCGTGTGAGGCAGGGATAGCGGGTTATCGGGTTGATTCGGTTGGAGGCTACGACGCCGACTTCTTTCAAATGACAGGTCCCCCGGCAATTGGTCTTTTCGTGGAGTATTCGTAAAGAGCCAGAAATGGCAGGTGCATGGTAGCGGTTGTGAGGGCGGTTGAGGACATTCTTGTGTATATTTCAACCTAAAAGTCCTAGAGCCGTACATTGATTTAATGTAATGTTTCCATCACCTCAATGTTCCGGCCTGTGTTTGTTCTAATGCCCTGCGTTGCTAGACGGCTCATGCATGGACAGTATAGCCCATCTGCTCATTCCCCTCGTGGCAGGCTCCACCTGGAAAACCACTCCATCAACACCGCTGATGCATTCCACGTCGTAGGCCCCCATCTGAATGTCTCCAGCCACTCATCACTCAGCGGAACAGTAGACGGCCATCCATGCCCCAAGCCCTTCACATAATACCCAGTCACAACCTCGCTCGAGCCCCCACACGTCCAAGTAGTCTTCGCAATCGTCCCATTCTGCAGCACCGTCGTCGCATTCACAACATCCCCCGTCTCTATAAACGTATTAACCGTCACATTCGCAGGGCACCCGTTCCTCGCCGCCCAGTCACCCAGCCACTCAGGGATCGCAAGCGTATCCGGATCCGGAATCCCATTCTCATCAATGTCGAAGGCCGAGTTGTCGCCGTCGTACGCGATCACGCTATCGCTATCGCCATGGATGTCCAGGAAGGGGATCCGTCGGGGCAGGTTCCCAGGTTTACAGCCTTCTGGCTCGAAGAGCGAGTAGCCAAGCGAGCCCGACGTATAGTACGCCGCGGACACGCCTGAGAAAGCTGCAATGCGGGAGGAGGTTGGTGGGTAGCAGGCTAGCAGGCCGGAGAGCCCGCCGCCGTTGGAGAAGCCCGTCGTGTAGATGCGCGAGGTGTCGATGCAGAGTGTGGAGTCTAGTGCGTTGAGCAGGTCGGCGATGAAGGGCCGGTCGTCGATGACGGAGGAGTTGGGAGCTCCAGGGTCGCCGAGCCAGACGTTCTACGTCGTATGTGAGAGAAGGGATGGGAGAAGCGGATGGGTGACGAACGTTTATGCCCTCGGGATACACGGCGACGTAGTCTGTATTCGTGTCCGCATTTGAGAAGCCCGTGACTTCTTCCATGCTGGCTGTTGTCTGGGTGAAGGCGTGCAGGACTATGATCATGGGTGCTGGCCTGTCGTTTTGCGGAGAGAAGTGTGCGGGCAGGTGGACAAGGTAGCGGCGCTCACCGCCGCCTTGGGCGGAATGTAGTGTGAAGTTCGCCGATGCGCCACCTGGTGCGAGACCAGAGCGTAGTGCGTTTCCACAGCCATTGCTTGGATTGGGAGGCGCGGTGATGCTGTGGAGCGTGTTGAGGGCTAGGGTGGCTGCGACGGAATTCGGGCTGGGGAAATGCATGGCCGTCGTAGCAATCCTAGGATTGCCGGAACTTGGTATACGTGCATTGCGAGGCTGAAGAAAGGTTTTTGTACCCGGGAATACGGTTCACGGCATATTGTCCGGGTTTGCGAGGGCTTGCAGGGCGTGAGGATGCAGAAATGGCGGCACGCAAGGGGCGTCTATTCACTGCCCCACCAGCGCGCCAAACGTTGCCGTTTGGCCATAGCGATGACAAAACATGACGCCTATTGGCGAATGGGGGCGTGCTGAACCACGCGCTAAACTAGATGTGTGCGACGCGGGGTGGGTGCCTGCGCTGTTTCCTAGAGCTACCTGCTGCTGCCTGGCGGTTGAAGTCTGAGCCACAAGAGGGCTTTTTCTTTTTACAACGAATATTAGAATTTAACCCCACAAAACAGCCATCAAGACAACTAAGACGTCTCGTTGGTGTAGTTGGTTATCACGTGGGTCTCATAGATTCTATGACTGCTCTCAGAGCAGATATCCCAAGGTAAGCTTCTTAAAAATCAAAGCAACCCCTGCTATAGTGAGATACTGATATCAGTTAGGTCGCCAGTTCGAGTCTGGCACGGGACAAATTTTTTTTCTAGGACAGCCTCTCATGGTCGCGAAACATGCCGGATATAAGCCGAAGCGCTCAACACTAAGATTTCCTGTGTATACAGGCTCTGTATACAATTTTGCAGCTCAAAATACATTTATTCGACCTCTCCGATACCAATTTCATACATACAATGCGTTTTGTATAGGTTTTTGTATGGTGGGCGCATTGCCAAGATAGCGGCTTGTATCCGGATGTTTCGCAACCATGAGAGGACAGCTTATCTCTGGCAAAATCTTGGCATCAGCTCTCGCTGTGATTCGCTCAGAGCCTTATTGAAACTCAAACCCAGCTTCTGATTGACTGCGAACAGAAGGCTGATAGCCGTAGTGCATGGGATATACAGACACGCTGTTTAAGCATCTTCGTCTTCATCAGTCTCGTTGTTCTTAGCCTGTCCGCGCCTTTTTGCTAACATCTCCAGCACATCCGTTGTATAAGACGCTCGCCGATGTGTCCACGCTGAGTGGGGAATCTATCTCCTCGTACGGTGTGAAGGATCGTGTATATCGAGGTTCTCCAACATGTCCACCAGAGTGTTCATCCTAAAAACCACCATCTCGCCGGTGTTCCGCAGCCATACTAAGAATGGCTGGCCCCTAGCGCTTACGCCTTCAATGCTAATTTTAAGCCTGCTTGCAGGATCTGTTGGTAGGCTCTTTGTAGCATAGCAGTCGTTGCACATAGGATGAGAGATGTGGAACTGCACTCGTACGGTATCACCCTCTTCCACCGAAATTGTCTGTCGATTTAGATCGAACCTCCAGTGTGATACTGACACATAAAAGCAGGAGCCTCTCTTGTGGAATCGTACTGGAACATCCATTCCACCAAGCATCTCTCTGGCGGAGTGGTTGCGTTTCGTTAAAGCAATTTTATTTGTTGCACAGCTATCTTATTCTGGTAGCATTGCTGTATGAGAGGGTTCGGGGAATGTTTGAGTTGATAGTAGTTCTTTCTCAAGCTCCTGTAATACTCTTGCAACAAAGCATCTGAAGAATGGTATATATCCCCGTGTGAGCTGTCACGCACAGCCTCTCCTTGCGCACTTTGGTGGATCGGTAAGGCGACGTTAAGGTGCTGTCCAGCTTGAGGCGACAGTACTCCTGGCGGAAGGTAAGTTGCAAGAGCGTTTTTAGTAAGCGTTTGAAGCATGAGACAGCACCAAAACTTGAGCAGGTTTAGGAGAAGTGGGTCGACATCGTCTTTGATTACAGAAAGAAAGACAAAGTGTTCCTCGATCTCTAGTCCGTTGGCAGGAAAGTAGTCCCAGACGTGATAATGAAGAGTGCGATGCCCTGCTCGATAAATCGGATCCCGGTGCGCCCGAATGCGGGCTTGAAGCTGTACACTCTGGCCAACGTATAGGTAAAAGTGATCCGGATCATGCTTCTGCTAGATGATATGGAGGTAGATGCCACCATCTTCGGGACCGACGTCTTGTGGAAGTTGAAGAAGTCTGTTATGTATTAGTAATTGCTGCGAAGAATGTTTGAAGAGACTTACTGCAGGCGAGAGTAATCTCAAGATTTCAGGATATCCCAAGCTTTGGGAAGTATCATCTTCTCTAGTTGCGAGACCCAATCATCCGATGCGAGAAATGCTCCGTACCGTTCTGGGTGGTGAACGCCGGCCTGCTGGATCATGTACTGGAGAACATCGACCGGGTTCGGTAGTTGATGATCTCGTGTGGTTTTCTCAATGAGCGCGTCTCGCTCCAGCCATGATTCAAGGCTGCATTCTTTCGCAATTGGGCCATCGGTAGTGCTCTGAGGCGCGTCGTCTGGTAGCATAGCGGCGTGAGGCACCGGACGCGTCTCTGAATTAACAACATCAGAACGCGCTCTGCGCCTGGGAGTGCCTTTAGCACCAGTCACTTTGTCGGTTGAATGGATATTGGGGCGCAGTTCATTCGCAGTATCTGAAGCGTCATGAAACCGAGCCACAGTCGCTCCAGGAAGGCTGCCATCACTTTCACTGTCGTCGGTATCGTTCTCATAACATCCAATCTGTCGGTTGGCATTACAGAATCCGATAGGGGATCCCGGGTCCGACGATATTCGCACCCAACCGAAGCGTTGCCGTGTATCCGTGGACATAACCTGTACAATACTGGCGTGGGCGACTAATCCAGGTGCGGGTTGGTTGTCTGCGAGAGAGAAAGAGGTGGTGAGTCTACCAGAGTATACGCCTTGATAGACCGTGGGGCGGATCCAATTGTTGCGGCTACAGATCTCACACATTTGGGCAACCTTGCTTGTGGTCAGCTTCGTCACGGTACCAGGCTTGAAGGCAGCCTACTTCCCATGCCATGTAATTGGACACGCCGAAACGGTCGAAGTACCCTTCTTCATGCAGCTTATTCACCTCCCTTAGCGTATCCTCGTACGGTGTCTTCCGGTCCGGACCGTGCAGGTAAAACAGCTTGATTTTCTTCGTTCCCAACGCCTTAAGGCTATCCATCAGACCCCTCCTTATATCTGCTGGCGTATGGTTATACGACAGATCGAACTTTGGGAACTTGGTCAGAGGCCAGTTCAGCCCGGCATTGGGATACAGCTTCGTGGCCATGACGAGGCCGCGGCCTGCCCCAGTCGTTCTGCGCGAGCACGGTTTCGGATTGCCCGCCGCCATAGAGACGTGCGGTGTCGATCTCATTGTGGCCGCGTGCTTGGAAGGCGTCGAGCATGGCAGCTTGGTCTTTATGGTCGTGGACACGGGCGCCGGTTATGCCTTCGGGGCCGAAGGTCATGGCTCCAAAGACGACTTTCAGATTCGTTTGAGACATGTTGTCGGGAAGAGCAGATCGACTTTGTCACTGGTGAGGTGCGTGTGGGAGGGTAGGCAGGGCCGTTCAAAGGGGGTGTGGTCTACGATGTATCATATACTTATACCCGACAGACTTCGTCCGTCGCGTCCAGGGTGGTTATATTATCGCAAACCCTCCAAATGCGGAAGCCCGGGCGCAGGTTGTCGTCCGCAACCCCTAGTCTGCGGAAGCCTGATTGTTTAACCACAGCATAAAGTCCGTCCAAGTCCGACCACCGCACGAACACTTCAGCATTGAAAGAGACGACTCTCGGACGAGAAGTAGCAATTAGTCTTTAAGTACAGAGTCGAACAATTCTGAAGCATACCCCTGCCGCTTCAAGGAGTAACAGTGCTCAGGATGGCTGCATGTAAATAGTGCCCTCATTCTATGTGCTGCGATCCAGTTGGAGTTGCTTGACCATGTATACTTGGGAAACTCCGAATGTAATGACTGATGCTTAGCAAAGCGCGAATCTGCGGTGTGGGCTATTACTCCCCGCAACCACTATCGCTCTCTCAACCGGACTGTTGGCTTCAAATGGTGTATCAATGGATGCTACCAGGACATCGACGCCCTATCCTGTTCACTAGACGCAAGGGCGATCGATGGCATAGGACGATTGAGCGTCGGAGCTGGCTTTTCTTCCACCAGTCTGTGAGGTGACGTTAGCGCAATGCTCTTATAGCTGGAAGCAAACCACTACCTTCGCTCTCAATTGCCATTCAAGCTCAGGGTCGTCCACCTCGATTTTTATTTCGCATTCAGGCTTGAGCATCCTGAGAACACTGGCCAACCTTTTAATTAGATCTTGACGACTCCGTGAATTAGGGGTAGCTGAGACTCGCAGACGGAGAGTGAGGTGCTCTAACAGGGGCGTCTTCCGTCGCCAGATGTACAAAAGGTAATCAACGAAGCATGACCAAGAGTCGTAGAGGCGGCGGTACAGCATCTGGGGATTGGCAACCAGTTGAGGGGAAGGACAAGGATTAGGTACTATCGATGGCTTAACCAAAATCTCAATCCGCCGAGCTGTACACAGACGGTCTGGAGATAGATAATTTGTTAAGCAATATCGGTGTGGAATCCTGTCAAGAGGTTCAAACTCGTAGTGTAGCAGATGCGGAGGCGGCTCGTCGAATATGAGAGGGCTTCTATCAAGCTCCTCGAACACTTCGTCCGTGATTTGCCGGCAGATGAGGAGAATAGTCGGGCATTGCAGCTTCGGCGGCCAAAGGCGGCGATCGTCGTAGCATGGAGCCTGGCCTTTGTAGCCGTTGGTGTTGTCTTCAAATTCTGGCGAGAGTGTACATTCTGCCGAATGCGGTAGCTCGGTGAAGGTAGGCCACGGGACTGCGAACGAATAGATCATCACCTTAAAAAATAATGTGTCAGTATGGTTGAAACACCGAATCGCTACAAGAACAAAGGCGGCGGCCCGTAGAGAATAGACTCACCCGTATATCTGCAGGGAGGTCGAGAAACGGGAAGATGGCTTGAGATTGGGCTCTCTCATTGTTGAGCATGGCGGATTTGTCTTCGTGCGGCGACGTGTCCTGAACAGAAGCCATGACCTTTCTGTACGGGAGTACGCTGGAAAGGATTGACGGTGTTTATGTGCATTGTCGAGTGAGGAGACATCATGCTTCGTGGTGTAACGTGCCAGGGCGGCGGACGAACTAGGCCGTTTCGGGAACCTCTTAACGCGTCGCGACTTCCGGGAACGCGCACCGTACCGCATCGCGACCCTCAACTTTCGACATCCGCACCGATTTACACAGCCATGGCTTTTACGCAGGAATTGCGCGGCCGCTACGCCCGTAAGCACTCTCGATCCATCCCGCAATGTTTAGAAGCTCATCTGGGACACAGACGCGCCCGGCCCGACATTTCTTGCCTACACGCCGAACGGAAAGAAGCTGGTTACTGCAGGAGTGGACAATTTCTGCCGTGTTTTCGCTACCGGATCGGATGAAGAGCCTACAAATGTGGACGATTGCCAGGAGAACAATACAGCTATTGCCGCTGGCGTACGCGGAATCCAGAGCTATTCGTGGCACATTGCTAATCGCAAGCGCAGAATGGCTTCTTCATTACAGGCTCCGAAGACGGCACAGTGAGCAAGTACTCGCTGGAGAACAACAAGTTCGAGGAGATTCTGTTCAGAAGTACGCTGCCGGTTCGAGATGTAGCACTGAGCCCTGATGGTAACTGGGTTGCCGTGGCGAGCGAGTTCGTATCTCTCTGCCAACTCCTTTCCGAGCGACTGACAGCTAGTAGTGAACTCGTCGTCTACATCGTCAACACGAATGACATGATGCAAGTGCGAAGGCTGCGCGAACAGAACCGCTCCGTCAAGCATGTCGCCTTCGACAAGACCGGAACAATGCTCGCCGTGTCATGCACCGACGGAAGCATATACATGTACTCGTTGGAGTCAGAAGAGCCGGAGTTGATCAAGAAGGTGGACGACATGATCAAGGGCTTGGAACCCGAGGCAGAGACTAGCTCCAAGGTGCTATGGCATCCGGATGGAAGGGCATTTGCTACACCTACCGGCCTTCGAGAGATACAGGTTATGTCATCGAGCGATTGGGAAAAGCAGCGGTCCTTCAAGACTGGACATTCTGCAGATATCACCGCCGCTGCTTGGTCGCCTAATGGCGCGATGCTGGCGACTACGTCCAGCGACCTCAACCTGTGCCTTTGGGATGCAAAGTCGCAGAAGCTGCTGAACAAGTACGACGACGTCAAGGCAACCATCCTCGCCATGACATGGCATCCAACAGAGAACATCCTCTCCTACACCAACACGGATGGTCACCTCTACATCCATACCGACTTCGTCCCAAAAGAGCACGCCCACATACTCCAAAAGCCCATTCAACCAGCACCCTTCTTCCACGACCCCTCTGAAGGCCGATCTGGCGGTCCAACCACCAAACTCACAAACGGCACAAATCACGTCCTCCCAGAGCGTCGGCCGAGAGCTGGCACTCCGGACTCCCTGGACGACGTGCTGGGCCTCGAATTCCAGGATGAGCAAGACGACGCCTCCATGGCCGACTTCGTCGTCGATGATGACGGGGCCGGCTATGCACCCGCCGTCAACGGTCGCAGGAAACGTACAAACGGCCATCTCGGAGCCCTCGAAAGCACCGGCAAGCGTCGCGCCTACAGCTCCGCCCTCTTCCAGCCTCAACTTCACGAGTCTTTCCAACCCGGTGGAACCCCCTGGCGCGGCAACCGACGTCTCCTGTGCTGCAGCTTGGTCGGCTGGGTAGGCACCGTCTCTCAAGAAGGGCAGCACCACACCGTAGAAGTGAAGTTCTACGACGAGCATACACATCGCAACTTTCATTTTACCGATATCTTCCTGTATGACAAAGCCGCTCTGAACGAAAACGGTACCCTTTTCTCTTGCCAACCACGCGAGGGTAATCCAGCCATGATATACTACCGGCCTCATGAAACCTGGACCACGCGCACAGACTGGCGAACTAACCTCCCAGCTGGTGAATCCGTCACCGCAATCGCACTCTCAGACTCTTACGTCGTCGTCACAACGAGCACAAACTACATCCGCATCTACTCCCTCTTCGGCCTTCCCATTCGTGTCTACCGCGCCAAAGCCTCGCCCGCCGTCTCCTGCGCCGCGTGGCGCGACTACGTGCTCACTATCGGCAACGGGCCTGTCTCGGGAGACGGCAGCTGCCAACTGCTCTACACCATCGAGAACGTAAAGCGCGATGAGGTCTACCAATCCGAGGACATTGTCGCCCTCGCTCCAAACACAACGCTCATGTCCGTCTTCTTCTCGCCAGAAGGCGATCCATACATTTTCGACTCCTCCGGCGTCCTACTAACCCTCCTCCACTGGCGCACAAACGGCCAAGCGCGCTGGGTCCCCATGCTCGACACAAAATGCCTCGCCCGTCTCGCCTCGGGCGGCAAAGAGGAATGCTACTGGCCTGTCAGCGTCGCGCGCGATGCAGACGGCAAACCCGTCTTCCACTGCATGATCGTCAAGGGCAGCGAACGCTACCCGGCGAACCCCCCGCCCATGCTCAGCGAATTCCCGCTCGAAATCCCGCTCTCGTCCTCTATCGACAAATCTCGTAACCGCAAACAGAACGGCGACATAGACGGTATGTCCGACGATGAAGACGCTCCACGCAAGCCCGAAAACAAGCAACAAGACCACGAGCACGAGTACATCCTCGCTTCAACCCTCCACACGCAACTCTCGGACGCCCTATCCCATACGCGGCCCACAGCGCTCCAGAAACAAAACCTCATTGACCTGGAAGTGCGTATCGACAGGGCGCTGCTGCAGCTGCTGGGACTAGAGTGCCTAGTGGGAGAGGATAGGGGCATGAAGGCGCTGGAGATTGTGACGCTGATGCGAGATGCGAATGGCAAGATGCTGGATCTGGCGAGCAAGGTGGCGACGAGGTATAATAGGGAGATGCTGGCGGAGAAGATTAGGGAGTTGGCGGAGAGGAAGTTGATGGGGTTGGTAGATGAGGACGAGGACTTTTAGGTATTAACGGTAAGCCGGGCAGGGGCACTGCATTTTCCTGACGTTTGTGGGATGTCTCGCTTTGGGTAACGAAGGGACCTGTTGTAGCATGAGCGCGCAGTGAGAATTGAATTAAATCTGCAGGAGTCTCATTGAAAATTTTGTTCCGATGTTCTGATTTCTTTGTAGTCTCGACGTTCACGAGAAAAGAGGATCATCAGGTAGCAGGGTCGAATAGTCAATTTATTGGCTTAGCACCGCATTATTATCGACTAACAAAAGGGAAAGGTCAACTGCCCCAAAACGTCTCTGCCAGGAGACTCTCCTTGTACGCTTTGCAGTCCTACAAACTCCATCGCTGAATATTGCCAAAAGACCGTGTCCTCATCAAAGCAGTGCCAAATGAGAACACGCCCATTCAACAATACAGAACTGCATTTTCGTCACGCCGAAGCACCCTACCTTACACACCGCTTAGTACTCAGCCTCAACGCCCTCGTCACCTTCAAGGGAGTCGGCAGCAACCTCCTCGTAGTCGCGCTCCAGGGCAGCCAAGTCCTCACGGGCCTCAGAGAATTCACCCTCCTCCATACCCTCGCCCACGTACCAATGGACAAAGGCACGCTTCGAGTACATGAGGTCGAATTTGTGCGAGAGAGCAGACCAGGCCTCGGCGATAGCAGTTGTGTTGGACAGCATGCAGACGGCGCGGTTGACCTTGGCCAAGTCGCCGTTGGGGACGGTCTGCGGAGGCTGGTAGCAGATACCGATCTTGAAGCCAGTCGGGCACCAGTCGACGAACTGGATGGTGCGCTTGGTCTTGAGGTGGGCAATGGCAACGTGGGTGTCCTTGGGGACGACATCGCCACGATACAGCAGGCAGGTAGCCATGTACTTGCCGTTGCGCGGATCGCACTTGACCATCTGGTTGTTGGGCTCGAAGCAGGCGTTGGTGATCTCCATGACGGAGTTGGCCTCGTGAGCGGCCTTGGCGGCGGAGATCACGGGAGCATATGCAACCAAAGGGAAGTGGATTCGTGGGTACGGCACCAAGTTGGTCTGGAACTCGTTCAGATCGACGTTCAGGGAGCCATCGAAGCGGAGCGAGGCAGTAATGGAGGAGACGACTGCGACGTATTAGCAGAAGAAAAGGAACCGTGGCTCTTTGACATACCTTGAGCGATGAGGCGGTTCAGATTCTCATAGTTGGGACGCTCTATGCCCAAGTTCCGTCGGCAAATATCGTAGATAGCCTCGTTGTCGACCATGAAGCTGCAGTCCGAGTGCTCCAGGGTGGTGTGCGTGGTGAGAATCGAGTTGTATGGCTCGACAACCGAGGTGGCAACCTGCGGGGCAGGGTACACGCAGAACTCCAGCTTGCACTTCTTGCCGTAGTCAACCGACAGGCGCTCCATCAGCAGGGCTCCAAACCCGGAACCAGTTCCACCGCCAAAGGAGTGGAAAACGAGGAAACCCTGCAGTCCAGAGCAGTTGTCGGCCACGCGGCGAACCTTGTCCAGCACCTGGTCGATGAGCTCCTTGCCGACGGTGTAATGGCCACGGGCATAGTTGTTCGAGGCATCCTCCTTGCCAGTGATCATGTGCTCGGGGTGGAAGAGGGAGCGGTAGGGGCCGGTGCGGACCTCGTCGACGACATTGGGCTCGAGGTCGGCGTAGATGGTGCGGGGGACGTACTTGCCCTGGCCTGGAGAGTCGTCAGTGCGGCGTCCTCCTTATCGGAGGCGTAACATACCCGTTTCGGAGAAGAAAGTGCTGAAGCCCTGGTCGTTGTCGGCGGCTTTGCGCTCCTCGGTCAGATAGCCGTCGGGCTGCAGATGTCAGCGAGAGCTCTGATGTGGGCTGATACGAGGCCACCATACCTGGATGCCATGCTCGAGGCAGTAGAGCTGTGATTTGTCATGTTAGCAAAATGCCGCTGCCACCAAGGCACCCGCCAGCGGCCCCTCCTATCCGCATCTGGGGCGATGGAGGAGGCGACGCTGCGGACGGTCGGGCCAAACTCACCTCCCAGCACGAATTCGCGATCTGGCAACCGGCCTGGCCGACTAGACGCGTGCACCGTCAGTATCAACAAATAGCGCCAGGACGCGGCGGCAGAAGCGGTCAGGGCGCGCGTGGGCGCGTGGGGAGGGACGCACCGTTCAAGCTGATCACCTCTCTCATGGTGGATGGCGTGCGAGTAGAAATTGGGGTATCCGAATGGGTGTGCGGGAGCGGCAGCGTCTGCGTGCTTGTCGCGGGGCGGATGCAGTGGTGGAGGGGTGTGGTGTTGATGGGACTCGCCGCGAGCTTAAAAACTGCGGGCGACTGTCCGTAAACAGACGGGCGGTGGCCCGAGCGCCGCGCTAGAGCTCTCGAATGCTACTGCCTGGAGGAGCGGAGGAGCTCCCAGCGCCCACCACCCCCCACCCCGCAACCACACCCACAGCTCGCCCGGCATTGTCCAATGGGGCCCGTTGCTGCCCGCGCGAGAGAATGAAGTGCCTCCTGTCCCGTTGCCTGCCCGTTGACTGCGCTGCCCGCCGAAGATGCGTGCCATTGCCGCGCTGCTCTGCATCGTCACACACGCCTGGACGGTGAATGCCAACGTCGAGAAGACCATATTTGTCGCTCCGAGCCCCGTGGCCCTCCCCAATGTCCGCCCCGGCCTCGACGACCTGCGCCTAGACATCCTCGACGCGGCACACGCCCCGATACTGGCGACGAAGCTGGCCGTCCAGTTCCCCACCGAGCCGGCGCCGCGAGGGCTGGAATCCTGGTACATTCTGCGGAACCTACAGGAGGGCCGCAGGTACGAGGTCCGCATCTGCTGGCCGGCCACTGTGAGTTTGCCTATATTTGTCGTTGCTACACGTCTTTGTTTGCGCTTGACAACATTCGCTAAGCTCCAGCGCAGCAGCCGACCGACTTCTGGCTGGATACATATCCCCTCACTCACGTCCTGGACACGCCGAACCTCCTTTCGTCTCTCGCCGAATACAGCGAATTCCGGCAGGCTCTTGAGCTAGAACCCCCAGAGTCCTCCGAGGACGAGGTCACGCCAGAGTCTCAGTACATATTGTTCCTACGCATCCAGGCAGCAGCGTCCTACTATTCGACTAACCGCACATTGATGGACTATCCTCCGCTGGTGGACGCTGACATCATCCTTGACCCTTACACGCTCAACGTCCTTCCGCGATCTCTCGTGCCGACTGCCATCTACATCAGCATCGCCTCGGTTGCAGCTTGGTTTCTCTCAGGTTACATATACCGCTGGCTGCTCTCTGTTGCATTAGAGCGGCCATCCAAAGACCACGCCGAGTGACGAATAGCTACTCTGCGATGTCCCAGGCAGCCGGCGCACCTCCTCCCCCGCCACCGCCTCCCGGACCCAAGAAGAACTTTGATGACCTCCCTACCGAGCTATTGCTCAACATTATCAGATTTCTGCAGATCAACGACTATGTCAAGTTCACTTTGGCCATCTACCCTATTCTGGAATATCATGGCCTGGTTCCCCCGCTCACAGTCGACATCTTCCATCGGATCACGCGCCAGCAGCCGCCGACTCCCAACACTCGAGGCCCGGATGACAAAGGGTCGGGGTCAAACTTGGGCAGGCTTCCGGTGGAGCTGAATGACCAGATCATGGACTACCTAGAGCCGGCGGACCGTATTGCATACCTCTTCTCACACCGAGAGCTGTTCTGGAGGTACTTTCCCGCGCTGAGCGAGCAGACGAAACGGAGACTTTGGGATGCTATACAACGATCGAGGCCGAAGTGAAGGGCAGCTGGAGATTACCAAAGGAAAACGGCCCGAGCCTTCACCCCTGATGAGCCGACTTTGGATGCGGGAGACTGGGGGACTTCAGGACCCTGTGTATTGGTTGAGGGACCAAGACGAGCTTAATTTTGAATGAAGGAGCTTAACGGTCTTCAGGGTCCCGCGCACTGGCGGGATGAGTACGTAGGAGGAACCAAGACAGGACACTGCAGAAAAGCTCAAGCCTTTTCTCGCAATGAGATACAAGAACGAACTTTCAGACTTCCCCCAGCCTCCCTGATCCTCCGCTGTGACCCATAAAGGACATACTCGACTCCCGACCACAAACCTTCTCCATGTCAAACAGTACAACAAGGAAAACCCACCCAGAACGTCCTTCAACCACCCAAACACCAAGCAACCACCAAAGTCCCTAGCAAGATCTCCTTCCTACTCCACTTAACCCCCACACCACCCCTCATCACACCCCCAACTCGCCGTCAAATTGCTACTCAGCGTGACCTCCATCTCGGCATGCATCTGCCTCCCCTCCTCGTCCTCGACGCCACTAAAGTACCCCTCCTCCAGCATCTTCGCCACCAGCGCCCCAGTCCGCGCCTGAAACGCCCCGAAAGCCGCCCTCACGCCCGCAGCCAGCGCCTCTCTCTCCCCGCCCGAGCGCCGGTGGCGCGGAACCGTAAGCGTGACGGTCAGGTTGATCGAGCCGCCGCCACCGCCTGGAGAGGAGTTTGAGTTTGAACGCGGGAGAGTCGAGCGCCGACGATGATACGGATACGCAGCGGGGGCTTGAAGCACGCCAGGCTGCATGTTTGCCTTCTCCGCCGCTGCCGCCGCCGCAGCACCTGGCTTGAGCGTGGCGAGGCTGCCGATGAGCGCGACGATCCCGGCGAGCAGCCACAGGAGGAAGAAGGCGTAGATGGTGTATTTGCAGGTTTTGGCGCGGCGGTGCGTGGGGGCTTTGAGGGACGGAGGGGTGGGCGGCGGCGGGGAGGCGGAGGTGGAGGAGGACACGGACATTGGCGGCGGTGGGGTGGGCGCTGGAGTATGGGTGAGTATGGGTTTTGGTCTGGAGGGATTCAGGGTGCTATACCGTATGTATCTGGCCCAGAGGGCAACGTTAGAGGCGTGTGGGTTGGAGCGTTGCAGATCGCGGATGGGGCTGCTGAGTATGGTGTGCTGCTATTCGGAACGATGTTTGCGGGAAAGGGAGGGAAAGGAGGGCAGGAGCGGTCTGAGGGCAACGACGTCGCGCTACATGGCTGTTACTTCCTCAAGCTTTCGTCCTCAGGAAATGGCGAACCGACCGGACAGTTTGGCACCGATCTGGAGGTGATTCTTCGGGGTGGGGGAACCGCAACGAGTAACGGCCCGTGGAAAAGCTCGCCACCAGGGTTATCTGGAATGCCAAACAATACAGAGGGATGAGAGGGGCCCCATACTAGAAGATGTCTGAAGTGAGATAATAGACGAAGGACCAACCGACATATCAACGCCCAAAATGCATATAGATAGGAAGACTCCACTAGGCCCATCACGCCGCGCTATGCATATCAGACCCAAACAAAGCCCATGAACTTTTTACCAGCTCCTTGCCTCCACTGCTACCGCACTCCTGTAGTCCTCACTCGTTATCCTCCCTCGGAAACTCGTCCTCCAGCCCAATCGTGACCTTGACATTCATACTGCCCAGCTCCTGAATGAGCAGTTTCGCCGCATAGGGCATCGTCAGATGGCGTATATGCGCTTCGCTCTCGCACATCTTGCAGTACCCTAAGCTGCCCATCTGTCCGCACTTCTCGCACACATCGACCTGATGTGCATCTGAGGAGATCATCAGCCGCTCGAGCAGCAGCTGGGAAGCACCATACGCAATCAAGCAATCGCGCTCCATTTCTCCCAGGCGCAGGCCACCGTCTCGAGCACGGCCTTCGGTGGGCTGGCGTGTGAGGATAGCGCGCGGTCCGCGGGCGCGAGAGTGCATCTTGTCCTGCACCATGTGCTTGAGCTTCTGATAGTAGATGGGGCCGAAGAAGACGTAGAACTGCAGGGCCTCGCCCGTGATACCGGAGGTGAGATAGTCTTTGCCAGTATAGCTGAAGCCGTTACGGACGAGGATCTCAGCCATGTCTTCGACCTTGCTGCCTCCAAAGGCGGTGCCATACTCCAGAGTCCCGCGGAGGACGCCAGCCTTGCCTGATAGCAGCTCCATCATCTTGCCGACCGTCATTCGAGACGGGAAACCGTGGGGATTCATGATGATGTCCGGGCACACGCCCTGGTCATTGAACGGCATGTCCTCTTGAGGCGAAATAAGACCCACGACGCCCTTCTGACCATGGCGCGACGAGAACTTGTCGCCCAGCTCGGGTCTCCGTGTCTGCCGGAAAAGGAGCTTTATGAGAGTCGTGCCAGCCTCGTTCTCTGTGATGCAGGCTTTGTCGACGTATGAATGGTCGGGAAGCTTATGAGGAAGAGGAGTCGGCTTAGTCTGCCCTGTCGATGCGCTGGACGTGGTATCTACTGGCACGGATTTCATGAGGTAGTAGTCGCCCTGGTTCATCCGCGCCCCCACCTGTGCAATGCCATCATCGCCGATGCCTCTATACCTACGGTCGGTTCCATCGAGCGCAGCGGCGTTGACAGTATCCTGAGTCCCATTCGCGTACGACTTCAGCGGCGTGACGTGTTTCTTGAAGACCTGGCATCGTCCGAACCCCCGGTCGCAGGAGGCTTTATTAAGGACCAACGCATCCTCAATATCGTAACCAGAGTAGGACATGACAGCAACAGTGGCATTCTGGCCAGCCGGAAGTTTGTCGTACTTGGTGAGCTCGATAGTCCGAGTTTTCACCATGGGCTGCTGTGGGTATACCATCAGATACAGCAAGGTGTCTATCCTTGTGAACTGATTGTACGCTATGGCGCCGATTGCTTGTTTACCCATAGCGCACTGGTAGGTATTACGCGGCGACTGGTTATGATGAGGATACGGAATGAGACCGGCAACGGCACCCAGAATCGTGAACGGCTCTATCTCAAGGTGAGTTGTGTGAGGGCCGATTTCCTTCTCATAGATCGCAATGTTTGAATCGTTCTCCTCGTTGACATCTAGGTACTCCACGAGACCACGGGTGATGAAATCTTCGAAATCCATCGTGCCCTTCCGTAGCGCCTTAAGGTATCGTGCGGTGACTTTGGAGCGTCCGTTCTCCACCACAATCATGGGCCGGCAGATGCGGCCTTCGTCAGTAGCAATGTGCACTTCGTTGAAGTCGTGATTGATATGAATGCTCGTGAATTCGGAGATGCGGCCCATTCGTCTGAGCTTTCGGAAGCTATTCAGGAATCGTTTCGGGGTATCCGTGACCGCTATCGGAGTACCGTTGAGGCAAACAGCGTAGACACCTTCGGCGTGGATCTCCTCTCCAGTCTGAGAGCAGATATCTTCCGCACCCAGAAGGAAGACGATCCTCCGAACCGGCTCCTCGTCGTCCTCCGTGGTGATGTGCGTCATCAATGCAAGGTTCTTAACTAGACCGCACGCTTCACCTTCAGGAGTATCTGAGGTGCACAGCATGCCGAATTGGGAAGGCTGAAGGGCACGAGGGCCGGACACCTTCCGCGTCTTCTCGAACTGGCTCGTTATCCTCGTCATCATGCCGAGCGCTGCAATGTAGCTTAGCCTGCTTAGCACATGCGTAACCCCAGCTCGGTCCATCTTGAAACGCTTTAGGCTCCAGTTTCCGGTGGCTATCGCGCGCTCAATACCCAGCGTGATATGGTTCTTGTGTACACTGAAGTGGGAGAAGGCATCGAACTCTTGGGCGCGATTCTGCTTCTTGAGCACCTTGTCTATGCTCAGCTTGAAGTCATGGTTGAATCGCTTGAAGTGATCCTCAAAGAGAAGGGACAACATCTGGCCGGACAGCTCGAGACGCTTGTTGCCCACGTAATCGCGGTCGTCGACAAGCTTCGGGTCCTGCATCGCCATTAGAACCCTGCGCGCCATCAAGGCAACGTAGAGCGCCTTTGGCTTGAAGTTGGTGCCGTGGACGGGGACATGGGGAAGAATGACGGACGACAGGCACTCGATGGCCTCGAGGTGGTAGTTGCGCATGCGTGAGGTGCCCAACGGCTTCTTCGATAACCGCACGCGGTGGCCGATATACTCTAGAGCCTTTTCCTGCGTATGGATCCCTTCCCTTCCGCAAGCCTCAAAGTTGATAGCAAAGTTATCCTGGTATGCGCTGTCCTCGCCCGCCACCATGAGCAGGATCTCCTTGTCGGAATGCACACCCAGCGCCTTCAGAACGAACACGATAGGTACTTCTTCCGACAAGGTGTTATGCCGCAGGAACATAAGGCCCTTCTTCTGAATGACGTACGTCTTCGTTCTCCTCTCGTGCGTCGAGCTGGTGACGCTCGCCTGCATGATGCCCTTTGCGGTCTCGACAATAACACGGTTCTTGTTGAGCTGCTCTTGTACCAGGATCACCTTCTCCTGTCCTCGCGTGATGAAATAGCCGCCCGGGTCTAGCGGACACTCGTCCATGCAAGCCATTTCGCGGTCATTCTTGCCTGCAAGCACGCACTTGTTGCTCTTCAACATGATCGGCATGCGCCCAATCTTGACGCCCGTCCGCTTGATTTTTGTGTTCCCTCTCGTGTATACAATGTCGACGACGATGGGCGCGGCGTAGGTCATGTCGCGAAGACGGCATTCGTTCGGCGTGACGGTGCTTCGGAGCTCCTGGACGTCGTCTTCTTCCGCGCGGTTCGGCGACAGGACTCGGATGTCTGTGTATTCGAGCAGGAACTTGGGATCGAAGTCGCTCCTCACAAACCTATTCGCCTTGATAATCTTCTTGAGCTCGACGTCGACGAAGTGGTTGTACGAGTCGACATGCTGCTTTACCAGGCCCTTCACCTTCAGGAATGCCGGCAGCAGATTCCATTTGTCCTCGGCCGTGTTGATTGGATCTGTCAGCGACTTGCCATAGTAGAACGGCTCCAGCATAGCAGCGAATTCATCTTTGGCGCTGCTGTTGAGTGGCGCCTTCTGCCGTCGCGTCTTGTCTGCCGGCGGATGCGCCGCGTCGGGCGCTGAAGTCCGAGTTTCGGGGGCGACATCTTCCGCCAGCGCTCGCCTTCCTTCCTCTTGCGCGGCACCGCCAGCTGTATCATTGTCGGCGATCTCTACTGGAGCTTGTGCAGCTTGCGCAGCTTTCGCCTTCGCCCCGCGCGGGGCGGCTCTGGGTTTCGGCTTCGGGGGCTCCTGTGGGTTTGTCAGTTGGGACTGAAAGCCGGTGGGGAGCGATGGGCAGCAACCTTCTTGCCCACCATGTCTGCGACCGCCGGCCAGAGAGATTGGTGGTTGTTGCCGGTTTGGTGCGAGTGGTTCTTCAACCTTGGAAGTCCGAAATATTTTAGCGTCGCCGCAGCTGCTGCGAGTCAGAGTTTGGGTGGGGAACCAATCGGTCGCTTGCGGCGGGCTCACCCTTTACTCAAGGTGAGTGACCGCGCCGTTGTCACTTCTACCATACTGTTTCTGAAGAGCATTTTCACCTGCATTTGCGGGGTCGGACAATATCCCAATAAGTAGTCAATTGAAGCTCTACCAGTGCAAGGCGCTCCAGGGTCCACCAACGCCAGCTGCACCACGCCGCCCGTAGAAAGCAATTTTCGCCATTGAATGCCATATCATACAATTCAACTTTTCAGATCGCCAGATCACCTTGCCTATAGGCCTGCAGATATGCGCATCTGTTACGCCCGTTCCATCAACTAGGCCAGCCCGTCAAGCATGAAGACCAAACGTCAGAGTAGGTAGCAGGACGCTTCTACTAGAAGGCCGCTCCACCAACCTCGCTCTCCCCGTTCAGGGACCTCAATTGCTGCTCAGCGAGTTCAGCGCGCAATGCAGCGTTATTGGCATCCCTCTCCAAAGTATCCCACTCTTTGAGATGTTGCCGCTTAGCTGCCTCCTTCTGCTCAATCATCTCCCGCAGCTTGCGCGCCTCATCTTCGAGCTTGAGGATTTTGCTCTTGTCGTACAACTCCGGAGCTTTCTGTCCACCAGGAACTTCCTTTGGCAGGTCCGCGAGATGGTCACGGAAACGCTGCGTTCGCGGGTACGTTGTGGAAGTGCTGTTGCTCGACCCACGGAAGGGTGGAGCAAAAGGAGTCGGTCCAGGCGCGGAGCCGCGAGGCCCAGAAGGCGGGCCACCGTAAAAGCCGCCTCCACCTCGTCCTCCCCATGCCGCAGAGCCTCGACGAGGCGGAGGACCAGAGAAGTCACGGGGCGCATCGTATCCAAACCCACCACGGCCACCACCCCGGGGGCGAGTCGGAGCGGCAAGCACAGGATTGCTTGCACGCGAGAACGCAGGCCCTTGCGGAGTTGAGCTCGAAGGACCAGCAGGCGGCGAGATAGCCGGGGAAGGATAGGTGCGATTTGATGGGCCCGTGGGTGGAGCTCTTGAATAGCTGCTGTCTCCATTGCGATACAAGGATGACGGCCCACTCGGCGGAGCGAAGTCTCGGTCTCTGTCGACGCGTGGTCCCGTGGGCGGGGTGTCTCGATGGCGCGGAGGAGACCGCTCACGCTCTCGGGTGTATTCTCGGTCGTGGAATGGCGAACGCTCGCGGTACGGAGACCGAGGTGCTGAGACTGGCTCTCTCAGCGGTCTATCGTCCGTAACAAGCGCAGCCCTGCTTGGATGGATTGGTGGCGGCGACGAACGGCGCGAGGTCGCTGCAGACTCCCTGCCAGACGCATCATTCGACGCATATGGTTGCCTGACCGGCGAAGGCGATCTTCGTCGCCAGGTGTCTGCTACGAATGGCGCCGGACGTTCCCGTCTCGGAGAGGGTGAGCGCCGACGATAATCTCTGCTGTCGCGGGCTGGGGAGTACTGGCGGTAGGGACTCCAAGATGTTAGCTATGAAACTAGAGCCTACAGCCACATGCAGCTTACCTATGAGCACGGGAGCGTGGCTCTTCATATCGGCTCGAGCGAGGTGGTGACCGTACTCCGCGACTCCTCGCCGGAGAGGGATCCCGCTCCCTAGGCGGCGGAGACCTGTCACGGCGCGGCGAGCGTGTATAGGAGTCATACTCACGACGCGGCGGCGGCGACCTGCCACGGTCACTGCGGTAACCATCCCTTCGAGGAGAGTATCCGCGGCGCGGCGGTGATCGCGGCCTGGCCCTCCAACGGTCCTCATCGCGTCTCGGGCTGCGAGACCTCCTGCGATAGGCCGGCGATCGGCTTCGCGGTCGAGAAGAGCGATTTGCGGGTGTGTACGTGTCCGCACTCAGCGGGACGCGACGGGGTGGTGAGCGAGTCGAGCGGTAGCTGTCAACGCGAGGGCCAGGAGAGCGAGGCCGGTATGTGTTCGAATACCTGTCGTCTCTATGCGCCATGTTAGCAGTGTACGATAGGTGAAGCCATCCAGTGAGCGACAAGAGGCAGCACGGCTTCGTGCTGAAACATATCAAAGGCTTGGGTGCGACAAACCTCCGCTCTCGATCTCGGTCTCTATCTCGGTCTCGATCTCTGTCCCTGTCCATGGCTGCGACGGCCAAAGGTGTTAGCCTTCTGCTAGAAGCGCGTAAACAATAGAGAGCGAGCTGTTGTGGGGTGCGGTGATAGAAGGAGGGACGCGGGCGTGGTCGGGTTGTCAAGCTGTCTGCGTCTGAGGGCGCAAAAAGTGAAGTTCGAGCCAAGACCAAGCCCGGACGCGAAAAGTCTTGCACGTGACCGCAGTCCTCCTAATCTTGGCTCGACCCAGCTCAGCGAGCCCTGCCGACCTTGCATTACGCCCGGCCAGGACTCGCCCAAGCTATCCATGTTACACGGAGCTTCATGCCCTTAGCGACGGATGGAATCGTGCATTCCAACGGAAAGACTCAGGATGGTTCAGGTCAGGCCTTCGAGACTTGTGGAGGGTTCTTGCAACGCCCATCTGCAATCTTCTTTCATGCCAGTCACCAGTCACTGTAGCAACGCCTTGTTGTCCACCATCTTATCGACCCATTGGATCCGACAGCTGCCCTCGCAAGTGAGAGATCTTGATCTTCATTGCATTTGCACCATCGCTGGGTATGCGCACCATCCCGCCGCCCTAGTTTATGCGCCGCGCAGATGCCCGTGTGACCCACCGTGACTGTTGAACGCCCACTAAGCCGTGCCCCACAAGACTCCCGTGCAAATTCCACGCCAGTATCTTTACAAAATCTTTACAAGCCGCTCGGTTCTTGTTCCTTCACCCGCTGATCGTGTGAGTATCAGTCTTGCAGACCCATCAGCGCCTACTACGCTCCTCCCTCTTCTGCCGCTTACGAGACTCGTCGGCGATCATTTGAGACAAATCATCTTGATCAATGCTCTGCCACTGCCCCTGCATCTCCGCCTTCCTCTGTGCCTCGTATTGCTTCCTCAATGTCTCCTTATCCAACTTATCAGTCTCCAAAGCATCCACATCAACGGAGACATCAATGTCACCAGCCTTACGCTTTCGCTGATTGCTGTCGCCGAACGTGTCGCGCCGGGCAGCATCGAGATCGTACGCATGTTCGCCGCCGAAGAAACCTGATGCCTGGATATTCTTCTCTGGCAGAACCTGGTACGCGGTACGAGGGGCACCAGGCTCTTCGGTCTCGATTCCTTTACGCTGTTTGCGCAAGGTGAACTCGCCACCGATGGTTTCCGTTCCCCCAATCTCGGACGGAAGAGCAGAAGCCGTCGTCATGGAAGTCTGGATACCTGTCACATCCTCGGCGCCGTCCTGCTCTTCTTCCTCCTCGTCCTCCTCTTCTTCGTCACTCTCTTCCTCATCACTCTCCCCTTCAGCTCGCAAGATACCCCAGATAGACCGCTCCACTGGTTCGCCGTGCTGCGTGGGAGCCTGGTGCTCCTGGAGTATGCCTTGGCCAAGAGGATCTCCTCCCCACATTGGGCGATGAGTGGAGTCATCGACTGGCGGTCTGCCCCACTGGCCTGGGGTGAAGCCCCATGACGCGCCTGGAGGTATGGGGGCGTTGACACCGGGGATTTTCAGGTTCGGGTACGATGGCGGAGGTCCGAAGCGTTGCTGATTGATGAGCCACGGTGGTGGATGTCCAGGCGCCATACCTAGGGCATCCTTCAGTTCCTCACTCAAAACACCAGGCTTGAGATGGACCAAGTTTGTCTCGAGTTCTTTGCCCTCATAGTACACCTCGCCGTAGCGCGTGAGTTCGGGCTTTGTCTGGCGGCGAAAGAAGGCGTCGTAAAGCTTGCCATAATCGATATCGAGCTTGCCAATCTTGCCTTGTACGCGCTCGCGCTGCTTTTGCTTCAGCGTCATCTCGGCTTGCTTCTCTAGCACGGCGTCTCTCATCTCTGAGATGCCGGTCTCTTGGATGAACTTTGGCAATGCAAACGGGGGCTTCTCAATACCGCGCTTAGACGATAAGTATTCGCGCTTGAGAGACCAGTGGTTCGGGACGGGGACAACATTCTTGTAGCCCTTGATCTCTACCAGCAAACGCGGGTCCGAAGATGACACGTCCGTCCACTCGACCAGTTCTGGCTTCTTGACCATCGACTTCAGCTGAGCCACCGACAGTTTGTTCATCTGCTTCCTGGCCTTCTTGGAGATCTTCGGCGTGGAGTCGTCCTCCTCATCGGGAATGTCATCCTCTTCATAGAAGATCTCTGGCTTGTCGTCCTCCTTCGCAGTTTCCTCTTCAGTGCGCTCCCGGAATTTCTCGAAGACGTTCTTGTATTGCTCGAAGAGAGGATTGTCGAGGTCATATTGATTGGAGATATCGTCCACGTCCAGCAGATCCGCGGGCCGGACCGCCTGTTCATCGTTATTTGCCTTGTCGTCTGGAGCAGGAGATACGCTCTCACGCGCAGAGTCACCGGCTTCTGATGGGGTCTCCTGCACTTTCATTAGTGTCTCCAGACTACGGTGACGGGCAGGAAGTCTTACGGCGCGCTTTGACTTCTTCTTGGCTCGGCGGTAGGCGTTCTTTGATGCCTTCTTTGCGCTGTTCGCCGCAGTTCCAGACATAGTTGCGGTCTGTTGCCGTCCGCGGCAGCACGATCAGTCGGAGGTTGCGGTTCCTACAAGTTAGGTGGACCGACGAAAGACTCGCGAACCGCACAGCGTGGCAGCGCTGGCGGCGAAAGTCAATGCAGGACCGTTACTAACCTTCGAAAAGCTGTTGTGGCTGTTTGAGAGATTGCGGCGTTGAGAGGAAGTTGGAGGAGCAGGTGAGGTCGAGTCGCTGAAGTTTCGGGAAGTTGTTGGCTTGGCACTTTAGCGCAAGTCGCACGTGACTGGTGCCTTCCTAGACCGGCAATTCTAACACGCTTTCACTGGATCCTTGTGGCATGAATCCAAGGGGGGGCCCCCAGGCTGTATGAATTAGACTATCTACAGTGGTAGAAGTCAAATGCTCCTAGCTTACAGTCGTCAAAGCTAGAACCCGCCCAAGCCTGTTGCGTACAGCCAGCTTCTATGATCTATCATTGTCATCGAACTTTGCCGACCAGAATCCCCTGTAGTGCTTCTGTTGCCCAAGATCATTGATCTGCTTGATCTCGGCCGGCGTAAGCTTAAAAGTAGCAGCCCGCAAATAATCAGACAACCTTTGCTCCTTGCTGCTCGTGGTAATGGGGACGACGTCCTGATCGATGCACCACCTGAGCGATATCTCTCCTTCGCTGACCGCATACTTCTTGGACAAGGCAGCCATGAAGTCGTCGATGGGGCCGGGCTTCGCCTTGGTAACTGCCGAGAGAGGCCCGTACGCTGTGGTCGCAATGCCGTGCTTCTTGTGGTATTCGAGCAGATCGACGCTCTGAAGGTAGGGATGGAACTCAATCTGGTTGCAGACTGGCACTACCTTGGCAGTTTTGAGGGTGGCGTCGAGATTCTTTGGGGAGTAGTTCGAGACTCCGATCGACTTTGTCAGGCCGGCCTCTTTAACTTTCTCCATGGCTGTCCATGCTTGCTGCAATTCCTCGTCTGTCTTGGCCCAGAAGGGGCTGTGGATGAGGTATCTGCCTTGCTTAGTCATGTGTTCAAGACGCCGTGAAGAATGCGGACATACAGGTCAACGTAGTCCAACTGGAGCTTCTTCAAGCTAGCCTTCAGAGCGCCCTCAATGTCGCCGATGTTGTTGTTGACTTTGGTGACCACGTAGAGCTTCTCTCGAGGAACCCCGCTCTCCTTGATGGCTATTCCTAATTCGGGCTCCGTCTTGTACACTACACAGAGAGTCAGCCATGAGGTCACAAGTGGTCATGTAGATACTGACTCTCTGCTCCATCAAGATGGGTATATCCAAGCTTGATGGCCATCTTTACGCCGTCGATGACGCCCTGGTCGATCTTGCTTTCCTCTCCGCTTTTGTACCAAGCAGTCCCGGTTCCATAACCAAGCATAGGCATTGACGCTCCATCATTGAGCTTCAGCGACGGAATTGGTGTGTTAATATTCGCCATGCTTGAGTACGCGCTTCTCAATCGGCTAAGAGAGGGGTGTGTAAGTAAGTGCCGGTGAGAAGGAAACTAGATCTTAGTGCAGGAAAATAAGGGTGCAATTCGTGGCAGGGTCTTGAACATAAAGCGAGGAACTTCTGGAAATATCAATTTGATGGCAAGCCGGCTGTGGAGAATTTAAAGGAACTGGGGACACAATGGCATAATGTTCACTAAGCAGCCCCTCGCGGAATGGACGCCAAAGGTGGGGTTTACTGGTGACGTTATCGTATTTGAGGGGAGGCAGTCGCATCCGCAGGCGATACTTCAAGCAGCGCCGACGGTGCGCGAGAGTTATCAACCATTATCGTTCCCAAATTACTTTGTACGGCATATAAGCTGACTGGTCCTGTGAGCTTCGATTGGTGCAAGAGCAACTTCAGCCATGCACCGAAGCATGCTCATGCACACCTGAGAGCTTCGCATGCACCTCGTGGCAACACTAGGGCACGCATAGATGATTTCTGACGCATTGATTGCTGTTGGTATCCTACACGAAAGCAAGACAGGCAGATGGTGCTCCCACTCTTCCATTCCCCTCCCATTCTAGGTTGTACACGAAGACTCGCACAGGCTGCCGCACTCTCCACTTTCAGCGCGCCGCAGATATTAGTGAAAAACACAACAGAGAAATGAAATGAGTGGGTGCAAGGTCAGGTTGAACGCGAATGGCAAGCCCTAGAGAGCTGTGCCCATCGTGGCGCCTGTGCTGTTTTGAACTTTTCTTTCTATTAGAGGACGAGGGCCCTCGTGCTGCATCTCCGCATCGACATAAATATCATTAGATTACTTTGGATACAAAGCGACTCTATGCGCTCTTCTCGTGCTGTGTCGAGACACGTTGTAATGAGACAACTAGGAATTATGTTAGTTACCGATCTATCGGGGCGCGAACATGGGAAATGCTTACCGAAGTCTTCAAGTGACCTCTGCTTCTGGTCCTTCTTAGGAGACTTGCCGTGCATGAGGTTGTCGAAGCCCTGGCTACCCTGGAGGAGGTAGTAGAGACCGCCCAAGACGCAGAAGACACCGAAAGAGAAGATCCAGATACGGACAACAGCAACAATACTGGTCTGGCCGCCGACGAACCAACCGAAGAGACAGAAGAAGGTGGCAATGACGTCGACAATAAGAATGGCGCCAGAGAGCTGCCAAGACGGGATGGACGACCAGAAGGGGCCGTTGGCACGGGTGATGAAGATGAGCCAATTCTCGGTGAGGGAGATCTCCAGGAAGAGAACCTCATCGCGGACACCAAAGTTCTGGACGATACCACCGCTGATACCCTGACCGGCAGCGTTGGGAAGATCCTGGTAGGGAAACATGGTGGTGAGAGTGATCCAGGTGCCGATAGCGAGAACAACACCGAGAAGGACAGACATACCCCAAAGCTTGGGCAGATTCCACTTGACTGGAGTCTTGCTGAAGGGAGCGTTGTCGTAGGCGATGGCGAGGGTAGCAATGTCAGCAAAAATGGCGATGAAGACAACGAGCTCCAGGTTGAGGGAGGTGTTAAGAATGGCGATCCATAGGCCCAAGAAGATCTCAAGATGGAGAGACAGGGCAATACGGTAGACAACGTACGCGTACATGCGGTGGAAAATCTGGCGAGAGGTCTTGAGAGCGTCGATGATGGCAGAGAGACCGGGGGCCAGGAAGACGATATCGGCTGCGGAACGAGCGGCGTCGGAGGCACCCTCGACAGCAATACCGGTATCTGCCTTCTTCAGCGAAGGAGCATCGTTGACACCGTCACCAGTCATGGCAACGAGGTAGCCACGCTGTTGCAGAATCTCGACAACGTTGTACTTGTGTTGCGGGAAGACCTCGGCGAAACCATCGGCAGCCTCGACGAAATCGTAGACTTCAGAACCAGGCATCTCACCGCCACCACCGAGACCAAGACGCTCAGCATTGTAGACGTTGGTACCAAGACCGAGCTGACGAGAAGTCTCACGAGCAATACCGACGGCATCACCAGTCAACATCTTAATGGACAAACCGAGAGTCTTGGCCTCGTTGATGGTGCGGGCAGTGTCATGGCGGGGCGGGTCAGAGCAGGGCATAATGCCGAGGATCTCCCAGGCGTTGTTACCTCGCTTGCGAGCGACACCGAGGGAACGGAAACCACGAGTAGCGAACTCGGCGACCTTGTTCTTGTACGCCTCATCGACGGCCTCGGGGATGGGGTGGTCCTCTTCGACAGTGCGGAGCACGAAAAGCGGGGCACCCTTGACGCAGATGATGCGCTCGCCCTGGGGAGACTCGACGACAGCCTGCACCTTCTTGGAGACGGGGTCGAAGGGGTGGAAATCGATGACCTTGTACTTGCTGAGGACGGACTTTGCGCGAGGGTAGTACTTGAGCGACTTCAGGAAAGCCTTGTCGATGGCATCGATACCCTTCTTCTTGCGAGAAGCGGCCAAGCAAGCAGTAAGCATGAGATCCTCGGGCTCGACACCGGCGACAGTGTAGGGCTCAGCGAGAGACAGCTTGTTCTTGGTAAGGGTACCCGTCTTGTCCGAGCAGAGAATCTCGACACCAGCAAGCGACTCGATAGCGCTGAGTTTCTGGACGATGGCCTGCTTCTTCGCGAGGTAGGCGGCACCGACAGCCATGGTGGTGGTGACGACGGCAGGAAGACCGACAGGCACACCAATAATGGTGATGGCGAGGGTGAACTCGAGGATGTGGACGATGTGATTGGAGCGGTAGAAGGAGCTGATCCAGACAATCAAGAGAGTGAGGATGACCAAGATCAGGAGGACGGTACCAATGCCGTTGAGCACCTCGGTAAAGTGGCCAGTTCCGCTGGAGGCGCTGGCGACGAGCGAGGCGGCGCGACCGACGAAGGTGGAGTCACCAGTGGCAGTGATAACAACGAAAGCCTCACCACGCTTGACAGCAGAGGAGGCGTAGCAGACATCACCCTTGTGCTTGTCGACAGCGAGAGACTCGCCAGTGATGGCGGACTGATCGACCTGGAGGAATGCATCTTCGGTGACGATGCGGCCGTCGGCGGGGATGATGGTACCTTCTTCGACCTGGAGGATGTCACCGGGCACGACCTCGGGAGCCTCCACCTCGGTGAGGGCGCCGTCACGGAGAACGGTGGCCTTGAGAGCGAGCGTCTTCTTCAATTCGGCAACAATGGAACCGGCCTGGAATTCCTGGATGAAACCAACGCAGGCGTTGAGCAAAAGCAGGGCGCAGATGACACCGAAGTCGACCCAATCCTGGAGACCGGCAGCGAGCACGGCGGCGGCCTCCATGACGAACTGGATGGGGCCGACGAAGAACATCATAAACTTGAGAATCAGGTTTTCCTTCTCCTCTGCGCTGCAGTTAGCGTCGCGAAACGGAAGAGCGCAAAAGGTCACACATACCTTTCATCTGGTTCAGGCCGTACTTCTTCCGACGCGACTGGACCTCGTTGGTTGTGAGACCTAGGCGGGTGTCGGTCTGCAGAAGCTCCTCGGGAACGACACGGGCGCCGCCGGGCTGCGCGACCTCGTCCTCCTCGTAGTCAATGGCGGCATCCTGCGACTCGAGCTCCTCGATCAGAGCGTCGATGTCCTCGTCGTCTTCGTCCTCCTCGAGCCCGTCCTTGGCGGGCGGCATGCTCTTCTCGTTGTCGTACTCCTTGTTCTTCTCGTCCTGCAGCGCGCCCGTTAGCAAGCCGTCGCGGCCAATTGGCGGGCGGGGGGGGGGCACTCACGAGTCCGCCGCTGGGGACATTGGTGCCAAGGTGGTTCGGCGGCGTGGCGCCGGTGTTCTGCATGGGTCAGCGTCGCTGCGAGGAAAAAGCAGAGCTTGCCGTCGCTTACCTCGGCCATTGTGCAGCTAGCGATAGTTGTCTGCGTCGCAGGCGGCGGGATATGGATGGCGGGGGAGGACTGGCGGCGGGCGCGCGTTTTGTATTGGGGGTGCGAGAATTAAAGTCTGGCAGCGACAATGGTGAGCGAGGCAATTGTTGTGGTAATTTTACTGTTGGGACGAGAGTGGCCAGTGCGCAAGCTCTGGGCTGCCGTCACCGGGGCTGCCGTCACCGGGGCCGCGCTGGCGAGCTTCGAGCTTGCCGACCGGCGGCACCAGGCACCACTGCCTGATGCCAGCGGGAATGTGCGCGGCGACGGCGCGGCCCAGGGCGGTGGGCGACGTACCTGAGGAGCAATTGAGCACGCAGACCCAGCCGCGGAGCGCAATTGAGTCTGTCTCGCCGTCGAGGGAGCAGGCGGGTGGGCGGCGGAGGCGGGAGAGGTGAGGACGAGGTCGATGGGGGCAACTCTCTGCTGGACGAGCCTGCGGGCGGGCAGCTCCTTAAGAAGCGCTCCTCGGCGTGCACAAGACGGCACTAGCGCCTGTGGCCTCAGCGACCACTGACAGGGCGGCCAACCGGCGTGGGTAGGGAAAGCCTATCTGGGGGCAGCGGTGGCCGAATCCCGCGCAGCTTGATCGGCCAGCATGTCCCCTCACAGACGCGCTTTTCCTGCCCGAAAACGCTGCGCCCGCGCCGCACACGCCCGCCCGCCGCGGCCTGATGGCGCAGGCCGAACCCAGACTGTGTCAATTGCCCTTCACGATGCCCCAGATCGCGCCGCTTGGCCGTGCCAGACCCCGTCTCTGCCTGTCTCCAAACCGCCGCCGTGTGCCCATCGCATCTGCTGCTCCCATGCCGCTATCGACCGGGGTAGCTGGCGCTCGGACGCTGCGGGTGCTAGCCTCTGCGCACCCTTTCACGCCTCGCACCCCGTCTCCACGACGACAGCAGGGCCGCCCACGACGCTGTGCTAATGAAACGCTCGCTCGTCCGCGCGGGCTTTCCCGCGGCGAGCGCTGCGGGTTCTCAGAGGTTCGCGCGAGCAGCAGCCGACACCGGTGGAAAATTTCTTAAAAAGCGCATTTCGCGCGCCCTCCACATGCGCGAATTTCCTTCTCGCAGTCGTCGTCTGGAACCGTGCCAGCGGTGAGCTGGCGCCGGCATTCCTTTGAGCCTCGCGCGCCCGGCCTTTCCGGGACGAGAGCAATACATGAAGACAAGAGCGCGATTTTTCCTTGTGCCACCTTGGCTTCGGGGAAAATGCTCGCTGCAAAACATCGACAGCAGTGTTTCGAATCAACACCCATGGATGCTGAAACTTTCGGAGCTTCACCCCCGTGATCGGCGGCCTGCCTTGGGGAAACGTTTCTGCGGCTCTATCGACATGGATGCCGGCCTGGAGTGCCTCACGAGTGTGCGGAACCAAGCCCTGCCCGCCGCCGCGCGCAATCGCCTTGTCTGAATGCTTCACGGACACGGACACGGGCCCTGCTTTCCCTGCTGTTGTGCTCAACACCCTTGAGCTCCTCCTTCTCCGGCACAAGTCCTACCGCCAAGCACGCGCAGTACAGCAGCGCAGTACAGCAGCGCGGGGGATTTGCATGCACGCCAAAGACAGAGTCCCGGGTTAGCCTCGGAACCGTGCAATTGCTTGTCGTCGAGGCTCATTCTGGGTGTATCTAGATGGAAATGGCTATCTGGCTTGGGGTCTGGTCGTCTCTTGTCGAGCTCTTGGGCCCTGGGACCCCCACAGCGACCAGAGCCTGTGCAGAAATTTTATGCACGACCAGCGCCCGTTCGTTCGCGCCAGCAACGCTCTGATCCATGCACATCAATCCGAAGCGGCGGCCAAGCCCTTGGCGGACGCTTATGCACCCCTCCGCAGCCAATCACCCGCCTCCGGTTTCAAGAACCATGACATCGACGGCTTGCGGGGATATGCAGCCGAGCCTTTCTCATCGGCGTGACGTCCTCAGCCAGCCTTTGCCGCGCCCATGCTGCCAGCGGGCCCGATACAGTGCGCACCATACGCGGTCGGACGGTGATGGCATCGACCAGCGACCGATCCCAACATGTTGGAGGGCTGCCATCAATAAACAGGACCTCTGGGACAAGAGTCGCCGGCGCCGTCTTGGTCCCCGACAACTGCCCGGATGAGGGCCAGCCACCTATCACAAACACGGGCCCGCCGCGGCACCAATCAGAGCATGCCCACAAATCTCTCGAGAAAAGGACGCATGCCGCGCCAGGATGTGCCGGTGCTGGGAAGCTTGTCCTTCCCTCTTCGGGCTCGGCGCCCGGCGATCGGTGCTCGGCTGCAGCAGAGATAAGCGACTCGTGGTGCTCCCTAAACGCCCGACTCGCAGCACCAGCACGGCTCTCTCTGAGACGCGACGAAGCCGTTGTTGGAAGGTTACTCTTCCTTGATTGTGTTACGACGAGCACCATCTCGGCCTCTGTCTTCGCGTTCGAAAGCATCGCACTGAAGGGTCGGCTGCTCATTTCCGAGGCATGGGATACCGAAAGGGGAAGACCGCACCAAGCGCAAATGACAAATGACCCATCACACTCGACTACGGGAGCGTCCCCATAGCGAAACTCGGCCGACCACAAGGCGCAAATTCGCAATTTGCTCTCCTAGTCAGGGCTCATCTTACCAAAGCAGAGGCTCCCTCGTATTCACCGGTCGTGAAGAGCGTTGGCGGACCGTCATTTACGACATCACAACAACAAACAACGCGTCACCTCGAATTGGACGCGTCCATGGGATCTGTCATTGAAAATAGAAAGACTGCTACCCCCAAAATGAGTCAACCTCCTAGACACCGCCAAGGACTTCTATGACGATTTGCGCTTTCAATATTTCCTTTGTAGTCTCCTTTCCGAAAGCAGTTCTGTATTGCGATTCTTTTTCCGGGGCTACCGTTTTGCGGAGGCTTCTTCGTCATGCTCCCTCGCGTACGACTGTCAGATTGTACAGTCATTTCTTTTTACTCCCACGGTCAAGCTCAACGCGGAATCTACTTGATAACGAGCCGAGCGCGAGTATTTTCAGAGTCGGCTTCTTTGACGGCGCTTACTCTTCTAGCAGGTAAGACTACGCATGCCTTCATCCAGAAGGGAAATCAATACGGCTATGCCTCAACGGCCTTGCACCATGCCCGGAAGACTACATGAACGTCAGGGAAGCTTTGACGAAGATTGGGTCTACTCTTGGCTACACAGTCAAGCGCTGGAACCTCGAGATTGCCAACAGCCTGGAAATGTCGCAGTCTTCCGTCTCAACCAGGATTCACTACATGATTTCCGAATGCGACAGGGTTGCGCAGGAATGAGGCTCTTTCCGTTTTGCAACCTTGCCACAACGCGCCCTCTTTCATCCATGGTCATCCTCCTTCGATTCGGTGTGGATCCGACTGTAACTCGTCCCTTTCTTGGCAGCGCACTCTCTTCTACGCGCCGGAAGCACTTTCCTACACCTTGGCGTGCCACCCTCATGCTTCGGGTCGAACCGCTCATCAGCCAGGGACTGTATCAGCATTGTCGGAAGTTTTGTCGATCATCCGTCGAAGGATTCTAGAAGGCCATGTCAGAGCCGGCATATGGTTTTGGGGCGGCGGAGTATGGTACTGGATTGCGGAGTGGTCTGCCAAGGGCGATGAAGCATTTCGCTCCGCACTTGTTGTTGCAACCCCTCCTTGGCACCGCCAACCACCTATCTCGCTCAAACGTCATATCGCGCGGCATCTCTGGAATAACAGCCTGGAAGCTGGACTGCTTACCAAACGTCGTGGAGCAAACTCCGCGCCTACGCACGTACTTCTCCGCTTTTCCACGACTTAGGTCGCACATCTTGGCGGGTTTGGCAGCTTTATACACGATAGCTGGGCAACGTTTCCGACCACCTTGGCGCCTCGAGCTCGGCGCTTTGCTAATTTTGACTGTAGGTGCGCGATTTTGTCGATTATACGAGCCTTTTCCCTGAATTTCCCACGGACAGATGGAAAGCCCGTGCCCTCGCTGTGTGCCTCCTTGGACTGATAGTATTCGTGGTTATCGAAGTACGACGAGCCGCGGCACTCTATCGTTGGATTGAGGGCATTTGTTAAGGCCACCGCCAATGCTACGCTCGCTGCGCGTGACCGCTTGCTTCTTCCGGCCGCGGGTCTTGCGATGCTCTATTACTCTCTGCATAGTTATTTCCCGGCTTAGATCCCCACGACCGAGCTTTATACGAATATGGAGTCGATAGCGTTCAGATGAGGGGTAGGGTATCGCTTTGGATCCCTTTCCCTAGATGCAACTTCGACTTTCGAGTATGTGGGGCGGTCGTTGTGTACCCGCACCGTGGTCTACACAGAGCGGTAACCTGCACAGGCTGAGGGCTCTCCCTTCACTACGAACGGTGAAGATCGAATAGATTCCGAAGAGACTATACACTAAGGCAGTCCCGAAGGTGCTGCTAGGTTTGTAGCGATCTGGAAAACAGCGTATTGAGGCCGATTAAAGATCGAGAAAATGACGCCTGGAACCTCGAAAAAAAGTATTGCAAGTGTCCTCCAATCGCTATGCATGCGTAGACTTTCAGTCTCTTCAAAAAGTCATTTCACTTCACTTGTCAAGCATTTTCTTTGAGCGGAGTCATTCATTACTGTGACTCTTTACTTCCTTCCTCTCACTCAAAGTACTGTGTCAACAGTCCTCCACTCGCAATTAGGTCTCTCCTCTATGCTCGACTGCGTCATAATCTCCTCGGATTTCGAGAGGACTTCATATTGAACTCTTGGAACGATGATTCGGCCCTGTCGAGTGGGCGCGCATCACGAGACCCCATCCAAGATCAAAGCAGAGAATTCGGCTCGATCACATCTTATACATACAGCCCGATTCGCCTGGGCAAAAGGAGCAGGGCGTTGAGCACCAGCGTGTGAGCGAGCTACTACGGTCGCTCTATGCGGACCGAATCCTAAACGCGACCTTTGAAGGGGGCGCCAAAAGATCAGAAGCGGATGCTCGATGAATTCGGTGAAGATGATGAAAGAGTCATCTTCGGAAGAGCAGAATGAAGTACGAGTGTGAACGCTCCTCGTTCATCGCACAGAACTAGCCCCGAGGCCTTTCATACGCCTGTCACTGCCGCCATTCTCGGTGGAATATTCGAATCTTTTTTGCCAGTCATATCTCGCCGTCTTTCACCTTCAATTTACAACACATGTCGGTCTTTTGAGTCTTATGCGTGTTGCGTAAGTCACGCTCAGAGTCAGAGGATGGAGAACACCGAATCATTTTTACAGAAATCCACGGTCCAAGGATTTCTTACCTTGACATCCATTCGTTACGAGCGTTTCGCTACACCACGTAGGTTTCCACAAGCCCTATGTCACCTTCAACCTACGCCTTCCCGCAACAGCATCCTCCCTGGGCCAACCCCCAGACCTTTACCAGAGATCCCTCCCCGAAGCATACACACGTCCACTACTACATCAACCCGCGCTCCCCATAGAAGGAGTCCACACCCGCCAGATACAGGTGGTAGGCTCCACCGACGACCCACTCCCGCCTCGTTAGACGATATCCAACTCCAACATGGACGCAAACTCCCTCCGTGAAGCTGCCGGGTTCCTCGACCGCGGGCGGGATAATGCGCGGCGTAGAGTTAGCCAGGCGACAGAGCGAACGCTCAACATGGCCGGCCAGTTTCATCAGCCACAGCCGTCCCAGTGGATGGTTTCTCTCGAACACTCGCGCGCCTTGCTCGATGGGGAGTGCCTCACACCCGATGGAGAGGAGGAGGACGATGAGGACGACTTCGTGTCCATCCCCCGACCCTACGAAGACTCAAGAAGGGAAATCCTTCTGCAATCCGAAAGAGACGATGAGCATACGAGCAATACCTCGGAAGAGAATGCTGACGCAGAGGGAAGTTGGGCTGGCTATAGTAGCTCTTGCTATGACTCCGACTCGGACGATGATGGACGGCCGCGGGACTCCGGAGACGGGCTTCTCCCTCCTCCTCCTGAGGCGCCTGGCGGTGAAGACACTTCGCATACTGCCAGTCGCAGCTCCGAGCCCATCCGTCTTTCAGCCCTCGCGTCTCATCCCGCATTCTTACCCCTCCTGCTGCAACACGGCACCGAGTCACGCCTCCGCCGCACTCGCCGGACCCGCTCGCCATCCCACTCCCCTCAGCAAGAAGATGCAGACGCCCAAGGAACGGACTATGCAAGACACTCCCCCTCCGGCCCTGCAACACCCATGACTCTAACTTATTTCCAATACGCAGCGTGGTCCAATTCAACCTACGCGCAAGTTGTGGCGAAGTGCCTTGCTATTGTGGAGGCGGTGTGGAGAAGGGTATACGGAGGGAATGATGGAAATGCCACCCGGGAGGACCTGATTCCCATTGAGGAAGAGTACGTGGAAGCGCCATGAGGTTTTTACGTCGGGTAGCGGTTTTTTTGTTCAGAGCATGGAGTTGGATGTAGAGTGTCTGTGAATTTAAGAATTGGCTTTTGCCACTGATGTTGTAAAGATCATTCTCTTTCTTCCCTTTTTGTTCGAATATCTTCAGGCTTTTCCGGCTCTGGTGGGGAGAGTCAAGGCCGCAGCTGAGGCAGCTCATGGTGAAGAATAGAAGGAATTGATAATTCCTGCTTTGAATGAGGCCATACTACTATACCTATCTGGGGAACGACTTTGTCTAAAGTAGCTGTAACAATGAATACAGCGGAAGTCCTCTTTTTCATATCCTCCTTTCCTTATGCTGTAGCGAGCAGAATGCTGTTCAGGATCCTTGCGCGGAAAGGCGGCGTCTCTGTGGCAGTAGTGTACTAACTCTCGATCTCACGTGCCGAACTCCTCAACATCATCTATCTAAAGGCAGTCTCGATTTCGAACGAGCAACGGTCTTTATCCATGTGCCCTCTTCTTTCGGGCGTGTCTATCGTTTGTCTAGGCTCGCCCTCCCTTCTCATCATCTGTACACGCCTCAATGGGTGCATGAAAGATGGACTCGTTAGGTCAGTGCGTGATTCTACAACCGCACTCTGAAGCATCATCAAGAGCAGAAAAGAAGATGAGCTTGCCCAATCTCTCATGAAAGAGAGTAAGATCTCCCATCTTCCGACCCATCTTTCGAAGGACCGACCAGGGGGAGCGTTACATAGACTCACTGCACTTCGCCGCCATCCCATCCCATCCCGTTCCCCACGAAAACAGTGCCCCAAACCTTGTTCGGGAAGCATCTATGACTCCTTATTTGCCACATGACACACAATCACTGCGGGTAGCCGCCTTTACGTTGAGTGACTCACCGCAACTTCGCCTCACACACTGTACCTCCTGCTGCCTCAAATCCCCCCACCCCCAAAACCTTCGTTTTCCCACAAATCGGGAGCGCATATATATACTAATCCATTCCCCAAAAACCTCATCTATCAGAAGGCAAGCACGCCTCAATTCCTCCGTCATAGTCCAGTGGTTAGGATATCTGGCTTTCAGCATCTGGCTGGAAAGGCGCCCAGGAGACCCGAGTTCGAACCTCGGTGACGGAAAGAAAGACACTTTATTTTTGCTCTTTGCGGCTTCCGGAGGTTCGCCGTGCATGAGGAAAAGGGTTTGGGTTTGGAAGGAGATGTATTACATACACTTCATTCAGTAACTGACGCACGACGAACTGACGAGCAATCATGGCTTCTTTTTTTATCTGATTGGGTTAGGTAGGCTTCGCTTTTTGGTCCTTTGCTCGGTCACTCGTGGTTTCCTGGGGCATATGTGCAAATTTACACGCGGCTGTTACTCGAAGTTCACCTCTTCGTCTTAAGAATGCGCAGTTTCTGCGACGATATGAAAGCTCTCCTATCCCCAGCTTCTAGAGCAACACCGTCACGACTTTAGGGCCTTCAGTCTCTCTAGGAACGAAGGATCGTAAAACTTCCGGCCGCACGCCGAACGTTCGTAACAACGTCACAGGTCAGTCAACGTCGGTCAAAACCAGCTGGACACATCGCATGAGTATACACACCACTGACTATTAAAAGCGCACCTACTTCGAACAAAAAGGCGCGATGCTAACGATAGTGAGAAGAGCAGTGTATATTGTACTACACCGGCCGTCCCGTCGGCCAAGCCATGTAGCCCCATATCCTGCAGCACATGGCATGAACCCAAACTCCTTTTCCACTCATAAACCATGACGAATCTTCAATGCCATAAAACCATACATGCAGACCCTCCCAGTACAGCACACGAGCGCTGGGCGTAGAAATGCATTGTCAAAGAAGTACCCTACCCGCATGAACTCATAAAGCTATCCTACTCGTACACGTAGCGCCGTATAGATATCCGAATCCGTCACTGGGTATACCGCCACGTCTCCCCGCTATGAAGAGGCGGGAGCAATGTTGGCTGAGCGCCACCTTTTCCATCATCGCTAATAGGACTGTATTCGGGCCTCTTCGGACTCTTCGATGCGTCGCTAAGCGGGCTTGGTATCGGCCGCTGAGGCTCGCTCGGCGGAGGCAGCGGTGGTGTGTGACTCTGCATATGATGTGGGAGTGGCATGGGTGGTGTGGCGGTCTTGGGCGCCCCATGCGATGCGTTCGTCGGCAGGGTTGTGGGCAGCTGAGATGCCATGGGCGCGGAACTCGCAGATGTCGTCATAGCGGACATAGATGGCGCTGCCGTTGCTGTACCAAGCTGCTTAAACATATGCTCCCATTTTGGTGGGCCGATTGGAGATCGATGTGCCTTGGCGATATCCCGCTGGAAGGCATCTGCTGACTGAAACTGCGGCGCAGGCCTTGGGACCGGCGGCATCCCTCCTTGGAAGTTCAGCCCTAGACCGCGTGGAGAGGACTGGCTCGGCGGTAATGGCCTCGGCGCAGCCACGCCTGGAGTGGCGCTCGCGCTGCTGTTCGCTGGCTTTGGCATCCATTCCGGGTTGAAGCCACCATCCGGACTGTAAGGTGAAATGTAAGTTTTTGCTCTCCTTAAAAACGCGTTCTTCAAATACGGATACTTCGTGACGTAGGCAAGATATTCAGTTTGCGATAGGGAGGATTGGGAAGTAGAAACGACGGAAGAAGATTGTTCGTGGGCGTACATTGGATTTTTGGGCGTGGCAGTTGGGCTGCTGCTCAGTATGCTTGAGATTGGCGCACCGTGCGAAGTTGACTGGGGTCGCGACATAGAACCGTGAGAGGCAGGCGGACTATACGCGGGACGCGGCATCGGACCTTGAGCCTGTGAGTATGGGAAAGGCGGCAATTGCCCGGAAGGCGTCGCGTGATACGGATATGGGGGCAGCGCTTGGTTGGTCCGGGTCGTATGAGCATACTGATCGATGCCGTTGAGGGGTCCGGATGTGGCTGGTTGCGTCTTCCAACCAGATGTCGAGTAGGTCTGCGGAGGGGCATATGGAAGGTACTGCGGCGGCCGATGATGGTGATAGGAAGTCGCGTATGCTGATTGTCCGTATTGAGGAGCCGAGACCCGGTGATCATACACGACATTGGGTTGATGTGCCACCGGGGAGTTGGGATTCTTTCGGGTGTCGGGCGCATACATAGGAGACCGGAAAGTCGTCATCATAGACTCTTTTGGCTTGTAATTATAAGGCTTGCCTGCAGGTCGGATCGTTTGCTGCACAGGCGTGCGTGGAACAGACGAAGGTGCTGGTTTGATCGGGTATGAAGCTGGGAAAGATTGGCGCGCGAATGCAGGTATTGCGGGTGGCGGAGGCTTAACCGTATCTAGGAAGTTACTCTTAGGATTGTGCTGAGGCTTTGCTAGATTCTCCGTATATTGTGGTCTGGCTTCTGTTGACGTCTTTCCAAGATAGTACCAGAGTCGGTTGTCCTTGCTGAAGTCGACCTTGGCTACTTTGCGAGCGACTTCTGGAGCAGTGTTGAACTCGGCCCACTTCTGCCCGGAGTTAGGGTCGTGGAAGGGATCGCCCATTTCAGGGACGCCGTCTGTACGATTAGTGATGTCCAATGATGCGTCATTCTCCTTGAGATGCTCAGGTAGCGGTTTAGCATTGGCAGAAGGCTTCGGCCGTTGCGAATCCGCGGGATCAAGTTTCAGGAGATACTTCCATTCCACTTCAACGCGGTCACTGGGACATGGTCAGCATCAGAGATACAGCTTGTCGAGCGGTCTTTACTCACCCGTCAGGCAGCACGTCTACCAAAAGGGCTTGTTCGCCCGGCCTGTTCTCAACCACTTGGGCACCATAGATCTGGTACATCTCACCGCCCGCATACTGGAATTGGATGACGTCTTTGGGTTTGAGTGACTTAGCATAGTTGAGAACGAACTTGTCTTTCTCTAGCAAGTCGACATCCACGGTCTTCGCATTCCTCTTCTTCGGCCGGTGGAAGCGGCATCGGAAGTCGTAGCCATCATAGAAATATTCGGTACCTTCTTCATCGAAGGTCGGCATTGGGCCAAGGTCGACTTGGACGCCCGCTGCGGCAGCGCATGTGGCGTGGAAAGCCCTCGTGCACTTCTTCTGTGAACACTGGAAGACAGCCCCGCGCTTCGAGCGGCAGTAATTGCACTTCAACTCCAGGCGGTCCTTTCCGATGTTGGCAACGTTACATATGGTTTCGACGCCGCCCTTCTCGGCAATGTAAGTCTCGGGCGTGTAATCGGCACAGATTCGGTGTGCCTTCATGCCGTTATCCGTAGGTAACAGGTCGTCGTATTCCACGTCATTCGGACACAGAATGCATGGCATCCCTCGGCCGGGCACCTTAATGCGGATCCGAATGCGTCTGACTTTCTTGGGCTTCGGCGCTTCCCCGGGTTCCTCGTTGCCCCTCTTCCTCTTGTTGTTGGCGGGCTTCCGGCCTGGCTTGCCTCTTGGCTTGCCCTTAACACTTGGGGGAGGGCTGGGCAGGTGATCTGCGCCGTCTTCGTCGTCCTCATCATCCGTCTCTTCGTAGTACTCTGGTGTTGGCTCGCCTCGTAGCTTGCGTTCGATTTCATTCACGTCGACCCAGACACTGTCGGCTTCGCACTCGCACTTTTTAGCGATCCTTCCGTAGCTTAGCCAAGCTTCATTCGCGAAGTTAACAGATTCAGCGCAGTTGTATCCAATGTTGTATCCAGAGTGGTAGCCGTACGGATAGGTGATGACGAATTCACCTTCGTAATGAACAAGTCTATTGACTTTGATATTGAACTGCTTCTCTAGTTGTTGAGGCGAGATGAGGTACGTCTTGTGCCGTAGGAATTGTGAACAATTCTTCGCATCGCGGGGCCAGATGCTCTTCATGGCGGCTTCGAAGCGTCGAGCATCTTCTTGCGAGATGCTGTACCACTGTTTGGGGGCTCCGAAGTGGATGTAGTTGATGCTGTACAAATCGACGTCTTCTAGATGCCAAGCAAAGGTAGCTTTCCACATTCCCAGATAGAGATATGCGGTGTTGACGCCGGGGACCTTAGTCCCGAGCACGTCAAGGAGGTTAGGAAGCTTCGCAACGTTCCAAGATGTCGTCCGGTCATCAAACAGCGATCCAGGCATATCGGCTCCATACATTGGTTGGCCGTAGTTGATAGTCCTCCAATAGTTCTCTTCAAGCTCTTTGCACCGCTCGACCGTGTACTCGTCAACGTTGGAGAGGTGGTAGTCGAAGTTGTTGAAGGCTTCCTCGTCAACGAAATCTGCCATAGCGGTTCGGTTGTTCATCCGGCGGGAAGCGGTGGACTTCTTTTGGTCGCCTCTTGGTTGACGGCCTCTTGGTCTAGTCGGAGTGGTGTCATCCTGTTCCTCCTTCTTGATCTTCTTGACCGGCGTCTGCTCATCATTGCCGGGCGATTTTGGCGTAGGAGGAACGTCGACAGATTCTTCGCCTTCTTCATCATTCCTCTTCTCTTCTGTCTTTAGCGGTCGGCGGCGGGGTCGACCTGGCCCACGCCTTGGCTGGGTGGTGGAGTCCTCGGCGTTAGTGGTGGAGGCCTGAGCTCTTGTGGAGCGTGTCCGAGTCGGTGCCTCGGCGGCAACCCTCCGGCGCTCGCCTCGCTTGGCGGGCGGTTGGTGGTGGGCTTCCAGCGTCACCGCCTTCCATTCCGGCAGATTATACGTCCGCTGCTTCTCGATGTTGGCTTGCGTGTATATGCCATGCTGGCCGGCGAATTCTTGCATGATCGGGTTCTTGACTTTGATCGTCTTGACGGCTTCGCTGAGATCTGGCAGCGCATCGCGCCTGCAATTGGAGTGAGTTGTGAGCTTAACGCAGGGTGCAGTCGAATCAGGAACTCACCATTCCTTCGGAGGGATGATTTTTACGATCCCGGACTTCATGCCGTACTTGTCGACCTTATCGACGAACTTCTTGAAGTTGCGGAATTGGTCCATGGTCTGCAACACAATACAGTTAGCACCGCATATTACACAACTGCATATTATTCAAAGCTTTTCTCTCTGCGCAAGCGTCGCCGCACAATAGAGCAGCTCTCCGAGAGGTGTGCGACGTACCGGCTTGAAGACGGGTACCTTTCCGCCGTCCCAGTAATGGTCAGGCTCAATTTCCTCGTCGTCGTCGCTCTCTATGTCCGAGAGCTCCGAGGACATCCTCTCATCTCTCTTGTCCATGTCTTCGCTCGTCGGCGGCGTCAGAGCGGGCTTCGTTGGAGGGTCGTCATTGTTCACGATCGTCGTCTCGACGGACGGGACGACGTCCGCCGGCGCCTCCATCGTGGAGAGCGATCGCTGAGGTCGGCGTGCTTGGGTGGCTGTCTCGGAGCGGGTGCAGGGCACGGTGAGGCTGGGTGTCGGTCGCTAGCGGTCCGAGGGCAGCATTCGTCGTCGTCTTTTCGCCACGCAACGCAACGCTCGGCGGGGAAGGGCAGCACCAAAAGCTCCCTACGGGCGGCGCATCGACTGCGGCAGCTCTAGGACGCGGCTTGCGGTCGATTTTGCAGATTTCGGGCGAGGGTAGGCGGGTTTGGAATGTCCAGGAGACCCAAAGGCGGTTGGGGGAGGTGCAGGTACCGCCAAGCACGCGCTAAAGCTCCCAATCGATAATCCTTGCCTGCTAGCCCGGGGCCTCAGGTGAGCATCAGTTCACCCGCGCCTGTTCATGAAGCTGGCCCCGCTGCGCGTCTTTTGTTTGGGGAAACGCACGGGAAATACGCAGGAGCAGGGCGGCTGTGCAGCAGTGCCAATAGAGTGCGCGGATTTTCTTGCCAGGCACCAGGTGCGGTCGTGCGAGAGAGCTAACCCTCCGCGTTCATGCACGTCATAGCGCACACATCCGCCCCCCGATCTGGCCTTCACGAACACGGCAGCAGCTTTATCTGATCGTGGCGGCCACGGCACCGTCCACCTCACGTTTCTTGACCACCAGCAGCATGGCCGTTGTATCGCTGATCGCGAGCACTTAAGCATAGAAGCAATGTACAAAAATACAATTGGCATTGCATCTGGAACGCTCTCATCCGAGCATGTGCTGTGCAGTCTGGAACCCTTCACACAGTGACGGATCGCAGCAAAGTCACTTCTCAAGAACTCCCCCCAATGCAGGAACCCGCACGGACTGAGACAAAAGAAGCATTTGCCCGGCCTCACGGAGGTGCTGTGTCTATATCTTGACCATCAACCTTAGCTGGGCTCTCTAGCGCGGTTCCACTAGAGCGTGCTGCTCATCACTGCAGCCGCGTAGCAAGTCTCTACACATGGGTAGAAGTGCACTCTAATGCCACACGAAAGGAACATAATACCCTTAGAAATGGCTACGAGATCAACTTTAGAATGACCAACCGAGGCGTGCTTTCAGGAGGACCACTCCATAACCTCTGGCGATAGACCCGTGGCCGCTGACCTCATATGCCTAGCTCGACTCTTCCTGACATTCTGAGCACTGCGGAAGATTTTTGAGAAACCTGCACAAGACAGCAAACGGTAGTACATCACTGTCGGTGCGAACAGGGCCTTGAACCCCTGTTCCGCCAGCACTCGTTCCCCAACCTCTCGCTGTCTGGCGTGCAGTGACAGAAAATCAGCTTCGGTGGTGGCCAGAGTCGATCACTCCTACCTTGGTCTAGATGCAATAACACAGGCGTGGTGCAGTATGCCAGAGCAGGCGGCGTCACTAACCAAGACATCGCCACGTTTGTTCCCGATCCGCCTCCACACTCGGCTATCTTATAGCGCATCATCCCACCCCTGACCAATTTGCCCGGATCGACCTGCAGGAACGAGCTGGAAACCCATTGGTCCAAGCTCCGCCATCGGCACAAAAGTAACACTAAGATCGTGATGCTGGCGGCCAGAGTACCGCTGGACCATCTGCGCTACCGAAGTGTCCGGACCCCGATGTCTCGGGCAGCTGCGGACACCTCTGCGGACACGTCTTGCAGATGCCTGCCAGCGCCGAAAAGGATGAATAAACAGAGAGCACACGCAAAGTGCACATTGAAGTCATACAGACCCAATTTTTTGATTGAGCGCCCGTATCCCAGAGCCACTATAGTACAAATGGCCCGTATGCCTGAGAACCCAGGGCTCCGTTGCTATGCAGTTAAGATGATTAGGCTGTACATAAATGCACTTTTTGTTGCAATGCTTTCTTTCCGCTCAGATGCCCAATATGTGAGAGAACAGCGAACAAACTGACCAAAAGAGATGGTGAACCCAGCCTATCTGCTCTTTCCATATGCTCAGCGCTCTGATAGAGAAGCCCGAAACTATTGCGACTCGCCCCTTCCGCGGTAGCTGCCTCGTGGGCCACCGCGGAATTCTCCACGACCGCGACCACCGCGTCCTCGTCCACGGTAGTCGCCTCGCGGTCCTCCTCGGCCCCTGAATCCACCTCGGCCTTCACCCTGGGGTCCGCCTCGGCCTCGACCGCCTCGACTGTGATGGACCTCATGAAATCCATCATTGCCATTCGCGGGTGCTGGGGTTGTCGTCGGCGCCGGCTCCGGAGTGTCATCCGCCCAGCTCTGAACACTGTTCATCGGGGCGGCAACCGCTGGGCTCTCGGTCTCGGTAGGATCGCGCGGTACCATCTCGTAGGATTCTGCGAGCGGATCATCCGAGCCGGACCGCTGCTTGTCCCATTGCTCCGTGGCAGCGGCGTTGGCAGCGCCGTCGTCTATGCTAGACGCCGGGGGGGCGCTCGGGGTCTCTGCCGATTCCGCGCCGCCGTTGACAGCGGCTACACCTGTATCGATCTCGGTAAGGCCCGCATTCGCAATGGTAGGGTCCGTGGAGGTAGCGGGGGTGGCCTCAGTCTCAGGAGGGGCGGGCTGTGCCTGTGCAACGTCGTCTACCCAGGCCTCCTCGGCTGCGAAGGGAGCCTCGTCAAGCGCAGCCTGTTTGATTTGTGCGTCTGTCTACTATCAGTACGACCCGAAGCCCGCCGAATTTCCCAAAATACGTACAAGTGACGCTTAATGCCACGCCCTCTGTTGAGGAGACATTGTCGTCGGTTCCGTCGATCAGCTTCTCAGCGGCTGCGACCGCTTGAGCATCGCCCCCATATACCAAGAGCAGTGCACCCTCAAAAGCCTTGGTGAGGTCAGAGTCGTCTTCCTCAAGCTGACGTCGAGCAGCAGCAGCCCTCAGAAAGCGGGACAGAGTGAGGAACTTCTCCCGGAAGATCTTCTTCTGTTCCAGCACCGCCTCTGTCTTCAAAGTATCCCTCAACGTCTCAAGCTCCTCCGAATATGACTTCTGCAAGAGCTCTTTCTCTTGAGCAATTTTGTTCTGATACTCCTGGTCGAACTTCTTGTACTGGGAGAGCTGTTCCTCCAACTGGGCAAGCTGGCCTTGAAGGCTCGGTTTCTTGTCGAGCTGCGCCTTTTGATCGGCGTTGATTTTCCGAGAAGCTACGAGTTCGTCGGGGGAGGCACCGGGGTTGGCTTCAAGTATAGCTTCGACCCTTTGGATATTATTCTGAAGTCAGCAGCGTTAGCATCCCTCAACATCCAACTGAATCCGAAGATGAGCTTACTAGCTTCTTGTTGACGTTGCGGACGTTCCTGTTCCAGATTCATTAGTCGTTGTTCGACAGCGCCAGTTCTTGCCGTATGTGTCACTTACTTCTGAAGCTCCCTGATGTACGAATTGTCGCTCTCGGCACCATTGGCCTTTCCTGCAGGGTCAGAGCTACCCGCGCCGAGTTCGGAAGTAGGCTTCTCGGTGGGAGCGGGCACTGCCGCGGCTGCCTTGGCCTTCTTCTTGCGAGCGCTCTTGGATTCGCCTGGTGCGGGAGCTTGCGGGTTCGAGACGACGTCAGAGGACATTTTCGAGCGAGATGTAGTGGTAGAACAAGATTGGGCAAGTAAAGTTACGCGTGATACACGAGAGAAGTAAGTAGGTCGAGGTCGTGATGGTGGTTGCTGGGTGCTTGAGCTGGATCGATTTTAGAAATTCCTCGTCTGCGTCGCTGCTCTCCACGCTCCAATGCCGCCAAGACGCTAGCGGAACGCTGGGGCCCCGTGGAAACTACTAGACCATCTTCAGGCAGCCGTGTTCACGATCTGTTGTGCAGCAGAGATACATGAAGTCCACGGGTGCTTTGGTACGCCGAGTTCGAGAGGATCTACACCTAACAAAGCGCCACCGTTGAACTGATCCCCTTGCACCCAGGAGCTCGACCCTATGTCCACGGCAATCAGATGACAATAAGTCAGTATCTACGAACGGCGGATAGACGTAGCAGACGCGAAGACATTGTTACGTGACTATGGGCTGGCGTTTATCAGACCGAAGCACACGCATCCAAGGTGGCCGTCTGCAAGCCTTCCCTAATGCTCGAACCGTCGACAGACAATGCGGCTGAGATTCTGCTACGTCTCAGTGCCTTCGAAGAAAGAGGCACTTATGGAAGTTGCTTGTCCATTAGGATTGCCTTGTTCTGGGGCGTGTTATCCAGCGAGAGCGCCTCGGGCGATGCACACAACACTACCTCAAGGCAGTAATTACGCATCCGAAAGTCGATATAAGGCCGCAATGCTCTTCTGCGACCGTGTGCAACAAGATGAGGAAACCCCAGTAAGCAGCCTAAATGAACCCGCCTTTGGTGGTTCCTCCTCTAAGCGCACTTGTTACCCGTGGGACATGGACGCGAAGCCATTCACGGTATACTATCCGCGACTGGTCTACGTGTGACGTACAACAGTGCATGATCCTTAGTGGTGGACAGTTAACTGCATCCGCAGAGCGCTCAGATGGGTTCGGTCTGAATGCATGAGCGCTGTCGAGTCGACATGAGGCCGCTTTCGAGGCTAGTAGGGCCAGTACAGAGCAGAGCATAGTTTCGTGCGCTGAATGCGGGTGGGTATATACCAAGCATGCCGCCAAAGCTATCCCGTCGGGGAAGTGTCGTTGTTTCGCATGATCTACAATCTGGTGTGATGCGTGCCCATCATGACTTCCTCAAGCGGAAGGCATGGGCCACCCAGGTTAGCAATGGAACCACAAACCTTAATTAGACCCCAAAGGAGTTCCGGCGGAGGCTCCAGGGAGAAAGTGGCTTGACCATGCACCAAAATGCCGACTTCATGCAACAAGGCAATGTTGAGGCCGATATGCATCCGCTAATGAGGCAACCCAGGGGCCACCTGCGCTCCCTCAGCGCTTGACCAGCTGGAGTACCCAGAAAGGGCACAGACGCCTTGGTCGAGTCTAGGGAGGCATGCTAGTTTTTGGCGGTTTTGAGGAGCGCGCCTGTTTCGTAGTAATGGAGAATAGAGGTAAGAAAAACACGTACACCCCTAGATGTCTCAGACGATAGGCGGGTCGATCAGACGACGATACACAAAGCTCTGGAGCAAAGCGTATAGAACCGTGCTGATCTGGCATGTGACCGCATCGGAGCCTAGGGATATCACGAATGAGACAAACAGCATGTAAAGCTCACGGTTGCTTCCCAAGAAGCAACGCCTCCTCGAGGTCTCGTTCGCGGTAGTGGGACAGGGAACGATGCCGCGGCGCCGAAATCCGGCCAAAGAAAGCTGTACAATGCGTGTAAAATAGAGATATATAACGTTGCTTTCCCGCGAGAACACCGTAGGGATATATCCATCGACATATACGTCTGACGGAGCTCTCACAGCTCAAATATTACTGGCGAGCGGCGGCATGCGGTCTCGCAGCACCCTGGCGTCTAGCTAAAAGATGAGAAGATAGATGGGCTCTGCTTCGCCTTATTGTAGGCCCTAGACTTCAAACTGACTTGCTCGGGGAGGTTGGGCCCGGCAGTATGGATATAGAGCCAGGGGTGTATTGAATGTGGCAAAAGACGAGGAATGTTTCGCTGCTTATCCGCTCTTCGAAGCCGTGTGGCGGGAGTCCTTCGAAGCCTCCCGCTCGGCGGGAATCGTGGTGGGTTGGAGTCGTCGGGAATACCCAGGTAGCAAATGAGATAACCTGACCTCGGCGGCTATTCGAGCTAGAGAGCAGTAGTGTGCTGCAACGAACTCTTTTGGCGTCCTTGGAACGTACGTACGTCTAGAATGAACGTAGAACGGGAAACGGAAGGTAGTAGATAACTGTGTGGCTGACTGCTCACAGGTGTGTGTGGGGAACAGTCACATGCGCGCAGCGAGGTGCAGACATCCATGATTCGGCAAATAGCGTCGGCGCCACGTGCACCGTGTGAATCGACGGTCGCGTGATTCACGGATGGAGTTTCGTGAGCGGGCAGTGGGTGTTCGTCGTAAGTCGTAAGTCGTTTTCTGAAGGCTGCACCCGTCGAGTTGGCAGGCCGAGACGAGGACCGCTGCGGTGATGCCTGGTACGGTAGACTTGATGAGAGTGTGCGCAGACTCGGGCAGACCAACATCAAGGTACTCAAGATCCCTGAGTAGACTCTCTGCGTGGAAAACGTTCGGACAACAAATCTTCTCCCGGTATTAAAGCACTAGGGTTTTGGTGAGAGAATGAGCCGTATGTGATGTGGTTGCTTGAAAGACAGGGAGCTGGGGGGGTGGGGAGGCATGGCGTCAAGGTTTGCTTTGATTCGCGGACGCACGGCCCACCCGACCCGGCGCGGTGCGGTGGTGTTAGCAAGGTTTCTTCTTTCACATAAAGCGCAAGTCGCCGCGGTCAGGTGCGCTCTCCCTCCGGAACATTCAGGTGATCTCGAGACTACTCGACCGATATACCAGCGATTCCTACCGGGCTTCGGTGCTCTCAGGCTTCGGAGGCGTAAGCAGCCTTTTTCTCTTTCGTTCACCCATATTTCGATTTTGCCCACAACATTGTCGCGCGAGCCCGGCGACGACTGACTTCCGGACGCCTGCTTACGCATGTTCGACAGCATCACGGGATCTGGAACCGCAAAACCACAGGTATGCCAGCGCTAGATACTGCTCATGCACAGGGTGGCCGCCCCTCAGCGCATCCACTTTGGGGATTGCGGCGCGTGTATTAGCCCTCCACAGTCGCGCCTGCCATCCGGGGGTCGCAGCTGCCTTCCGAATGCCCGTCCTGCCTGGTGCGCCGCATGCCGCTCCTGGGAGCTCCGTGGACGCGCGCATTCTGGAAGAGACGGAGCACGACGCGCTTGTGCGATCTCGACGGCGCTGCAACTGCACCATGAGACGAATCCTCTTTGAGCATTGACAGCTCGGTCTCACAGTGGCAGGCAATCATCGCGGCCAATCGAGCGCGCACTGGGCCTGGTTACACCTTCACGCACTCTTCTGCTTGCGCCCGTGCTAACGTTTGTCCTTCACTAGGTCTTGTATGCGCTCGATCGGCGCATGATTGCTACCGAGACACCGCGTCTGCATCGTGCGTGAACCGGTGGATAGCGAGGTTTGCGACTTCGACCTCAGGCGCCCGCGCAGGTCACCTCGCGCCCGATCGCGCTCCTAGTCCTCGTCACAGGACCCAGCCTTACTCTTTCACCAACTGCTACGTCGCGGCTACCCACATATCGACACGGTCCCACCTCCACCAAGGCCACCCCGCCTGCCGCTGGCGCGCCCTGTCGCAAGGGACGTCAAAACCATCGAATAAGACCACCTCCCCCAAACGAAGGTACGGCCTTCTTTTTGACAGTCTTCTGTCGCCCTTTCATTATACAACGGACACTCGGGGAATATGGCGGATACTGCTGGTTATCCCACCGACACCTCTAAGACAGGGTTCGGCGCGCACGCCGACACCGTCCACACCAACAAGCGAAAGCGAGATACACGAGATCAAGGCCCTACGACCAACCGACCCGCTCCTGCGACCAGCGCCGCCGGCAGTACCAACGACTTAAGTGACCAAGCCACCGCCTCATTTCTTGCCGCACACAACGCTTCGACTAACGAGGACGATATGCAGCAACAGTTCGGCGTACACCAGAACGGCGGTGCCAACGCCTCCAGCGTCGGTGATACCGCTGCCGCTGCTCTCGCCTACCATCAGATGACCGTACCCCAAGCGACAGAGCTATCATTCCAACCCCAGGCATCGGCAGGAGAGGGAGCTTCATTCAACATGGGCGACCATCACCAGCCACAACAGGGCATGCAGGATTTCAGTCTCGAGGCCCTGAAAGCAGCTACGTCTTCCTCGCGATCCGGCCAAGCCGCGACTAACGAGTCCCCGCCCGCCACCGCTACTCACAAGCCGCCGGTCGGATCAGAGGAATGGCACAAGGTGCGCAGAGATAACCATAAAGAAGGTGAGTAATACATGTATCGCAGCGCGCTCGACATGCAGCTAATTTGACCGGTAGTCGAGCGTCGTCGCCGCGAGACCATCAACGAGGGCATTAACGAGCTCGCAAAGATCGTACCTGGCTGCGAGAAGAACAAAGGCTCCATTCTGCAGCGTGCTGTCCAGTTCATCACACAGCTGAAGGAGAACGAGCAGCAGAACATCGAGAAATGGACCCTCGAGAAGCTTCTCACAGAGCAAGCCATTACCGAACTTAGCGCTAGCTGCGACAAGTTCAAGGCCGAATGCCAGCGAGCGTGGGACGAGTGCGCAATCTACAAGCGCGCTTGCGAAAATGCGGGTATTGTCCCCGATGAGATCAAAGAGCGCGAAAACAACGACGACCAGAATGGTTCGAGCTAAATGGAGCTTCAACACGGTAACAGGAGTTCCTTTTCATAGAGCAGGTTTCGGCGGCCTCGGTCTTCTTGGTCGGCTACCTGTTTGAGCGCAAAACAAGTGTGCGAAATGTTTCTCCAGCGCGGCGGTCGAATATTGTTCTCTCTGTGGGGTGTGGCACGCTATCTTCCGAGGATATATTCCGTCCTCGCTTTTCCTTTTCTTCACACTGCGACATTCGCCACTACATTCGGCGTCACTCACTCGATAGGCGTGGATTTGTTGTCGGCTTCAGTGCAGTGCGACTAGCCGCGACTGACGGACGGTACAAACGCCGTATGCGGGCTTAGAGGGAAACAGCGAGCAGGAGTTCAATTCTTTCCAGACTTCTTAGTGCACATACTTTAAGATTCGAGTAGTCCTGATGATGAGCATTTACGACAATTTATTCTTCCAATCTACGAGGTGCCTAGGTGCGCTGTGAATGTCCCGAACCTTTCGTGCAATACTCGACCGCTTTCATTATCTTGCTTCCTTTCATGAGGCTAATAGTCGTGCGATTTAGCGGAGCGTTCCTTCCTCTCGTATAATCGTCTGCATGAGCCTCATTGGTCAGGTCCATCGGTGGAGGACAGCACGAGCCATTCATGCTTGGCAAACAACCTTGGAACCATCCCACTTCAAACGTCGACGAGCGGCCTTTCACCTGCCCGGTCACTCCACACTGATACTTGCGCAATGATGGCCATATCTAGGCCGTGAATGGACTCCGAAACATGGTGGCCGTGCCCAAGCCTCTCTGCGAACGCCCTCTTCCGTGCTCAAGTTTCCAAGGCGACCTGCTATGGACAACGACGACCTGCTCCCGGCGCCGCTCGTGCCTCCGGTCGTGGATGAGGCCGAGCTGATAGGTCTCCCCGGCACAGAAACGCCTGCTTTTGAAGAAGAACCGGCCGAAGAGCTTGACCCTCCCCTCGATACCGCTGAGCAGCAAGGCCTCTTGCTCGACGAGAGCGCCGACGGCCCGTCTGGACAAGATGGAGCAAGCTGCGCGCTGCCACTACGCCCTGGGCTTCGAAGGGATAACTCGGTCCCTACACCAGCGCCACTTCATCTGCCTCCGCCCGCACCGCCTGCGCCGCCCCCAGATGCTAACCAGCCGACCGATTCCCTCTCGCTGATGCAGCTGCGAAACCTCGTCAAAGACCTGCCCAGAGTCGAGCCTACCCCATACGCCTTCACATACGAGGACGCTTCGTCGTTCGAAGATGAGTTGGAGGAGTGGTTCTCGTATAGTGTGGAGGAACAGGCTATGCTGTTGAAGGCTCAGGCATCGTTTGGTCAGGAGTGGGGCACGTTTAACGGCATCAACAATACCACATACGAAGACGGCGGACTGGATTGGACGACGGCAACGCATCAACAGCAGACCAAGTTCGTGCAGTACCTCCTCAGCGTGATCAAGCAGCCAGATCCCGTCTCCAGACTGAAAAAGCTCGAGGCCCTTGTATACATTCTTCTCGGATGTTGGTATGAGAGTGCCGGTCTTACTCCAGGATCGAATGACGACGCCGCATCCCAGCAAAGCTCGCCCATAGAGAAGGCTCCTTCTCGCGGAGCGTATGATAAATCCGCACAGCAAATTTTGTTGATTCGACAGAATGTCTGTCTGCTCGCCGAAACAGGCGGTCTCCAAACGTTGGTCGATGAGCTTCGCTCCTCCTGTCTCAGGGCTTGCGGTGTCGACGTGGCGCCCAACGCTCCGCGCGATGGCAAGGAGGCTGAGCGCCGCGAGGTGTGGTGTGCCATGACCGCAGTTTACGTCGTCCTTGAAGTAGCACGTATCGAGGAAAAGGAGAACGGCGATTTGAGCATCAGAAGCGCCATATTGGCTCTTCATGAGCCTGGTCTTTTGATGCTGCTAGTTGAGGTTATTTCAAAGCTGCGATGGGACGATTCTATAAACCTCCCGCTTTCCAAAGTCTGCTTGCTTACTTGGAAGACCACCCTCGTCGTTTTCGGTGGCCTGGTCGAGGTTGAGAAGGCAAAAGACTCCTTCAACAAAGGCAAGGGCCTCAAATCTGCTGATGCAAGAGGTCAACCTCTCATAACAGCATCGCCGTTGGATTACCATTTGTTCCGACAGGAAATCCTGTCTAAATATCCTGCGTATAATCCTCCGCCTCCTCTATTCCCTTTGGAGCCTGAGAACAACTCTATTCTCCCGCCACTCAAGAACCATCCGAGCAAGGCTGCTGGAAACCATGTCTTTGGTTCCGGTCTTGGTGACATGAGCGGCAACAACACTTCGATTCTTCACCAACCTGTGCACATAGCGACCCCTGCGCCATCACCTCCGCCATCTCCCGCAGGTCCTGGCGGAAAGGGTGGCAAGAAGCAGAATTACCAGACAAACCAAATGTTCCCGTTCCTGTATCCACCACTAGATGAATCTAGCAATAAGCTCGGCGGAAAGGGCTCGACTGACCTGCAAGATTTGCTCGTCGGCCGGAAATGGGAAGGACCGGACATTCCCACTTCGATTCTGGAGGCAGCCGAGCTCTTTGCGAAGCGCATGAGGGCGACGCGTGCCATGAAGCAATTGTGGGAAGAGCGTGTGCAGTTCATGAAATATGAACGAGGCTGGTCCGGCGCGGATGAGAACACGGGTGTCGACGAGCTATCCCTGGAACACAAGGTAGGAGATGCTCAGAAGGAGCCGCCTGAGTCCGGGAGTACTGAGGAGAGAATGGCCTTGGTGGAGAAATTCTATGTAAGAGATGCTGCGTCGAACTCGTTACTCATGCCCACTAACGTTTTGGCAGCGGCTAGCTTTGCCAGATCTTCAATCCGTTATAATTGTTCTCATCAAGGCTATTCTGTCCCATGTCACCGCTCTGGTCACGCAAGCGAATGGGCCGAACAGTCTTCAGAGTGGTTTCCAGTTCCAAGACAACCAGAACGGGACAGGAAGGCCCGAAACAAACGGAGTCAACGGTCACAGCGGCACTGTAGCCACGAATGAAGAGGTAGATGCGATGCGGACGCAGGAGGTGCTTGATAAGGCCGTGTCTGGCATCCTGATATTGATTCTGAAATGGTTCAAGGTTTCCCGTAAGTCGTCCTGATGAAACGATTATCACCAGGCACAAGCTCATTCCTGCAGACATCTTAAAATACGAGTACATCACACAGCTTCTCGTGGATTCCAGCTACGTGCCGCTGATTTTGAAGCTCTTGCAGCTGCAAGAGATTGAGAAAGTGGTCAATTTCAAGTGCGAGCAAGAAGAGCTTAAGTAAGTCCACGTCCTCAATCCACGCTTACCCTTCGCTGACTCGTGCAGTTTCTTCTATTTCTGTCGATCCCATTCTAGGATTGGAGTCGATGAGGAAAAGCCTGTGGACAAGCCTGAAGTTGACTCTGACTCGGATGACGCCGTCCCTCCGCCGATCCGGATGCATCGTGATGAAAATCCGAACCCCGAGTCGGAGGTAGAGCAATCACCTCTCCCGGCCGTGCCGCAGCCACCAGAGGTTGACGAGCTGGGCTTTCCGACAAGCGAGCTTCCCAAAGAGCCGATAACGAACTTCTCATGGCGCGCTTTCTTTACGTCCATCAACTACCTACGGATCATGCAGAAAATCTGCAAGAACAAGGCACACCGAAATCTTATGCTTGTATCGTACAAGTCATCGCAGTTCCTCCGGAAGAGCCTCAAGGTGCCGCAACCTGACCTAAGACTCTACACGCTGAAGCTCTTCAAGAACCAGGTTCCTTACTGTGGGAGAAAGTGGCGCCAGTCCAACATGCGCGTCATCACCGCCGTCTACCTACACTGCAGGCCGGAGCTTCGAGACGACTGGCTCGCAGGCAGCGATGTTGACGCTGAAGTCGACGAGAGCGTTCCTCTCGAGCAAGCGCTACGAGCCTTGACGCATTGGCACAACTTGAAGAGATACCCCGAAGGCATGGGCGCGAAGAGCGGTGTCCTGGAAGAAGAGCAGGATTTCTTCAAGCGAGAGCTGGAGAAATTTGATTGGCCAGACGAATCTGTGAATGATCCTGACATGGAGCCGATGTCTATTGAAAGTTGGTGATGGGCGATCATTTTGAGCTTCGCTTCAATCGGACTGGGAAAGTAGATGTTGACAACCCGCCAGGGCAAGTCCTCCCCCGACCGCATACACATCGCACACGGGACGACTTGTTCAACGCATCGGGCTCATAGCGAATTTGTTTGTCTTCGTGGAGGAGAGGGCTGCGGACGCGATTGGGGGTTTAATAGGGTTCAGCGCATTCATAATACCCAAGGTCGCGAGAGGCACTCCAGGATAGACGGTACGGTATCCGAAATCGTCTTACACGTGTATCTTGACGTTCGTGTCGCGTCTCCCACACATTTGGTACGCTGCAGTCGGAGCGGCAATTGCGTCTCAAACGCCGCGGCATTTGTCCCCCTCTCCCTAGCAGCCCCACAGCGCGACAGGAACAGGTGTTCTCGTGCTCGGAGAACAGGCAGCAAATGCAGTCCGCGCCTTTGCGAGCTTCCATTGGGCCCTGCATTGCATCAACAGCTCTATGCGTCATAATCGGCCCTGCAGCGTTTCGGCTGACGATGTCGTGGCTTGCCGAAGACAGAAATGCGGGCCGCACTGCCTGTTCGGCACCAGATCCACCGAGATTTCACCCCCGCAAGGCGCGGCTTTCCACGCCCTGGAACGCCGCCACAAAATGAGTCGGCTATCCAAGCTCGTCAGTCCCATGTCCTCTATTCTTCTTGCTTTCCCGTCAAGATTTCCTTGTGAATAGACTGCATTTCTCTTCTCCACCGCTATATGCTTGCATTTGAAGCGCGATTGTGCATACCGCAACATGCCGAACGTCTTTGACTACGCCGAAGGTTAGTTCTCAACTCATTTGATCTCGTCTGAACCCTGAAGCGCTTTCTGACACAAGTGACAGTTGCGAAGCACAACACAGCAGAAAGCTGCTGGGTCATTCTCTACGGCGCCGTGTACGATGTCACCGACTTCCTCTCCGAACATCCTGGGGGCGCAAAAGTGATCCTCCAGCTCGCTGGCACGGATGCAACAGAAGAATACGACCCGATACACCCTCCTGGCATCCTCGAAGAGAACCTCAAGCCGGAGCAAAAACTCGGCACCATAAACCCAGACACTCTTCCCGCGACCGAAAAGTCGCCGGCAGAAACGGGCGATGCGGTACAAGATGGCGCGGTGGACCTCGAGAGCATACTGAACATCGACGAGATTGAAGAGGTAGCTACAAAGCAAATAAGTAGAAAGGCTTGGGCGTATTATTACTCTGCAGGAGATGACTTGGTCAGCAAAAAGTTCAATAACGAGGTGTATAGGAAGATCTTGTTGCGGCCGAGGATCTTCGTTGACTGCGTTAACTGCGATACCTCGACGACCTTCCTGGGGCACAAGGTCAAGCTGCCTATCTACGTCTCCCCGGCCGCAATGGCGCGCCTCGCGCACCCGGACGGCGAGTGGGGTATTGCGCAGGCGTGCGAGCAGTACGGCGCTATGCAGGTCATTTCGCAGAACGCTTCCATGACGCCGGAGCAAATCGTCAAGGATTCGCTGGAAGAGGGGCAGGTGTTTGGGTGGCAATTGTATGTGCAAACTGAGCGGGCGAAGAGCGAGGCGATACTGGCGCGCATGAACAAACTGCCGCAGATCAAGTTCATCTGCCTGACGCTCGATGCGCCGGTTCCGGGAAAAAGGGAGGATGACGAGCGGAGTAAGAATATTGGAAGCAATCTGCCTGTGCGATCTGCGGTGCAACAAGACCCATCCGGAAGCAAGACTACAACCGATTCAAAGACGCCGGAGAAAGCTGTGGGCGTGGGACAGAGCTTGTTCTGGGGCACAGCAGCAGACCTCACATGGAAGACGACATTGCCGTGGCTGGCGAAACATACCGGCCTTCCAATCGTGCTGAAGGGTGTCCAGACGCATGAAGACGCCTACCTAGCGAGTCTTTACGCGCCGCAGGTCAAAGCCATTATACTTTCGAACCATGGTGGCAGAGCGCTGGATACCGCGCCCCCTGCTGTGCACACGCTGCTGGAGATTCGGAAGTATTGCCCGGAGGTGTTCGATCGGATCGAAGTATGGGTCGACGGAGGCATCAAGAGAGGGACTGACGTCGTTAAGGCTTTATGTCTAGGAGCGAGGGGGGTAGGCGTCGGTCGAGCTGCACTGTTCGGCCTCGGAGCTGGAGGCAAAGAGGGAGTCGCAAGAGTATTGGAGAGTAAGTGCTATATCTCTGATTTTCCCTATTTCAAAGAGAATTACGGGCAAGGGAGGCAGCGCCCATCCAGCCCCATGACGTATTCTCCAAGCTCCGCTTCACCTCCCTTATCACGGCTTCGGCTATGGTTCCGCCCGTGCTGACATTTTCATCTATAGTTCTCAAAGCGGAAACCGAGACTTGCATGCGACTGCTCGGCGTGGAGAGGATTGACCAATTGGGAATGCAGCATGTAAGTCGTACCAACAGCAGTCGTTTGCAATATAGGGGCATGTGTAACCTGACACTTGATAGATCAACACGAGGGCTGTGGAAAGGGATATCTATGACGGCCCAGCTGCTTTGGAGAGGCCTAGTCTTGCGTCTAGGATCAAGGCGAGGCTTTAGAGAGATGTAAGATTAGGTGTTGCCCTTCGATCAGCACAGACCCTATCCATGTACCTGCACAGTCTTATGGGCATAGCTACGTAGGAAATATAGGGCTAGAGTTTATTCGACAGGCCATCGCCGATACGCCGTTGTGTAAGATCGCGAGGGCCTAAGTCGGGGTCCATAGATAACGACTTGTAGTACATGCTCAATCTATTCCATACGCGAGGCATCACTACTACCTCTGGCCTTCCAAATATGAAACTAATTGTTACCAGAAGGCAGTGTAATCATTGCGTCACTCGACGTCAGCATCTGAGAACACTCGTGGACCCCTTACACTGCCGTCGGTCCCTTAGCCGATGAGCCACTTCCCGCATGCTTCGCCCCGTTTCCAGTAGCGAGAAGCTTGTGCACCAGTACCACCCTGTTGCTTTGTTTTGATTGGTCAATTGCCCGTTATGTTCTCTTAAGGCGACCTCGGTTCGACCGGGTATTGGGACAGGGCACAAAGCTACGAGTGACATCTCGTGAGAGTCAAATACCCATGCCACCCTCATGGCTCACGAGGGCTCGCACAGCAATATAGAAATCAGGTTTCTGCTGGCCCCGTACGGCCGGCTGGTAGTTTACAGCGTTGTTGCACGAACCAAGGTTATGAATCCTCCCTGTTGTTGTCCAGTTGCAGAGCACTAACCGTTGGCTAACTCCTTGGTCATCATCGCCGGTTGGGTAGTCCGGAACCCCTAGGCAACCGCGGCTAACGATTGCAACATCTTTCCGGGAGAGCTCGAGCTGCCTACGTGGCCGCCAATGCCAGTCTCGCTAGCGAGCATCGTATACTCCTCTATGGCACGCAACGGTGTCTGGGCAGTGCTAAGCTTGCCCCTTCGAGTAGCAATCTTCGCCTTACGGGCCCAATGAGCCTCCATACACACGCTGCAACAGGCAGCCCGAGCTGCTTCAGTGCGTTATTCGCTCCTCGCAATGATCCGCTCCGCGAAGGGGACCTTCCAGCGAGGGGGTAAAAGCCTCACAGCGCCCCTGTCAGCTTCTGTAGGTGCCCGGGAAAGCAGCATCAGCCACCCAACCAGGCTTCAGCCTTACCCACCACTTCGGCTCATGCCAAACGTTCTTGCAGCCGCCACGTGTGTGCTTGCCTTATCAGGTAGACATTACGGAAGAGAGCTCGCTCGCTGCGCCCTGAGGAGGCCGACTTCGTTTGGCCAGTCCCACGGGAGCGTGCTGCGTCCCGCACTGGCCGTTGGTTCCATTCGGCCGCTGCCTGATGGTCTGAAGGCCCGCCAGGCTCCACCGCGCCGTGTCAGTCCATCATGAGAGGGAGGCAGAGGAGAGCGGGCCTCGAGTGACGTTGCCCTCTGACCAGCAAAGGACACCCCAGCTCGCTAATCGCTCGACAAGCGCGCTAGAAGGCTCGAATACGGACGTGATTGCTCCGGACAATTCCAGGAACAGGGCACGGCAGTGCCGTGGGCCCGTCCGCCGTCTGACGACGTCCTTCCATTGCTCCATCCCACTCTCCCGCTGACAATGCTTGCCCAGCAACGTCGCGCGGCACTGGTGCCAACGCCGCAAAGCCACAACCAGAGGGCAGAGACGCGGCCCGGGCGAAAGCCCGTCTCACCACTCTGTGAGCAGTGCCCCCCGCGGTGTTGCCTGTCATGTGTTGCTGCCGTGCGGCAGCGAAGCAATTTCCGACTGTCTGTCATTGACGAGGGGCAGCTGGAGCCGCGTTGAGGTTGAGGGGCCTTGGACTGCTTTTTCTGTGGCTGAGCTGCGCTTCACTATTACGGGGCCCAAGTTTGGGCCATGGACACGGCGGGTTGGCTGTATATAAGGCAGCTGGCTACCGGCTGCCGTTGGCTGTTGTTTCGAACCTCACTGACCGACCACTCCTTCCTGGCTTTCACTCCTTCGTGCCTTCCATTCTGTATACGCCTGTTGCCTCGCCGACTTGCCCTTCAACCTCATACACTCCTTCGCCTTTGCCCTTCTGGAGTTCCTCGTCTGCCCGCGCCCTTGGCACCGACCACGGTTCGACAATGCAGTGCCCAACCTGCTCGGGAAACGGGACTGTCAAGTGCGATCACTGCGGCGGCCACGGGTGTGGCGACTGCAAGCACACTGGGCGAGAGAAATGCCCGGTGTGCGAGGGCAGCGGCGACATCCACAACGACTCGTGATTCCATCCGCTTCCATCCGCATCGGCTTCCGGAAACGTCCCTCTATCACAGCCTAAAACATGTCCGGGGAACGCGTGCTGGGAGATCAGGGATCCCTCGGTATGTTTACACATTGGCATCGGCCCCAATTGCACATGCAGCTGGGCAGTGTTTGTTTGCATCCACCTCAGCCTCTTTGCCCGGCAACACTCGATGGATCCACGGTGCGGTCCTTCAACACCCGCTCCAACGCCCGCTTTCACCATCCAAAGCCGTCTGGCGCCCTCCACGCCGATCTGAATATCGAGGTCCAGTCCGCTGACGTAGGCAGATTGCTTCGCCCATCCTATTTTCTTATCGCAACACGGCTTTGCGACGCTTATCGAACGCTGGGATTGTTGCGTGGTCAGTGGGGTGATGCTGTGCAGCGCGCGGGCGCAAGGGAGCATCACGTGCAGGAGATTATACCCTTTCGAGCACTTTGCGACATGGCGCCGATTGGCCAGACGCAGTTTGACCGTGCTTGATTGGCCGACGGCTCTGGTAAATTGAGATTTGCTGGAATTTTGAGGACGGGGGTTGGTCCTTTGATTTGCTTTTTGTTTGCGGCCGATCTGTGCTATGACGTGGGCTGGCATCTAACGGCTGGGGTTCCACCATTTCGTTTCAACCCCTTTCAACAACACAACTCCAACAACACGGCCCAATTTCCCTTGTGCGAGCGGAGCTCGGCACTCTCATTCGGACACGGCAGTTTCTACCTATTTCCGTCTCATCTCTCTTCAGGTCGCCCGTATTTCGCCTGGCATTAGCGAGGAGGATCTCTGACTCTACTAGCGCGGCGTCGCGGCTGTCTGTCTGTTTGTCAAGTTTCATCATCGCTCAACAAGACCCTGATTTCCTAACATGTTGCAAGGCTAAGCCTGTCTGTTTTGCCTATATTGCACGAAGCGCACGCCACAAGTTCCACAAGGATGCCAGTCCCGGTTGTCGGATGCTGCTCCTTGGATGGCGTTTCGTTTCAATTCCCACCTACCTAGGCCATGTTCAACCGTCGTCACCGACAGGCATCCCAAGATCTACGGCGATCCACAGCAATACGAACGTCTCATCTATTATTGCGGCGAGGCAGTCCACCTTGGCAGAAAGAGCAGGGCAAAGCCTCCCTCACGCACAGCCACCTACCATGCATGCGAAGCTGGCCATACACATCTATCAAACCGGAAACCCCCAAAAGCCGCGCTCAGATGTCGATCAAACCACTTGATCGTTCCTTCGGCTTGCGGCATCCCGGATTGCCAGCGATGCTGACGCTTTAGCCCCGCCTGGGTACGAGGTACATATGCCGACTTTGCCAGAGTCAATGTCATGATGGGACGAGAAGGAGAGAGGATGCCGCGAGGCTGCGATTCCACGGCGGCTTCGCACTTCTAGGGGATTCCTAGAAGGCTGCCATCGATCCTTCCGCAAGCGTTTTGATCCTAACTCGGTTTCAACGACGAGTTTGATACACTTAAGGAGGCCCTCACATCACGAACTGCTGCTCAGACTTGGACCAGCCAGCTACGCGCATCCCAGTAGGACGCCTGACATTGCACTACGCTAATGTACGTTTTGGAGAGGATCCCGTGTTCCCACTTTACCAGTGAAGGGTTCTAGAAGCGGAAACGAGATGTTTCGACACTCCCCGGAAATCTGAATTCTGTCCTGAGCTCCGGTGACACATGCCTGAGGCTTGCCGTTTTCAATCTTTAGAGTATGATACTGTTGGCGGGATCTATTTTATCCATAATCGTAACGACAAGAGCATATGTAGTGTCCTGGACGGGAAAACAGTGCAGCTTCCCAATTGAGATTGGCTGATGAACGATTCCTACCATTAGGCGGAAAGGGCGCTTTGTGACGCTCAGAGGCACACCTGGATCACATGTCAGTCCATCGCCTCGCATTCCATCGCCATCATTGAGTTCAGAGGATTAGTGCACCGCACACCGAGCTATGGAGTCACTTTTAATATCTTTTACCAGAGAAGAGAGCATTAGGTTGACTACAAGCAGTTTGTGACATGTACTGCAACACCGGTTGCAGTAGTCCATCGCTTATTGAGCAAGTCCTTTTCATTCCTGCAACATGCTACTGTAGCTGCACAGTTTTAGTTTGAAGGAGAGAGGATGCGAGGCGCGAAGAGAAAGGTGTCATACCGAAGTGGTTGCGTGAGATGCTTCGCCCTCCCGGCGCAGACATGAATTGCATCACCTCGTCAGCAGGTTCATGTTGATATTCTGAGGGTTTGAGGCGGGCACATCTTTCTCCGCTAGAGCACCTTTTGGCGGCGATAGCTTTATGGGTGTCTCCTTCCAGCAGTTCATATGCGCGGTAGCGTCCTATATTTAGACAGCCCAGCTACATCGAACTCTCGGTATATCTCTTTTTGGACCGGCATATGATGGCGTGTAAAGAAGCGGCGCCAGGAACGTAGATGCGGAGGGCTTTATACCCCAACTCTCCATTGATTCCCCTTCCTTACTCAGAGATATCAGGCGGGTCCCACTATGCAAAATCTGCTAACCTCCTTTTCGCAAAGCCAGCACTGTCGCCGTCACATGCTTTAACGGTCTAGGCGTGCCTGAGCTCCTGTTCTCGCAACGTGACACATGGAGCGAGTGCAAGCGGTCTTCTAGTTCCCGCTCATAAGTGAAGGCAAGCGACTTTGAAAGATGCCGAGCTTCCAGCTCTTCATTGCGCATCCTGGAGCCCTTTAGCGGATTTTGCAGCGGCCAAAATACGAAAACCAACCGCGTGCGTAGGCCTTCAGGAGCGAATTTGCAGAGTTCAGAATAAATATGCGCACTCGCAGCCAGATCCTGTATTGTCGCTCACGCTCAAACAACCCCTATCGCCGTAGCTTTTGCCCCGTCCTTCAACCAAAGCTCATCGTTGATCGTCCCATCCATGAAAACAGGACCCATCAGCGCGTGCTTTGTCTTATACTATAAAAAAGAATAAACAGTTACTAGCGGTACTGGAACCCTGAACCTGTTAATTAAAAAAAAAAAAAAAAAAAAAATTTTCTAAGCGCTATTTCTAACATGAAGGGTATCGCAGTACCGACCATAAGGTCCCACTCGAGGCGGCATCAGTTGTACTTTTAGCACTTTGTGATGGATTGGTGAGAGCATTGGTAAATCTTTTAATATATATATATACCAGCGGAACAGAAACTCATAATACAAGAAAAATACGATCCAAAGTTTCAATCGCCCCAGGTCCAATGCCCAATAACCTTAACCCAAAAGAAATTAACACTCCTGCGCGACAGTTTCATAGTGCCCTCAATGGGCAATTGTAGAGCATCTGGTCGTGCGCTTTATGGGTGCGATATGCGGCTACTGTTTCTTCAACCTCAATTGCGCATGCAATAAGAACTGCAAGAAAAGCCAGATCGTAACCAAATACTGATGATTCTCATTGAGATTGACGCATCTACTCTTGCAACACCATGTCCCTCCGTCGTGCTATCCTAGAAAGAAACCGAGATCGATCTATATCTGGATCCGACGCCTCAACCACACCCGCCGTATAACCAACCATGCCTATCCCGGAGGAGTAATACTAACAGCCATCTTGAAACACCCATAAACGAATTTTTGTGCAGGAAAGAAATACCTCATGCTAAATATAACGAAAAGTCGCGAGGACCGGACGCCCTTTCGCCGTTGCTTGTGTAGTGTTGCATAAATAGAAGGTGGCGCTGAAAAGCGCATCGCCATGGTAGTAGAACGGAGAGCGACAAAAAGAAAAAGAATTAAAATAGTGATAGAAGGAAAGAAGAGCCCGAGCTGTGTAAGTATGGTATATAACATGCTCCTTCTGCCCATGAGATGAACAAAAACAAACCGACGGCGCCCCGATGTCCCCCGTAACCATGCATGCAGTAGTAATGGTAAATCGGGAAATGGACGAATGGAGGCCGATTCGACAAAAGTATATGCGCAAGGCCGTGTCTTCTCTTTCTTCGTAATGTATAATATCTACGAGGCATTCTCGTCGCTGACGACGCTGGGCGGAGCAACGATGTCCTTATTAGTAGAAGGAGATGAGTGTACAGGTTCGTCAACGGTCGACGTGTTCGCGCTTGGGAGAGATATGCTCTGGGGGCTCTGTGCCTCGCTCGTGAGAGGAGGCGTGGGCGGACTATCGGTCGGAGAACGAAGCGAGGTGGCTACAGTGGTCGTGGACGAGACGCTGTCAACGCGCTGGAAGCGGTACATTTTCTTCTCGACCTGAGGCAACAGTAAGAAACTATTCGGCCCAAGATAGGAGATCGAGATACGTACGGAGAGAATCTGCTTGCCAGAAACGATCTTCTTGGCCTTCTCCAGCTCGGGCTTTAGTACCGCAACGAAGTCCTGGAAATCTCGATAACAGAGCGTGTCCATCATCTTCTCTGTGCCATTGTTAGTCATACTTGACGACAGACGGGATTAGGGTGGCCTTACGAATGACGTAGTTACCATAGCCGTCCTTGATCAAAGTCAATAGGCTGTTTTCGCCTCGCTCATTCTTCTCGATGATGGTAAGCATGATCCCCCGGCGCTGGTCATCAGTTCCGTGAAGTAAGCACTTCTCGACCACGTTGCTTGCAAACTTGTGCTTTGAGAAGACGAGAAGCTGAGCCTTAACGAGTGCGATGATCTTCGCGCGATCCTCTGGTAATCCGTGCTCGATGACGTGCTGCGTAACGTAGTTGCCGTACTGGTCGGATATGAGCTTAGGTCCTTCTGCATGAAGCTCGGCGAGGATGAATCTTCGTTGGGGTTCCGGGACCTTCTCCAGCAACCGCTGAATGACGCGACAGCCGTAGGAATGTACGGCGAGAGCGCCTACTTGGCCTTGGAATGCCTGTATGATGTTCTGAATATAGTCGATGGGCACCCGTTCAATAACCTTCTGAATAACGTGGTTGCCGTTCTGATCCTTGACGCATCTCAGCACATCTTTCTCGAGCTCCTGTACGATGGACGCTTGCTGGTCGGTCAGAACGTGCTCAAGAGCCTGGAAAAGTTAGCTTATGATAGAGTGAATGTGGACTGAAAACCTCACCTTCTGCACCACTCTGCAACCGTACATTCCCGTGGAGAGTTGTTGTATGTGGCCTTTCATACGATTCGCAAGGAACTTCTTCTGAGTCTGGTCGCCATGTTCGAAGAACTTCTGGATGACGTAGTTGCCGAACACATCCTGCATTAGCTGCAAGCAGTTCTCCTGCAGTTCCCGGAATACCTTGTCCTTTTCGTCGCTGTTCGCACTCTCGAGCTTCTGCTGAATGAATCGCGATCCATGCTGGTCTCCGCTGAACTCCACAATATAGCCGTAGATGTCCTTCAAGTCCACCCGGCGGTTAGTCTTGCTGGCCTGTTTGAAACTGTACAAGACGGTACTCATGGCGCCTAGCTCAGGTGGATTACTGTGGTCGCGTGGAGCCTTTGGCGGATCGATCATGGGAAGCACTCCTTGAATGGGGGGGATTGCGTTCATTGCAAGATTGGGAGGGAGGCTGTTCAGGGGAATACCTGGATTAGGAACGGCGAACTGGTAGCCATACGAATTCCGGAGCTGGTTGGCGGCTATTATGTGCTGAAACTGTTGCGGATGGTATTGATTTGGGTGGATGTAGTTGCGCCGCTCTTGTTGGAGCTGATAGCCTTGCAGCTTGCTTTGCACAAGCGCGAAGTTGTTGGTATTTGACAAAGTCTGGTCGGCCCGCGAAGGATACAGATGGTCGAATACCGGCGGTGTATGCGCATGGGAGTAGAGCGGGCTCTGACGGACAGCAGACCCGTTTGGTGCGCTACGGCTGTCGAAGTTGAAAGCTCGGAATTGAATGCTCGGGTCGCTAACATGTCCGTTAGTGTAACTGTCTGGGGTATAGGTCCCAGAGATCCCATAGCCGGCATCATCAGTCCTTCCCAAAGCTTGAGCATCTGCGAAGTTGTCGCGTGGCAGATGCGGGTCGTTGGCGGCAGGGCTGAAAGCCGGAGCAAGTCCGTTGATGCTCACTGATGGCCGGTGCGACATCATTCCTGGATCCGGGTCATGCTCAAGGCTCAGCCGCCCAAGCATCTGGAGCGAGTCGCTCTGGATCGAACCACTTCGCTCCTGGAAAGCACGGCCGTTGGCAACCGAGAAGGAGGAATGTTGACGTTGGCCAGCTTGAGTATATCTTGGGTACGCATCCGCGTTCTGATTGAGCGGGACAGGTTCATTGCCGTGCCGGGATGGCGGCAGGCTTCCACTCCGTGAAGGCGCAGCACTTGATGGACCAAAATACTCCGAAGCTGCCACGCTTCGCCTATCATCATTAGGAGAATGAACCGAGGCGGCATCGTGCCATGACGCCGCTGAAGCCTCAGACCGTTGCGGGACCTCGACCTGACCATATCCAAAGGTAGGAAATCCGTTGGCACCTAAGGCATCTATTCGGCGGGTGGAGGTGAAGTTCATGGACGTAGGGTCAAGGAGCGGCTTTGGCGGCTTTGCAACGGGCGCCTGGCCGACCGCAGCCGGCCTGGACACGGGAAAGTAGTTTGACGAAGAAGTGTCTGCGTACTGCTGGGAAGGCTCTGGCTGGGCAGCAGACCTCTTTCGCGCGGGAGAGACGCCTGAGCTTCGGACGTGGGGCATGCTGGCTGTGGTGCTGTCCGCCCATGGAGAGCGGTTGTGAATCCAGCCGTCGGACTCAGACGATGCGACGAGGGAGCCCGATCCGGTCTTACCCTCAACAAGATCCGACGGCGCGCCCATGAAGGTGCCATTCTCTGCTTGAGCGTTAGCCTTGAGGCACATAGGCGAAGTCTGAGTGCGAGGGATACCTCGAGGCCGCGAGCTGTCTCGCGCTGTGGAACCGAAGCCGGAGCCTATGGAACTGCGATTCCATATACTGCCTCCCCAGCCAAGTGTTGTGTGAGATGCGCGATCGTTATCAGCGCCATTGATTGAGACACCACCAGTGTAGTCGCGCGACCGAGCCTAAGCATACGTAGTCAGGTAGCTGCCAGCATTATAGTGGAATTGCAGGACGCACATTACTCGCCATGCCGGCCATGCTGCGACCAACGGCTCTGGGTGTGGAGTCTGTATCCACAGGAATATGTCGAGTTGCGACTTGGGCGCAATACTTGCAGGGGGAGTTCAGAAAGTGGAGCGTGGGGCGGCTTATATATGGGTGGAAGCTGAGCTAGGCCCCAGGCGTCAGCATGCGGACTTTGTGTGCACAATCCGCGATGTCGAGGGCACGACGTACCGACAGTAGTCTTCAGGGATAGGGTGGGTACAAGAAGAAGAATATGCGTGGTTATGGTACAGGGAGACGCGGAGGGCGAGCGAAAGGAGCGCGCCGCCTGGGGGCCGCAGGGAAGGGCGGCGCGAGGGTTGATATGTGCAGTCTCGCAGAGGCACCCCTTGGATTCGTGCAAGGTGGACGGGCTCGCTCTGGCTAACCGCTGTGCATGCTAAACTCGAAGCGGTGGTGTCGCGCGCCGGGCGGGGAACGCATCAGGGTGCAGAGGGTGCAGAGGGTGCAGTCGATTCTCCTCCAGCGGGCCGGCAGACGGGGGACGCAAGGGCGACAGGCTGAAATAATTGCGGAATGGGCGCGCTGGCGATGCGCCGGGCGGCGATGGAGCACTCAGGAGCGCGGCGCAGGTGCGGATGGCAGCGGGCGGCGGGCAGTGTTGGAGGAAAGCCGGCAGGGCGCTGGGTGAGGTGTGAGGGCGGCGTGGGAGCAAGAGGTCGCGAAAGATGCGATGGTGAATCGACCCCAGATCGTCGGCGCTCGGTTCAGGGAGGCTAGATTTAGCGTCCGCCGCCTCCAGCGCACCTCAAATGTCCGCGCCGGCACGTCTGGGTCGCTTGCTCGTCCCAAAATACGCCCGCGCTCACGCTCTCTCAACAGCCAGGGCAGAGCTATTGCGGCGGAGAAGCGCGATGTCTTGCAGCGCTCTGCGCAGCGCCGGCCCGGCTGTATTGCTCGCGTGTGCCAAGCGCAGGAGGAGCTCCCCCCAGGATGTGCGGCGACGCTATCTCGACGATCCAAGGCACGATGGCATGCTGATGGCAGAGGGTGAGACAGTGCCCTCGCATATGAACAGGAGACGCTCGACTATGTACATGATGGATCCGTTTCACAAGGTGCCTTCCGGCCCGGCCCCCTCTCGTCTGCTCCAGCCTTCGTGCCGCGCCCTGATGGAGACGGCCGGGCTGGCTCTATGCCTCGCGATAGTTGGATCCATGGATGTTTGCCCCCTCCTCGCCTGGGCCAACCCACGCTCACCATGTGTGCGCCTCTGGACCCTCTCGCAGCCGGAACTGAGTGTGGCTGCTGCAGCAAAGGCCAGGCGCGTCACCAATTGGGCCCTTATATTACGGCCAGCGGACGAATGCAGAATTGTTCAGAAGAGTGCTTTGGTCTGGTCGCCGCCCCTTCGTACGCCGTTCTTCCATCATCTTAGATACATTACTGGCGGGAGCCAGTCTAGCTGCACAATCCGCACGGCGAGTGTAGTCGTATGTAAAAACCCCACGGCAGGTGACCTCGATCATCCAGGACAGCTCCCTGCAGGCTGCAAATCGGATCCGGCGCGGAGACTAGAGCACCAGAACTCCACTCTGTACTCAATTCGTGCTGCATGGGCGCGTTGGCGAGCATAGCAAACTGCTACCACTGGCCGTGCCTACGGAATACCTCGTCGGGAGACATGGCAGCCATATCGGAACCACGCCTCGCCGTTCTCGAACGAGAGCCCTTTTCGAGCATTAGCCCCCGCGTGAAGCAGTCCTCTTGCAGCTGTACACCGCTCTTCGCTTCGTCTGAGTGCCATTGTGGTACAAAGCACCGACCATCAGAACAGCGACTGTTTGCCGAATGCTCTCTCACCATTGGCCCTCCCAGCGCGCTGCACCAAAGCACTGTCGAATTCGGACGCATATCGGGGACGTGCGTCATAAATTCCTGCGAAGGAGTATCATCGGCGCGGATTCTAGAAGCGATGAGGCTGCACGATGGAACATGCTCAGGAGAGGTGTTGTCACACCTTCCAAGGCACGGACTTGGCACTGGAAGAGAAGGCATCCGCTGAGATGTGGCCTCGGAAGCTGCGTTGCGGCGTCTCAAGGCATGCAACACCTGGAGCCTCGGGCGATTCAGGGCGCAGTTGGAGAGATCGGAGGTGTCTGAGGCTTGGTGGAGCCAGTCCCTGGCGGCGCTTGTGCGAGACTAGGCGGTGTTGACCCTTGGGATAGTTCCAGCAGAACTGGAAAACATGCCCACTAAAATCGGAGCGAGCTGGCTACACCGTTCCGTAGTGCGAGGCGCGGGTGTTTAAAGAGGGAATCAATAGGTACGGACTTGGTTGACAAAACGCTCACTACTACGCATACTCCGTTGCAGGCATCCCGGAGTGGCTTTCGGCAGGCCGAGGAACCCACTCAGAATCCACGCGGCTGTCATTTTGCAATAATGAAGCCGCTACGGAGAGTACGCGGGTCCTTTTGACAGCTGTCGAAAGGAGGATGCTGGTCGGAAGCTGGAAGTGCCGCTGTGCTGTGACTGGGGCACGCCCGCTGTTCGTCTCAGCTGTCGAGGCCGCCACGTTGCTGTCATTGCCCAGGTAAAACATGGCTTGTCTCGTCAAGAATAAGCTTAAAGCAGTTGCAGAATGCATTGCCATATAAAATCTGGGGAGCAGCCCCGGCCGGCTGTCGTCGCGTGGTGGTTGCCAGAGTGCACTCGTTTGTCGAATCAGCCTAATTCGCTGCATCCTCGTCAGTCTCTCGCTTCCCCTGCAGGGCCGTCTAACTCGAACACTCCTTTGCCTGCGCTGTCGTTCATTTGTTTGTTGCGTGTTGTTTCCGCGGTGCGAAAACATCGTCGTCTCCTCGCCCTGCCACAGTCGCTGGACGGCGTCGGCGCGTACTGTTATAAAAAAAGGATGCGTTGGAGCGGTCACCTCAGCGCCAGTGTTATTGCCAGCACCGCTTTCGGATAGCGCGCGCGTTTAGCGGTCAATTTGGACCAGGGCAGCTTCTTCCTCATTTCCGATTCGCCCGCTAAGGCAAGAACCGTCATTTACGACCGTTGGCCTAAGCTCCGTTAAGCTCCTTGAAGGCAGCCTCGCTGAGCAAAACCGATCCATCTCCCCTTCTTCCTTGCTCCTCTTCCCACCTTGCGCCGCCCCCCTCTCCGCACATTCTTTCGCTGCAGCAGTATCGCTTCACTCTTTCAGTGATACCTGCATCCATTCATTCGGCTCTAAACCACATTCCCTCGCCATTACGTGTCCCTGCTTCTGATAAGGTGCGTTCGCGCGGCTCTCCGCTTACATTCCGCCAAGCAGCTCTCTCCAGATCATAACACGGCGACAATTGAGTGTGCTAGCGAAGAAGCAATTCGTACTGACATGGAGCCAGCTAATTCGCTCCTTAATTGCTATTATCGACGACCGCATCATCTATCAGCACCATCGCAACGCTATAACGACCCGTCTACCACCCTATATCTACCACAATGAAATCCATCCAGCTCCTCGTGGTGCGCGGAGATGAACAGAAGGGCGGCCTCGACCCGACCATGGTCAGCCTTCTGGTGTCGCTTTTGGTCCTGGTCATTCTCGGAATGGCCTTGATCGGTGCGCTATTGTTCCTTCGGAGCATGCGCAGGGCAAGGAAGCAAGCAGAGGCTCAACTCCCGCTGTACGAGAAGAGGCAGTCGAACCATCGCCGCTTGACCATTACTGCGACACCATATGGCAAGGGACGCGAATCGGTCCTGGTTTTCCAGGAGAAGCAGAACCTGATGGACAACTCCTCCAGCCCTCCACCAAGCCCGGTCCCTGAGATTCGCATCACTTTTCCTGACGAGGTGGACGAGTCCGGCAAGCGACAGTCTGGTCGCGTTGTCGTTGTTCGAGTTGGAGAGCACAGCGTCGGCCTGGAGCCTTTGCAGGAGGAACTTCCGCCGTATCAGCGCGATGCGTCGGACCGCTTCGACTCGCTCGATCTTGATCGCCTTGGTGGACTGAAAGAGAAGGACGACAAGTACTACTCGTGAGCTGCGGGCTCCCGACTAGCGCCGACCGAACCGCCTCGCCATACCGTAATCCTCGAACAAATGCCGCTTGGCTACGACCTTGATATCTTGATGACGGCTTTTTTGCGCTGATTGTCAAGTTGGATACCCTTCTTCTGGCCCGCTGCCATTGTCGATCGGTGGCTCTGATTGTGGATATGGCTCGGGCCGTGGCTTCTAGCCCGTTGTATATTCTCGGAGATGTATGGCTTTCTATGATATGGACCCTAGCGTCTGAGCCATCTCTCTACGGAGGTTATGTCCTCCTACATAGCTTTATTCTCTAATGTATGATATGCCCTCTAGCGTCTGCTTAAAGTAGCGAGGGAGTAAATACACATTCTACCAACACATCCGTAAACCTTTCAGTTCTCTGTAATGTACGTGTATAACAATCTGAGGAAATTCGGCGAGTCATGTTGGACTGTAGCTCTGACGTCAGTCAGCGCTCAATTTCGAGAAGTTTGAGACGCGTCGCGGCGACCGGAGAAACAGATCTTCCGAGTGTCCATCTCTCGACCCAAGGAATCGTAATAAGCGGCTGCATCCATGTTGTTTCTTACTTAAGTCTAATGGGTGCGCGCGATTAGGACACTCCAATGGATAATGGCGAGCCTCTGCCATCCTACGAAGGCATCGCGGCGGCCTTCGCAAAAGCCAAAGCGGAAAAGGAGAAGCAAGAAGCTCAGGGTCTGAAGCCGACGACTGGAGACGCTGCGAAAGCGAACAAACAAGAAGAGGTCCACTTCAAAGCTGCCCACGGCATATTGGTCGCTTTCTTTACTTGGATCTTGTACGACTAGCCCTACATCGAGACACAAAGCCCCGCTAACACAACGCAGCATTCTCCACGCCCTCGGCATTTACCTCTTCACGAGCGGTTTCCTCCTCACCAGACTAGTGCTCGAGCAGAAGTCGCACTGCTCAGTACCGCCCATTGATACCACGCGTTCGTACACATCCGGATCGCCCGAGACGGGGTGCTGGCATCCCAAAAGTTTCGAGAAGGCCATTGTCATAATTGTAGACGCCCTCCGCTATGACTTTACGATTCCCTTCCCTGCCGAAGGCTCCGAAAAGCCCCATCACTTCCACAATGCGGTACCGGTATTTTACGAGACCGCGGTCAACCAGCCACACAACGCCTTTCTCCTCCCTTTCATCGCCGATCCTCCAACTACAACGTTACAAAGGTTGAAGGGACTCACGACCGGAACGCTACCTACGTTCGTAGATGCCGGGTCGAACTTCGCGGGGACAGCGATAGATGAGGACAACTTGATAGCGCAGCTGCGGAACGCTAGCAAGAGGATAGTGCATTTGGGCGACGATACGTGGCATGCCCTGTTCCCAGGCTACTTCGAGCCGAACCTCACACGCGCGTACGATTCGTTTAATGTTTGGGACCTACATACCGTGGACAATGGAGTCACGGACCATATGTTTCCGCTCATGCATTCCTCCAACACGAGCAAGTGGGATGTCATATTTGGACACTACCTCGGAGTTGACCACGCGGGGCATCGATACGGACCAGATCATCCCGCTATGACCGCGAAGCTCAACCAAATGGACGAGATCTTCCGCAGAATGATCGACCAGCTGGACGGCACTACTCTGCTTGTAGTTATGGGTGATCACGGAATGGATGCCAAAGGTGACCATGGCGGAGAATCGGACGATGAGATCCAAGCTGCGCTCTGGATGTACTCGAAGCAGAAACTGTTCGGCCGTAGCTCACCGGCCTATGTGACGCCTCCGGCCACAGCAAAGGAGAGGCCAGTTGCTCAGATTGATCTCGTGCCCACCTTATCCCTCTTACTCGGAATGCCTATTCCGTTCAACAATCTCGGGAAGCCCATCGAAGAAGCGTTTATTGGAGCTAAGGGCGAAGATTATGAGAATCTCGCCATCGTGAACCGTCTCACAACTGCTCAGATCCATCGCTACCAGCACGAATACGCCCTTGCCCGTGGGATCGATGAGAGCACCAGGGCAGGCTCATTGTCCCTCTGGTCTGCTGCGAACGATGCGTGGAGCTCGCTCGAACGGAAGAAGAAGCCTAGCCGTGATCAGTTTAGGGACGTCTACTCGGCCTTTTCCGCATATCAACAAGAGACACTAAGCATATGCCGCGCCTTGTGGGCAAGGTTCGACATCCCGAGAATGCTGAATGGAGTCACTATCCTTGTTCTGACATTGATCATCCTGGCAGTCTACGCCCGCGGCTTGGAGGGAGATCGATCAGAGTTGACCCCCGCTCTCCTAGGGCGTGGAGGTTTTGGTACCGTCTTAGGTTGCGCTATCGGCTTTGGGGCTACCTTTGCACTTCCTGATGTCCCAAAGGAGCATGTGTTCATATATGCCGCAGCCATTGGTGGTACGGTTGGTATCGCCTCAGCCTTCTGGTACATCAGGCGAAGGCTCGCTTCGCCATTGCCAAACTCTATTTGGGGTTGGGTAAGCGTTGTGTTCACGCTTGCACTATCCGCCGGCTTTGCTGCAAATTCATTCACTATCTGGGAGGATGAGATACTCCTCCATTTCCTCTGTACCTTCGGTGCGCTCACCGCAATATCCTCGTTCCGACAGAAGAAGACGTCTGATCGAGCGCTGGGATGTTACCATTCCATTCTTTTCATTGTCCTCACCCGGGTAGCATCATTCTCCCGACTCTGTCGCGAGGAGCAGATGCCCTACTGCAAATCGACCTACTACGCCTCCGCTACCTCATCGACGTCTGCCCCGTGGCAACTAGCGATACCATACGTCGTTGCCCTACTCCTACCTATCTTCATTCGAGGCTACTACGAAGGTACTATGTCCTACCAAGGTTCCGCGATTCTGTGGCTCGGCTTTGCTCTTCGGTTTGGACTCCTGCTTGGCGCCGCGTACTGGACCCTTGATGCTGCCGATGACGGTGACTGGTATCCAGGATACGGAGAGATGCTCAAGACGACTAAGATCGTCATCGCCCAGATCGCGTTAGCCATCGCTCTCGCTTTTGGATACTCTACCTTCAATTGGGCTAAGCCCCTCCTCAACATCGAAACGAAGTCCACTGCCAATGGAGACACCTCTGGGCAAATCGTGGCTGACGGCGGCCGAACATCGATAACTATCTTGGGCTACGCGAATGTGCATGGATCCAGATACGCACTCCTCATCACAATGTGGTGTCTCGCTATCGCTCTAGTAGAGAAACCCATGGGTGCCGGTGCCATCGGTATCGCGACCTGGCAGGTTTTTTCACTGCTCGAAATCATTGACACGAACAAGCTTTCCAACAGCTCTATCGGGCCCGTTGTCCTCGGTCTCCTTGGCTCCTATCATTTCTTCAAGACAGGCCACCAAGCCACTCTCTCCAGCATCCAGTGGGAAACCGCCTTCATTCCCCTTCGGACAATTCGGTACCCGTGGTCCCCTCTCCTCGTTATCCTCAACACCTTCGGTGCGCAGATCCTCTGCGCTGTCGCCGTCCCCGCACTCGTCCTTTGGAAGCAGCCGCCCAAGAAGAAAGGCTTGCTGGGAGACGTCGCGAAAGCTGTCGGAACGCACATCCTCTTCTATGCCGTCATCAATCTCGCGACAACCATGTGGGCGGGACACTTAAGGCGGCACCTGATGCTGTATCGCATCTTTAGCCCGAGGTTCATGACGGGCGCTCTAGTGCTATTGGTTGTAGATGTGTTTTGTATATTTGTGGCTATTGGTGGGACACGCATGAGCTTTTTGAGTGTTGCAGAGGTTTTTGGGTGGACTTCGTGATGGGATGTGCTCAAAATTTGGGCTAGACTTGCCCGAAGAGTGTAACTGATACTGCATGGTTGGTATGGACTGGCATCGCGCAAAGCCTAGCGATTTTCTTTGGTATAGAATCGACTTCACTTTTGAACTTCTCCTTTACACCTGCCACCGCCTCTTCGAGCGGTTTCATTTGGTTAGTTGAACGATGTCCAGTAGTGTCTCGGTCGCTCCTTCCCTTCCTTTCCCGGCTCCTACCGTCAGATGCCTTCACCGCCAGTCCCTATACACCGCTCCTCAGCAGCAGTCTCTTTCTCTCACCTCTCCTCTCGCTGGAAGCGGGGTCAGACGTCACCTCCAGTTGCTAGCGTTCCGTTCCCCTCTATATAATCACTCTCGCCGGCTCTGCTTCTTCTCTTCTCCACCACACTACAACACCACGCTTCGGCGCCAGATTTGTCAAGCCGTTGGGCTCACAGCAGGCCTGGAGGTCTCTTCGCTCTTCTACGAATACTGGGAGCTCTCGATTGAGGTTAGCGCAGATATCGTCCTAACGGGCTGTGGTGGAGTGGAGATATAGGTGAAGGTGAGATGACAGGACGTTTTAAGTATATGACCTGATCTCTCCCCAGCCGGGCCTCCTCTCAAATACGACGACCGCACACGCATTTGGCCCAGGACAGCTCGAGAAGCGCTGCTCCCTCGACAAGCTGAGCGAGCGGGTACAGTAAGTCCCTCTCCATGTTGTCTGCTCTTGTGCGATATTGTGAGAGCGCTGCTAATTTGCTTCCCTAGCATGTGATTTCAGAATCCTTGGACCATTTTCTATCCGGCTGGGGATAGAGTAGCGGAATCACGTCCACAACCCTTTGCTGTCCAGGCGCAAATCGAGGGAGGTCCCAGACGATAACACCACTACCACAGTTACCCCTCCACCATGCCTGGAGCGAAGGGAGCCAATAACATACACGCATTTGAAGCTGCTGTGGGGCGTGCAGCTGACTGCAATGGTTTCATAGTTGGCTCGCTTCAATCGAGTCGCTCCGAGCCCAGCGATACGACAGATGACGGTCAGTCACATAGCCACTTTGTCGCTCCCAGAGACGCACAAGGATTGAAGATGCGCTTTTTGGATCGGATCGCAGAGGCTTTCTCGGGTCATAAAGCTTGGAATGTCGCTGCCATGGCCATGATGAGAGAGGATGCCGAGAAGCAAGTCGTACAAATTCGGCTTATCGGATATCATGGCAAGCCCAGCAGACAGCATGATGAGATGCTCACCGCCATGGGAGATACTCTCCGGCGCATCCACCAGCAATGTCACGGTAGGTCCAAAAAAAAAACTGCAGGTTCCTAGCTAACACATGCAGACAAAGTACCAACCGGGGGGCGGGACAGTCTCTGGGCTCTGCTGCTGTCCTCCTACGAGTTGAGGTTGCGACAATATGTCAACGACATTCGTGCAATATTTGAGCTCCACAAAACCGCCTTCGATGATATGGTCAGCACGCTCTTCGGAGCGCTGGATGAGTTCCCCTCAGACCTCGACCGCGAGCTTGGAGACCACGTCATCGCACTCTATAGTCAAATCTGCGCACTTCCAGCTCAGCAGATGACCGTATCAGACTTTGAGGCCGTCATATGGAAGGCCTCCTTGATGCTACGGTTGCCCGGCTTCGAAGGGCGGCTAAGGCCTCTCCTCGGGGGTTCTTCGTTTGCGAATAACCTCTATAAGTGTCTCGTCCAACTGGCCAAACCGAAAAGGGCGTTTGACACCGCCGTACGGACTGCGCTCGCTTTCTCCACATTTTCCTGCGTCACAGTCCAGCAGGGACTACCAGGCCCAGAGCGACTCCACCCTGAACCTGCGAGCCAGGCTCACAGTCGTACATCGAAAAGCCCAAGCTTGCCGTTAAGCGTCGAGAAGTCTAAGCGCCTACAGGCGTATGAAGCCGCGGCCAACAGCCCTTCAAATTTGGTACCGGATATTTTTCAACTGGCTCTCGCCTTTCTTGCTCCCGAAGACTGCAACGTGGGCCATAAGCGGTTGATGCCAGTGGAAAAGCAACAGGCCTTCGAACTCCTCGTGTCGCTGCGTAACCGGGAGAACCCACGCCCGGGTACATGCGCATATTACGCGTTCGGATACCCATCCGCCAGCAACGACGACGAGGCCATGGCATTAGGCGGTCTGTACGCGACGCTTCTACAAGTGGAAGGCCAAGAGAGACAGATGTTCGAAGAATTATGGGTCGCCCTTCGTGATAATGCGTTAGTGGACTACTTCGACCAACGTGGGTGGCAGTGTTTTCGGCGCGAGATCCCATGCGCCGAAAAGTTCCTCAACACGCCTCCAAGCAGTAGAGAAACCGTCTGGCGGCTGATCGAGTTCCTCCGGGATGAGCAGGCCACCGAACCTCCCCGAGCGCTCAAACGCGACTATGGATTTCATATTTGCAAGACGCGCGAAGAGGTGATCTTCTTAAAGGATATGCTCAAGGACCTCCTCGCCTCCCTAGGTCCTAAGAAATTGCACGAGGCGTGCATTCATGGTAGGCTTCAAGAAAAAGCTGTCCGTGCCAAGGTCACCATCAAACCGCAGTACCGGAGGCTTTTGCGGAATCACTATCCTTATCCAGGTCTGGGCTATGAGAAGTTTAAAGACGAGTACGAATTCGCCGAGCCGCTCTTTAAGAGACCTCTGCGCAGATAGCGGCTCGACACGCCGAACGAACAGTAATAGAGGATGATGCCGATGCGTTTCGGTACCCATTCTCTACCCTAAAGGGTACGATACCTTTATTATACAAACATCATCGCCCCAAGGCGATTGGCCTGCGACTTGGGACCCAAACCACGATCTTTGCCAATTTCACAGCTTTTGTGTCCATTAATCTCGGAACTTGTACGGACATCAAGACTCCATTGCATCTACTTGATCGCATCTTCGGAATTTTCGAAAAAGCTACTCGATTGAATGAATGGCGCTGAAGCCGTTCCAAAAGAAGTGGTCACGAAACCCACATGCACTGAATTGGAAACGTGCGGCTTCTTCAATGTCTAATTTTGGAAACCCCTCTCCGAAGGCGTCGATTGCATATAAACCATAGATCAATTCTGCACCCGTGGGTTTTGGATGGGAGGCCACACTGTGGACTTTGTAAGATCATGCGAATGGCTAGGGGGGCATTTCGCCAAAATGGCGATCACTTCGATTTTTGACCTCACTCCATATGACGAAATAGACCTTGAATAGAAAAAGTTATCACTTATCATCTAGAACTCTCCCACTCTACATTCCTACGAAACTGTGATTTTTGTCCCCGACTGCACGGATCCCCAGTCGCATACTCAGCTCCAATAGTCTAGCTAGGCCCACGCAATGTCCTTTGCGAACGAAGTGGCACATATCAACGTCTACCGCGCTGTGACTTCCGTGTGGCGCGGCCATGCACTCACTCCTCATCTCCTACTGCGCCTCGAGTAACCGCGAGCGCTTCAAGCCTTGGAACAGTCTCGTAGAACACTCAATAGAGGGTCATATGGGATGCACATACCCGCTCTTGATCTCCGCCGATAGACACGAAGCACAGCTTCTGCCAATCGCGTCTAAGTCGACGACATCAAACTGGCAATACATCCGTTCAGAAGCCGAATACCTGTCAGTGTGTGATATATGCGCGTGTCTCTTCAAGTGGTTGATTTACCGATCGCTACAGTGCAATACGCAAATGTCATCGACGTAGTGTAACATGCATGCGATACGACTTCTCTAAGGCGATTCGCGTTCTAATCTCTAGACTGATACTGCCTATTCGTGTGCCAAGTACTCTCGCTGGGCATACAGTGGGCTAGTCCTGAGATAGTAGGGGAATAGGAGGAGATGAACGGAAGCATGGTACGTACCCTTTGTTGCCACCCAAGTCAACCAAGCACTTATACCCACGACACCACGAAATACAGCCCATTACGTCCTGCGCAGTCATCGATTCGCTCGACCTCGCCATAAAGAAGATGCGAGCATACTACATATACAGTACCAGCACCATTACGTCCTCTCGACCCCCGGGCTTCAAGATAATCAGGTACATCTTCATCATTCGAGTTGCCCCCCCCCTACGGTGGTATGACGTTGACACATCCGGTCCGCCCGCTCGGGAAGCGGGCATATATTTCAACCCAGAGTGTCTTTCAAGTACCTCTACCTTTGTATGTACCAGTACGCCATATCATCCAAAACCGTCCCCGCCTCCCCCCACGCCGTCTAGAACCCTCTTTCCTCTTCCATCTCGATACGAAACCTTCGGAAGCCACTCACACGCCGCGGCAACGGCATGCGGTTTTTGAAACCCGTCGGATGCCACCGATGCCTCGTCGCCGCCGTTCTCATCTCGCACCCTAATTTTCCGACAATAGGCATTCCGCCGTCGCCATCGTTCCGCGCCTCGGAGCCGCGGGTCTGTGGCACACCAGCCCAGCCCACACGGAAAAGGAGGCCGCCTATCCACAATCGGCGGCGTCACAGAAAAAGCGAACGGGCCCTCACGGCCGCTTGGCGAAAAGCTTGTTAGTACTTCTACGTCTAGGTCTCGAACCATCGTGGCGAAGACATGGCTCGATGCTAATGCCGCTACTCGATGCGACCCTCGAGAGGCTCGGATATGCATTTCCCTACCGATGTGCGTAAGCCCTGACGAAGGTAGGGCTTTGGCATGGCGACCGCCATGCAGCCACTCGAGAGGACAAGGCAAGCCTCTTCGTGTTGCAGGCTGATCGTATTGCGCGAGCGCGGCGGTGATTTGCACTACGATTTGCCAGATGCAGTGCCCGCGAACTACTGCAGTGGTGGCATCACTTTTCACGCGCTAAGTTCGTTTCGTTTCAGGTTTGCGATCTTGGGTCTGTGTAAGCCAGCAATATCGACACGCGAGTGTTGGCCTGCGCGGGAAATACCGTTGGAGCGGGGGAATGTGAGGGCGGGACACTTTCGTATACGCAGTAGTGATTGAATGTCGGTTCGTCGGCGTTGAGGGTGTTCTATGCAGTTGAGGCAGTGGCGTAGTTCAAGCGAGGACGCATGCGGTAAAGTGCGATATGCGACATGCGATTCAACGGCTGATGCATGGCTGACGACAGGGTCAAGCGATACAGAACTGTACCGAATGCAGCAGAATGCGGTCTTGCTAAGGCTTGGATGCAGGTGCGGGGAGAGTTGTGGTGCAGCGGGCGCTCAAGCTATTGGTGGGTTGGACGAAGGCCCGACTGCACCACGCAGATTATTCTTCAGAGCGTCTTCCTCCGCTCGCAGGTAAGCGGGCCAACGACATTAACGGTGCTCATTGTTGCAGAATAGTGAAAACGGGCGTAGTACACTTGAGTGTCCCGACGTGAGCCGCGTGGAGTAGATGAGTGTTTGCTGTCGCCAGGGGCAGCTTTTGCACGCGTCTGACATGCGTCAGTATGGGAGTGATCCACGTAGGGTCTCGATAAAAGGGGCGTTTTCGACTGAGGGGCATGAGGCGCGCTTATGCTGAAGAGCACACCGACGATGCGTGGAGCATGAGGGTCACAGCAGTGTCTGCTGCCAGATTGGTGCGGCGAATCTGCAGTCGTACGTGGAAGCATCAGCAATGGACTTCAATAAAACCCTTCCGCCTGACTGCTCTCGGAGAGCCAATGGAGTGAGCCCGCGGAAGTGGGAGAGTTAGATTCAGGCTAGCGAAATGCATGCTCAGTTGCTACACGGTTGTAGCTTCGAGCCGCGTTGATAATAGTTCTGGACCCCACTGAGGAGTGACATCGGTAAGCTTCGGAAAGCTGCTTCTCGTTCCTCGAGAGATCGATAGCAGTCTTTGATCAGCGTGGTGTCGGCAGAGGAAGGAAAGACGCATTCGAGACGAGATACGATGCATGGCCTTGTCCATTCACTTTATGGATCATCCTGGCGGAGGTAAACGGCGACTGAATGCGTTGAGCAGAATAATCCTAGGCTCCGTTCTGCAATGCTGGCAACTCGTATGATGTTTGGCAAGGAGGCTACTCCTAGGTGCACCCAAGTCTTCTCATTATTCATATCTGTGCAATGTGTGACGTCCTTGTGTCTTAGATGCACGGTCCCATTGTTTAGTCGCACGTCTGCGGGCCGTTTGGATCGAGCTTCGACCATGGCGCAGACGTTTTACCTTCTCTCTCCGTAGTCAGCGGTACGAGCTCCATACACGCATTGACTTCTTCCCGCGCGTGAAATTCGGATTCCTAACTCTTAAATATTGCCAAAGCATGCAGTCAAGGCGGCGATTTGATGAGCCTTGTGGTCGAGAGTGTACGAATGCGTATAAGCCTTTAGGCCGAAGGTTCGCGTGATCAAATTCCGCTGGAACCATGTACTAGCTCGCGAGCTTAATTTGTGGATCTGATACTGATGGTTCGGTATGATTGCGGGCATGATAGAAAGTTGTGAAACCTGGGATACATGTATGGCTGCCCGTGCTTGAAGCAACCGAAAGCATATGATATCGAGCATCGAGGGGGCCAGGCATCGGCCCTTCACCTAGACTGCCTGGATAAAATAATCAGAACCTTCTGATGTGGAGATTGGAAGAGAAAAAGGGTATGCCCTAGAACAATGTCAAATGTCATCCTGTAAGGCAGCATTGGACAGACCTCAGACGGGAAAACGGCCCAAGATGAAAGGGACCGGGTGTAACCATCAGGTTGCTTGATGAGAAACATGGATCCGTTCGTGAATGGATCGTAATATTGGGCGTCATGACGGATTCATAGTGACAAGGCCAACCGGAACGGCACTATATAGTACTAAGTCTTATAGGAGTCGGGTAACTCTCTCGGTCCGAAACTCGTGGACGTCTTATTGCGCCGTGGTTTGGATGCTAAGTCGATGTAACGAAGAGAGGATCCACATTCCCACTTTCGGAAGCATAGGTCGCATACGGCAATAGTATTGAGGGGACCAAGGTTGCGAGCCCTAGCGTACCATCGGCTTTATCTTGACATCCGTCTTTTCTCCACACGCGAAAACCGATAATATTAGGGAGATAGCGATACTCTGCAACTTGGCGTGGAGGCTCCGCTCAGACGTCTGGTCTCGATTTGAGGAGGCCAATTCGATTTGAAGCGGCTTTCTGCCGAGATAAGGGTAATGCAGTTAGGCGTACCACGCGAATGTCCCCTTATATGGTCTGCATAGAAAGTCTTGCGCTGCTGCCGCCGCCTCAAGCAGATTGCAGGGCACACGAAATAGGGAATAGTGTCGAGATTCAGTTAGTCTAGTGCGAGCTGCTGAGCCACGCGTGAACGGGCAAGTTGGCTTGGATCTGAGGTTCGACCCACAAGTTTGCAGAGACGCAGTGTCCACTTTGACTGCATGGGACAAATGTGGATCCGAGAGCGAATTGCACGCTGAGGCAGCTCAGCCCCTTGTCGGACCTGTGAAGAGGGAAGGAGCTTGCTGCTTGCGTAAGACGAGAGATACAGAGATAGCCGACATCGTCAAAGCGCCCTGGGGTATCCGTAGACTATGTCGCCGTCGGAGGATTTAGGAAGGCTCGCATAGTGATGGCAGCCCGCAATCTGGCAAGCCTGGCGTGAAGCGACGGGCAAATGGCGTATGGTCTGCCCTGCTGGGAGTAGGGTGCATCGGGACGGGCTGCTTGTGGTATGCCGCTCGGCCACGGAGGCGAGGGCATGGAGCACGCCGACTAGGAGCCAATCAGAAGACGCGGAGGAGTGGTGCGGCAACGGCTGGGCTGGTGCAGGTCGGAGCAGAAATTCGCGCTGTGGTAAGGCTTGGTGTTCCGAGAAACTCTGCGAGTGCGGTGGTGGCAAAGGATGGCACCGGGGGCGGGGGCTAGCGGGATGGGTCCTGGGGTTGATGTCAATAATAAACGGCGGCCGAGTATGAAGCAGCGCCGCAGTTTCTCTTACGCAGCAGAAGGCGGCGCAAGGTGAACGGGGCGTCAGCGTTGCAGAGTTTTATCAGGTTGACAGGCATGGGCCGATAGGGTGTGCAGCAGAGGCTTCGCCGCCGCAGGTTAGTTGGCCCTCTGCGCTCTTGTCGTGCCTGCGCGGTGTGCCGTAGGTGTGCCGTCAGGAGATGCTAGGCCGCTCTCAGCCTTGCCGTGTCGCTGGCACCCGGATGGCTCGCCTGCGATGACGACGCGCACACTGGCTGGGCGGCTTCGACGATGCGCCGTCGGTTTGGCGGCTCCAGCTCCGCCCGTGGCCGAGCAGAGGAGCTGGGCTGGCGATGCCATCGTGCATGATGATTTGCAGGGCCAGCGATACGCTGCAGGCCGCGGCGGTGCTGCTGGGCGCGGCGTCCGGCCAGATTGAAGGAATAACGGTCGAGGTTGCACGGCAGGGAGCCGATTCTTCCCGCCTGCGCCTGCGCCTGCGCCTGTCAGTATCGGCGCAGGCTGGGGGACGCGATAAAGAGGTGCCCAGGTGCGTTCGAGTGCAGAATCTGCAGCTAGCCGGGCCTGGCCCGTGCGCGCAAGTTCAGGTACATCTCCCGCCGCGTCGCGTCAGCGCTCTGGGAACCGGCGGTGCTGCTCGCACCGGCGCAGAGGCAGCCGTGGGCGGCGGCGCGCGGTCCTGGGGCGCCAGCCAGCGAGTGCAGCGGTCCGCGAATCAGCGCCGCCCGCCGCCCGCGCGAGCGCAACAACCGGCGGCCGCCTGCGCGCCCAAACCGGGGCCGTGAGGTGCGCGCAAGTACAGGTACAAACGGTCGGCCTGCACTCGCTGGTGTTCGTGCGCGGGCCGCAGGGGTCTCCCTTGGCCGATCTCCCAGTCCTGAGTGGGGTGTTTCTGTTAGCACAGAAATAATAGCAGCCACGGCCTCGCCCTGAGCACCTCATTTTCAACTTCCACCACCCTCGCCCTCTCACCCCCGCTTTCCCCCCGAACCGCACGCACCGCAATTGAGCTTTTGCCCTCTGCTCAATCGTCGTCCTGTCGGAGGCCCCCTGAAAAGCCCCCGCCCCGAACACCGGATGCCCGCCGGGCCTCTCGCCCCATCATTGGACCTCGACGCCTGCGCTGCTGGCTTCTGAGCACCACTATCTGGCTCTCCCCTCAGCTGGCCCTCGTCCAACCCCTCTTCCAGCTACCATTTTTATCGCCATCCCGCTGGTACCGGAAGCGCAGTCGCTCTTAGATTTTTCTTTGACCGCCGCGTCGCTCGCTCCTGCCGCCCGCCTTCTTTTCTCCCTCCCTCACCCTCGTTTATCCCCGCCGATCACTCTATCACCAATTCACCCCAACTGATTTCTGCCCATCTCTCCCACCACTCCCCACCTCGGGGGATCGGGCCGCATCCATCGTTCCCCAACATGGACAGCATGGACTACCCTTTTTTCGACGACAGCAAGCACGGAGCAACCATCAATCCCGCCGATCTGCACACCGCCGACCCCTTTGCAGCATTTGGCTCCGGCTTCGATACTTTTTGCCCGCCGGCCGATGCCTCAAACTTCAACGATCTCACTACTGTCGACTCGGCCGTGGACCTCGCGACGCAGTGGACTTCGCCATTAGTGAAGCAGGAGCCCGACCATTTCGTCGAGCAATTTGTTAACTACAATGCTTCTCCCACCTCAGGCGCGAACACGCCGTCTCCGCCCACGGACATGATTTTCAGCAACACCAACTCCCCCGGGGACTTTCTAAGAGAGCACAGTCAGACCGCCTCTCCGGAATCGGAAAACGACGTCGTAACGCACGACGCCAAGTGCTCGCCCACCGACGGCTCCTGGGACTCGGTGCACTCTACCTCCCAGGCCATTCTCATCCCGCAGCCTAGGGATACTCCCCAGGTCCACCTCGTGTCAGACAAGACAAAAACCCGGGCCGAGACGCAAATCAAGATGCAGCTGACTCTGGATCCTTTGGAACCCGGAACCGAGTACATCCATTTCCCGCGGAAAACCCTCGCCAAGCCCAAGCATTTCGCAACCCCCGAGGAGAAGGAGGAAATCGAAAGTAAAGGCGACGTCACCTACATGGATGTCCTCCTCGTCTGTGCCACGGCAGTCGAGAAGCCAGAGGACCTGCAAATAGCCTTTCGCCGTGCTGCTGGTAAGGAGCGCGTTCCGAGAAGAGCGGCTGGAAGCACCATTTCGGAGCTTGACAAGGACGACCCTGCGCACCCGCAGAATGGCGGCGAAGTCATCATCTGCGAAGGCTGCAAAGAGCGAGAGCGCAAGCGATATGACCGTAAGAAGAAGCGGGCCGAAGACGAGAAAGAATGGACCGACTACGAGAATGACCGGGTCGTCATGATCAACGAGAAGGAATACAAGAAGTGGAAAGAGGTCGAGTCACATGACCAGCAGTTTTCGGCCCGCGCCAAGACAGTTGAGTTCGCCATGCGGATAGCCTGCTACTGCCGGCACCAGGAAGAGAAGTCGCCCGTTGGCTACCGGGTGCTGTTCACCTTCAAGGATGCCAAGGGAGCTTTGCTTGCTCAACATCATTCTGAGATCTTTCAGATCACCGATGATCATAAGAACAAGGAAGTCCTTCCTGAAGCCGCCCCGCGACCTCTCACCATCCCTCAGACGTACATGCCTCAGTATGGTCACGCCTCCAATGTTGTGCCGGTCTATCAGTATCCCGTGGATAACCAATTCTCCGCCGCGCTTGCTACATATTCTCAGCCGCCAACACCGGTCATGTCAGGCTTCCAATCCAACCCTATGTCGCCCATGGACACGGCGTTCTCACAGATGACCACCTCTACGGCTACACCTCAACCACACCGTCAATCCATCTCGTCATTCCCCTCCACTTCTGTTTCCTCGAGCGCACCGCAATTTCCCAGGCACCAACATCATCAGAGCCAATACGACGCACCCATGCTTAGCCCCACCACCCAGGTTCCGGCTGAGACGCAGTACCTTCATCGACCCCTGTCCATGGACAGCTTCAACTTCTCTGCCGATACCCAATACCCGAATTACAACGGCTTCGCGTCCGCACCTGGCTCTACAATCAACACACCCCACAATCTCTCTCGGCCCGCTTCACCCTCATGGCCAGAGGGCCCAACAAAGAAGAAGACGATTAGGTGTGTCTACTTCTTTGTTGACGAGTGACCCGAGTGCCGCTTTCCTCGGTCCCTCGACACGACTTCATGAAATCCGGAATAGCATTGCAAGGCGTTGGTGGCTTTCTTCCTCACAGCCGGTTTGTTCTACATTGGACAGCTGGATAGGGTCGGGCAGACTTGGACTTGGGCAGGCGACTTGCTTGTTGCAGCCTGCTATCTCTAGGACTGAGAACGGCTAGTATTACTCTACGGCAGGATGGATACTTTCTTTTCTAGTACAGTGACTCGCTGGATAGAGGGCTATTGGTTTTAATAGGCTAGAGCAAATGTAATACTGTGCTCGCTGCGTTTCCCCTCGTGGCTCACGCACGCGAGCAACTTCACTTCATGATCTCCTGAACATGTTCATTCTCTTTAAAGCTATCCGGCCGGCAGTCGCATTGGACTGTGCCGCATTTCCCCGAAACGGAAAATGGATGTCGCATGCGCTCTGTACGACCACACCTCAGCGCGCTTTTCCATCGCGCCTTCCTTCCTTCCCATCCCTCTCCACCAACATTCCCAAGCGGCTATCCCTCCGATTCGCCCACGCACTATCCATGGCCCGCTATCACCACTCAACTCTGCATAATCGCAACAACGCACCACGCGCCACACGTGCAGCAACGAGTCGCCCGGCATGCGCGCCATCCACACCCACATCCACATGGGCAAACAAGCAATCAATCAATCCAATCATCCCATGCAACTCTCTTTCGGAAACAATTTCGAGTCGCCTACCTCCGCGGCCCGTTCACATCAAGCACATATATTGCTTCGGCATGCCGAAAATGCCCTTTGCGCATCGATACCGCGCGGCGTTTTTTGATTCACCTTTCGCTCGACGTACCCGACCTGACCGGACTGACCTATCCTGCCCTGCCCTGCGCCCGCGGGGTCGCGGTGGTGGTGTGTTTTCTCATCCATCCAGAAGAACTGCCTTAGGCGCACCCCACGCGTTCATATAGGCGTATATTAACGTTCCGCTGATGGGGGATCCCCGGAACGGCGGGACTTGGCCGAGGCCGCGCGGTTGGGTTTGCGGTTGGGCTGGGTTGGATTGGGTTGGGTTAGGTTCTCGTATCAGGGGTGCTCGAAGCTAGCCGGCTACGGCTATATATCTTGGTATCAAGGGTATGTGTGTTGGTAGCTACAAATGTGATGGCTGTGGGCGAGAGAGCAGCAAGCATGGACTGGGAAAGAGAGGAGGAGGGGAGCGAATAATAATGGCTGGATGCCAGTAATGATTGAATTGCGTGCGATTCCATCAATTCGTCGAATACGTACAAAGGCCCCTGCGGTAGATAGTGGGCGGCAAAAGCGCGCCAGTCAAATGGGCCAAACGTGGCAGAAATATGTACGAGAAATGCAGGGCGTGTAGATCTTTGCCCCCCAGCGAGCGAACCTTGGGAGGCACAACATCTTGACTTACTGTACCCTGATGTCTTGCCGTTAGTAGCCGGCCACGCCGGCCTTCCTATACTCTTCAAAGCTGTGTATGCGAGCCACAGTCTCTTCGTTCAGCCCCATTTGGTCTTCCCACCTATCCTCTTCTTGGGCGTACAGCGTCTCGAATGCTTGCGATTGTCCGCGGTGGAAGTGTAAGGGTGCGCATTTGAGCTGGGCGGCTTCTTGGGTGACGAGTATATGCTTGACGGTGGATCCTGATTCGACAGTTAGGTATGCAGGCATGGCGAACTCGTCAAGGAAACTTACCGGGTGCGTCAAACTTGGACCACATGAGCAATCGGTCGACGACGGCTTTTAGCCCACGGGCTCCTGTCCCCATGCCGTTGGCTTTCTTTGCGATCTCTCGGAGAGCGCCGCTCGTGAAGCGTAGCTCGATACCGTCGGCGTGGAAGAGAGCTGCTTCTTGCCTGACGAGACTGTTCTTCGGCTCTGTAAGGACTCGCACAAGAGCTTCCTCGTCGAGCGCGGATACAGCGCAGGTGGTGGGTATTCGGCCGACGAGCTCAGGTATCATACCGTACCTGTGCAGATCGGAGGGCTCGACGTAGTTGAGCACATTATGTTCCTCCTCGCGGTACTGCTCTTCCCGTCCGCTGTAGACCGCTGAGGACTCTGACCTTGAAGGAAGATATATCGGTAAGTCCTTCCTGAAGGCAGCGACATCTTCTCGCCTCAACATAGTTTCATGCTTGCCAGACTCGGGGTTTGCTGCCCTTACTTGAGCGCCGAAGCCCATCCCTCCTTTGGACTTGCGGTCCAAGATTATCTTATGTAGCCCGACGAATGCGCCAGTACAGATAAAAAGAATATTATCTGTCCGTACGTTGTATACCTCGCCTTTCCCTCCCAGCGGAGTTGCTGAACCTGCTCCTGATGCGGGACCTCTTGAGCTATCCATGTTTGGCGGGAAGCTGCTTGCATCCCTCCCGGTAGTCCTACCGCCAGCTCCGCGCTCGGGTTTCGCCTGTATCTGCAGAGTAGTCCCTTCTATTATCTTCAACAGAGACTGCTGGACTCCTTCTCCACTGACATCTTTGCCGTGCGACACCTTCGCCGTCGCAATCTTATCGATCTCGTCTAGCACGATAATGCCTCGTTCGGCTGCTTCCACGTCGTAGTTTGCTGCTGCTAAGAGCCGCTGCACGCACACGTCGGCATCTTCTCCAATGTATCCTGCCTGTGTAAAGGGCGTGCAATCTGACATGCTGAAAGGGACATCGAGGATGCGCGCCAGGGTCTTCGCTATTAGGGTTTTGCCGACGCCCGTAGGGCCAAGCATTAGGACATTGGACTTCTCAAACTGGAGAGGACTCGTATCTTGTATCTGCGGCGAGTCTGCGCGCGGCGACGTGGTCGGCGGGTAGACTCTCATGGTGGTCTGCTGACCGGGGAACTCATCTGCCTTGCTCAGCCATGATCACGCAGGAGAAGCAAAGAACGAACAGCGCGGGAGAATGAAACTAGGACTCGCTACCTTCTACGGGGTGGCGATCTGCCATGGCCCGTCGCCGCTCTTTCGCCTCAATCCTCTCTTGTTCATCCTCCTGTCTTTGAATCTCTCTTATCCTCAGATAATGCCCGTACACCGCAGTACTCAGCACTACCTTTGCGTGCTCCTGGCCGACGACAAACTGATCCAGATGCTCTTTCAGCATGCGCGGGGTTGTGCGACTGACGCCGGAGGTCGAGACATCTCCCAAGGGCCCTCTGGTCGGCTGATCTGGGTCGTAGAAGCTAGAGAAACCTTGGCCGCTGAAGTCCGAGCGGCTGTACTGCGACTGCTGCGAGCATCTTGAGGAGAAGGCGCGGCGTCCGATGCTGGCGAGCGCGAGGTACGAGGCTTTGGCCTGTGGGGAGACGGTGATGATGAACGTTCGCGCGGACATGGCGGGCGGAATGGGTGTCGCGGCACATTTACATGGCGGTTTCTGCAGCTATGTAACGTTTCCGACGGCCTGGGAGGCTCAAGCAGCATGCGGTGGCACAATGTCGGACAGTGAGTCGTGAGCGTTGCTCCGCGCTCGGCTAGACGTGGCGGCGGGGCAGTCTCTCCGATAAGGCTCGCGGTGATCCACCCGTCGACGGCGGACGCTTCGACAGTCGGCTCTCTGCTTCTGCCAATGGCAAACCGCGCGGGCCGTGCACAATGAACACATTCGCCCCTCCGACTTGTGCCCGTTTTGGACCCTTGCAGCGAGCGGTGTTGAGGGCTGGTGGCGCTGTGGCTCGGACGCGATGCCGCATGCCGATAAGCGCGCAGGCGCGCTATGACGTTCGTAGCAGCTCGGCATGGATGCAGGCCTTTGGTTGAGAACGACCAGCTGCAGCAATTGGGTCAGCCCCGCAATGGATTTTCTCATCTAACACCTGTCTGAGCTACCTTGTGCTCTATCATAAAAAGCTGTGCCTCCTGTGCCCACCCTTCGACACAAACCAGTCGCTCCACAGCAATCCACACACTGCCTGCAGAGCTCCTGCCTCGCCTCCAAGCCATGTCTCTCAACGAGGCGTCAGGCAACACCATCACCGAAAACCCAGCCGGCCAGGTACCAAACGATGGAACGGGTATATTTGAGCCTTCAAACTGCTACAGAGTTTATTGACTGACGGGATTGTTGTAGGCATCGTCCAGCTCGATCCTTGGCTCGAGCCCTTCAAAGACGGCCTCCGCAGCCGCTACGCGAAAGCACAACAATGGCTGAAGACCATCGACGATACTGAGGGCGGACTGGAGAAGTTCACAAGAGCAAGCATCCTACTTTCTCTCGGTAGACGAGATTGCTGACTGCTCTCGTAGGGCTACGAGAAGCTCGGCTTCCATGTCCTGGACAATGGCGATGTCGTATACCGCGAATGGGCTCCCAATGCCCTGCGGGCCTACCTTATCGGGGACTTCAATAACTGGGACCGAGATGCAAACCCCATGACGAAGAACCAGTACGGCGTTTTCGAAGTGACGGTGCCGAACAAGGACGGCAAGCCAGCCATACCCCATGATTCGAAGATCAAGGTTCGTTAGCCGTGTAAGCCGAAAATATACTGGAGCTGACATCCATCGGTCAGATTTCCCTCGTCGTGCCCAACGATCACGCTCGGCAGGAGCGCATTCCTGCGTGGATCACCCGGGTAACCCAAGACCTAAGCGTCTCCCCCGTGTACGATGCGCGCTTCTGGAACCCACCCAAAGAGGAGAAATACGTCTTCAAGAACAAGCGGCCCCCCAAGCCTGCGAGCGCTCGAATCTATGAAGCACATGTCGGCATCTCCTCGCCAGAACCGAAAGTCGCGACGTACAAGGAGTTCACTCGCAACATCCTCCCGCGGATTAAGAATCTGGGATATAACGTGATTCAGCTGATGGCAATCATGGAGCATGCGTACTATGCCAGCTTCGGCTACCAGATCAACAGCTTCTTCGCTGCCAGCAGCCGCTATGGGTTTCCGGACGATTTGAAGGAGCTCATTGATACTGCTCATGGCATGGGTATCACCATCCTATTAGACGTCGTGCATAGCCATGCCTCTAAGAACGTCTTGGATGGGTTGAACATGTTCGATGGGAGCGATCACCAGTACTTCCACGAGGGTGCAAAGGGTCGCCATGAACTATGGGACAGCCGTCTCTTCAACTATGGTCACCATGAGGTGCTCCGCTTCCTCCTCAGCAACCTCCGCTTTTGGATGGAAGAGTACCAGTTTGATGGTTTCCGTTTCGATGGAGTGACCAGCATGCTCTACACGCACCATGGTATCGGGACGTAAGTGAATGTATGGTTTTGTGTGAGCAATTGTTGACCTTTTCCAGGGGCTTCTCTGGCGGCTATCATGAGTACTTCGGCCCCGGTGTCGATGAGGAGGGTGTGGTATATCTTATGCTGGCCAATGAGATGCTGCACAAACTCTATCCCGATATTATCACCATCGCAGAGGACGTATCGGGAATGCCCGGTCTCTGTGTTGCTCTTTCGCTGGGTGGTGTAGGTTTCGACTACAGGCTTGCGATGGCCGTCCCAGATCTTTACATCAAATGGTTGAAGGAGAAGGAGGACATTGACTGGGACATGGGAGGTCTGGTTTTTACCTTGACAAACCGTCGCCACGGAGAGAAGACTATTGCGTACGCGGAGAGTCACGATCAAGCGTAAGTGCTTCATGGTTGGAATTTAACATGCAGCTAACAAGGCGTAGTCTTGTCGGAGACAAAACCCTGCTGTTCTGGCTATGCGATGCGCAAATGTACACGAACATGTCGGTCATGAGCGAAGAGACTCCCGTCATCTCTCGAGGCATTGCTCTCCACAAGATGATCCGCCTCATCACGCACGGTCTGGGAGGGGAGGGCTATCTGAACTTCGAGGGTAATGAGTTTGGCCATCCTGAGTGGCTGGACTTCCCGCGCGAAGGCAACAACAATAGCTACCACTATGCTCGGAGGCAGTTCAACCTGGTCGATGATCATCTGCTTCGGTACCGCTTCCTCAACAACTTCGACAGCAAGATGCAGTGGACAGAGGAAAAGTATGGTTGGCTTCATTCCCCTCAGGCCTACGTGAGTCTGAAGCACGAAGGGGACAAGGTAATTGTGTTCGAGCGAGCAGGTCTGCTGTGGATCTTCAACTTCCACCCTCAGACTAGCTTTACGGACTATCGCGTCGGTGTCGAGCAGGAGGGCACATACCGGATCGTTCTCAGCACCGATAGCAAGGACTTTGGTGGCCATGGGCATGTCGATGAGAGCACGAGGTTCTTCACAACTCCGTTTGCGTGGAATAACAGGAAGAATTTCCTACAGGTCTACATTCCGGCGCGGAGTGCAATCGTAAGTTTGACATACCACTCGAGAAGTACGCATTTACTAATGTTCTCTGCCAGGTGCTAGCTTTGGAACATACTTTGTAGCGTTCGGATCTTGGGAACGAGACGTGGTATTAGCTCGCTGCAATGTATTCATGACATCTGCGGTGTTAAGTTTGTAATGATCTTCACTGAAGGTTATCCGCCTTCACTTAGTTCGAGATAGAATAGGAAACCTCCCGGGATTCTTCATACGACATGAAACCCAAGTGTCACTGCATGCCTCTGGGAGCTACCCAGTATAAACATCCTAAGTCATTTAATTGCGAATGTGAGGACTCTTTCTGAAGGGATCCGATGATTGGTTGTAAAGCTGGCAAGAGTGCCCTTTTGACAACATGAGGAGCTCTGACGAGCTGAGTATAGAGGTGAAAAGCTATATTCAGAGGTCAATGACACCATTGCGCATTCTGGGTTGTGTTGATAGCTGGCGTTGCTGGAGCTGCGGGATTTCCATAATTAGGTAAGCGCGCTAAGCCTAGCTGGATGCTAGTCCAAGCTCAAAAGTTCCCGGGCGAAGGCTTCGAGAGCTCCCTCATCTCCCAACACCACCTCTCCACTCCCACATCTGTCTCCTCCATCTCTCACAATGCTCAAGAGGTAAGCTGCCGTCTGTCTGAAGCCAATTGACGATGAGAACAACGCTGATTCGATGAATGCAGCGGCTTCCAGCGGTCGCTGCTCCGGGCGTCCCTTCGTCGACCTGCGACCGTCCAGCGCGCCTTTCAGCCCATCAAGAAGAGCTTCGCTCCTGCCTTAGCAGCGCGCTTCGCAAGCACAGATGCCCAGAGGGACGGCAAGATCCATCAGGTCATCGGTGCCGTCGTCGACGGTACGCGAAAAACTTTTCCGGCATCGGCTAGGATCCTCCGCCCAAGCCCGGAGACATGGCATTGAGAAAATTGGCGCTGACGATCAATTGCAGTCAAGTTCGATACGGAGCAGCTCCCGGCGATTCTCAATGCCTTGACGACCGACAATGGCGGCCAGAAGCTGATTCTGGAGGTCGCGGTAAGAATGCCAAGCATCGGACACCTGGAAACATAGCCGCTGATGTCGAGCAGCAACATTTGGGCGAGAACGTCGTCAGGTGCATTGCCATGGACGGTAAGTTGATGTAATTGCATGCTGCTGCGATGCGCCAGGCTGATTGCGATGGATGCAGGTACCGAGGGTCTCGTCCGAGGTTCAAAGGCCACCGACACTGGTGCTCCCATCAAGATCCCCGTCGGCCCTGGAACCCTCGGCCGTATCATGAACGTCACTGGCGACCCCATTGACGAGCGCGGTCCCATCAAGGCCACCAAGATGGCTCCCATCCACGCCGATCCCCCAGAGTTCATCGAGCAGTCCACATCCGCTGAGGTGCTTGTCACTGGTATCAAGGTCGTCGACCTGTTGGCCCCCTACGCTCGTGGCGGAAAGATTGGTCTCTTCGGTGGTGCTGGTGTCGGCAAAACTGTGTTCATTCAGGAGCTGATTGTAAGAAGCCGCAATCCATTGGTCGAGCGAGGCTAACAGTTTCTCAGAACAACATCGCCAAGGCGCACGGTGGTTTCTCCGTGTTCACTGGTGTCGGCGAGCGGACGCGTGAGGGTAACGATCTTTACCACGAAATGCAGGAGACCTCCGTCATTCAGCTTGATGGTGAATCCAAGGTCGCCCTGGTCTTCGGTCAGATGAACGAGCCCCCAGGGGCCCGTGCCCGTGTCGCTCTTACTGGTAGGGAAACACCCTCCTGAGCGCCTTCGACTGGGTATGCTAACGTCGTGCTAGGTGTACGTAACACTTTGAATCACGCTAACATGCATCATACCTCATCCATATCCTGGAAACTCTGCTAACCGCGTGAACAGTTGACTGTCGCTGAGTACTTTCGCGACGAAGAGGGTCAGGATGGTGAGTAGGCTGATCATGGAGCTACCGGAGTTAGGCTAATTACCTACAGTGTTGCTCTTCATTGACAACATTTTCCGCTTCACTCAGGCCGGTTCCGAAGTGTCCGCCTTGCTCGGTCGTATCCCGTCTGCTGTCGGTTACCAGCCCACTCTCGCCGTCGACATGGGTATCATGCAGGAACGTATCACCACCACCCAGAAGGGATCCATTACATCCGTGCAGGCCGTGTACGTGCCCGCTGACGATTTGACGGATCCTGCCCCCGCCACCACCTTCGCCCATTTGGACGCCACTACTGTGTTGTCCCGTGGTATCTCTGAGTTGGGTATCTACCCTGCCGTCGACCCTCTCGACTCCAAGTCTCGTATGTTGGATCCTCGTGTCGTCGGTGAGGACCACTACCAGACCGCCACCCGTGTCCAGCAGATTCTCCAGGAATACAAGTCGCTGCAGGATATCATTGCCATTTTGGGTATGGACGAATTGTCGGAAGCCGACAAGCTTACTGTGGAGCGTGCTCGTAAGATTCAGAGATTCCTGAGCCAGCCTTTCACTGTTGCTCAAGTCTTCACGGGTATTGAGGGCAAGCTTGTGGACCTCAAGGACACCATCAGGTCGTTCAAGGCTATCCTGAGTGGTGAGGGTGATGACCTACCAGAAGGTACGCATTCCTCTTCCTCCAGTCTCCATATCCTCTATACTAATGTATACCAGGTGCTTTCTACATGGTTGGCGACTTGGAGTCGGCGCGGGCCAAGGGTGAGAAGATTCTCGCAGAACTCGAGAAGTCATAGACGTTGGGCCGTGTGGGCAAAAGTGAGAGTGGGCGCCATTTGTGTCTCGTCCGGTAGTTCGCCTCAACCTTGTACAAAATACACCACCCGTCTTCAGAAAAAGCTGGGAACCCCTGGGGCGGATATCAGCAGCTGGCGGGTGCTTGGAGGAGCAATGGCTTCCCGTGTAATCTTATCTCCATCTTGCGTGCAAAGCCTTTTCTCCTTTTTGTTCTATATGACCGTTCAATACTTGATTGTGCATTGTGATCCCGCCGTAGGATGTGTGTTTGAATGGCACATTTTGAATGGCACATAAGCGACGTTGATTGGGTTAGTGAAGAAGACAGTGTCAACACTTCTGTGAAGCCATTCATCATACATTCAAGAAGAGTAGTGCTACGAATGATTGCCTATTTACACATGACTCCTCCAGAAGAAGTGCTTCACACCATTTTGACCTCATCAGCCGTCTGGATATCCATACACATGCTCCGAACGCCAGTCATGCCAACACAATAGAGAGCCGTGTAGCCGCTATATCCCGTCTACTCGTCGTGCTTTATGCATCATCATCAATCCCTACTTCCCCACCCACCATGCCGGTGCGGATGCAAACTCCCCAACCTCCCTATCTGCGACAGCCCACTCACGCTCCCACCATCCCCACCAGCACCGGCACCACCGCCAAAGCCCGTCCCTGCGGGACTCGCATATCCGCCACTGCTCCTCCCATTATCACCCAGCAGCTTGCCCATCTGCTCGATGGCGGTCTTAGCGCGCTCGCGGATATCCAGGTCCATGTCTCTGCCCAACAGCCTCGCGCCTTCTTCGAAGCCCAGCTGGCGCAGCTGCTGTGCGCGATCGCGCGTTGCGGCTTCATCGGTCTGGTCTTCCACCCAGACGAGATTGTTGATGAACCAGGCGCAGGGAAGGCGGATGTCGCGGCGCGGGTGGGAGAGTAGGGGGAGGACGTGCTGCATGAGCTGTGTTTGGGAGATGAGGAGGGATCGGTGTTGGGGCCGGCCGTTGGCGAGGTGGACGAGGATGTAGAGGGTGCCGATGATGAGTTCAATGGCGGGGTAGGCGGCCCAATTTGGTTGAGCGAAAGTGGGTGCGGAAGAGGAGAAACTGGGCCGTTGGGGGGTGTTTGTCCAGTAGGCTGGGGTGCTTGTAGACTGCGTGGCGGAGGAGCCCTTGGGCCGAATTTTAGCATCTAGCAGCTCAAAGAAGCGTGTGTGGCCAAAGGATTTCAGGAGGTGGTCGATCATTTCGCCGGAGGCTTTGTCTTCGGTGATAAAGTTGCGGATGAAGTCGAGGGCTTGCTCTTGGAGGCGAATGTCGTCTCGTTCGTTATTTAGACGGACGTCTTGCTCGTCGTTCTTGACCTGTTGCAGACGGTCACGGATGTTGGTTGCGCTTGTGTAGCGAGATCCGGGACGCTGGTGGCGACGCAGCGAGGGGATGCTGTCTGTCATGGTGTCTTCATCCTCAGATGATGATGGCTCGTCGTCAACGTCCATGTGAGGGTCATCGACGGCGTTCAGAATATCCACCTGTTCGCCTGCGGCATTAGGCGTGCCCATACCGAGCGGCGCTGAAGCAGCGGGCTTCGCAGGTTCCCCATTAAGGACTTGCACAAGCCAGCCCACACCAAGCTCCTCGAGGCAATGAATCTTCATGGCGTACGGGAGTCCTAAGCATAGATGCTTCAGTGCCCAAAGACTGCCATAGCGGAGGTCGAAGTTGGCGGACCGGCAATGCTCGCACAGCGTCTTAAGGGCTCCGGCCTCTATGATCTCCTGAATCACGGCCTTAGCATCCTCCTTGGTCATGAAAGATGCGAATTACTGAAGCGAACTTACGGTGCGCATAGGAGATACCTCCAAAACAAGGTTTGTAATGACCTCTGTAGCAGCGATCTGCACTTTGACATTCGCGTGAGTCAAGAGATCGAACGACGGTTGCGCGATACCATGGTCGATCAAACTAGTTCGCAGCACGCTGATGGATCTCGAAAGCGACCGTGTCAATTTACACGCTGCGATTAGTACAGAATCGGGATTGCCCTCCTTGGGCGATGTCGACCCTGCATTCTGTGCAGAGGAGGATGGGATGATCGCTCCTTGGTACGGTATGAGACACTCGATGATATGCCCCGCAGCACCCATCTCGATGATGAGCTTCCGAAGTCCGTCCTGGGTGTCTGCTACGGCTGCCAGCGCCAGTAGAGAACTCTCTCGGTACTTAAATGCATGAAGCACATCAGCGCTGAGCCCGGGGGGGCCTACTATCGATGAAGCAGGGTCTATCATGGGATCCCGTGCGGAAGCAATCGACACCTTCGGTTGCCACAAAGGCTTCGTTGATGTTGTAACGGGATCGAAAGACTTCTTAAGGATCCCAACGAGGGTGGGGAGAATTCGCGCGTCGACCGCCGCATTCTGCAACGTCTTGTTGCCTGCAACTAGTTCCGCCAGGACCAGAGGAGAGCGCTCTAGAACGAACCGAATATCCGCTCTTGCTTGAGGGCTAAGCGCACTGATGTTCTTAGCGTTTACCGATGTCGGGCTCGCTTCCTCAATCATCTTTACGACAAGTGGGATGACCAGGTACGAGAAGTGTCGCTCTCGCGTCGTTTTTGAGGGATCGCTCAATGGCCATCTTTCGCCGAACTTCTTCAGTAAGGCTAGCAGCCAACAGGCAGCCAAGCGTTCCCTGCCCTCGCCCCGACGTGCCACAAACATAAGCCACGTAAACAGAGGAGTCTCTGATTCGTCCGTGATGACGTTCCTGCTCGACGTTGGCTGTGTCGAGTCCATGGGTAATCGGGTATAGCTCTCGCCGATCGTAGAAGTATAGGAACCCAATGCCGGCCAGGACTTAGTGTAGGGATCGGACTTGCTCTGCAGCGTCTGCAGTCGAGGTATCAACTTATCCCAGGATGACGATTGCGAAGAGCTGGTGTAGCCATCGTATGAGCTTGACGCCCCCTTGGGCCAGCCGAACAGAGTCTGAATCGATTGCGAATAGAGGAATCGCGCAGTGTTATAATGTGAATCCTTGATGATGGCAGAAATGGCTTCGAGGATGTCAGGCAGGTACATGAGAGGAAGCGCGTCCCCATTCGAGCTCCTCGACTCGGGTCTTCGCGATGGATCATCGAGGGCAGCAATAGCGGCCATCTTAGCCGTGAGCAGATCCAACACACCTGCTTCCAGTAGAAGCTTTCGCTGACCGTCTTCCCGACATGTCTTTGTTATCAGCCTCGCGGCCAAGGATATCTGCTGGTGGACGACCGAGGACCGTGAAGTCTGTGCGAGTATCTCGGCCATGTTATCGAGAACCGGCTTGGTGTATATCCGCTCGTTGACAGAGTACGATAGTGACAGCAACGAGTCCCACCACGGCTTCTCTTGTGCGACAGCATCGACGATCTGGTTGAGGGTGCGCAGCGTTTTCTCGACGAGCTTTGGCGGCGTTTCGTTCGGAGCCAGCGCCTCGAGTAGCGGAGGGAGGGTATCGCCTGCAAGTAGCGGAGTGATAAAGCCAGGTCCACCTTAGACCCCAGACGTCAGCTGTGATTCCCAATCGTTGACCGTTGACACTCCCCGTGGGCCCCATCGCGCCGAAGACTCACCGTTCGCAAGACTGCCCACCACAAGCGTAGCCTGGAACCGCAGTTCGTCCTCGGTTGTCCAGTCTCCCGCGCTCTCAGTCCCCCTCCCAGCGCTACTATTCCCATTCATCACGCCTCTCCTCCGCTTCCCGCCTTTCCTAGCCTCACTCCTCAGCAGGCCCGCCAGAGGCTTGATAACGCCATGGACCACCGCGAGCTCCTTCCTCTGTTCATGCCCCACAATCTCATTCTTTAGGTTCCGCAGTGCGTTCACTTGCGCTTCTGGTGTGCTTGGGTTCGAGAGCTCGATGAGCGCTGGCGGGATCGTGGAGCGGCCCATGGCGGGGAGGGGCGATTGATTGCTGCCGGAGCGGTTCAAGGGCTATGGATGGAGCGTATTAATGCATGTACGATTCGAGGAGCAATCCGTAGTACGACCGCGCCGACTGTGGGGCAGGCGTATTGAGGTAAAGGTTGGATGGCGGGGAGCTTGAACGCAACGGATTACGGGGGTTGTGACAGCTGCCTAACTAATTGTACAGTTTGGACAATAGGCTGATAGCAGACACCATCGCATAAACAAAAATCCGCTCAGACTTCACAGCGACAAACTGTGCGGAAAAATCGCCGTGGTGAAGATTGACGCTCTCCACCTGAGATCACAAGCCGGATCCTTGTTCATCGCCGCCTTGGCCCCGCGGGAACGAAGAAATCACGTGATCGCTATTTTTCACATCTAAAACCTAGTTCTGGGTATTAACAGCGTACATTCATAGCTCATAGCTACGTAAATATCGTAAAGTATGTATCCTATGCCCGTGGAAGCCGTGATGTTACACCCACCCACCAAACCAGGAGTAACCGCCTTGCCAAGTAGGTCTCTTGTTGCGAAAGGTGCTTCTGAGCGAAGGACTAGAACTCCACCAGTCTCCGAGCCGCTCGGGATAAACAAAGGAAAAGGTTGTGTGTCGTCGATGCGACATTAAGTGCCTGAAGAGAGTCCCGTGCGATTCGGCCATTGTCTTCAACCGGCGCCCATGATCCGTCGTAGAATTTCCCTCTAGACTCGGATGTCTATAACGGGACGAAATAGCGACACTATGCAATTAGCACTCGTACGAGTCTACTCAAATACGCCTTCATCTTTTTCCGTCTCTTTGCCTCCTTCCGTGAATATAACCACCGAAACACAGGCGGCATACGCTTCCCTTATCGCGCACGCCATGCACGTCTCTTTTATGTTTGCAACGATCGCACTGTGGCCATGGTGGGCGCACCAAGCTCTCGCGAACACCTCGTTGTCGCTAACACCCAGAGCCTCGATCGCAAGCACTTTAGTGACCTGTAAGTGGGCGGGTTCGTTTGCCGATGTGAGAGCAAGCGACTTCTTCGAAGGAGACGAACGAGACGATGAAGGCCGAGAAATGCGACCAGACCGGCGGCCCCAGTCGTGGATGTCTACTAAACCGTCGTCTATTTTGACCGCTTCATATGTGAAGTCGTAGAAGAGCACTTCAAACTATCAGGCTACGTTCCATGACGAAGACATTTGGAGTCACTCACCGTGGGGCCCTTGATGGCAGGGGAAAGCATTGATGAAGTCGACGTCGTAGCGCAATTTCATTGGCCAGCTCTCGCCGCCGCATGCAAAGTAGATCGCTGCATCAAACACCAGTGGCGCTCCTGGGACTTGCCGAGTCGAGCTTGGCTGCTCCCTTGTAGGCATGAAGCTAAGCTTTTCTATCCTGATCAGGTCAGTGACCTCGTCCACATCCGGCATGGGCACTTCATAGTCGTCAATCGGGTAGCTTGTCTCTGTAGGGCCTAGCGGGTTTGTCCGAATTTCCATGTGCTCGACGTCTTTCGGCGTGAGTCTGGGTTCCAGAGGTTCATGCTGGTTGATTCGCGCGCATTCGGTGCGCTTGAGATCCGGAGTATAGATGCAGGGTCCGATCCAGCCTGCTATTTGTTTAACACCCCTTGCGGCTCCCAGGACTTTACCCACGATGCACTGAGCGGACCAGTACGTGTTCGCTCGATATTGAAACCCCGCTGCGGTTTGCATGTGGGTCAGGTACTTGAGCGCGTCTCCAGTGTCCCGGTCACAGTCGATCAAACTGTTCATGATAAGCCAAGGCAACGTCCTGCCGGGAAGGATGATTCCAGAAAACCAGGACATGGCATCTGCCGAGCGATCTTCGAGCGGCTTCTCCTTCTTATCCTTCTCTTCAAGCACGTAGTCTATCTCGTCCATGTTGGGCCATTTGAGCGTCGCGGCAAATAACCGCAGGGCGTCTTTTTGCCTCTGCTTACTTCCCAGCTCAAAGCTGAACGTGCTCTGGTTATGAGATGTCCGCGACTTGGTGATGGTCATGTTTTCAAGCCAGCGCTGAGCAACGGCAAGATCCCATGCAATCATGGGCGGCAGCTGTAACATGAGTTTCCGCTTGGCTTTGTCGGTATGATGCTTTGAATGAATGCGGAGATACAGCTCTACAGAAAGGAGCAGCTGATGGAAGAATTCCTGCTTCTTGTGCTGATCAGGAGAATCAAAGAACTTGGCAACGACCTGGTTCTTCGGGTTTGAGAAGTCTTTCCACATCGGGTTCGCCAGCACAGTGATGAGGTCGGTGATCTGCTGCTCCATGCCCGTATGTGGGTGGTCGCTGTAGCGCTCAGGGTCCTCAATCAGTGTGCTGTACAAATATCGATACATCTCCTCAGGGTCCTATCAAACCAAATGTTAGGTCGCATGAACCAAAGACACGGCGGGACGGAATGATGGACTGACATCTTCCTCAAGCCCATTCTCTAGCTGCTGCAGGCGGTCCAATATCTGAAGGAACTTCAATTTCCGAGGCTTCGCATCGCCTGCGAGCTTGATCGGAGGTTCACGGTTGCTGGACTTGCTAACCCAGTAATTCAGCGTGGTCGTGCCAGCGCTCTTCCCAAACGCGTACGCCATGCAAGGCTGCTCCAGGGATAGCCACGGAAACTGGCTGTCGGAGGCACCAGTCATATTCAGCGAGACTCCCCGGTAGGCGGCTTGTTGGATGGGGGCGCGGTCGGTCCTACTCTGGTGCTCCGACTGCATGACGGCGTAGAAGCGGTTGTAGCCTGGCGGCGTGTTGGGTATCTCGTCCCAGTAGCCCTTGAATGTAGACGCTCCGGCGCATATCAGCTCGTCTGCCTCCTCCGGGCTCAGGGCATCGTCCTTTCTGTATCCGTTCGGCGGCCATCGTCTGGAGCGGCGGAAGTCCTCGAGCGGCGTGGGGTGCGAGTACGACTCTGCGCGCCGGGGCGGGCCGAAGTGGCGGTAGGGCAGCATGACGTTCTCTCCTCCACTGCTCGACGGGCGCACCGGGTTGGGTTGCGAGCCATGGCGGGCAATTCTTGTGCGGGTAACGACGGGGCTGGTGCGCGTCTTCGGGACTCGTCCAAGCTGCAGCTGTCCCAAGCTCTCTGTCAGGCCCGCCTGGTCGGCGAACGCAAAGGGAAGCGGCGAGACGGGCGCCTCTGGGTGCTGGTAGCCCCAATTCGCATCGTAGTGTCGCTGGCTGAGCTCCCACCGACTCATGTCGGTCATATCATCTGCATAGCATTCAGGCTGGCGGGGGCTCCTGTCGGCCATGTCAATACAGGAGCGCTCAAGGTCAGCAGGGGTTCGGCTGGAGACATGGCAACAAAGAGTACAGAAGGCAGAGGGGAACGGCGCCTCGTGACGGCGTTGGTGCAGACAAGTGAAATGGCGCGACTCACGCTCATTGCGCTTTTGCCGCGGTGCGAGGCGTGGGAGAGACGCGTTTGCCGTCTGGTGTTGAGCGACGTTGTCGGCCCAGATGACGCTCTCGTTCCGCAGGGTAAGCACACGACCTGTCAAGGGCTGTTTCGTAAGAGAATCGGCCTTCCAGCGATCGTGGGGGTGGGTGGAGGCGAGTTTGGGGGCAGAGGAAGGTTTCAAGTCGCTAATAAGCCTGGGAGGATGTCTCGCGCACATGGCTGCGTGCGAGCGGCCGTGATCGCTGCCGGCGCTTCAGTCCTCAGGGCTGCGCTTCTCGAAAGATGCAGAGAATGGCCATAGAATGTGGAGGGCTAGCCTCACTCTCTGCCATCTGCTCACGACGTGTGCTCCGAACCAAGTGCGGACAGGGATCGAGTTGAATGAGCGAAATTGATTCGTCCAACGCATCACCACCATGGCGCCGTTAGCTGTTCATCCGTCAACCCTTCTAGGGCCCAATTTCGACCCTCGGCGATTATTACTATGCTACTAAGGGCCTCTATCCAATGGCACTCTGAGCCTCTCTGCCCTACCCTGCGCACCAGCATGCGCTCGCATTGCGTGCCTCATTGCCGTAAGCCGGGGCCCGCATTCACCCTCGACAGAACTCAGCATCACATGTAGATAGATCGCCCGGGCTGTTATCAACCGCACTGTGCTCCTGCCAACCGGAATTCTGCCGAGGGGCCGACCCGTAGTCGGACTTGCCGGCTGCACGCCTATCAAGGCATTGAAATACAGCACGCCGTTGTTCGCAACCATGTACTGTACCAGTGCCACTCTTCCAGCTGGGCCCACACCCGATCCTCTTCATCCAACTGCAGAAAGGCCTCCGAACCGAGAGCTAGCCAACTCATCAGCTCTACGACCTCGCAGTCGAGATCCCATAGGTTTTTAACCACGGTGTCGCCAGGTATTGGTGTGGTCGAAGCAGGACTTATTGCTCGAGTGTTCTGCAAAGCACGGTCAAGAGCAAGCTCAAACGGCACTAAAGCAACACCATGATAAGAACAAGTACACGGGCGATTGAAGGAGAGAAGACTGACTCATATGGATGCTCGATACCGGATAGGCGTCGTTACCGATGCTATGAATTGGTTGATTCGCGGCTACGAGCTGGCAGTGGTGGGCTATCAGCGTGCGGACTCGCCGTAGAGCTGGCTGTCAGAGCTGGCTCCGGTTCCTTCTCCATCACATAGCCCTCCCCCCGGTCCACTAGCCCCTTGTAGTAATCTACAAGCGTCTCGGGCTTCGGGACGATCCGCCACTCTAGTCTTCTCAAGAACTCCAGCTCAAGCAGCGCCAATTCCCTGACACTCACACCCCCCACTCTTGCATATAGGCTGTTTGTCCAGAAACTGTCGCTGAGTCCCTTCGCCGCTACGGTAGCTGCGGTTATCAAAAACCGGTGCACGGTCAAGCTGCTGATGGTGAAGGCGGGGTACATGGTACACAGCTTGTCGACGTAGAATACCATGGACAGAAGAATGGGCGGTGAGAGGGTCGAATGTACAATGAGGCGAAAGAGGTAATCGCGGACGGAGATGGCAGGCGGCGCTCTGGTGACACAAATCAATAAATACGAATACGCGTAGACGGGGCCTCGGTATGGTACCTCGAATGGAATCTTGTGAGTTGTCCATCGCGCAGCGGATGCGCGTCGTTCAAGCGCACCAGCTCCATCAACATGTCTGAGATGAGGACGCCCAGGTCCTTTACATCGCAAGTCTCGTACTTGAGCGGCATGACCTTGACAGTCGGGGTCTGCGGCCGCGCTCTCTTAGCAGGTGAAGAGTGCTCCTCGGAGGCAGTGCTCGCCTCGTTGTGCCTTGTGTTCTGCTGCCCACGCGGCGTTCCCACGTCTCTCGACGCTCTCCGGGCAGGCTGAGCAGGCGGTGCAGGGACCACGGGCTGCGGATCTATCCGCAGGTCAGGTTCTGGCGGCTCCGTGACGGCGGGTTCGGCAGAGGTCTCCCCCCGCTCTGTGTGTGCAATTGGGTTCGAGGGGAGAGGGGCGGTGGCTATCGTGTTCGCGGCGGCCTGGGGCGGCGGTCGATAGGTCGGTGGGTAGCCTGGTGGCGTGTACTGCGTGCCAGCGTCGGCGTACTCCCTCCTCCTGGTCTGTGGTGACCGCGTGAAGGCGGCCACGGGCGACTGCGCCGACGCCGCCGGATTCGAGGGCAGCGCGTCGAATCGCCGCGCCGGTGCGCTGCTCACCGGGAAGCGTGGAGAGGGTGCGCAGGAGGAGCTCGACGTGCGTCGCGAGGCATGGTATGAGCGGGCGTGCGAGTGGAATGCAGCCGAGGGCGAGGGAGGCGCTGATATGGTCGGTGAGGAAGACGTGAGCATGGTCTGTCTGCGGGAGTGCAGGCTCTGCGCGCGCTGCGGCGGCCTCGTCGTGCGCTCGCACTAACGGTCGTTAGGAGGTTGTGCCCAACAACGGCTGGGCATAGTCGCCAGGATTTGCGCGGGGGAAGAGGAAGGGAGAGCAGCGCGGAGCCTCTTTCGGGCACTCGAGGGCATTCCGCTGGGCAAAAGCTAACTAGAGTGAGAAGGCCTCTCGTGCACGAAGCCATCACGTTTTCCGCTGGTGCAAGACGATTGGAGAATGGAGCAAGCACGCCCAAGTCCCCTCAAAGGACGCTATGACGCCGCCATTACCAACGCCCTCCTCGCCCGTCGTGCCGCTTCCGCCGGTCACCACCGCTAAATGCGCTGGACTGGCACCAGAGGCCCTCGCAAGGTACGACATAAAGTCCACAGATGGTCTCAGGTCTCAGGTCTGCTCGAATCGGGTTAGTCAGCTGCTCCGAACAGAATCGGGCCATGCCGTCGGCCAATCACGGGCCGTCTACGAGCAGCGTGCAAGTGCAGGAAGATAATCTTGGAGAAACACGGGGTATCGATGGTGTTCATGTCAAAGAGAAACGTTACAAGAGTTTACCAGAGTACATGCAGAGGGAAGCAGGGTATGAACAACCGAGTAGAGTCCACCTCTGTGGACCCCATAAACAAACCATGGCACCGCTGATATACTCATTAGACTATGTACAGGATCATCGACGCCACGATAATTAGGATAAACAGAAACTGGTATCAGTAAATAAAGAGAGTCGTGAATGCCCGCCCATCCTCAATGCCGCCCGGATCTAATCCCATGCGTAGCACGAACCCACACACGAACCCGCCAGGTCCAACAAGTACAAAGAAGCGAAAGAATTACTTTTATGGAGTGCATCACCGCACACAGAGCCGTAAAGCCAGTCTGGATTGGCCATGTTTCTACCGCGGCGTCTTAAGCGGCGCTTCAAGCTCGGCGGTAAACGTCTGCTGTCCCGGCGTCGGTGACATCATCTCGATAGGCCCGTGTGGATACTGGTCTTTTACCTCAGTCATCCTACACACGCGTCAGCACTGCCGTTTCAGTCTCAGCTAACATTAGATCTCTACTCACTGTGGTTGAGGCGGCGACCCCGTCATCGACGTATGTCCGGGGCGCATGGGGGGACTCGTCCATCCCGAAGGATGGGAATCTGTAGCATTGTGCTGGCCGTATGCGGGTAGCTGCCCACCGAATTCGTTATGTCCCGGCGGCGGAGAGAACGGCGTAGGCGGGTAGCCGGGAGAAGACATGGGTTGATGGAAGTGGCCTGCGGCTCCGGCCTCTGGTCCTGTGCTCTTTGCCACTGTGGCGTCTCGCCGTGCGATCATTTCTTTGAGGGACTTGGTTCGGCCGACGTAGAAGAAGAGGGCTGCGCAAATGACGAGGAAGGCTACAGCACCGACCACGATTCCGGCAATGACACCTCCGGAAAGGGTATGCGGGTGATCGTCGTGACTGGATCCACCCGTCGGTGTAGCAGCAGCTGTGGCTGGTTGCGTATGTAGTGTTGCTGATCCTTCCTTTGGAATCGGATCTCCAGGCTTCAGCTGATATGACGAGTCTCCCGCGGCTTTGACTTGTGCGTCCAGTGTCTGGGTCGTGTTCGGGTTGATGACACCAACCATTTCATGGTCGATACATGATCCAGGCGCGGCGCAGTAGTAGAAGATAGGCTCAGTCGAGTTTATAGTAAGGTTCCAATGAGTCAACTGTACAGGTCGTTAGCACATTCTAGCCATAGCACCTACAACAGCGAAGGAAACTTACCTCGTCAACAGTATCAACAAATTGTGTTCCCGACCAAAACCCCACCTTATCCCTCCCGGTATACTCGTACGGCACGCAAGGACTCATATACTCCGCTCTCGCTACCGAGTGATCTGGCGGATAGAATTCGAAGGTAATCGTATCGCCAACACTGACATTCCTGAGCTCTGCTGGCTCATACTTGAAGCCGCCTGATCCCACTTTGACCGTGTGCACCTGGGGTCCTCTGCTTGACGAGGATGAGCTCGAACTTGATGCGGAGCTGGTCGCTGAAGCGGTCGATGTGGAGGGTGCTGCGGTTATCGGGAATGACGCGCCGGTGTCCGTTGCTGTTTCAAAGGTTGGAGTTGATGTCTGGATCGTTGTTTGCGCAAATACGGTCGCAAGAAGCTGGATGAGGGCGAAAGGCAACGCCAGCCTTTCGGCCAGTGACGGAGCCATTCCTAAGGTCTTTCTTGGGGCCGAAATTGACACTCTTTGATAGCAACTCGTATTTAAGGCCCAGTTATCCACCAGCAATGCGAAGAACGTGGCGATGTCGAAACTCCAAGACCGAAAGGAAAACAAAAGAGCAAGAGACGAAGAGAGAAGACAGCAGGCTGAGAGGGGAAGACCTAGCTCAGGCTTCATCTAATAATACGTACATATCGAAAGACCATGACATGCCAACCTTTACCCGCTCCGCGCAGCGACGCAGCGTATCACCCGCTGCCCGCCCGTCAGCAACGCAGCCATCAATCCAGCCTCATGGCAACCCTGACGTTCACCAAGGCCTCGATGCTGCACTCAAGGTGCAACAGCACGAAAGCAGCATAGTGAACTCTACCTCAACGAATTGCAGACCCGCCGCCTCCACCACGAAGCAAGTGGAGCGCTGGACGTGCATGGGGCTGAATGGAGTCGCTTGCACCTGGCAGTGCCACCAGCCTGGGCGTGAGCGGAGGTGCTGTCGTTTGATTGCTTTTAATAGAGAGAAATGACAGGCATAGATGTGGACGTGGGCATGGTATCGAGTCCGGAAGGTCGGTAGAGTCCATGGGTTCCTGGGCGTCTCGTACTCGTATCCCTCACGCCCATCCCGTTGAAGCTTAAATGTAGATATCTCCCAAGCATCTCTTCATCGCACCCCTTCCCAAGGAAACAACAAACTGGAGCAGCACGCTCCAGCCTTCGGGGCTTCAGCAGCGGTGTCCAGCACAGCATACCAAGCAATGGGGCGAAGCTGAGGTCTGCAAAAGCTCAGCGGCTAGAGCCTCTGATGTGCGCGCCATCGCCGGAAGTGGCTAGCCAGCCTTCCGCTGGCTGGTCCAGCCGCAGTGGGATCTTCCCTCCTCCAATGCTTGGCGCTGACTTATCTTCCCCGTTGAGATAAAGTTAGAAGCACGTGGATAGGGGAGGCACGAGCCTCGAGAAGGCAGATTCTCTTTCAACAATGAGAGCTTTGCATAGGGACGAGTTTGTTTTATAGCTCCAGACTTTGGATAGGAAAACGCTGCGCGTCGTCGTTTGGTGGTGCTATAGAAAGCAACTCAGGAGCCAGACAAATCATCTGCTCATGTCATATAATAATGCTGGAACATTGTTTCTGGATGTCGGCTCCCCGCTCAACATGGCCAAGACTTATCCACGATGACAGCCAAAAGCAACGGCTCACCTTTGGGGGCCATTCCGCGATTCATTCATCGCGCGAATGAAATGCCCTTCCCAGCTGGCAGCCGCGAAAGAAAGCCAAGCTGTCTGCGCCCCAAGAGACGATTTCCCCCAAAGAGGACGTTATCTCCAAACAGTTACCGCATTTGGTTCGCTTCTGTCCACTCGCTTGAGGGCTCCGATTCAGTCAGCGGAGCCGCATGCACGGCGCGGCAAGTACTTTTTTCGAACCGCCTCAAAGAATGCATTGGTATCCATCGGACGCTCGATATTGCAACTGTACAATCCCGCTTGCTTCAAGCACCACTTCCACCTGAGAAATCTATCTTGAATCCAATCTCGCTCGCAAGCTCGCAAGAAACCACCCGCCAAAGCAAGCATCCCAACGCCAGGCAATGCAAGAAAGCTTAATTGTCGACTCAAGGCATCTAAGCTTGGGCTACCTCCTCGGGAAGTCACTCCTCAAAGGACTACCATGCGGGCTTCTGGGTGTAGACACGCTGAAAAGTCCTAACGGGGGCATGTCTTTGCTTTTCGTGTTGTTTGTTGGTACGCTGCCCTGTCGAGGCTGCTCCAATAACCGCGGCGAGCGCATTCCGCTCGCTAGAGGAGGAGATCTCAGACCTTGCTGCTGCTGTCTCTCGTCAGCAAGCCTTGCCTGCTCAAGCTCTGCCTCGTACTCGCTCTTCTTCTTCAGCAGGTAGGCTTGAACCTCATCTTGGTGCGTGGTGAGCATTTCGTCCAGCTTCTCTTTGGGCGATCGGATGAGCTTTCCCCATTTCTTACGGAGTTTGCGCTGGCGGTTTGGATCCCAGACGTGGTGGCTGTTTTGAACGAATACTAGGGAGTGCTAATGGCAATGTCAGCGAAGCTAATTAGCCCGCCAGCACTCTTAGACGTACCGCGTAATACCAACCAGCAATGTTGTCGTCGGTAGCTCTCCTGATGGATTGGATCGATGTTTCTGAAACGAAGCCGATGAGACACTGGACGGGACTATCGGGTTCGGTGCAATTTTCTTGCCCAAGATTAGTCAATTACCGAAAAAGATTGAACAGATATCTTACCATAGTTGCTGAGCAGATCCACGAGACCCAGATAGGCAGCTCCGATGCCCATAAAGAAGACCTGTGTAGCGTCATGAGGTCTGTCTTAGAGTTAGTGGCACTCCTCGAAAGCCGCATCGCTGACTAACTCAATATAGTTCTCCCATATATAAGCCGCAAGCTCCCGGGTCTGGTGGGCGCGGGCTTCGCTGTCGTCTGATCTTATATAGCCACCATTGTCCTGGAATATCATTAGAGCCTCTCGAAGCGGATGTGAGAGGAGGGGCCCTTACGTCTTCTATTGAAACTACCTTTGGGATGTTCACATCAATGACTTGGAAGTCATTGTGAATTGCCCAACCGACATAGTCCTTGGCAACATCAGTCTTGTGCAATAGTCAGCGGTTATACAGCGCAAGACTGTACTCGAATACTCACCAACCACGTATTGTGTAACTCCATCCTGCCAGTAACTGGATCAGGAATGCTTTTCACAGTCGGTGGGTCATGGAAGACGACCAGAAGGGGATGTCGCTCCATGAAATTAGGTCTACTCCTGTTAAATAAATTCGGTACATAGTGATGGCTTGCACTTACGTGGCAATGACGTTGTGTTCGAAAGACTGAGTCAATTCAGCTTTGTTAATCGCCAAAGGTGTCATTCGGTACTCTGCAGAGAGTGTCTGACTCTGCCATTCCCGTATGATATCGTGCAAGCGTTTGGTCGCGTGGAAGGACGGATCGTTCTTGTCTAACTGTTTCGGATACAAGCATTTCCAGTATTTCGACTGCTCTCGCTTGACTTGCTCGATGGTCCGAACAGCGGACTCTTTCGGAGATAACCCATCCGCAAGACGTTCGGGTGGTTGCAGCATGAGCGTCCTTGTGACTGCTAGCGCTGATCGGGCGATGGATCGCAAGTTGTAACCTCCTTCGAGGCATACGACGATCTTCCCCTTCGCCATGCGCATGAGCATATGCGTCATGTGAGCGTAGCAAGCTGGAGTGACATGGCAGCCTCCTAGAACATCTCCTTCAGCGGCATCGAATCCGGCCGAGATGATGACGAGGTCTGGATCGAACTCCGTTGCGACAGGCATGATTACCTCTTGGAAGGCATATATGTACTCCGCATCCCCCATACCATGGTCGGCCCACGGGATGTTGACGTTGCGCCCTAACCCAGGACCCTCGCCGCAGAAGTTATAGTCTCCGTCAGGCAAATTAGGGTAGAAATTTCCGCCTCTAAACACGTGCAATGAGATGTAGAGAACGTTCGGGTCGTCATAGAACGCGTGCTGAACGCCATTTCCATGGTGAACGTCCCAGTCAAGGATCAAGACTTTCCGGCACGTCTCAGGGAAGTTTTTCTGGCAGACCCGCGTCGCGATGGGAACGTTGTTGAAGATGCAGAATCCAGAGGGGGCGTTGCTTTCCGCATGGTGGCCTGGTGGTCGGATTATAGCGATGGCGTTACGTACGTCGCCGCGCACAACGGCCCTGCAAGCTTCGATCGCACCGCCCGCTGCAAGCTTAGCGCATTCAAATGTTGCGTTATTGAAGTAAATAGAGTCCAGAGAATCTGAGATATCTTTTAATTCTATTGCAGACTTGTCTGTCCATAATTTAGCTGATGTTATTTGAAGGAGCCTACATCAGTAAACGTACCTTGCAATGACTCGATGAAAATGTAGTGTTCTGCAGTATGAATGAGACAGATCTCTGCGGTGGTAGCGGACCGGGCTTCTATTCTCCAGCACTGTTCCTCGCTGGCCTCTTCATCCGGATCGTCTGGTCCTTGCACAAGACCAGCTTGGTGTATCTCTTCGAAAATTTCGTGAATGCGGCGAGGATCTTCAGGATGTATATCCTCAGGGTTCATCATGAAATCCGGGAACTCTGCGTGAAACCGCATCCTCGGATCATAGACGAGCCCTGTCTTCGATGATGAGTACGGTAAAGGCGGAAACCTAGGCGGCGGCGGTACCCGTATCTCAACGGCTGTCGATTTGGAAGGAGTAATATCCATTGCGTCCGATTCGGGTTCCGAGGAGCTCTCTCGACTATAATGGGTTGACGCATTCGGGATGTAGTACTGCTTCGACGCTGAGGGAACCTTCAGCGAGTAGGGCAGTTGCTCCTTCCTAGGCGAGAATTGCGGGGAGTTGAGTCGGCGAAATATCTCGGAAGGATCGACCGTGGCGTTTGCACCCTGCTCACCATTGATTTCGGTAGAGGCCATGACCGTGTCCTCGCCCATAGTAAGATCGGACTCGTCTATGGCAGCCATTTTCGTCGTGAGGAGGCGTGGAACGCCTCACTCTACAATGAAACTGGTCCTGCAGCTACAATTCCGGTAAGCATATGCTTCGATACGAAAATATTAAATGATCAACGTTTTCTAAGTTTGGAGCTTCACGTGGAGAATAGAAGCGTATGACTGCCAAACCACGCCTACTCTAGTTGCAACTTGACATACAGCAGTGTCCCCATTGAACACCCGAATTTGGGAGATTGCTAAGGAAGAGTATGAAAGGAACAAAAGAGTCGTTCAAGCGCGAACTAAACAGTGCGATGACGATAGCGGTGAATGAGTAGAATGCGAAAAACAAAGAGCCATCCTCACTCACCTTAGCAAGTAACAACCATGATAAACAGCGGGTTCGAGACGTAGGAAGTCGGGTTTATCCACCAGTCGCTGAAATTTATGAAGTGGAGCGGTTTTTCTTGAGCGCTTCGGCTGCGCCAAACCTATAAACGTAGGCTGTATCGGTTTCACAAGAACAAAACTCGTCCACGATCCTTGGCTGCGCAGGACGAGTCTAATTTGAGGTAAAGTCCAGCTCGACCCTGAGGTCCCGTGACGATGAGATTCGACCGTGATCCGCCCAAGTCGGACGCGCAACTGCCTGCTTTCTTCGTTGCGTGTCCTGCGCGAGGTAAGTCAAGTGAGATGAAAGATAAATTCCTACGGCTGTCAAAGGCCAGCCGGTCAGTCGTTGCTGTTTGGGTTGAATGTAAAGGGATAAAGTAGGATAGTCGTGTTCTGGCGTCGCGACTTGATTTCGAGCTGACTAAGCCTTTTGGCGTCCTGCGCTAAGCCTCTAGCGGCTAATAATTACAGCCCAAAGCCTGAAAATGGCGGGCCTCTTTCTGCGCCTCCCTAGTGCTCCCATCTGATGTCCCTAACAACAGCTCAGAAGCTTAAATGTTTGCTTTGCGTGTCCTATACCTGGATCTTCTCATCTTTACCGGTGCTGAATGGGCTAAAAGTCCGCTGCTATCATGTCCTCCGTAGTTGCCACTTGTTTGCTACATCGACCGCGGTATAACGCAGAGCCGGCTCCACTGACTTCCTACCGAAGTCTGTTGAGATATGAAGTCGTCATCCGATCTTGAACATTGCGTGTGTCTCTCTACTTACGGCAAAAGATCTATAGGCCTTCTCCTGTATTCCGCTTCTCTGTGTCGGGGCGCGACCTCGTCCATGACATCCTCTGGGAAAATTGTACTTCATAATCTGCTAGATGGGCTATCCCCTAGAGCGTTGTTTCTCCTTATGTTATCGACAAGCGTGGGCCAATTTCCTTGCCAATAGACGAAATGCTAAAATGCTTTTACTAAGACGTACGCATTTCAAATGGCGCCGCAAAGCTTCACCGCTTCGAAAAGCCGATAGGATAGTCCACGCCGTGTATTTCCGCTCATCCTCCGCACCACGTGCCAAACACGAAGTGCCGATTCCGATAAACCTCAGAGCATCGGAATCTAGCGATGGGCTAGAGGCCCATAGCTCATGTGACACTCCACCTTACCCCGGGAACTAACTAGGATCAGTAGGCTAGAAAACTGCGGCAGGGATAGCTCTATGGACGAGGGGAAGCTTCACAAAGGGTGTTCATGCACTTGACAAGGCTGATATGGGAGCAATTCTTTCATTGAATCGTGTCTAACATGTTTTCATGAGTTCGTTCCCCCATTTTCCCCACCGCATCGCGGACACCCGTCAAACAAGTATCGAGCATGTGAAGGAAGCGAAACCATTCAGTTTCCAACCCAAGAATAACCCACCCTCAGTCCATAGGCTGCCCTAGAGTCTGGGCGTTGCCTGGCTCCGTCCTGATTCCTAAGCATTGCCATCGACCTTGGCAATGTAGACCAGAAGGTCGAGCACACGGCGGGAGTAGCCCCACTCATTGTCGTACCACGAGACGAGCTTGACGAAGTTCTTGTTCAGGGAAATACCGGCCTTGGCGTCGAAGATTGAAGAGCGGTTGTCACCGTTCAGGTCAGTGGAGACGATGTCGTCCTCAGTGTATCCAAGAATGCCTTCGTTAAGTTAGCGATGCTACATGAGCAGATAGATAAATGCGTACCCTTGAGAGAACCCTCGGAAGCCTCCTTAACGGCGGCCTTGATCTCGTCGTAGGTCGCGCCCTTCTCAATGCGGCAGGTCAGGTCAACGACGGAGACGTTTGCGGTTGGCACACGCATAGCCATGCCGGTGAGCTTGCCGTTCAGGTCGGGAATGACCTTGCCGACAGCCTTTGCGGCACCGGTGCTGCTGGGAATGATGTTCTGAGCAGCAGTGCGGCCACCGCGCCAGTCCTTGGCGGACGGGCCATCGACGACCTTCTGAGTCGCAGTGTAGGAGTGGATGGTGGTCATCAAACCCTCAACGATGGTGAACTTGTCATGGATGACCTTGGCGAGAGGGGCCAAGCAGTTGGTCGTGCAGGAAGCGTTGGAGAGCACCTCGATGTCCGACTTGTAAGACTCGTGGTTGACGCCCATGACGAACATGGGAGCGTCAGCCGAGGGAGCGGAGATGACGACCTTCTTGGCACCGCCCTTCAGGTGGGCCTTGGCCTTCTCAGTGGTGGTGAAGACACCGGTGGACTCAACAACGTAGTATGCGCCGGTCTCGCTCCACGGGATGTTGGCCGGGTCCTTCTCCATGTAAAACTTGACCGTCTTGCCGTTCACGACAAGGTTGTTTCCATCAACCGAGATGTCGCCCTTGAACTGGCCGTGGGTGCTGTCGTACTTGAGCATGTACGCCTATCATGGCAGCGTCAGCCCCGCATCAATCTCAACGTTATGAAGCTCTGCGGACAGCGCAGGCCTGTCCAGCTACCGGCCGTTGCTCAATTGGGGGTATCTGAGGGTCGCTTACAGCATAGTGCGGCTCAATGAAGGGGTCGTTGACGGCGGTGATGATAACGTCGTCGTGCTCGATGCTGAGGGCTCGTTAGCTGGGTCGTCGTGAAGAGCGGCCGATGGGACTCACGCATTGCGGAAGACGATCCTGCCAATACGACCGAAGCCGTTGATACCGACCTGAAAGAAGCTGTCAATGGCTGCCTCGCGGTGGAGCGGGGTAGCAGCAGCTCACCTTGACGACCATGATGGCTGATTGATGTGCTGCGAGAGTCAGAGGGGCGGAATGGGCGAGAAAGCGAAGAGGCTCACTCTTTAAGGAGAATTGGTTCTGGGGTGGGGAAGAAATTGTTGTGGGCTGAGGCGGATGTTGTTGTTGGGTAGTGGGGTGAGTGAGCTAAATAGGGTCGGAGGGGAGCAAAACGTCACACCTGGGCAGCCGGGGAAGCAGAGGCAGTTACTTTTTCTGTAATGATAGCTGCACCAGCCGGACGCCTGGGCACCCAATAATATACTTTTTCTCGTCTCCCACCCACCCGACGGAGACCGAGACCAGGCCAGAGTGATGCTACCTCGGACGCGGTGCGTGCATCATGGGGGAGGTCGGGATTGCCCGGAGCGCGGACGAGACAGCGGGTCTGCTTTGGCATCGAAATGCCCCGTCTTCTCCATTTCTACTGTGTACGCTCCATCGTCGTCGGTACCTGGGTAGTATACTTCGTAAACTATCCGCGTATCCGTAACCCAGGTAGCGGTGCAGCAGACCCGTACAGAAGCCCGCCCAGCGATTGGAAAATCTCCCAGCGCCTCTACGAAAGCAGCATTCCATAATACCTCAACGCGCCCGGCGCCGCGGGATGATGGTAAGCTGGCAAAAGTATCTCGCAGCGTGACTGTCGTGCGAGGCGCATGCGCAATTGGTGCTCTGGATGGTCATTCGATAAGAAAAATGACAGCGCAGTATTATGCAGACGAAGGCCTGCGGGGAGGCGAGTGGTCGTGTAACCACCGAGCGGTTCACCGCCACGCAAGGCCGCCGCTGGATCGCAATTGTTGAAGTCGCTGGTGTTGAGGATGGAGATTGGGCGTGGCGCGTCCGCGGCCGAGACTCCTAGAGCAGTCCTGAGCCCACCGCATGACCTCCTCGTGCCACGGCGGCGTCCAGCGCTGCTCGAGACAGGAGGTACCTGCATAGGGTTTGTCGGGAGTCGGGAGTCGGGACGCCAGAGACGGTCTGACGAGCTTCATAGGGCTGACGAAGCTCGCGCCGTGAGAGCAGCCGGCGCCATCGTCGGCCCGAGAGCGTGGCACTCTACTGTAAAGCGGGCTCTCAAGCTACCTAGGTACGCTGCTACGGCAGGTTGCGCCTTGGGTAGCTATAGAACATGGACTGATCTCGTCTGATAAGCTCATCCGCGATATTGCTGCATAGCTATAAATCCTTCCAGTGCCGCCTGTCTTCGATCGCACGACGCTCCGACAGTGGGGTTCATGGAAGCGGCAGATTAATTAGCACTGGATTTATCTACAGCCACTGCAGCTCTGCAGCTCTGCCGCTCTGCCGCTCTGCCGCTCTGCAAGCAGCATTGGAGCTGTTCAAGCCGTTCTGCGGCCGCCGCCGCATGTCCAGGACGTCGCGCCAATGAGCGCAGCGCTGATTTAGCGTACATATCAGGAGATGCGGAATGCCAAGCCTCCATCCATTTTTCGGGCGGCCTCATCGCAGCTCCCTCCTGCTGTCCCGCCTTCCCTTCCACCACAACCCCCATCAATTGGCACGCAGACTTCCCTCGACGGGAACGCCCTCCCTTTCCTTTCGTAATATCGCGACCCTCTCCACTCCACGCCTTCGCCATGCTGCGCTCCTCCGTCATCCGGGCCTCGAGGAGCTCGCCTTGCATCATCCCATCGTCCGCCATCCGTCAAGCTGGCCGCGTCCCTCGAGCGGCCCCCGCGGCTGGCCTGCAGCTGCAGCAGCAGACCCGCCAGGCGCATGCCATTTCCAACCCCACCCTGGCCAACATCGAGAAGCGATGGGAGGACATGCCGCCGCAGGAGCAGGCTGATCTGTGGATGTCGCTGAGAGATCGCATGAAGATCGACTGGAAGGAGATGACTATGCAGGAGAAGAAGGCCGGTGCGTAGAGCTCTCAATTCTGCCATTGAGTGCTGGGAACGGTCGTATGACGTACGAATTCGGGTTCCAGATGTCCGGACACGTGCCGCGGCATTTTCGTACAAGCTCGTGGAGGACCATTGCGAGAGTCAATATGAAGGCATAGAGCTAACGTATCTCTCATCTACAGCGTACTACATTGCCTTCGGTCCGCACGGTCCGCGACGACCGCCGCCACCGGATGAGGGCCGCAAGGTCTTCTTCCTCACCTCCGCTATCATCGCCGCTGCTGTCGTTGTCTTCTCCCTCACCCGCATTTTCGCAAACCCGGTCCGACCGCGTACCATGACGAAGGAGTGGCAGGAAGCGACCGAGGAGTATATGAAGGTACGTAGCTGCTGTGGGACAACGGCGTCCTTACACTTGTGTCTACTCCCATGCTAACGTTTGACCCACAGAACCAAGGAACGGAGACCATCAGCGGCTACAAGGGAATGATGGTCCAGAGCAAGTCTGAGAAGCATCTCCCCGCTCGCGAGAAGCTCAACGACGAATAAACGGTCGGTAAAAGTAGCACGTCATGCACACAATACCAAGTCCAATACCTCCTTTCCTTGAGTCACCCTATCCTTTGGTACTGTCTGTGTGAGATATATGAGATGGAGAGGGTCCAGAGCCCGTCGGTAGGGAGCCGCTGCTGGGTTGGCAGTTGTCACATTAGTCCGCCTGTGTACAGAATCTCAGAGGCATTTTCAGTCTTGCTTATTGTCACGTCTCTCTCTGCTCCCGCGTGCGCCTGCTTTCCGTCTCGCTCATGTGCGGCAAAGGCCAATGTGTACCGATTACAGAGCTATCTCCAATCTACCTGCTCTACCCTCTCCAGATGCGGACCCCTGTCTCCAGGCTTTGTTCCACCTTTTTTTACACCAAAGTGCTAAAGTGAGTGCGTCGCATCGGCCGATGATTTCTCATATTCCATTCAGGTAAGCGAGGCCACATTATGACGGTCCGGAGTGATGCAAAGTCTAAAGACGTAAGAAACAAAACGATTGTAGGACGAGAACAATTATCCTCATGGACTGCCACGACTTTGTCGATATCTACAAGATGCGATCTTCAATCCATGGGTTTTGTCTGACCGTCCTGCGCTTCTCTGCCCTAATCTTGTGTCCGGGTGGTTAGTACCCGATTCTCTCTCTGCTACGCTCGACCAATATCGGTTTCTAAGACAAGTCAGTTCATATCGTACTCGGCTCTTTCGCACGCAGAAAGCCCTATAGTGCTATTGTTCCGGGCTAGATATCAGCGGCACAATTGTACCTACCGGAATAGCTTCTCTAGCCTGTCCATGCCTGTCTCAAGTCTTGCACTCGTTTCTCCAGACATTCCTAAACCATAAACGAGTACGAAAGAGTCGGCAAGATGGCCACAAGTGTGGCGTCCGGTCCCCGTTGAAAACGCGCGCCTCTTGGTATCCGTCTTGCCACCCACGCCAGTGTCGGGCCACAAGCACATACAGAACCCCACAGATGCCTTCACCGACGGCAATGCGAATCCGGAGCGATCATGCGTGAGTGTTCGCCTACCCTCCGCAATGTTACACTTCGCTGATGGTGGTGGCAATCCAGGCTGACAAACGCAGCAATCCGCGGCCGACGGAGATGAACACCACTACCCACCCACGCTCACGAGTAATCATCTACATCCAAATGTAATGTAGCGGTAGGTTCTCCCCGCGGCCGATGTATAATGCACGCTGTCGCATTCGACGCGGGAAGGCAGGCTCTCGTGATGCGAGATGCGAAGGACACCTGCTTCCATCGTCGGACTTCAATGACGTCTTTAGAAAAGCTTTCAGAGGGCAGATCTCGCGAAATAGTCTCGATGAACAGTGCTTTCATGCTCTGTCGCGTATTGATCGAGGGTACGCTCCGTAACACAGATCGTGAGATCTTTCTGCGTATGACCGTATGGAAACTGAACACCACGACACCATCAATTGGTCCCAAGGCGGATTTTGGTGTTATTACCAATCTCCAACGAAGTGCCATGATACAAAGATCGAGATACTCGACCAGGTCCATCCACTCCATAAAGAAAACTTCGGTATCGGTTTTGCGAGCCCCTTGACATCAGCCAGGCCGTCATGCAGTTCAGTTTCGGAACAAGACCAAGGAACATCGCTCTCGTCCTGTTCCACTCCAAGTCCTTTCCAGTCCGGCATATACATGCCTTATTACATTTTGTTCGCAGTGCCCGCCCCGACGTGCTAGAGAGGAACTGGGAATACTGCTGAAAGTCTACACAACCGCCTTTATACTATTCTCAATCAAGTATTTTCGAACGCAGACCCCATAGTTGGGTTTCTCGTAGCTTTTCAATTCTGCGCGCGGTATACGACTTCGCGGCACCACAAGATCCCCCTGAGGTCGGAAATTACGCCTGCAGTTCCGGAGAGCTTTCATGCATTAGGTAGTCGTTCCATTTAAAAGCGACAAGTCGAAATCCGAAAATATCTCCCGACTTCCCATACCTTGGCTCTCCTTTCCTTTTTAGTCCTCCCAGGGGACTCACTGCTCATGTCTTCCTCGGGTTGTGGATCTCCGGAGCCTTCTTCCCCTTCATTTTGTGTATCCACCAACGTTCTCGCCAAAGGCAAATGTACTGTTATCTCGCGGAGTGCCACGGGGGAGGGATTACCCACCATGGGGTCTAACGGAACGGTTTTTTGTTTCGGCTGCCGGGACCACGGCCGTCATCGCCTATTACTTCCGAAGCAGCTAAAACAGTTGCACGTTCACCAGCATATTTTATTTCTTATCAAACAAGAAAAGGATGTGGTGGGTAGATTTCAAGATGCCGGACCATTGTCTGGGTTTGAGATGCATTTTTTCGTTTGTCACGCTGTGAGTGCGAGTTTGGTATGCTATCGTCGTTTCAAAGTCGCGAACATGGAACTGGAGAGAGCGCCATTTAGCAGGAAGAAACATTGTGGCCGCTGAGCTTGAGGCCTTGTTGGAGAAGTGCTCATGTCCTGCTTTGTTTTGCGATTTTGTCGCACCTGGAGATTCCAGGGGAAGAGCCTTAGATGCGCACGAGGCGCGGAGGGCATACCGGCTTTTCACGTGTTTTATCGGGGGCACACGTTGCTCCACACATAAGCCCCTTCACTGCGCTTTTGGAAGCAGTCCGCGCCGACTCCATGATTGGCTCCTTGGAGATTTTGGAGACCGAGACGCACGGCACGGGGTAGAAGAGTAGCGGATGACGAGGGCGGACCACTCATTTTGGTCAGGGACTTGAATTCCGTCATCTAGCCTTCAGAAGAACTCGCCTGGGCATCACGATGCCGTGGACAGATTTCTCGAGGTCGTCTTCAAGCGCATCCAGAACGCCGGCAGCGCGAGACGACCGCATCACGTTTGTGTTTGTCATTTTTGGAACAGAGCTTCCGTGAAGATTCACGTTCAGCTTTTTAGTTCAAAGCAGCTGCTCCGGCGCGGAGCATGATATGACATCTCTTCCTATTTTCAGCAGTGCCAGGATTCCGGGGCGTTGCGTTGGTGTGAAATGAAGAAGAAAGAAAATGTAATTTTTTGAGCGGCCTGATTCCAACGCACCACACTTCATCGACCTTTTCAGTTCCAGTTTCACTTTTCCATAACGTTGCTAGGGGACCATTCCTCGCTATATACACCGGACTGCAATCTTGCTGTAGTTCTCGGTGTCGAAGGAGGCCCCGCTCGAAAGTAAGGCATACGCAGTGAGTTCTTTGCCTTTATTCCGGTTCGATCCTACGCATAACTGTATGCATTGTTTCCTTTGGATCTGTCGAGTTCCGAACAAGGCATGATATGATTTCGATCGGATCTCGAGAAGCTCGGGCATCATTCGGCCTATCTTCTATTTCTTGGAGATTGCGGTCTTTGCTCATGGTACCTGGCTCGACAAAATTTGTATTGAGGCATGGATGGGCGGACACGCATGAGCACTAGCGTTTCCTGTTTTAGGACTGGATTGTACCCTTTGCCTCGTGTGGCTCACAAAATTGTTCGTTCCATTATCATCTTCAGACCGCTTTTGTATTCCTCGCAACGTAATGATGGTTTGGAGATCGATAGTTGAGGGGACACATGTAGAATAACGCTCGGGGCTTCTGCTGCCCTTTCGAATTTCGGTCAACTTCCTGCAGAAGAAGTGTACGTCGGGACTGCGATCGTGCTTCTCTAGGGCCGAACGGACGGCAATCCACGTTGTAGTCGATGAGGTGTTTTTTGAGCCATGCAGATATCCTAGAGTTTCTCTCATTTCAAATGAGAAAGACACAGACGAACCAAAGGATATCAGAAGCACAGTATGCGACGAACTAGCCCCTCAGCTCACCCATGCACTCTTGGAGAAGACATCTCTTGCTAGACACATGAACGAAAAGGGTGGGCTTTCCACAGACGCAATGCTAATCCAGAAGCCCTCCACGCATATTACTGTCTGAAGTAGCTCTTTTGCATGGAAGTAGGACATTTTGCTTCCAGTTTTCCTTTTTCAGGAAAGCATGACAATTGGCGGCGCTGGTTTGAAAAGTAATCTGAGAATCCGCATGGGTCGAATGCTTCCGTTCTTTGGAAGCACAGTGCTTCCATGAAAGAATAGTGCATGGGTTTTGCGCATTGACCCTGTGTCAAAGTCGACGGGTTCACACAAGCACCCGCGATCTCAGCGAGATGTGGTGACGTTTCGTGGACGTGGAGGTAGGAACGAGGAACAGAAGCGACTCGTTCGCGACTAGGCTCTCCGATTTGGTACGATGGAGAAAGAGTGTCTCCGAGAGACATGAAGGAGTATGGTAAGATAGCGATAGAGAAGAGAAATAGCAAGACGGCTACTTAGAGCTAGGTAAAAATGTTTAACACTAGAACCTTACGTTATGTTAGACTGTAACCTAACTAGAACTATCTATCTAGCTATCGAGATATAATAACTAAATTCCTTCTATGGTATTGCTCTAGCCATCCATGGGTCTTTGAGGAGTTCAGAGGCTTGCTTTCTCTTCTCTGGTAACCATTTGAGCATTGATCTTATGAAATTGAGAAACTGCTCTTTGGTTTCACCATCGAGGGCGGATACTGATTCTTCAAGGGAAAGCTGCGGTACAACCGTACCTCCAGCACCCTTCCAGCGTCCTAAAGCATCTCAGGTTAAGTTAAGTAATGAGGTTTGAGTCTTATAGCTAACCTTGCTCGTTAAAAACTTTCTTCGTGATCTCGCTTCTTGGTATGTACTGGAGAGGAGGCAAACCGAGATATGCAACCATTTCGGCGACGTGGTGGGTTGCCGACGGCTCCAGATTTTCATCGACCGCGTTGAACAAGTGTCGATTCTCGAACAGATCCCAGATCTATTATTTAACTTCAGTGATAAGCAGGAGCATACAGAGGCGGATATGCTCACTAAAGCGGCAACGTTCCAAATATCAACACTCGAACTCCATTCCATATCAAACAATACCTCTGGGGCACGGTATAGCTCGGGCTGGATTAGACCTCTGTGAGACTCTCCTATTCGAGCTTCTCCGAAGTCACAGAGGACTGGTTGACCCCACAGGGAATCCCTAGGTAGACCGAGTTTACGGGAGCTGTAGATGATGCGGATATCGTTGATGACTTTTGTCGGTGATGGTTCCTCTGTTTCGGCTCTTTCAAAATCATCGAGTACAGATTCGTCATCCACGGTTAACATAATATTTGACGGATTAATGTCTAATTCCATTTATCAGCTAGGAAAACACGAAATTGCGAGGGCTTGCCTGTATGTACCACTTTGGCTTCATCATGCAGGAATGAGAGAGCGTATAGCAAGTTGGACAGCGTTCACTTCAAGAGCTGTTCATTCAGTTGATGTGATTGATTCATGTACTGGAGCTCTCGGATAGTCATGTGCATCGGGGGATGAACCAGGCACAGGTGCTGACCGGTAGGGCCGGTGATTTCGAATGTTCCCAATAGACCGCGAATGAAGAATTGACCATGGTGCTGAGAACTGAGTGAACTGATGTGCTCGTAGAACTGTAGCTCTCGATGAATACGTGTAGATCGGTCAACGTCTCAAGTGCAGACCTTTATTGCGACAAAGCCGGCATCTCTTTCCTTGCATCAGCCAGTACGACGATAGAAGTGTGACGGAATATATACCTGATGTTTCGACAAAGCCAGACTGTAGAATATGCGCCGTACCCGAGCTTCCCCAGTACCTTGTAGCTGGAGTCGAGAATTTCTCCGATGCGAACCGGATAGAATTGATCAGGGTTATACCAAGGGAGTCGCTCCTCTTCGAGGGGTTGGCCTGGGTCCGTTTTGGCAGCGGGGAAGCTCATGAGTTGTCTCCTTGCAAACCGTGATATTTCTCGAGGATAGACCCGACTAGCAAGTCTGAACATGTCGGAGGGGCTAGCGAAAAAGATAGAGCTTCATTGATGTATTCCCAGTCGGCGCTTATTTTCAGGGCGAAGCCCTCCGGAGAAAATTAGCCCCGGCGCCTAGCGCAAGCCTCATTAGTCTTACGAACTCCTGAGCCAATCAATTGCCAGCCGCTAAGCCTCAACCAACACTCTGGTCAACAACAACTTTTTTAAATCCCTTTGGCCTGAAGGCAGGATCCTGGCGTTAAACCAACAAATTATGGAACTTGCAACGTGAGGTCGCGGCCGTGTTGCTCTCGGTTCTAGCAAAAATAGAAGAACTACGCCGCTCTGTAGCAGATATCAGCTATTCGCAGAATTTCGAGACATAAAATGTTGGAGTGCTTTCTATTGATCATGAATCACTTGCATCTTCATCTGACTGGATCTTTGGTACTTTATCACGGAATACATCGTCCAACCTCCCACTACAAGGCTTCAATATAAACGTCGGCACGGTCACTCTAGACCACTTCACAAATCCTGCACTCGGTCAAGCTGTCAAAAATTTCTGCGAAAAGCAAGAAGATGAGGTGTGTGATTCAGAGTATTCTGGAGCTCCGAGCAAATCGGCTCATAAAGGTCGTCTAGAACGCAAATGTTAAAAAGGCCGAAATCAAAGGCAGTAGTCTCCACCAGTCCCATGACGACCCAAACGACCCCAAGCCGGTCATTTCGATTCGCTTCAAGGACGAAAATGGCAGAAGAATTGGTACTGGCCATGTTCACGAGGATGGTACTGGACAGGGGAACTGGAAGTAAATTCTCATTCACAAGGAATTAAGATGTTCTATGAATGCCTTCGACAGCGTTCAAGGTTGCGGTGCTACTTGTTCTAGGGGAATTATGTGGACAGAAATTCGATTCTTCATAAAACTCGCCGTGCTTAGACGTGCTCATGTGGGGCTAAACAGATCAATGCAATATGAGACTATTCGTTCGCCTTGTAACATTGGGTTGTTCTAGAGTACAGCCTCGAGGCAAATTTTGTGCCTGTCTCGCTCTCGAACAATTTACTCTTTATATCCATCAGATACTTATGATCTTGGACAGCCAGTCCGATCAGATCATGGATGGGGACTTGGACATCGCGAGAGATGATTCGCCTGTCGTTTACGTACGTAACTTGCGGAACGATAGAAGCTGGAAAGCAACCGCCCGACTTTTACGTGTCTCACTACGGTAAAGCTTCCCATGTATTAGAGACACATCAACGTGATCGATCTGTTCTTTCCGAGGAGTGGGAGTTCATAGCCCGTTCCAGTATGCGTTTTTAGAACGCGTCCCACACCGCCATACTCTGCTATAGCTTTAGTGTTGTGTCGACGGTGAGAGTGTGGATGATTCCTTGGACTGATGGAAACTTTTATAGATGAAGGCCCGATCGAATTAGTAAGCGTCTCCCTTTGAACACGGCAGTCGAAGTCGGGACTTATATGTTTGGGCACTGTGCTGGGTCACTTGGGACGAGAACGGAGCAGGGGTCGCATTAGAAATGAAGGCCTACGGAAAATGACGAGAGAATTATTGCCCTTTCATAATGATGCCCTCCTAGCATGCTTGTGACGAGGTATAAAGCATTAAAAACCAACAAAAAACAGGCCATAACCCCGAGTGTACGTAATGCAATAAGCGATGTCGAAAAGGGTATCCTTCCAAGCCTTCCAGTATGACGTGAGAGCCATCTGGTCCGATCGATCTTGCCATATTCCAAGCGATCTCTTCTTCGCCAATATATGCCGTCGAGGCTCCTATAGCGCGACCATATAGCGAGCGATATCTCAGTATCCCTTGCCGAAGGGAGGGACTTGTACCAGCAACGCTCAGATAGTATCGATCATAGTTCGTACTGCCCGCTCGGGACTCTCGACTTCGTCTGCGCCGAAGCAGGAGGTTGCGTTCGCGTAGCAGCTCTTTGTGACAATTCCCAAGCGGCACCGGCCATTAGGGCTGTGGTGTGCATCGGCTTCTCGAGATCGTCAATGTCGACCCCGTTTGGTGATGCCTGAGGATGTGGATGCGCGAAAGCGAGAGCCAGGGTGGTGAACACAAGCACCAGCGCCATGAAGACCCTCATCTTGGCGGCTTGGAGGATTACACGAGCAGAGTGCTTGGATGTGATGAAAGTGATGCCGTGGCTATGCGATGCTTGGTAGGAGTGTCGACTCTGAAGAATTGACGAGTGATCGACTTTGCTTTGCTGCAGGGACCCGAGCTGTATAAAGAATACTGTGATTGAAGTGATACGGAAGAGGCCGTGTTCGAGATCGTGGTCAATAACGCTTGAAATTGCCGGGTCTTTGGCTGATATTGAAGGAAAGCGCAGATGACCGGCGAGAAGGAGGCAAGAAGCACAAGAGGAGACAAGAAGGAAACACAAGACCTACCCTTAATATCTGTCCTATCGACCTGATACGAACCCTACCGGAGTTTGGAAAGTTTGTCGTAGGAGTTCGAGAGGTGAATGCACGTTCGCCGGGTCTCGATGTGATTGGGCAGTGTGAGGTTGGTGATCTGCATGGTACGTGCGCTCGCCTAAGATTACCGTTTGGGACCCCGTGATGCTTCCAAGGTTGTTTGTGAGGCGGAACGACTGCGGAACGACGCATATCCTCTGACGCGTTTGGGAGTTCTGCACCTGCGTTTTGCGATTTGAGTTCTCCTTGGGATCCAAAACCTCAGCAATGCTCTCTCTACCCGCGATACCTCCTCGAGCGGTAAGTTGCCCGCCGATTCCGCGTTCATGACGCAGTAAACAAACACTGGCTGCGCCGATGTTTCGAGCTCCGCGCCGTTGATGCAGAAGAACCTTCCCCTTGGTACATAGTTGCACAAGGCAATTTCTTACTGTTTTCTAGGATGCAAGTCTCTGGCCCTCCCTCCGCTCCGCACCAAACTACTTCGACGCCTCAAACCCTGACTCAACCTCCCACCCCCACAATGCTGCCCACCACCGCAGACCAGCCTCCCACCATGCACACCATGCCTCTATATCCTCCAGATCAACGCTTGCCCAACTCACAGCCGACGAGAATAAGCTAGACCGGCGCATGGAGAACGTGCGCCGCTTCGGCGCGAACTGGATACGGCCACCTGGTGTAGCGAAGACATACCAAGCGACCATGGACGAGCTCGCTGAGCGCGAGGAGCAAGAGATGCTGGCGAGGCGAGAGCAAGTCATGATGGATCTAGCAGCCGCACAGCAGGACGCTGCGAATGCGCAGGCGAGAGTTGAAGGCGCAGAGGAGGAGATGGAGGGCGAGCGGGATCTTGACGAGGATGTACCTGAGGCGGAGGCCGATGAGAGCGACGTCTCTGCTTCTGAGGACAGTCGCAGTGAGGTCGAAGAGGGGGACACGAGTGCCGTGGCAGGGCACACTGGAGACATAACGTTCAATGAGGACAGCTTCATAGAGGGCAGCATGATCGCCGGCGAAGTGAACTCCATGCTCGAGCGGGAAGAGGCGGAGATGGCAGGCGTACTGCAGGACGAACGGGACCTGGACGACGATATACCCGAAGCGGGAAGTTACGAGCATACCGATTCGGAGTTGGTCGACTCGAGTTCGGAGGATGATGTGAGCCGTGGGCCTGTGCCTAGTTCTGGGAGGCGAAGATCCGGGAGGCGAAGCTCGGGACGGCGCAGTTCTGGCGTACCGGCTGTACAAGACCCTCGGAGCAGTATTGGCTTCGAGGGAAGCAGTTCGATTCTGGATGGGAGCTCGTTTCTGCGCAGCTCACCGGCGGCTGCGAGGGGTTCTCTGAGGGCGAGGTTTATGGGCGCGCGTGGTGGAAGATAGATGGCTTGATGGCTGAATAGTATTATACGTACTTAAGCTTAAGAAGCCCAATCCGCTCCCTTATGTGCTAGCCCAAATGCCCTTATAGCCTGTTACGGCGCCTGGTATGCTATGCAAAAGACCCCTCAGCATTCCAGCTTCCGCCAGGCATACTCTGAAGTGCAGTCTTTAGGAACGCCCCCGCCTCGCCATACACTTCTGCAAAAAACTCCCTTCTCTCCTGACTCAACCACAACGCCACCTCCACACACCCGATCCACATCTGCAACTGCCACATTCCACCCCTCAGCAAGGACTTCTGCTTCAGCGGGAACATCTCCTCCAGCAAGAGCCTCTCCAACTGCGCATCAAACTCCCAGGAGTGATTCACACCTGCATCCCGCAACTGTTTGAGCCTGGCGGACAGTTCTGAAGCCGACGTCTGCGCCATGGCTGCCATTCCACGCTTTATGCCGGCTATTGAAGCCATCGGGAGGCTGTAGAGCGTGGAGAGAAGAGTAAACCGGGCGGCGACGAAGCTGAACGCGTCTCGGTCGGCCAGGAGCGCTTCGGCGAGGGATTGACGGGCCTCACTGGGTGAGGAACAGGACTTTGAGGATGCCACGAAGGCCTTCGAGATGGGGCGGCCGGTGCCGATTGGCGCGCTGGCGGAGTAAGCTTCCGGCGGGATCTGGTACGGGACGCAGACGTAGAGGTGTAGCTGGACTGGGGAACTGGCTCCCTGGAGCTCTTCAAGGGGTGGTTCGAAGATGAAGTCGTCGAAGAACATCTTATTAGGGCAGAGGACGCTAAGGAGGTATTCTGTGATCATGTGGTTAGTGTATTGCTCGTTGGAGGTCTTCAGGATCAGTAATACGCAGGTCGGCATTGGTCCACTTGATCGATGCGTAAAATGATTGAGGAGTCACGGATGGGCCCCTGGCAAGGGAGGAGACACTCGATTCAGGGCTCCAGGCGGGCATCGGTGGGACGGCCTGGATAAAGGGGACTTGCACGGTGTCTGGGAACTCGAGGACCTTGGCTGCATGCTGGTCACAGCTGCGGGGAATGTTGGTGAAGACGGGCTCGCTGTAGATGTCGACGAAGGGATTGGCGGGCATCGTGGCTGGCGTTCCTGACTTCTGGAGGATGGATGCTCGCTCGAGGGTGCTGTGATTTGTGTACGGAAGAGAATACGTGCAACACCGTGATCGGGAGAGAGGCGCTGGACCTGGGGATTGGAGGTGTGCGCAGAGCGGTGGAAGAAAAGAAGGCTAAGGAAGCGGATGAATCAGTATAGTAGGAAGAATAATGACAGAGAAACGAGTGACATTCGCGCTGCTTGTGAAAAGATAGGTGGTGACTCGCAGAAAGATGGTGAAGCGCCTCGGGGAAAAGTGGCGGACACAGGTGCACTGCGGTCGACCGCCGGCAAAGAAAGGTCAGGAGGTTATTCTGAAAAGGCTACAAGCTGTGAGGATTGAATTCGTGCAATCGACTCAGTGTAACTGGCACCGCAAACTGAAGCGTCAGTCATCATTTCGCGCAAACGCGCAAATGAAAGAGAGGTCACAGCGAGACTTCGAGATCGTGAGAACTGTCGCCTTCATTTCCCTGTTCCTGACGGGTAATGTACAAAATCTCAGTGCGACGCAAAGATATTGCGCGTCCGCTGATGGACCGGGGTCTCGTTCTTTGGAGCGTCTGGTATCGTCTTCTCCAGTTTCTGCTGCGGGTGAGAACGTAGCCAATGTCGGGGTGCGAAGGAAGACGTACTAGCTTGTCAAACACGCACTTGTTCAGCCTCCGCTCTTCCGACCTGCAATTCCAGAGCTGCTGGTTGTGGTTCTCCAGGCACTGCCAGTGCGTGCGGAACTCCTGCAGGCAGTGCTCGTTGATATCCTTGATACTGCCGCCGGTGTCAGCGATATGCTCCTTTGAGTCGACTGCGAAGGGGTCCATACACGCTCGCAGCGCATCTCGTAACCTTGCGGCCTTCTTTCATGCAGTCCAGCTCACCCCGGCCATTGCTCTCCACCTTGCACATCATGTAGTCGTCATTGTAGGCTTTGCATCGCGCACCGATGAAGAAGGAGGCGCTGAGAAGGGGCGCAGAGCTGGCTCCGAGCTCTTTGACCTTGGGGATATCGTCGGGAAGAGGGGTGGTATCATAGAGCGCCTGCTGATTGAACCTGCGCTCAATTAGCTCCGGACATGCTGGTGAGAGCTCTAGAAGATGCATACCTCGGCTGGCGGGACGACATGTTGAGTCTGGGGTACCAATGGCGGCGGAAGTGCTCCCAAGGCGAACTGGTGCTGGAGCTGGTTCGTCACTCGTGGAGTGAAGTCGGGCGGTGCCGCCAAGGCCTGCGACTTGACAGGGGTCGCGATTGGCTGGCCGCTGCTTTCTTTCAGCAGAGCCGCCTGCACCAAAACAATCGATCAGTGTCCTGTTCCGCCCCGCGAGAGCCCTCAACACGCCGTTCTCCAGCCCGCTCATCCCTCCGGCCTGAGTCTACTTAGCTTCCCCTTGCCGTGCCCCTTCTGCGACTCCAGAGCGCGCTGCAAACGCGTCAATAACGCCTCGCTGCCCTCGACAACAATCGTCGGTAGAGCACATTGTCATCCCGAAGAACAACTACGCGCGCATATCGGGGAAAACAAGTCACCACAATGTCTCTACTCGCGAACCTGGGCCAGACGGAAAGGAGAACGGGCACGCTGTTTGGGAGCTCGACCGCACCACCCGGGGGACTATTCGGTCAATCGCAGCAGCAGCAGCAGCAGCAGACGAGTGCGCAACCTGCTCAAAGCCTCTTTGGCACGGCGCCGGCTGCACAACAGAGCGGTGGTCTTTTTGGCGCATCGCAGCCGCAACAGACGGGAGGCTTGTTCAGCCAACCTCAGCAACAGCAGCAGCAGCAGCAGCCGAACCTAAGCAACAGCCTCTTCGGCGGGAGGCTGCAACCAGCACCATCACTCAACGCTGTCCAGGCGCAGTCACTGCAGCAGTCGCAGCAGGGCCTTCCGCAGCTGAGGCAGTCAGCGAACGCTCCCTTTCCAGGGACTTCCATAAGCGGTCAGCGTAAGTAGCTAAAGTTGGCACCTTGCAGTCGACCTAACACAGAACAGGTGAGAAATCGGTTGTAGAGCAAATGAAGACTATATTCAACAAATGGGACCCGAAGAATCCCGAATGCAGCTTCCAGCACTACTTCTACAACGCGGTCAACCCAGACGAGGCGCCTTTCTACGGTCCCGCCCCGCACGAAGACGAGAGGAAATGGGAGGAAGCGCTAGCAAAGAAGCCAAGCCCAGGATCTATTCCGGTGCTTGCTCGTGGATTCGAAGAAATAGCGGCTCGCATCAATGCCCAAGTCCTCGCCGTAACGGGTCTACGCACCCGGTTACACGAGATCAACAACAGCCTCTCTCTAATGAAAGACCAGCACGAGCTGAACTTCGCGTCACGTATAACTGAGGCGAAGCGGAAACACATTGTCCACACTCAGCGAACCCTCGCTCTTGCGACGAAGGTGCAGATTCTTAGGAATCGGGGATACGTAATGGACCAGGCAGAAGAGGAGCTGAAGAAGAAGCTCATCGAGCTGGAGAAGAAAACGTTTGATCCTGTGCTTGGGGGCCGGCAAGAAGAGATTTGGGCGAGAATGTCCGGCGTCCGCGAGCGCGCGCGGATATTGCAGGAGGAGACAGAGAAACTGGGAAAGGCGATTGAGGGTCAGCAGAACGGGGAAATACTATCTGAGGAAGATCAGAAGGCGCTGGAAAAGGTAAGCTAGGCAAGGCAAGGCAAGGCAACTGCAGAGCATCTAAGACTAACTTCTTTCAGCTCCTGAAGGATTACGATAAGCAACTTGAGCATCTCAAGAAGTGGGTGGACGACACGAAGCAGGAATACGAAGAGTGGGAGAAGGAGAAGAAGCCTACGAAGCCTACTGCCGGAGGAAGATGAAGACAAGTGTGGATTAGTCGCATGTACGATCACAAGAGTTGGGGAAATATCCGGCAGCCAGAGGCCTGGCAGAACCAGACCCCAGGCATACCCCGACGGAGGGGTCACGAATAGCTTCAGACCTACTTTTGCTCGGTCGACGACAGTGGCCCAAAGACGGAGTTTGTCGTCGCCGAGCCCCTTACGTATCAAAAATTTATGGTTGGGAATACACCTTGGAAAGCGGATGCTGGCTCGCCCATCCATGATCTTGGATTAATATATCCTTTTGTGCTCGTGGGTACCGAAGTCTAAAGCCAGCCCAAAAGCCGTTCCATGATATTGTTACAATGCCATATGCCGCCCATATGTGCCGTTATAATACATGTATTGTAGCCGTGATGCTCATGACGCCACCGAAGAAAATATGTACGTTCGGATATAGGATCGAGAAGGAGATGAGCATGCGCTTAGACGAGCTTGCGCGCGTAGTCGACGAGAAAAGGTGCTATGGGAGCTGTTAGCCTTAAAGGTCCTTGCCTTTTCCGTCCTTGCTTCATATCCTTGTGCCGGGATGCTGTCCTTACATAGGTAGAGGACAGCGGCAGCTGCGGCAGTCCATTTGATGTCCGATGCCGTCTGTCGCTCAGCGGCCTCGAGCTCCTGCTTCGAAGGTTGCGGTGGTGCTATCCTCTCCATTAGCGTCGCCCAATCTATCTTTGAATTACAGCGGCCTACCTCCGAACATTGCGACTTCTTGTTATGAGGCGACAAACGGTTGAGTGGAATCGGCGCGTTTCGGGTATTCGAGGCTGTTGTCTCTCTGCGCAGTGACGTTCGAAAAGTTTGGGATGTCTCGGCGATTGGCGCTGCGTTTTCTCCGACTTAATCACGTGATTGCATCCCGAGGTCGCTGACGGTGACAGGGAAAATTAGTGCGAGAAATGCGAGCCCCTGAAGGGACCTGTTGATGACGCTGCCCCGCCCCACCGGCCGAGAAGCGTCTCGCTGCTGATCAACATCATGGAGACGCTACTGTCAAGAGGTTGAGTCTTGTCAGGCTCGGATATGACTTCGTGCAGATAACTCTTTTCAGCTTGAGCTTTGGGCTTCTTCAGAAGCGTCCTTGAGCTCGTCGTATGTTTTGTTCAACTAAGTCGAAGGATCACGATTATGCTTACTCCGCGCCGTTTAACAACCTAAAAGCGCAATTAGAAGGTGTTTCAAAACAGCGGGGAACTGCAAGCCACCAAGTGCGCTGGAGCTTGTTCGCCTTTTTGGGCCTAGCACGAGTTCTGATTGGACGGCTTACTTCTCAGCCTACTTTTAATCCGGTTGCCTTCCCTAAACTTCTGTTCAGCTTTTTGCTCTCCACCTTTGGGCAGTCATTCGTTCATCCAAGATGATTCTCTTCAGTTCTATTGTATTGTTTATTTCCTACGGCGCGTTCGCACTCGACGCTCGTTATGAATCGCAATCTTCCTCACCGGAGCTGTTGACGACTCAGGCTGCGCCGTATCCGACAGGAAGTCCGACACGTGTATACGGGAATTCGACAGCTCTTCCTGAGCCTACTGGTAGTGCGTCTTGCGCGCCGTACTGGATGGAGAATACCAAGCACCAGGGACTCTCGCCATTCAATACGAACTCCAACGGGACATACCGGGTTTTCCGGAATGTGAAAGACTACGGCGCAGTCGGAGATGGAGTTACTGATGACACGTCTGCTATTCAGCGGGCGATCACTGAGGGTGACAGATGTGCTCCCGGCGTCTGTCAGTCTTCGACTAGAACGCCCGCTGTGGTGTACTTCCCCGGAGGGACATACTTGATTTCGGCTTCTATCATTGATTATTACTACACTCAGGTAGGCTTCAACATTGAGCAGTCATCGGCCTCCGACTGACAGTCGCAAGATCATTGGCAACCCTAATTGTCTACCTACCCTTAAAGCCGCTTCCAACTTCAACTTGACGAGCGGTCTAGGTTTGATCGATGGCTCCCCATATCAGTCTACCGGAAGAACTGGATTTGGTCCTACCAACACTTTTTTCCGCCAGATTCGAAATCTCGTGCTAGACACCACGAGAATCCCTGCAAATCAGTCGGCAACCGGTCTCCACTGGCCCACCGCGCAGACTACGAGTCTTCAGAACGTCGTCTTCAAGATGTCTGCTGAGAATGGAACTCAGCACCAAGGTCTCTTTATTGAAGAAGGCTCCGGAGGCTTCATGACGGATCTCGTTTTCTACGGCGGGAAGTATGGTTTCAATGTCGGCAATCAGCAGTTCACGACGCGCAACTTAACCTTCAATGGCTGTGTTACCGCTATCAACCAGCTTTGGGATTGGGGATGGACGTACAAAAGCGTCTCGATCAATTCCTGCCAAGTCGGATTGAATATCTCAGCTAATGGACCATCCGCTGTCAATATCGGCTCTATCACGCTTTTTGACAGCTCGATCAAAGATACACCCGTTGGCATCATCACCGCGCGCACTGCCGATTCGGAGCCGGATAGCGCAGGCAGTCTGTACCTAGAGAACATCGATCTGGAGAACGTACCTGCTGCTGTTCTTGGACCCAATGGAACGGTTCTTGCAGGCTCGTCTGGAAACTTGAAGATCGATGCCTGGGCGGATGGACACCGTTACGTTACGAATGATCAGACTTGGAAGATCGAAGGGCCCCTCGAGACCCAGGGGTCCATTCCACCCAGCAAACGGCCACAAAGTCTTGTGGACACCCAAGGAAAGTATCGCGAGAGATCCAAGCCCCAGTACGACACTGTTCCGTTGGAGCAGTTCCTGAGCGTGCGAGATCTAGGCGCAAAGGGTGACGGTATCACTGACGATACGGAGGCTCTGAACGCTGCTATCATGAAAGCTGCGAACGAAGGCAAGATCCTCTACGTCGATGCCGGTTTCTATAAAGTAACTAGCACGGTTTACATTCCGCTCGGCTCGAGAATCGTTGGAGAGGCTCTTGCTTCCGTTATCCTCTCAAGTGGTGCCTTCTTCAATGATATGGAACGACCTCAGCCAGTCGTCCTCGTTGGTAAACATGGCGACCAGGGTTCCATCGAGTGGAGTGACATGTTCATCAGTACCCAGGGTCAACAGGCTGGAGCTGTCCTCATCGAATACAACCTTTCGACACCTGGGGACGAGCCAGCCGGCATGTGGGATGTCCACACGCGCATAGGAGGTTTCGCGGGTTCCAACCTACAGAATGAGCAGTGCCCGAAAACACCGGACACGAAAATAACGCCAGAAAACCTTAACAGGGAGTGCATCGCGGCGTATATGTCTGTACATGTTACTCCGTGGGCTTCAAATCTGTACATGGAGAACAACTGGCTCTGGGTTGCCGACCATGACTTGGACGATGCGTTGAACAACAACACGCAGATAACCATCTATGCGGGTCGAGGCTTGCTCATTGAGCCTCTCTACGGAAAGGTCTGGCTATATGGAACTGCCGTGGAGCACCACGTTAAATACGAGTACCAGTTCGTGGACACGAGGGATGTGTTCATGGGCCAGATACAGACGGAGACAGCGTCAGTCCACGCCTTCCGCTCCATTATACTGGATGCTAACCATACTAGGTACTACCAACCCAATCCCGACGCCACAATACCTTTCCCGTACGATGCCGCCCTCGAGGATCCTGTCTTCACCCCCACTCCCGGCAACGGCACTTCCAACACCACGGTCAACAACACTGACGGGTGGGGCCTTCGCATCGTCCGCAGCTCTAACATCCTTGGCTACGGTGCCGGCCTTTATTCTTTCTTCGACAACTATTCCACCGCGTGTTCTGCGATCGGAGCCGGCACCCGCTGCCAAACTCGCATCTTCAGCATCGAGGGGGATGAGCATAGTCACGACATCTCCATATACAACTTGAATACCGTGGGGGCGATGCAGATGATTACACGCGATGGCGTAGATTTAGCGAGTAATGTGGATAATAATAGCACGTTTGTGGACACGATAAACGTGTTCAGGATAGGGTATAGATAGGCTAGTAGGTTGATAGGGCTATGGTGAAGGTGGCATTCCGTGCATATATTATTATTAATCCATTAGTTCAGAAGCCAAAGGATTCAGTCTGGATACATGCATTACAGGTCAGCTCACCTTGTGTCGAGATTCAGCAGCGATCAGAGAGGGAGATGGGAAATCGCAGAGGAGCAGACACCGCTGAGGAGTCACTTCCTCACCCATCACCCCTTCCTGGCCGGCACTTACCTCTTCGACCTCGCAGACCTAATATATCTCTTCGGACATGCATCCCCATCAAGCAACATTCCCATCAGCGCCCCCACCACCGCCGGCCGTTCATACGTTAACTACAAACTCGTAATTCAAAAACAAAATGCACGACGCAGAGCCCACTCCAAACCCATCGCCAGGCTGGCTCCGCGACCAAATCCTCGGTGCACCCTCTCCCCCTCCCATCTTTCCCCGACAACCCCTTCTAACATCCCTCTCCAGCCAACGCTAACTTCCTCTTCCCGTCCAAGCCCAACCTCGACATCATCACGGGCCGCGAAACGCTCAACGGGCTCGAGGGCCGCTACCTGCGCTACGCGGATATCGTCTGCACGTACGTAAAGGAGAGAGAGGTTCGGGGGGAGAGAGAAGTGGAGAAGACGGTCGGCGTGCTGATGCTGGGAGAGCGGTTGGTGGGCTCGGTTGAGGAGGCGATGAGCGCGCTGCTGGGGAAGACGGAGGAGGCGGTGTGGGTGAAGAAGGAGGGGTTGAGGACATGTCGGTGGGTTAGTGTTAACGGGGAATGAGGCGGTGGAGAGAGGTTGGGCGCTTGTACTAGCGTATTACCAGAAATGTGTATTTCTGAGGCTCTTCATCTTTAGTGCCGCAAGGGGTACCCCATATCGTCGGATCTTTCTTCCGATGCGCACGCGGGTTGAGTTCGCGCTCCTGGTCTCCCACATGGTAGCCAAAATTAGAAGAGGACAAGGCAGAATATTTGGTCTCAATGATACACTGCCCCTCTGCGAAGCCTATCAGAACGAGGATAACGACCTCGACTTTTAGTAGAGCCTGCAGGGCTCACCATTGTTCTGATGTCCTCGAACGCGCTGATTTCTCTTCTCTGGAGACTAAAATTAGGAAACGAGAAAGAAAACAAGATTCAACGTCCATGTAGACGAGTACACTGCCCCTCTGCAGAGGTTATCAGATATCTGCAAACGACCTTCATTAAGGGGTTACTGAATGCGTCTCGTAAAATACACACTGCAATGTCCGAGCGGCAGAGGTTGCATTTGAGTACCAGCGGTTCCCTGCGCTAATCCGTATTCACTTTAGAGCACAGCACAGACCTTCCACCTCCAGAGTCGGGAGAAAGCCACTCCGTCTTCGAAGCTTCACGCCATGCCCGCCGCCCCCAACCACCTTCTCGCGATCGCTGCAGATCTGACCAGGGTGACCTTCGTGTTTCGTATTCAATCCCTGCTTTCGCCAACCCCTCCCACCACAACGGCACCAGGCCAGGGCACAGCATGTCGCTCGGCCACCTAGACCAGTCCTCCGCTGCACCACCCATGCGTAAAATTGTCTACCAGCGAGAGGGCGCCAGCGGGACGCAAGAGAGCCCTTGCAGCCTTCCTGTGTGACCTTCCGGTGATGCACCCGTCCAACTGCCTTTCGCAGCTGAAGCTGCAATATGTAACACTGCATAACCCCTCAGACATTCATTCGCTAGATTTATTGAATACGGACTCTGCTCGGCGACCATCTCCATACCTGATATGCGATAGCCCTTCCCGTTCGCAGCCATCTCTCAAGCCTCACCTCTTGATACTCGTGGGGTGCTTTTCTGCGCTTCGCTGAGCCTTCCTCTGGATTCGAAAGCCGAATGTGGACCCGTCTGAGCCAGAACTCATACACGATGTCGTCCAGACGCACAGTGTTGAGGTATGATCTCGAACCAAGCAACATGACCGTCGCTGATACGATCGCTATTGCAGTGCGGACCTTAAGGAGCGCCATGTCAACATGATGGCATTCTCGGCCTGTATAGGCTTTGGTCTTTTCCTGCAAAGCGGCAAGATCATTTACATTGCCGGCCCGGGTCTCGCCATCATTGCCATAACTCTGGCGTCCTCCGTTATGTGGTCCGTAGTGGCTTGCCTAGGAGAGATGACAGCCCTGTTTCCTGTCCAAGGACCACTCTTTGAGTTCCCAGGCCGATTTATCGATGAAGCGGTTGGCTATGCGACCGGCTGGATCACATGGTTTGCTTGGGTCGTCATCCTGTCCGCCGAGATTCTGGCTGTTGCTCAACTATGGAAATTTCGCTTCGATCCCGATTACCTCAAGAAGGTCGGTTATCCAGATCCGGAATTGGGATGGAGCACCGAACACTACAGCCCCGCGGTATGGGTCTTCTTGTTTTTGATCCTGATCGGTCTGATCAATCTATTGCCCGTGCGACAATATGGACAGTTAGAGTATATTTTCGGCGTCATAAAGATCTGCTTCATCTCTCTGCTGATCGCCTTCAACGTCATCATCTCCGCTACGCAGAGGGTGCCGGTACCGAACGGGAATCATTTCTGGACATGGAACAAGCCGTGGGGTTTCTCTTCCAACAGTCTGGTGGTGCATCCATCGCACGACGCGGACCCAGGGATCACTTTGAGGGGAGAACAAGGTCATTTCCTAGCTCTCTGGACGGCTATCTCCGCATGCATGTTCTCTTTCGTGGGTTTCGAGACAGTCGGCATTACCGCGGCTGAAAACAAGGATCTCGAAAAACATGAAACAATCAAGCTTGCGAGCAAGAAACTCAACCTGCGCATTACGATCCTGTATATCCTCGGGACCTTCGTAGGTGGACTAAATGTGCCATGTAAGTTAGTCCAGTTTCGACCCGTCAATTCGGTGTGCAGGCTGACGTCTCGGAGACGACGACGAAAACCTCGTCAATATCCAGATCAATAGCGTGCGGGCCGGACAGAATAGCATTTTTGTTCTGGCAGCCGTCCGAAATCACCTCCGTGTCTGGCCATCGATCTTCAACGGTTTCTTCATCTTTTCCGCGACGACCTCGGGCATCAACTCTCTTTACAATTCCAGCCGTATCCTCCATGCTCTCGCGAGCATTCCTGAAGCGTGGCCACTGTGGGCACAAAACACCAGGCGGCGACTAGAGAGGACAACTGCGAGAGGAGTACCTCTAGGCACTGTCACGGTGTCATGGCTTGTGGGCTTCATGGCATTTCTGGCTGTCAAACCGTTCCCCTCTGTCGTCCTCGGTCGAATCACCAGCAATGCGGTCGTATCGGAGCTGATTTGCTATTGCGTAATTTGCCTCTCGTATATCCAGTTCTATCATAGGATCAAAGCGGCGGCAGACGACCACACGCTGGAGAATCGCAGCGCCTACAACCGAGATGACAAGCAATACCCTTATCGCACACACGGCCAGCTCTTCCGAGCATACTATGGCTTCATCTTCTGTCTTCTTCTTATTACTTTCAACAACTGGCGAGCATTCGTGCATCCCTTTTCCATGCCCGACTTCATAGCTTCGTACATTGGAGTAAGTCTCCCGACGGGATCACGCAGACGTGGCACTAACTCCAAGTGAAGATCGCTGCTTTCTTCGCCCTTATCGCGGCGTACAAAATCCGGTCCGACGGCTGGAACCCGCTCAAGTGGCAGCGGAACGCTTCAATGCAGATCCAGCGACCACCCCCCAAAGTCGTTGTTCCTGGGCGGCGACGAGGGCACTTGTTTTTCCCGAACCCAAAGGCGCCCATATGGGACGAGGAAAATTTCAAGGCGCTCGTGGCATTCATATGGTGTTGGCTCAAATGAGAAGGAGGATGGCTAGCGTTTTCCGTTTTGCTTTTTCGGTGCCGAGTGCGCTCTTGGAGTGATGGCGGCGCAACGGTGGGCGGCGGTCATGACTGCGTTTTCGTACCTCTAATGGCGCTTTCTCATGACTTTCGAGATAGTTCCTAATGATACCCAAGTTCCTGGCTTCGATAAGGCTTACAATCGGTAATGTCCTTGTAATGTCCTTCTTTTTCGCGGTTTCAGCCTTTCGTCTTAAGCCTGTTGCACCAAAGCAGCCGCAGGCATCATAGCAGGACAAGTCGGCGCGCACAGCTTTCGGGTGGCACACAAATACACCCGTTCTGTGTCTGAGGCTACCGGCCGTATCAGACACCATCTTCGCAACAGAAGATCCCCAGCGGAGTCACCGCACGTGACTGGAACGACCGGTCAAGCAAGAGAAGCAGCAGCTCCTTGATGGCTTCGTCACGGCGTTATTGCAGTTCCCAGTTTAGATCGCCCGGCCTGCGCTCTATAATTATTCCTCGGTTCGGCAGTGATGGGTCCCATTTGATCGCCAGGGCTCGCGTCGCGGGATGTGGGTGGCTAGCGCAAGGGACGTTTGGTCTTTCTCCCGCTTCTTTTATTACACGACCCTAGTCGAGCTGAAGTTCCCCAGCCCAACCACTGCAGACCACCTGCACCACCCTGCCCTTCAACGCTCTAGGAATGTGCCAGCCAAGACAGCCGCTGGCCGGTGCTTGTGCGCGCTCCCAAGGCAGCGAAGCCCAAGCCCGATCGCGACCACAAGCTTCGAAGATGCATCGTTCCCCAAATCATCACCCACTTTCCGAAAGCCACACCATCTGCCGTCGTATTGCGCCTTTCGCGCTGATCAGGACTCGCCCGCGTCAATGTCCTTTCAACACAGGAATCTCGCGGAAGTCTGGCAGCACCTCGAAGGCAGACACGACCTCGCGAACATTCTGCGCGAGATCATCGGCCAGCACTCCGTCGAAACAACGCTTCAGGAAGATGTCACCAGGAGTACTGGGGAGTCTGTCCGGACTGTCATCTGGATTAAGACGATTTTCGACCTGCAGCGATGTTATTTCAGCGGAAACGCGACAGGCGTCGCGGAATGCCCACCTTACGTCCTCTCATGCCTCCTACCACCCGAGCTCCTCTTCTCCAGCATTCTCTACCTGATCAACATCAAGACGCGATTGTTCTCAAGCCACACGACGCTCATGACCAGAGAGTTCACGCGGCCGAGGCACATTCTGGCGCAAACCATTCTATCTGGATTGCGGCTCCTGCTCCTTAGGAAAGAAAGCCTCGCGACAAACGATAAGCGGCGGCTGCAGAATGCCATCAATATGGCTTGGCAAGATGATCGACTACTCGGTGTGGAGCGCTTCATTGTGTCGGACTTGTTTGCCGGGATTCTCGATTCCATCAATGACACATCTCGCGAGAATCCGTACCACCTTGAATGGACCAATGCCAAACTACCCACCTACGCCGCCGGTCTGGTAAGGCGAGTCTCTTCAACTTAATGGATGGTGCTAACTCGCACAGTACCCGCTGGATATCAGGCCAGAAACCTTTGTCACGCCACTAATCCATGGAATCCAGGAAGAGGACTGGATTGATGCGTACTGGGTGCTCTTCGACTGCGTATGGGCGGTTGAATGTGCAGTCACCCAGCGGTATGTCGACCTTCGTCGGCAGACCGGCGTGCTCGGCTCCAATCAGTTTGGCATCGACACAGATGAGATTTTGGAACAGCTATGGCACACCAGAACAAGCCTCATTATATCGATATTTCACGTGACTGGGCCGATGACGCCCGCACCGGCTCTGTTAGACTCGCTGGCTATTACGCTGCTCGACTGGAGCGATGATCTCGATAGCTTTTTATCGAGGCAGGATTCCTTTCTGGAGCAACGTTCATCTTCTCGGCCAACACCTTCGCGGAACCAAAGCTATTGCAAGACAATATCGGAGATGAGTCCTTACTTCGAAGCTGCATTGACTGGCTTTGCGGACTGGCTATCGAACCGGAAGTCTGGCTATGAACAATTCAGCATCAGAAGAACAGGTGTCTCTGCGAACGATATGCAAGAGATGGTGAAAGAGTGGATTACGCGTATGACTTCTCCGAGCACGGAGACGCTATCTAAGGAACTGGATGGTGATTATCTTCCTGTCTATATTGTCGATTGCCCGAAGCTGCACGTGATACCCAAGAAATACCTAGCGTATAAGCTTCGGTGGTGCGACAAGTGGGCATACGAGGTGAGTCTATCTCTTTCATTCGTTATGGAAAGGGATATTGGCCTGCGCACGCATCGAGAACGAAGAGCTTTCGAGTCCTCTACAAGTTATCAGTATCCAAGGCACACGCAAGCATTCTAGTCTACTGCAGGCGGACTTTCCGAGCAACTATCGTAATGATCGGCCGACGCTAACTCATCAAAGAGCATCCAGGAGGACTCACCTATAGTGAACTGGAAAGAAGGTGAGTATCTAGCTCCCGCTATGTGTATCAATTCGGTTCCCTGCTTACCATCCCAGGCGTAAGCTGTCCAAGCTGCACAGCCGGGGAGAAAATCAAGTATGCCCGCCTCGTAGAGCCCTTCCAACATCTCGCCACAGCTCTCGAGAATTTCCACTTTGACGATTTCAGCCTGAGCCAGTATTCCGTTGGCGACTCTGGCTCGTATGATGCCGCATCTACCTCTGCGGCATCGCGCTCTCTTTCAGATGCTGGGAGTGTCGGCGTAAGTCCTCATTCGCATTCGACTGTGAACGTCAGCATCCCAACGCACGTTTCAAGGCCAACCGATGCGGAGAGCCAAATGAAGTCCTCTGGCCAACCTCCACGATATACAGAATCGCCTGTTAGCCCAGCGTCATTCAGCCCTTTATCTCAGCGTTCCCAGTCGTTTGGATCCTCGTTGGACTATCCTGTTAGTCCACTAAACGAATCACTGAATATTCCTATACCGGTATCTGTCGAATCTCGCCTGTCTATGAATCTTCCCATCCCACTACACACTCCGACTATTCCTGAAGCCTCAGAGAACGCATCTGGATCAGCGCCATCAGATGTTTCAAGCGCTAGGTTGAATACACCGTCAACAGATTCTATGAGAAGCGGAGCTAGCGTCACAAAGTCGAAGTCGCCGAGCCGAACAGTGCGGATTGCTAATTCGATACGACGCAAATCGACCACGAAAGAGAGGGAAGCATTTCCACTACCAAAGGAGCCTTCATTCGTGTTTTCTTCGGCAGGACACTCATTGTTACTGTGGGGGAAAGGAGCCGATCATCTAGTGCGCTTCGACATTCCAAGCAATGACACATCCGCAATACAAGGCTGCAAGTACGAGGTGCCAGGCTTGGAAGTTGCCGCGGCTGGTAATCATAAATGCGCTGTAATCGCTACTACCGGTAATGGCTTGCTGAACAGGAGGCTCATAATATTTGATGGCATCGGTCTAGCCCCGGAGTCCGAGATTGACCTTGAGTTTTCAGGCAGAATGGGCGACATCTGCCTTGCTGTTTCGCGCAACGATAAGTTCGTTGCAACCTCCATCAACGACCAGACTCAGCTCTTTAGCCTGGAGGGCGGTATCAAACCGATTGCATTCCATCATCAGATTCATGTGTACGAGATGCGAGGCGGCATATCACACAAGCGCACGATCCCGGTTGAACGCACCACGAGTGATGAGTCAATCAAGGAACCCCAGAAGACAGATTCCGGCTGGTGGGGTGGGCAGTCCAGAGGTCTCAGTTCGAAAGAGAAGGCAGAAGAGCAGCAGAGGCAAACGGCCATCATATCTCGGAAACTCTACTTCTCGACCGACAGCAAGCGGCTAGTCGTAGCATCGCAGCTGGGAGACCACTATGTATACGTCGATGTTTGGGATTGCACGAGGGAACCGGTGGGTACCATATCCGAGCACTCGCGCTCGTTTAGGACACCCCCTTCGACACTCAACGACGGCGATTTGACCAGCGTGTTCTACGATTCATTTAGGCGTTGCGCCCTCGTAACAGCCTTCTGGGGCAAAGAATACCCCCTCCTCATCCCGTTCCCCGGATACGATCCGCTTCAAAACGAGACCTACAGCACAAAAATTGTGCACGCGGCACAGTCTCCCTCTGGATTGACGCTGGTGGCCGTCAATGCTATGACGGAGCTCATCCAGTTCGAATACACCGCCAAGGGTGGACTATCACCCCGCAAGCTCAAGAAATCTTCCGGAAAGATCAGCAGCGGCGTCTTCAAGCCCGGCGCCATTGCTCTTGCTATGCCGCAGGAGAACTGTCTGCAGATTTTCTGGGTCAAGGAGGGGAAGATGATGCTCCGGAGTGTCAAGATTGGAACGGGGGAGGCTTTCCGCGACTATGACATCCGGCCGCATTACGATCGACTGATGAGCTTGAAGAATAAGCCAGTGATTGCGAGGGCACCGTCGCTGATGATTCCGGAGCTTGATGCGACTTGACCGGCTCAGTGAGATACCGAATCGAACGACATTGCTCAGCCACGACGACGTCAGACATTCCACGATATCAGCACGAACACGCCACAACCGTTGAATTAAGGGGTCCGATGCTGTGGCGGGGGTATAACGGGTTACGGAGTTTTGGTAGTTGTCCTCGTATTTTATGCCCGCTCCGAATGCCTGTCTGCATGCCCGCACGCCCGCGCGCCCGATGCAGGTGGTCGAACTGCAAGCAGAATGCAAGCCACTAACATTCGATGCGACTTCAATGTGGGGCAGATTACAGTATGGAAAACAGCGACATGCGTTCCTGTGATTGAGATCACCGCGGAGTCTGGAGAAAAAGAGGGGACCGGAGTTGGCATGATACCATTCAAACGATGTTGCTTCTTCGCCGAGTTTGAGAATAGTACTGTATACCTAGTTTAGAAGACATCTCTCTCGCATGTCCACCGGCGCGTATGTACGTAGACACCATTTCACGATAATGACACCTTCAATCTCATGATAAATGCATCTGTCTCCCTCCAATAATACAGCAGCGCAACATGCTCCGCCGTCACAGCTCCAAGCTCCAATCACACGCCTGCGCAACCCCAAAAATAGTACGCTTCCCGATATCAAAAAACAGAACTACAAGGGTCCCATGTGTACACGCAGACCCTCTCAGGGTCGCTCTGTCCTAGCCAACGTGCAGTATCTCCCCCCCGTTTCAATATCGCAGCATATATTAAGACCCCACCCTGGTCGCTTAGGCCTGTTCGCGCGCCTCGTGGGGCCCAAAACTTGTTGTTCCTTCCGCTTGCCTTGCTGGGGTGCCGGAGCTGGATCTTGTCTAGACTTCGATCGGCCCGTCGACGATGCTATGCTGTGTTACGCGGAGGCATAGTGGCCGGCTGTTGAGTGAGGAATGTGCTACGGACCGTCGTGTCGGGGAGGGCTGGGCTCTTTTTCGCAGTGGTTGCCGGATCGAGGAGAGAGGATACATTCATCTGTCCGGGATGTAGAGCTTGAGAAAGAGAAGGTTTAGGATAAGCTTGGTTTGGGGGCTGCCGCTACATGGTTGTCTTTGACATGGTGTTGATGTGGACTCCGCGGCCTACGGAAATTGCCTGTGCTGAACTTGTTGCATTCACACCCTACTGATCCTCTTGCCTGCGACATTTGAGAAGTCATAGTCCTACGGACTTCAGATTTCATGATTCCAATACCCTCCTGCATCCCATCCACGCGTACCAAGCACGGTCACGCCTCGTATCCATCTCCATAATGCCCGTTGGACCCACCCATTAAGCACTTCCTATCGCACGGAACATACTGTACTGGTACGGCACATACCGGACGAGGTCGACCCACAAGCGCCCCGTAACTACCCGGCATACACGATGGCAAGCCACAAGTGCACCGCCCCAAACTTCTTCGTACCTTTGCCCAAGTTTAGCACCTCCTGCTTCTATGGCGCTTTCCATACTATGACGTCTGTTTCAGTCGCTTTTCTGGTTGAGGGACACAAGTGCGACACGGATCGAACGGCAAGCTCGCACGTGGAGCGGGAGTGTCAGCTTTGGTGTAGGAAAAAGACGTCTTACGTCGTCATATGCGGAGTTTGCGTGCTGACGGGTTGCGACTGCGGGAAGGAGCTTGATGGTCGGGGCTTCTGACTGACTGGTTTGTGCGATAATGCTAGTGCTTTGTTATCGAGGTATACGGCCATTAGGAGTGTTCTTTGGGGTAGAAAAGTAGCCGGTAGACCCCGGCGTTGTGCAACTCCCAAGGGGAAGTGTATGGCGTCAACAACTAAGGCGCGGACGCACCCCCATTCCAACTCTTGCAACCTCACTGAACCGCAATCGTCTTCCGCAACGGCTCCCCACCTGCCCAGGCATCTCGGTGGATCTGGCCAACCGCAACCCTCTCATATCCCGCGCCCCACCACCGCGCCAGCATTACATTATACGTGCAGCTTTCCACATCTCGCATTTGCGAATCGAAGAGCTCTTCTTCGTGCGTATTTCCGTCGTTGGTGTAAGCGATGACGGGACCGTAAGTGTTCATTGAATTTGCGCGCTTCCAGCTCGATAGACGGAGAAGTTCCACGGAGCTAGAGAATGTGGTCTGGCTAGGGGAGGTATCGTCTCGAATACCGTAGAGGATACCGCATCGGCGGCCGCTAGGATCGATCAGGAAGTGAGCATCCGGAGTGACGAGGGCGTTGTAATGCGGATTATCAAGCCTCTGTTCGCAACGTCGCATAGTAAAGGCTCTAGCGAGTACAGTTTCGCAGTCAAACCGAATCGTCCCAGGGGTATCTAGTTCCCAAGTAGCCAGCGGCTTGAAGAGCTCTCCGACCGAGAGATGCAACGGCCTTACAAGGTCTTTGTATTGCACCCTACCCATCCATCCCGACCAACCCCAACTCGGATGCCTCGGAGCCGTAGGCCTTCTCTCCACTGCCTCGACCGGTGTCCACAGAAGCGCCAAATCCAGTAGCGGAACCGGAAGGCCCTCATTGAACGTCCACCCAAACATGTTTCCCAACTCCGTCTGAATCCCCACAAAAGCGTTGATAATATCCTCAGGATAACCCATCTTTTTGGCCGTGTACTCACCCACAAGCTCCTCGTAGTACCTAAACTCATCCAGCGGACCGTACTTCTTATTCTTCGCCTTATTGTTCTGGCTCCACGTCCTTGCCTTGTCTAGAGTAAATACAGCCGAGTTTGAATAGTCCATGGTGTAGCGGTCTTCGGCGATGAGGAGGGATTTGCACTGGAAGTAGACTTGCTCGCGCAGGAAGATGATGCTGCGGTTCGAGAGAAGACGTTCTTGGAAGGTCCAGGCACGCGTGTTGTAAGGGTATTCGCCGGTTCCATATGTGTATTCGTTCATTACGCGCTCGAGGGGCGTGCGCTCGATGAGACGAAGGCACGGTGCAATGTAGATGGCGGGAGTGTTGCGGGCTGTTGGTGGGACGCCTGGGAGTCCAGCGTCGGCAGAGGAGCCGCTCATGGCGATGATGGTTGCGACGGCTCTGCTGTAGATGGAAGACATTTGCGCGATTGCGTTGGCTTTGTTGTCGAGGTCGTCTTGGATGATGCACTACGACACGTCATTTCTGATCCTGCAGAATTGAGGAGCTTGCCATACCACTGTGTCGACCCACAGATAGCGCTCACCCAAGCTCTTGACGAACTGCATCGCATCTTTGATAGTCTGAGTGATTGACTGCACCGACATGCTTCCCGGCTTCAGCAGCTGCTCAAAGTTCTCTTTCAGTGTAAGAAACTGCTTCGAGGTGCCCCACACGTAGCTCAAAGCAAAGTATCGATCCGCAAAGCTGCGCCAGACCAGGCAGTCGTTCTGAACATCCACGAGCAGGAGCTGGCCTACGGCAGCTTCAGGCAATTGACGACGATGCGCATTGCAAGCTCCTTCGTGTCGGTCTTCGCAATCTTCAAGCCAACTTTTGATCCTCGCAACATCAGCCCACCGGTCCTGGATTGACCTGACAAACCCACACTTCTCCACTTCGAAATCCTCTAGAAGACCTCCATCTTCTCCATCTATATCTGCGCCATCATCGTGAACAAAGATTCCCTGCTCCATTCCCGTTAGCACCCAATCAAGCCCCACATTAGGCACATCTGCGACCCTCCCTTTCCGTTTGGCGAATTCCCTCGCTCTTATAATATGTCTACAGAAACAACAATAAAGGGCCGGCTTGTCTAGATGCTCGGAGCCTGGAAATCCATCATTGAGCCAGGCTGCCGTTCCGATGCGTGCGAAGTCGTCGTCGAAGATGGCATTCTTGCAGGGGACGCAGAGTTCATTGCCGTCTATGCCGCCGTTGAGTTGCCGGAGTGCTTCTCGGTACGTGGAAAGGTTTCTGCTGGTGGCCATAGTCGTATACGTAGTTGTAAAGACGGCGTGATTCCCTGCGTTGGGTGTTGGTGGGGTAAGGCTCTCCAAAGACGGCAAGAACGAAAGATGAGCGGGGCCTAACGCTCGCAACGCAGCATAGGACGGCCTTCCACTGCTAGAGACACATCAGAGCGAAACATCGATCGAAAGGCCCTCTGTAGGCGGTATATTGGTACATGCTAGCAAATAAAGGCACCCACCAACTCCGACCATGCAAATAGTGAAGCGAAAAGGTGGCTCCGAATGCAGTCCCCGAATATGGCCTGGTGCTCCTGTCCAAACGCCAAGTATCAAGCCCGCACGCCTTTAGCGCGACTGAGAACCCGAATGATTGATTTAGCGGCCACCCCGGCCACTACGAGCTTTGATCCTTTTCAAAATGTCCTCGCCGCCTCCTGATCCCTTCTTTACATTCTCGTTGAAAGTAACGTTGCTCTTGGGAACGACAGTATAGGTGGTTGGACCGGTTTCCAAACGGGCGCGTTGGTACGCGCGTGGGACTTCGAGGGCCTTTGCGCGAGCCGCAGCGGCGGCCGCAGCCTGACTGTTTTGGACACCACTGCCGCGTGTGGGAACATTCCTGTAGTGCGATTAGTATCATCCTGTACGAGGGTGGCCGTATATCAACGTACGTTGGGTCGTAATCCGCCTGAGCGAACTCTTTCTTGCGATAATCATCAGTCCGGCGAAGGATTGGACGAGTCCAGTCCGTGAAGAGGCGCTCCGCTTGCCGCTTGATGTTCAACTCCGGGCGTTTGCTCTTGATGTAGAACATTATGACCTTGCCAATGCCGGAGGCGACAAGACTGTCTTTGTTGATTGGGAGCTTGGCTAAGGCTGCGAAGAGCTCCTTCTGGATATCGTAGGCTGGCAGGCTGCCATCACTAAGAGGTTCCAGGAAAAATCGCACCGCCTCCAGAAGATTGATCTCAGGGTCGACAATGGAATCCTTCAGTGTGTTCTTGTTAAGCAGCGCTACAACGTCAGGAAGAAGCTTCAGCTTGTGACGGGCTGGCTCGCCGCGTTTCCGGCCCTCGTTGTCGGCTTCTGCGGCTGCTGCCATGCGGCGGCGCATGTCTTCGATTTCGGCGTCGGCCATCCCCTCGAGGTCGATGTCGCCCTTCTTGCGGCGGCGCGACGTACCCGGCTTGACGATGGCTTTGATCTGCTCATCGAGGGCGCGTCTCCGGCCTTTTCGCCATTGTTAGATTTTGCTCAAAGTCACGGAATGTCATAATACATACGCTCTTCCGGCGTCAGGTTCTCGTCAGCCTCTACGTCGGGACTGGTTCCTCTTATCCTGCCAGCCTTCTTCGACCTCCTGCTCTTCCGCGTACCGGTATCATCGCCTCCACTAACGTCTTCGTCTCTGGTCTTCTTTCTCCGCGGCTTCTCTGCGCGCTTCTTTTTCTTCTTCGGCGCCTCACCGTCGAGTTCGGTCCGCCGCCTCTTGTGGACGCCGATCAAGCCGACTGTGTTCTCGTCGATCATCTGCGCAGGCCGTTCTTCGATGGCGATGTTGTCGGCATCGAAGTCCTCAAACTGCTGCTCATCCAACTCAGATAGTATTGATTCGTTGTCAGAGAGCCCGCCTTCCTGCACGTCGTCCGCGTCGGGCATCTCGACCCTCCTCTCCGAGACCTCCATATCCTGATCTGGGTCCCCAATGGGGAGATTCGGCGTGGAGTTCTCCTCGTCGATTTCGGGGCGCAGAGGGTCGCCGGGGTCGTGGCCTGCCTCCGGAAGCGGCGAGTGGGAGTGTGACCTGGTGAACTCGACGTCTTCCATGGCGGTTGTCGAGGCTCTATCACCGAGGAAGTAAACGCACGCGTGGCCGGGGGTGTTATAGGAAAGCGCGATACCGGCGGAAGTGTTGGAGATGGAGCGTTGATGTGAAAGAAGGTTGAACGGGCGACAAACCCCCGGCGGCGCGGACAAACAATTTGGCGACCGGCTGCTGAGTCAGCTGCGCCTGTCTTTCACCTGCGCCGGGCCAAGCACCGCCTGTAAAGAACGGCAGCCGCTTCCTTCGGCGCCTTCGCACCACCCAAACGCCAACCTCCCACGACGCGCAAGCCCGAGCGCTCCCTCTCTACTTCGCTACTCCTATATAGGTCCCGCCGTACCCCACCGACACCGCTAACAGCCGCGTCCGCGCTACAGCTCCCGACTGTCAGCTTTTGCGTCCGCCCTGTCTCCGTTTGCTACCGCGCCCTTTCTACGAAGCATACCCTTCGTCTCTGGGTCACTGTTGCGGTCGCGCACTCTCTCATACCGTTTGGCCTGGAGGAGGGAGGCATCCACGCTGAGGTGGTGCTGGCAGGCGCAGGAGGAGAGCGAGATTTGTCACTGTTCTAGGTATTCTGGCGCAGTTCTCACGCTGCCCTTGCCTGGCGAAAACATAGCTAGCAACATACCCAAACCTTCTTTGTTTTCGTGTGCAGAGAGCGAGGAAACGATTCGTCTGTCTTGTTCCTCTGACTTCCGGAGTCAGCCTGTCCACGATTAGCTCCGGCCTACCGACGATAGAGCGCTCAGCTTTATCCGGCATTGTCTTACCCTCGAGTCTCAGAGTCTGACTATAGCACATCTGTCCCTGTCTTCATACAAGACCAAGCTTGCCCCTCATGTCTCTACCGTCCGCTGAGGTAGCTGCCGACTTCAGAGACGCCCTTCAGGACTTGAAGATCAACAGTAGACCAGAGATTAGCAACCTAACCATCATCGCCAAAGAGAACACAGAGCACGCCCAGGCCATATCACTCGAGCTCGAAAACCACATCCGAACGGTAAGCCATTTCAGCTTTTCAGTCATGTGAACACAATCTTGGCTCCACTGCCCCTTTTCGTGACCCATTAGATATGAACAGCTGATATCTATAGACTCGACCGGAGTGGAAGCTGCCGGCTCTCTACGTGCTCGACTCTATCGTCAAAAATGTTGGCACGCCCTACACGGTCTATCTCGGGCGCAATCTGTATCGGACCTTCATGGACGCGTATCTTGTCATGGACCAGCACACCCGGAAAGCAATGGAAGGCTTGCTGAAGACGTGGAAACAGCCAGTGCCTGAGTCGATGGATCCACGTCCCGTCTTCTCACATGAAGTGACTGGCGATATCGAAAATGCCCTCAACAAGATTCGCTCCGTCCAGGCTGCTCAGCAGGCACCGAGTCAGCGACCTATGCATGCTCTACCACCTCGACCTGCGACAGCTGCAATCTGGCGAAACACACCGACTCCACCCCAGAGCGGCGCCCGATATGCGGCTCCACACGATCCGCGAGTTCGAGCAGTAAGTTCAGTGTGACGGCTATCTATCACGTATACTGACAATCAGATCCAGCCATATCCACCAGCGGCGCAGTATGGCCAGTACCCGAGCCCCGTTTCGCAGACCAATCAGTTCGGCCCGCCGCAGCCATATGCTCAGCCGATGTCTTCTAATGACCTGGAAGATTTGAAGGCTGAAGTTGCGAAGCTGATCAGTACTACGCAGCAAGCTTTTGCATATAATCCCTCTGATGCGGCGCTACAGACCAAGCTGCAAGCACTACTTGCGCTCAAGAAGGTCTTGGAGACGCAGACGCTCCCTCCTCAGCAATTGGAAGCAGTTAGGAAGCAGGTCCAGAACTTGGCGCCCATTCCTGCTCCTACACCAATGCCTGCCTTTGCCCCTCTGGCATCTGTGCCCCCACCGGTCATGCACACCCCGCAACAACCAATGCAGTCGAACTTTCCACCTCCGGCGAGTGCTCCCATTGATATTGGGCAACTTCTTGCGAGCATGAGGCCAGCAGCTACCCCCATTGCTGCTACTCCTCAGCCCCCCTCCACTCCTAACCTAGCGGATCTGCTCCGACGTGTCTCATCGCCAGCCCAGTCGTCAACCCCAGCGACCGCGCCCTTCTATCCATCTCCTTTTTCAGCACCTCCCTCCATCTCGACGCCAGTACAGGCTCCAGCCATACCAACGCCTGCACCAGCGCCTGCCGCTACGCCAACGCAAAACCTCGCCCAAATACTTGCGCAATTCACCAAACCCGGAGCAGCACCATCGGCACCGGCTCCACGACCCGCCCCTTCGCAATTTACACCTCTCGCGCAATTGCTGTCGCAACCGCCGGCGCAAGCGCCTCCCACGGCTCCCGCGCCCGGAAGTGCGGAATGGCTTCTCAATGCCTTGAAAGGACTACCAACGACCGGCACGCCCTCAAATACCACTCCAGTAGCTTCTGAACCAATGACGCGGCAGTCATCTGCCCCGACTAACGTGCTCAACGAGATCGAGCTAACGACCGCATCGATGAAGAAGTGAGCTTTCCATTGTTCTTGTTCACATCACGTAACTAATATATCCCAGGCCACGACTGCATTTAATATCAAGACTATACGAGGCTTTCCCGAATATATGTGCTACATGTGGACGTCGATTCGAGAGCACACCCCAGGGCAAAGAGAAGAAGGCTCGTCACATGGACTGGCACTTTAAGGTGAAAGATCCTGACGCTGCCAAGCGTGGTGTCCACCGGAGTTGGTATATCAGCGAGAAGGTGAGCATAGCCTCTAAAGGACTTGGAGAATCATGCTAATCATTGCTAGGAATGGATTGAGTACCGTGAGGTCGACGAGACTTCCCCTGAGCAGCCGGCGAACGGGGCATCAGCAGGGGCTGCTGCTGTCAAGAAGCAAGCAAAAGACAGATATGTGCCAGTCCCACAAGACGCAGCCATCGCCCACGCACCCTGTCCGATCTGCCAAGAGAAGTTCGAACCCCAGTGGCTCGTCGAGGCGAACGACTTCGTATGGATGGATGCTATCCAAGTAGGCGGCAAGATCTATCACGCAACTTGCTGGGAGGAGTACAGCAAAGGCGCTGGGATCGCGACACCGAGCACACCCGACTCTGTTCTCGGAAAGCGCAAAGCTGAGGTCAGCACTCCTACCTCGGGAAAGAAGGTGCGAGCGTACTGACCTGTGAAGGAGGTCAATGTCAGTGGCTATCGAGCGAAGCCTCGGTGATGGATTTCGACTCTGGTGGGGGGTTCATTCCTTCGGTTTACACAAGTGCATAGCGACGGCGCTGAGGTCGGAAGGGGTCTGCATCCACTCAAGACTTTCACGGCGGAAACTCATTTACTTGGCGGGCTTCGCCGGGCTCTGTTCTGTGTATGCGCAGACTTTTGGCAACAATACTTACACTTTCTTCGTAAATCTGCTTGGTCTTTCGTGTCTCAATGCACTGGGCCTGCGGCTGCGGGTGCTGTTGTTCGGCGTTCGGTTCCCGTTGGGAACCGGTCCGTGCGTTCACCTGCGGAAACGTGCACGCCGGGCTCCAGGGCTGAAGCCTCCCATGGCGCAGATAGTGCAACCATAGAACCCCAGCTGCGTTAAAGTAGACCCGAGTGCTCGCTTTTCAGCCCTCGTTTGCGCATATCGCGTCGCCGTGGCCGCCAGTGCATGGGGCAATATCGGTGTTTGACCGACCTCGGGACGCTAGCGGCCAAGCTTGCCTTCCACCCGAGCTCTTTCCAAGAAGTGCAACCTCACAAAGCTCCAACCTCACTTTTGTCCGACGCCATTGTGCATCCACCACAACCCCATCTCCGCTGAACCGCAGTCCTCCCTCCCCTCCCCTCCCTATTCTTCACATACACCAGCACAATGGCCCCAATAACAGAGACGGTCGTCGACGAGCTCAAGAGCACCGTCTCGCGGCTCGAGGCGCGGATCGCGGAGCTCGAGAATAGACTGGCGGGTGGCTCAGGGAGCTCGACGGAGGGCGTGCGGATGATTTTGATGGGCCCGCCTGGAGCTGGTGAGCGCATGCCTCGATTCTCGCAACCGTGCCTTTGGGGGGACCGGATTTTTGCTGACGCTGAGCGACAGGCAAGGGAACGCAGGCCCCGCGGCTCAAGGACAAGTTTTGCGTCTGCCATCTCGTACGTTGTCTCCGCCAAAACAAGGATCGATTGAGTGTTAGGCTATATTAAGATGGATGCTGATCGTTGCAGGCTACGGGAGACATGCTGCGGGCACAGGTCGCAAAGAAGACGCCGCTCGGCCGGGAAGCAAAGAAGATCATGGACGCCGGTGGTCTCGTAAGCGACGAGATTATGGTGAACATGATCAAGAACGAGCTCGACAACAACACGGAGTGCAAGAACGGGTACGTCACATCTTTCAAACGAGCTACCATCGCTTGGCGCACTACGAGGTCGGATCGCTAACGACGTTTCGCGCACAGCTTCATTCTTGACGGGTTCCCGCGAACGGTCACACAGGCCGAGAAGCTCGATGATATGCTTACAGTAAGCAAGAAGCCGCTCCAGCACGCCGTCGAGCTCCAGATCGACGACGCGCTTCTCGTTGCTCGCATCACCGGCCGTCTGATCCACCCTGCGTCTGGCCGCTCGTACCACAAGATTTTCAATCCACCCAAGCAGACCATGACGGACGATGTAACCGGTGAGCCGCTCATCCAGCGATCTGACGACAACGCGGACACCCTCAAGAAGCGTCTTGGCACGTACCACGCGCAGACGGCACCTGTTGTCGCCTACTACCAGAAGACCGGTATCTGGAAGCCCATCGATGCCAGCCAAGAGCCTGGACAGGTGTGGAAGAGTTTGTTGAAGATTGTTGATGCAGACAAGACTTCGATAGGCGGCAAGAGCGGCAGCCTGCTTAGCAAGATTGGCTTAAAGAACTAAATCGCGCCGCAATGTTGGGGTAGAGGAGCGGAGACGAAGGCAGGGGCTGGGAGGCTTAGGAGGTGAACGACATGCATCTCTACTGGGAGATGTAACTCGAATGAATTTTGGTCAATGGCTCAACGTTTGGAACCGCATGCTCGACACGTAAAAGTTATGCGCTCGGCCTAGACAGGAGAGCTTTGGATGCACATAGGTAATGGTACCCCGGGATTCCCTTGTACTTGTAAAGAACGACTTTTTCTGGGTATGGTGGCGGGCATTGGCGGGGTGCAGTGTACTGTATGTTTGGTTCTCTTTTGCTGTATCTTGATGTCTCGTCAAGCAGGGCAGAGAGGAGAATGGAATGCATAAGTGACCTCTCAACCTTAGAGGATTCCCAAGGCGAGACGCTCAGTAAGTGAACGTTCAACCAAGGAATGCCAACCAAGCTCTCTCGGCACAGAACTTGGCTCAAATCTACCAACGACAGCAATGTCTGCACTGAAAATGGTCGCTGGGTATAGTGCAGGCAGTCGGAACTGCCGATGCCAACCTGAAAGCTTTCACCAAGAAGCTCCTTAGTCTATGCGAAGCTGGAACAGCACTGCGCGGCCTTGACCATTTCCAACGTCGAGCTGAGGTTGGCGCGCAGCTGACATAACGCAGCACGTGCCCCTATTCAAAACGTGGTCTAGCGCAGCGCCCATCGGACTTTCGCCCTCCAAACCCCGACGCCGCCATCAACCGTCCGACGACAGACAAGTGTCCTCCGCAAAATCCAGCCCACGTCCCCGCAAACAAATAACCCACACCAAAGCGCGCGCACGATTTCACACATTCCCTGGTCCTACTCTCGTCGCGCCTACGAGCGCGCCCTTGCCCACAAATGTCAAACAGGTATGATGCGCCTCCCCTAACGACTCCTCCAAAAAAAAGCCCAAAAGGCACAGCGGCCTAACAATCCAGCTACGCAGATTCAGCCGCTCGCCCGACCCCCGCGCCGACCTCTTCAGCTCCTACAACCGCTCCGCCTCGCCGTCCAAGTCCAAAAACAAGCCCCCTCGCTCCTCGCCGTACGGCACCCCCGGCGGCGGCTCCGGCTACGGCTTCGCGCCGCCCAACACATCAACCGACCATCTTGCGCCGAACGGGAACAACACCGGCGCCCCCGCGTTCAATGCATATCCCAGTGCGAATGGCGGCGGCGGCACGCCGAGCGCGCATTTCAGGGCCGCGACGCCGAACTCGCGGGGCCAGTATAGCGCCGCCGTGCTGGACGAGCTGGAGAGCCAGAACGACGAACAGGTGGGCGTTTTGAGCGGGAAGGTGCGCATGTTGAAGGATGTACGTTTTTCGTGTATCTCCTCTTCCTCTTCCTCTGTCTGGGAGGCGTGTGGCGCAGTGCAGTAGCTTACTCTCTGTCCCAACATAGTTGACCGTAGCCATCGGCGACGAGATCCGCGACTCGAGCTCGCTCGCCGACAGGATGAACGACCAGTTTGAGAACTCGCGGCTGAAGATACGCGGCACGATGAATAGGATGCTGCGGATGGCGGAGAAGACGGGTGTTGGGTGGAGGGTGTGGTTGGGTTTTTTTGCCGCGGTCATTTTTCTGTTTTGGTATGTGTGGTTGTTCTGAGACGTACGCGCTTAGAGGCCACATCACAAGAGAAGGGGCTGTACAAAGGCAGGCGGCGGTGCGGCGGTCCACAGGGGGGCGGACATGGTGCGCTTCTGACACTAGGGCCACGTTCGCGGGTTGCGGTGCCGCGAATAACTCCATGACGCTGTTGGACATGGGAGTGTTGAAGAAGCTGGCATCTTGGAGGGAGTCCACGCGCGTCGACAGGCCAGGGGCATGCTGTCTGCCGTGCTCTGCGATATCGATTTGGCTTTGAGCGATGCATGCAAGGTGTTGGGGCGTTTGGGTACTGAAAAGCCAAACTCTGGGCCGCATCTACTTGCAAAAAGAGATCTATAGCACCTCTTGTATCCGTACTAATGTATTATTCGCGCGCACTCCGCGCCTCCACCAAACCTGCTCGCGCTTCTCGCCATGCATATGTACTTGTGGAAAGGAGATTGGTATCACTATGTACGTACATTCCTCACCTCGAACTTCGGCATGAAAGCCACCCCCCACCTTCCCATCATCTACCTACCTAGTACTCCTCTCCAAGCACCATCTTCAACACCTTCTGCTCGCCCTCATACCCCTCCACCTTATTCTGACTCGCCGCCAGCTTATTCAGCAGATACTGCGTCCTCCCCATCATCTGGCCGGGCCTCTCCTTCAGTTTACTCAGCAGCAACAACTCATTCTCGCACTTCTCTATCGTCGCATTCTCATCCTTGATCAGATTCGTCAAGATGCCCAAATCCAGCCTACTCTTCAGCACCTTGTCCTCAGTCAGTCTCTTAAACGCAGGATGATATACCGGTTTCCCGGGCTTGATGAGGGCAGGGCGACCGTTGGGCCCGGACATGATGGAGATGAGTTCGGCTTGTTCGAGGGCGCGCAGCGTGCCCTCGCCGCCGGCCTTTATCACGTCATCGAGCAGGATCTCGTTGTAGCGCAGGGTTTCTTTTGCTGCGAGTTGCTTGATGAGAAACCAGGCTTGTTCCGCGGTCCAGCGCCTTGTCGTGTCGCCCTCATCCCCGCCAAAAATATACATCTTCAATATCTCGCTCGCAGACTGATCGACAATCTCCTGTACAGCCTTAGTGGGCGTCTCGCCCGTCTTGATTCTCCTTGCCAGGAACTCTAGATCCGTAAGTCGTCCGCCGAGCAGGTCGATACATGTGTCCAGCTCGGCGAGATCGGTGCGGGTCTGCGAGGGGATGGTTTTTGCCGAGCCGTCGCGGGGTTCGGGATCGTCTTCCACGTCGGCGTCGAGATGCTTGAGGACGAATGTCTTGGCGACTTCAGGGCTGCAATCCGAAAGCGAGATTTGGCGGAAGACGCGGTCCGGGAGCGCTTTGGAGAGGGACTTGCTAAAGGAGACATCGTTTGTGAGGAAGATTACGTGGGCGATGTTGGCGGTTGTTAGACGGGCGGCCCTAGTAGCTGTTAGCAGACGTCCATGATGCACCTCGGGATGTCCTACCAGTCGGCAATCTTGTCGTACACTACGCCGCCTTCTTGGCTCTTGTGCAGGAAATTATCGATCACGACGACGGGTCTGCATTCTGGGTGCGCTTCAAGCCACTCGTCATCGCCGAGATGCGCGTCTTTATCGTCCTTGTGACGTTGGTCCAAGGCGATTTGCCTGAGAGCTGTCCCGGTCGTGTTCCATATATTCGAAAGTTGCGTGTCGAGCGTCTCAGAGAAACCGGTCTTGACACCCGTAGCACCTTGCGCCGCCATATCGATCATGCCGCTGATGCTGTTCATCCACGAGAACACTGGCATGTAACCGACTCCTGCAGCCGCTGCATTGATCGTGGCGGAGTCGCCCCGCGCCTCTTGAATGGGTTTACAGTCGATGATGAGCTTGTACCTTGAATGTTTCAGTGCTTGATCGACGACTAGTTCGCGCTTGCCCGAGCCACGAGGTCCCTGCACAATGATGAAAGTGTCGGCTGTCTCCATCAACCAAGTCTGAATCTGTTCAATGTTGCCCTTTCGGTCGTCCCATACTGCTTCCATGCCGGCATCTTCGTCTGGTTTCTTATGCCACGGAATTATGTCGGTTGCATAGCCCACAATCCATTTATACCACTTGTTGTCCTGGATGTGCAACACTCTCGTGATATGCGCTTTGACGAAGAAAGTGCGGATCCTACAAATGAGATTAGCATGCCTAAATAACTGTAGTCGAAGGTCGAGCACTTACGGATCGAAGACCGCAACCGTGATCCCCGCAATCAGTGCAGCAATGACCGGAATAACAATCCTCGGATGATTGACCAACCAATCCCTAATCCAATGCGGCTTAATCCTTTGCTCATACTTAAGCCCCAGAATCGTTCCCTTCTTCCCACCACCTTCCGCCTCGCTCACAAGATACCCATGCATGCAATTCTTGGCCATAATAGCCTTCGACATGGTAGAAAAATCCAGGTACGCGAATTTGGGAAGAATCTTCGAATCCGGGGGCTGCGTGACGATATCTTTCAACTTTCCATACGGCCGGAAGAACGAATACAGCTGCTCCTGCGATAGCTCGACGGCTTCAGCTCCGGGCTCGGAGGGAATGAATTCGACCTTGACACGCGGCGTAGGCAGTCGGAAGAGGTCTTCCACCCAAGGACGGCCTCTGACGACATTGACGTGCATGCGTCTCCAAGGGCTCCACCAGGGCTTAACGGGCTCCTCTTTCAAGTACTTCTTCAGCACCTTCTCCACCTCGGACGTCGGCGTACTCCCATCGTGCGTGAACTTCACAAACGCCCCACCTTCCTTAAGCCGTAGAAGCGTTTCGGTAGCCTTGATCGGTAGATTGGTCTTGCTGCAAGCCCTCTCAATGACCTTGCTAGGATCCGTCCCCGCGATGCTTGGGCTGATGAATCTATCCAGAAATTTCGGTGGGTCTTCATGAGATGTGAACGGAACCCCAATGAGCTTCTGAATCTTCAGTGGGAAGACATCTGGTATTGTCAGCTGCCATTGCGCACATGTGAGTGCCAGAACGTACTGTCGAAGAACAAGAGCCCTTCGTTAGGTCCGGCGCTAATATGTCCCGACTTATTATCACCTGCTTGCAATGATGCATACCGGCTTCTAACTCCTAGATACCTCTGTCGCGCTCCAAGTGAAGTCCTAATAAGCAATCAGCATCCTGCGAGCATGATCTGCAGCCACAGAAGCTTCTGCAACAAACCTTGTCAGACATCCCTGCAATTGCGACCGCGCGGACAGAGAATTCCGTACGGTAGCAGAATGCCACCCAAGCTTCGGAAGCATATTCACGAACGTTGAGGCTATGAAGGCATGCTGCGCGCTGACCTAGCTATGTGGTAGACGGGAGAGATGTTTCAAGGAAGCCTGATGTCGGTTGGCCGATGACGTCGGGAGAGCACGGCCCTCGGTCCCCTTTCAAGCTCACGCCACGGTGCGCCACAGCTTGGCATATTACCTCCTCCAGCTCTTTCAACAGAAGACACACACTTGTCGACATCACCGTAACCATGAGAGACTCTTAGGGTATAACCAGACCCGCTATTTGTCGTACATAACAATATCTACTACGAAGGGATACTGTAAATTTACACTGCAAATGCCGCCCAAATGACTCCGTCAACTTGGAATGAAAAAGGTATCTTGCAGCTAACGAGAGGAAAATGCCCAAAGATATAAACCATAGACCGCGGAAAAGCCACATAAAATCATGCTTTGAATACATCAGCTCATTATTCTTGATCATGCCACATTTTTAAGCGTCTCTTTCCAAAAGTCTCTATGCAGCAGCCGTAATCAACTCCTTCGGGGCTCCGTTAGCCTTGGTAAGAAGCTCATAGGGCGGTCGCTTAACGATGCCGCCAGTAACAGGAAGCTGGGTGCCGACGCCAGTGAGGAAGGAGTCGACGTCGCGAGCGCACTGTCGGCCTTCGTTGATGCCCCTAAGTGAGAGTTAGCAATGTCATTGTGGACGAATCGTCGTCGGAGATTGACTTACCAGACAATCAAAGACTGGCCACGACGGCAGTCGCCTGCAGCAAACACGCCAGTGAGGTTGGTGTTGTAGTGGCCTGGTGTCGTCTTGACGTTTTTGCGGGCGTCGCGCTCAACAATGTCGGCAAGCACGCGCTCCTCAGGACCTAAGAACCCCATAGACAGAAGGACGAGGTCGGCCGGGAAGAACTCCTCACTACCCTCAACCTGCTTCATGTCCCAACCTCCGGTCGCCGACTTGGTCCACTCGACGCGGACCGTATTGATACCCTTGACGTGGCCGTTGCCATCGTCGACGAACTCCTTGGACATCACACAGTACTCACGTGGATCCTTGCCCATATGAGTCTTGACTTCGGAGTGTCCGTAGTCGGTACGGTAGATGCGGGGCCACTGTGGCCAGGGATTATCGCGAGCACGCTCTGGCGGGGGCTGTGGAAGGAGTTCGAAGTTCACCACGGACTTGGCACCATGGCGAACTGATGTACCAATGCAGTCGTTACCCGTGTCACCACCACCAATGACAACGACGTGCTTGTCCTTCGCAGAGATGTAGGTGTCATCCGTGAGGTTGGAGTCAAGGAGGGACTTAGTGTTCTTGTGCAGGAACTGCATAGCGAAGTGGACGCCCTCAAGGTTGCGGTTGGGGATGGGAAGGTCACGGGCAACAGTTGCTCCAGTGGCGATGACCACAGCGTCGTTCTCCGCACGAAGAGACTCCAACGTTGACTGACCCTCTGCACCCACGGCGACGCCAGTCACGAAGTTGACGCCCTCAGAGGCCATGAAGTCGACACGGCGCTGGACGACCTTCTTGTCGAGCTTCATGTTGGGAATGCCATACATTAATAGACCACCGATGCGGTCAGCGCGCTCATAGACCGTGACAGTGTGGCCGCACTTGTTGAGTTGATCAGCAGCAGCAAGACCAGCTGGGCCAGAACCGACGACAGCAATCTTCTTGCCAGTGCGGTTTTGGGGTGGCGATGGCACCATCCAGCCCATCTCGAAGCCCCGGTCGATGATGGCACATTCGATTGACTTGATGCCAACAGGATCCTCGTTGATACCTAGAACGCAGGCACCCTCGCAAGGAGCAGGGCAGACGCGGCCAGTGAACTCGGGGAAATTGTTCGTCATGAGCAGACGGTTAAGGGCATCCCGCCACTGGTTACGAAACACCAGTTCACTCCACTTGGGAATGATGTTGGAGATGGGGCAGCCAGTGTCCGACTGGCAGAATGGCACACCGCAGTCCATGCAACGAGCCGTCTGGTACTTGAGCTCGTCTTCGTTCAGTCGCTGGGACAGCTCCTGCCAATCACGAGTGCGAGTCCTAGGGTTGCGGTACTTCTCAGAGCGGCGCTGGTACTTCATAAACCCTCGCGTCTTGTCGAGAACGAGTGCCTTCTTTTTCTCAGCCTTGGCGTCAGTCACACTCTCCTCGATGTCAAGAAGGTCGTTCTTCTTCTTTTCCTTCGCCTCAGCGTCCTGCTGTGCTTGGCGAGACTCTTCATGGGCAGACCGCACGGCGTTGCCCGGGAGAATAGGAAGAGGGTATTCCTTCTTCTTTTTCTCTGCCTCCTTAGCCGCCTCCTCCATAAGAACCCGCTTGTAGTCAACTGGCATGACCTTGACGAAGCGCGGCAACGCGCGGTTGAAATCGAGCAAGATGCGAGCAGCGAGCTCAGAGCCGGTGTAGTGGTGGTGGTCTTCGATCAGACCGCGAACGAAGGCGATCTCCTGAGGATCTTCGATACCGGAGAGCTCGACCATCTCCTGGTTGACCTTCTGCTCGAAGTCCTGGTGGATGTCAAGGACGTAAGCGATACCACCAGACATACCGGCGGCAAAGTTACGGCCGGTAGACCCGAGAACAATGACCCGGCCGCCAGTCATGTATTCACAGCAATGATCACCAACACCCTCAACTACGGCGGTGGCACCAGAGTTGCGTACGCAGAAGCGCTCTGCAGCTACACCGCGGAAGTAACAAGCGCCGCTCGTGGCGCCATACAGGCAGACGTTGCCGATGAGGATATTCTCCTCAGCCCTATACAACGCCGTGCGAGGTGGATAGATGATGAGACGACCACCAGAGAGACCCTTGCCAACGTAGTCGTTGGCGTCACCTTCGAGCTCAAGCGTGATACCCGGAGCCAGATACGCACCGAAGGACTGACCGGCGGAGCCGCGAATGTTGGCATGGATGGTGTCTTGGGGCAAGCCAGCCTCACCATAACGGCGGCTGATATGGTACGATAGAGTGGCGCCTAAGGCTCGGTCTGTGTTGACAATGTCGCACTCAATGCGCGCCGGGAGACCCTTCTCAAGCGCGAGCTCAGACTCTGCAATGAGCTTGTTATCGAGGCGGACGTGGAGTCGGTGGTCTTGCTTGCGGACGTTGAAGGTAGCAACGCCAGGTCGGAGGGTGTGCGCCGGGGTCAAGATCAGAGATAGGTCGATGTTCTCCGTCTTTGCGGTACGGAGATCATCCCGGACGCGGAGCACCTCGCAGTGGCCGACCATGTCGTTCACACTGCGGAAGCCGAGCTTAGCCATGATGGCGCGGAGTTCATTGGCGACATAGTAGAAGAAGTTGATGACATGCTCGGGCGTGCCAACGAACTTCTTCCGGAGCTCGGGGTCCTGGGTAGCGATACCGACAGGGCAGGTGTTCTGCAAAGGCACAGTTAGCAGACATCCTAAATCAAGAGGAGGAGGGGACGGGTTAACTCCCTAGCATATCTCATGTCATTACCTGCTGAAGGCATTCAAGAAGAGCTTTCCGCGGATAAAAAACTGACATGCTGGAGCGTGTAACGAGACGTACAAGGTGGCATTTTCTCATCATGATGCATCCCATAGCGATGAGAGGCGCAGTGGCAAAGCCCCACTCTTCCGCACCAAGCAAGCAGGCAATGGCGACATCACGACCGGTGCGAATCTGGCCGTCAGTCTGGACGACGACACGTCCACGAAGGTCGTTAAGGACCAAGGTCTGGTGTGTCTCCGCAAGACCAAGCTCCCAAGGAAGACCGGCATACTTGATACCAGTCCATCGTGAGGCGCCAGTTCCACCATCGTGGCCTGAAATGAGGATGTGGTCAGCTTTGGCTTTGGCTACGCCAGAAGCAACGATACCAACACCCGTCTCGGACACAAGCTTGACGGAAACGCGAGCACGGGGATTGGAGCACTTCAGGTCGTAGATCAGCTGCTTGAGATCTTCGATCGAATAGATGTCGTGGTGCGGCGGTGGGCTAATCAGACCGACACCAGGAGTCGAGTGACGGGTCTTGGCGATGGACTGAGAGACTTTGTGGCCCGGGAGTTCACCACCCTCTCCGGGCTTAGCGCCCTGGGCCATCTTGATTTGGAGCTCGTCGGCATCAGCAAGGTAATTGCTAGTGACACCAAAACGGCCGGAGGCAATCTGCTTGATGGCCGAACGCATGGTATCGCCGTTCTCCAACCGAAGGCTTCGCTCTGGGTCTTCACCACCCTCTCCAGTGTTGGACTTACCGCCCAACCGGTTCATAGCAACAGCGAGAGTGGAGTGTGACTCCATCGAGATGGAGCCGTAAGACATGGCGCCAGTGCAGAAACGGCGCACAATGTCTGTCCATGGCTCGACTTGGTCGATCGGGATGGGCGTGCGGTCTTCGAAGTTGAAATCCAGCAGGCCACGAAGCGTGCAGTCCTTAATACGCTCATACTCAGCAATAGAGTATGCCTCGTATGACTTGTCGTTCTTGGTTCGGACAGCGTCCTGGATGTTTGCGATCGCGGTTGGGTCGTTGACGTGTGGCTCCCCACCATCTCTCCAGTGGTATTCACCAGTCTCAGCGAGGCCAGGAATATCGACAATGCTGCGAGTGGGGAAACCCTTCTCATGGAGAGCGAACGCGTCTTGCGCAAAGTCCAGGAAAGTGGCACCCTTAATACGGGTGGCGGTACCTGTGAAGCAACGATCAACAACGGAGTCGTCGACACCGAGTGCCTCGAAGATTTGCGCGCCCTTATAGGACTGCAGGGTAGAGATGCCCATCTTGCTCATGACCTTGAGAATACCACCGTCGCAAGAATGCTTGTAGTTGTCGATAAGCTGTTGGGGAGACATCTTCTTGCGGATGAGACCCTCACGGTGCATCTTCAAGATGCACTCAATGGCGAGATACGGGCAGATGGCATCAGCTCCGTAGCCAACAAGGACGCACATGTGATGGACCTCGCGGGCTTCAGCAGTCTCAACAACGAGAGCAACTCGTGAACGCCACTTGTTCCGGACGAGGTGATGGTGGACCATACCGGTAGCCATACAGGTAGAGACCGGGACTCGATCTGCAGAGGTTGCCTGGTCCGACAACACAATGATATTATCGTCATCGGAAATGGCCTCGGTGGCACCTTCGCAGATGCGGTCAAGAGCATCCATGTAGCCCTGAACACCCTCGCTCTTCGAGAAAGTGATGTCGATGTACTTGACCTTCCACTCGGGATGTAGCACAGACGTGTTGGTCAAGGCCTTGAATTCCTCGACATCAAGGATAGGCGAGGGAAGGAGCAAGCGGTTGCACTGTGACTCTTCCATTTCCAGAAGGTTGCCTTGAGGGCCGACGTAGGCTTCCAGCGACATGACGATGGCTTCACGAATGGGATCGATCGGGGGATTGGTAACCTGGGCGAATAGCTGTCGGAAGTATTCGAACATCAAGCGGGGTTGTTGTGCCAGACACGCCAGCGGAGCATCGTTGCCCATGGATCCAAGAGCCTCCTTCGAGTCGGCAGCCATGGGGGCAAGAATCAAAGTAACCTGCTCGAGCGAGTATCCAAAAGCTCTCAGCCGAGGATCTTCCTGGACCCGTGTCTCGGTCAGAGTATGAGCGAGGTCAAAACCTTTCTCGCTAAGCTGCTGCTTGACCTTCGGTAAGGTGAGCAGATTCTTCTCGACCCATGACTGGAAGTCGTGCCGAGCGGCAACCGTCTGCTTCAACTCAGTGTCATCGACGATGCGGCCAGCAACAGTGTCGACGAGCAACATCTTTCCGGGCTGGAGACGGCCTTTCTGCACAACGCGCTCAGGCTCGATAGAGATAGTGCCGACCTCGGAGGCGCAGACGATTCGGTCGTCATCGGTAACATAGTATCGGCAAGGTCTAAGACCATTTCGATCCAAGTTGGCACCGCAGTATCGTCCGTCAGAGAACGTGAAGAGAGCTGGGCCGTCCCAGGGCTCCATCATGCAAGCAGCCCATTCGTAGAAGGCTTGCTTGGCGGGATCCATCGAGTGGTTACCCTGCCATGCTTCTGGAATCATGAGCATGACTGCTTCAGGCAGAGAAAGAACGCCGTTGATCACAAGCAGTTCGAGGACGTTGTCGAACGCAGCGGAGTCGGAACCACCATCCTCGACGATCGGATAGAGGAGGTCTAGGTCGTCGCCGAAGAGTTCCGACTTCATGACGCCCTCTCGAGCTCGCATCCAATTCTTGTTGCCTCGCAACGTGTTGATTTCACCATTGTGAGCTGCCCATCGGAGCGGCTGAGCGCGGTCCCAGCTAGGGAAGGTGTTCGTCGAGAATCGCGAGTGCACCAACGCGAAGTGGCCCTCGTAGTCGACGGAAACCAGGTCATGGTAGTATTCGTATACCTGGACTGGAGCGAGCTGACCCTTGTAAACAATGTTCTTATTACTCAGTGAGCAAATGTAGAACCAGTTATGCAGGCCGATGACGTGGGTGGCACGCTTTCGTAGCACGTAGAGCTGTCGCTCGAAATATCCACTGTTGAATGTTTGATCGAAGTCTGGCTTCGGCTCCCGGCCCTCTCCGTATGCATCCTTGAGCACGACAAATGGCTGAAGAATGATTGGCTCCCTCGACAAGGCTGCCGGACCAAGGAGCGTGGAGTCTCGAGGTACTATTCGCCACCCGAGCACTCTCAAATCCAGCTGATCTGCCACGTCCTCGAACATCGCCTTCGTCTCGTCCAACGCGGATGGATCCGGCTTGAAGAAGAGGTTACCAGTGGCGTACTGGCCCCGCTCCGGCAGCTTGAAGCCTTGCTCCCGCCCGAACTCCTTCATGAAGAATCGATGGGGTATCGAGGTCATGACACCGGCGCCGTCTCCGTCTCGGGCATCGGAACCCACGGCGCCTCGATGGGTCATGTTGCATAGCAGCGATCGAGCTGTATAATTTGTTAGCTAAGGCACAGATGAATACCGAATTTAGGTTCTTACCATCGGAGATGATCTTGTGGCTCGCCTTGCCCTTGATATGGCTACCAACTGTTAGCTCCGAACCCTACTCTTACAAACAGCTTGTGAAGGACACGTACGCAGCGAAACCGACACCACAAGCATCCTTCTCGAGCTCCGGGTCATACAGACCCTGCTTCAAGGGCAGCGTGCCCGCCCACGACTTGTTCTCGGGGCCATCTTGGTAGGGGAACACGGAGCTCTCCTCTTCGACAATCGGGGTATCCTGGGGCAGCTTTGTATCTTCGGTGAACGAGACGCTACCCATTATATCGGCAGCCGGCCGAATTGTCTGGTGTTGCTGTCTGTGTCGAGGTCGTGTGGCGGGGGATCAAATGGAGAATTGGCGGGGTCGCTTGAGGCTTCGGCTGGTAGCTGTTGCTCTGGAACGGGTACTGTGAGGGTTCACAATTAGCTACCAGACTTCAGACTTGAGAGACAGTTGTTTGCACGCGAGTTGAAAGCTAATGAGCTGGCCGAATTTGCCCCGCCAGGGAAGCGCTGAAAAGCAAAAACAGCAGCTGTGGGGAAACTTCTGGCGCGGGCTAATCGAGTTCGCTGGTGTCAATCACGCCCGAAGCAGTGGCATGACGGCCGGGCTCCGTCACCAGCCCGAGATCTCTCGATACGGAGAACTGCTGCCAATGAGGCTACAGGCGCCTCGGCGGCGACTGATAGCAGCCACTGGAGCATCGAATGCGTTGATAAGGCGGCTGGCGAATGGGAGAGCGCGGGGTTGCGCTCTCCAGTGGCAGGGCGCTCGGTAAGACGCTTGCGCGCCGACCAGGAGTTCGAGGGCGCCGGTGTATGGACGAGGCAAATTGCGGATGCAGCAGAGGCTGTGGGGAGGGCAGGATCCGACTTACTCGCAGTGGTGCCAGGTGGAACGGGGCCGGAGGACGACTCGCTGTGCGTTCCTGCAAGCAACTTCCAGCGGGAGAGCAGAAGAGCAGAAGTGGAGAGAGCAAGAAGGAGGACAGCAGCAGCGCGGCTGGGTGGGAGGGAGCCTTATGAAGGGAGCGGCGGAGGTGGGGTTCGTCGAAAATTCACTGCGCTAGCACCTTCACTACGCCCGCTGCCAATTATCGATCTGGTCGGCTCGTTTCAAGAGAGGCGTGGTGAGCGGTCTCGAGGGCGTCTCCGCTCGCCTGGGCGCCTGCACAGAATATCCCGGGCTTGGTTGCGGTCTTGGTATGCTATTCAATGTGGCCATCGATATCGCACATGCCGGCCTTTGTCCTCGCCCCTCCGCCAGCAACAACGGAGCCACGGCGAGCTCAGCGACCCGGCCCAGCAGAGCCCAATTGGCCCCGAGACGCTTGCAACATGCCCATTGAGGCCCCGGAGAAGCCCCAGCGGCCGCCTGGCGACCGCCCGTGTGCATGTACGCTCGACGGCTTCCCTGCAGCTCTGTCGTGCGTTGGAAAATTTGCCTTGTTACCCCACGGTTTTCTGCCAGCTCCCACAGCCGCAAGCGGCATGAATGGCGCCAGGGCCCTCGCCCGCGTCCAGGCGGTGGGCGCGTCGTTCGGCGCGAGGGCGAATGGCAGCGCGCCGAACTCGCTTTGACATCTTGTGATGACCGGGACGTGCAGCATGCATGTGGCTTTCCGCTGCCCCAAGCTCCACCGGCCAGATTGCCGCTGCAGCCCACGCCGCGCCTCTTAGAATTCCGCGGCGTCGCATTGGACCGGCGCCGCAGCCTCGCCTTGCCGCCGCTGCTTTGTCGTAATTTTAGGTGGTCATGTCCTCTGCGATGGCCCTTATCTGGCCTCGAACCGCACCAGGAGCGGAAGAACGCGCCAGCTCCATAGGCCGGGAGAGCCTTAAGACCCCGCCTCAGCGGAGCGCACTCGTCGACATCACTATAATTGCTTGCGCCGAGCAGCATCGAGATGTCCGTTGTCTGTCCCTCGAGCACAGACGAGCGCCGCCCGCGGCCGCCCTCTATTCCCGGGAGACGCGCTGAGCAGTTCACCGGACGGTCTCGCGACGAACTGGCGACGTCTGGGCGAGCGCCGCCACGCAGGCGACAAAGCAACATCCCTCTGAATCGGAACTGACCGGAGCTGCATGCGCTGGGACGGCTCCTCGTAGCGGGAGAGCCTCGCCTGATGTTTCCATGAGTCACGAGAACACGGTCCCATACCCTCTGGCCCTCCGCATCCACACCCAGCACGCCGATATCGCATCCATATGGCAATGGAAAACGGGTACGGCGGATAACCCAGGCTATTCCGCTGCCTTCGAGGCCAGACAGCGGGCCACAGCTGTAACCGCGACCTTCTGCGGCACCCTCTGGCGGTCAAGGGCGGAGAGTGCAGACGGGGTTCTATGTACCTAATACATTGCCGCTTTGGGGCTGGGAGAGGCAGAGTGGGAGGCACGAAATTCACCCGGAAGTGCTGCTCTGGTTGACCTGACCGTGCCATGGGGGTGGACCGCTGGGCGGACATCTCTCTCTTACGGGGGACATCCGACTTGAGCTTCTGTCCGCGTGATGTCTTGCCTGCATATTCTTTTTTCTCTTGCTGCGAACAGATCATCGAGCAATTGCGCGTTCGAACCTCTTGGCTAATGCGTAGCGCAGCGCGGGATTGCGGACCGCGTAAATAACCTTTTGACACTCTTCGCCTCTCACTACTGCACATCTATCCTACTCACGAAGTCTGGCCGAATTGCGCCGTCTTGCATTGCATCTCGGAGATCAGGATCTGGAAAGCCCAAAACGCCGAGGCTAGATCTGCGTACCAATCAGGCAGCGATCGTTACAGGGCTGCGGAGCGAATCAGCGTCCATTCTGGCCGCACACCACCGCTGACGGCAGCATGCTGTGGTTGATGCAAGAAAAGCATTCGGAACACAGGGCTTCACAAGAAGTAATAGATATGACTGCGACCTTCATGTGTCATAATTTACTTGGAGCACTTTAATCCGCACAGTGCATTTTCGAATCTTGGGACTCCGCATTTCGAGCACTTCAAGAAGAATCTACTCGGCGTGTCTCCCGCAACGGTGCCTGGACCCTGCTTTCGTGACAGGCCTCCACCTCCATAACCCAGATCGTTGACAGGGAAGCAGCTGGACCTTGCGACCCTTGGGGTATACCTTGTCGCAGACTGTTGAAACAACCTTGTCCATTGCAAGGGCTACCCGAGGTAGGTTGAGCGAGGCATCTCGGGGAAATACCGCCGGCGTGCGAAGGCTTGGAAGCATCCCAGAGCACAGCCCGGATTTGGAATCCGTATAAAAGACCTGCAGACTGGATAGGATAGGCGATTAAAGCGGCTCCGGGCGGGCGGCGAAAACCGAAGACCGAAGCATGAGAGCAATACCTGGACACGAGAAGATCGAGGTTATCGGTATATCATTCATGCGTCCTGCCGGGGCTTTGTGCATGCAGAAGGCATCCGTGCTTCAAGAAGTGCCGCATACAGAGATGCGCACAACAGACCCTCCCCCCACCGCTATCCAGCCAGCCTCCAGAACCCGCGCCAAGACTCCATGTTCCATGTGAGCCTACCCGCTTCCCAATGCCAATGCGCTTTTTGTTTATACCGACCCAATCCGAATACCCAAAGTATGGACGTCGAAGTCTCGTAGTCGCGTCGAACGGAGCCTGCCGTCGAATTAGCCGAATGCGACCGAGGGTGGCGGCAAGCTGACGTTGAAAGACGTACGGAAGAACGAGGAGGACCCGCGCGCGCTTAATTGTCCTTCATCTCCTCATCCGGATCGTTGAAGTCCTCGTCGTCCTCCTCATCGTCTTCGTCGCCGAGCTCTTGGGCCGCCTTGGCGAAGTCGATGTTCTTTCCGCGCGTGCGGCTGCCGACGATGTTGCTAGTATCGATCTCCTCCATGGTGTCCTCATCTACAGGCTCTTCTGTAAGATATGTCAATATGATATCTCGAGACGATTACGCAAAAATAGGGAGCATCGTACCGTCGCCGCCCTGTTGCGATGATGTTAGCTTTTTGCGCCGGCGGCACTTCTGGCCTGCGGATGGGACTCACCTGCTCCTCAGCACCGGACTCGTCGCTTGAATCCTCCTCGCCGGATTCCTCCATTCCCTGTGGGACCTGCGGCGCCTTGCCCTTGCCCTTGTCGACAGCACCGGTGGGGGCCTCCACACCCTCCATCTGGTGGTCGCCCGACTGATCAGCCATAGTGATTGCGATGTGAGTAGGTGGTGCTGTAATTCGATAGCGCGGTGATTGGAGCGTACGTTATCGCGTGCGATTGAGGTGTTGGTACGTTGTTTGTTTGGAGTCGATGGCGAGAGAGGAAGTGGGAGGTGAAGTTGAGTCTAAATGCTTTCGCGAAAGTGAAAGCGACTAACCTGAAAAGGTCTAGCTTGTCAAGTTGACCCGGTAACGTTTCACAATCACGCTTGCTCCTTGCCCTATTATCAAGCGCCGCACACATCGCTATGCTACCTTGTAGCTGCGCTGCGCCGAGGAGAATTTCAGACTCTCAAACCAGAGTTACACACCGCCAGTCGGGGTTAAGATCTCGTCACTTCTAATTTACAGCTTGGTTGACGCGTCACGATTGTTAATTGTCGTTTTATCCCATTTCTAGATTTTGAATTTTGAATTTCCATTCCCATTCTCAATTACATGCAGACGAAGGAGGATGCAGACATTGAACCCCTATCATCTGGCTCTTCCTTGATGTAGACGTCGCGGTCGCTGTCCGAGGATTCCTCTTTCATCTCGAAGTCAGCGTCATCATCTTCATCCACTACCCCAACGTCCGAGTCGTCACCATCCCCTTGATAATCGGATTCAGATTCCTCCTTGATCTCCGTATCCATCGCCTCCACTAGGGCACGAGCCTCGGCTTGCAAATCCGCATCATTCTCGATCTCCTGGCGTAAGAAAACATAGCGCAACTTGGACATTTTCGGCTCACTCCGAGACTTCCAACCTTCCGTCCTTTGAATCTTCTCCTCGGCAGTCTCCATTTTACGCCCCGTCTTAAGACGCTTTAAGAATGGCTGCTCTGCAAAGAACTTCTGCACACGAGGCCAGACGAAGTCCATAGCGTTTAGGACGAGGAAGTCCAGCTCATCTTCCACCGGGTCCCGTCCCAAGAAGTTAGTACGCCAGAGCCGGAGCTCCAGCTCCATCCGAACCTGCTGGGTCCAGAACACGTGCGAGTCCAAGTTCCAAGGCTGCCCGGGAAAGAGCTGGATGGTCTCGGATATCCAGGCTGTCAAGAAGCGATACAGGCTGCGATTGAGAATGGCTTTCCTGGCCTCGTCGATGTCTGGGAAGAGGTCATTGGGACGGATAAGGGGCTGCTCGTTCTGCTCGAAGTCGTTCCATGTACGATTGTGTGCCTGACGCTGTGCCTGGCGGTTCTCGTCGCGCTTTTGCTCAACGTAGTCGAGGATGTTGTCCAGGGCGTGTAGGTTGTCCCGAGGGGGAGTCCGAGGGGGAGGGGTGGGAGCCATTGAGTTGCAGTTGTGATCCATTCCGTGTCCGGCTCATGCGAGAATCCTTTCTATATCGTTGGTTCTATTTTGTGAAGGCACGAGCCGGCGATATTCACGCTTACATTGTTCAGACCCAATACGAACTCGTCCGGCCGTCACTCTCGCCAACCTAATCTCGCTCATTGTTTGACGTAGCATAGTTGAAGTCTCGTTGCCACAAACAGCATAGGAAAAGTTAAGCACTTACTAGCTGGAACTGGGGGTATCTTTGATTAACGAGGAATACAGATTTGCATATATGTTTCCCGGATTGCTGGCGATGTTTGAACATTCGAACGCCTTGTTTTCCTTGAATCCTATGAGTCTCCAAACTCTTGTTCGTCGATGGCAGATGCTCCTCACAGAGGGAACAGGAACGTCGGCCCACCTGCCTTTCCCACTCCCGGCCATTATCCTACGGGCCGTCTCCCCAATGGCCTGCACACGGCGCGCCATCAAGCTGGCAGTTATTCTCATCACACGTCTGCCAATCCAGCGCCTGCGACATCTTCTGCACCCAGTCGTCCAATTCCTCCTCGCCTAAGTCGACGAACTCCCGATTCCTATAGTGCGCCCGAATCATATCTCGAGCAACTTCCAGTACACCGGGCCATTGTTGAAACCAGATAATCGACCATAGATGCACTATCCTCCGACTATCTCGCCGAATATGCCTATTTCGTAAGGCATGATGTATCGCAATTTCCACATCGTCTTCGAAGATGTAATCCAGCTCCGCGGTGTCCCAAACGGTTTCCCATATCAGTTTAGTGAGTTCTTTTGCATCGTACTTGTGCGGCAGCTGCTGTAAGGCGTCTTTCCAATATTCATTGCTGTAGCCTAGACAAAATATCGGCCCGCGAGGAGGTCCAGACTGTGGAATAGATCGCGGATCCCGCGAAGATCTCGTCCTGTCCTCCTCGTCCTCTTGCTCAGAACCTTGGTCGTCACTGGTCCCCACACTCTCCATATCCTCGTCCTCGTCCTCCTCATCTTCACCCTCCTCTTCATCTCCGCGCTCTTCGCCTTCGTTCTGATGGTAGAGGATCTTACGACACATCGGACACTTGTTAGCAGCCGGCTCATCAGACTCGAGCCACCGCCTGAGGCAAGTCGATCCGAAGACGTGATGGCAGCTATTCTGCCCACTCAGACGAGCGGGGCGGTGCTCATCGTCGAAGCCTTCGTGGCAAATGCTGCAGTCGGAGATGACGTCGATCTGGTTCGCGAGGTACTCGTTTTTGGAAGGGAGAGCCGTGTTGTTTTCCATTGTGATAGGGAAATTGGCGATATTGGTGGGAGTGCAGCGCGATTTTGTGAGGCCAACGAGAATGGTGATCATGGGAAGATGCCGTGTTCCGGGATTAGCGTTGTCCTTGATGGTTGGACGGCATGGATGTTGCTACTGTAGAAGGGTGCGTGCTAGAGCTGGATTGCGTACTTTGTCGCGAGACTGGGTGTGACGCATGCCAGTGCGACGGTAGTGGTGTGGTGTGGTGTGGTATTAGAGAGAAGAGGAGAGGAGTGCTGGAAAGATAGCTGGTTGGAGTTCTGCAAGGGTACGTTTGTATTTCGCCTTCACATTCACCTTCAGCTTCACCTTCACCAGATTGTTTGGTCTTTTTCCTTTCGGATTATCATGCTAAGCAAAGTGAAGGTAATCTGTCCGTGGCGAGACTCCGGAGCAATGGCGACCATAAGTCAGAAAGAAAGGATTAGGCGCAACGCTCACATCACACAGATTCTGCTCCGTTTTGGCTGCAGTGCAGTATTCCATTCCTCGATCTCGGTCCAGCTCTAGACCTCCGCATTCTAGAGCGTCGAATGGCGGGAAGGCGAGTTCATCTCTCCAACCGTGCGTCATGAGAAAGTGTACGCCGCCCTAGCCTCCCCCTCGGACTCTGCTTCATTCTTCGTAGCTCATCTTCGAAGACTTCAGGAGAGCTTCCATCCCAGAGCCTCGTCAAGCTTTGGCATCCATATCTACGTCAAACTCGACTCACTCAATGGCACGTCGCCTCCGTTTTGGTAGTGAACTAAGATCATCTCCTTGGAAATCTCCTGCATCGCTGGCCAGTTCTCGTGCCCGAGGTATAGTCCCCATGGGTGATCGGTATCGTTCTCCTTGGCGGTATGGCAGAGAGCCTGATTAATGAAAATTTGAATCTCGGAGTCGGCGATTTCGCGGCCCAGGTACAGCAGCCGAAGTCGGTCCCACATACAACGTGCGAAGAACTCGCCAACCTTGCGATTATCGATGGCCTCGATAAACAGAATGCTGCCGGATGATTGAGCGGTTCCATCGGTGAAGGTCGGAACGAAGGTCTTGCGGAAGAGGGCTTGACGGCAGGTCGGGCACTTGTTGTTGTTCTCTTGGTCGGAGTTAAACCATTTCGCGAGACACGTCGACCCGAAAGTATGCTTGCACATTGCAGTGCAGATGCGGGTAGGGTGATGAGTTGCGTCAAAGGGCTCGTGGCAGATGTCACAGGAGTCGGTGACGTGGAGATTGTCGCGGAGGAAACTGGCCTTGGTAGGAAGCTGATCGTTCGTAGCCATGCTGCGCGAAGCTCGTTGGTAGTTGGGGGGCGAGCCAGCGCAGGATTGACTTGCTTTTATAGAGATGGGGTGTCGGAAGGCTCTCAGTGGTGGATGTGAAGGTGGGGTTCCTGACGTCGAAGTGAAGGTGAACAGCGCCCGTCGAGAGCAGGGAATTCAGCGAGCGGATCGACGAAATACACTCCAAGCGCAGCGCTCACGTTGGCTGGAAGAGTTCAAGCCACTGCGGGTGAGTTTCACAGCCAGGCGTCTGCACCTCCGTAGGCAAAGCCATGTCGTCTTCTGGAATATCCCAACCAAGCCCATTTCTAACTCTTTTCTTCCAATACCACAAGCTCTGATCGTCCAGCTCATGAAATCCGCCATAGCCATAATGCTTTCGTATCATATCCTTGGCTACGCTCATGACAGCCGGAAGGTTTCGTGAAAGCAGCACTCTATCGTACACCAGACCCGGTTTCCTATCGTGAAAGACGGCGCGTGGTTGATGCCGAACGACTGTTTGGATAATCACTTCGATCTTTGTGTCTGAGATGTCCGTAGACGGAAAGGTTTCGGCGAGTCCCTCCCACAGGTTCTTCACGAAGATATTGGCCTCGTGGGTCGTGCCCACCTCTTCCATCGATCGGTCGTAGCGGCTTCGGACCCTGTTCCCAATGAAGTGCGGCCCCCATATGCAAGCATTAAGGGAGATCTGGCTGCCTTGATCGGCGTCCCGTTCTTCATGAAAAGAATCCGCTCGTCGGGCGAGGTTAGAGCGTTCATTGACGGTGTTGATTAACTTTTCGGCATTTTGTGCATGCTTGAGGGACTCCATCTAGCTTTGGGAAGGCCGCAAGAAACCCACACAGGTGAGGACAGAAGTGATAAGCTGAAGCAACTCGAAGACGGAAAGTACAAGCGATACGCAACCGACAACGGGATATTATATTTCCCAGGTACCTGGAGGTCACGACGTAGGACTCCACATTCCAAGGTTCTTTGACTTTGACTTTGTTCTCGTGACTGTTGACCATCTGTTCCGATTCGATGTCGGGAGGAAAAGTGAGCCCAACATCGGCGGTCAAGCGCGGTTGAACCATGTTTTGGACAGGAACTAACGAACTAGCTCTTTCAGGCACGGCATCAGGGGAACTCGGATTTACACCCATGCAATACACTACCACGCCTAGATTCCAGACGTAAAAGGTGACAAATGATGAAGTCAGTGGCAAAAGGTACCGCTATGAAGGAAGCTGCCGAAGAGAGCTCCACGCCTTCTCTTCATGAGGCAGCAGGAATGACCTAGGTTAGTTGAGGAGTATTTTAATTGGATTAAAACACGTCAGGCGGCTTCCCGAGGTCCTCCGCAAATACATCGTGCAGTCTGGTTCCTAATAGTCTCCACATCCCCGCACCCCAACGCCTGTCGACCTGCCAAATGTTCCACTGAAGACCTCAGCGAAACTAATCCCCACGTCTGTCACGGGCATGCCATCATAAAGTCGCCTGACTTCCATTTGCCGGCCGGTTTCCACGATTTGGAGGCCTCACTTTCTCTCGTCCGAATCGCGAACATAAATTATTTTTTTTTGACGATGATCAATATCGGTCTCATTCTTTTATCAGCTACTCTCGTATCCACAGCCGCTCTCATGCTCCACCTCTTGTATAATCAGTTTCTAGGTCGCCTCACTCAACGTGCGCAATATTCGCAATCACCACGACGCGACTTGCTCGCCATCGTCCCATACCCAGACCCACCATCGTCTCCAAATAGCCAAGGAATGGGCGTCTCCTCTGTGGAGTCCATATGTATCCAGAGCCGGGCTTTCGCAATCTCAGCCTTCAGGTCGCGTCTAGTATCAGGCTCATATTCGAAGTGTTCGGTGTCCTGGGGCCCATGGTAGCGGATATGTCGGTACGCGATATATATGATAAAGCCAGTGAAAACGATTACGATGCCGCTCATGGCCCACATGAATGGTGGGATTAATGCATTGTCCTGGCGGTATAGACTCGGGACGGGGAAAGGAGTGTATTGAAATATAGGTGCCATGGACACTGACGGGAACTTGCATGTGTGGGGCTGGACTAGACTTTCGGAGCTCAAGGCGAGACCTTTTTGGGAGCTTGCGTATAATAGGTGGATATGAGGTGTTTTATGAGACGTGCTGATCGTGCACAACGCGCGAACAAGGTTACAATGATTGCTCTACCCCGCTGAAGGAACATCCTCACAATGTTGGGGAAGTGAGTTCGGACATTGCAGTCTGAAAGAAGTCGACTCGATTATCTCTTAATAGCTATATCAAGTTCTAAGCGGCTAATGACTTAGTAGTTAGTTTCTCCTCGCCTTCTCTAGGAGCATGCGAGCGCTCTCCTAGACTCTGTTGGGACGTTCATCTTTTACACCAAGCATGCCATGAGCTCAAAGATGCCAGTAAGCGCTCTCTTCAACCTTTCCACGGTACTTCTGCAGCGCCGAACACTTTGATAATCTATGCAACGCTTATGTGATCGTCTCAGGGGGTTAGCGAGCAAGAATCAATCCCTGACAGTTTATCGGCCTCTCTCCTCTGCTCACTGAAGGACAAGATATCACTTAAAAATGAGACCATCAGCGAATATTCAAAGCCAACCATGGAGTGAATGGAAGCGCGCAAATTCACAGGCCAGTATTCCTCCGACAAAGCGGCTCGGCACAAAAGGACTCTTTGTTCCATCTACGCAGTGCAATTACGACAACACCAACCCAACTGACGGATCCTCTTCTCTTAGTTGACCACCTTGAAATGTCAGCAACTCCAGGTGTTCAAGCGCTTATATCCTATTCTCGAAACGCATGGAAGAAACTCCTCGAAAGTCCGACCGCACGTAGGATCATCGACTTGGAACCCGAGATTTATCCCATCCTTACTTTTCTCCTACTATCCGCTATCATCACCGCAATTCGTGTTTCGATATCCCTTTGCACCAAAGCGTGGCGCAAGCGACATCCCGAACCGCCCACACGACCTCGACGCCGTTCATCATCCGCGTATCCGCCCGGCATGCAGGTCGACGCGCTGCTCAAGAAGTGGGAAACGCAGGGCATGGATCCGCCATTTGTAATGGAGGGGAATCGGCGACCGCATCGAGATGTGGAGGGTCTGGGGAACGGCTTGCGGCGGCGCTAAGGAGGGCGTGGAAGCACTTCCCCCGACAGTTGGAGATTTCGGGGATTCTCGGTGGGTTCAAATAGACATTCAGAAAGTAGAGCAGGTGGTAAGATAAGTTTGGCGGGTCGGAAATCTCCGAGGTTGTCCCTACCTCAGCTTGTCGCCTCTAGGAATCGACAATTGCACCTCTCCGATTTAGAAGGAAGCATGCCATCGCAAAACAGAACATCTATGTGCACATCCGCTAAAATCCACATTTCTGCCGCCGTACTGTGCCACACTCCTTTCACTTCCCGCAGCCACCTCGCCAGTACCCGAGACATGCAAACGCCCAAGCGCCAAGACCCTAGCATTCACTCCATGACATGTCCGCACCTCGTTGTTTGCCAGATAGTATAAACTTCTACCCACCTTCTCTCCCTTCAGACAGACGCCGTCAACTCTGCAACTCCTCCAGCACGACCGAACCCTGGCCCTCAGCATGGCACGTGAACCCTTCGACTGGGAGCAGCGCGCCCTTGGCTACTACAATCGCGTCCACGACTGGCTTACCAACACGCGCATCGAATACTGGTTCACGGACCCATATGGACAGTTCGTTACCATCTGCAGCGTCCTCATCCTAGCCTGCCTCGTTAGCGCCTTCAGCTTGGGCCTGATGCGCGACGTCAAGCACCTCTGGACACGCATCACCAGCAAGAAGCCCCACGCGATCGTTGAGGATATCGCGCAAACGGAGATGGCGGACTCCACCACTCCATTCCAAACACCCTTCCAGCCTGCACCCAGTACGCCACATCCGCACCATTTCTCCTCGCCCTCCGCTCCCGCGACCACAAACCTCGACGTCTCCACCATCCATGTCCACCAACACCGCACAGGCCGCGTCTCCACCCCCGGCTACCAGACCCCCTTCGCGGACGCCTTCGCCAACCGCGACTTCTCTGTCCTTCAGAAATATGCACCGGAGACGTACGCAGTGTTGCAGGAAAAGGGGTTGCTGAACAAGGATGGCACGCCGACGAAGAAATTGCAGGAGAACAAGAAGTTCCACTGGGGAAAGGTGAAGGATGAGAATGAGCATGAGGCGGAAAGAGCGAAGGTGACGGTCGAGGAGTTAGTCATGGATGAGGAGAAGCGGGTGAGGATGCGGAAGGCGGCGCTGGATAGGATGAAGCACGAGGTAGATGCTGAGTAGGAGGCAGCGTGTGGGAAGGGTTTGTGATGCCACGGCGTCTTGCGATAGTTTGGGACGTTACATTGGTCTTTGGCATCATCGGTGGCCTTTGGTGGATCTCGCAACAGACGACTCCAATGCTATGAATGCTGATACTTGGCCTGTTGCTTCCCCTTTCGGTTTCTCTTACAGCCTCAGAGGCTTTTTCGGTCGAGGAATACCCATATAGCTTCGGAATCTTCAATACCAAACTCGTTTACCAACTCTATTCCCGCCTAGCCTTATCATCTTTGCCTCTTCGTTTTCTACCGCTTCGTGTCCTCCCTCCTACATGCTCATTCTTCCGCCTTCAACACCGCTCATATTGGTCCTACTCCCCACCCTTGCAGCTTCTCGTCGTTCTACATCGTATGAAGGGCAAAACATCCGCCACCACCACTGCGATAGAAGCCGGGAATTGCGGTACCTCTCGTACCAGGCATACAAAGTGGGCGACTGCGAGGGCCGTGAAGCCCACCCAATGCGATGAGAATGATGGCGTATACGGCGGTAGCGTAGACGGCGGCGAAATAGACGACAGCTGAAAGGAAGGCACCGGACGTCCTTCGCGTAGAGGACAGCATCTTGTGGAGCCAAGCTGCCGAGGCAGTGAGGAGTAGAGCCCTTATTCTCTGTTTCGAATCATTGGGGGGGGGAATGTGAATAGAAAAGAAGAGAAAGCCGGCTTCACGACCAGAAGACAAAGAACCAGTCGCATCCTTTGCCCACCCTCAACCAGAAAACCCGAACAAAGCTTTCCCCTTCATCTGTCCTTGTCGGCCTCCCTCCCTGCCTCCCATCCACTCAACATCTCCCACCCCTCCCCGATCAACCATCCAAAACGCCCATCAACTCCCCTCCCTCCTCTTCAACTCACTCCCCCTCCACAAGCGCCTCTATTACGAGATACATTGCAAACGCGAAAATAAGCGAAAGTACCTTGTAGATGATATGAACACCCCAGAAGCAGAGGAGGATGCCAGGGATAGCGAAGACGCAGAAGCCGACGACGATCTGGACGAGCAGGTAGGCAGTGGCGTAGTAGAGTAGGTGGCTGATGGCGCGGCAAAGAGTGGCGATGAGGATGAGTAGGTAGGCGGTGGCGCAGTAGAGTAGGTGGCTGATGGCGCGGCGGAGAGCGGCGCTGAGGGACATGTTGGTTGGCGGTTATGGTTGAGTTGAGGGAGATGTTAGTTGGTTGGTCGTGTTGGGAGCGAGCTGATATAGTGGTGGTGTTGGCTGGATGTTGAGCTTGAGATGTGAAAGCGCCACTAGAACAAAGAAAGTGCGGCGGTTAGATATGCGAGAAAGGAGGCGGAGACATATCGGTCGTGAATGCGGATTGCGGGTGTATTCACCGCTTCTTGATTTACGCGCGGTGAAGTGTGATTGTGGGAGCGGGTAGGTTTTCGCGATCCTTGGATGGTGGCATGGTCGTACCGTACCGCTCTGCGAAGTCTGTTGCTGGTCAGCCACGGCTCTGAGGAAAAAAATCAACCAAATTTGACAGATGATGCGACTTACTAGAATGCTATATATTCCGCCGCGATCATCCAACTGTCGCTTTCATCTCATCTCGCCGCATTCCAGCCAAGCATCCCAATCCCATCCACAACCCAACCCGAACTGCCTCAGCAACACCATTTTCTTGCCCACCATGCCAGCAGTTCCCACCGCCTGGCACTCTCTTACGCTCGCCAACTTTTCCACAATCAACCCGCACGAGCACCCCATCAAGCTCGCCCACTCTCGCCCTGGAAGCACACAAACCATCTTCCCCATCGGCGCTGGAGCAGTCAATCCGATGGACCTTGACCTCTCGACCTGGAACACCTTCTCCCTCTGCATCCTCACTCTGCTCCTCATCCTTCTTTGCCTCTACATCCACATCTACTACACCCGAAAACCATCGCAAACCGCAAAACTCTCCGCCTGTGACTTAGAGGCGGCCTACAGATTTCCCAGCATCGGCCTCAGAGGACGGCGAAGAATGGCCCGGGCTTCGGAAGTGCTGGCAAAAGCAGAGCAGGATGCTGAGTCCCAGGACACACAGGCCGAATTCAAGATGGAAAGGCAATCCTGGACCAGGAGGGCGAGTTGTGGCCCGTGGAGATGACTGAGGTGAACGGTCTGGTATAGCAGTGCTAGGGAACGAGGGCCAAGCTGGATCAGGCGTAGCCGGTCTTAGAGGGCTCAGTGGGAGGAAGGCGCGCGGATGGCGCAGAGTCGTGAGAGGCATGATCACAGACGAACCCGGGAGCACTGTTGTTGTTGCTCCTTTCGACGTGACCGAGCTAAGATAAGGGGCCCAATAATCGTATGTCACTGTTGAACGGCGCACGTGCTGCACGCAGCCAAATTGGAGTGCAAAGATATGGAATAAGGGATACTGTGAGCTAATGTCACCGAAAACCGCTCACACAGTTCAGGGAAAACTGACCCCAAGATTCAACCATAGACCCATATGCTGTGCTGAATAAACTCCATACAATGCTGCTCTTGAGCGAAGGTCCTTGAAGAGGAAACCGCTTCCTCTTCCTCCCAGGATCATCAATGCTGGCCCATTCACACGTCGGCGTCACCGGGTAAATACCCAAAAATGCCGTTTATCTGGGCCTGGCCTTCCTGTGCACCATACTCCGCGAACGCATGAGCTTTGCCCATTCCCGGCTTGTCGACTGCGTGTGGCTCGACGTCGATTTCAGAATGTCCTGCACGAGCCTTCATCTGCTGCTGAGCTTGACGTTGGGTCGCCCCTTGATTCGCCAGGGCATCGGCCCCTTCGTTACCCTCGTGGCCATTGTGAGCTTTGATCCAAATGATTTTGGTTGTGGCCTTGCTTAGTTCGCGTTCTCGAATCCGGGCTAGGATCGGTTCGATGAGATCCTTGTTTTCGACTGGCTTACCAGCCGAGTTCTTCCAGTCATTCTGCTCCCATTTCTGGAACCACACGGTCAGGCATTTGAGAGAGTAGTGTGAGTCCGTGTAGATGATAGCACTTCGGTTGATAGGTGCGATATCAAGCGCTCGCGCAATGGCAGTGAGTTCGGCGCGTTGGTTCGTTTGCTTCTCGCCAGTAAGAGGCTCCGCGATGTTCCTACGAATGTAAATATTGGATTGTCAGGGAACGACTATAGCGAACTCACCTTGGATCATTAGGGCCAAACCACACGCCCAAGCCCGCATAGGCACCGATCTTGCCATTTCCTTTTGTGGCGCCGTCAGTGCAGATCTTGAGAGGGCCTTCGAATTCGCCCGTGGGCTGCATCTTGAGCGCGCTGAGCTCCGCATAGGTCTTGTACTGTACGGCACCGGTGGCTAGATCCAGCTTCAGTGTCCGGTCGAAACCATCCTCTGCGCCTGGGGGGAGCGGGCCTGTACCTGGCTCAAAGTCGCCATTGGTGATGGCTGCCAAGGCTGAACCGTCGTTCTTCTTCTGCTTCTTTGGGGCTTTTATGGTGGCACCGACCGACAGTGTCGACTCGAGGTGGCCTTTGAGGCTGATGGCGGCGCCTGAGTCTGACGGCGTCGCTCCCTTGGCTTCGTTGACATAGGCTTGCGCTTCTTCCCAAGTGTCGAACTTCTTTTGCTTCCCTCCCTTGTATCCCGTCACCTGCTGGAGGACAGACGGCCAATCTGTGTAGACGCCCGGTCTGTGGCCCACCTGCACGCCGTAGTATTTTGACTTCCCCGGCCTGGCTGGCGAATAGCTGCCGCTCTTCATGAACTCTTCGGCTTCGGCAAGCGTATTGCACTTCTTGACTTTGCGGGTGTTAGACGACGGTTGCAGAGCCAGGGTACGGCACTTACGTATGGGGTTCTTGAACGCCGCGGTCTGCCGCTTTGCATCTTCCCAGCTATAGTATATGCCCGGCTCATGGCCGAGCTTGACGGCATAGTAGACCGGAGCAGCCCGCTTGCGCTTCGCGCCCGACGATGTTGTTGAGGTAGATCTTGCGTCGCCCATTGCGCCTTCTATTTCAAAGTCTTGGCCGGAAAAGAATGCTCCAACAACGGTCGTCTCTTGATGGTACCAGCGGGGAGCTGGAGGGCGGTCTTTGTAGGGCAATTCTCGGGCGCGAATATGGGCGGTGGCTTGGACGCGGCGGACGGGGCAATCGCCGCGGCTTGACAGACAGTTGGCGGGTCAGCTGCGCTCTGCTTGACGTTTGAGCAAGCCTACGCTCGTAGCCAGCTCGAAGGGAGCTGTCCGGGGACAACGTACCGACGCAGGTGCCGTATTTCACAGGACAGCGCGCGATGGCCAGCAAACCGCTTGACTGCTGTTCGCATACGCCTACGTGAAGGGCTGGAGGAGGGGACGAGCGCCCGAATGGTCTTTTATTGAGGTGGAGGCAGATGAGGGGGTGCTGGGGTGTTGTGTGGTGGAGAGACGCATTGCGGTGGATGGGGGGTGGGGGGGTTGGTGCGGAGCTGCGAGCGGGAAAGAGCTGGAGCCAGGGCCAGCCCGGAGTGAATGCCAGCGCACAGCGAGAGTGAAATGGGGCGAAAGTGGAAACATCGGACAGGCAAGTGGGATCTCTGTCTCTCTGCAGGGCATCGCCGCTGTGTAGGAGCCGTGAGACTGACGATGTGCTGCGGATTCCGGCGATACGGCGATGCTGCACTGAAATTCGAGGACCTCGGCCCGCACCCTCCGCCTGCCAGCAGATCACCCGCCGTTGACCACACCTGGGCACCCTCTGGTTTGCTCGCCTGACGAATCTTCACTACTGCACAACAGCAACCCCGGAGGTTGCACGCTACGGAAACAGCAAGAACAATGTTTGAGGTACGGATGATGTGCCTGTTGAAGACCCGGCTGTCCCCACTCACGAGACCCAGGGCCGCCATGCAGCAGACAGATACCAGCTGCGCCTGCACAGGGCGCGTTCGGTGGTGCTCTCAGGCGCCGAGATGGTAGAGATACGCGCAGCTCAGAGAACCTTTGAAGGAGCCTACATCCGCACCGCCCTCGGCCAGTTCTCCTTCGCGCTCATCGTGCTCAAGATCTTCACCGCCGAGTTCTATTCCATCGGCGCTCTGTTCGCCGTGTACGGCGCGGGCGTCCTATTCACGAGCCTGTTTCGCCGACAGCAAGGTCCGAAACGCCAACGTACCATGGCCTCGCTCAGCGACTGACGCAGCACAGGGAACAAGCAGTTCTTCTCCGAGGTGGGCGAGGATGGGTTGCACCGGAAGAAATTCAGAACGAGCGGCAACGTAGTCACAGTCCTGACGGCCATCAGCATCGCAGCTTACATTTCCCTGCTGGTCCTCACCATACGGCTCGAGTCCTAAAACGGAAGTGCTTCCTCTGCTTCAGACCCTCTTTTCCACGACCTGTTGCTGCCTCGCATTCCGCGCCGGAGAAACGCAGATGGTCGAGTCGATACCCGAATTCCTCAGGAGCCGTCTTAGCCTCATTTTGGAGCACTTTCGCCCTGCCACAGACTGCCCGGCATGCTGGACTGCCGCTGTGTCCACGCCCAAAGTGTCTACGGGGCAGGCGGGACGAGGCATCGCCGTCTATTGAGATTGCACGCCAAGGGCTTGGTCGTTGCACTCTCTAGTCTCTGACGCTGCCTTGTATACACGGTTGCCGTCCCGTCAGCAGGTCAGCTCTGCAAGGGCGGAGAAGGCCAGAATGGAAGAGGGACGGCCTCGGGCGGCGTGCGTATGCTGTTGAGGTTGTAAATCCTAACAAGCTAAAAGGGCAGGTCGACGTCCTTCGGTCCAAAGCACTGTACATAGGGCGGGCTAAATATATGTGCCAACCACAGCTCAGTCTCGGGCAATCGCATGGATAAATGATTGGTGTAGATCGGCCGCCGATGGACGTGGGGGAGATAGGTTTGATAGGAAACAGCGCCAAGCGGGGTGTTACTTGGAGCGCGGTCAGTCCGACGGCGTACCCTCCTGCTCTACTTCCTGCAGCAGTAGGTATAAAGACGGGCAGCGTGTGTCGCCGGCGCGCCAGCATGCGCCGTCTGCCCTCGGTCGAGTTTTGAGGCCGCCGGTGCCGGCGCGGAACCTCCATCGAGATTCCGAAATTCCCTGCATCGGAAGAACAGTCACTCGCACTCTGCATCGGTACAAAATAACGTCACCACCCGCGCCCGCAGGCAGTAGTCGCGACGCACGCCTCAGGCCCTCTCTCTCGACAACCACGCCACGGCAGACCTCACCCTACAGCCCTCCAGCTCTGCCATTGTATCGTGGATATCGTCCGTCGAGCACCTGATCCGCGCCCCGGCGAGGCGTCAGTCGGTCCTTGCTGGCCCGATCCGGCTAGCGCGCCCTGGGCACGAGGCCAGCCTTAATAAGAATGGCTGCTTTGCCGATTGTCACCGCAGGGACTACAACGCATCGCCGCCGCTCCTCAGCATCAACCACCTCCTCTCCGCGCCGAACCAGCCAGCATTCGATATTCGCCAAAAGCGTTCTCATGAGCAAGCTCACACTCCCTGGACCCCAGCACGCGCACCCTCTCTCCAACGGCGAACCGCCGCGGCCTGTTTCCGCACAGCCCGCAATCCCCTCCGCTCCCGATCCTCCCGCCGACTCCACCAATGCGCCGTTCGCGAAGGATCCTGCACTACATCATGCGGAATTGAAGCCTCTGCCCCTCGTGGGCGCTAATCACGCTCACAACCATGTCCACCGGCAGGCTATCGGAAAGGACGGCGTGGGCGCTGCCCTGAGCGACACGCCCGCGCCGTCCCAGCCAGGCAGCCCGCGCATGTGCGTTTTCTCCGCGCCCATGCACCACAGTAGTATAGGACTGACCAGTGCAGACACGCCATGAGGAACAATTCGGCCGCCTCGACGCCTCGAATACGCCCGACCACCCTCGACATTCCCGGCTTGACCAAGTCGAAAGTCTCTCCCGATGGCAAGATCGCGCAGCGCGACGTGGGCTCCAAGCTTGTCATCATCATGGTGGGCCTGCCGGCGCGGGGCAAGAGCTACATCACGAAGAAAATGACCAGATACCTCAATTGGCTGCAGCATGACACCAAGATTTTCAACGTGGGCGAGAAGCGTCGGGTGGCTGCCAGCGGCCACGGATTCCGAATGTCGTCGTCGAGCCTCGAAAAGGTGCCTTCTGGCGTGGCGCGCGCCCTGGAGCAGAACGAAGCGACGCTCCCACAGATAGCAGCGAAAATTCTGATCAATGGCGAGTCTCCGGCAAATTCGCTCTCGCCGCTAAATTTGCCAAGTCCCGCCCGCGAGCACCATGAGACGGCGGTGGAGGAGGAGCCTCCTCCCCGTGTGGAAGTGAATTCCCCCGGCCCCGAGGCGCCCACGCCCGCAAACGAAGAAAATCAAGATTCAACAATGGACCAGTCGGCGAGCTTCTTCGATCCGTCAAATAAGAGGGCAGCCCAAATACGCGAACAATGCGCCATGGAAACGTTGGACGAGCTCCTGGACTGGGTTTTGAAGGGAAACGGCTCCGTCGGGATCTTCGATGCCACGAATAGCACTCTGGCCCGCAGAAAGCAGATCATGGAGAGGATACGCCAACGAGCAGGACCCGAGCTGAATGTACTCTTTGTTGAGTCTGTCTGCAAGGATCAGAATCTGCTTGAGTCCAATATGCGCCTGAAGCTCTCTGGACCCGATTACCAGGACAAGGATCCCATCGCCGCATTAGAAGATTTCAAGAAGCGTGTCGCCATTTACGAGAAGAACTACGTTCCCCTTGGCGACTACGAGGAGGAGCACAACATGTCGTATGTCAGCATGATTGATGTGGGCCGAAAGATGATTTCACATCAAGTCCGTGGTTTCCTCGCCGGTCAGGCGGTGTATTACCTTCTCAACTTCAATCTCGCCCCCCGCATGATCTGGGTCACACGACACGGCGAGTCAATGGATAATGTCGCAGGAAGGATTGGTGGAGATTCCGACTTGAGCGAGAGCGGCCGTAAATACGCCCAGGCAATGTCCCGCTTTATTGACGGCCAACGCAAGGCTTGGGCCGTCCATCAGGCTGACAAGATTGCCAACACTCACTTCCCGCCCGTCCCCGGTGATCACACGCCACCGAATCCCTACTATGGCAACGAAGGAGAGCAAAAGAACTTCTGCGTTTGGACTTCCATGCTGAAACGCAGTGTCCAGTCAGCCCAATACTTCTGCGACGAAGATTACGACGTCAAACAGATGCGCATGCTTGACGAGCTGAATGCGGGTTACATGGAGGGCATGACGTACCATGAAATCAAGACCAAGTTCAGCGAGGAATATGAGCGACGAAAGACCGACAAGCTCGCCTACCGCTACCCAGGCCCCGGAGGAGAAGGCTATCTGGACGTCATCAACCGCATCCGCCCTGTCATTTTCGAGCTCGAGCGTATGACCGACCACTGCCTGCTCGTCACTCATCGCTCGGTTGCGCGCGTTCTTCTCGCGTACTTCCAAGGCCTGAATCGCGAGGACGTTGCGGACCTAGATTGTCCTCTGGGGATGCTCTATCAGCTCGAGCCCAAGCCGTATGGTGTTGAGTTCAAGGCCTGGCGGTATAACGCAGAGTCCGATGACTTTGAATGCCTGCCGGACTACAAGCTCCGCAGGGCGCCCCCTCACCACTAATACCCTTTTCTCTTGTCAAGATGCCCTCCTTTGTCGTGGTGCTGAGGTGGTCGCAATACCTAATTCTTGATGAGCTATATTGCTATCCTTTTCGATTGTCACTATACTTACCCTTCCTTTATGTGTGCTGCATATATATATTTTCTAATGGTGTTTCTTACCCGTTCTCTCGGCTCTACAACGCCAGCATTTCCATGACTAGGAGCATTTTGCGGCGTTCGATGGTATACAACAGCCGGGAAACAATTTCGTGATTGGCATATTGCTACATTTCTTTGCTTCGGAGGCCGGGGTATCGAGACTTAGCGTGCCTTCTCTTTTTACACTTCTGTGTTGCTTTCGGCGTTCACGGTTGGTTCCGGGGCTACGTGGCCGGGCAATCAAGGATGTCTCTCCTTCCTTCTCACGGCACAATATCTGTGCTTACGGCCTTTCCTGCCGGTCCTCAGAGGCTTTGCGACTTATTTATTCTTTGTCCGACACCCGAGCTCTTCTTCAACCTACGAGCTCCTCTCGCCCGCGCTCATGCTTTGCGGTCATGACGATGGCGGAGAAACTCCTTGATTGTACATCTCCCCTCTCCTGTGGTACAGCGTACACAGAGGTCATGTGTACCGGGAGAAAATCTGCGATTTCTCTTTTTCTGCATTCCTTTTTGCTTGTCCACTCACTACTGGAGTCGGAGTTGGCTGTGATAGAGAGCATATAGAGTTGAAGCTGCTATTTACAAGGAATGCAGATGCGGTACAGATCTTTGTGCAGGTCTCGTACGCTTTCTACCAACAACAATCGACCATCTCTCCTGATCGCTTCTACCGCCAAGGGACGCCCCTTTTGATAACTGAACTTGGGCAGATGAGGGCCTATTCTCTCTGCCCGTTTAGAGACCGGAGAAGCTGTGAAGCCAAGGTAGCTGACGCGCCCAGTCACGCTTGGCGTTCTACGTCTTGGTATGCTAACCACGTAAAAGGGTAATGTTAGGAGAACCTACAATATCGAATTTCTTGATTTGGAAGAGGAGGGTTCTTTTGGAGTCGGTGGGATCGCAAAATGGCTAACTTGCGTTGCCGTTGCGCACGTAAAAGAGAAATCAGTTCTAGACTAGGGTGGAGATGTAGTGGGAGCTACCTTAAACTACTAATCCGTGGAGAAGCCAAGAGTCGGGCTTATGGACCTTGCGGGTCATGGGTATGATTGAGGAAATATCGAGTGGTTGAAAATGGTCGGGGTGATTTAGAGGATAAGAGGGCGGAGGGCTAGCCTCGGCATGGATAGGGTACGCTTTGCAAGCACGGTAAGGGCTTCAGCTGTGCTCACGCTTCCTCGTCAGACTAATACACTTTGGTACAGACACCTTAGCTTTGCGTTCTACCCGGTTGATGATTGCAGAACTTGGGCGTGGAAGGAGAGGGTTCGTTGATTCAGAGGGGAATAAGGAAAGGAAGAAATGCTTATCGAGGGGATCTCGCTGGATTCGATCTGAGGGAGGTGTGTATGGTATACGGCTGTGAATGACTGGACCAACTGAAATTTGGAATACCAAACATGTCATCATCACATACCGTCCCCGTTTTCTCTGCTACGGCCGTACAACGCCAACGCAGCGCCGTATAAAAGCCCCCCAGAACCTCCCCAACGCAAAAAAGCCATTAAGACAGCCAGCATCACCACCGTTCCATCTCCTCCCTCAGACGCACCTCTTCCAAACCCCCTTCTACCCTTATAACTACCTCTCCCTATCCAATCCCCCAGCTCGAAAAAACATGGCCGTCCTCAACCTCAACCTCCTCCTCCTCAGCGTCCTCGCCGCCACCAACACGCTCGGCGCTGCTCTGACTTCTCGTGCTGCTGCTGCGGAGCCCGTAGATATAAGCGCCCGAGACGTGACGACGTTCCGCATCTGCAAGGACATCTACTTCCAAAACTGCGCCAACTGGAAAGACGTCACGACGGGCGTGTGCTGTAAGCATATATTCGCCTCTCTTGCCCCTCCCATTTCACAGAAAACCAAATACCGACCCCCATCTCCCTCCCGCTAGACGACTTCACCTCGTCCGACTGGAACGACAAGCTCAGCTCCGCGCACTCCGCCGCTGGCTTTAAGTGCTATATTTACAAGTATGTTAGTCCTATTTTCCTAAGCTAACCTAACCTCTCTACCCTCCTATCCCATATGGTGGTTAGTCTGGAAATTGGAACGTGCCGGCTGATATGTGATCGTCTGTACAGAGACTGGGGCTGCACCGGCGGCGAGGGCGGCCCGATTACGTTGAACAACGATCATCGCGACCTGAGGCAGTTTGGGTGGAATGATATTACGAGCTCGTTTCGTTGCTGGCGGAGTTGAGGCGGGGCAGTGGGTGCGGAGGATGTGGAGTTGGTGGATGAGGTGGGAGGGGGGAGTGTGTGAGTGAGGGTTGTGGTTGGGGTTGGGGCTGAGAGGGTTGGTGGAGAAGGGAGACGATTTTGGAGGTTTGTTGGGATCTAACATCCTCCCTGCTATACTTAATAAGCGCCCTGTTCTCGCTTCAGCCCTGGTAGAGGTGACGGTGAGGGCTTGAGCATCGTTGCGTCTTTAGCATGGAGATATGGGGGCTGGATTGCAGGAAGTGGTCAGTCGGGGATGAAAACTTTGAAAGCCAAAACGTTTCTCGAATCTGCCCTCTAGGTGGTACGTTTTCTGTGCGTCGATATGGCAGAAGCGAGGTGTGGTAGCAGTGCGTTTGCATCCCTTGGGTCTCGGTCTTCGGACGCTGGTGTGTATGTCACTGCCGCTTTCGGACTTGCGAAGGAGCGTTTGATCATGGACTCCTGGCTGTGAGCAATAAACACCGGACGTGGACATTCCGAGTCGAGGCAGGCAGAAGAAGAGAGCAGAAAAGGTGGCGGACAGGAGCTGCAAGAACATAGGGGAACGAATGAAGTACAATCGCAAGGAATATTGTGTGCCGCAAGATGGAGGCGCTCCAACATGGTATGTACAATTTGTCCGCGCAGCAAACATATAGACAAGAAGCGAAGTATATACACAAAAGAACCTCGTTCCATCAGAATTTTCCCAGGACTTCCATCCTTCTCATCCCTGTTCCTCTCTCCGCCTCATCTAGAAAGACAAAGTATTTCCCGCCGTCCCCACAACCGCCGCTTTCACCGCACTCGCCGCCAGCAACGTCGGCACTTTATACGGCACAGACGTTAGAGTCCCCGCGAGCGCGGCATTGGCCGCGCCGCCGAAGTCATTGCCCGTCGCAACCGCATAGCCCGCATCTGTGCTATACAGCGGCTTCTTGGAGCCGACAAAAACGTTATTCTGGACCAGCACCTGCGCGCCATCACGCGTATTGATCCCATCGGCGACGCTCTCGTAATAGTTGTTGAAAATGTGGCCGGTACCAAAGCGGAGCGAGGGCCCGCGGCTGTTGATGTTCTTCCAGTAGTTGTTGTGGTAGGTGACCCGGAGGTGGCCGGTGTCTTCAGCGCCGTTGTTGTCCGAGTGGCCAACGAGAGAGCACTTCCAGTGGTCGTGGAAATACACGTTGGAGACGGTGATGTAGTCTGCGGCATGGGTGAGGTCGAGAAGCCCGTCGTAGTAGTCTTTATCGTGGGTCATGTCCGAGGAGAGATCCAGGTGGTCGAGCCAGACGTTGTTGGCGTATTGAACTGCTATTGCGTCGCCGCCGACAACCTTCTTGATGGCTAGGTTGCGGATGATGACGTTGGAGACATTCTTGACAGTGAGGGTAAAGCCGGTGAAGACTGGATGCTGGTTAGAATGTAAGTGTATCGAAGGGGCCTGAAATACACATACCAACTGAGGAACTCTTGCCAATGATGCTCTTGTTGGAGCCAATCTTGACGTTCGCACCCTGCGACTCCATGGGCGCAGTGACAATGACAACAGCGGGACTATCCCCAGCTACGGCGGCAGTAAATTGGGCGAAGGAGGAGACGGTAGTGGTGCTTCCACCCTTTCCACCAGTGGTACCACCATTCTCGGTAGCGTACCCGGTCGTCGGAGTGTCGGTGACAGAGGCACGCTTAGCAAGCACACCACGCTTCTCCTCGACGGTAGGTGTAGGCGCTGCTAGAGCGATAGTCGAAAGACCAAGCGAAACGAAGGAGGAGAACCTCATGGTGCAAAATGATGAAGAGGGCCGTGAAGAAAGGATCAAAGAATCGAGTCAGAGAATGAAAGAGCAGACTGTGCTGGTGAAGAAAAAGCCATTCTCCTGGTAAGACGCCCTCTATTATATACGCCCCTACTCTCGTCCCATCGCTCCCGCTCTCGTGAGCCAGGCCTACATCTGCACTAGCAAGTCTGCCAATACCTACCCGCTGTTTCAACCGGTTTTCGCACCAATTGGACGAGGTCCAAGTAGGTAACCAGCCCGGACAAAAAGCCTTCTTTGACCAGCTAGCCGTACTACAAGCAAAATCAGAGGGCATCGTTGGCTTCTTGGCGATAATATACGTTTGAAACGACTAGGCGAATTCGGGTTGCGGTATCTCCACCTACCGCGCGGTAGCCAAAGTAGCTGCCGGAACATGGGTCGTTCGAAACATCATGGCAACCATAGCGACTCAGCTGTGAGATTGAAGGCCGGTTCGCGGCATCATGGCGTGGTTCTGGGCTTCCAAGACATCACACGAAGTCCCGCAGACTCCGAGACCTCGGGAAAAGTTGAGAAGGACTGACTTTGCCTTTAGCCTCGAAGCCCTCTTCGACATGCTCCCCGGTAGATGAACATGCGTTTGCGCCTCTCGGAAGAATAAACGCCTATAGCGTTATTGTGCAGATATTACGCCGATCGTGCTATATTACCCCCGCATATGCAGTGACACAAGCAGCCTCGCATGGAGAAATCCAAAGCCTACCCCTGACGTCTGAAGGTCTGAATTCCGGATGAGAGAAGGCGTTTCGCCCAAGGTGCGTGGAGTTTGTACACCGTTGGAGGAGAAATGGAGCGCTGGTAGCCAGCTCGTGATCTATCTCTCGCAGGGAGTCGATATTATTTGCAGCGATTCAATGAGGGGAAGCAGGCCGTGACCGGATGTGAGTGTAGCCAGAAGACGTTCAGAGAATGAATGATACAGCGGAATCAAGGGTAATTGATGAGGTGAAGTCTGGTGGACTCTGAGTAACGGAAGGCCCGAGCTAAACGAGGCACGTGGTGTGACATCATCCGACCCAAAGCAGCAACCACCTTCAAAGAGGCCACCGCGACAACTTTCACAGGCAACCACGAACCTCTTAATACAAGCCTCCAAAGTTCTCCATTCTACATACGCAAACTACTCACTTTAAAACCGCTTTCTGATCTCGCCAAATACCATACGCTCGTCTCTATAGAAAGCTGTGCTCCAACACCACGCGTACAACCCGGAACACGCAGCACGATGCCGCCCATCCCCATCCACCGCAACGACCCCATAGCTCCCGTAGCCGCAAAACCAGACGGGATAACCCCTCAAACCCAAACCGACGACGCTGCCGCAAACCCACCACCAACCCGCACAAACCCCGCCTACGCGCCCGCAACAACAACAGCCTCTTCCTCCTCTCCTCCGGCACCACAACCCGGCGCCCGCCCGCCCGCGCCCACAGGCTCCTCCCACGCCCCCTCAGACTCCACACCAGCGCCTCCACAACCAGGCGCCGCCCCAGGAAGCTACACAGCAACCCACCACATCACCGAAACGCGCCTCGATGGCCCGCCACCCCAATTCCACATCCCACCACCCAAAGACGCGCAACTATCCGGCCGCTCAACAATTCCCTCCACAGAGCCCAGTAGGCCGGGGCCTACAACACTGAACATGGGTCCCGCGCAACCCGCCGCATCACCGTATCAGTGTGAGCACAGGGGAGGCGCGGTGCAGGAGTTGCCCAGGAGCAGTCTGGAGGGTCCGCCTGGGTACCAACAGGCCCCTGATAATACGCCGTACCAGGCAGGAGGAGGGATGGGTGGACAGCAGGATGGAAGTGGTACAGATGGAGGCGTTGGAGGAGCGGCATGGAATATGTTGGCAAAGGCTGGGGAGGCGTTGAAAAAGGGTGAAGAGGCGGCCTGGAAGGCTGTGAGGAATAAGTGAGGGATATGTAGGTAAGCAAATACTGTGAGTTCAATGCTTGCACCACATCTACCGCGTTTGGGCATGCTACAGTCTGAAGGAATCGCGTACTAGCCCGTTGAACGGATCGGGGCTTAGATAGTATCACATCACATAGTAACAATTAAGACAATCAAAGAGACCCACAAACTTCTATAGACCACTATTTTCCCCAGTTCACCAAGCGATGGAAAGAGGAGTACAGCAAGGAAAAGGGGTAAACAGACTAAGCACAATGCAAGCCGAAGATGACGTGTAATACAGGGTGCTGTGAGGGAAAAAGAGTTGCCGGCAAAGTAAAGTACAAGGTGTGTTACCACCGCCGTCGTGCTTTTCGTTACCAAGAACAATCTTCTGCCCAGGCGGGCTTGTTATTGCTCTATCCAGTCTACCACCACCACACCGCCACTCACGCCGCGATTAGCTACATCCTCCACATCATTCCATTACGGGTATCGGAGAGACGAGGAGGCGCTTAACCAGATCCACCCTTGAACTTCTTGCCGAAGAGGATGAGCTGAACCTGGTCGTAGATGGAGAGCACACCGGCACCGGCAACACCACGGAGGATGTTGGCACCAGCACCCTTGAAGAGAGACCGGACACCCTCGGCGGCGATGATCTGGCGGGCAGCATCCATGGAAGACTTGTACTTGACGGCCTGCGGATTGATTAGCATGTGACGTAATGCTAAAGGAAAGGATCGATTCAACTTACCTCACCGGAAGTCATCATCATGCGACGACGGATGGTGTCAAGCGGGTAGGAAGCGATACCAGCACCGGTGGTGACGGTCCAACCGAGCAAGAAGGAGGCCAGGAAGTTACCCTCAAGAGGACCGACGAGGACGACAGGCTTAATCGAGTCGTACATACCGAAGTACAGACCACGATAGACGACGATACCAAGGACGGATGGCATGAAACCACGGTAGAGACCGGCAATACCGTCGGAGGCGAGGGTCTTCTTGTAGACATCGACGAGACCGTTGAACTGGCGGTCACCACCCTTCTTGGCGTTCTTCGCGTCGTTGGCGAGACGAGTACGGGCATAGTCGAGCGAGTAGACGAAGAGGAGCGAGGTGGCACCGGCAGCCTGAAGTTATTAGCAATTGAATCGCTGCGCAACGGAGGCAGATACTTACACCACCGGAGGCCAAGTTGCCCATCATCCACTTGGCATAGCCATCGCGCTCCTTCTTGAAGGCGAACATCGACTTATAGGTGTCGCGGAAGGCGAAGTTCAGGGCCTGGGTAGGAAAGTAACGGATGACGTTGGCAGTGTTACCACGCCAGAGGGAGAGAACACCCTCTTGCTGGGACGTCCGCCGAAAGCACTCGACGATACCGTTGTACTTGCGGTCGAGACGACCGGTCTTGAGCATCTCATCCTGCGCGACGAACGTGGTCAGCGGGGACGACAGACGCATCAGCGGAACCCAAACGAAGACATACCTGGTTTTGGATGAGAAGCTTGACACGCTCGATGGGAGCAGCGGCGGTCTTCGAGACGGCAGCGGAGACACCACCCACTATAGATAAGGAGTTAGCAGCTAGGTCCGGCTGAAAAATTTTGCCCAACGCGTCGCCATCACAATTGAGGGCCAATTGCTTGTCGGAAGAGATGGCGGAGGCATTGGAAAGCGAGACGTACTCAAGAAGTCGACCACGAAGCCCTGCGCCGCATGTTAACTATTGTCGCGAGAATTGCCGCAGAGTTGCGTAGCTGAAGCGCCAGCCAACGTCTCCATCACCACCAGCGACAAATCCATCTCAGTGTCTCCTCGCACCGCTGTGAGGGCTCGCTCGGTGCCATTGAGATGGGTCGTCGCCCTTTGCTGGATGGAGGGCCGCCGGTCTGGACAGGTTGCTGCTCTGAGGACTTGGGGATTGCTTACCGGCATGCCGAACACGCTCTTGTCGGCCTGAACCACTTCGCCTTTCGCCATTGCGTCGGATGTCGGTCTGATACCCGGGAAGAAGGAATGAAAAAAAAAGGTGCGTGAGTGGAGAGGAGTAGGGTGCAATGAAGAGAGGGAAGGAGCTTTAACGGTTGGTGAGAAAATCCAGAGGGAAGCGGCGCCCGGACCAAGGCGCTAACTTAGTCAGCCGCTTCTCCGGAAGCTCTTCGCAACTTGCCTCGGGGATGCACACGGTTCACGACGTGCATGCAATGACGGAGCGCCTCGAAAGGCCTTTCCACGTCTCTACATCCTCAATTCACACATACAGCACCACCTTTTAGTATTGCTCCCCTCCACTTCTTGCACGCGGCTCTCCAACCGCCATCCAGCCCACACGCTATGGCCAGCCTCACCGTTACCGCAACAACAGTGGAGCCTACTGTACACTATCGGAAAGTGGTGATCCCCACGCAAAATCTTTAGATCCCAAATTTGCCTCTTCTAGATCAGCCTCCTTTTTCCCTCAGGGTCCGGGCGCTGAGCCTTTTTTCATCGGGTAATTTCGGCTTGCGCTGCACCGCTCGGGCCAATCAGAGGCGAGGCTTGCAAAATTCGCACTTGCGGCTGTGGTCCGGCGCCGTGGAAGTTTTGTTGGCGAGGCTTGGGTGAGCTGTGGCTAGAACGCGGTATTGTTGGCGGTTTCTGGGAAGTCATTGGGGGTCGTGGAGACCTTCAAGGGCTTTTCTGTTAATCAAGAGGCATGGGCATGTGCGCATGAGCGTTTCCCGGATACCTTATTCACCGGCACTGCCACTTCGAGCACCGGTACGTACAATAATTGTGTACCTCAATTCTTAGAGCGTCATTACGGCTCGTGGCGACCTTCTGGGTCTTTTCTGTGTATCGAAAGGAATGCCACGTGCGATAGATATATGTGTTGCGGAGAAAAGACGGTCATCGGCGACTCCAGACGAATGATGCTTCATTCAGTGACTGACACTTGAAGCTGTAGTACAATAATTTTCCCATCTCAATTTCTAGGGAGTCGTTAGGGATCGTGAATGCCTGGGGACCTTCGTGAAGTACGGGGCAGTACAGAAACGCCATGTAGCCAGCACGATCATAGGAAGGAAAGGACGAGAATTCATGACACGAAATCGTGAAGAGAAGGACCTTTGACTAGCTAATATGGAGGGTATCATTATGAGCCAAAAAGCAGCAGCCTCGGTACCGTCCCCAATAGATGCCTAACACCACGCTATCCACGCTATGCAAATGCTGCAAGAGGGCGCATCGAGCTCTCAAAAGTATCGTGAAGCTATCTAACGCTGAAATATGCCGCAATAGATCCAAGAAAACCACGGAAAGATGCCAGCACATCCCCAAAACTCCTTCTAAAAGCTTTACCGCTTAAAGGGGAGGCGACTCCGGCCGACCAATGGCCAGGGAATAATAGTAATCGGTCAGAGCGTTCATTTCATCGCCAAAAGACACGTTGTCTTCCAGCTGCTCAGTCGCGGACAGCTTCGCCATGAAAAGATCTTTTCCGTAGCCATTCAGCGAAGGCACGTCCGAGCTATCGATACGGCTGCCCGTCTCTTTCACGCACTCATACCCCAAAGCACCAATTTCCCAAGCCCGCTTGCAAAAAGCGCAGACGAGTCTCTCGGTACTAGGCTGGATTTTGTTGACGCCTCCGCATCTGAAGCACGTGAACGAGCACCGTTCACAGAGAACCCTTCCGTCTTCTGGAGCCGAGCTCGACGGCCGAGCAGCGCGTCCACAGTTCGCACACCTGGACTTGCCGGAAACAATTTTCATGTCCGAACCAATAGCCCTCCACTGCCGGCGGAGCTCGTCGGGAATGCGATCTGTGCTTCTTCCGGAGTCACCGATCTCTTCATTGGTGACCTTGATAATGCCGTCCACACAAGAGGAGATGGTGCACTGAGGAGCAGGCGTGTGTGATAGGCTGTATTGGAACTCAAGAGCTTGTTCCCGTAAGAACGGAGCATCGACGCTGTTATCGAAAGGTCCGGCATAGTTCGTCCCTTGAACAGCCTGGCGGATGGGAAGACCTCCCATAGGAACATTCATTATCTGCCCGGATTGGAGAAGCTCGGTGGCTATGGCAATCCCTGATTCCGGAACGAGGGGCGCTTCGCATTGCTCGTTCTCGACTTCTTCCTCGTACGCTGCTTTGTAAGGAACGTATTTGAGCCTCTCTGCATCCTTGACCGTGCAGTCGTCACGCCCAACTTCGAGGACGTTAACAGACCCGTTGACTTCCCCGATGATGAGCTTGCTCTTGTCTGGACTGAAAGCCCCTGACATGATGCCGGAATCCACGGTGACGAGATCTCTGACGAAAGTTTCTTCCTCTGAACGGACAACATTCCAAACCTTGACAACGCCATCGGAGGACCCAGTGTACAGTCTTGTTGCGTTCTCGCCCCAGGAGAGGAAGCGGATACCAGTGTCTGTGATCTCTCGATCAATAATGTCATCCAAGGGCATCAGCGAGCGCCCATGGGCCAGCTCTCTGAGAAACTGATTCGGCCAACGAAGATCCCAAACGTAGGCACGACCACTGGTGCAGCCGGCAGCCAGGAGATGTTCATCAAAGGGACTATATTGGGTGAGCCGACAATGAAGATCCCCAATTGCAGTGGAAACTTACCACCAGACCACATCGTTCATATCCAATGCTCTGCATTCGAGCTCCATGTTCATACTATACCTTCCAAAGCCGTAGCCATCGTATAGCCGGACAATGGAACGTGTGCCTCTATTGACATGCTGCCCTGCGACGCATCCCACAGCGAACCACGGCATCTGACGCTGATTCTTATTGAATGCAACATCGAATACGTTCTTCGATGAGCCATGAACACTTAATTGTTGTTGAGTCTGAACGTCCCATAAGCATATATCTCCGTTTGTGTCTCGTCCATCGTGTCGAACATTCGCCCCAAATCCGGCAAGTAGCAGTCGCCCAGCATTTGGCTCGAATTGAAGCGCGGTAGGAAGGATGCTGAGGTCAGGTCGCGTCGCAGCCTTTTGTGAGGCGAAGTCCAGTCTTTGAAAACTAGTGGGATTTTCTTCATCGATGGCGAGTACCTTTACCGCATTGCTGCTCCATTTCTTCGACGCTGTCGCTAGTATGCCATGACAGCTGACAGAGAGGATGTCAACCTCAGCTTTATGCCTCATCGCTGTGATAAGCTCAGGTTGCGAGCCATCTGTTGTGGCCTTCCACATGCAGACGTACTCGTCGTAACCCGCGGAAAACATAAATTTTCCGTTGGGAGAAAAAGCGACCGAGGAAATAGTTTTGTATAGCTTCGGATCCTGAGAAGCGTACATGGCATGGGTGGAGTTGGGTCCAGACTCGGTCCTAGGACGGTCGACGCTATGCTCTCCGAGTTCGTGAATAGACTTGTACGAAACGTCGCCGTACAATAGGTTGTTCGGCCTATTGTATTGCATTGAATGTGGATCATCAACACATATTGCGCCGGCGGCGAAACATTGGCCATCAACAGACCAGGCGACGGCATGAACATCGCTGGAAGCTCCAGTGTACGAGTAGGCAGGGCCAAGCGAGTCTAGGAGCCTATTCTTCAAGACGTAAGATAGCGGCTTTGAAGCCGCATTCCACCCTCTCCTCGACTGAATACCCAACTCTCGCTGCCGGATCATAGACGACGTAGAAATCTTTGGCTCGGAGCTGAAAACCCTATTCGGCCTAGCTGCAGCTAGTCTTTCAATTCTTTGAGAAGTGGCGCGAATTTTGCCTTCTCTGGCGTCCTCCAGAAAACCATCGATGCTCTTCTGGTCCCGGTTTGGCAGTTCGTATCTTAGAAGGGCCGTGAGTTGGAGAAGTTTTGGTTCTGTCAGGCCTCTCATTAATCTCTGCAATGTCTTTCGACGACTGGTAAGCCTCATTGCGTGAGGAGAATTCAAAGTCTTAGCGAGGGCTCGCTCTACCACGTCCAGCTCAGCTGTAGCAAAGCCAACATGAATAAGAGTCCCCTGCCAGTCCCGACTACAGAGTTGATCCCATTCATATTGAATTGGCGTGTTGGCAATCGGCAAGCGTTGCGATGCAGGCAAATATGGTAGCCTCCCACCGGAGGAAGTAAGCTGGCCCTTCTGAGCAGAAATCGCGAGGACCGCGTCCTTGTCGTCGAAAGCCATATTGATCGGCTCATTATCGACAGGTATTGCTTTCTCTGGTGCAGGCTGCAGCTCCGGCGGCTCATCCGATGTAAGCCGAGTGTCCGCTTCTGCGAGCTCGGGGAAGCCGAATTCGTCTTCCTCTACCTCGTCAGCGGCTTGCGATTGCCTATGCCGTCTCGGCCAAGTGTAGTCCTTGACGGGCACAGCACGGCGAGGACGCTCCCGGCGGTGTGCGGATTCAGCCCCGGAAGAATAGTCCTGGACTGTGTCGATGATAGGCTTTGTCCACGCTTGTTGCTGAAGCTGGTGATGGCGGAATTGATGCTGAAGAGCAGAGGCCTCCTGATTTAAAGAACGCATTCCTCTTGGCCCTGGATTTTCTGCATGGACGGTAGCCCAGTCAATGGCTGCTTCGTGAGCGAAACAAGGGGGTAGCTTAAGAGTTGGGGGATCCTGAGATCTATCTCGCTTGTTGAGCTTGGTAGAGTAATGTCCTTGAAGAGCAGGGTAACTTCGTCCCGAGAAGTGTTTGGTGAATTCTTTGGTGATATTCTTCCACGCCAGCCTCTTGACTTCCTTTAGAAAGATCAAAAGATGACTCTCCTCATCCGAAAATTGAAGTGTGTACTTCTTCCGGCTAGTCTGGTGTTCAGCGGTCGGGGACATGCTAGGCTGCCGTTGCAAGTTGTTCAGAGGGTGCGATCCTGGCATGTGCTTATCTCGTTCGCGAATCACCGTGTCGGAAATCACGCTACCCCGATCGTTAAAGTTGGGCGAGGAAATTGGCCCTGAAAAAGTAAGTGGTGCCGATTTGGAGCCTGTCCTGATAGAAGAAGACTTGCGCGGCTCTGGGACAGGAAGGGATGGACTGTAAGGCTTCTGTTCAATCAGAGCGGGAGCTTTCTTCACGGACGACGGCCGGATGGTGAGATCTCCTGGCGTAAATCCCCTCTCTTCCCGCTCTACTATCATCTCTTCGACACCAACAGGTTCGGATTTTGTCATCGCCGGTCTAGCAGGCGCAGCACTCGGAGCACTAGACGTGGCTACAGGAGTGGCAGAAATCGAGCCATCCCTTTCATCTGGCTCTCTCCCAATATGTAGCGCCCGTGGCTGAGCGGATAGTATGTCCGCAGCAAACGGGATCTTGGTACTAGTCTCCTTGAGGGCCGTGTTGAGGGAGTGAACTGAAGGCGTCTTGTTCTTGAGATTGACCAGCGTGCGTCCGTCGGTCCGAAAAGCGCTGAAGCCACTTGGGCCATTTGCTTGCTTTCTTCGATCATTCTGCGCATTGCTGTTCGTAGATGCGCCAGACCCACTCCTAGAATGCGCATTTGCCGGTGTGCTCTTTCCTGGTACGGATAGCTTCCTCCTCTTCTCAGCTTGTTGTCCCGACGTAAAGCCGGCCATGTTGCCTTGATGTGCTGCAGCGAATACGGGCACATATTCCGTTCCATTGCGACGCCCGTCGACCGAGGCAGAAGCAAAGCCTCCAGCACTCTCCCGTCTGGTAGAATCGGAAGGAGGTGTGATGGCATGAGTGGCCCCATTCAGCAACGGCCCATGCGAGGGCTTTACAAGAGGTGATATCGAGGGCGGGATGTCACGACGCTGGCTGCCGGGTAACGGTACGTTCGATTGTTTGGGTTTCGACGCTGGAGCAGGAGGGCGGTACAAGTGCCTCACGTTCTGAGGGAGCGGTTGAGGCGCCAACTTTTGGGGAGATAGCAACGCATCCAACGGGCCACTATCGTCGTCGGAATCTGCGGTGAGGTCTATCTGATTGTCCCAATTGCTAGCCATCGTTAGCCAGGTGTCTTCGCGAGCAGCGCACGCCCGGAACACGTTGAGTGAGCGTTCTCGATGAGTCTGAGGGATGAATTTGCGCAGTGAAGGAGCACTCACGTCGGCGCCATGCTCGCTGGCCGATATCAACGCGTCCATGTAAACATGAATATCCGTGACAACGTGAAGGTGAAGGGCGCGTAAAGTGGCTCCCCAGAAGTCCATGCTTAGCGAAGTGTCTTGCGCGCATTAGCGGTGGCTAGTTTAGCGTGGTGTGGCGCATGCTTTCCCGTTCATGCGTCTGGATTCACCGCTCCCCAGAATACACTGGGAGATCTCCAGGGCCACGTTATAGGCTGCCCATTGGCTAAGATTATTCTGGCTGGCTGTCGCTGGGCACATTTTGTATCATGCCTAAGGGCTTTAGGGGTAAGAACCGCGCCGGAACTTCGTATAGCCAGGTCATACCCTGCTGTAGTCGCCCCGGACGGCTATCGCAAGTCGATCTATGAGCATCAAGTCTCTAGTATCCAAAGCCCATGCGTAGCAGAAAGACCCCTCAATTCGCCTACAACTTCTCTCCCTCCGCCTTATCCGCCATATCCGTCTCCTCTCCTGCCACGGGCTTCCCCTCCAAGTCCCGCACCCTCTCGACCTCCACCACGCCCACCTCCTCCCCCGGCTCGACATCCTGCGGCACCGGCGGGCCCGTGAAATCCTTCCTCCCTCGTATAAAATACCATACCACGCTGATCGTCGCGAATCCTGCAAACACCACAGACGCATAGTTCATCGTGGCCGGCTCCACTGGCAAGCTCACAGGCATGCAAAAGAGTACGACCGCGAGACAGATCCAGAGTATCATAGCGATATTGATAGCATAGCCGAAGCGGCCAAGCGAGAATCCCGAGTGCTTGACGGCTCTACGGCCGCGCAAGACGGAGATTAGGATCGGCATTCCATAGGAGACGGAGAGGCAGATGGTCGCGACGCCGGTGAAGGAGTTGAATGCTGCGGATGAGCCAAAATAGATGAGGCCGAGGAGGCAGTCTACGACGGTGGAGAGTACGAGTGCCCAGAGTGGCATGCCGTAGCGCTTGTTGATTCGCTTCCAAATACGGGATCCGGGGATGGCACCGTCGCGGGCGAAGGCGTAGGTGCAGCGAGACGCAGCGGTTAGGGCACCGACGCCCGCGAAGAAGAGGATGCCGAGGATAAGGAAGAGAAGACCGAAGCCGCCACCCGCCGAGCCGGTTACGGTCTTGAAGAGGAGGCCGATAGGTTGCCCGTTTGCCACCTCGAGGAGTATTTGGACATCCGGAAGGACGAAGAGGATTGGGATGAGGTAAATAACGCCTGTCACACCGGCTGCAGCGACGGAGAGCACAATCGCCTTCGGGACCTCGCGCTCCGGGCTCTGGACTTCCTCGCACATGGCCGCCACCATACCATAACCAGTCAGCGTATACGCGGCTTGTAGCAATCCGACGAAGAACGCCCATCCGGATGGCCTACACAAGTCAGCTTCCTCCCTCCGGAGTCCCATTAGGCGTGTACTCACCAACCGCTAGCACTCGCATCATAATGCCCAAACACGAACGCCCCGTTCCTCTTCGTGTCCGCCATGCTCAACAGAGTCACCAAAATAATAACCACACTGCTCGCCGTCCAATAGATGCAGACCTTGTTGATCAAATCCAGATACTTGGCTCCAAAGATATTGACGGACATGCAGACAAGCATCACAGCCCAGAACATAAGGATAGTCTGCCATTGATTCGGCACGAAGTCTTCGTTCCAGAGACTGATGGCGGAGAGGATCAACTACGACTCAGAGCGTCAAAAACAGATATCCTCGTCGAATGGTGGGAGTATACGTACCTGTCCGCCAGAGAAGTTGATCGACAGCGTGACAGTCCAGTTGCCCACGAGTGTAAACCACCCGGTTATCCAGCTGGCGACGGGTGCGTATTTACGCGTACTGAGCATAGCAGACCAGTAGTAGACGCCGCCGGCCGTGGGATAAACGGCGCAGATTTCCGCTAGCGAGGCGGCGATACTCAGAGAGATCAAGCTGACAAGAACCCATCCCCAGAGGATAGTGACGCTCTGCCCGTCTGTGAGTGTGATATACATTGTGGTTGACAGCCCAAACGGGACTGCCATAATCGCGAAGGACCTTAGGGGAATGTCAGTGTGGTTTCCATTTTCAAGATATGGACCAAGGTGACTGGAAATGTGATGGTAGTACGTACAGCCCAAGCACTGAGAGCATGCTTAGGTTCCGGGGAAGCTCGCTCTTGTAGCCCATCTTCGCCAGCTGCGCGTCCGCGCTGGGGTCGACGGAGCCCCGGCGATTCGTGATTGACAGACTTCTCTTCATCTTGCCGATATCCTACTCTCGATACTGCCAAAATCGAGTTCCTTCTGCAGCGCAAAGGTCAGCTAGATACTAAATATACAAAAGCCGAGCCTTCGGATGCAAACTTCGCGACCCCAGACCAAGCTGCGGGGAATCACGAAGCTTCCGTAGCGCGCAAGCTAAGAAACATACCAAGATCTAGAACCAACCCGTCCTACAAGTTCCAAGGTTCTTCTCAAGCACAACGACGGGATCCCTAGCTTCCGCAAACCGCAGATGCAGAGCAGCAACAGTCGTGACGTCGCAGCGATAGCAGGCAGGTTCAGACCCAGAGCAGCGGCGCCGTCCCATGATAAAGGAGCCGTCGGATGCCCGTCCAACAAGCTTTCGGCGAGAGCGTGGACACGCGCGCCCAGCCCACGCAGCTTCCCTATCGAAGATAGCGGGCTCGTAACACGGCGGATAAAGCCTCGTGCGTCATGCAGGGTTGTTCGGGTGCGATTACCTGCGCCGCGGGGCTTTGTCGGATGATTACGAGGTTGGGTTAGTTATCTGATAACGGCGGGCGCACGAAGGATGTGAAACACAATCTGATGACGAGAGGTGCGGCACGGTTTCGAGGCGATGGTGATGGTGGAAATGGGACTGGGTCATTGATGGAATTGGAGAGACGGCGGCGAGATGGAGATGACCAGCTGAAGTACCATGTGACCTACTTTTACGTATACGTGGGAAGGTCTTCGGGCTCAGCCATCCGCATTCTGAGTTACGGTCTGCGACTAGTGGGCATTATTATCACAGTTCAGTGGAGACGTGGCGACTGGCTCGTCACGCTGTCTATTCTGGCACTGTACCATGATCGATGGCTTCATCCCTTCACGGTATCCAAACATGATAAAACCTCGTCCTTGCATCGCGGCCATTAGCACGTCCCTCTCTCCTCCGAATCTCTTCGGATAAGGGAGACTAAACCCCTGAATCGGCCCTTTCTATCTTCGCCGGAAACGCCCATTCATAAAAATCAAATCTGTTCCCCTTTGGCTCCTGCTCAAAATACCAGATGCACTTCTCGGGTGTCATAATCTCATCAATCAAGCAAATCTGCTCTCTCCACTTCACCTTCTCCGGCTCCGTATGCACCACAAAGTACTGCCGGTAGTAGTGGCGCTGATCGAGCAACACGCCGCCGAAGTACTCGACCATCTTAAAGTTGGCTTCTTCTTGCGCGCGCTCGAGTGCCGGGTAGTAGAGGTGGTGCATAATGTCGCCCCGCTCGGAGATGATAGGGAAGTAGTCGTCGGGTCGGGGGTTGAAGGGGCCAGGGTCGTCTTGCTCGATGTAGCCGGTGCGCTGGAGGAGCTCGTAGAGTTTGAGGCGGCTGTTCAAAAGTAAGCGATTGCGTTTAACTTCGTTATTGTTCACACACCTCACGTGCAATGGATCACCAGCTGTGATTTCCGCTTCGTGCTGCATGAGATTGTCGTAGAGGCTCTGCATGAGCTCAGGACGCACAGCAAGGCGCCACAGCAGACACCCATCGTCGACGCGCTTTGCAGGATCGATAGGCCCCGCGACCTGTCTGCATTTTTCTATCTTGGCGAAGAACAGCTCGACGATCTTAAGAGCCTCCACCGGTTTCTTCTCGAAAACATCGTCCGTTAGGTAGATGAGACCGCCGTGCGGAAAAATCTCAATGCGGTCGTACCGATAAAAGGGCGGCCAAGTAGACACCTGTGGGTCGTATTCATACGCTTCTTGGACCCCTACGCACCAGAACCGGACCTTGGCTTTGAGTATGGAGCCGAAGTCTGGTATTTCTGAGTAGCCGTCGAACTCCGGATGAACCTGTAGGACTTAGTATATGTTCTCTCAAGAAGCTAATCGACATACGATGATCACACCCGACCCTCCACTGATCAGCTTGTGCTTGAAGGACTCCCAGGCGCCATTAAACCAGAGATTGTACACCTCCACATGATTCAGCAACAGCCAGCGTGTGATCAGCTCCAGTTCTTCCACGTGATCTTCGGGATGGAAGATGAGAAAAGCCCTCCGGTCGACAGGTGTATCCCCATTCTCGTCTCCGTTGTAGATGAACATTTCCTCAAAGTCCAGGTTACAAGCAGCTTGGATCTTGTGCTTCAAGTCGAGACACGAAAGTCGCGTGGTGACCAGTTCAGCTAGAGGCGGAGGGATAACTGCCGATGGCTGCACTGGTGGTGTGAAACTGCCGGAAACATCCCGTACAGGCTGCGAAGGCTCGCTGGATGAAGCAGCCCCTGGTACTGGCCGAGAACCTACGCCTACCGGGAATACGAGGCCCAGGTCGGGCTCTTGGTGCTCAACAGGGTACCGTCGGCCTGTCATTCATTCAGTACTTTAATTCACGGTCAAGGAATTTGTACTAAGAGCAGATCCCTACCTGGCTTAGGCTTATATCCTCTGGGTGGATCAGCGATGATACCCATATTACGATGTTGAAACTGGCACTCATCATCGGAGTGTTTACAGGTTCCCTCACTCCAGAAAAAGCAGGTCATCTCCTTCGGCTTAAGAAACAATCTTGATCTTGGACCTGTGGGGATTGAAAAGCGCGGTGCAGCCGTTACATGGACAGGCATTTCGCTACGATCAATCTGTTCGAAAGGGCGTTGGTCTGAGTTTCCGAGTACTCCAGTGTTGTAGTGCGCAAACTTGCAGACGTCTGCTGACTTTTGGCAGCCTTCTCGGGTCCGCAACCAGTACCAGCACGTCACTGGAGGATTCGCGTTCTTCGGGAGAGGGCGAAAATCCCCTACAGGTAGTTCTGAGGGGTCGATTGGTATGGGGAGCCGACCTTGAAGTTGCGCAAGTAACCCGGTATTCACATGAGCGAACATGCACTCGTCAGCGGACTGCCTACAGCCCTTATCACCTTTGAACCAGTAGTAACACGTCACCGGTGGTCGAGAGTACTTCGGAGGTACTTGTCCCTCCCAAGGCGCAAGCTTGTAAGGACGTCCTGAAGGGTCGTTGTCTCGGTGGAGGAAGCGACACTTCTCTGCTCCGAACCGACAAGTTCCGTTTCTCCATTCGAAACAAACGAGCGGAACCTTCGCCACCTCATAAGGCTGTAAGGCGGCCGTGCTTTTCGAAGACTCTTGAGGAGCATCGTCCATATCAATCTCTTGTAGCCGACGACGTCCGACTTCACGACGACTATACGGATTGTCGTTTGGCGTTGGCGCTTGAGGTCTAGCTTCCGTGATCTTCTCCAACGCATCCGGAGGACCGTTCACCCATTCCAAAGCAGTTGGGTCTGGAGTCCCTTCAACGCGTGAACGCTTATCCGCCACAGCCCGGTAGTGCAACGTTGTGTACTGCTTGTCGCTCTTTTGCCATGCCTTTCTAAGAGGGGCTTTCGGCTGGTTGACCATCCTAATTGGGCGGGGGCCTTTGCTCGCAGACGAGGTCCTCTTCATCGATGCATTCGGCCCAGTTGTGGTGTTCCGAGCCGCAGCGGTAGGACCAGCAACCTTTGGTGCAATTGAAACCGCTGCCGGTGCGGGAGCCACATTTAATGCACTAGCGGAATTGCTGCCTCTTCTCTGCGTCGCTGTAGTCTCACTTGGTCCTTTACCGCGCCTGACTTCCGCATCCGCCAAGTTTGATCCATTCTCGCTAGGCAGAGTCTTAGGGGCATTTGCGGAAGGTTTCGAAGCTCTTTCCTGCCGCGGATCTCTGCCGTCGTTCAGCTTCCGTAATGAATCAGTGGATATCTTTAGTTTCAGTATCTTCGACTTTTCGGTGCTTTTAGCTGGAGAAGCTCTTCTCGATCGTCTTCCCTCTTGCTGTTTCCCGATATGTTTCTGTTTCTTTTCGTTTGTTCGAAGCTCCTGCATAAGCGAGTCGTCGCTGGCAACAGAACTTTCTCCGGATGACTGTTCAATTGGAAGTTTTCGAGAGACGCGCTTCTCCTTGTCGCTTATGAACAGCGAGGTATCGTCTTCTGCTTGTCGAACCTGAGACGGGGTGGCAGCGGCACGCACTTGCTTGCCTCTGGTCTTTTGGTTCTTTAGGAGAGGAATGTCATCATCACTCTCGCTCTCGCTGACGACGGGCATGACTCTCCTCTTCCCTTTCAACTGAGTCGCCCTCCGCTTCTTGGCTCGTTTCTCTTTCCTCCGAGCCTTGTTAGCGCTGGCCACCCTCACAGCCTCTTCGCATCTAGCTATGTTGTGGTGGCAGTACTGCTCGAAGCTATCCTCGCTCGTTGCCTCCTTCTTGTATTCCCATTCGGGCATGAGCGTGGTCCCCTCAAGGTGCTCAATCGGTTCCCAAGTGCACCTTGGAATGTCAGTGCGGCGTTTGCCCAGTGCCTCTTTCTGCCTACCTGTGCATAGGGTAATTTAGCCACTTGATTAGATAGAGCGTTTTGTCGGTCCCGTCCTCCATCTCAAAAAGTTGCTCGGCCAAGACATGCTCCGCATCGTAGAGGTTGTCGTTGTCGCCGCTTGTACTCGAGACTGTCGACGCAGTCGCCACCGTGTCTGTGTCATAGTCTCTCTCAGACTCTTCGTCGTCCATGATGGCTGCGGTGGCAGCGGAGGCCACGCCGCACTGCAGACGTGGTCCTGATTGGCTGAAATGAGGGAATGGCCCTGTCCAGCGCTAGCGGTTGGTGATGCTGGAGTGCATGTCACGCAGCGCACGCTCAAGGCCCCGGCACAGAATTTGGACGGAGTTGCGCACAGTGCAGGCGTGAAAGCGCGGCCGACGTTTGCGAGTTTGCTTGAATGCAGGTGTCGCGGTTGCTGTTTGAAGCGGGCGGTGGCCGCGCTAGCTGGGTCACGTGAATGGAAGGACCGTCCGCCGCAGCATGCCCGAGCTCCTGCTTTATCCACCACGTCGAGGCAGCCAAATAGCCACACACACTCTCTCTCTCCGCTCACCACCGCGCTGCCATACGCCTGCTGCTCCTGCAGTTACCTTGCCCTTGCTAGACCCTCACCGCTGCCAGCCGCGCGCCAGACCCCCCACCGCTCTCGAGCTGCGCACCTCCCACTGCGCCCACCGCAACTATGGCGAACGACGAATATGATGTGAGTGCCCCGCCCGCGCACTTTCTCCGTCCTGTGCAGTTGCTAATCTCCGTTGTGCAGTTTCTCTTCAAGGGTATGCCTCCCGGCCCATTCTCTGCCCTCGTCGTGCTAATCCCGCGCAGTCGTCCTCATCGGAGACTCGGGCGTCGGTAAATCCAACCTGTTGAGCCGCTTCACTCGCAATGAGTTCAACCTCGACTCCAAATCGACCATCGGCGTCGAGTTCGCGACGCGCTCCATCCAGGTAGATGCCAAAACCATCAAGGCGCAGATCTGGGACACTGCTGGCCAGGAACGATACCGCGCCATCACCTCAGCGTACTATCGGGGCGCCGTCGGGGCACTACTCGTCTACGACATAAGCAAGCACCAGACATACGAGAACGTGACTCGGTGGCTGAAGGAGCTGCGGGATCACGCCGACTCGAACATCGTCATCATGCTCGTCGGCAACAAGAGCGATTTACGGCATCTGCGGGCGGTGCCTACGGAGGAGGCCAAGCAGTTTGCTAGTGCGTATTATGGCCCTTTATGTCTGTGCATCATACTAATAACCATTGTTCTTAGGCGAAAACAACCTGTCCTTCATTGAGACTTCGGCCTTGGATGCTAGCAACGTAGAGCTCGCCTTCCAGAACATCCTCACAGGTACGGCTCCCAGCGCAATCACGTCCCCGTCCATCGCTTTTCTATGCATCTATACGGTGGCGTAGGATTCTTGGTCGGGCCAGCTCTGGCCGGGGATCCCATACCTATGGCCCGCTGCCGTTTCCCACTGGCCTCACTGGAAACTATGACCCTTTTGCACGCTAGCCATGCCACGGGATCGTGCTAACAGCAAGGCAGAGATCTACCGCATCGTCTCCAGCAAGGCTCTCGACCAGGGAGAAGGCAGCCAGAACGTTCTCGGTGGCGAGCGCAAGGTCCTCGAAATAAGCAAGTCAGCCGACGCACAAGAGAAGAAGGGATGCTGCTAGACGGTTCTCTACCCATCCGTTTTCACGTTCTGTCGTGACCTGAGCCTATCGAGCTCAGCTAGCTACGGTTTCCGAGAGAAGCATAATGCACTGCCAGCTCCACAACGGATCACGTTTCATGTGTCATGCGATGTCGGCGTCTGCGAAGTTCTTGGAGAACATGTTCGGGATGTTTCCTCTCTCATTTCACGTCTGCTTCCTGTCTCTGCTTCGATGTGCAGATGGTTGGCCGGCTTAGGGGTTCCTTTTCCTCCGCTTCTCTTTGCTTTCTTTCTTTGCATGCGTGTGCGGGGATTCTTATTTGGCGGCCGTAATACTTCAGCTGCTGTATGACCAGATACAATGACAGCTTAGCTTTGACTATTACCATAGACTGTTCTGGGTATGCGGGTTTTGCAGGGGCTTCTCCTCTCTACTCCGTATAGTGTTGTGGTTTGATGGACACCGCTGATATTTGCTCTACAAAGGCTGAATAACTTCGCTTCACGTTCTACAACGCTATCGCTCGCTGGATTGCTCTCTGAAGGAGTTCAGGATACATTATCCTCACCGCCGTTAACAGACTCAAAAGGATCCCACAACGGGGGCTTTGCGGGGCCTAGCGACGTTTAAAGCCTCTTCTCCTTCCGTCCTTGGGCTGGCTATTCATCTTAAATGTTCGTAGTATGTATATCACCCTCTCAATTTCTCCGAACCGCAACCAGGTCCTTGTCGATCACCTTGAACGGGACCCGCCATCCGGCTCAAAACTTTCTCCATGCCTTGTCCCCACTGACCATATCATTCGCTATACTTCACACCTCCTCGCTATGCTCCACCCACGCCTCACTCGCATCGAGCCAAGCTGCGTCGCCGAACGTCCGCTCACACCATTTGAGAATCTTTTCCAGTTCCTTTCTTATTCTTTTCTCGATCGCGGCTTCTTCTTCCTCTTTCTTCTCGCTCTGGGGAGACTGAGTGCGGAAGCGCTCGACGTCGCCTATCAATCTAGCCATCTCCTCGCCAGGGTCTTCTGTTTCTCCGCCGTAGACATAGTCGATCAGACTCCTTTCTATCCCCTCTGCGCCCCTCATTCCCTCCCTCGCTTCATGCCCCAGCTCCCTCTCGCCACGATGCTTCGGCTTCAGATACCTTAACAAAGCCACATTAGGTTCACTAAAATAGCTTCTATTAGGAACATCACAATTTCAACAGCACTACCTTACTTAGCTATTATTTCTGCTAAAGTGTACCGATATTATCGTCCTACTTGAACACCACTGGACCTCACACTCTATCATTACATCAAAGTATTGAAATTGGAAATCCAGACGCCAGGGCATTTCCCAGTAAAGCTCTATTGATTTCCGAAGCTAGGACCTGTAGAAGTCGTAGTGTCAGTCGTGGAAGTACGGCAAAAGCCCAAAGAAAACCTTGGAAGCCACGTACACTTACTACTCCTGACAAGGTAGCTGTAGCTGTAACTTCCTGGTTTATTTGCTTGCGATTGGAGTTTCAAGTCCGAAGGTGTGGCAAGCCGGGTATCGAGTTGGTGAGCCTTCGTATCGGTAAGGCAGCAATGAGATCTCAGGCACAAGCACGCGATAGTCACTGTTGCATCTCCGTTTCGCATGGGGCAGTCAGTTGCTCGCTGCGGGCTCTCTACCTCAGGCTCTTCCAAGATGGTCTATTATATGAATGGGGTGGGCGTGGTTCTAAGACTGTCTACCGCATAGCCGGATGTACATACCAGAGCATGCACTGTGCAACTATGCGTCGAGCCTAATGCGATTCTCAACAATCACCCTCGCTTCCCAGTACTTTTGTATTCTGGATACATCTAATCTATCCTGTTTCGTTTCGACTTTCAATTTTCAGTTCGGGGATCCCTTGGAAACGTGAATTTGACCCGTCACGTGCATCTGGCGCGACGCCACATGCCCCAGCATTGGGTCGATATCTAGTGCAGGAATTCAAGGTGAGGTTACCACAAGGTTACGTTCGACCTGAGGTTGCTCTGGTTGTGCCGCCATGCTGCTGCATGTGGATGTGGTTGGCTGAGCGCCCTGTTTCAACATTATTGCGGCGCGGGACATGCGCAGGCACAGTCTCGTTGCCTAGAGCGGCACAGAACATTTGCGCTCCTCTAGTGGGGGAGTTCCTTTCTGTCCTTATCGTTCGCCACCATTTGTTTCTGTTTATCTTTCGCGAGCGTTCAACCTTGACTTGTGAATCCTTTCCGTCACCCACACTATATACGCCGTTCTTTCCGTCAGATTCAAACCATTTCAACTATACACCTGAAAACAGAAAGTGCGAATCCCCAAAAGGAAACGCCACCGCAGAGCTTCTTAGCCAGGTTCACTCCTCACCTAGTGCTTCCCATCGCTCACCTCCCGCACCCTGTCCCATAAATCGAAATGCCAAACAATAACCTCACCACCAACTCTACATGCACCGTAGAGGACCAACCGTACATCTACCCGGAGACGACGTCACCCTTCTGCGTCGTCGTCAACGCCGGCAACCAATCCGCAATTCTAGAATCCTGCTGCGAGGGCGCGCCGGTCTCCGTCTACGACGACATGCAGCTCGCAAAGCCTGCGTGCTTCGTGTACTGCAATGTCTCGAGTAGCGCGTGGAATGGGAGCGTGTGGGATTGCTTGGGTGAGAAGGGCATCGGTCGGGTTGCTTGTGGAGCGGGTAAGAAGTCGAGCGCCGCGACGAGGATAGCGGGTGAGGTGGGAGGGAAGGGGCGGAGGACTGCGGTGTGGCTGCTAGGATACTTGATGGTGAGCTGGGTGTTCATGTGTTGAGATGGTTTGGCAATTTTTTAGGGCGTTTCTTTGGAAACCTTGATATCGAGAACGACGTGCGCGATGACTGGACGGGATGGTCGAAATTCGAACAGCTGGTGTTATTCTTTTCCGATGAGATAGGCTGTTTGAGAGGCGCTTAGCTCTAAGGGTTGTATAATCGTCTACAGCGACGGTGGATTAAACTAAATGAATCCTTTGGACGGGAACACCGCGAGTTCGGAGCGCATCTGGGGCCAACCTCGGGTCTTCCCATCTCTCCGCGCTCGTGCTCCGATTTATGAAGTATCTCATCTCGGAAGTGCCAGGGTCGTATGCCTTTTTGAACTCCCAATCATCGGGCAGTGCGCCGAGACGAGGGTCGTCATAGACCACTGTGCCGGTCTGAGTATCTGTGAATACTTGAACAGCATCACCCATCCAGTCCACTAGATGATGAATTCGCCAGCCAAGGGGCAATGGGCCGAGTAAGGCTTCAGTGTCCATGAGGCCGTGCACATAGGCTGACCCAACTACTTGATATACACCATTTTCTCGAGTTGACGGCCGTAGTATGATTGGGTAATCAAACCCGAGGAGAACAAAAACTGTGTCACCTGGTGAATGAGGCGGGTCAGCGGGTCTAGGGTCGGTGGGTGCGGGAGGAGAAGCGAAACTCACCTGCTCTGGTCGACGGCGGGCAAATGCCGTAGTGTCCTTCGTCAGACCAGAAGAAAGATCGGCCCCTGACACAATTCGACACTAATGGCCTCGATTCTTCTGAATGGAAGAATGCCAAACATTCGTCGAGACTGGAATGAGCACTTTTTGGCCAAATGTCCTTGGTCTCTCCGCACTGTAAAGTCGCCATGAAAGCTTTATCTCGCTCCTCGCCAGTGACGTACTTCCCGGGACTTCTTACAGCTTGCTCCCATAGCTGCAACACTGGATTGACGTCGCCCTCCGCTGGCGCTAGCGTACCTACATCCTGCACTAAGGGTGAGGTGACACATTAGCTATAAGTCCGGAGTATAGGACCAAGAGTAGAGAGAAGTAGAATAAGGTTAACATTTTAAGGTATCACAGGTGCGTCGTTTCCCCAATAAGGGTGATGACTCCAGGAGTAGCCCTAGGCGCCTCCGGGAAATCCCATCGTGAGAGGGTTCGGCAAGCAAAGTGTAACTGGGACAACCAAAGCATATCAAAATTAGCTTTACTTACCCATGCCACACAAGACTCCAAATACCGCTAGCTGACGGCCATCGAGGCAAGCGACGAGGTCACAACCACTGGAGCCTGACGCGAAGGTCGGACCGAGCCGCTCCTTGGAGCATCTTAGCCAATTGGGAATCCACGACGGGCAATTCATCTCCTCATGTTCCCGTTCTTCCTCAAAACGCTCACAGAAACTCAGAAACGACAAATCGGCGTAGTGGTCAATGATTGCCTGGCATACATTCTTGAAAACATCCACGACGGGCAGAGAGTAATCGATATTGATGAGGGCCACCAAGCCAGGGTCGAGAAGTCCGATGAGTGCGAAAATACGGTCGTGGTCCACAGAATATTGCGCCTCCTGCGTACACCATAGAAGATAGGACACGAGGTATGATTCTTCCACAACAGCGAGGCCTCGGCGTTGGGATAGGAGGGAATCAGGTAGAATGCTTCCAAATTCGACTTCGCCTCTCGTACACAGGTTCGCTAGGGCGCGACGGAGACTGTACCAAGGTATCGCGTGTGACCCACATTGGACGATGGACTGATAACTGGCCATATAGATTTCTTGCCTGAAGGCGGCGCGAATATGAGCGTAAGGTTGAAACAATAGGGAGTGGAACAAGGACGAGGAGATAGGGGCCCAAGACGAGAGCTCGTCCCGGCTGCAAGTCTCGACGCTACTAGATGGCCCCATTGAGCCATTCGAGATCACTCCAGGCATCTGCAAGCATAACCAGGAATGGTTCTAAAAAGAGCTGTAGAACGCCTAGTAGCTTTCATCGAGTCTAGTCCAGGACGGCTCTGAGATCTGAACCCCAAGATTACTTACCAGATCCATAATCTATCCCACCAGGGTCGCTCGAGGAGGTGCCGTATGGCCCTATAGTCTTGTTGGGAGTATGACAACGCCACCTCATAATCCCATGAGTCGTTTGCTGCAGTTGGTGACCTCAAGAGATAATTATCTCGAGTGTACTCTGTCTGATCTCCTATATTACGGAGAACGTCGAGAGCCTTCTCGCTGGAGCCATCAGGCGATGCGGGTCCAAGCCCTAGGTGGCGGCACAATTAGCAAATGTTCAGTATTCGTACCGCGTGTTTGGCTTACAAACCACGACTCTATGAGCGAGCCTGAAGATCTTGTCCATTCTCTTGACTTCAGTATTCCGTTCATCTATATCTTCTTGGTTGATACAAAGGGCGTCAACCCACAGTGTTCGAACTGCGCTTGTCTGACGGAGGTGTCTTAACGCCAAGTGAAGATTAGGCCGCAGATACAAAACATCTATGCGGCAGGAAGGGGACACAATAGTCGCTTGTTCCGTTGCTCGCTCGGAGCCCCAAGTATACGACACTATTGAAGGTCCATGATTAGCAATTTCTTAAGAACCGTGCCCATGTCCCTTGTACGTAGGTGGTGACTTTTACGTATAATTAGCGGCAAGACCATTTATGCTGGCCCTTAACAACCCCAGCACAGACCTTCTTTCTTTGAAATTCGCGTCACACTAAGTAACGGTCACTTATTCTCCTTGGACCGAACCTGCAAGCACCTCGTCCGCCTCAGCAGAGCCTGCACTGTACAGAATGTGGCATTTGTCAGATTACTGAGATCTTGCTTACTGCACACAATCAGTAAGATTTCTATGCTTTCATCTAGCTACCATGCTGTACCGGGCTTCATATACGGGCTCAAACCCTGGATACGGGTCCAAGACGGCGTTGGCCTGGTACCAGCTTTCTTCGACAGTCGGGTCGGGGTGTGTCCACTGCGCAGTCTCGACATAGCCTCTATCGAAGATATACAGGCCCTCAATTGTCTGGGAGACTGCCCATCCTTCAGGCAGAGTGCCGCGAATTTTGCCCAGGCTGAGCCTGGTATCTGGCGCTGGCTCCGGCTCGACGAGCGGCACATGGAAGATTTCGAGCTGCAAGGGATCATCGAATTCTCCTGGCAATAGTTTGAGCAGTCTGATTTCCCGGGCCTCTCGATCTAGCGGCTGGTATTCGTACGCCTTCCGCGCTTGAACGTTATCCGTTGTCGACGGCGGTGCCGGCTCGTTGTAAGGCTGAGATCGATGAACTCTCTTGTTGGCCCTGCTCAGCTTCGAGCGTAGGGAATAAGACCTGGGCATGGTGGAGACCAGGTCAAAGGCGCAAGCGCAACAAAAACGGAGAAAAAGAGTGGCGTTCCAAGGTTTGCAAGAACAAATATGGTCTGAGGGTGGGAAAGAGAAGGGACGAACAAGAAGGAGGCTGAGGATGCTGGCCAAGAGATGAGGCGGAGTCGCAGCGGCCAACAACCAGTGAGGAAAGGCCCAATCATCGGCAGTGACGAAACTACAAAACGAAACAAACCTCAATCGCGCATTGGGCGACACTTTCTCTCGGCGAGCTTTGGTTGCGGGTGCCGTTGTCAGGGGCCTTGGAGGTCATGAGGTGCGACATTCCGGATAGAACAAATTAGCATATCAACGTCACAGGGCTGAGGAGGAGTATAATTGCTGGAAGTATTTTGTCCTACTCCAGGGATCTAGTAATACCACTCATCAACACTGAAATCTAACCAAACACCATGCCAAGCCCAAAGGAACATCAACTTATGCCATGCGCAATGCATCAGATATCGTCAAGGTCATCATCATCGCTCTTCTTCTTCCCATCGCCATTCAGCCTATCCATCTTGACATCTTCATGCTGTCGTCTCCGGCTTCCCTGCTGCCCCGACATAGCCATGGCCTGTCGTCCGGTGTCCGACGATTCAAGGAACTCGCGGAGACGCTCTTTGCCGACTTCGAGGGCCTGTTGCGATGCGGCGTTGGCCATACGGGCCATGGGGCCCCAAAGGTTGAGTGTGTAGGTTATGTAAGCGCCGACACCAAGGAGGATGAGGAAGATGAAGTAGACAGGGTTTCGGAGGACTGATGGAAGTTAGCAGCCATAATAGTGGGATTAGATGGGGGTGGGTGATGCTAACCAGCAACAATCTCGTTCCAACCAAGGGCAAGGAGCAAACCGTAGAAATACAAGGGCACCTGCGTCATACCCCCAATCGCACTACGTTTGGCCTCAACGTAAACACCGTCGGCGGTCTTCTTGAACCGTACGAGCAAATCGGCTTGTTTTGCATCGCTGAGGATGGTCATCTCTTCCTCGAGGCTCTTGCCCTCGTCTTCGTCAACGCCACCAATAGGCACGAGATCGTCCTCGTCCGCCGAAGATACAGAAGCTGGTGGATCCCCAATCCAAGCGTCAAGTGGGGGCGGTGCGGAGGTCTTCGATAGCTTGAAGCGAGATAGCAGGGGGATGAGAGTGATGGTCGACTCGCGCGCTTTGGTGTACATACCCTCAATATCGTCGGTAGGCCTCCATATCCTAGGAACACCGTGCTCGTCGTATCGGAATTTGTCTTCGAAGTTCTCTCGCAGCTTCAACAGGATATTGCCCTCCATCACCTCTTCGTCAATCTTTGCCCGGAGCACGCCCCAGGACTTGCGTCGTAGCCTCCACAGCCCGACTTCAACTTCCTCAGGGCTAGCATCGAAACTCCGCGCTCGGTCTGTGAATCGCTTCTCAGCGTCCTCCACGGTCTCGGTAAAGATAGCCCAGACACGGTCCCAGAGGTCCTTCTCCGACGGCGGCCGTTCGCCATGCTCAGGAGCACCAGTACCACCTCGTCCGGTACCAATCTTGTTGAACTCTAGACCTATTGACTCGTCCAAGCGTGATCGTACCCAGCGTTCCACCCGAGTAGCGAGGCGACGCATCTCGTCCTTGCGCAAACGCCCTGATACCTCGTCCAATTCTTTCTGGTATAAGTTCATCTCCTGCTTGTACGAACTCCAGGGCGCACCCTCCACCATGATCGCCTGAGCATCCGATTCAAACTTGGACAACGCTTTCTTCTTCTCGCTCTCCACGATCTGCGCGAAATCGTACGTGGCACCCTTCTTCTGCCCGCTCTTAACGGCGGCGCTGACGGAGTTGCTGAATGTCTCCACGCCAGATTTGTGAGCCGCGCTGAGCTGCTTCTGGAAGAGCGCTTTGAGGCGGGTATCGACCTTGCTCTCGAGCTCTGCCTTCTTCCGGGTATACACGCCTTTGTGGTATCGGCTGGCATTTGTCTCGAAATCCTTCAACACCTTTGATCTGGCGGAATTCATTGCCGCACCGAGATCCGGGATTACCGACGGCTTCCCTGCCCGGGCGTCCTCGGCCTGCTTGTCTTCTAGCGGAGTAATCTTCTCGTCGAAAGCAACTAAGACTTCTCGTGAGATTTCGTCGCATCGGAACTGTGCTAGCAGCTCTTGCTGTGTCGGTAGATCCAAGTCCTTGTTGTTGACAATCTGATCCCACACGCCCTCGGCGTACACCGCGAAGCCGTCAGCGGGGATCCTTCGGTGGTATTGCGGCAGGAAAACCGGGAGCGAGGACTCGTCAAGCAAGCCGCTCTTCTTGGGGTCATTGTATCCTTCCCTGAACCGTGTGCTCAGCCTCTCAACTTCCGCCTCGAATTTCTCAGGTTGTAGGATCTTATGGGGGAGCGCGACGAAGGCGAAGTCGAAATAGTCTTCTATCCGCGAGTTATCGAGCCCATTGGGTTTCGATATCGTCGACCATAGCTTAGCTAGGTCTTGTAGCAGGGTGTTCTGGAGGTTGCTGAGAGGAGTAGTTCCAAGGTGGTCGCGGATTACGAAGAATAGGAGGGAGCGGGGAATAGTCCTAGGTAGCTGTTAGCGGACCTAAGACAAGGCACAAAGCGTACGTACTTGCTGTCCTTGATGAAGAGCTGCAGGTTGACCTCAAACACCGTCTTAAGGAGGCCCATGTTGGCGCCCTGGTACAGCCCAACCTGGTGCTCCCAGATGTTCACAATCAGGACCTCGCTGGTCGCCAGCGCGAACAGGGCGCTCTTCCGCTCAAAATCCTGGTCCTCTCCGCGCTCGCGGCCGTCCGTGCCCTCAACGTCCATGACCAGGATATTCTCCGCCATGCTCCTGCTGGCGTCGTCCCGCTTGTTCTTGCTCATCCAGATTCCCTTGGTCGTCTGACGGCGATCTTGCTCGGACATGACACCAAACTGGGTGCCAAAGAGGTAGTTGAGGAGGGTCGATTTCCCTGTGGACTGCGAACCGAAGACGGAAATGAGGTGGTAGTTGAAGCCCGCGGGGATGATCTTCTCGATGTTGAGGTACGCGGAGAGGTTGTTACTGCATGGCGCCGTAGGTTAGCAAGGGACGCGTAGAAAATAGGCGGAATACGCACTTGAACACCTTGTCCTCGTCAATAACCTGAATGCCATGCTCGTAGGCCTCCTTGGAGGCATCCTCGCCCACGGAGGCGAAATGCGCGTTCATCATCAGGGACGGCGCGGAGGGATGCTTGACGTTGCTCGGCCGGCCATTGCCGTTGACTTTGAGGGAGTCGGCCATGTTGGCGATACCAACGAGAACGCAGCTCAAGTCAAAAGAATAATTGGGTGTAGGTGAAAGGTGTCCGCCGTTGATGTCAGGCGTTGAGCGGCGCGGGCGTTCATTCGTCCTCGGGCTCGCTTAGCTGCCCGTAGTGGTGACTGCAGTCCCACGGGTGCTCATGACGGACTCGACGCATCACGTTCGCTTCTTTCTATGTCTGCGTGATCGGGCATTCACGACCCCTGCGCCGGAACGAGGGTATTCTCAGCAGCCATCTTCGAAGTACGCCCCGAGGCTTGCACGGGGCGTCGCCGCAAGGTCACGCCCGACTCGGAGTCTTGGCATCAAATTCCGTGTTGGGGACCCCTGCCGCCGCTTGTAGTGCTGTTAGGCAGATGAATAAGATGTCCTTGCGACCTAAAACTTAACCAATATGTATTTGTATTGGAGTAGAAGAGTTGGCGCCTTTGGCTCTGGCATTGCTAGATTTCACCGCCAACACCACACCCGCATGCTCATCATGAAATCCAACCCCCTCCCAGCCTGATACACCACCCGGGATTAAAACGCCTATCCATGCCTCTAAGCTTGTAAAGTCTCTATACCGCCCGGTCATCAGATAAATGCATATAGATATACAACATGTCGCAGGCAGGACGCCCACCCAATCGAAAACAGAATCATACTACCCGTAAGTCACACTAACGCCTCCGGCCCTCCCATTCATTCCATTAGGCCGCCATGTCTCTTCCTGCTTCGTTCCGGGAGGCAACCAGCTCGGCTGGTTTGACCCACCGCCCGGCCGACCGGGCCCCGTGTCATCATTCCTCTTCTCATCCCTTGTTTCTATGGGTGCATTTGACATTGGGTACGCTCCAGTGCCGGCGGACATCGTTGCTGGGCTCGCGGTAAATGCTGGACGGGGTAGCTTGTCCGTCGTAAGTGGTAATAGCGGACCTTGGGCTTTCGCTTGTAGGGCCCGTGCCTGCTTATCTTTCTTCGCAGCATCGGATGTCCTATCATAGAGGTAGAGACCGAGGAAAGTGAGAAAGAAGCCGCAGAGCTGCAGTTTGGTCATAGGCTTCCCGAACCAGGTGATTGCAAATACGATGACAAAGACGCGTTTGATAAGGCTGGCGACGGAGTAGGTGACCGGAGATACCATGGACAGTAGGATGAAGGCCACAATGTTCTGACCGAAATGAAAAGTGCCGTTGAAAAGGAACTCGAGGACTAGGCGTCCATGGTCGTAGGAACCGGGGCGCTCTGAGAGCTCGATTGAGGCGTCATGGAGGAAGTCGCCTAGAAGCGTGAAGCCTTCAGACCAGAGCCATAGCGGGAACGTGAATAGGAAGGCAAGGCCGGAGGAATAGCATAGCAGGTTGAGCTTGTCCGGCTTGGTAAATCGTGTTGGAGGAAGGCCGTCCTTTTCAGCAGCAGCGGCTTCATTGAAGATCTTCTTGGAGACGATGTTTTGCGTTACAAAGAGGATGGCGCTTGCGAATGCCATCACCAGGCCCATAAAGTTGGCATTGAAGTCCGCCGAGCAAGCCATTACCACTCCCAGGGTAAGAGGTATGAGTGAGAGGTAGGTTGGAATCGAATATCGAATCTGGAAGAATACTCTGTATGCAAACACTGTTAGAAGGGGCGACAACCCCTTTATGGTGTGGACCAACGACACAGGTATGCGTCTCGTAGCGTCTGAGCTCAAGATATGTCCTCCGACCTGAAATAGCGCTAGGGGTAGCGTGGTCATCACAAGTTCTTTAGTCGGCGGGCGGATTCCATATTTCAGAAAGGGCATGGTCTGCTTCAAACGCGGATATTTCCTGGCCATGGCGGCAAGGAAGAGGCACCATCCGGAGACAAAAGCGAATTGTACGACTGTGAGTGTGACGGGCTTCGGGAGAGCGGTGAGGATGGCCTTCGACGAGGTGTTGGAGAAGATGGACGTCATGTACCAAATGCCGCAGAGCATCTGCGCCTGTTAGCAACCTACAACCTGGAGTCCAATTGATCGCTTACAATGAGAGTTGGGGACACCGGCGCCTTAAGTGCGTCCGCAATCTCATGCGCACTCTGGCTAACGCTCGCTTTCCGCGTCCGTATCGTCCTGAGTGCCTCGCTTAGACTCTTTTGCCTGCCATGTCGGGAGGCAGAAGCATGCGCTGAGCCATTCATATACCCATGCCTCTGCTCCCTGCGCGGCTGCCATCGATCGGAGGGGAGCGCGCTGCCAACCGTTTGCGCGATGCGATTCGGGCTAGGGGTGCGCGAGGAGCTGATGCCGAAGGGCTCCTCTTCATGCGTGGGGAGGAGATCGGGCTGGAACGGCGGGAATTTGAACGTCGCGTGCGGGTTATCGTCAGGCGATACCGAACCCATCGCGGCCCTGGGGAGGAAGTCGTGGTTTCGCAGAACCGTTCGTTAAGCCATGGGAGCGGAGATGATGTGATGTTGCTTGAGCGGCCTGAATCAGGAAGTCCTCCGTGGGGATACAATGTTACACGTCCAGGGCGGGAGCTGCACTCACAACTGGGCCAGCGTCGATGGTGGACTTTTGAAGAAGAAGAGCAATAAGTCTGATGTTGAAGACTTGCAATTAGCTGGACCGTTGGTGACATCGCCTCGCATCCAAATGCGGTCCTGATCGCTGTTTTTAGAATCCGGGCAGGGGTATTCACTGCCAAGACATTTGACTAAGCGGGTGTTGCAGTGCTTGATCCAACCACAACCCACCCCACGTGCGTCACGCGTCGATGGCTGCAACCACATGCCGCGCTGCCATAGCTGCATGCACCATGGCCATTGGCCTCCTCTGCGCGTCGCTGGTGTTGTGCCTTTTGGTGTGCTTCTGCGATGCCGCTCAACGTGAACGCGTAATAGTCCCCGCAGTCGATCGACGGGATAACCCACCACTCTCGTTGAGCAGCTCATGGCAGGTCCTCGGCCCGTTTCAGATAGGAACAAGAGGTATGCTACAGTTATTCGAGGTTCGGGTTCCATGCTAACAGCCTTGCAGAATCCACCTGGGGCGCAGACCCGCTTGAATATATTGGAGGATTCCGAAAACTCCAATATGACCCAGACGCACGATTCCGGAGCTCTCTACCCACCAACGGGACCGCCAAGTGGAATATCACAGAAGCGACGCAGGTCTCTACTTCTCCAACGTCCGCCAATGCTTCCCTGAGCATCAGTTACTCCAATGTCGACTGGGACTTTCTTAAGGTGGTCTACGGCTGGGCTGCCGTTCAGTATCAGGCCTGGGCGCGGGGAGAGCTCACCGTGCACGGCAATGGAACACAGCATGTCATTCTTTACACGGATGCGATCCTAGAGTACTGGGTTGATGGCATTCATTACTTTGGAGGTGATTTCTACACCTACCGCAAGGCACCGCCAGTGCTCTACGTTTCACCAGGAAGGCACAATATTGATGTCCGTCTGGTGCGAGACGTTAGAGCCTTTGGAGGCATTCTCGTCCCCACCATCGACGTCCTGCTGCACGTTCAACTAACTTCTGGGATCCTCGAATTGGCAAAGCCGGGAATCCTAATGTCGGATGTGGTTGATGGCAGATTGGCATCTTCCGTGGGCTCTGTGGTCCTTCGCAATGGCGGCGAGGTTGATATCGAGATCGTGGATATCCAATCCTCACACGTGAGGCCTCCTATTTCCTTGCAGGAGCTGGAGTCTCAGATGGTTCTCGCGCAGGATTCGCGGGTATTGACTGCTGGCCAGGCAAAGCGCACTTCTACCCCTAATAATGCTTCTGGTATTGTATTAGTCGCTGGTCAGACGAGGCCAGTGGCATTCGATATTTCGCTGCCTACATATAATGTCTCATCGGTTAAATATGTCATTACTTACAGGACAGTCGAAAGCAATCAGCTTGGGACTTTGAAAATTTCTCAGAACCTTACCAGAACGTCTGTTTACACATCTCATAAGATCACGTATCTCCACCCGGGGGGTATGGTCTCCTACGCCATGCTTCGACCTCCTGCCAAGAATGCGAGCTGCACTCCGGGACAACGCGCCAGCTTACCCGTTCTCCTCCAATTACATGGCGCTGGCCTGGAAGCAGACAACGGAATGGTGGCTCATGCTCTCGACCCAGTTCCGGATCTCTGTGCTTGGGTCATATTTCCTACTGGGGTAACACCATGGTCAGGAGACGACTGGCGTGGGTTCTCTTACTGTCTGGTTCTTCCATCATAAGCTGATATATTTGTAGACAACTGGGGCTTCGCCGATGTCGAAGCTGCCGTGAACAGCATTCCAAGCTGGATCAAGTACGTCGGATGGACAGGTCCTGACGTAGACATTAACAGATGGATTGTCTCTGGACATTCCAACGGCGGGCAAGGCACATGGTATGCGCTGACGCACCGGCCCGACAAGATACTCGCTGCGGCCCCTGCATCCGGCTATGCATCAATTCAAAGTAAGCCTTCTGAAAGTACATGTGCGCGGATCCACTGAAATTCCGCAGAATACGTTCCATACGAACTCTGGCAATCTGCAGACCCCAGACGCACGGCCGTAATCAGCGCCTCCCTGAACAGCTACCGCCACGAGATGCTCATGTCCAACGCCGGCGGTATTCCCATCCAGCAACAACACGGTCAATTGGATGATAACGTCCCCGCGTATAATTCGCGGCTCCTAGCCCAACAGCTCTTCCTTTCCGGCGCAAATTCTAGCTATAACGAGGTCCCAGGCCAAAATCACTGGTGGGAAACCGTCATGACAACTCCGCAATTGGTCAGCTTTTACTATACCCAAACAAAGGGTGACGAGATCCTTCCGAGGAGTCTTGATGAATTCGAGATTGTCATAGGCGATCCAGGGGATATGGGTAGCAAAGGCGGGATCAAGGTGCTGCTCCTGGAGGATCCGGGCCAGTATGGCAGGGTTCATGTCGACGGACATATTACTACGTCCAACGTATTGAGCTTGGAGTTCGAGCTGACTGTATTCAAAAGCCAAGCAGTGACAATTGACAATGATATCGTGGGTTTGGGTGAAGCCTCGGGGAAGAGGGGTGCTGGCACCGTTACCATCTCAAGACAGAACGGGGTTTGGCGACCTGGCCTACTTGACGAATCCAACAGCATCCTGTATCGGCGTGGCAGGCAGTTAGGATCTAATACCGCAATCCTGCGCACCCAGGGCGCTTTCATCATCCGGCATCAAGGCTTGAATACGACTTCACATATCGCGCTACAGGTTTCGCGCAACCTGCATCAATATTTCCAAGCCGACACCGAGGTCATTCCCTCCATCTCCCAAAACGGTACCGGCATAGGAACTGGCAATGTCATCACCATCGCCCTCAGCAATCATCTCCCTTCCAGCCTCCACCCGGACTTTCCCATCCAGCCCAACTCCTCTGGTGTTGTTGTCCGCGATAGCAGGGGCAGGCAGCGACAGTACAGCAGCGACGATACCTCACTCGGAGCAACTTTCCTGCAACCGCTTGAAGAAGAGAGACTGGAGCTTGTTCTCTGGGGTTCTGATGCTGAGGGCTTGGCTCAGGCGGCGAGGCTGGTGCCGATGCTTACGGGTGTTGGGCAGCCGGATTTTGTCGTCCTGGGTGAGAGCGCGAAGTGGAAGGGGGTTGATGGGGCGTTGGCTATGGGGTTCTTCGATCATAAGTGGGAGATCACGCCGTCTTCGGTAGTGTCGTGAGGGTATTAGCTGACTGGCGACGTCGACGCGCTTGAGTCTCAATGAGACCAAGCAGAATTTAACTACTACCAGTTGCGGCACCCGACGGCTCTTGAAGACTGATACTACAGTATTGATATGGCTATTTGACCGCATCTTGCTCCTCTTGATAGCCAATGCTCACACTTGGAGCGGCTTGTTCTCCTCAGTTTCTTTTCATGTGCGCCGAGAGTTAAGCGCTTCCTTCCACTGCACTAATATCCCTTCTTCGATTAAGCACTGCGGAGTACACTATTACCACTACCACTATTTAATCTTGGATTACCCGCTATTGTAGTCTCCTTCGCTTCTCCGGGCTAGCACGCGTGTTACCTTTCGGCCACTACGAGAGTAGAGGTTGACTATGCCTGCTCGAGCAGAGCGGCTCGACCTGACCTGGGACTAGGCTTTGGGGAATTCCGGAGACAAGATCATTCAAGACTTGAGTCTCTTGCGGTGAATCCGGGTGGACACTGACAATGGGATGGGTCAGTCTGAAGGGCCTTCAGCACACGATCGACTACCCGACCTCTAAACCCGCAAATACGTCCTAGAGAAGCTTCAAGAGTCTTTACGTCAAACATAATTCGCGCACACTCGTCTTCACCAAAACCAGTTCACATTGCCGTCGTAGTAGTCGCGGCCACCTCTACTGCCAACTGCTGCCGCTCCGCACCACCCACGCACCGCCGCTTACTAGCCCAGCCAGACGGCCCCCGAAGGGTGAGGCAGACTCAGAACGATCCGCGTTGCCTGCGCGGCCTCGACGCGTCTTTCGAGGTGAAGTCGACGTCTCGCGTTTGCCGACGTCACGGCTCGCGTCGGACGCGCCTGCCTCATCTATTGTTTATAAACTCCTCCACCTTAACTCCCGCCTTCTTTCCTCCACCTCGTCTTCTTTCCGTACTAACGCCCGTTCAATTCGTTACTGCAAGCTGTTTCTAACTGCGCCCTTGCCGTGAGGCCCCCGGAGCAAGTGCTCTGAGACGTTATATACCTGCCATCTGTTCTGTTTCTCTTACATCCACCGGTTTCTGCATCTACTTTGGCCATTTACGCCACCAAACCGGGTCAAGCTGCCGCAAGCTTGCATATTATCTCGATATCTGCCCAATCAGTTCACGGAGTCGGATTTCTTCCATCTCTTCCATCTACCTGCTCATTGGGCGGCATCCAAAATGAGCTTCAATATCACAGCCGACGGATCACCTACCCCACGCAAGGCCCGCTTCCTGGCCGACGACCTCAGGATCGATACCTCGCCGGAGGTACTTGGGATGGCTGCGGCGGTAGGCTCTCGCTACCAGCAGTTCCCACTCTATCGACCCGACCCATCATTGACCTTCAACATGCAGGGTATGAAGCGGCCGCTTGGCTCTTCTGCTCTCAATCAGCCATTGCTGCCACCGCAGCAGAACCACTTCGAGTTCAAGGTCAGTCAGGTGCTCACAACCTTTTGAAAGTCTTCAGGATGGGCATTCCCCTCACTATATCAGACCAGCTGATGGATCTAGAAGGTTAAGGTCGAGGCCGGCAGTCACGATGAGCCATCTGTCGTTGACTCTCTCTTGCAGCGCCTCAGTGAGCAGCGTTCCTCTCCCCACGACCAATACGGTTCCTCCAACGGCTCCATCCCGATCACTCCAGCCACTGAAGATTTCGCTGCCGTCACACCTACCACGGAGCCAGACGCCGTCGTCGTGGACGTTGCTGAGCTCCACAAGCTCAAGACAGAGCTGCAGGAGGCCCGCAATGAGGTCGCTCGCATGAACCAGGAGCTCCACAGCACTCACGTCGCCAAGTCTACCGTCGAGCACCTCGGCCAACCGTCTGAGGCGGACTATGGTTACAACGATGACGTGACAGAGCAGACCATCACACAGTTGCAGAACAAGTTCAACGCATCTACTCGCACCGGCTATGCTTGGGGCAATGAGACGCGTTCCTTCTACGGCGATTCTCAACAATCCCTTGGAGGCCTCCAGGCTCACGCACGTCCAGCCCTTGCTCAAGCCGGTTACCGCGGCCGGAACAGCTTCCTCAATGAGCCGACGCATTTCCCATTGGATCAAGCCTATCGCAGCAACCTCCCAAGCCGCCCAGCATCGGCGTTCGAGCCTGCGTACAACGTCAACCAGTACATGAGTCCACCCATGTATACGCCCTACCAGCCTACTCCGATCGGGCCAATAGGCAATAGGCTCTCCCCAGAGGCCTCTGAGTTCAGCGTGGCTCCCTCCATGGCCTCCATGGGCCCGTCACCATGGAACTCCCAGGTAAGATCCCATCTCATCTTCACCCTCTGAAGATGTCTAGACTGACCTGTACAGCCTCCGAGCGAGTCCGGTGCTGTCCGCTACGTCGGACCCGTCGAGCCCATGAACTACCGCCGCTTGCTCGATCGCAACATGAGCTGCAATTGGAAGTACATCGTTGATAAGATTATCTGCAACAATGACCAACAGGCGTCTATCTTTCTGCAGCAGAAGCTCAAGGTCGGCACGCCCGAACAGAAATACGAGATCGTCGAGGCGATCATTGCCCAAGCCTACCCGTTGATGATCAACCGTTTCGGCAACTTTCTGGTTCAGCGTTGTTTCGAGCATGGTACACCAGAGCAAGTTATCGCGATTGCGGGCGCTATACGCGGAAATACGCTCACGCTGAGCATGGATCCGTTCGGCTGCCACGTCGTGCAGAAGGCCTTCGACTGCGTCCCTGAAGAGTACAAGGCCACCATGGTCCACGAGCTTCTTCGACGTATCCCAGAGACTGTCATCCACCGGTATGCGTGCCACGTCTGGCAGAAGCTCTTCGAGCTGCGCTGGGCCGATTCGCCACCGCAGATTATGCGTTATGTCAACGAAGCCCTGCGGGGCATGTGGCATGAGGTCGCTCTAGGTGAGACCGGTAGTCTTGTTGTGCAGAACATCTTCGAGAATTGCATGGAGGAGGATAAGGTACTGAAGCACTTCAGCCCCACCTATACGGAGTACGGACTAACTCGTCCTAGCGTCCCTGCATCAACGAAGTCCTCGCGAGCATCGACGTCATCTCCCACGGTCAGTTTGGCAACTGGTGTATCCAGCATATCTGCGAGCACGGTGCTCCTGCCGATCGAAGCAGAGCCATCGACCATATACTCCGATTCGCGACCGACTATAGCGTCGATCAGTACGCGTCAAAAGTGATCGAGAAGTGCCTCAAGATTGGATCCAATGACTTCCTCGACCGCTACCTCGAGCGGGTCTGTGAGGGCCGCCCTGATCGTCCTCGTATGCCATTGATCGATATCGCTGGAGATCAGTTCGGCAACTACCTCGTCCAGTATATCTTGACCAACAGCGGCGCCCACCATCGAGAGATGGTCGCCTCTCATATCCGCAAGCACATGGTCAGCCTGAGGGGCTCCAAGTACGGATCCAGGGTCGCCATGCTCTGCTGCAACCCAGCCCTCGCGACGCGTCCGGGACCCCCAGGCGGCCTCATCCCCCGCTATAACAACCCCAGCATCCATCGCGGCGGAGGCTACGGCGGGTTCCGTTAGATGGCTTCTTGACGACCTTCGGCCATTGCTCACCACAGTGACGAGCTGGGACATGTTAAGACGCTGAAGGTTCCCTACATGTCGTCAACATACTATCCTCTTGGGTATCGCCAGACACGCACGCACTCGTTCTCGATCTCGAAAAAGGTAGCATGGATATGACGAAAATAATGTCCATGTCGAAAAGATTGCTCGAAGGGCTTGGGATAAGACGAACGATGCATGTGCTACTGTCGGTTGGGCTAACATCGTTTCCTGGAATACGGCTACACCACATGTTCCTTCTTGTTTATCGTGACATCTCAGCCCAGAATCAGCGCGTTGGCACGATTCAGGGTGGTAGCGAGGCGAGGCGATATGATGGACTGGTGGGACTGGACTCTTCTGTATAAATTATCCTTCTTACGAAAATTCACCCGGAAAATGACGGTATGGATATGGAGTTCGACCGGGATGTAGGTATTTTTCTCAGCATCAAGCACATCCTGGCTATGCTCGGCCTTTTCCCAGATGGTGATGCCACTGTGGGTGTTCTTACCATTCTCAATTTGCGAGAGTGATGAATGTGGAACTCAGCAGGAACAGGGTGTTGACGATGAGATGTAGTTGGGATTTGGTGTTGGTGTACTGGTATAGCCAGATATTCGGAGACGCTTCGACATCGGGCGAGCTCGGCACCGAACCGGATCACGCTCGGGGGATCATCGCCATCGAGCAGATGAACATGTTCAAGCAGAACAGCATTCCAGATGCGAAGACAGAGTAGAGGAGGTCAACTATCTCCAGCATGCCCAAAGAGAAGTGCTCGCAGGCGCCGATGTTGGCCTCCTCGTGTTGCAGCGGCAAGCGGCAAAGTATGAGAAGCCGAAGCGGCACGGCGAGGTTGCGCCGAGAGACGTGCGCCGGCCATGCGAGGTCCTGCCGAAACGCGAAAAGAGGGCCTTACACAGATACTACCTAGGTAGCTTAGTCGGCGGATTACCTAGCGGCACAACGGTATTATTGATGGAAATGTAGTCTGTGGGGAAATGTGAAGCACGCCGTCCTTCAGAAAACTCGTCGGAGAAACAGTCTGGGGAACTAACTGTTCGGTTGGACGCGGACAGCTCAGTGGCGTGGAATTTCAGGTCGCCGTTGAGTGTGTGTCGCGCAAATAGGGAGCATTGCTCTGGCAGTCGAGCCATCGTATAGATGACATGAGCACGCTGTGATGGGGTGACCTCAGTCGAGACAGGGCTGGATTTGTATGCGACCCGGCACCCGCCGATGGCTTGGCTCATCCCGCCCCCGGGCCTAGCTCGGGACGTCGGCGACGTCACCATGAGCATTTGGGATGTGCTCGCGCCGCGTCGGCTTCGTCAGAACTTATCTTTATAAAACTGCGGTTGCCCGCCGCCCCTGCGTCAATCAGTTTCCCCCGCTCTCACAACCTCTACGACATCTCCCAGCCTCCGATTCTACTCCATACAAAAGTTTTCACGTTCCTCCACCGGGTTTGACGTCGCCAAAATGAAGATCCTCACAAAGGAAGAAGAGCAGGCTCACTACAAGTAGGTCTCGCGCGCGACGAGGAATTGGGAGGAGATGCTAACTGCAACGACAGTGCTACCTTCAATGGCACAGTTTACGGCGGTGTCGTCGGCAGTATAATAGGCGTAGCAGGCGTCTGGGCCGCAAGTGCAAGATTCCCCGCCTTCAGGTCCCTCACAGTGCCTTTCCGAGCCTTTCTCGCTTCAGCGCCGGGCACCTTTGGCGGTAAGCAGTCCCCCTCGTTATTCTTTGCACACGCCATTTTGAATACTAATGCTTTCGCAGCCGTCATCGCCGCAGACCGCGCCTCCGCCCGCTATGATCTCATGCACAACCCCGAGAAGCTCCGCGAAGCTGAGCGTGCGAAGGAACGAGCGACCCTCTACGAGCAGCACAAGTCTCCCATGCAGCGCGCGAAAGATTGGGCTGAGGAGAACCGATACCCCATCATCTTCGGCTTTTGGGTCCTTTCCCTGGGAGGCTCCTTCCTGCTAGTGAAGCGCCAGCCGCTCTCCGCATCGCAGAAGCTCGTGCAGGCACGCATGTACGCGCAGGGTCTGACCCTCGGCGTGCTGCTGGCCAGCTTTGCATTCGAGGCCAACGATGCGACAAAGGGCAAGGGCCGCTGGGAAACCATCAAGGTCATTGATCCGAATGACCCCGAGCACAAGCATTTGATTGAAAAGCGGATTCATCATGAGCGCTATGCTGGCGAGGACCAGTGGAGAGGTACGTTGGGCCCCTTGTTGAGTGTTGGTGATGCTTTGTCATGCTGCTGAAGCATGGGGGGTGTCGCTTAGCACGAATTACCCCTTTGGGAATGCAATTGGCTAACAAGCGCGCAGAAATGGTCGAGGCCGAGGAGCGGAGAATTCAGGCTCGCAAGGAGGCCGCTGCGGCGAAACAGCATGAGGGCGAAGCCCAGAAGAAGGAGTCTAAAGCCGCTGAACCCGCCCAGTAGACTTTCCCCTACCTAAACTTCCATGATACTCCAGCCCGACATTCGGCACTTCTGTATATCTTTCTATCGACGAGTCGGACCTTTTTCTTGACTGGCACTCATTTGCTGGGCGTTCCGGGTAGCTTCCTATGAATGGTTTTCAAGCTGTATTTCTACCTTGGCGGAAAAAAAGGTGCATGCTAGATACACTCTGAGCGTACGAAGCACGCGCTCTCTTTCCTAATATAAATACCAGCGCATTCTTACGCAATCACCATTTACCAGTTCCATAGTATCGGCGACACAGGATACCTCTTCCTGAAGTGATCCACATTTTAATCGATGGTCGAGGTAGCGTGAACATCACACTGGGCTATTTGAACAGGTAGCTGTCCAACTAGCAGCGATCGGTGAGGCCATGATTATGGAAGCGAAGAACATGGAGGCATTCTGTGTACTGTGCGGAGATAGTTCTACCATTGCGTCTGTAGAATCATGCCGCAAGCCCCGAGGAAAAGGTCAGGAAAGTATCGCCGTATTCGGTCTCTTGATGGGCTTCAATCCCATATCCTCAAGCAAGTTGCGCGTCACGACTACCTACGTTAGCGCTAATCAACGCGGCTAAGGAATACCCAATGGTATCACTCAATCCAAACCTTCCATCATATTCCCAGCACGCTACGTCCTCCCCGGCCTCCGCCGTCCACTCCTTGTGCAGCCAAACCTCCTTAGCGGCAGCTCCGGTACAAATTTCCCCATCTGCTCACTCTCTACCATATCAACGAATGCCGCGAACCTCCCCACTACCTCGCTAGTCTCTAATCCCTGGTCGGCCTCCTACGCCAACACGACTGATAACTCGACTGGCGGCTGCGCATACTCTTCGGTACTCGGTACCAGGCGAGAGAGCCCACCGGGAATGGCTGATTCTGCTTCTCTTCTTCCACTAGGAGCGGGCCGATCCGTCCGATCGACTGTTTTGAGGATAGAGGTGAGCTAGGTATGAGAGCATTTCCCGGTGAATTCGCGAGGTATAGAGTGGGGCATAGTTATTTGACACAAACAGAGTATTCAGCGGGGCTCGTTTTCTGCAGGCAGACATAAGGCTGCGAGGCTGACCGGGAGTAATCAAATGGGATACCTGAATTTGACAATAACACACTCTCTTCAACTTACGTTGCTACACGGAAATGAGCTCTGCAACAAGCCCCTTGCGCTAGAAGAAATCAACGGTGCATCTTCTGCGTTGGCGGTGCTGTCAGCCGGCGGCAGAGATTCTGATTGAGAGAATGGCGGTCGTGTGCGACTACACGCGGTATGAGCTTCCTCTTCCCCTGGAGACTTGAATGATGGCACTTGAGGGCTCGTAGGTCGCAACCTATTGGCCTTTGGAGTTGTCGGCGTTCCCGGAGATGTTAGGGCATCCAAGAGCGATTGATAATACACGGAGCGTCTTCGCGTAGTCTCAGTACTTCGTCAATCAAATCCCCGTACTCATTCCAGACTTCGTCCTCGTATTGGGCAACACCGGGGGGAGGCGCTCGGTCATGGGAAAGTAACAGTCAATAGGTATGTAGCTAGCGTTGTCGGATCGGGTCGGGTGTGAGAGCTAGTGCGAATCCTGGAAGCGTCAAGATCTCTCGGCTGAAAGTTTTCCCGACCCCGAAGGGAAGTTGTAACTGCGCAGCAGCTTGACGAATAACCTCTCCAGCACGCACTCCCAACTCTCCAACGCCTCCACAAGATGCGTGCCTCAATACCTACCTTGGCCTTCTTAGCCTCCGTAACCTTGGCGGCCCGCTTCATGCTCCACGTTCCCACGACACAGCTCGTAAACCCGTCAACCCTCCCCTCGACCACACACGCAACGCTCCAATCCTCTGGCGCTCCACTAGACGCCCACATAACGCGCTCGAACTCCTTCAACTTCTATAATGTCTCTGCTGGCAGTTACCTCGCTACCGTGCACTGCCGAGACTTCGCTTTCGAACCATTGCGCATAGACGTCACCGTGGAGGAGACGGTTGAAGGCAGCGGGCAAAAGAAGGAGATGATCCGCGCATGGCAAACGTTCATTGGAAACGAGTGGGATAATAAAGGAGAGACAAGAGGGGAAGGTGGGAATGGCTTGGTGATTGAGGTTAAGCCCATTGGGCAGAAGTACTATTATCAGGAGCGGAGTGGATGTGAGCGCCTTACTACGCGGCTCCTGCCAGGCATCACAGCTGACATTCCCAGTTTCTCCATTGTCATTCCTGAAGAACCCCATGATACTCATGGCTCTCTTCTCGATGGTGCTCATCTTCGGCATGCCATATCTCATGGAGAACAGTGCGTTTCTAACTAGCATCCTACGCTGCCGAACGAGGCTAACGAGTACGCAGTGGACCCGGAAACACGCGCGGAGTTCGAAGAAATGCAGAAGAAGGGTGCACTTGGCTCAGGCGGTACGAACACGGCAGCACAGATTCAGAACTTCGATCTTGCATCATGGATGGCTGGGAAGACGGAAAGCAAAAGCCGTGGCCAGAGCCCTGCGCCGCAGCAATCGAAGAAGCGGGGTTGAGGAGTCCATGATGTCGATATCGAGGAGTTGGTAGATAAGAAAGCCTGGTGTTCGAGCGAATTCCGTTGACAAGCGAGCAGTAGGCGCGAGATTACGGAGAATCACAAGACTTGAATCCAGCTCAAAGCAGCATGACGATGCGACTGCTCTGGTCTAGCAGAGAACGGATCATCGAGGCTTTTGCTGAGCTTCACAAGAAGAATTCATCAGCCAATCGGCAATCCGATGTTTACATTCATTCATCTCACGGTTGTCACCTTGGTCTACACACATCATGACTATACCTTTCGTTACCAGTACCATGGAGTCTCATGCTGTCATGAGCTACGTACCAAATACCTTCTCAACATCTAACTTTACGACATCTAAGTATATCTCCGCTCGGCATTGTCGTCATCGACTCCGTGGCATTAATGTTATATACCGACCCTCTTTCTCTCCTCCTCCTTAGTTGATCACCCTATCGCTTAGCCTCCTCATCGAACAGAATGCACGCAAAGCTCACTCTCGCCGCCGTAGCGGCCATCGTGTACGTTCAAATAACTTCCAGCCTTCCCAGCCTCAGACCCCATTAACGTGTCCCAGCACCCTCGCAACCGCCGCCGCTATCCCCGTCCCCAACGATGCCCCCGCATTCACCCAAAACCAAGTCCGCCGTACTACGCCCGACAGCCGCAACGCTCAACCCGTCATTCCACACGAACGGGAGCTCGAAGCGGCCCACGATGGCGCGACCGCGTACCATTTAAACAAGAGACAAGACGACGTCGTAGTCACACAGAACGTCACCGAGACGGACACCGTCATTTACACAGTCCAGGAAGTCAGTGACCAGAAGAAGAAAAGGAAATATGGAGGTGCGAGATTGGCCAAGAGACAAGACGACGACGTCGTAGTCACGCAGAACGTGACCGAGACGGACACCGTCATCTACACAGTCCAGGAAGTCAGTGACCAGCCGGCACAGAAGAAGAGGAGGCGATATGAAGGCGCGAGATTGGGCAAGAGACAGGACGACGTCGTCGTCACGCAGAACGTCACGGAGACGGACACCGTCATCTACACGGTCCAGGAGACCGGTGACCAGAAACGCGACCTCGAAAAGGCACGATTCGACAACGACCAGCCTGCCGATAACGACGCCAGGGACGTTTAGCAGCACATGCCGGAGACGACTAAGTCGGAGTTCAACATCGTGCCTAAGCCGGGTGGGGGAGTAGCAGCACGCCGGAGATGAGGAGGGTAATGCAGGTAATAGGAAGCCCAGGGCGGCCCGTGTAGCTAAAGTTGCGTAATAATTGAAACTAGTCATTCCTTTTTCTAATTGAACTTCACTGAAGTTATGGCCTGCAGTGTTACCTACCGCTGTTTTGAGCATCGACACATGAACGAATCATTCACTACTTCCATAGCCCCCTTCTCGAGAACCGCGGTGCTTCTACTGCTGCTTTGAAACATCAGGACGAGCATCTTTCATCCACTCACTACTTCCATACCTCCTTTCATGAGCATCATCACGTCGTGGTCGGGTATTTCTAGATGCCAAAGGGACGGAGAAGAGGCATGCAGCAACGAAGCAAGACTTGAACAGACACATTTGCACTAGTATTCTCATACACTTCGACTCCTCGCATGCTAGATCTGGAAAAAGGAAACCTCAGGAGCCTATGTACAATTGGTTTTCTTCCACTCTACTTGCTGAAACTATACAAGCCTCACACAGTCATAGCAGCTGACTGAGGGCCGTACCCGACCTGTGGGTGAGGCTCACCCGGCGCCATGAAGTTCGTCTCTGGATTCTTCTGCGCCTTGGCGGCTGAGCAACGAGCCATTGTTGGCGAACTGTCCGACGCGTTAGCCGCGGGCCTGGTGGAGTAATTGGGAGCGGGTATGACTTACTTTCTCGAAATCGAATCTGTGAAGAAAAAGTTCTCAATCGGCAGTTTCAGCGGCTCGCCACTCGCCTTCGCTCCCTTGTTCTGATCCACCAGCTGCACCTTGCTCAAGCCAGGTAATGACACTGGTTCGACGACGTCGTATCTTCTAAGTGCAGGCGAGATATCCTCCATACGATCTCTAAGCGCCTCGACATCATCGTATGGCAGCTCAGCGCCAAGATACTCTGACGCTGCTCGAATAATCTTCCAGTCCTCTCTTGCCGCACCAGGTAGGCCGACGGCGTTGCGGCTCATCTGCACTCGACCCTCGGTGTTCACGTATGTGGATGACTTCTCGGTATATGCGGCACCTGGGAGGACAACGTCGGCAAGCTGTGCGCCTCGGTCACCGTGGTGGCCTTGGTAGACGATGAAAGCATCCTTGGGCAGCTCAGCTTCGTTGATTTCGTCAGCTCCAAGGAGCCAGATGAACTTCGGAGTGGTCTGCGCCACCTCCAGGGATGGCACCGTGAAACCAACGTCGTAGGCACCTGTTCGGGAAGCGGTCCGCTGGAGGATGTTGTAGCCGTTCCACTCTGCGGTCTGGAAGTTTGCCTTGTGCTTCTCTACGAAAGTGCCGACCTGCTCGTAGATTGACTTGGCAGCAGGGTGCTCTGTGACTCCGCTACCAACGATGATCATCGGCTTCTTCGCAGACTGCAGCTTCTTTCCGAATGCTCCGGAAAGAGCACCCTTAAGATCGGTCGCAGATGCTCCAAGTTTCTCATATTCGAACGTACTCTCAAAGTCTTCACCCACAAGACCAATTGTGAGGTCAGACCTCAGCCATTGCTTCCTGATTCGGGCGTTGAGCACGGCGGCTTCATGCCGAGGGTTGGTGCCGATAAGAAGGATAGCATCTGCCTCCTCAACGCCATAGATCTTCGAGTTGAAGGAGTAGTTGGATCGCACGTCGATGCCATGAGCAATGGGCCCGCTACCGCCAGGCTGATCCAGAGCCAGGTTGTCCGATCCGAGCTTGTTGGCGAGGTCCTTCATCGCAACCAAGGTCTCGGTCTCGACCAAGTGCCCAGCAACAGCTTTGAACTCATTGCCCTTCGGTGCTATCCTCTTGTATGCGTTACCGATCTCTACAAGGGCCTGCTCCCACGAAGCGGGCTGGAACTGGTCGTCGACGCGAATGAGCGGGTTCACCAGTCGCTGTGTGCTGAGCGCATCGCAGGCGAAACGGGTCTTATCGTCGATCCATTCCTCGTTGATGTCGTCGTTGAGCCGTGGCAAGATACGCATTACCTGGATACCACGGGCGTCCACCCGAATGTTCGACCCTAGTCCGTTGAGTACGTCGATGGTTTCGGTGTGATACAACTCCCACGGTCGAGCTTTGAAAGCGTACGGTTTCGAGGTAAGCGCGCCAACGGGGCAAAGATCGATGACATTTCCCGACAACTCGGTGTCCAGGGCAGTTTCCAGGTAGGTACCAATCTGGAGATCGTTGCCGCGGCCTGTTGAGCCCATCTCCGGAGCACCCGCAATGTCGTTGGCGAATCGGACGCATCGTGTGCAGTGGATACACCTGTTCATCGAGGTCTGTCAAGCATCAGCACACATCGTGCGGCGACATATCCAGATTTCCCACCTTGACCAAGGGCCCAATGTTCTTGTCCTCAACCGCACGCTTGCCTCCAATCTCGTGGAACCGTCCGCGGTCGGCTCCGTATCGCATCGACTGGTCCTGCAAGTCGCACTCGCCTCCCTGGTCGCAGATAGGGCAGTCCAGCGGATGGTTAGCGAGCAGGAACTCCATGACGCCCTCTCGCGCCTTGTGGACGAGGGGCGAATCCGTCTTGACCGACATGCCCGGTTGCACCGGCCATGCGCACGACGCCACCGGTTTGGGAGCCCGCTCCACCTCCACCAGACACATGCGGCAGTTTCCGGCAATCATCAACTTCTCGTGGTAGCAGTATCTCGGGATGGTGGCCCCGGCTTTCTCGCACGCCTGGATGAGGGCCGAGCCGGCTGTGGGGGGCGTTAGAATCGAGTTCTGTAGCTGCAACAGGCTTTGGGAGCTGGCGTACCCTCGATTGACACCTTCTTTCCATCTGCGAAGCTCGTCAGCATGCATGGCGGCGCGGGCGGGCGAGTGGCACAAACCGATGGTGAGCTCGACCTCTGCGGGCGTGCGGGCAGAGGCAGTAAAGGCCCGGCTGCCATTGAGGCCTGCGGACGTCGCAGGCCGCTTCAGCGACCGGATTAGCTGGTGCCGCAGCATGTTGTGGCGGGTTCAATGGCGATGCGAGTGTGGCAGCCGAGCTCTTGACGTCGAGGGTGTGATGTTCGAGCAGTGCCAAGCCGCTGGGGATAATCCGGCTCGTCCGGCTCGTGATTGGCCCGCCGCTGCGCCCTATAAAATTCTCGCGAGCTGCCTCGACCTTTTCTCCTCCAACTCATTCTGGGCCGATCTTATTGTGGGAAGTTTGGGCACGCGACTCGCAAGGGCGGCGTGCGCTCTCTCTATTTCTTCCTCTGCTATCTGTCCCTAGAGCACGACTCGCCGTGCGTCGTAGCTGGAGCAGATGAGGGTTTCTGATGATATCTTGTTCCTTACCAACGTCGCTACATTACTCCAACTCAGATATTTTTTATGGTTGCAATCCTTTCCTATGAATCTATTTATCTTGCAGAACGACCCTTGATTCCTGTTTGGTCATTTATGAATATGTCCAACGTCTAGATGCGTCGTACCGTCGTCCAGCCGCCTGTTAACACCACCACGAACGGAACTCGGCTTCGTCACACGCCGGAGCATTCTCGCAACATGATAATACAGCATCTGGTCTATAAATTCTCGTACCAGGTCCAGCGTTGAAGCAATTCAGGATGCCTTATCCGCAGCCCAGCAGACACATCACACCGTCCCAACACACCCCTTCTCCCCCCTCTCACCCTTCGCAATCTCCTCCACATTAAGCACACCACCCTCCTTCTTACACTTCTCCAGCTCCTCCCTCCCCACCGAACATTTGGCATCATACCTACACTTATTCCTCCCGCAATTCCTATCCCACAGGATATTATCGCCCACGCACGATGCGCCGAACAACTCCAGCCCCAGTACACAAACAACCAGTCCCGTCGTCGTCGCAATAAGCTCCAAAGAGTTGAGGTGCGCAAGCGGGAGGAGAAGGATGACGATGGAGATGAGCGTCCGGATGGCGAGACGCTTGTTCTTGCCTAGCCGCTGATGTGGGATTTTCTTGTGCGTGTGCGAGGCGGCGATGATGCTCATGCAGAAGAGGGAAATGCCGAGGCCGCCGCAGTAGAACCATTTCAAGCCCGGAGAGATGTGCTCTTCGGAGCGTGGGATGAAGGTCTCATAGAGGGAGTCGACAGGTGCATCGGGACAGTCGTGTGCGCGCACGAGGACGGCTAGTGCGGAGGAGGAGAGGACGAAGGCCATGATGAAGGGCAGGTGCGCAGAGAACCATACGAGCGCTACCCCGAGTATGTGAGCATCACTCTGAATAAATAGCTAAGAAAGGGGAAAGTCCGCTTACCAGAAGCCACATGCCTTCGAATCGCATGCGTATGTAGGTTGAAAGAGTCTATCTCGAAGTAAATCCAGTTAAACGTAAAAGCCTGAATCAACCCTAGCACCGCTTTCCCAAAGAAAGCGTTGATGCCGAACCCAACAGCGCTCTGGTACAGCAGTCCCAGCACGCATGATCCGAAGACCAGAGTAACGAATGCCCCTGTCCGCTCAATCCTATGCTCGATGTTCGCACCGGGAAAGAACTCGAACGTTCGTTTCGCCCACGCCGTGAACTTCTCCGGCATCCACGAGTGCGGCCGCTGGAACATGATCATGATGCTCTGGCCGAAAATATCGAGCGCCATGGCCGGCCAGATGAGCCCTTGGCGTGCAGGCTCCTCGACGTGGATACTAGCGATCCAGAGCGCGGCGGGTACGATAATAGTCATGCCGTTTCCGACCATGGAGCCGCGCACCATGGGGATCTGGTAAGCGTTCCAGAAAAGCGCGATCGCGATGTAGAGGCGCTCGGCGAGGTAGAAGGCGACGAGGGGCGTGTATGTGTGCTCGAAGGCTGCGGCCATGTTTGTCGTGAAGCCCAAGAGACAGGTTAGGATGAATAAGACGGAGAAGCGGCGGAGGACGTCATCGCTGTCAAACCAGGAGATTAGGACCGCGATGTCGCTCCAGAACTTCCAGCCCATGACGAACGTGATGATGAAGCGGAGCAGCGACTCGCCGGTGGGATGCTCGGCTGCATTGTCGCCTGTAATAGCGATGATGCCAACATAGAACAGGTCGATAAATAGCTCGTAAGAAGCAACTTCCTGCGCTTCTCGCGCGCGCCAGAGGAGGCCCTTGTGGAAGTACTGTCGTACAATGGGCTTCTGGTAGAACCGCATCGTAGTCCCGAGCTTGCGCTCGGCGTGCCATTGGTCCTTGTCGAAGGTCTGGCCATCCGAGTCGTAGAGCGACGGCGCGCTAGATGAGGAGGGCGATTCTTTCGTGCGCAGGTGAGCCGAGTATCCGTACTTTGAAAAGTTGGCGTCAAGCTGTACGGCGTGCTCTGAGATCATGTGCAGCTCGTTAGACAGCGCATCCAGCTCGCGAATGACTCTCTCGAACTCATCAGCGAGATCGCCATGCTCTTCCTTCAGCTGGCGGTGATGGTCTTCATGGTGCTGGTGCGTGTGCCGAAGAGCTTCGATCTGGCATTCCGTCAGCGGGAAGATCCTCAGGGGTCGATTAGTCTGAACAGACGTGTTCCGGAGATCCATGGATAACGAGATCGAAACCTCCCTCCTTTTCGGTCGTTGAGAGCGTCTTCCGAAGCAGATTCGCTTCATCTGGCGAACCTGCAATATGGACCTTTCTCCCATCAGGTCTGAGAAAATGCCGGAGTCTCCTCCCCGTATGATGAAAATGATGATGGTGATTGCCACCAGCCGGCGAATGCCTCGTCGCAGGCGTCGCGCCGCCGTCAACAAGGGTCTGCGGAGTAGACATCCTCAACTTCCCCGACAAGAACAGTAACAACACGCGTCAAGCTCGAATATAAAGGAGCCGCAACACCAGCATCCTTCTCGCACGGGAGGCCGCGAAATATACCTATCCATGATCTGCGGAGGACGAGGATCTGAGCGACCCCGCTAGGCCTTCAAAGAGAAGTGGCTTGCCTTTATCTGGCTTGGCTTTAACTTTAATTGGACATCGAGCGAGCAATAGGCTCTGAATAAGCAATGTCAGCATCCTTTAATGGCTTGGCTGGGGCTAGAATCCTAAGTGTCAAAGCTGCTCAGGTCTTCGTGGCACAGGACGTGGCGGAGGAGTTGCTATGTTTTTCGCACCGGAATTGGAAAGAAGCGCACGGAGAAGATTAATAGAAAATTGCTATCTGATAATGCTTGTTAAGGATTGATTCGCCTTGGGGCAAGAGGCTAGACCAAAATGGTGCACGGCAGAGCGAAGAGCTGCCTCAAAACTTATCAAGACGCCAAACGTCCAGAGCTAAAGTCAATCCGCCGTACCACAGCCGAAGCAAAGGCGGCTATGCAGAGCAAACTTGTTTTGACTCGACGCCATTCTCCTATTCTGAGGACGGAAAACGCTGCCAAACATGCGTGATGCTGAAGCGGTCACAATGTATTGTGACTAAAATCCTACTCTTTAGGCTTTGGTGATGCAGGCTCTTCGTCCGGGAAACGAATCGACCTTTGAATGTTTGGGGGCGGCTGAGAAGCCGCGCCATTGACCCCTTCGATCTTATCCTGCGAGCTCCCAGCGGTATCCGTCTCTGACTGCTCAGGGTTCCGTTGATTCCCTGCCGTCTGTGGTTGATTCGACAAGGAAACGGGCACCTGCGAGGGTGCCCGCGAGTGATTTGGCGAGTTTCGGCTAGGAATAATGCTATGTCCGATGCGATAAACTTGACGGGGGAGTATATTCGACCCGCTTGATTGGCCAGTGGCTGGGCGCCGACGAATACCGCTCTCCAATTCATGCTCTACCTCTTCTGCATGCTCCCTGACATGAAACGGTTCGGGTTCATCGTCCTCCCGTCGAGATGATATCGCTTCGGACAGCGTCCTTGGGATCCAAAACCCGAACTTTGCCAATGGGATGCTCACGCCGTGGACAATCTGGCTGGCACATTAGACTTTAAATCAGAGATAAGAGCCTAATACTTACGATACTGCAAATGACTAGAAACCAAACTACCACATACACCACCTCTTTCAGATACTGTGCATCGGGCCTAACCTCTCCATCGACGGTTATTTTGTTGCAGAATTCCAAGGTGATGTAGAGATAGAAGATTGCACTGACACCGATCGGCCCAAAGAACCCAACGTACAGTGCTTGCCGCTTTTCCTTGATCTGGTGTATATGCATATGCATGGAAAAGATGATCGGAGGTCGGCGGAGGAGAAGGACAAGGATACCAAGGAAGATCAGGCGGTAAATGGGTATGACGTTGTTATGGGCGAATTCGGGCCATGGACATACGGCACCTACAATGTCAGTTTCGCCGTGGCCGGAGACGTGGAAGTTGGCATGGCATACCGAACCAGATGAACACGGATACGTTCAGAAGCATATCGATCGTAGGTTGAAAGGTGTCATCCATAGTCTCTAACCTGAACCAATCACTGCAAGTCTGTCAGCGGGCGTGCGTCAAAGAGTATATGTCTCTCGGACTTACTCCCAAGTGAATGTGTTTCCGGCAATGAAACAAGCTAGTACATCATCGGATCCTATCATGCCGACCGTGCCCACGATAAAGAGCTTCATAGGAGAGTGAATAAGGGCAATGCTCAGCACCAAGGTGGGATGCATGGACTTACCGCCATAGCGATGGCAAATACGAGAAAGGACTCCTTGTCCACGTATTTGCGCTCCTCGGCCCAATGAAGAAGCTCTTTCGCGATCCACCCGACTGCAGCGCCATAGACGAGACTGAGAAGAATGGTGTACCCCCACGTTTCACCGAACCATGCTCCTATAGCATATGCAGTGCTCTTGTCCTGGCCGAGGCCCCCATAACCGATGTGTTGGATCAGATAAAGCGGCAGGAAGAGGAAAGGATAACCCAGTCCATCATTGGCTCCAGATTCGGCCACGATGATTTTCTGTAATTCTTTCGGAATATTCTTGTCTGCGAACTTGCCTTTGACGATAGAGTTCGACAACACGGGGTCCGTGGGAGTGACGCATGCTCCGACCGCTAGGGCGTGAAGAAAGCTAATGTGTGGCACGAATGCGAAGACCAGTAGGCTAGTGACGAGCCACATAACCGTCTGTAGATGATGAAGTATAAAGTCAGCACAGTTCTTGAAAAGGCTGTGAATACCTAAATATCCAGTCTCGTGACTGGTCCATGGCATAACGCTCCTTGACGGTCTCTAGGCAACAATTGCAGAGGCTTCGGCGTAATACGTTGGGTCGGTTCCGGGCTAACTTACCATACCAGGGCCAAGCAATAGGGCCAAGCTCTTCCATTCTTTCTTGAGGTACTTGGCTGGCAACTGAACGCCGGCAAGCACTAGTTGGACCCCAAGAACGAGTCTGGAAAAGTACAAGGTGATGGTGTCTAGTATCTCTTCGTCACCCAGAGCATATTGCTCGGGCCTTACTAGATTGGTCGCATGCGGAGAGAATATCACCCCGGCTACGAGCGATACCACTAAATATGCCGTTAGTGTGAACGACTTCGGATTCCATTCGGCTATCTTACAAGCTTCGGAAAGGTAGAATTTCTCCTTGAGAAGATAAGAAACTAGGCCGAACAGAGAAATAAAGCCTCCGAGCGTCGCACAGATGATGTTGAAATTATCAACGGCGAGGGTTGGCATTTCCTAAACCCCGCGTGCCAAGCGGATGAAAGGCTTGACGGAGGACGAAGTGTGAATTAAGCTCGCTAAGTCGCCCGAACAACGAGAACGTGCGAGATTTGGACTGAACGTTAGGCACCTTGAACACAGCTATCTCTTTTATGATGGCTTGCGATTGTCGTTCGAACGATCCTGCAAATGTTATTGCATCGTCGAGCGTGGCGAGGCTGGTTGTAGCTCTGGCAGACGCCACTTTGGAAGTGAACAGAGTCTTCTGGTGGCTTAGAAGGCCACTTAGGAAGATTGTACCTATTCCAGAAGATACCTCAAGAGGCTGCGATATATGAAGAATGGTGTTGCAAGGTTTGCGTCCCAAGATCTCCAGATTCTTGCTTCGAAGTCCTAAGAAACTAGGCGCCTTGGCGCCGAGCCGAATATCCGGATATGAGAAGCACGACTTTTGCTACGATGTATCTTTCTGGTCATCGCAGTCTCAGATTCAAAGCTTTCAGAGTGGATAGAAACTACCTTGGTTCGGAGTCCGTAAGTTGAATCCTGTAATGCCATCAAAGAGACTCATTGGAGTCTCAAGAGGAAGGCTGGGCTCATATCATTCCAGTTGCTTGGCAATAGCTTCTTCGCCTACGCTTTGCTTTTCTCTGATTGTCTGCTGGAGATGGATATTGTTGATCGTAGAAAAGGCCTTCGTAGAATGCCGAGACATTTATTCCTCTTGCACGTTCATGTCTGGCGTGTGCAGAGTCGAATAACTTCAGGTAGCTGCATCCAGACTTTACGTTTTAAGAAATTGCCCCGTGTCCTAGCCTGACCAGTGTTATCAGAACCACCTGGATTCTGGCGGGACCGATCCTTCTTCCGTCCCTCTGGCCGGATTAGTGACGACGGAAGCCATATACCATACAAACACTGCGATCATCCACAATGGCCTGGGCCCTAGGCTAAGACGTGTCGTAGTCGGTGTTTGTAGGAGACCACAGCGCCGAGAAGAATCGCTTCGAGGCCATTACATACCGCATGAGAATGGGAAATATTTCCAAGTCCCTCAGAATCCTGTGGGCATCGGTCGCTGGCTGCTTTGCTGCGAACAGGATAGCTTACCCTGAAGGGATCCGCATTGCTATCCGTTTGTGAGGGTATCACGGATGTTGTTCCGGAAAGACAGAAGTCTCATCGGACCATGCCATGAGGATGGTCTTCGATGCTGCAACACTTACAGCGGAGAAGGCCCTCGTGGAGTTCTATAAGTCCGTAGGCCGATGAGCGTCCAGCCTGCCTCGTTCCAATGACTTCGAAAATTGCCAGCAGTCTTTTCGTATAAGATACGATATTCTTCCAATTCTGCCGGCCACCTGATTAAGGTTGTCGGTCTGAAGCACTACACTAGAGCTTATTCCTGGCGGGTCCCGCGGACGTAGAAGAACTGTATAGCCCTAGGCAGATGACACTAGAGTAGCGTAGGCCCTCTGAGCTCATCAGCCACCACAGTATCTATACTCGCCTGAGCTTGAGCTCTCGCCTCCACAATCTGGGGTACTGCTCTCCGGTCGCACCTAGACCGCGTCGCTTCTCTAGCTGCAGCTCAAGTGAGCGGCGTCAGAGACTGTACCGTGGCTGACTGCCAGACGTACGGAGGGCCGGACATGTGAAGGGCCTCCACCGTCATATCGATGTGCAGGACGATATCGGGTCAGAGGGGGCTGCTGTGGTGTCCATCAGCTAAAGCATGGTCTCGTCAGCGGCGAGGAGAGGGGCGTCGAGATGCAACTCATCGCTTGCCCCGCCTGTTCACATGTTGGCTGGCATCCGATAAGATGTATCGATAACCGCAGGCGATTCACGAGCCTCATGGACGTCCCCTCGGGCCCACGTGCGGAAAAGGTCGTAGCGCGGGAGGCGGCAAAAGCCCTCGTCCTTGAGCCTCGGCCAGCGGCCCACGAATGATTTGTTCCCAAGCCCTTGTCTGCAGATCAGGGTCTTTGCAGAATGCATGACGCCCGAACTTGCGCGCCTTTGCACCCTCCCGGCCAATTGCGCCCACCGCAAGGCTGCTTTCCTCAGCTGCTGTGGTGCTGTGGGCGGGCTGCACGCGCGCATCCACATATCTGATCTGATTTTGCTGATATCTCGCTGCGTTGTGGGCAGGGGCAGCTAGCCAGCACGAGTTAGGTCCCTGCAATGCGTGGCTGCAAGTTACGCGGGCCCATCAGCCGGGACGAGTGTGAAGGCGTGATAGTGGCAGCAAAACAGCGGTCTGCTCAACACTCGCCGCGACGAGATGTGCGCCAAGCCGGCGGACGTGAGGGATCATCAGGAATTGGGGGACCCAGACGGAGCGCAGCGCCTTTTGAGCGACCGAGTGCGTCGTCCTAGCGAGCAGCGCTCCGGTTTGACCCATCAAGTCGCGCTGTGGAGCGGTTTCACTCACCTCGCCCATCGCGGGGCCGCGCACAGTCTGACCAGAGGCCTGCGCTGCCAGAGGCGACCAGAGCGGTGGCAATTGAGCGCGAAAACGCCAGCAGACAGCGGTTCCGGGTGACAAAGTGGGCAAAAGGCGTGTTGGCGGTACCTGGCCGTTGTCTAGCTTATCCACTGCGACCCCTGGCCGCCTGCCTTCTCGAACACCTACAGCGCCGATTTAGGACATCGGCTAGGCTAAGAAATTTGACGGCAACCCTTACCGCCTCCGCCTGCTTCTCGCTTTAAAGGCTGCCTCCCCGCGCACAGTCGCCCTCAATTGCTCGTTCCTAGCCCCTCCTGCCTGCTCACTTTCTGTCGTGAGGGCCGAATAAACCTCCTGGTGCGCTGTGTTGAGGCCCGCCTTACTTTTCTGCGCTCGCACTCCCAACAAGCCACCCGCACCTCAACAACATCCCCGTAGACGGATCCGCTGCCAATCGCTCCCTCCGCCCGCCTAGTTGTCCTCTTGGCCCTCGTTGAAAATCTCTACCTCGCTGCGGCCCCATTGCGATCCCACAACTCCAATTTCCCACCTTCGACAATGGCTACGACTGCCCGACCACAGAACCCCGTCCTGAGGAGGACCATCACCTCCGAGTCGACCCCGTCGTCGTCGGTCGCTGTCTCTCCCAATGACTCCCCCACCGGGTCTGCCTCAAATACCTCTTTGTCTTCGCTCGGCTCTATGGACGACGTCGAGGTGAAGAATGCCCGCGGCACTCTCGTAGACACGTACGGCAACCAGTTCGAGATTCCCGACTACACCATCAAGCAGCTCCGCGATGCTATCCCTGCCCACTGCTTCGAGCGTTCGGGCGCCCGCGGTCTGGGCTACGTTGCCCGCGACATCGCTTGCCTCGCTGCCACCTTCTACCTCTGCCACAGCTACGTGACTCCTGAGAACATTCCTTCGACCGCGGCCAGGGCTGCGCTGTGGGCTGGATACACCTTTGTGCAGGGCTTGTTCGGAACCGGTCTCTGGGTGCTTGCCCATGAGTGCGGCCACCAGTCGTTCTCGCCTTCCAAGAAGCTGAACGATACCGTCGGCTGGCTCTGCCACTCCGCTTTGCTTGTCCCTTACTTCTCGTGGAAGATCTCCCACGGCAAGCACCACAAGGCCACCGGTCATATGGAGCGCGATATGGTGTTCGTACCGAAGACGAGGGACGAGTATGCGTCGCGCATCGGCAAGCTAGTACACCAGCTCCATGAGCTGACCGAGGAGACCCCCATTGCTACCGCTATTCACCTGGTCCAGCAGCAGCTCGGCGGATGGCCTACGTACCTCCTCAGCAACGTTACTGGCCACAACTACCACGAGCGACAGGCCGAGGGTAAGGGTGTCGGGAAGAAGAACGGTTTCGGCGGCGGTGTCAACCACTTCTTCCCCTCCAGCCCGCTTTACGAGAAGAAAGACGAGCACCTCATCCTCCTCAGCGATCTCGGTCTTGCCATCACCCTCGGTGTACTCTTCTATGTCGGGAAGACATTCGGTTTCGCCAACCTGTTGGTCTGGTACATCCTTCCGTACCTGTGGGTGAATCACTGGCTCGGTAAGTCTCCATGATCTGGATATTGGGGTGCAGAACTAATGAAATCCAGTGGCCATTACTTTCCTACAGCATACCGACCCCACGCTCCCTCACTACGACGCCCACACCTGGACCTACACCCGCGGAGCTGCCGCCACCATCGACCGCGAATTCGGCTTCATCGGACGCACTCTCTTCCACGGCATCATCGAGACCCACGTCCTCCACCACTACGTCTCCACGATCCCCTTCTACAACGCCGACGAGGCGTCCGAGGCGATTAAGCCGGTCATGGGCAAGCACTACCGATCCGATACCGAGGGCGGCTCCATTGGCTTCCTCCGCGCTCTCTGGAGGAGCGCTCGCATGTGCCAGTGGGTCGAGCCCAGCGAGGGCGCGCAGGGCGAAGGCAAGGGCGTCTTCTTCTTCCGCAACAGGAACGGTCTGGGTACCGCGCCGCAGAAGCTTTCCGCCCCGGTCCCGAAGCAGACCGCTGGTAAGGGCGCGAAGATGGAGATTGGCGCCGAGAGCGACAACGAGTGAGACCTATTACGAAGTTACGATTCTAGACACGAAAGAAGTCCATGTCTGCGGAACGGGCTGCATTGCATCGAGAGGAGTTTTTTTTCGAGTTCATCGCTGCACCTTGTTGTGGCATTAATGCTTGCATGAGTTTGACGGCTTGCGGCGGATAGACCACTATATCCCATTCCGAACATGGCTTGTAGAGACACATGATGTTCTCATGTGCTGTTGAGTGTTGGCTTTGTAGGAAGAATAAGAAATAGAGAAAAGCGAAAAATTGCAAGCAAAATAGCGATCAAGATTCATGATTAAGAACAGTCGGGCTTTTTGGTGATGTGCTCATGCGATCATATTATGTATGTAGGATTCCGGATGGGGACGGCATCCTTGCGCGACTGCTGCGGGGAACAAGCACCGCGTGCGAGCTCGAGCGGCCTCAGCCACTCATGCTGGCCTATAGCTATAGTTGAGCAAACTTTATCTTTCCTTCTTCACGGTGCTGGTGGTGGAGGGGCGAGGCGGCGCGGGTAAATGAACAAGGCGTGGGAGGTGTCTCTAATGCGAGGGCTGTGATTGGCGTATGTGAGGCTGTGGGTTGCCATGACCTCGTGGATGATACCATGCTTGCCGCATACATGAGATAGTGATACCTTAATTCTAGAGAAGTAAGTTGGAATGCGTCTTGTCTGGGGAGACTTGGAGTCCTATTACCTGGTGAGTCGGCGGGGGAGCTACATGGCTATGGGCTGCAGCGGAGCGGTTTCCCAGCGAGAAACAGACCTCCATATCAGATCATGTCGACGTATGAAAGAAAAAACTATTCTATATTACAACAACTAAGGGGGTGATGCCCTCGGTCTATACTTGTTCCATATAAACGCCGCGAGAAGTGCAACGACGGAGATGCGACCTACTAAGGCCGTGGCCACCGCTTTCCGCACGATGGGATAGTAGCCTTCCAGCATGGAGTTCACAGCTGCGCCTCTGGCTACCATCTTTGCACGGCCTGTCTTTCCCCAGTTGCAGCCTACTCCTAGGCCTGCGATGCCTACTTCGCCAGGTTTTTCTTCGTCTTCCTTGGCCCCAGAAAGATCCTGTTTTGGCATTTCAGCGGCATCGACGCCTTCTTCGACGATACCGGTAGTGCTGGTTTGAGCTACCGTGCTCATTTCTAGCGATTTCTGCTTCCGGAAGCGGTACGACATAGCCCACATGACGAACCGGACATCCCAGTTCGTAAATGTGGGATACGTCCATAGCTCGAGCGCATTATGCGGTGGAATATGCTCCAGGAAATCCGACACCACACCAAGGGTTAATCCCCACAACAGCAACGGGGCTTGTCTTTTGTGATACCCTGCTTCGGGTCCCATAAGCGCCTCCCTAATCGTTCCCAGCACACCGCTGTCCGGCGTGTCTCCTTCCGGTACGAAGCCTGGGATCGAGGCGCAGTATGTGGAGTTCGAGGGTACTAGGCGGATGGCGGCGAACATCATCTTGCTAAGCATGGCTTGAAGAAACCAGCGCTTTATGCCTAGCTCGGAGCGGGCGAGGCGCGCGGATACGTCGGCGTATTCGTATGTGCGGAGCGCGGGGGATTGGAGGGCACGGAGGGACACCCAGTGCGTACTGGCTACTTCGGTGGGCTGGAGTTTTTGGGCCGGGTATAGGGGTGAGGTTAGGAGGTAGACGTAGGGGCAGAGTACCATTAATCTACAAGCCGTCAACACACGTTTAGGGGTTAACTTAGGGGTGTGATCAGAACTTACGGTACCTTTCCCCAGCTAGTTGTAACAATCCTCTGCGGCAAATTCCCCACAGCTATCGCATTCGCATAGCTAAGATCAATGCCCACCTCCTCGAGCGACTCCCTCATAGCAGTGACCTGGTCATCCTCGTCCTCCGGGTCCCGCTTCCCTCCTGGGAGGGCCACATGGCCATTCCACTTGTCCCCTACCCTTGTCGCCCTCTTTATGAACAGCAACTCCGGATCTCCATGTTTCACCCAGTCCTGCTCAAAAAACGTATCTAATATGTCTTTGAATGAGAGCTTGTGAGGCGGATGCGAAGCCACCGATGAGCGGCGACGTGGCTGTGTAGGGCTGCGTGGATGCGGAGCGGGATGATGAAGCGGAAACGGTTTATCCTGTACGGCGGGCCAGTGTGCGTAACCGGGCTGTATGCGGAGGATCAGGGCTACGGACGCGCGTTTCGGGAGTCCAGGTGGGCAGGCGACCTCGGGGTAGGGGTGAGCATTTAGCCCGAGAAGGACGGACTTTAGGTGGGAGATCAGATCTTCTGTTCCTGTGTCGGAAGACATTGCGGTTTGAGGGGGGTTAAGCAGAGGGTATGAGTTATGAATGGTACATTATGGAGGCCGCACGCAGAGTCAGACCGGAGAACCGAGGCCCGATATCGAGACGGGTGGTGATTGGCTGCTATGGGGTCATAGAAGAATTTAGAGGATGTAATGACTTTCCCTGCTACGTATAGTGATGTATATCGTGCAATTGACGTCTCTAAACAAAGGACGGGCGCAGATTGACGCTGTTGCGAGAGGCTCGATGTTTGCTGCTGGGTCTATCCGCGGCAGAGCTTGGGCCACCTCAGCCTTGCCGAAATCGGGAGGGGCAGTCGCGACGTCAAGGTCTGAGTGGGGCCCAGCACAGAAAAGTTTCCACGGGCAGCCTGACCACGAGGGGTTTGCAGCCTTACTCTGATACCCCAGCTTTCGTCTTCATCTTCACTCCTTCTGTCAATTGAATCTGTACAAAATCAATCCTTACACAATGGGCGGCCAAAAGACTGGTAAGTGCGCGGCGCCGTGAAGCCCGGACGAGTGCTCATTCGACGCAGCCATTCTGTCGGTATACGACAAGACCGGCCTCCTCGACCTGGCCAAAGGTCTCCACGACAATGGAGTCCGACTGCTAGCCTCCGGGGGCACTGCAAAGATGATCCGCCAGGCGAACTTCCCCGTCGAAGACGTCTCTGCCATCACCAAAGCGCCCGAGATGCTGGGCGGGCGCGTCAAGACCCTACACCCCGCTGTCCATGGAGGAATACTAGCTAGGAACCTCGAGTCGGATGATTCAGATCTTTCGGCTAATAGCATCGATAAGATCGACTTCGTCGTCTGCAATCTCTATCCCTTCTCAGAGACGGTTGCGCGGATCAACGTCACGATTCCGGAGGCGGTTGAGGAGATTGATATTGGTGGCGTGACACTGCTGAGAGCTGCGGCGAAGAACCACGCTAGGGTTACAATCATCAGCGACCCGAAGGACTACCACGACTTCCTCACCGAGCTCAAGGAACATGGCGAGGTCACGGAGAAGAGCAGGCAAAGGTATGCGCTGAAAGCATTCGAGCAGACTGCGGGATACGACAGCGCTATCTCTGGCTTCTTCCGGAAGAAGTATGCTGGCGAGGGCGAGCAGCAACTGCCCCTTCGATACGGCGCAAACCCGCATCAGAAGCCGGCGACAGTGTTCATGCAGGATGCGCAATTACCCTTCAAGGTGCTGTGCGGCGCGCCGGGATACATCAATCTGCTGGATGCACTGAATGCTTGGCCGTTGGTGCAGGAGCTTAGTGACGCCCTCAACTACCCGGCTGCGGCTAGCTTTAAGCATGTCTCGCCTGCTGGCGCGGCAATCGGAGTACCCCTCAGCGAGGAAGAGCGGAAGGTCTACATGGTGGATGACATTGATGCTATCGAGAGCTCGGGACTGGCGCAGGCATATGCAAGAGCACGCGGTGCGGATCGGATGTCGAGCTTCGGAGATCTCATCGCTCTTTCACACGAGGTCGACGTATGTGAAATTGGTCCATTACATGCTATCACTCTACGCTAACGCAAAAGCAGGTGCCCACCGCGAAGATCATCAGCCGAGAAGTATCGGATGGAGTCATCGCGCCAAAGTACACAGAGGAAGCATTGGAGATCCTCAAGAAGAAGAAGGGCGGGAAGTACTTGGTTCTTCAGATGGATCCCAGCTACGTTCCGGGACTGGTGGAGAAAAGGACAGTGTTCGGTATCACGCTGCAGCAACACCGCAACGACGCCAAGATCTCTCCTGCAGATACGTTCAACACGGTCATTGTGCCTAAGAACTCGTCTCCGCTGCCGGAATCTGCACTTAGGGATCTGACCGTTGCTACCATTGCGCTCAAGTACACGCAATCAAACAGCGTGTGCTACGCGCTCAATGGCCAGGTTATTGGTCTCGGAGCTGGCCAACAGTGTAAGTTACTGTTCATTCACTATCGTTCCATTCAGGCTAACGCATTCCAGCTCGCATCCACTGCACACGCCTGGCAGGCGACAAGGCCGACAACTGGTGGATGCGCTTCCATGAGCGCACCTTGAACCTCAAGTGGAAGAAGGGCACGAAGCGCCCCTCAAAATCCAACGCCATCGACCTCCTCTGCGGCGGCCTTGTCCCGGACTCCGGCATCGAGCGCGAAGACTTCGAATCACACTTCGAAGAGGGCCAGGTCCCGCAATCTTTTACCGCTGAAGAGAGGAAAGCGTGGCTTCAGAAACTACAGGGTGTCGCTCTTAGCTCCGACGCCTTCTTCCCATTCATCGATAATGTGTTCAGGGCGGCGAGAAGCGGAACGAAGTACATCGCCGCGCCGACGGGCAGCCAGAACGATGGCGCAGTGTTTGAGACGGCGGAGAAGCTGGGAATTACGTTTGTGGAGCAGCACGTTCGGCTGTTCCACCACTGAGGGACTCGTTTACGGGTGCCTTGCCTGACGGGAATGGATGGATTTACGACGAAATGATCTGCATTAGAAAGGGGAAAACTGGGTTAGGTCGGATGATATCAAAAAGCTTCGTAGCTGTATAAACATTCAACATGTCTCTTTTCAGTTAAGCCCCTTCCTTTCATTCCAGCATCTGCGCGAGCTGTGATCCCTGTTCATACCTCATCTTTGACAGCTTCATGGTACGCAGGAGGAGTGGACTCCTCCCTCTCCATCTGTCCCTCCCTATCCTCAAGCTCATACGCCCCCACCTGCGCTTCCTCATCCCTCTCCCGCCGCGCTCTTCTCTGCCTAGCTGCATCCCTCTGCCTCCTAGCCCTCACAAACCGCTCACATTTCCTCGCAAACCACCACCCCCAAGCGATCACCAACCCCATCACAATAATCCCCGGAATCGCCAGCGTGAACGCCAGCACCAAGCCAATCTCCACCTTCGGATACGTCTTCTCCATCTGGCTTTCAAAGAAAGCAAGAACCTCCCCATTCATCCTCGCGCCGTAGTAAAAGTCCCCCACGGTGCCCAAATGCACGCCCAGTCTCCAGACCTCGGACTTCGTAACGTAGCCGCAGTGCCCGCCCCAGTTGACGGTGCGCTTGAGACGCATGCCGTTGCTTCCCGGGATGGGGGCGGAGCTGCAGTACCCGGAGGGGCAGTCCGGAGAATGTGTGGCATTGTTGAGGATGGCGCGTAGCAGGTGGGATTTGTAGGTTAGGTGCCAGGGTGTTTCGATGTAGTAGAGGCCAGGGATGTCCGGGTGGAGGGGGCTGCCGACGAGGGTGTTGTTGGGGTAGATGGCGGTGAAGTAGAGGGTGGAGGAGGTGTCGTAGAGGCAGGTTGTGACTGTGGTGGCTATGTAGGTGTCGGGGGAGAGGATGCTGCGGACGGTGTCTAGGACTGTTGATAGGGCGGTGGAGGTTTTGCGTGTTCCGTTGTGGGTGTTGCTCGATAGCGTAGTATTAGTGTTGGTCGTGGTGGCAGTGTTTAGCGCGGCGGTTTGAGTGCTAGTGAGGGACAAGGCGGGTGTGGATGTGGATGTGGATGCCGAATTGTCGACGTCCCGCCGGGTCCGGGTGACGAGCTGCGCTTCCGAGGTGCCCATAGAGGCGTCATCAGCTGTCATTATGCGCGTAGCCAAAGTCGTCGCGGAAACGAACGCATTTGCGTCCTCGCCGAAGCTCGAAGTCGACGTTGTGACGGGCGACACTGTCTCCACATCAATGGGACCGTGTCCGGCCATGGCACTCATCGCTGTAGACGCGGCATAAGCGGTCAGCGCCACTATTCTTCTGTACTTCATTGCAACGGTGTGGTTTCTAGGGGGGTTTATACGGCTTCAGTGTTGCGCAAAAGGTGTTTCGGTGAACGTGTTGTAAAATCGTGGAAGGGAGCTGTTAATATATAGTAGGGAGCAATTTTTGCTCGAGGTGCAGCAGTCTCGCGGGCGCTTTCTGTTGGGCATGCCACATGCCTGGGAGGGCGTACCATGGATCGTGGCAGAAGTTGGGCTGCTACATGCGAAAACTGCAATTCTTCGTCTAAACACATCCAGCAGTGACAGTATGTATCGATCGCATTACGATCATACCTCTCGAAGTGGCATCTCCTAGAATTGGAGGGCCACAAGGTTAATAGGACTCCGAAGCCATTTTCCTGCCAACTCTACACAGCATGTACACTTACCTTTAGGCGACGATCTCCTTCCCATCCTTATCCACGAACCTCACTCCCTCATTATCCCCTTTAACCCAGCTCACCTTCCCGTCCGCATCCCATCCGAAACTCACTGCTCCCCCACCCCTAATCCTGAACCCCTTCACGCTCCCATTCCCCCACTCCTTCGGAATCGCTGGCCCCAGTACCACCGTCCTCTCGTCTCCACCCATGCCGACCTCCTCCACATCCACAACCAGCATACTAAGCACCGTGCCCGCGAACCCAAAATTCGCATCAATCTGAAACGGTGGATTCTTCCCCGAATACATACTCAGTCCATTCCCCACAAAGTTCTGCTCGATTGCGTACTTGAGCTCAAAATATGCGCGCTCGGTGTTATTGAGACGTGCCCAGCATGCTGAGCGCCATACCTTCTCCCATCCGCTATTAGCGTCTGGCCCATTGCCGATGCCGCGCGAGTAGAGAGATGTAGCGACTGCATCTTGGATAGTGCGGTTCGTGTAGCCGGAGAGGAAAGAGGCGGATGGGGAGGAGAGACTGAGGCCAGGATACCAGCCCCAGAGGTGCGAGAGGTGGCGGTGAGTGTCGTTTTGGAAGTCGTAGACTTGGGAATCTTCCGGGTCGGGGAGCTTCCACTCTTTGACGCCGTCCCAGGACGTGAGGTGGAAGCCTTTGTCGAGGCGAGACAAGGTGATGCTGATGTTGGTGATGAAGGCGGAGTCGGGCTCAGAAGCGAGAGGGCCGAGAACGAGCATGTTGGCGAAGAGTTGGTGCAGAAGCTGCTGGTAGTGCGTGCATCCAAAGGTTGTAGGACCGTGTTCAGGGCTGTTGCATGGATTTACGACGAGTGTCCCATCATTCCAATACCGGTCTTCTTGGAGCTGCGAGAGCCAGAACTGCGTTACGCCTTTTAAGAGCGGATATCCCGTTTCCTTCAACCAAGTCATATTCTGAGAATAGGAGAAATGATCGGTAACATGCTGCATCATCCAAGCAGCTGACGCGGGATAGTTGGCCCATTGTGCATCCTCCTTCATTCCAGTATGTCCGAAAACATTCATCTCATCATGGGTGACCCAGCCGGGTGCTCCGTATAGTAGCTTCGCTGTTTCCGTGCCTCGCGGAACCCATGTGTCTTGCATGTAGCGCCATAAGCCGTGCTGGATTTCTCCTAGGCCGGTTTGCTCAGCACCCCAGTAATTCATTTGCAGGTTGATATTGGCGTGATAGTCGGCTGACCACGCAGCCGCTAAGTCTGGGCTCCAGCGTCCTTGGAGGTTCGCGGGAAGCGAGTTGTCCCTTGATGATGAGATGAGAAGATGGCGAGAGTAGTCGAGGAGCAGAGATTCTACGTACGGATCCCCATTGTTGGAATCATACCGACCAAAGAGGACTGACGTTTCCACATTGGATGAATTATCTGAGTCCGGAAGGTCTAGCGTGAACGCGCTTGAAAGGCGTTGATAATCGTTAAGATGCCGCTGCCTGAGCTGACTCGAAGAATGAGAGGCAGCTTCAGATGTAACACTTTGGACATACTCCGCTGGGTCATCGCCGCGAAACGAGAAGTTGGATGCCGCATTGCCTTTGGTCTGGTCGTAATTGGTCCCTGCGCCAACGACTATGCTGAGAGATCGTAGCCCAGAGGTTCGAGGGACTACCATGAGTCCTCGCTCTTCGTCACATCTGGTAGAAATATTACCTGCGCCGACTATCCTTACCACGCCTTCATACCTCATGCCCTCGGGCGGCCCCACCTGCGTGATTCCGGTAAGCCCAGTGTAGCCATGGCCGCATGTGGAATTTGCCAGCGTGCTGTTCACAAGTTGGTTTTCTAGTCTAATAGAAAGCTCCGGTAGTGTGCCATTTGAGTCCAGCTGGTAGATGCAGACCTGGTCCGGATAACTGCAGAGTATGGATGCCGTGAACGCGTTGCCAACGACATCGGAGAAAACCGTCGTGTGTATTCCGGTATCGAGATCTAGTTGTCTTCGGTATGTGCCGGGCATCATAGTGGCATTGTGTAATACTGATAGATTGCCCATGACCTGATACGAGCCATAGCCGTCGCTCTTTCCTAGAAGCTGGGACACGTCTGTATTCCTTAGCACAGAATTCGAACTTTGACAGTATACATACTTCCGGTAGTATTTTGGAAAATCCAGTCACGTATTCCTGAAAGATAGGTGTACTTCTCTTCGCTTGGATTTCCGCCCGTATAGTTCTGTTTGCCATTAGCTTCCGGATACCGATTTTTGCGCCAGATCAGATGTCTTACGGTGGCGCCAAACGGCCCACCCGCCCAGAGCGAATCGACGTTTAGGACAATCTTCTCATTTCCAGGAGAGCCAAACGGCATTGCTACACACATTAGCCGGCGCCGGAAGCCTCAGTTGCCGAGACATTACCCCCTAGCCTGCCATTGCCGAGCAAGTATGCCTCTCGGATGATGTTCGAGTAATTGGTTGCCGACGTCGATGACCAAAGCACTTTGGCATTACAGAGAACTGTCGCTAAAGGAGCTAAAGTAATGATCAAGTTGATGAAACGGTACATCATGAAAACTCCGTATCAACCAGCCGTGGAGTGATGAACGAAGAAATCTGCAGTCTGAAGAACAGCAGGCTAGGTACTAGTGAAACGTATCACAAAGAAAAGCCTGATGTAAAATCGGAGAAATTCTAGACGGGGAACATCTGCAGGTATAATTACGGTTCTCCACTCCCACGGTGCAGCAACGCGGGTGCGGTTCGGACGGATTTATTTCATTGTTGGGCCGCATCGCTCTTTCAATCTTCCTCTGCGCTGTTGTTAGCATCTTGGAGCGTAAGTGAATATTTTTCCGCACAAGAAATCGGCAAGAGGAGATGCCCTCCGTAGGTCTCAGAAAGAGGCCGGAGATGAACGATGCAAACGGACGGGTTAGTGTGTTTCTAGCTTAGTAAGCAAATGAATAGAAACCACGCAGCCATGTTGCACTGACGGGTTCGGAGATCTTCAGTCAATCGTTCTAGTATCGGGATACTGAAGATAGCACGTCAATGGAATGCCATTTCAATTGATATTTTCTCGCCTAGCAGACCCAGTCGTTAAACCGAGCTATCTACATTCCATTCTGGTCCTCAAATCCCCAGCTCCTCCAGAACCGGAGGGTATCATAACCATTACCAGATAATGAGAGCAAGGGAGGCTCCCGACTGAGCACGCATACGGAAGGAAGCAGTTGAGGGGTGGATTTGTATGAAGGCAATGATCGTGAGACGTGGTCCCCTCTTGGTGGCAAAATTCTGACATGAGATGAACTCGGATATGTTTGGGATGGATGAGAGACGAAGGCCCAGGCTGAATCGCTTCAGCTCCCTTTGCAACTCTCGATCACTGCTCATCGGGTTCCTCCGGCTGGTCGAAGAGAAAATTTGCGGCCAGCTCCTCGTTCTTGTCGCACGCGAAATAGGCTTGGATAACGAGATCGCGCTCGAAACCGAGGCGGCACAGACGCTCGATAGCCTCGCGCTCCTCCTCGGTGACGCTGATAGCCTGGGCACCCGGCGGCAGCGGCGCATCCTCGTCAGCATCCTCCGCAAGCAGCTGCAGGAACTGGTCCGGGTGATTGGCGATCATCTGGGCCAGCTGCGGATTTCCGGCTCCGACTTGCTGCAAGATGGGCTCAAGCATCTGCGGCTGCTGTTGTACAACCTGTCGCAGTTGTTGGAATTGTGGGTTGTTACGCAGGAAATCTAGACTATTGCTGCCTAGAGCGGCGCCAGCTCCAGCCGCAGCACCAGTACCGCCAGAGCGAGCACCACCAGCGCCGCCTCGGCTTCCTTGCCCGGCTTGGGCAGCTGCTTCGAACAGATTGATGGGCTCGTCACCTCCAGAGGTGGTAGGGGCTGCACCCGTGTTCCCACCGGTGGCGGGTGGAGGAGAGGTCGGCCCACGCGATTGCCTAGGTGAGGCTTGCTGCTGCTCTTGGGCAGCGCTCTCTGGAATACCCTGATATCACGTCAGCATATAACCATGACGCACGTAGAAGGGTATGTCTCACGGTCAGGAGGTACTCGACCGCACGGTCGGGATTGAAGTATGCGGCACGCATGGCCTGGTCAATATCGGCCCTAGCGAAGCCCATGCTCTCCATATTGGCAATAGCGGCTTCACGCTCGCTACCCATGGTCAACGCCGACGGATCATTGAAGCGGGTTGAGTCGGACGATTGCTGAGCCGGAGCGGGCGAAGGAGTAGCTGGAGCATTCTGGGCGGTCGACGATGAGGGAGCGGGAGCGGCGGGAGCAGGAGCGGAGGGCGTCTGGGCGGTCGTGGGCGCAGGTGTTGACGGTGCTGCCTTACTTGATGAAGCAGCGGTCGTCTTAGGCTGTGGGGACTGTTAGTGACGTCTTTCGACGTGGTCCACGGCAGTACGAACCCTAGACACCATGCAGACAATGAAGCCCTTCTCTTCGATGTTGTATGATTCGATCGTGTTTGCATCTTGGAGGATCTTGCCTAATTCGCCGGTTAGGACCTGCAGCCGCACATGTCTCAGAGCTTTGAGGAACCGAGATGAAGAGCTTACCGGAGTAGATCAGCTTCTGCTGCGCAACCTCCCAGCCTTTATCGGCCTGGATCTTGCCCTTGAGCTGGCCAATCTATAATACACTTCAGCCCTCCGGTCTGTTACAATAGCAAGCCAGCGTATAATGTCCGCGTACCGTTTCCGATGGCTCAGCATCTATGACGAACTTGTTCTGCTTGAGGTCCTGTATCAGGCGTCAGCTAATTCTGTCTCCGAAGCAGCAGGTCAGACACACCTTGAAGGTGATCTTCATTGTGGCGAGTTGTTGAGACACAGCTGCACAAAGCGAGGTTGGGTTCGGTGATGGTGGTGAGAGGGTGAGGCGGGGACGTTGTAGTGGCGCTGGGCCGGGCACGCTTTATGAACAGATGGGGCTTCAGCCAGGCGCGGTGAAGGCGGCAGAGTCTGGAAGGGAGATGTTGGAGCGTTTGCTCGTGGCGAGCGAGCGAAGGCGATGGAAGAGCGTCAGGCAGAACCACCTTCGTAACCACGGCACCCACCTGCTCGACTGCGGGACCGCCAAGGCCGGGATGCGGTAGAAGTATTCACCGGCGGGCGCAGGTGGCGGTGCCTCCTTCCTCAACACCTGGGCAGGGGTATGAAAGTCACGTGTGCGTAATTTCCGCTAGCGTGTCTCTGCTGCGACCGCCGGCCCCTCAACACCAAGGATCTCGCTGGCTGTCGCTCTGCAGGTCGTCCCATCAGCCGCAGCCGCGCCCGGAACTTTGTTTTCTTTCCTGTATGTTTCGGCTTCACGAATCGCCAATCGGTCGTCCAAGAGAGTGAGGGGTATCGTTTCGCCTTCACGCGCATGGCACCTCAGACAAGTGGCTGCAGCGTGTGTACGACTCTCGCCTATTGCTTGCAGTGGTATACGTCGCGCCAGCCGGCACTGCAGGTGATACACATCTATCGACACCGGTACTACCTCCGTATCGCTCTGCCAGCGCCGCCTCCCGTCGCCTCCGTGAGAGCTCGAGGTTTTGTTGGTGTTTATGGAAAAACAACGCCCCAAACAACGCGTGGGAAATGAAGGGCTCCTCGCGACAGCTCCGCTCTGGAAGCATGACAGGCGTCCCTAGGTTTGTGTAGTCAAACAACATCTCCGCACGTCGGCCGGAGGCTCATCACTGCTCATTGGTCGCGTCTCCCGTCTCCGAGAGTTTCTGACCGTTCTCCATCACGCCGTTTTCGTCGTTTTGCGATTCTCAGACCCGCATGGCGGCCGCAACGCTCCAGCAAATGCTCACGCTTTGAGCCACTTACTCTAGGATGCGCTGCCAATGTTCCTCCGTGTGCCACCGACCATCTGCACGTCGGCCAAGCTGTGGTCGTGCAACCGGCCGATTTTCGAATCTCACTTCCGCGAGAATGCCTGCAAGCAGTAGTGACGCGATCAAGGATCTTCGTTAGCTACCCATACCCTGGCGCGCTCCACCACGCGTCCAGGCGTAACCCACAAAACATGCTCTAGCTCAGCCTTCTCTTGTCTTCTAAATTTATTAACACTCGTGGGACCCCACATGCTTTGCGCCGTTCTGCTTCTGTCCTTCGTTCGCCAATTCACTCGCTTTTTTCTCCAACAAACCTTCGCTTCTAGCCTCGTTGTGTCTGTTACTTCTCCACGAAACCGATGACCTGGGCTCTGGTTAATTAGAGGATATCAGCCGGCCCTGGACTACTATACTCGCCACACTTTGGAAAACGTGAGCTTTCCGAATCTGGCCGCCGCGTCGCGTTCGACTATAGTACCTTCACATATCCTGCCGGCACTATCAATTCATCCCGTTCCTCTCACGCGTTCGGTCTCGTGCTCATCGTCGACTGGGCGGCGCGGGTCTCAACACTGGCGCTTTCAACCGCATAATTTTCGCGTTTCTTCGTCACGCCTCTCCCTCAATCTCGAATCGATCCACTGTTATGGCCTGAAAGTTCACGTCCTGGCAACGCCGCAACCTCAAGGGGCAATTCCCTTCGTCGTCATCTGGGTAGCAACATTACTGAGTCTGGACCTTTTCGATTGGCCCCGGGCGTCGCCCTACACGCTTTGTACTCCCACGTCACAATCCGTCAGCTTGGACCCCTGCTCATACCTAACTGCGCCCATCCAGCCCCACTGTACTCGGGGCGTTGAAGGCCTTCAAGGTGGCCTTTCCAAGGTCACTGTGGCCAAGGCCTTGCAGGCAACACCATGTTCCGATCTCGCAGATTCTACCTTTCTCTTCTAGGGGCAGTAGCCTGGTACGTATACCACGACACAGCAGCATGTCTAAGCTTCCAGTCTGCAGAGCCACTCATGAAGGCCTTCAGCAGATAGTGACTGCTAGGATATATTAGCTTGTTGCCCTCTCTCTCCTTAACACTAGACATGTACTAATATGCGCTACTCCTTCGCAGGTCTACCACTGCCGCCGACACTGTGTTGGACATTCTCGGTGCGGCTTCTCTATCAGCCGCTAAGGTTTCTTTCGTCAGTTTGGCAGCTGCCGCAAGTGCGCTGGACGTTGTGGCCCTTGCTTCTATGGCGGTGTTTTCGACCCAATATGCATGGAAAAGAGAAGGACTCATCAAGAACTCAACGCCATCGAGACGCATTCTTGCGATCTCCTGCGTTGTTCTTTCAGGCACAGCCCTGATTGTGTCCTTGGCGTCTATTGTTACTATCAAATCCCGATTGAAAGAGGTACGTAAGTTGGATGGTATATCAGTGGATGGCGATTTCATCTCGGGAAGGCTACTCCTAAACGTCTTCAGCGTATACCCAGCATCGACATGCTTAGTGTTGAGCGTTGGTCTCTTTTCATTTGATTTAGGACATATGCTAATTAGTACCGCCGCGTTCACAGGTCACCTCAGCACACTCAAGAGGAACAGTTACCGACTGGAACGACTATCTTAACGGTCAGATTGGCGTGTGGATATTGGCCTGTTTGACGCAGTGCGCGTTATATTCTTCTCTGCTATGGAGCAAACCTAAACCACAAATCCAGCCGATATCCCTCTCTGGACCTCGGGACTCAGTCATGTCAGAAGTACGACACTCAGACCAAACGGCTAATTTGTACATTCTGGAGCCAACTCAACCATCCTCACCGCTCGCTGCGCTTCCTTCTCCGACATTCTCCACCCGTTCGTCTCAGTCGCTGAAGTCTTGGCGGGAGTCGCTTCACCATGCGGTACGTAGGTCCTACTACACATTCCACCATGTCTCGATCATATCCTATCGGCGGTGGGAATCCCCACCCGAAGGCCCTCAGCAAAGTGAAGACGCTAGACATGCTGGGTATTGATTTGATTGACCCAAGACATTTGCTAATGATTAATACTATGTTCGTAGGTACGACCTGTCACGTCTCGGACAAAGCTCATCAAACAACCGTCTTTCACACGTGACGCACGGAGCATCTACTCAGACGGTCACTCGATCGCTAACGTATCACAGTCTGACGGCTTTGACTCCTGGGAGGTAGGTCGCCGTTCGCATATCAGCCTTTCCAAGTCGCTGACGTGTCCACCCTCGACTGCAGGTCGACCCTCAAAGCAAAGATGCAGCTATACAACTAGCATCAGCACCATCTCGCGGAACTGCTCTCGAGCCAATTCCTGGAAGTCGCCCTGCATCTCCGGCTCGCGCACTAGATGGTCCCTTTCCGGCATCCGACGACGGGCATGACGAGTTGCCTCCTCCCCCTAAGCTGATGCCTGATATCTCACGGCCACCAAGTCCTGCCATCAGCGAAGCGCATATACATCCCCTATTCCGATCCGAGGTACGTGTGTCGCAGCACCCAGACTAGCGTATGTTAGCTGGGCTTTTGAAAACTACCCCTGAAAGCCTTCATCAGACTAAGCGTATGCTAAGATATGATGTGCTTTAAATTCCCCCCGCTCTAGCTTGATGATATAGGCTAACATTGCTGCGCCATTCATAGAGCCCCACTCCGCCTCCAGCAGCAACACCCGGCACAAGTATTGTCGCCAGTCCGCTGGCCAATCAGATGATCGCGTGCCCACCGCGTCCCTATAGTCGGATGCGGTCAAATAGCCGCGCTGGTAGTCCAAGCCCTCTGGTGCATTCCCAAAGTTTTCAAGAGCGCGCCATGACGCCCCAGCGGAATTCAAGAAGCCCGTCACCGCCCAGCCGAGAGATGACTCCGCCAATCCCAGATTTCGTCCTCAATCCTTCACCGAGAAGCAGTATGAGCGGGACGCACAGCCGGCGAAAAGTCAGCCTGCCGGTGGAAACGGGCCGATGATTTCACTGGCCACGCGCAACAAAGGATGGAGCCCTGAATCTCTTCAGGCTGCTGTATCCCAACCCCGCTGTAGCTTGGACACCAACACGCATGATTACGGACGTAATGTGATAATGTGCGTAATGTTTCAGTCTTTCACGCGGAATGACTCATTCCTTTATTTTAACGAGCGAGTCCCTCGACGTCTGACTCCTGGGCATATTTTCCTTCTGTTCTTCCCATCTCAGGCGCTCCTTGGCGAGCGCTTAGAGCGTTTGAGCGTTTGGTTCGGCGTCCTGGAGATTGAATGTACAGGCTTCGGCTTTGGGTGTGTGGAGCAGCGAAAAATTTCAACAACCCTTAGCCGTAGTAGTTCTTGATGTGCTCGACGCCACTTGTGGTGGCTGAGGCAGATTCGGTTTGGTTGTTTTGGATATTGAAGGTATACCGGGTATACAATCACTAAACTCACTTCTGTGGGTTCTTCGCAGGTAGCAATTTACTGAGTGAATGTTCAGTTGCTGTTTGTTGTTGGTGTTGTACTATGCTGTTCTGTGCTTGTGCTTGTGCTGCAAATATATCGGGCGTGGACCTCTCGGTAGCGTGCTGATGTAAGGGATCATACCAGTCTATTTAGATGCCTGATGACACCTTGGCATGCTACCCCATATCCTCTATCCGGGTGCACGGAATATCTGCAATTGTACTGAATATCCCATTTGGGCGCGTGTTGTTCGGCGAGGCTTGGCACCAGGGGAAGTTCTGCTGTTGACGTGCATGAGTAGCTGGCCAATAGGAGCATTTAGAAAAGCCTGACGTGGAGCTGGCAATGCTGCATCTTGCGCTGGCCCCGAGGACGGTAGAAAATTGATCAAAAACGTCACCTGGAGCGCCTCCACTGTCTGCGCCGGTGCGCAGGGTCGGAGCAAACCGCCCGTACGGATTTTTGGAGGCTGCTGAAACCCTTTCGTATGCGCAAGGCTGGACTTTCCATTTCCGGGTGGCAAACAGCTGGGCAGGATCAAATCAAGCTTCCCAAAATCATCAGAGCCAACCTGCAGCCGTGAACAGAACCAAGTAGCGTCGTCATTGTTTTCCACCTCCACAAGTGAAAGTAGCCACGAAGTCCTTTCACAGCGCCGATCGATCTAGCGCTGCGGCTAATGACGTTCGTTTCTGAAACTCAGCATGAAGCAACGGGAAAGCATACATCTACTGTGTAGAGCAAGCCAGCGGAACAGATGAAGAATGAAGAGATGTCGCTGAAAATGCTTGAGGCGGATGGACTCGATAATCGGCGTTATGAGCTGCGGATGAGGTGAGCGCTGTGCATCAAATTCGCTTGCCCTCTTGGGACGCCGCCTGCATGGCGAGGCGGGCCCAGCTGTTTGGGGGGGCCCACCTGAAGTCGCAGCGCATTCACAGTCGAAAGGCAAGAATCGCATGCTCGAGGACACCCTGCACAATAGCATTGAAGACGGAGCCCCTCTTATTGTCTGCTGTCGAGCCAACGGGCATGTGCAGACACTCGGGTAAGCGCCTGCACAGGAAGGCTGTGATCCCTGTCATGCTCCCGAATTAGGTAAGGCGCCAGCCGTGCTCCCCAGAAACCCTTCTCACCATCGCGGAACAACTTCACGACCTCGCACACACACACTTGCGACAATTCAAGAGCTTGCCTCTTCCGCAGCGACCTCCTTCTTTCCTGTTACTTGCGCAAGCAGACTCCGGCTGCGTGCTGCGGCCATCTCTTCTGCGTATCCTCATCCGCGCCGCGCGGACCATTTTTGCAGGGTCGCCGCTTCCTTCTGCTTCCAAAGCTGCCGACCATCCAGCACACCCCCCTCCAGGACGATTGCGAAAAGCCTCTGTGCTAGATCGCCACTCGCCGGAGTATGAGTCTTTAGTCTTGTGACTATTCCTTCTGCATCGCATTGCCGCCTCAGTCATTGTGCCACGGAGGCCAGCGGACCGGGTCACAGTAAGTAAACCTTCACACTCACCACCCACCTTCCTCTGCTCCACCTTATTCGCGTCTCTGCTTCCATGCTACTCGGTGGCGGACGTCAAATTGGCTCACACTCTCGAGCTTGAATAGCTCAAGACGTATCATTCACTCCGTTTCAAACGCTGACAGTGCTGTCTTACAGGACTTGCAATTCACCCACGATCCGCGGTGAAGCGTTCTCGCGCGGCCTAGATTGGCAGTTCGAGCGTGTAAGTGCATCCCGCTGCTCACTTCTGCATTCCAATCTTGCAAGTTTTGCTGCGTTCTATGAGATCTGGTCACGGGCTAACGGACTGCTTGTTTCCACGTTCAGGGTCTCACCATAATGCCGCCCAAGCGCAAGAATAAAGCGACAAAGGCGCCGGCAACCACGCCTCCGAAGGCGTCGCCCGGTATGTCCACTTCATCTCCTCTACGCTCTCTGCACCTTGCCTCCAGGGTCATGCTAACAGGTTATTTACTTGGCACAGCCGCAATACGGGCTAGCTCCATCGTTAAGCGAAGGAATAGTCTTCAAGGAGCGAAGACGTCGCGCCTTGCTCCCTCTGAACCGCTCCACATGACAACTCGCCGTGCTGCAAAGACGGCCTCAAATCACAACAGTCCGGCGGCGCCATCACTTTCAGACTCAAGCAGTCGCCGCAGCTCACTGAATGACTTCGCGCAATACGAGGATGCCCGTTCCGAGATCGAGGATGAGCGACCGGCGAAGCGCGCCCGACTTTCGACCGACACTGGTTCGCGCCGTGCATCTACAGATTCTCTGGCCGATCACATCGCTGTAAATGGCGCCCAAACCCCGGATTCGCAACCAAAGCCGGCGTCGCGTACCTCATCTGACGACTCCAAGTCGTCCAGCAAAAAGAGGCGAGCGTCAGATGAATCGATACAGTCCAGCAAAGCAGTTAGCGCACGCACCAATGGTGTTCTCACCCGTACCCAGGGCGACATTTCCGAGCAGCAGCCGCGCAGGAAGAAGCGCAAGACAACACAAGCCGCAGAAGAGGCTGCTGACCAGCCACCCGAGTTGACAGATGGCTCCACTACGCCTAACTCGCCTGAGCGGATCGCTGCAGTCGAAGGCAGTCAGAACCTCCATCATGTTCTGCCGACCAATGGCGATGCGCCTGCTAAAACTGGAAGGCGATTGCCTGGTCGTCGCCGCGCACCCCATCCGGACATCAACGTCGAGACCGATCTGCGCCGACAGCTTAATTTGAAGATGAGCTATCGCAGCCTTGCCAAGGTCCAGAAGAGTCTTTTAGAAGAATTGTCCAACCGAACGACCAACAGTCTCGAGAACGACCCTGATTACTACAAGAAATGCCCGGAGTATGAACCGCTCATGGCAGCTCTCGACGAGCACAAAGAGCGCCGCCTTTCCCAAGTCAAAGCCCAGCGGAGTGAGAAGCTGGAGCAGCTAGAGCGCGTCCGTGTCGCTACAGAGCATATCGAGCGGCAGAAGTACCTTGTAAGTGCGTTACCACTGCCACAGCGATTAGTGCTAACCGAAGTAGCAACGCTTCAGAGATCTTCAGGACGATTTGCTTCTACAATGTTTTTATCGTCTGAAGCAAATCGAACGAGAGGCGAAGGGTGAGGACGGAGCTGCTACCGAAGATGAAGTAAGTTTCTCATGTCGTGACCGTCTCCCGACTTACCTAACGTTCCCATCAGGAGAATATCATTCCGGCCACGCGCATAGACTTCCCCGCTCACGGTCAGGATGATCGCCTCGTCTCAAAGTTCGCTTCTCGCAGTCGCGCCTATGTGGAGACGGAGCGCTTAGTCGATGAAGAGATTGTGCGGAAGCAATTCGACGAACAGCGAAAGGCCTTTGTTGCTCAAAACGAAGAGGCCGACGACTCTATCGAGGACATTCCTGGCGGTTTCGCAAACTTCGTGGGGCCGGATCGCGCCGAGGCAATTGCCCACCGCAATATCATGAACCTTGCCGACGCCGCCACCAAGGCTGAAATCGTGACTGCCATTCCGAATGAGCAGGCAGACGCCTTATTCGTGCTCGCCTCCTTATCAGCGGAGAGGCCCCGAGGAGAGCCCCTTGAAGAGAAGAACTATCCGCCACCACAGGCCATGCCGCTTGCTCAAGTTTCTTCGCCAGTTCCGCAGGATGGACTAGATAGACAGACATCACCCGCCCCACCTTTCTCGATCGCGTCGACTACGATGTCATTAGAGACAGCACAGAACACTCCAGTCAAAGCTCCACAAGGGCAAACTGTCTCCATACAGATCACACCCCGCCCAGATGCGAATGGTCTGCAACCGGCGAATGAGGTGGAGGCGCCAAAGAGCGAAACGCCCGCGAGAGTATCGACCCATCGTATCATGGATCTGCTTAACGACTCGGATGTTCCTGTTCCCAGGTCGCGGGAGTCTCACCCACCAGCTCACGAACAGCCGCCAGGTACCACGCCCTCTCGCCGAGAAAATACCAGTCACGCCCAGACTCCCTCTCGCGGTGGGCTCCCTGGACTGGATGCTATTATTAGTCGGCAAGAACCCGCTGCAGACCAAAGCGGTTCTAGTGCTAAAGAAGGCTCCCTTCCTCCACTTAGTGGGGTCCCGCCTTCTTCGCCTTCAGCCAACAGATTCTGGCTTGGGAGGGCTCCAAGTGCGCAAAGCCACCAATATGAGGAGTCTTTGCGAAGGAGAGACCCATTTAAGAGAATTCGCGAGATGCTAGATAATAAAGCACGAGCCATGGGCAAACCACTTCCCAGCGAGCGACCGGACAACCCCGAGAATATCCATAAGGCCGCTACCGAGCGAGAGAATTCCCTAGACAAGATGCGCGAAATGGTGGACAACAGGGCAGAGCGACCCGATAATCCCGCCAATATTCGTAACGCTGCCGCCCCTGTTGCCAACGAGCGACAGCAAGGTCAGATGGGAGCACCGCTTCTTTCTCGGCCATTCAGTCCTTCAGGCACACGCGAGAAACAAGAGAGCGCTGGAAAAGACGCCCAGAATCCCTCTACCGGAGGCTACGTCGCTTCACCTTCGATGGCGCCGATCTCGTATCACCAGTCACCTAGCATGGTACCAGCCTATGCCCATCCTCCGCGCCATGGCTCGCAAGACCAAGGAGCTCCATATTGGGAGCGCGATAGGCGCTTAAGCGGATCACAAGTATCGCAGCCTCCAGCCCCTTCGCACTATGCGGGCAGTCCACAGCCTTACCAGACCGATCCAACCAAGCCGGCCCCGACGCCGCCTACGCATCAGAGCCCATATCCCCCACCCAGCGGTCCGCAGCTACCTCCATTCAGTCAGTCTTTGCCACCGAAGCCGCCCGGTCCGCCGCCTAGCGGTCCCATTAACTTTCGCTTCGCTCACTACGATCCTGCGCCTCCACCAAGATCCGCGTACCCTCCAGCAAGCTACCCACCAGCCTCCCACCCATCTCCTCATGGCGGCCCTCCCCCGCCACCGCATTACGGACAGGCATACAGCGGACCCCCTTCCTACCAAGGGGGCTACGTGCCGCCTCCAGGTAGCTTTCAAGCGCCGCCACCGCCGCCACCAAATATGCAGTATCCGCCTCTAAAAATCCATCAGTATGGTGGCCAGCCCATTTTGCCAGCAAACATGGCACCTCTGCCCCATTCACAGCCGCCTCCAATGACGTATATGGGTCAGGGGCCTCCACCGCCGGCCTACTCTCCGCCTCAGCAGAACCCGATGCCGCAGCGCAACCAATCTTATGAGCAACCTCCGCCGAGCGCTCCGCGAGATTCTCCCGCTGAACGGTCGTCTGATTCTCAGTCCCGTCAGCGCCGCCAGTACAGGTCGTACCATGCTCCAGGTACGCAGTTCCGCTCCTATCAGGGTCCGGACTCGGGTGGTCGACGTCGGGGTGGTTGAAATACTTACCCCTGGTTTCTTTCTTCGGAAAGCTTTCCTCTGCGTGTCTTTGTACTCTAGCCTCTTTTCCTCCTTTTCCCTGTTTGCTTTTTTCCCTTTGCTTGCTGTACATTTCGGATCACGGACGGCGGACGGGCGAGATGGTTCAAAAGGAGCATCATGGTGCATGCCGATTCTCTAGCATAGGCGTTTTGCATAGCCGGCTTTCTTCATAAGTCATCCTCAGGGCCCTTCGTGGAGTTTTCCGTTCGATACCAATGGGGAGGATGGTTTGCATTGGTGCAGATGGGCCGGCGATCAGTGCTTTTCTCTGTAGTCTAGTCAATGCGTGATTTGTATACTGCGAACACTTTTTCCCGTCGCTGAAGTGAACGAGATAAGTGACCTGTGAAACTGCGAGGTACATTCATGTTGGTAACTCTATGGACAACGTCCCCTGGGCTCCTTGAAGGGCACATTAGGTGGTCAAAGGGAGTCAGTACTTTAGTACGTCTCAGACGGTCGTCTTCATCCGCCGAAGGGCTTTAAGCCTCCCTTTCCAAAGCGAAACGATTACAAGCTGAAAGGATAGAATTCCTATTTGGGTATCTCAAAGGCGTCTATGATGAACCTGCTCGAGCACTTCGGCAGGCCAGCGCATCAGCCACCACTCCTCACTCTTCATCCCCCTTCTTCAAGCCTTTCGCTTAACCCGCGCCGTAGGCGTCCACTCCCTCCCTAGCCCACTACCCTTCGTGCTGAACCCGCCTTTCACATCCCCTCGGGGCGTCCCTCCACCCACCTTCTCAAACAGTCTCTGCGCCGCGGGCGTCAAATTCCCCACGGCCTTCTTCCCCCCTGGCGCCATGCCAGCTTTCAAGCCAGCTGCCGGCGTAGGCGCAGACAAGAACCGCGGTGTTTCCGATGTAAATATGCCCAGACCTTTCCCTAACCCACTTTCAGCGCCCGCAGAGGTGGTGGCTGTGCGCTTCGACGAGGATATCCGCTCCACCATCTTATAATGCAGTTTCTCGCGGCGGTTCGACTCGGTGATGGTAAACGGCGTCGCCGTACTCCCCTTGGCGCCGAATCTCTCAAGTAGATCTGTGGGTGCGGAGTCTTCGTCGTCTTCGGGCTCGGGAGGTAGCGCATCGACGAAGGCGTACCCGTTTACGCGGGGCGTTTCGGAGCCGGTGAAGCCGCCTTCGCTGGGGTTGAGGCGGGGGCGGCCGGCGATGGCGTCGCGGACTGCGGAGAGAGTGGGTGAGGGCGGACGTTTGGGTTCAGTTTCCGCGACCGGGAGTCGCGTGTTATTGTGTAAGACTTTTTTCGGCGGAGCGAGGGATGCGGATTCGGCGGCCTGGGCTCTTGTAGGTGCCCACTGCTCTACACTTTCGGGGCCAAACATGAAGCTGTTGAATGCAGTGTGCTTATGTCCGTTCGGCGCAGCGGGTCTATCGTCTAGATTCTGGCTTGGCCGTAGTATAATCTCCGTCGATTCGGGCTTCCGTGATTCGATAACTTTCTGCTGCGCTATGCGCTGTTTCGAAGGATGCATATTTCCTTCCCTCAACCACACGTTCTTCTCAAACTTGACTTTGTTCTGCCGATCGATGATCTGGCTGAAACTCTCCTGGTCTTCAGACATGTATTTCGCTTGAAAAGCACCCAGACTCATGTTCAAATCCACCTCGTCCAGCTTTCCTAGTCTCTCATCATCCTCTTCCTCCTCCTTCCCAACCTCTGTACGAGGCGTATCCGCGCCCCAAACGCTCGGTGTCTTCCCTCCGTTTCCACTCTCAAACCTGGTCCCTCTTGCCTTGCTAGGTTGTCTACCGGGCACCGGTGTCATGACGTCCGTCAACTTCTTCCCCGCTTCGCGTATCCACTTGTTATCCTTGCTTTCTAGTGCGTTCAGGTATTCGCGCTGCGCATCCGTTTCTGCGAGCCCGGGGAAGAAGTCGCGGCGGATAATGTAGGAGACAGCGGAGGTGTAGGTGTCCTCGTCCAGCACGATGTTGGGGCGCTTTATCCGCTTTGGTGCGGGCGGAGGAGGCATGAGAGCGCTGGAGGCGGCGCGTTTGGTGAGTGCGGTGGAGTTCTCAGAGGACGACATGCTGGGCGGGTTGGTAGGTTTGTAGTAGGAGGGGCAGGCGAACGGCCGAGGATTTTGCCGCCTGCGAGAGCCTGTGAATAACCAAACGCTCTAGGCGATTATATACATAGAGGGAAAGGTTTCTGTGGTTGTCGTCGGTGTGCTATGGGTTGTTCGCTCGCGGTTGAGAAAAGTTGTTGTAGCGGGCCCAAAAGTGAATCCAAGGAAGTGGCAGGCGGGCGCCAAGCCAAGCGGCGATCATTCTCACCGCCTTCAGCCCTATCCGATCAGATCGTGGGATGAAAGCCGATGCCCCTATGCGTCACCACTGCCACATTTGACTCTGGAATCAATCACATGCATGTGTGCAGGACAATCTACGAAGTTCACGATGAATTTATAGAGAGAACCATGTCCCATTTATGCATAGGAAGGCTTTTGCGATCATGGTATCTTGCATTTTCTACATCAGAAGGGCCATGGATTTCCACATGCATCCAGTTTTTCCAGCTCCTTTTTCTCCGGGCGCCGTGCGCCGAGCCTCTCTATCCGCTGGAGAACCATATAGCGGGGAGATATCCTGTACCGATATTGCTGTGCTGAGAGATCTGATTTAGTAGAAGGATTCAACCATCGCATCTTTGTGGGTCGTGTTAATCGCACTGGGGCCGTTGCCCTCGCCGAGCCGGAAGACGGATTCGACGACAGAGAGCTCCGTGGCTGTAGTATCGAGACCTAAGATTGAGGCGTCAGCTTACTCTCCATATTCATCCTGTGTTGCCTTGAACGTACCAGTTACTGCCATCCAGTCATTAACCACCATTCCCGCGCCCACCACCGCGCTCCCCCGGTTCACGCTTCCCGCCACAAGTGGCACCTGCAGCAAGCTCGACAGCTCATCTTGATCCTGAATCGAAGTCTTCGGGTGCACGATGCCGCCCTGATTGCTCAGCGCCATATAAGAGCCCGTAAGCACGTTATCCGCAATCGTCTGCCGGAAGACCTCCACGCCCAGCACATCTGCTATTATCTCCTCGGTTTCTCTCTCGATGTCTGGGTGCACGAGGGCGACGTGGTCGTTGCAACATATCACGTTGCCCAGGGCCGATAACCTCTCTTCTATTCGCTGGATTTTGACGGCGTCGGGTATTGAATTGCGGAGGTGCTGGAGTTCTTGGTCGGTGGTTGTGGTGGGGACTAGGAGGCCCTTCTTGTTGCTGGAATGCGGGTTAGCCTATGATCATTTAAGGGTAATGGATGTAGCACCGCAACAGCAGCCATAAAAGCTTCCTAGTACTTACCCAGCTGTCAACCGTCCCACTATTCTAGTGCCTGCTATCGTAGCATGGCAAATCGGTATGACGTCTTGGAGTTCCGCTTCAAAGACACTGTCGCGCAACCATGTCAGTAACTATATCACCTGGACAAAATCGCATCTTCGCAACCCGCTCAAGGCGGGGCGGTGGTAAACGCACCTGTAAAAGTTCTCCGAAGCTCCTACTGCAACAATCGCATACGCATTCGTAAGAGTCGCAAAGACACCAACTCTGCAGGCTCCAGCATTAGCATTCCCGCGTCATGTAGTAACAGTGCCTGGATGGCGGGGGCAAGCTTACTCGTTGGAATTCTCGAACTGTGCGCGGACCGCCATGATGCTTGGGTCTCCGCGAGTAGTGATATATGCTTCTGTTTGTAAGGGTTGCGAGGAGGGCTTGAGAGAGAAAGGTGGTGGTAGCGGGCTGTGGAGAAGCAGTTGTTTGTGGGCGCAAAAAGTTGTGTGAAGCGGGGAGCTTTTATGAGCGGCGACATCATCCCGCTCGAGACTAGCGCCATCCGTGGATTCGACTCATCGTGACTGCGTCGGCTCCGCCACAGCCTCAGGCACAAATCCAGTCACCGAGTATCCGCACTATGACTGTTCACTGGTAAGTCATCGAGTTTCGTGGCGCGGCTTCGGTGGCTGTTTGCGCGCTCCTCGGCATCGCTTCTAGAAGCCTGAGACAGCCCTCTTTCCAAGTCCAAGCCACGCGGTTAGAGCCTCGCGCTTGGGGCATCTTCTCGGCACCATGCATGAGCTCACGAGCCATGCCAATCTTAACTCTTGCGCCCTACCGTGTCGCAACTCGACTCGCTCTTCAAGGAATATGGTGTCTTGAGAAGGCAATCGTTTGATTTTGCGCCTCAGTCGTAAGCTCGACGGGCATAGCTACAATTACAAGATCCTACCGTCATTAAAGACTAACACTAGGAGGGCGTGCGCTCATGGCGCTCTGCCCTTTTCCAACCTGGCTGAACCATCCTGGCTCGCTCTGATATCCGGGTGTCCAAATTCAAAGGGGAAACCCAGTCTTGTACAAGACATAGATCTAGAAATGAAAACGCCCGCTAAGCTATGCTATGCAGCTCAAATCGCTCGGAACGCGCATGCCACCGTGCTATCGAAACAAGGGAAAATTTGTACAAGACTGCGTAACACGGGAGAGACTCGGAACGAAGGGAAGTCCATCGTAGAGTGCATCAAATCGTGATACGTGGGTGGTAAGAAATACATGATTAAAGGACATAAGTGGCATGGTCATGGTCGTGAATAGGCATTAGAAAAGGAATCTCGTGTGGATGTGGTGGTTTGCGGATAGTGGTAGATGACGGAGAACGAGATGCAAAGTGGTTGCTGTCGTATGGGGAACCCCAAGGGCAATAGTATCCAAGGCTTATGACATCTTGGAGGCAAGCACGGCTAAAGCGATCTAACGGTATGGTTAGCATGGGGTAGAGTGCACGGAGACATCCCGGACTTACAATCACTCCGATGAGGAGTGTCCCAATTCCGGACATAATTCGATTTAAATTGCGCCACCACATGGCTTTCCGAAAGGTCTTGTCCTCTACAGGCCCAAGCTCTTGTGCAAGTTGGCGCTCAAGGTCCATTTGGCTGGGTGTTGGCTCTTGCACTAGATCCGGGTCAGGGGGTAATGGCAGGAACGACGCAATCATCCATGCTAGTATAAGCGTTAGTATGGAGTACAAAGATCGGGGTTATGCGCAGGTAACCGGGTAAGAGCTTACCGAGGGGGAAAATAAAGCCCAAACAGAACAACAGGATCTGCCGGTTTTGACGACTGAAGAGCATCGAGCCCAGGGAATCGTCAAAAGAGGGTGCTTTCCAAGCGCTAAGCCGGGCTTGACTCCGCCGGTCTGGCCGGAGGTGGGGAGTGAATGGTTCCGCCAGAGGCCGTCTAGCAGGCCCAATTACGTAGATCTCCTGCTCGAATGGGCCGTCAGATATTGATACCGTGTCCGGCTGGGATATTCGTTGGTGCGGCCGATTGCGCGGTCGGTATATGCTCAGCGGAAAGTTGCTCTCTGAAGGTGTATTCGTTCGCCCGCTATGCGCCGTTGGCACTCGAATGCTCTCGGAAGACTCAGTTGACGACTCCGGAGCGCCCAAAGACGTGCGTTCGCCTCGGCGATAATACACCCTGCCCCTTTATTAGCCTTTAATCTACACACCAACACCGCTTATCAAAAGCATACCTAGCCCACGCTGGAATGGTGTTCGCGATGAAAGTGGAGAGGTCGGATTGCGACGAGCTGGGACGGGATGACGTCGTCGATCGCGAATCACTATCATGCCTCCGCAGGAACGACCGTTTCATCCGCAGTGGTGGTGATTGCAAAGGTGTTATGGTGTCATGGCGCTCGCGCTCATCGGAGTCCCTTTCGTCGCCGGAGGGCCGTGTTATGGGGGAGAACAGAGGAAGTGGCATCGCCACTGACGACTCTGTCATCTCAGAGGAGACATTGTCCGAAGACGAAACGCTCCCCACTGTCTGCCTCCTCCTGGGTATAAAGGCCGGCCCCGGTATGCCATTGTCATCTTGCGAATGCGATCGCGCGCTAAACGAATGGGAAGCACGCCCGATTGATCGAGAGCCGCGCTCGGATTCGGATGGTATCGTCGAAAGCTGCGAGCTCCACTGATGCACCTGCGAGGCGCGATTATTCATTCGGGAAGAAATGGTCGGGAGGTCTTGCGATTCGGCCCATAAGCTACTGGCTGATGGTGCGCGAACGACGGGATAGTGAACTCGAACTCCGCTCGCGAAAGTGGCTGTACGCGCTTCATGAAGAGTTGGTGAAGGGTGGGAAGACGACCTCGGGCGTTCGCTATAATAAGAAGTATCAGAATATGCAAATGATTCTGTCGACTCCTTTGCTATAAGTCGCCGCGGTGCTGTATTAGTAGATGAAGCCTGCTTCTTCTTGTGTGATCCAGACGACGGGGTGTATTTGTGGCCTTTGCCTGAGGGTTGACTGACGCTGGACGAATGTCTCTTGTGCTCAGCCTCGTAGGTGGGGGACGATTCCGCGGATGCGGTCGAGGCAAGCGACGCGGCAGACGCTCTTGGTGTTAATGCGTGGCCCTCAAGCGGGTCGTCGGCACCGGACGAAATGGAAGGAGTGACAGCCCGAATAGTAGACTTTTGCGGAGGAGACGGGACCTCTTCAAGAACGTCCAATCCCCTTTCTTTAGTAAAGAAGTCAGGCGGCGGCGAGGACGGGGGTGTGCTGCCTTGGGAAAACCGACTGGATGATGGTGAGAACGAAGAGGCCACCAAAGTGTCCGCGTCCGACGCCCGAGTTGACGTCGAGTGTCTGATTGCTTTCTTGTGTTGCAGGGGTTTTGGGTCCAGGGTCTTGCTTGATTCAATCTTCGCGACGGCATTGGCGACGACGCTCTGATCTGAAACACGAGAACCCCTGCGCTCGAACGCATACCCTGGCGCATTACGAGGTGGTAATATTTGAGAGGGCTGGCTTGGGAAGGGCGTCTTTGAATAGACATCTGTCCCGGGGTCCTCGACAATGCGGATGGTTGGGCCGGAGTACTGATTAGTTTCCGAGTTGGAACGGTCATGGAGAGGCCTTCTGGGAGAAACATTTCGCGTCGTCGGCGGAGAGAACTTTGGAGCGCGCGCAAGCGGTGACGAAGATGGAGAGGCTGATGATGCTGGTGTGCGCCTGTCCGGTGAGGACATGCTGAGGTGGGCAGTCGTGTCGTGAACTCAAATCCGAGAGTGCGTGGACGCGTTCCGCTGATATGTGAGACGGGTCATTAAGACAGGTAGGAAATATGATAAAAAAAGAATAATAAGGAATGTGACGAAATGTCAGATGCAAGGAGCGACAAAAAACTATACAGACAGGTCAAAAGAGTGACAAATGGGCCGCAAAGGCATTAAAGGTTTGAAGTTTTGGAAAAGAAGAGACGGGGAGTGGGCAGCGACTGTTAAAACTCTCAGGAGACGGTGGACGCAGGCGAGCCGAAAGAGGCTCGCAGCTGCAGCTCGCGTCTGCAGGTGCAGGCCAATTGCCAGCTCACGGATCGAGCACGAGCCTCAGGCAGCTGTGCGACCTGTTTTGCGCAGAGTATCCTCTTTGGATATAATTTGCGTCTTTATGATCTTCCTATGGCATCTGGAGATGATTCCCCGTGCGGTCCGGCCGCCAGTGGGCGTTTCGATCGCTCCAGGACGTCCCCTCAATCCCAGCGATGCGCCCCTTATCGAATATCGATAAAGAGGGCCGGTGGGCGCGCGACGCGTTGTGGGCGGCGTGGAAATGAGGAGATAATTTTGAGGGACCACTGACGTCTGGGCCACGGGCCGTTGAGCGGCCTCCGGCGGCCGTCACTGGACGCGTGCTGGCCACGGCGTGAGGGCGCGGGCTGAGCGATGCAGGGGTCGCGTCCACGGGGGTGCTCTGGGGCCAAGGGTTCCTCGCTCGAACGGGCGGCTGGCGTGAAGGGATCGATGGCTGGGATCGGATGCGCGGCGGAACAGATGTTCCGGGCGCGGGCGCCTATCGATAGCGAATGCGGCGGAACTGGAACAATCGCATGAGCAGGAGCGGGGTGTGCTATAAAGAAGCCGGCAATGCCTTCTCTCCGCCGACTATAGCACCGCGCCTCGCGACGTGTGCTGCTGTGCGGCCTGTTACGCCGTCTGAGCGCACGCAATGCCGCCGCCTGTCAAAGGCTGGAGGGACCGTCTCAGCGCATTGGGGCACATGTACGAAAAGCACATCAAAGGCGGTAAGTCGCCGTCCATTGGCCTGCGCGTCTCCCTTTCTCTCAAAACGCCCGCACGACGCATCCAGCCTCCACTTCTGCGTGCTCGTTCTACAGCACTCGTCTCGAATAGTCCATGACGTCTAACATGCCACCAGCCCCGAAAGCGCCGGCCATCTCACCCAGCGCTGCGGCTCTCCTGTCGGTGCGTCCCGCGCTCTCACGTTTCACGCGTCCGCCCTGTCCACCATCTCTCGCCCTATCGTACGCCGTGCATTGAGCAAAATGGACTCGACACTGACGGCTAGCTGCAGGTCGTCTTCACGCTCATCTACGTGGTGCCCTTCTATCTGTCCCCTGCAACACGGCCCTCCCCACAGCTTACACGCGATGCGCCCTCGTCGATACGCGCTCGAGTGCGAGCGGTTACCTTTTCGAGCGTGCTCAGTGTTGGCCTGACCGTTTTCGTGCTGCATCAATACGGTGATGCATCGGCACAGGAGATCCTCAAACTGTTTGGCTTCTGGCCCATCTCCCTTCTGGACACAGCGAGGACACTACTACTGGTAGCGATCCTGTTCGCCGGCCCTTTGTTCGAACGTGGCCTTGTAGACGGCGGCTTGAAGGATTGGATAAGAGGTAGGCATGTATACCAGGTACTTAGCAGCTGGATAGGCTACAGGAACTATGTCGTGGTATGTAGACCGAGCATGCCGCACATCGGAGCAGTACTGAAGGATTCTAGGGCCCTGTCAGCGAAGAGCTAATCTGGCGGTCTTTGATCATCCCACTCCATGTGCTCGCTCACTTCTCGGGCAAGCAGATCATATTCCTGACGCCGCTCTACTTCGGCATCGCGCACATCCACCACCTGTACGAGTTCCGCTTGACGCATCCACAAACGCCATTGCTCCTCGCCGTGCTACGCTCACTCTTCCAATTCACATACACATCCCTGTTTGGGTTCTTCGCCGCCTTCGTCTTCCTCCGCACTGGGAATGTCTACTCGGCCATTCTAGCCCATACCTTTTGCAACTGGATGGGCCTTCCGCGACTATATGGTCGAGTCGGAGTGGAAGCTGGCGAGCCCATTGGTCCTCCTGTTGCTGGAAATAAGAATGATGACGATGATGCTCCTCGCTACCAGTCAAAAGGAATTATGTGGACGGCCACGTACTACATGCTGCTTGTTGCTGGCGCGGTGGGATTCTATTGGCAACTATTTCCATTGACGGAAAGCAACCATGCATTGCCGGTCATCCTGAGGGAAAAGTGAGCCGCGGACGAGCTTGGTATTCAATGTAGAATATTTATACCAAAGTTAGGGTATCTCTCCAAACCACTTAGTTCGTTCTTTTAAGTACAGCTACCGCCCACCAATTATCCTTCTCATACCCCGCCTGCACGACCTCTCCGCCCGCCTCTTCAATATCACGTTCCAACTCCCCCTTTTTATACAGGTGATAATACCGTAGGAATGTCTTATCCTCGGCTTGCTTCACTGCTCCCTCCTCAACCACCTGATCTCTCTCCTCTTGACCCTTTCCCTTCTTCGATCCCTTCTCTTTCTTCCCCTTCATAACCCACGGCACCATGACATCCTGCTCGTGTCCTTCATCCCATCCTCTCCGACTATCTTTCTGCTCCAGAGCCCAGACGTAGATCAGCGCCTTACCACCATCCCTACTCCCTTCAGCCGACGGAGGCCGCAATAGATCCAGTACAGCCTTCACAGCCTCCACCCGTCGTGCTGGCGTCGACAAATGGTGAATAACCGCTATCGAAATGGCGAAGTCGAAGCTGTGCGCTGGATGGGGCAAGCTTAGGCTGTCTGCTACGATTGCGGCATGTGGCTGATGCTGTTTTGCGATCTTGATGAGATTTGTGGAGCTGTTGAGTGATTGGTTAGACAGAGAGTGGACGAATTCGAATGTTACATATAGTCACAGGATCTGATAGAGGGCATACCGATCTGAGCCTACGATGAAGATGTTGCGGTTGACGGCGAGATACTTTCCATTCCCGCAGCCTACGTCCGCGCCTACAGAGCCGTCGGGGAGTTCTTGTAGGAAGCGTTCGACTATCGGCCAAGGCTTTGGGGTGTTTGTTAGTCATACAAGGGTTGATGTTCCCTTTTTGGGGGCGACGCACACCTTGTACCGCGTGGAGGAGAAATGGGAGGCGATTTGCTCGTAGACGGAGTGGACGTGCTGCTCTTCGTAGTCTGCGCCTTGGGTGTCTGATTCCGCCATGGTCGAGAATATGGGAGGCGGGAGGGAGGGTTGTGAGGTTTTTGGTGGAGTCTTGGTGGGCCAATGATGGGAGGGTTGCCAAGACGCTAGGTTGGGGTTGGGTTGAACCTCTGCGTGGAAAGGAGCAGAGATGGCCTCCTTCACAGGCTCCTATTCATGTTTTGAATCACGATCAGACAGATGACTTTGCACAAGATCCTTGTTTATAGACTCCTTCGCGCCGCTAAGAAAGCCGATGACCTAGCGCAGAGGCCGGGAACCGGAGTCAAGAATTTAGCCACTACACGCCTAAACCGAGGACGAGAATGTCAACACCTCACCTTGTCCTTCGCATTGGCGATTTCTCAGGTTCAGTTGAGACAAGCAGTATCGAAAACGGATTCCTATGCTTCCGGTATTGGCGCAATAGCTACGACTTTGGATAAACGCCCTTCACCAAGAGACTGATTACATTGTATTGTTCTTGCAAACAAGCACGCGGCTCTGCCATCCGAGCGCAGAGCGTCTGCGCCATCAACCACCACGTCTGCTTGCAAAGGTAGAATCGGTTCTTGACCTCGAACCCGCTGAAGATTCATAAGACGCCACCTGACGACGATGCGAGAGAGAAGGAGCGGGTGGAGTAGAGACAGGATAAGTATTCTGATTTCCAGGCTATTTTTTTTCTATGTGCGAGTGCATCCAAGGCCGTTCTGACAAGCTGCAAAATTTGTTGTTTCCTTCCTTATGTTTCTTCTTACTTCACCATCCGGCATGTTTCGTTCCACAATGATAGGCCGATGCTTGAAGGCCCTCCCCTATTCAGTCATGCCCCAGCTCCATCTTTTGTTTCTACTATACACAATGGCATTGTTGCGCTCTGGGTGGGACAAAGGGCACAATGCATTCGCTCATTACATATCAAACCACTGGAGAGGAGAAGAGGAGGAAAAGTGACTATTCTATTCTTACGCCTTCCTCAGTTTTGCTACTTTGGAATTGTCTTGTTAGCATACCGATACTTTTTCTTCCTTCATCACGCTGCCTCTTGTAGATCGATATACTCCATCATGGCACATAGGTACCCATTAAGGTCGGCGGGTGTCCCGGCTCCTGCCCCAGCTGTTCCTCCTCCCCGTCCGCGACAGACACAAACCAACCGCCAAAGGCACTTCTGCACCGTCGCGAACAGAATCAGCAAGAGATGGCCAATCACCCGCAATAAGAAAAGGTGCAGAGGCCTCGAACGCGTTGCAGGTACGCACACTTGCTACCAGCTTTCTACCATGCAGATCCTCCTCCATCTCCCTAAATTCATGAATTGGCTGAACGAGCATCAGAAAGCCAATGCACATGGACTGATAGACTGGCCCTGCGATCCAAACCACCTTGACATGCAGCCTCCGAATCCGGCGAATGCTATCGTCCCGGCTACCGCTATAGGCTGTGTGTCTTGCCTGATGAAGGACTTGGTGAGTGATTACTGGGGCCAAGTAGATCTTGCGGCAGACGGGACTCCGAATCCTTTTGACGCTGGTCAACAGCCAATGATGCCTATTCATCGGTTAGCTAAGCGCTGGTACGCTCCCCATGTTGCAGCAACCGCTTCTGCACTAAACAGACAGTTGGCGATTGACAGAAGAGATGCTCTGCAGTATGCAGATGACTTCTTGAAGATGGTATTGGGGCATATGGAAGAGACGATTCCCCGGACGTAAGCCTTCTTCCTCATCATTCCCGGATTACTGAAAAAAAAGTATGGTGCTAACAACCTCACAGAAACACCAATCGCATCGACCAATACAATGCCCTCTTCATGCTCGAATCCCAAAATACGAGCCGCTGTAAATGCCACGCCAGAAATACCCAGCCAGCTACCCCGACAATAGGCATCGAGAATGTGTGGCCGACCCCCAGGCAACCAGGCGACACTATAGACCACGCCATCTGGGATGCCTGCAACTATGAAGTGACCATGGCGTGCGCTCACTGTGGGCAAGACCGCACGCACACCATCGAACGCCGCATCAAAGCCGCTCCGCAGTACCTTCGCGTGCAGTTTGACATCCACGAGAGAGACGATGAAGGCAACGAGGACCAAGACATCGACGGCAACAAGATGAAGAACATGGGTCCCCAGCATCAGGACCCCGTTCCCATCGACTCCATCATAGACATAACCCAACACCAAATGAACACCACCACGCCCCTCCGCTACAAGCTCATTGGCGTGGTCTATCACCACGGAGAATACGTCAATGATGGACATTATCTGGCGGCTGTTACGTGCTACGGTAATAAGAAGTACCTTATTGACGACGACGATATTAGTGAGGAAGCGCGTCGGGACAATGACCAAGACCCCCTGACAGTCAATCCGATGGGGTGGTATCGGAATGATCAAAATTACTTGTACGCTGTTACGCTGTGGTATGAGAGACTGAGTAATCCACGGCCGCTCAATTTGTAGGATTTGGCGCCGTGACAGCATTGGTAGATAGCATAGGTTTGATCATTTTTCATTGCTTGCATGCTGCATTCCATGTTCTTTCTATTCCCCGATTAGATCTAACCTCTATTCTGCATTACCGTTTTATTTTCTGTCCGCAAATTAGATATCGCTTTTGGTCAAATCTCCTTTCTATTTGTCTCTATTTCCTCAGCTATTTCCTCAGAATTCGTGTTAGTTATCATATTCTTGCCCTTCGCGCTGAAAAGGTAAGTGTCATTTTACTTCACATCGCAAATTCGTTGATGCGGAAAAAGCCTCGCTTCCAAGCTTTCACTCCATCTCTATTCGAACAATGGCGCATAATACCTATTGTTTGCGTCTTCGGTATAAAGAAGTCCAGCATGAAAATAGAACAATAGAGTGTAGCAATTAGTCTTTGTGATCTGAATGAATGCCATTGTCTTCTGCCTCAGTCTATCTTTTGCTGCCGTCCTCTCTTTAGACTGCGCGTCAAACTTTCCACAGCCTTATCGTTTCTCCCCGTCCTTTCTCGTGTTCTGCAGCAGGTCTGCATAGCTTTCTCAATCCACTTTACACATAGCAGAGCCAATTTCAAGCACTTATTGTTCTCAACATGGCGAACCGCAGACCAGGCCTGAGATCCGGCGGCTCACTCAATGCCCTAAAGACGGAAATGCAAGCTGATCGAGACCGCTTCGTAAGTCCATCCACCATCCCCTGAGTTACTCCAGGGCCCTGCTAACAAACTCCACAGTCCTCCCGCATCCAGAAGAAATGGCTACCACTCCGACTCCGCCCCAATGCCGCACAGCGCCGTAACCGCCTCTCAAGAGGCATCGTCAACAACGGAGGCTGGCGCTGCTACCAGAACGCCGTCTACCAAGCACTCTTCCACCAGCCCATCTTCCTGAACTGGATCCGCGGCCACAGACCCACAGCAACCAGAACCCACGACCCCGCAGGCTGCACTCTCTGCCGCCTCCGCGGCCTCGTAGAGCGCTACTGGGGCCCGCAGAACCCCTACCAAGCAATCGGCAAGGACGAGCGTGCCAGGCAGATCGGACGCGCGGCCGCAGCAGATTCTGCCAGCGGCGACTTCACCTACGGACAGTATGCGGACGCGAACGAATTCTACGAGTGGATCCTCAGCCAGATGAGCCAGCCGGGAAAGGACGTCTGGAACGAAGAGCATCGAGCCTTGTACCAACTCGACAACTACGTAACACTTCGGTGCCACGCATGCAATCAATCGCGCCCCAGCCCGCGAACCTCTAGCTGGGGCATCGCGGAGCCCATCAACCCCACCCAACACAGCATCCAGGACGTGCTGGACCACTACTTCCGCGAAGATGTGACGGTGAACTGCTCGCTCTGCGGCGCGCAAAATGTGCCGCATACACGCGTTACCGAAATCGAAGCCGCGCCGCAGGTTTTGAAGGTGGCTGTGCGCATCTTCGACTTCGACGAACAGTGGCATCCGACGAAGAAGTACCAGCCGCTGCAGATTCCCGAGGATCTGGGTTTGACGCAGAACCAGCTGAACAAGGAACTGCCGCTGAGATATAAGCTGAGCAGTGTTATTGCGCATGGAGGCCAGGGCGGACATCGGGATCATGAAGATGAGATTGAAGAGGTGGACAAGCCTGAGGAAAAGGAGGAGGAGATAAAGAAGCCGAGGGGCGAGGCTGTGGAAGTTGATGAGAATGACCAGGAGTCTGAAGTAGAGGAAGAGGACGATGAGACGAGCGTGCTTGATGATGATGAGGTTGCTGATGACGAAGAGGAAGAAAAAGCAGAGGAGGAAGAGCAACTCACAGATACCGAGATGGTCTCCGATGACGAAGAGGAAGAATCCCTCCAAAGGCGATCCTCCGAATCGCCTCTTTCAGATGAGCCTGAAGGCTTACTGGGAGACGTGGACGCAACCTGGGATTTCGAAACCTTCGACACCCCCAAAACGCGCACCGCTGAAGAAGAATTCGGAGACGACTTACCACCTGAACTACCTCTCGAAAAAGACAATGACGAAGATCAAGTCCAAAGCGACGAAGCCGAAAGCGAAGCCGAAAGCGAAAGCGAAGACGAGGAACCCATCAAGCCCACCAAACCCACCAAACGAAAGCCATCCTCCTACGGCCACTACATCGCCGCCGTCCGAGGTCAGCGACCCGGTCCCGAAGACGAACAAGAAGTCAAGGAGCTCCCAACGACGAAGCGCTCCGGCGGCTGCCTCAAGCCCGCCAACGTCAAAACAGAGAACTTCTTCCGCATCTCTGACGCCACCGTCACGCGGATCACGAACCAGCAGCTGCTAGAAAACCCGCAGCGGCCGACGATTTCGTTCATGCGAAGAGGCTATCAGGTGTATGTCATGACGTATCTGCGGCAGCCGTTGACGGATAAGGAGAGGAAGTTGGAAGATATGGAGGTTCGAGGGAGGATGAAATTTTGAGTTTGAGTTTTTGGTGAACTTTGGGGGTTCTGGGCTAGTTCTTTTTTGTTAGTGGTTTCATTGCGATGTTAGTGTATTATTACTACTTTCCTATAATGGATTGTGTTACTTCTCTTTCCATGCCTTCTCGATGCGTTTCGCGATGTGTATCTACACTAGTGTCAGCTGGATGAGCTTTCGTGAGAGAAGCTCGAAGCCAGTCATCCGTTATGTGCTCCTGTCAGCGGCTCCGTGTGCGCCAGAATGTCGCTCCTATTCTCATCTGAATTTTAGCTGTTCAGCCCAATGTATTCTGGCCTCGGTACCTTCCCTCATCCACAGTTTGACTTCTCCCAAGCCTAGAGCACCATGCGAGCGTAATTTGAAGAGGACCTTCTATTACTTACATTGCTTCAAGGAACCGTATCACCCGTCCGATAGAAAACTAGAAACGACGAGTGTGAAACGTATCCCAGAACATAAACTACCAGCCCGATGATCGTAACAATCCTGAGGTGAGCGAGACCTTCGGTGGAGACCGAGGGTATGAGGAGAAATATGACTATAGTCCCAATACAGAAAAAGACGACTAAAAATCGCCTGAGAGCCTTCATGGACCGAGACTCCTGTGCATATCTCTCGAAGACGATGGAAAATAGAACAAAGGAGTAAAGCGAGAAGAAACAGCCAAACGGCAGAAAGTTCCAGAAGTGGGTATGTGGCGAGAGGTACAAAGCCGGCTCTACGAACTTGAGTGAAATTGTAAGTAGGATGACGTTACCGTAGAGAAAGGTTACCAGAATGAAATTGATGAAACTGTCCATCCACGGCGCCTTATAGTAGTCGCGGCCGGGGTCGTCAATACATGGCTGGGATCCATCAGCCTCTGCTGCAATGGCTGTGGCCCCAGCAAGGTTATGAAGCAGCGTCGTGCTTTGGAGTTCTACGTATTGAGCCACTATTCCTTGACTTCCCTCCACTGATTCTAAATGCATATCGAGGGTGCTTAGCAGACATGGCACGCGACAAGGGGGAATAGGAAGAGCTCACCCGTGAAACAACTCTCTATTATCGATATTAAAGGTGCAGCGAGGAGCACAAGTGGCATGACTTGGCCATAGGTCCACTCTCGAGCTTCCTCGTCCTCTATATCGACGTCTAGACGCCCGATATACCATAACCTGCTCACACCCCACATGAAGCTTATGAGCAGCCACCAGACCTTCGCGCGTTGCTTAGTTCGGAAAACTGGTTAGGAACACCGAGGCGCACTCACCTCAAACATCATTGACGTCCAGAAATCTGTTAGTGTACGCCACGTAAGGTAGAAAGCTAGCAATGGGCGATAGAAGAAATGGTTTGCGAGGCGAGATGACAACGACTCCCTCTTTGTCCAAGCATGAAGTACGCTCAATGCCCGAATAAATTGGCGACCCGAACGAGTTTGCAGACGCGACAGGATGTTACTTGGGGGCTTGAAAAGACGGAGTAGGCGAAATACCGTTCCAAGGCTGAGTAGAAGTACGGATATAACCATATATTGCCGACTCGCTCTTAAGTCCTTTTTGCGAAGTCGGTGACAAAGGTCTCCGTCTCCTTCGTCCAAGTACAATCCGAGATCATAGTGGTCCAGATAACAGATTGCATAATCGCTGGGTGAGGGCCGTATTGGGGGGTTTTCTTGGCAGCTGGTTCCGTAGACGTAGTGACCTGTAGGCACAAAACCTACGAGTAACATTATGGCCAAAGCGCCCAGACAAACTGCCCGCCAGAGTCTCCCGATTTTGTGATGGTATAGTTGGGATCGGAGGAATGTTAGGCACGACATATGGGTCACTCCGGCGAACCAGGCGAGGTAAAGAAGCTTCTGCCAGTGGTATGTTGCTAATCCACATCGCAGCTGTGAATATCCGCTCACAAGTATCGAGAGTCCATTTAGCAGTTGGAGATCCGCCATAACGAGCATCGCCTAGATTTGTTAGATATGTTGTTCGGCGACCGAAAGCGCGCTTTGTAAAAGATCACCTTAGTGAGTCCTCGATGAACATGGCGGGCTCGCTGACTCATATGCCGCCCAGTATTCTTTCGTTTTCGTCTCCTGTTTTCGAGGACGTGTACATCGATTGGGTTCGGTGAGAAGCTCTCATCATCCGGGATATTATCTTGCTTTGTAGGATCATGATAGGGTCCTACATCCGGTTCATAGGCCTTCAGGTAGAAAATTACAACAACGACCAAGGCGAGGCCGGCGGTAATGGTATAACCGAGTGAAACCTGCTCTGAGTTAAGAATACATAGAAGAGGCTCCCGAGATTTAGAAGACTAACTCCAATGCCTGAGATATCCGGATAGGGTTGTAGAGTATCCGGAAAGTCAGAGCAATCGTAACGGCACCATTTCCTGGCCATTGTGCTGGTGAGATGAAGTTGAGAAGGCTACAGCGAAACTCAAGAGATGAAGTATAGCTGAGCCTGTTTCTTTTCTTAGCGAGTAGGAATAGATTGCAGAACGCCACCAGAGCTCAACCAAACCTGGCTTGCCTTCGATTGGCGCAGTGATGGGGGAGATTATCTAAATAAATTAACTTGTGGCAATAAGCGCGAGTAATCACTTAGCGTAGATAGTAAGTCAGATAAGTTAACTTAGAGCTTACTTACAACTAAGCTCTAAGTAAGAAGTTATTACTTATCAAGTAATTACTCATTATCGCGAATTAGCTCGCGAAACCCCTTTCACTGGATTGGCGTATTAGAAAGGAGGCTAAGTGTAAAGGCGGAAAGCTCCGTGTCGAAAGCACATGGCATGGATATGGAACGGTGGATTGGAGTTCATTGACGGGTTCTCGAAATGGCGGTGTTTTGGTTGAACTGGCAAACAGAGTAACTGACCACACATCGATTCGTCGCCCTCGGACTGGGTATCCTATCCCTTCTCTCCCCTCTTTCTTATCGCCCTCTCCTCTCCTCTCCTCTCTATATTCCTCAATTCCAGCCCAGGGTATCATACCATAACTCCACCATCCCCCACCCCCACTGCGCGCCCTACACCTCCTCTTCCCCCTTCATTTCCCCACCTTCTCCTCCCACATAACATTCCACCTCCTCTTGAAAACCTCAACCGTCTCCGCCGTACCCCTCCCCTTCTCCTTCTCCTCGCGGTTGATGCGCGTCGCGGCCGCGCCGACGCCGATAGAGAGGGCAAACAGCGGATCGAGGCGTCTGTGCGTAAAGCATGGCAATTAGCTTCTATTTAGATAGCGTAGCGAGCGAGCATAGAGTAGAGTAGGGAGAAGAGTGTTGTTACTGGTAACTGACCTTGAGATGATGTAGCGGGACGCCATGTTAGTGTGCCGTGGTGGAAGTAAGGTAGCTGTGAATGAAAGCTTCAGAAGGGTGTGATCGGCGGGCGGGATGCTATTTGGAGCTCGCTCAGATGCGAATTCGCCGCTCTGCAGGCAGTCAAAAGCTTAAGATCATGTAACGCCTGACGCGGCTGTTCTGCTCTGTAAGTCTGGGGCGGTGGTTGCAGTGTGGATAAGATAAACTTTCTCGAAGCTCAAGCTCGCGCACGCCCCGATCGGCCTCCCGCCGCCCACCAAACCAGCCGAGGCCGGTCGCTTCCGGGTAGGGCTGGGGAGCTTAACCCCACGATGGCGGTGCGGGCACACGCAGGTACACGCAGCGGCGCTGAGACAGCACCACAGCCGTCCCATTCATTTCCTGTTGACTGACAAATTAGATTCTATGCCTTTCTGCCACACAGGAGGTGGGGACAGCGAGCATTCGCGGATGACTTGTCCGGTCAGCTTGCCCTATGGCGTCATGGTTTCAGGGCCCGACTGAGCCGCAAGTCATGCTGGGCGGTCAGTAGATACCCAAGGTACCTCGCGGACATGCTTCACCAAGTGCAGTAGGGGAAAGGAGGTTCTCGGAGCATGTCCGGTTCGTTTGAGCTAGGTAGGTCAAAGTGATCAAAAGTACAGAGCAACGCAGGCAAAGAAGACAAGAGAAATTAACCCCTTCAGGCCATAGCTATCTATTTCAAAAGCCCGTTGTCTGTCTGGATGCTGGTGCCTTGCCCGTCCGTCAGACATCGTGACAGCAACCCGTAGAGCCTGTAGCCTCCCCAGACCCAGATATTGCTTGCCTATGCTGGGCCCAAAGACACTCGCAGCTCGCTCACCCCTCCTCAGTCGCGCAAATGCTAGAATAACATGGAAACTGTGTTGTATTTCTCATTGAAAAAGTACCGCAAATAACCAGAACGCCCGTTGTGTTCCCCACGCCCCTCGATACCGAAAGAATATCATGGAAAGGAATGCCGGGAACGGTCGACGTCTCTAGTTCGTCTCGCCGAAGGTGTTCTCGCCCGAGTACCTGCGATAAAGTCAGCGAAACCGTTCTGCGGAGCTTTGGGGGTGAGTGCGACATACGTGATGTAGAGGAAGCCATCCTCGTCCTTGTGCTCCTCGTATATCGAGCTCATGAGCGCGGCGGTCGGCGGCAGCACCTCATCGACGAAGATGAAGATGGCCTTCTCCGGCGAAAGCTTAATTCGCTTGCGGATGACGTAGACGAACTGGCCCACGGTGAGATCTGCGGGGACGAGATATTTCTTCTTGTCGATAGTCGCGATATCCGACTTCTCGACCTTCTCGCAGATGACCTGTCGCGCTGTCAGCAAGCTGCACTTGGATCTCGTAGCGGTCGCGCGGGCAGACGTACCGGGATGCGGTCGTTGTACTTCTGGCGGATGCGCTCAGCTTCGGCCTTGCGCTTCTCGAACGGGTGCTCGTCCTTGAACTTGGAGCGCATCTTGGCGGGCTGCTGTGGATGTGCGTGTGTCGAAAGTGGTTGTGAGATAAAAGCTGGAGAAGCCTGACTCTGAGAGTGGTGCGGGCGTGAGAGAGTGGCGGTGGAGGTTAATGTAGGAGGGAGGGTTCGCAGCGGTGAGAGGGACTTAATGTAGGCACCAGCAAGAGAAGGCGGGGCGCCGCGTGCGAAATCGCTTAGTCACCCGTGCGACCGCCGGCCGTTGGGCTGCGCTTGACGGCCGTGAACTGTGGAACATTCACAGAGCAAGACAAGCCGCGCTTCAGAGGTGAACAGCCTTCCAGACAGCGCTTCGTCGCTCCCCTGGCACCGCCCTTTGTCTCGACGCAGCGACGAGTGACTCTTCTTTGTATGGCTGTGCTGACCCCAGCCCCGAGCCTCGCAAGTCACTCGCTCAGCTCCTCATGACCTGGGGTGACCGCCGACCGCCTATTGACTCATCATATATACGATGCTGAGATATTGCTATACTTCTCTCTGGATGTAGTACGCCTCTGATGAGGCTCTGTGAAGCTGTAGATATGTGGCGTTGGTTTGCAGGCATCAGCGTTTGCGTGCTTGGTCCAAGGACCGAGACAGACGCATCCACGACATACTACTCCGTCCTAGCTCGAGCACGCATGAGTTTCCCGTTTGATATTGCTTCATCAAAGCGATTGTCTACCTAGGGATCCCAGCAACGGACGTCTCCTTTCATGCCCAGCTGTCTTCCACGTGGAATACATTACACAAGCAGAATACATTACATCAGCGGAGTGCGGACTTGTTTGCACCGTTTGCCTCCACCCAACACCGGACCTATCGGTACCTTGCATGCTTCCACCATGGTGTGATGCTCCGACGACTTTCCACAAATCTTACCCGCGGAATTACTCTGTAAAAGACAACATTTTCTCTCGCTGGTCTTTTTTGACCTCCCCCAATGCTCCCATCATAACCTCCTGTTCAATCCGGCCACCAATTGCTCCGCCATGCCGCTCCCCAGACCCTCCTCAGCCCGCCTCGTTCGAGCTCTCGAGCTCCCCCAGAGCTATGCGCCACCGGGGAAGTTGCACCCAAATTTTTTCAATCCCCGTAGACTGAGACTGGGGCCGACCTTCTTTTATTCCAGACAGATCGCAGGATCGCGGCGATGCATGTCAGAGGGTCCTCCGAAGGCCAAAGCGAATCCATTGGAGGAGTGGCGGGACCCGAAGCCCAGCAAATGGCCGAACAGGATACGACTTCTGATGGTGCCCTTCATTGGCGCTATAATATACTCCATGGTGCGCTCTTCTTTCTCACACTTCCCAGTCCCGAAACCTAATTCTCCCCACAGTACACAGATGAGCGCAAAACGTACACCGAGCCCCCCACCATCGCGGAGAAAGATGCCCTCTCCAAGCGCGAAAACGGCATCTCCGAGCACTCGCCCATGCGCCTCCGCATGGAGCAATTCATCAAGCAGCACCAGAAGCAGATCGTAGCCGAACTAGAAAAGGTAGATGGGAAGAAATTCCAGATCGACACCTGGCAGCGCCCCGAGGGTGGCGGCGGCATATCCTGCGTGCTCCAAGAGGGCAATGTCTTCGAGAAGGCCGGAGTAAACACATCAGTAGTATACGGCCGGCTCCCGCGCCCCGCCATCCAGAAGATGCGCGCCAACCACAAAGCGCTGGACCCCGCCGTCGACAGCCTCGAATTCTTCGCCGCCGGCCTGTCCATGGTCCTACACCCCTCGAACCCCATGGCGCCGACCGTCCACCTCAACTACCGCTACTTCGAGACCGCCGACGAGAAGGGGAACACAAACGCCTGGTGGTACGGCGGCGGCTGCGACCTGACGCCCTGCTACCTCTTCAACGAAGACGCAATCCACTTCCACAAGACGATCAAGGCGGCCTGCGACAAGCACGACCGAGCCTACTATCCGCGCTTCAAGAAGTGGTGCGACGAGTATTTCAACAACAAGCACCGCGGCGAGACGCGCGGCGTAGGCGGCATCTTCTTCGACGACCTTGATGACGCGGAAAAGGACCAGGAGCAGCTCTTCGCCTTCGTGCAGGACTGCTTGTCCGCCTTCCTGCCCTCGTACATCCCGATCATTAATAGAAGGAAGGGCATGCCGTTCACAGAGGCGCAGAAGCAATGGCAGCAGCTGCGGAGAGGGCGGTACGTCGAGTTCAATCTTGTGCACGATCGCGGGACTGCGTTTGGATTGAATACGCCCGGTGCGAGGGTGGAGAGTATTTTGATGAGTCTGCCGCTCACGGCGAGGTGGCAGTACATGCATGCGCCAGAGAAGGGAAGCAGAGAAGAGAGGCTATTGGAGGTGCTCAAGAGCCCCAAGGAGTGGGTGTAAATATGTACCATTACATGTATATGAAAAGCTCGAAAAGTGAATATAACGTTCTAGCATAGAGGGCTCTCGGACTTTGAGTTTATGACCAGCGTCAAACCTGCGAATCTGTCTCTGAAAGGGTATTTTCACATCGCCCATATGCTACACATATCTTGATATTTGACTTTTAGTGCTATATCGTTGGAGGGAAGATCTCGTCTCAATGGTCCCTCAGCCTTAGCCGGCTCTTGTCGGCTCCTCACCGACTACAGTCCAGCCCGAAGTCACTGAATATACCCATTTGCCTTCAACCACTCCCGCACCACACTCTCATCCCTGCTCCTATACTTCGCATGACTACGGATGGTATCGTCGATAACATCCAGACCCTTGTTATAGCCCCTGGTATCCTTGTCCTTGAAGAAGGCCGCAATCTCATCCGCGATCTTATCATCCGCAAACTTGTTCAGTCCAAAGCGGAGGAAGCGCTCCAGCACCACCATGTTACCTGAGAGCGTAGGGTGGACATGGCTATCCCAGTTATCACGGACGAACTTCCACACTTCGATGCGCACCTTGGCGTTGCTGGAGAGCGCAATGGTGCCAGAGTGCTTGTCTTGCATGGCGACCTTGTCCGAGAAGATGAAGGAGAGGAATTCTTGTGCGAGCTCGGGGGTCTGCACACGGCCGAGAGAACGAAGACAGATCTCCTTGCCGTCGATGGATGTAGTGGTCGAATACTCATTCTGGATGGCCTTGAACGCAGACTCGCCACGCTCTTTGACGGCGATCGAGAAGACTGCCAAACGGAGGGACGGGTTGATCGCGGACTTATCCTCGCCAGACACGTAGAGGTCGAAGCGTCGCAAGGCTTCTTCGACGATTCCCTTGTGGCCGAGGACGCCAGCAATATTTATTAGTAGAGCGCGCAGTTGGCCGATCAGGAAGCCTTCGCCTTGCTTGAACTCCCAACCGACCTTCTCTGCTGCTGGAGTGACCAGCTTCAACTCGTACTTCTTCAAAGCATCGCTGATATCCTCGGTGCCGGAGAATACATTGCGAACATTGCCCAGGTTCGTGACGATCTGTGACCAGACTCTATATGCCCGTTAGCGCAACCCAGGCAGGAAGGTGCGTGACACTCACAAGTAGTTTGTCTCGTCCTGGAAACGTTCTACAAGTGCCAAGAGACCAGGTGTCGAACCGTAGCCAGCGATGGCGTTCGCGTAGGCGTCCCCAACAAGCCCAATCTTGTCCTGAACGGTCAAGTGCTCTCGGGCTTCTCCGAGTTTCCTTAGGCGCTCTGGTGGGTAATTTGTCCTATAGAAGCCCGTGAGGTTCTTGTTCAGCTGATAGAATGTGTCGTCCACTTCCCGAACCGTATCCTCCTTCTGCGTCAACGCATTGACTTTGTGAAGTGATGCGGCATTAGCGGAAGACCCAGAGTGCAGTCCGAGTGGAATCCACCAGACAGTCTCATCCTCCTCGGGCTTGGCATCACCCGCAAGCAGGAAGCGTTGTTGACGAAGACCGATTTGACCAGGCTCTTCAGCAACAGTGACTACTGGGAATCCAATCTTGCGAATCCAGTTATCCATGAAGCTGTTAACATCCTGGCCTGATGCCTTGCTGAGTGCCGACCAGAGATCGTTGGTGGTAGCGTTCGTGTACTGGTGAGCCTTGAGATAGTCCGCCACACCCTGCAGAAAGGTCTTCTCGCCGATGTGGGAACTCAACATGCGAATCACCGAGCTTCCCTTGAGATAGCTGATATGATCGAAGATCTGGTCAACTTCGAGGCCATCATAGACGGGAACCTCGATGGGGTGAGAGAATCGTAGAGCGTCCAGTTGGAAGGCTGTTTGGACAGATTCAGTCTTTGGAAAGGGTGGTTAGCATGCAGGAGTCAAACTACCTCGGGATTTTGAACGTACAACAAACTGTCCCCAAACGTTCCAATCTACAATGTCCGTCAATGAAGATCCTCGTGACCAAGCTAACAGTACATACCAGGGTATAGATGGTCGATGGCGAACCAGCCAACCCAAGTGGCGAAGCCTTCGTTGAGCCAGAGCTCGCTCCACCAATCCATAGTGACCAGGTTACCGAACCACTGATGAGCGAGTTCGTGGGCCACGACGTAAGCTACACGATTCCGATAGCTGTCTGCGGACGTCTTCTCGTCGAAGAGCACGGCGGTGGTCCTAGGACGAGGTTAGATGTATTGGAGTGTTGCTGATGTGGGGCGACTGACCGATATGTGATGAGACCCCAGTTCTCCATGGCGCCGTGTGACTAGGAAACATCGGTCAGTTACATGCACAGGGAAGTAAGGAAGGGTGTACGTATGATTGGCTAACGAATTAGCACCATTCATCGCACGAAAAGGAGTGTTTGGAAAAGGGAGTCACTTACAAACTCGTGAACAGCCAACAGGTCGACCTTGGGAAGCGGGTAGTCGATCTGGAACACCTGGAGGGACGGTTAGAGGATCCCCCACGTCGCTAGAAGCATTCTCCGTACCTCCGAGAAATAGTCGACGATCTGATGACAATTCTCCAAGGCGAACCGACCCTGATCCTTCAGTCCGCGAGTAGTGTATACCCTCACGGGCAAGCTCTTGCCGTTATACTTGCGCTTCGTGAACGCCTCAACATATTCGAAGTCTCCAATAGCCCACGCGAGAAGGTATGTCGACATGACCGGGGAACGCTTGAAGACCACGGTATGGAATCCCTCCTTCTTGCTCGGCTTTGTCTCCTTCTCTGGCACGTTGCTGAGTGCTACCTGGTCTTTTGGGATTTCGATTTCTACGTCGAAGGTCGCCTTCAGGTTCGGTTCGTCGAAGCAGGGGAAGGCTCGGCGGGCATCGCAGGATTCGAACTGAGTGCTGAACATGTAGTGGAACTCATCGTCCTTGGCCACGGAAGCAGGGACTTCGCCCTTCGGCTTGTACTTGGAGCGGTAGAAGCCAGCCATGATCTATACTGTTCTCAGCAATTCCTCGCGTCTGCGTCGTCGCATCTAGCATACGTTGTTGATGGTACCCTGGAACTTCAGTGTAAGGACAGCCTCGCCAGAGTATTCAATCTTCTCCCCAAAGTCAAACGTCACACGCTGGCGCTTCTCGTCGTACGTAATGTCCTTGGCCTCGTTCACAGCCCTCTCCGTCTTGAGCTCCGCGCTATGGACCTTGAGCTGATGAGAATTGAGGATAACGTCATTGAATCCATCGTCCTTCTCGATATCGGTATGGATGGTCACAGTTCCCTGATAAGTGAAGTTTCCGCCGAATTCGAGGTCGTGGAGGGAGATGTTGTAATGCCAAGGCTTGATCCTGTTCATCCCTATTAGCGCATGCATCAATGGCGCACGCCATCTACTATGGGAAGATCAATGGCAGCTGTGAGTCATGACGGGGCCTATATCTTTGCCCAAGATGCTGCTGGTGCTGCTGTGTGACGGGACGCTCTAACTGACCAGCTTGGGAGAATATCTCTATCTGACGCCATGGCGATAAAGCTACTGTTGGCCTCCGAAGAACAAGATCTAATCTGCCTTCCAAAAGTTGTAGCTCCGACCGCTGCTCTGGTAGGCCTGGAACGGAATTGCGCACGTGGGGTGAGCTCTCGAGCTCTGGGAATGCAGCTCTGTTTGTTTGCGCGAGTGTATGTTGACAGAAAACACGGAGCTGGTCGGGCGAGAAGCTTTGTCCAGAGCTCGGGTCGAGAACAGCGTCTCGAGAGAAGAGAAAGGGCGGCCAGTTTCGGAGAGGGGTCGGAGTCAAATGCGGAGTGGGTGCGGGATTCAATTGCGTGAGGGATGGTCGGTCGACGCAGGTGACACGGCTGATTGCCCCACGGTCCGACCCCGCGTTAGCGTCAAACAGGGCAACGCTGGTGACGCCTCCAGGGCTCTGATGCAATATGGCGAGGTACGTAGAACCCGCAAACTCCGCTCGAGTTGGATATCTAACTACGGCTCTTGCTGCTCATGCGGTTGGATTCTACGATGTCTGATTCTGCTCGGAGTTTTTTCACAGTCAATCCAGCAGTCGAGCCGGAGCTCCACATGCACGCGAGCAATAGACGGGCGAGGCCGTTGCATTAGGAAGGTGAACAGCTCTGCCTTCGTAAGGCTATGCCCACATGGAGCGGGTCTTGTATGAATCGGCCCTCGCCTACAATGTCCGATGGCGGTATCGTACACCGAAGCCAGCCCCGCCTATTCCAGCTCTTGTTTTGGCACAAGATGACAATACGATACAAAACGAGGAAGATAAGAGACAAATTACGTGCAGAATCAGCCCCGACGCCATATAAATGCTTCCAAGTGCTTCCAAGACCATGCGCCGTTCCATGCTGCCGAGCTAGTTGTCTCTAGACCCCAAAAACTGAAAGAAGCTCAGTCCAGACGTACAGTCGTGAAGCAGAATGCCAATTATACATCATGTTTCTCTGCTCCCATGCTGGCCAGTCTCGACACAATTAAATCCGGATCAAGACATCCAAGCAGGGAATTCGCCATTCTTTTTTGCCCACGAGGCCCTTTACCCACTCATAGTTCACCCCTCCATTTAGTCCAGACACTCCAGTGCTCTTATCGCGTATCCCGTCTATGGCAGTCTTGATCAGCGCCTGTGCCGTGTTGTTCGCCGCCTGCGCAAAGACTCCGGCGGTCTCGAATATAGTGTCTCGGAAGGGCGTTGTGCCATTCAGAGCGAGCTCTGTGGTTTCAGAAGAGAGCGGAGCCTCGAACCATGGGGTGTGGAAGTCGAAGAGAGCTACGACAAGTATGAAGAGGAGGAGCGAGCAATAGACGCAGGGTCGGTTGAGGAAGTAGGTCGCCGAGATGAAGAGGACGAGGTAGACGGGTGAGGCATTGGTCCTTAGCCTTGCTAATCAGTACACGGGGCTTTCCAGACAGTGGAGAGCGGCTTACAGAAAGAAGAGAACTGGTATCCAACTTCGGAGGCAGAACATCGTAGCCTCGTGTGCGCTGACACACTGAAGCGGCGTAGATGCGGAGGCTAGTCGAAGGAGCGTAGAGTTCCAGAGGGGAATTAATGAGACACCGTAGGCAGAGAGATGGGAGCGAATGTAGGCAGTATCAATACGTGCGACGTTCGTCAGCGTCGAGAGTGAAGCAGTGGAGATGGGATGGCGTCGGAAACAGGACCGGCAGGCGTGCATGAAGTCCGCACGATCACGTGATACAAGTTCAGCACGCGATGTTCCTTTCCTCTACCTTAAATGAACTATGCCGAAGGGCCATCACGCTAATGGAATCACAACCAACATATTTAGTATGAGATGCTTTTCACGTCTAAACGATAACTAGTTTCTGCATTGACAGTTCTTTCGTCGGTCGCCGAGCCCCTCTTGCTTCAACATCCCACCCTCACCGCCCTCTGAGTGTTTCAACACACTCGCTCGATCTTTACATATCGGCGCCTACTTCACGAACGCAGCATCGCTCAACTCTCAGAAATGATGTCGGCGACTTTCCCTAGGTTCCCCGACTTACCCGCCGAGCTCCGTGCCCGCATCTGGAAGCACGCGCTTTTCAACGATTACCGCGAGCTCCATGGAAACGACCGAATCATTGAATTCCACGGCTATTGCAACTTTGATTCGATATTACATCTCCCTGGTATATCAGTCACAGTCTCCAGGCGGTATCCGACCCTTTTCGCTGTCAACCGCGAGGCTCGGTACGAAACCACCAAACTCGACGGTGGAGGATGGGCACGAGTGAAAGCCCGACATAACGGAGACACTGAAACCTCGAAGGCGCGGTCGGCCGCACCCGGACCCTTCGAGATCTATATCAATTTTGATCGGGACACCATATTCATCTCCGAGCGCTTCATAGAGTTCAAGGAAGACTTGGCGTCCCACTATCTCGCCATGACGCCCGTGGAATTTCGTCTGCGTACTCTAGCAATGGTAATGGACGGATCCTCTCTTCAGAGGATTCAGAATCTCCAGCTAGGCGCAGCGATGCCGTTGACGATCGAGCCACCCTCAGGAAGTGATGCATGGAGAGGGAATGGTTTGCAGATTTACAGCGGCTTGGAGACGGTAACTTTCGTGACAGATAACCAATCTTTTGGGCACTGGACCCTGTGTCAGGCCCAAATGGCCCTTCAAAGCATTCGGTCGGTTGAACAGCGCAAGAGGAGCATCCCGATGCTCCGATCTCTTCGTGTTCTCCGGAAAGTTGGTAGAGTTTGCGTTTTCAGCATAACACCACCAGCCCTGGAGTACATCACGAACCGGCTAGGGTTTGATGAGTGGGGGATCTATTGTGTGGAGTTGGGCCGGCCTGATCGCGACGAGGCGGATGACGAGGGCGCAATCGGTTGGGATGAGTCCTCCTATGCCTAGGTCCCAACCACCAGAGGACCGTTGAGTCCCGAGCCGGCTAATTCTTCTATTCTATTGGTCAGTGGTGTCGGCTTGGGCGACCCATTTTTCTAGCCATCTTTACCACTTTTGTGGACATCTTTTTTCGTTTACCACAACACTCTACCTCCTAAACGCCTCTCTGCACAAAATTATCACACCATGCCACCCACCATGGCGGCAACTTTCCACAATTTCTGCAGCCTGCCAGCTGAACTCCGCGCGAACATTTGGGCACTCGTTTTACAAGACGAATATTCGAGGGGATCGGACCGCATCATCGAACTCCACAACTACGACCCAATTGCCTCGAGTGTTCACGTCAGTATCTTTTCCGGGCTACCCGACCCTGTTCGCTGTTAACCGCGAAGCGCGATATGAGAGCGCAAAGTTATGGCGAGGACAATGGGCCCACCTGTGCGAGGGATGGGAAATATACATCAACTTCGAAACTGACCGCATCTTCCTCTCGGAGCGCTGTATGGCGCCAATACACCAGTGGCAATTCATAGACGGATCACCCACGGTGGAAGAGTACCGTCTCAATTACCTGGAACGCATTTTCGGTCGTATCGCGCTTAGGAAGATCAAGTGCCTCATGCTCAGCACTGTGCTGTCATCGAGCGCCTCTCGGAATGACAGCGTACGTTGGACAGGCGAAGGTCTTGAAGCATTTAAGGATGGTGAGCTGGAAACCGTCGTTTTGGTGTCGGATGAGGTCGGACATGCAGTGCATGCGAAGAGGAGCACCGAGCAAAAGCTTGAGCAGACAAAAGCTTCTCAAAGTGAGAGGCAACGTGTCCCCTACGTTCAGACCATGGTTTTTCTCGACCGAAGCACGGTCATCCATTGCCAGCCTAATACGCCCTTCTGGTACCGAGTTGAAATACCGCCATCGGAGGTCATGGCTTACGATCCGAACGGACTTCACTACGCAGAGTACGACATATTGCTCCATACCGCAGACGACGAGAGAAGGTTTACCGAGGAAGTCTTCCAAGAGGAGGAATATGAGACTGTAGGTACGCTGAACGCAGAGGATGATCATGAAGTTAAGGAGATAGTAGACTATGGGACCGAACCTGAAACCGAGGGTGAGACGGAAGAGGAGATGGAGGACGGAATTGGTGACATGGCCTTCTGACACGATAGACCAGGCAAAGCGGGTACGGGAGTGAATTGCGCTTTCAGTGAAAGCTTCCTTCCGCATATATTTTCTCTTGAGGAGTGGAGGGGTGCACCACCGTCTTTTCTAGAGTGAGCTCCTCTTCTAGCGAACTTCCCGCGGGTATGCTCTACCACTGGTCCACATGCGCCCGCGATCTCGTAGGTGAGGATTTCTCTCAATTCTCTCGTGTATGTTACATTTAACAAATTCAGACATCCCGTTCATTAGAAGCCACCGCATCGTCCCTCTTGGTATATTCATCGAGCGTTTAACGCTCAAGTACCCGGAAGCCTTAACGGCATAATTTTATGTGCTCCAATCCCGTTTTCGGAGAAATTCTAGGGAGCTACAGCCGGAATTATGTTCGAGACTGCCACCCCACGAAATGACAGACCACCGCGATCGGGATTTACGTTTCAGATACATCGAACCCTGGATGCGCAAACCTGGGGCGCGGGACGAAGCGCGTTTCGAACCCCCAGTTTTCATTGATCGGAGAATTAGCGTAGGGCTGTTTCACTGCCTAGCCTCTCATTAAAGATCCATCGCCTTGTCTTCTGTCGTGCGCATCGGCTCACCTTTCCTTCTTGCCAGCAGAATTCTCTTCCTCTTCGATTCTCTACGCTCGTTTCAGTCTTCATTTCGGCAAAATGGTTTCTTTCCCATTGACAGCTTTGACCTTCGCGCTAGTTGCGCCTACATTGGCTTTGCCTCGAGCTATGACGATCTCGGATTCTGCGTCACAGCAACCCACCCAGCTCTGTGGTACCGACGACAGCGTAGTCCTGACTGACACACCGTGGATCATATACAACATGTTCTACAACGCGGCGCAGGCTAAGGGTACTCAATGCACCAACTACGAGAGCGTCAAGACAGGAACGGGAGGGAACAAGAACATTGTTTGGAGCAGCGTCACTAATATTGATTACGTTTCGAGCACGTATGTCCTCGGTAGCACCTGACCATAGGTGCACCGATACTAAAGAATGCACAGGAGCAACGTCCCAAAAGGATACTCTTTCATTGGCCTCACCCAAAACCTCGAGACCCAACTCTCCGCCATCTCTTCTATCCCAGCAACATACGACTGGACACGCACAAACACCACCGCCTTCAAAGGTAACATCTGCTTCGACTTCATGACCTCCGACACCAAAGGCGATTCTACCTCAACCTCGGCTCAAGAACTCATGCTCTGGCTTGAGTACACTGGTGGCCAGCTACCCATCGGCTGGGGTGACGGCGCCAAAGCCACGGCCTCCAGCCTCTATGGCACGAGCTGGAAGTTGTATCAGGGAGTGAACGAGGATACCGGTATCACCGTTTCGAGCCTTCTGCCAGATATGCAGTTTGATGGGACGTTTTCGGGCGATATTAAAGACTGGTTGATGACGTTGGTGGAAGCGGGAGTGCTCAAAGAGAGTACGTATGTAAATGTGGGCAATGCAGGGACGGAACCGTTTTATGGAAATGCAGTGATGAATGCTACATTAGGGTTGCAGATCAATCTGTAGGAGAGTGGTAGGCACACGTCAGAAAAAGAGTGCAGCTACGTTATCACTGACGGGACGGCAGTAAGAAACGATGATTGGGCATTTCGTGTCGGCCATGAGGCCGTCATCATCAGACCGCCATACTTTGAAAGGTCTACTTTTTCCGAGTCTACTACGCACGAAAGCATGAAGAACGCGCCTTCGCACGTCCCGTTTTTCATAAACCCCCTCATCGTCAATCTCAATCCACGCTCAGAACTTTTCACCCCAGTCGTCAACCTCACTTCAAAATCCCCGCCACATCCGTCTCCCCAATCCACACCTCCCTCACCTCCTCCATTCTCCCCCACCTCCTGTGCGCCTCATCCCTCCCCCACGGCGTCTTCATCATATCCTTATAATGTACAAACCGCTCATCCATCAGTTGGAATGCGCGCTGAATCGTCTGCTTCCTCCGCGTCTTCTCCGCCCCGCCGTACGCTAGACATCTACCCAGTCCCACGATACCGAGAGCATCGAGCCGATCTGCGTCCTGCACAACGCCGAGCTCCGGATGCGCGGTCAAGAAGCTTGCGATTTCGGCCGGGTGCCGGGTCTCGTAAGTATAGCTGACGAGGCGCGCGATAGACTGGCAAGTGTGCGCCAGCGCCTCGGGCACGCCGCACTTCGTCAACAAGATGTATATCTTGCTCAGGCTCTCGAACCACGTCTTATACTTCGCATCCCCTATCTCGTGCACCAAGCACGCCAGCACAATCGTCAGAGGATCGAGTCTGCACTCCGGATTCGTCGCGACTTCGCTCTGGTAGATGTCTGCGGCTAGCTTGACGACGCGCTGCACGTGCTCGAAGTCGTGCGAGTTGTCGTAGATCGGGTGCGCCATGTGTTTTATCACGGCGGCGGTGACGGCGTCCACGAGCTCTTCGTCTTTGGTGGAGATGCCCGGGAACATGATGAATTGCGTGTTACAGTCGCGGCGGGAGTCGCGGTAGGGGCCAGGGGCAGAGGAGGTTGGTGATGTTGGTGGTTCGGGGAGAGGTTTGGGGAGAGGCTTGAAGAGGGCACAGTGGGTGGTTGCGCGGGCGAACATAGTGGATAGGTAGCGGTTCATGGTTGGCTGTAAGGGGGATGTTGAATCTCTTTTCGAGCTGATGGGAGTTTGGCGGTTGGTTCTCGATTGCAGCTGGAAGTTGTGCGAGTAGAGAGGAGATGTGCATTGCAGTGTTGTTTTCTGGGATATAGATGCTTATATACTTAAAGACTGTGTATCCCCGTGCTAGTCGGGTGCTCAACAATGGGAGTGAAGGACTTGAGCGGATGTATAGATTTTGGGGATAGGGGTGAAAGACAGTATGCTTGTGCCTATTAGACCCTGCTCCTGAGAAACGTATGTGGAAAAGATAGTGTAGTATCATGCCGATGCAGGAATCGGTACATTTTCGAGAATGCATGTGGTCTTTATAACATATTTCATGTAGTAATCCAAACCATAATTTTGCGGTATACACTGCTCTAGTCATCTATAGAATCTATTTCTTACTCAATTTGAGACACAACAAATATCAACCGTCATTTTATGAACTAGTCTCTACGAAGCGAGTCTGCTCTCTAAATTCCTAGTCTTGATGAATAAGCAACACAGTTCCCGTCCCTAGAGCACTGAAGAAACGTCCGTCTCCTCGTTCCACTCAAGGCGGAACCGAGCCATTCGACCCAAGCGTTTCTCCGCCTCCTTCTTCCCGGTCGGCGTCTTCATAAAATCGAGATACTTATAAAATCGACTCCACTGCAGCTGAACCGCCATATGAATAGTATGCTCGCGGCGATACTGATTCGCACCCCCATAGACAAAGCAGCGCCCTTGCCCAATCATGCCAATGCCATCAAGGCGATCCGCATCCTGCACAACAGCAAGCTCAGGATAGTCCTCCGCCAAACCCTTTACCTCCTCTTCGTGTTTCGCCTCGTTCGTGAACGACACCAGTGGAACGATGTACGACACCTTTCGTCGAATGGGCGTCCACACGCCGCAGCTTTTCAGCAGGTTCTCCACCTCGTCGTACTGTGTCTGGCCTTTTTGAAGGTACTTCGGCTCGCCGACGTCATGCACCATAGCAGCGAGGTAGACCACCACAGGGTCGATTCTCGCGGTCCAAGCTGGTCGGACTATGCGCTCGGATTGGAGGATTTTGTGGGCGTTGTTGACTACGCGTTGGATGTGCTCGTAGTCGTGGGACGGGTCCAAATGGTCGCCGTACATGTAGTCTCGAACGGCTTCGTTGACGGCGCGGAACATGGGGCGTTGGGCTTCGGGGATGCGGAGCTTGTTCATGTCGAAGAGCTTTTGGCTGCGGTATTTGGTGCAGTTGGAGAAGCCACCGGGGAGGGAAGGGTCGGGGCTGAGGGGTCCGTTTTTCGAGGAGATAGGGGCAGTGGAAGCCCAGACGTCGGGAAGTTGCTTAAGAGAGTTGGAGACTCGGTTAAGCATGGCTGGGGACTTGATGAAGATGTCGTTGTTTGATTTGGTTGTGGTTATGCCTGTAGTCGTTGCTGAGCGTTTACAGAGTCTAAGGTTGTGAGCGGCTTCTGGGGAAAAAGATCGCTTATATATGAGTGTCGCGAAGAGCGACCATATTGGTGAATACACAATGTCACTGAAATTGTGAATGATCGTAGCAAAAGTGACTTCGGGTATACTCGAGCTGAACCACTCCTAAAGGGACGTCGCACATGGCGTTCTCGGTTCAACAAAGCAGGACAAAGGCGCGTCTATACCATACCTTGTTGTTGGAACGGAGGGAACATCGCTAGATGCTGGGCGGATAGCAGTGCCCTTTTGCCTTCTGCATATGCTTGCTCTAGTCAACATCATTTTGGAGTCCACTATTTGGTGCATCGGCGTGACGTTCTGTCAACGAATATCGAAAACATCGATTCAAATTACTTGAAAAGAGCCTGGAAACAATGAGTGGGAGCAATACTCACACGGATGACGTTGCTTCTGCAAACTGATTTTCGTCAGATAACCATAATTTCCATAGATGTATGTGCTAGGGCCGGCCCCAACGGTCTCCAGCCCCAAAAGTCTGATTATGTTAGAGACATAGGCTCTCATTGCCAGTGGTAATTCACTATAAGGCATTGAAAGGTTTAGGAAGATGGAGAAGTTAGCAAAGTGACGCAAGCCGGCAGAGATGACATATTCGTGCAATTTGGTTTGGGGAGGACACTGCGGGAGCAGCCCGAAAATCTGAGCAGAGGTTCCATTCTGAGCGAACATTGCGCCGATGGACGGTTCTTGGCTTCCATCGAAAGTGGGGAATAAGTACCGGTGATTGCTGCCCATATGCTAATGCTTCGGCACGCTTTCGTCAAACCCACGATCAACTATTGAAGCGGGAAGGAGAGCTCTGTCTCCTCGTTGAACTGAGCAGCGAAATCCTCCAGTATCTTCTTTCTCGACGCCGCCATCCTTTTTCCTATTTTCGTTTTCATCATGTCTGGCAGCTTATACAGCTTCTCATCAAAATGGTCGATGGCGACAGACATAGGCTGACCCTCCTTTCTCGCGCCTCCAAACGCGAAGCATCTGCCCACGCCCACGGCACCGATAGCGTCCAGCCGATCGGCATCCTGCACAATGGCGAGTTCGGGGTACTTGGACAACATATCCACCACTGACTGAGGGCTCTTGGTCTCATTGGTATATCCGACATGCTTGACGATCGTCTGCACCTTGCGGGCAAGCTCTTCTGATGCACCTCGGTCCTGAAGTAGTCTGGAGACCTGGTTTTCAACGTCTTCTCCAGGTTTGGCGTACTTGTAGTCGCCTACGTCATGGAGAATGGCAGCGAGGAAGACGGCTGAAGTGTCATAGTTGCAGTCCGGATTGGCTTTCTGTTCTGCTTCGAAGATGCGGTTTGTATTGGACAGGACCCGCAAGATGTGGTAGTAGTCGTGCGAGTTGTCGTGGCCTGGTGAGGACATGTACTCGTAAACGAAGGAGTTGATGGATTTGAAGAGCTCTCGATGCTCCTCCCGGATGGGCACGACTGGAACCGGAATGGAGCTCACCATTTTGAGACTTGTGAAAGACGCAGTTTCGAATGATGATTTGCTTCGATTTAGGAAAGGTACGTTTAGTGGGCTGAGAGCGGAGGAGTGGTTTTTGAGGAGTGATGAGGCCGTCTCCTGTAAAACGAGAGTGGTCTGATGTTATACGGTGCCGGGGAGTACAAAGTGAAAAGTCTTCCGCTACTTTAGGAAGGCGAAAAGTTGGAGGGGGTGTTAGCTTATAATTCCTGCACTGCGAAGAAGCGGAATGCTTTGGGAGACGCCGACCTCGTCTTTGCAGGTCCGAATAGGAAAGGTATCAAGCACGGTCAACGCGCGTAGTCACATGTTGGAGGAAGCTTATCCTATTTCTCTCGGAGGTCCGCCCTTCCAACAGTTGTTGACCGGTATCCAGACCAATCGCAAGGCAAACGGCCGCCTTCTAGGGCCTTCGTTTAGGCACATAGCCCTTTGAGTCGGCTCAGAAAGGGCGCGCCCTGCAGGCGGCGAAGATGTAGCCTTGCGAGGCTGAAGGTTTGACCGGAATTGAATCCGTGGACCATCTGAAGCTGAACAGAGATAGCGGTCTTCGTAACGACTGCGCTCTGAGGCATAAGCTTGTGAAAGGGGATGGAAGATTGCGTCTTTGTCTTGGGTGGTTGCGGATCCGGGCATTGGACCTCGGCAGCCACGCGAGCAGCCCCTCGACAGTGCGCCCAGCCTCCTGCGCAACCTCAACACCACGACCGGTGCGCCATAACTCATGATTGCCGGCGCATCCAGTGGGAAGACCACTATGTATAAGCAGGCGACACAGCGGACCACCGAGGTCCTCTCGCTGCCTCCGAAATGGCTCGGGATGTATTCCGACTTCATCACCAAGAACAGCAGCGCAGTATCGCAGATCGAGTCGGCGCTGCGATCGCTGACATATATCATCCCCGGTGCGCATTACTCGATTGCGATGCTGCTGTGATCGTGGTGCTGATAAGTCACAGGTCGCTTCAGAGAGTCTGAGATTGCGTCCGAGTCTCGTAGGTTCACCCAGGTCGCTGTCGCATGCGCCGTCTAACTTGTCTGCAGTACACAGCGGTGTCCAGCTCCTCTCCCTTTATCATGACTCCCTCCTCGCAAAGGCAATGGCGCAGTTGCCAGGGACACGGCGCCATCATCCAACCCCGCACAATCGCTACACCAAGTTCTGGACGCAACGATCGCCGACCTATAAGCGGCTCGCGCTCCTTCTCCAGATGATCCAATATACCGAGCTATTATGGGAAATGGCGGCGAAGAGAAAGGGAGAGAAGGTGCGATGGCGCGTTGTGGTGTTGCTAGAGATGGTGAAGGCTTTCTGCCGCCTGTTGCTCCTACGGTTGACGAATTCGAGACCGCTAGTGTCGCCCCCTCTTCCGCAGAGGGAGGTGGATCCAAGCTCCTTGGAGGACTCATCAGCATCTGCTGATGGTATGGATACCCCTCCTAGCGAGCAAGCGGTCGAAGCGGAGAACTGGACCATGCCCCGAACCGGACTGTCCATGCCGAGCTTGCCAGACTCATCCGACATCTCGAGCTACCTGCTGTCCAAAGTGCTTACTGCGGACGACATCAAGCCTCCGAAAGCGCTGCTCCACCGGGTTAGTGGCAAGGGAGAGGTGGCGGAGGTGTTGTACATTCTAAGGCCAGTCATTTATGCTCTCGCAATGCAGCATTTCAGCGGCGATAGAAAGAGCTGGCGACCATGGCTGATTGGATTGAGCATAGAGTACGGAGCGAGACAATTGGCAAAGAAGGATTTCCAAGAAAGGCTTGCTGGAGGACTCAGAGGGTTAACAGGACTAGAAAGAGAAGAGCTAAGGAAACGTGGATGGGCGCTCGGCTGGTGGATGATGCGTGGCGCCTTCTATGAGAATATCACTAAGTTAGTTTGCATTCGACAGCTACATTGTTTTTGAGCTAACGATACACAGAGCTTGGATACACGCCATTACGCGAAAGCTGAAGAACAAGCCTCTCTTGGACATTGTCGGCGGTGTCATTGAGGACTATGAGTTCCTTTGGGATCAGTACTACTTCCCGACCGCCACGCTCTAATACCGATTTCTTTTGTCTATATGGAGCATTTGGATAACGGCCTCGGATTGGGTTGGTATTCGGGGTGGCTGTGTAAGACTATGCATTGGGAATCGGATTGTGATGAAGCTAGGGAAAGAGCCTGTATGGAATTTGCTTGGCTATATGGCCTATGAGACTGCTGGTAAGGTCTCTAGGATATCTGACGCTTCTGTCTTTTGGTTACCATATATACTTTACCTAATGGACCTCGCAATGTTGATGGGTTTTCGATCTGTTCTTGTTATTGAGATTCAGGTTGTCACTGGAGCCACTGGAAAGAACATAGGCAGAGCATCTCCGAAATGCAAAATGCACATGTTTCTGAGCGATGGAATCCAAGAGTTAACTGCTCTCGGCGTTTACGCCATTTCTGTGTGCCTGGACGAAGCGGTCCGTGCGCACGAGCTGGCCGTTCCGAAAGCTTCGATGAAAGAGCCTCATCAACATCCACACCAACCCCAACACGCCCGCCGTCAGCGAACACCCACCTCCATCCAACTCCGCCAGCCTCTACCGCTCACTTCCGCCTAATACAATAGTATCCCGCAATTATGCCGGCCACGACAGCCGAGACGCTGTCGCTCGTCACCCGCAACGTCTCCGTCGCACCTCTTGTGCTCCTCTCCGCAGCAGATCACTACGGCCGACAAGCAAAAGGGACAAGGAAACGAGTCGTCGGTGTGCTTCTGGGGCAGAATGACGGCAAGAACGTGAGGGTATCAAACAGCTTTGCTGGTGCGTAGCGCTCCACTTCGTCCCCGCCACAATATTGTTCGCCGGGAAAGCTCAGAACACTGCTGATGTTGTTCATAGTACCCTTTGAGGAAGACGAGAAGGACCCGTCAGTATGGTTCCTAGACCACAACTACGTCGAGTCGATGAACGACATGTTCAAGAAGGTGAATGCGCGGGAGAAGCTCATCGGGTGGTATCACACAGGTCCCAAGCTGCGGGGGTCGGATCTGGAGATCAACGAGCTGTTCAAGAGGTACACGCCGAATCCGCTGCTGGTCATTATCGATGTGCAGCCGAAGGAGGTGGGCGTACCCACGGATGCGTACTTCGCGGTGGAGGAGATCAAGGATGTAAGACCCCGGAACTCACCTTTACCTCTAAGCTGCACCTGCCGCTTTGGGAGGCATTATGAGGCAGACTTAGATGTTTGAATGCTAATGTGGGACCTAGGACGGCACAACTACCTCCAAAACCTTTGTGCACACACCCTCAATAATCGAAGCCGAAGAAGCAGAAGAAATAGGCGTCGAGCACCTCCTCCGCGATATCCGTGACGTCGCCGTCGGTACCCTCTCCACCCGCATAACCTCACAGCTACAATCTCTGCAAGGCCTGCATCTCCGCCTGCGCGACATAGGGCAGTACCTACAAAAGGTGCTCGACGGCGACCTACCAGTCAACCACGCCATCCTCGGCAACCTCCAGGACGTTTTCAACCTCCTCCCGAACCTGTCAACACCGAAGCCAACACCAGTGGGCGGCGCAACGAACGGGGTGGGTCCTGCCGCAGGCACTGCTGGTGCGTTGGATAATTCGGAGCTGGCCCGTGCCATGAGCATCAAGACGAACGACCAATTGATGGCTATCTATCTATCAAGTTTGATCCGCGCGATAACCGCTTTCCACGACCTCATCGAGAACAAGATCCAAAACAAGCAGCAAGCGGAGGATAAGGAGCTGAAGAAGGAGGAGGGCAAGGAGGGAGATAAGGAGAAGAAAGCGAACGGTGTGAACGGCGACGCAAAAGAAGGTGAAAAGGAAAAGGGCAAGGAAGGGGAGAAGAAGAGGGGATGAGAGTGGATGTGGGGAAGGTAGATGGAGCGACTGAGAAAGGTCGTCCGTACGCTTGCATGAAAGTGTATTATATCACACTTATTGGCCACTGCGGAGTCGCAATGCGTGTGCCTCCCAGATGCATGGCATAATGGCATGATAGAATTGACGATAATAAACATTGGAGCCTCATGTCTTTGATTATCATCCAGTCGTCTGCAGGGCTTTGCAGCGCATCCAATCACCCTTTTAGGGTGTAACACGAGGAAGCTTCGGAGCGTGGTTATAGTTCTTTAAGTCGAACTTGTCATGCTTCTCATTAGTTCGTCAGGCCGTGCTGCCTACGGCCGGGTATCAATGTGCAGCCTCCTTCAGGTTCCGAGCTCCTCCCATATTGCGCTCCGTTTATATCGAGTTACCATAGCGTCGCACCCAACCCCATCGTCCGGGGCCAAAGACTTAGACTGCAGAGAACTTTCATCTCAGTCTCCCCATCCTGCAGCCCATCCCGCTGCTTCCTCAACACTGACCTCCTTCTCTTCCACAAACTCCCCAAACAACCCACTGCAGCGCTCCACCAGCACACATGCCAGCAAGTGCTTGCAGACAGGCGGCGTCCCTTCACCCAAGCTCATGGCGCCGAAAATCCACTCAGCATCATCTGTGCTCTTCTTACTTCCGCTTAGCTCCGCTGCTTCGTCGTACGTCGGAGTAGGGGGCTCAGGATGTACCGATGGGAACGCAGCGAACGCGAAGGCTGGACAGGAGCAGTTCCATGCCGTGAGTCTGACTTCGTAGCTTGTGGTCGAGTCGTAGGAGGTGCTGTAGCGCGAGGACTTTTGCTGGGCGGAGCGGACGTAGTATACCACATCTGACTGTGATTGCTGTGCCGCAACGTCACCTCCTTCTGAGCTGTGTCTTCCCTCCTCCGCAGTGCTTCGGGGTACGTCTGTCATATCGGCCGTATAAGGTACGAAGGATTCCACACCGCGCATGGTCGCATCGGCGGAATGCATTTGTCCGGCGGCGCGTGTCACGGTGAGATTGTGTGCCGACGCCTCTTTTAAACGCGCAATTTCATTAGCACCGAGCTGTGCCGCTGTCCCTTCCTTATGTCCAGGGCTTCGTGATACTGTTGTCGCGTTTTGCGGCGCAGCTTCCTCCCCAGTGTCTTTCGGCTCGCGGCGGATGCGGAAGCGCGTTACGAGACGCCGGTCGAGCAGGTCCAACGCAGGGAGCAACTCATTGGGAAAGAGGACGTGCAGTGTGAGGAGCTGCTTCTTGGCCGGTTCGGGCGCAGCGCTGAGCGCGTTTGATTCGGCGCCGGTGTCCGCGGAGTGCTGCGGCGCGATTCCACGCAGCGAGTCGAGCAGCTGCGTTATGAATTCACGGGAAGCCGGCAAGGTTGACGAGGCCATAGATGCGTATCCGGGTGCGGCGCCGTTGATGACATGCTGCGTTGTGGGCACTTGGCATCGCGTCTGCGGGGTGAAGCCGTGACGGTTCGAATAAAGTTGGGATGGAAATTCTGGAAGTTGCGGGGACGCGACTTAGCGTTGACGCTTTGACTCCCGTGCGGCTTCTCGCTGCGTCGGCACGTGAGCCGATCGTGGATCTGCTTCACCTCCAGGGCTGGGCTGCAAACTGGAAGCGCGGCGATGTGTGTATGACGACTATGACACGGCCATTGTGAGGAGTTGCTCTGCCGGAGTCATGCACGCAATGATTTGGGTGCGGTAAGCTTTGGGCATGCCTTGCATATCGATCCGTGGTTCATGGCTTTCACCGACCATCGCCCAGGCCGATGTGCTTCAAAGCGCAGAACAGGCCTTGCTAGATCCCTTTGGCCTACCGCTATAATCCCATTCAAACTATACTACTAGACGAAGTGTGTGGTCATGGGATCACTGCTGACCCCGTCAATCCGCTTTCGTCATCTCTCCCATCACCAGTCCCTCAAGGTTCCAGCGCGACCAATCGCATCGCGGGTCCAGTACTGGGCTCAATTGCTGGTCATTTACGCTCGGGAATCCGGTGACCGAGAGACATGGTGGTGGTCGGCCTGGGCTCGTCATCTCACAGCAGGATCGCGCTCTTTCTATTTTCGGGCAGGGCGAGCAGAAAGGGGTTATGTGGCATTCTAATGCAGGGCGCGCCTGTTCTTGCATCGGCATCTGACGCCATTGACGAGGTGGTGACTGGCAGACTGAGATGAAGGACCGCTCCATATTACTTTTGTCAGAGGCTCGAAACAAGGTCCTGCAGCGGACGATGTCGGACTGGCAGGCTGCAAGCGTGGCAGATGCAGGGACTCCAGGATGTCGCCGGCAGGTCGCACCCTGTAAGTCAGGGCAGCAAACGAGGAGGGGCCAGTCGGCATTGGCCTATCGATGCGCGGGCCGGAAACGCAGATCGCGTCTTGCAGAGGTGTCGCGCATGGCTACAAAGGTTAGGGGCCGTCGTCCAAACAAACGGTCGTGGGCAGCCATGATTCCTCGACGGGCACGGCATGGTATTGGTGAGTCGACGCCCGGAGCGCTGCGTCTGAGGCCTAGATTGCTGGATATTGGCGGACTCCGCTGAGGGCAGGCTGAGGATCGACGATTGCTGCTTGACGAGAGAGACGTGGTGCGCCTCGGCAGTAGTTTGACCGTTGCGATCTTGGGCACAGCACGGCAGAATTGGTGAGAGGGGTGAGGGGCGCGCAGGAGTGAGGGCGTAACCTACCCCACACCCGTCTTCGGTGCCGGACGCAGATGAAGCCTCTCAACTTCCCCACCCTAGCGCTATCCGGGGGATGCGATAACGATAAGACACCCGCACCGGTAAGCAAAGCATGACCCCCCTTCACGACCAAGATGGTGTGACGGGGCTATCTCGTGAGGGCCTCAGCTGCTCCTTCGGGACAGGGCAGGAATTGCGAGACGGCGCGACGACGCTGCCGTGGGGGACCTGTCTCGCCGCGCGCTGTCCAGCTGAGGACCGGACGACTTTCACATGCCAGCTTTGGCGCGACGACCCGCTGCGACGACCTGTCAGATGGCAATTGGCATTGGGGAAGCAATGCGTCGAGCAACTGATGCAGACGGCGTCTGGCGCTCGCTGCCCGCCGCAAGACATGTTTTACTCGCCCTGGGCCCTCTCTCCGGCGTCAATTGCAGCCGCGTGGCTGGTGGCGATGCCCACAGCCGACCAGAGAGCGGCCGCATCACAAGACCGCATCGCTCGCCGGCCAAATGAGCAGGGCAAATGAGCAGCAGTTCCGCGTTGCGAGGTGGCGGCTATTTCGGTTTCGACGCGCAAAGGGAGGGGAGCGCGGCCTGCATGTACTCCGTAAGGCGAGGGCCGCTAATGTCCGTGGATGGCCACAGTAGGCAAGTCGAGTGAATACAGGGGAGCCGGCAGCAACCCAGAGGCCCAACGCGCGGGAATCTGGCAGGCTGACCGGCGAGATGAGTGCTGCGAAAGGTCAATTGCAGCGCCGTACAGGAATGTGGAGCGATGTGGAACCACGCTGTTGCCTCTGGGGCGGTCAGGCTACGGGGGCGCCTGGTACTGGTACGAGTAGCGGCGCGACGGACAGTGCCTGGCGAGCGAGCGAAGCAGCAGCAGCAGCGCTGAGTTAGAAATGACGGAGGCGGTGTCAAGTCCCCACCGGAGCCAGATTGAGATGTCAGTACGGAGGAAGCCCTCAGGCAGTGCGGTGACACGTGTTTGGCCAATTCCAGGGCTGCCGCGTGCCCAATGGCGCCGCGACAGGTCTCGCCGCAGCGCGCGCAGTGAATTGAGCGTCGACGGCGCCCATTGAGCCCGCAATTGCTGGCCGTCCACGGCAGCAGCGCTGCGCAGAGGGCGAGAGTCGACGTCGACGCCGCTTCGGGAAATGCATGTCGCCGCGAGCGCTAGCCGCTTTCGCGCGCCCTGGCATCCCATCGCAAACAGCTCTCTCACAGCCCAACAGCCCCCAGGCAGGATTGACTCACCACTCGACCACAACCTGCGCTGCCATGCTTCGCCGCCCGGCCGCGCCCCCCATTGGCTGCCCACCGCCGGCACGCTGTTCGGCGCCCTTCCATTCACTTCTTGGCCACGGCCAATTCGTCAGCTCCCGGCCGGGAGAGGCGCGTAGGATATTGATGATGCCTGGAGGATGAGCTGCCACCTGAGCGCTGTGTCGCGCGCCCGCCCACCCTCCTGGCCGCCTTCTTTGTCCGCCTGGCCCAAGGCACATGGTTTCAGCGGCAGTCATCTGCCTTTTCCTTGTCCCTCTTTGACTCTGCAGCCTGCTGCCGCTCCCTTTGAAACACTGCCGCACCCTCGCCCTTCTTAAGCCCGCCCACCCCCATCGCTTTCGCGAGGTTTGGCCTACCGCTCGCACGCCCTCCTATCTCCGGTGCCAATTCCACCTCCAGGCAGTTACTAATTAGCCTCGCCCGGCGCTGCTGTAAGCATTCGTCCGGCCATTGGATCCGATTCCGCCGCGTTCCACGGTCACGTTGTCAACCGGTCACACTCTGACAAGAGCAGACATATAACCGTGGGGCTCGCCACCACTCCCCCATTCGCAATTCACAGTCATACACAGCCGTTGTTCGCGCCAAACGCTACCGTCATTCCGCTGCTGCCTAGGGGGAGACGTTAAAATTCCGTCTCGCCCACTCCAAAGCCCGCGACAAACTCCCCACACTTCACGCACAATGGCGAACCCGCCGTATAAGACACCCCCGAGCAACCGTCTTACCGTCTCCTCACTCCTCTCGCCTCCAGAGATGAAGCGCTCAGAATCCTTCGGCTCGTCAATTGCGCCCGCAATCGCACGCTCGCCTTTCTCGTCCTTCAACTCAGAGCCATCGAAGCCCGCCATCATGGCCGCCTTCCAGGCAACACCCTCCTCGCACCGCGATGCGTACGCCTCGCCGCCAATTTCGCCGTACGACTCGCAATCGCAGAAGGAGAACATGGACTGCCCGCCGGAGATCGGCGCGCGGGACCCGCAGCTCTTCGTCCCCAGTGACGCGGTCAGCTCAATCGCCCCCGATGAGCCACTGTTCCCTCAGGAGCCGGTCGATCATGTCGCACAGAACCTGATCACCGAACACATGAAGTCTTCCGATTTCGCGAACCTCCAGAGCAAGCCTGCCCGCGAAGACTACGAGCTGGCCGTCTCCTTCGTCTCCACCGTCTTCCAGTCGTACAACAAGAACCCGCGCGCATGGTATCTACAGGAACGGGAGTTCGATCAACGATACGGCCGACCGAGCGGCGTGCAGAAGAGGCCAGCGCTGAAGAAGCTGGCTCCCGCGCCGTCGACAGGACCCCGCCAGAGGCAAAAGATGGCCCTCCCCCGTCTTCCTCGCGCTCCTCGAGCGCCGAAACGCACTCCTCAGGCTCGCGTCTACGATTCTTTCGACTTCATTCCATCTTCGGTGTCGCCGAAGCCTCCGCGACCGGCTACAAACCGCGACGACACCGACTACAACTCGCTTCCAGACTTCTCGCCACCCCTCGACACCCTGCCCAAGGGCAACAACAAGGTTCTCAAGGCCGACTGGAAGGGCCAGGTGCTCGATCTCTCCAACGACCCCGATCGAAGCCTGCTGCACGAAGCCGAACTCAACCTAGCCTCGACCCTCCGTCTGTCGTGCGCCACCTACCTCTGCAGCAAGCGACGCATCTTCCAGGCCCGCATCGAAGCCCTGAGGATTGGCAAGGAGTTCCGTAAGACCGATGCCCAGCAGGCCTGCAAGATCGACGTCAACAAGGCCAGCAAGCTCTGGCAGGCCTACGAGAAGGTCGGCTGGTTCAAGCCCGAGTTCTTCCGTCAGTACCTTTAAGTCATTCTCTTCGGATCACTGCAACAATTCTCATACACACGGATTTTACGGGCGACTCGTTACCGCCTGTGTTGGATTCTCATGTTACGCATCAATTTGCATATGGACACACGACCACTAACGGCGTTGTGGGTTTCTCCTTTTCGGATCAGACTGAGATACCATGGCATAGGGGAGCAGCGAACGCAGTCTCCCCTCTTCACATCGACGATTCATGAACGGCGTTCTCTACTCTCGGATATGAGCATATTGTACGCATGGACTGGGTAATGTCCGGGTCTGGGTTTTGGTTACGCCGGCGTTCACTCTCGCCGTGCCCACTGTTTCCTTTGTCTACGTCATGCTGATACCCCCTATCCCCATGGATGTATTTCCATTTTTACGATATCTACCCAGTTGCTGAGCAGCATGGGAGCCGAGCATCTCGGCCGTCTTCCGTAGCCTTAGAACGAGCAATGCTATTGTTCGCTGTCTTGAGCGAACCTTGCGTGATAAAGTCCTCACATTGAATCCTGTGCCTACATTCGAGTGATTCTGCGTCCATTTCTTCGATAAGTTAAACAGTTACGTTCGGACCAAATTCTCGCTGGTCCGGCATCCCGTGAGATACAAAGTGGCGCGGGCGTAAGCTCAGGGCCAATTTTGGGCTGAGGCGGAACCCCGGCCGAACTTCAAACGCTCCTCCGCGACCATCATCAATCAACGACCACCACACCCTCACTTCCCCGCCCACGCTGCGGAACCCCGCGGAATCTTCGCCATGTCGCAGACGCAGCAGATGGAGCAGGCAGATTCGATACACAGCCAGGACCCGCATCGCGAGCAGGCCAAGAAGACAAAGAGCAGGAGACCCCCCAGTGAGCGACACATAGAAGCCCAGCGCGCGGAGGCCAGGCGATGCTGACAGCTGTCTAGATACTGCATTCCGGCAGCAGCGATTAAAGGCATGGCAGTATGTTCCAGAAAGAAGCGCTACTCCATGGCGCAAGACTGACAGCGATCCGACAGACCCATCCTTACCCCGAAGACGGTCCTCCCCATCTTCTTCGTCGTCGGCATCATATTCGCGCCCATCGGCGGGCTCTTATTATACGCGAGTTCTCAAGTGAGCCGGTCCGCTCCAACTGTGCAGAGGGCAGGAGGCTGACTTCCCCGCCAGGTGCAGGAGCTCTCGATCGATTACACTAACTGCAACACCAAAGCGCCGCAGACCGAGGCCAATCGCGATCTCGACAATCCGGATACTTTGGAGGACATACCGGGGGACCGCGTTACTGCCTCGTTCAAAACGACAATGAAATCGCAGCCACAATGGGGCCACGCCCGCGAAGAATATACCTGGCCGTCCGGGGTTAAGCAGGACACGGACGTGTGCGTTCTGAGCTTTGAGATACCCAACGACGTCAGTCCGCCTGTCTTGTTCTACTATCGCCTTACCAATTTCTATCAAAACCACCGCCGATATGTCAAGTCGCTAGATGTCAACCAGCTGAAGGGAGACTTCGTGAGCAACTCATCGATCAAGTCCGGCGAATGCGACCCCCTAGATGTTTCACCCAATGAGGCGCCATTCAACGGCCGCGCGTACTATCCGTGTGGCTTGATTGCGAACTCCATGTTCAACGATACGTTTGAGAACCTGGATGCATCGAACCCGCAGGTGGAAGACGGCAGCTTCAATACTACATACGACTTCTCGGCCCAAGACATCTCCTGGAGTTCCGAGAGCGACTTGTATGGGAAGTCCAAGTACACGGTACACGATGTCGTTCCTCCGCCAAATTGGCGGGAACAATACGTGAATGGCACCTACGATTCGTTGTCGGAACTACCCGACCTCAACACGTGGGGAGCGTTCCAGGTCTGGATGAGGACTGCCGGACTGCCGACGTTCAGCAAATTGGCGATGAGGAATGACAAGGATGTCTTGAAGACAGGAACCTACCGGCTAAAGATCTACGACCGTATGAACCGTGTCTCTACATCCGTTCGATTTTATCACTAACCTTGATCTAGGATTCCCTGCTGACCAATACGGTGGCACCAAGTCCATTCTGATCTCGACCCGAACCGTGATGGGTGGCAAGAACCCCTTCCTTGGGATTGCGTATGTGGTTGTGGGTGGTCTCTGTATTTTGCTTGGTACCATCTTCACTCTCACCCATCTCGTCAAGCCAAGGTAAGGCGCCAATTTCTACACAAAGAAGTCAGAATACTGATGACTGCACAGGAAACTCGGTGATCACACCTACCTATCCTGGAACAACGACCAACCAAGCACGGCAACCACAACAGGGCGTGCCTCTCGCCCAGGCGATACCGCATGATTATGACAACTGTGCTTCCTAATGAAGTAGATGGTTTCCTTCTTTTCCTTTTGCACTTGAATCGGGCCAGGAATCGGGTTTTTGGTAGTGTATTTGTACCACGAGTCTTGGAGAGGTCTGGAGTTTGGGCGATATCCAACGAGAAATTGATTCTTCATGCGTTCTGCTTCATCCACACACCTTTCATAGTAGCATCATGCTTACTCTGCTTGAATAGGATTCATCTCCGCGGCGTTGAACAATTAAGCTTCCTGTCAAGTCATTCAGGTGGTAGTTCCTGAGACCTGTTTTAACAGTTGCACCGTTTGCGTCCCCATTTTCGGCCCCGGCAAATGTCTGGACGGCTGTCGAAATATGCCTAGATGGCCATTCTGAGACGTTGGAATCCAGACCATCTCGAAGAGGAAGATATAAGCTGCGATTGATGCCCGAGTCGAGCAAGAGATCACGATCACTTGCAAATCACTTCCAAAACAAACACCATTCTACAGCAAGCCTTTCCTGAGTAGCCTCTTGAGCAACTGGGAAAACACATTCTTGAGGGACAAGCCTTCGTTATCGGACCATGATCAAACAGCTTCTCCTTGCCTCCCTGGGCCTCCTAGCACTAGCGGCGGCAGATAGCAGCAATCCTCAACCCAAGCCCTTCGACTGTGGAACCGACACTGCTCACGCTTCCGAGGACTTCCTCAACACCATCCAATCGCTCCACTCGAACCAAGCCTCCGGCTCACCCGCGGCACGCGCAGCCCTCGCTGCACGTGACAAGGACAACAACTCAGCCATCAGCGTTGACGCCGTCTTCCACATTGTCGCTAAGCAAGACAAGAAGGGCGACATCACAAACGACATGCCGCAAGCGCAGCTCGACGCGCTCAACGAAGCCTACAAGGACTACGGCATCCAGTTCAACCTCATCAACATAACGTGGAACACCAACGATGCCTGGGCCGTCGGCGACAAAGACGCTGATCTCGAGATGAAAAAGGCACTGCGCCAGGGCACGTACCGCACGCTCAACATATACTTCCAGACCGACCTCTCGGGCGGCGTGCTCGGCCGCTGCACACTCCCGTCCAACATCGCGAACGGCAAATCCGACACCAGCGTCTACGCAAACGACGGCTGCAACGTGAACGCCAACACGATGCCCGACGGCGCCATGGACGGGTACAATCGCGGCAAGACGGCCGTGCACGAGACGGGGCACTGGCTCGGTCTTCTGCACACGTTTGAGGGAAATTCGTGCGATGGGCCTGGCGATTACATCGATGATACGCCCATGGAGAAGGAGAGTACGGATGGGTGTCCGACGAATCCGCCGAAGAGTACGTGTCCGCAGCAGCCAGGCAGCGATAAGAATGATCCGATTCACAATTTTATGGATTATTCGACGGATGGCTGTTACGAGGGGTTTACGGCGATGCAGCATGATCGAATGCATTATATGTATAATATGTATCGGGATGGAAATTAGGGGGTTGGCGGAAAGAGGTAAGAATGGGTCAAGACTGTTCTCTAGAGGACCCGGTATTGTCGGATTGGTAGGTCACAGCCTTCTTTCTCGCGCGTTTTCTCTACTCAGTTGATCGTCATTGTCTATTGCTCTCATTTTGTTCCTATCTGTTTTCTTCAAACAAATTGCACATACTTTCTTCGCTTCTAGTCAATGCTACGTAAAACTCGGTAGATACAAAATGTCAATGTGCGAAGTCCACTAGTGACTGCTACTTCTCCCTATGTTACCCTATCACTGCAGGTGTATACAAGACATTTCCCAGCATCCCAGTCAAATCGCAGTATTCCAGGTTTTGCAACCCAAACGCCAGGTAACCCCGGCTCCTTGTGCAGAAAAGCACTCCCTTGCTGGATGCCAAGCAGCTCCCTTCTGTAGCCTCGCCGAAGCATACCATTCTTGGGGTGGGATTCCGAATTCCTGGGGCATTGTTGGGGGCAATGCGTGTAGCGTCACCATTACTCCATTGTGTTGCGGATGCATTCCAGACCAGGCTCCACTCTGTGCGTGCAACTATCGTCATCCCGGCATATCCGCTTCTCAGCATGCGCTCCGCGACGTCCTCCATTCTGTCTCACATGAATCGCAATATTGACTTACCCGACGTCAGATGTACTGAATATATACCTCTCATCCGCATTAGGTGCGAGCATCCTGCCCACGCCGCTCACTGTCGCAATTGCCTCACGCGGTCTCCCACGAACACGGCAGGCGCAAAGCCGCGCTTGATCATACGAGCAATACAGATGTCGTACCTCCACGAGGGAAACCTAAACCACCGGAGGATCCGAGACCACACGTGGAGCGGCTAGAAGCTGCATGTTCGAGACAGCATGATATTGATGCCCGGGGCTGGCCATGCGCGAGGAAAGACATCTCGAACTCCAGCTACCGCAAAAGTCTTAGACATGCAGAGACCTGCAGCTGTCAGTTTCGTAAGCAACGCCGTAGGGTTAGACAGTCGATCGCTGCTTGCAAACTTACCGGATGCAGGAAGTCTCTTTGTTCCGCTTGCGGAAGGAGGCGTGCACGTGCGCACGGCATGAGCTCTCCAGCTGGGCTGGGCTTTCACTCGTTGCGGGGAAGGAAGAATGGTAAGGAGGGTTATAAAGAAACTGGATGGCACGATCCTTTGGAGCTGAGACACGACAGCCCTCGGTCATCGACGACGGAACGACAACGCACGAGAAGCGTTCGAGTTCACCTCGACGACGAGGTCTGCCATCTACGCCTTTTGGATACGGACCGGAGCAAACACCAGATCGCCAATTCTACCTACCTTCCCTCGGCGACCGCTCTGCCCGACCTGAATACCGACAACTACCGACCGCACGCACGGCTGTAATGCCTCACCGCTTCCATCGCCGGACCTCGTCCACCTCCTCAGCCACTTCCGCCAAACCGCCGTCCATCTTCCGCTACACGCTTATTCTGCTCAAAGCACGTCCGTCGCGTACGGACCTCGACGCTCTCAGTGTCTACTCCGAGAGTCGGAGCGCACCGCCTTCGCCGACTTCCGGTCCCAGCAGACTGGAGTACTTCGTCGTGCCTGCAGTACGAGCCCGACAGAGGATTGAGACGCCGCCGCCGCCTTACACGCCGTAGGATATGGGACCACAGGCGATTGGGTGGGAGGTGGGGGCGTGGAGGGGGACGTGCGGTGTCCTCGGTGGGTGGGCTGCAAGTTGGTGTGTTCGGATTGAGGTTTGGCTCGTTCTGCTCGGTATACTCATCATCGGTGTCCTACTCGTCCGGCCAAAGGCTCGCCCTTCCGGGAAAGACGTAGTCTGCGATGACGAACGTACTTTCGCCCCAGATCTCGCGTCCCAACCCGAAGATTCCTCACTGAAAGATAAGAGCGGTTGGAACAGCGCACGAAGCGTTCTCGGAAGGGCAGACTTAGCCAGTGTGACGGGGTCGTTCAAAGATGCCGGCATTGGTGCAAAGATGGGCAGAAGAAAAAGGGAGGGAGCGGAGGTGGACAATGGGCTGGATGTGGAGGATACCTGTATCTTGCAGTGATTGAATATACATTTGCTTCGCTCCTGTTTCCTTGGGATGCTGTTGCAGCCGACCTTATCCCCATGTCTTCCCTCTTCTATCTTACGTCGTCCAACCAGGGCCAGGGTCTTGTCCAGGATAAGCGACCTGCAGATACCATGCAGTGGGACGAACCGCCCCGCAGCTCGTCTACGTATATTCCCCGTCGTCGCAGCCAGTCGCATGTTGCTACAATCCACCAAGCGCGCTATGCGGGCCGATTAGGGATCTTCCCATCGCCGCCATTGGGATCTAAAGAAGGGCCCTTGCAGAAAACCCCTCTTCTGTCCACCTCTTAAGCTTCCCTCCGGCACTTACTTTTGTATGTCGTACACTCTATTGACCATGTCCGACGACAAAGATGGCGGCGCCATTGAGCTTCGCCAGGACCTCTCGACCGCTGTGTACGAGAAGCATGGCACTGTCTCCGATGAGAAGGACATGCACCGCATGGGCAAGCTGCAGCAGCTTCGCGTGAGCCTCACTCCACTCCCCGCGCAGCATCGGTGTCAAATGCGATTATATGCTGACGAGATGACTATCAGCGGAACTTCCAATTCATGTCGATTTTCGGCTTCGCCGTCATTTTGGGGAATACGTGGGAGTTCGCGCTGGTGTAGGCTGGCACTTGCTTTTGTCTAATTTGGCCGGTGCTGAATCGATCGACCTGTGTAGTATTATAGGCATTTCGCTGAGCAATGGCGGAACGGCGGGCGGGATATGGATGTTCCTCGCCGTCTGCTTTGGCATGTTCTTCGTTATGCTGTCGATGGCGGAGATGGCCTCCATGTCAGTTGCTTCGGCTCTCAAACTCTCTCGGAGAATAGAATACGACTTACCGAACCCAGGGCGCCAACATCAGGAGGCCAGTATCACTGGGTGTCCGAGCTAGCCCCCAGAAGGCACCAGAAGTTCCTCAGCTACCTCGTCGGTGCGTTTTCCACTCCCACACGATCTCAACCCCACACAGCTCATGGGTGATTCTAGGCTGGATGTGTGTCATCGGCTGGCAAGCAGCCATGGCGACTACTGCTTTCGCGGCTACGCAGCAACTCCAAGGCCTGATTGCTCTGAACATACCCTCCTACGTTATCAAAGGCTGGCACAGCACTCTCTTCTGCATCACCATCACCGCCTTTGCCATCCTCTGGAACACCGTATTAGTCCGCAAGCTCCCATTCATCGAGACCCTCGGTCTGACCCTGCACGTGCTAGGCTTCTTCGCCTTCATCATCGTGCTCTGGGTCATGGGTCCGCGCTCGGATCCCAAAGCGGTGTGGACAGAGTTCAGGGACGACAGCGGATGGGGGAGTAAGGGGATGGCGACCTTAGTCGGCATCCTAGGCCCGATTGTGACGCTCATCGGGAGCGACTCGACATGCCATCTGAGCGAGGAGCTGCGAGATGCGGCGTGGGTGCTTCCGCGCGCGATGGTGACCGCAGCTGCTGTGAACTACGCCCTTGGATTCGTCATGACGGTTACCGTTATGTCGACGCTAGGCAGCGATCTGCCCGCGCTGCTTACAACTTCCTTCGGCCAGCCCTGGATCCAGATCCTGCTCAACGCGACGGAGTCGCGGGCCGCGACTAGCGTTATGACCGCGGTGATGTGTGCGCTGCTCCTGTTCTGCGCCATCAACACGAACACGACGTCGTCGCGGCAGCTCTTCGCATTCGCACGCGATCGCGGCGTGCCGTTCTCGAGCTTCATAGCGCATGTACGAAACCAGCCCGCCAGCGCTGGAAACCCACTGACATCTGCACAGGTCCACCCCAGCTGGGCCATCCCTATCAACGCCCTCCTCATAACACTTCTCCTCACCACGCTCCTCTCCCTCATCATCCTCGGTTCCACCATCGCCTTCAACGTCATCACCTCGCTGGGCCAGCTGGGCCTCGTGTCCTCGTACATCATCGTCATCGCCTGCATCTTCGCCAAGCGGCTGCGTCGCGAGCCGCTTCTGCCGTCGCGCTTCAGCCTCGGGCGCGGCGGCATCGTCGTCAACGCGCTTGCGCTGTGCTTCCTGGCGCTGGCGTTTGTCTTTCTTTTCTTCCCGGCGGCGCCGCATCCGTCGCCGGCGAGCATGAATTGGAGCTGCTTGATGTTTGGTAGTATTCTGGCGTTTTCGCTGGTTTATTATTGGGTGAGGGGGCGGTTTGAGTATGTCGGGCCTGTAGAGTATGTGAAGGTGGTGTAGGCGAAGGTCCTGGGGAAGGATCGCGTGGTAGCATCTTTAGAGAAGTGGGATGATAGGAATCTCTGGGGTCACCGGCTTCCTTTCGAAAATGGTGAAAATGACTACGGCGGATAGATTCCTGGACATCGGTTCAGGCTCCGTTTAAGGCTAGGAGACGTAGGCTTAGCTTATCTAGGAGGTCATAGACTGCGGCGCTTGAATGGAGCGATTCTCCGGTTTCTCGAGGACATCACTGGTCTTTATGGGAGCTAAAAGCGATCGTAGTATCTGCTTCGTGATAGTGTCTCTGAGAAAGTTCCCAGAATGATAACGAGAGTCGATCTGGTGCTCGGTGGGGAACTTTCCGAGGTCGAACCCCAACAAGCGGGACGACCTTGGCATGACGCGACAGGTACACCAACCTGCAGGATCCTTCGCCTTTAACGTTCCTCTGCAGGTCCATCGTCGGTTATAGGCGCTTTCTCCTCAACGGGCATGTCCGTGAACTAAAAGCCATGGATCCCCAAGGATCGCTTCCAGCACTCGCCATCCGTCACCTCCCAGGATGAAGATTCCACACCTTCGCGCATCTCTGATCTTCGTCTCCCCTGCCATCGCTAGCCATGCCTTCTACGTCGGCAAACACCTCACCGCAGATGGCAGCGTCCTGCTCGGCGGAACAGGCGAAGAAGTATCCAGCCACTGGCTGCAAATCTTCCCCGCCGCCGACCATCCTCCGAACGCGACAATCGAAGTCGGAGTCACTGAAGACGCCGTCATGCCCGGAACGCGAATGAACATATCACAAGTTCCGCACACGTTCCGCTATCTCTCCATGGAGTACTCCGACTACGAAGGATTCCCGGCCCCGCTTACGAACGGCGGCGTCAATGAAAAAGGCGTCGCTGTAAGAGACGTCTGGGCGGATAATAGGCCCGAGCTTGTGGACATGACGCCTAATCCGCAGCAGGGGTTGCAGTACAGTGATCTGGCGCGTGTAGTGCTCGAGCGGGCGAGCACGGCAAGGGAAGGTGTTGAAATCATCGGGCAGCTCATCGCGGAGTATGGATATGCTGATTACGGCGGAAACTCGCACTTCATCGCCGACAAAGACGAGGGATGGGTTGTGTGGGAGATGTCTGGCGGGCAAAAGCTGTGGGCTGCGGAGCGAATAGGCCCAGATGAAGTCCGCGTTTCCTACCCTGGATACATCAAGGACTTTCCCGTTGATTTTGCGGACAGCGAGGATTATATGGGATCGCCGAACATCGTCCCGTTTGCTGTGGAGCAGGGATGGTGGAACCCGAATGGATCGGAGCCTTTCAACATCTTCAACGTCTATGGGTATAATCTGGATGGGTACACGGCGCGAGACGGCGGCTTCAAGTACATGTCGCAAGCCGCGCTGGAAAACGCAACACTTGCCATGGTTCCCGTCTCGGAACAAGACTTGATAGAGCGTGTTCGCGACTATCGCATCTCCGACGACGAGGCTGGGTATGGGCAAGTCGTGAGCTTGCGCGCAGATATGGATCCAGACGTGATTCGCGTCTGGGTCGCACCTACAGGGTCCGTGACGGCGCCTTTCAACCCGTGGTGGCTCGGCGTCCAGGAAGTGCCGCCTGAGTATGGAGAGCACCGCTACCTAACCGATGGTGCCTCAAGCAGCTTCCTCAATCCGGATTACCAATATCAAGAAGCCACGTACTTCGCAGGCAGGAGGTTCAAGCAGGTCCTGTACTACACTTGCTCCGACCCGGAAACGTTTCTCCCCGTGGTACAACGCATGTTGAACGGGTTCGAGAATGCTTCGCGCAGCGGCATGGGATGGGTTGAGCAGAGTGCTCAGACGCTCATCGATCATGGGCAAAGACAGAATGCTCTGGACTTGCTGACCTTCTACGCTCGAACGCGTGCAAATGAGGCTATGGAACTGGGGCGCACCATAGTGGATGCGCTTGATGCGTACGTTAAACTGACAGGAGAATTCCGCAGGCCCAAAGGTACGGAGATAAACGACGCTGGTCTAGGCGCGGAGACGGTGAATTGTCTGGTTGGTTTTGATCCAGATCAGCCTTCGTGGAGGCAACCTCCATCGCCTTCGAGGAGACGAAGACGATCCTAGACCACGCGTTGTTACACAGTAGCGCGACTGCTCCGTGACTGTTGTATGTAGCAGTTTGGGGAAGTGGGGGTGGAAATCTAGCATGCAAAGTCAGCCGCTTATGAAGCAAATAGCCGCAAACCCTTAGTGGCCTAGGGCTCCTAGATCGAAGAACTAGATAAGGTGCGGCAAAGTGATATTATGCATGAATGTCAAATTGCTTATGGAATCATCTGTGATGGAGCGAACATATGGGAAGCTTTTTTCCACCCAATTCGGCGTTTGACGACCACATCGATCAGCCATGGCTGTAGCAAAAGACCTAGAGCTAGCAGAGCAACCACTGCAGACCGAAGTCCGCCAACGGAAGAAGTCAGATGACCATGTACCTCCCGTCGCTTCAAGACCGTTCGCCGGACGCATCGGAGGAAACCAAGAATTCATCCTCTCACCAAGCGATTCCTCCTTCGACAAAGTCACTTCGAAAGCCCCCGATGCCGCCGCGACATTCTCCTGGAAACAAAGCTTCAGCCCGCGCGGCTTTGCCGATGTCGAACTTTGGAAAGAAGCCACCATCGAAGGGGTCGGAACATGTCTGCTGAACTACCTGGCCGGACTATACGCAATTGGATTGGGGCAGATAGCAACGGCGACTTCGCTGGGGCCTGTTGCTCCAGCAGCATTTGCGGCTGTAGCGAATTTCCTGCTGATTTCGCTTTTCATCTTTGCTGGCGGTCCGGTCTCGGGAGGCCACTTCAATCCGCTGATTACGCTCTCAACGTTTACGGCAAGGCTCTCGGCATTTCCGCGGACGCTGCTGTACATTGTCTTCCAGTGCGTGGGCGCGGTTGTTGCGGGCTTTCTGCTGCGAGCCAGCCTGGGAAAGCCGAGGGCTGCGTTTCGAGGCTCTCCTGGCTGCTACATTGATACGGCGTTGGTGACGCCCGGAGAAGCGTGAGTGATCGAAGTGGATCGCAATATCCGTATCAAGCTGATTTGGAGAAGATACGTCTTGGAGACTATGACGTCCTTCGCGCTCATATTCATCTCCTTTGGCGTCGGCCTTGATCCGCGACAGAGGGAAGTTTTCGGTCCGGCATTGTCTCCGATTCTGGTATTGGCCCCTCTCTTGTTGAGCCTCGACAGACGGCTAATACATGTAGGTCGGTCTGGCTCTAGGACTTTGTACTTTTGCTTCTGGAATCGCTAGGGAAGGGTACTCCGGTTCTTGTAAGTTTAGACGGACACTCTCCAAGGAGGTCTCTGACGCGCTCAGCGAATAACCCGGCTCGCTGCCTTGGGTTGATGTCTGCGGCTGGTGAGTATACATATGTCAGCCATGTGTTTGAGCTGACACTTCTTAGGGAGTTTCGATTATCATTATATCCATTGGCTTGGAGATGTAACGGCGGCGGTATTGAATGGGTTGATGTACTGGGCTATCCCTATATACAAGAGCTGAGGAGACGATAACGAGATGCCTTTAGAAGCTACAAGATAAAGATTAAGCAATAATACATGTTCAGTAATAGAGATGTAGAACATGTATGGTAGTTGGTTTCGCGCACAGGACAGGTTGGTGGAGTGATGGTCTGTGTGTTGCCGCTAGCCGCGAATATACTAGCGCCTCTCGCTTATGGCCATCCACAAAGCTCCCACCGAATTTCTCCTCGTGAACTTCTTCTCTCCAGGACACACCGCGACCACCGGGCACATTTCGACAACACCGCCAAAATGTCCCAGCCCTCGAAGATTGCAGCCAACAGCCCGTCCCGGGCCTCGCCTTCGGAGATCGAGACCTCGGTCAACAATGCCCTCGAGGACCTCCAGAACAACATCTCCGATATGAGGAGCTCCTTGCGCCCTCTCCAATTCGTCTCCGCTCGCGAGGTAAGATGAACACTACCTCGAACACAGACTCCTCCAACCGATGCGCTCTCGACCCGCGAAGCCGTCACATACACACAACTTCTGTTGAAACGAAGAGGCGTTGGGCACTGGGCAGCTTTGCTGACACCAGGATTCTTAGATCGAGGTTGGCCACGGCAGGAAGGCGATTGTCATCTTCGTTCCTGTTCCCCTGCTCCAGGGCTGGCACAAGATCCAGCAGCGGTTTGTACCTCCCTCAGATGGCTACGACCACAGGCTAATTCATCATGCAGTCTCACCCGTGAGCTCGAGAAGAAGTTCTCCGACCGTCACGTCATCTTCATTGCCTCCCGTCGCATCCTTCCGCGTCCCAAGCGCTCGAACCGCTCCCGCTCGACCCAGAAGCAGAAGCGACCGCGATCCCGAACCCTCACTGCTGTCCACGACGCCATCCTCACCGACCTCGTCTACCCGGTCGAGATCGTTGGCAAGCGTCTCCGAACCAAGGAGGATGGCAGCAAGCTCATGAAGGTCGTGCTTGACGAGAAGGAGCGTGGTGGGGTCGACTACAGGCTGGATACCTACTCGGAGGTCTACAAGCGCCTTACCGGCAAGGCCGTCAATTTCGAGTTCCCCCAGAGCGTTTCTACGGACTACTAGGTGGCTGGTTGGTCATACATGGGTCTGGAGTTAGGCTTCGGACGTGCATTATGCGTACTCGGCATTAAAAATAAGATGATATGAGCCTGCATTAGGGCGTCGGATACCATTTTTCAATTGATTTCTGGATGTGAATTACGTGGACTTTTGTACCCTTTTGTGAGACCTTGGTTCTAGCTGTCTTCTCATCCTTTTACTGCCTGTCTAGCTCTGGGTAATGCCGGAAAATACCCATGCTGTACGGCTTGCGCCTATCGCTCGCTAGGTATTCCTCTAAGCGGCCATGCTTCTGCACGCTAGGGTAGAAGGTTCCAAACAGCAACGGATAGTCCTTCTCCCTTGCCTCCAATTCCTTCGGAAAGGCGAATTTGAGTCCATTGAGCACATGCCAGACGGTTGTATCGGCATAGCTCAGCTTATCGCCGACGAGGTACTTTCCCTGCCCCTTCTCCTCATTCCCCTTCAGCACGCGCTCAAAGTAGCCGAAGAACTTGGGAATGCGCGCCTCGCGGAAGTCCTTCGCCTTCTTCAGCGCCTCCTCCTTCTGATCCTCGTAGTACAGCTGCGACGCAATCGGATGATGCGTGTCGTGCGCCTCGTTGTTCAGATCCAGCGCCGTGAGCGTGTGGCTCAGCACCCAGTGCTTCTCTGCCTCGTCGTCGCCCGCTAGTCCCAGCTGGTCGCCCAAGTATGCTAGGATGCAGGGCGTCTGGTAGAGGACCAGGTGCTTGCCGTCCTTGCCTTCGCGCGAGACGCGCAGCGCGGGCGGGGCGAACGCGGGCGGGTTGCCGTCGCTGTCGCCGGTGGATTTTGCGTCGATGACGGAGAGGACGGCGTTGATGCCGGCTTTGGATTCGTTGGCCGTGTCGGTGTAGGGCGTCTCGGTGGCTTCGAAGGCGAGGCGGATGAACTCGCCGCGGCCGGGGATGCCGGGCCTGGAGGGGGAGGCGGGTTAGTAGAGCTTCTGGTGGGAGAGGGGTCGAAGGATGGTGTGAGGGGTTTTGCATACCAGTAGAGAAGCTCGTACGGGGGCTGGGTGCGGGCTTTCTTGGTCGAAGACATGCTGGCTTGGGTATGGAGAGGTGGGATGATTATTTTCTGGAGGAGGGTAAGTCAGTAGCTGTGAGAGGAGAGAGCGATTGCTGCGAGGACGCTGGACGTTGGAGGCGGGTGAGATGTGCGGAATTGCGGTCTGACTTTCTGCAATTGAGGGGATAACCTGATCCTAGAAGATCGAATGACTACTGACCTTGAAGTCTTCGGCTCGGAAAGCTTGACCGGGGGAGGAGCTATGTGATGCAACTATGAGCTTTGGCACACGAAGGGGTCGGATGCGGATGCAGACGCGAAGCATTCAATTGCCCATAGAAACTGGGGGGATCAATCGTAGGGAGGGAGCGTGAGCGCCGTAAGCCTCCGCTCTTTAATTCCGCTGCGCCCTGTCCCCCCGGCCCTTCCTGGCGTCATATTGTGGGGTGGAGAGCTTCGAGGGGCAGGGCCGGCGGAGCTGACGATCGCTTAACGCCGGCGGGGACCTGCTCAAGTGTCGACGATTTGAAAAAAAAGGCCGGGAGGTCCTCGGAAGAACAGTAAAACATAGAATTAGGATCCTGGTATCTTAGAGAGCTTTCCAGATGCGGGTGCGCGGTAGAAGTAATGCTACGATAGGCCGGGCTAAGTTTAGGTATGGCGCGGGAGCGATACGCTTCGCGTGTGTCGCAGCGATTCGAGCTCTGTCGCGAATAGTAGATGTCGACACGGCGATCTTTCGCTGTGTCGCCTTGTGGCTGGATGAATCTATTGCAGCTGTTTTGCATGTCCTGCAGGCTGTTTCCAATGTCGTGCTAAGAATACACAGATTCCGGTCACGCCCTCGTCTGTGCGACGCGTCTTAGTTAGGTTCAGAGTTAGCGGGAGCAAGAATTACTTATTCTACCTAGCTAATTAACTTTAGCCCTAAAAGCGTCACGTGCATCTAATAGACAAGTATAGGAAATTTAATTCGCTAATAGATAGTAATTAATATAGCCGCCTAGTTTTCTTGCATTAGCTCTAGCTAGATAGAGTAAGAAACTGCGTAACTAGCAGATAGCGCAGCTACCTAAGAATACTACCTGCCTACTAAGGTAATAAATAGCTTTTTCTTAAATAATTACTAAGCTAAGTAGAAGGAAAATATAAATAGCTACCTGCACTCCTCTAATTTCTTCTTTTCTTCCCTCCACCTGGGCCCGGCGCGACGCATCTCGCCACGGCAATCCCCGCTAAGCCAGACTCGCACTAGCGCACCCGCTCTTGGCAGACGAGAGCTGAGCTTGCTGTCGCCTGAACGATAATTGTCTCCATCCGTCGTGCCTCTTCAAGCAACGACTCATCCTTTGCAAGTCACTGAACCTGCGTGACGAGCATGGTTGGCATCACAATGGCCACTGACTTCAATATGCACGACTTCATCACCGCGATGAAAGGCTTCCAGGCTTCTGATGAAGCTCGCCAGCGGCTCTTCGCAGTACGCCAACCCATCACGCGTTAGCCATTTCGCCCTGCTGACCTTCGTTCAGGACATGCTCGACAGATATACGGCTTTGCTTGAAGAACACGCGAACCTAAAGAATGATTATGCCAGTGAGAGAGATATCCGCCGAAATTACCAGAGGTCGGTCGACCAGATGCAGAGGCAGGTTGCCGAAACCCATCGCGAGTTGGTGCGCTGTCCCCCAGCCTTGAGCCTTGTCTGCGCCACCACAGCTAACGAGTACGGCAGGAACACAACTCGTTCGTCTTAGCACTTATCGATGGTGATGGCGTTATTGTAGGTTGTCTGTAGTCTGTCCTTTGAACTATTGCTCTTAACACCTAGCCAGTTTCAAGACTCACTCCTCCAAGCCGCAGCGGGCGACGGCGGATCCGAGGCCGCCTCCCGGCTGCAATATGCCGTGCGCGAGCACATCGCCTCGCTGTACCGCAACTCTGGCAACTGGCCTATTATGGTGCAAATCTATCTCAGCCTTGATAAGCTCGCGCAGAAGCTCGCCTCGGTCGGCCTTCTGCAACACCCTGCCGAACTTCGAGCCTTTGCCCAACGTTTCAGTGTCAACCAACCGCTTTTTAGTATTATTGATGTAGGCCACGGAAAGGAACGCGCTGACCACAAGATTAAAGGTATTGCGTTCGTCGTCGTCTTCTGCTCTCCTTTTGCTAATCTTGCTCGTGTCAGAAATGCTTCGCACCTTCAGCGATAACCCCACGTGCAAGCACACCGTCTTCGGAGGATGCCATGATGCCGGCTATCTCCTGAACCTTGATCAGTATAAGCATAATGCGGATAAGGCTGCTCGCATCACTCTCCTAGAATCGACTCCTGCATTCAGAGGCTTCGCCGACCTGCCCAACTTCAAGCGAGCCCGATTTGATAATGTATTCCGGAACGAACCTCTTCCAGAGACGCTGTATGGCTACACGGCATACTCGCAGCCTCTGATGCAGCCTCCGGTCTCGGCGCCGGCTCAAGCTCCATTTCAGGCTCCATTTCAAGCTCCATTTCAAGCTCCATTTCAAGCTCCAGTCCAAGCTCCAGTCCAAACTCCCGTTCAGGCTCCGTTGATGAGGACCCTGACCAACGGTTCTCCAGGTCCAGCCGTAGCTCTTGCCAATGCCAATGCTACGCCTGCCGCCTCGTCGCCCAGCACCACTGTCTCTTCGCTCGCCGCCACGAATGGTGACGCGTCTGATTCCTGGGCTACGGTCGGCAAGACTGGTGTTCCGGCCAACGAGAACATATCTATCGCTCCTAAAGCCAACCCAAAGAAGAAATACATCTACTACAACGAAAAAGGCGAGCGTCTCGATGAGCCGCTCCCGCCTCGCGACCGCGCTGCTGCTGAAGCAATCGACAAGCGCATGCAGAAGCTCGGTCGCAACCTCTGCAATCACTGGCATCTGAATAAGGGCAAGTGCAGCCAGGGCTCGGCGTGCTATTTCCAGCATGAGCCGAAGCTCACGCCGCCCGAAATGAATGCACTGCGGTACAAGACGCGTTCGCTTGCTTGCAAGGATCGCTACTGCGAAAACTTTGACTGCTGTAAGTCGGGGAACCCTCCCACCAAGAGGTATAGTAGGACTAATAGTAATACTAGATCTGGGCCACCAATGCTCGTTCGAGCGCGATCAGGGCTACTGCCCATTCCCCGAAAAGTGCAACCTCAAGCATACCCACGGCATGGATAAGATCAAGCATGAGCGATGGGATGCCGAGGGTAACCAGGAAATCTTGAAGTAAATGTCACTTACTTCGAGCCCTTTCTCAACTGCCTGCCGGTTGTGAATGCTTATGGCGTCTTCAGTATATCTATCTGCATTACCTAAATTGTGAGGAGAAAGGCTGGTGCGTGCTTTTAAGGGTAAGCGTGTATGGAGTGCAACAACTTGTGTGAGTTCTGCATCTTATCGTTGGGAACGTGTCTGGACGAGGCCTCTCGGTATGTCGAGCGGTGCGTAGGTGCTTTGTTGGCAGAATATAAATTGGGTATTTGATCTTTCCGCTCTGCGCTTCGTAATGTCTTTCGGATGAAGTATTCTCACTTAGGCATTGACAAAGGAAGAACAATATTTGCGTGGATGCATGTCTTCAACCGCCCCCGTTTCCGGCGACGGTAGCATAGCACCCCAGTTCTTGATTTTTCACGTTACTCTACATATTAAATATTACTCTAGATGCACGTCTTCAATCGCCTGCTCCTGCTAGCGATAGCGTTGCATCTTTCCCGTGCAAAGGGATGCATGTCTTCGACCGTCCGCGCGGTAGCATTGCATCCAATCCGTACGTATTCCAGTCCCAAGTTTTGTAGATGCATGTCTTCAATCGCCCAGGCGATAGCATGGCATCTGAATACCCAAACAGCCTTCCCGTTTTCTCCCTCCGAATGCATGTCTTTAATCGTCCGAGCGATAGCATTGCACCCTTTTTTTCTCCGTTGCTCAATTCGCCATCTATCCCAAATGCACGTCTTCAATCAGATCCCGAACCAACCGACGGATCTGATAGCGTCGCATCCGTCTTCCTCCCTCCTCTTATTTCCTCACGCTGCACGTCTAGTAGACGTACGGCACGATACGATACGGTACCAGCTCGCAGTACTTCTCCCAATCCTTCCCGTACTTCCTCCTGCACTTCTCCTCGTCCCTGCGCTCGCGGTGGATAAGCAAGATGGCGAAGTACAGCATGAAGAAGTAGGTGAAGATCATGCCCCAGCCCTTGGCCTCGCCTGGGATGACGTATTTCTGGTAGCTGTTCTGGAAGAAGACAGCGTCCGTGGCGGAGGCGTCGACGGGATGCGTCACAGCGTTGCGGATCACGTAGCCGGACAGCGCGGTGGGGAGCACGTACGACCAGCTCATGAACCAATCGCCCAGGTAGTTGATGTGGCGCGCGGTGCCCCACCAGCCGGAGACGAGCAGCTTGGAGCCCGCGGCGGTTTCGATGTATTTGAGGTGCTTGACGCGCGGGTCGTTGGGGTCGGTGCGGAAGCGGTTCTTTTCGTTATTGACGGAGCGGAAGATGTAGTATCCGATGGCTTGGACGGCGAAGACGCCTACGATGCCCTTGAGGCCGAGCTCGACGGGGTAGGTGGCGAGGTAGCGCGCTTGGATGCTATATGTGAAGGGGACCCAGACGAGGTCGCCAAAGGCAAGCATGAAACCGAAGCCGTCGGAGATGATGTCGATGGTGGTGAGGATGGCGGGCTCCATGTACAGTGCGTCGAAGATGTAGACGGTTTGTGCGACGGTGATGAGGAGGATGGAGTCAGTGACTTTGCCGAAGTTGCGGTATTGCTGCATGATGAAGGCGAGGTCAAGGATTGACCAGCCGAGCATCCCAGGGCGCAGCTCGCACCACGCCTTGATATCGACTTCGCCAAAGATAGGGATGTTGACACGCGGATTGAGCTCCCGACCGATAAACCAATCGTAGAGCAAGTTGCCGCTGCGGCCTCCTGCGGCGAGCTCGCGCATATTTGGGTCCTTGGGGTGCTTGACGGTGAAGGACAGGACGTAGACGTAGGTGGCCAAGGCGTAGGAGATAGTGATGTTGGCTGTGAGGATTCCTACGAAGTTCTCCGATATGAAGGTCCAGGCGCAGAAGTTGGCACCCTCTACTATAGTTCCAGCAGCGAGGATGACCATGATGAAGATTGCTGAGCCGAACGCTGGATCATGTTAGCACTAGATATCTGATGGACTAAGCACGTGATTGAGCTTACCATTGAATCGATACTTGAGCTTTCCCCCAGTCGTGAGCTCCGTCCCCTCGGGCTCCACAGACGGAAGGAAAGCATACAAGGCCAGACTGAGGAAGTAATAGGCCAAGGTACCGAGAGCTGCATTGGTGTTGATAAGGCCAGAGAAGCCAGTCCATCCAACTTCCTTCTTCAACTGCTCCAAGTCCAACGTGGACGGATGGAGCAGCGAAGGTGCAGGACACCCAGAGATGTCATTGCACAGAAACGCAAAAGCATAGCAGACCAACGGAAGGCCAAAGGAGATGACAAAGGCACCAGGTCTGACATCAGATTAGTATCCCACGTCCACATGCAGATAGACGGTGCAACTTACGGCCCGAAAAACTCATAACCATGCGGCTCATCCTTCGCCGGCTTAGACTGCTCGGCCTTGCGTTTTGGCGCCATCTTCCCCGATATCAGAAAGCTGAAAAGCTATTATTTTGACCACGCAGGGAAAAGGGGCGGCGGCGTTTTTGTCGCGTGAGAAGATTTCCTTTTCTCTGGCGTCGGCCGTGTTATCGAGAAACAGCCAGCCCTGCGCGCGCCACGTAGAAGCTAGTACGACGGATCTGTCCTCTTTATAGTTGAGGGTCGAGTCACGAACGTCGTCCGATTGCAAAGGCCGCCGGATTGTGCGTTTCCGAGTGAATGATGCGTACATGGGTCCAAGCGCGCGCTAGCCAGGTTCCTGCATGCCAAGGCCGCGGTCGGTTCCGCGCAGTCGACGCCAACGCCAGCGCCGCGCAAACTGTCCTGAGGCCTGCTGCTGCGGCTCATCGAGGGTCCAGCTTCACAACCGCACCGCTTTCCTTCTCTTCTCTTTCTCGCCGCTCGTTCCTGCTTTCTTTGGCTTCCATCATGCGGGCGACATTTCTCTCAGCGCTCCTGTATTCCCTCTCGACCGCACACTATTCCGCCGCCGCGTCGGACAAACTGCTGAAACCATGCACCGCCATCTCGCCGACGACTGAGCGCTTCTTCGACCTGAACCCGCTGCACCGGACGCCGCCGGAGGAAGGGAAGAAGAAGAAAGAAGGGGAGGAAGGCAGCTGGCACGCAAGAGGACATGATTATGGTGCCAATTTTACAATCAACTTCTGCGGCCCGGTGGTGGAGGAGCTACAGAATGTAGCAGATCTGGACAAAAGCTATTGGAAGAATGTGAGCGCATTCTATGAGAAGGGAGATAAGCAGTACGCCATTGGGTAAGTTTACTCCGTAGCTCCCGGAGGGCTTCCAGAAGAGGTCCATCCACCTTGCTGCTCTTCACCTGCGTTTCAAACTGGAGCCCTGATTGCTGACCCTTGGAATCTCAACAGCCTCGAAAGCTACGAGCCCGTCTTCCGCGGCCGCAAACTCGTCCTCAACTACACCGGCGGCTCCCTGTGTCCCTCTTCCAAATCCCGCCGTGCTCTCCACACGCCGGTCGACCTCTCCCTCACGCCCCGCGCGATAATCGGTGATGACGACGACGACGAAGACGAGGATGACAGACCCCGAAAGAAGCCGTCAGACAGTGAGCGCCGCAAAACTACCATCATCTCGCTGCTCTGCGAATCCGATCCACTAGCGAAGACTTCATTTTCCTTCGTCGCCGCTGTAGACGACTGTGTATACTTCTTCGAGGGGCGCTCGCCGTATGCTTGCGGTGGTGTGCAGGCCGAGACACAGGCCCTGAGCCCCGGAGGAGTGTTTGGCGTCATCGTACTGATTGCGGTGCTGGTGTATCTTGTCGGTGGTTGTGTATACCAGCGGACGGTCATGCATCAGCGCGGATGGAGACAGCTGCCCAACTACCAGATGTGGGCCGGCATCGCGCGCTTCGTTGCTGTAAGCTGCCCCTTTCCACCCCACTGCTACCTTCGAAAGAAAGCAGCTAACACTCCACCACAGGACATGTTCATAATCCTCACTTCCTCCTGCGCACGCTTCCTCCCCTCGCGCCGAGGCTACAGCCGCGTCTCGCTCGGCCACGACAGCGGTCGCCGCGGCCGACGAAATGAGGACGAAAACAGGCTGATAGATAACCTAGACGAGGAATGGGACGACTGATCTATTCAACACTGTTTTTGTTCTGTTTGGCATCTGCATTTAGATCTGGGTATCGGAGTTCGACCGGGTTCGGGATACGGTATGCGGGAACGGGAAAGGGATTATAGGCTTTTGTACGGATATTTTGGCCTGCGCGTTCGTAGCGTCGCAAGCGCCAGGCTAACATGTATAGCGTCTCCTACGCTGCTAAAACTCTTTTGCATATCAAAATATCCGTTTGATGACGTCGTGCTGCCTCGAATGATGACATCCACACTGCTGGGAAGGCGAAGAAATGTTTTCGTAACGGCTTATTAGATTCTATCAGGATTTCACATCATTAAATCCAGCCAGCCAGCCGGCGGCACCAAACCCGGATCAAAATAGTGTATTTTTATTAAACCGACTACTGCTAAGGATGCTATAGAAGTAGAAGGCCATGAAATCCCCCTGAGCCGGTGTCAATATCTGCCTAGGATAGTTATGCCCACCCCCACGTGAACGTTTGATGGTGAATCGGCGCTCTTGAGAAGGAGGTAGTTGTCCAGCCACCACGGATATGTTCTCAAATAAGCATCAAACGGCCAGGGACCTCCCCGATATAAGCACGAGCATGGAAGCCCAATGTCTGACTTCACTTCAACGCGGCCGAATGACTTCGGCCGCTTTCCATGAAGCGCGAATGAAAAGTTCCAATAGCGCCATGACTCCGATAGCCCCAACAACCTCGAAAAATGTGGGTATCGATGAAGGGTAAGGATGGTCGATACGGAGAGGTGTGTGCTGCTTACAACTCCTCGTCCATTTCGTCATCGGTGCCCGGAGTAGGGAGCCGGTCGTCGCCGGCGTCTTCGTCTCCCAGCTTATCATCCGTGGATTTGGAGGGCGAAGGCTCGGTGATGACGGTGTCGTCGTTCGCTTCGTACATCGTGTCGTCCTCCTGAACGGATTCCTTTGTCGAGTCAAAGACGCTGTCGGCATCGTCATCGAACTTCAAAGGCTTCGCGGCGGTATCTGTAGGAGCGCCCTCGTCACCTTCCTCGTTGTCTTGCACTTCTTCAAGCTCTCCGTTCGCAATCATTTCAAACTGCGCATCGATACCCAGCAGCTTCACCTTGATCTCGGCCCTAAGCTCCCGCTCTTCCCTGGACATAGCGTCCACACTAACCTGGACGCCGCCCAGCACGCGCATGTAGTCAGCGCGCATCATGACAAATATCTCCTCAGACTTGTTCGCCATCTTCTCTTCCAGATTTCTGCACATCTGCTTGAGATGCTTCTCTACGGTCCCGGTCGCTTCTCCAAACATGGTGTGGCGCTCGCGCTCGACATGACTGTGCATATGGTTCTTCATGCGCATGAAGCTGCCTGTTCCACGCTCGTCTGTGCAGATGTCGTAAACGTTCGCCATGGCGTTCGCAATCGTTGGAGTGAAGTCGCGGTTGGCCTCTCGCTGAAGCTCGGTCATTGCCTGGAGTAGTTCGACGTTAAGGTCCTGGAACATCTGCTCATAGGTGTAAATTGACTGTTTGAGCATTGCCAGGTTGGCAAGTCCGACGCCGTTTTGCCGTGCACGCTCTTCGATGGTTTCGTGGAAGCTGTGCAACACCTTGCCAGAGTCCTTGGTGTAAGCCTCGAAAGCTTTTGGTAGGCGGGTCTGGAAAGCGCGCTCCCAGCCAGTCGCTAGCTTCTTGAGGATTGGGTCGATCAGCTCAGCGTTGAAGTCGCGGTATCCAGCAGTCGCGGATTGGTAGGCACCGTTCCGTCGGACGATAGCTTTGTACGTCGAGTAGTGTATTCCGCCCGCATCTCTATGAGAACCCCATCTCTGGGCCGTTTCTGGAGCGACACTGATGGCCTCCTGAACAAGATCATCGTATTTGTCGAAAATTTGGCTATGCAGCTCTTGCTTCATTATCCGAAGGCACACCTCGACCGCCTGCTGAAGGCCTTTGTCCAGCTCGTCCAGACGCCTTGTAAGGTACTTGACCTGTTTCTGCTTATCCTCATCTGTCATCTTGAGACCTGTGCCGTCGTTCGACGCCCACAGGGAGAAAGTTGTTAGCTGTTGGCAGAGGCTTAGCAGAAATGTTCGACAGGCCTGGATCCTCCCGGCCTCAGTGAGCTGCTTGCAATGTGCTTGTAGCTGAGGTATCTACGAAAAGGTTAGAGCATTCATACACCCGTGCATATTCTCGAACCCGCTCACCTGCGTCTCCTCAGGAGTCTTGAAGCCGGGGACGTTTCCATCCTTCTTGAGACGGCCATTCATCTTCTGGTACGCTCTGCTGCTCACGCAGAACACTGGCAGAGAACGAGCAACCTCGTCATAATCGCGGATATCCTCGTCCGGGTTGAAATTTTCCTCGTCGTCCTCGGCCGCGTTCTCCATATCTAGCTCCTTAATACCGGCCGCAAAATCTTGTTGAATAGCTCCCTTTGAGTATTCATTTCGCCCAGCAATGCAGATGGCGCTCATTTCGGCCTGGACCTCGGCAATCTTCTCTTCGAGTTCTCGTTTCTTCGGTTTGATGGCCCTGATCTCGTCGCGGATCTTCTGTGTCTCTTGACGGGCATTTTTCTTTGTGCTTTTCAGCTCCTCAAGCTTGCATTTGATGTCTTCTTTGGTGAGCGGCTTCCGTGGAGCCTGGATACCCTCCAATTCTGAATCACTCTCTGAATCACCGGACTTCTCTCTGTCCGAACCAATATACTCAATATCAGAGTTGTCGTCCTCGACCTGACGGCGCTTGCGGGATTTCTTCCCCGATCTGCCTTTCTTCCGCTTATTCTTTGCCTTCTGTACGGGGGCGAACGCTGTTTTTCCGTCTTCTACCTGATCTTTGAGATCCTCCCAAGTCTCAATATCATCGTCCGCCTCGTTCAGGGCGATTCTGTACACCTCCATGGATTCTTTCAGGTCGCTGATCTTCTCCTCGGCGTTTTCGATCTCTTCCGCATAAGTGCGCTGTTGGTCATCGAGCGTAGAAATCCGATCATCCAGTTCCAGACTTTCCGCAGCCTCCGTGATCGAGATATCGTCTGTCTTGGAGCAGATGAAGGTAACACTTGAGTAGTTCCCGTCGTACTTCAGCTGACGCTTAAACGAGTCCCCGAGTAGAGTCTTCGCGGCCTTATCGTCTACAGCACGATTGATTGGAGCCACGATCCAAAGGCCCGTACATTGCTTCATGTAGCGATCAGCAACGGCAGCTCGAGCCGCATTCGAGTCATGTACACCGGGCAAATCGACAATGACTGCACCTGTCGACAGAGCCACGGATTTGGTGTATATCTTGACAACCTTGATTAATGGCCAGTACTCCATCTGAGAAGGCCCTTTCTTCTTCTTATCCTCCTTGTCTTTCTTCCCGGTGACCTTCTCTTTGCTATCGACGTACTTCTGAAGCTCGGTGTAGAATCTGTCCGGATACGCCTGGTTGATTCGCTTGGTGGTTCCAAGGACACTCACGACAGACGTTACGTCTATAAGCTTCTGTACCGTGCAGTCTCCTAGCATGTCCTTGTGGATCTTGGGATACACAGCGTGAAACTTGGCCCAGGCTATGCCGGCATCAGAATTCGGATCGGAAATTTCTCGTGACACGGTCCCATGATCAGTAAGGAACTCTTTCAGAAGAATACCAAGTTCCTTTTCCCAGTCGGCACGGCTAATGAATTCAATCTCCGCACGATATTTGGAACTCTGGTTGGTGCTGGCATTCCAGGATATCTCCGTGACTACGGCAGTGCAAGCGCGCATACAGTTCGTAGGAACAAGACGTTCCTCGTCGAGCATCGCATTGATAACGCTGCTCTTCCCTGCGCCGGTATTGCCGACCACGCCAACAACCGTGCGGGTCCGCTCGGCTTGAGTACTGAGCTTGTCAATCGCCTCCATCCAAGCGCTTGCATCCGGGCTGCTTGCAGCGTATCTGGAGAACGAGCGCCTCAAGTCCTCGAGAATCTTCCTAGACTTGGCGGCTCCGGCTTCGAGTATCTCGACCTTCTGCTGATTGATTATTTCTCGTATGTATCGATCGATTGGCGTGGCCTCAGCCTCATTGTCTGCATCTTGAGAGGTATCACGCTTGAAGACGTTTTCGAGGTTGAATGGTTCAACTGTATCCTGCGTGGGGTCCTGGGATAGCGGAGGCGAGCGTCTCTCGGTCTTGACCGTTGTGTTGCGAGCTACGCGACCGGTCACGGGCAGTGAATGGGCGTCAAAAGACGGAGCGCGATGAGGTTCAACGCTGCCATGCGGACGATCCGATCGAGTAGTTCTGGATACATGGCTGGAGGCCCGCGACAAAGGCCCGACTTCGGACAGCGGTGGATCACTTAAAGGGGATGTGCTATCCCGATGCGTTACTAGTGAGTGCATCTTATCAAAGGCTCCGTTGTGAGGAAGCGTCGGCGCAACTGAACTTCCATTCGGTTGGGATGGCGTTCGAAACGACGGCTCTGCCAAAGGGCGTTTGCTGGGGCATTCTCTATCGCGGAGCACATCCCAGGCCGGGGCGGGAGCATTTTCCGTCTTGGTGGAGACAGGCGTCAACGGAGGAGCTCCAGTCTTAGCACTGTCTACGTGCCGAAGTGGTTCGCTTCTGACGGATAAGGCTGGCAAGGAATGGCGCGGTTCAGTCGATGCCGGTCGCATGGCGTTGCTCACGGATGCAGAAGCCCGTAGGGGAGTAGGGGCTTTTTCAGGTCCGGGAGGCTTCCTCTCCACGGCCCGTAACACGACAATATCGTCTCCGTACTGATTGAGAGACTTGGTGGTCTCATCATCGGCAGGAACAACGTCTTTGAACATCAGATCAACATCGGTGCCTGGGTATCGGACCATGTACACATCTCGGATCTTCCGGACGTTGATTTTCTGGATGGTGTTAGCCTCCTAGAGCGAGAAAAGCTGCGCATTCTAGCCGCCGGTGTCAAAGATCGACTGGGCGCCAAACTCAAGCAACAGGAATGAGGAGTTGCTCAACCTACCGCATGAGCCGTGATCCACAAAAAGTCAAACTCGTCCAGGTCTTCCTGCGGCGACTTCCCCAGCAGCAGGACACCGACCATGTATCGCTTCGGTGGCACGCCGCTAGCAGGAATGGCTGCCTTGGCCATCGAATGCAGTGCGTCCCACTCCATCTTGCAGCATGAGGAGAGGTCGCAGATATCTGGCGGAGGTGGAGAGCGATGCCGCTCAATGCGACACAAAATGGCTGCCTTATGCGGCTAAAATAGTAGCGATAGAGATGGATAAGGGAATACGTTGAGGGATTCCTCGGCGAGCTACGGACGGCTCAATCGAATGCTCGGTGAGCCAATGGACGGCGGATGCGGACGTGGGCGGGGGAGGGGGAGGAGAAGCAAACGAGTGGAGGCGCGATGATGGAGCGCGGTGCATGTGGGCCAGACGCGTCTTGTGCGACAACAGAAAACGCGCTAGCGATTTTGATCACGTGTGCCAAGACACTAGCTCCCTCACACCCAGATTTCCACATGTCACCGCCCGAAGCTCTGGCACTGCATATCCACAACTTCGTTCTATAGTCGCCCAACTTATATCATACCATTGTCATACTGTCAAGTGGTACGGCAGTGCGAACCGTGTAAGATCGCAACGGCTCGGACGTTCTCCCGTCCGTTCTAAGACAATCCATTGTCTGCTTCCGTCCTTTGTCTCTTACACTCATGGGACAAACAATGCTATTGTACCATATATATTTCCGCTCATTATTCCCTTGTCTGTTTGCTATTGATGTGTACACAATGCTGTTGTCGCCAGACTATCTACGATGCCAGCGACTTCGACGCGGTGTCCAATATCGCATGCGGAGTCACGAAGACGCATTCTACGAAACATCATGTGCAAGGAACCTGCTGTTGGAATCATCGAGCTCGTCGCAGCCGCGAACGAGGGCGACCGCCTGAAGCTTCTCAACGACGAGTCAGTTCCGGAAGGAGACCTCGACAACTCTATCCATCCCATCTTCAGCGACTCAAACTTCCCAGGAGAGACCAAACACATGCAGCAAGCGTTCCGTTTAGCGTCCCTATTTATTCGCTACGATTCTGTCCTCGAATTCTTCCTTCCTCTTGTGTACGGAAGAACCCTCACTGACCACGCATCCAAAAAGCAATACATTTCAAACCCCTTGGCCTCCAAGTCTGACGAGGAGAGAGCGCTTTACTTCGAAGGCGTTCGTGAGGCTTTACATTGTCTATCTCATTGCGTTACCTTCCACTGGGTGAGCAACACCGAGAACAGGCTATGGGCACGTACTCTGCTACACTCGCCTCGGCCCACCCACGCACCCAACTGCACCACGGCCTTTCAGTATGATATTTCCACTCTAATCGAGCTAAACGAGAAGTTCCAACAGTTCTACGACGACGAAGAAACGGGATACAGAGCTGGAACGCACTGCGACCAATTCCGTCATGACTTCCAATTCGCGGCAACACTTATCCATGAGCTTGCGCATGCATTCGGCATTATGCGTAGGGGAAGGCTGCTAGAGCCCTACATCCGCTTAGACCACCCTGACAATGAATGGGGATATGCCTGGGAGAATTTCATGTTCGGTGCTGTTATCAATCCACAGGAAAGGAGGCAGCCCGGCACTCATGCTCATTTACGGAAAATATGGGCCCACCCTGACTTTGCCAGCCAACAAGGTGGTAAGGAGTACTGCGCTATTCCAGTCTCTTGGACGGCGCAGTGGTTCCGCAAGGAGACATGGGCGCGCATTGAAAAAGAGGGCCCAAGCGCCATCTCGCCTTCTGTCGTCCAGCTCAAGATCGTAGCTTCGTCCAAGTACTCCCGCTGGCTCGTACTTACTGACCGTCCGGAAACTCAGGAAGCGGTTCGAAAGCTGCACGACAACGCGGTAGAGACCCGCGCCAAAGCCCAACGCACCACCCAGGAAGAGAAGGAGTTGAGCAGGGCACTTTGGCGCCTTGTTGACTCCGAAGAACTACAAGAGTCGAACGTGCCAATTCCTACCCGCATAGCGCCGAAGTACCAGAACATGTCAGCGCTCCCGCAGAGGCAGAATAACATGTCCGTGGCTACATGGCCGAGGAGCCGGTCCAGTACGCTGGCATCGCAGAAATCATCGCCGGTGAGCTCTACTTCCGCCAGTGTGTCTCCTCCAACTATTTCTTCCCCTACAAAGAGCTCTTCAACATCGAAAAGCTCTTCTACTTCAGGGAGCTCTTCTACTTCATATACCTACGCCTTCTCGAATGGCGCTGTACAGCGACCGCGTGTGAAGGTAGGCAAGCGAAACTCTCCCCCGAAGAGGTCTCCTCCGAACAGCTCTTCTCTTCCCGCTTCTTATACCTCTTCTTCTTCGCATGGGTTCACTCTGTCAAGCAGCCAGGAGAAACGAGCACGAGATGACGAACGCTCTGCTCGTCCGAGCAAGGTCGCCAAACGAACAAGCTCCACGTGAGCTCATCGGAGTCTCCGACATTTCGAGTTATACGAGGAATGATGCTGGCGTCATCAGATAGAGTGGTCTAGGTAAGAGATCACGAATACGAAACAGCCGTGTCGTTGACCATACTGGTCGTGTCGTTGTTCGCGCATCGCAATTCCAGAATCGCCCATCAGCATTACGCATTGCATCATTTCAAGGGTTATCACTGTACGCATATAGCACCACTACATTCTAATCTAATCAATATTCTTGATCACCATTGTCTCACTCGTCTCAATACAATCTCACTTCTACCCAACAGTCTTCTCGCTTCGCTGTCGCTCTCCGATTTCAATGCTTCGCCTCTACCTTCAATACTTCCTACATCCTCACCGACCTTCTAGACCGCGGCTCCGTCTGCTTTGCTGATATTTCGATGACACAAGCTCAGCCTTGCGCTCCTCGGTACTTCGGCACTACGCAGATTTGATGTTGCTATTTTCATAGCCTCGTTCCGTCCCGCATCTTACTGCTTGCACAGCCCCAGACCATCGCCCACACAGCATTCTTTCCACTCACCACTTCACCACCTCACCTTATCGCTGCATGCAAAAGTCCTGCATGAGACTAGTCGCTATAGGTGGGAATAGACGGGCGATTTTCAGAAAGCGTTAAAGTGGCGTCGCATGTGGCCGTTCTGCTCAATTTTCGTCGTGATAGTTGGGTAGGACTACATTTCAGCGTGGCGAAACGCTCATTTAGGCCCCATCGTAATACATTTCGGGGCTACATTCAAGACCACTATATATTGCCTTCCAGATATAGTATACGCTTCCGTGGAGTGCGTGCAATTGCAGGAGAGGAGAACATCGTCGGTTTGGGCTAGGTGGAGATCGTCTCCTAAGCTTTTCCGCCCCCAAGCTATCTACTTAGGATACTGCGTACACCTATCCTTCCGCCCCGCATCTTACGTGCATTACTACAACCTCAAAAGAATAGTGCGGTTACACAATCATGCCACAGCCGAAGCGAAGACGCACGTGTTACACAGCACACACTCATATCATAACCGAAATGGGCGTGGTGGTCGCGGGTTCCAAAAGCATGGGTATGGCAGTGGCGAGTAGCAGAGCCAAGCACAAGCACACAGTAGTTGAACAGCAGAAATAACCGCCAGGCGGCCGATCTCCACCAGAAGAAGTCAACCTGCAGCAGGACATGCGCGGACGTTACAGGCGGATGGAGTTCTCAAAGAGGAAAGCACCGCTCGACCTCATCTCCAGCGTAGCGCTCAGGCTTCCCAGCGATAGTCGCCGCGGACGGGAGATTTGCACGTTAGGCGCGCAACTGATCTGCCCCTGTGTGGTGACGACTAGCTTCCGTCCACCGCAGCACCATGACACCCTAGTGCCATCCGTTCGTCCCGGTAGTCTGGAAAATTTGGCTATGCAGGCATGTACTGTAGTTACGTGGGGCAAAACGAAGGACATGTCACAAGGCTGATTCTGACACCGTCCGGATAGTGCACAAGGCGGATTTTGCCCCTCCTGTTCAACATCATCCGCGAGCGCCCTCTTTTCTTCCCCCTGCGCTCTCTTTTGATAGATAGCCATGTGACAGACCGGGGAAGGGGTAATGCAGGGGCTGAAATATCCGCACCTAGTAATACGCGTATAGTGGGCTTGCATTAGGGTATGTATGTACAGGGGACCTGGGCTGCATAACCGATATTGAATAATTGAGAGATTGGAGACCGGGTACCTACATAATCCCCGATGTCTGGATAGAGAAGTGGCTACAGGGCGATGTGAACGGGGCTACGGGGCTTTCGATATTGTATGCAGGTTGATTGAATTCAGCTCCGGGCGAGACATTGTAGTGAATTTCGAGATTGGCGACTAGGTCCCAAATCTTGTCAATCCCCGATGACAAGTTGTAGAAGTGGCTGTACTAGGCTGTGAGGAATTTCGGGTTAGGCCGGCATGCGGTTACCTGAAAGTGGTCCCTGGGCAGGATCTCTATGCAGATACGCACGATGTGGAGGGGGATCGTGTGCCTGCGCCCGTGATTCTTTGGCTCGAGAATGCAGTATGGACGTGTATGCCATGCCGGCTCAGTCAGGAATGGAGTGCGTGAAAGGGTCAATGTTTTCAAATTCCCTTTGAAGAGCTTTCTCTCTCATCCTCATGCTCTTCCGTTCTCGTGCGCCTCCGGTGCATTCGTATATATACAATCGCACTTTAAAGTCCTAAGTCTCCATCCAAAATTCCAATCCAAAAGTGGTATCAAGCGAGGGTATCAATGGGCTGAAGCGAACAATAATCCGTGGGCCATAGCGTGGTCCCGGTTGACGAACAGTAACAACGGCGGTGTTCGAACGTAACATCCTCCTCTTAATGTACAATAGCGATAGTCCCTTCATCGGTTTCTCCATCCCCGCGAATTGTTCCATCTGGTTTCCAATTCCCTTGCTCTTGCAGCAGCTTCCCTCCTCTTCTTCTCACTCATTTCGGCTTGGCTCTGCGCGTAGTTCGGTAACTCGTCATCGTTCGGCGTATCTTCATCCGCTAGTCCTAACCTTTCCAGCTCCAGATTCATAGCGTTGAGGTTAGGCATGCGAGGAGATTGCGGCTGCTGATAGGATTCTGGGCGCGGGAGAGCCGAACTGGACAGGCCGAGCCCGCGAGATGATTGTGAGGGGATATAATCGTATCCCATATTTTGCCAGCCGCCGACGTGATGCGCGTGCGGGTGCGGGTGTGACTGCGAATGCGATGGTTGCACTGCAGAGGGATCCTGAAAGGGTAAAGGTATCCTGTCGTTTTGGCGACCTCGGGCGAAGAGCGAGCCTTGTAGTCGCGGAGCGCCATTGGGCGAGAGCGGGTCAAAGCCGTCCGGAAGTCCGCTAGTGGCTTCCACGAAGAGGTGAAACTCTGATGCGTCCTCAAAGGGCTCTGTGGGAGAAAGCCAGGTATGTGGCCGCGGTCTATCTGAGATGGAATCGCGTGGTGCGGTAGATGGGGTGTTCGTTTCGGGGAAGGTACGTCGAGCGCGGGGAGGTTGCGGTTCGAAGATGGGTTCCATTGAGACTGAGGCCGAACGCTGGGGCTGGTGCTGTTGCTGTGAAGGTTGGAGCGAGTAAGCTTGATATTGCGTGGTATCGGGGTAGTGTGCCGCCGCGGAATGAGCGCGAGCCAGAGCCGCCGGTGGTGAAGCCTGGGTATATTCGAGAGGCGAGGTAGGCATGCTGCGAGAGGACTGTTGCTGGTAATAAAATGGCTCGGGGCTCAAGTTTCCGTTTGCAGAGACAGACCGTTGGTGATGCTGGTACGAATCGGGCTGAAGATGGGACGGATCAAGTCCTTGAGAAGGACGGCGCCGGATGAGATTTCGTAGCGATGCGGGCTTGCGCTTTTTCTTTTCCGATCCCGGAGATGGTGGTAGTGGTTTGTTGATCGCTGCAGTAGTAGATATTAATGGCACCGAGGGGAAACGGCCTGGCGACGCTGATCTGGTGGCGCTGTGACGGCTCGAGGTAGCTTGATATGCTGACTGCTCTATGGCTTGAGATTGCTCATGCGCTCGCCTCGCGCTACTCGGCAAGTTAAACCATAGCTCGGTATCCTCATTAGTTTGACTCCTTGGCCTCTGGTGGTTGTGTGCCATGCGCCCCTCCTCTTGCGTCAGGTCGCGGTCGACCTGTAGGAATATGAAGCTCGAAGAAATCAGCGATCGCGCTGTCAATGATAAATCCTCTGGTTTATAGTTGGCAAGAGACGTTGGGGCCGTCAGCAGCTGGCCGCCGGGTATCATTCTAAAGTTAAAAAGACTGACGGTTGTGGATTTGTACGCGAGGCTGGAGCTGCGCCAGGGTCGACAAGCCAGGGCAGGTTTAGGAGATGCAGCGACGGGTTGTATGCAGATGCAGAAGGCAGCGGTATGGCTGCGCTACTGCACGCGGCGATATTCAGCCAGATTTAATATCCCAAGTGCCGGTTTTCAAACTGGTGGAAACGGGGCAAAAAGACCAGGGTGGCGAATATCCGGGAGCGTGGTATGTTAAGGTAGGACGGAAGGGTGGATATGGCTGGATTAGCTGAGCGGCGTGGTCGGTGGCAGTGGCATACGAGCAGGGATGACAAGCGGGAGAGGCAAAGATGATATGTGGTCGGAAAAGGGCACTGCTTTGGAGAGGTAATACACAATATCTGGACGCTCCATGTGTTCCTTTCCCCAGGAGGGTAGAGGCGGAGGCCGCGGTACAGTTCAAATGGAGAGAAGCAAGAGACGCCTGATCGGAGATTGCAGCGACAAGCCGTTATTTAGGAAATCGTATTTGTGGCCCTGTCCAGAAGGATCGGAGGCACGCTGTTGGTTAGGTGTTGGCTCCTGCTCAGTGAGGCTTGCACTGTAAGGAGATATGCGAGAGGAGCCCGCCATGGCCCGTCCGGTGGCCCTGCGCATGGGACCTGATACCTGACGTGCGAGCGGTGAGGCACCGGGCTGCGCAGCTCAGCAGTGGCCGGGCAGTCAGCCCGTCTCGCCTCAGCGGACACAATTAAATGCTGGAAAGGAGACCGCAGAGAGCAGAGCTGCAGCGCGACCGCGAGCAGCTGGCCCTTGGCGGTGGCAGTCAAAAGCGAGGAAAGCTTGTTTGGGGAAAGCCCATGCGGCGGGCGATCTGCCAAGCGAGCACGCGTGCACTGCCTCGTTTCTCTGTCTAATTTTAGTCGCGCTAAGCCCCAGAACGGCGTAGCGCCGCTCGAGCCGAGGCAGACCCCTGTCGCTCAGGACTCCACTCGACCTCGCACCCGGCACAGCAGGATGGTGACCTCGATGGCGGCGTCACGATACCGAAACAGGAGACAAATTGTCAACTGCTTCTTCCAGTAATTCGTGGGGTAAGCTTGGCCTTTGCGGCTGTCGCGAGACGGCTTGCTGATGATCACCCGCTCCCATCCACGCCGGCCGAAAAGGAGACATGCGCATCGGGCAGTCCGCCGCGCAGCGTTGCAGCGTGATCCGAAACGCATTCCATTCTTTCCGCCGTGGCCCGCTGAGTTCCGGCCGTGTCGACTCCAGGACATGAAATTAACGCCCGCCGCAGGCCACCGACCACGCCGCCCTCATGCTAGCCGCTCGGGGACGACACTTCGATCGAGCTGCCCTAAATGCATTCCTAGAAGGGTGAATTTGGACGAGGCTGACTGTGCGGGCCGCAATCGGTGCTCATCTTTGGGATTCCACAGCCTCATCTAACGAGTGCCGTCGAGGAGGATCATTAGGGCTAGCGGCATGTCAGGCATCCGAATCCGTCGCGCTTTACACCGCAATCCCACGCCATCGGTTGGATCTTCTCCAGAGATTGTCTACCCTGTCAGCTAGTGGGTACTTCTGGCGAGAAGGACTGCTCTAGGAGGATCACGATCTCGAATGATTGATGAAGCAAAGGAAGTCCAACGATCGCGGAAAACTCTTCAAAGCCACAATGCTACCTACCGTATCTCAAACGAAGAAGACCTCGCCGATGGGTAGTCTTTCAGCTGGCAGGCGGAGTTTGGCGTCGCTGAACTCTATCTCTTCGGTGGAGAGACCTCAGGCCAAGCATTGAGGGCCTGAGGCCAACTCTGGTCCAGGACACGCCGCTGCACTAGAAATGGAGGGTTCACATTTCCCGTAACCGAAACGTTGTGAAAGTAGTCCCTAAGATTCAAAACGTCTCCCGGAAAACGCGCGCGAGAGATGACGCCGATTGCGATTTAGGAAGCTCACTAGGGGCCTGCAATCCCCAGACTCGGGCCCCTTGCGAGGATCCAACCACCTGTTCAGAGGCGTTACGAAGGATCCAAGAAGCTCGTGGCAGCTCGGCTCGATATCCGAGCTCAGGGACGGACAGTTAGCTATGAACTACGCCGCGTTGTTGGATGTTGGAGCATCAGCGTTCTCTGAACACCGTTGCGGGGCGGAATGATTCCGTGAATTTCTCATGACTAAATCGCCATCTACGAGAGCTCCTCGATATCTCGCAAGGGGGAATCAAAGGATGCAAGGGAAGAGATGGGAAGAGGCGCTTGCAGGCATGAAACGTTTTTGGTCTGGTGGTAGGGGTGCGAATCCTGCGAGGCAGACTCACGCTGCGCAACAACAAAATGCCGATTGACATGTGCAGGTTGATACCTGACGACAACTACGCGCCATCAATCCCTTCAGCGGTATTAGGTGCTGTATTTTGAGGCTGAAGGAATGCTTTAGCGCAACTCCAGCGCCTGCCGTGGAATTATTGCATCCATGTACGTTGATCGAGCACATTGCGGCTAAGCCTCACACTATTATTCTCACAGAATTTGGGGGTTTGAAAACGACGAAGAAAAACTGAGGCCGCGTGTACGCTGATATCGCAGCGCCGAAGAACCGACGGAGTAGATGTAGGACTCTCGCACATGACTCTCGAATTCCTCCCCTCTTCTACCTAGTGTACGCGCTCCCGGCTCTGGATCCGGCGTCGATGTCCTCCAAGCCCGCGCACACCTCCGCTCCGCCGTCATCTCGCAATATCTCGCCCCGTCACCCTCCGCCCCGACTCGCGCGATACGCACAACAAGTAACGGTCCTCGGACAATAATAAATGACGCGCATAAACGGACCGCACATGTCTCGAAGATCGGAGTTCAGATCCCATATAACCTCCGTCGGGCTTCAGCAGCCGTTGGGCTGGCGCTGCGCGTAAGCTGGTGACGTCCAACGTTCGATACAGCGGAGACTGCGAAGCACGGGAGTTACCGGGCGTTTATCGGAGTTCCGGTTTTCGGTGCCCTGGTGATGTGAGGATTGGATTGGGCGAGACTGCATGCTCTATATGCGTCGCCCTGTGGTTCGTCGGACTGAGGAAATGGTTCTCAGGATGCGAGACGACAAACAAGAAGCCCGTACGAAGCGAGCTTATAAAGTAACCGTGATTGAGGAAAGCGCAGCTCTAAGTCCTACGATAACTTCTCATCTGCCCATTGACGCAGAGCTAATGTTTAATTTGGTAAGGGTTCGTCGTCAACTAGCTATTTCATAGTATGCTTCAGTGCGGCGGACCTCTTCCTTTTGCAGCTCCTGCATCTCTTCTTCGGCTTATCTTCAAGCGCATTGTCGTCATTGAAGCCTTGCTCTTCTCCACCCATCGAGTCCATCCAGACTTCTTCGCTTATATACTGTCTCTCCTCAATACTCAAACCAGGAAGTTCCACAACACCTTTCGCCATCCCCACATATCATCAAAATCGCCTGTACATATGTCCTTACTCTCTGAATTATCTTGAGACATCTCTGCCGCATTGAAAACCGTCATGCCAATATTCTTAGCAACCTGTAACGATAGACGGGAAACCTCCGTCGGTTCTAAGTCCGGTACCTAGATCAACTGCAGTGGAAAGCCTTTGCCTGGTAGAGTCCGAGAGTCCAAGTAGCTGTGATAGACGGGATAGGCTTCTTCTATCATCACCTTGCCCTCGGCGCTTTTGACAATGATGCCATCAAGGCGATTGATGTGGCCGAAGGTCTGGATGTAGTGCTCTTGGATCCAGAGGGACATCGCCCAATCGTTAGGACAATCAGTCCCAGACAGGCCATCAGCTATATCAATCAGGATTCTTCTGGAGACGACACCATAGCGGAAGGCGGGACGTCGTTGTGGCGTCTTCCTATAGCGACAGGGCGTCGTTGCTGGTTCGTTGCCTGAGGAAGCTGCAAGCTGCAGGGCGTATAAAGCTCTTGCTAAAAGTTCCTCAGGAGGTTGCTCTTTATCTAGGTTTCGAAGGGTTACTTCGGTGTAGGAAGCATTTGGCGCGGCAATCGAGGGTACCAAGCCCTCGGGAAGGCGAAACAGTGGCTCCTGTCCAGACTCTAAAAATTCTTGAAGGTGCATATCAATGCATCGGACCGCGTGGGTGATGCTCAAACTGGTCGTAATAGCCCCTAAAGAAGAGATGTTCTCGGTTTCTAGCGTAGGCTCTAGTCCGCCGTGATGATATCGGAGAGCCACCACGGTCTCGAAGGAGCGGGTCTAGGACGTCCACAGCCCCGTCCAGCCTCTTCCTCCACTTGTGACCTCTTCTGAGTAGTTCGCCGCTGCAACCCACGAATATTGGTGCAATTAGCGATCGCGATTCTCACTCCTTTCCAAGATGAGTGCTGGCGGGCGCGGTCTCGAAGGCAGGTAGTTACGAATATAGTGGTAGCCGTGCTCGCGACAGAGCTGTGATCTGGACGGGACCGAACCGTTTGGCTGGGGAGGATGCAATTTGGAGTCTCCTTGCGGTGAAGGCTGCTCTGCAGGGGTTTCAGCGAATGTGGCTCCAAACTGTGTGCGAGCGTGGTCGCTGGGGGAGGCCAGATAGGACTCGAAAGTTGAAAGGTTGCTGTTTAAGATTGAAACAAACAATAGTAAACGCACCGCTTCAGGCGGAGTGTTCTGCGCAACGATATTCAAGACATGCCGAAGAGAAAAGGAAAGAGTTCGTCTGTTCCAGCAAGTACGCGTAAGAGCATGGAAAGTGGAAAACGGGACTGCGAAGAAGCGGTGACGGCTTAGAGAAGTTGCTTGGATTTGAATTCAAGGAAAGAATGTAAACGACCTTCGCGATAATGAAGTAGTATACAAGAAGAAGGGGCCAGCACACCCATCGCAGTCCCCTAAACGAAACCTGAATATAGTCATTCAAATTAACCTACATAGTACAACCGCCCTGGGCCAATCCTTCTAAAGAATAGTGTCTCGTGAGTCATGCTCCGTCATTCTGTCCCGCTCAAAATAGCCTCGATGAGCGATAGCCATAAGCATTAGTATGCTCTAGCTCTGACTCCGGCTCCGGCTCCGGCTCCTGCTGGCCACCACGCCCTGTTTCTTGGCCCTCGTCAGATAAGGCCCAGAAGGCCTTGCTCTCTTGCTTCTTCCTCCGCACTCTCGACACGCGGTCGCCCAAACAAACAATGCAAAGCTGCATAACCACTGTCGGCAGCACCCACGAAGACCGCAAGTAGTTGTACATCCAGCTATAACTGGTCAGTCCCAGTACTAGCGCAATGATAGAGAAACCGATCATGAAACTCCGCGTGCCAATAGCCGCCCACTGGAATCGGTTCCAGTGAAAGCTGCGCCCTCTATCTGCGAGGAGCGATGAGGCGGTCAGGCAGATAAACAGGAGGATGATGGCGGACCAGAAGTACGTGTACACGACGATCCAGGAGTGGGCCGCGATTTGGAAACCGTAGACTTGGCCTTCTTGGGGGATGTCGAGATCGAAGGCTTGGAACATGGCTGAGACGCCGCGCTTGAAGAATTCCCTGAAGGAGAGAGGGACGCCGAGTTGCCCGTTGTTTAGATTCGACGTATTAGCTGGCGAGCAGACGCCGGACTGGTTTCCTAGGAAGTATATCTGATCGTAGACCAGTCGAAGCGCCTCGTCACCTTGCGCGGACTCGTTGATCTTGAAGTAATCAATGCTTCTGGTGAGGTTGCTAGATAGCTGGGCGCCATCGAGATGATCGCCGACGCAGGCGTACCAGGTGTTAAGTGCGAGTTTCTCGGCACATGAGTATATGTAGCGCGCAAGGGTAATATGTTGCGAGCCTTCGCCGATACCGAGGATGGCAAGGTGCAGGGGGAAATGGAGCGCCATCCAGAACTGCTGCTTGACGGATCCGAAGCGCCGTTTTGGAAGGTTGTCGAAGTAGAGGGTCCATATGAAGATCTATCTGAACATTAGAGAGCGATCGTCCCCAACGAAAAAGTTACTTACGAGAATCGCAAGGATGCAGAATATCTGGGCGCATCCTTCAAAGTACACGCCATTCCTCCCCATGATACGAGTAACGGTCTTGGTTGTTCCGATAACACCCTCGCCGATGATGATCAAGCCCAACAGCCCAAGCCGCTCTGCGATATGCGTGGCTTTAAACGAGAGCTTCCCCCAGAAGCTAGAGATGGCAATATTTCCGACGAGTTCGAGAATGATCACGACATATAGGGCCGAAATGTCTCCAGCGACAGCAGTATGTTTGTTTGGGAAGCCGGCATAAAGTCCAGCAAACACGGCAGCTGCACCGAAGAACAGCATGGTGTACATCGCCAGGGGTAAAGTAAGCTGAAGCCGTCGGTTGTTGCGCGTCGAGCAAAAGATGGTCGTAATGAGATATTGGACGCCCATTGTAAAGCGACTGGAGAAAAGAGCCCAACATAGCAACCGATAGATCTGTGACTTGTTAGCGTGTCCTGAAGTACTCCCTCACGTTCTAGCGACTATGCTGAGAGCTTACCCAGTGCGGAGTGTCCTTCTCTGGGTCCACGGATATAGGCTGGAATTTATAACCGACAAGAGCATAGGCGGCAAAGACGCAGAAGTGGATGGCTTTGAAGGTCCTCTCAGTCACTGAGTCCGATGCGAATCGTGAGTCGAAACAGACGACATGGAACCACGTGGTCCAGAGAATGAAGAAGAAGGCGATATAAGACCAGAAATTCCACATATTCGTTATGGCATGGTGCGAAGTGAAGGTTGCGAGATTGGCTACACGAAACACTGTTAGATTGGATGTCGAGTAAGATCGTATGTTTGAGCGCCTACCAACGAAGAAAAGGTCGAAGAAGAGTTCCAATATCGACGCTTCATTCCGGGGCGAGAAAGCTCCGACTTCCTCATTCCAGCTCTTCATAGGAGAGACGAACCATGGGACCATATGCTCGCTTGATTCGTGTCCATTTCTGTCTGCGTTAGTGTGGGCGCGTCACTCTCTGTTGTTGGAAGGGTCATACTCATGGCGTTCATGGTCCTTCTTCGCAGTATGCCGAACCATCCTGGCTGGCTAATCCCGTATGCCCCATGTACTAGTGGACCAAGACGCTAAGAGCAGTGTCTCCCTTTTCGAAGATCGACGGCTTCGGACGCTATATTTGTGAAAGACGTGATGAACTGAAGAGCAGCCAAGAGATGCCCAGCTGCTTGGCGAGCCATTCTTTTAAAAGAAACCTTCAGTAGGCCTCCATCTGCTCGACGTCTAATCCCGCTCGTGCAACTTTTCTCCTAGGCAGAGCCCAGCTACGGAGTCGAGATGCAGCCCCGCAAAGGTCAGAGGTCGGTCTTCTTAAAGGGTTTCATATCCCTGCAAAGTCCGATCGGAAAATGACGGCATCTCTAAGCCATAAATAAGCTTTTGCGCTACCGGTTTAAGAGTTATTTCGCGGGAGCAGGGCGCTTTACCGACCGGGAGATCTGCAGGCTTCATTTGCGTAGCTGATGGGAAGGTATGATTTGGTGGTGGTGAATGAGGGAGTTTCGTTCCTTTAGATAATTGGTTGGAGAAAATCGCGCTAGCCGTTTTCGACTCTAGCGTCGGGAGTCTGGAAGAAGCCTCGACTTATCAACATCTTAACGACGATGAGAAAGGATTCCGGGGGATTCCACGGCTGGAGCGACTCTGTGCTAGAGGTTTCGGCGACTTGGGAGGATTGTTGTCGGAGTCCACACGCCACAAACTGCGAGGATGTTGAATGTACGTCTCCAAGTGGACGCTGTGGGGATTTTCTTGCCTGGGCACACGCCGCCATAGTCGGTGCCAGCAGTCGTAACACTCGACCTAGAGCGTAGTCAAGCAATGAGACTAGGTGTTCCAGGCCGCAGTTCCGCTTCGGGGAATTCTTAAGTTTGAACCGGGCATAAGATAAGCCCGCTACATTCCCGAGTTAGCTCCCACCACGGAAGGATTTGAAACTCGGAGGTAATGTCTCACAGCTCGCAACTTTCTTAGACAATAGATAAGCAGACGGTGTCACTGGTACTGAGGTCTACACAGAGTACTGGTGATGCGAAAGATCAGCCACTTCCGGATTATGCGAAGAGTCCTGCCAATAACGTACGATATATGATCCATGTGTGCGAGTGTAGCTAGCACCAGAACGAAGCCACATGCTCGGTCGTGGTTACGGCGCAATGTCCGATCATGGCTGTGAAGCGGGAAAGCTTGCGGAACAAGCCGTGAGAAGCTACTCAAGTAGGGACGCATTGCTCATCAAGGGATATCGTTGCGAGTATTCTAGCTAGGTAAGGTGTAGCGAGGGAGTCTTCGACACATTTAGCGTTGCGAGTACTTCAGATTTCAAAAGCATTGTTATCTTCGTGCGTGGTCGTGTGAGGAAGCAACCCCGAGGACGCTATCAGAGCACGCGTACGCGTATGCCGGGTATTGAATGCCAGTCTGACTTCGTTAGCGAATTTCGTCACCCTATGTCGCGATACACATACCAGCTTCGGCTATGGAAAGCCTCTCCTGAAGATTTTTGAGAAGTGAAGACCACATGCCTAGTCGCAACCTTGGAATGTGTGAAAATAGTGTGAACATGATCGACGACCCCACCTTTCAATGGAGCAGCATTTTTCTCGGCCTGCCGGATACCACATCTCGAACTCCAGTTCAAGACACAGTACTCCCGAAGCAATAAACCGATAACAGAGACCCCAAGATGTGGAATCGCAACGACAAGCGCAACGACAGAGGCGCAGAAAAGCAAGACCCAAGGCCGGTACCCGAACACCTCCGCACCGCTCCCAGAAGATCCTGGCGGACCGTCGAAGCACTAGGTCCACCGGAGCGCACCGGTGGTTTTAACGGCGGCTTCAACGGCGGCGTCTTCGTCGTTGAAGATAAGCATACCGGCAAGCAGTACATCGAGAAGCGCGCGAAGAAGGAGCACATCGACAAGGGGTTTGTTGAAGCCGAAATAAGCTTTTTAAACCTCGTGTCCGACCACCCTCACATTAGCAAAATGGTGGACTACTTTGTCGACAAGAGCGCAGGCCGGGCCAGTATTTACATGGAGCTGTGTACCGAGGGAGGGTTGGACAAGATTGTTGAGGAGTATTGGAGGGACGGCCAGAAGTTCGACGAGGCGACCGTTTGGGAATGGTTTATCCAGCTCGCGGATGCGTTGATGTACTGCCATTACGGAAAGAACCCGGAGAAAAGGGAGGCCAACGGTTGGAAGAGTACGTGGAACAGGATCTGGCATCGCGATATCAAGTGCGTTTTCTCTTTCCGCTCCTCTTGAAACGTACCGCTAATTTCGGCTAGGCTAGCGAACATTCTTATCACCAAGGGAACCAGACCCGGGCACACCGGCGAATACATAGCCAAACTCGCTGACTTCGGATGCGCCGTCGACCAACACAAAATATACGCGAACCAAAGGAACAATCGTGACGAGTCCTCGTTTAAAACCCGTCATTGGGAGCCTCCAGAGGCACCCGGGTATGTGCAAGGCAGCGATATATGGCAGCTGGGTGGCGTCATCGCCTGTTTGTGCAGCCTCGAGCAGTTGGCGGACCACATCGACACTTCGCACCCGGCTCCGGGGTACTCCGCGGACCTTAACAAAGCAATCAAGGCGTGCATGCAGCGTGATCCCAAGGAACGGCCCAGATCCGAAGAGCTCTTCAAGTGGATAAATGCGTGGTATAACAAGAACAAAGACCGGTTACCGGAACAACCTCCTTCTACGCCATCGAACCAGCAAAGATCTGAGCCCCCATTTCCAAAGCAACCCGCTGCGCCTCCGATGCCTCCACGAGCGAATTCACTACCGCCTCACTTTGGGAATGCTTTCCAGGGAAGACTAGACTTTGCACGCGGAGGTTCCGGTTCCTCAGTTGATCAACCACGGCGAATACCTAGGCCTGGTGAGGGTGGTTTTGGTGGGCCTTTTGGTCCAAGGGGATTTGGGGTAGTCTACGGACCCCGCGGTAAGCCGAGGATACCGCATGCCGCTTATAATGATACCGACTATGCGATGGGATTCGACGACGGGTATTCTGTCTATGGACCCCCTAATCCATGGAATGGGCCGCCTGGTGGCTTCGGGAGATACTGAAGATGTTGTGGAGATTGTCGTGGTTTAAGGCCGATGTTATCGTAGGTGAGCGCATTTCATGTTGACTTTGATTAGAATAAGGTCAGAACATCCAAGAGCTCCCTTCAACGACTGGGGAAGCCCCATGATTCTTCGAGTTGACGGATGGTGGTTGTTGGCGGAAAGCCATGCGACCTTTCGCAGGCATACCACAGTTCGCGAAGTCGTATTTGGTCTTCTTTGGCATTGAATCGATCACCGACTATGAAGCGTTTAGCGTGTATAGATAGCATACTGAAGGGCCGACCCTTACCAAGTGCAATCGCGAAACAAGCCACGAACTTGGAAGGGAATACCTTTGGGTTTGACTGCGCGACGCCACACAACGTGCGAACGTCGTCTTGCGCCATTCTCTGCGAACGAAGTGAGTGAAGATGTGACAAACGAGCATTAGTCCTCTTACATCGACAGCTGCGCGCGATTGCTTATGCGAGGGCCCTAGCTGGGGGATTGTGGGGTCGTGGACTACCAATAGCATATGGGCGAGGAGGTTGTACTGTGCCCCCATCACTGAGAGACTTAGCACACGCGCCGTCTACTATGAAAGGATCTGCTCCTACCATGCGCCTTCTCATGATATCGGATATCCGGGAAGTTCCTGCCACTTTCATCTGAATCCTGCCGATAGAAGATAGGGTCAAAGCTATCAGGTCGCTGGGTCCTCCAAGCTTTGTTCTCATCCATCAGCTGGCTGTATCTGAGGACGCTATGTCTCTCTTCACCAAAGGCGAAGTTGCAGACATCGCCTAGGTGTGCGATGGTACGTGTAGCCCAAACTGAGTCATCTGCAGGCTCAAGGGAGCGATCCGCCGGGAAGATATGCAGCTGAAAAGCACGCTGGGTCATGAGGGATATCCATAATTCTTGGCGAAATGCCGCCCAGTAGATGGCTTGCGTGAAGCTTTCACCAGAACTTGCGGCATATTTCTGCTGGGCTCCGCGTATGATGGCTTGCGTTCCAAAGAGGTGACCTTGTGGGTCGGAGCCGATGATAGAGACTGGCTATTATTCAGCCCGGCGTACCACATGTGGTCCTATGAGGACTTACTATTCATCTCTTCCAGCAACCGAAGTATAATAGTAGATGCCAGTAGTGACTCATCACGGATCGCGATGTTGTCATTCAACGCTGGGATTAACGTCTCAAAGCATCGCTGATAGTACGCATCGGCAATGTAAGGGTCGAAGTCTGTCGTCCGGCTAAGCTGCCGCGCCGAGAGGGCGAGTATAGCGTTCATTAAGGTGCTGTTGTTCTTGGCGCGTTGAACCACATGCACGCTAAAGTGGCATCTGTTATCCATCATATCGAACTGGTCCTGGTTAGCTTGCGTGTTGACGACGTTCAGAAGCGTCGTACGAAGAGGGCAACATTTTCAATATAATGCTGTAACAACATGGCCTCTTGTTCGTTCTCAAGTGGCCAAAGTACTGGCGCGCCTGGAGGTCGTTGGTATACAAATGAACCCGACCCGGTCGGCGGCTGCGAGGGAGGCGACACCGGCACGTTATACGATGTCAGAGGCGGCGCGGGTAAGGAAGGCTGCGATCCAGTCGGAGAGTCGGAATTGAGAAGCGATAAAACAGTGAGGCCTTCGGTAGGACTGAGCACGGAGGATGGAGTTTGCTGATCGTTCACACCGCTCATGGAGGGGCTGGGATCTGGGGAGCACTCTTGCGCCATGAGTGGCCCAGCGAATGGGTCATAGTCCGCATCACTCGCATAGTGAGAGCGGATCTCCTGAGATTCGTCGAGGAACTGTACTGTCATTGAGTCTTAGTTCACGTCAGACCGGGCAGTTAGCATTCCTTACTTCGTGGGGGAAGAGACACCCAGGGCTGAGAATTGCTGAATGTTTCCTGGATAGAAGACCGTCGGAAGCGCCTGCCCGTTTCATACACACATTCTTTCTTGGCTTGCTCGCATCTACTGCATTTGGGCTGCTTTCCGTCACCTGTCGCGTCTTCTCAGTACGGCAAGTTCGCGAGGGGTTAGAGAGAATCTACATCGATAATGACGCGTGCGACACCGGTTGCTAGAAGAGTCAGTGGGTTCCAGCTCGCGACAAAGGTAGATCATACCATGGCATTTGGAGGGATGGCTAGCACGTATCAGTGGCCACAGACATGTGCGTCGGAGTGAATTGCCTTGTTGCGTGGCGGTGCCCCGGGTTTTGGGAGATGTGCGAGCGTGTTTTTACGGAGGTTTGGCTCCACCCGTGGACTGGAACGGACCTGCGTCAGCCGCGATTCTCGAAATCCCACGCCGCGGTCCCAGCCGCACACCCAACCAAGAGGCGGCATTTGGCAAGCCTGGTGTCAGCTAACACACAGTCATCCAACGACCGAACCGTCTTAAGATTCGGGCCGGGCGAAGCGGGGTATACCCCACCTTAGGCGAGAGATCAGCGCTGTTGAGAAGAGGCAATCTTCGCCTAGCATCTTCAACCTTCGTCATATCAAAAGACCGAAGATGTGAATTTGCTCCGGAAGGAACGGAATAAAGAGCGTTGGACAGAACGTAAGTTGTGACTTTGACTCTTTGCTCCCGCGGTTCTCGTTCCTGCCCGCATTGACCATTCCTGCACTTGTGCCCTCTGCGTCACTAGTGCCTCTTATCGGCATTTGAACACTATGCCTCACGCTACATCGCCCGAGCAGGGAGTGCCTAGCTTCAACGGCGAGCAGCTATTCGTGAACGATGGCCTCCTCCATCCGGAACAAGTAGGGCCTCTGAAAGCATCGTCGCCGGATATGCCATTGGAAGAGCTTCGGCGCCGTTACCGTGAGGACGGCTACGTCTTCTTGAAGGGCTTGCTTGCGCGAGAGGATGTCCTCAAGGCACGGGAGGAGTATTTCAAGATGCTGGCTCCCAGTGGCGTCTTGAAACCTGGAACAGCGCCGGTTGACGGCATCTTCGACTCCGACAAAGACGCAGCGGACTTTCCTGGCATAGGTGCTGGCGCAGCTGGTGGGAATGGCAAGCCAGGAGCAGCGACTGCAGAAAAATTCGTAGACTTAGCGCTACAAGCGCACTACGCTGATTGGTACAAGGAAACTTTCTGCAAGCATCCAGTCCTCTGGGACATGATCGCTCGCATCTCAGGCTGGGGCGAGAATACACTTGGCGTTCGGCGGAGCCTGTTGAGGAACAACACACCTGGCAACAAGGCGATTGGTGTGCATTACGACCAGATCTTCCTGAGGCATGGAGAGCCGACGAGCTTCACGGCCTGGGTTCCGATGGGCGACATCACCCGTCAAGGTGGAGGATTGATATACCTAGAGAATGGTTAGTCGCTTGCATCCACTGCTTGGACGACTTCTTACCGCCCATTAGGTCATTTACTCGGAAGAGAAGTCGAGGCCGAGTTCACGCAGAAGGCTAAAGAGAGCGGTCTCAATGATGAGGAGACAAAAAATGCTTTCAACCGCAACATGCTCTCCACTGGACTGCTTGCTGACGGTCCCCGAGAATACTCCGAGACGTTCCAGCGGAGGTGGCTGGTCACAGCCTACGAAGCTGGAGATGTCGTCTTGTACGTAAGGACGGAAGCGCTGGTGCTTCGCTGATGGAAATGCTACTAGAGTAGCATTTGGCGATACCGCAGGTTCTAGACTGAGACATCTCGACACGCAAACACCGCTCTCCAACTTGATGAGCTTCGCTGACTTTGTCCTTCCACCTCTAGGCACACTCCTTACACGGTAAGTAATCTGCAGTGAAGGAATTGGGAACCCATTGACAGGATGACAGATTCACGCTTCCACGATCAATTACGACGCAAACAACGTCATCCGCGTGGGGACCGACTTGCGCTTCGTCGACAAGAGTAGGCCCTGGGATCAGGTAGCCTGTGAACTCCATAATAGTTGTGAATCGCAACTGACGTATCCGCTAGCGCTGGGATAAGGACTATAAATTCAATGACGGCGTGTAGACGGAACCATGGACGAGCGAAGAATGGGTGTGTATGTGTCGTTGTGACGAGGGCGAGGGCGAAACTCGGAGGTGGACTGCGACATGTCGACACGAGAAATGCCATGCAAGTTGGAATACTCTTGACAAATGTGCTAGTTCAACCCGTACCTTTGAAGAAATTGAGGACCGGGTGGAGACGAAGCAGGAAGCGGAGACGAAACAGGAGGCGGAGCTTTGACATCTGTGCATGCTCTACCAATGAGCGCTCGCGCCGAGTAGCTGACTAAGCGGAGCATCCACCATCTCGCTACGATGCGTTCCGTCACTTACTCCTCATCCGCCGCGCCTGTGCAACCCCTCACACCTCATCGTTCTCACACAAGCCCAACGTATGGCTTTTGTAATCGTGATCTCTACCCTACGCAAAATGCACCCGTTCCGCCGTGTTCCGCCCATTCTCATGGCGATGACCACCAGGACAATCGCAACGTTCTAGCCGACGTCCTAGTCGATGCCTCGACGTTTGCACGAACAATAAAAGACTAATGCGGGCGATGGCGACCTTGCGGAAGCCCATCGTGTGCATGTGTGCACAGCACTCCGAATCGGCGCCGCGCTACGGAAAGCGTATCACAAAGGTTGCGAAGTGGAACTTCATTCTATCTGCCCCGTGTCAGCTCTGTTTGCTTAGCAGCTCAGGCGCATTTATCAACTGTACGTGCAATATCACAGGATCGTATTCACCATGTTGAGATTGCACCACCATTTTCGGCGATCGCTCCAAGCACTTGCCTCGTTCGCCTCACTTTTTATGTTTAAGAAGTATCCAGCTCTGTTCCTTACCGAGCAAGCAGATTCCAAAACACCTCGTACACGCAAAGGATTTTCTCCAGCAGTCCCATCGCCAGCATTTACGTTCTCGAACCACTCCCAAATCGAGCCCGGCTTACTCAGGCATGGCTCCGGACTGCTCGGTGACTTGTCCGTACGGTATCCTAAATCTCAATGCAGCTGCAGAAACCGTACCGATTCTGTCGACCTCGCCAAAGGAATTCCACAAAAAACTCCGCGACTGGCTCAGCGAGCATTACCTGGAAGATCGTCTTGGCGTAGCGGCCCTGGACGGAGTCGAGCCGCTCGGTCGCCGCATAAGATCTGTTCAGGATCTTAGCCTATTGGTGTGCGCATACAGTAATGCTCGGGCATTGAAGCAGAAGACCATGAAGCGAGGGATGGATCACGAGCTGTACTTTTATGGCCATACTCCAGACCACAATGCCGCGGTGGATGCTGGGAGACTTCTGAGATACCCATCAGACCCAGGCTCTCCGGTAGGGTTCGCCTTGGACGGGCGCTGACCTGGACAGAAGAGGCATATCACGCGACGCGGTCGAGATTGGTTGCATTGCTAGCTTCTGGACGTAACGTTAGTCTGAATTATACATGCTGCCCTTCGCTTTGTCGGCGCGAGTGGATTGTGAAAAAGTGAAATGGTACAGCCCATCTTGAACGCCTTTAGGACGCGGTCGACTCTTGGACCGGAGCTGAGATCTTACGTAGGTATTATACAAACCAATTAGATAGACTTTATCCTAACTTTCCCTTGCTCGTCGCGAAGTGCAAGCTACTAGAAGCCCAGCAGCTAGTGAGCGTAGTCCACGTTCAAATCGGCGCAAGCACATGCATATGGGAACACCATCTTTAGTCTCAGGAATTTTGAATGGCTTGAGTTAGACTATACTTTGAAAGGTGGGGCTTACTCCATGTGCGAGGATGCACGCTGTCTAATGCTTATCGGCCATGGTGAAGCTGCGTATTACTGCGTCGATGACGTGTGCATGGCTTGCCCAATATAAGGCTTCAGGAGCTTGCTATTGTACTCCCTTCCCCACATGCAGAGAACTGAGCTCGTTAGACCCAACCTGTGTAACGATTTAATACGTAGTAGAGACGAGCGCTCAATGATTCCCATTGCAAGTGAGTAATCCGCAGGTGGCGAGTGAAACTGTGTTGCGTCACGTGTAGCGTGATGAGGAATACATACGCACCAAAGACTGCCCTCGAGTCGGGAGCTCCGCAACCTTTTGCCTTCACCCTCCAACTCAAAAGCACCTCGAGTCTTCCTCGACCCAGTCTCAGGCAGACGAAACGCACCCCAAACAACTCAGCCAACATCCGTGCAGGCTTTCTCAATAACCTCCCGCCTCCCTAGGTCGCCGCAGGGACCAGGTCGCCGTCTCCAGGCGCAAAATTCTCTCTTTCTCGACTCTTCACGCGCCCTTCAGCCATGACCGCCGTTGACACACACATTGCACCCCATATACCGCTTCCCGTGCTTGACTCAGCACAAGGAGCACCGAGCGCAGGCACCACCGTCACCAAGGTGGATTCTCCCGTTGACTCTAATCCTCCCAAGCCCGCGACTCCAGCCCCGACCGCAACGCCAGTCGCAACCCCGCAACAACATAAGCCAGCGACCGCAAACATGGCTCCCGTCAAGCCTGGAAAAATTCACCCGCGAAATCACCCCAACCCTACTATGACCTTCCCAGACCGCGTGGAAGGCTTCGTCGATCTCGAAACCCTGACCAAGATCCACAGCGCGCTCTGCGAGAGCCAAGACCCCGAGGACCGCCAACTTGCGTCATGGGTCAAGGAGCAGTATCTGTGGGAGCCGATCGAGAACTCTGCAGCAGGCCGGCCCATTCAGACCCGTGAAGGCTTCGGCAAGTTGGAGACGGCCTATCGCCGCGTGCGCCACCTCACCAACCGGGCCCAGGATAAGTGGCCTTTTTTTGACCGCAACTGGAAGTCGATGAACGCAGCGATGGTTAGGAAAGTCGCTATGGGGGAGTTGGGCATGGCTAGTCCTGCTCCTCAGGCCGCTCGAGGATACCAGGCCGTATCTAGGCAGAATGGCTTTGTTGCTTATCACGGTACGTTTAGCTCTCGCGGTGATTCCTTATTGTCTGTGGTGAACCTCAAGACGCGATCAGCGCAGACACATCTGATCCACCAGTTTCCGCTGTCGCTCTTGCGACTGGTTTACCTGATAATATGGTCGCTAATGGATATTAGCCGCTCCAGAGCAATTGACCACGACACCGAACAATGCTGTCCAGCCGCCGACGCCCACCGTCATTGAGAGCGTTGATGCTAGTGGAGCATCACGCGGACCGACACCCGCCTCCAACATGAACGGTTCCTTCCAAGGTATGATTTCATGAGCTCAACCTATCATTTCTTCTTTTCGTTACAAAGCAGAGAAATGAGCTCTCAAGCGCCTCATATGAAACTACCTTAGCACATTTTTACTGACGTTAAGAAGGAACACCCGCCCCAGAGGCTCCTCAGAAGGCAGCTGCGTCGGATACAACCAATCCCGCGCTTCCCACTCCTCCCACTCCTATGGAGTCGACTTCCCGCGCGACCAGCGAGTCGATGGGCAACTTTGCTAGCGCTGCGATGTCCACATCTGGTACGCTCACAACCTTTTGCTTGCCTTCTTTCGCCCCGCATCTGAGCTGTGTCCCTCGTTTGGCACACCGCCCTCAGCTTCAAGACAATATCTCTATCCGCAAATTCTTGCAACAAAGTATTTATCTCCGCAACTAACATGCCTACAGCCAGCCCTGATCGCCCGCTGATCGCCGCCGACGCCGAACCGGTCCAGACGAACCTCGATGCCCTCCCCTCATCCTCACTGAAGAGGAAGCGCGGTCGCGAGCGGAACGGAGATGGGACCTTTAAGCCCGGCCCACCTAAGAAGCCGCGTGGGAGCCGAACTGGACGAGGAGGTGGCCGTGGAAGAAAGACACGAAAATCAGAGGCACAGGTGCAGTCCGAGGATGAAGCCAATGTGACTCCATCCACCTTCGACGTCATCATGTCCGAGAACGTTGATGACAACGAGACTCCTGAGATCCACACCACTCGTCGCTCCGCTCGTCTCTCTGGTGGGGAGGCTCCGGCTCAGACTGAACGCGCAACGTCCGTAGCGGAAGCCGGAAGCGAGGCAATCGAGGAGGAAAATCATGGACTCCTAGAATCGGCACTGGAAGCCTCTCAAGCGGCGCCAGAGAAGGTTGATACAGCGAAGGCTACTCCAGCAAGGGTCACTCCAGCGACAACTGCTCCAGCGCGGGAGCTTAGCGATGAGGATTTCCTCAGGCTCGGTGTCGCTCACACCTCCGGCCGTCACAAGACCCCTGCGACCGCAACTCCTACTCCATCGATGCCCGCAACTAATGATCTCAGCAACGGTATGCCTCACTCCAATGTCCTTCGGCTCACTGTACTAACTCCCCTTCTAGGCCCACCTCTAGCTGTCCTACCTACCCCCGTCGTTCCGGCCGTCCAAACTGCCCCCGCCGCCACCACCGCCGTTGAGTTCGTCGCGCGCTTTGACTCCCCCAAGGGCGTTATCGAGATTCCGGTCACTCCATCCGCCCTCACCAGCGACCCGACCCTGCTCGCACGCATCCAGCGGTACGCGAACTGGAAGAACGGCAAGGGAGCGAACGTGGATCTTACCTTCGAGCTGTTCACCAGCGTCTTCGAGACGATGTAAAGCATGGACGGTTCTCCAAGCGAGCACAAGATGATGTCGAGGTATCTATTACTCCTCTAGAAATTGAGATTCGGATGTACGATATTCGGCGACGGAGTGCGGTGCATGGAGTTACGGGCATTCGGCGTCAAGGACATAGCTCTCTGGCTTCCAGCCTCTTTTAAGGTGGCTTCTCATGCATTTTCATAGGCGATTCAAAATGTGGCCTTCCAGAATGTATTATATGCTGCACTCATCTTTGACTCTAGTGGAAATTAGCATGGTTATGAAGATGCTGCGTCCTTTGTCATGCACCCGTGAGGCACAGCAAGGCTGAAGCAGATTTGGCCCCAAAACGTCCAGTGCAGTCCATTTAAGCTCTCCATGCCAGGCCGCTGGTACCCTATCAGGGGGTCTACATGGTATGAGAAACAAAAGTGGCGTGTGGCGAGGTTCTAGAGCCGATGCTCTAAATACTGCCCGCCCGACTACGACCCTGCGGTGGGGAGTCATTTTCGCAGTCTCCAGCCTCGAACTTTGGATTTTGCGCGTTTACTGTCTATCTTCTGGTCTGGAGATTTTCATACCTAGGTCGGTAGGGGAGCATAGCGACTAATCTCCTTTCCGCAGGTCCGCGAAGGCTGGGTATAGCGAGGAGGCTGAATTGTTATGGAAACCCAACTATCCGCCTTTCGCCAATCCCCGTCTGTAAGTACCTTACATGCCATCCTTTATGTTACACCTAGGTATGTTCTCCTCATCACACCACGCAGGTCGTGCCTTCCAAGCGCTGTGCATTCGGGAAATTTGATGCGCCACGGCTGAGGCTTCTGTGTCTTCCGTGCCGTTCGTTCCTGCACCACGCTCACGCCCGCGAACCCAACCGTCCATTTTCTCGCATCCATTCGGGCCTTCGTGTGCTTTTCGAAGGATGTTTCCGTTCCGAGGGGCCTCGCGATGCCCTGCGCTGCCGAGTCATTCCTCTGCGTCGGCAGGCGATGCCATTGGCCCCGAGACCCCGGATGAGCTGACCAGATGGCCAATATCGGGAGATGAACGACCAGGAACACTCCCACGCGCCTGGCCGCTGGACTCGAGCGCTGCGACTTGGGGACCTGCTGTCTTCGGCTTTCGAACGTCGTGTCGTCTTTCTGGAATAGGATGTCGAATTGGGCGAACGTTCGCTCGGTAGAATCCTTGGAACGAGCTGGAGACTCAATCTCAGCATACGAAGAGCTCGTCCTTCGCTCACATGCTAAGGATTAAACGGCGGGCTATCGATACCTACCGGTGCTCCTCGAATCATCAGGCCTAAATATACCACGCACGAGCATCATGCGTCAATCGATAGTTCGCCAGGAGAACTTTGTTTTTGACGGGGACGGGTTCGCCGTTGACGAGCACGAGCGGCGGCCTCGGCTGCGGAAGGGCGGGCAAAACGGGAGAAAAGAAACGCGCTGGCACTCCCGCATCCAATGAACACTCCACAACGCCCTTCATCGTCGCTGGCTCTCCTTTAGCCGTGCGCGCTGGCGAGCCATCTCACCATCTCGCGCGGGAACGACATGCCTGCCCGCGCCGGCGCATACTCGCATGCGTCCCTCTATACCAAAGCGGGGCCGTCCAGGCACGCATCGCATTCACCACGGGCGTTCTGGACGACGCCATCGAGCGCTCGCTTTTCGTCTCGGGAGCATTGGGCGAGCAATAGCATGGAGTGAAAGGCTCAGTTAATCTCCGCACGAGTGGGCCCCAACGTGCGCACCTCGCGTGAATGTGTGCAGTAGATTAAGGCTGCACTACGCGCTCCCACGGCCCCGGGTCCTGTCTCTTCACCTCCTTTGCTGGCTCTTCCTGGCTTCTGGGTCGCACCCGCAACTGCCAACTTTTTGTGCGTGTGCGCGATACAGTAGTTTGGGTCTGGAGATTGCGAGAAGGGCGAAGACGAGACGGGATGAAGGGTTTGTTTGGCGCTGTTGCGCTGTTCGCTGCGCAAGCTGGCATCCTCGCCTCGCCACTTGCTCCACGGGCGACATCAATCGTGGCGGTTGACCTCGGATACGCCGTCTACCAAGGGACTCGCGATGCCAACAATAGCATCAACATCTTCAAGGGGTATGCTTCTATCTACCGCCGCACCACTGGCTGATTAGACTAACACCATCGCGCAGGATTCGCTATGCCGCTCCGCCGCTAGGAAACCTCAGATTCGCAGCTCCCCAGGCACCCGCAAAAAACAGGACGTCAACCATCCCAGCAACGAGCGACCCACCGCAATGCCCGCAGACTGGCGCTTCAGCAGAGACGCCGGCTAAGTATGCCTTCACTTCTGGGTACGGAAACGAGGACTGCTTGTTTCTGAACGTCTATGCGCCGTCAAGCGCGAAGAACCTGCCCGTCTTCTTCTGGATCCGTTAGTCTCGAAAGCCCCTCCAAATCGCTCCACGACTAACACTGCCCAGATGGAGGGGGATACGGTCTGTTTTCCGCCACAGGCCTCGATCCCACCGAGTTCATGGTGACCAACAATAACAAGTTCATCTCTGTAATCATCCAGTACCGCCTCGGAGCATTCGGTTTCCTGCCCGGAGATGACGTCAAGGAGGATGGCGCGCTGAATGCTGGCCTTCTGGATATGAACTTTGCGCTTCAATGGGTGCAGAAGCATATCAAGAAGTTTGGTGGCGATCCGAACCGTGTCACCCTGGCGGGCGAGTCTGCCGGTGCGGCTGCCGTCATGTATCAGGCGATGGCGTACGGTGGAAAGCAGAACAAGACGCTGTTCCAGAACGTATGCAGAGGTACTGAAGTCGGATTCTAGAATCACGTGCTAACGCGTCCACAGCTCATAGCCGCGAGCCCATGGGTCCCGTATCAGCACGACTACGACGACGAGGTCTCTACCAAGAACTACAACGACTTCGCCGAAGCCGCCGGCTGCTCAAGTGCTGCAGACACTCTTCAATGCCTACGCGACGCCGACAGCTTGGTCCTCCAAAACGCCAGCTTCAAGGTCTCCGAAGCCGGGCCTTTCGGCACCTTCGCTTTCCTCCCCGTGACCGACGGCGCTTTCATTCAGGAACTACCAACAGAGGCTCTGGTTTCCAAATCCGTCCAGGGGAAACGCCTGCTCTCTAGCAATCTCGCAAACGAAGGCGTCCCCCTAAGCCCGCCCACCACCCGAACGCTGCAAGACTTCCGCGACTACATTGACACCACCTTCCCGGGTTTCAGCCCCGCCGACAAAGCCGCCCTCGAAGACGAATACTCCTACGACGGCGACGACGAGCCTGTCGACCCCTCCGCCCCGCTCTACGACACCTCGGGAACCTCCTATCCCACCGCCGTCAACCAATCCGCCTTCGGCACCGGCCAGCAACAACGCGTCTTCAACGTCTTCGCCGAGTACGCCTTCGACTGCCCCAGCTACTGGCTCGCCTCCGCCTTCCCCACAGCGTGGAAATACCAGTTCTCCGCCCCGCCCTCCTACCACGGCTTCGACCTGCAGGCCCTGTGGTCCGGCACCGCGTACCCCGGCGCCTCCTTCAAGCACGCCTTCCGCAAGATCTGGGGCAACTTCATCGTCGCCAACAGCCCCGTCATCAGCGTCGCGGACGCCCAGGCCGGCGCCTCCAACGCCACCGTCCCTGTCGGCAGGAACGGCATGATCCAGTGGCCCGTGTGGAGCGAGAGCAAGCCCGTGCTGCTGAGCCTGAATGCCACGGGCGGCGTGAGGATCCCGGTGAATGTCACGGACGATCTGAAGTATGCGATTTATCTGGATCCCGGGGTCACGAATGTGCTGAAGGTGGCGGATGCGGAGAAGTGGGAGGGAGGGAGGGGGGAGCGGTGCGAGTGGTGGCTGGGCAGGGCGGCGAAGGTGCCGTATTGAATGGGGTAGAAAAGATATCTTCTGTGTAACAAACTAATGTACTCATGCACAAAATCCGTTCAAACTACTCTTCCGCTGTTAACGTCACGTTTCCCTCCCCTCCCCCTTCCCCGGAAAATCCATGCGTTCCGTTCCCGCGACCCCCACGCAACCTTCCTCATTCGCACCCTCATCGTTTCCCCCAACTCCCTACCCCAATTCAGCAACCAATCCCGCCCCCCGTCCCACCGAGTATTCCTCCACCAATGGCTTCGCATCCACCCCTCGCCTACCCCTGCGCTGCTAAATCACCGGAAAGGAAGCTTGGAAGCTTGGCTTGTGCAACGCGATATTGCGCGCGCAGGGAAGGGCAAGCCTGCGTGGTTTTAGCCGCGGTTGGTCTCCTGGACGGACACGGGGACGGATACAAGCGGGAGAAGTGATGGCGATGCTGATTGTTGATTGTTGAAGAGTACTGCGATTGTGAAGCTGAGATTGAGATTGAGAAAGGAGGATGTGATGGAGAGGAGGGAAGGCAAGGAATCAGATTGCGCCATCTATCCGTATGAGACGTTGGTTGGTGGCTGGCAGGAGGAAAGCGATCCCTCCCGCGTCGCGAATCTGAGAGGCAGTCAAAGCGTGCACCGATTGCGCAACAGAAAGGGGAAAAAGCAACGATCATCGCATTTCTCGAGATCCTAACGATGCTCACACCTCGGTCTGAGGACGGACCCTCGCAAATTCAATCCAATGCGATCCAACAAAAAGTCGTCATCATAGAGTACAGCAGTTGAGTGCAAGTGCGAAAGCGATACCGACACCGATAAACTCCTCCGCTAATGATGCCTGCGTCGTTTGCTCGTAAGATGGGAAAAGGTATAACCCAGGGCGGAGCGAGGTTGATTCGTAAACCCGTCAAACTTAACCAAACGTCGATAAAGCCATAATTATGCCCGCTATTACCGCGATGCTGCCAAAATAGAAACTCCAAATGCGCCGTTCGTTTTGCGAGTGCGAAGCGAGGTCCGGGTATATTGCGTTGGATAGCAATGTAGGCTGAATGCCGAAGCGCAAACAGCGCAAACGTGGGTGTTTTTTTTTTTTGCGCTTTAGTTGCTGCTGCTGCAGCGCGGTTTTTTGCGGCTGCTGAAGCGTGCAGCCGTTGTAGATGATAAGATGTTTATCTCCAGTCGGACGTCCCTTCATTTCTTGCGAACTTCCCACACATTCTTCTTGAGACCTGGGCTCTTGGGTCCATTCCTGGATTGGCCGCGAACCTGTCCTTGTGCCGGAATCTCCGCAATGTCGCTACCTGAGCCTGCCGTCTCTTGGGTATTCGTGCGGACCCGCTCCACCGTTTTCCAGAATTGCGCGCGTTCTGGCTGCGCAGGGTTATCCTGCATCTCCGGACTCCACGCAGCGTGTCCCTCTTCCTCAATACCCAGTATAGTGCGCGCCTGGCTGTCGGTGCCAGTCTGGTCGGCGTTGCTGAGGCCCAGCGAGCGGGCGATCCGGCTTCGCCTCGATTCGCCGGAGCCGGGGGTTGCGGTCGTGGAGGGGTGCGACTTGAAGGCTGAGGAGCCAGGTAGGAGTGGCCGGCGTTTCCGCCACATGTGCCAAATTATGGGAAGGTTGGTGCAGAGAATGCCGCCGAGGGGCTCGAAGGCGGAATATGCGCCTAGGGGAACGTATGACCATGTAAAGTCGGGGTAGCCGTGGCCGAGGACGACGGTGAGGCGGATGGAGGAGACGATGCAGGTTCTGTACAAGCAAATATGTCAGCGCCGCTCTTCACCAGTGCCAAACGGAAGAGAATGTGGATATGCATACGCTAAACCGATCGAGAAGATCAAGCATAGAAGAAGCTTCTTCTTTGTCTGCAGTTGCAAGTGCCATATTACTGGTACTGGCATCAGGAAGATCCAGATGTCGGTGATGAGGTTCGAGATGTTGGTGAAGTACGTGAAGGTGACGAGGTGCAGGCAATCTCCCTTGACGTTGCTGTCCCAGAACGCTTCAATGGGCCGGCAAACAAGGGCCAAGGTAACCGTAATGCCGATTCCCCATGCAATGATGAACGCTGCGGTGGCTAATACGACCTTCCGGAACAGAGGGACGACGAAGACGCGGTAGTAGAAGGCGAGAATACCAAGTTTAACAGTGACGAGAGCAATATCGTAAAAATGACTGAAGACGTAGTCGCCCTAGGTCTCGAATCAGTGACCCAATATGAGAGTCCGCCGACATTTTCGCACCTTTCGGACCATCATCAAGTCATGAGGAGCGACAGCGATTACATGCCGGCCCATACCGTGCGGTGGGCCTGGTGTTGTTAGCCTTGAACAATCACTGAACGTTGATATTCCGTACCATATCCCAGGCCACTCGCGCACTGTCCTATCAGACATATCTATCATAAACTATGAGCAGCCGCTATAACAGCCTTTGGTGGAGAACGTACTGTTGCGAAGACAATCAACCAGTCATCCAATGTGATTCCGTTCCTTCCGGCTCTTTTCGCCCATAGCCGCAGTCCTGTTGAGATGGTCGCGCAAGCGATGGGCACACTGTAGACCCAATGTATCTCTGAGACTCTCGAATCATGGATATGCGCTTCCATGTACGCCAGCTCTTCTGGCGTGAAGGCCGACATGGCTCATAATGCGACCTCGGTGGCCGAGTACAAGTGGTGTAAGTGGCGTTGTGGAGGCTGAAGGGCTAGAAGAGCTTCACATCGCTGCCGAAAATTTAGGCGGAGGGAGGCGCTTGATGAGGAATCAGCTAGCAAGATAGTGCCAGGCCGTATGGCGAGCAAATAGCCTGTTGCAGGACGCGCACTCGAGCTGTAAATTGGAAGAGAGGGGCAGGCGTGAGGTTGGCGTACTTCTGCCGCGGTCGATATTATGGTTCGACGTGCGAGTGATCGACCGAGCTAAAAGGAATCGCTCGTGCTCGAATTGCATGCATCGCAACACCGGGGTTGGGCGGGCAAGGCTCCTCTTTTAGCCTACACCCTGGCGGCTTCGGTGAGCGGGACTGGGCCGGCGCACCCTTCGTACGACCTGTCGAGAGTCGCCAGGGCGCCTAGAGCAGTCTCTCGGAGCGTCGTACTGTGCTTGACGAATTGCGCGAAGACTCGAGTTGTTTTTGTGCGACCTCAAGAGTGTTGCTACTCGGCGATTGTGGAGGGCGCTGGCTCCGCTACTCCGTCCCGAGACGTGGACGGCTGGCTGCTTTTCGGTGGCCAGGCCATCCCTGCGCATCATCCTTCGCATTGGCCGTCTAATGCCGCTTCATTTGATTGCTGCAGCGTTCGAGGCCCTTTCCTCCATGTTTTTTTCGAAGAGGTAATCCTGTCGCAGGCCAACACTGGGGGCCGGAGTTGAGTTGTGTGGGGCAGCGGTGAACTGGAATTTTGAGGTGGCTTACAGCCCAGCGCCATCTCCCAGCAACAACGCGACGAATCGGCAGGCACCGCCGTCAACGCGATTGCGACGGGCCTCTCATTCGACAGAGCGTCGCCTCATTTGACGCAGGGCGAAACTCTACGCTCAGGAGCTGCTGGCGTCGGTCCGGCCCGCGTGATTCCTTCAAATTTGTGTCGAATTCGATCTCGCAATGCGCCAATCCAAACGACACGCTTGGCCGCCGATAGATGAAGGTTTTGTATGCCGTGCGCCCGTTTGAACCTTAGTGCTGAGGTTCAGCTGAGGTGCGTCTGACGGCCGTTGTCGTTCGTACGGGTCCATGGTGGGTACGTACACGGAGCGTGACAAATGCTCTGTTCGTCAGCGCACTTCAACCCTCCTCCACGATTCGCGGTCGCCATTGGGAGGCTTGATCGACCGCGACCGACTCAACGGGATACGTCGCTCACATTCCAGAGCATAACATCAGCCAAGGGCTTCGCATGCCTGTGTAACTGTGATGAGGAACACTCGGGGTGCATCCACGTTATGCAGTCTTACCAGTTTCCCGTTCTGGCACGGCCCGTCGTATCTCTTGAAACGCCCTGTATACCCAAGACTCGTAGGTTACACGGCGGACACGAGAGTCTCAACGTCTTTGTTGCAGGTCAATCGGCGAAAAGAGATCAGGAGGTCGAGGATGCATAGCCTGGGCCACGCAGTAGAACTGGGGTCCACCCTGCGAGATAGATCAGTCTGTTGCTTTGGCCAAATCGAGCCAAGAAAAGGTGGGAAACTCATGAAGGGCGCGTAGAGGTCGCAGAGAAGTGATGTCTAATTTGAGTTTGTTGGGCAACATGATCGAAGGAAGGAGCGCTCTACGCTCGAAACGCTAAACCTTAAATGGGTAGGTCAGATCCTGGACACGGCCCAGACTGGGAACAGCAATCCTCCTGCACAAGGCATCATAGCGACTTCAATTCTATACTTAGAATTGGATTTCGCTACGCAAATAAACTGGCTTAACTCGCTTTCCCACAACCATCAGGCCCTCCATCGTCGCCATGCAACTCTTCTGCATCGACTCCTATCAACGAATATGCAGTCTCCCTCCCGGTAGAGGCTCGACCTTACGGCGCTGCCGGTGAAGCTTATCTGGCAGTGCGTCCGAACCAGGACGGTCCCGGGGATCGCTCTCCATGCATTCAGCCAAGACGTTAAGAATCCTCTCGCTATAGCCTCTAGGCTCATAGATCCGGTCCGGAAATCGCTGCAGCGTGGCTAGGCAGAGGATTGTAAGTCCGAGTTGATACACATCGCTCAGCTCGGAGAAATTAGGATCCTCGGGCGGCAGGAATTCTGGATGTCCTCGTCGCAGAGCAGACTCAACAGAGCGGAGATCGCCCAGCGGGCCTCCCACCGCGCATCCGAAGTCAGCTAGACGCACGTCGGGGTTATCCCGCGACCCCGTGAGTAGGATATTGTCGGGCCTTAAATGGGTTAGCTAACGATACGCGGGAATGGGCAGCTGGACTTGCTTAATGTCTCTATGGACGATTTTGTGCCAGCGCCCCGAGCCGTTTCCATAATGGCAATACCGGACTGCCTCCGCAATTTGCTGGAAAACCTTCCACAAAAATCTTTCATACACAGGGTCCCGCTCCGGGGCATGGCGCCTGATTAGATCATCCAAGTTTCCTAGTTCACAGTATTCGAGCCAGAGACTGGCATATCTCAAGTCGGAGTCGATATAGCTACTAATCAATTCAGTAATATATCGCCCGTTGCGGAGCTGCTTTAGTATCTCGATTTCGTCAGTGGCTCTGGCCGCTCGGACGGCGTCGCCCTCGATCTTCTTCTCGATGAGTTTCTTGCCCGTTTCTCGGTTGCGCACAAGCAGGATGCCGCCGTTGCAGAGCCCGGTGGTCATCAGCTCTCGCTCCACAGAGTAGATGTTAGGTTTGTTAGAGCGCGGGGCCATATTGCACTTATTGGCGTGTTGGAGAACTCAGGATATGCGGAAGTTGGAGGTGGGGTCATCGAACGATGCTGGTATTTATGTACGGATTCTGGTATGTAAGTGACCTTCAAGCTTCTTCTTCACTTTATCTTGAAATTTGGAATAGCATGTTTATCGCTAACTTCTCCCAGTCCGGCGACGAGGCCATTCAATATGCCCAAGACAGCGCGGCTAACATTCCATGGCAGTGGTGATTCCTGGACCCGACTTTCATATCCAATAGTCACTGCGGATGCTCTAGATAGGATATAACGTAGGCAAAGGGTCTTCATGGTAACTTACGGAAGCAAGAGCGATCGGCCACGCGCTCTGGAGGAATTCTCGGAGCTGCGTGGAGTAGTCACTGTCGTAAGCCATAGGTTTCCCCAAAACTTACTCACTAATAATGAATTTATCTAGATGCCCGGAATTTGAGACATGCCTACGCAAAAGTAAAAACTGCCCATTCGTCGATATTTCCGCTCTTCCCGTCTACATTGTGAGAGGTACATAACTATGTTCCGGCTGTTCATTGTGCTTGCACGTCTCCACACTCTAGGCCTTCCTCTTTAAAAGCACCATTATCTCAATCTCCCAGGATCACAACACCAAATCCCTTCCAATAAACTTCTCCAGCCCCAAACATGTCTTCCAGCAGCGCGACGCACCGCTTCAAGGAACTCCACGACCTACGCGGCTCCTTCCTCGGCGCCAACAACGCCGGCATCTACCTAGTCGAAGACGCCATAACAGGCAAGTTGTGCATCGAAAAGCGCCTCAAGCTGTTCGACATCGAAGACGGCTACGCTAAGCGCGAGATCGAAGTCCTGCACCAACTGCGCTACCACCCCAACATCAGCCATCTGGTCGACTTCACCCTCGACGAAGAAGGCTATATGGACGGTGGCTGGCCCAGCGCTACTATCTGGACTGAGTACTGCACTGAAGGCTCGCTCCAAGATGTAATTTTTGCCTATTTCAACGCGCGTGAGAGCATTCCTGAAGCGTTTCTCTGGCACGTTCTTGCTTCGCTGGCTGAAGCAGTGCGGTATTGTCAGAGCGGGACCGCGGCCCTTTTGCCGGATCAAATGCGTTGGAATCTTGTGTACCACAGGGATATCCAACCCTGCAATGTGTTCCTGACCTTAGAAGGCTGCACAGATATCGATGGTCCGTACCCGCGCGTCGTCCTCGGGGATTTCGGCTGCTCCACAACTCTGCAGCACATAGCCTGCGGGGACTCCCATCCCTTGTATGTTTCGCGCCAGGACTCGCGCTTCGAGCCGCCCGAGGCGCCGGCGTTTAATATGCGCAGTGATATCTGGCAGATTGGTATGGTGCTGTATTGCTTGATATTCGTAATGGATGCACCGATCAAGCGCTGGGATCCGGTTAAGCGGATCAGGGAGGAGCCAGCGTACTCGAGCCAGCTGAAGGAGCTGGTATGTAGATGTATGGAGGAGGACTGTGAGAAGAGGATTGGAGTTGAGGAGCTGGTCCTCAGGATTGAAATGGCGAGGGAGAAGCTTAATGTGTAATGGGGAGGGCGCCGCTGGATTAGGAGGGAGTTAATGGTATACTGTTGCTGAAATGTTAATCGTGTCTTAGATTATCTAATAATGTACCTTGAAGCATCCCAAGTACCGCATTCCTTCTGCTGGACCTTTGGCCATCCCGTAATCTATGCCCTTGAACGGCATCCGTGAATCGATGTTGTTGTAGAAGAAGGCCGAGAACGTGGCGAGATCGAAAACAACGTGGTTTACTCTAACGCGGTGTCCGATACATTGTGGATGTGGTAGATGGGGTTCTCGAAATGTTAGTTTCTCTCCGGCATTGTTTACTCCATGGACTTGTTCACAATCCAATCCACATCGTATCGTAAACCCATCAAGTGCACAAGAAGCCATCTTAATCGTCTACGCACACTTCGTACAGGCAAACCGAAGCATCGTCATTACTCGTCAGTGTTCGCTTCCTCCCGTCAGTCATGGCGCCATTCCCACTTCACAATGCTCTTCATCAGCACGTCCAAGGTCTGATTGCGACGCTGGGATCCTCTTTTGGGGCCCTCGTCCTGACCGACTCCAGCAGCCAGCAAATTGAAAATCTCAAACCACAACAGTTCGCAAAACGAGCGATTCCCTCTGATCCAGTCTCAAACCCCCAAGAAACCTCCCAAGGAGTGAAGAGGAAATTCGACGAAGAAGACGAGGAGGAAGAAGAGAATGACGAGGCTTTCGAAGTCAACCCCAGCTCCGCCTTCGGCAGGTTTCTCAAGGAAAACAAGGGCACCATAAATAACGACGCGCCCCTAAGCACCCACCTCGACCTGTTCCTCTCGCACCCATCGATAGATCTCCAAACCTCGCCCTCAGACTTACCCGACTTCCCGGGTCTGCAGCACGCGTTCCATCTCTGCAAGCTCGCGCTCAGCGAGCCCGGCACGCCCGAAGACGTCGCCTGCACCATGGACATGCTCAAGCAGATTGTATCGGAGACGTGCTAGATAGGCGGTGGGAGATCGTATGTAGTCTGACGGGCGAGAATACCATATCAAACGGCTTCTTCAACCGCGGTATTAATCTGGTACAGGATCTGGAGGAGAATCGGATGTGTGTGCAGAAGCTGCTGCCGCCGGAGCCGTACCACTCCGGATATGTGGAGCGCGAGATCCGGATTTTGAAGGGGATTGAGCATCCGAATATCCTGAAGCTGTACGGCGCTGATCTTGGACAGCATAAGCATGATATCCCATGGACATGTACTGAGTTTTGCGAGGGCGGGACGCTGATGCAGGCGATGAAGCTGTACATCTCAATGGACGAGCACTTCCCTGAGGCGTTTCTCTGGCATCTGTTCGAGAGCTTGGCGGAGGCAGTACGGTATTGCCATAACGGGTCGCGGAAGGGTGAAGAGGGGTATATAGAGTCTTGGGATCCTGTAATCCACCGCGATATCATTCTGACTAACATTTTCTTGCATCACTCCGGAGAGACGAACACGTACGCTATTGTCAAGCTCGGAGACTTCGGCTGCGCCGTTACCCTCGGTGAAGTGCGTGCCAAGAAACTGATGAAGCAAGATCTCCCCGCTCAGGACCCTTTGTACGTCCCTCCCGAGGGTCCTGGGGCTGCGCAATGCTGTGATATCTTCCAGATCGGGCTCGTGATGATGTGCTTCTATACAAGGGTTGAGAAGCCAGATAAAAGGGCCTCGGTGTTCGAACACGACGAGTGGCGGTATGGGTACGATAACTACTCTCAGAAGCTTAGGCGTCTAATTTCCTCCTGTCTCATAGATTACGAACCAGATCAGCCTAGCGCGGAGGTGCTGTTGGAGAGCATCCGTACGACCAAGGCGAGCATGGAGCAAGACGGCGTGTTTCCACTGTTTGAGAAGCTTCTTTCGGATCTAGAGTAGGTATGAATATCTGAGCTGTGTGGCGTCTGAGTGGTTGTTATCGGGGCTGGGAGAGATTTGCGTTTCGTTGTTGTGGGATCAAATCGCTCTGCGAGGATTTGGTGCAAGAGCAAGAGTTCGTTTCGGAAGACATAGCTATGCAAAGCCTACAGTGTCCAAATCGGCATTGAGTAGCAGACAAATAAACACAGTTTAGACTCAAATGCGCGTGGTGCAGAGCACCATGGGCACAAAGAGAACCGTACGAGTTTGACTCGACGGACGAAGCAAGTAATGACCTCATACGGAGGAATGACTGAGATGGAAAATCGAAAGCACAGTGTGGTGAGGCAAGCGGTAGGATGAGGCTGGGAGCGTCGAGAAGTGGAGTTGAGGTTCCAAGGTTGTCGGCGTTGTGCACGGACCAGCCAGAGCACGAATCCATCTTAGTGGCGTTTCCGCCGGCTAGCTCTCAGCTCCGCATCTGCAACCTTCCTCCACACATACGCCCTCTCTCGCACCACTTCATCCACAGCCAGCCAGCCCAAGGGTGACGTCTCATCCTATAACTGCCATGCCCGCTCAGCCCTTTGGCTCCTGCTCGTTTGATGTAGCGAGGGCGTCATCACCTGTCCCTTAAGCTGCCACTTCCCGCTCCTTGGCGCGAGAGCTGAGTGTTGACCGCTCAGACGCGGCATGCTTCTTTTGCGGATAGTGATGATAGCTATGAGGGCCCTCCGCGTCCTTGTGTAATTTTCTTGACTTCGACGAGCGGGCATCGGCGATGGCGGCGCGCATATATGCACTCGGCCTGTTCTGAAGCAAAAACGCGGCACTACCGGGCAGTTCACACGCGGTTCACGTTCAGTCTGGAGTGTCTCAATGCAGCTCTGGAGAAACGCAGCTGCATATTGTCCCAAGAAATCAGGTAGGTCTGGACTCAAACTGTTTGCCTGATGGTTCGAGCCTAGGACACTAGCCGCCCAATCCTAGACGCGTGAACGCTCATGCATCCATTGCTTTCGCGCCTGCATTTCAGCCCTATGGTGTCCTCATTCGAATGAGTATAATCGGCACTTACCGTTCGAATCCAATTCGAGGAGCTTACAAAGCCACCCCTCTGACATTGGTCCTTGGTCTTCTTCTCCGCAGTCTACCGGCCCCCAAAACTTGCCATGGCTTTCGTGAGTTCCACTGACCACGGTTCCACTGACCACGTTGAGATGCATCTTCGTCCAGCCCTCACAAATTCAGCTCCACGATTGTGCGGCATCTTCCAGCCAAGATGTGCCACCATGCTGGCGATCTTCACGGAAAGAGGGCGTGCCCGCATTCGGGAAATGGCCATTATTGTTCAGCCAGGCAGGTCAGCTTCTCTGCCAGCCAAAAAAAAACTAATTCCATTAGTCTATATCCCTCATATTTATATATTCCTTCGTCGAACCTCTCCTCCGTTTTTACTTTGCTCTCATCAAGCTTGAACATTTGACAATTCAAGTCTTACGCCACATTTGAACATCCGAAGTATTCTGTCATATCCTTTTCTCCCCACACGCCGTTCATCATGGTTTGCGCGCATCCAGATCTTGTCGCCCAGGTGAAGGCCGAGGGTTTCAATGCTCAGGGCACTGGCAATGTCGCCTCCGCTAAGGAGATTGCCCAGGCCCTTGCAAACGCACGGCGCACTCCTGGAATAGGCGACGGGCTCATCTTCCCAAAGTCTCATTATCCGAAGCCCACATCCATCATGGCCATGAGCAGAGCCGCGCTGGAGAGGGCGCCATTAAGGGGCAATATTCGGTGAGCTGGTGATATGAGCTGCGAATCATGACTCTAACGCCTTCGCAGGGCCATTGTCGTCCTAGCTCAGTTCCAGGACGTGAAGATGGCTGCGGGAGCTAAGGAACGCATGCAAGATCTGTTCTTCTCGAATGGGAAGCTCGCCACCGGTTCAGTCACTGAGTACTACTCAGAAGTCTCGAATAAGAAGGTCTCATTCTCTGGGGAAGTCGTGGGACCGTTTACGCTGAGCAAGAAGATGGCGCAGTACGCTAATAATGGTAAGAGCGGAACGCTGGTTCCTAAGGAAACTCCTGAGTTCTGACCCATCTAGACTTCGGCTTCGGCGACGTCATGCCGAACTCCCGAACAATGGCAGACGAGGCCTTCGAAGCGGCCAAATCCAGCGTCAACTGGGGACCATATGACAACGATGGCAATGGTTATGCAAGTTCGACCTCGGCCGGGCCATATAGCGCTTAAACTGACCATAACATAGGTGGATGCGTTCATTGTGGTTCATGCCGGTGCACCTGCCGAACGGACTGGAGTCAGGAGTGATATCTGGTCTGTCAAATGGGTCCTTCCCAGTGAGAAAAAAGCGAACGGTAAGACTTTGAACATTTGTTAGCAGTACGTACAAACTGATCTTGATAGGTGTGAATATCTACGCCTTCCTCACAGTCTCGGAATTCGCCAGATGCGGCACCCCCGCCCATGAGATCGGCCACTTAGGTACGGTAACGTAGATTCTCTCATCTGGCTTGCTTTACTGAAAAGTCGCAGTCTTTGGTTGGCCTGATCTCTACGATACCGATAGCGTTGATAGCTGGAGTCCCCCAAGACCCGATTTGACTAGCGAAGGAATTGGAAACTGGTGCCTGATGGCTGCTGGGAGCTTCGGAGGCGACGAACACCGACCGGTCCATCCATCAGCTTGTGAGTTCCCCTGGTGGAACCTAGCATAACATAACTGATTATCGTCAGGGTGCAAGGCCACCCAAGGCTGGATTGGGACCATCACGGAAACTGAGAATCACCAAGTTACACTCCAAGACGTCAAGAGCGGCTTCAAGGCCCATCGCCTCTGGACTAACGGCGATGGCAGCAGCCAAGAATACTTTCTCATTGAGAACCGTCAGCTCACCGGCTTCGATGCCTCGCTTCCAGGAGCCGGACTCTTAGTCTGGCACATTGATGATGCGGTCCCAGAAAACACGGATGAAAATCACCCAAAGGTCAAGCTCATGCAGGCCGATGGTCTCAAGGACCTTGAAGACGAACGCAACCGCGGCGACGGCGGAGATCCCTTCCCCGGTATCGCAAACAAGGTCACCTTCAATGCAACGAGCAATCCTCATAGCAAAGCATACTCCGGGGCTGACTCGTTCGTTTCCGTGACGCAGATCCCTGCCTCCACTCCATCCATGACCTTCAACATCACCGTCAAACCCATCGCTCAGCCGCCGACTGGCGACTTCAACCCGCAAGTCTGGTACCGCCTCAAGAACACGTATGAACCTGCACGCTACTCCCTTGACGTCATCAACGACAACGGTACCAACAGCACCGGCCTGCTCCAAATGGCCCGTGACGGCAATTTCTCCGGCCAGCACTGGCAGATCAAGTCCAACGGAGACGGGACGTACCATCTGCGCACGCTGTTCCTCGGTGCTAAACGCCAGCTCGATGTCTACGGCAACGACAAGTACACGCCCGTGCTTCAGAAAGCTGGGTTCTTTTCGGGCCAGTTCTGGATGATCAAGCCATGGGGTGATGGGACGTGGCACCTGGAGAATGCGTATTCAGGACCGAACCTGTATCTGGACACTATAGAGGGTGGACCCAAAGTGAAGATGAATAGTGCGAACATCGGACGGCCTACGCAGAGGTGGTCGATTACCCGTATTCGGGATATTACCGAGCCTGGTTTCTGAAGGGAAGGGTGATGGCAAGCGTCACCGTCGCGTGCGCTGCGGTGCGCTTGTGGGCTCTGGAGGGCGTGGCGATCTGGCTTTGTGCAAGACTGTCTTTATTGCGGAATGTCACTCCATTTAGACTCCGTATTTATCGCACTTGAAGGCTATCGAAGCAGTGTAGTCCGAATGTGCCAGTGGTAGCCGAGCTGGAGCGGTCTGTTAACCGGCCCACGTTGAAACTTTGATACGAGAGTCAAGCCTCTTCTTGCTCGCAAGTGACGTGTGCCATGGTTTGGGCCTGAAGGAGGGAGCAGCTCTGTACGGCGGATGGGGCAGTGTTGGAATACGATGGGCGGAATCGGCGCGGGCCCGTAACGGCATGCCGATTTCGGAAGCTGGCCTTTAAGGGTAGGCATCGCAGTACGATTTGCCATGATGGTGAGATACTGGTGGCACATACCCCCCCCGGGCGCATTCCCGCAGTCAGAAATGATACTCCCGCTTCAAATTCTGCTTTCCAGCCTCGAAGCCAAGCCTACCCTGAAAGCCCTCGGCTTATAATGCATCAACACTGTCCAGTGTGCTGAAGCTCTTCGGACAGAGCTTTACAAGGCTCTAATCACTCGGGCACTATTGCATCGAGGAAGGGGTATTTCGCAAGGTCTACTGTGTCCCGTTGTGGATTGCCACTCAAGCATGGCATCGAGCTTGGCCAAACCTATGCACCCCAAAGGGAACGTTGTGTTCGTATTTGCGGTCCGTACTCATCTACACCAATGACGGGAGTGATACTTATCGTTCTAAATGCTGCATAGATGGAATCGTGCCTCCACTAAGGTTGCCCCAAACGGCGGATGTGACTCGGCTGTGCGGGACGAGATAATGAAAACTGAGTACGGCTGCGGCAGTAGGCTTGTCTTGAGGACAACGGGCTGTAACGTCTCCTACTCCATGTTGACACGCGTCAAGAAGGTTTCCTTGGTGCAGTGGCTCGTATAAGGATCCTTCGAGGAGCGGCTTGTCGAAGGAGGACCAAACGGGTAATCTCAGTAACGGGATGTACAAGGAATTGCCGACCTTGCAGCTGTAAATAGCGAATCGGAAGGAGATCACAGGCGATCTATCGGCTTAGATGTCGCTGCCTGGAGGCTTGGTGTTCAGTTCTGCTCCACGATGCACGGCAGGGCCAATTTAGGCGGCGGCCTGTGCACCAACGCTAAGCCGCATATGAACAGGTGCCCAACATGCATAGCCCCTTTCCCCCTGCGCAGCCTCATCCTTCCGCTCCACCTCCAATAATCACCCGCAACGGCGCGTACCCATCGCAATGCGACTGCTTCTGATTTGCGGACCGGAGTACAAGCTCGCGTGTCACCATTCGCTGTGTCTTGCGGATGCCATGAAACACGCTGCCTCCCCACAGCCTTCGAACTCTGTTCCTCATGCTTCGCCTTGGGTACATCCTCGCTTTCACTCTAGGCGTTCTTTAGGATCGCCGCCATGTGGGTTGTGTTCACTGCTCGGCTCTAGGGTCTCAATCCAGAGCGTAAATTGGCGCGCTTTCGCTCGCGTCTTCACCCGTTGACTGCTCGCTCCGACCACTCGAATTTTTTTCCCGCTCCACATCGATTGGGCATCATGATGAATCTGCTGCTCAGACAGGTTTGGGCGTTGATACGCAAGAATCTTCTCATCATCTGCGTTAGAAGGCCCATATGGACATTCATTCGCGCATTCATTATCCCTCTCGCTATCGTGCTCGTTGTAGCCTACAGCAAGGAATTCTTCGCCTCAGCCCAGACTTGGGGGGTCTCGTCTCCGCATACTGTAAGTATTTTCATTGCTCTGCGAAGGCTCTACTAACTCTCCTCAGATCCGGTCATTAAAGGACGGGCTAGCGGCGAGTAACGGGCGTGACATTGTGGGCTTCGTCGACAATGGCATGAAGGGCGGAGATGTCTCTTCGCTCATTGACTCGCTCTCGCGAACTATCAGCGAGGCTGGCAGGACCCCAAAGCTCTACGACGATACCTGGGCGCTCGCACAAGACTGCGCAAGTGACACGAAGGGCGTTTCGAAGTGTTATGGAGCGGTCGTGTTTTATGGGAGTCCAACACAAGGCACCAACATCAGTGAAAAGGGAACCTGGAACTACACCGTCCGAGGGGAGAGCTCTAGCTATGGGGGCTTTGCCAATGTCAGGAGCGACAATTACGGCCCGGAACTCTATCTTATGCCGCTCCAGCGTGCCGTGGACATCGAGATCATTTCGCGCTCCATGTCGGATGGAACTTCTGCGCTTCCTCCAACGATGAAGACAGTTGTCTATACGAACGAAGAGCAATCCATCCTGGATGACTCTAGGACCAGCAATTACTTGGCGCTTTGTATCTACGCTTTCGGCGCAATCTTCACGTTCACGCTTGTTGAAATCGTGTATCACTTGACGTCCTTCGTCGCTTCCGAACGCCAACTAGGAATGTCTGGCCTCATCGATGCCATGATACCGGGCGGTTCGAACATCCGAGGAAGATTGGCGCGACAGATCTCCACCTACATCTCCTTCGCATTGATCTACCTCCCCAGCTGGATCGCTGTCGGCGTCGTTATTAGCGTTCTCGTCTTCCCCAATACATCCAAGGGCATCCCGGCCGGCTATACGGTCTTTGCTGGCCTCGCTTTCACTGGCCTCTCTCTCTGCGGCGCTTCATTCTTCAAGAAGTCCCAGCTCAGTGGATCCATCATGGTCGTCATTGCGCTGGTGTTCGCTATCCTACCACAGACCCTTTACGAGCAAACCCAGGTTGCATGTGCCATCTTGAGCTTCTTATTTCCGTCGGCCAACTTCACCTACTTCATCACGGGCGTGGCACGGTTCGAGGCTGGCAATGTCAAAGTGGAGATGTGGAAGCACGCTCCCGAATCCGAGGAATGGCGCATCAAACTCGGCATCCACTGGATATTCCTCGCTATTCAGATTGTGGTATACCCTGTCCTGGCTTTCTTCGTGGAGCAACTGCTGTTCTCTACCGCATCTTCAAATAGGACGTTCTCGAAGCCAGTGCATCCGCAAGATTCGACTGTAATGTTGTCCTCATTTTGTAAAACGTAAGTTTGACTATCGATACGACACGTGGCACCAGTTCACTAATTTATGCGCAGCTATAAGGCGGGCATCTTTGGCCGTCTGTTCAAACGCCGCAAAGATGTCAAAGCAGTAGTCGACATGAATCTCAAGGCGTATCGGGGACAAATCCTTTGCCTCCTCGGACCAAATGGTAGCGGCAAGAGTACAACGATGAATTGCATCTCTGGACAACACAAGGTCACATCTGGCAGCATTGCCATCGATCCGAGCGGCGGCCTTGGCTACGCGCCGCAGCACAACGTGATATGGTATGCTCGTAGTTCATACTCCCGAAAATTTTAGTAATCGTCTCTAGGCCTGATCTTACCGTCGATGAGCATATTCGCATCTTCAGCGACCTCAAATGCATATCAGCAGTCAACGAAGAGATCGTCGCCGAGCTAGTCCGTTCCTGCGATCTTTCCAAGAAGCTCCCTTGCAAGGCGAAAACGCTCTCGGGAGGCCAGAAGCGCAAATTGCAGCTAGCTATGATGTTTGCTGGTGGCTCCGCCGTATGCTGCGTAGACGAGGTGTCTACAGGTTTGGATCCCATTTCTCGACGAAGGATCTGGGAGATTCTCTTGGCTGAGCGCCAGCGACGGACGATCATCATGACAACGCACTTCCTGGATGAAGCTGATTATTTGGCCGACAATATCGCGATCATGTACAAAGGCTCGCTCCGAGCCGAAGGAACATCGGCCACCCTGAAGAACAGATTCGGAAACGGCTATACGATCAAGCTCCCCAACCACATGGACCTTGACATACCTTTGTCCGGCCCGGTTGAGAAGGAAGCATCGCGACATCAGATGGTCTATCGAGTTGGAAATGCTGCGCTGGCGGCCGAGCTCATTGAATATCTCGAGGCGAAAGACATCCATGACTACCAGATCTCCGGCCCAACCATGGAGGAACTCTTCCTGAAAGCAACAGGCGACACCATCGCTTCGGCAGAAAGCACTTCATCGAGCAAGCCTGAGGAAGAGGACAAAAGCGGAACGGCCGTGGTAGTGAACGTAAACGACACTTACGAACTCGTTGATGGTCGGCCAATTTCCGTCTTCAAGCAGTGGTACATCCTCCTGGGCAAGCGATTCCGGATTCTACGCCGCAGGTGGATACCTTATTTCGTTGCGGTGGCTTTCGCCCTTGTGGGCGCTGGAATAGCGCCACTGTTGATCAAGAGCTTTAGCAAGCCAATGAAGTGCCCGGTCCAACAGGACCTCATCTACGATTACACCTACCGTTCGGACTTTGCCTCGAACTATCAACCGCGGTATCTTTTCGGTCCTCCGGACAAGCTCAACAACGCCAGAATAGCCCAGATGGCAAATGTCTATTCGTTGAACCACACTGCCTATCCTGACATGTACGGCTACCACAACGGCACGGAACTCAGGGACCAGCTCGTCCTCGTCAATTCCTTCGAAGAACTCATCCAGAAAGTTGAGGATACCCAACACAACTTCTACGACAACTATGGATCATATTACGACAGGCGCGTAGATGGAGGACTTTGGATGACGGATGATTCCCCGACTGTGGTTGCCAACGTCCAGCAGGCCAACGCCGTGTCGGAAATGTTGAATTTCTTCGACAACCTTCTCAGTGGGGTGCCGATATCTTCCAGCTACCAGGAATTTGCACAGACCCAGATCCCCGAGGTGTTCGATTACAAGCCACTGCTGTTCATGATTTACTATGGGCTTATCTTGGCCGTGTAAGTGATTATGCCATAAGAAGATCTGACCACAATGTGCTGATGAGACGATAAAGGTACCCAGCATTTTTCGCGCTATACCCGACCAACGAGCGTATATCAAACGTCCGAAGCATGCAGTACTCGAATGGCATTCGCCCGGTACCGCTATGGCTTTCGCACTTGGCTTTTGATGGCATCTTCATTCTCGTCATCAGCGTCGTTGCCACAGCTCTGCTCTCCGCTTCCACCCCCGTCTGGTTTGGGCTAGGCTACATCTTCCTTATCCTCTTCTTGTACGGTATCACTTCTGCACTTTTAACTTACGTGATCTCCATATTTGCGAAGTCAGCGGTGACGGCTTGGTTCAGTAAGTTCTCGCAATGCTATGGAGCGTCTGGAACTAACAAATGTAGTGATCGCGCTGGGTCAAGTGGTCTTCTATTTTGGTTACTTCGGCGGCTTAATCGGCGTTCAGTCCGCAAACGCGTATCAAGACCTGGAGCACAACCTCAATGCCCTCTACTTCGGCATGGGTATATTCTCGCCAGTCGTGAGTTTAGAACGAGCCTTCGCGATCGGTCTCGGCCAGCTCGCGCTTCTCTGCAACGGACACAGTGCCGGCTCCATCTACCTCTACGGCGGCCCCATCCTCTATCTCATCTTACAGGGTATCTTCCTCTTCGTTCTGCTCCTCTGGTGGGACAGCTCCTTCATGATACCCTCACTCCGCTCGCACAAGCCTTCGCGCGATCCCGAGTCCGAGGATGTGTATTCCAGCGACCTGCTCGCCGAGCTCAAGCGTCTCACATCCGCCAACACCGATCTCCGCGTCGAATCAGTCTCCAAATCCTTCGGCAAGAACCTCGCCGTCGACAACGTAACCTTTGGCGTGCAATCCTCCGAGATCTTCGCCCTACTGGGTCCCAACGGCGCTGGCAAGTCCACCATCATCTCTATGATCCGCGGCGATATCAAGCCCTCCACTTCCGTCTCCGCAATCGACATAGCCGGCCACTCCATCCTCAGCTCCCCAGTCGCCGCGCGCGCAAACCTAGGCGTATGTCCGCAATTCGACTCCGCCGACGTCCTCACCGTCTCCGAAACGCTGCGCTTCTTCGCGAAAACCCGCGGCGTCTCAAACATCGCGCACAACGTCTCCACCGTAATATCCGCTTGCGGCCTCGAGCCCTGGGCCCACCAGCTCGCGCAGAAGCTGTCCGGCGGCACAAAGCGCAAGCTCTCGCTCGCGGTCGCGCTCGTCGGCAACCCGCGCGTCCTCGTCCTCGACGAACCGAGCTCAGCGCTCGACGCGGCCGCGAAGCGGAACATGTGGCGCTGCCTGCAGAGCATCAGCAAGTCGCGCGCCGTCGTGCTCACCACGCACTCGATGGAAGAAGCCGACGCGCTCGCGGACCGCATCGGCATCGTGAGCTCGCGCATGCTGGCCGTCGGCGAGCGCGAGGAGCTCAAGAAGCGCGCCGGCGACGCATTCCACATCCACCTCGTCTCCTCTTCCGCGCCGAACACCACGCCGCAGGAACTGCAGGCCATGAAGGACTGGATCGGCGCGGAGTTCCCGGAGGCGAAGGTCAGTCGCGAGACGCAGGGCGGGCAGATTCGATTCGAGGTGCCGGCGGAGGGGAGCAGTCTTGGGCGATTGATCAGGCTGCTGGAGGCGGTGAAGGGGGATTTGGGGGTGGAGTTTTATAGTGTGGGGAGGGCGACGTTGGATGAGGTGTTTGAGAATATTGTGAGGCGGTATGGGGAGTATGCTGAGAAGTAGAGCATGGTGGTGCTGGAAAGAAATATTCATGGATACCTGTAGTATCATTTGATACGCTAATAGAATGAAAAGCCTTGGCTTAAAGGATGTTAACACTGAAAGATCATACACAATCGCTATCCCCTCTGGAACTAATTTATTATCATTTTTGGCAATCGGTGTTGGTAGAACACAGATTCAAATATCTTTGCCCGCTCACGATCGGTCCATCCAAATCACTTATACGCACAGAACACCCCCATCATGTCCGCTACCTGCTGCAACCCTTGAATAAGGCCGCCTGTACAACGGGATTCCGTTCCCTCGCTTCTCCGTGTCGTCGTCATGGCCCTTTTCGCCAACAGCTCGATGTCGTCAAGGCTCTAGCGTGAAGCGAAAAGTGTATTTATGTCTGGACAGAGTGGGCCCGATAAGGGATCGAGGTATTAAAATACGGCAGCTTTCGCGAGGCGCGTCAAATGCGACCACTGTTGGCGGCGTAGAAGCGCAGGGCTATCACCTCGCCCGCCTAGCGACTCTATGTCTTAATGTCCTGTCCATCTTCCCTCTTGCCCGGATATTTGAGGAGATCTCTCTTCAAGTTACTGATCTGGAGCTGAAGATTGGCTATCGTATGATTGGCTTGAGCTCTCGTTGAAAACGCCTCTATATCATACAAACGGAGCTCCAGTTCGGCAAGTTCATACTGTTTCCTCGTTCTTTCATACTTCATGGTCCCCCGCGTTCCATTTGGGGTATTCTCTAGTTCTATTTGTAACCTCGCGGCGTTGCTCATTAAATCTTCCCGGGCCGGATCGCTCAAGAACGAGAACATGGCTGCCTTTGCGGTCCCGTCGGGGACTTCGCCGCTGCGCAGTCCAGACTCCGTTTCGGGTGCTTGCTCGGTCTTCATCTGCTGCTGGCGATCCCTTAGTATGTTATGTGTATCGCTTTGAGCATCTTTGACGGCTAGAGCTCCCCGCTGGACGTCTCGTGACGGGTCATTTGTAGAGGAGAACCCAGTACTGTCTGTGTGGGAGGGGCGGCCCAAGCGATCAACCAGGGAGTCTTTATCATCTCCTATGTTACCAGACAATGGCCGCCGCCACGCCGGCTCGGTGTCGCGGTACATGCCTGCCGGATCCGTATAGGAAAAGGTGAGTTCGTCCCCCGAGACGCTTTCAGCATCAACCGCGGCCTCCTTGCCCTTCGAGGAAGCCACTTCCTGATCTCTCTTTCCAGCCTCTAAAACATTATCAGCGCTGCGCATAGATGCAGGAAATTGCGTCTACTCACCTCTGCCCTCACGGATCTCTTTTGTGCGATCAGCAAGCTTTTGGATTTCCTCACGCCTTAATACCCTCAACACAATGACGCAGTCTAGACGCTCTTCAAAACGCTCCTTGGCCTCTTCTAGAGCCTCTGGGTTGACGAGTCTGCGATCTATCTTCGTCCATCGGGCTTCTGGTGGGATGCTATCGTCGTCTTTTGACGCATCATTAAGCGGGGCAACGCCCTCCCGAATAGGGAAAGGATCCTCAGGAAATTCTTCGGTCGGCTTGCGAAGAATACTCTTAGGTGGACCGGAGGGTGAAGCGGTAGCGGAAGGGGAAGGGGGAGTTGGAGGGCGGTAAGGATCATGACCCTCCCGAATAGGTTCAGGATCCTCAGGAAACCTTTCGGCCGGCCTGCGAAGAATACCCTTAGGCTGAGACTGGATATTTTTGTACTTATCGCTTTCTTCGATTAGCGAATATATCGACGAACGGGTCGTGTGGTTTGTCTCTGCACCAGCGTCAGATGTAGGCGCGCGATTTGCATCTGCGAAACTCTCGTCAACAGCGCTTGTTCTCACTCCGAATGCGACATCGACATCTTGCCCAATCTTTCTTTCATTAGGGCCAGGCGCTGCCTCTGGTTCATCCCATGCGAACGCAGCCTGCTTGGCTTTCTTCTTTTCCTTCTTGCTGAGCTTGCGAGACAAAGCTGGCGTCTCTTCAACTTCCATGTTGTCGCTCTCATATTCCACGACTTCCTCGTCCGGCGTTGAATGAGTGCTCGAGTCTTGAGATGCGCCTTTACTTTTTCCATCTCTTTCATTTTGCCAACGCTGGGAGTCCGTCTTCAGGTCCTGAATCATCTGTGCCGTCAATGTTCGATATGCAGTTATCCAATAACCTGCTCGGCCCTCGTATTCGTCAGTGCCAAAGCCGGGCCTAACGAGCGCATCGGGGCCTAAATAGCGCTGAATGTCGGCATCAATAACCTCTTCGTCGATACCATCGCCAGGCACAAACCACTGGTTCGTTGGTACGCTGCCTATGGCGGAACGGCTGGTGTTGATGTCCTGGGGATCCGTCCTAGATACCGATGCGTCTTCATCGTCGCTTGCATCGGAGAAGTCTCCATCGGTCGGATTGTTTACATCGGCTAAGTCTTCGGCATCAACTGTATCGCTTACGTCAGATAGCTCTTCATCTTGCCACTCGTTCATATCCACAGATTGATGCTCGTCGTCCTGTGGCTCATCCTCAGTAGCTTCCAGATTTGGTGGAAGAGCAAATAGTGCGAACTGTTCTTGATGTCGGGCAGCGTGTCTTTGCAACAATCTGAGGGTCATTCGCTGGTCGCAGAGCGGGCAATGAGCCTCATCTGACAGGCTAGGCTTCTTTGCGGATGTCCGTTTCAGAGCTGATAACATGCGCGGATGGCCCAGATCTGGATGGGAGGTCCGTATGTGGTTCTCAAACTTTTCCTCTGTTGAAAAGGTCTCTCCGCAGCCTTCAATACATTGCCAAGAGGTTCTGTGAGCCTCCAGCTCATGGGTGAACCAGGCATGGCGGGAATCGTAGAGATGATCCGCAGTGATACAATTCTCGAAGGTGCAGCAGTAACAATGGAGATCTCGGTAGACGTGTTGCCTAGTTTAGTCAGTCATGAAATCATATCGCGATGTAGACGTAATACATACTTCCAGCCTGCTACGGTGTGGATGGACACTATCATGAAGCAGATGGGACACTCAAAGTGCTCTTGCTCATGAGCCACTTTCGGTAGTGGCGGCACTCGAATCGCGGCATTAACTGACGTGGCATACGACGTTTGAGAAAGGGCATCATCGCCGTCAAGGACGTCGAAGCTATTCGCTCGTGCCGTTGGCATTGAAGTTGCCTCCGTGCTGTTGCTCGTGTGCTCAGTCTTCGGTGCCTCAAGGCCGACTAGATCCACATCTTTAGCAAGCTTCTGGTGGTGTTCTTCGCGATAGCTGAGGTACTGCCGCCGCCCAGAGCTCGCACATCCAAGCCTCTCGACCAAGTAGTCGGCGCAGCTAGGAAACTTTGCCTTTGCATGCTGCATATCGTATTCTTTGAAGTAGGACTTGTCAACTGTAATGATGCTGCGAGACTGGTCATTTGGGGCAGGGTTCCGAATGGACATGGACAACCTGAAGAGGCACGTGATAGCGGTTTTGATGCTTCCTAGAAGCTGCTTGAGTTCGGTGTCGCCCTCGGTGTGATCCGAGAGCTCGGCATCAGAACCCGAATCGCTGTCAGAGTCTGATAGTTCGTCCCAGGGCACCCTGTTCCCCTCCACGATGGCTAAAGCTTGGTGTGAATTAGCCTAGCTGACTACTCCTCTACGTGGAGCAAATGTCATACAAGTCTGGATGGAGTCCTGCAAGGCTGCTAGCAGCTTGTTGAGCTCCTCCTTCAGATGGGCTGCGTCGCGGAGCCGGTATTCGAGCGAACGCCGCCCCTTCCGGTGGGCGGCCATGTTGCCAGCCCATATCTTGAAACGGTCGAACTCATCTGCGATATGTTGCGGGCGGACCTGGGCCGCAAAGCGCGCAGAGTCCCGAAGCGCTCGTTCGAGGCTGATGAAGGCAGCGCCGGCCTCATTTACACGAGAAAAGATAGGAAGCGCGGAGGCCATCGAGTCGGCGGCCTCTAGCGGCCATATGGGAAGCGTGTCGCGTTGGCAGAAGGGATTTGAGGGTGCGAAGGGTCGTAGTGTTGCCTTGTGCCTGGTGGTTGATCTGGTGGTTGGGTGGGCGCGACACAGTACCCCGCCTGCCCGCCTGACCCCGGACGCGCCTGCCACTTTAGCTGCTCAGCCGCATCACCACCGCACCCAGTCCTCCTCCTCGTGAGCTCTCACGCCTTGAACATCCTCTCAAGTCCTGTCAGGAGGTCCCACCTTTTGCCCGCCATACAGGTCTAGCCTAGCCACCTTGTCAGACCTGACTTGCCTCCGCTTCGGCCCTCGTCGGCGTCAGCCTCCACTATCAGCATGGCGACCGGCGTCGAGGCCGCAGGCCTCGTCCTAGGCTCTATTCCTCTGATTCTCGCAGGACTAGAGTTCTACGGGAAAGGTATCGCTGTGACCAGACGCTATCTTCGGTATCGAGAGGGCCTCAAGAGCGTCGCCACCGAGCTTAGCGCTGAACACGCCAAGTACAAGAACACCATCAACCTACTCCTGATAGGTGTCGTGAAGCCACAGGAGCTGGCTGAGTTTCTGGCGGATCCATGCGGTGCTCGTTGGAAGGAAGAGAAGTTTGAGCGGAACTTGAAGCGCCGGCTCGGCACTAGTTACGACTCCTACATGGGAACTATCTGTGAGTTGAGGAGAACGGCGGAGGCGTTCAAGCAGAAGCTGAAATTGGACTCTTCGGGGAAGGTGCGCATCGAAGCCAGCAGCATCACTCAACCGTTATCTAACGTCCGTCTCGCAGCCCCAATTTACCGACGAGCAGACGTTCAAGAAGTACTATAAACGACTGGAGTTTAGCCTCCGAAAGAGTGACTACGACGACTTGATGGCTTCGCTGCGTCGCGCGAACTCCTCGCTCGATCAATTGACCACCCAATGCCGCTCGCTCGAGACGCTGCAGGCCTCATCTAAGCCAGACCACCAGTCGGTTCCAAATTTTAAAGTGATCAACGACCGTGCCCAGGGCTTCCACTCAGCTCTGGCTACTAGCTGGAACTGCCCCTGTCACGCGAACCACAGCGTTAGCCTTCGCCTTGAGCCTCGCATGGAGGATGTCCAGAGCAAGGACGACGCCGATGAGGGTGAGGAGTCAATGCGAGATCCTTTCCACGTGGTTTTCCGCTACAGCCACGATATCCTCGCGAAGTCTGGCGGTTCCGCTGCGACCAGGAACCCCTGGGCGTGGGAGGAGGCTGATGTACGGATCACTATCGAGCGCAAAAGCCAGATAGCGACCGCATCAGCTACGGGCAGTGTCGGCTGCGGAAAGACAGTGCGCTTTGAAAGCCACGCAAAGAGCGCCGTTAAAGCAGCTCTAGACGTCACTCCAAACTTGCAGCCAATCCAGGACCTCTGTGCTGCGATTGGCACCTTGCAGAAACCACAACGGGATGTATGCCTATCTCTTTTGGCGAACGAGTATGCCAAGCAGAAATATGGCATACTCATTTATCCATCGAAAGAGCCGCCCGCGGATACCGATGCGTGGTCGATATCTTCGCTTCGAAGCGTGTTAGAAGATTCAGGTTTTGCTCGTCGCCATCGTCTTAAGTTAGCTGTAACCCTCTCCTCTAGCGTGCTACAGCTGCATGAGACGCCGTGGCTTGATGAGAATTGGGGAAAAGACGATATACTTTTCATCAAACGTTCGGGAAAGACCGCGTATGACCATCCGTTCGTCTCTCAGGGTTTCGATCATGGCCAGCGCTCGTCCCATACCGCCCCTACATCGATGCGCAGCATAATTCGAAATCAGACCCTCTACGCGTTAGGTGTCTGTCTTATCGAGCTTTGGTACGGCAAGCCTATGTCTGGCCTCCATATGCCGGGGGATGGCCCGTCAGACGATCCGATGACAGAGTGGAGAATGGCTGATCGGCTCGTCGAAGAACTCTACGACGAGGCTGGAGATTGGTATGGCGATGCGGTTCGGCGCTGCATTCGTTGTAATTTCGACCGACGTGGCAGTAGCTTGGACGACGTGGGTTTTCAGAAAGATGTCTACCAAGGGGTCGTAACTCAGCTCAAGGAAAACGTCGATTCCATGTTCAAACCCATAGGGGAATGAATCCCTTCAGGATACAGCGACCTAATTCGCTGTTTCTAGCCCAGGGTGCCAAGTGTTTCGACTCTGTATCGTACAAAAGTCAACCATGCTTTCCTATCAGCAGCCAGATGCATTGAGGCAGCCGGCATAAGGCGTCCCGCGCGGCTCACGCCGTTTCACGCGACCGTCGCGACGCGCATTGCCGCTCTGACGAAAAGGCCTGCGAATTCTCGCCTGAGGAAACTTTACCCCCACGGGGGCAGCCTTTATATATATATATATACAGCTTTCGAGCATCGCAGTGTGGACGCTCGTGTGGAATCCTTCATGGATTCGGCCGGATCCGATCGTGTGCCGTGTTCCCGGGTTGGCACGCGATAAGGCTTCGAGGATGGTTCGATTGGAGCGGGCCGGGCTGAACCCCTTTACCCTGCTGCCCTCATCGAGAGATTATCATTCATGGATCGCTCGTAAAGTCTCAGAGGCATGCAAGCCTCTCATGGAGCTGCCTTGTAAGGTGGTTGCCAACCTGAGGCTGCGGGACAGTGCGCGAGCGACAACGGTCCCTGCCCAATCAATCAGCACCGTGAAGAAACTCATGATAGGATTTAGGCACGGCCCGGCAAACTCGCGAATGACCTTCCCGCAGTGGGGTTGTCCAACCTATCACGTGAGATGATCGGCATCCACAACTACGACAGCCTTATCTGCGTCCAGTGAGGCGGAGTTGACGACATGCACGAGGACAGGGATGGCAAGTCGCAGCGACTGATGAAACCTGAATTCCAACCCGCGACCCATCTGCAAGCCATTTTTAAGACGCATTAAAGATGCGCTTAAACCAGACTTTCTTGGGAGCCTGGGTATGCCTAGGTGGAGTGGTTTCCACGCAGGGCTTATCAGACAACGGGCTAAGCCCGCATCACCCGTCCATTACCCTGCCTGACCCGTTCCTTGGCCCGCTCATACGGGAAGGACCTGCGTCGCGTACCGTGGAGACGGATTCAGGAGTGGCTTGTTGGCGCTGCGGCGTAGCGATAAGAAGGAAGAAGCAGAGCCGACGTGGGATGGGAGGATCGCACATATTTACGATCTCAAGCACGCTGTCGGACGCTTTTTCTTGGTCCAAATGCGATAATACCGACTTCTGAAGATGGAGACAAGGCAGCCCGACATGATCGCCGCCGGCGCGATCACCTACTCGGCCGCACTGATCGCGTTTCTCCTGAGGCTCCTAGCGCGACGAATCAAGGGAGTTCCATGGAACTGGGGCGACTACGTTGCTTTGGTTGCATTTGTGAGTGGATCATGCTTCGGTACATTCCATGGTTAGGCCTCGTGCCGTACTGACATCCGACAGTTGTTTACGACCGCCTTCACGATCTCGAATCTTTACAGTAAGTCTGTTCGCAGATCTTTCTATATGATGACCTTAACGCCATCAGAACTACACGTTGGACTCGGGCTACATCTTACGGATATGGGGCTCAAATACGACAAAGCTTCGTTCGACATTGCTGCATACGATTATTTCCGCCTGCTGTGGATTGATATGTGGCTATACACGGCAGCTATCGGTCTCTCCAAGCTTACCGCTTTGGCCCTTTACGTGCGCATCTTCGGACAGTCGAGCATCAGAATACCTATTTGGGTTCTTACTGGCTGTGTACTGCTCTGGATGATGGCCCGCGTGAGTACACCCGCCGTCCCGCTGCCAACCTTGTGTTGACCGAATTCCCTAGGTCATAGTGATTCCTTTAATATGCAGTCCGATTGCGAAGTTCTGGCACTCCGACATGGATGGCACTTGTCCGGTGAAGACTAACAACTTCTTCTTTGGGACGACGATTCCACATTTGCTCATGGAGGTCGCAATCGTGGTGTTGCCATGTATTAAGATTCGGCAGCTCAATTTGCCTCGGGCGCAGAAAATCGCAGTCGGGGGAATGTTCACTTCTGGAACCCTGTGAGTGGCGGCTGTACAGATGTGCTTCCGCGTTGTGGACGGGCTCTAACTCATACTAGTGTCTGTATAGCATCTCTCGTCCAGCTCATCCAAGCATTCCAGCTTGACACTTCCTCGCTGGATATATGGTGGACCTCCACGCCTCAAACCATTGCCTCTCTCATCGAGGTAAACCTCGGACACTTTTCCAGTAAGCTACATGTCAAATTTCCCCCATTTTCTTCGTAGCCTAACTCTCCTCTAGCCTCCCTCCCCAATCTCCGACCAATCCTCGACATCGTCATCGGACGCAAAACCGTATCCAGCAGCCGGCCGACCCCATACTACGCCCACACCACACAAAAGTCCGGGCGGTCGAAGAGGCCGGGTGTCTTTTCCCATCCGTCTCGCGGCAGAGTAAGTAACGATTCCGAGCTCGAGCTGGCACAGTACGAGGGCCTGGTGCTGGGAAGAGAAGCCAAGACGATGCCGGGAGAAATCTGGAAGAGCACTACGACCGATGTCTCCTCGTCCAAACGCGATTCTACTTGAATGATTACGGCTTTCATTGGAACGATCTTCTTTACGAACGCTTCGGAGGGAATTGTTGTACGATACGGCGCGATTACGACATCTGTTTGTGCGACAATCATGTATGGTCGCAATGCACAGTCTCCCCAATGGAGTTCTAAGGCCGAGCTCGCAGCGACAGTGCACCACGTGTGTGGGTGGAACGTTATTGCGACTGGCGTTCGCGAGGCTGACTGCTAATTTGGGCTTCATGGTACCGTCTGACAGCAGCCCTGGTGTCTTTTTTTCGCACGAACTGACCGAAATAGGAAGTCCACCTCAAATGCGATTCCAGTCATAGCTCAAATTTTATTTGAAGAGGCATTCAGCCCCGATATCCTATTCAGGAACCCGCTCTAGAGAAGTCGATCATGGGATACTGCGGCTCAAGATCGCGCTGTCAGGAAACGTATCGCAGCCAAGCGATCCGTAGATCGCAACTCCCCATGATGTCCTTCCACGCATTGCGCCACCGAATTGGATGTCCTCCATTGAATCCCATGAGGCTTTCCGCAACTACCTCTAGTCAGCGCGAACATATTACTTCCTTTCTCTACCTCGGATTCTCAATGAATGTGCGAAAAAACCTTCAGCTACCCTGTTCGAAGTGGCTATGTTAGACCTAAACTCGCAAAAAGACGACCACGAAGGGCAACAGAACATTCAACTTCGCACATTGAGTGAAGTATAAGAAGGCTGTGATACCTCCTCTATTCTCTTCATAAAACAGCATCCATCCACAGCAACAACAACAGCCTACCGCCTCATCAAGCATTCACTACCCGCAACACCATCTCGATATCAACAATCACACCTTTCTTTAAGATGCTCTTCACATCCGCTATCCTCGCCGCGCTCACTGCCTCCACCACAGCTGCCAGCCTCCCAAAGCGCGATGCAACCATCACCGTCTACACCAACACCAATTACGGCGGGGACTCGACCTCGCTCACTTACGTCAACGGAAAGTGCACCGACGCGGGCCAGTACAACGACAAGGTCAGCTCGGTGAAGACGTATGGAGCTTCGTGCAAGCTGTTTGCGTGAGTAATTCTCCTTCCACATGTCGCGAATGAGCACACGGATGATGAAGGTTAGATGGAGAGAGTTAGTACTGATGGCTTTCTAGGGATTACGGATGCCAGGGTGATTCATTCGCGATTGATGGGGATACGCCTAGTTTGCAGGGAGTGTTCAATGATGAGATGAGCTCGTTTACTTGCTACTAGATGGGTGGTTGGTGGGAGGGGAAGGTATGAAGAGTGGTGAGAAGAAAGAGGAGTGGGAGATAGTTCAATGTCATTCGTTTGAAGTGCGGAGTGTGGGTGTTACCTACTTACTAAGCAGTGAAGGGTCTATCTGGAGAGCAAAAGAGTTTCGGATCAATGTACGCGCAATGTCTTCATTTCTTCGACGAAATCTTACACAGCCATCCATCGCATGTGAAACGCTCAATCTACCAGCTCCCATTGCCTCGAAGGTGCATTCGCCCTCCCGGGGCAAGATAAGCGGCTGTGGCGCGGCGCGTCCTTCCAGAACATTATCCGTCCGATATCAGGTCCTGCCTCAGAGGAAGCAATGAACACACTCTCCAGGCTGCTAAGACACGCATTTCAATGCGACGCGGAGTCAGCCATAAAGCGCCCGAAAACCATGCTACCCAAGAAGACGCCAGCAAGAATCGATAGGAAGTAGCCCACATTCATGGTCATGACGGCGATCATCCTGCAAAAAGATTAGCGTCTCTCGATCACGATCAGACACACCATGCTCACAGTAGATAGCCAGTCCCCGCAAGAAGCACATCTATGCACGCCACCAACACCGCCTCTTTAACTCTCCACGGGCGCGTCGTCAACTTCGCATCAGCCGCATATGGATATTCCAGGCTGCCAGTGCGCCTGTGCTCGACCCTGGCCACGACTTGGAAGAAGTTCACGCGCACTGCCAGCAGCGCGCGGAAGATGGCCGCAAAGGCTATCAGAAACATGCAGGTTCCGGCATACTGGCCTGTCGAGCTGGGCGTCCAGGCCGCGGAGTAGAGGGGCGTGCTGGTCGAGGTGAAGAAGGTCATGGCCATTTCGTCCATGGCCATCATCGTCGTCATGTCGGTCATGGAAGATGTTGCGCTGGCCATCGAGGCCATGGTATCTGTGGCGGACGCAGTTGTCGACATCGTCATGCCGGACATGGCCATACCGGGCATGGACATGGTGGCTATGTTGATCTGGTGCAGGGCTTGGAGGAATAGATGTAGAATGCCGGAAGCAGAGGAGTTGTGAGTGTTCTTGGTATGTAGTCGATAGAGCTCGTAGTCCCAGGAGTTTTGAGTGTTCTTAGTATGTAGTCGAGGCGACAGAGCTGGTTTCGCGGAGCGGCAGCAAGCGAAACCCAGGGTGTCGGGCTTATCCTACGCTAAGAGACATAAGCCCTAGTGTCCCGCAAGCTTATTCGTCCCAAGGCCCCTTGGCTAGCTCTTATAGGCCTGCGTCGTCATAAGCTTCTCAAATGTGCTCAAAACTCCCTGCAGGGTCCATCTCCATGACCCGGGTCCTCAGAAGAAATTCCTTTGGCGTAGTTCTCCCCACATAGCCGTATTCCCGAAATCCCCCTGTCAGCGAATGAGACTGAGCTAATTATCCTATGACAACGTTTAAGGAATGGCCGCGCCAATGCAGAATGAGAGGCAGGAAGTGTGTCAAGCTTCGTCGAGGCTTATTTTCTTACCCTTCTCCCGCCATCGTACACGTCCTGGCAACACGGCGCTTCGTCTCGACTGACCAGCAAAGCACGCGAACTATACATTGGATTCGCAATGTCTGCTGCCTGGCTCACTTACCCCCTCCAGCTGGAGGGGAGCCGCGCGTTTGAGTGCGATGAGCTCACCACCGAAGAATGCGACTACTACATGCACCGCTGGCACTTTTGGTATCTAACAATGTCCCATACGAGCGTCTGGGCACAGCTGATTCGTTTGCGACAGGTACATAGCTGATCATGTCTTCGCGCTGCCAACAGTCGCATTCTTCATGTGCGCCATTGGCATCTTCATCATCGGCCACGTTTTGTCGTCGCTTGTTTTTGGTCGTCGCCGGTTCCGAGGGCCTCCTATGCTACGGAAACCGATTGCAGCTATCCGATACTTGTCCTACCGTGGTTTCCACTTGAGGGCACTCCAATGGAATTCAGCCCCAGTTGGAGTTTTGCTGCTGGGGCTTGCTGGGACCGTGTTCTTCTTCTGTGCGCAGCGAGCAAGAGATGTGCTGTACCAGACTCCGTGCTGATTTTTTTCGCAGGTATGGACTTGATTCCACAGCCCTATTACTGGTCGGATGAAATGTATGGCGGTTCGCCACCACTGGCCACCAGATCGGGATGGATGTCTTTGGCATGCATGCCATTTGTCTTGTGCGTAATCAGGACCAACCAACTTTTCCCAGTACTGATACTGTCCAGTGCAACGGCGAGCAAGACGAACTGGATTACACTCTTCACGGGAGTTTCGCACGAGAGACTGCAGGTCTTCCACAGATGGATCTCCTACGCCTTCTTTGTCCTTGCGCTCATGCACACGTTCCCGTTCATCGTATATCACATTCACTGGCACGACATGGAGGAACACTTCACGTCGAGCCTCCTGTTCTACTGGACCGGCATCGTCGCAATAATCTTTCAAGCGTGGTTGACCTTTGCGTCCCACAGCGCTATACGGTGAGCAACAATGAAAGACGTGGACGCGAAGAACGGGACTAACCTGGCACACAGAAACCTTGGCTATGAATTCTTCAAGATAACCCACTTTGCTGCTGTTGTTGTATTCATGGTGACCTTCTTTTGGCACTGCGACTATACTCTCACTTCATGGTAAGGATCGCCACCCACGGCAACGTGTCACGATATGGCCTTTTGACGAATCAATAGGGACTACTTTGTCGCTACAGCCGCCATATATGTCCCTTGTTACGTTTATCCCTGGCTCCGCACTTGCTTCGAGTATGGCTTCGCGCAGAAAGCCCAGATCTTCGTAGAAGACAACGGCTTCACACGCATCACTATCCCATCCAAGTCTGGTTGGAAACCTGGACAGCATTGTTTCCTACGCTTCACTAGCTTTGGTCTTATGCAAGCTATCTCAACGCACCCATTCACTATCTGCTCTACGCCTTCAACGCAGCCGAGCGAGCAGTCTGAGCTCGTCTTCTACGTCCGTCATCAGCGCGGCTTTACCGCCAAACTGTACCAGCACGCTCTGGAGCGACCTGGTGCGTCGGTACCCGTGCATGTAGATGGTCCCTACGGAGGCATCCATCTACAGAAATGCTACGGGAGCGACCATCTTCTTGTCATCGCAGGTGGCTCAGGAGCTGGTTGGTGTTTGCCGTTCATTGAGCTGTTTGCCAGGCAACGCCCGACGCCAGACGACGAAGAGAAAGGCCAGAGTATCCTGACGGACGGCAAGGAGGTCCTCCATCAACGTAAACCGCGCGGACCTCTTTCACTGCGGGTGGTTCTCGCGACCCGAGACAGCAACAGCCGTGCATGGTTCCTTAAAACCGTCAGCGAGCTGCTGTCAAAGTGCTCAGCAACAGAGTCCTCATCCAACATTCGCGTCAGAGTCTATCTCACCGGGGAGGCTGCTGAAAAGGTGGACCTGCCAAGCAGTGTCTCGGGCGACCCAGCCAGCCCGAAAGAGGCTACCTCATCCACCGACGAGATTGCTATCCCAGAAGACGGAAACAAGTCCGCTATTCCAGGCAAGGAGTTCGAGGGCCGGCCACAGCTACCGCTGATCGTCCATGAGGAGGCAGCCAAGGTGGCGGAAGCGGGCCAATCTCTGAGCGTCTTCGTCTGTGGGCCGCACACGATGCAGAACGATGTGCGCAATGCTGTTGCGAAGGAGAACTTGAACATTCTCAAGGGTTCCAAGGCTGGCGGGGTTTATCTGCACTCGGAGCATTTTTCGTGGGCTTGAGAACTGTTGTGTGGGAGCGCGTTCTTTGGATAGAGTCCAAATTGCATATTGTAATTGAAGAGGTGCTTGGTGATGGCAGAAGCAACGAGGTCTGCTCGAACGACACCCTCGTGACCTTGGTGCAGCTCTTTCGGGTTGAGCTCCGAAGTTTGGAGTCGCGGTGATGCGGACTGGATACCGGGTTGGCGGGTATGACGGACTGATGGACTGATGGTGGCATGGTGCCGCGTACCACGTATGGGTGTGAGCGATCCAGACACACTGCGTCAATCAATTGTAGAACGCGCCGTCGATCGGCCAGCCAGGGATATCTACCATAGATGCATGGAAAGAATCTGCTCATGGACAGTACACCCTGCGCGCCGTAGAAGCCGGCTACCCAGCCCATGCAAGATGTGGGATTCTGTCTCGGATCACTTTTGCCATTTGCTCGTATTGCAACTTCTGAGTCGCCTATCCGAGTTATTTCGCGACGACAGAGGTTCCGAAGCTACGATGGAGGACATGGGGTCCAAGGGCGATGGGTCTCCCGGCGCAGCGGGTATCCGGCACTGCGGGTGTCCTAGCAAGGTTCGGATAGGTTGAAAAACTTGATTGGTTTATCAGTGCATCATTAAACTGCCTCAAACTTGCTTAAGCTAACTTGATCTAGTTTTAAGCAGTAAGCACATGGACAACCCCATACTACGGCTATACTATACCGAACAAGGTTGCAAAGCTGTGGAGAAAAGGCCCCGCTATTTATTGGTGCTTGTTAAAAGCTTGTTATCAACTCGCTAAGCAAACCTTATAATTTTACCGCCATCTCCAGGTTTGCATTTCGTTGACCAAAGGACCACTGCGCTCCTCCGATATGAAGCTCTCCCTGCTCGGGCTGCCCAGTTTCCTGTCAATTGCGGCCGCGACTGGCCCAATTCCTGTTAGTAGGAGCGGCCTTGCCGGCATCGACGGATTCACCTTTTACAATCCGTATTGCGGCCATGGCTGCTTCCGATCCTTCTCCCCGTTCACGTTGGCGTGTTCCTCCGTCATAAGTGCCGGAGGTCACACAGCCGCCGCCTCGTCCGCACACGTCTTGGCTCTGTGTCGCGCATCCGATTTCCCTTACTTAAGCTCCATCGCTTGGTGCATGCACCTGTATTGCCCGGACGACGTTCACGCTTCGACGATCGAGCACTTCTGGGAGACGATGATCACAGGAGACGCCAGCATCCTCCCGAAATGGAGCTACGGCGAGGTGATGGCAAACATCACGGATCCACCAACCATGGTGGCAACGGCGATGGATATGGATATGGACATGGTCCTGAACATGACCATGCTCACAACCCACGGCAACTGGCAAGCCACACAGGATACTTTGGTGTTCTTTTTCCGCGAGACCGTCCTGGAATCGTACTATGGGTAAGTTTTGATTCTCTCCAGACATATTTCACGACACGTCCCATCCGATCGTGCTCGTCCGACCACACATTCCGCCGCTAATGGTCCACTCAAGACTTTCAATCCTCCTGACCGCCTTCGGTCTGCCGATTATGCTGACATGGCTGGGATACATCCCCTTCATGACCGCCTTACTGCAACGAATCAAGCCTTGGCTCTATCCAAGCATCATCGGGACCTATCATGACCGGCCCCTTCCTTTCCTTTTAGGCAACGCACCTACTGTCGGCCAAAGCTTCTACATCGCAGTTGTCTTCATCCTGAACATCATCTTTCTTGCGGTCGGCTACAAGACGCTGTATCCCGACCATGTGATGCAATGGTACACAAACCGTTATCAGGAGCTCATGGCCTACTTCATGTGGCGTACCGGCGTTCTGGCATTTTGCAACATGCCAATCCTGTTTCTCTTCTCGAGCAGGAACAATATCCTGTTGTGGCTAACCAACTGGTCACATTCGACTTACATGTTGCTTCATCGATGGGTCGCCCGGATTTTCCTGTTGCAAACCCTCCTGCACTCCATCATCGCACTGGTTCTCTACAAGAGCACCGGTTCATACGACACGTCGCTGAAGACAGGATGGTGGACCTGGGGCTCCGTTGCCACGGTTGCGGCTGTCATTCTCGTGCTCACCAGCGTGTTCGTCCTGCGCCAGCGGGTTTACGAGCTGTTCCTGATCACCCATATTGTCATGGCTGTCATCTGCGTGGTCGGCTGCTGGTATCACGTCTGGATCGGGTACGAGAACACGTTTGGCTATGAGACTTGGCTGTATGCTACGATTGCCGTCTGGTTCTTCGACCGGCTGGCTCGCGTGGGGCGTATCTTGAAAACTGGCATCCGGCGCGCAAAGGTGACCGATATCAGCTCCACAATTACCCGCATCGACATTCCAGGAATCCTCTGGGCAGCGCCAGGCCGTTGTGTTTACTTGTACCTCCCGACGCTCAGCCCTCTTCGGCCGTGGGAGAACCACCCATTCTCCATGATTCCGACAGCCATGCTCAACAAGCGCATCTACAGCGACCCTTCCGGGTCGGAACTCGGCAATTTGGAAAAGAACCAGGCCGTAGCGATGGGCTCGGAATCTCCTGTCGATGGCAAGACCTATACCAGCTCGGGGCTGACACTATTCATTCGAAAGAGAGTAGGTATGACGGGATTCTTAAAAGCAGAGGAAGGCCTACTCACGCTGCTTGACGGGCCGTATCCAACAAACCCCACCAAGGAGGTCCTGCAGAGCGACCGGCTACTGTTGATAGGAGGCGGCATAGGCATCACCGGGCTTCTACCCTTCCTATGGCGCCATCCAAACCTCAAGCTGTTATATGGCGTCAAGGCAGCCGATCAAGGCCTTCTGGACTCTTTGAGCACCGTACTCGATGAAGTTCGTCAGAAGCACATCATTATTGGCCAGAGACTGGACATTGATGGCTTGCTACGAGATGAGGCTAGCCTTGGCTGGTCCAAGATCGCCGTTGTAGTTTGCGGGCCGGCTGGAATGTGTGACGATGTTAGGGCGATTGTGGCCAAACTTGGTAGGGAACGCGCCAGTAAGTGTTCTTTTGAGCTGGAGGTAGATGCGTTCTCTTGGTGAATCGCGAGCATGGAGCTTGAAATTTCGACGAGGCCGTTTCTTCCACTCTCCCTAGGTACAATTTGGAACTTCGTGGAAAACCATACTGGACTATCAATTTTATAATAATTGTCATGCAATTCATCCTTTTTATACCATGGCTGCAAATAGTCGTCCAGTGCAGCCCCCCTGTCGTTACAGTGGCGGAGGTTCAGCAGCGGGATCCTTGACCGACGTAGGTGTTGAATTGTCAGAAGGAGAATATTACGCTCGTCCTCAACTTCTATACCGATTCTGTCAAAAGAGATGACCGACTACCGGGTCTAGCACAGCTTTCCGTATCACTTCGTAGCGACAGCCATCCATGCTGTCATGGGAAACACCGCTCGACCGGACTCATTTACTATCACACGTTTTCCAAGCTCCCCACGCCATCGACCGTTTTCGTCCTCAGACCAGCCGTCGCGGACCCTTGCCCAGAACGGGCTGCACATGGCATCAACAAACTCGTCCACCGACTTGTTCTCCCATGACGTTTCCGGCGTTGATATGATGATTTTGCCGTCGAGGAAGCCTCCAGAGAGCAAAGTGTCCCTCAGCTTCTCCTTCGTCATCCACTCCTTCGCCACCGGCTGCACACGGCTGACACAGTCCGGGCGAATCGATGCAGTTGCCTCCTCCAGCAGCTGGATGGTTGGGGCTTCCTTCCAGGTGGTGACGATGGCGGCACCGCCGGGTTTGAGCACGCGCAGCATCTCTTTGGCGCCTTCGCCGGCGTCGGGTACGGCAAAGAGACCAAAGTTCATGAAAACGGCGTCGAAACTTTCGTCCGCGAGTCCCTCCAGCTTCTGCGCGTTCAAGATCTTGGTCTCGACCGCCGTCCAACCGTGGACCTGCTTGCTGATTTCGAGCTGCTCAATCATGGGCCCCGCAATGTCGACGGATGTGATGCGCGGAGGTGGGACGACACCTTGCTCTGCCGCTGTGTCGAGGATCACCTTCGTCACGATGCCAGGGCCGCAAGCAAGGTCGAGTATATGGGTGGAGGATGTCAACGGTGGGAGAGACTTGATTCCGATAGCGGCAATGCGGCGAGTGCAGCCGCCGGTCAACCTCTCATACTCGGCCGACTGATCGTCGAAGAGTCGCTTCGTTTGTTCCAAATCTGCCATGGTCTCAGTAGGTCCAGAGGGTCGACAGAGCAGAGGACGGGCGGCGTGCCCCCATTTTACGGAGATCAGTACATGGCTCGTGCTCTCGAAAGTGCTCAAGTAAGCACATTTGCCGGCACTAGTTGCAGGGCGTACAGTAGTCGCAGGGCGTACAGTAGTCGCAGGGCGTACAGTAGTTGCAGGGATGCGTGCATCCAGAATAAGCAGCGCTCTTGGCAGATTATCGAACGATTGTCTTACTATCGTAGCAAATCGCTACAAATCGTGCTCATTTTTCTCGCAAGCACAGTAGTCGATAGGGCTCGCAGGACGCTGCTCTCAATCCATGCAAGCTTCCTCGCCACAATATGGCTAAGTACGCCACAAGAGAGTGCACGCCTTCTTTTCTTTTCCTTGACCTGGGGAAGCGTGCGACATAAGAACAGCTTTGACGCTTGAAATTAGCCGTCACGAAGCCGACTGCCTATCAAGCTTTTCCTCGACCGATGGACGCTCTATTCACTACTTTCCTGCTTCTAGCAGGCCTAACATCTGCCCTCTCGGGCTTCGAGGGCGATGAATATTATCCTCTCTGCGCCCATGGCTGCCTTCGAGCTTTTTCCATCCCCCTGCTCTCCTGCTCTGCCCCAGATCATCCCATCACTGGCATGATGGTTATTAACGTCAACACTTGGCCCTCATGTTTTGCATCGGACGAGGCTTATCTGACCAGCCTAGCTTGGTGTGTACACGATCAGTGCGCTTCGTTTGACTTGAGCACGCTGGAGCTGGAAATCTTCTGGGCAAACAAAGCCACTGGAGATCCGACAGTTCCCCAAAATGGAGTAATAACCAGGCACTAGAAAGAGTCATGGATGATCCCCCTACGCGCGTGCTCGCCAACGGAGAGATACTCAACTACACCGCGCTGGCCAACACTTCTGTGATGACGCTGCAGAAGAACACGTTGTACTCTGTCGGTTACGAGTCAAGACTCGAAGAGAGACTTGGGTCAGTATCTACACCGTTATTCATAAGACCTTTCTCTCACTACGGGCTAGAGTTGCCATGCTCGTCGCTATGTTTGCATTACCGATCCTATTGACCTTGGTCCAATACCTCCCCTTCATGACGGGCGTCTCAGCGAAGATCAAGCCCTATCTCATTTGGCCTTCCGTCATTGGAACTTACCAAGTCCGCCCTCTTCCATTCCTGCTCGGCAACAGTCCGACTGTTGGACAGGCACTCTACGTTGCCGTGTTTGTCATTCTCAACATCGTACTCACCGCCGTAGACTACAGGGTTGCAATTCCGCATGCCTGGTACGGCAACGAGACGTACTATGCAGTCATGGCATATGTGATGTGGCGTACGGGTGAATTTGCCCTCCTCCTTCCTCTCGTCATAATCTTCTCTGGGAGGAACAACATCCTCCTGTGGCTCACCAATTGGTCGCACTCTACGTATATGCTGCTGCACCGTTGGGTCGCTCGTGTTTTTGCCATCCACGTCATTCTACACTCCATCCTCGCGTTAGTGTTGTATGTCCATACAGGTGAGCTTACTCCATCCACACACCTCAAGGTCTCGGCCCAGAGAAAGGGCCAGCTTTATGGCAAATGAACCGGTCAATAATAAGAGGCTAATCGCCACATGTGTACAGGCAGCTACGAGACGAACTACTATCTGCCATGGTGGATCTGGGGCATTGTCGCCACCCTCACAACCTCCATCATGTTGGTTACCAGCGGCCTGTATGTGCGTCGTCGGTCTTATGAACTCTTTCTCATCACACATATCATCCTGGCTATCTTCACCATCGTGGGCACATGGTATCACATCTGGTATTGCTTCCAGTGGCTCGGCAACTATCAACAGCCTATGTACGCCGCTTGCGGAGTGTGGTCCTTCGACCGGCTTATGCGCGTGATGCGAATCCTCAAAACGGGCTTGCGCGGCGCTCGCATCACCGAGATTGGAGAAGGCTATGTTCGCATCGACATTCCTGGTGTCCGCTGGGGTGTCGAGCTTGGAAGAACGCCTACGCCTACTTCCCAACGCTCCACAAATGGCGCCCATGGGAGAATCACCCATTTCCGTGCTTCCGACAGCGATGCTGCAGTCCCAACGTCAGAGCCTGGAGTCTCCAACCACTGGAAGCCGAACTGGGTCGCACCGTGGAGACGATGTCGAAAAGGACGTGATCTCCACTGTGGGCCACGCTCTCTCGATCAAAGAAGAGCGTAACATCGGTGTGACCTTCTTTGTCAAGAAGTCGACCGGCTTGACCCGAAGTCTTGCTGCGCACGATGACTTGCTCACCTTGCTGGATGGTCCTTATCCCAATACCTCGACCGCCTCAATCCTGCGCACCGATCGCTTGCTGATCATCTCGGGCGGCATTGGAATCACCGGCATGCTTCCCTGGATCAACGCACATCCCAACGTCAAGCTGTGCTGGAGCGTGAAGAAAAGTGCAGATTGTCTCGTACAGGCTCTAGATGTTCCTATCCAGGGCGTGGCAGACAAGGAAATCAGAATCGGGTCACGGGCGAACATCCATTCGTTGTTGAACAGCGAGATCGAAGCCGGATGAAAGAGAGTTGGTGTCATTGCTTGCGGTCCTGGTGGACTTTGCGACGATGTCAGGGCTGCTGTTTGTGCCGCTGCCAAAGGTCCAACGGCATTTGAGCTAGAGGTCGATGCTTATTCTTGGTAATGCTCCTATCGTTCCAGTGCACGGCTTACAGTTGAAGAATTCAGTCCTGTGGTTTGCAATATCTGAACAAGGTACGCATTGCAGAACAAGTAACGTACAAAAAGTGTGTATTAGTCTGAGGAAGAAAAGTGAGGCGAGAACCGGAAAGTATATATTTACGCCAAGGCGCTAAGAGCGCGCTAGGCCTATCCTGTCCACAGCATGGTTCGAGGGACCGTCGTTGATGGCGGAATTATCCGTCCATTGCGTCTCGATGTTGTGTGACACGGATCAACGCGAACAAACTGTGCTTATTCGCACTAATGCCGCGTCAGGCTTAATACGTTTTTTTAGCACGGTTGACGATTATGTCACGTGAATGCTTACGTGAGACGTCCCGACCTCGTTTTCGGAGGCGGGAAGGGCAAGAATCCTATCGATTACATTACTTCCTGCATCCGCCATGGGCTCTTTTCATTCGCAATCATCGATGCGGGCATCACTAGGGTCCCTTCAGTCATTGAGCACGCAATACCGACCCGCTTAATCTGCCTCATGGCTGCCTCGCCTGTTCTTGACCGGACGTCTCCGCTGCCAAGCCTTCGAAGAACGATGCAAGAGTGCTTTCCACAACGTATAAGGCCTTCCCAGGCCCCTTCAAGAAGATACAGTTCCTCATGAGCAACGCGACCCTCGGAAAGGCACGTTGCACAATATGCGGCTTTTCGCCAAATACGAAGCCACAAGCGGGGTACGCGATGCATCCCCACGCAACAACATCCAGCCCACTAACTTCTCGAAGGCTGAGCAGGCACTTTTCGGCCTGGTCGCTCGATTGGACTCTTTGAGAAAGTACATTCCCATGGCAGATGATCAGAAATTCAGCATCAGTGGTGGCCTGGTGGAGATTGCGGCCCTCACCGCTCTTATCGGTGGGGCTACGGCTGAATCGCTTGCCTTGGGAACGCGAGGAGCTGCTGGACTACCATGGGCAGCGCTCAGCTCTTTCGGATCTATCTTCCTTGTCAAAGCCTGTGTGGCGGCTTCTACGCCTGCATGGTTGCGGGAAACAATCGGCGTGAGGACCGCGGGGTCCGATGGCGCGGTTGGTTGCGCTAAGAGACTGGACGCGAGAGCGAAAGGCGGTCGGATGTCTGGGGAGCCTGTTGGTATCATGGTGGAGTGCGATAAGGTAGGTTCTCTCTAGGTCGGCTGGATTAGGCATGTTGCTGATGATTGTTAGGAAAATGAGAGTGCGGGCTCCTCGATCAGATGGGATACCTTCGAGGAGGTCTATGCATTCGATGAGTGGACTGGAGGCCCACTACGCTCTTGTGCGGCCCTCGATCAAGGCGAGCACCTCCGCGCACACTTTTATATGCGAGACCCGCAGTGGGCGCCCCTCCATCGCTCGCTCATCAAGGCCGACTGGCTATACACTGCGTCGACCCTGACTAAGGTCGTTGAGATGTACCTGCTGTATCACTATGGATCCTTCTATATCTATTGGATCACTGGAGTGTCTTGGGCCTACTTCTTCCTCGGTGCGGTTATCCTGCAGCTCTTTGGCTTAAGCAGAGCATTGCCGTCAGACAAGCAGCACAAGTGTGTCGACCTGGTAGCCGGGAAACTGCCTACACCGCAGATCGCAGGCGGGCAGCGCGGGGTGCTCCTCGACGTCCCTATCAATGTCCGGAAGCACCTGATATGGCGAGGTGTCTGGACCGGCGGCTCGTTCATCTGCGTCGGCTCGCTTATAGCTACGTATGTTGTTCTTAGCAAGGAGCCTGCACTGGTGTTCCAGATCTGGTTGACCTTTCAGATTCTCTGGCTCGCGCTGCGTTCCCTCTTCTTCCACTTCGCGAGCCGGACGGACAGTATAGCGCGGATCATCACCCCGGTCATCACCGAGAAGTACCGACCCGCGCACCTGAACTTCCGACTCCTTGGCTTGTCTACCGCCATCTCAAAGTATCAGATACTGAATCATCCTCGCGGAGCTTATTGCTACGCGGACGATGCGCAGGATCCCACAATCATCAAGGCGCTTCTGGATGATGCAGGGATGACTTTCCTGGATCACCTCCCACTTCCTGAAAATACGGCTGTAGGGTCTATTCTAGACATGCGTGTCATCGCCGTCTTAGGCGACACCATGTTATCAAGCGCAGCCTGGCTCATTGGCTCACCGCTTACCGGCATGGACCTGTATGACAGCTGCATCCTCATCCTTCGCTGCGCCTCCCAAAACAAAACCCTCCTTGTCCCCGCATGTCGCGTCCTCTCTGGCCGCATCGACCTCGAGGAATCCCTCCACGACCCCGAACTCACAGCATCTTCCCAATTCCTTCCCAAAGGTGTGTCCAACAGCGGAAAAGATATCAGCTGGTGGTACTGGATCCCGTGCGGAGGGGATACGTGGCTGCACTATCACACGCCGTGGGCAACGGCGGCAGAGCAGCGGCTGGGTGTAACAGGGAAGAGGGAGATGATGGTTACGAGTAGCGAGGAAATCACGGAGACGTTGAGACACGGGGAGCTGATGGTCAGTTTGAATGGGGTGAAGGATGTGGAGAGTGTGCTTGAGAAGTCGGTTGCTGCGGCCGGAGTTTTGAGGGAGATGATGTTGGGGGCGCCGGCGTACTGAGGACAGTGCCTTGAGAGAGAAATAGGCTTCCAGAGTCGTGCTCAGACAATTCCCGAGATTGACTTGGTGGATCGAGCACTGGGACTTGCTGCGCTTGTGTTTGGCTTGTTTAAAGTTCTATACTCTCCTGCGTGCGGGTGGGGATGAAGCGCCTCGATCATGATCAATGGTCTACTAGGTACCTGAATAGCATTTCATTACATCTCATCCTACGGCACCAACTTCGCGCCTCCAAGCTAAAAGACGTGCAATGCCTCCGTCCTCGCCTCTCCCGCAGTCTGCCCACTATAACCTCTGCTTCCCTCTACTCTCATACCTAAGACAGCTCCACACAGCCCTCATCCCCACTTCAGCGTCGTCCACAGCTGTCGATAGCACGGCGTACCCGGCGTATCGAAATGCCCATACGGATGCCACGGATCAAGCATGCCCGAGCACAAGTAGCAAAAGTGCGTCAGGCAAAGAGTGCACCTCATGTGGTTGCAGCCCGTAGTTTTGGAGACGGGAGTTGCGCACTTGGGACAAGGCGTTGTGCTCGCTGCGATGTAGGCGAGCGGGGCGCGTTATTCGGCCTGGAGCTCAGATTTGTCGCGGCATTGCATGAGGTCGCCGTGCCAGGTTGAGTGGCACACTTTGCAGAAGGCGAATCCGCAGTCTTCGCAGATGGATAGGCAGTCGCGGGGTGGGGGTGCGTCTTCAGGGGCTTGGGTATCAGGGGCTGTGGTTTCTGTGGGTGCGGGTATGGTTTGGTCATCGTCTTTCTCCTTATATTCTTCCTCTACCTCCTCCTCCTCCGTGTCAGACTCCTCCATTTCCTCGAGCGGCACTTCCGGTTTCGGATACTTGTTCCCCTTGGCAGCACCCTGGCACTATTTCCTCGGGTACCAGACCGTCGATTTGTCTAATTCTAAGCGCTTCTTCCGCTTCAGATCGACATATCTCTGCACCGTGTCGCGCGGAAGAGGTATTTGAAGGAGTTCGCGCGGAGCGAGCAGGCGCTTCTTCTTCCTCCTCCTTCGTTCAGCGCCGATTGTTTCTATTCCGCAGTCCAAATCCAGACACACGATAGCGTACACATTACCTTCCTTAATCGCACTGTTGTAGAAATCCTGCAAACACTTAACGCAAAAGATGTGCCCGCAGCGCTCCATGCAGTAGCAGTTAGGACCAGGCCTAGGAGCCAGGCAGATTCCGCACTCGTGGGAGGTCTTCTTGAACGCCTCGCGCTTGGTCTTCCTGTCGTAGTCGAGCAGTTAACGCTTGCATTCTTCAGACACTTCTAGATAGTCCAGGCCGAACGCCGACTCTGCGGCGTCTTGCACGTGGGAAATGGAGGCGAAGAGCATCTGGTTGTGGCCGTACTCTTCCCACATGGATGCTAAAACTGCCTCTTGATGTTCAGCGATGTCTTCGGGGAGCCAGGAGCCTTGGGCTTTAAGACTGACGGTGGGAGGCGCGTCGAGTGGGTAGTTTTCAGAGAGTGTGAAGCTCAGTCGGATTGGGGGAAGGTAACAGACCGAGTTGTTTTGTGCTTGCCCAACAGTCAAGTTTTCTCCTGCATGAGCGACGATGGGAGCGGAGCTTGAAGCACAATCGGGAGCTCGAGATGCGCTGAGGCTTCGGAGTCTCTAACGAGCTCGGGATAGATGTCTTGCAGGGTAGCAAGTTCCTCTGCGCCTTCGCCCATGTTCGGTCGATTCGAAGCTTTTAAAGTGAGTTGCCGGTATGTTAAGGTTGTTACGCGTGAGGTCGATGCCCTCTTATGGCGGGCATATACGTGAACAGCGCGGTATGTTCACATTGTCTCTCATTCACTACCTCTCCCAGGCAAATCGTGAAACCGTCCGGTCTCATGAGAATCTGCATAAAGGCGTCACAGGCAGGTGAGTTATTACGATCGAAATATGCGATGATGGGCTCCTGGTCACCAATAGACTAATCTTTACCATGCCGAGGCTGTTCGTGCCCATGAAGCAGATTCCAAATCAATCAGAACTCCTCCAAGCGATGACATACATCACTATTCCTTTGCACCTGTGTTTATTTTCTTTCCCATCTAGGCGGCAGATAAGGCTGATGCACGCCGCTCAGCTCGCTCCACGAGATGCCATCAAGACACTGGTATGGGCTGAGGCGTAGTTGGAGACCATTCTGGCAATGTATCCGGGTTTTCCATCTTCTCCGCCTGATTGGGACCCATTCCGGGCGGAGCAGATGCATTGTTGCGCCGAGTTCTTCTCAAGACGTACAGGACACCCAGGCTGCCCATGACCAGGACCGCCACGCCGGCGACGACGCTACCGGCTATTATGCCCGTGCGATTTGGCTTGGACGAGGAATGGGCGGAGGCGGATGAGGTTGACGTCGCGGTGGAGGTCGCAAGAGAGGAGGCCGGGCTAGCGCTAGGCGTTGAAGTCGAGGCCGTGGAAGTCAAATCCGCCGCTAGGACTGTCGAAGCACATTAGCTACCATATCGAGGGATGGATATAAGCCGATCTTACTCGTTGGAGGTGGTCTTTCTTGGTAGATTGAGAAAATCGTAGAGACAGTCTCATCTGGGTGGGTCGCGCAACCTAGTTTTGTTACCGCCTCACTTGCGCCATAAGACGGGAATAGGAGCGACGTAAAACACGTATATCCAGCACTCAAACTGTGATCCAGTTTGTTAGTTTTACTTAGATTGTTTAGGGGTCGTGAACGCTGACCAAAAGCTCGAGGTTGACTCAGCGACGAGATACCCTGACGTGCACGCCGTCCATAACTTGCTGCAAGTGAACATGTATGAAGATATAGAGCTGAGATAGGTGCTATCTGGGCAGATGGTATAGTATTTGGATGATGTCATCAGCGAATAGTCCGATGCGTAATAAGTCAAAGGAGCCCCTGGGAGCAGTTAACTTCCCGTCGACCCACCAGTATGACACAGTCACACACGTACAGATCACAGTTCCATCACTCGGCTCCCCGGCAGTATAAGCCCATGTCGAATATGGATCATATGAAATCGTTGACGCTACCTGCCTCTTTGCGTTGTCCGGGCCAGATACGCCGTGGGCACCGCAGAGGGATGCAAAAGTAGCAGAGGCGATGGAGAGTGAGAGCATGAAGAGAAGACGCTGCATGTTGTCGAAAAACCTAAAAGATGGAGATTGGGGTTGAATAAAACCGTTTTTGCTCGAAAAGATAGCAGGGAGATTATGGAAGAGTGGGCTACATGCAGACGAGAGGCCCAAGGCAAAGATATGGAAACCAGCGCTCACCTAAATGTTGTGCACCTTCAGCCAGGTAATACAGAGGTAGCCACTGCTTTCCTCACCAACCATTGGAAAGCCCCCGAACTGCTCTCCAGCATCCGAGAGTGCACAAGGCAGACCACTGAGCGCTAATATAAGGAGCTCGGAAAGAAGCCTTCCAGCTGAGTGACGTTGCCGTACTACCCTCAGCCACGCGGATTCGTGGACTTACGAACACAGACCCCAATGAGTGGGGTTTCTGTGAAATGTGTGCAAGCAATAAGTTGAGGAGATTCCCGTTTCGGGGGTCTCTACGTGATGCCGGGTGTAACAAAGCAAGGCTGACGGATATTATTATTAAACGAGGGTCGGCGGCAGAGAATCGAGCAGTTGGACATGACACCGTAAAAACCATATACCGACTGCGTAACGTCGCTGGTGCGCGTGCCGAGGCGAATGTGTTCATAGAGCGACAACGTCCCGCTTTAGCTGGCTCGCGAGCATGGAGTAGGCGGGAACAAACATTGAAATCCTTCAGGTAGTAAAGCGACGTGAGGAAGGTCGAAGAAAGGGTGACGCTGCTCCGCTGAAGTTCCCCTCGGCGTCCTCTCGGAACCGAGCGAAACCCTTCGTCTTCCGTTTCCAATCGCTCCCTGAACCCCAACCTATCTCAACCCTCTTCATCCATCAACCATTCTATCTAAAACCTGAAGGAAACTCAATTGCATATCCGTAAAACGTCGCGGAGTTGTAAAACTCGCGAGATGGAACGGTGTAAACCCCACATCCGCTTCCCATTTCTCAACCTCCCGGTTCTAGTACCTAACGTAGTTGTGCTTTTTCTTCCTTTGAAAATCTCTCTTCCCTCCTCATGAATCTGCTCTTCTATATCCCTTCTTGTCTAAATGTCGACTTATCAATCGTCTCCTTCTGCCACAAGTTTTCAAGGCCTTAGGCATGTATCCCTGGACAGATCTCCCGTCAGCACTAGGTACCCGATTACGAGGACCCGCTTCCCCGCATATACGAGATACCCCACTCTGTTCTTTCGCGACGTCTCACTCCCCATATCCAACAAGTCCTCGTTGCGGCACGGGTTCTATTTTCATTCGGCCTTAAGCCTTGATCCTCGTGGACGTCCCTTGCCTGTGGAAGGGCTAAGCACCCGCCTGTTTTGCAGAACCGACTGTCCTCGAGCTCGCGGGTGAGCTAAGAGTCCTTTGTTCTTGTGCCTCCTGCTCTCCGTATCCTGAATACGCACGGTCGGCGCATCGAGAAACGGCTGTCCGGTTTGGTCACAAGGCGCCAGAGCTTCTCAAGGCGTCCGACCGCTCCCAGTTATCCTCCTGCTCAAAACATCATCCTCTTTCTATCCCATCGCATTCCCCCCAGTCAGGACCCAAAACCCCAGCGATCCCTTTGCTCCACCATGCCCTCCCCCGCCGCATACACAATCTACTTCTTCGCCCTCCCCACCTTTCTCCTCGGTCTCCGCGGCCTCTGGGACCCCACCTCCTCCCTGCAAACCCTCAACCTCCCCGCCGCCGCCGCGCCTTCCGTCCAGGCGTCCTCCCTCGGCGCCATCGCCATCAGCATCTTCTACTGCCTCGCCGCGTACCAGGAGAACCGCGCGTTCTTCAAGTGGAGTCTGCTGACGCGGAGCCTGACGACGGCGTGGGCGCTGCGCATGGGGGGTGGGTGGACGGCGCTCGGGGTTTGGGAGGGTGTTGGCGCGCTGGGGACGGCGGTTGCGCTTGCGGTTGGGAGGGCGTAGGGGGCGGAGAGGGGATGGACGGGAGGACGGAGATGGCTGGCGGAAGGGCGAGGTGGGTGACGGCGTGGTGTGGGATGTCGATGTTGGGGGAGGGAGCTGAGAATTGGCGGGGAGTCAGCATTTGTGGTAACGCAAGTGCATGGAGCAGGCCTGGAGATTTTCGGTGATGGGATTGAGGGTGTGGCGAGGTTCATGGCGAGCTTGTAGGCGGCGCGAAGCAGAACGCCGCGGGGGGAGGGTTTCGCGAACGCGCAGTCGCACACGGCCCGAGTGATCAATGCGTACCTCTGAAATCTGAATACATCGGAGCACCCGATGGCGGGGCGGAGATTGCGGGACACAAGCTGCTCATGGGCGCGAGAGGTCGCCCGGGTGCGCGGCTATGATGGTCAGGCAAGGCAGCTGCGATGAGTCTCCACGCGTGGTGCTGGCATTGGGCTTGCACGGCTGGCAGTCGCGACGGAAGGGGAAGGCGCAATAGCGAAGACACAAGGCTCAATGAAGTCGAAGGCGAAGGCGAAGTCAAGAAGGCAAAAGCAGAGAAGACAAGACATGATGTGAGAAAGTTTGATTGATTCTAGTATCTAGACCCCCCAAGCACCTAAGACCAGACCATCCGACCAAACCATATGACGTCCCGACTCGTTGATTTCTTTCTGGGAAGTGTCAGTAATAACGGAGAAGACGCAAGAGAGGAAGGATGGAGGAGAAGAGTAACAAACTTGATGAACTCCGTGAAGGAGTGGCTGAGTGTGATGTGGTTGTGTGTCGTTTTCTGGATGAGGTCAGCTGAGTGAAATGGGAAGGAGGGATGAGCGACTTACTGTTTGAGGAGGATGTGAACACCCCCTGTTATTTGCTAGTTAAGTCTCTTTTAATACCTGAAGGCATAGGGCACCCGCAACCTTTGTGGTCGCGTTCCCACTTTCTGGTGAATCAGCCCCAAATATCAGGCTAGGGCACCCGCAGCTGGCCTACTGCGTTCCCACTTTCTGGTGAGTCAGTCCATGTGATGAGCGAGATGAGGTGAAGGTCGTTGGTGAGTGGCGACACGCGAAAGGCGACACTGCGAATGCAGAAGCTCTGAAAGCGGCGTCGACTGGTGTTGGTGAAGGCGATGTGAGATGTCGCGTCGACGAGAGGAAGCCGCTGAAGTAGTTGTTTTCTTTGAAGTGTCAGTAGGAGCTTGATGAGGAGAGAGACTCACATGACTGTAGCGTGTCGTGCGTCACCATGGTGGTCGACTGGCCTAGTGGTGGCTCACCGAGAGTGAGGCTGTTGGCGACGAGAAGGTGAAGGCGCCGTGAAGCTCAAGGAGCTGGTGGTGGTGATGCTGCAGAGAGACGGTGCAGCTGAGGCTGACTCAAGAAGAGTAGATGTTCTGAGGAGATGTTAGTGAGCTGAAGCACTGAGGCGAAGGCGAGGTGACTCACTGTTGTGGATGATGGTTGTCATGGTGAAGGCCAGTCGATGAGATGGGGTGGTCGAGAAGAGAAGAAGGTTGGAGACCACATGAGGAAGCTCACAGAGATTGGAAGCTAGTGTTGAAGTGGAGCGAAGTGAGGAGAAGAAAAGACCGTCTGGCGGGCGGGGAGGAGGGTTTATATAGACGTGAGAGCGGGGACGGGCGCGCCGGATCACGGGCTCGCCAGCTCAATGCCAAGAGGCCCCGGATCAAAAGAGGACTGTGCGTAGCGAGAAAGGCCCCTGCGCAGAGGCGCGGGATCAATTTCGAAGCTGCTGCGCGTCATGCCAGGGCGGCGGGTACCTGCAGCGGTCAGGCGGCCGGCCAATGAGCCGTCAGGAACCGGAAATTGCCGAGCATGTGAGAGCAGCTGGCGATGGCGTGCTCGAGCTTAGCACCGCTCACTCGGCGGCTAAGGAGTCATACGGGCGTTTTTATCGCGCGTTTGGGTGGGGTCGGCTCTGGGTTCCGAGTTGTTGATACCGCCAAGACCGTCGACCGTGCCGACAGTGCGCTCTGGAACACCAGGCAGCAATCGTACGATCGTGGTCAGCCGGCTATCGGAGGGGGACTAGAGTGAGCTCGCGGCTTGTCTCGGCGGAAGAAGCCGAGCTGCCTTCTCGAGCAGTAGCACTGTCGCTGTAGCGTCAGTCGAAGAAGCCTCGCGGTCGGCTGTCTTCACCCAGAGATGGCGTGAGCACGTACGAAGCACGGAGCACATGCTGATAAGCCAGCGGTTACGCAATTGAGTCATTTCTGAGCCGAGTCGGTACATGGATGCGAGCAGCCGGGGCGGCAGCTGCAGGCGAGGTGGATCCGACAGTGAGGTTGCGGGGGCCGACGGTATGCTGAGCTGAGTCCGTCACTATGCAAAGATAGTGTGACAAAGACCGACAAGCTTCATCTTTTCTGGTTGAGATTGCTGTTGGTGTTTGGCAGCCGTGAGGGACGAGTGCATAGCCGAATGGATTTTTCATTTTCGCCTCAGTTACCACTGTAGCGGAGCGAATAAGCGGACGTGGTGTCGTACTAGAGCACTTTCCAGCCGTTGCTGTGGATGATAAGATCGGTCAGTACTGTCTCAGCTGTCATGTCTTTGCCGTGAGTCTCATCTATAAGGACGGTCAACAGATTGAGTCGAAGACTGGAGAGACATTTGAGGCCAAGAGGGAGTGCGTAGCCGCGCTGGAAGTGTGTTGTGCTGCGGACTTTTCGAGTGCGGGCCGTGCATTGAGGTCGATGGGATCAACTCTTCGAGCCCTGTTGGTGGTGACGGAACGACCGGCCTGGGAAACTTGTTCGATCGGACGGGGGAATAGCGCGTCGGATATGCTCTCTTGCTCGCGGAAGAAGAACTCACTGCATGCCCTGCGTCGCATCATAGATCCGGCCGCAGATGTGCAGGCGAGCGAGTGCGTTCTTGGAGGCACATTCGATTATCGTATCGACCACCTTGTCTTCTGAAAATGAGAGTAATACATAGTAGGCATGTACGAGTTCAAAAAACAATGAAGGAATGTAGAAATAGAAAGCCTCAACTTGCCTGCAAGAGCTGATTACCAACCGAAATGACCGACATTTCATCATACATTCCCCTTGTTCCAGCATTCTCACTGCTCCTTAGGGGAAGTATATCCGTCAACAATAATAATTCCCTGAGGCGCTACTTCTTCACACCCCATGTCTCCTATGCTTCCTTCTCCCTCTGCCCCCTCCTCTTCCTTCTCTCCCTTCTCCTTTTCTTCCTTTTCCCTCTTCTCTGATTCTTCGGTCGTTCTCCTTTCAACCCTGTCAAGAAGTTTGGCGTATTCCTCCGAGCTTCCTGATAGAACAAGAGGAGGAGGGTAAGGAATGCCCGCTGACAGGCGCCCCCTTGCGAAGATATTGCCATGATCCACTGGAAGCGTGCCTTCTGTTCCCAACTCGCAAATACAAACTTCTTTGCTTTGAAATCCGAACGATTCTAGATCACATAAGCAGCATGTCATGTCTCTATGCAAGCTTCGGCCCTTACTCGAAAGTGTCTTTGCTGTAAACTCGTCGTTGATGACACAGAACGCCTCCAGCTCGCCGCGAAATCTGGCGCTGGGCTTGGTGTGTAACCACTCTGCATGTGGATCGATCTCTTTGCGATCCGCGTCCCTCGACGTCTGTCGGTCGAACGCACCATGTTCCTCTAGGAGCTACGGTTTGTGTCAGCCTTCCGTCTCCCGCTGGCAGCTGGGGTCATCTTACTCCATCGATGGTGATCAACCAATGTGGTCCCTCGGACATTTTTATGCGCTTTGAATACGATATAGGCCCTTTGGGTTGTCTTTGTCAAAATTCTGAGTTCGTAGGCGAAGACTGAAAGTACAGGAAGGACTGATAATCGGAAAGGCGTACTTGAGCTGCCGGCTATCGTTCGCAACGGAAGAAGTCTCTGAGAATACAATACGAAAGTTGTAAATTGTAGAGGAAGATTGGAAACGAGAAAGAGAAGTGCAGAGGAAGGAACGAGAAAGGGTTTAAATACTCTTGCAGAAGCCCGTGGTGACGCATGCGGCAACAAGTCAGAAGCGAGAGATGCCGCATCATACTGGTCACAACGTTTCATAAATGAGTCACACGCTATAGAGCCACGCTGAAGACCTGGTGAAGATAACTAGAAGGCTCATGAACATGACGGCGTGAACAGGACGTTATTGCGGGAAAGTAGGACATGACCATAGAGAGGCGTTGTTCCGAAGGCATGTGTACAGCTTTAATACATCAGTTCGGCCCTCAAGTGCAACGTTGCAGAGGCTATACACGGATATGAGAATTGTAACTTGAAGTATGCTCGGCGATATTGCAGTATCTTGCGGCGTTGCTGTGATACAAGGATATTACGGGACTGGGACTACCGAGCATATTGATGTGATGTTCTTATAAGCCTGGAGAATCGATGAGTGTGACATTTTGACTCTTCTAGCGCTAGTCATCCATGCATGCATGGCGACGTTGGAGGACCGTGCGGTAGTGTGAGGGGGATATGACTGGTGGACCGTGGCGTTCCCGATATCGACCTTCAAAACCACTGCCAAACGCATTTCCTAAAAATTTATCAGCTTAAGCAACGTGCTCGAAGCTGAATGTAACGCAACTTATCTACACACTCCGGGCTCAATCATTGACTTGTTGACAGGTTCGAAGGATGATTCGACCATTCGCAGGCCATATGCGAGACGCGTCGAGTCAAAGAGGGTGAAGTATAGTTTGGCTCGTAGCTTGCGCGGAAGCTGTAGGAAGGCGCTTGGTTGCTGAAATAGTATCAGTGTGAGGCAGCAGAGGTGCGCGCATGGAAAATTTACCTCCATGATTGACGGCTCGCAGCTGATTGTTGCTGGCGAGTGCGGATTGCGGTCGATGGGAGCGTTGGGACGTTGAAATCGGTCATGTAATTTTACCCTGGGGGAAGGAGCGGCAGAGAGCAGGCGCTAGAGCACGTGAGGGTCCTTTCACGGACGAAACTTTCGCTTGACGCCCTTAAAGCATGTATCACTGTTGGTAGTATTCGGGACCGAAAGGAAACCCACGCAACAAGAAATTTTCGCCTTCCCGATGCGTTTGACTAAGTCAGGGCCGGGGAAGACACGAGACGAAATCGGAGACGCATCTCGGAAACGAAGGGACACCGCCGGTTGGTAAAGTCATCCTCTTTGGCAGTGGCTCATCATTTGTGCTCATAATAGTGTCACAGCTGTTAATTGCCTAACCATCCGTTCCAAGATGCATGTCCTCGATTTTCTTTAAAAAAAAATCATCCTGTTAATGCCCCAATCCTTTCCTCGCAGTTTCTATCTCCTTACTCGTCTTCCGCGACCAGAACTTGTATTTGATGAGAATCATCAAGTTGCCAGGTGAACTCGTCGATTTCGGCGTATCGATCGAAGTCATCGTCATCCGCGCGCTCGAAGAACTCAGTGCATGGTTCATAGCAGCGCTCGAAAAATTGCTCCCACCCCTGCTCATTCTTGAAAGCCACGATATTGCCTAGGGCTTCACAACGGAACTGCTCGTAGGCAGTGTCAGGTGAGATGTTGGCATTTCTACCGCGCTTGACGATGACTAGCTGCTCCCTGCCTACATCTTCCTGGGGTTCCTGAGGCAGATCCCGTTGCATCGTTAGAGCGCGTATCTGCAATTCGTTCGGATCGACCGTCTCTTCGTCCAGGAGCTTGACGATCTCTCCGTACGACCGTGGTATTCCTCTCCGAAGTATTTGGACGGACGAGCCGGACTGATTCCCGTCTCGCTTGAGGGTACTGCCGGTGCAAGCATATTTCCAGTGGGGATAGTCAGTGAATTCCACGTCGTGTGGGTTCTCATCCTCCTCGATAATGTAACGGAGCGGGGCTGACCTATGGGCGAGAAAACGGAGTTCGCGCCAACCCTGTCCGCTCCGTAGGAACAGCTCAAGTAGCCTGATTGAGACAACCTTACAGATGCAAGCATGAATGACAGTTAGGGCATCAAGGCGCAAAGCCGGAAACAGCCGGAACATCGTGGGTAAGAAGTATATGGCCGGAACGCCATCGGTCATCTTGAACTCTCCGTAGTGAAGAAATATCCGCATATGGCGCATCCCGCCAATGAAATCAGCGGAGAGCGTTGATAGCTTCTTCATGAAGGCTCCCGGCGAGTCAAAGCTGAAGTTAACGCGATCGAGCCAGGCGCTGCGAGCCTCTGCGTGGATTTGACGGCATGTTTGCAGGATCGCGAGGGAATCCGCCGCAGGCTTGAGTGCTTTCAGCTGGCGGTCGTTCTCGGGTTTTATTGGCCGCAAACTGAAGCTCAGGCAGGTGGCATTGAAGAGGCAGAAGTAGACTTCATCGCGCAACTCCCGTGGGAGCAGGAGCAATGGCGACGTTCCCAAAGTCTGTGCGGGTTAGTATATGTCTTCAAAAGGTGAATGCAGGACTTTACCATGGTGATGTTGCGGTCTCGCGGTAATGTGGGGAGAGGGAGACAGAAGGGTGGGTGGCGGGGGCTTTAAGTACTAGGAAAGCGAGGTCCGCACGTACCTGCGTCTCGACGGCATGGACCGTTACGCCTTCCCTGCGCCCTTTCACTGTCTCAAACTTTGAATAAGTCCATAGAGGCGGTAGAGAAGTGAGAATCTGAAGCATACCTGGCGCCTGCTGCAAGGGTGGCGGTACATTTAGCAAATTTCAAAGCCCTTCACGCTAGCTTGAATCGAAAGTTCCAGTGGTCTGTTCCAGGGGACCTTAAACCCGGCAGAGACCTCCCGCTGCTCCGCACCGGCTGCCTTCGATGCTTCCTTTACTTCATTGCCGCTTCTCTCCGCAAGGCTGCTCTCAATCCCAAACAGTCTTGACATCTCTTCCAGAGTCCTGCCCTTCGTCTCGACCATAGCGTACCGCACGAACAGGAATGCAGCTACGCAGATGCCGGAGTAAATGATGTACAGTCCCAGACGATAGCACTCGCAATCGATGAACTCGCTTGCACGACGATATAACATGCTAGCCAGAGACTCAGCATCGACAGCGCATTCCCCTTCGTACGATACCCTAGGACACGTTGAAAGACACGTAGAAGAGGTCCATGAATACGATGATGGCGTAGTTGTCTTTCGCGGCAAGGTGGTGCTCGGCGTGCCCTCGCAGGACTGTGATACCGATCATGGAGCACACCATCCCGACGACGCCGAGCTAGAGCCAGTCTCGCGCCCGAGACGATCGCTCTGTTTGATCGAGGAGCAGCGTCTTTACCGAGTCTGAGGTTGATGTTGGAGATCGTGATCGCTAGCCCGAAACCTCGGATGGGAATAATGCAGAGACGCCGGGTACCTAACCCTGCATATGAACTCTAACGGGATGACGGCCTTTTCGTGGTCTTCGCGATTCGGACTCCTCCTTTTATAAAAGATCCTACGCTACATTTGGAGCAGGAAGCAGAACAGACTCCGGTCGAGCGTCTCACGCGATATGTTGAAGCCACCAGGTCCCGGAACAGCGTAGCGAGCAAAGGCCTTCACGTACGGCGCGGACGTTGGGTCGGTTTGTCGAGCATCGGAGATATCCGAGAAGGATCCTAGTGTCAAGCTGAAGCCGTCTGGGTTCATCAGCGGTCAAATTCGTTGCATTCGACCACCACCAGCTCTTCTCCTGTTGTCAACTGCGTGTTCGAAGTTCCACGTGTCCATTTTCGTGGCTTTGCCTGCTGAATTGACGGAGAGCACCCAGGAAATGCGGGAAGGACGGCTAGGGTCTAGAGACATCGGCTGCTTATCGTGATCGGCATGGTTCCCTGCTTTCTGCCGCTGTTAGCAGAGAAATACGTTGTGTCTTCACTCCCTGGCCCATCACTCCCTAGCTGCTCACGCCATGAGAAGGGACTCGCACCATCTTCACTCTGTCAAAAGGCTAACAGCTTCTAGAATCTTTAGTGTTGTCATCGTCAGCCATCGCTTGTATTGAAACTTGACGCTACGACAGCGAAATGGGGGAGGCCTTATGCCAAGCTGCCAAGCTGTGAGAGTTTTTCAAACCTGCAACTCCACCCCCTGTGTTTCCTCCCCGCTTCTTGTCCTTCTCCTTGGCAAACTCCGCCCTTCTCACCACCACGCGCTCGTCCAAGCGTCAAGTTTTTCTCTCGCAGCGCCCCCGTTCTAGTTCTGTGTGGGTCGCATCTCGAGCTAATTCTCGGTGCGTCTCTCAGCGAAATGCCGCAATCCAAGCTTTCGCTGCATCTTATCGCGTCTGCTACGAGCGTTGATGGCGCGAGCCATCATTCTTGATCTCAGCTTGACCTGCTTCATGGTCTTGGCCGGCACCTTATCCGCCGGTGTGCAGTGCTGGGACAAGACAATAGGACTCCTAAGCGCGACCGTGCCACCGAAGATCCAAACCCAAGCCTCCTAAAATTTGAGACCCAAGCCCACCTTCACGCGATGTTACCGCTCGGCAGACTGGAGTCGTGGAGACCCCACAACGAGACTGCATCCAGCAAATGAGCGAGCACGTTGCTCATGAGGAGGAGTCGGCCATGCCGGTCGGGAGACATGGATTGCGCGTTGCTCCCCTACGGCTACAGGACCGGGTGAGGGGGACCAGGTGTTCGGTGGTGTTGGTCAAGAAGATCGTTATCAATATATAAACTGTGCTGGTCGCCCATCACGTAGTCGCATTCGTAGCACTCGGAGTGTCTGCGTTCCCTTGGGTCTTTTCATTCGACTTGGCCCTTCAACTCCACCATGGCTGACACAAGCACTGCGAAGAAGGAAGAAGAAATCACCACTGCACCAGACTACAGCGATGTGAATGGTGGTCGACGTGGCACCTTGGCCTCTATCAATCTGAACAAGAACCTCGATGCCAAGTACGTTCCCACTGCCGCGCTAAAAATCAGTGCCACAAAAGCTTATCGAAACCTTCAGAGTCTCCAACCCGCTCGCCGACATTCCCTATGAGACCCTGATGCGGGATGTTGAGGAATTCGCAAATGAAAAGGGTCTCTCTGACATAACTGCGACGCTGAAGAAGGGTGCACTCATCGCGCAGGATCCGAATAGATTTGAGGAGATTGAGCTTCTCGAAGACGACGAACGCCAGGTCTTGCGCCAAGAGAAAAATCACAAGTGGAAGCACCCGCTTGCTCTGTACGTTACGATTGTGGTGTGCTCCATCGGCGCTGCTGTCCAGTAAGTCATACGTCTTCGAAGCGCTCCACACTCTCTAATGCGTTTTCAGAGGCTGGGACCAGACCGGATCAAACGGCGCTAATCTGTCGTTCCCACTGGAATTTGGGATTGGGCATGGAGACGAAGAAGGACATCCGAGCCGTTGGCGAGATAATCTCATTGTCGGCGTCGTGAACGCCGGCCCCTACCTCGGATCGGCTTTCTTGGGATGCTGGGTCAGTGATCCTTGCAACCATTACTTTGGGAGACGAGGGACCATCTTCATCTCTGCCATCTTCTGTCTACTTACTCCCATCGGTGGCGCTCTTTGCCAGACTTGGGAACAATTGTTCATCACCCGTCTCCTCATGTAGGTCTCTCACAATTCCATGCATTAAGCGTCAGCTTACGCAAACAGGGGCGTGGGAATGGGTTTAAAGGGATCCACTGTACCGATCTTCGCAGCCGAGAACTCACCAGCCCAAATCCGTGGAGCTTTAGTCATGAGTTGGTAGGTCATGCTCGTCTTCCTGCGTGGACTTGACGCTGATGGATACAGGCAAATGTGGACGGCGTTCGGAATCTTCCTGGGATACTGCGCCAACCTTGCAGTCTACCAAGTGCCAGTCATCGCCTGGCGACTCCAGATTGGATCAGCATTCATACCTGCCGTACCCCTCACGCTCGGTATCTTCTTCTGCCCTGAGTCTCCGCGCTGGTACATCAAGAAGAATCGCTACCAAAAGGCTTACCAGTCCCTTCTCCGGCTCCGCTTCCACCCAGTGCAGGCAGCCCGAGACTTGTACTACATTCACGCGCAACTCCAGATTGAGAAGGATATCGTTGGCAAGTCGAACTATGTTAGCCGATTCCTGGAGCTTTTCACTATTCCACGTGTGCGTCGTGCGACGCTTGCATCCTTCGTCGTTATGATAGCACAGCAGATGTGTGGCAGTGCGTGTGCCCACCTCCTGTTGTTAGTCACGCTAACGCTGTTCAGTCAACATCATCGCCTTCTACTCTTCAACTATCTTCCGCCAAGCTGGTGCATCGGAGAAGGAGGCTCTCATCGCCTCTTTTGGCTTTGGTCTCGTTAACTTTGTATTTGCATGGCCTGCTATCTGGACGATCGATACGTTCGGCCGTCGTACCTTGGTAAGTTTCCGGCAATCCTATAACGCTGCCCGGCCCGCGCGCCACCGAAAGCCGGAAGTTCGGTGCGCGTATTTGGCATACAACCCCGTCAGCATTTCGGGAGTAGAACGCTGCTAACTCTGAACAGCTCCTATTTACATTCCCGCAAATGGCATGGTCCCTCCTCGCCGCCGCATTCTGCTTCTACATCCCCGAAGACAGCACCGCCCACCTGGCACTCATTGCTCTCTTCATCTATATCTTCGCCGCCTTCTATTCGCCCGGAGAAGGGCCGGTTCCCTTTACCTACTCCGCCGAAGTTTTCCCCTTGTCCCACAGAGAAGTGGGAATGGGATGGGCAGTCGCCACATGCCTCTTCTGGGCCGCCGTGCTGAGCATTTCCTTCCCACTTATTCTCAATGCGTTCACCCCCACCGGCGCAATGGGCTTCTACGCTGGACTAAACATCATCGCCTTCTGCATGATATTTCTCTGGGTACCTGAGACTAAACAGCGCACCCTGGAAGAGCTTGACTATATCTTTGGCGTGCCAACTAAGCGCTTTATCAACTACAACTTCAAGGTCGCGCTTCCGTGGTGGATCCAGCGCTGGGTGTTCTTCAACAAGAACGCTAAGCTCGAGCCGCTGTACCATCTCGATCACCACTTGGATGGCGCGGACGATTCAGACACGGATACCAGTGGCCGCGCAAACGGGGCGTCCGATGCAGATGAGAAGACAGGCGCTGGGACGACGGATGTGAGCTGGTCCAATGGAGCGCACTAATTGCGTCGGATTTGCGATGCCAACCGCGGCGTGGAAAGGAGTATGAGCATCTGGCGAGTGCGCTGGACGGCTAGATTGTGAACGAGCACGAGATGAGAGATCTTAGGGTACCGTAATGGCGGATGCGAGACTTCATGGGCCCTTCAGTCAAATCGTGCTATACAGTGTCTCGGATATTTTCTCCCCCAATGCAAACCTCCTTCTCTCGTTCATGGCTCTGGATGCATACGATTTAGTACCACGCTTACGTTGTTACTTCTTGATTTCGTTTCTGCGTTCCACACGCAGACAATTATTTTTCGAATTGCATCCACATTTCCTTTGCCTCCGAACCTCTTCGGGTGCATGTCACCCCATTTCCAACTTAGCCAGCCAATAGGGCAGGCACAGAGGTATTGACATGGAATCTCTCTCTTTCTCTCCCTCATATATCACCCTATTTCTCTCGACCAGCTTTCAGCATTGCCAGATCGCGCTCCCTTGACATAGTCCTTAATCTAGGGAAGGCTGCAATTTTCTTAACCTTAAGCCCATCTGAATCAAAAGAATGGGTATAGGCACTGCGACCGCTCCTAGAAGGGCCAATACGCTATAGCCCCAGCCAATACCCACCTTCTCAATCAGCGACGGCCCAGCAAGTGGCAACGAGGCGGCGCCTGCGTTACGTAAAATAACAGTCCCTGCAGTTGCGGAAGCCGCATATATGCCGAACGCGTCGACTAGGTAACTCCAGGCCGAGATTGCTATCGAAACGTAGCCGTATCCAACCAATACAGAGAAGAGTATAGGAGCGACCCAGTGCGTCTTGTATTCCACCGACCATCCGAATGCGAGGATTCCACATGGAACCAGAATGCTACCCAAGAGCATCGGCAGGACACGATCTTCAGGACTTCCTTTACCCGCTTGTTTCTTCATTTGCATATATCGGTCAAGAAAAGGGCCCACCGAGAAGGTACTCAACACCATGCCGACTCCTATAGTGCTCCGTCAGACAAGCTCATTGATGTCGAAATAGGGAGAACGTACCAAGGCCGAAGTAAGTCAAGCCCAGAAATTGCTTCCTGAACCCATAGGTGGTGTCATAGACTTCGCTAATGGAGGTGATGATAACGTAAACCAAGCTCATACTGACTGCCCCGCACAAACCGACCAGCAGCACCACTGGGCAGAAAAGAAGCATCTTCAGTGGCCTCAAAAAGGACCTCGCTATCATAGCTGAGGGCGAAAGCTCGAGTTCGTATCGCGATCTCAAAGAAGCATTTCCCGTCTCCTTCCGCAGTCTCTCTGCCTTCTTTTGAAGAATGCGCACTCGGTATGTCTCTCGGTAGAAGATCAGGAAGAGGAGTTGAAGCGGTGCTGCGATCATAGCTGTGACCCAGAATGTCCTGCGCATGCGTTCTTTTGCGTTAGCTGACGTCCTGAACGTGGAGGAACGAGGGAACGAGCGCATTTTCAGAGCTCCGGAAAACTAAGTGCAATGCTTCTCATGTGTGGTCTTAAGTAGCTCAAGAAACGAGACACCTTCACCATCCGCACCGGGACATACGTACCATCGCCACCCACGAGCCTCAGCCACAAATCCACCGATGGTGGGGCCCAAGCACGGCGCTACAAAAGGAATCATACCCATAAGGCTCATCGCCTTTCCTCGGTGCTCCTCAGGGAACATGTCCCCAACAATGCAAGGATTTATAACCGTCGAAGCGACCGAGAAGCCCAGAAGAAATCTCATCGCAATGAGCATTCCCATACTCGTGCTTTCCGCGGCCGCTACCGTACAAAGGATGAAGAAAATATTCGCGGAATGGTACGCCGGAAGGCGACCAAAGGACTCCGATAGCGGAGCGATTACCAGCGGCCCGATGACTTCGCCGAGTTCCCAGATGGAGACGAGGAGCGTGGCTTGCAGTTTGCTCGAAGAGTGGAACTCGTCCAGAACGTATGATGTCGCGGGAGCACACATCAGAATTGCGAGGTTCCTGGAAGGTGCGTTAGTCTCGAGAGGCTCTAAGATATCCGTCATTGCGTGCGCGTTCTCACACTATCAGACTCAAGATTGAGATGAGGATGACCATGCTCCATTTGTATAGCGCAGACCAGTTCATGGGATTGCTTGGGTCGTCTGGGCCTTCGAAGTCGATAATGTTGTCCGTTGAGACATCGTAGGCGTCTGGTCCGTCATCGGCAAGGTCTTCGACGATAGGGTCGCCATTCGTCATATCCTTTACTTGGTATTCCATTCTCTCGGAAAGGCGTCCGCGCCTGCGTACTCTTCTGACGGGAATAATAGAAAGAGACGAAGGAGCACGGTCTAGCAGGAAGAGAGTGAAGTGCACCTGAAGGGTATGGCAGCATTAGGTCCGAACGCGGCCTCCGATCAAGAGTTTACTTGGGAATATTGAAAGGTTGGATTCCTCCTACTGCTTGCGTCAAGCAAGGTTATCGGCCGCCGGGCGAAGTATTGCCTCCGACAAACACGCACGAGAGATTTGTGAAGGATGCTCGTTGAGCGACGAACCATAATGCCGGGAATGCATATATTGCGGCGTAGGCTATGGAAATAACGACATGGTCATCGATTGGTTCCAAGTGTCGCCGGTCAAACACAACAACCCCACCAATCACTTATGGGATTTTCATCCCATAAGAACTTCGCCGCTCGGCTCTGGGACACGCTCATCAAGGCGAGGCGCACAACTTTATGTCTCATTCTGCTGCCTATAACGGACGCTTATCGCAAGGTATACCTGAAATCCGAGCCAATCACATGCTTGCAGCGCGATACAAAAACGGCCTTCCCGAGCCTCGCCGCCCGCGTAAACACCGGCTGGGGAAGAGAGAGGTGCCTGCACACAACTGCAGGAACGCAGGATGCATCACCACGGCCTTAATTCCCGGTGACTTGCCTCGGACCGGGCCTTGTCCCCGAAATGTATCTCAATGTCGGTCGTGATCACGGGAGCCTCCAAAGGAATCATGTCACTGTCAGAACCATGTGTCCGACCCTTTCTGGGGTATGTGGTGTTCGAGAATTTGCCGCTTAGTCCGTGGTTGCCTTTGGAATGAGTAGTCTGGAATCCGAATTGCTCGTGTAGAGTCTTTTTAAGGAGACTGTAAATAGATGGAAGGCATACGGCTATCAGAGCCATCCCGCATTCGAACGTTGTCCAATACAAGCCGGCCGTAATGGTTACTAGGGGAATTAATCAGCCCTTCTTTTCAAGCAGTAAGTAGTAATAGCGTGGTAAGGCTCTTACGGTTGTCAGAACCCTTAGCCTTAGACTTATATGTCGTCTTCAGGCTCTGAACCGCACGAACGAAGATGACCATCCTCGTAATTGACGCAGCAAGCGTTCTGCAGTCTGTCAGCACGCATGCGCTTTCCTACTAGAGTTAGGCCAACGTACACTGCACCAAACATAAACACCGTGAGAACGGCTAGTTTACGCGTGGTGGACATGTGTAGGCCCCACAACTATGTCGTTAAAGTCAGCGCTGAATCGTAGGCATAGGTAAGTTCCCTACGTACCAAAGGCATGGGGATGAGGAAAATAATAACATCAAGAATGAAATCGCTGATTGACATCCAGAAGTTCCAATCCAGGATGTGTTGGCAGTGCTGTTTAAAAGCAAGGAGCGTTCCCCAGAGGGCGGAGGGATGAGTGCCACATATGAAGAGGAAGCTGACGAAGAAAGATATTCCCCAGGCCGTGCATAGGAGTATCGTAAACCAAAGCCCATACTTGACGCGGTTTTCCACTCCTGTGCAAAAGACCCGCTTGTACAGGAATAAGAAGCCGAGTTTCGCGCAGGTAATGGCGGGGATTTGCATCATGAGAATCGCATACTCCAACTGTAAGCCAAATTAGCGACGCTGCATGAGCTGGCGAGGAGAACCTGCCTGCCGATTGATCGTGATTTCCGGCGCGGTGAAGTTTGGTAGATTTTTCGGATCAGCAGGCTGTGGTGCTGGATAAGCCAGAGCTTTACGTGCGACTCCTGGTGGGATCGGTTAATGGATACGGCTTCAATGGAATGATAGCAACAGTACCATATACCAGACCTACTCCCATTCCCGACGCCAGGAGCTGAAGAGATTGTCAGCAGAGTCGATCCGACTTTGGGCGGATTTGAAGCAAGCGTATGCTCCAAGTACACACAAATGCAGGAATAGTAAGCCAGTCTTCGACGAACAGGTCCAGCCGTTGCACGCGCTTGGAATAGAAGCGTAATACGACTAGGGCTCCGCTGACAAGAGGAAGAGTAACGCCAGCAGCAACGGTGGCAGCGGGACTGGGAGGTACAACGGCCGGAGACATCTCGATTGCTTGGAAAGTGGATATGACCAAAGAAACTTCGTTGAAGGAACTTTTTCAGGTAAGGCTGGAATTCTTCTGACTTTCAAGGCTCGCGCTTCTGCTCAACTGCCTCCTCAAACTCTGAGAACCAGACGCCGCATCCCTCCAAGGGACTGACCGGGATCGAAGCGTCAGGCTGCAAAGGACGACGAGCATTCCGGCAAGATGCCTGCCAACGGACTTCGTCTCAATTTCGACAAAACATTGATCCAGAACTCTGGATACTACAGCGTTTGTGAGGTGTGGGGGCGCTTATCGTTCCGTTGATGTCCCGCCCGGAGGACGGGAGTTGATTACCCGCTGCAAAGATGCTGCGCCACATAGCTGCTTCAATACCTATACATTATAGATTGCATGCCGTCCGCGGGCGACCAATCGCAGACGAGCTGCTGTGACCTTCCTAAAACCGATCGAAGTGCATCTAACCGTTTCAAAGTAGAGAAATGAGATTTCAGAATGATAGCGCATACGAGCATAAGTAATGATTCAATTGACTTGAATGAAGTCGTTGTTCAACCTAGTCTAAAGAATGACGAGCGACATCCACGGCTGGAGTTGGATTGCAAATGACAATGAGGAAAAGGTCGCACAAAAGTCTTGAATTCTTCTCATAGAGATCATCCCATTATCGCGGCTTGCCGAGAGGCACAGCTTCCTCCTTTCAAGTGTCTTTACACGTAGCATCCTGAGCACGGCTCTAACATTAGGCGTTGAGAACGGCAGGATCCTCGATCCCCGTCCGTGCATTCAAGACCGCTGGGTCCTCCAATTCCGCACGCGCGTTCAGAACCATTGGATCTTTCAACTCGGACCGGGAATTGAGAACAGCCGGATCTTGCAACTCAGTGCGAGCATTAAGGACCGGCGGATCGTCGAGTTCGATCCTGGCATTGAGGACTGGAGGATTCGCGATCTCCCCGACGGTAGCCTTGAGCGCCGTCGGCGCGGCATCGACAAAGGCACTTAGGGTCAGTGCGAACCCCAAGAGTGCTGAAGAACGCATGTCGAGCTTTCCAAGGTTGTTGGGGTCCCAAACTGCAGCAATTTTCACGTCAATGATGCCCTCAGTCTTGTAACATAGTCCACTTACGGCTTTAACCGCAGAAATTCCGAAGAATCGAAGAGTTTATGGAAGGCGTGAGGTTCGGAGAGAGTTGAGGTGGGTAGAGATTATTTCATAATTCGCTCGAGTCCACTTGCTTTATAGTGGAAGGGCATTGCTCGGCAGCAGCAAAAAATAACCGGACTCTCACTTTCGACGTAAGCTGTGTCCAGCCCTCTTCGAGTGCGGGTATAAATTTCCTTGTTTGCTCACAGAGCTGCGCTTGCTATAGGTAAACCAATGAACGAATGGATATGAGTCCCACGACCAAAGTAGTCGGCGAACAGCTGATATTGAATGCAGATCCTGTAAGTAACTGCTCAGCAGGGAAGCTATCGAGGTTGCCTTATTGCATCATGAAGGATGTTGATCCATGTCTTTGCCTCAATGGTCTTACCCGTCCCAACCGCTGCACTCGAGTCGGTGACTCCGTTGCATGGTCATTATCTGTTGGCGCTGGCCTCGAACAATTGCAGCATGCAATGCAACAGGGGGTAGCGCTGAAAGTGAGTTCAGGTGCATCAGGAGGCAATTAGGTGGCATAGCTGCCTATGCTATTGCTTTCTTCTTCACATACGACGTTCTCTGGGCCGTCCCCTGGGATCAAAGACCTGTTCCTAGTCTTGACTCGCAAGTTTCTACAGCCGCGGTCTACTCATCTTTCGTCCGAAATGGCATACCCGGAGGCGAAATATCGTCTCTTAGACGACACTACTATCGAGAATGGGTCTTGTCACGAAGACCGCACTGAAGTGAATTCCCAGATACCCATCAGCGCACCTTCTTCTCTCTCGAAGCTCATTTGCCTCGTTTTGATTCCCTCAATTGCCCTCAACGTCTTCGTTTTCTGGACTAGTTATATGGCGAGGTCGGAGAGGAGTCTATGCATATCAGAGTATAGTAAGTGACCCTAACAACTCTCAGCTTCTTTCTCTGAAATAAGATAGTACTGACATCCACCACTTCGCAGCCGGCCTCGGTCTCACAGTTGAGGATGCCTACTGGCAGCACACTGAGTATCTGAGCGAAAACGGTTCCACATCAGACCAGCTATGGGAGGCCATCGACACAAGCCCTAATACAATTGCTCTCGATAAAGACTATGTCAAGAAACACGGCCTGGGCCCGTCCATACCATTCCCCTGGGATCAGTCAAAGGGACTCTATCTCATCAAAGCATTCCACCATATGCATTGCCTTGTAAGTCTCGCGGGTGACATTCCAGGAGCTTCCGGTTAACTTCCTCAGAAAAACATACGAAGAGCATATCTTGATGCTTTAGGCGCGCATCCCAGCGAAGCACAGCTTATACCCCGGGAGCATGTGCTTCACTGCCTCGACACTATTCGGCAGGATATCAAGTGTCGCCCGGATGATACGCCCATGCCTTCTATCCAGCAACTTCACAAGTGGGGAGACGGGCAAGTACGGAAATGCAAGGACTGGGACGCATTGGTTGAGTGGACTCGAGACCCGCGTAGGCATGCTTGTTTTAAGATGCTTAGTGATTATCGACGTGTTCCACACAGCTTGGAGCAATTCGCCTTTTGCTTGGAAGGAAGCCCCTACACTCATATCATGGAAGCATACTTTTCAGAGCATGGGCACAAGGACCCGTTCGCGGAGGACTCAGAGAAGGGAAAACAGCCACTTGTAAGCGGGAGTGAAACGTACTGAATATGGCGGACTTTTCATACCCAAATTCGTCTGGTAGCATAATGAGGCTTTCGCTCAGGAACAGGGACCTAAAGTGTTCTACCAATCTGCAGGCGCAAACCGTCCCTCACCCGGAAATAAGTCCTGCGAACGTATATCCAATATTCCCCTGCCGTCCTCCACCATTGCCTGCTATCTGTTAAATTAATCAACGCCAGAGAATCGGGATGTTGCGGGCAAGCTCCGGGCTTTGAAGGGGTACCATGCTGTTCGCTGCCTATAGAAGCCTCGAAAATCAATCCTTCACAGCTGCTTTTGGGAGGGCGCGACATAATCATAAGCGTGCATGAGGGGGTGGGGAATTCAGGGAATACATCCGTTTGCGGCAGAGTCAAAGTCCGTGATCAGCTCCCAATCACTCCCAAAAAGGCACAGTGCATGCTGACATGTACAGGGCTGTATCATGCATGCAACCCGATCACCGACAGTTTGGTAGACAAATTAAAGTACAGCTTCCGTCCCACAGCAGCGGAACCGTTGCCGTGCCGCACACTTTTACCCGCCGCCACCCATTGTGCACACCTGGGCAGGATTGAAGGGGTCCAACGTCTACCCCCCTCACCAAGTCAACTCTTCACACGACTAAGCTTCTCATTTCTGAACCAAACTTGTCATCTCTTCCCACTTCCACTCTCACCATTGTCATGGCTAGCCCCGTTGCGGTTCCCGAGGAGAAAGCTCCCAGCAGTTTGGTAGACGAAAATGGCACTGATGGAAGCAGCCGGTCACAGCTCGCCGAAGAGCTGGCTGTTAACGAGCGGGCTTTGATATTGAAAATGGACCTACGCATTTTGCCTGCCCTTGTAGTGGTCTACATCATGGCATTCATTGACCGGTTTGAAAACTGGACTCCTTTCAATAAGTCTAAACTAACTGATGCGGTAGTGTGAACATCGGAAATGCTAACCTTTTCTCGCTGAGCAAAGACTTGCACTTGAACAGCAACCGGTACAACATCGCGCTCGCCGTCTTCTTCGTCTCGTACATTGTCTTCGAGATCCCAGCGAACATCGTGATGAAGAAAGTGAAGCCGCATGCCTTCAGTACGTTCTTCGAACTTGGAAAATTGAGGCTCGCGTCCTTCTGACGAGGCTTCAGTATCTGCTTCCATGTTGCTTTTCGGCCTGTTGGTGATCATACAAGGGCTCGGTAAGACCTAGCAGAAATCACGAAGCGTTCCCTACTAAGAAATGTCAGTCCACAACTTCGGCGGCTTAGTCACAACGCGCTTTTTCCTAGGCATCGCAGAAGCTGGCGTGTTTCCCGGATGTAAGCAACAAACGCTCTACCTTAGAGAGTAGCGTAGCATTAGCTAACAGCGGGGAGGTTTCTACCTCCTAAGCATGTGGTACAAGCGTCTCGAAGCCCTCAAGCGCTTTGCTTTCTTCGTCAACGCCGCTACATTTGCCGGGGCTTTCGGCAGTCTCCTCGCCACCGGCATCGGGCACATGGACGGCATACGGGGGTACCATGCTTGGCGTTGGATTTTTGTCCTCGAGGGGCTCGCTACGTGCGTGCTAGCCATCGCGGCCTTCTTTGTCGTGTCCGATTTCCCAGAGAATTCAGGCTGGCTGAGCGATGCTGAGCGCGCATATGTTATTGGCAGGCTGAGAGAGGATCAGGGCGATTCTGCGCTGGCTACGACGTTTACGTGGAAGGGGACGCTGGTGGTGCTGAAAAAGCCCGAGACTGTCATAGCAGGGTTCATGTACTTCGGTCTGACAATGTCCGGATACAGTAAGTCAAACCTCAATCAGATTCCAGCAAGGGAGAAAACGCAGATACTCACTACAGATCCACCAGGTCTCGCCTACTTCATCCCCACCATCGTATCCTCCTACGGCTACTCGCCGATCCAATCCCAGATCCACTCAATTCCGCCCTGGGCAGCTGCATTCGGCTTTTCCATGCTTGTCGCATACTTGTCGGACAAAGTGCGCCGCCGCTTCCCCTTCGCGCTCTTCAGCTTCCTCATGGCGCTGGCCGGCGTCATCACGCTCTTTCGCCTGCATCACAACAAGTACGCTCAGTATGGGGCGCTCTGCTTGTACACCATGGGCGTCTTCGGCGCCGTTCCAACCGTCATTTGCTGGTACGTGATGAACCTTGAGGGGCATCAGGAAAGGGCGATAGGTACAGCGTGGCAGATTGCGTTTGGGAATACGGCGGGGATCATCTCGACGTTTGCTTTTCCGGCGGAGGATAAGCCGATGTATCGGTCGGGGTATGCGACGGCTATTGCTTTGCTGTGCTTGAGTTTGGGCGCTACGGTTGCGTATTATGTTTTGTGCGTGATGGGAAATCGGAAGAGTGATCTGAAGAGGAAGTGCATACTGTAAGATCAGCATCTGCTTGCAAGGCTGAAGGGGGAAAGTCAGAAAAAGAAGACAGGAATTGTGTGGAAGACCTACAGGATGAGTAATGGTAGAATAGATAAAAATAGAACCGGTGAGGCTGGGGAGAGTTGCGCAAGAACCACAAGCTAGACTTACCTGCCTTACTCGCTCGGAGTTCGCACCTCAACACGTTCCTTCGTCTAGCCATCCTCTAGTATCCCTATTATTGGGGTTAGACTAGATCGTTTGGTATCTCTAAATGAGAAATCAGTGAAAGTTAGTCACATTGTTCAAGCGAAATCGTCCAATTCTGGTTCAAGCGAGGTGAGAAAACAGAAAAGGAGAGAACGGAGCTTGTCAAGCCCGTCAGAGCTTCAAATACCGCATGCAGGAGCGGGAAAGATCATAAGTGACATGAGAGGGTCAGTATACACGAACTAGATGCTCGTTGCCCTAGATGGACCACTGAGGACGATTTGCTTTTCATTGAGAATCGCAGCCATAGCAACACCGCCTTTTCGAAAACCATCAGAAAATTGAATGTCGAAAAGCTCCATCGGAAGAGAGCTCTCCTTAGACTTTCTTATGATGACCCGACCACCCACCATGCACCACCTCTTCACCCAAACCCTCCTCATCCTTCCTTGAACTATGCGTCTTCCTCGTTACATACTCCATGCCCTGTCCGCTATGCGTATTGCTGCCGCTGTTCGAATGCGAGGCTCGAGCCTCGTAGTCTTCTTGGTCTTGATGTTGTTTCATGGCGCTCTTGGAGGTGGTGTTGGGCTGGAAGGACTCAGCGTCCTTGGTGCCTTCTATATGTGGATGTTCCGTTAGCAAATACGCAGTGGAACGTCATAGGAGGATTTATGGCGTGGAAGAGAGGAGAACTTACCCTGAGCGGCTTCGCGCGCATCGATCTGCGCTCGAGTGAGATCGTGCTGTGGGTTCGGCATTGTGTATTCAGGTTTGAATTTGAGACTTAGAAACGTTTGTGTGTTCTTCTCTTGTTGTGTGCTGCAACAGCGAGCGTCAGTACATAGCATCGGGCGCTGCGGTTGTTGTATAATGACTCCAGTTCTTCGACGTCATGGCTACGCAAGGCAAGACGCGCTGTAAGAACGTCATACTGGAGATATGTTTCTGTCAGAGCATCATTTGCGCTGAAGCCTTCTCGGCGATGATCCATTGATCTTCACTACATTCACAAAGTTTAGGTATCTCACGAAGGTATCTGAATACTGCACATCACGTGATGCATTCTTTGGCACCCCTGGTCATGATTTGAATATTGTCATTTACTGGATATCTAGTATCATAGATGCTTGTAGGGCTGGACTCGACCGAGTTACTAGAGTCATGTCTAAGGCCGCTGTTCTGCTTTGGATACCGACGCACCAAACTTCGCCGGCTTCAGCCTCCCCTTCAAACACGCGAATCATATATCCCCTTCGACGAGCATGCCAAGCGCTTCGGTTGAGTGCGTGAGTGATATTTGAATGATCACGAGATGTTTGGCCATTGGATATCATCGACATCTTCATAGGTGTCAATTTCCTCTGGTGTGCGGGGAGCAGAATAAGCCAAAATGCCGTCGTCTTCCTCGTCAGATGGTATCCACTCTGTAGCCTTTTTGATCTCCTTCCAGCTCATACTACCGGACCATGCACGAATGTCAGTTGCTTCGTCGAATGGGGGATTCGTATTCTCGGCAATATTTGCGCCGTGGCCTCGCTTGACCACCACGAGGAGCTCCTTTGTCAATCCCGGCCCGGCGATTAGGTCTCTCTCCTCTCCATTACCATACCGATCCCCGTCTTGTTTAGTTGGTACTTGTACGAATGGCTCGCGGTTACGGGGGTGGATAATGGATCCTGGGGTGTTGATTAAGATTGAGCGGTCGATCATGACAGAGGCGCCCGAGTCTCCTCCGTCCCTCTCTCCTATCTGTGCATTCCAAGCGCTAGGTTGAGGTTTGCGACGATATTTCTCGGAAAAAGGGTCGGAGTCGTATTGTGGGGCCGCTTTGAAGCCAAGCATAGAGGAGTTCGGGCAGATGTATCGAAGCTCCCTCCAACCATTGCTCCGGTCAACTAGGCCATTCAGCGTATCGTACGCAACTTCGCCGTAAGGACAGGCGAGGACGGTTAGCGTGTCAAGGCGCAGGTGTGGTAGCAGTTGAAGAACAGAAGCTGTTCGGTAAAAGACGACGTCGTCATGGTCGATTGGCTGGATCATGAGCGACATTCCAGACATCCGTACGTGACGGACTTTGGACAAGTCCGCTGTTGGAAGCGGAGAGAGGGTATCAAGTAAGGCTTTAGGAGTCTCAAAGTTGAACAGAACAAGACCAATCCACAGAGGCCGAGTCTCCCGATAGACCTGTCGACAAATGCGTAGGAGTGCAAGGGCGGTGGGCGCACTTCTCATCCGCTTGCGGCAGATGCGAGAAGTCGAACGTTCGCCGAAGGTCAGTCTCGTCGACCCAAGCACCCACTTGTAAATTGTGTCGCGCAGTTCTCCAGGGAGCTGCAGCAGTTGGCTATTTGGTTGTCGAGCCCAGACAGCCGGTGCTAAAGCGCGTTGGGCCTTCCGCTTTTCCTTCCTCTTCTTGGAGGCGGGCATCTTCGGGTATGTGTTGAATAGCAGCGTCAAAGACGGTTGTTGATCGTTACCGGGACTGAAGGTGGGAGAGGAATTTTGTTTGTTGTCGTTAGGCTGCACGCGGCAGGAGCGTTTGGCCTCGGGCTTGGCAGCCTCACTGGGGAACCTTCCAATGATGCACCGCCTATATTCCCCTCTTTACGTGACTACGCGACGCATGAAAATGCGCAGCTTCTGATGGACGTTGACACCATTCATTACATCAGTGGTCATCGGTATTAAGATCCACCCAAACTCTTCGGGGGCGCCATTCTATGGACCATTCGACCTCGTCGCAATTCATCGTTCACCATAGCTTGGGCGGCTGGATACTTTGTTCTTGGCTATGTATCGACACCGCATTTCTTTCTTGAAGTACTGCAGGCGATGGGAGTGAGAAATGGCAGGCTAGTCTATATCGGGTTTAGCGTGTACATTCTCCATGACTACTCTAGGCTTTCAGTACCTAGGTAGGTAGGCGGAGAACCGTCCACCAGCCCGCGATGTTGCTGCCAACTACCGACTCCAAGTTTGCATCGTTAAAAGAACTCAACTGTTACTGAACGATATCATGTTTGGACGCGGCGTTTTCCTAACAGAGAGCATGAGCCTAATCCCTGCTCTCCCGAACGCTTATTCCAGCAAGTTGCACGCGGTCCCTAATAGCAGCTCAACGGGCATTCCCATTCATGTCGATTCTTATTCCTACCAGAATTCTCAAGTAATTGCCCCAGACTGGACGATAACCCAGTCTTCGTTAGCTGGAGGGAGTCCTGCATCAGTTCGGCCTGCGGGCGAGGAGCACTTCAGACAACAGATCCTGCAGATATGAGCGGAGCTGATGGGGGAGCTGAAATTCAAGAGCGCGGACGAAAATGCAATATATGCACTGAGAGCTATGTGTACCAAAGCAAACTCTTGTAACTAAATTCTACGGCGCCCGTGTGCGACTGTACCGCGATATAGGTGAGGTGAAGTAACAAGTCCACGTGAGAGGGCTCAAAGACGAATCAGCTCCATTCTAGTATCAATCTCTGCATGCCTCCGTCGGGAGTATGACAGAATGCAGTTCCGAAAGAGGGAGATGAACCCGAGTCTTCGGATACGGCGCTCTCTGAAACCCTTGGACCCCAGTTTCCGCAGTCGAATCACAGAATAATTGCAAGACTGTGATGGGCCGAGTATTAAGAAGCGGTCTTGAAGCCGTAGGCGAATCTGATGCGAAAGGATTACGTCACCAAATGCTCACTGCGCGCTGGATGGACGACCGTAGCATGACCTCTTTCGGGTCAGTGACCCGGTCAAAGACAGCCCCATGAGATCTCTGATTGGGCCGAGACCAATAGCCATACGCGTGACGAGAAGCTGAAATGAGCTCACCGTGGGCTAGCGCGAGAGATAACGCTCGTGTGACCGAAGCGCGGCCGTAGTTTGGGCTCGGTGAGCTGTACCGGCGAGCCATGACACCATACCGCTATCAGACCGCTCTCAAAACGCTAGGCAGCAATGACTCTTATCGAAATCACGCGGCCGACGACAAGCGAGCTGTCGTCACGTGTGGTGCCGCTCGGGCCAGCTCCGTACGTCTATATAAGCCTGGCCCCCGCCCTCCCACCTCCACTTCTCTTATCCACTCCACTCCACTCCAGTCCAATCTTCACGGCCTGTCTCTCACTCTCAAAGCCATTATCGCTCTTGCTCTACAAGACCTCAACTCCACTCTATTCAACCACGAGCGAAGTCTTCGACTCGCTCCTTCCGGTTTGGGTGCCAATCAAAACAACGGGCTTCACCTTCACCCACAACATGTGCCTCACCTCACCGGCACCCTCGAGCAACGCCATGGCTACATCCACCGCTCTACCTCCATGAGAGCATCACGTAAGTCGCCTCGTCTTCCATCGTTGCGATTGTACTAACACTGTTCAGGCTTTCTAAGCTCTCCAAGACACTTCTATGAGACGTCACATCATGCCCTCTGCTCAATGAGCTCGAGTTCACCAATGACGTCGACGCGGCACTAGCCACCAAACGCGTGTTTTCGCACTCGCTACCAGTCAACACTTGGACGTACCACTCCATCCTCTTGTGCGACAACTTGACGCGACCTTCGTCCGTCAACCATTCTCACCTCATGCCACAAGGCCACCATCGTGAGTAATTTCCTCATATCTCCCACTTCTCTGACCTTGACTGACCAGCATCCAGAACAAACAAAATCTTCCGCCTTCACCAGCAAGAGCTGTCTTCGTCCTCATCTCGACTCGCTCATTCTCTACCTTCACCAACCTCGACATTTTCGCTATCACCAAACCTCCACCAATATCTTCTCTCTCACCTCGCTCCTTCATGGAACTCATCATGTATGTCCCCACCACCCTCACCGTATAATCGTTTCCTGACTTGCTCCAGGTTTACTGTACTGGTCTCTGTAGGGTTGGACTTGGACCTTAGCGTTTTGTTCTTTCCTTCCGCTCCGTTCTCCGCGCCTACTCTAAAGCTGAGTTCACGCCAAGGTACGAAACCGCCCGGGGTTTCGTACTCTGGGGTGAGCTCAGCTGCCCTTGAGAGTGGGTGCGGATATTATCTGCTTCTGTTTTCAGTAGTTAGTTTGTCATGGACTTCGGCAGCCAATCAAATACTTTTCACATCATCATCGTGCCTTTACCTTGCCTCGACGTAACGTCTCTCCGCCTTGTGCTTTGCGTGTCTGCCTTTGCCCAGTGCGGAAGGTGGTCACCCAGCTTCCCTTCCTAGATGGGTACCAAGCCTACCACGCTACGTTCCCAACATCAATCGAGTGACTCTTACAATGTCCATCGAGTGAATTGGAGGGTTCTGTATGGCCTAGCTACAAGTATCTTGCGGGGAGGAGTCCTCGGAGCATATAGATGGTTTGGGGAGAGTTAGAAGTATCTAGCGCGACGACTGATGGAAACATGGAACTAAGCAAATCTAGATGGAGAGTCCTTAGCGGAATCATTGCATGAACTGCTTGGTGAGTAGGAGCCCTTATTTACACGTTGACATCCTCCCGATGTTCGGCAATCATCTCGTTCTTGATCTCCATATCCATCTGCTGCCTCTGCTCGTCCGTCGCATCCGTGAGATGCACAAGCACCGGGTCACCGAAGAGTTCCGCCAGCTCCTCCAGGGACTTGCCTTTCGTCTCGGGATACATAAAGTATATCACGACGACTGACACCACTGTCAAGCAGGCAAAGACTGATTCGTAAGTCAGAGGTTGTCCGTTGGGTGAGTGGCGGGTTACAACAAGGAGAAAAGCGCATCACTTACTGACGAAATACTTGTAACCGATATTTGCGATGGCAGTAGCGCCTGGCGTCACGAACGTTATGCAGGCAATGAAGTACGTTGTTGTTGCCATTGCGACGCCTGGAGACCGAATGTTGGTGGGCAGGATTTCGGCGCTGTAGATGAAGCTCGCGGCGTCGATGAAGAGTCCGTAGAAGAAGACGAACCTTACGAACTATTAGCTAAGACGGATCACGGACGAAGGCCGTTGCTCGTACATCATAATCGCCACAATGGCTACTTTCTGCCCTGCAATGCTAGGCGTCGGCCCTTCGACGAAGCGTCCCACCATCGCCGCTTCGACGACGACGCAGATGAGAACGCCAGTAAAACCGGTGAGAAGTGCCTGGCTATGTCAGCAACTTGGTAGCCAGAAGGTGGCAGCTGGCGTACAAAGCGGCGTCCAGTCTTGTCTACAGTGAGGAGCGAGAACAGATTTCCACATGCGCCAATCTGCGTGTATACGCAGTACATAAGAAGCGGGAAGAACGTCTTCAGGCCGAGGTTCTCGTAAATGATGACAGAGTAGTAGTTGATAACGAGCGCGCCGGTAGCGTTTGCCGCGTACTGGACGAAGCAGGAGAGGAAGGCTCTCTTGCGATAAGAGGGCGTCCGCAGGATAGCGAGGTAGCCGCTGGGATTGTGGGACTCGAATTCGATCTGTTTCTTCATCTGGTAGAACTCCTCGTGGGCGGCAATCTCATCGAGGTCGCTTGGATCTTTGTGCAGCCTGCTGAGAACCGCCCACGCTTCGTCAGTGCGCCCTTGGGCGATCAGCCACCTGGGCGACTCTGGGATCCAGAAGCAGCCGATGAGAAGAATTAGCGGCGGTATGCATGTAAAGGCTAGTGGACCTCTCCATCCAAAAGTGAGGTTATCCGAGAAGAAGCATCCAAAGCCAACCCATGCGGAGATATTGTATCCAGAAACCAGGAAGAAGCCGTGAAGTCCAGTCAGCATTCCTCGCTTGGAAGGAGTCGAAGCCTCTGAGAGGTAGATGGGGACCAGTGTTGCCAGAGCACCCAATCCAGAGCCCTGGAGGATGCGGACGATAATGAGCATAGCGATGTGGACGCTGCCCGCAGTCAAGGCGCCACCAATAATGGCAATAAGTGCGGCCCCGAAGAGGGTCCATTTCCGGCCTATTTTGTCAGCTAGCGGTCCGCCACCGAGGGCACCGAGGCAGGCGCCGAAGAAGAAAAGCGCATTCACGGCGCCGAGGATGTGGTTGGTGTACGCGGCTGTCGGCCCTGTTGTGGCCAGGTTGAAGTAGGCAAAAAAGCCGGGCTGTCCAATACTGGTGGCGAAGGAGGCAAATCCTAGTTTACGGTTAGCTGGTACTCGAATCTGGACGGTCAGAAGTACCAAAGCCATATGTGAAGCTGCCAACTGCCACAATCAAGCCGACTGCAATGTTATACCCACTCGTTTTCGTCATTTTTCACCGGCAATATACCACCCAGAACAAGCAGGCTGAAGAAGGGCCCGTAAAGAGACGCTGATTGTGGTCGTCTGCTCGAAAATTCGCAGGACGCGGACCTTTATTTGTAGCTTGCAAGCTTCCTTTCGGCAGGGTCGAGTCAAGCAACAAGCTAACCTGGCGAAGTGGGACCTATAGCTCCATGATTGCCATTTGCCCCATGGGGTAGCCAGCTCTATAATGGGCCGGTCGAGTGCTCAGGATCAGGGCGGGAATCTGTGCCATGCGGGAGACGATATCCGGAAAGGTGGAGAGCTGATAGGTATGTGCTGGGGGTTTCATTTTTGCCGGCACGATGGAGTCTCGAACATCAAAGCATGCATCTGTTGGTCGTCACGATGGTTGAAAGATGGAATAAGAGCATTTGCGGTGGGCTTGAGACGCTGCACACTTGTACCCGCATTTAAAACTGTTACAGTGGCCGGGTTGCGGGGATGCGCTAGCCAAAATGCGCCTTAGCGCGGACGCTACCAAAAGTTCATCCCGAAGTCGCGTCCGCTGCATCGCAAAGCCTCCAACGTGGGAATGTCGCCGGTCGCGCGCCTGCCCTCCGTAGTCACCTTCGTGCCTCTCCTCTCGCCGCCACTCCGAATATCGCTGCGAGCTTGCCGATGGCTCCGTCAATGCCCAACCGCCGCTCCCTCCCTCCGTCCACCGCAATGTCGCTCGCTGCATCTCTACAAAACGGCCCGGGCAAAGACTCTCCTCGGAATGCACAAGGTCCTTCACTTCGATCAATACAAACTCGAACACTACCGTGCGTCACCGCATCGAATAAATCTGTTGGATAGTTCATCGGGCAAAGCGATTGCGGAGGGCTTGAAACTGCAAGAGGTCTACGATTTCTACATCAAACCTGGCCACATGCTGTATTGCTGCCAACAGTTTCATAAGACGACGGCGGAGAATGTGGACAAACTGAAACAAGAAAGAGTTTATGAAAACTGCAATAATTATGCCATCGTGCAAGCGCACAGCACGCATTTCAAGCTCCCTGCTCTCAGGAAGATGAAGAAGAAGAAGGGGGAGGAAGAGGAGCAGGAGCAGCAGAAAGGCCAAATCACGAACTGGGACGGGATAAAGGAGATACACCTGAATCTTTCGAGCCCAGTGGAGTATTGGAAGATGTCGCTAGATCGCGCATATCAGTTTGTCGAATCCGGGCATCCCGTGGAGATGAACTTCCGAATTAGAGGCAAACACACCAGCAAGCAAGAGAGGCTGTTGCCGGGACCGAGTGATCGTTGGCCGTGGCTGCACAATTACTTTCCGCACATGCGACCAGACTTCATCCTAAAGGCCATGCCCGAGGGGACCTTCTTTCTGGTCAAACCTGTCTCCGACGGCCGGCATGTGCAGTGGGTCATGGCGCTACCTACAAAGCAGCATACGCGAAGCTTCGATCTTACCAAGAAGCTGCTCAAGGTGAAGGAGGGGGTGAAAAAGTCGATTGAGCAGGGAAAACAGCCCGGGTTGCCGACGGCGATGCGGCTGAACCTGATCAACGACGGCCATGAGGAGTATTCCCTTGAGTCGGACAAGCCCAGGGATGCTGCGCGCTCTCTCCGGGATGAAGACATACGGTTTGGAAGCCAGTCGCTCGACTCGATCTCTGCAGAGAAGATGTACCGGTTATCGACTATGGAATCGGCCAAGCAAGTCACGAGTGCGGTGCGCGAGGGCAGATTGATCTTCCCCACAGAAAACCGATACATGGCCCCAAGGAAGGGCAGTAAGGCCAAAGGGGAATGGAAGCACAAGCAGAAGGAGCGCGCAAAGCAGAGGAACCGGTGGCAGCGCGCAAGAGCGTAGCGCGGGCTGTGCACTACCTATTGCGGCATTGGCTTACGCGACCGGAAGTCGGTCCTGTGTATGAATATATATGTATGTGCTATACTGTAGATGTATGAGACAATGAGCCTCTTGACGCCGATCCGCGCGCACCCGGGGGGCGCTGTGCAACGGTGATTGGCGTGGTGTTTAACAGCAGATGGTCGTCATGCTTGGCACGGCACAGGGCTGACTGTCCACATTTCCATGACGGAGCGCCGACCGGGATTCCTCCGCTCACTCACGCCCACCGTTCACCCCGGGTCGCTGTCCACGAGAATGCAGGGCCCTTAGACCGCATGCCATTCCGCTGCATCCAGTTACCTCGTCTCCCGCCGACCGCGTCCGCCGCGCCTCTGCTCGCAACTCGCCGCACCGCCGCTCTCATCCCGGTCTGCTGCTCGCGGTACGCCGGGCTCCCGCACGCACGCCTTCGATGAATGCCGCACGCCAGGCCTGCCGCCCGAAACACCAGGTGCTGGTGCTCAAGTGCTACCCGAAGTTCCAGAAGAACAATGTCGAGGTCAAGGCCAACTCCAGCGAGCTGAGCTACCTGCTCTACTATGCGAGCACGCGCCGGAGCAAGCTGCAGAAGGTCGGCGACTTTCTGGACAAGCGCACGACGGCCGACGTCTGGAAGGGCCGCATAGGGTATGTATGCGCTGTTGCGGTTGTGCAGGACTCAAGGGTTGGCTGACCGGCGCAGCAATGTCCAAGTCACGCTCCAGATCCTCAGGGCGCTCATCGAAAAATGCCCACGCGACATCCCCCTCTACGCCGGCGCCGTGCTGCGCTGTCTGCGGACCATCCTCAAGTCGAGCGACGTGGCCATGGTCGAGGAATCCGTGCCGACCCTCGAGGCCCTCTGCGCACACCAGGACCCCGCGAACCTCGCCGCCGACCAGGACTACATCATGCAGTATGAGGAGATTGTGCAGCTGTACGCGCAGTTTGCGTCCAAGGAGGTGGTTCAGACGGGCAAAGCACCCATCAGCTGGCCCGTTGCCATCAGATTTCGCAAAGCTGGCCTGCGGGCGCTCAAGGCAGTCGCCGCGTCGGAATCGCTCGGATCCGAAACCGGCCGCCAATTAGCCGTCATAATACCAGTCATTCTGCTGAACATGTTCTCGGAAAACGGCGAGTATCTCAGGCGACTCGAAAGCCGCGAGAATCAACAAGAGGAGCACGAGAAGGAGGAGGCAGTGCGGCGGCGGCAGAGCGTCTCGACAGCGAAGACAGACGACGAGGAGGGTGACCCAGTCGCCGCATCCGGCACTACTGAAGAGGCGGACAAGCTTGCTGAAGAGGAGGTTGGTGTAGTCGCGCTACAGGCGCTAAGGCACATCTTTTTGGGCGTCAACCGCGGACAGCTCCGACTTGCGACATCCGCCGTGCTAAAGTTCGTTGGGATCCACGTTAAGCCGCATGCACATCTGCGCGACCGCGAAATCGGAAACTGGGCAACAACACTAATGTCTATGGTTTGTGCATGGGCACCGGTACAAGATCGATATGCCATCCTGGTAGGCGCAATGGAGGCCCTCATCCGGAGCCCGATAGTGGAAAATGACCTAGAACGGCAACTGGTTTTAGCGACTGTGATCAACTACCTCCTAAGCTCCACCATCAACTTCATCGGACTCAGCGTAATGGACGTTTTGGTCGGCCTTATCTCACACACATTATTACTCCTTCAGTTGGGCGGCCCTGGCACAACTGTCATGCCCCACCCTCAGCAGACCACGTCAGTAATGTCTGAAAAGGAAGCAGGCGATCCAAAATCCTCTGGGAATCTTGGGGGCGTGGTCGTGGAGCTAGTCAAGGAACCTTCACCTTTCCGGTTGGAGCTGCTAGACACTGTGAAGAGGTGTATGGCGAGCTTAGCGACCCACGTCTACTATACCGACCAAATATCCGACATGGTTGGAGCGATCCTGAGCCGCCTCAAACCCTCTCCTTCGTCTGGAGTCTCTAACGCCCTAGAAGCCATCGAAGATCCTGTGGGAGCCGCAAATGCCGTTGCTAGCTCAGCTAGCCTCCAAGAAAAGTTTCCGCACGTGGATCGATTTTTCTCCTTCGAAACGGCACGTCTTACAGCACTCGAAACGGTGAAGAGCATTATTAAGACGGCCAACACACGAAGGCCTGACGGATCCTTCGTCTCAGTCTCACGGGGCTCCGTAGGCGTAAGAGCGTGGGAGGGCACGCAGTGGCTCTTGCGCGACCCCAGCGGGCAAGTTAGGAAGGCGTATGTTGATGCAGTGGTCACCTGGCTAAACTTGGAAAAGAAGAGAGAAGACTTAAAGATTGTTGACGACTACCGAAAGAAGGAGAATGATAAAGGAGGGCTCGCAAGACGCGCGGTATCTAACGCATCGCAGAGGGAGAAGTCGCCGAAGCGAGGAAAGCATACATTCCTTCCTCTCCTTCACCTGGCCGTATATGAGAACGCCCTACAATACGTTGATTCGGAACCCGACCTTCTTCTATTACATCTCCTATTGACCACTTTGATCAACAAACTCGGCGTCAACGCTCTGCGAAGCGGATTGCCCATGATTTTACGACTCCAAGAGGACATTCAGTCGATGGACAGTCCTGGCGCAAAGATGCGGATAGGCAGCTTGGTCCACGGCTATCTCTGGGCTCTCAGCATGGCTATGGACTTTGAGACATCTTCGGTCGGAAAGGCACTTCACGCAGAAATTTCCAGACGGAACAACAAGGGATTGTGGGTGAAGAGCATCCGCGTTCCGCCAATGCCTTTAGACCGCATCGAGACGCCACATGCAGACCCAGCTCAGATACCACATGCGGTTGTGCAGACTGAAGCACTGAAGCCGTTCGACAACCGTGGAGCCCTCGTCGACAAGATTGCAGATGGCTATTCCACGTCCCTGCGCTCGCCGCCCACCAGTCCCCTAGGATCGCCGGGCCGCTCCATGTCCATGCCTTTGGTTACTTCGCAAACGCTGAGGCCTGAGCCTCAGCTCCCTTACAAGGTCAAAGAAGAGCTTTTGTCCGACTGGACGAGGGATACCTGCCTTGCTTCTAACACTAAAGACTCGTCTTCCGCTTCGATGACCGGCTCGCGTACCGCTGCCTCTGCCCAGCAGAAGAACAATTACCTTGGCGTCACCATCCCGAATGGCAATCTCGATAGCGCTACCAACTCTCCCCTTCCTTCGCCGAGACGCGCCCACAGCCGTCCACCCTCAACTTCGTATGGGCTTGTCGGGCGGCTAGCCTCTCCTCATCGCCACCGCAGCCCATCAAGGACTCCCGGCAGCACGTCGTCGGTCCATTCGGCCGTCCGCGTCCAAGATCTCAAGCGCGTGCTTTCTGGATCCGCACCGCGGACCTCTTACTCTATTCGTCCACCTACCCACCGCCACCAAGACTCCACACCCGACTCGTCAGCCTCGGATTCCATGGTTAGTGTGCATAGCCTGTCAGATGCTTCCTTCGTCACCGCCGAACATGCGTCGCCACACCAGCAACAGCCTCCGGAATCCCCAGCGACACCCGCCGCAACGCTCACGCCCCGTCCACTGACAGCCTCCTCCGCCTCTCCCGGTGCTCCACTTTCACCGAACAACGCTCAGTCCGCCCGTGAAACTGCGTTCGCAGCTAATGGCGTACCGCCAGTTCCACCTATTCCTGCATCCTTGCGTGACAAATCCACCAGTCCAGGTCATAGCCCCAATCCCGCCGATGCAGAACGACCTAAAACGGCACCGAACGGGAGCGCAAGGAAGAGCCGGAGTCTGAAGAGGGGCGCGCAGGGTACGAGGAGCGTAAAGGAGCGGAGCACGTCTAGGGGTCGGAGTAGCGGATATGGAGACGGGGTTGCCGACAGAAGGAAAGGCAAAAAGCCCGACTTCAGTGGGTTCCTTGACAGCATTGACGTCGGGGATGAGGACGAGGATGCACCTACACTAAGAAGGGCTCCTTATTAAAGCAATAGCACCGACTTTCAGGCCCTACCTACACCTATCTCTTGCTTCGCATTGCATATCGCGTCTTCGATTCAACACGACAATATTACTACTTCCACACTGGTTTTTTTCTTCCTTCTTCTCATGTCACGTTCTAAGCGATGTCTTGCTTTTTGCTTTGTGGTTTGAAAAGCGCTGCTGTGCGATCTATTTGTGTAACTCTTGTATCATTACTAGCTTCTGCAATTGGGGGTGAGCAAAATGGAGGGGCTTTTGTATGGGTATGGCATAGTTGCAGTGGGAGGGAGATGGCGACGATCCTACGGGTGTAGATATTGGAATGGCTCGTATGTAATGCTGAGAACTCTTATACGCAAGGCTTGGTTGGTTCTGTGCGGTGCATCGTTTCGAAACGTTCATGAGGACATCCCGGCAATGGCTTTTCTGCCATCTGCGCAAGGATTGCATATATAGAGGCCTGGAGATGTCGATCGATGGCAAGTGTTAAGGCAGTCATGGATTTCAAGATGAGAGTAGATATGTGCGGGTTCATAGGGAGGACGTCAGTTCGATATGGAGAGAACTTTAGTCGTTGAGCGCGTCTATGAGCGTATGCGTACACGCGTCTTTATCTTAGTTGCTCTCTTCCCAAAGCGCACTCACTCGTCCCTCCGAGCCGCGATCTTCGCATCCCCCTTTACTTCTCGCCCAGATACTTCTCCCACATCCTATGCACCCACACGCGATTCTTCTTCCCCAGCACATCTGTAGACCACGTTAGCCAACGCGCTCTCCCTGCTCTAATAACAAAACTTACACATAGGCACGCAAGTCGTAAACCCGCAAATAGTCACAATACCAAAGACCCTGCACATATGCCCCGGGCCCTCGGCCGCGAACTCATTGACAAACGTGCTGAACGCGTAGAAGAGGAAGTTCTTGATCATCATCTGCAGGATGAAGATCTCGGTCGAGTACTTGCGGAAAGCGTCGCTGTTGCAATTGCAATTAGTCTCCCCTGCCCTCACTGAGCCAAGAGCTTTAAAGACAGCAACTTACAGAATATACAAGCCCGCCGAGGTCGACGCAACGCTGGTGCCAAAGCATATAGCACCATAACAAAATGAGCAGAGATACACTCGGTTATGCGCCGGATGGTCGAGCGCCCAGCCCCAAGTGAACCAGCCCACTGCGAAGAGGATGACAGCAAATATGCAGACGGGGATGCGGAATTCCGCCTCGAAGGTCCCCTTGTTGCGTCTTGCGAGCGCTCGCGCTGTATAGTCGCACATCGGTCCGGCCGAAACGCCCATTATGCCTCCGATGAGGGCGCCTGTGAAGAAAAAGCCGTTCTGGGAGACGGAGAGATTGTACGGTGGTGGGGTGAAGATTTGCGCGAGCGTATACGCTGTTCCTACAAAGAATGACTGGTGGGGGGTTAGTAGCGTGGGGTGAGTGATTACATGCAGATAGATGCACAGGGAAACATACTACTAGAACGGCGCTGACAAGCATGATCCATAGAATTGCCGGATTTAAAAGATGAATGAAAATCCTCGCAAGCTGCTTGAACATGTTATCCTCAGAATAAGTTCCGGAAAAGATACGCAGTTCTTGAACGAAACTACGCTTCGGGATGGCATTGCTGCTGTCGTTCGAGGTAGCCTCTTCGGTCACGGCATGGCCGCCGTCCTTCTCTTTGACTGCTTCCGAGGAAGTAATTGGTACGGGTGGCGGTTCTCTCCTGAACTGGCTCTCCGGGAGGAAGAAAAAAGTCCCGAATGTGCCGAAGATTTGGATTGGAAGCAGAATGACGAATAGGTTCCTGGCTCCGAGATGCTCGAACGTAGTCCCAGCAACAATCGCCACGAATGAAGATAGGCATGCCAAGGTGAGGACAAGCAGAGCAGTTCGGAGCCCGCGCTCGTGCAGGAAGAACATATCGCCAATGGCAGCCACTGAAAGGGACTCGTACGCTGTTGTGCCGAGGCCTTGGATCATGCGTCCAGCGAGGAGGACATCGTACGATTCCGAAAGGCTCGACCGATCAAAGCCAGCTATGCAAATACCAGTGCCGATGACGCCGAAGATGCTTGCGAATAGGAATTGCGGTCGTTTGCCGTATTTCTGCGCGAGGACGGAGACTACCGGTCTTTGCATGGTTTCATCAGCGGATGTTGAAGTCAAGGCGCATGGTGCAGATGATGAGACCTTACCCAAGTGCTCCTACAATCAGCAGTTGGTATCCCGAAAGCTCAGCGACACTCTTGACTGGTACTTCCAATTGAATGGATAGAGCAATCGTTGCTGGCGCGATCATCGGACCCGGGCAAGCTGCAAAGATGATACAGTTGAAGAACAGGAACGCAAATGCGGATTCTCGCTTCCAAGTTGGCCATAGCTGTGAATGATTGAGCAGATGTAAGGGAAACTTTCAGCATCGGTCTCTTACAAGTGGATCATTCGGGTCTTCGGAGGGCTGCGGAACGAGGATGATGTTGTTCTCCTAAGGGACGCCTATCAGCAGTGCCATCTTCGTAGACCGGAGCGCTTACATGACCCTTTCCATGCTTGTAATGCGAGTGCTCGTATTGGTGCTCGACGCTCGTTTGCTCGGTGTCCACGAGGTATTCTGTCCCGGGGACATGTTCGTCTGTCCTCGGCTGGAGAACACCTAGCGTCATCGTGGTAGGGTAAAGCTAAAGCAAAGAGCTGGGCATGCGAAGCATGCGAACGAAGGCGATCGCAGACGCTTCGTTGCCTTCAGGTCATCGTGTCGCTTAAGTAGAATGAATCTCAAAGCGTTGACTCTCGAATCCATTTGCCCTAAATCATTAGCAGGAACGTCTGCTAACGCCCCGCATTGTACAGGGGTTATAGCAAGTGTACCCCGGTCGAACAAACTTCGCTGAATGGAGAGCGGTACGTGTAACCTTGACGCCGAGCAGCCTGGAATTAAGCGTCGCAATCTGCCGACACCCACCATAGCGGTTAGCCTTATGATCTGCATGCATCCCTTGACCACGGCATTCCCCTCAGCGAATTGAGGGGAGCAGATTGATGAGGGGTAGATTGACTAGCATAGAAGCCCCCGAGTACAGATGTATTGAATGTATGCACTATGCGGTTGGACGATGGGCCAGCATAGGCTACGGAGGTTGCCACTAGGAACAAACGGGTCTCGCTTGAAATGAGCTTCTGGAAGAGATTGGGGAGCTGAACTAGATTAGATATTGATACGCTTGAAGTTACAATTGTCTCAAGGAGCTCTGTTGTCTTCAAGGAAGCATAAATGCGGGGATTCGGGAGGTGTCAGATCACGTGACCTTGGAGTCCAACAGGTGGCCGTTGCAGCCAGCTGAGCTTTTCTGGACAGATATCGTTCGAAAAGCTGTGTTCCATGGTTTCAGGATTATTCATGGTGTCGGTGCTGGGCCCGGAATATCACGACTGGCATCGTGGGCAAGCGATTGACATCAGGTGGGGACTGCACCGAGGTAGCTGTGCTGGGGTAACGGGATGAGGCTTGGTCGAGCTTCGCACATTCCTAAGAAGGCCATCAGGAGCGATAAAGTATCATTAAAAAGGATTGAAAGGCAAGAGGTTAGAAGACAAAAGTGTCGTCCTCGGAAGAAGTGGTGCGCTGACATAAGCGCAGACGCTAAGCCTAAACGTCACTGAACTCGTGCGCCAGGATCACGAAGCCGGCAGTGATGGAGCGCTCTATCACGTACGACGACTCGACAGTATGGCTCGCAAACTTCCTATGTTGGCTAGTGTTAAGATGGCGAGTTCTTGTGCCGCACTGGTCTCAGCACGACCCATTCTTATCTCTCATCGATCTTCATCGAACTTCCTTCCACTTCTGGCTCTCAAAATTTTTCTCAAAGCCGCAATCCGAAATCCCATTGCCTCGCAGCTCTTGCAGGAGTCTACGAGCTAGTGCTTTGAGATCTAAGCAAGTCTCACATCCAGAGCTTTACCACACAGCTCCCCACCACGTACAGGCCTGAAATACTGCCTTACCTTCCAATTCATTGAAGGTGTGTCCAAGTATGTCGAAGTGAAGACAGGTTGGGGACGGGGCGGGCGCGCTTTTACATGCCATAGTTGGCGTGAAGACTGGTGCTTCACCCGATTCCGCAGATTGTCCATGACCGCCAACACGACGCGCTAGAAGCACGGCAGCTCGCATATTTGGGGCGAGGAGTCTTACGTATAGTAGGTGACGCCAAATCACGGGGGGCGTGATCCTACGCTGGAGAATAATCGAGAAGTGTGAAGTATGTTAAAAGGTCAACTACCGGAAGTCGAAGCTTGAGTAGACCTGAGAAGGATCGATAACAATCGAATCATCAAGGTTGGTGAACTGCAGGATCTCTGAGTTGAGGTCGAAAGAGGCCGAGTCGTCGAAAGCCAGATCAAGACTCTGTTGTGTCTGTAACGGCGTCATGAAATTGCTAGGCCTCATGTCAGTCGCATCGTCAGGATTGCATAGGTGGGCGCGGACTTACGGATCAAAATTTCCCCAAAGTTGAGCAATCAAATCATCATCCAACAACACGCCAGCATTCGAAACCTTACTGTCCTCCCCAATTCCTAGATCCGCTAACCGAATCGGCGTCTCCTCCGTGCACATCTTACAAAACCCAACCTGCTCCATACCCCTTAGCGTCGAAATGCAGGTCTCTATATGGGAGCGGTAATGCGGCATTTTCGTGTGCGCGTAAGCAAGGATGAAGATCATGACGAGCCGGAGAAGGCATGTGCTGTCGAAAGCGGTAAGGCTGGAGAGCGTGTTGTCGACAGCCATTTGCTGCAAGATGGCGATGCTTTTCTGCGCAGCGTCGATGCAGGTTTTACCCATTCTTTCGAACCAGATTTTCTTACTCGAAGCAAGGGTGCTGTGCTTGAGAACGAGGTAGAGGAGGAAGGGTCGTGTTAAGAGGATTGTCGAGCCCCAGTAGTGGAGGTGGAGGACGGCGACTGAACGTTTGTGCGTTGGCGGGGCGGGCACGTCGTGTTTGAGATGAGGTGAGATTAACTGGAGCCACTTTTGAAGGGAGAGGAGCAGGTTCGAGATCGTCGTGAACGAGATGGTGCGCGAGGCTGTTGATCGCTCTGTGTAGACAGCCTGAATGATTTCCCTTTTCAAGCGGCATAGCGATACCGAAGTTGAAAGCCATGATAATGGTGTGTGCATTCCAGGATATAATATCTGTGCGCTGTTAGTCTCGGGGTATACGCATGTAAGTTTTTGGTACTGGGCTCTCACTTGTTCAGAGGGCAGCGGGGTCGAGATCCTCAAATATCGCTCATCGATGAGTGTCGGACTCCCACCTCTTGAAGCGGTCTCCTGATCGAGTGTGAAAAGCGTCCACCAGATTCGGCGGTTCTGCTCTCGCTCCATGGAAGCCCCTGACTCCGGTATCTGGTCTCGATGCAGGCCAAGCGAATAGGCCATCTGTATGCTGGCGCCCATGTACAAATAGGAGCTCACTCTTGAGCAGATGTTCTCTAGCGCAATGCTCTGGACCACGTCAGCTGCTGAACCGTCATTATAGTGGATCCCTTACAAGAATTGCTAGAGCTCGGATACTGTCGATGTCTGCTTCATCGTAAACAGTGGGGACTAGCTGTTTAGCAAGAGCAATGTAATCGGCAGATGTTCTTTCATCGGATGCAGCTGGCGAGCCAGCAGGCAATGGCGACTGTCCGTTTGGCTCGTCATAATTCGCCGCACCGATTGCGAAGATGGAGTAGAGCGAACACATCCATGAACTAGAAGGGGAAGATCCCTTTCCGGAGTAGGTATTATCCACTCGGTAGAGGAATGTCTCGATCGAGTAGAACCAGTGAGTGCAGTGCACATCTTCTAGAAACCTCGAGATGTAGAAGTCACCTAGTTCTCGGGAGGGTAGATAGAAGCGATCATGGGCGTCCGAATCCACGGACGGCGAGGGCGTAGGAAGCGCTGGTGGGTATGAGCCGACTTTGGGTGGCGAGATGATGTTCGGATTCTTTCGCGGAGCATTGCCCATGGAGCACACTGCGGCATTGAACGGTATCTCTGAATGAGCGCCGACGTACCCTTGGCTTGTTAGTGTACCTTACAGCGGCCCCGTAGGCGCGAAGGACTTACGAAACCTTCCCCGAGAGTCTTTCATCATGCAACCTAGCGGCTCGTGAAGATCATTCACGGATTCGACAACGGGCTCGGCGTCGGGAGGAGTAGCAGCTTCGTCTGGGATCGCGTCATCGCTGGCTGAAGGAGCTCGATTCTGTTGGAAAGTTGGACTCTCGACTTTTCCATCGACAACATCTCTCGCAAGGGATCTAAGGGTGACCAGATTGAGTTCGCGATCAGGGAAGAAGTGCTCTAGAATACGGATGGAGCAGGTGTACTCCTCCTCGGTGACATGGTAATAGGGCCGTTTCCGTCTCGGTGTGGCGATCTGGCATGTGGCTCCAGTGCGGGCGCAGTACCGGCACGGGCCAGGTACTACACAGCGTCAGTCTCACATCAGGCAAGCGAGGATACAGTCCCGTCCAATAATGATTGCCGGCTCATACCTGGGTCGATGCACTGAGGACGAGGTTAGCGACTGGGCATCTCTGAGGCGGGACGATGACTTGCTTTCGTCTTTCTACTTCGGCATCTATCGCAGCTGCTATGTACCCGATGGGTGATTGGAACCCTGTTGGGCATGGCAGGCTGGGTGGAGGATGTGGGAGCCTCGGTCATATTTCTGGGTGAGATCGGAGTACCGAAATTGGTCGATCTGTTGCAATTAGCGAAGACGGATATCATTCGACGGTGGCGCGACGAACTGTTAGAGGTCGTAGATAGGGACCTAGTCCGCACGCACCGTCAGAGTGGATGAAAGAAAACAGAGGGTCGGCGGTCGGGAATGCGGGGGATCTCCTGGAGCTGATAAATGTGGGGGCACTAGCGCAGGGACGGAAAGTTCTGGTCGAGAACGACTTCATCGGCTAATACGGAATCGGACAGCTACACATCAAGCGGGTAAAGCGCAAGGAGATATATAACGGCACTCTAACGATATTGTGCGTTCGAGCAAGACGCTTCAAGATCTCTAGTCGATCTTGATGATGACGCTCTTTGTCTCAAGGAAGTTGTTCAGCGAGTAGTACGGCTCGCCCTCGCGACCGCTTCCGGACGACTTGTAGCCACCGAACGGCATGTCCTTCCCAAGTGCCGGGCTGGTGCAATTAACTGCAACAGTGCCGGCTTCGAGCCCTTTCGCGAACCGCAAAGCGCGGTCAATGTTCTTGGTGTAGACAGCAGCGTAAAGCCCGTACTCGGTGTTGTTCGCCTTGGCGAGCACCTCCTCCTCGGTCTTGAAGACGTTGATGTTGACCACGGGTCCAAACACCTCTTCCTTCATGATAGTCGCATCCTCCGGGGTATTTGTGAAGATAGTGGGCTGAATGTAGTATCCTTCACGATCAGACGGCGCCGCGCCGCCGATAATGAGGTCTCCGGACTGCTTGCCCATCTCTAGGTACCGCAGCACCGTCTTGTGCTGGGCCTCATCCGCTTGCGGTCCGTGATTGGTGTCCTTGTGCAGAGGATCTCCCATCGCAACTTGGTTCGTGAAGTGGTCTTTGAACAGCTGAATGTACTTTTCCGCGATGGTGTCTTGGACGTAGACTCTGGAGTTCGCCATGCAGACCTGGCCGCTATTCCACTGGATGCTGTAGGCCGTCTCGTTGACAGCCTTCTCCAGCTCTGCATCCTCGAAAATGACTGCAGGCGATTTGCCTCCAAGCTCGAGGTAGACTTGCTTGAGATTGGATTTTGCGGCGGCCGCCTGGATGAGTCGTCCAGTCCGCCCGGAGCCGGTAAAGGACAGGGCACGTACGTCCATGTGATGGCTAAGAATGCTACCGGAGACGTTTCCGAAGCCGGTGATGATGTTGATGACGCCAGGCGGGAAGCCAGCTTTCTGCGCCAAGGTGGCTATTTTTGCGGACTGGAAGGAGTCAATAATGCACAACAGCAAGTCACAACCATGACTCACAGTAAGAGGGGCTTTCTCGCTGCTCTTTAGGACAACAGTGTTTCCCACAATGAGGGCAGGAGCCAGCTTGTTTGCGAGGAAAAGAAGGGGCACGTTCCACGGTATGATAGCCGCCACGACACCGTACGGTTGACGTAGAGTCATGTTGATGTAGCCAGGAGTTTGGACACTAGTTGTGCCTTGCACATTGTAGCCGACCTCAGCGTAGTGATCCCATTTGGAGGCGCACGCATAGGCATCAAAGAAGGCACCCAGCGGCTTGCCCATGGAGGCTGCCTCCAACGCCGCGAGCTCGTCATTGCTCTCGCGGATCAGGCTGGCGAGTTTCTTGAAATAGGGCGCGCGCTGGTCTGGCGACAGGGCTGACCAGGATGGGAAGGCAGCCTTCGCGGCCGCAACAGCTCTGTCCGTATCTTGTTCTGACGCCTCATGTACTACGAACGGGTTAGTCGCCCGGCTTGGATACATACAGGTTTGCAGAACCCACCTTTGGCGACGAGCTTCAGAGTAGAAGGGTTCGTGATGTCGAAGGTTTTGCCATTGGAGGATTCGCAGAACTAGAGAGAGTCAGGGGATAGACAGGAAGATCCGTGGCAATCGAGGCCCACCTCTCCATTGATGAACAGACGCGTTTCGATATTCGCTGGAGCAGCCATCTTGGTTTTCACGCGAGATACAGATGTGTTCCTAGAAGATCTCGCAGCCGGGGCTATATGGACGACGTTGAAGGGAAGCAGGTGCTCGGAGTTCCCGGTTGCGACGTCTGTTGTCTCACAGCGTCCGCTCGTGGTTGGTGTAGAGGTCCCTCAGGCAGGCGCGGCTTCTTCGGAGTCCCGCGGTCTGACTACGCCCTAGGCTCGCGGTCTCTTCTCCAAATCAATGCGCTAGGGACGCCAGGCCAGAGGAGTGGAGAGCGATTCTGCGCCGTCGCAGACCCCACATGGAGGGGTCACAGGGTTTCGCGTTACCCCGCCACGTTCACCTCGTCGGCCATATCTGCCCGCAGAGGATTGGCGTCGATAGATTAATTGCCGGTCGAACGGACTGCAGCCATTCGCGGAAGCGGAGCGGGAGTTCGTATCCTCCAAGGGGTCCCGTGGATGTGGGAGCAGCTCCATGCAGGCCGTTGGAGCTGCGCGAGGCTTCGCGTCGAACATGGAGATGCGAGCTTAAGAAGGCGGCTTGCCATGGCGGACCAAGACACTCGAGCTCTGTCAAAGACTGGCTGATTGAACATGGGCAGCGAAATCGAAGAACTCAAGAAGACGGTCGCGCAGCTGCAGAAGGAGGTGACGCGCCTGAGTGGTGAGCACCGTTGCTTAGTCATCCTATCACCAATGGCGCTAACGATATCTCAGACCAAGAGGAAGTGCGCAAGCTGCAGTACAAGTACGGCTACTATCTCGACAAGTGCCTGTACAAGGAGGTGAGCAGCTCCGTTGCATGTTGCAGTATTTGCCACTGATGGCTCCAGGTTGTCGACCTCTACGCCGACCACCCGGACACCTGCGTTGAGTTCCTCGGCGGCCGCTACAATGGCAAGGACGGCGTCGGCCGCCTCTACATCGGCCGCTTCGCGCAGGCCTTCGTGAACGGCCGCAACGGGCCAGTCCACGGTTTCCTCCTCGATCACCCCCAGATCCAGGGCATCGTCGACATCAACGCCGAAGGCACCCGTGCCAAGGGCCGATTCCGAAGCATGATGGCCGCCGGCACGCACGAGAGCGTCAAGGACACGCACCCGCGTGGGCTGGTGCAGTGGTGGGAGGGCGGCATATACGAGAATGAGTACATCAAGCAGGATGGCGTGTGGAAGATCTTCCGGCTGAAGTACTTCCCCTTCTGGCACGCCGAGTTTGGGAAGGGCTGGTCTCACACCAAGCCCAACTACGTGCCCTTCATGTCCAAGACATATCCTGAAGACCCGCAGGGACCGAACGAGCTGTGTGAGAACCCTATGCTCTGGCCGGACACTCGAGTTGTGCCGTTTCACTACGAGCACCCCGTCACGGGCAAGCAGGTCGCTGATGATGACCTGAAGGCGCCGGAATATGGCAAGGATCCCAACACTAGCACGCCTGCCCTGGTGCTTAGCAAGCCCAAGTCGGTGGCTTAGATACATTGAATCAAAGCTTGAAAGGTCAATGACGCCCGGTGATCCCCAACGCATCCTATCCCCTTCGTCTGGCAGATCGCAGTCGCAATGGGACGGTACATGCAATAGCGGATTGTCACTTGTCGTATTCCACCTTACCGTTGTTATCTCTTTCTCTGTTGAAGCTGGGAAAGTTCGAGAAAACCATTACATGCAGTTCGTCCCTTTATTGTTGCTCTCTGCTAATACCCATATCTCAGGTGCACGTAGCTACCCATGGTACCTATTCCTCAAGAGGAAGCTTGAACAACCTGATAGCATTCCTTCTCGCCACAGCCTCCTTCTGGTCCTCGGGTAGGTCCACCGTCTTCCACCAGTTCTGCCCTTCCTCGACCGTCTCGTAGGGCGTGTCTGTGTACGTCAGCCGATGACTGCACTATTATCACACTGTCAGAGCACTCACCTATCGCATAGAGACATCGATCTAGCCCGAGCTCCTCAATGCAATACTTCAATCCTCGCGTGTTGTAGTTCCCGGAAGTGGTGATGGAGACATTATGGGTCCAGTAGTAACTATAATCCTGCTTCATTGGCCTGGAACCGCGCTTGAAAGGATGGTTGATCCAGTGGCTCGCTCTCCAGAGATTGAAGGGTATGCTACAGCCCGGTGAGTCTCTTGCCCCTTTACAAAGCATGCATTGCTTACCCTTCTCCTAGATGTCCTGCCACGATCTGCACTTTCGGGAATCGGTCGAAAATACCGGACGAACATACGGCGTACAGATGCCAGCTCAGGTCGAGATGAAACTGCACACCAGCACCGAGCAGATGCTTTCGATCACCGTACTTTGTTCCGGGCTGCAGATCTTGCTTGATGGCGTACCGCGGGTGGAAATAGACCGGTACGTTGAGCTCCTGTACCGTCTCCCAGAAAGGATCGTAATCCGGGGTATCGAAGTACACCTTCTCTTCTCCATCGGCGCCCTTCGACTGGAAATCGTTCACCAGCCCGCCGAACATGCCTAGCTGCTGCACAGCTCTTCTCAGCTCGTTGGCTGCATCCTTCGCATTGTGCATCGAGAGCGCCGCTAGTGCTCCGAACCTCTTTGGGTTCTTCTTCACCTCGCCGGCGAGATAGTCATTTGCAACTTGGGCCATCTTCCTCGCTTTCTCTGGATCTGGTTCTCCTTGAGCTCCCGGCGACGTCAGCGAGAGCAACATATACTCTACGCCATGCTGATCCATACTCTTCAGGCGCTCATCGTGGATGTCGAGCAATCGCTTTTCGTGAGCCGATAATCCGGATGTTTGGTCGCTGCCTGGGCGCATCAAGGTCTGGAATTGAGCAAAGGTATGCGCCTCCACACCAGCCTGGTCGATGATGGCTTCCTCAATTGCTATTGTTCCCTTCATCTTGAATTTGGCGGTGTCTCTTCTATTTCGATTGGCAAGCTTGTTGACTTTCGGATAAGCCTAACAGCTGGCGACGTTCAGGGGAGTGGAATGCCAAAATGATTCGACGCTCGGCTTTCTCGACAGCGGGAGTCCTGGAGTGCAGAACGGATGGCCACACGTCGAGTTCCTGGTCACGCCGGAAGTTATTGGCGTGCATGCTAATCCTGCAAGGCCTTGAACCATGCATGCCTGACATCCATTGCAACTGCCACGGTAGGATGGGGCCGACCCCACAGCCTTACGGGATACGCGAGCGGTTCCATCATCCCGATGTATACCAACCCCTGTATCCGACCCGCATTGCTACCCCGCGCACTGTTGTTCCCCACATGGCCAGAATGGGAACACTGACTACGCGAGGCCTAACGCAGAAGACTGCATCCTATCACACTACGCAACGTTTTGCTTCGGCAGCGCCAGCTATAATATTTGGAAATTCGGACATTTTTTCTTCAGGTTTTCGCCTCGGCAAACTCAGAATTATCTTACACTATGGCGCACATCTTCAGCCTTGCTCAACCACCCCCTCCTCACTACCACGAAGGCAACCGGTCCGGCGACCAAGTCAAGTTTCCTGATACTGGCTTCTTCCAAGGCTTCAATAAGCCTTCGCGCCTCGAAGCCGACATCTTTGAGCTTGAGACGACGGGCACGATTCCAAAAGATATCAATGGTACCTTCTACCGCGTACAGCCAGACCACTGCTTCCCACCGCTCTTCGAAGAGGACATACACTTCAATGGAGATGGTTCCGTATCGTCGTTCCGCTTCGAGAATGGCCATGTAGACTTCAAGCAGCGATATGTGCAAACCGACCGATTCAAAGCAGAGAGGAAGGCTCGAAGAGCCCTGCTGGGCAAGTACAGGAATCCGTATACCGACAATGAGATGGTCAAGGGCATCATCCGAACTGCATCAAACACCAACGTCGTTTTCTGGAGAGGAGTACTCCTAGCCATGAAAGAAGACGGCCCGCCATTTGCTATGGACCCAATAACCATGGAGACAATCGGACGGTACGACTTCGACGGCCAAGTCAAATCTCCCACTTTCACAGCGCATCCGAAGTTCGACCCAGATACGGGCGAGATGGTGTGTTATGGCTACGAAGCTGGAGGTGATGGGCATGACGCCAGCTGCGACATCGTCGTCTACACCATCGATAGAGACGGCAAGAAGACTGAAGAGTGCTGGTACAAAGGGCCCTTCTGCGGCATGATACACGACTGTGCTATCACGAAGAACTATCTCATCCTGCCCTTGACACCCATCAAAGTGAACGCCGATCGGCTAAAGAAAGGAGGAAACCACTTCGCCTGGGACCCGAATGAGGACCAGTGGTACGGCATCGTGCCTCGCCGCAACGGCAAGCCCGAAGATATCGTCTGGCTGCGCGCCGACAACGGTATGCCCTCCCTGCCTCCTGCACCACTTCCCGATCACTAACCCCCACAGGCTTCCACGGCCACATAGCCGGCAGCTACGAAGACGAAAACGGCCACATCGTCGTCGACCTTACCGTCGCCTCGGACAACGTATTCTTCTTCTTCCCGCCAGACACACCAACCCCCACACCCACCACGCTCCTCCAGCGCAACAAGCTCGTCTCCGACACCTACCGCTGGGTCTTCGACCCGAAGACGCCGACGCACACCAAAGTCAAGCCCGCGCGCATCTTCGGCATCAACGGCGAGTTCTCGCGCATCGACGACCGCGTACTGACCAAGAAGTACAACCACTTCTGGCAGTGCAACATCGACCCCAGTAAGCCGTACGACTTTGCCAAGTGCGGACCGCCTGCGGGCGGCCTATTCAATGTCCTGGGCCACTACGAGTGGGACACGGGGAGTAAAGACACGTGGTGGGCAGGGCCGACGTGCACATTCCAAGAGCCTGTGTTCGTGCCCAAGGCAGGGTCAACCGTCGAGGGTGAAGGGTATCTCATGGCGCTGTTGAACCACCTCGACGTTCTTCGAAACGACATCCTGATCTTCGATGCGCAGAATTTGAGCCAGGGGCCGCTGGCGGCGATTCATCTACCTGTCAAGCTGAGGCTGGGGCTGCATGGGAATTTCATTGAGCAGAAGGATTTGGAGGAGTGGGCGGAGAGGAGGAAGGAGGGCGGGAGTTTGGGGCCTGCGAAGGCGGCGACGGAACCGTTACCGTGGCAGAAGAAGATGATGGAGGAGGGGGCAATCAATGGGGCGAATGAATTGAATGGGGTTAATGGACATTGAAGGACTTTTGATTCTCTCAACTAGGCTACATCCAGTCGAGATTATTTCCATACGTACCGAAGAAGTTCAGGCCGCTCTTTACAGCTGCCGTCCTACCAGTTCCACTGCTTGAGCAAAGGGGAATCGCTCGAAGTTGACCAGTACGATATCATCCGCAGCAGGAACGTATTCGAGATTGTGCAACCATCGATTGCACCCGTGGGGCAATCCATCCACATCCGCCCAGTGAATGTCATCGTCCATGCCCCAGGGGCGCTCAACCCGAGGTCCACGCGTCGAGTCCGGGACATAGATTCGCAGTCGTACCTGCTGCTCAACTGAGGGTTGCCATAGGTATTTGTATATCTCTTGCGAGGTGTTCAGCCCGCTGCTGGCGAAAATGGATAGCTCATTCAGCTCGGGGCATATATTGCGCTGATCGAGCAGGAGATCGTGTATCGCAGTTGTGAAAGTCCATCCATCCATACAGTATTCTTGTATGATTGTGAGTTTCTTGAGGCCTGAGGGTATTTTCCGCTTCAGGTTGTCGGAGTAAGCATTATTGCGTTGTTCTGAGGCCGTGGCCGCAAATAAGAAGCTGCTGCTCGCTTTAAGATGCTGCAGCTGTCGAAATTGTTGGATATGCGGGACATCGACATCGCAATCGCGCGGGGCAACAGTCGGGTATCCAAGACATAGGGACTCTAGTGTTCCAGCATGGATAGCTAAAGCCGATAGTAGCGAGGTATAGAGGCCTTGAGAGTACTTGTTTGTCTCGTATGCGAACGTTTTTAGTTGCTTGCAGGAGGTGACAAGGTCGCATATAAGCTCGAAGTCGAAGGATCCCTCGCGAATCTCCAGATGTTCTATCGGCGACAGGAAGGTGTTTGTGGATGCCCTGCGCTCTAGGGTTTTGGACAAGTACGCGCGATTGGCTTGGACTGCTACGGATACTGCGCCCCGATTCCAATTCCGCGCCGAGCCAGCGCCAATACCGCAGAGAAAGACCCTCTTCAGCGCTGGCAGCTGAAAATAGGGCTTGAAGGATCCGGGTTCGGCCCGTGGCGCACCATCAGGGATTACCAGCATGAGCTCGCGCAGCTTTTGAAGAGCAGTCGGTTCCTGACCCGAGACGCACCCCATGAGCCATTGGTAGTGCATTCCGGGCTGCTCTGGTATGTTCGTGTCCCACGTCCTCAGATTAGGCAGCGAGTGGACGAGCACGGCCACAAGCGCCTCCTCCCTCTCCCACTCCACGATATTGTCTGCCCATTCTGGCTTGTTCTCTCTGTCCTGCGTCAAGCTGTCGATGGCGGATCGTAGCGCGGGGTGGAGTTCGTCGAGCCCGCGGGCCTGTCTGGCTTCCCAGCTCGCGGCCCATTTGCCGCGGATCGTCAGGTGGCGTACGTGGGCGGCGAGCCGCGGGCGCTCGAGCAACAAGATGGTGAAGGCGTATAGGAATTCATAGTCTTTGTATTCAATACCGAGGCGAAAGGATATGTGCCGGTACAGCTGTTCGGTTGCGATCCGGTGGAGCTGCTTCGAAGCAAGCGCGAGGTGGACACGGTCGGCGCTGGTGGGTAGATGAGAGACGATAACAGATATGAGCTCCTCGGGGAGCCTCGCGAGAGGAAATGATGCTATCATTATCGATGTCGTCGTTAATCACCTCCACATAGCAGTGCTTAGGTGGAGGGTGTTTTGTTGTCGGATGGTTTGTTTTGAGCTTCGATTTTGCGGCCCAAGCTCTGTGCGACATCGGCGCTTACATAAGCAGTAGAGCGGCTGCCTACACCACCGACGGCATTCGGAACCCAACCCCATCCCCCAACTACCGTCGCGTGTCTTGTTTCTTCACGTTACTCCTTCATTTCCGAATCTGTGGTCGGAGTACTGGAGCATTGTGCGAACGGATTGCTGAAACGGCTCCTCCCACCTTTCGACTCCCCGGGTGGTCGTGTAGCTTACAGTCTTGCTCTGGAAAGCAGATAAATAGCGCCAGCACGTTGTCCACTCATCGAGAAAAATACAGCAGATGTTGTTCCAAACTGCCGGTCTGGGAGCCGCTCTCGATCCACCGCTCGATAAACCTTCACGAAGATCGTAACCCGTGCTACCATGGATACCTAGGTAGCCCGAAGAGCGAAGTACCACTGTTCCGCCGAATTGCCAATAGGCTCTGGGGACACTGATCATGGAGGCCGACCGTTATATGGGCTATCACCAAGCCCCAGTACGGCATATGGGCGAAGAAGCGACATCTTCATCGATCAGCCCCAGCTTGTAACCCTCGCGATTCCTCATCCGCCTCCCGAGCCTCAGCCATCTGCTCTTCTTGGGCCATCATATCCAGCTTAAGCGTACTCTTGTATGACACCTCCCAACTCTTTCCCTGCGCCTCAAAATGAAGCCTATTGTATTTTTCGTCTTCTGGTTTGATTACCCTATCAAACGCTCTACCAGCACGCTCTGTTCCACTCGCGGCCGACACCAATTCCACAGGCGTCGAAGTCCGCGGTCTTGGGGGCAAGCGCGGACTGGCGTTCAACGACCCGACTCTTACCAGGCTCTTTGGTTCACCTTACTCCAAGATATCCTAGATTTTCAACTGGGACAGCGTAGCCTATGACGCAGCATCCGGCTACGAATTTGTACCTCTCCTTCACTCCATTCAAGAAGATCACCTCCTGGGCTGGATCGAAGACGTGGACAGAGCTATTCGAGCAGGGACAAACCACGTTATGAGCTTCAACGAACCCGATCTATGCGGGTAAGAATACTCCATTGCTTTGAAACCTTCCGCCAATGTGCCTTACGGCGGCTTATTTTATCGCAGCTCCGGAGGCTCCTGCATGACCGATATCAGTCGCACCGTCGCCGCATACCAGACGTACATACATGCACTCTCCGCTCGTTATCCTGAGCTCCAACTCGGCGCACCCGCAGTAACCAATGGACCTGAATTCGACCGCAGCCTGTCCTGGCTTTCAAACTTCTTGCGCGCCTGTGGCGGATGTAAGGTTGACTTTATCGCTATCCATTGGTATGATTCGGCCACGAACTTTGCGTACTTCAAGAAGCATGTTCAAGACGCGCATACTGTGAGCGGTGGGAGACCGGTGTGGATCACCGAGTTCAAGCCAAGCGGGAGCGAGGCCCAAGTTATCGAGTTCCTAAGAGTCGCACTGCCCTGGTTGGACGGGCAGTGGTATGTGGAACAGTACGCCATGCAATGGGTTGCGAGAGGAGAGCTTGTGGATGCTACAGGCACGGCTTTGACAGCTGTTGGGAACGCTTACAATATTATTTAGGGACAGGCAACAGCTTGATCTGAATGGCATAGCCTTCGGTTGATTCCGAGCGCTTGCGGATACTCGGGCAGCTCCTACGGAGAGGGCCCGTCGATGTCCAAGGCCAAGTTGCATTTTCAATAATTGATTACCCTCCATCAGTCTCCGCGCCTCTACCGTCCTCATCGAAATTGGCCTGTCGGGCAGACTCCGATTGGGCATCACCCTGGCCACAACCCCTCACCGGCATATTCTGTACCTAGGTACTCCAATAGCCCTTCCAACGATGAACATAACTACATCGCGCGACGCTTTCAGGCTGGGAACGTGCAGTAGATACCGTTAGCTAGGCTCTTCAAACGTTGCAGGGACCGTATGGTTGCAGTCGCAGACGACGGCGAAGCTGCGACGCGTAACCATCGATGGCATGACGGTGCGGTATGCCCTTACCCCCCTTCCAGAAGGGTTCCCCGCATACATTATTTATTTCCATTTTCTCCACGAGAATGTTTTCTTAGTCCCTCCACTCACGTTGTTGCAATATATTAGAGTGCGATGGGCCCGTCTTTTTCCGTGGTTGCACTAATCTATAATCCATGCTTGCCGAATGGCTCGTCGGACCGTGCATCGAACTCGAAAGCTTGTTCTAGTACGCGAGCATCTGATAGGGATGGGAGCACATCTCTCATGATGTTAGCTGTCCGTTTTCTTCGTAATCTCCTTTTCTTCTCTTCTCTGAAGTAGCGGCGAGATGTGAACTTGTCGTCAGAACCAGGTTAATCACGTTGAAAAATGACACCCATATCAAGGTCTTTATATCGCACTGTTATCTTGAGTTTCCTTATCGTAACTTTCTGCTCTGTTGCTTTCTTCTACCGCGATGTCCATCTTCCTCCGATCGTTCGAAACCGCCTACAGGCCGCAACCCAAATCCATCTACCGGGCACGGGACCGAGCCGTCTATTAGATCAGAATTCGATGAGAGATCACCTGTATCTGGAAGAGGAGCAGTGTAGAACCACGTTTCCTACGCTGTTCCGCGAGGTCGATGATGCGGTCGCCAGAGGAAATTTTGTCTTTGAGAAGAGTAACCCAGACTACCAAGGGCTTGTGCAGGGAAGGATAAAGGACGGAAAGGTACCCTCCCATCTCAAGCAAGTTCCAAATACAGTTTTGATGAGATTGAAAAAGCTCTATGTTCTCAGCGCAGCACCCGATACAGTCGACGAAATACACCACGAACGCACTGCTATCCTGTCCCAGGTACACCGCGCGCTCCTCACTTCTCCGTCCCCTCTTCCAGATATCCACTTTGCCTACGTCATCAACGACTCCCCGAAGAACAACTCATGGGCTTTCGCACGGCCAAACAAGCCGTCGACGTACAACACCTGGCTGATGCCAGCCTTCGCCTTCTGGTCTTGGCCGAGCCCGGCCCTAGGAGCTATGGACGACATACTGAACAGGATAGAAAGCGTGGAGAAGGAGCTGGCATGGGATAAGAAGAATGACAAAGCCGTTTGGAGGGGAACGCCGTGGTTCAATCCGTTGGGTCATCCAACGCTCCGCCAGGACCTCTTGAAAGCAGCGCGAGGGAAGGAGTGGGCCGACGTCGCAGGCTTCAACATGAGTAACGGTATGGAAGCCACCAATATCTTGCAGATCGAAGACTTCTGTCGATACAAATACGTGGTATACACGGAAGGCGTAACATATTCTGGGAGACTACCGTATCATCAGGCCTGCGGAAGCGTGCTACTGACGCCGCCGCTAACTTACCTCACGCATACAGCGTGGCTTATGCGGCCGATACACGCTGACTATCTCCTTGCGCTCTTCGATCAGGCCAATAAGACGCACGAGTCCCCAGCGTTCAACAGCCCACGCTATAGACCTCCGCCTGCGCTCCTTCCAAGCGTCAAAGGCTGGCGTGAAGCCAACGCCATTTACGTCGATCCTAAGTTCTCCAACCTCGAATCCGTTATCTTGTTCCTACGTTCTCATCCTGATGTCGCGAAGCGCATAGCGCAGAACCAGCGCGACGCCGTTGTCATGGCTGGTTATCTGAGTACCGCCGCAGAGACGTGCTATTGGCGTGGGCTTATCCGTGGATGGGCGTCGGTCGCGAAGGTCGACAATGGATGGGGCGAGGAGCTGGGCGAGCGATTCGAGACGTGGATTCTGAGGCAGGTTACGGAAAGGAGAGATATGGTGAGAGGGAAGAACAGTCGGTCGTTGCAATGAGGACGTCGGAATGAAGGCAGAGGCAGGCTCATCTCGACCGAAGTGACGGACCTTCAGCTAAAGAGGTCCTAAGTGCCTAATCTCTCAGTATCAGTTCGAACGGTGACGCGGCCACGAGGAATTCGTCTTTCGGTGGGGATGCTTAAGCAGAGAGTCGGAGCACAGCGACCTCGGACGCTCCTAGCAGCAGGCAGAGCAGCGGCTTAAAGAGAAGGCGTCTCTGTCCTGGGCGTAGAGCAAAGCGAGCCGCGAGTCATTTAGGGCGCCCAGCAAGGTTCTGAGTTGCCCGAAAAGCCGGTAGACTTACTGAGTGAGTTCGAAGGCGAGCTGGGCGTTTTGGGTAGCCAACCGTGAGCGGGCCTAGCCATTGAAGGCAGCAAACCTGGCGACGCGCCCGCCAGCTGAGGTTTTCGAAAGCGACTGAAAGACGAGAGCTGTATCCAGGTCTATTCTACCAGCTACCACTTTGACCTTGAGATCCGGGACGTGAGGGTCCGCCGCGTATGGTGAGGTGAAGTTTCGGTCGTTCAACCAACATGCCAAGAAATGAATAAACAAAGCTGTCCGCAACCCGTGTGAGCCACACATGACCGTGACTGACCTGAAAGTTGAAGGCGTCTATCTATAAGCTATTTAAATTATCCTGCGTCACCTACAGGTGGGAGAGGGCATTCGTTGAGGAGGGGAGGCTGGCAGAAGCTGGGCGTACGGATTCCCTATGTCAGCGCGCCTCGAGAACTCAGCGAAGGCTTTCCGGCCTCTATCTGTCCTCAGGCATGTGTACCATCTGTGTCCTATAGATATCGTCGCTGGTGGTGAGGCGCTTTTTCCAGGTCCTGTGTCGCCGTGGTGTTGAGCGTGCAGTGTCCCCAAGGTATCGGCGCTGAACAACCACACTACGCAACGGCCACGCACTCTGTCAACCAGCGTGTAACCTAGATCTAAAGCTTCTCCATTGCATTCTGTACTATCTGCGTCACCGAGAACTCGATCGCATCACAATTTGTCGCGCAAATGCCGCCGGAACCCGCCCGCCTGGCCCGTCACTCACCCCGCAATCCCGCTTCAAATGCCTCCCTATGAAATATGATACCCATATTCCTGAAATCTACACTCTGTATTTTACAAAAGGCCCCATACGGCTGCGTCCTACCGTCGCTGCCACTCTCGAGCCCGTCCCGGTGCCTCACCCAGCTGCCCTCCGGCTCGCTTCGTTGCCCAACAAAGGTTTAGCGTCACCTTTTAGCGCTGCCCCGAGCTCAATCCCGTGACTTTTAGCGTGCCAAGGGCGCCAAGGGCCTAGTTGCCTACAAGTATCTCGCCCGCCGCGTCCAAACCGTCCCTCCTCCACTACACAGCACTCAAACTACCACAAGTGCTCAGCTCAACTCAGCCATCCCATCTTCTTCAGTGGTCTCATCTCTTCTGAGTCATCTCAACTCATCCCACCTTCGATCGACATCAACAACATTCCACCTTCACCTCAAGATGTCGCGTCCAACCTTGACCACTTCATGGCTTCGACTACCATATCATATCAGGTATGTCTCACCTAGACGTCACATCTTCGGTTCTTCTCTAACATGTTCAGTCGAACTCAATCATACTCACCTTGAGCTTATACCATGTCTCTGCCTTCAACTCAGCTCGGCCTCTACCTACCTCCACCTCACCTGCCTTGAGCCTTCCACTTTTATGTCAGCTCGGCATCAACCATCCTGCCTTCATTGAAGGCTTCGACTACAAGTCATCTTCATGTTTGTCCCTTGTCCTGTTATCCTCTTCAGTTGACTGACCCTATCCCAGTCGAACTCCACCTCTACCACCACATCGACTCATCTCAACCTACCAACTCCAACTTCGCTCCAACCACCTCACCTTCCATCGAATCCTCTCCGCTACCTCTAATGACGTGAGTGTTGCCTACCCGGCATGTACGTACACCGGTACGTGTTCGGGACAACGGTAGTACCAACACTCGCCTCACCGACCGCTTCGATCGACCGCTCCAAACATTCTAAACATTCCATCCACGACTTCAATCTACCACCTTTCTTGACGCGAGTGTTGCCCACCCGGCATGCACGTACACCGGTACGTGTTCGGGACAACGGTGGTACCAACACTCGCCTCATCGACCGCTCCGCTTCTTCGCCTTCGTCTCGACACTCTACTTTCATCCACCAATCCTCACTCTTCTTCTCTCTCTCTCTGCATCTAGATAGTTCAAAAAGTAAGTCCCATCTTCTTCATCTTCCCATGTTCTCTCCAGTCACTAACCACTCTTAGAAAAAAAAATACCGACACGTAAAAAGTGTCACCACATCAAAAAAAGACTTTCGACGCAAAAAAAAGCGTCAGGATTCGGTTGGCTTCTTCATGGTTAGGATATTTTGTTCTCGGTCTGGCTCTCATATGTACTCTCTGTCTCGGTTTCGGGTTTCGGGTGCTCACAGTAGGCTCTGGTCCAGGCTATGAGTCCTCTAGGTCATCTCCACGCTGCCAGGCGTCCTTCGCGGGTGCTTGGCTGCTGGCTCGTACGCTGCCTGGAGCGAAAGCTCCAGGTAGCGCATGCGGGTCTGCTACTCGAAGCGAAAGCTTCGAGCAGCATGGAGCCAGCCTAGGGGTTACGTCTTAGCCTGAGATTATTCCTCCCCTAGCAGCACCTGATGGGTTCTCTTCTGGTTCGGTCTTTGGCTTCTTCATCTGGTTCTGGTTCTGGGTCTTGTCTACATACTGTTCACATCATACAAACAAACAGCCAATACATCTTCATCATATCAATGACTTAGACTTCTGCTTGTCTGATCGTGACTCTTATGATCATCTTGACTACTCTGCAGCATCTAGCTAGCTCTTTCGTGCCTTCGCCTTTCCCGCCTTTAACAGACTGCATCTACATAGCATGATCGCTCCCGGCTTACCCTCAGCGATGCTATCTCAATGGCACTCAGCCCACTCTAGTACCCAGTATCGCTTCGCCTCTAGCCAGCCGGCTTCGCGACCAGGACGCGGTCGTACTAGGACGGGAGGCCCTCCCTACTCTAACTCCCACAACACCGTGAATCAACACTACACCAAGGCAGGCGCCGGTCCAAGCACTCGCAGACGGCGCTGACAACGCACTTCGTCGCGAGCGGAGAACGTATCAAATGGACCGAGTGAGGTAAAGAGAGTGCATTGTAGCATCTGCATCTGCACAACAGCAAGTAGTAGTAGTAGTAGAAGAAGAACATCCCCGCCTCCTACTATACACAACCCCCCGGCCGTCTATGCTAAACCGAACCAATCAACCAAGCAAAACCGCACCAAGAAAAACGCTCGCTAAAGGGAATGCTCGCCAACCCAGCCCAACCAAGGCCACCATATCCATAAAAGTAACGTACGCAGAGTATATCCAATCCATACATGGTTCCAAATCGCTGACTCATTCAATTCCTCCCATGGTATATCCATTCGTGATTATCATATCGTGTGCGATCGTCCAGAACCGAAAATATAGCGTATGCGTGTACGTGTACGTGTGCGTGCGTTCCGTGCGCCGATTGCCTTCCTCGCCGTCTCGATGTTGTTATCGCGGCGTCCCATCTAGCCTCTCCAGCCCCTCCATGCCGGTCGCACCCGCACCATTCCCCTGCGCACGGCTCACGCTCTGCCGAGGTCCATGATGTCCGTTCAGCCCGGCCAGATCCACCGACGTGCCCACCCCAAGCCCAAAGTTAAACGCCTCCGCGCCGAAAATTCCACCGTCGTCACCAAGCGTAGGCGGCTCCACGTTAAACGGTAAGAACCAGCCTGCGTTCCCTGGATCGAAGAACCCGTTCCCGCTTAGGCCGGTGGGATCCATCCAGAAGGCGGCGTTGCTGGGGTGCCCCGAGAGATCGGGGAAGGGCGACATGTCCATTTGCTGGCCGGGGTGGATCATCGTCGTCGGGGAGGTGTTGAGCATAGGTAGGCCGCCGTGGCCGTGGCCTGGGTTGTGGAAGTCCGGTATAAATTGCTGCTGCGGTGTGGCGTTTGCTTGGGCGAAGTACGCGGGGTCGAAAGCGTCCATGGCTTCCTGCGGATTGATATTGATCTGGCCGAGCTGTTGATGGAGTTGGCCGGGGTGCATCTGCTGCGCGTGCTGTTGTGCTTGTGTGGAAGAACCGCCGGGGTGGTTTGCGGGAGCGTCGGATTTGGAGACGGATTTCGATTTGTTCTTGCGGGCTTGCTTGCGCTGTTGTTCCGCGCGAGAGGGCGGGGAAAGGGAGGCAAAGAATTCCTCCACACTCTGGAGGTCGCTCTTTTGGCCGAGAACGGCGTCAGTGCCGGGTTCGTTGGCGTTTGATTCGGCTGCGTCTTCGTAGTCTGTCTTTGAGACGCCGTGCGGGTAGCGGTCGAACCAGTCACCGTACTGGAAGATCACGGCTTTGCCTTTGTCGCCAGCCACGTTTGGCCCTCGCAGTTGCGCGTCCGCATGCTGCCGGTAGAGCTCCTTCAGGTTCTCTGCAATGTAGTGGAACATGCCCCAGTACTTCTTCATCTTGCTAAGATACTTCACATTGTATGCGAGGTACTTTTTCGACTGCGCTTCGAGCTTGGGATTCTTGGAGAAGACGCCGTGGACGTGGACGGTGGAAGAGAAGAAGGCGGAGTACCCGGCGAAGGGCGCGACGACATTATGATCTAGAGCCTCGTTTATCAGGAGCGAGATCTGGTTTGCGGCATCTAGCGCGGTCCGTGCGGATTCGGTGAGGAAGTCGTGCGGCATGTCTTTCGGAGGGCGGCTACCTGCCCGCGACGGAAGGGAGAATCGGTGCATGAAGAGGATGATCTGTTGGTAGAGAATGTGAAGGTATAAGTACTGATTCGCCGTCTTGCCAATCGCATGGCTCTTGAGGTTTTCGGGGCTGTAGACGAGCATTTCCGGAAGCGACTCTTTGAAGTCCTTGGCCTCCTTCTTGATGCTGTGGAACGTCGACTTAGGCGACCACATCGGCTCCGACTCGCGCTCCTTGCCGCCCAAATTCATGTACTTGATGAGCTTGCCCCATATGCACACGAGTCGGATGGTGTACGCCGTGACGCCCATGTTGTCTCGCGGATTAGATAGCTGACCGCTGTCTGGGGATACTGGATTCGGGACGTTACCATCCAAATTTTCCGTGGGGGCCTGAATTTCATGTATGTATAGGTGCTCCTTGACGGGAAGTTGCACCTCGATATATTGCTCGTTCACGAAAAGCGGTCGGTCCGTGCCGGAGGAGTTGAAGCGGTCCATGAGGAAGCATGACCACATGGTCCGTCGCCGAATCTCTCGGTCTGTCAAACTGAATGGTTTTCTTTCGGCTTCGCCGACGCCAGGATCGTATTCCAGCTCTTTGTGTAGTTGCAGTGCATATGCCATTCGCTGAGCCATACCGCCGAACATCCAACTCCGACCGCCCTGACATGTGCCGAACTCATGGAGACCGAGGAGCAGGTAAACTATGAGGATGATGATATTAGGGGCGTCGTACCGTTTCAGGGCAATCTCTCTAGCACGCTCGGCCCAAATCTCACCGCGCAAAAAGCATGGCTCCGTCCGGAGTTGCGGGTGGGTTGAGAAACGCGCTGATATCGCACATATTGCTAATATGAGGACCGGCGGTACGTTTCCAGAAGCTAACCGCCTCATGAAGCTCGGCTTGTGCAGAAGCGGGTAGCTCTGGCCATATACGTAGTCGAAGTAGACCTCGGCGAGATGCTCCTGGATCTCTTTCGGCGGCAGGCTTTCTACGCCTTCGGTAAGTAGGCTGGCGTCGTCGGACTCTTTCGCTCGGGACGCCGATCCCGCCGCGTCTGGGTTGGCGGACTTGGATTTGGACCATTCATCCAGATCGTTCCCGAAGGCCTCTTCAGCCGCCCGTTTCTTCGTGGTTGGCGTCTTCGGCGGTGCTCCAGGTATGGCTGGTTTGACGACCGATCTCCCAACTCCAGCAATGGATGGTAGGCTTTCCTTTGGGATGAGCTTGATGACTCGGTCCTCCATGCGTTTTAATCGCTTGTCGAGCATTGCCATGTAGTCGGTCCTCGGTGCCGCCTTCCGCGTTGTGACTTTGTAGACGCACGGTATCCTGCTTCGTAGGCAGTGCTTGCAGGCCGGCTTCTCGCCCGAACATCGGATCTTCTTTCTCCGACAGGCGATACAGGCGAGCGGTAGCCTCTTCCTCTCCTTGCCAGCTTTGGTCTTCATTTCGCTCCATGGGGGAGGATCTAGGCCGTCTCCCTTGTCCTTCTTCGAGGATCCTCCGTCTGTGTGTTCCCCGTTCATGTTGTCGTCTAACCGCATGCTCAATGTCGAGCCATCACCAAGTGTATCTCCGATTCCCAGCATTCCCAGCGCGGATGCGCTTTCCGGGCTTGTGTGGTTCCCATCCTGGCCCATATTCCCGGCGCTGCCGATGCTCAGCCGGTGTGGATGCGCGCTGCCACCGCTGACATTCTCGTCGCTCAGATTGCTTACGCTGCCTCTGTGGTCCCGAAACTTGGTGTTGACGGTCTGCTGCGGCCTGTCAAAGCCGGATGCGAGCGCTTGGTTCTGGCCAAATGTCATAGGGAAGTCGGCAAAGGAAGCCATCATGGCGGCGGGGCTGTGTCCGGCGTGGAGGGCAGATCGCAGCTCGGGAAGGCCGTATTCATTCAGCGTCAGGGGGTCGTCGTGCTCGAATCGCGTGTGGGAGGGCGTGGCCATGGCTGCGGTGGTTGCGCCGGAATCGCCCATCTCCTCGACGCGCCGCGTCTCTGTGCTACGTGAAGCTCGACACGGCCCGTCACATCGAAGGTGCAATACTCCAAGGTCAAAGGGGGGTTACTCGTCCGGAGGCAGGGCGGAGGCCAGCATGGCAGCTTTTCCGGGGCGTCGTGGGCGGTCGTGTGCGAGGGCCGCAGCCCGGAGGTGTATCGGCGAGAGGTGGAGCGGAAAGCGGAAAAGGCACGCAGCCCCGGATTTTGTCCACAGAAAAGCTTCGCAAAGGCGGACCCGGCCAGCTAGCGCAAACGACTCAAGGCGCTAGCATGTGTTGTGGCTGCACGCAGACAGCAAGATGCGGAGAAGAGAGGGCGCAGGCTGACGGCGGGTGCGGCGATGGATGGTCGGCCGGACTTTGATGATGACCAGCAGTGATGTAGACAGCAGCAGCAGCAGACGGAAGGCGGGCTAGCAGCACAGTTACAAGGTACCGCAGATGGCGTGCATGTCGCCCGTACAGTAATAGGCACAGCAAGACAGGCGCGCAGAGCAGCAGCGCTGGGAGCGGCCAAAATGGCGGAGGATGGATTTCGCACCTCGGTCGACGGACCAACCACAGGCGGCGAATTGGTCGAGGCGCTCCCCCACATGGGCCATGCCTGCAGTTCGAGACCAGCGCTCTATTATTCAGACACGACAAAGCACGCCTCTCATACAGACCCGGACACACAGCACACACAGCACACACAGCATGAATCCGCGGATGGTCCCTCAGGGCGTTGTGCGGTCAGCGCCGTAGCGGAATCCGTGTGCGACGCGCCCAGGCAGAGGTTGCGCGTCACGAGGGCGGCCCAGCACCCCAGGCCGGGCTCCAGCGGGGGGAACGACGCTTGCTGTTCTGCGGGGCTCCCGCGTTCCTCCCCTCGCTACTGTGGTCTACATACAGTGTCGAGTATCGCTACACCGTAGATATGAAATCCACCAACCCCAATATGCCTCTGCCAAACAGCCCGCCGCTTCGCCACGCATCGCCGCGCCGATCGCCCCTTTCTCAGCCTCCAGCGTTCCTCTTTCGCCCGCCCCGTGATGCTCAGCAGCGGCGTTAGGGCGACGAGCGGCGGCCAGCTGATCTGGGGGCCTCCATGACGACTTGTCGCACGTTGCCCGCCAGCCCGACCGCGCTGCCGGGTCGCCGCCTGCGCCCTGATTCGCCCGCCGAGCCGGACCTGCCTGCCTGGCGACCGCGCCGATCGTGAAATAGGCCAGGCCTGACTTGCAGACACCCATCCCATGAGTCTCCCTTTCTCGTAAAAAAACCTTCCAGAATATCTAGCCCTCTAGCTAACCCTTCGCCGTCAGAAATTCACCGCCAGAAATTTCCTAGCCCGCGTCCCATGACTGGCCGATTTTAGCCATCACATTTCCCCAAATTCCCCCGCCAAATTTCACAACCTCTCTTCACCATCCTATACTCCCTCGCCTCATTTAAGCTTATACTCCGCGCCAGGGCACACCAAATGCACCCATCTATGTGCATATTGCTGTGGCTAGCCCGCCCGACCACTCTTTCATCGACGCGACCCTCTTCCCCAGACTCGCTCATGCACTGCACCCGCCCACACCGCCTGCTTGCCGTTCCAGGCAAGGTAAAGGATCCCAATCTCGCACACCCAGGAGCGACCCCTTCGTCCGTGTCCGCTGTGTCTCAAGAATGAATGCATGCAGCCGGCGTTGTGCCATGCACAGACGCCCAAGATCATTTATTGCCATGCGCGCGCGCGTGCATGGGGAACCGCTGGGGGATGCTGGAGCAGATCTTGGTAAGGTCTTCCTTGGACAGATCCTCCGCATGATGATGCCCGCTTGCGAACTCCAAGGCTCTTCTTTGCGCATCTGGCGATCAGTGAGTATCCTTTTGTAGGAGTGGAACGATGACTGCAGCCGAGTAGATTGTTGGCAGGCGAATTGCTATCAAGCCTTCTTCCGGTTTCCGGCTTAGCTCGCTGATCATGGAGTCTTCACCTGCTGCAAAGGAGCGAAGCTGCAGATGCATCACTTTCCCAACTCAAAGTCACCGGGGCATGCAAGAGCCGCCTTCTAGACCCTCCTCACACCCACAGATAGTTTGGCTTCCGCGGAACCTCTCTACCCTATATCACCAACCCCCGCCTCCCCAGCACCTCCTTACTTGAAACGCACTGGCCTCCCCTCTGCCTAAAGCAAGCAGTTGACCATCTCATCTCATCCCATCCCACTATGTCCTTTCCACCCGCACAGTAGACCTCCCTTGGCACCCGCGCGCGGATAAACCTGCCCGCCGTCGCACAAACCTCATATCTGCTTTATCAGCCCGGCCTTGCCTGGCTTCAATCTCCTACCCCACCCCATACCATATCGCGCCTCATCTCCAACTGCCCTCCCTTCCTTTCCCCGCACTTCGATCTTCCCTCTCCAAATGACCGCTAGATATGCACGGCCAGACGACACCGACTATGCGCCAGCAGGCAATCTGCAGGAACGCGCCGTTCCTTCAAGCCCACGCGCAAATCTTGATCAGGGCAATTGCGGAGTGTGTGTGAGATAGATGGACAGCGTGTGAACGAACCGGGGGAAGATGAGATGGATTAGATTGCATTGGCACAGTACACGGCGAATGTGAAGTGCCAGATACTTTTTTTTCCTAGTTACACGAACGCCATTAAGGAGTGACAACAAACTCAATCTTCAAGCCCTGCTAGGTCTCTCCTCCGCGGAACGATATATGCCCAGACCGTGAATCGACGCACGTCACTTCCACGATATGCGTACTCTAAGCACCAGCAACAGCAACAGCAACATCCTCAAGGCTCAGAGACACCCTGTGCATAGAACATGACGAAGCACGCCCTTTGCTCTAGGCATCGCGCGGCTTCGCAGCTTCCGCCTCCGCAGCCGGGTAGCCAACGTACGTCGGGTACTTGCTGTATTTTTCGTAGGGGCTAGCTAGCATGCATGCATCAGCGCCGAGTGTGAAGTCTGTGTGGACATGGTAAAGACTTACTTGTACTTGCCATACCAGTTGTGCGACTGGCGCTTCGCCATCTTCGCGGCCGCTGCCTCCACCTCCGCGCCATAGCTCGGGTATTTCCCGTACTTGGTATAAGGAATGTAGCTCCCGTAGCTCTCAGCGTTCGTCGGGGCACCTGCAGTCTCTTCCCCGCCGGGCATCATGGGCAAGTCACGCTTCGCCGCTTCGTCACCTGTAGTAGCATTTAGAACCCGGGAAACCGCACAAAAGGGAAGGAGGACGCGCGTAGAGCCATCTTAGCGGCTTCTGCTTCAACCTCATCAGAGTACGAGCCGTAGCAGGTGTACGGGGCATATTCGGCCTGGATTCCGCGCTTGTCGTCTATGGTTGCGTCAGATAGGATTGGATTCAGTGCAGCTGAGAGGGAGGAAGGACGCACGTGGAGCCATCTTCGCGGCTGCCGCTTCGACCTCAGCGGAGTAGGGGACGTAGCAGGCGTAAGGGACATAGCCAGCTGGTCGGGCGGTGTCTCGGCTGTTGATGGGTGCGGCTACGGCTATGGTGGTAAGGCCGGCGAGGGCGAGAGACACCCGAGAAAAATGCATGGTGGAGGAGGGAGCAGATCGATGACGCCGGTTGACTCGAGGAATGAAGATGGTTTGCACAGAGCGAACGCTGTAAGGAGGTAGTTCGGAGATGTTGAAAGGGGATACCTCGTAGATATAGGAAACTCGTTCCTTTCGTCAATGGCGAAGATATCATCTGGTCGGTACGGACATCTGGCCCCATGATACACAGCTCCACCCCCTTTTGACCCATCGTCCTTTGGTATCACTAGTCAGGAGCGTGTAGGCAGTCGATATGATAGAAGACATGGAGTGCGTGAAGTGACATTCTGTGTAGCCTGTCAAGCGCGTGACGGAAGTCCCGCAGACCGACCACGAAATAGGCGTGGTTATGTGCACGAAGGAAGCCCGTTGGAGCCACGATAGAGTGAGTGACTCTGTGTCCAGTACTGGATCGAAGTGTGACCCTCAGCTTTTACAAGGCAGAACCACAAACGAGGCGGGGGTGAGGCCGGAGGGCCGTGTGGCAATCCGGTAGACGAAAGCACAGCACCCACTCCATGCGGGTACGGGCGTCTGCATGAGAGGACATGGACGAGGCGGTGAAGAAAGCAGCAGGGTTTCGAGTTTTGAATGGTGTCGCATATAGACAAAGGGTTGGGAAAGAAAAATGTGACAACTCGTGGAGCTATTAACAGATCAGAGCGCCTTTCTATCACGGGATCGGATGAGGATGAGATAGTAGGGTGGGCTTACCACGATGACGAAGATAATTAGCATTTCCCGCTATTGCCTTCTGCTAGCTTGTGATAACTCAAGATCGCCTGCATTGGCTTGATCTGCTGCTACGGCTTGGTGTCGAATGAACTTGGGTTCAGTACCGCAATGGCACTTCCTCGTGGCCGCGTAAGCTCGATGAAGGTAATACAGGAAAATGGTTGACACTTTGGCGTCGTACCAGGGACGGTGACTTGCATAATCAATGAATGTGAGGGAACATCGACTTTGACAGGTTGCAAGCGTGAGATGCGTTCGACCGCTGCGTCGCCGACTCGGTGCTTGATCGAATAGGCAAACCACCGCTACTGAAACGCGCAGTTTATCCCTCATCGAGCTTCTTCCACTTCGAACCCAATTTCCCTCTATTCGCTGAGAAAGCTATCATGTTCGCCTGCCTCTTTCGAAAGCCAAAGTTCGCCCCAGTCCCGCAAACGGACAATGAGACACTCCTGCCCTCGTCATCCTCTACCTCATCTCTTCCGCTCGAGAAAGCCAATGACGACCGGAAGACTGGAGACCTCCGGGTAGCCGTAAATACATTTGTGCTCAGCACAGCAGTCTATATTACCGTTGGGGTCTGGATCGCCTTGAGCGCGAGGAGTGGAACATTCGTGTGGGATGCGGATGATTTTTGCATCAATCACGTTTCGCAGTACTGTAAGTGTTCTGCTAATGAAATATATCAGAGTAGGCACTGATAAACACGTGGCCCCCGTCGTGAACGAAGTAAAGCCGAGTTGGCATACCGTCCAGTTCAACGGATCGTTCCTGCATGAGAACATCTATCGGCAGTCGGCGGGACCGGAGGTGGACGCCGCGTGGGAGGCCCTGGGCACTGATTGTGAGTATTGCGCACCCAGCTCAAAGTCAGCTGCTAATACATACTTGAAGACCGCAGCGTTGTCATCCCAGAGAGCGAAGCTGAAAAAACAGGGCTTAGACCCGACCAAGTTCAAGTCAACCATACGCATGGAGGTGGATTTCCAGCAAACGTCGAAGGACTGCACCATTTGCATTGCTTGGTAAATCATGTCTGGCGATCCTTTTGTTGGTCGCATCGGTGCTGACATCGCATAGAATCTTCTCCGGAAATCTCTCAAGTGGAATTACGACTATTACAAGGACCTGAAGCAGGGCGCCTTCTCGAACAGCGAGTATATCGTGCGGTTTCATGTAACTCACTGCCTGGACATCCTGCGCCAGCAGCTGATGTGCATCACCGACGTTGGCGTCCTTGGTCAGGTGTGGTGGCAGCCAGAGGAAGGGAACCCCATGCCGTTTGTGGACTTTAACACGAAGCACCGCTGCCGGGACTATGAGGCTATTCGGAAGTGGGCGCAGGAACATCAGCTTCCGCCTGAATCGGAGGTGGACATGACCACCTTTTATCAGATGCCAAAGCCACAAGACGTCCTTCCTGAGATTCCGTAGTGGCTGATGGGAGGTTGACACTGATGAAGTGTGAGGTTCTATGTATACTTTCGAGACGCGAATGTACTCACCTTCGATCGTCGGCCCCTTCATTTTCATTACTTCCTGCACGGCATTGTACCATACTGCAGTACATCCTTCTCGCATGGCATGACTCATGCCTAGTTCTGTCGCGGTTTCACAACGCCATCGTGAACAATGTAGTAGACGACGGTGCTGTCCGTGTCGACAGTAGCCAGGACCACTCTTTTCTTCGTTCTCCATGGATTGACTGCGCGCTCCTCTTCTGCGCCTGAAGATGCATGCTCTGGAGGAATCTTGCTGATGCCGTTGAAGACGTCAGCCAGCCGGTGGAGCGTCCATTTCTCGCTCAGCCTGGTGGGTAGAACCCATTCCCGCTCCGGCTCTGCCTTCACCTCCAGGGTGTCCTTGTCTCCTGCCTTTCTCGCTTTTCGCTCGCGGTCGGCGTTCTTCAGCAGCTCGATCTGCTCGTCGGGATGGATATAGAGCCTCTGCGGCGGCAGGCCGGAGAGCAGCGGCCGCGGGAGGGGTTCGTTGGTGACGGGAGAGTGGGTATGGACGTGGAGGTCGGTCCAGGAGTGCTGGTATTGGAGGTTGTGCTGGAGCTGGAGAGCGAGCGAGTGCAAACTCGGCAGGTGCGACTGCTTCGATAGCAGATTGGAGTCGGCGACGAGAGACTGGAGCGGGGACGGCTGCACAGCCGGTTTCAGAAGTCCTGGGCGCGTCATCGCACGGTTCGTTTGAGGAAGTTAATTGGCGTGCTGTGTCTCTTATGGCGTGGAGCGGCGATGAGCTGTTCTGTTGCGGGAAGGAGCGAAGATCCCCACTTACCCAGGAAGGCCTCCAGTCACGAGCGGTTGCACAGCTACGTAAAGGCAAAGAGGCGTCTTCCGTCTATAACAACAAAGGCTCGCCTTGCCTCAGAATCTGCAAAGTTCTCAATCCGATCACATCGACCGAAGCCTCCCCATTGTTCCGCCGTCACGATCATGCGCGTCTCAGTCTTGGGCCCCGCATTGCTGTTCCTGGTTAGCGCCAGGGCACAAGAAACCAGCGAGGGCATCTTGACCATCCAGACCTCGGTGCCTCCCTCTGTCGGTACGTCAACGTCGCAATGCATGGAAGTCTGCGTGGTGGATCCGTGTTTCCCATGTGTGCACTCAGAACGTATCTGGGATGAGCATCTCTAATGTTGCCAGGCACGAGCGGAGGATTTGGCATTGAGACCGACACCACCAGCAATACCATCACCGTTCCACAGGCTACTACTGGTCTTGTCACCTCAGCCGAGATGTCTATTCCGCCAGGAGAGACTCCGATCACCACTGGTCTCTCGAGTACGGGAAGCCCCTCTGGAGGCAGCGAAACCCCGAGTACGACGGGTTCCGGCGCGCCTGAGCAGAGTACGGGCGCGGCTCCAGCAGGTGTCGTGGTCGACGGCGGCTCTGGCATGTTCGCGCTGGCTATGTCCGGCCTTTCCGTCATGCTCGGCGTTGCTTGGACTTCGTTTTGAATGGCATGACGGGATTCGGGTGACGTTCATCGGGTAGAGAAAGAGGCTGCGTGACACTTTCACACCATTCATTCATTCTAGCGGCGCTGTCAATAGGTTGGCGTATGGAGACTTGGATACTGGGAAATTGGATACAGTGTTCTCCATGGGATCTGGAAAGTGTAGCTGCGATATGCTTATGTAATGGAAGAAAGGTGATTTCGTCAGCACGTAGTGGCTCCTTCACGCAGGGTTGGGCCAGATTGAGTGTATCTTGCGAATGTGGGCAAGATGCGGACCTAGCGAATCAGCTAGCGTTCCCCAGCCGCTCAATGCTGGCACTTGTCTGTGCTTGCAATTTGCTGCGATGTGCTCCTCGCGCAACTCACAAACAAGTTTCCAACATAAACCAAGGCACTCCCTCGAAGCTGATAATTGAATTGCCTATTGGCACCGGCACCAGGATCCAGCCAAGGAACCGCGGCAGTGACGCGCATCATCTTGGCTTGCGTTGTCCGTGGCGACCAACGGACCCGTACAACTCGCGTCGCAGCGGCGCGGCATCACCACACCGTCAACTTTTCTACCAGCGCACGCGCATCCATCTCCATAGGACTTTCTGTCCCTTCACTCGGCAGCAATGGCGCCCTCGAACTCCAATGTCCCGACGCCCGTTCCCTTTCCGCAGCCCGACTCGCCCCAGCAGCCCTCCACGAATGCGACTGCCAATTCACCCACCACGCGCCGTTCACGAACGTCCACCAATGCCTCGCTCTCGTCTGCATCCACTCGTATTCGCACAGCAAGCATAAAGTTCATGGAGGCGGCTCCTCCGCCCGGCATGTGGGCGGCTACTGGTACTGTGGCATCGAAAGCGCCTACACTTCAAGAGATCCGGAAAGGCTCCTTTAGCACTTCAGGTTGGAACGAAGAATCCCAAAGATACCAAGCACAAAGGCGCTCAAGCCAAAGCGAGGAGGCAGGGCGAGACCTACAGAGACGGACGAGCAATACACAGGGTGGTGCGGCACCAGAGAGCCCTGCGCGGCCGGGTTTGAGGAAGGGCACAAGCTCATCGAATTCATTGAGGGCGAGGGGAATGGAACCATTCCCAGCCGTGACAGAAGAAGAGATGAGCGCATATCCAACTCAGGACATTCCGCCCGAAGAGGTTGCCTCTAAACCCCCTAGTTACGAAGGACCAGGGAAGGAGGCGATGCAGGGTGCGGAAGTCACCGAGGAATCTGAGAAGAGTATGGAGATGCCGCCTCAGCCCGTTACGCGAAAAGTAGGCGAGCTCATCACTATGCTCGCAACCACATCTGACCCTCTTGTAGGCCACGTACGGTTACAGACCTCCTCCTAAGGTCCCTTGGACGACATCCACCGCGATCGGACTTAAAGCCTTTTGGAGATGGTTTCTTACGCCAGCCGGTTTCCTAATCACTCTATACTGCTTGAACGTGGTCGCATGGGGCGGTATGCTGTTCCTTCTCCTCTGCAACGCTGCCCCCGCCATGTGCCATCCAGACTGCAATGACTTACAATCGCCGCGAAGGATTTGGATAGAGATAGACTCGCAGATTCTTAATGCGCTATTCTGCGTCACTGGTTTCGGTCTTGCTCCTTGGAGGTTCCGCGATCTGTACTGGTGGGGATGGTGGCGGATCGGTGGCCCAAAACGCAAGCAGACCGGCATAAGAAGGCTGGCTGGGATACATCGAGGATGGTTTCGCCTCCCTGGCTCAGACCATCTACCTGAAGATGCGTCTGCTGCGATTGTCAACCCCGAAGATCCGGCAATACCGATTCCCCACGCTAAGATACCAGACCCGCCGCCAACCGGAATCCACGCACCACCCACTAAAAGCTGGAAGATGGACTTCGTCATCTGGATGAACGTGTGGAACACTTTCTTCCAGATCGCTCTTTGCTTCTACATGTGGCATTACAATAGATACGACAGACCGTCATGGGCGACCGGTCTTTTTGTAGCATTGGCCTGCATCGTAGCTGGGTTGGGAGGTATCATGATGTTCCACGAGGGCAAATATGTCAAGAAAGTCGAAGGAGTCCCAATGCCCGCTGGATACCAGGATGGACCGTCGGATCTCGAAACGCAGTCTAGCAACCGTGAACAGATAACGACAGTACCAGGCGAGGCGGCGAAGTCATCCTGATTATATGCCTAGGTCCTCGCCTGCATCTGCTGCAGAGGAGTTGTTTAGGCCGGACGTTTGATTGGGTAGCAACATTTTGCGAAGAGCCTTGGCGCAGAACCAAGTTCGCCATGCCTCCGAAGCATGGCAGCCGGTGAAAACATGGCATCCGCCTTACGCCTGACCTAGGCACAATTCATTCTTGTTCCACATGCCCTCGGTCTGCGTGTTCTCGCCTTCATGCTCTTGTTCAGGTGAAATACGCTTATATTCTGAGAACCCTTCCTCGAAAGGGCGGCAACCGTTCGCCGACAGTCACCGGGGCCTGCAGCTTCCCTGCATGATTACACTTCTCGGTAGGCGGCAAACACCAGCCAAGACGTCCGGACAGCCCGAAGCAGATCTAAGCATACAACGTCACGCTTGCGGACGAGAATGTGACGTATGCGGGGCTAAACCTTCGGCTGATGGCGAGCCTGACGGCGGCACGAGACCCAAACATTAGCGTATAGCTGTGTCTTGCCTTCTTAAAGTCGCAACACTTCTTCCGCCACTAGCCCATCTCACTTAGAACCTACGAAACCTCGCTTTTGGACTTTGGGAGTTCGACTACCTCGATGGCAGCCAAGGAATACTACTACGGCACTGCTGGTGCGCAGCAGATGCAGCACCAGAACCGACCGCAGCCCTACCCTCCACAACAACCTCAGTATCCATATCAGCAACAGCCGCCGCAGCCTGACCAGCCATACCCTCATACCCCGCCACCATCATACTCGCCCTTCCCGCCGCAGCAACAACAGCAAGTTCAAAGCTATTCTCCTCAACCCCAGTACCAGCACCAACCCCAAGCCTATCCTTCCCAACCGCAAGGCTACCCTTCAAATGCCGGGCCACCATATCCGCAAACACCGCACTCGGGACCGCAGAAATATCCTTCGGAGCGTCCACCGCCGCAGAACGAACACCTAGGTGTGCCCTTTCAACCGCAACGGAGCCACTCCCAGCCACCGCGAGTCCGCTTCGCAGACAAGGACGAGTACGCCGACGACAGCGAGTCAACAACAGACCGGTCCTACACGTCAGAAAGCGACTCCCCGCGCCGACGCCACCGCCGTCGCAAACATCGGCACTCCCACTCTGGATCCCGCGACCACGACCGAGACCACGACCGAGACCTCGAGCGCTCCCGGCACCGCGGATCCCAGAGAGCAGACCACAAGGACCGAGACACATTCCTCGGCGCGGGAGCAGGCGGCCTCGTTGGCGATTTGATCTTCCCTGGGCTCGGCACGGCCGCTGGTTTGTTGCTGGGAGGTTATGGTGGGAGGAAGCATGGAAAAAGGAGGAGTCGGAGTCAGGATTTGGAGGACCGGGAGAGCCATCATGGAAGGAGGGGAGCGGGGAGCGGATGGGATGAGGCGAGTGCAACGTACAAGAAGGGGACTACTGTGAGGTAGGTGAGTGGCCAGGAAGTGGCGTGAGGTCTGGTGCATGGCTTAAGGCCCTGATAGATGGCGGCTCCGAGAATTCCTACCTATACACGACCACGGCTCCTGTATCTAAATGTTTTCCATTCTCCATTTTGACACCCCGAGAGGCCTCATAGATCAGCGATTGTTGGGATACCTTACCTGTGCATGGGTTGCTGTACATATCTCTATTCCATTTTTCATCATTAGCAGACCTTTAATCATAAGGAAGGAATCAAGACAAAGTACGATGAATGCGTTGCTAAACAGCCTGCAGCATGAAAGACTTGAGTGGTAAATCCAGGCAGCGTGAGGCAGCCAGCCTGCGTCGCAGGGTTCGCTTCGGCCGAAAGTAGTCCGATGCACCCTCGTCTTCAGTTCAGCTCGACTCCGCTCGATCCCGCAAAATCCCATCCTCAAGTAGCACAAATGACATCGGTAGTTAATGTTTTGAACTCTAAAGCTGATAAATAAGGCGCGAATGATGCTCCCCACATCCCCATCCAGTTTAGCGCGCTGCCCACGTTTCATCGAGGCCCGTGCGCAGTTCACCGGTTTCGAGGTCGCGCATCCACTCAGCCACGCACCGCTGTCTCCGAGAGAGCGAAAGCCCCTCCCGTCCCTCGTGGGCTGAGCATTCCGCAGCTCCGAGGCAGCACGGCGATTGGACGCAGTCATCAATTGGACCTGCATCCTGGCTGCTGGCGAGACCGTCGTAAGCTCGTCAGTTTGCGCATTCGCGCAGTTGCAGGAAGTACTTCTTGATGGATGATGGATCCTTCAGGCAGACGTTTCTTCTGCCTTTTGCTCCTACGGCTTCCCGCGACAGCTGTCCGTCGTCTTCCGCCACGTTTCTTGTTCTATTTTTCTTCTGAGCACGACGCCCATTTTTCAATTGAGATTTCGTTGGATTTCGAGTTTGCGCAATGGAGGCCATGGCGTGGAGCGAGGTGCAGTATAAGCATGCCTCGCTGCCGAAGCTGAGGATGAAGCAGGAGTCGAATAGAAGAGACTCGTTGAGCTCGTCGAGGACGGGCGATTCGGGATACAATAGCGATCCAGATATCTCGCTGTCTCCACTGGACTTCGTCGGTCCTGATCAGCGTCAGTATATGGTACCATTGCATTCCGAGCCTACTGACATCTCTCATAGTTCCTCATATACCACCAACGTTTGCGTTCGACTCGTCATCACTACTTCAATTGAAGGAGAGTGCCTCGCCCAAGCCTCAACGCTCAGCCGGAGGCGCACACAGTTCGATTCTAGTCAAGATCCATAAAGACAACCACAAGGAGCTACCAACACACAAGGCCGACGTGACCAGCAATCCGAGCGCTTCCGCGGATATCCCAAACGGCGCCAAACTAGACTGGACAAACGCATTCAAGAAGCCTATCCCAGAATCCGACCCAGCCCAAATACCAACCCTCGCTTCATCGCGCAACGAGGACGTAGAGCAGTGGGTCCAACATAACCTCCATCCTCAAGATCGCCCCAAGGAACGCAACTCGTCTATTGTATCCCTATCCTCTACTGGCAGTTGCGACATGTATTCCATCACAGACGTCAGCGACGACGACGAGGACCCCGGGTTTCCCCCAACCACGCTATCCAAGGCTACTAGGAAGACCATTGAGCTCGTCATGCGGAAGATCGAGGTCAACCTAGGCTATGTCGCTTACGTCCAGTGTGCCGGCAACCAAGGCTCAAGAGGACAAGGCACCAGCAGTAACACTTCACGTGCTGGTCGCGGTGCACCTCAAGGCTCTGGCGGCAAGCGCAAAGCCCGCTCTGATGAGAACTCCCCACCCGATGATCCTGGTGACGAGGATTCGAACAAAAGACGGCGGGTATCCATCACGACGACGGAAGACTCTGAAAGCGGCCCGCGATTCGCGTGTCCGTTCTATAAACATGACCCGAATCGGTACCGCAACCGGCGCACTTGTCCCGGTCCAGGATGGCCAACCGTGCACAGGATGAAGGAGCATCTATACCGCTCTCATGCCCAACCCATCTACTGCCCAAGGTGCTACGCCATGTTCGACTCAGACGGCGATTTCTCTATGCATCTCCGGTCTCATCCCTGCCAAATATCCGCGCCACAGCCGATTGAAGGCATCGACCGAGAGACTCTGGCGAGTCTGAGGAAGCGGTCTCCTGCGCTACGCCTTGAGGAGGACAAGTGGAGAGACACTTACCAGTTACTGTTTCCCGAGGTGTCGGCTGCGGACATTCCTTCTCCTTGTAGGTTTACCGTAAAACATTGTTGTATGTATGCAGAGCTAATGCATGTGCAGATTACGACAGCGACTCGCCCACCGAAGAGTCTCGTCGCTTCCGGCGCGAGCTGCTCGAGCGAGTCCGACAAGAGCTTTTCGCTACCGCAGAGCAAGAGTCCGGTGCGGTTGAGCAAAGACTGCTTCGACAGGTCGCTGGGATCATTCAAAGATGCGAGAACGAGCTTCTGGCGTCATTCTATCCCACACCAGCGCATTTGCAGCCGGCCGTACCGACCAGCCGCCGGATATCCGCCGTATCAGCGCAGGGAGATATTGGCACCATGCCTCCGCCTCCCTCGACCCCGGCACACCACACACCATCATTCCATACAGCGCAACCGGGGAGCATGAGCCCGGGGACTCGCCACCCGCATCCGCCCTCAATGGATGCAGCGCCCCAACATCTCCAAGAGTCGCATGCTCAGTATTCTTCCCTCTTTGCGTGGAACGAGCCTTTCCAGTTCTCCTCCAGTGAGTGGATAGATTGGAATGTTGTTTTTCCGCCAGGGCCCGAGGTGCAGGTCCCACCGGAGCGCACGGAACCGCTGCCGGCGCTGTCTACCCCTGTGTGGACGTGAAGGAGCCATAGATGCTGCTTTGGAAATGCCTGCGTGGCATGGCTCAATAGTTCTTGTGTACTGCAGATCTCATCGGGTTTTCGAGACTAATGAATAATTCAAGATAGTAACAAGATCGGTACTTGAAAGATCTGTGTAGATATGTAACATGCAAGACCCATATAGCTCCATCAACCACCCCGCCATCCGACTGTTAATAACTCCCAGTGGAACAGCATCAACTCCCCCAGCACTCCGGCAACCCCCCTAATGCCAAGTCTTCTCACACAGAGAGAACTTCCAAGCTACATATCCGCCGGAGCGAAAATCGATTCGGCGAAACAAAACTCGAAGGGCAGCCATCGTTACAAGGCTTCTGGCGTGTAACTAACATGAACGGGAAATGTAGGCTGGCTGTCCACGTCACGCCCATAGCGACAGATTGAATTCTCCAACACCCCCCATCTGGGGTGCGGCTTCGGACTCTTGGAGGGCTGCAGTGGGGCCTCCTCACGGCGGGGTATTTCGTATGCTATTCTGAGCACTTTACGCTGTCCGATTACTATGTCAAAGTTGAACATGTAAAACAGCTTGGAAGCCCATTGGACTGCACGTCGAATCTAGCACCACGCGTATCGAATGTTCCCTCTGTAATGCTCATTGAAGTCATGCTATCCAAGAACTAAACTGATGATAAGCAGCCCTTCAGCGCTCCATAGCGCACACCCCGTCCGCAAGCGTGACCAATCTCATCCGGTACCCTATTGCGGCCACAAGACCAAAACCAGCATCGACTCATACACATCATGATACAAGGTAGGTATCCGACATCCCGTCCCAAACGCCATATGCTTACACAAGTAGTCCGACCGGTACGCCACCACGCAATCGAACGCATTACGCGGACCTAAATATCCCTTAAGTACTCCATCCCCTCCAAAAGCTCAGTACGCACTCGGTCAAGAGAAACAGGGAGACCTACCGATTGCCGCGTCTTCCGGGCAGCGGTGGCGCCACGAGGGGGTTGCCATACGCATCTGTGCCCATGGCCTTTCGACAGTCTGGGCAGTACCATTTTGCGCGTCGAGAGGGTATGTCCTTTTCGGTCATGTCGACGCATTCGAGATGGAACCATTCCCGTTCGCACTGGATAGGCATTAGCGTAAGAATAGAGAAAAGGATAAAAGAGAGTAGACTGACATTGTTATCGCACGAAATCATTTGCCCATAGCTGACATCGTCGCAGACGCAGTACCTTGGCTCGTTTGGATCGATCTCCTCCAGTGGCTCGGACTCCTCATCTGCCTTCTTTCTCTTCTTGTTTTTGTTGCCCTGCGCTCGTTTCACGTTCGTCACCGTCTTCTGTCCATCCTCACCAGCTGTGATATCGCCCTTCGGTGGAGGCTTCTTACGCGTGCTCATACGGGTAGGCGCGGCAATTGCAGACTGGCTGAAAATGCTATGACGGCGAAGCTCCCGGGTTGGCTTACCCGGCTCATGAGGCTTCGGCTCCTCGCTTTGCGCTTTTGGTGTCGGCACGTGGCCGCGAGCAGAGCGGGGGCGTGTGGGGAGAGCAGGAGACGGTAGAACGGGTTCAGGTGCAGGAGTGGGAGTCTTCTGTGACTTCGAAGGCGCGGCATACGCCGGTGCAGGACTGGCCACCCTAGGAGCGACCGACTCTCTCCGCGGACGAGTGGAAGCGGCAGTGACCGTAGGCTGGGGGGCCGGTGGTGCTGGAACGACGGGAGACTTTGGCGGCTCGGCTGGCGTTGGGGCGGTGGGCGAGGGCATAGCAGGGGTAGCCTGGCGGCTGGGCGCTCCCGAAGGTGGTTTCGCGGCAGCCTTCGGTGTACTTGGGCCTGCTGGAGCGAGCGGTACCTGCACTGTGGTGGTCTTTGTTGTTTCCGGCAATGGAACTGGCGTGTTTGCCACGGGCGAAGGCGCAACGGGTGTAGAAGCTTGAGGGGTCGACGTGGCAGCAGGTGCGGGAGCAAGAGGTGGTAGGATGCGCAGCCGCTTGGGCTCTGGTGGTTTAGTCCCACTCTCCTGGGAGGCTAAGGATGGTTCTCGTGTCGCAACGGTGGGAGTCTCGGCTGCAGGCTGGGGCGACGCCTCGCGTTTGCGCTTGTTGGACGGTCTCGCAGTTGATTTCCTCCTCGTAGCGGGCGTGCTGAAGGTCAGCTCCTTCAAGCTATCTGCAGCCTCCTTTATCTTCTTCGTGGCATCCTCAAGTTCCTGAGCGTCGCGCATTGCCTGCTGACGCTGCGACTCCCGCTTGACCTTCTTGGCCTCCTTTGCCTCGTTCAGCTTCATGCCCTTGTTGACCGTCGCGGTGTCTTCTCTGATCGTGTCCTTCGGGGGTTCGGCGGGCGTGGGCGTGGGCGTGGGCGTGGGCGCGACATCTACGGGGGTGGTTGTAGGCGGGGCTTTAGTTGCGACGGCAGGCGCCGCTTCCGCTGCAACTGGAGGGGCGGCAGTTTTGTAAGATGGCGTGGCAGGCTCTTCGTCCAGAAGCTCCTCGCCGGTGGCCTCGCAACGGGCTTTCTCTTTATCATAGTAAGATTGTCCGCGTTGTTTCCTGTCCAACTCTCGGCGGATCATGGTGTCGCTCGGAGTCCACACGGCGTTCTTCTTCATCTGTTTTCTAAGCACAGCCATCTCGTATTCAGTAAGTTTAAACCACGGCGCCCACTTGCTGCCCGGCCTGGCATCTGCTGGAGGGGGCGATAGCTTGGCCAGCGCATTGCTTGTCGAGATACCAGCGATGGAGCTGTGGACGTTGGTTCCAGAACCCGATAGTCGCACGCGAGATTTGGGCAGCTTCGGCGTCTTCTCCTTGTGCAGTTTGAGCTTCTTGGGGGTTGTGGCGAGATCAATAGTGGATCTCACCTCCGACTCTGCGTCAGACACATCCGAAGAGCTTAGGCTTCGTGCTCTAGCCCCAGGCAGAGGAATCGTGGACTTCTTGCCGCGGTCCCTCGGACGCGCAGCGCCATGATGACGCCCGCCGTCGAAGGTGAGGTGCAGGCGCGGAGTTCTGTCGAAGCCGCGGTGATATGATCGTGAAGCTTGCGGAGATACGGGCGCGGGAGTTGGATCGCGCGAGGGGGGCTGCGGCAACGCTTGTAGCTTCCTCTTGATGACTGCGATGCGGTGACAATGGCGCTCCGCAACCTCGTATATCCGCGACGCCTCGGCCAAGGTGGATTCCCTGCAGTATATCGCCTTATCTAGCGCAGCGGCAATCGATTTGCGCAGCGCTGTGGGATCGGGGCGCTCGTTCGCGGGTATCGTGGGGAGGCTACCATACTTTACCGTAAGGTCGTGGACGGTCTGGGTGGCGTCGGTGTAGGTCGAATCGAGGTCGCTGATGAGGCGCAACGAGCGCACGAGGTCGGAGGGGAAGAACTCGGTGTAGTCGAGGAAATCGTTGACGGTCGTCTGGGCATCTGGGTTCGCGGCGGGCTGCGGAGAGTGTTCGGAGGCGTCTGCATCTTCAGACATGTTGTCGCATCGCTGGCAGCGCGCTGGACGAGGGATGCCGGACGGGCGCGTCAGACACTCCAGCCACGCGTCGACGATGTCGGAGAGGAGAATCGGGTCAGCGAACAGTGTGTTGAAGATAGACTTGCGGCGGGCGGACGACGGTGGCCTCTGGTGAGGTTGTCGCAATGTCCCATGTTCAGGCACGCTTCGAGCGCTAGGCCGCTTTTGGACGCAGCAAAAGGCTTGGCAGCGGCAGGGACGTCACCACGACGGCTTCGCACGTCTGACGGAACAGCCAGGTTGTGGAGGGTTTCACCACGGATTGGTCTGCATGCGGATTATACGGCCTGATTGGCGTCAACCCGTAATGCCCACGCGGTGTTCCCGTGGATGCGGACAAACGGCGTCCTTCGCAGGGCTGCACTTGGCACCCCACTCCACTCCACCTCCGATGCCTATACCTGCTATCCTGGCTGGTGGGTCCCGCCTTGAGACAAGCGAACGTTGATGCAGTGCAGGGGCGTGCCCTCGTTCCCCGCCTCAGTACCAAAGACCCTGTGGCGGATGTTTTTTGGTGTGGTGATGCAGACGTCGAGTTTGTAGCTTCAGGGACGACTAGACGAGAGTGAACCGAGCCTAAAGCGCAATGTGCGTCTCTGTAAACAGCTGATTCAAAGTCTTGTAAGCTGCTTTTCATTACTTGTCTAGCAAGTGTATCAAGAGGTGGAGGAGGTGGAAGAGCTTGGTTAATCTCCATGTCGCTACCACTAGGCTTCGAAACCCCCAGCCGTTCGCGACCTTTCCGACCAATCTTCTCGCATATACGTGTAAACTTCCGCCGGTTACACTACCTCGGCCGTCGTTCATCCGGGCATCGACGCCGACGCTGCCTCTTTCACTGCCTCGGTGTTTGCTCACCAGCGCGGTTGCCGTCTCCGCCAACTCTGAGACAAACGCGCCTGCCTCATCGAATCGCGAAACCGCCTTCTAACTTCACACCCGCGAAAGCTCGACTACATTTCTTTCCTCTTTTGGCGAACTGCAATCGCCCGTCCGTATTGCCCACAATGGCTTCAGCCGCCCGCCTCGAACGGCTTCGCAAGCTCGTACAGCCTGATTTAGACGCGCTTCCTGATAGGCCCGCCTCGCCCGAGCTGGATCCAGTCAGTGACGATGAGAAGGGCGGCGGTGTATCCCTCATGCCAAATGGCGGTCCGCCATCGCAGCCTCCACCCAGCAAACAGCCTACCTCAGAGGCTCCCCGTCATGCGTCCAATACCGAGTCGTCCCCAAAACCCGCACCCACCCCTGCCGCCGAAGAGAACACAGACCGCCGGTTCGTGTGGGTACAGGGTGCCTCGAGCTCGTATAATCTAGGCTCCATGCCCAAGCTTTCCGCCCTTCCTACTACCAAATTGGCACCGACCGACCTCAAGAAAGGCGAGCTCGCTCCCGCCCGCCAGTACTTCACGCCCATAGTAGCTCTTTCCAAGTATCCCTACAAGTTCTGCAATCAGAAGTGGATGCAAGAGATCGCTTCCGCCTTCTTCGACGGCGGCAAGTTCTGGGCTCGACAGTGGGATCTGTAAGCCTGCCTTTACCTTCACCTGCTCTAACCCTCGACCATCTCCTCGCTGACAGTTCCGCAGCTACTACGTGTGGGGCATTGAAGCTACGAAACCCCTCATTCTCGTTCGCGACAGCCAGTTCGAGGACCTTCTGAGCGAGATTAATTCAGCACTGAAACTCGGGGTCAAAATTACCGACCAGCAGCGTGAGGAAGGCCTTGTCAGCCGCTTTCCGGATCACCCGCGCTGTCTGCCCCGCTATCTTGGACGCTCTCACTCGAGGGAAGAGTACGACATGATGACCGACAACGCCCCGGGCGCAGGCTCTCGAGCAGCGGGAGAGCCGGCATCACCAGCACTAGATGGCCGTACGCTAGAGGACTTCAAGCAGATGATGGAAGAGCTGTGGGATCTTCAGAAGAACAAGGGCAAGCAGCAAAAGGAGAAGAAGAAGATGGAGAGGATCGCACGCAACAAGGTGTTCGCTGATCAGTTCAAGCGCGCGCAGCGATTCCTCGGCCTTCGTCCCACCATGCAGAATGGTAAGCTTCCTCGCATTACCTGGGCATGTCTTGGAGACGCGGCTTTCCCGACCTTAGCTGACTTAGTGGCATAGGACAGACAGCATCCGGCCTGCCACCAACTGTTGATACCGCTCTTCCCGCTCCCTTTCCCTTTGACCGCTCCGTGGTCTTCGTCTGCGTGGACGTGGAGTCCTATGAGCGAGCACACCACAAGATCACCGAGATTGGCATTGCCACCCTTGACACCCGTGACCTGGCTGGCGTAGCACCCGGCAAGGACGGTGAGCACTGGAGGTCAAAAATCCGCGCTCGCCACTTCCGTATCCGGGACAATGCGCATTTGGTGAACTCCGACTTCGTCGTCGGATGCCCTGATCGTTTCGATTTCGGCAAATCGGAGTGGCTACGGCTAGCAGATGCTCCGGCCGTGGTCGGTGCTTGCTTCAAGCCACCGTTCTGCGCTCACACTCCGGAAGGAGCGAACGGATTCGTCACCATGATGGATACCTTGGATCTCGGTGAGGAGCGCAATTTGATCTTCCTCGGCCATGATACTCTCGGAGACGTCAAATACCTTCAGCGAGCTGGCTTCGATCCGTTGACCCTACCTAACCTGCTGGAAGCGCAGGATACGGCGACCATGTATCGGGTCTGGCGTCGTGAGCAACAGCCGACCACATTAGGCAAGATCCTGTACGACTTCGATATTGCAGGGTTCAACCTCCACAATGCGGGCAATGATGCGGTCTTCACTGTACAGGCCATGCTAGCGATCTGTGTCCGCGAGGCTTCCATTCGGGGAACTACGGATATGAAGGAAAAGCGCGACGAGGAGAACGCAGCTAAGCTAACCGTTGCCCAAGAGGAAGCTAAGAAGCAGGCGGAGGACGAGGCTGCTGGTTGGAGTGACCACGAAGCCGTAGGAGATGGCGGGGCACCTGTGCCCATTGTCATTAAGGAGACACCAATGCCGTCGTCTGCCGCGGATCGTGCTCATAAAGGCAGTACACTAGTGCAGCCGCAAGGATTCGTCGGCTTTGGCGCGCCGAATCTCAGTAACAGTCGTGGAGCAGGCCGCGGTGGTCGAGGAAGCGCAAACGGCTCCGCAATCAAGGGCGATAGCATTCGCCGTAACGGCGCATACCATAACTCGGATAGCTCTACTAGCGCTTCCGACCGTGGTGGCCACCGAAACCCCGGACGTCCTCGATCGGCAGGACAAAGCCCGCGCGGAGGTCGATTTCACACAGAGAGTCGTGGTCAAGGACGTGGACGTGGCGGAGGCCGCGGTCGCGCTCGCGGCTCCTTCGGTCCCGGCACTCATTCGCGCTCTGACGATGGGTACCCTCCGCCCGAACCCGAGGTATGCCACGATCTCATTGACCTTTCGTAACTTTCTCCAGTGAAACAAAGGTATGAAAGGTGCTCTAACCCTCTCTATCAGGTGAAGTATTATTGGTAAAGGGTTGAACCTCCTGCTTGCGGCCTGCGGAGGATGGCTTGGGCCGGGCGGTGCTCATAGTATGGATACAGCGGTGGCTTGCTCTTTTGGCCCCTTCCAGGGATATGGCGTAGTACATGGGAGGTGGTAGTCGAGCTAGCTTATGCACCATAGCGATAATGGTGCGATTCACTCGTCTTTTCTTTCTCTTTCTCCACTTGCACCTCAAGTGCTGCAGGACTTAGGAAATGATCTTACAAACTGTACAAAAGCGATTATGTTTTGATACCCTCTGCCTGCTTCCCTTCCTCCATTCTTAGTGCACTTTACAAGTCTGAAAGGTGAAAGGTCCTCGGGCGGGCCAGAGTGACCGAAGCGAAAGCAACGCCATCTGCTGGATTCAAATGCTAATCCACTTTCGGCCTCCCAGAGCCGTCCGCCTTCTCATACCTTCCAAAAGTCTTCAGATCATAGCCACACCCCTTCTCCAGCGCCCTCTTCCACGCCTCCCGCCCCCTGATCCTCGCCATCCAGGCACTCACTTTAGGAAACTTTTCCGGCTTAAAGTACCCCCTCTGCTCCGCCATATCCATGCCAAACGTCATATTCATATCTGCGAGCCCCATCTTCTCGCCCGAAAACCACGGCTTCTCCTCGCTGAGGTGGTCCTCCAGGAGCTGGAAAATGGGCTCCAGGTCCGAGAGCCAGTACTTGATGATGGGCGAGGTGAGCAGCCCGAGCAGCCAGTTGAAGGGGAACGGCGCAAACTGCGGGATGATGTCGAACAGCAGGGTGAAGTCTACCTTCACGGTGACCGTCGCGACGGCGAATTCCTGGAAGAAGGCGTCGCGGCGCGCGTCTGCTTCGCTCTGGGGGTCGAACATGCGGTTGCCGTACTCCGAGTTGAGGAATTGCAGGATTAGACGGGCCTCGGTGAGCACGCCGGGCTCGATCCGCATGGTGGGGGGCGGCGAGCCGTCCGGGGTTTCGAGCGTCATGATAGGCGACTTACCCAATCGCTGATGCTTGATCAGGGCTGGGTTCGGGCCTACGATGCGCGCGTAGTTTTCGAGTTTGTATTGGAAAGCGGGGTTGGCGAGTTTGATCTCCTCGAGAGCCCAGAGGCAGCGGAATGCTTGCGAGTGGGCGAGGTTGTGCAGGGTGGGGATGGTTGATTGGGCCATTTTAGCAAGCGTTGGTGGGGAGATTGGAGTTGAGGGCACTTCTTCTGTGCGCGGCTGAAGGCGATTATTTGAGAGAGTGGAGGAGTGAAGTTGAGGTTACGTCCACTGCGAGCAAGAAGGTTGGTAACCACCGCTCTAAGGATAAGCGCTGTGCCGCATGGAGACAAACCGGAACCTTGGACGATTTGGCGGGAACTAACCAAAAAAGGTATGGACGGAATTTAGCTCTCGCGGCGCCGTTTGGCAACCAGGAATGATTGAATTGAGTAGTCCATCTAAAAAAGCGCCGGATCCGTATAATCGTCAAATGGTATCTTTATTCCCTAGCAAGACGCTGTAAACAATCGCCGCAAATCCGTAACAGTCCGAATGAACCATTTCCTAGAAGCTGGTATCCTTCAGGAAGGCTTTCCTGTCGACGTGTTATTCGAGTTATTTATGCTATCGCTAGTTGCGATATCGGCAGTGTGTTGGGACGTACCATATGGAGGTGTGTATGCAGGTGGATTCCCATATCCGCCCGCGGGGCTCACAGCAGGCGCGTACGTCGCTCCATAATTTTGCGAGTGGAAATGTGTCGGCATTTGCGGTATGAATGGAGATGGGAGGCCAAAGGGTGAGCCGATTTGCGGCGTCTGCACGCAGCAGTTATGTGGTGCGACCACCATTCCCGTCGGACAACATCCCGTTTGAATGCGCTGCTGCGGCTGGAGCTGGGGATGGGGCTGGGGTACAGGAGCTGGCGCTTGTTGACGCGGTTGCGGCGTGCATGGAATAGGTGACATAGTTTGGACGAGGGGAGGTAGCGCCGGAGCCATTTTGTTGTAGTCGGCCCATGTGTGCTCGGGGAGATTGGAGAAGGCTTTTCCGGAGGTGAGAAGCAGGACATATGAATTTGGATGGTGCGCGAAGAGGTAGAGCCCCTAGCTGAAATCAGCATAAGCAATATATCAGAATGAAACAAACTTACGGCAACGCCCGTGAAGTCTTTTGAGTCATTAAGGAACTTATTCGTTCCCACCATGCCGTCCTCTTTGCTCTTCAACTCCCAGCTCCCACCTCCGCCAACCGCCCGCATAAAGTAGCTTCCATCGGCGCCCAAACTGACGAAGCTTGGTGCGTCGCGGCCGTTCTCTTTCCACACAGTCTTCCATGCATCCTGGGACACGAGGCGCCCGAGAACAGCCTTTTCGAGTGCAGGAGGTAGATTGGACCACGAGGCAGATGTCTTGTCGTGGGCGTAGTAGGACTCATAAGGACCCAAGGAGATAGAAAGGGTACTGAGATCACGGATCACGTGGGGGTGCCCATGGTAGAGGTATTCTGTGAGGGGATTTGGGAGGTTGTAGTGTCCTGAGGTGTACATCAGCATATACATGTATTAATTTGAAACAGGGTATGGAAAGCTATGATGCCGAAGATGGGGGGAAGAGGCAGAGCAATGGGCAATCAAGGAGACGCTTGTCGGCCGTATATCAAAGGAAGAAAGCTTGGACTGACTGCAGAATATCTGTCCATCATGATCTCGATAGCTCACAAAGTACGTCCCGTTGTCCCCCAGCGCGAACTCAATCACGTCCTTGAGAGGAGGTTGTTTCGTGAAGAGAGCCTCAACATCCGGCAGAAGATTGTGCCTACACCACATCAGCAACGCATCCAATCTAGCGTCTACAATCGTGGGACCGTCATCCAGAAGTGCCGAATCCTCCAAGACGCTCACAATTGCTTCAGCTGTCTTGGCAGCCTGATAGCGCTTACGGCACGATCAAAGAAGCATGGCTTGCGAAGCAAGAAAAACTTACCAGGCCCAGTGCGTAGGACTGTTAAAGAAGTAAGCCTCCTTCGCGCCCATCGTAAAGTTCACAAAGATCGTCATGATGCTGTGGATGCGCGGAGGAGGGGATGCGGCTGAAGTCCGTGCGGCTACGAAAGAGGGTAGAGCAACGCGGCGGAAAACAAGGGCAAATGGGTATTAGAAAGGATATGAAGGTATCAGGAGCGACAAAAGAACGCGACACCAAAGAAGAGGAGAGCGAAGGTGAGGATGAAAGGGGGATGACGCTCTGCAGTCATCGGACTTGTCGAGGAACGGGCGTTTCGAGGCTCAGCCCACAGCCCCTCACCCCCTCGTGTTCGCTTAATAATGCCTCTCACGTAGTGCCTAAGTTAAGCATCTTAAAGGTTGCAAATTTGGGATAAACTTGCCTTATTGTTTGGTCCTGTGTATGGTGGTCCTAACTATTTTCTCAACGCTCTCGCGCCGCGCTCCAGAGAGTATAGCATGTGTAAACAGCAAAACTGTTGAAGTAGAGCCTGTTGAGCCTAAACTCACTTCTGCCGCAATGAGCCACTGAAGGCTGTGCAAAGCACCCACGGTTCCAGTGGGTTTTCCGCAGGTCGAGGCATTTCAAGCTGTCTGATCACGATGTGATACTTGTGTGAACAGGGTGGAAGCCCATATGAACTGCTGATCTGAGCCATGCATCGTTGTCCCTATCTTTTGTCTATCCCTACATGCATCCTTTGGGACACTTCTACGGCGTATGCCCTTCCTTCTATACCTCTAGCGCATTCCCTCAATCCTTCGTCAGATTATCCAGCTCGATACCCGCTGGGATTCTCATGCTGCTCCTCCGTCTACCTGCGCCCTCTGCATTTCGTATTCCCTCCTGGATAATCTCGTCGCTCTTCATGCTACGAGCTTCACCACGCTCGGCCTCATCGCTGTCGTCTATAGCCTCCTCGCTTCCGTACTCCGATGGGCCGCTGAAATCGGCCTCGAGTGTTTGGCCATGATTACCGCCAACGCTCTCCATCGTGAACGGGCTAGCGGTTGGCGCGTCCAGGATACCGAGCTCATGGGGTGTGAACCATCTCGGCATTCCCCACGTTCTCATAGGGATATACAGAAGGATGAAAACTGGGAACCCAATGGCCGCGACCGTCTGGGTGATGGCGAAGGTAGCTCCGAATCCGATAAGCTCCAGCGCGATAAAGACCCAGATGGCTTTTCGGCGTTCAATACGCATTAAAGGATCGGAGCGTGAGGTCAAGTACTTGTCTTTGGCAAGGAACAAAATCTTGAGCGTGATACCGTTTGCTTCTAGGGCCTGAATTCCCATGACGAAGAAAAGGCCTGCGAGGACGGCTTGAGGGATCAGGTGGAGCACGATGAGAAGAGGACCGGACATAGTACCGAGAGTCAGAAGTCCTTGAGCGAGGTTCGAAACGCGTTGCTCAACCACGTGATCGACTATGCGGTGTGTATGCCCCTTGTTTGCCTCGTCGTCCGTATCCGAGACCGTCCGTGTGACACACAGGGAGGTGGTGTGGAAAGGTGCCTGGGGAATCAGACCATTCGGGAAAGGAATACCTAGGAGACCCGCGACACCAGTGGTGAGGCCGAGGAGGAAGATGTCCCAATGAAAGCCTGCTGGCTTCCGAAGTGGAAACTCGGTCCCCTGAGCGATGAGGGAGGAGACGTTGTGGTCGAACCAAAATAGGATCGTCAGTATGATGGCGAACGGAATGGCGAGGAACACATCTCCTACGCTAATATCCCAGAAATGGATGAACCAACCTCGGTCAGTGGTTGGGAAGAAGGCGCGAGACGTAGGAAGCTTCAGCGTTTCGATATTGGCCATCTTCCCGATGTGAACGAAGCCGGTGAAGAAGACGATCGTCAACGGGGTCCCATAGTCTTCGATGAACTTCCTGAGGTGGCGCTGGAAGAGTGTGGAGTGTCCGATGATACCACAGATGTAAGCTATTCCTGTGACCAGGAGAGCCACCGCGATGGAGAGATATGCGGATGCATCACTCACTTCCCATTGGCGAGTGAGTACTTGGATTCCCTTCTGCAGATAGATGAAGGCTACGTAGAAACCGAATATGTCGCAGGAGAAACGAGTGACATATTTCAGGCCGTTGCATGAGTTCGTAATGGCGAGGATCCAGTGGAAAATTAGAGACCATCTAGAATTAGTCAGCGCGCGCTCTCCATAACACATTCGATTCCGATACTTACATGCCAATCCAGCACATGAAGGCGAAGTAGTTCGTGCCACGAGATGCTATCATATCGTATACGGTGTAATTAAAGACAGTAATAGGACCTAGGCTGATTAGCGGTAGCCCGTGTTAGGACATCAGATCCATACCAGTAACGCCCACAATGACGAGCGGCTGCGCAGCAAACACGGAGAAGACCACTGAGCCGAGAACGGATGCTAAGAGTACCTCATTTACGCCATAGCTCCGGTCGGTCTTTGCGAACATGTCGAGGGAGAAAGCCAAGGCTGGCAAGATACTGAATGTAAATTAGTATGCAAGCGGGAGCATTGGCGTGCTCATCATTCAAGGAGACCAAACGGACGAGCGACGAACGGGACGGGTATGGGTTCACATGTGCATATGGAGTAATGCATGCTGTATGGTGCTGTTATTGTTGATACATACTTCGCGAAATACATATAGACGGTAGCAGGCACCACGCGATAGTCCCACGCATCTTTCCAGTCGCTCCAGTAGAACGGCGCCCTTCTCCTGATATCGTTGACCATGCCACGGAACAGTCGAGTCTTCCACCATTTGTTCCTCTTCGAGCTGGTCGATCGCCTTGACTGGCGTGTGTTCTCGCGACTGAGGCGATGCTCGTTCTGTCCAGGGCGACTCTTGGAGGAGAAAGGCAGGCGTGAATGCCACGACTGTTTCGAGCGGTTCGGGGAGGCGGAGGTGCGCATGGAGACTCCATGGCGCTGCGTAGGAACTGTCAGAGTCTCTGAGGGCGCCATAGCGGAGAGGATGTAGAGTGGGGGCAGAGATTAGCAAAGGAGTCTCGGAGCGCTGCCATGCGAGGCTCAGAGGCTGTCTTAAGAAGGTGAGACGCTTTCAATCGGTGAAGAAGCGCGGAGGGGTCTCATGCAGGTCGAGCATCGGCAATAGGAAGTGTGGGTACAGGGCTGTTCGCCGCCCGCAGGTGTGGGGGAGACTTTTGCGCCCTCGACACGAGCCGATCCTGCGAATATCTTGGCGTCATCGCCGGCGATCTTTGCTTTTGAGGGCTGCCGGGGTCGATGTGAGCGAATTCACTGGAATAATGTCGAGAAACGCAGATACGGTCGTCGTGGTTGGCCAAAAAGCGCACATGTTGAGATGAAGACATCAGGACCTGAGACAAGACGGGACATCTCAGATCACGTGGCCGCCCCGAAACCGTTTTAGCGCCGTCTCGATTTTCTGCTCGAGCGTCAATTTTGCTTCTCACCAGTCACCGGCCAGTGTTGGCCCGCGTGGACATACAATGGGCCGATAATGCAGCCTGAGGTCCCCCTGCAGCACTTTTCACCGCTGTTTCTTTCCGTCACCGCATCCGGATCCCGCAGCCTGGCCGTCAAGGGCCCAATTGGCATGCCTGCAACTATATGGCCTTTATTTGACCGCATTGCGTCTTTGCGAACAATCTTCCGCTTACCCGTATTTCTAAGCCTGGGGATAAAGACATGCATGGCAACATCCACGCATTACGTTCGAACGAGGCTCGTGTCAGACTCCTGCGTGCTCGAAAGCCGAGCCAAAACATCAGCGACAAACAAAGCCTTCAATAGTAGCAGCACCTCCTGCCAGGCTGAAACAGCTGAAATAGATGGTGTTGGCGGAGATTAAGGCGCTTTTTTCGTTGGAGAAGCCAGAGTTGGGGCATCCAAAGTAAAGGCACTGAGAATTTGCCGCTTCGCATGGTCTGGGAATAGAGTTTCCGTTCACGCGGAAGGAGTCACTATAAGGCCGCCTGGAACCCTTCAGAGAGTTATACTCAGTAGACACAAATTCCGCAAAACACATTGATGCACTTCAGGCAGAGGAATGCCAGTGCGTTACTTGCCATAAGGACGGAAGACATGGCTCATCTCCCAGCAAGATAGGCCACATGCGCCTCCATGAGATTCACCAACGGCGGCACTTCATGCGTCAGACTCGCAAACTGATCCACAACCTTCGACAGCGCCTGCGCTCCCGCCTTGATGCCCTCATTCCCCTCCCAAGTAACCGTATACAATGCGGAATCTGCCTCCACGCCATCCTGAAGTATCCCGCTGCACGATAGCACCCCCGTTCTCAAATCCGTCAACTCGAGGTGTCGCAGTGCAGGAGCGGCGCATAAAGCCCTCAGGAACTGGCCCCAGTAAATCTGCCCACCATTCCAGACTTGCATCTCCACGCTAGAAAGGGTGAGTGAGCGAAGAGTATTGCGGGTTCGGTGGATGATGATGCCCAGATCGACGAGGTGGGAGCAGTTCCGTATTTCGATTGCTTTGAAGCCATGGAATGCGTGGAGTAGATGATCGCCGCGAAAAGGACACCGGTTGAAGATTACCCGAGTGAAGGAGATTTTGCTGAGAAAGTCCGTGAGGGGAACATTCGCAGTCTCGACATCTCGGATTTCAAAATGTCGTAAATACCTTTTGACAGCGCGCCGCGGTAGTGCCTTTCTAGGGTCGAACGGCTGGGCGAAGTGGCTTTTTCCATTGGAGAGCGTATATCCGCCGACGATGAGGTCCAAAGCCAGGCGCTTGCCGGCGATGTCGAGGTCCCGCAGCAGGGCCAGAACAACAGCGTATACGAATTGGCGGCTCGAGAAAGGAAAGGTGTAGCGACCACTATCGGGCGAGTCATCAGGCTCGGAATAAGGGCCGTTCCAGCGAAGGTCAACGCCGGTCAGTCGTTTGATCTTCACACTTGCAAGACTCGGTCGGTAATCTTCGTAGCCCTGCGCATTCTGTCCGCTCGGGCGGTCTTCCAATGTAACCCTGTTCAGATTCCGAAATCGAAGCAGGATTTCCCGCAGCTCTGTCACGAGCTCGCTACCAGCGATCATCTCCGTTTCGAGCCAGCTATCGTACGTAACTTGGGGTTTCTCAACGTCTGGTCCTTCCAGGAAGTCCACGGCGTGGCGATACTGGTCCAGCGTCTCGGTTCCAAAGGTGATATGCTCGACTTTCCTTGCGATACCATCAACTTGGGAGATCTCGTCTAAGTCATCTAGGCTGGCCTGACAGAAGGAGAGCTTTATAGATAAGAAGAGGCTGAAGAAGTTGGACTCTGTCTTTTGCTTAAGGGCACGGTTGACGAATCGTAAGGCTAATAGAGAGGATGTATCAAGATTATCGTAGAGAACGTCTGCCACTTTGCTGGGCAGATCGCTGAGTTTCGCCATGTGCCCAGAAGGAATGGCACTGTGTGTGCAACGTGGTGAGATGTTCTGTGAAGTACTTCAATATTTTACGCTTTTCCCTGCGAGCCTGGCCTTTGGTATCTCAAGAACTTTTGGCTAGGTATTGCTGTTTCTGATAGCACAAAGTCCTGCCGGATATACGAGCGCAGATTGAATTATGTAGAGAGGTGGATTAAGGAGAGAACCAAGTACCTGCAAATCGTAAGAGATCAGCTAGCGATTCTTCTTACCTTCACTTGTTGTTCCGTTTGACGGCTAGAGGACAGCCGGGTTTGTCTTAGGGTGAGTCGCGTGGAAGATAGATAGATACAGACCAATCCATTCAATTTCTTAGGTATCTCTCAAATCAAAAGTCTCACCTCCTTCATCCGTCCTCTCTCCTTCTCGCCACAATTGTGCACGGCTCTTTCGAATGCCATGAGCGCAATTGAGGCTCTCCCAGAATCTCGGCTTGCAGCAAAGTCTGTGTGCCGCTCCTGACCCTGTTTCCTTGCTCGATCTCCGGTTTTGGCAGCTCAATTTCATCTACCGTTGCGCCTACTTCGAGGACGCCGCTGGAGAGCGCAACTATTCCAAGCTCGGACTCCACAGCTTGACCTGGGTGGATGACAGGCAGTTCCCGTTGTAAAACCCCGTTCCATGAGAAACGCTTGTCCAAATCGAGCGCGATGTTGTGTGAGAGACCAGCGAGATGCGGCTGGAGTCTGAGAAGTGGGGAAATGGGATTAGGACTTCGGTTGTATATGCGAGTTTTGAGTGTGAGAAACTCGTCAACGGGCACGTTGAATTTGGTACGACCGAGCTGTCGCACGATGACCCGGCCCTCTTGCCCTGGTTCGTCGAGGATGATGTCATTCTCGATCATGAGATCTTCCGATTTAATTGCTTCAACCATCCGGGGAGAGAAGCGAATGGTGCGAAGCTCGAGATCACCGTGCCGGCCGTTTCCCCCTTCGTGCCACGTTCCACGAATGAGCTTTAGAAGTTCGTGGCGGTACCAGAACGCTTCTCGGCTCGCACGCTCGGCCTCAGGGGATATCTTACTAGAGCTGACGACGAACTGACGCTGGTTTGCGGGATTGAGGGAGGGAACCGGAGCGTAGGGATCTTCGAGGTAGATCTTCGGCAAGATTATGACAACGCGGTTGATGTGGCCTGGTTGAATGATTTCGTTCACAGTGTACGCTTTGCTCCATGAGACTTGCGGGTTCTCGTCGTCGACGGGAAGCGTTCGAATCTGGAGTGAGATTGAGAGAGGGTTAGGCCAAGAGTTCCGGAGATCCAGGAGGAGCATGCAGTACTCGTTCCCATGTCCATGGATTTGCGTATGCTGTAGAAATGTGTTGAAGTGAGTATCATCCTTTCCGAGTAAAACGGAGGATATAAGGGATGTAGGGTCGAAGATGGGGGCAGCCTTGGTGCGGTTCTGCTGATTTGACCAGGTGAGGTCCCCTGACAAGGGTACTATGTCGGGTCTTTGTAGTTGAACGCTTGCGTTAACTGTGATGGATATAGGGACAGAAACCTGCCGAGTGAAGAATCGATCTGTTATTTCTGATCGCCTCTTTCCGAGATTGGCGTAGTCTATCTGGATGACGGCGTCTGTGAGACGAGTGCGACCGATGACTTCGATTTCGAAGCTTGCCACTTCGCCGGGCGGTATCCGAATGGAAGCTTCTTCCTGTTGCCTGCACCATCGAAGGGAAGGGAAGTGTGCGAGTTGAACTTCAAGCTCGTGGAGATCAGCAGCCGAAAGATCTCGATTTGATGTAGAAGCCTGTAAGGCCGCCGTCGCAGAATCCAGGAAGGAGATATGAATGAAATCGACGGCTGTGATCTGTGACGCGTTCTTCACAGTAATCATGAATCGTTTCCGTTCTCCTTCGAGAACCATAAGCGCTGCCTGCGGTAGGGACACGCCTGTGACGACGATCACTGGCTGGTCTGGTATCACACTAAACGTCAGGGTTTCGGGATTTGGTGCAGCCGCTTTCAGGTCGGTCGCCGCTGTAACAGCTGAGGTAGGTCGCGAAATAGGTGCTCCAAGGCATGCTTTTAATCCGATTCTTTTCATCTTGAGTTCCCGTTCTTGCTTCCAGGGGTCCGGGAAGATAGGGAATAGTCGCTCCTTGCAGCCCGTTACCTTAATATAGCAGCCAATAATATTCAGAGTCCCCGCCGAACGTGCAATTCCTGTGATAGGGAACTTCTGCGTCCTGTAAGGCCCGAGAATGAATAACTCTTCATGCGCCACGAATTCGATCCCTTCTGCTGCTATCCGAAGAGAGTCGACCTCCAGTTCGAAGTCATACGGATTTTGGAGAGCTATGACAAATCGATACTCCTCATTAGCAACCAGTATGGTTTCCACTGCACCAGATTGGGACTGCTTGTTCCATGGGTTGTGGATGAAGGGCCCGTCTTTGGTTGACGTCGACTTCAGTTCAGCTGGACGATGATGGGTTAGACGTAAGGGAGCCGGTTCCTCCATTATGAAGAGCCCGCGGACTAAGAAATCATCCCAATACTCAGTTTCTACTTGTTGGAGACCGAGCTTGTGGGCCGCAGCAACCGTCCGGGAAATGTTCGCAAACAATCGGACCTGTTCTTCACGTGGAAGAGACACGAATACGTCGGTACTGTTCGGCTTTGGCGCTGTACCAGGTCCAGCCACCCGCAACAGCAAAGCGGTAAAGTGAAGCACGCCGTTGAAATCCGGTAAGGCCTCGCAGAAGCTGATGCACATTCGTAGTACATCTAGTTTGAGACTCAGGCTGCCAAATGACCTGAGAGATGCGATCCGGAGGATGTCTTCGACTACAGCCTGGCTTGGATTGGGAGCCGCAGGAGCGTCTTCGCCATTCGTTGAAGCTAACAAGCGCGAGCCTAGGAAGGTCCCTCTTGAGTCGGGTATCCCGTAAATACGACCAATGAGTACCAGAAACTCGTCGATGCCGTCTTCAGCCTCCCCTTCTCCGAGGTTTAAGGCGCCGGCACCCGAAGTGCTGCCGCTTGCCATGTTCAGAGCCGCGAGACCTGCAGCCGGATGAACTCCCATTTCTGCCGCGCCCACTTTGCGTGCCTGGACCAGTCCTGGAATGAGCGAAGTAATAAACTCTTTCATTACGATGGCTTTCTTTCTCTGCAATTCTAAGGTCGATAACACAGACGCCACGCCTGCAAGCACAACAACACGGTCCGTAGGGCTCATGCCAGAGGCATCCGGCGATCCGGGTAAAGCTCGAAAGAGCATGGTGGCGATATCGTTCCTGGTTGGATTGACGCTGAGTCTCGGGACCGATAATCTCGGCTTTTGTCGAAACGGAGTATTTTGGACGAGGTGCTGCAAAGCATCCTCGTCTAAGAAGCCAGCAGAAAGATTCATAGCAGCCAGCAACTTGGAAAACCGTATGACACATTCTGAGAATGCTAGTGGAGGCAGTGCCTCGCCAGAGAAATTCGATGCACGGGTGTAAACATTCAAAATTATGTTTACCAGGTCGGGAAGAAGAGAGTTCAGGGTCTCAAGAGCGACCTCGTGACTGGCGGCTTTGGGAGGGGTCGGAGCGGTGACATCGGCGACACTGTTCGATGGTGTATGTTGAGGAGATTTGGTCCCAGACGACTTGTCCGATATTGGATAGCATATACGCGGGATCTAAAGGATGTTACTCTTGTTGAGCTGGGGATTGGCGCTCTACTGACCTGGAAGTCCATACCCGACCACGCAAAGAGGAGCAAGCACACCATGATGTTCTCCAAAGCCTTCGCGTGCCATAGGTGATCACTGAATGCTCTAGCCCGCGTCGCGCCTTCTGTGAGCTCCCTTAGTGCCTCGTTCCATTGGCCGGCGGATAGATACAATGTTCCGATGACGATGCTTATGCGCCCCTGACCTTTGTTGCGCGCACGTTCACCAACGCCGCCAGACCCAAATCCATGAATGGAAACTCGATCAGCACTTGGATCTCTCCCTGATCCGTTAGGTTTCGATGACGTGCTATTCGTTCGATGCAAAGTATTTGCGGCATTGATCCCAGATATCTCGTCGAATGTAGTCGGAGGAGTGCGGGCACCTTGTGTTGTGGGTGACGATGCCCTAGGTTCGTCGGATACTAATGGCCCTCCCGAAGCGGAGGGTAGCACCGGCATGGACATACGGTGGAGATCTTTCTGGGCGTTCGAGACGGGGGAGTCCGGTCTACTGGCTGTGGGAACTTGGGAATTGCGGCGCGAGAACTGCGGTCCCAACGAATCTGCGCTAGCCCAATTTGGCGCGTTACCTGTACCGTTTTGGGATGAGGGCGAAGGGACTGTAGGCAAAGCCTGGATAGATTTCGCCAGTGTGGTCATTTCCGCCAGGAGAGTTGACGTAAGATCACACATGAATGTCTTCATTGTCGTTGTCTTAAGCTGCGCCTGTGGCGGCACCAGCAGCGTCTCTTGAGGCAGTCGAGGATGCCGAACCTGGGAGGCAGAGTCAAACATCATGAAGCTATGAAGATAAGCTCGAGGAAACTGCTCGCGCAAGTCCTCTATAGCCGACTGTATGTCTTCTGCATTCTCTTCTGTTGGGCTAGCTTTTCCGGCCGTTTCAGTCAGGGAGCCTTCCTCGGCACGTGACTGACCAAGCCATGAATACTCGGCGGCATCTCCTATGCCGATGACCAGGAGCGGTTCCCGAAACTGCTCGAAAGGGGACAGCGACAGATGGGAGGGTGGTGGTAAAGATGTTGATAGGTCATATAGGAGGGTGCCACTAGGAAATGCTAGGGGAGAGAACATATCTGCGCAATGCCAAGATCAGTTAATGCGTTCGCTGATAGGTTCCACGTGGGCCCATACTCCTGTCTGGCCGAGGATCCGGGCTGACATCTCCAAGACGAACCGTGCAATGCGGCTGTAAGAGATCAACGAAGGCTAGGAATCGCGAGCGCTTGATGCGGCCGGTTGGGAGAAGAAGTGCCCGAATGCGCGCAGGCGCAATCGGGGAGAGAGGGTCGACTGCCATCGCCACATCGGGACAGGAAGACCAAGCCGGTCGCGCGTTTAAGCTCTACCGTAGACGTGAGGCTGGAGCGGGTGGATGCATGATGTGTCGAATATTGAGCTGTGAAAGACGGCAGCGATGCTGCGGATTTGGGTGACATGGCTGTGGCGCTTGGCGCGCTAGTCTGCTTCTGTCGCTAGTCGAAACGCCACAAGCCCCTGCAGGAACTGGGATCGCGCTGACCTCATGCTAAACGCGCACTCACCCTTCAAGGATCCAACCTCAGCTGCGACCTTTCGAGACTGCCTACCTTCCTCGTTACTGTCTTTTGCATAGCGTGAGTGAAATAGACGGAGTTACATCGGCATCCCTTCTTCAACGTTCGGATTCTTTCCCTAGTTCGCCACAAGGCTGCAAGCCGCACGTCAGCTCGTTCAGCCTTGGCCACAGTCAGTTTCCATTCCTATGCATATTCACCCAACCCTCGACTCTATATAATACCTCTCTCTTTCTCTTCTTCCGTGGGACACGGTTGGACATCCCCGCGCCTAATATGGCCGCTGTCGACTTCGCGCGACTGCGCAACCAGACTCTAGCCGAAGGCCTAGACAGCGAGGTCACGGTCAATACCAGGGCCTTGATAGATAAGGTGCTGGCTCGATACTCAAGCGAACATACGACATTAAGAGAGCTCATTCAGAATGCCTCGGACGCCGGGGCGAATGCTGTCGTTATCAAATATGAGACGGATCCGTCTCTCGACACACCATCGCCACTCGGTTCGGACAAGTCGATCCTTCTCAAGCATATCATCCAGCATCATACTCTAAAGCGACTAGTGGTAACAAACAATGGGCAGCCATTCACAGCCGCCGACTGGAGCCGCCTAAAGAGCATCGCTGACGGGAATCCCGACGAGACGAAGATCGGAGCATTCGGTGTGGGGTTTTATAGCGTGTTCGCTGACTGCGATGAGCCTTTCGTTGTTTCTGGTGATAGGACCATGGCTTTCTACTGGAAAGGCAATACGCTATCAACGAAGGTCGCAGGCGTACCACCGGAGCATCGCAGCTCGAATACTACTTTCTCACTCGATTACCGACAAGCTAACCCGGCGTCTCCATCGTACAATCCATCGAAGATACCGAGTCTTTCAACCCTTTGTCAATTCCTCGCCACCAGTCTCACCTTCGTTGGGCTTCAATCGATCGAGCTCCACCTTGATGATTTCAAGGTTGCTTCCTTCAACAAGAAGACATCCCCAGCAATGGATATCCGAGTTCCGCAAGGCCTGAAAACAGACACCGAAGGAGGACTTATGCGTGTAGCACAAGTTACCCGTCAGCACTCCCAAATAGATGCGGAATGGTGCAACGTCATCGCTACTGCCCAGAACCCCCCGAAACGAGCTGCGGAGCTAGTACAGGCTGAAGTCAGAAATGCAGGGACGACGCTGAAGAGTTTCTTCTCCAAATTCTCCTCTTCTACACAGACGCCGGTGAAGGCACCCAAGCCTGTCCCTATCCCTGAAAAGAGCATTTCAAGCACAGATGACATCTCTGGCGATTCCAAAGGGGTCATTTTCTTACAGGCCTGCACAGTCGAGGTCGACACCCGCGTGTCGCGAAGCTTTGCAGCCGAAATCGAGCGCGCGACGAAGAAGGCTCCACCTCGCAAGACCCGAATCGCACTCCTGACGTCTCCCTTTCATGACCCATCCACGTCCCTGTCTACAGGCTCTGGAAATACCGCGGAGCTGGCTTCGAAGATTTTTTCCGAGGTCCTGCCCACAAAAGCCGGTAGGATTTTCATCGGATTCCCTACTGCGCAGACTACTGGGTTTCTCGCTCACGTCTCTGCGCCCTCGCTCATCCCGACCGTAGAGCGCGAGAATGTAGATATGAACGCTCGATTTATATCCACGTGGAACATCGAACTTCTTCGGGTTGCGGGCTTGGCGTGTCGTATATCCTACGTTTCCGATATGGCTGAAATTCAGGCTAGAGTTGGCAAGGACTCCATGGAGAACTTGATACAGAGAGCCGCCTATATTTTCCAGCAATACACTGCAAATGCGTCGCATCCTTCGACTTTGCTAGGAGAGAAGATTGAAGAAGCCTTCTGGAATTGCTCGAAAGAGCGCTCTATTGACATCCTATCATCGAAGGGCGTCATGGCCAGCAAATACGTACGAATGCCGGCTGAGACGCTTAGCTTCCTTGGAGAGGTGGCAATGGTCCCGCAGGAGCTCGCGACTAAGGCCGTCACGTTCATGCTCAATCTGCACAACCGAGGCTTCATTTCCGAGCTGACGATGGCCGATATTCGTCATGGCCTCGAGACGCGGGCCCTAAGCGAAGATGAGCTCTCGGAGTTTCTGAAGTGGTGTGGGGCCAAGTTGGAAGGCAATGAGATTGACGCCCCCGGCGTTCGCAGTCTTTTCGAAATTACCGTTGCGAACATCGACATAAAGGCAGAGGAGAGCTCTGGAAGGATTCTCGCACTCGGCGACATTGGAACCTATATCAACGCATCGAGAATAACCCCAACGCTGCCGGTGCCTCCGGACACGATTCCGTTCCGATTCTCGAAACCGATTCCCCCAAAGCAACTCCAGATGTTCGGCTGGGTAGAGCTCTCCATGGTGCGATGGCTGAGGTTCATGACGACAGTGCCTCAACTCCAAGAATTTACGAGTTCAGAAAAACTCGGGTCTCAAGTACTTAGCTTAACAGCAAAATGTTGGGATCAGCTTGACGGCGTTTCAAAAGAAGCAGTCGTGAACATTCTAACGCCCCACCCTATAATGCCAACGAAGGCAGGAATGCGCCGGCCTGAAGAGTCGTACTTTCCCACCGTCAAGCTCTTCGAAGATTTACCCACCGTCAAGCAATTTCCGGGGTCGAAGGAGAAGTTTTTGACTGCACTTGGCGTTCGCAAAACAGTCGATCTTCCTATGGTATTCGACCGCATGAGGATTCAGGACCAAAATTCGAACTTAGAGAAGAAGGCTCCGTGGAATCATGTCGACCTCATCAGGTACTTCGCTTCTGTCATGGATGAGATGCCCAAGAAAGATCTCGATCGTCTGCGGCAGACGCCCTTTCTACCAGGAGAAGGCGCAGCCGTGAGACATAGTCAGTTGTCCAAAGCTTCAGATCTGTACGCTCCGGATCAGGCTATACTCTCTATGGGCCTCACCCAGGTCAAGCTTCCATTTGAGTTTAAACCAAATGTTCGCGAAGGGGCGTTACTCTTACGTCTGGGCTTGAGACAATGGCCGGATTCCATTACGCTCGCGAACATTCTTCATCGTGCAGGGCAGTCGAATGACAGGCAACTTTACACTCTGGTAATGGAGTACTTCCTGCAGAACTACTACAAGAACGGTTATGGAGCCGAATCGAAGCAGATCTCCGGTCTCACAACTCCCATTTTACCTACGGAACAAGCGCCATTCCCCGCGCTTGTAGGGCCCTTTCAATGCTACACCAACGAACTGGCTGCGTGCCTTGGCTATGCGATTTTGAGAACAGATCTGCGTCCGCACGCAGATAAGTTTGGGGTTCAGCGAGACCCGGACATCAAGGACTCCATACAACGACTACTCAAGTCACCACCAAAATCTAAATTAGATGCTGAAATGCAGTTCAGCTATTTGGCTAGCCGTTCTGCTGAGCTAGATCAACATCGGGCCTTGCTGAGCAGCATCTCCGCGGCGAACATTGTCCCGATATTCCGGAAGTATTATATCGACGCTGGCTCCAGCGGATTCGAAGACCGTACGAGACATCAAGCCGGCAGAACTGAGATGCGCGTTCATCACTATGACCCGCCTGAGACGGTCTTCGTTGGCCGAGACCAGGAGTGGCGAGGCATCCTGGACTACGTTCAATATGGCGCAGAAGCCACTGCATTCCTGCTTAAGGTGGGTGCGAAACACGAACCCAGCAGCCATGATTTAGCCACGCTTTTGTGCAAGAATCCCGCCCGATTTCTCAACACCATTGGACAAGAGCGATATCTTGAGCTCCTCCGCAAACTGGCCGAACATGCTGGCAATCTATGGAAGGACAAAGAGCTGGCCAAATCATTTGTGGCTTCGAGGGTTCTCCTTGGTTACAGGGACGTCAAGGAAGAGCTCAAGAAGCTTGTACCAGTAGAGGAGGATTCTTTGGATGATTTTGAAGAGCCAGGAGTACATCGCGAGTGGTCATTGAGTCGGCCGAACGAAGTAGTCATCATCGACGACGTCAGCCACTTGCTGAAGTTCCGGGACTATATCATCTCAGCACCGCAAGAAGAGCCACTTGAGGAATTCTACGCGCGCTTTGGCGTGAAAAAAATTTCTGAGCTCGTCAAAAAGGATCAGCGCATTGGCACGGTAACACGCGATCAGACCCCAGCCCAGCAGCTGCGAAAGGACATCCTAGAACGTACGCGCATTTTTCTCCATGAGTACGAACGCGACGCTTCATCAAAAAGTATACGACACGATACGAAGTGGCTCAGCTCAAATTTGTCAGTACAATGTGTTTCTGACATATCGATCCGCTATTCACTCGCCGATCGTGGCGTAGCTACCTCTTCGAAACGGACAGCGGCCGTGACGCGTGTCCGTGGCACAGGCACAGTCCTGTACATTGCGCCGCGGTACGATGTTTATGAAGTCAGCAGCGAGCTCGTTCGCCTTTTGATTCAGCGGCCAAAGCAAAACGACGCAATTGCACTGGAACGAATCCTAACGGAGTCTCTCCGCCGGCTACAGGAAAAAGGCATCAATGTCGAGCGTATCCTTCGCAAAAGAGAGTACGAGGCCCGAGTCGCCAAGCAGCAGGAGCTGGAGCAGGAATACGAAGAGCAACAGCGAGCTGCCGAGCAGGCGAAATCGGCTACTGTTCATGCAGAAGAGAAGGTGAACACGCCCACAACGCCCGAAAAGCCGCACAACATGCCGGGGTCTTTCGGGAGTCCGGAGGATGTGGAGATTGCTGACAGCGGCCTTCGCTCTACCGACAAAGGTGTCTTCAATAACTTGGCTAAGAAATTGGGCTTTAAGAACACCCCTCCTCCACCCCGGACCGATGGTCCATCTATTGATCGCGACATCCAGGCCACGAAATCCAATATCCAGAACGCTATCAAAGAGTGTCGGCCTACGAACATGCAGGCTATCTCGAGCAGGCACCATCAAGATCCAACGGAACTCGACAAAGGCGGATACTGCAACGGCGAGCAATGGGAGAATCTCCACAAAGCCTTCAGCATGCCGTACTCTGGCCGGCACGTCGATATCTACTTCGGCAAGGACCAAATCGAAACGCCCAAAGACATCCAAGCCGATCTAGCATATTTCCTGCCGCTCATCTTCGGCTTGACGTCCACCTTCGGTGTCAACCCTTCTGCCGTTAACATCTTCTTGGACAAGAAGTCCAACACAGTAGCCTTCAATATGAGCGGGAGCTTGTTTTTCAACCTGGCCTGGTTCGTGGCGTTGCATTCCACCGAGTACGGGACGAGAGAAGGTAGGCTCAAGGCATTGGACAGCTGGTTCTTCACCTACTGCCACGAGCTTGCGCATAATCTTGTCGGGGATCACAATGCTAGGCATAGTTGGTATCAGCAGCAGATCGCTACAGAGTACTCTCAGCAATATCGGAATGCCCTTGGTGGCTTCGTTCAGGGGTTGTAAGAGGAGGATTGTCATGGCTGAGAGACCTGGCTTTGGCCTTGCGATGCTATTAGCGGTTCTTGTTCCGTCTGTTCAGGGCACCGGCTAGCTTCATATTTCGCTCTTCGCTTTATAGATAGGCTTTGCATAGATACATTTAAGAAATGGGAGAAGTGGGCACTTAGTTGAATGCGAGAAATTTCTCGTTACTCGACACTCGTTCACTCACATCTACGTCCATTTCAACCGTATACCTTGTTGCCCTTAAGGCTTCGCCTTCCTCCGTCATCGATCCTTTCGGTGAAATAGGTCCAGCCCAAACAGAACAACCGTCATGACGTCGTCTCCGTGGAAGTCCTGGGTCTTATGAAAATCACCTTCGCTCCTCGTGCTCACCTTCTCTATCTCTAAACCTCCACCTCAACCCACGAAAACCTTTTGATCTCTACTCACCCGACTAGTACAGCCGCTCTCCTATCTACGGCAACTTCAACGATATTAGCACTACAATGAAGCTCCTCGTCCTCATTAGCATCACTCTTGGCGTCGCGGCCGCGAACCCTACCTACTCCGCTCCCGGCGATATCCTCACGAGCAAGGGATGTCTGCTGTACGAGGGCTGCTCGACGCCTAGCAGCGGTTCTCCAGAGGAGACCAACGTCCCAGTGGCGACCTCGATCTTGACACATCCGTTGCTCCCCCTCCCCGAGGAGACCGATGTCCCGGTGGTGATATCAACCAACGTTCCAGTGTTGATCACGCTCTTGCCGCACCCGCTGCTATCCCCAACCAAGGAGACAGACGTTCCGGAAACGAGCTCGATCTTAACGCACCCACTGCTTCCTTCTTCCGAGGAGACCGACATTCCGGTGTCAAGTACCATCTTAATCGAGACTGAGGATCCAGTGACGACCACAACCTTGACCAATCCGTTGCTCCCTCCCCCCAAGAAGACCGATCACAACCCATCGGCCTTTCCCACAACCCCTCCTACTTTCACACTCACTCCTTCGGGAACTGTCCAACCGCCTGTGCCCACCAGGTCGGAGCCCGCAGGTCCTGACCATTCGTGGATCACACGCGAGCAGCCGCCGCCTGTCGAGCCGACTTCCTCGGAGCCCGCAGGCCCCGACCATACATGGATCACCCGCGGGAAGCCGCCTGCCGAGCCGACCTTCACTGATCCCGACCTCCACAGCACGAAATGCATGCTGGTCGAAGGTTGCTCCACTTCAGCCGAGATGAGTGCTCTTCCCGCCGAGCCCACGCAGACTCCGCACCCACAGCTACCGCAATGTGTCGACACACACTGTCCCTCACATCGCAATCCATTCACATTCCCTGTGATGACTGCCCCAGTTGAGCCCGTCACCGTACCGACTAATTCGCTCAAGCACGTGTGGAAGACTCCCGGGGTTGTTGTCGCCCGAGCAGAGCCGACCACATTGACCAAGGCTGTGAAGCGCGTCTAGAACGGCGGGTAAGTGTCTTGCCAATTTTGCTATTTGTTGCTGATGCTGACTGTCCGTAGAGAGGGGAAGTTTGTTAGACTTCGTTCATGGGAGATCATTAACGAACTGGTACATGGATTGGTGATGATGCACAAGAAAGGGTTTCTTCGGTCCATATATCGCCTGGGAAGGCTGACGTGAGAGAATTTCTTCTCGTGAAACATCTATGATTGCTTCTATGGGCGTTAGTGGAGGCCTAGCGCATTGAGCTGTGGTAGTAGCTCAGTGACATCCACCTCTTCTGGCAATCGAAGTCTCTAGTCGCATACCTATTTCTACCCTCCAGTAGAGTGCTGTCCAGGAAATTAGAGAGGGCAATTATGGTCATGTAAGCATTTAGCTACCTGAAGAGCATGACTCGAACCCACTATGAGCTCAATTTCAACATTTCAAGGTCCACCCACGCGATGTTTTGAAACGAAAAGCACGACTTCGCTTGGATGTGCAGGTCATAAAGCTCTCATTGACCCTCTATTCATAAGTCTTGAGACCCTCCTGCCATTCGTACTAAACCCGATTCTGCAACCGAAGAAAAGTCGTCCATCGATCTCGGATCCGACGGAATTTCATTACCAGCGTTCACTCCACGACGACTGGTTCAAGAGCTCCGTCCTTGTCCCCATCATCCAGCGGGGCGTTCCGGGTATCAGTGCCAGCCTCAGTCCTATCAACCTCCCAAGCGTACTGCCAGGTTCCATCGGCCTTGAACGGGGTCTGCCGGATAAACCTTGACACATCTTCCTGCATCTTTAGCAGCTCAAGGTAGCCCGCAACTTCCCCCAAAACGTCTTGCTTCATATCATCCCACGTCCCCTTAAACTCGGGGACCTCAAGTAGGTTGTGGGGTTGCGCGCTAGCCTTCAAGGCGGAGTCATCGATGAGAATGGTATTGCGCTGATCAAAGCGCTTACCATCCTCAAAGCCCGAAATGTGACTCTGAATCTCCTCTTTGCCCCAGACGCGACTAAGGTCCTTATAGACTTGTACGTTGAGGTCGTACTGCTTGGGTGTGAGACCAAGCGTGTCTCGAGCCCAAGAGGCGGCGAGCTTGGGTTGGAAGTCCTCACCGAGCCCGTTTTCCACGAGGATTTTGACGTTCTCTGGCTTTGCACTCGACCAGATCATAACGGAAAAGTTCTCGAACAGGTAAGAAAGGAATTGCCTAAGGAAAGGACGTCCGATCATCCTAGTGGGCTGGTTTCGCGCATTGGGCCTGTAGAGCAGAGTACCATTGAGGTCCAGGATCACGAGCTTTCCGTCTGGTGGGTCCAAAACGGTAGGCGATGAAGAGGCTTGCGCCAGATACTCGGGTGTAGGTTGAGGGGCGGGAAGCATAATCTTGGGATCTTTACCTTTCTTTCTCCGATCCTTCCGTGGAGCCGTAGCAGTTGCCCTATATTCCTTGTCAATATGCCAACTCCTCGTCTTGTAGGATCGGATCATACGGAGAGAGCCATACCCGTCGTTCGATTTCGTGGCGGCATCTGACACAGCCCCAGGGGCTGGAGCTCGACCCAGACCTTCGTCCTTCTCTAAGTTAGGAGAACACAACTGATGAGAAGGAGTGGTGGGCCTGATTCTCCTATTAACACGCAGTTTCTCGCGCACGTAAGGGCGCTTGACGCGGGGAAGGCCATACCGCACTCCTTGGAAGTTTATACCTTGTCCCGGAAGTGACGCAGACGTCGGTTGAGTCAGAGCGTATGTAGCTTGCGCTGGAGGATACGCAGCCTGCACTGGAGGGTAGATAGCTTGCGCTGGAGGGTACGCAGCCTGCGGGTTGAAAGCGCCGATGGCGTATGGGTATGGTAGGTTGGCCTGGTTAGCGTACGGATAGTGCGAGTAGCCGGTCTGTTGTAGTTGCTGCCAGTGCTGGGCCCACTGATTGTAGTATTCAGCCCACTGGTTATTATAGCAGGCTTGCTGGGTGTAATTGTCGTCAGCTTGAGCAGCCCCGGCAATGGGAGGACCGGAAACGTTGGCTGGAGGGTTCGGCGCAACCACAGAGGATGTCCTTTCGGTCGCAAGTCCATTACCGATCGGCAACGGAGGGCGAATCGGGAGCGGATGGGTGGCTACCGGGGATTGCGCAGACCGAAGGCCATCAAATTGGCTTGCGGTCGGCGACGGCGGGCGATTGGGGAGCTGGTGTTTCTGACCCTTGCGTCTCGTCATATCGGCTGTGGAGTAAGAGAGGCTGCCAGGAGTCGTGCTGTCCTGACGACCAAGGGCGGCCTTGGGGGTGTCAGTGGTGACGTGGAGGTCAAGAGGGAGGTGGTGCAAGTACCGTGGTGGAGCTAGCGTCGACGACATGAGTTAGCGAGTGCGGGAGGTGCCTTGAGCGGGGCCAGTAAGAATTTGTGAGGACACGAAGAAGTGAAAGGCGCAGCATCAACTGTCTGTGGTGGTGAAGAGCAGTTGGTGCTCTGCCTAGTCTGGGTGCCGGCGGCTGGCGGGCCTACGTTTCGCCGAGGCTTGGTGTGGGGCACCGAAAAGTTGAGCCGCATCTCCGATCACCATTATTGCTCCACGAACGCACGCTCTTTGATGCCGCTCTCCACGAAATTAGACCGCAAGCTGCGGGCTGCGGAAGAAAGTTCGGACGATGAAGAATACTACGAAGTCACCGATCGGTCATCTCCGTCCGTAATCGAAACTGGCGAGGGCGCAGACATAGTGAGCTCAGAGGATAGTGGCGATGGCGACGAATCGGGGGCTGAGGAATTGGATGCGGAAGACGGCAGTGTCCATGTGCAGATGAGCAAAGTCTCTTTCGGAGCATTGGCCAAAGCGCAAGATGAGCTCTCCGAGCAGCAATCGGCCGGTCGAAAGCGGAAGCGGGACGAAGAGACATCGAAACTACAGGAAGACAAGCTGCAAGCGCTGAGGGAACGGCTACAGGAGATCAAGGCGGCAAAGCTTGCTCAGGGTGCTAAACCTGGCAAAATGTCAAAGCTCCGTAGGGGAAGGGCGGTCGACGAAGACAGCTACCAAGAGCCGGAGGGTGAGGATGATGATGGCGGCTCTTCAGGCTCTGATGCGCCTCCACATGCCCGATCCAGCAAGCACGCACCAGCAGTCCAGTCAAGCAAGCGGCCCGTCACTCGTAAGCGGAGGGTCGTTGAAGTCAAGAAGCCTACATTCCGAGACCCTCGCTTCGACAATGTTTCCGGCCCGCGACCCGACGAAAACATCCTCAAGAAGCGGTACGACTTCTTAAACGACTATCGGGCATCTGAGATGGGAGAGTTGCGGGACGCCATAAAGAAGACGAAGAACGAGGCGGACAAGGAAAAGCTCAAGAAGAAGCTGATGTCTATGGAGTCACAGCAAAAGACACGTGAAGCAAAGGAGAAGCAACTGGACATCCTCCAGGAACACAAGAAGAAAGAGAAAGAGTTGGTCAAGCAAGGAAAGAAGCCATTCTACCTGAAGAAGTGTGAGTGCTTTTTAACACCTTGCAACTCTCATTCCATACACACTACTGACTTCTTCTCCAGCCGAGCAAAAGCAGATCGCATTGGTCGACCGCTTCCAGAACATGAAGGCGAAACAGCGCGACAAGGTCATCGAACGGCGTCGCAAGAAGATGACCGCGAAGGAACGGAGGAACATGCCCGCGGAAAGGCGTACGGTATGAACAGCAACGTAGAGCTCACATTTCTACATCTGCATGAATCCCAAAGATACCCACCAATACTATAAGATCCAGTTTCTGACTGAAATTTCCATGCGATTCGGATCGATGCACAAGTGGCTAAACAGCTGGTGGAGCGAGATGGACGAGTTTCACACGAACGAGAAGCCTCATAGCAGCCTTGGACGCCTCGATTTCACATGCGATTGCTTCTAGAGCTTTGGTGTCTTGGGTATGGCGTCTTGGGATAGACCAGACTTGCATGTCCAGCTGCGCGCATCGCGGCTCCGCCCACACCATCACCATTCCAGCCCTCGCTTTCTAGAAGAACATTTACACGCCAAAAACCGGCCTGCATGTTCGATCCCCGCATGGCATTGGTGTACTGATCGACGTGATCCCTGATAGCGGCCTCAGCTAGCGGGGATGGAGTTGCAAGCAGGGTTGTGCTCCAACAAGCGTGCCGCGTCTGTCGTCATTTACGTCATACCTGTTCCCTCAACTTCCCAGCCTCTTCCAGCCTGCTTTTTAGGCCGGCACGGCCACACCAAGTTGATTTGCTCTTACTATCCCATCGCTCATCTGGACTTTTGGTTTTTTCTGAAAGGTTGTGCTTGTTGTTTCGCTATTTAATTCTTTGGAACCTTTGATCAAGACTTCGACTGCTTTCAGAAGTACAGAACAACTGCCTCATCATGCCGGACATTCCACCTCAGGAGAAGCCACTCAATGAGTATGTAGATTTCCTAGTTTATGTCCAGTCTATACTCAATTTCCAATCCGCGCATCTATTCCATTCTTGCTCAGGCCTTCCCACTAATAGCCTCCCAGGCTGCTCTCGCGCTCCATGGTCGACATCTACGTCGGCCCCGAAAATACGCACTGGATCCTCCACGAAAAGCTCCTCTGCCACCACTCGCCCTTCTTCCGCAAAATCTTCTACTCCAAAGAGCGTCCCTCGAAATCCTTCGGCCTGCCAGACGAAGAAGACGCGCCCTTCAAAACCTTCGTCGGCTGGCTGTACTCATCCTCGCTCCCCGTGCCCCGCGAAGAAGCAGACCTCTCCGCGCTCTTCGACCTCTACCTCATGGCTGAGAAGATGCAGATCCCGAATTTGATCGCGGACGTGCTGCAGGTGGTCAGGGAATGGTACAAATACAGTGATAGCTACCCCGGGCTGCGGAGGGTGCAGTATATCTACGCGAATACGGAGGAGGGGAGTCCGATGCGGCATATGCTTGTGCATAGTGTGGCGCGGTTGATGGTGCTAGAGAAAGGTATCCCGGCACACTGGGACAAGGCGCTGCGGAAGAACGGGCAGCTTGCCGTCGACATCATCAGGGCTATCCAAGATTGGAGACTCGAGGAGGATATCGTGCCCGATTCGCGGGATGACCCCGCCGAGGGCGAGGAGCTGATTGATGTCGAGGCAGAGATGGACGCTGCTAATGCGGAGAACGAGAATGAGAAGGAGAATGTGGATGATTCCGAGGATACAGTTGTGGATAGTCCAATGCAGGGGCAGCATTCGCCGGAGATGGGCAAGCAGGAGAAGAACAAGAGCAAGGGGGAGGAGATGGCGAGTGGGTTCAAGAAGATAGCACTGCAGGCTGTGCCGAATGGGATTAATGGGGATTATGGGACGCTGCACTAGGATGTTCGACGACGACGACTACTATGAGTTCTCCTGACTTAGCCTCAATTTGCACAGCAATGGCGAAGGATATCTGATTTCACGATGGCGTATGGTACTGCTGGGGTTTCTTTTTTTCGCCTCTTCTTCCATGTAATACCGTTTGCTTCCTCTGCTCTATTTCTGCGTAATGCTTTTCGATGTACTGTACGCGCATTTTTTGGGTTATCTTGGCAATCAAAAAGGGTCTTCTTTTAAGCTACATGTTCACTCGGCTCAAAACTTAGGCAAAAGTGAGCTTTCCAGCCGCTCCTCCTTTAGTACTCGTATGAGCTAAACAAGGAGACTGGGCAAACTGTTAGTGGTGACCCGGCCGTGGAGGTCTTTCATGGCCAAACTGAAAGCATAGCACCAATTTCAGCAATGGTGTAACTACCTCCTTTTGTGGCGTATGCTTCCTCCCCGCGCTTTCGTTATCCTCCGTTCTGCGTCCTCGTCCTCCAGCATCACACACACGATGCAGTCTCGACTCCCAGAATGGGACTCCCTCTCACGAACGGGTGCTAGCATACCCACCCACGTACCACGCTCCACGAAGAAGCGAAGCGCATTGGTGATGTATGGGTGAAAGCGGGAGAAAAGGTGCCACGGTTCACGGGAGCGGTGTGTCTGCGTGCAAAGGGGGTGGTAGTGAGGAAGTGGATAGGCTGGGTGGGAAGTGTGCGGGTAGATGCGGGGGTGGTGAAGTTCGTGAATGTGGGACAGTGATGATCGATTGACTATGCTTGGCGCGGTTGTAAGTAAGATAATTACGTTGGATGACGCGGTTGGATAGAGCAGTGCTCGGCCACGGATAGGTTTCTTTGTCAGAAAAGGCAAATGTGTGTGCATTACGGGGCGGGAGAGACATGGGATGAGGTATGTCGGCATGGACTCCTACGAGTGGTTCTATGGAAAGATGAGGCTAGCTACTGTAGCTACGCACGATAGTCTATGCTGTGATATACCTCGGTCGGAAGACTCGGCCGTATGAGCGTTCGCGTTAGGAGAGCGTCATTCGAACGAACTAGAGCATGCAGTGCGCGCCCCGACACTCAACAGCGATCATGCAAAGGGCTGCCGTGTGTTGTGCCCCAAAGAGCAGCGGAATGACCACTCGGAACCAAGCATCGGGTGAAGACATGTGTCGCCCTCAGCGTGAGCCGTTTGTGTACGAGGGTGATCAGCCCCGGAGGTTGTCTGCTTCTGCGCATGGTGCACGCACGAAAAGCGAATGCAATGGCGGATCGAAGGCCAAGATGATGAATGTAATTCATTGCACCCTCTGCCCCTCGAGAACGTCCTTTGCATAGCAACTTTAATCAACGCCCAACCACTACCCGTATACCGTCGTGCCACCTGCCTGAACCAAGCTCCATGAACTGATCTCCTCTCCTAAACGTCACCAAGCTAGAAAATCGCCTAACGAACCCTGCATGCACCCGCCCAACGTTCTGTCGATGCCAGACCGTTTAGGAAAGGAGCTCGTCCTACCCCTTCCCTATTCATCGACCTGCAGGTACACTGTGCAAGTTGGTGCGCTTTGCGGGGGAAGGCAAGTATTGGTGTGACAGCAGCGAACAAGACAGAACGGGCATGGGCGGCTGGGGCCGGTTGAAGCGGTGTGCATTTATCGAATGTGATGGGAAACGTGGGACAGCATGTTGGAGGGGAGGGGAGTCGTACAAGATCTACACATGGGTAAAGAGAGTTCGGATAGACGGGGCTGTATAGAAGAAGAGAATGTGGGGCTAGGGGACGCGCGAAAGGAAGCATTGTCGAGAAGAAGAGACAAGACTTATTGAAAGGTGTGAATTTGTGTTGCTAGAGATAAGAAGTGAAGAAACCGGCGTGGTAGGGTGGATTGATTGGCTGTGGATGTAGCGACTATTCAAAGCCGCAGGTAAATAGAAGATGCAGTATCGTAGATCCAACTTACCACGGTTGCACGCCCTCACATTAACAGCGTGTCTATCTCGCAGCCCAATCCCGTGACGAGATCTCGATAAGACGGTAATTGTGCCAGTATGAGATCTGGTCGCCTGCGACTAGGCAGGGTAGGGAGCGATTTGGACATGGGAATACCGCGTGCTGAAAATAGAGTCTTTACAATCTATATCCCGCCCAAGAGGTAAAATCGGTCCAACGCACGTAGATCGTTTTTGATTTCAAGTGGTCCCTATCCCGGTCGCTCGGTTGGTTGATTCTCAGGCCCACCGGTTCCATAGGCGGCGAACGTTTCTACGGCTGTCAAATTATCCACATCCGGACCACGGCTCTGGCCCGTCTCGTTTAGGACGCGTTCCTGACTATTGCCTGGGTGTGGGATAAAGGGAAGACGAGACGGACGTAGACGAGCAGAAGCGAGGCATAAGACAAACGTTAAGGAAACAACTTTGCATCAACGTCAACTCGACCTCCGTTCAGCGACGAGACACCATGATGCCCTTGCGCGCAGGAATCCGACGGCGGCTGGCCTGTCCTAGGGATATTGGCGGTCAAGCTGACGGGATGCTTGTGCTCGCATGCTGTTTCAGCGAGCGGAGTTGATGTCCGTAAGGTAGTTCCGCATAAGCAGGAAGGAGAAAACGGTTCGCAGTCTAATGGCATCGAGAAGACGATGGTAGGCGAAGCGGATGTGGTGCGAGCCGAGGCATGGCATTCTGCAATCTGCAACGGAGGGGTCTAGAAGTACGGCAGGGAGGGAGCATGTGCTCACGTGGGCGGATTCGAGGTTTGAGGAAAATTTCAGGAAGCATCGTGTGCATTCGCTTGCTCTATCTCCCGCGACCCCGCAGCGGAGCAGCCAGGCACAGTCGGTCTGTAGGTATAGAAATGGAAGTCTGCGGCGGCGGAGGATGCGGCGCAGGGGAACAGATTGGCTTGTGATCCGACGTACAGTAGGTGAACTGGGGCCGGTGCTGGTAGACTATATGAAATATTGCAGAGATGCACAGGAGCGGCGGCGGTAGAAACGGCACGTATTCATCTATCTCGCGCGCGTGGTTCTATCTTTACGCAGTGCGCAATCTGCCCTGGCAGGGAGAGATGCTAAGGGAGCGATGGGTGGATGAAAGAGTGATAGCGCAGGCGATCCTGGCGTTCTGGCTCTTTGGACAGGCCAACGCTGCCAACCACGTGGGAACGACGGCATGGCGGCTGATTTCTCAGGGTCGCCAGCCAGCGGAATCTGTTGGGCGTTGGCGGATTCGAGATGAGCTGGAGGCAGCTGTTGGTGTTGACGCTTGAGCTTCGAGTCCCGCAATGCAGCGGCGGAGGCGGTCAATGGAGAAACGGAACAGTTTCTGTCCTATCACGGGCGGGCAGCGGCCGTCTTGAGCGCGCTGAAACGGACGGCCATGAAGGGCGCCCCCGCCAATTTGCTGTGGTGCTGTTCCCGCGGTGCAGCGTTTCGAGGGGCTGCCGATGGCCGCCGCTTTGGGGGTGATCAGACTTGCCAGTGCAGTCGGCGCGCCAGCATGCAAAGGCGTGAAACACTGGAACGGTCCCCTAATGGCCCTTGGAGCGTCAGCGGCAGGCGGAGTGCTCATTGGCCGGCGACACGCGACGGCCCTTTATTGGCAATGGACGTGCAACGCTGCAGCATGCGCCCGCCGTCCTATCACGGCCGGCGCGCGGGCAGCTGAGCGGCGAACGGCCTCGACGGCGCGCCGCAGCCACGCTGGCCGAGTGGTGCTGACCGAGGCCAGCGTTTTGTCGCGTTCGCAGCCGGTGCAGAGGGCGAGGGCGCGCTGGCCGAGGGTGCAGGCCCGCGCAGTGGATGAAACGGCCAGGCGGGCCACGGCGGCCCCTCGTGCGGTGGTTGGCGTGTGGCGGCCGAGCGCTGCGACGCGGAGCCAGAGCCTGCCAGACAAGTGCTTCTGCTCGACCAAAAGCGTCCCAGCGCGTGCCGGAAAAGCCACGGCGAAGGGCCCTGGTCGCAGCGCATCCCGGGCCTGTGCCTCTCGCCTGCAAACCCCAGCACCGCCGTGCACTGTAGTCGACCCCGGCCGCGCTGGCGCAAACACTCCCAGACTCCTGCCACTTCGAACTGTCTGTCCCAGTCCGTGCTTTCCATTTTTATTCCCCTCCACGCCCGCGCCCGCAAGCCGCACCGCGCTCCTCTCACGGCCTCGTCTCATCCACCCCTCCACCCTCGTCCCTCTCCCCTCTCCTCTACCCACGCCCTCGTCTCTCTCCGCCGCCGCTTGAGCCGCACTGCTGCGCCCGCAGATCCGCCGCCCGCCTGCCCTCGCCGACGCCTGCTGTTACACCTGCCTCTAATATTGCTTAGCTGACTCCGTCCTTCGACACTTAGTGTAGCGGGCCCGTCCCAAGCACTCTGCGACACTCCTCTCATTACCTGCTCCAGTCCACGCACCCCAAACACCACCGCACCACCATGACGACGGCTGTCGCTGCCCCCCCGGTCCCCGCTCCACATGCTCCTGTCTCCGTCGACGGCGTTGGCTCCGCGAGAACATATGCCGCCATTGCGCCCTCTATTTCGTCACCTCACATCGTGACGCCCAACTCCAAGAGCTCCCGGCTGGTCAGCGAGAATGCTTCACCTACCTCCTCCAGTGATGGCTCCGCGCCCCAGCAAAGAGCGGAGGGAAAGCGCTCACCTCTTTCGTACGTCCTTGAGCGTCCACTCTCGTTCCTCTTCTTTCCGTCCCGCCTCCTCCAGTCCCACTACTTGTGCCTCCTCCTCCTCCATGTCCCCTCCCAGCCGTGATGCCATCTCTAACCGCACCTCGTCCAGCAGGTCACGCGGCCAGCCAGCACCCAAGATCGTGGTGAAGAAGGAGCCCTCGTCGCCCGACATGACCACCTCTCGACACCGACCCCGACGACTCGACCTGTCGACCAGCTCCAGCATTGTCCACTCCTCGGGCGCCCTCACTGCCCGGCCCTCGGGGCCCATGAGCTCTAGGGATTCCGCCTCGTTCCATGATGTCGGCCTCGCCTGCCTCTCGCCCGGCTTCCACACCAACGACCCCTCCATGCGCGAGCAGCTTCACAAGAGCTTGGATGTCAGAGAGAGACAAAGGCAGATCATCGAAGCACGCCAGAAGCACGGCAAGGGTGGCCCCGATGACGAGGGAGCCCGCACCGCAGACATGAGCCCGTTCGGACGGCCCATGAAGACGCCCAACACGTCGCGCAGGAAGGGACCACCTCCAGGTCTCTCCATTGCTCCTCCGTCCCACGCTCAGTTTGCGAATGAGCGAGTGATCCAGTCCGCACCGATTAACCAGTCGTTCACCGGTCTGCGCAACAACCTGCCGCCGTCTCGCCAGCTCGCCAATGGCCCGTCAAACCTGGCGCAAACGTCACATATCCACCACGTTCCCGCACAGCAAACGAACAACAGGCTCCCTCCAATCTCCGATGTGTTTCCCGAGCCGCTTGGCACTGCACGAAATCACTACAACAACAGCCCGGGTCACTCCTCGCACTCGAATCAGCAGCCCCCGCTACCGTCGCCTGGGTTTCCCCCACACCACCAGCAACCCCCGCAGACGTCGCGCCCCCGTGAGTACAAGTCTGCAGAGGAGGCCGTCCAAACTCTCTCCGGAGGCCGTGAGGATCTTCTGCCCCGCATTGTTCACTATGGAGGCCATCAACCCCCGACGCCGCCATCGCCTATGCCAAACAAGCATGCATCAGGAGCTTACCCCCCGAGTGCTGACCTCCACCGCAGCGGGAGCTCAAGGAGACGAGGCCGAGACGAGTACGAGCGTGACATGGGCACACCACCGCTTGGACGTCAACAGATGACACGAATCGGACCCTTCGGCGAGGGACGCGATAGCCCCGAGACCCAGCTCAAAAAGAAAGAGGAGTTCATTCAGCTTTGTTCAAGAGCATGGGACCTTTTCCACTCGTAATTCCTAGCCTCGGTCCCTCATGCAGTGCAGCTTTTCTGATGCGGCGGCCAGCTCAAAGGTGTGACACGGCGCGTTCTGGAGTTAGGGACGGGATAATTGATGTCCACGGGACACGGCTCTCGCTTGCGTTTACTATGTTTCGTTTCGTTTCTACGCAATTTTTCCGGATCTATTGCTTTGTCTTCTCACAAGATCCAGCCACATTCCCCCAATGTTCTCCCTTCTTACAGTTCACTATTCTCGTAACTTCTCGCACGCGCGCATCTTACTTCCTACCTATACCTCCCTCAAAAAGCGCCGGCAATCTAATAGGGCTCGAGCTACGGATATTCCCTTTTCTGATTCCCCCACTTTTTATTTTTCAACCTACAATTTCTATTCTTGCTTCTCTTACGTCCACCACACGCGAAGATGAAGGGATGGAAAGGATTGTTGTCCATGTTGCTCACGCGGTCACGATGCATGCGCTGGTTATGTTTGGATGCATTTTGCTGAAACATATCGAGTCTCATGCTATCTATGGATGGGGAACGTCAGGTTTTGGCACGCGACATTCTTCGTCCTGCGCCACTACCTTTTTATACGCTTTCTCACTCTCTTCTTCGGCGGGTTGGATGCATGTTTATATTACAACCTACTTTAACTAGGGTGGTGTCTATTTGTCTCGTTTGTTTATGGAGGAATCTATTGGAGGGCGGGTCGGTTGGAATGAAAGGCGGATTGTAGGGAGGCTGGGGGAAACCAGGCACGGTTACGGTGTCGCAGGGTTGTTTCGTGATGGACAAAAGGGGGATTCAGCGATTGCGCACCGCTTCTCCGCACTGCTGTTGGGTTGTACCGGTGACGCAGAGTTTCTACAGCTCGAAATTCAGATGTTCAACTTTCAAACCTAGCCTTCTCTGCCTGGGGTAACTGATCTACAGATCTTCGTGTTGTGCATCTCATTTGTGGATACGAGGCTGCGAGTGTCCCCTACTTGTGATCGCCCTTTTTTCCTTTCTTTGCCTGAAACATGGGGGCACGGATCGTCTTCAGTGTGAAACATTGGAGTGCCGCGCCAAGGGTCCTGAATTGCGGACTCACACGCACAAGGCTGTCCGTTCGTCCCTTGCTATTTCGAAATTTTCAAGCATACTATTTCGAAATATTGGGCTTGCAGGGGCGGCCTACTACCTGATAGCCGAACTCCGTTTGTATCCCTGGCCCGCCATCTTCAGCCTCAGTTAATTTTTTTTTTCGCCGAGGCTCGTATGTTCGAGGCGGAGACAGGATTGTTGCAACTCTCTACTGTAATACGGAGGTTACTTCTAAGCAGCGCACTGCACCGCCGCAGAAATCAATATTTGCACAGCCATAACGTATGTTTTCGGAGTACGAGTAGGTTAATCCGATTCCCCCCAACCCCCTTCAAGCGGTTCGGGCGGCATCCGTGCGGCTCTTACTGTGTGTGCACTTTACATCCTAATCCTTACACACTACTCCTACCTACGCTACGCTGTCAGATCTTACTCTTTGCCACATGGCACATGGGGCGCGCGTTTTCCGTTCGGGAAGCGAGGATGTCTGTCGTTGTGTTAGCGTGCTATTGTATGGACGGGGGTTCTATGTACCGGTGTTGGATTGGATTGGATTGCGCACGCGAGGTAGGCGTCGGTAAGCCGACTGAGTGCTGACATGTGCATGTGCATGTGCACATGTGTTTGGGGAGAGAATTTTTTCCTGGTTAGGGGATGGGTAGAGGGGGGGCTTATCCTTATCGGTTGGGATTGTGAGGATGGAGGGAGGGAGGATTGCCGGCTTATGCGCAGATGCAGATGCACGCGGTAAGGCTGACGAGGGAGGATGGGTAGAGGGGTGCCGGCGCCGAGGTTGAAATGGTGATTACGTTGGTGGGGAGGTAATCGATAATGCAGTGCGGTGGGAGGTCGCGAGGTGGGAAAGGGGGAGCCGAGGGGTACTTGGGTAGGCGTATGCGGTGGGATACCAAGGATCCGTTCTACGGTTGAGAAAGTGTTTGAGGGGATGAATGGGTTTGGGCGTAGCTTGAGGCTTGTTGGTCTCTTGATGATATCGGATATGGATCACTTCTGTTGTGGGGTGGCTGACTTCGAGGTTGGCTATTCGACGAGAAATTCGGCGCGCTCATCGCTCGTCTTTCGTCGTCTTCCGTCGCATCAAGGTCGACTCCTCGTTCTAGAAGTAGTTTGACGATCTCTCCGTTGCCGCTCGTAACCGTTCCACGAGAAGTCCCATAGCGCCGTAGAGGACTTGGGGGATGGCGCGTTCGTATCACAATCAACGTTAGAACCCACAAACGAGTAAACATTTATTCAGCTAGTTCGATTTTCTTTTGCCTAGGACCTTCACCGTCTTTGAGTTGTTTGTACTCGCATGGTGGCCAAGGTCACGTGCCTGCGCGTAATCTTGCCCCGCGTCGCGCTCACACGCTCGGGCCAAAACACTCCCAGCCATGGCGCGCGACGATGATTTATGCCAGTTTTCCGCTCTCCCAACGGAAATCAAAGCCAATGTCTTCGCCTATAAGTTGCGCTGCTTGCCACTTGCTTCTGCTAAACAACACGTTTTATGCTTTCTCGACGTTGGCGTACTAACAAGAAGAACAGATTCGTTCAACTTCAGATCGAAAGATTGTTTGCCTAGTCAACAAGGACTGGAAGAACAACATGGCGCCGATCCTTTGGACTACATTCCACACAGATCTTAAGCCGACCCGCGAAAAGACCCTGGACGTGCTGCTGCACCCAGATTGCGGAATACTACCCTTAGGTACGTACGTGAGGTCCCAGCATGAGCTCTAAAAGTCCACTCCCGAAAGCCTTCAACAGCTATGGAAGGCTAGGGCATGCTTAGATCTTGACTTCCCGCTCCTACTTCTGAAGTACCAGCTAATGTGTACCACCAACTGTGCAGTCCGTTGTTTAGACTTACGTAAAGGCAAAGATATTGCCTATGTAGACGAGAAGACCCCCGACGAACTGAAACTTCTGATCGCAGCACTGCCAAGCGGGCGTCTTATTGAGTACAGGAGCAATCTTGTCCTCGATAGTCTCACGTTCAAGCTGCTGCTACAGCATCATCCAAAACTCCAGAAGTTGAGGACATCCATGACGTTCCAGGATCCGCCTCACGGCTTCGAGCTTAGTCAGGCAAATTGGTTGGTAGCTCGCCTAACCGAGCTTAGATGTCTAGATGTGGATTGCGATGCAGCCGCCACCTCCTCGTATGCCAATTTCCAGTTTCTCATAGACAACGCGCCGAAGCTTCATCAGCTCAGCCTTTTCTCAACGAGACAGCTGCGAGATGTGGGAATAACGTTACCGGCCCAGGATGTTCAATCTCACCACTCTAAACTTACTGTTAATGGACTTCGGGAACCATCCGGAAGCTTTCTTGAGCCACATTGACGCTAGGAAGCTAGTGCAGCTTTGTATTTCACGGTGCCGAGCTATCAAGCCTTTTCTTGCAGGCCTAGCTACAGCATTTTCCAAGTCGACTGAGTCCCTTCCTGCGCTGAAAGATGTGGAGGTGGTTCTCAGGAAGGATGAGCCGGACGCGGAGGAGTCTGTCGAAGCTATCGAAAAGCTACTGCAATCTTTGCTTGGACTTCAGGCCCTATGGTTGGACACGTCTTGGTTCAGGGTGATCGACAAGGAGTGCTTCAATCGGCACCGCGCAACGTTGGTGCATATAGGTGTAAATACCGGAGAGGAACAAGTTGTGCAGCACTACTGCGCAGCCGATATCCATTCGATCGTCACCTCCTGCACGGAACTTAGGACTTTGGCGCTCAACCTCCCTCCTGTCGACCTTGGCTATATCAATTACCTCGGACAAGACTTCTCGTTGCGAGAGCCGGTCTCTGCAGATACTAAGTCCGAGCTGGAAACTGTCCTGGTAGGTGGATATTTGGTGGGCACAGGCAAAGATGATGCTGACTAGCTTGAAGGGGATAATATCCTCTCATCCGAAGCTGCGCGCCTTTCGAACCCTGTGTATGGAACGTACGTTGTGGTGCACATATGATAACCCCCAATTTCGTCTCTAAAAATCCACTCTCAACGGTCGTCGCCGTCTTGTTTCCAGACTAGCTCGCTTCCCCTTCGTTCCCCTAAAATTATACTTTCAGGCAAGTGCTAACGTGTAGCCCTCCCATAGCCTTTGGTAGACTACGGCATGGAAGAAGAGCCTATCGCCTATCCGCTCCACTCGATCTCCGATGAACTCGTCCCACGAACCAGTGCTATCATGCAGCACTTCGCTAATGAAGTGGTGCAATATTTGGGACGCCACGGATCGAAAATCCAACTTTTCTGTGTTGGTACTTTCTTAAGTCCTGCAGATCTGCCTTCCCGGGATAAGGATGGCCATAGGTGGCCTTACTACTTCTACCTCCGTAGGCGAATTATCGATAGGAGAGGCCAGGAACATAACGTAGCCCTGCCACTGCCGGATGCCGAGACGGAAATGCCGGATATGGGATTCATATACAACCAGTGGTGGAGATATACAATCTCGCCTCCGAAGGGAAATCACTCATAAGTCAGTTACAGAAGTTTGTCTCTTGCTCGATGCTGCATGGGCACTTCTTTTGCTCGGTATCTCCTTTAGTCTGACAAAGATTGTGTGGCCTTACTAAACAGTGTACAATGAATGCTCTACAACGGGTGACACCATACCGCGTTGCTTCATAGCATTAGAGCACGTCCATTTAGAAGCACCGTACCAATTTTCCCATGAAAGAAGTGGAAGCTCCGTCTTTTCCAGACTCACAGAGGACTGAAGACATTGAGAATGGCCCCGGCGGAAACGAGCTCCGTTATCAGTCTCCGGGATGCCCCGTCTTCGGCACACAGCCAGAGACACTGAGGATATATCCTGTCAAAGATCCTAAAGAAGCCTCCAAAACCTCGACTGCAATGTACCGACTCCCAATCGGCATGTCACCAAAATTCTACGTCGAGGGAGATGAGCTTGAGCATGATCTAGGTCATTACGCCAGTGTGGGAACAATTTTACCCCTACGCAGCAACCCCTGGAGCCTTTACAGCTCACATGTCTGAAGCTAGGGTTCATAGACCACAGCCCGCAATCGACGCCTGTACTTCCGTGGATTGACATGCTGAATCTTAGCGTAATAGATCTCTCCCAATACCAGCACATGATTCCCACGCCGACCGCTCTAAGCGGCTCCTTCTCTCGTAAGATCCCGCTCTGACGAAACTAGGCATAATTCTTCCCTGGGATAAGGCCCAGACTGTACACGCACTTGAAGGCCTTCTGCGGTCTTTTCTGGGCTGCATCAACTCTTTCTTGACATGTCCCGAGTCGATATGGTCGGCGTAGAGGACACCATACATCACGCACAGTTTCTAATAGCAGTACGCATAGGCAGCGGCCAAAGCTCCTACCTATCCAGTCTCTATCCTAGTCGACATATTGCAGTCGTACCGCAACCTCGAACAAATTGCCTTTAACCTCTTGTCAGGCGATCTGAGCCGCCGGGACGAATTCTGCTACAATGCGCTTCCCACGCGAAGCTCGACTGAATGTACTAGGCATGCTCCATAAGGTGCACACCCTTCAGATGGACGTGCCACAGATCGACTACGGAAAGAACACAAACCGGCCAAATTCCTATCTGGACCGTATTAGCGTATAGCACGCTCGTGCTACACAGGTCCTCATGCGGTATGTGGCACACTAGCGATGGGAACTTAAACTGTTTACGCTACGTCTTCAAAATAGTACATCCGCAACATAAGCTAAACGGGTATTAGTAGCCACACTATGCTTATCTTCGCGGGAAACCAGTTGATGGGTAGAGCATGGTGCCAGGGTCGGATACCTTCTTCTATTACTTTTAATCGTCAACGTGGCCGAGATTGCTAGGTGGTAACATGATTGCTAGCTGCTCCAGGTGCTAGCAGTTATCAATAATCTGTAACAGAGAAGAAAGAAGGTTAGCGGAGCTTCAGTAGAAAGAAAGCAAGGCGGGGAAGGGAAGGCACCAGCTATAAGAAACGGCAGTGGTCCCAGAAACATAATTCTTAAACAATTCGGGTGATGGAGCTAGCTCCGATACTGAACCACGAAGCACATACCTCTTGGACATCGGTGGCCGAATACCGATGAACTTCTCATCCGGAGACAGCTAAAGTTTGTACTGTAGCGCTGTGGCGGACCAGACATGCCTTTTCCGGAAGTCTAGAACCGCCCGTGTCGATGGAGATCTCTACAAGGCCAGTAACCACGTGAAGAAATACTTCGAGCGCCCTGACTTGTTCTTCGTCCATCATATTTCCTGCAGGATAGACGTGAAGCCTTTTCAAAGGTGGTCTATTCTTAGCTAGAAGTAGACCAAGTTGTTCGAGAAAAACCCTTATTCTTAGGCAGCGATTGATAGTCAAACTTTCGATCTCTGATGTGTCTAGAAGCCCAGGTAATGTGGATCTTCGATTCAATATGTCAAGTCGCTCGAGCACTAAGTTCTTGAGTTTGAGCTTTGCGGTGACCCGAGGATGTGGCTGGCCTTGGATAGGAGCGAACAGCCCTTTCCACTGAGCGCGGGTTCGGCCCCCGCCAGAAGCAGCTCATGCACTTTCTGGGCGCTGTTAAGCAATAATGCTGCTAGGTCGATAGCCTGAGTATATTCATCTTGGCGAGTTGGGAATCGAAGCCGCAAATCGTCGAGGCTTGCAAGTCGTGAGGTAAGCCAACCCGAGCGCTCGGATAGCCAGTGCGACGAAGACGTCATTGTAGGAAGTCCAGTAAAGGGTAGTGCCACAACCAGCGTCTTCAAATTCCCCTGATCGCGGAGCAGTTGATGAAAGTTGGCAAGGCGGATATCTCTACGGACCACAAAACTGTCTAGTTGATCGTGTCGTATCATGCCGAGGAAAAGGCTGAGGATGTAGTCGAAATCCGGGGTCTTGTTACCACTCCTATTATCCAGATTTCGGACGTAACGAATGACATCTGCGTGGACGAGGTCATTGATCAACCGTGACCTACTATCCATGAAGTCGGATTTTAAGGTCGCCTATATCTAGGGTGCTACCAAATCGTTCCACGCACGCCGATCCTCCTGGACATGGCTTGTCGCATAGATGGCGTATCCTGTGATATACGCGGGCCTGTATTTCGAAGGCGACCGAGTCCTGGGGGGCTGAAGACCAGCTGTAGCGGCATCATATGTGCTATTCGTAGAGCAATAGTGCTCAGGAGCAGCCAGTTAGCGACGGCGAGGGATATAAGCGGCGTCCGGACAGCCAACGGGTGCATGGAGGTTGGAGAGGAGATCCAAAAATAGACGCGATCCCTGCCGGGCTTGGCTCCCTCCCGGCGGCTTAAGTGCGCAAAATGCCCCGAAAGAGCAAGCACGATCCATCGCACCCTCGCCGAACGACCGCAAATTATCGCGGCGCGCACCTCGTCCATCGCATCCGCAGAGCGCGTCCCTGCGTTTCCGTTTCGAACGCCTCGAGGCCCCTCGTCCGCGACGATCGCCCCGAGCGACCGCGCCGCGCGCATCGCATTGCACTGTCGCGCTGGTCGCGACCTGCCATCTGGCGTTGCGCCGCCAGCGTCTGCTCCAGCAGCCGCCCGCTGTAGAGACCCTCTCGACGATAATGCGACTCCGCTGATCGCAGCCTATCGTTTCCGTTCTTTGGACACTCTCGACAGTCTGCTATTGCACTTGGCGCGGGCACTGTATCTGGAGCTTCCATGGCTTGCTGACAGTCTCGGGCCCAGCGCAAATTGCCGTCATCTCGTCCAGAATCATGCAAGTCGACTTCGGCGGCCCAGAGTCGGAACATAATCTACATCTTGCACCCCACGGCCACTTCGACCATCCGGCGAGTCACGGCAGCCCGGCCTTTTCGCCCTTTCGGCATCCTGCTGTACCAGCAATTGATCCGAGCCTCGAGCATAGCGCTGGTGCCAACCGTAATGGCCACGCCCCGATGTCTTCGGTCCACCAGTCCCAAAACCACCTCCTCCAACCCGACAATGCCTCCATCAACAGCGGCCACCTCTCCCACGGATTCTATGGCGATATGTCGCGCACCTCGCAGACGCCCTCGACCCCCTCCAATGCCTCCCCGCGCTTCTCAGCCATGTCGCCCTCGAGCCAGTCGAAGCAGATAGCGTCCGGCTATGTCCCTACCGACCGCTCCGCGCCCTCCCGCGATGTATCCGACGACACGATTGACGACGCCTACGCGACCTTCATCCTGTACTGCAATCCCAACTTTCCGACCGCTACCGACACTTCCGAGCTGACCCAGCTATTCCGCACACCCCCAAAGAGCGACGGGCAAGCATTCAGCACGTGGGTGCTGTTCGAGCTGATACGGAAGTTTGATTCGAAGGAGATCAAGACGTGGACGCAGCTGGCGTTGGACCTCGGCGTGCAACCGCCAGACACGGATAAGGGCCAAAGTACGCAAAAGGTGCAGCAATACTCGGTCAGGCTTAAGGTGAGATATAGCTCAATTTATTGCAAGCATTCCATTCCGTCCCGCCTCATTCCGTACGGCCCTGGCTTGTGTTCCCTTCCATGCCTTGCGAGGAATCTTCAACTTCAGGCTGTACGCCTGTTAGCTTCGCAAAATCTTATCTTCCGCGCAACTTCTGTATGCCGCTGATCGACAGCCGGTCATTGCCGAATATGGAAGCAATTGGCCAGCCATACAACCACAGCGCAAAATCTAGTCCTACGCCGGAAGCCTATGGTCTTGTACGCCTGATGCCTTTCCTGACCAACCGTGGACTTGCAGATCATTTTCTTAGTTGTACTAAAATCCGGAGCATACAACAATCGCCTTTAGAGATCGTGTTTTTTCTTCTGTCGAGGCCAACACCCTCGTTACCCTGCATCACCGAACTATTAGTGTCATATGCTAATGTTACTAGCGATGGATGCGAGCCATGCACATCGATGCTTTTTTCGAATATCTCTTGGGTAAACAGCATCCATATTACATGCAAATACCCCCGCCCCATAACCCCTTCCCGGAAAATGGTCGCGATGGAGTCCCGCTAGAGGAAGACCTAGCAATAAGAGCTCTCGATCCCAAGTTCCGACCCAAACGCGGGCGTCGGAAGGCTGATGACGGGGAAGACGAGATGGAGTTGATTGATAACACGCCACCGCGTAAACGTCCGCAACTGGATACATCAATTCCTTTCGGAAACGTACTGCAGCCTCAATCCGCGTATCCCAATAGCGCTCACCCAGACAACATGGAGGGCTTTCTAGGCGCACATGACCCTTGGACAGGATCGGCCATGACGCCTTCTTCGGCCATGACGGCTGCATCAGCGCCTGGAAGGATAAATCCGTCCAAGAATTTGACCCCTTACTCGGCCTCGCCCATGTCAGGACAGCATATTCGCTGGCGGCTCAATACGCAGGACAACCCAACGACGCCTCATCCCCTATCTGCCATTACCCCGCAATCCGCGCATCCTGATTTCTTCGACGAACCACAATCAGCAATAACACCTTCCAGCTCAAAACCTCGTTCACGCCGGCGCCACGGTCCCGCGGTATCGTCCGCGTGGCCTAGCAACAACACTTCGTCGACGGGTAAGCTACGCGGCAGACCTCCGAGCAACCGTTCCGTGCGCGATGGTCCCTTCGTCACCTTCCCTGCAAATCCTAGAATGAAAGAGGGGCCAACGATAGATGTGAATAGAAATCCTGGGAACCTTACGCCAATTGTGGAAAGAGCCCATTCGGATCCTCCAGTACCAGAGCACCACTTCCGCTTCCCTCCTACTCCGGCCTCGGCTGTGTCGCCCACGTCCATGGAAACACAACTGCAAAGTGGCTCACAAAGGGGACATCGACTGAGTCTCCAGGTGCCCCCAAATGTTGGCAATCCGATACGGCTGGCGACACCCACCGTGCTTGTAACCGGAGAGCAAGATGCTACGCCAAGTACCGGCTTGGCACCCTCTGCAATTAGTGCCGACTCTGGTCGCACCTCTCCCGGATACTTTGAGAGCAATAACGACCCACCACAGCAACCGCACGGCACGCCTGCGCAGACGCCAGCTCAATCACAGGCTTCGCCGCGAGCTCAACCTCAGCCAACTACGTTGGCACCTTCCCTCCCGGCCTTGCCTTCCGAAGCCCTCAATCGAGCACTGGTAGCTGAGCTGATCCGCGCCCCTCTCTCAGGCCGGCGCAAACGGCTGCGGGGTACAGAGGCCAAGAATCTCGCAGCGTCCATATTGCAACCGCTGTATACCAAGTCCACCGCTGGACCTGCATCGCCCGCGAAAGTCATGAGTGACCAGATGCTTAGCATTGCCATTAGCAGCTGCTTGGGGATCACATCTGCTGTAGGTTTAGGGAGAGGAGGACCGAATGGGGGCGTAAGAAGGGTGGAGTGCGTGAGGTTCAGAGTTGGTGGAGATGGGTATGAAAGCCCCATCGACGAGGATGATGAGGATGCAGAGGGGCTCCATGAGGGCGGAAGCATCCGAGAAACATTTGACGTATACTTCGGCGTTTCATTCGGCGGCCTCAATGGCGAGTGGACTGCGAAGGGCCTTCTGGCTACTTCGACTGGGGACGGAAACAGCGGCGCTCCGTCTGGAGCGACAGGCAAAGGAGAGCAAGAGAGACAGGACCCGACTCCCAATACCGTGGCAGCCTGGAAGACCAAGTTTCTCGATGCTCAACGGAAGCTTTGGGAAAGTCAAGAGGAGGCTAGGACCTTGAAAGAGAAGATCCTTGAGGCAGTTTTGTAGCGTTTCGCATGGGTATTCTGGCGCCATGCTTATGGATCAAGAGGTGGAGTTCTGGACGTTTGTATAAAAGTATGCATGCTGGCCTGGTATCTTACAGGGACGGGAACTGGCGGTGCTTCGGCGCTGTTGTTAGATTGCTAATGAGCATCTTTTGCATATACCCTGGTGGTTTGGGGACGATTTTGGCACATTTATAACTTTGAGGATACCCTTGCCATGTTCATTATTCGTTAGGCTTTCGGACGGAATTCTAGGTTATATACATAAATGTTCTTCTAAGTCTGTCCGATCTTGAACTACGGATATCAAACGGAAAGGGCCAGCGTGGCCATCGGAAAAGGTCGCACAATTGGAACCCGTCATGCCGTCATTCCTTGGCCGGCTGCTTCAGCCGACGTGGCCGTGTCCTTCTCCCATGGCTTCTTCCGCCTCGACTGTGTAGGCTGCGAGCTCTGCCCTGTCAAGACAGTATTCGGTATCTCCTTGATGCCAGGAATAGGTTGTCCCGTCGTCACCAACTCTACAATGTGTGCGAAAGAAGTAGGATATGGAGCAGGTGGCTCATTTGGGTTCGATGGTGGGACTGGCAGTATGCCACCAGCGGTGTCGGTGCTTGCTGGAGCTGAGGAAGCTGGCACGCTGTTCGGTACAGGCGGGGGTCGGCCTCGCGCATTTCGGTATGCCTTGTACGCATCAAAATCAATGTTTATGATGAATTTTCTGCAGCAATCAATACACGCTCAAGTCTTACAGCGGCATTATATACCTAGCATAGTAGAAGCATCGTGCCCGCAGCGTCAGCTCAGCCGCCTGTTCAGGCGTGCTGTTGCTGCCCAGAATGGCGCTCAGGCCGGACTGGAACTCGACATCGTCGTCCCAATTGTAATTCTCGAGCGCTTCGTAGACATCGTTCAGTCCGTCGGCTGGTCCAGCGACGCTCATGGCGAAGGGTGAGGGTGACGCATGAGTGTGCAAGCGCTGGAAGGTGCAGTTGAGCCGCGGATAGATCGACGGAAATCCCGAAGTGCTGCCGAAGCTGCCCAGCTGCTCTTTCGCGAAGCACGTCCGCTGCCTCTTTCCAACCCACCAACCTCCTCCCACAAGCACGCCTCACTCTCACTCTCCCCATACCTTTACCTCGACAGCCACACACTCTCATCCTCCTTCCTTCTCTCCATATACTTCTCTCCAACCCGCACTCCCACACTCGTCTCCACCACGCCACAATGTCCGAATTCATAGGGTCCGTCCCAGTCCGGTCCGTCGACCTCGAGCTCCAGCTGACGTACACCGCGCAGGTCCCGCATATCCCTTATCTCGAAAAGCGATATCCGGTCAGTCTGCGCCCATTGAGAACGGCTTTCCACGCATACTGAACGGCAGCAGATACGTCGGAACGCTCGTTGAAATCAACTCAGAACAGTCAACAGTCTCCCTCGACAATGTACGCTCATTCGGTACCGAAGGCCGTCGCGGCGGCAAGGACGAGTTCGGCCCCTCAGACGCCACCTACGAACAGATTGTCTTCCGCGGCAGCGACGTGAAGGACTTGCGCATCGAGGAGACGCCCAAGGAGAAGCCCGCACCGCCGCCCATGCCCCAGGACCCGGCCATCATTGGAGTAAGTGCCTCTTAAAACACCTTTGCTATTTGGGGTTCGGTGATGTAACACTCCGGATGTAAAATTTCTATACCACCGAGAGCGCAAAAACCGTGTGGATATTTCCGTTGCCTTCCTTCTGAGAATCCTTATATCCTGCTACTCGATTTTCAAGCTCATAAGAGAAGCTTTGCTAACGCGGCATATTGGATTAAACAGGTCCAGCAGTCTCAGCGCCAAGAGAGCGCTCAGACTGCACCTCCCCGTCAACAAGAACCGCCGAACTTCCCTCAGCCCAGCGGGTTCCCGCCTGGCGGATACCCTGGATTTGGCCCACCTGGTGCGCCTTATCAGAACCGCTTCGGACCGCCAGCTGGATTTCCTGGCGCACCTGGTCCCTTTCCCCCAAGTGGACCTGGTGGTTTCGGTATGCCCGCCCCGTACGGACCGCCGCCGGGAGGATGGTACCCTCCTGGCCAAGGATTCAATCAACCTCCCGGACCATTTTCGCCCCCAATGCCAATTGGTCCACCCGGACAGCAGAACCAACCCCAGAATCAGAATCAGCCCCCAACCGGCCCCAAAGGTGCCGCTCCAATTGGCCCCCTACTGAGTAAAGAGGAGAAGCCGAATGCCCAGCCGAAGGTTGCTGAAGCAGACGGCGCAGCTAAACCCTCCGAGCTCAAGACAGGCGCAAAACCATCAGGAACCACGCCAACACCAGCTGCGGCGGTGAAACAGCCTCCCCCACCGCCTAACCAATCGAAGCCTGATGTCGCGGCTGCCCTTGCACCTCCCACCACACACCCAACGCAATCCGCAGGAGCCCCAAGGACTGCACCAACCGGACCGAAGGGCGGCCGTATAGTTCCCGCCGTCCCACTTCCTAGCCCTCGCATGAACAAGACCACTCCGACCACCCAACCGCCAGCCGCAGCAGCCGCAGCAGTCGCGCAGCCAGCGCCAGCAGCCGCAAACACAGGCCAGCAGTACCAGAACGCGACGCAGGCGGCGACAGCAGCTGTTGCCGCCGCTATGGCGAAACTGGATCTCGCGCAGGGTAAGGCTCCAGCCCAACCGCTTAATGCCAATCTCCAGAAGCGAATAGACGAGATGCGGGATGACCAGGCCCGACGGGGAGGCCACCGTGGAGGTCGAGGCGGACGAGGTGGTAGGGGTGGTCATCATCCAAAAATGGAGGTTCCAACAACCGACTTTGACTTTGAGTCCGCAAATGCCAAGTTCAGCAAGCAGGATCTTGTCAAGGAGGCCATTGCGTCTGGATCTCCCCTAGGTGAAGGTGTCGCTCCTCCAACGGCTGAGCTTGGGGCCAACGGCCATGCCAATGCAGAAGGAGATGATGTCATCATTCCTCCCGCTGGCGCATATAACAGGAAGGCCAGCTTCTTCGACAATATCTCAAGTGAGCTGAAGGATAGGGAAGAGGCGGCAAACCGGCGAGGCCAGGAGTTCAGGACCGAGGAGCGACGGAAGAACATGGAGACGTTCGGTCAGGGCAGCGTCGATGGCTTCCGTGGTGGCTACCGAGGCCGGGGCCGTGGCCGTGGACGCGGTCGAGGCTTCGGCTATCGCGGTCGTGGAGTGCCTCGCGGTCGCGGTGGTGGCACCCAATTTGGGGAGCAGACAGCTGCTTAGATGAGCGTATCATAAGATACCATGTCAGGGGCAAAGGATGAGGGCACTGCTTTTCGGTGGAGTTCGCGCAGGTTTTGCACAGAGCTCAGGAGTCAGCCTCGGCATCGGATGAGACCATGATCGGTATATTGCGTTCTGGCAAAAGCAAGTCTAGGTCTGGTATTCTGAAATTTCCTTTCTATCTCACTCCCTTTCCTTGAGTCAGCGCGGAGCAGTTTGTACAAGTACATCGGCGCTCCCTTTTCCTGCTCGTTATTAGCCATGCGACTGAACGGCGTCGTGTCTTTCGGATCTTGAATGGATTGGAGTGGCGCAGCTACAGAGGATGGAATGGCCGTCGAGCAGATCGCCGCTTGTATTGTATATTTCTACGGTATCTACTGGAATGATGGGAGGGGTGAAGAAACGAAAAGTACGATATTGATGATGAAAATACAAAATGGTTAGGGTGGAGACTTTGGGCTTTCGTGCGGATGGTGAGGGGGATTTTCCATGCCTGGGATCGTATGGGTGATAGTCGCTCAGTCGCTGGGATGGCTTTTGCCTATGAGAGTCTAATGCATAGGTGCCTCTACGGGTATCGTAGGTGTCGAACTTTGATAGGTGGTGTTGGAGGTAGGCAGAGGGCGGAGTAGGCATTCCTGAGAGGATATACGAGGTTTGGAGTCCCCAAATTACGTAGTTCCTCACTAATACGAATGTCGACGTTCGCTCCGCGATAGGGGCACGACTAAGGGAAAAACCGGAGGATCTATGGATGTCAAGTCCCCACGTGACAACCTTCCACACCACACCACCAATCGCATGTAACAGCATAAACACTAGCGCAAATACATGTTTGAAGAAGGTGTACTAGACAGGTAAAGTTGTTTTCATATGCATGAAAGGAGGAAATTACTCTTCGTGCTTGTGGATCAGTATATCCGGCCACGTGATCGGCGTCTTACCTCGGCCCAAATGCGGCTCGCGGAATGCAGAAGTCGACGAGTGACGTTCACAAGCTAAACGGGTCCGCAGTGCTGCTCATTATGCCTCGTCCGCCCTCTCTTCTTGCTCTCTCTTTCTATCAAGCGCTGCCCACGTAGCTTCTCTCTTGCTCTCTTTTATCTAAACGTATTTCTGTCTTCGATTGCGTTCTCTTCCTAAGCATTGCGACCCCGCCCGTCTCTACGCGTCCCCTCTTTTGACCCCGACACGTGAAAGCCGCGCGAAGAAGGATAGATAGCATGTCTGAGACGCAGAAAACGGCGCAGGAGAAGCTGGCTGAGTCGACCAAGGCAGCGCCGACGAGTACAGCAGCGCAGCAGAGCGATAATGTAGCGCATGCGCTCGCGGGTGCTGGAGGGGGTTTGCTGTCTATGGCTCTGACGTATGTACTCATATGGGAGTACCGAAAGGGTCGCATTGCTGACAAGAAGATAGATATCCCCTCATCACCCTCTCCACCCGCGCCCAAGTCGAATCGAAACGAGCGCAATCCTCGACCCTCAACGCCGCCCGACGCATCATCAAGCGGGAAGGCATTGCAGGGCTATACGCCGGCCTCGACTCCGCGCTCTTCGGAATCAGCGTTACGAACTTTGTATACTACTACTGTGAGCAGCCCAGCCATGCAACCTTGGAAAGGGAGGGGATGCTGACGGATATCACAAGGGTACGAATGGACGCGCGCCTTCTTCGAAAAAGCGGCTCTCAAGGCTGGCCGCGCCTCCAAGAAGCTCACGACGGTCGAGTCTATGATTGCGGGCGCTATCGCTGGCAGCGCGACCGTGCTTATTACGAATCCTATCTGGGTTGTCAATACGCGCATGACGGCGCGCAAGTCCGAGTCTGAAGAGCAAGTGCTCCCCGGTGCGAAGCCCGCAAAGTCACCCTCTACAATCGGCACACTGCTCTCGCTGATCCGGGATGAGGGGCCGGCGCGCCTCTTCGCTGGCGTCATGCCTGCGCTGGTGCTGGTGATCAACCCGATCCTACAGTACACGGTATACGAGCAGTTGAAGAACACGCTAGAGAAGCGGCGGCGCATCACGCCAACAGATGCGTTTTACTTGGGTGCGCTGGGCAAGCTGCTCGCAACGAGCATCACGTATCCCTACATCACTGTGAAGAGCAGGATGCATGTTGCGGGCAAGGATGGGCCAAAGGAGGATATGTTTACGACGTTTAGGAGGATCATTCGGGAGGAAGGGTACGCGGGTCTTTATGGAGGTAAGTGCTAGGAACGCTAAGATGGCATGGGATGGGAGCTGACAGATTACTAGGCATTGGACCGAAGGTAACCCAGAGCGTCATTACGGCGGCTTTTCTGTTTGCGTTTAAGGATGCGCTGTATGCGTATACCATTACTGCGCGCAAGAAGCTTGCTCTCAGGGCGAAATAGGCGCAGTCTCACCATCGTAGCGCGCTCCATACTGCGGCATGTATGGCATGGCGGCATGTGGGCGAGATATGGGTCCCTTAAGGGGCACCACGATTGAAATACAAGCTAGTGGGTATGCACATAGAAGGGTCATATACGAGGCCTTGGGAATTCAGGCCATCTTTTGCTCAGACACTGTATATATTCGCACAGAATGAATTGCACGCATGTTACTAACTGCGCTGTTAAGGGTTGGTAGTTGGGATGATAAATAAGCAGCTTACTTCGGCCAAAAGATCCCTCTTCATGGCGTCTCTCCCTGCTGTCCTCTGGAAAGCATGCTCAGATCCCTTCTACTTCGCTTGGTAAGGGCAACTTATTAGTACTGTAAGGGGGCAATTACGTGACTCAAAGAACTCAGGCTCGCTCGCAAAAAACAACTCAAAGATGATATCAAATTAGCTGAAAAGAGTAATCGGCGAAGCATCAAAGCTCCTGCAAAACCCCAGGGCAATATTAAGCCTGAGGGGCCTGAGTTATCGGGGGGTGATGATGGAGAGGATGCACCTGCCCTTTCTACGCACCCGCAAGGTACGGCTCCCCCAGCGATTTCGCTAGTAAATTACGTATCTTAGCGATGTATTAAGCACCTCCGATTATTACTCCACAGAATATGGTGATATTACAATTTATATACAGCTCTGTAGCCTCATTTTTCGAGGCTGCCGACATCTGAAATTCGTGCGCTAGATGACTAAACACGTTAACGCTTGCAGCTTGAGCAAGGTTGCACCTGCAGCTAATAAAAACTCTTGGAAAGAATCAAATTATTTGTCCCGCCCCGCACCAACCTTGGAACACCACCCCGGCATTTTCCAAATGACAGACTCCAACCCCCTCATACTCTACGACATCTCTTCACCCTTAAAGCCCCGGTCCTACGCGCCCAATCCTTCCAAGGCCCGTCTCGCGCTCAGCTTCAAACGTGTGCCCTTCAAGACCACCTGGGTCGACATCCTGGACATCCCTGACGTTCGTGAGGGGCTCAGCTGCGCGGCCACCCGTAAGCTCGACGATGGCTCCGACTTCTACACGCTGCCCATGCTGCGGGACCCAGCCTCTGGTAGGGTCGTTGGCGACTCGTTCGACATCGCCAACTATCTCGAGGACACGTTCCCGGACTCAGGCGGCTGCCTTTTCCCTTCGGACTCTACTCGCACTGGGCTCGACTACGAGAGCCCGCACAAGGACACGCCATTCTTCGCGCCCCTGACTTCCAACCAGGGGTCCAAAAACGAGGCCTACGCAAGGTTCAACTTGCACGTCGACGCTACCTTCTCCGCACATGTGGTGCTCGTCAGCCAGTACATGCCCTTCAACCCGGACACGGCCGACGCCGTAAAGGCCCTCTTCATCAGGCGCGCACACCTGCGCTCCTGGGATGATCTCCGCGTTCAGGGCGAGGCAAGAGAGCAGCTCAAGGTGGCGTTCAAGGAAGCATTGACGTCACTGGCCCAGCTGTTTATGATCCACGATACCGGCCCGTACCTCGAGGGGAAACAGGCTAATTATGCCGACCTGATCGTGGGCGGGTGGCTGAACATGCTCTCCGTCACCATGCCCGAGGAGGAGTGGAAGGATTTCAGGACGTGGCATAGTGGAGTCTTTGCCCGGTTGCATGATGCCCTGCAGGAGAACTATTTCGTGTGCCAGTAGAGGATAGAAGGTGCTATGGTTTCTTGTATATCCAACGCCCGGTCTCCAAACTGTGATGAACCGCACCAGCGAATTCCGGCGCGGAAGGGTCCCAGATGGATGGATCAGTTTTCAGAAAGCATCGTTTTCCTCCATCTACCGCCCGAATCAAGCTTCTAACACCCTTCATGTCAGGATTGAGGCAAGCGTGGCGTGAAGCATCGAGGCAGAGCTCCAGAAGGAGATGGATATATAGGAGCTAGGGCGCTTGGAGTTCGAGCAGGTTCAAAGAAGGAAGGAACAATATTAAAGCACGCACGACACAAAGCACACCGCCGCGTTTCCAATCACATCTGCCTCCTCAGCTTCTTCTCCACCATCAAAAATGCCACTACAATACCGGCAGCTCCAAAAAGTGTCATAACCACCGCTTCGCGTTTGAAATCTTGGGAATAGCTTGTCCAAATCGCCGTTTGAAGTGCTTCCGAAAGGCCGTCGATCGCTTTTACCGAGAGCTTGATCACGCCCATCTGTGCCGGCGAAAGTTCTGATGATAGATCCTCTGCAATATATCCGCCCAGAAGGTTCACGCAGACGGTGACACCAGTGCAGCCCCCGAGCGAACGGAACTGACCGACGGCACCCATTCCAGCAGCTGAGTAAAGTGAGCGGATGGTATTTTTGAGGAGGGGATTGCTTTGCCGACATACCAACGCCCCGACCCCAAATACAAGCATAACAGACAGCACAATCACGCCCGTACACATCCCTGGTCTAAACTCAATATTCGCCTCAAACCCATAGTCCTTCGCCGGAAATCCCTCTGCATCACTCGATAGCAGGACCAACAATCCCGCACCCAGCCCCTCCAAAACACCGCCAAGAGACAGCAATAGAACGGTCGAATATGCCTTTCCCCCATCATTGACGCTGCTGTCTAGCGTGGAGAGAAACAAGCTGATGCAGAGACTTCTATTCTGAATTTGAGATGCCTTCGGACGATGGAAGACATACACGAGGTTGAAAAGCTGTAACTTGATACCAGACAGTATCATGCGCTTTGGGACGCCGCTCTCCCTCTCAAATGAGCATTCTGGATGCCCTTCTACTTCGCTCTCCTGGGTGGCTTTGGTGTCAGATGTAGTGACGTCCACTCCGGTACAATCGAGTGGGCGCGGTCGGGGTGCAGAGTCGCTGGACGATGGCAAGAAGGTAAGATATTTTGGAATTGACTATCCCCCCATAACATCGCACATAGCCCACATGCTGTGGCGCAATATATTTTTAACGAGAAGGATTTTCGATTGTTCTTCGCGATGTTGCGCTGGGCGTTACGCACCACGCCCTATGCACCATTTCGACGGCAAGATACGGTAAGTATCTGCACGTAAGCTAGCATATATCGTATTCTCTTGATCGGACCTGTAAGGCCTGCTTTAAATGCTATTCATCTACAGGAGCACTTTGAGACTTGAGCGGCATACTGCGGTGCTCTCGAGTGAGGTTTCTTTGCCGTAGGGGGATGATTCGAGCGGTGTGACGCCAGTTGTTGATCTTTGATCTTCACCAGTATTCAACGCACATGACCAATGATGGATGAATGAAAAATGAAGAACATCAGCTGCCTCGGTCGATTCCAAGGATGCGCGATGGTGTGGAAACGATGACGGTCCCCGCACAATGCGGGAGGCCGCAATCTCGCACGGCTGATTGGCTCGCTTGCTGGACCCTTGCGGCGCTGCCCTGCGCCGTTACGTCGCTCGTACTGTGATAGAGCGGCGCCCGCGGACATGGGAGAGCTCACATTTCCAGACTTCTGGCGAAATGTCTCGCCGATATTCACTCCACTTCCTCCACGCGCCCCTGTATGCCTCCTGTCAGGTTTAAGCTACGGGGACCCTGCTCTTCTCCTCGAACGTCTTTGACTCCTGCCCTTATCCGTCGAGCGCCGACCCAGCCTGCCCCGCTATCGCGAGTTGCCCCACGCACTCAGTCGCTGAGATTTCATACACAGATCTTGAGGATGGATGTCCGTGATATGTCGGAGGCTTCGGCTGCTCCGAGCGACGACTTGAAGCTGGCTAACCGCTTGAACGAGAGTCGGAGTCCGTATGTAAGTATCACTGCGCACTTCTCGTAGCCAGAAAGCGACAAGGCTGATCGCATCGCAGGTCCGCGGCCATATGAACAACCCCGTAGCATGGCAGATGTGGGGACCGGAAGCGATAGCTCTAGCAAAGAAATCGAACAGGCTCATCTTCATCTCCATTGGATATGCCGCCTGCCACTGGTGCCATGTCATGGAGCGCGAGTCCTTCGAGAACGCTGAAGTCGCTGCCCTCCTCAATTCCTCCTTCATCCCCATCAAGATCGACCGCGAAGAGCGCCCCGATGTCGACCGCATTTACATGAACTACGTTCAAGCCACCACGGGTTCCGGAGGCTGGCCGCTCAACGTCTTCATCACTCCCGACCTAGAACCAATATTCGGCGGTACATACTGGCCTGGCCCCGGCGCAACCATGGCAATGGGCGATCATATTGGTTTTGTCGGTATACTCAAGAAGATCAGCGACGTATGGAAAAACCAGCGGCAGCGGTGTCTGGACTCGGCCAAGGATATCACGGCACAGCTGCGCGAGTTTGCTCAGGATGGCAGCATCAGTCGTAGGGAAGGCGCCGCGTCTGATCCTTTGGATCTAGAGCTTCTTGAGGAAGCGTATGACCACTTTACGGCGAAGTACGACACTCACTACGCCGGCTTTGGGGGCGCACCAAAGTTTCCTACGCCTGCTAACCTGAGTTTCCTGTTGAAGCTTTCCCAATATCCCAACGCCGTTGCCGATGTCGTAGGTGCGAAGGAGTGCACTAAAGCGAAGGATATGGTGTTGTCGACTTTGTCGGCCATGAACAAGGGCGGCATCCACGACCAGATCGGGAACGGATTTGCGCGGTACTCGGTCACGCGGGACTGGAGTCTCCCGCACTTTGAGAAGATGTGAGCGTTTGAGCTCTAATTCTTACGGATTATACCATACTGACAAAATTGCAGGCTCTATGACCAGGGACAGCTTTTACCCGTTTACCTCGATGCGTACCTCCTGACCAGAAACCCGGAGCACCTCGCCGCCGTCCACGACATCGCGACCTACCTGACAACGCCTCCTATGCACTCCACTACGGGCGGCTTCTTCTCCGCTGAAGACGCCGATTCGTTGTACCGACCTGCTGATAAAGAGAAGCGAGAAGGCGCTTTCTACGTATGGACACTAAAGGAGTTTCAGAGCATACTAGGGGACCGTGATACGGATATCCTTGCGCGATACTACAACGCCAAGGACGAAGGCAACGTCAGCCCCGACCACGACGCGCATGACGAGCTCATCAATCAGAGTGTGCTAGCCATCAGCAGCACCCCTGCCGATCTAGCGAAGGAGTTCGCGCTTTCCGTCGAAGAGGTCGAAAAGATCTTAGCGGAAGGGCGTAATAAGCTCCTGGAGCACAGGAACAAAGAGAGGCCAAGACCTGCATTGGATGACAAGATTGTGGTTTCTTGGAATGGCCTGGCTATCGGCGCATTAGCCCGCACTGCCTCCGTGCTCTCCTCATCAGACAAATCGAAATCGACAGAGTATCTCAAGGCTGCCGAGAGTGCCGCAAAGTTCATCAAGAAGGAACTCTATAACTCCTCTGAGCACACACTGCTCCGCGTATACCGAGAAGGCCCAGGTGTCGTCCAAGGCTTCGCGGATGACTATGCGTACCTTATCTCGGGGCTCATCGACCTCTACGAGGCGACCTTTCAAGAGTCGTATCTCCAGTGGGCTGACAATCTCCAGAAGACGCAGCTCAAATTGTTCTGGGACAGCGACCATCTTGGCTTCTTCTCGACTCCCGAAAACCAAAACGATCTGATCATGCGGCTCAAGGACGGCATGGACAACGCCGAGCCCGGCACCAACGGGGTATCAGCACGCAATCTCGACCGTCTCGGCGCGCTGTTGGAAGATGAGGAGTACGTCAAGAAGGCTAGAGAGACAGCATCAGCATTCGAAGCCGAGATCATGCAGCACCCGTTCCTGTTCCCGAGTATGATGGATTCTGTCGTCGCCGGCAAGCTGGGCCTTAAGCACGTCGTAATCACGGGAGAAGGCGAGCAGGTAGAAGAGTGGCTACGGCGACACCGCGAGAGGCCTGCTGGGCTGAGCACTGTTAGTCGCATCGGCAAGGACCTGGGCGAGTGGCTCAAGCAGAGGAATCCGCTCGTCCAGAGCATGGATGCGAGCAAAGAGGGTGTCATGGTGTGCGAGCAGGGCGCTTGTAGGGAGGAGCTGGACATAAGCATGGCGAGTATAGGAGATGCTATCAAGGATGTTAGCGAACGGTGAGCGGCCTTGGAGTGTATCAACAGTGGCCTCATGTGTGGATGTGCGGCTGTTTGCATTTGGTGAGCTGGAGTTAGGGACTGGATATATCCCTTCATTTTCTACTTCTCATTGCTGGCGTTAGGGATGTGGGAGAGGGGGCGTTTATGGATACATATCATGACTACTAGATGATCTTCAACTATATCACTTCACATGTGCGAGGTCTTGTGCCCTATGCGATGTTCCGACAAGCTTATCATGCTGTGGCCATCAGCTTGGCAACGCGATCATGCTCCCACCCGTTGACCGCAAGCTCGGGAGTGCGCGCTGGGGAAGACAAAGAAGCGTTCTCCGTTTTAACTTGCTGCTTGGCCCCAGGGGTGCTGATAAAGCAGTTGTTGTGAAGGATAAAGCGCTCGTTTCTTCAACGCATTCAACCACCCCGCCGGGATTCAAGAAAGACAAATGCCGCGCCAACTCCCTACCCCGTACCATGCCCCCGGCATACTGTATCCTCTATTCTCCACTTCCGAGATATTTCTGTACTCGCCACGCGCCGGTCCGCATCTCAAACCTTTAATGTGCGCGGCGACGGCAAGCCTAGACGGCAGCCTTTATACTCCCCTGTCGCAAGCCCAAACGCTTCGAGAAGCCTCGACGTAATGCATAAGACGTTTTGACGAGGCGGCGCGTACCTGTTTTGCCAGATGTGGCGGCGGTTCTTCGCTTGCGGTGCTTTGGTGTTGGTGCCCTTACACGAGGCGTCATGTAAGGAGGTCTCTTCCCTTTTAGAACTTACAGGTCTTGCGCATGCGCATGCATTGGGGAGACGACATGGCCTCGATTTCGTTGGTGGGGTCGGGGGTGCATGTGATGAGCGTGGCTGCGATGATGGTTCGGACTTTGGGGAGTCGAGCAGAATGCATCTTGTCGCTGACGCGTGGTGGAATGTGATGTTCGGATTTATACCGACAGGGACGGTTGAGCGTGCGCTGAGAATTCGAGAACGTGGCTTTTTCCTGATCTGGCTACTCCAGAATGTGGAGCCATAGCAACGATAGTCGCTGCAGTGAGGGACGATGAGAAAAGAGTGAAAGTGCTTAACAGGACTTACTTATTAGGACTGTAAGACGGAGTGGTTGGGTTGCCCTCAACAGGCATACCCGCTGTATGTTGCACCTGCCTTGGGAAATGGCTACCTCTCCAGGGCCGTGCTGGCTGTGAACTCCACTCATAGAAAGTGTGTCCCAAAAGAAAGTTCTTGGGGGCCGAGGCTGGTGTTTGTTTGCAAGTCCTCAAATCTCCGCCGCGGGAAAAAGGAAGCGGAACCCCACTTGCAAAGCGGTAGAGTTTCTTCAAATAGAGTGGCAGCAATGTGGTAGATTCCTCGCTTTCATCGCAATTTCATAACCGAATTTCCAGATCTGAGGATTCCCAGAAATAGTCGCTAATCGAAAGCCTTGTGTGTAGTAGGAATAGTAGGAAATTAAACATACGGTCCGGAATTTGACCCCAGATCTGGACGGTGCAATAAAATACCTAGATCGACTCCATAATTGGCAAATGAATGACCCATGTTGAACAAAGCTGAGAAGGGCGCAACGAGGTCAGTGAGCATACGAGAGATGTGACTCTAGAAAAGTAATCCGGAAGGCGTTCAATTGATAGAGGCTATGGAAACCGGCGATGATGCGCAGAGCGTAGGAGGGGCATAGCAGTCCTGGTCGAGGAATCCAGACTTGATAGCTCAGCGATGAACGATCAGAACGAAAAGGAAATTGAGAACGAAGCGAATAGAAACTCGTGGCGTATTTTCCGAGGGAAACAAATCACGCGGCTCTCTGTTCGCGTCACCGTTGAACTGGCTCCGGTCCGGAAAATTTACACCGAGATCTGAGACGAAGGTCATCTCTCGAAGAAATGAACCAGGTAATGCCCCCAGGTCTTTCGAGTTCCCGTCCGTGTGGTTTGCTATCATACCAAGGCTTGCATGGGCCTCCGGAAATTTTTCCTCTCAGTTGCCCGCGACTCGGAGGGCCACTTTGAAGTCAACGTGATGTTGGGGTCGCACAGCTGGGGATTTGATACCCGATGCTAGAGAGCGATTGGTTTGCACCCGACTTCGGGCAGGCAGTGCAACCGGTATAGGGCGACGGCGGGCCGCACGAGATTCCGTGTGCCTGAGGTTTCGTGGCATAGCCGTGCTATTGGCTAGGTAGACGTTAAGGTGTACCGGGTGGTGGCCGAGATTGAGATGAAGGATGACCTCTGCATTTAGCTGAGGCGCGGCGGCGGTTCCTTCCCTGCCAAGGCCCAGCAAACGCCCCGCAGCTTCCCGAAAACCCAACGGCAACCTGGCGTCGATCTTTCCCCGCCAACGCAACAACCAATCAGCACCTGCCTGCCGTAACCTACGGTCGCCTCCATCAAACGTCGAATTTCAACACCGCCGGAGTGCGAGCTCAAAAGCTGGATTAGTGCGCGCCGCTGGGGTTCCGCCATTAGTGGCGTATGCTGGTTGCTGAGATGCTTGCCGTGGAATTCTGCTGTTGGCAGGAGCCGCCACTGTTGGCGCCCCTCGCAGAATGTAAACAGAGGGGGCATGCCCTTTGTGCCCCATTGTCCTTGGTTGGCTTCCTTGAGGAGCCGCTTTGTTGCCTTGGTCGTGTGCACAGTTGGGGAAATTGGCCTCGTCTTGCAATGAGATTGGTGCGGCCGGTGAATGCTCGTAAAATAGCTCCTTCACCCGAACGTCATCAAAACCGCACTTGTCATCTGTTTCAGAGTCGCTCTTTCCTCGCGTAATCTGTGGCTCCATAAAACCACCCGTCCGCCTTTCGTCTCCCCATCCTCTGCCCGCTTTCCTTTGTCTGATTCTGCCATCCGTCCTTGTGTAGCTTTGTCTGCCCCGGGCCACGCTCTTTACTTTCTTTATCCAAAACAATCCCATTCGTTTCTTCACTCGTGCGCCTCAGTCGCACCCTCCGGCAGCAGGCTCAATCCCATTCGCGTAGGTTATCCTTCCCCTCAACACACACTGCGCAGGTGGTGGCAACTCCTATGGCAATGTCTCTTATAAAGAGACCAACCTCCCCGGCTTCTTCACCGTCAACTTTTACTGTCCATTCTGATCTTGTGCAGTTAATTACGCCACATTCACCGGTGATCCGAGATCCCAGACATTGCCTTGCTACAGCACCCGAGCTCTTGCCAGAAGTACAACATGCGCTCCTCCGTCCTTCTCGCTTCTGCCTTGGCCGTAGGCGCCATTGCCGGTCCTCTCCACAAGAGGCTCATGGTCACTGAGACCGACCTTGAGATTGTGACCGTCACCGTCTATGTCACCCCTGGCCAAGCAGATCCAACGGCGGGGGGTCAGGCTAGAACTCGCGAACACGGACACGGCCACGGACACCACCATCCCAAGCCTAAGCCGAGTGCTCCTGCCGCTTTCAGCTCGGCGCCTGCGCCTGCTCCATCATCTGCTGCGCCGAAGCCTTCCTCGGTCTATACCCCTCCGCCACCGCCGCCGTCTTCTACCCCGACTCCTACCCCGGAACCCGCTTCGTCTCCGGCTCCTAGCTCTTCCGCAGCGGCGCCGTCAAGCCAGGCCCCTACCTCATCTACTCCCACTGGCAATGGCGAGCACACGTCCGGGACCATCCAAGCCACTTTCTCAAGCGGCATCGCCTACCAGGAATCTGTGCTGTGGCACCACAATCGCGCCCGCGCAAACCACGGTGCTACGCCGCTCGTCTGGAACACCACCTGTGAGGACGCTGCTAGAACTGCGGCTGCAGTGTGCGACTTCCAGCACCACGTGGTCAACGGCCAGGGCCAGAATCTATTCACCGTCTCCGGTGACATGTTCAACGTGACCGGTGGCATTACCGATAGCTGGTATAAGGGGGAGGCAGATGTCTACACTGCATGGGGTGCGAATCCCGATGATTCTACCTTCCATCAATGGGGCCATATGACGCAGGTGGTCTGGAAGGGAACTACCTCGGTTGGTTGCGTCAGCATCGATTGCGGGTCGGCCATGACTATCAACGGTCGAGCGTCGGAGCTCAACAAGTACACCGTGTGCAACTACAGCCCCCCTGGCAACTACGGGGGCCAGTACGCTCAGAACGTCGCTGCACCCATCGGAGACTACCACAAGTTCCTCTGGTCCGACTAGGCGGGCTCGCTGTCCACTCGATTAACGGTGCTTCCTCTTCCTCGCTTATCGCATTGCTGTAGGGCATCAGGTGTACGGGGCTGCAGGTCGATATGGCAGCTGCTTGCATGACTGGGGATTCTTTCAACATATTCACGTCTTTGTTGCTGTATGCTGCTGATATGATCTGGATGTGGTCAGTTAGCTAGCGAGCACCTTCTCTTCGATGTAAATACTTAGCTACTTCGGCCTGGGGGCTACTTCGGGGGTTTCATTACTTCCCCACATGCAAATCTAGGGATGGCTCATTGTCTGACGTCTTTGATGCTGTGTGGTAATTGCCGGCCGAGCCGCGACATGAACTGTGAACTCTAGAGGTGGCTGGGCTGCCTTCGTTGGAATGTAGCGCCTTGTCGTCGCATTGGGATAAAATATGCGGGCGCTTTTCTAGAGTCTACACTTGTAAAGACGTAGGATGTTAGTGGGGTTCCCCGGGGCGCCTAGACCCGAAGTGCCGCAGTTACTACTATTACGGAACCATTCTCGTCTCAGCTCCATTCTAGCTCTCTATAATCGTACCTCAAGAGCTCATGATACCAAATTCTCTATAACGTATACCTTCTTCCGTGAGAGTCCCGACGCGTTCTACTGGACACTGTAGATGCTTCAATACGTATTAACAAATCGGTCTATGGGCTACGTTTCGTTGCAGAGCTGTGATGGAAAAGGATATGTTATTTCTTTGAGCCGCTTATAAGAGGAGGGAAGATATTTGTAGAGCGCGAAATAGAGAATCGATCTGGCGAGCTTTGTACATAGAAAACTGTGGAAGATGCCTGCGTCGGGTGAAGATCATGAGCCACAGCTTGGGGTGGTTGAAGTACGGGCCGTTCTGATGACCGGCACGGTTGGGAAGCCCGTCCTTTTGGCTTTGACGAGCACGATTGAAGCCCAGCAGCCCGACCTTTACAGAGCGCTCTCCGTCAAATTGATGATACTAATGGGTAGTCATAAAGAAGGATGGGGAGTGGAGAGGTGGCAGGTGGCGGGAGTTGCTTTTTCTCCGTAGAGGGTCCGTGCGCTGTTATGACGATACACGTGCGCAACAGGATTGGCCAGCAGGAGCTCCCCACCAGCCATCAGCTCTTCCACAGTGCGAAGCTCCCCTCCGCACGTCAAGCTCTTGACATGCCAGCTATTCCTTCTCCCACTTCGTACGAGCATTGCGTACACACCCTTTTGCTAATTGTTAATATTCACAATGAAATTCGGCGCCACCCTGCGCAAAAACATCTACTCGCCATGGAAAGACAAGTACATCGACTACGATAAGCTCAAGGAGCTGCTCAAAGAGAAAGACGACGACGATTCCTGGACGTCCGACGACGAAACGAAGTTTGTCGACGAGCTCGCCAACATCCAATTAGAGAAGGTGCACGAGTTCAGGAACGAGACGTCCCAGAAGCTCCGCGACCGCACCGCAGCATGCGAGAAGAAGCTGGAGCCATTGGCCATTGGTATCAAAGCGGAGGAGGAGAAAGGGAAGGATAAAACGGCCTCATCATCGGCGGATAATGGCTCGGGCAAGCCTGAGCTGAAGCCGGGGGAGAGGGAGCGCCTGCTGAAGGAGGTGCTAGAAGAGCTGGACAGCATCACGAAAGAAGTCAACGAGCTGGAAAAGTACGGCCGGCTCAATTACACGGCCATCCTCAAGGCTACGAAGAAGCATGATAAGTTGCGTGGTCGCTCATATAAGCTGCGTCCCTTCATCAACGCCCGCGTCGCTGAGCGCCCGCTCTACACCGAGGATCAATCACCGCTGCTCTACCGGCTCTCTGCCATGTACTCCTTCGTCCGCCAAAGCTTGGAGGGGAAGCCCAAGGAAGCGCTGTCCTTTGCGGAGAGCACGACCGACAGCGAGGGCTTCATTTCACACAAATGTAAGATGCTATCGTCTCCGCACGTCCTCAGCTAACACGGCACAGTCTGGGTACACAAAGACAACCTTCTCGAAGTCAAGACCATCATCCTCCGTCGCCTGCCCGTACTCGTCTACAACCCGCAGACTTCCAAGATCGCCGAGGGCTCTCAACAGGATCCCACGATTACCTCGATATACTTCGACAACCCCAACTTCTCCTTATACACTGATAAGGTCAATCGTGTACCAGACGCAGCTTCGCTCCGGCTTAGGTGGTATGGGCAGCTGGCGGAGAGGCCGAATATCTTCTTCGAGAAGAAGGTCATGAAGGATGGGGATGCGAGCGAGGAGCAGCGCTTCACTATCAAGGACAAGTACGTCCAGCAGTTCATCGAGGGCAAATACCACATGGAAAAGAGCGTCCAAAAGATGGAATCTCGGGGTGGACACGACCGGCGAGAGATCGAAGAGTTTAAGAAAGCCGTCGACGACATCCAAGCGTTCATCAAGGAGAACGATCTCCAACCCGTGCTCAGAGCCAACTACACCCGCACGGCCTTCCAGATACCTGGAGATGACCGTATGCGCATATCGCTCGATACGAACCTTGCCTTGGTTCGCGAGGATGCTCTAGACTTGGATAGGCCGTGTCGAGATCCGGACGACTGGCACAGGAGAGACATTGATGACGCGCGGATGGAGTACCCGTTCAAGGGCATCCGGAAAGGCGAGAAGTACGAATTCCCGCACGCAGTGTTGGAAATCAAGGTCAAGGGCATGAGGAAGTATGAGTGGATCGAGGACTTGATGAACTCGCATCTCGTCAAGGAAGCCCCTCGCTTCTCGAAGTTCGTTCAAGGTGTCGCGAAGCTTCATGAAGATTACGTGAACACTTTTCCGTTCTGGTTGAGCGAAGTCGAGACGGATATCAAGATGGAACCCGAGCGCGCCTTCGAGGAAGAGCAGCAGCGTAAGTTGAAGGCGGCAGAAGATGAGTTTGCAGTAGGCAGTCTGTTTGGCGCTCGTGCCAGCCCTAGCTACCGCCCTTCTGTTGTTTCTCCTGCGGGATCACCAGCGGGTGGGAAATCATCTTGGCGAAAGCCAAGCACACCTGGCAGGCCTTCGCCCTTGATAGTGGGAGAAAATGGCAAAGGCGACAAGCCCAACGATGAAGTCGACTCTGACGAAGAGGGCGCCCAAGCAACGACTTTCGAAAGCACGCCCTTCGCCAAATCGACCGGGCTCACCTCCCTCTTCCCCTCCTTTTCGACGTCCAAGTACTCGCGCAGGCGCCAGGAGCGCAAAGTCAAGCTACCGCCGGGCATCCGCGACCCGGGCGTGTGGATCAAGGACCAAGGCCCCGTCCGCGTCGAGGCCAAGGTTTGGCTCGCGAACCAGCGCACCTTCATCAAGTGGCAGCACGTCAGCGTCCTGCTTGCGGCGCTGTCCCTCGGTCTGTACAACGCTGCTGGGGAGACGAACGGCGTTGCGCGGACGCTCGCCATTGTGTACACTCTCGTCGCGGTGTTCACGCTCATTTGGGGCTATGGCATGTACATGTACCGCAATAGGTTGATCCGTGAGAGGAGCCCGAAGGATTTCGATAAAATGTTTGGGCCGCTGGTGGTGTGTGCGGGGCTGGCTATTGCGCTGTGTTTGAACTTTGGGTTTAAGGTATGTAATGTGCTTGTGAGATACGGTGGTGTTGTGAGAGTGCAAAGCTGACAATGTATACAGTACCGGGCTATTCTCAATGGTCGGAAGGAAGATAGCATTGTGATGGGGAACGCGTCGTCGTTTCAGGAGCACATTGAGCTCTTGCGATGAAGAATGAGTGGATGAGAGAGCATTGATTGTAAATGGTGATTTGGGTTGATGGGATAGCGGGATTCGTCCATATTGTTAAGGGGTCAGGGGTAGTTGCACGTGGTGTACAGGCATCCGTGGACGGTTCCACGTATATAGTGCGAGACTCGCTTCTGGCAAATATATCCATTGCATTCGGGCGGCGTCTGATCCTATCGTATATGTAAATGAATGGAAGGACCTCCGAGAATGAACTGGTCACGCTTAGTAGCCGTCAAGGCAATAGTAGGTGTGTCTATATTCGAGGCGGTGCAGACTCGACTCGCTTCCACGGTGTCATCCTGTGTTGCCGGGAAGGGAGATTCCGCTACGGTAGCACCAACAAGTGTCATGCTCGTACTCAGTGGAAAAGTGCAATCGCTATCACATATTGCATTTTAATTCTCAAATTCTTATTGCGGCCTAGACGATGGCGGCTACAACGAGCATGAGGGCAATTAACTAGTTCCTCGAGGTGAATTCGGATGACTGGATCCCTGAGTGATCTAGGTCCTGTGCGATCTCGTGGTACGCTAAATACGGACGGGAAGATGCAGTGTTATTGCGTACTAGATCGCGCTATGGCATTGCATGTGCGATTCGTATTCCCGTCGAGCCTCCGCGCACAAGATTCTCGTCGGCGGAAGACGAGGCTCGATGACGACATGGTGTACGCTATGGGAGAGCAGGCTTTCGACTGCGAGGAATAAGACCCGTCAGCACTCATGCAAATAATGTCGCTCCGCTGGGTGGCGGGAGGATCCAGACGGCTTCCAGAATTGACCAAGTGACCGGTTCGAAATTGGGGTCGTGACAAGGGGACCATTCTCAGCCTTGCTACAAGATCAAGCTTCCAAGGTTGTGATCAAGCTTTGTGGTCTTTCGCGGGCGCCGAGCAGTGGCTCGCATGGCGTCAGCGCCCAAGCAACATTGTGGCGTAGAAGAGTTTTACCCGGTCGAGAGCAATGCGGGGAACTGCAAGATAGATGAAGTGATAGTAGTTAGGGGAGTATTTTCGGTCTAGACGAGCAACACGGTGTCCTCTATGAGAGAGTCTCGCAAGGTCTATCGATAGATGTCTGCGTGCGATGCTAGGTGTGCCGATGTCGGATAGATGCGGCTCCCCGAAGATACATGGGAATAATGCTCATCGAAGACCAGGAACCGAAAGTACACGAACAGGACACCTGGGTAGGACAAACATGTGCCGGACAGCAACGCTGGAGTCATCGGTACCGCAGTGAAGACGTGAAGTTGCAACGAGCGTTCCGCGGCGTGCCATTGCGGCGGCACAGTCGGCATGGTAACGACGCCAGTCGATATCGTCTTGGCATCAGGCCGGAGGATTCTCGTGGTCCACGTTCGTTCGTTGGCCTCAGGGTCGAGGTAAGGAAGCGGATACGCTGCTGCGTCCGCTTTTCATGATGCTCTAACGCAATGCAGTGGGACGCTGATTATGGGATGGGACTACCGCGCGTCCGTCACGACACCGCCGCTTACTGGACGAAGATCCGTCTGTCCCTCGCAGCTCGCAGCCGTTGAGACATGTGTTCTGGCACAGTCACAACTCGTTGGAGGTGGCAAACGCATCGTGAGGCCGTGCAGAGGAAGAGTGACGTACAAGGATGCGGACTTAGCGGCAAAAGGTGATCACAATAAAAACCGTAGTGCCGGTCGCATATTGCGGGCATGTCAAAATTGGTGCGAGAGGAAGACAGGAGCTTCCGTTCCTGGGCTCCCAGACCCCGGCAAACGCTGTGCTTCCGCACGAGGAAACATGGCGCCAGGGAAGTCTAGATGGGCTCTGTTGAGCGTGGTGAGCTGGTCGTGCATGATGTTAGTTGGAGAGTGGAGCCTGTGGCTCAGAGACATCTGCAGCACGCTGGGTGAAACGCGGCCAAGACACTACTTGCTAGCCACCCCAGCCGTCAGAGCCGGACAGCGACCTCTTTGCTAACCACCTCTCCGCACGAAACGCTGCGTTGTGCTCGCCCTCCAACCACGCAACTCAACTGCACACGCCCCCGGCTGGGCTCGTTTACCGGGCTCGGGCTGTCGCGGTTTGACAGGAGCTCTCCTCGAGCTGGACCCTGTGGACTCGTAGCTGCATATTGGCTGCGCCGCCCAGGTTCAAGCGTCGCACCGGCTGCGGCTCTTTGTCGTTCATCAAAATGTTTCCTGCCTTATGGCCCCGGCCCCGGCTAGGCTGCGCATGGGTATCTCGATGTCTTCCTGATCTCGTGCTGATTGGCGCCGTCTCCACAACCGCATGTCCTTTCTCTCCGCCGGCGAGCCTAGTGCGTGGCCCCGTCTGCCCCCTACGACGCGGGCCGCCGAGGCGGTGCTGGGCGGGAGCAGCGTTTTCTGCCTCTATTTGTACTCTGTTGGTCCCGTTTTGCGTCACTGCTGAATATCAATTCACTGTTCCTCAACCCCCTAATTTTCTGCCGTTTGATGCTTAAAGAGGCGCTCTCCCGGGTACCAGCAGCAGCCACCGTTCCCTTCCGACTCTGACAGCTCGTTTCACTGCCAGACTTGGACATCCGGCCCGGGGAAGCAAGAGCATCGGTGACAGGAACTGGCCGTTGTGGCGAGCATTGTTGCCAAGAGCCCCGCACGTGACTTCCCGCGTATCGCGCCTACCTTTTAGGGCAAACGACCTCGAGCAAGTTTTCCTTCTCACCCGAGAGTCCTTCGTTCCTCAACAGCCCACCTCGGCCTTCTCCATTCGTTCCTCAACGGCTCCAACTGCTACACTCGTTCTGCCACACTCGCTTCCCTGCTCGAGTTGTCCGTTCCTCCTTGCAGCCCTGGTCAGCAATTCCTACCGGCTCGTCACCATGAAGCTGCTGGCCCTGCTTGCCTTCACCGGCTTGCTTACCCTCGGTGGTGCTACGCCGGTGGCACCCACCCGAGTCAACTCCATCTACGCCCGCCAGTCCAATGGCACCAACACCACGGCCCCGTGTGCTCAGGTCTCCCAGGCAATATACAGCGTACCCGACCGGACGCTTACCCCGACTGTTCCTGCCAAGCTCGCCTACGACTGCATCAACAGCGTGCCCTTCAACGCCACCGCCGCCAAGCTGATATTGCAGGGCCTTCCTCCCTACCTCAACTGGCAGAGCACCCTCACCGCGCTCAAGAGCCCGCCTGCCGAGTATGCCTCGAAGGTGCAGCCGCCCCTTGACATCCTCGGCGGCTTGAGCCAGATGGCAGCCGACGTCGATGCTGGCAAATTCACGAGCGAATATGACTTCGGTTGGACGCTGTACACGTTGATCCAATCGGCCCACGATGGTCACTTCGCCTACATTCCCGATTCTGTGGGCAGCGTCTTTGCTTTTGGCCGCAAGGTGCCATTGGTTTCCGTGTCCGAAGATGGAGAGCAGCTCCCCTCCATTTTCGCCTTCTACGATGTGTTGGGCATGCAGTTCAAAAACATCACCTACACCCCGTCGCCCGTGGTCGAGATTGATGGACAGGATGCCTCCGAGTTCCTTGAGCAGTGGAGCCAGTGCGGCTCCCTGCAGGACCGCGACGCCTTGTACAACAATGTGTTCTACGAACTTGCCCAGGTTAGTCTCGGCTCTTCTGGCTCCGGAACAGGATCATTCACCGGTGGTGGACGCGGCCGCTTCGTCTATCCCGGAGCTACGACTACGCTGAAGTTTGCCAACGGGACCGAGTATACGATGGAGAACTACGCGCGGGTACAGATTAGCTTCCGCGAAATCGAATCGGGAGAAGATCTGGGGGAGTGGTTCACAAAATTTGCAGGCTCAGCGGCACAAGTGGAATCCACAGGAACTGTTGCTGCTGCAGCGGCGGCTGCACCTGGGTACCCTGCGCCTGTTGTTCCCGGCCCGGGCAACCTCATCAACGGATTCTACATTGACACTCCGGGCTACGAAGACGTCGCAGTGCTCCAAGTTCCGAATTTCGTTGGTACCGCCGCCTATGAAATCGGTTTCCAGAAGACCACGCAAGAGTTCCTACCGAAGGCGCTCGCGGACGGCAAGACAAAGTTGATCATTGATCTCCAGGCCAATGGCGGAGGTACGATTCTCCAGGGATATGACATGTTCAAGCAACTCTTCCCGTCCCTGGACCCGTATGGTGCCAACCGCTTCCGCTACACTGAAGCTGCGGATCTCATCGGCCAGTCGTACAGCGCCTATGCTTCCCTGGCTCCTCGCGGAACGGGCAACTATTCAATCAGGCAGGTTCAGAATGCCTACTTCGACTACCATATGGATATGACTGTTGATGGCGAGCCATTTGACTCGTGGGATGAGAAGGTTGGGCCTGTTGAAACAAACGGTGGTACGTAAAATACATGTATGTTTGCCGAGTCAAGCGCTAACCTGTCACAGACAAGTACACCCAGCTTTCGCGATGGAACCTCTCCGACGTCCTTATCTCCATCTCCTCTGGCGGCATCAACATCACTGGATATGGCCCCCTCGCCAATATCACTGGTCCGCCCAAGTTCAGCTCCGAGAACATTGTTCTCCTCACGGACGGCTACTGTGCATCTACTTGCACCATTTTCAGTGACTTCATGACCAAGCAAGCTGGTGTCAAGACCATTGCCATGGGCGGCCGAAGCAACAAGAACCCCATTCAGGCTATTGGTGGGGTGAAGGGCGTGAACAATTACGCCTTTTCCTACATCCAGTCGTTGGCTATGAACGCCGTCCAACTTGCCGATGCGGGGCTAAAATCTGAGCTCAACTCCTCATCCCTGCGCGACTACTACGACAACTATATCTTCGCCCGAGCCGCTGGTTCTCCCGGTGTCAATGTTCGCGACGGAGTCGCCCCCAACGATACCTCTGGCGTCGCGCTGCAGTTCATTTACGAGGAAGCGGGTTGCCGACTCTACTACACGCCAGAGATGACTGTGGACGCCACTGCCATGTGGACGGCGGCCGCTGATGCGCAGTGGGGCAACAGCGGCAAGTGCGTGAACGGTGGAGGCTACGGAAAGCGGGAGGCTGAGGAGGTCACCACCAAGCTAAAGCCGCGACGCGTCCATATTTCGCAGGCCGCTGCACTGAGGAAGTTTGAGGCGTTCGAGAAGAGCTTCGACCTGGAGACGGAGTGCCACATGTCTGGCGACGGATTCATGGACCCGTGAGGCATGCACACTACGGTTCTACGTGGCGAGGCTTCGTGAAGAAGACAAGATGATCCTAGAACATGGGGCTTATGTGCTAATGATAGGAACTTGAGATCTTCGAAGGACATGTAATACACTGCGGCACACGCAGAGGCATATGTTCAAGCATCTTGCCACGGCGAGGGCAGGTGGAAGGTACCTGGCGGCGGGAGATGTTCGATGCCTAATATTGAATGCATGGGACAGGATCACAAGTAGTCTAATTCACATAATGAGAGGCCGTCTCCTCCATTCATCTTGTTCCAACTCTCCCGTGCTGACCAACAGACACAGCGCATGATGTATTTGCCTTCTTGGCAATACACAAACACGCCCGCCCGTCGAATCGGGCCTCAAAACGTGGGTACTACCTCGTCAGACAGTTAGACTCACCGTATTTCCTTCTTCGGCTATGGGGCCCGTACCTTGGCGTTGGTCACAGATGTTCTCTTTGACAGGCTCAAGGATGTCTTTGATGTTCGCGTACCGAAAATAGATGCGCGAACGGACCGAAAAGCGTCAACGGAACGGTCGCTACTTCAATAATGGCATAAGGCGCGCCGGCTAGCTCAGACCCCTGCGCCGCCGGCGTGCAGACCAGAGAATTAAACAGGAGCACGGTGGTCGGGAGCGATGCTTGGGCGAGGCGGCCGATGCGCCGAAGACTCGCTTTTCTCGGAAGTGACGGAGTGGCTGACAGGCGCGGGTTGTGGAGAAAGCGCCCCTAAAGGCAACCCTGTGCCCGCCGCACGTCGCCGCACACAGGGCCTTATATATTGCATAGCCATTATTGCATGGCCAAATGCGACATTCTTGCGAGAACGGCGGGCTGCCTTGCTGCCAATGGCGAATCTTACCGGGGCGCTGACGCTTGATAGGAGGCTTATTTGCGGCACGTGGGCTGCGAGACTCGGAGCCTGGTGGGTGGAGCTCTGGCCCTGTAAGCTCGTGTTTCTGGGATGGTGGCAGGGCAGGGTAGGGGGATTGCCGGAGTGAGATGTGCACTGTACGGCGTGGTTGGATTGGCAGTATGGCGCAATGGGGATGAGGGATTCCTGGGGGGGCCCGGATGCGAATGTGGGTAGGGCGCTGGTAAGCTTGATTGATGCAGGTACGGGTTGGCTGGGACGCACTTAAATGTTGATCTTGCCCCGTCTTTTCAAGAGCCATCTTCGGATTCATCTCTCTCCTACGCATCTGTCTGCATTTCACGCTTCTCTTTTCTGTCCTCACGCTCTATCTACAGCCTGTCCCCTTTTGTTTAATTTCTAGTCTTGGGGAGCGAGCTCTCAACGCGGGCGCTTCGTTCCTTCCTTCCTGGAGATACCAAGGTCTGCCTCTACTCTGCTCCTTCCGTCTATTCGCCTGTCAGAAAGCCGCATTACGCCGTCTGTACGCCCTCCTGCACCCTCACCCCACGTGATCGGAGCGTTTGGTTACCTAGGGAGGGGAACCTGGAACTGCTGTCTTAATCTTACCTTCACCGTGGCTCTCGTAATAAGCGAGGTTCCATAAGGCCATACGACCGCCAGCTGTTCTCTCTCCTCCTCCTCCTCTCTCTTCTCTCCTCTCTCCCCGAGTCCTAGATCCAGGCTGCGGCACTCAACACTTCCCTGCTTTCGGTCCCGCCCCCTCCTGTCAGAGTTCACAATCAACATGAAGTCCACCGTCTCCCTCCTCGCCACCGGCTTCCTTGCCGCGTCCCTGGTTTCCGCGGGCCCAGCTGTAGAGCGTGCTGCAGCTACTCTGTCGGACTGCTTGAACAGCAAGAGCGTGCCTACCCGCTGGATCAACTCACCGGACTACGCAGATCTGGCTGAGCCGTTCAACACTCGACTTCCCTACAAGCCCGTCGTTATCGTCCTGCCTGAGACAAACCAGAATGTCCAGGACGCCGTTGTCTGCGCTGCCCAGTTCGGCGTCAAGGTGCAGGCCAAGTCTGGGGGTCACTCGTATGCTTCGTTCAGCAGTGGTGGCCAGGATGGGTCGATGAGTAAGTCCGCATTCCAGTGAGTGAGGGAGAATCACTAACATGCCGCAGTGATTGACCTCCAGCCTATGCAGAACATCAAGCTGGACAAGTCCACCAACATCGTCAAGGTTGGCGGAGGCGTGCGTCTCGGAAACCTAGCGCAGGGGATCTGGGACCAAGGACAGCGCGGTCTCTCTCATGGTACCTGCCCCGGTGTCGGCATTGGAGGCCACTTCACCCACGGCGGCTACGGCCACACGTCTCGCAACTGGGGTCTTGCTCTCGACCACATCGTCGGCGCTGAAGTAGTCCTCGCCAACGGCACACTAGTGAACGCTACTGCGTCTCAGTACCCTACCATCTTCTGGGCCGTCCGCGGAGCCGCTGATTCCTTCGGCATCGTCACTAACTTTTACCTCCAAACGCACGAGGCGCCCAAGGCCATTACCTATTTCTCCTTCCAATGGGGTACCGCGCTGTACGGCAGCAAGACTAAATTCGTGAACACGTTCCTGCACGTCCAGGATTTCGCCACGAATGCTTCGGTCGTCGACAGCCGCATTTCGTTTGGCATCTATCTCGATGGCGTGGGCGCGTACAGCCTCAGTGGCACTTTCTTCGGCACCGTCAATGAGTTCAATACCAAAATTAAGCCCGAGTTCCTCCGCACCCTGCCCACTCCCGGAACCGTCATCGTCAAGTCTTACGACTGGATCGGCTACCTGACACTCCTTTCGGACAAGGATACCATCAAAGAACCGCTCACCGGCTATGACGAGCACGACAACTTCTTCGCCAAATCCATCACCGTGCCCGAGCGAGACGGCCTGAGCAAAAACGCCCTGGGCGCGTTCTATGACTACATCAAGAAGGGCACCTCAGCTTCCTACTTCGTAATAATCAACCTCTACGGCGGCCCGGGCTCTCAAATCAACAACAAAGACACCTCCTTCGCCGCCTACAACGATCGCGACTCGTTGTGGGTGCTGCAGAACTACGGCGAGACGGCCGCGAGCATCGACTTCATCAACGGGCTCAACGACGTTATCATCGGGGCGCAGCCGTACACGCAATTTGGCGCGTACTTGAACTATGTGGATCCGAGCTATGATGCTGCCACTGCGCACGAGCTGTACTATGGAGCGGAGTTGTATGCGGAGCTAGCGTCGTTGAAGAAGCAGGTTGATCCGAAGATGGTGTTTTGGAATCCGCAGGCGATTGGGGCGTAGAGTGCGAGGAGATTGGTGAATATGACGATGGAGGAGGCGGCTTAGCATGGCATGGCAATGGCGTTATGTGTACAATGTCTGGGATCTATCTCTCTGGAGGGGAAATGATTGCAATTTATGGTTTACTACGGTTCTAACCTCATCGTCCTTCCGTGTTAACTTGTATGGGTCGGTGGTCATGGACACCGAGGCTGCTTCCTCTGCAGGAGTGACCGCTACTTCGTGACTACACTCTATGTGTATACGTCAAGACCGGATTTGAATTATAGAGCCCAGGATGATGTCTTTACCTATCCAACAAAGACTCGATGGAACCTTGCAGCCAACTATAACAAAGCACAATCCGCATTCCATCCTTGTCAGCAGCCGCTAGACTTCGACCTAGGAGCCAGAATGCCGCGACGCCCCTCCTACGCACCGTACTTCTTCTTCAGCGCATCTGACGAAGCAAACATAAACTCCTTAAGCCCGGCGCAGCCCCTCTCCTCCAGCCACTGCAACACATGTACACGATAAAGCTCCCAATCGACGTCCACCCCGCCGTTCCGCCTCAGCACATCCAGCGAGCGCTGCGAAACAGGGCCCTTGTGCCAGTTAATCGACGACCTATCGTATCCCCGGGCGTCAATCTCCACTGCTTCGAGCTGCCTCCATACAGCAGCAGATGAGGCCGCCAGCATGGGGTTGTTCGAAAGGCCAAAGGCAGTCTGGATTGCGTATTCGCGGTCGATGTCTCCGAGATAGGTGTTGAGTGCCTCTCGAAGCGCCGGGTCGCAGAAAACGCCGGATGCTTTGTCTTTTCCCTCTGCGTCTTTGGAGGCGACAAGGGCACGCGAGATCCAGAGCAGGTTGTAGATGTCGCGGAGGCAGCAGTTGATCGCGTCGACTATTTCTTGGGGGTAGAAGTGCCTGATTGGCCCTGGGTGTTTGTTGAAAGCAGTCTTGTAGGCGCCGATCATGCCGCAGACGCGGGAGAGGGTTGTTGCGGAGGGGGAGAGGGCGAGCGTGTAGATGAGGGACATGGGAGGGAGAACGATGGGGATGCGGTACGGCGCTGAAGAGGTGGAAAGGAGTTCGTAGAAAGTGAGGATGGACGATGTTATGTTGGAGCCCCCTGAGCTGAATGGTAGGGAGAGGAGGAGGGAAGTCGATAGCGAGGAGACGTGCGAGGCTAGATCGTGGAGGGCACGCTGATCGGGGGTCGCGGTTGCGGGACCTGGTCTGCGTGGTTGGGGGGAGGCTTGGTTCATCCATTGTCGAAGCAGGTCGGTGTAGAAACGTAGAAGCTGGTCATAGCACTCAGGATGTTGCCCCGTAACGGCTCGTTCTGCGGCGCTCAGGTAGGATGCATATGCATCTTGGAACGGTTGAATCTGGATGCAGGAAAGGAGGCCGAGGATCGCGTCGATGTCTTGCAGGCCGTCCCAAACGAGCAGGTACTCCTTGAGGAACGCCTGCACGACCGGTGAAAGGCTCTAAAAAAAGTCAGTTCAGTTCTTAGTAGCCACCTCGCGGGGTAGCTTACCTTCGTATACTGTGCGTGCCTGAGTAGTCCACTGAGAATCTCCGAAAGATACAGAGGATCTGGCGTTCCTGCCTTCACTGCCTCATATTGCTCCTCTAGGCAGGTTGAAAGCCATAGCTCGATGCGTCTCGATGTGATCGGCGAAGACTTCAGGTCGACGTATTTTTGGAGAAGCGGATCGGTGAGGAACGAGATCAGCTGGCCCGGCGGCTCTATCCTGTCGAGCTTCTCCACAAAGTCCTCCACGTTGTCGATCCCTTCAAGGGTAACGGATGTCTGCAGCCTCCCGTGAGTGGATGCTGATAGCCCGAGATTGCTATGTCCTACTTACCTCATTCGTATGATAGGTATGCACGTCTGGGATTGCCGAGATTCTGCCCCTCTTCGGTCCTTTTCTTAGAACCTTGAACCCATTGTGTTGCTGAGTGCCGTCTTCATTCGCTGCAACGCTCCGTTGCTGTATAACTAGAAGTCTAGTCCGCCACTCGGGGTCGGGTAGCTGTGAAGTTAGTCGTCGGTTTGAATCGGTGCGACGGTAACGTGTTACGCGAGCAACTATGCGAGCATCAAGAAAGGACTAACCGGAGGAAAGGAGTTGCGGCTCGTGGAAGTGCTTCCGAGAATGATGTCCGGATAGTAATCCTTGTAGATGCGGAGAAGACCTTGGAGGGCCGGCTCGTTACCAAGACTGCGGGAGAGCTCCAGCCTGCGATCATGTCAGTAGCCGTGTCGAAGACATGATCGCCGGACGCATGAGGAAGCTTACAGCTGCTGTATCCTGAACGGCTTCACATGCTTCCGGCGAGTAATGAGTGAGAGCAGATGGCATAGAGATGTCCTAGTAGACTGAGCATACACCGATATTGGCTTCGGACTTCGGCGATGCGCACCTGATACTGATCATATCCAGCATCCCAAATAGCACGCCGTACAGGCGAGGCAATACATTGGGGTCATCGATGATCTCGTGGACGATGGTAAGCCACTTGACGAGGCCGTTTTGGGAGCCAGGCGAAGGCTTGCCTTTGCCTTGGCCGAGTCCGCTCACGACAGTGACCACGACGTCTGCGGGTACGCGCTGGGCGGGATAGAGGTTCTTGACGAGCGTGGTTACACTCGTCTGGTCCAGTTCCGTCTTCCGCGAGGCGATCTGTACCACGGTTCGCAGAGAGTCCTCGTCGAGCCCTTTGTCGAACGCATGGCGGCAAATGGCATCGACGACGGCTGACACTTTCGACGCTCTCTGCTTCGCCGGCGTTCTAGACGCTGGACCGGTCGTAAGCAGCCGCATGAGTGATACGAGGGCATACTAACCTCGCTCCAGCGACTCGAGCGCGTCGTGCAGGACCGCGGGCCGCTCGCCTTCCAAATCCATGAGCGGCGGGCGTCGAGCACGATGGATCACGTTACCCTTCCTCCATGCACGCAGTAAGACAGCGGTCAGCGGCGAAAGGAGGCAAGCGGGCGCGCTGGACGGTGTAGTCGGATCGCGTATGCCATGCCTCCAGGGCTACTATGTACATCGGAGGCGCGCTAGCCGCATTGGGGCGATTAGGTCAGCACGCACCCCGGATTCGCCCACGCCTCAGCTGCCTCGACCCACGTTCTGTGTCGCCGTCCCAACCTCATCGCAGCCAGCTCGCACTGCTGCCCTTCAATGTCACCTCAACCACAGCTCTTGCCGCACTCCATCGCCGCCGGGCGCGGCGGCGTGTAGGCGCGGCGGGCGCACAGCGCTTCGTCTCCCACCCGCGGTTCGCTCGTATGCGCCCAATTGCTGCACTCAATCTCGCTGCAGCAGTCACCCGCATATGCCCTTGGTCACTGGGCGCCATTTCCAGCTCTCGTCTTCCGCCGCCAGCTGCCATCGCCCGCCTGGATGACCATGTTACACAGCAAGCATCGATTGATAGTCTCTCGGCTCGCGCGCCCTTGCGGCGCCCTGAGTGGCCCATTCGCCTCGTAAGCCAGCGATCAACTTGCAACGTTGCTGCAGAGTCGGCTCGAATCGTCAACAACCCCCGCGCGCCATACATATTGACGATACCTTACATATGGCGAATCCTTTGCACCAGCTTCCTTCCCCGGTTACTGGCTGCCTGCTTTAACACTACTGGTCTGGTTTTTCGGCCCACAGCATGGCGGCGTGGCTTCTCGTCCCGTTGCGCGTCCGGCCAAGAGGGTGTACCCTCGGTCAGGAGGATGGCCATGCTCCTTCCATCACACCAACATGTAAGCTTTCCACATTTATCAGTCTGTCCCATATTCCACTGCTCGGAGCCACCTTTGGCATGTGAAGCACCAGAGTTGCCACTATGGCCGGGCTTGCCCCTGTCCTTCTCGCGAGAGATACCTAGGTACACTTGCTACCCAACAACCTCCTCCATCACACGGCTATCTATCCGCTAGACTCGGATACCTTTTTGCGTAACCGCGCCGCACTGAGGCATTATGCCGTGTGTCAGCTGTAGTTTCGGGCCTTTTGGAGGCATTGCCTTGCAGCCGCCTGCCTCCACTGACCGACCTGTCCTTGCTTGCCGTCCTTGCTTTTTTATCAGCGAATGGAAACATATGTGCCCAAGATCTCGTACTACCTTTCCTTCTCTCTCATGCCGTAGCACCATTAAGATCACCTCCGATATTATTGGCATTATATTTTGGAAGGTTCTTCCTTATATTAAACGTCCCAGATCGAAAGATAATCGCAGGAACCATCAACAAGGCCACGGTCCAGTTTGCGATCCGCCAGCACTTAATACATCAAACTTTGCCCAACAACTCCATGGATTAAGGCTGATATCTCTGGGTGGTGGACTGTTTGTCCTCTCTTGTTGGCTGTATTCGAAACACTTTATTTTGTCATACTGCTTCATCCTTCTGGTGGCGATACCACATTCGGCTCGGTCGTCGTTGACGGGAAGCCCGTTGAGGCAGCAGTCCAGCCTTCCCGCCTCAAATCAACGGCCAATCTTCGATACTATCCGAAAATCCGGAAGCAAATGTAGAAAAAAACTCGTCCAGATCCATCCCTGCCACCGCATTGGACAAAAAGGGCGTCGATACCGAAACTGGATCCGCTCCACCCTCACTATCACCTGTTTTCTTTGGAACGTCGCCCATCGAGGCTGCTTATGACATAATCAGTCAGTCCACTACGGTCATCTCTGAAAAGACGTCAGGTCCCGCTACCAGAATGGGCGAGCGCAAAGTCAGAACCTCGTTGAAATTTCCAAAGCCTCACTCGGCACACACTCGCAAGATGGCCTCGCCATCCCCTGGAGTGTCGAACCTTACTGCACTTCTTCAGAGCGCCTCCACTGCGGGCGGCGCGACTTTCGTGAGATGTCCTGCGGAGAGCCTCAGCCGGCTTCGATCCCTCAACGAAGCCGAAATTATCACTCTTTTCACCCCTTTCGTTCCTCACCCGCCGTCCACGGACCTGGCAAAGAACATGGATCCTTTCGAGCCTCTGGGGAGATCCCTCCCCAGACAAGTGCGCCACGTCCCATACCGTCTAGACCACGGGATGACACAAACTCACACCGACTTCCTCCCCGCGAGCGGGGCCATCATAATCGTAATATGTTCGACCGAGAACGTCACCATGCACAACCCACAAGCCTTCGAGCAGCAAGTCAGATTCGCACGAGACGTTGTGAAGAAGGCGGAGGAAAACAAGGCGCTTCCCAGCGTACCCGTGGTCTTGCTCCTCGTTAGCAACGGCCCCTCGAAGTCGAGTCACGAAGCTGCCGTCAGAGACTTCCCGGCATTGGTTACCGCGAACGACTACACTCCAGCTGCCCTTGCGAATGCAGTCCGCGTCATGTTTGGAAAATAAACGACCGTTGGGATACCTCGCCGTTGCGTCGCCGTAACGACGGAGGGGTCATGCAGCACAGCGGAAGGGAATTATCGAGGCGAGCCCAGGGTTCTGCAGACGGTCGATGCCGGTCCGTCAAAATGGTGTGTTTGGTGTAGGATACGTGGATTAGGGTCTCACTTGCTATCTACAGCTTGCTGTAATTCGTTCCTTTGGTTGTCAATGTTTAGTCCGGTATGATGTAGGATACTACGGGGACACATGTACATTTCGGCCGTTGTATGATAAGAAATTTCCCACGCCGCTGTCTATAAGAGTAAACGTGTTCTATGTCAAGCCCTGTGCTGATCTCCCAGCGACCTTCAATGTTCTCTCACTCCTATCGTGCTTCCCTTCGGTACTGGCTCGGTCGCATCGACTGTCGTCTCAGCGCACGACCTGCCGTCCCATCCCATCCCCCCTGATCCTTTGTTTTATGCCGATCTGCCACTCCGAGGAAATGGATCCGGGTCGCTTCAGTGTGTCATTCCAAATAGAGTGGTACGTAATAACAAGAGGCCTGTTTCACGCCTCAATCAATCCATTGAACCGCAGTGATGGGGTGCTGCCTGCCCAAAGGGGAAACCACACAACAACAACCCAGAAGAGACATGGAGCCCATCGAGGAGGGGCGATGGGAGTGCCCAACGCAACGAACAAAACGGCCCCTTTGGAGCTGATGTGCAGCAATTGACGTAGGTAAATACATTAAGATTAAGTAGTAGAGTGACCTAGCAAAGCGCTCTAAGGTGGGACGGCCCGTCCGTCGCCTCAAGTACAACCCAACACCGCCCATGCAACTATTATAACGGCGGTCCATGCTATCAATCACAAGGAGACGGGTATCCCAGCCACGCATTTTCCCAAGCGAAACAGAAAAGCAGGCAACTACCACCTTATGCCAGCTCCTAACCCTCGCTCGCCTCACCACATCGGCAACATTAACACGCTATATACCGCGCGCAATCGCAGCACTTCCATAGTTCCGGAGACGAACACGTTCCACAGACGCAATCTCGACGCAGGTACAGCCGGATATGGGAAAGGGGGGATTTACTACGGCTCCATGTAGCCTCTGCCTTGGCCGGCCAGCGGCCCTTGGTGTAGGGGCTCCTTGCCGAGGTGCGACGCGGCTGTTGCGAAGGACGAGGTGACGATTTGCTGGCCGGCCTTGTTGGCAGCGGGGCCGAGCGTTTCTTCGTCGCCCGAGAAGTAGTAGAACATGCGGTTTGCGATGAGGAAGAGGTGCTCGGGGAGGTAGAGGGAGGCGGCTATTATGAGGAGCGAGAGGAGGAGGAAGAGGATGGAGTCTAGCGGTCGTTCGTTAGCAATTTGTATGTCGTGTCAAGCTTGAGGGCGGAAGTCGCGTGCTGTGCGATTCGAACGGGGTAAACGCACTGAAGATGAACTTCTCGGTCGGCGTGAGCATGTACAGCGAGAATGTGACTTCGTACTGGTACCGCTTCCGCTGTAACCAGCGCAGCAGCGAGGACGGGTAGAGCATTGCGGCAAGGAGGAGGGCGGAAGCTGCAGCGAGGAGGATGACGGTCGATACCGAGGCCGAGTCGAGCATGCTGCGGCGCAATTCTTCCGGACAATTTACGGCGCGTCGTCGGCGATCCGGAGGGCGGGGAAGGTTTGGGCACCCGGATCCCCAACGTCGTTTGAGAGCGAGGTTGAGCGCGGGCTGGGTGTGGTAGTACGACGGCACGTTCGTTCGCAAGGCGAAGGGAGCTGGCTGGGCCGCCGCCGGGAAAATTTTGGCCGCTCCGGATCCTAGTGCCTTATTGATGCCCGCTCCGAAGAAACCACGAATTCGGTGCGAAAAGGGGCCCTGGAGCTGGATTCGGATCAGCGGCATAACGGCGCAGCCCTGGCGATTATATCGAAGGCTGCACAGAAACTTCCATGCGTCATGCTATCGTGATGCCCCCGTCTATACCCGCCGCAACCTTGATTCGACATCAATGCCTCTCCTCCCGTCCATCCTCCGGCTCCCACGCGCCCGCTCCTCCGCCGCCGTCCTCCGCACTGTCGCCCGTCCCTTCTCCACGACCCCAATTTCCGCTGCGAAACAGCTGCCGCCGCGGCGCGTAATCCCCGAATCCGAGATTGAAGAAAACTTCCTCAAGGGCAGCGGGCCGGGCGGCCAGAAAATCAACAAGACGTCTTCGGCCGTGCAGCTCAAGCATCTCCCCACGGGCATTGTGGTCAAATGTCAGGACACGCGGAGTCGGAGCATAAACAGGAAGACGGCGAGAAGGTTGCTTCAGGATCGCATTGAGGAGCTGGAGCTTGGGGAGGATAGTCGGACGGCTGTTAAGGCGAGGGCGAAGAGCAGGAAGAAGGCGTCGGCCGATAAGAAGAAGCGGAGGAAGTATAGGCGGCTTGCTGGTGCCAAGGAGAGTGAGCAGGAAGATGGCACATTGGAGGGCGCTGAGGATTTGGAAGATGCTGAGGGTCAGGCTCATGCGGGGTCCACAAGTGCTGGGGAGGCAGAGGGAAAGCTGGATGAGAGATAGGTGGTGATACCTCCGGCTCTATTTGGATTCACGAGACCGAGGTGGCAGGACATGAGCATCATGCTATGGCAACACGACTGGCGTGCAGTTCTCAGCGCCGCGGCTTGCTTCAGACGACGCCCGCCCACGGCCAATGAGACAAGAGGCACTTGTACGGTACGTTACCGCTCACAAATGGATAATAACCTAAGTAGAAGACCCACCGTATGTATAGCATCACGGGCATGTCTACCTGACAGGGTGACAAATCGGCCGTTGATAGGTGTAGGAGAGCGTCCACGAGGTGCAGCTTGTTCTGGACGCATTCCTCATTCTGGAGTCTGCATAGTCTGGCCTGGAGGTCTTCGGCGGATAACGCAAGATGGACTTGTCGGAGTAAAAGTCGCTGAAGGCCTCCAGGATAGCCTACCTAGGTAGACGGATGCAGATTCCCCATTTGGCATCAGCTTAGCTGAACAGAGATTTCTAGGCCAGCTAATAATGACCTCTCGACGTAGTGTGGGCTTCCACTCCTCATCCTCGAGCTCCACAACAAGACGAGGCACGACGGCATGCGTTCCCAAACCCTTAAACCCAAACGCAGACATCATCTCTCTTCCTCAACGCATCGCCAGCAGCAATGTCATCAATGAAAAGAAGAAACCGGCAGAGCAGCAAAAATTACGCCAGTGAGGCCCGCGAACGAGACTCAAAGCACCACCACTCCCCGCTGTGCAATGGAGGCGATAATGCTTGGTCGAGATCATTCTTGATCGATCCGACCCCAGCAAGGTAAGTATGAGAGGAGAGAAGGGGGCGTGGGAGCGGCGAGCTTTTATGTTGGAGCTGCAATGGCCCTAGCGCGCGGCACGTGGACGAGCTTTGCCGTTTTCGGGGGAGCTAGGCAGTGGGCGAGGAAGCGCGGTGGTGCCTGTCGTTCCTCACCCGGATTCCCAACACCATCGTGGGAATGGCAAGTATTGGCGGTATTCTCACTAATGGCCCAGGACATCGACCTTCGGACTCCGCCGCAGGGTGCTCTCACCAGGGCTGTCCTACTCATTGGAGTACCGCGTTCACTGCGACTAGGAATGCCCCTACATTTGAAGGCGCAACGTGTGGCATTCTTCCCCGAGGTCTAGAAAGATATGCACTGTTTAAACGCTGGAGTTCAAGAGCTATAGAAGCCTATCTCGGTCATGCTCACTTGGTACGCGGCCTACCGTTTTCCCTTACCAAACTGTCAATTCGTTTCGCGCCTAGAATTACCTAGGTAGCGCTCACGACGAACCATGGACTACCACGCAGGTGTTTTTTATTTTAGGAAAAATCAAAATGGCTACTTAGCCATGATGCCTAAGAGTGCAGGTCACGGCTTTGATTGAAGGAAATATATTCAGAGGCGATTCCCCAGGATTTTGCTTCGGCCAACACGGTCGCCACCGCGAACGCTTTAAAGCCTGCAGCACTTCGGGAGGGGGTATCAACCGTTCTAGTTTTGGATGAGTGGGAACCTCTTCGTTCGCGTGGTGCACCGTTGGGCGTGGTTTGCTGCGCGACACGTTTTGACACTGACTTGCGCCGCCTGCTGAACAAGATTGGAACCCCGAACCGAACCTCCACGGCAACACTGCATCCCATGGTCCATCAACAAAAAGTCCTCCAAAAGTTTCTGCTCTGAGAAAATTCTGCCTAGGGTACCACATATATAAGAACCGTGCAAGTATTTCTTTTTCATCTTTCGTCTTTCTCTTCTCTAATCTCCATCGCTCAGTCCACTGTTCTTTCGAGAACAGCATTCAAAAGCACTTCACGCTTTACATATTCTCTGAACCGACCTTCGCCATGGCTTCTCAGCAGCATATCGACGAGAAGATCCGCATAATCCCGTGGGCAGATAAGTCCACCGTCGAGTGGCAGCGCAGACCTGCTCAGCAATCCACCACGCTGGAGCAGACCGCCCAGTCAAAAGCCTCTGTCGACAACCTCGCGGACGACAGCAGCTGGCCAGTGCTACTTGAGCCCCGTACAACTCTTTCAGAACCCCCCACACGGCGCCTTGTCTGGAGACTCCATCCACGACCGAAGGCCTGCAGCCCCAGCAATATCGACCCAGAGCGCGCTTTCACCTGCTTCTCCGCCCTCCCCAGCGAGCTCCGCCTCATGATCTGGCACGAAGCCTTCGACGCGACATCCACGCTGCGCCCCCCAACCATCCGCCAAATCCCCCATTCTCCCTACATGGCCAAGGAACCATCCCCAGTCCTGACGCGCGTAAACCGCGAGTCCCGCAGCGAGTCCCGCAAATTCTACAAAATCCAAACCATCACCTTCCTCGAACTAAGTCCCCCAATGGTCCTGTTCTTCAACCCCGGCGTATACACGCTCTTCCTAGACACCAAGCCGCGCCCCGAGGACTATCACCCCCGGCACCCAGCAGCGCGCTGCTACTGCGCCGAGCAAGCCGGCACCGTGGAACCATGCCTCTGCACCATCGGCCGCCAGACGCCAATCCTCTGGCCCGCGCACCTGCCCTCCCCGCCGCCGTGCCCCTGCCCCCACGCCTCCCTCATGGCGCGCCAAATGCACTTCCTCACCCTCTTCTACGCAAGCGGCACCCGCCGCATCGCCCACATCGCGCTGCACGTCCACGCCACCGATCGCAAGTGGGCCGTGCAGCTGCCCGTCTGGCTGTCGATGGCGTTCTGGCACGCAACGCGCGTAACGTTGGTCGTGCACCCGGAGACGAAGCTGCCGGATCTTGCGGAGGCGTGGAGTGTGTACCGCGAGCCGTTTGTGCAGTATCGCCGGTACAGCGGGTGGAGTGCCAATATGAGATTGTGGGTTGCGGATGAGGTGTGGCGGTGCTGGTGGAGGTTGGGGGCTGGTGAGGCGAGGACGGATTGGAGGCAGGAGTCGAGGAAGGGGGCTGTTAAGTTGGATCATCTGTTGGAGGCGGGATTGTAGGGGACTGCGGACGGGGTGGGTGTTGGTTTGATTGGTGGGGGCTGTTGTACTCACTCGGCATTATACACATGAAAGCTTTATAGTCCATCCTCGAAGTAGGACCAGATTGTGAACGCTAGTTTAGTCCCCAAGATCCAAATGATCGTACCCATATACTGTGATTGAGATACTCTGACCATCCGCCGTAGCCTTATCAACGCCTACACCACCAGATCGCCCAGATCGGCCGACCCATCCTCCCTGTACTTCCCAAGCTCATAACTATACACAGTGTGATCATGATACATCAGCATCAGCCGCCATCTCCTCGCGCCCCTATTCCTCCCTTCTGTCCCGCTCCCATCCCCGTCGCTATCTGACGGGTCGAGCATACCTTGCACAGGCCCAACCGCTACACCGACCAGCCTCCTTCCCCATGAATCCTCGATGACGTTCTTCCCATCGCGGCGCACAAAGGGCAGTATATGATCCAATCGGAAGCCGTATAGTGGCCGCTGAAGGCCTTCCGTCGCTTTTGTCAAGCTGAAGATTCCGGCGCGACCGGCGGGAGTAGCAAGGATCAGAATACCGAGCTCTGGGACTTGCGTCACATAGCAGTAGCGATGGTAAGAGGCTGCTGGGGGCGCTCCGCGCTCTAGCTCCTCTGGCGGGTATAGAGGGTTCCGCATTGTCATGATTGGATCTGAGAGATCGCCGGCGGAGTCGAAGGGTCGCTGGAAGAGGTAGATTTCTTCCTTGGTAACAATTACGCAGGGCTTGGGTGGCTGAGGCTATTGGATGTCAGCTATATTCAAAGTAAAAGAAGCACCGTCATTCAAATGAATGGGCCACATATTCGCAACTGCCCTCGAAGCAAGCGCGAGGCATTCTAACAATATCCAGGTCTGGCCTATTGTTTAGAAGCCTCCGGCATTCGATAGAGGCAAAACTAGCATGTGTTGATTTTCATCTGCCGGAGGCTTCCAGGGGTGACTTTGGGGAGAAGACGGCTTTGTACTTACCTGGTCCCTAAAGCTCTCAGATGTGGACAGTTCGCAATATGGTAATTTGATAGGTGCGGTTGGCGTTGGTCTAGGAAGGGGCGGCAGTCCTGCCGCAGTTTCGGCTTCGATAAGTTGTAGTAGATCATCGGGTGCGTCGGAAAGTTGGGACATATCATCAGATTCGTCGTCTCCGTCTTCGCCTTCGTTGTCGTCATTGAGCCACGTAGCTAAGACTACATGGGGAGGAGCGGGAACTTCAGGTACAAAAAGGGGCTCATCGGGTGGAGGGTGTGTCTCGCCCTCGCCACCCTGCGCATGTTCGTTGTTTGAACCAGGGACGTCTTCCGCCTCGTGCGTTCCTGAAGCGCTCTCGGGCGACGGTTGATGTAACAGTTGACCCGTCAGTTGAGCGGTCGCATGTGCCTGATCCTCTTCCTCCTCCTCCTCCTCCTCCTCTTCTGTATCGGATAGAGGCATGTCGTCTGAGCCATCGCTAGATGAGTCATCGTTTTGACCCAGAAAACCAGGAAAAGGGCCGCTCTGCCTCGTCGTAAACCGGGGTTTGAGTTCAGTGTTGTCCCAAAAGCAAGGAGCAATTTGGGTCGGCCCATCAGGCCCGAAACCTGGTCCTAATGCCTCCTTGAACGAAGTGCACTGGTGGCAAGACCGCGGGTCTATGAACAGAGCGGCCCAAGCGGCGTGGGGTACTGATTCTCTGTTCCGACATCTGCATGGTGTGGGGACTGTGGTTGGATCCTTGACGCTTACGCAATGGCCTAATTCAAGTATCCTCGCAGGCACATCTGGCTGGTGGAGGTCCCAAAGGTGATTCGCACCGTCTATCGAACTGCTATAGAGCCATCTTCCGGATGGGTCCAAGCCGCTGTTATCGAAAGACACTGCAGGAATGTTGGTTTGAGCGGTAAGGGTGATGACATGATCGCGCCTTCGAGGATGCGGAAAGTCCCCTTCTTCCTCGCTGGATGTGAAAGCGCTCTCCGTATTGAGAGAGTCGTCAGAGTCGGATGCTGATGTGCTTGCCAGTGCATATGCGAGCACTGTCACTGAATGTGTGTTTGCGCTGATCGCTATCAGACGCGCCTCTCGATGAATGGCTAATCCCCATGCGCTGCCGCCAACGTTACGATGCAGAAACACTCGAACTCGGCCTTCATCAGCCGGTTCGTCTTCGCCGTCCGAAGAGTGCCGTCGACATCCGATCGCGCGATGGATTTCGGGTACGCGATATCCGATAACATCGCCATCGTCACACGTTGCTAAAAGGATCTCCTCTCGGCCTAGAAAATCAACATGAAGTCGTGTGATGGAATGGGGATCAGCCGGGTCGATGCCGGATTCGAGATCAGGAGAAGAAACGGGCGGGTGCAGAACTAAATCAGCCTCTGCCGAGATGCTCTGATTGGGAAAACTTGGCTGATAAACTTGGATAGTGTCGATGCAGGCGACAAAATAGAGGTTGAAGACATGAGATAAAGCCGTAAGCTCACATCTCCAGGCTTTGATCAACGGTTGAAAGTGAGGGTCGGGGAACTATAGCTGGTCAGCCTAGGTCTCGGCTTGCCGCTTTAGGAGGCGTTCTGGGGATCATTTCTGAAGCATCGTGCAACTCCACTCTACAATAGGGGACTACTCAGCCTGGAGACTGCCGGGACTTGGGGTAAACTCCAACCATTCCCTTTCGCGTGAAGCCAAAACACGTGTAAACGTAGAGCAAACAATGCTGGGAGAGAGCAACAGCAAAGTCGAGGAAACTCACCCGCCGATATCCGACCTGCACGTTCGTCTGAACACAGGAAATAGGCTTGAACATGTTGGGTCCCTCATCCTTATGATGGTGGTGTGAGGGTGTTGTGGCAAGCAGGCTTGACTTGTTGAAGGTTGATGAGTGGTGCGTGACGTTGAGCAATCGCTATAAGGCTGAGCACGGACCAACCGCAAAGGGACTGGCGTTTAAGGAGAATTTACTGCACGAATTTCCAATGTCGGGGTCCTTACGGCTGCACTGGCGAGCATATGCTAATGCATACTGTGCAGCCATTCTAATAGCCACATCACTTCGTCGTTGGCGCTCAGTATGTTCACAGCCACATACATAGGATCACGCGTCTTCTTAGCACGCCAGGCAGAGGAATCAGATGTCTCCCTTCAAACAGTGATTTCTAGCCTTTCGAGCGTTCGACTAATCTATCAAGAAAGAATTGGGTGGTCTCCAAGGCCCGCAATTCTGCGGGCGCTAGCGGAGGCAAGTCTACGCAGCAGTAATCATGCCGGAATCAGACCACCTAGAAAATGTCAAGAACCTTACGGAAGCCCATATTACAATCCATTTCACACAGTAGCCGACCCGATAAGAACCCATCATATACCAACCAACGCCGTCTAGTGCTTAGCCGTAACCTTGTCGCCAGTAAGCTTCTCGACTGCTTCCTTGGCACTATTACATCGTTAGCAGACGCTCCTCTTAGAGAACGAAGATATAAGAGCACGTACACATCTCCCAAAGCAACCATGCAAATCGTCTGCCAAACGCCAAGACCGATTCTAGGAGTAACGCCACGGTACAGACCCTTCAACCCATTGTTCGAATAGATGTACTTCGCCGCCTTGCCCACGGTCAAGTTCTTCGGACGGTTCGGATCGACGGTTTTCGACTGCATCTCGACACGGATGACCTCGATAGGCTGGTTCCAAGCACTCAAGCCGCCACCGAGCGCAGACGCGAGAATCTTCTCCATAACGCCCAGCTTCTCACCCTGCTCCTTTCCGGTGACCTTTCTGATGCCAGTCTCCGCAACACGTGAGAGGCCGAACCGCGATCCCCAGTTCGTGACCTGGCGGACGGCAACAGCGTTCACTCCCCGGTTGATACCGCGAATGCCCTCCCTACGCCAGATGTCCATGAATGTCTCTATAGTGCCCGGAGGCTTCATGCCCGCCGCCGCGACCTTGTGTTTTGTGATCTCGACTGTCTTCATGCAGGTACAGAAGCCCATGGTAGCATAGGCCTGCGCAAGACCACCAACCATGCCGCCCGTGATGCCAGCTACGAAATTGGGGGCGCCGAAAACTCGAGCGTGGTATTCGGCTTCGGAAGCGACGAACAGGAGGACAGCGCCCTTGGTGGAGGCTTCGATCCAGGCCCACGGAATGAGACCCTGGTAGACTGTAGAAGACTCGTTTTAGCTCCAATCCGGGCTTGCGCTGGGAGCGCTCCTAGGGCTGCGGCGATGCGCCCAGCTAGGACAGCCAGACGCCAGGAGCTCAGGATAAGGCAAAACTCACATCCAAGAACACCACCGCGGCTCCAGATGCGCCCTATAGCCCCGGCAAAGCCGTCGGACCTATTCGCCGCCATTGTCGTCTTCGTCACCTACAAGGACAGAGTCAGCGAGGGGGTTCGGAGGGTACGTAGACAGGAATACGTACTTCGAGGGGTTGCCCCAAGGTGGTGACTCTGTAGGTCTCCTCATCAGTGTCTGTTTTCGCGTTTGCCTCCGTCGTAGACGCTTACTCGAACATGTTCAACCCAGCACCCACTGTTCCAAACCACCCAGATTAGCTTCAATTCGCATTGTACAAGGCGATAGAGGTCCCACTTACGCAGTAAATTTGAAGGTTTTACTGGCTTCTTTTCCGGTACGGCAGGCACGCCGGCGACCTGTGCTGCGGGCGTGCTCATCTCTGGGTTGTGCTGTCGATAGGGGGCCGGACCGAGGCAGGAGGGCGCGTCTTTCGCTGGGACGGTTGCGGGGGTAAGAGAGAAGGTAGGAGATGCAGAAAACGATGTGGAATGGGGGGAGTAGAAAAGTTCGGAGCTGAGCCTAGCGGAATGAGAGCTGCGAGAGGCCCGGGCTTTTGGGCGACCGAGCTGTTGATTGATGATGCCAAGCCTTACGACGCTCGGAAAGCGCGACTTGCAGCGCTCACTGTGCGGCTTCGCGATATTACTTTTTTCTCTCGCAAAGAAGCAATGCGCGCGACGATAAAGGGGACTAGACTACATCACAGTGCTGTCCTTGTTTCCAGGGTGCGGTTGCACGCCCTGCTCAACAATGAGCACCCGCCGACGGCGACTTTGTTGGTGCTGATAGCGGCTCCCCAAAGGGACCTGGGCGTCGGCCAACGCTCAACAAGCCGCGGCACACCCATCGCGAGGCCATGTCAGCCTCGAAAAGGCACTGCCGGTATCGCGCCCTCACCGCCATCGGACATTGGAGAAGACCCGAGTAGTTTTCTTCCAGCCCTTGCTGCCGGCCCTGAGCCCTGGCCAGCCACACTCTACGCCTTCAAGCCATCCCGAGCGTTCGGCAACCGAAGACGCCGTCTGATTGTGCACCTTAGGACATAGGTAGATGTACATTGTACTCCGCAAAGGTAGCTAACGGGGCCCAGGTTCGGCTTTGCGTTGTCTAGCAGTTGATGCTTATTTCATAATATTACTCTGATCGCAGCGCGGCTTTTGGAAGAGCGCAGCTGAACGACATCCGTGGCGGTCAAAAGTGTGGCGCAAAGGCCGAAGCAACATAAGCACATAAGCAGCCAACTATGACGAACGGATTTGATTCTGTAAAGGGGGGCTCGAACTCCCCCGGAGGGCTTTCCGTATCCATTGAGCCCTTGTGAAAGGCACTGAAGGCCTTCAGGCCGTCTCTTCCTGCCGTGGCCTGGATGAACAGCGCTATTCATTCTCGTCCTCTCAGGTAGCGCAAACAGTCCGAGCAACAGTTGAGAACTTTTCAGGCATGATATTGGTCGCCAGTCGCTACTAAAATGGTACTACTACAACAAAGACAGACCAAATGAAAGCTTGATGCATGCTACACCAAAACGCGCCCGATCCCTATACCTACATTCCCTAGTCTAGATGGTACACATGAACTCTTTCCTTGAGCCACCACTCCAATCGCTTTATTACAGCTACCCGTCTCCGCGTAATCAGCTTACAAAGTGGCACCGACCAGCTTAGCGTACGCCTCAGTGCTGAAGGACTTGGGCCTCTCGATGGGAGCGCCGACGGCACGGTCGATGATGAGCTGAGGAAGCACACCAAGAGCGCGGGAGACACCGAAGAGGACAGTGTAGTAGCCCTGCTCAGTGAGGCCATAGTATTGCAGGAGAACACCGGAGTGAGCGTCGACGTTGGGGTAGGGGTTCTTGGTCTTGCCGTGCTCCGTGAGGACACCAGGAGCAATCTTGTAGACCTGGCTGACGAGCTTGAACATGGGGTCGTCGGGCAAGTGCTTCTGCGCGAATTCGCGCTGGGAGACGTAGCGAGGATCGGTCTTGCGGAGCACGGCATGGCCATATCCAGGAACGACCTGGCCGGCCTTGAGGGTGGACCATAGGTAGTCCTTGATGGCCTGGTCGCTGAGGTCGTTGCCAATGGTCTTCTTCATCCTCTGAAGCCAGACGAGCACCTCCTGGTTAGCCCTACAGTGGGTTAGAATAGCTCAAGATGATGAGTTTCAGCAACATACAGTCCGTGAAGGGGTCCAGCAAGACCGTTGAGACCAGCAGCTAATGACAGGTAAGGAGAGCTGAGAGCGCTGCCAACCAGATGGGTAGTATGTGCGCTGACGTTGCCGCCTTCGTGGTCGGTGTGAATAGTGAGGTACAACCTCATCAGCTCGACGAAGTCCTTGTTCTCAGCGAATCCGAGCTGATTGGCCAAGTTGTAGGAGTAGTCCTTGTCCTTCTCGATAGCAGGGACCCTGCCATCCTTGTAAATGTTGCGGTAGATCTTAGCGGCGATAGTCGGGAGCTTTGCGATAAGGTTCATGGCATCCTCGAAAGTGTGCTCCCAGTATTGGGATTTGTGCATTCCCTTAGCGTACGCTTTAGCAAAGTTCGACTGGTGCTCAAGAGCAGTGACGGCGAGCGAGAACTGGGCCATCGGGTGGAGGTCATTGGGGCAGCGGTCGATCAGCTCCTCAACGAACTTGGGGACGTCCGAACGGGCTGCCCAGTCCGCGGACAGGTCGCGGACCTGCTGCTCGGTGGGGACTTCTCCCGTCAGAAGAAGCCAGAAGAGACCTGCGGTTGTTAACGGGGTCAAATCGGAGACAAAACATTGTCGTACCTTCTGGGAGAGGCTCAGCGCCGTCAGGGGCCTTGGGGAGGACCTGCTGGCATTCGGGAATCTGCGCAACGTAAATATATCGCCTGATTCACACTTCGAGAAGCTCCACGTACGGTCTTTCCACGGAATCGGATACCCTCCTCAGAGTCCAGGACTGAGCCCTAGCGGTTGTAAGCTTATCTTCGATGTGGTAGCTGAGCGGTGCTCGCCTACCTCCCAGACGAGCGACTTGATCCCGCGAGCACCGCCGTAGACCTGGTCAAGAGTGACCTGGCCAATGACATCGTTGCCGTGCTCTCTGTGATGTAATGTCAATGCTGCGCAGCGGAGGCCGTAGACGTGCGAGGGCGTACTTTCGGAGCTTCTTGATCTTCTCGATCTCACCGGGGAGCTTCGCGGCGAAGGCCTCCTTTAGTGTCTGCGATTGAAGCTGTCAGAGATGGTTGCGAAGCGTTTGACGAAGGTCCCGCACCTGGCTCTTGCCCGTTGAGTAGCTGCGGAAGCCATTGAAGACGGCAGCAGATCGCAAGGGCGCGGCGGAGGGGAGCGTGGAGCGCAAGGCGCTCGTGCTCAATCGCAGCGCGGAAGCCATTGGGGATGAGAGTCGAATTGGGCAACAAAGGGGGTGTGGAGAAGGATGGATGAGCAGAGGGGATGGAAAAAATTATTATGTGCTCGGGATTGGGAGCTGCGATGCTCGGTCTTGAGCATTGACCAGCCTACGGAAGTGCGGCGTCATTCCCAAGGGCCAACGCCCCAGCGATCCCGCTTCGCTCGCCGCAACACTCTCGGGGAACTCGACTCTGGCTCTCCTCACTAAGCCGACGACACCCCGTAGTACGGCGTGCCAATCATGGACCCCTTTCTCGTCCCTTGCGCAGGCGCGCACCCAGTGAATCCGCAGAAGGCTCATCAATCGGTGCTCCAGAGCCTCCTTGTCGCTCCGTCTCCTCTGCGTTTAAACTTTTGCCGATCAGAACTTAATGTCGTTCTTGGTACCAGAGCAGTGCTCCACTGAGCACCTGCGTTGGAGACTAGCCGCAGCATCCGCGGTGTAGATTGATTATTCGCGCTGGGCACGTCATCGCCACAGATTGCGCTGGCGCGGTATTTTCTTTTGCCGAGGCGATGTACAGTACACAGTTACCAGTAGCTGTCCAAGATTGGCCTCGCGTACTTCATATCTCCTCAAGTCACATTGCATCTCCAACCTCTCCGCGGGCCGATGATTATGGGACAGAACATTGATATTCTACCAAGGCGCAGTGAAAAGATCTTGCAAGAAAGGCCCCTAGGGAATCGCGCATGGACTGTTTCTAAGTAGAGTCATGCGCACGTGATCGTCGCTTACATAAGACGCCAAGTGTCGCTCCTGCCGGATCTTTGCGACAGCACCTGCGCCAGCTCCTCACCACACCACACACCACTCCAACACAGCTGCTCAGCTTTAGACATTCCATCATCCATCCATACTCAACTGCTCTTTGACTCTCTGTCGCTGCGACCTTCGCCGCTTCATGTGACAGCTCGCATCTCGCTTTCACCTTGGTCGCGCTTGTAGGTAAAACAGCAGCCGCCCACTCAGCTCGCTCGAGGACAGCGCCATCCTGTCAATATTGACCGCCTGCGCTCCTGCACTCAACTCGGTCAACTGTTCGCCTTCGTACTACACTCTCCGTGTCACCTAGACTATTCTACACCGGTTCTAGCTAGAGAGGTCGAGTACCACCCAGTCAAACCGGCGCGGTTGCCCATCTCAGCGCCCTCACTCACGCGCTCTTCTCTGTCTACTGCATCCAGCCGCGGAAAGTTTCTTTGCTTTATCGTCGAGTCTGATCTGGTGCACCTAACCTAATCATGGCAGCGATGGAGGAGTTGGAGACGCTTCTGCAGTCACTACAGGCGCTGAAGCCGCCAGGAGTCACGAAGACCAAGATTGACGCCATCACCGCCAAGTGCATGGAGAACGTCCAGGTACGCCGGCTCTCCGGTCGCCAATTGCCCTTCCATTGAGTCCACGCTAAGTGTCTGGTTTTCCCTTCTAGTCCGATGCGACCGTCGTCCAGAAAATCGTCCAGCAGTTCAAGAACAGCCCTGCCACACATAAGCTGGGAGTGCTATACGTCGTAGATTCGATATCCCGCCAGTGGTTGGAGCGGGCCAAAAAAGCAGGCCAGGCGGTCTCCAAGAACGCTGCACCGGGCACGTTTGCTTCGGGTGTGCAGAAGATTGCCGATGTGTTGCCGGCCTTGATGACCGATCTCGTCCAGTCTGCGCCGGAGAACCAGAAGGAGAAGATCTCGAAGCTGCTCGATATCTGGGAGCGTGGGCAAACATTCCCGCCCGAAATGCTTGCCGGCTTTAAGCAGCAACTAAACAACCCCAAGAACAGTAAGATTCGCCTACCATGCTCTCCAGGTTTGCTCCCCATTCGGGCTTCATCTGACTGCGTACCCCCAGATACATATACACCTCCCGGTAGTCCACCGAACGTCTCTACTGCTGCGTCCGGCTTCGGTGGGCAGACTAATTTACAGAGCACAGCTCCCGCGCCAGCGCCAGTGTCAGTTCCACAAGACGCGGGCGCTCTACTTGCTGCGCTTGCGGGCTTCGGACAGCAAAATGTTCCAGCTAACGCTATGCCTCCAGCGCCACCAGCGCTTCCATTCCAGCAGAACATGATCCCACCCCCGCCTCCAGGATTTGCACCGCCTCCGCCGGTCGCGCCCAATGGACAATCCGCAATACAGCTCCCACCTGGCGGACTTAATGACCTTGCAGCGGCAATTTTGCAGGCTATGACTACAGGCGCAATGCCAGCAGACCAAGGACTTCAAGCACTGACTGCCCTATATGCAGCACAAAACGGGGGTGCTCCCCCTCCGCCACCTCAACCTCCAGCTGCATCGCAAGCACCGCCCGTGGCTCAGAATGGCAACGAGCAAGATCGATATGAACAGAACGGCAGTAGATTCCGGGACCGTAGCCGATCGCCTGACTTCAACCGCCGCCGCCGGTCTCCCATTCGTAGATCACCTCCACATCGTCGCGACAGCCCAACTTACGGTACTTACGATCCCAATGCTGCTACCGAAGGGAATATGGTAACCCGTCATGAGCGTGGCGAGCGTGGCCGCGGTCGCGGTAGGAACCGTGGTGGTCGTAATGATCGTAATGAGTACCGTCAGCGTACACCCCCTCCCCCTCGACGACAGCCCAGCCCGGCTAGCAGTGCCTACCGTGGTAGTTCGTCGAAATTCATTGATTGGGATCAGTCTATGCCCCGTGACCATATCAAGGTTCTCAGTCGCACATTATTCGTAGGTGGCGCTGGTGGAACTGAAGATGAGATACGAAGTATCTTCAGCCGGTTCGGTAGAGTTCAGACTTGCATCGTCAACCAAGACAAACGGCATGCATTCGTCAAAATGTTGACGCGCCCTGACGCCGTTTCCGCCAAGGAGGGTATGGATGCCATTCAGGATGCTGCGACTCTAGCAAAAGCCCGACAGGTAAGAGTAGAGCACACGCGAGGGGCTGACAGGTGCTAATATCTGCAGACTCGATGGGGCGTCGGCTTTGGTCCTAGGGACTGTAGCGACTACAACACCGGCGTTAGCGTGATACCGATCTCTCGACTTACTGATGCCGATCGCAAGTGGGTCTTGACAGCGGAGAATGGCGGCACCGGAGGCCGGCCCCTTGAGGGAGGCATGGTGATTGAAGAGCCTGATATCGAGATTGGCGCTGGAGTATCTTCCAAAGGTGCGTTGTCTTCGCGAAGGTGAAGCATGCTCTAACATATCTATAGCCATTAGTCGACGGGTCCCACCGGATGCTGGACGCGGTGGGCGTGGAGGCTTTGGCGGCCGTGGCGGGTTCGACAACGGACGGTTCCGTAGACAAGACCGTCCTCCAACCCATGAGCCCCGTCATATCTCGCCACGACCTGAACCCGTCGTAGCAGTACCGCCTGCGGTTCCTGGCTTCGGTTTCCAATTGCCCGGTATGCCTGGATTCTAAGCTTACCGACGCCTCAACCCACTTCATACGTTTTTCCTCCACGGCAGACGCACTGTAGGATTGCTAGCCATCGGCCGCAATCGGCATTTACCCTACATCGTCACATTGATGCTTCTCGGCTCTCCGGGGCCGATCTCATAGCGAAAACATGATACCAGGGATGTTTTATCTGCGCCTATTCTACCAATTCCCTAGGAGGCTGTTCTGGAGCATATCTAACATGGAGACTGATTTTTTTCCGAACTCCAATGCATTGCATGGCGTAGAGGACGATATAAAGGGACAGCGACTCTGATTTGGAGCCTAGGCTTCTTTCACATCCCTCGAATAACTGGGCCTGCACATGTATATTTATGATAGTATCTTCTAAGTTCTAACCTCGACATCCCATCCGGCTGTGGGCGTTACAATGAAAAGCAATGGCAACTTCAGAATTACACTTTTGACTTCCTTGTTCATTTCGTGATGAGTCTACATAGCCACTAAACTCCCGTCCTCTAAAAAGTATCTATTGTGACATGATTAATGGACGACCAAAACCTTTCTCTACGGGATGATATCTTGAGCCACAGCGGTATTGCTTGCTTGCGGGGATTTGAGCCCCGACTCATGCCGCTTCGACCCTTATCATATCCCTCTTCGTGTGTGGTCGGAACCTGTATGGAAACCAGCATGTGTTAAACTTTATGTGGCCGGCAAGCCCGCCATAGCCTGATCAACCTGAATCCCAGGTCAAGTTGAACCTGCCTTCCGCGTTCGTATACTCCTTCAAGCATGTAATTACTTCAGCTGCATCCAACGCCTCTACCAGAATGCCAGCATTCGTCGGCGCGATGAAGCCAGAGCTAACCGCGTTCTTGACCCAAGTCAGCAGTCCGTCCCAGTATCCGTCCACATTATACACAATGACGGGCATGCTGTGAATACCCAGCTGGTTCCACGTGGTGACTTCCATAAGCTCTTCCAGCGTGCCGTATCCGCCGCTCAGCGCGACAAAGCCGCCACCGGGGCCACCCTCGATGACCTCCCGGGCCATCATCTGCTTTCTGGTGTGCATGTCCTTGACCAGTGTTGTCTTGCCGTAGATGGCTTCGTCGATTGTGTGCGCCGTGGGGTCGTTCGGGTCGTGCTTCTGCTCGTATTTGACGAGGGGTTGCGGGATGATGCCGTGGACGGCAGAGGGGCCGGAGAGAGAGACGAGGGTTCGCGCTACTTCGCCCATGAGGCCTACGGTGCCGCCGCCGTAGACGAGCTTTATGTTGTGGGCATGGAGGACGCGGGCGAGGGCGCGGGCGGCTTCGAGGTGCACGGGGGAGCCGCCGGCCGAGGCGCCGCAGAAGACACAGACTACGGGCTGCTTCGTGGTCGAATTGGCGGTCATGGTGGACTTTGTAGATTTGAAAAAGACAGTTGATAGAGAGGCTAAAGGATTGATTGATTGGATTCCCCCGGTTCGACGTTGTTTGCTGGCCGAGAAGGGCGTTCAGGAATGGAATGGTGGGGTTATATCAGAATTCAATGACGTGAACTGGAGCTAGTAGGGACAGAAGAAAGGCGAGAAGGAAAGTTCGGAAAGCGGGAATGGGTTCATCGAGGGGAGCGAGCGTGCCATTTATACCGTCAATGTTAAGGCATTCCCCGAAGATTGCCGCATGATTGATTTTTTGGCGGAGTCACATCAAGCCATGATGCAGCAGGAATGCGGCTACACCATGCCCCTCGCACGCGTGGTTCCAATCGCTGGACGCGAGATCTCCCAGAAGCCGCGCTACGTCCCAAACAGGTCGCTCGTGCTTGGCATATCGCCTTTGCAGAGCGACCGCAGCATCTTTCGGCATCCGCCGCCCATCATCTCCTCCCAACTGTGACTCCTCGCACTGGCATCTAACCTATCAGGCCGACCTCAGTCAGCGAGTAAACCGTCATGCCGGAGGCACGACAGCAGGACGAGCAGGGCGGAGGCAGCGTATGTATTCCCTCCGCGGCCGTCCAGCACCCCTCGTCCCCGCAATGGCAATGTTTGCTAACGGCTTCACTCACAGATTCTGCGGACTATCGTGCAGAGCGTCGGCATCTTTTTGCTTATCCAATTCGCTACGAAGCAATTCCTCCCCCAGCCGCAGCAGAATGCCGACCCCGCGAAGGGCGCCGTCGTCCCCAATGCCAAAGTCTCTATTCCGGCCTTCGACAGCCGCCCTCGCCAGCTGAATGCAGATGCGCAGTACAACCCCATCCCGCAAAGCCTCGCGCCCATGTGGCCGGTGGGCAGCGAGGTCGATATCTCCATGTACATTTCGCCGTCGCTCGCGATGCCGGCGCTGAAGAGCATGCCGAAGGAATCACTCCTGATTGAGGAGAAGAACTTCAAATTTGGAGACTACAAGGATAACAGGGAGATACACACCGAGTTCAAGGTTCCTACCGCCGTCCAGCACAATGCTACGCTGTTTGCGCATTTCTACGTTGCGCAGAGCGGCAGCGTGATCGATCCGACTGTGCCCGGCTACGACCCTACGAAGGCGTACCATTTCATTCGACCGTTGACGCAGTATCATGGCAAGAAGAAAATTAAAAAGACAAGGAATCTGCTCTCAGATATGCCCGAGAGAGACCAGGAGACTGAGGAGGAGAAGGAGGCGCCGAAGATCATTGGCTCTTACTATCACCCAAACTTCACGATCAGCATGATTCCAGATTCTGGCGTTGTCAATTATCCTTCGATGCATCCGGGACCGAGAGAGTTTTTCCAATTGGACGCAACGGGCTCGAGGGATGCGACTGGGCAGCATGGATGGTACTACCCGGTCTTGTTCACGAATACGTTCTGGCAGCTGAAGAAGCACATGGTCGAGCTCAACGACACCGTCAAGACACTCCCGCTTAATGTCAAGCTCAACAACCTCGCCAATTGGAAGTTCAATATCTACGCATCAATGGAGGCGAACATTCGTGCGCAGTCTCAGGCTGCGGCGGCAGGGCAGGCTTCTCCGACTGGTGGTGACGGCTCTGAAATGGAGATGTTCAAGGAAATCCTCATCGACAGCAACTCATACCTACTCGGTATCACGGCTATTGTCTCGGTATTCCACATGATCTTCGAAATGCTTGCTTTCAAGAACGACGTTCAGCACTGGAGGAAGAAGAAGGATAACGTTGGTACTTCTGTTCGTACCATTCTTGCCAACGTTTTCATGCAAGCTGTCATTTTTCTCTACCTTATGGACAACAACGAGAATACCTCTTGGATGATTCTGTTCGGCCAGGGTATGGGTATCGCTATTGAGGCTTGGAAGATTACCAAGTCAGTCAATGTCCGCGTTCGGCAGACCGCACCAGGCTCTTTACTGCCCTACACAATCGTCTTCGAAGACAAGCACGTCCTCTCCGAAACCGAAAAGAAGACTCAAGAATACGACGAGATCGCCTTCCGCTACCTCTACTGGGTCGCCATCCCGCTCCTCGGCGCCTACGCCATCTATTCGCTCGTCTACGACACGCACAAATCATGGTACTCCTTCATCATCACCACGCTCGTCGGCTCCGTCTACGCCTACGGCTTCCTCATGATGGTGCCCTCGCTCTACATCAACTACCGCCTCAAATCTGTCGCGCACATGCCCGGTCGCGCCATGACGTACAAATTCCTGAACACCTTTATCGACGACTTGTTCGCGTTTACGATTAAAATGCCGACGCTGCATCGACTTGCGACCCTAAGAGATGATGTCATCTTCTTTATTTATCTGTACCAGACGTGGATGTACAAGGTGGATTATAGTAGGGTTAATGAGTTCGGGCAGGGTGGGGACGAGGAAGAAGAGGAGGAGAAGAAGGCGAACAAGCCGTTGACGAGTACGCCGGATGAGGGGGAGAAGGGGCCGAAGGTGCCGGAGAAGGATGGGGAAGCAGTGAAGGCGAGCGGGAGTTCGTCGAAGAAGGAGCAGGGGAGGAAGAGGAAGTAGACGGGTGGCTTCAAGAGTTTAGGTGGTGTGCAATTTTTAGGCATCGCATATTGCGCACACATAGAATGGAGAGGTATATAGAAATAGCAAACTAAGTACCTCTAGTCTTGAAGTGCTTCAGCGCACTAAACACAATCTAGGTCAGGTGAGCATACAGGACCTTGATGTGCTTCAGTCCCCTTTCAACCAGCCACCCGGAGTCCCTCGGCTACGGACTATATAAACCCCTCTTCTGCCTCTCGCAACCTTTCCTCCTTTCCTCCACTACATCGACCCAGCATCAGGCCAACTAAAACCTATCGCCCGATGGACCATGGCCCTGTCGAGTCGGGGATTAAAAAAGCATCTGCCGAAATGTGCTAGAGACCATCCGACGTGTCTTGGTGTGTCTCGGTGACGCTCTAAAAAGACAAATTCAGTTGGTTCATGGAACCTGCTTCTGCTGGGAGGGGGCTGGGGAAGATGCAATGGGGGAGAGGATGCTGGCGGCTTCGGTGTCGGTGGGAGTGCACCAGAGCGAGTAAATAGCGATGATGAGCACCACGGATCGGAGGTGCGGCGCGGCGAGTTGGGAGGCCTGCGGAAAGCGAAAGCGGTTGGTGGGTTGGGGATTCTGGAAGTGGGAATGGGAATGGGAAGGCTATGTTCATGAATGAGTCGAATGGACTGGATTCTTGGCATATATAAACTCGCTATAGCCTCCCTCTGCTTCGGGTTTCTTTCTTCATCGCGCTGGGCTGCACCGTCTGTCTAAAAGCGCGGTACAAGATGCTGCATGTGGACGTAGCGTCTAAAAGGGACAGTTTGGAAGAGCTATGGGGAGGTTGGAGGGTGCGGTGGGGGATCAAAAATGTATGCCGCTATCGTTGATGGGGATGTGCTTCTACACGGTGAGAAGGGAAGTGAAGTGAAGTGAAGCGTGAGGGGTGGTGCGAGGCTCCGTGAAGCACACCGAAGCGAGACGATGGTGCTTACCATCACTCCCGCTAGCGCCACTTAGACAATGCGGACGGTTGGGACATATGTGCACCTAACCAAGGAAGTAGTCGACATTGCTCTGAGCAAGATCGTGGGGATATAAATCCCTCTTCTTCTCGTTCTCCGGATATTCTCCTTTCTCTCCACATCGCCAGCGCAATGTTCTCTAAAATGACACGTTCTACTGTTGTATGTGGGAGTTGGGTGTTTGGTGGGATGCTAGTCTTCCGCACCGGCTGAGGCTACAACTGGGTGTATTCAGAAAGAGTGTGGGAGTGTAGAGAGGGAGGGTTTCCGTGGATCGCACCGAAGAGAGGTAAGGGTGGTGATCACTGTTTGGCTTGAAGACAGCAACGGGCTTATTTGGAGATGGGGAAATATGATTCGGACTGGACATAGGTTCACCGAACTGATGACTGCATGGAGGTCTGTAGGTATAAATTTCCTTCACTGCCTTCTCTTCTTTCCTTTTTCCTTCTCCCACAGCGCCCTAGCACAGTGCTTGCCTAAAACACGAAGGTACACGATGTTATGGGAATATGTGCGGGCTCTAAAAATTGCAGTCCTAAAGGGAGTCGTCGGTGCGGGGAGTAAAGAGAAAGGACGTCGAGCACTATGGGAAGCTGTTCCGGTGCGTGGTAGAGAGACGAAAGAGTGAGAAGGGGATTGCCAGGTTGTGACGGTAAGTGCAGCGCACCGAAGCTAGACGATGGTAATGATGATTAGCAGCAGCGCTGTTGGATCCACCAGGACTTTAGAAGTGATGCCAGAATGAGACACGTGTGCCATCCGTACTCCAGATAGATTGTGGGTATAAATTCCAGTCTCGACGTCACCTTCTTTCTTCCTTTACAATGCTCTGGAACAAGGCTTTGGTACAAGGTCGTCTAAAATCATTATCTCCGAAGGTTCGTGTGGAGATGCCCGGGGTCTAAAAGCTATGGTGGAAGAGCATATGGGTGTCTGCGGTAGGGAGACTAAAGTTAATATGCACAGGTGACATGTGAAAGTGTCTCGGTGCGCGATGGGAGAGAAAAAGTGGAAAGGGGCTTGCGCGGGTTGATGGAGTACACCGCAAATAAGGATTGTGGTGATTATTGTTTGTTCTATGACGGTGATTCACTGGCTTCGGACTGGGGGATGCGGCCGGAGAGGGGGTTATGGGCGACGAGCCAGTCATCTTGTGCTTAATAAGACGATCGAAAACATGGGTATATAAGTACCTCTTCTTCTTCTTTCGTTCTGCTTTCTTTCTCTCCTTACAGTGCTGGCTCGTCAACGACTACCATAAAAAGCTATCATTGAAGTACCATCGAGAGCCAGACTAAAAAAAATAACCCCGAGGACACATGGAGTGGCGCCCCGGTGCGGGATTAAAAATTGAAATCAAATCAAATCATATGGAATTTGGTGTTTTGGGGCACTTCAAAAGGCTCAATGGTGGCCCTGATTGGGGTGACCTGGAAGAAGTGTTGCGGAGGGGTGGTTTGTGGGAGAAGGCAAGGACGAAACTGCGTTGACCGACATGTCTCATCTGCACCCCACCCTTTCCTTCCCCTTCTACAGCTCCTTCCTTCTTCACAGCATTCGATGAGCAAGTTTCGATCTAAAAGTGCAAGAGGTACGCACATATGGGAAGCTGGACTTAAAAAAAGCCTTACTGCAACCCTATGGACTGACGCCTCGGTTGGGGACTAAAAGTGGGCATTGATGAGGCCACGTGAAGCTTGAGAGATTGGTGGAACTCTGAAATCGCGAAGGCAAAAGAGGCACGCAGACGGAAGGAAGTGTTGCTAAGTGCGAACCATGGTACCGTGTGGACTTGAGCTTGATCAATGGCTGCACAATCACCTTGCCCGGTGTACTTTGGGGTACAAACACGAGACCATTTCTCCCACTCGGACCAGAATCTCTCTTAGCACATGCATATAGACCTCTTCTCGCCTTGCTTCGTTCCTCCTTTCCTTCCTCACGACTATTCTGTCTTTACCAGCTTCAAATTTGAAGAGCCTCACCATGCGGGACTGAACCAAAACTTCTAGCTGCACTTCAACATGGCCTTGGAGGAGTAGAATGCACCAGATGCAGCAGACATGAAGAAACTGTCTTGGGAAGTGTTTCGGTAGAGCTTAAAAAAGACACAAAACGAACTGAAATGGAGCCTTTGGGAAAAGGTCTTGGTAATATTGAGTTAAGATCTTTGTTTCGATGGGAGAGCTATCAGTGAGATGACCATGCTCGCAGCCTAATGATGAGGCTCTCCAGCATCTCGGTCGACGTCGATTCAGCGTGACCCGTGGTTCCGCTCCTTCCTATCAACTCAACTACAACTGCCCATTTCTCTTCCCTTCCTTCTTCGTCCTTCTTTCATAGTACTATCCCTCTCTCACTTTTTTCCGCATAAAGCGCTGCAGGTATCCTCAAGAAATGCTTGGGATCCAAACTACTGCAATCGGCACTACGAGCTTTGCCCTCGAAGATCATCTCACTCGAGACAAGGCCAGTACCGGGCGCATTTTGGATACTCCACTCATCGTGCGCTGTCGCCAGCCACAATCCTTTTGTTCCTACCGGCCCTACCATCGGTCCTACTTCCTCGGTCTCCTCGTGTTTCCGAATTTGTGGCTTGTAGCATGCTTGCTTCGCAACGATATCACCATCATGAATTTCTTGCGATACGCTTCCAATAGCTGTAAGGACGTCCACACATTTCTTCTCGACCACCTTAACTTCATCAGCATCCAGAGGAAGATCAGTCTCGTAGTCATCCGGTCCGCTGGCATATACAGTGTCGAATCCATGGAGATCGTCAGCTGGGCGTGGATAGATATCCGGTGATAGTAAATTGTCAATGGAGCTGTTTGGTGCTGGTTGGATGTTCGGGAAGAGTATGTACGGCGAAAGGGGCCGTGATGGCTTGAAAATAACGCTATGTCCGCAAGGCGTCAACAATGACACCGCCGGCAGGATCATAGGTGTCCATGGACCTGCGCACACAAGTACATCTGCAGCGTCCATGATGTTGATGGCTTCATGCTTTTTGTAGCTGACGGAGCTGACACCTGTACTGTCGTCGACATGAATCTTAATTACAGATGAACGGAAACTGAAAGTGACCCCTTACTCTTCAATGCGCTTTCGACCGACGCGAGCGGTAATTATTGATAGCGCAGAAGATGAACGGCATAGGCGTGTCTCGGTGGTGAGAATCATCATTCTAGCTTGACAGTGACTACCCGTTGGTGGTGACGGTGTCTTCTCCAATGTCTAGCTAGAATGCCTTCGCGGTGTTACACGAACGGAGAAGCTGCTTTGTATCGTGCGCTGAAGGGCTCATGTAAGCGAACTCTCCTCCGTCTCAGCTATATAAAACCTCTCTCTTCCTTGCTTATTTCTTTCCTCACAGCGCAACTTCTCTTTGCTTCTCTCTAAAATGTCCAGCTGGTGTATAATGTGCCGCGGAGACTGAAATCCCACACCGGCTCTCGTGATGTGGCCTTCCTCGGTTTGAAGTATTAAAAAGACTCTGCGACATTCTTATGGTCCTTGGCCTTCCAGTGGAACCAGAATGTGAGACACTACTCTCATGCGGTCGCTTCGGGGAAGAGCCGTGAAGAAAGACATTCATGGCTGTGACCGGGAGGACTTGCGCCGTACCAACGGGTCTGTTGAGGTTCTAAAAATTACACTGGGGTGTCGCTATGTGCGGGTCTAGAGACGACCTTTGGCACTCGCCATGTCAGCGCCGCTCCTCAAGCCATCGTGCCTCCCAATTCTCAAATCTACATCCAATCAGGTCCAGAGTCGGGCACCCAGTCGCACTAACTCTGCATTGGAACCGGTTACTCTCTTCCTTCCCGTGTCTTCACTAAAAGAACCACACCTCGCATGTGTCGGAGTCCCGTGCCTGCCTCTTAAAGTTATTCTTTGTTCTTTCATGGCATTACCGGACTTCACTCTTCCACCAAAGGATCGTATTATGGTTCACCATAACTAAAGACTCCGGGTACAAAAGTCCCATCGACTCCCAGTGATGGATGGATGAACGCCTAAAACCCCCATCATCGCGCATATGACCGCGCGTGGAAGAAGCAGACCCGAATATAAATCTCTCCTCCGCGCCGCCGCTTCTCCTACCCTCCACCACACTCGCAACCGAGTCCACTAAAACCGCTCCTCTAGCCGGTCGTGTCCCGCTTGGACCTGGACTAAAACCCGATCCAGGCCACGACATGTGTTGGCACCGGACCTCTCTCCCGGGGACTAAAACGACTCTGACACTGACGTATGAGCAGAGCGCCAGCCTCTAAAACTGCTACTCTTTAAAGTGGATGTTCGCGCCCTCCTCGCTGGACCGAAACCGCGTCTCAGAATATTAACGTCTCGACACTTCCGGACTCCGGAGTATCTGATGTCCTCACTAAAACCACGATGACAGGGAGTACATGGCCTCCGTCTTCTTTTATCCCCTTGCGTATATACAAACCTCTCCACCTCTCCTTCTCTTCCACCCACCACATCAGCTTCCTTGCGCGTACTAGAATATATACGCGAAAAGACGGATGACCCCGCGCCCGTGGATATACCACAACTGACCAGCTAGCACATCATGGTGTCCGGACTAGCCCTCTCTCTTCACCACCAAAAAACCACCGATAACAAAGGCATGAGTCCAAGCCTCCTCGAAAACTATCAGACGCAACAAGCGATGGTGCGAGAATCCCGGCGGCTCTGGACTGCTAGTGAACAAAAGGCAATCCCCCATCTACAGTGTCCAAATCCTCGCACCCTCCCACCGCAGCAGTGCCAAAAAGGGGAAATGTTCAAGCCATGCGTGGGGACCCGTCTGAAAGTCGCGCCGAAACCCGCGATGTCCTCGGTGCATCGGACTGGCTCTCTGCATAGAAGATGAAAAGCCGAAACACAGGCATGTATGTTGAAGTGCGTGTGCGGACCGAGGAGCAAAGAGACACTAGTACTACGGTTCTGTATTGTCGAATCCAGATCTGGAGTGAAAGGACGGCGCGGCGGGACAAGTGATGGGTGAGGTGAACGAGGATCGGGCATTGTGCTGGCTTTGCCGGGCTCAAGGTGGCGGAGCGGTCGAGATATTGGGGGCTGAAGACCTCCGGGGACTGATGATGATGACCATCGTTGTTTCTGTATCTACTCTTCAACCACCTCTTCTCCTCTATAAACAACAGTGGCCCTTCTCCGTACCTGACACAATCTCCGCAAGCCAGTATCGCTTGAGCCGATATCCCACGAAAAGTTGAAAGAAGAGTCAGACTTGGATATTAAATAGCTTATCGTATCATGCTAAGCCCTCAGTCGAGGTATATAAGAACAGACTGCGAGAGCCCTAAAAAACCATAAACAGCACACATTTTCTACATTCGGGATCTTAGAATCCCTAATCCCTTTCTAAGCGAACGACAAGAAGGCTCGAGGTGCGAACCCGTTCGACCACTGACCAACCTGACTCTAAGAACGCCCGATTCCGTGAAACGCCATGATGCATGTATATTCCCCATATCTCTCCTATCATGGCTTCGCCATAACATCAACGTACCTCCCAGCCTTCTTCTTTCTGCCCGCAGCGCCCTTCCTCGCTTGCGGTGCTCCAAGTAAATCGTCAATGCTACTAGCATTGCTCATCCCGGTGCCGGGTCTGGATGGCGGTCCTGAACCGGCAGGAAGCACGGGTGGCATGAGTGGCGGGGCTTTGCCACCTTCGGTGTCGGACGGTATACCTGGAGTGGAAGCTCGCGAGCCCGGCACCCCCATCGGAGGCGGCATAGACGAGCTGCGCATCGGATTCGAAGTAGGAGGACGAGAGGGCGGTGCGCTAAGATGGCTGCTTCTGGTGGGCAGCGAAGACGGCGGACCTCCAGGGGTGCTGGTGCTGGAGATGCTCCTGCTCGGCGGTCCGCTCCTGGGCGGCGGCGGCGTAGCCATTGGTTTCGTCGCTTCCGTAGCGCCTGCCTTCTTGTTGACCCATTTCTTGAGCTCGGGGTCGTAGTAGAAAGAGTTCTCCTCGCCAAGCTTAGCTTTGATTGGGCCTGGCCCTGCGTTGGGGTCCTTCTTAAACCATCCTCCAAACCAACCGCCAGACTTCTTCGCCGCTGCAACCTCTTTGTCCCTCTTAGTATCTTCCTCGGCGGCCTTGCGGAAGGCCTCGTCAGCTTTACGATCTGCTTCGGACTTTTGCTTCGCTTTGAGGGTGGCATCGCGAGACCCGAAGTCGTCATCGCCATCATCCATGAACGCCTTCTTTGGCTTCGGCTCCTCCTCTGAAGACTTGTCTTCCTCGTCCGGCTTATATGGCTCGTATGAGGGAGGTTCATAGGAGCTCGTGGGCGGCTCATAGGATGTTGGAGGTTCATATCCGCTCGAGGGCTGTGTGGGCTCCGCAGGCGTAGCACCAAAGCTTGCTTGCGGTTGGTATCCTCCAAAGTCCGGCGTTGACTCCGCTGCTGGGGCGGTTGGCTGGTAAGGGCTACCATAGGCGAGCTGAGGAGCACTGTGTTCTGTGCGAAGAGGCGAATAGGACTGCGACTTAGAGAGCTGCGGTTGCTGGCTGGTTGGGCTGAGCAGAGGTTGCGCAGCTGTGTAAGGTCCGGAAAGATTAGGCGAAGGAATGTAGGTGTCGGAAACAGCTCGTAACCCTGTGCCGTCTGTAGATTCCAGTGACGGTCGTCCTTGTGGCTCATAACGTGACCGGGCTTGATCTAACGATGACCTCGGAGCATATGCATTAGATGGCGCATACCTAGAGTTTGCAGGCCCCGAGGGAGGAGGCACAGGAGCACCGTAGCCTGAGTACGCTCCATAGAGATCCGCGCTTGACTGAGACGGACTGAGAGTAGGTGTGTTACCGGCAATTTTGGCGAATGGCCCGACCTCGGGGCCGCCGGAATGGTTTGATGCGGCATCCTCCTCGTCGCCGGCGATGAAGCTATTGAACTTGGACAACAGCGAGCTCGACACCTTGTCCATGCTCGGTTTGGAAATCCAGGAGGACCCGTCCTTTGGAGACTGTGAGAGACGTTTGCTCAGGTCGTCTAGGCTTGCTACGAAGCTGCCGTTGTAGTAGGGTGAGATCCTTGTGGTCGACTTCATTGAGGCGGCGATAGCATCGCAGTATGCCTGTGCATCGGACTTGTATCCGTACTCGGCCAATTGATATGCATGCGCAAGCTTGTAGTTCTGCAGATGAGGAATGACGTGCGATCCTGCCTGCGCTGATAGCGAAAGACCGAACTCGTAAACTTCGGTCAGGAGGATAGGCTCCAGATCAATACCCAGGTCCAGCGGGTTCTGGTGATGGTCGGCACCAACGAGGACAATGCTCGACTGTTCATCATCGACTCCGCTAATGTACGTTGCGAAGCGGGCGAAGATGAAGCAAATATGGGCAGCTTCAATCCGGCCGTAGCCTGCCAATAGTTTCCCTAACGAAAGCAAAGCTGCTGCATCGCCCTCGCTACGGTTACTGAGAACTAGAGAAAGCGTCTCCCGCCATTTGTCCAACCCTTGAAGCGCATTTTGGGCCGGGCCGGCGCCATCGGTGCTCATCATCTGGAAGCCAGCTCGGGCAGATGCGGGAACGAGCTCGTCGATGCAATCCTCATGGTTGCCTGCGAATATTTCGTAGAGAACCGCGAGGGCTTGGTTGTTGCGTCCAATCTTCTTGACCTCTTTCTGAACGAACTCTTGCACGACTTGCTTCCAGACGTCCTTGTTCAAGGTCGATGAAAGAAGCATGGCGTGAGCCCACAACCGCCGATCCACGGCATGCCATACCGCCTTTTCACGGTCACCCTTTGTAAGCAGGGTTCTCAATTCTTCTATCGCTCGAGGATCGACGGGTTCGGCTTGTACCGCGGAGGTATTAGACCTCGAGTGGCCGACAAGATCTGCGGCGGTTGAAAATGACGCGCCTCCGTCCGCGGACAACTCCTCCCCTTCTGGTGACAAGACTTTTCTGACCGCGGCTTCCACTATGGCGTTGCCGTCTAACTGACCGTCATTGTCTATGAAGACTTGCATGATCTTCCAAAGCAGAGTCTTCTCCTCAACGCGCTTCACGTCGTCCGCATTCATTGCTTGGTCCAATCCGGGCGTCTTGAGTTGATTTTCCAACGCCTCAATTTTTCGTCCTAGCCATGCTGAAACGTCCTTCTTCTTGCCCTTCGCCTTGAGTGGGCCGGGGAACTTGGCGATGTCTTCGGCCAATGGTAAAGCTTCTTTGACGTTCTGGACTTTGACTTCTCCGGGACTGCATTTCATCATCGGTATTGAGGCACCGGCGCCGTAACGGGGAATCTGTTTCGGAAAACTGGTGACAACGGTTCCGCCCAGACCCCACGAGAAGACTGGGGCGCCCTTCCAGCGCTGGAGCGGGTCCGCAGCCCGTTCATCAGTTGGTGCAATGCACTCGTAATCGTGGAACAGTTGGGCTCTATGCGGTATGACATTTATGTTCTGAGGAGCCGATTGGACGCTGAAAGTCGACGGTGGAGACATGAGGCCATTACCCGTTGCAGGTCGCTCGTTGTAGGAAACGCTACGAGGAGCGTGCTTCATCGTGGCAGAAGGTGACAGCGAATGAGCTCGTGGCGGTGAGGGCATGCTTGGAGGAGGTGGCGCATGGTTAGCTTGGTGCTGCGGCACATAGTTCGCCCTCTTCCTCGGCGAACTGACAGCCGATGAAGGGCCACTCCGCGGAGGTGGCGTTTCCGATCTGGCAGTCATTGGGGGTCGCGACGGTTGGATTGGTCCCTGCTCCTCTACCTCGCTGACACCTTCTAGAGGACTCCTGAACGGAGGATGGGGCATACCCTCGGCTGAATGCATGGCATGATGGTTGGGTGGGCGATGCACATGCTCTTCGTGGGCAGCTACTTGCGCCTCATGTTGGTGTGGTACGGCATTGTATGCGAGGGGACTGGAAGTGCGAGGTGCGTACGGTTGTGGAGGACGAGGTGGCCCGGTAGGCGGTGCCGAGGCGTGATGATTCTGAAATGGCGCCTGGGGAGGTGCTGGCGAATACCGGGTGTTCGGCGCTGCTGCGGCTGGAGGAGCAGGTGAGTAGCGCGCATGAGCTGTAGGTGCGGATGGGGGTACTGGGGAGTATCGTGTTGAAGGCGGGGCCGTCGCTGAATGAGGTGGTGGAACGGGGAGACTATTAGACCGCTCCATCGCTGTTGGTTGATCCGGGAAGACTGGTAACCGCTCGGGTTGCCGAAGTTGGGAGACAAGACCGCCCGAATCTGGGAGGACTTCATTTCTTAACGAAGACCAGGACGCTGTGCGCTCTTTAGGAGGGAAACCATGTGGAGGAGGGGCATGTGGAGGAGGGTGCTGGGGCGTGCTGGGCTGCGGCGTATAACGTCCTGAATGTCCGTGATGCTTCGGTTTAGAAGTTATCGGCAACTCCGTGAAAAAATCATTGGAAGGGGCCTTCGTCGGAGCAGCCGGTTTTGGGGGGATGCCAGTCATCTGGGATTGCATCGAATGACCAGATGATGGCGGAGATAAGCTTGATGTGGACATGTTTGAGGGTGGCGGCCGAGGTGCGCCCGTATTGGATATGCTGCTAGTCCTTGGTGGCGGTGGAGTCGGTTGCGCGCTTGGTATCGATGAGGTTCGGTGGGTAGGCCGTTTTCGAATGGGAGCAACGACATCGTCAGGCAGGTCGTATGGAGAATGATAACCACCTTTCGACTTGGCGGCGAAGCTTTCCGCAGAGCTGGGCATTTCAGGCCTGGAAGGCTGTTGCTGATATGAAGAGGGTTGGTTATACGCGCCATAGGGAACATTTGGAGTTGCTGCGGGCTTCCCCTGGTCCATCCGAGAGAAATCAGTGAACTGAGGCGCCTGCAAGCCATATGGGTTCGCAGGCGGCTGTGGTACCTGCGCTGCTTGGGGTGCATATCGATTGATAGTGCTGGATCCCAATGAAGTTGCTTGCACAGGCTGAGGTGCTGGTTCGGACGGCTCCTCTAGAAAGCCTTCATCGTCTAGCTCAAAAGCCGGGGTCTCCTCGGTGTCAGGCAGGAAATCATCGTCCAATGTAATATCCCACACGGAATCCGCGCCTGCCGTAGGCGTTGCCTCTGTATCTTGCATGACATGTGCTCCGGGGCCCTCTGTCGATTTCTCTGGCTCAATTGGCTGGATAGCAGCGCCAGCACCGAAGAAGTCATCACCCTCGGTGTTGCCCCATTCTATCTCTTCTCCAGCATTTCCTCCGACCTTGGTGTTTCCAATAACATCATCGCCAACGGTTGTTCCAATAGCTTCGGCTTGTGGAGTCGCAAAAGGCACATCCAGAGGGGTCGCAATAGGTGCATCTTGTGGCTTTCCTCCGAGATCGAAAACCTCTCCAGAAGCGTCCCAGTCGTCAGTTACCGGCTCTGCATCTGCGACTAGCGGCACTTTGGCGCTCTCGGCTACAGCGTCTTCCAAGGCTGTGCTCTCTCCCTGATGTTCGTACCTCTCGGCCGGGTGTGCCTCTGGAGCTTCTGCATCCGCCACGTCGTTCTCCATGACGGCCTTCCATGGCGCGGTCAAAGCGCCGTTCATATGCGCATTGATATGCTTGTCTGGCGCATCCAGGTTGAGAGCCTCTGTTGCGCTTATCAGGCCATCTTCCTCGGCTCCGCTAACTCCGTGTCCGTTTATCTCGTTATCAAGCGGTTGCGGGGCGCTTCGTGGGACGTCGCCGGAGCCGTAGCGATCGAAGAAATCGTCATCCGAGTTGGGCTCGCGATCGGGGACGCTGTTGCTGACGTGCGCGGGGATGGCGGAAGCTGAAGGTGCCACAGGCAAATCATCCTCCTCGTCCTGGCTATCCTCCAAGACCGGTTTCGACTGTGGCACGATTTTTGGTGATGGCTGCATACGCTTCGCGGTGGTCTCTTCGGTCTCGTGGTCAGGTCTCAACGCGGGATTCCACGAAGAGGCTGACAGCGTGGTGGTGCCCCCGTACGCGTATGAGAAATTCGGGCCGTCTTCGTCCATTATGGCAATTACCGTGTAGCGTACAAGGGGTATATGTAAATACTACGCGAGGACATCAGCGCTGAAATGGGGCGGGCATTAATCGACTCATATGGCGGGCCTCGGTGATGCGTGGACGGAGGACGCGGGCATCGTTGGCGGATGGTCTGGGTTCGAAAATGCGGGTATTCAGAGGCGGCGCAAGATAGGCGAGCTGAATGCTGGATGCGCGTTGCGCGGGCTGGCGTTGGAGGCGTGGAGGTGCAGAGCGGGTGCGTTGAGAATAGGGAGTAGCTATCCCTTTCCACGGCCGACGTCACGGGGATCAGACGTACCTATACAAGAGAAGGAGAAGAAAGGCCAACGCTGAACGCCGCGCGCAGTGTATCGCCCGGCAAAGCGAAAAGAGCGCGCAATGGGCTACGAAAAGGACACGGTGCACGGCTGCATCGCCAATGAAGCAGATGATGGATGATAAAGGTTAAGGCCATGTGTTCCTGATCCAAACGCAAAGTAATACTCGATCCCTGCCGCAGCTCGGACGCGAGACGCGGAAGCCGAGGGCCGCTCAGCCACATTGTGGCGCCAGCGCATCAAGAGATGCCTTCGAGAGAGGACAACCGCGCGTTCTAAGCCAGCGACACTCCAACTCACCCTTCAACTGGCAGACACGCCGTTATTTACACCTCTGCAGCCCACTGCCGCTGCCCCGCGCAGAAGAGCGTCGCGTCGCCGGAATACCGCCGCTCCAAACAGCATATCTGGCCGCCTAGAGCGCCGCATACGGAAGACACCTCACATTCCCGCGGACCCCCGAACACTGGATAGAGAGTCCTAGAGGGCTTCAGGGTGCTTCGCACATGCCGCAGAGATAGCTTAAGCCACCCGACCTTCCTCCGCCTCTCGCATACGCCCCCACTCACTCATGAGCCATGGCGGCCCCCCATCTATACCACCAGCCAAATGCCCCCGACGACGATTCCGATCTAGAGCTAGACCTCGACGAACTCGACCCGCTTGCCGCCAACTCGCAATCTGCAGCATCTCCGCCCCGCCGCCACTCCAAGGAACACCGGAAGCCATACCATGAGCTGGGCGCACGAATACCGCTGAGAAATCTGAGGGTAGGCAGACTGCGGGGGAATAGGAGACAGGAGCCGGAAGAGGAGGATCTGAGGGGTCTGATAGACGACGATGATGCGGCACACAGGCATTCTAACGGCAGCTTTGGTCAGTCTGGGAACGATGATGCGCCGCTGCTGCCCTCACTTACTCCAGGGAGACGACACCAGCGGGCGCCCAGCACTCTGTCACGATTCGCTTCCACCATCAGACTTCCGAGCTTTCTAGGTACATCCGCGCCGAATACGCCAGGCATACAGCTAGGGCAGGGAGGGCGAGGCGACTCTGATGCGGAGGAGGAGCATGACCCTACCGGCCAACGGACCGTCGCCGTCGGTCAAGCGCAGACCTCACGGTTCCCTGCCAACGCCGTCTCGAACGCAAAGTACACGCCCTGGAGCTTCCTGCCACGCACCCTGTATAACGAATTCTCCTTCTTCATTAACATGTACTTTCTGCTTGTAGCACTATCGCAGATTATACCCGCCTTGCGCCTCGGTTACCTTTCGACATACATTGCACCCCTGGCGTTTGTCATTTCGGTCACTCTGGGGAAGGAGGCTCTCGACGACATTGCGAGACGGCGGAGGGATGCTGAAGCGAACTCCGAGGGCTATACTGTTCTGAGATTTGAGGACAACAGCGTGGGCAATGGCGTTGCGCCGGGGAAGAGTGCGAGCAAGAAGCGGAGGTTAAAGAAAGCGCAAAGAGGCAGCGGAGGCCGGTTGACTGATATAGAAGATGAGGAGCAGCGTCTGGGCACTACGAAAGGCATACCAACGGCCAATTACTGGGAAGTCACGAAACCGTCGCGGAATCTCAAGGTGGGTGATGTGGTAAAGCTTGGCAAAGATCAACGAGTGCCCGCCGACATGGTGATCCTCAAGAGTTATTCTAACGAGGGCACCCCTCCGGTAACCGCTAAACCTGACATCGTCGATGGCTCCCCGACTCTTGTGCCTGAAGAGGCCCACGGCAATTCTGACGCTGGAGCAAGAAAGACCAATGCGGCAACTACCGGAGCATCCGGAGAGGCCTTCATCCGAACAGATCAGTTGGATGGTGAGACCGACTGGAAGCTGCGCTTATCCTCTCCCCTGACGCAGAATCTGGACTTGGGAGAATACACTAGGTTGCGAGTTGTTGCTGGCAGGCCGGACAGGAAGGTCAACGAATTCTACGCGACTGTCGAGCTTCAGCCGAAGCGCAAGCACCAGTACGATCCCCACGAGCGAGAGGAGCAGCCTGCAACGGAGCAAATTCAGTCAGCGCCGCTCAGCATCGATAATACGATCTGGGCGAACACTGTGCTTGCTTCTAGCTGCCAAGTGCTTGCCGTTGTCGTCTACACTGGCCCACAAACGCGTCAAGCCCTGTCAACATCACCGTCGAGATCTAAGACCGGCCTGTTGGAGTTGGAAATTAACTCCTTGACAAAGTTTCTCTGCATCTTTACCCTCTCCCTGTCGTTTGTTCTCGTTGCTCTGGCTCGGTTCCGCGAAATCGACGGCCGCCAGTGGTATGTCTCTATGATGCGGTTCTTGATTCTGTTCTCCACTATTGTGCCGGTTGGCCTGCGAGTCAACCTGGATATGGGCAAATCGGTCTACGCATGGTTCATCGAGCATGATCAGAGCATCAGCGGCACGGTGGTACGAACAAGTACTATTCCGGAGGATTTGGGCCGGGTCGAGTACCTCTTGAGCGACAAGACAGGTACCCTGACCCAGAACGGTAAGTCTCGTTCCTGGCGCGGACTTGTCCTGTGCTAACCATTAGCAGAGATGGAGATGAAGAAGATACACGTCGGCACGGTTTCTTATGCCAATGAAGCAATGGACGAAGTCTCGTCATATGTGCACCAAAGCCTTACCACTCCCGCGGGAGAGGCTCCCTCTTTTGTCACACCTTCTTCCGCGTACATTGCTCCTCTCACTTCAGCAACGCGCACCCGGAGAGAGATTGGATCCCGCGTCCGCGACGTTGTCCTCGCCTTGGCCCTCTGCCACAACGTCACGCCTACCACTGAAGAGGTGAACGGAGAAACGGTTACCACGTACCAGGCTTCATCTCCCGATGAGATTGCCATTGTTCGCTGGACGGAAAACGTCGGCCTCAGGCTCTTACAGCGCGATCGAGAATCGATGACGCTCCAGTCTTGCGAGACCGGGAACGTTGTCGTTCGAGTTCGTATCCTGAATTTATTCCCGTTCACATCGGAAGGCAAACGAATGGGCATAGTAGTACGCTTTTCCCATGGACCCGTTTCATCAGCGTCTTATGAAGATGGCGAGATTTGGTTCTATCAAAAGGGCGCTGATACTGTCATGAGTTCTATTGTGGCTGCCAACGACTGGCTAGACGAAGAGACGTCGAACATGGCAAGAGAAGGCCTTCGAACCCTTGTCGTAGGGCGTAAGAAGCTGTCCGAGCAGACGTATCAAGAGTTCTCGACCAAGCATGCGCAAGCGTCTCTGGCATTGCACAACCGCGATAACGCCGTCGCCGATGTGGTCAAGGAATACCTTGAGCATGACCTAGAGCTCCTTGGTGTCACTGGCGTTGAAGACAAGCTGCAGAAGGATGTCAAACCGTCGCTAGAGCTTCTCCGTAATGCTGGGATCAAGATATGGATGTTGACTGGAGATAAAGTAGAGACTGCTCGCTGTGTCGCCGTAAGCTCCAAGCTGGTCGCACGCGGGCAGTATGTGCATACTATTGCGAAGAGTAAGTATGCTTGCCCCCTTGCCAATATGCCCGGATGCTAATGAAGGCGTAGTGAAACGCAAGGATCTTGCACGTTCTTCCCTAGATTTCTTGCGCGGCAAAACCGACGCCTGTCTCCTCATCGACGGCGAATCCCTCGCTTTAATGCTAAACTACTACCGCCAAGAATTCATCTCCATCGCTGTCCAGCTCCCCGCCGTCGTCGCCTGCCGCTGCTCGCCGACTCAAAAAGCCGACGTCGCCCGCCTCATCCGTGAACACACCAAGAAGCGCGTCTGCTGCATCGGCGACGGCGGCAACGACGTCTCCATGATCCAAGCTGCCGACGTCGGCGTCGGCATTGTTGGGAAAGAAGGCCGCCAGGCCTCCCTCGCCGCTGACTTCTCCATCGAGCAGTTTTGCTACCTCGTCAAACTGCTCGTCTGGCACGGCCGCAACAGCTACAAACGATCCGCCAAGCTCTCCCAATTCGTCATCCATCGCGGTCTCATCATTTCCATCTGCCAAACTGTCTACTCCATCGCCTCGTCCTTCGAGCCTAACGCCCTTTACAAAGACTGGCTGCTCGTCGGCTACTCCACCATATACACCATGGCGCCCGTCTTCTCGCTCGTACTCGACCGCGACGTCGACGAGTCCGTCGCAAACCTCTACCCAGAACTCTACGCCGAGCTCAAACTCGGCCGCTCCCTCTCCACAAAGTCCTTCCTCATCTGGGTCCTCGTCTCTATCTACCAAGGCTCCATGATCCAAGGCCTGTCTCAGCTCCTCGTCGGCGTCGGTAACGACGACACGCTCATCTTCAAGAAAATGGTCTCCGTCTCCTTTACCGTGCTCGTTATGAACGAGCTCATCATGGTGGCCATGGAAGTTACCACCTGGCATTGGATCATGGTTGCTTCTATCTTCGGCACAGCGGGAATTTATTTTGGCAGCATTCCGTTTCTAGACAGGTATTTTGAGCTTGCGTATGTGAGTAGTCTGGCTTTTTGGTGGAAGTTTGTCGTCGTCGCGAGTGTGAGTTTGGTGCCGCCGTATGCGGGGAAGATACTGGGGAGGACGTTGAAGCCGCCAAGTTATCGGAAGGTGCAGGGTGTGTGAGGGAGGGGATTATCCATTTTTGCTTTGGGGTTGGGTTGAGTGCATAGCGTTTCTTGTATTGGATGTTTTGTTACGATCTCTTATCTATATTCATCCATTCTTAGGGTCTCAGTTTCTAGGCGTAAAGCCTACCCTAGGCCGCCTCCGATACGGTGATGATGGAGGTCGTCGTCGGTAAGCCTGAAGGCCCTTCAACACCTCACAACAAACCATTTCCAACCGCAAAGGCCGAGCTGACGCCGCTTAACGTTTCTATGCCAGTCGGCACTTCGTCCCTCCAACCTAGGCCCTGAACTTTCATACTCCACAGGAGTCATCTAACCTCAAGCTTCTGCGGCTGTCACTCATATGCATGAGCCGTGGTTATGAAAAAAACCAAACTCAATATAAAATTCTGCAAGTACACTCTGCCTATAAAGGCTCCCTCAACGAAAAGGCCCCACGTCCCCCCTACAATTTCCGGTACCACACCTTTCCGCTCCACGCCCGTTATCTTTAGAACACCCCCCAATCCTCTCCTGTCCGTATCCCAAATATACCTAGGATCCCCGAGCACGCGCTTTACGCGGGCGAGAGGCGATCTGCTTCTCAGGGCCATGGCGGGATTCACTTTCGTGCCTTCTCAAACTTTGAGTATGCGCATAGTCTTTTTCACATTCGCGGCATTGAACTCTGGCCTTATGGTTCCGCTTTCGGCGCGTTCGACGTTGCTTCGGCCGGTGCGTAGTGGGATCGGTCTGCACCTCCTGGTTCGTCGCCTCAAAATCGCCCCATAGCTGAGCTTTCCTAACATATATTAGTAGCCTTTCAAGGTTCGTGTGTTTGGCCCAGTGTGGGTCTCCTACTCTTCGTACTCGTATTTGGGGCCTTGGACCATCAACCCCATTTCCCTCGAAAAATCCCAATCCATGGCACGATTCCACGACGACAAAAGCGCCCTAGCGTTTGTCAGTAGTTGCAAAATATGGATTGGCTCGGGATCAGGGCGAGTCCCTTACATCTCCGTCCCAGGGATTCCGAACTGCCCAGGCGTGAACCCCGTCCCCGCCACAGGATCACAATCCGCCGCGGAGTTCGTCCAGAGTCCAGGGATCCTCGCACATGTTAGTGGTTGCTTGTAGTAACCGCGTTCGGATCAGAATTGGTCTCTTACGAGTCAGGCTCGCCGTCTTCGATGCCTGCAAAGCTAGCCATTGGATGTGTTGCTCCCATCACCGACGGTGCTTGCCAAACTGCACTCTGCTGGTCGGTTGGCCAACGTGAACCTGGAAGGCCTGCTTCGAGCTCTGCATGGGGTAGAAAGAAGCTCTGTGGCGAAATTGGCATGGTCGCTCCAACTGGAGAATAGATCGGGGGTTGCCCCTGGCCACCCAAGCAGTACGAGCCAGGGAATAGAACATTGCCCGTATTGAAGTTGGCATGATCCAGGTCGCTCAGACATCCGTAGTCTGGCGTCGTGCCAACCCCCAATGCCCTAGACCAGCGATGTAAGTAAAAGAAAGTGGGGATACCGGCAAGAGACTGGAGCATGATAGTCCGTCAGGTCTTCCCCATTGGGGAGCCTGGCGGGGATAGGCTTTGAAAGCTGACATTGGCAACAATGTAGCTGGACAGGCGGAGATTCGCAACTTCGTTGCAAGGCTAGTATGCGCGTCTTTTTCCGTGATACCGAATCGTGCTCAGAAAAACATTTGCTCTGTCCTTGTTGGCCCTGTACAAACCCTGCTGTACAGTCCTTCCCCTGCCTTTCTCCCCGACTTGCGCGCTAGCCTCATTGTCCCCTGTGACGACTATATGTTGTTTTTCTGAGCGGGACATTTACAGCTCGGGCGGTTTGCACCGGCTGCCTCCGTGTAATCCCGGGCCCGGGAGGGGAAGTCTGCTTGACGTTGTCAACGTTGTCGTCTTGTACTCTGAACCTTTCGGTCGTAGGTTCCGGACTAATCTGCGAGATGTTAAGGCAGAAGAATGGGTGCGAGCACTCACAGATCCTCGGGAGAGGGCGGATGATCGGGCGGAGGACCAGATGCGGATGAATGGACGGTATAGTTACTATGAAGCGGCCTTGGGTCGATGGTCTGCTCCGCCAACGCGGAGTCGACTCTGTTAGAACTGCTCAGAATCAGTGCATCGTCTTAAAAAAGGTGGTCAAATAATAGATCAAAACTGACCTGCCCAAGTGGAAAGCCATTGGATGTCCCAGCAAGAGAGAGTAGAGGAGAAATCTTTGGCTATGCGGACGGGAGAATCCTCTACTTATGTTTTTCATTTACGAGGGGTGAAGGGTGTATGCCGTAATGGCTCGTTAAGAACAGGCTCGATGAGCTGCAGCATCAGCTCGGTTAAGATGCGATGACATGCATTCATGGCTCGATAAAGGCGGCTCGATACTGCGCGGTCAGCGCCTGCTGCCGCCTACGACGCGTCAGATGACTTGGAAAAAGGCAAACGGCCCCCAAGGCCCATGATGATTCGCTCGACAACCAATAGAATCATATTTATAGATCTGTGCCTTTTAGCGTATACACGTGTTCACGTGGAAACGGGAACGTGGGATCTATCAACCTTAGCCAAATCAAGAATAAAGTGCTATAATGGATTACTATTCAGCGCGACAGATGGGCTCACACGACACTCGAATCTACAAGCCCTGTCCAGTGTCGACCTTCGCGCTCGATGATAAAACTTCGTATATCTACACAAAAACAGATTCCCGCGATTCAAATCATACAACGTGTCATACCTCATGAACGAGCGGCTCCTATATACAAAGCATCCGTCCTCCCCACACCAGACGCCAGTCTAGTCCAGTTCAGCTCAATTCGGACTGCTCTTCTTCCCTCCCCCCAGGCTAGGAAGTTTAACCTTCCCCAGCTGCGCTCCGCCCACCCTCTGCACTTCCGCGACCGCATCGCCAAGCAGCACTCTCACCGCGCCCTCCAGCCTGCGGTCTTTCTTGCGCCGCAGCCACAGCAGTATAATACCTAGGATAACGACATCGACGGCGATGTGCTTTAAGCTTCCCCACACTATCCGCCACAGAAAGCGGAAGAACCTGTACCTTCGAGTGTGAGTGAATAAGCGCCGTGATTCGAGCTGTTCGCGGAGGGCGGCGACCTCGGCGGTCATTTTCACGAGGGCTTGCTCGACGCGCTTTCGCCATTTCTGGTCTGCCGGGTTTTCTTTTGCTGCGGACGGGGACGGGGATGCAGGTTTGGGTGTTAGAACGTTTGATTTGGAAGGAAGGGGCGGTTGGGGCGCGAGGTCGGTCTGCACGCCTGCGTCTTCGGATGTGGGGTTGTATTGCGAGTCTGGCGCATCGACAAACTCTTCGTGGTCTATTTCCGCCTCCTCTTCTTCTAGGTCTTCCTCGCTCTGTGACATGGGGCTCTTAACCTGCAGCGGGCCGTCGTCATCCATCGCAACATCCGCCCTTGCCTTGCCTTTCCCCGTGCCGAGCTGTGGATAGTTGGGCGGCATGTGTAGACCCATCTGGCTTAATGTTTGTAGAGGCGACGAGGATGAAGACGAGGGGACATTCGATTTGACTTGGTCCCAGACGAATTCGAGTTCGGCGACGAGTTCGCGGGAGTCCGGCGAGGGGGAGGCGTATTTGTGCATGGTGTCGATGAGGGTGGTGATGTATCTGCGCTTGGCTTCGGTTCGGGAGAGGCCGTTCTGCTGCTTCCATGCATCCCTATCCGGTTTCTTGTCAGCATTTCGGCATGGAGATGCGGTGTCGCGTGCCCCGCTCGACGTACCATTTCTCCCTTGCGCGGTGTGCTTCCTCGCCGCCTCCTTCGGATCGTTCCATTATGCCGTCGACATCGCCCTCTGGCCCTTGTCAGATGTGGTGACGGCGAGAAGGACAAGATGAGATATACCCATGGCCTGCTTATACAGTCCGTACAGCTTCAATCGCGTCGCCGACGGCGGCTTCTGCGATCCAGTGCGGATCTTATTGACCGTGTTGAGCGCATGGCTAAATACTCGGTCTAGTCCCATATGCATTAGCATCGCTCCCTCCCAACTTCCCCCATCTCCCTGCGGTTCCGGTACGTACCCACGGAGTCTGACATCACCAGGTTCAATTACGCGCCGTCAGTGGGAGCGACCAAGTCATCCAAAAGCGTCGCAAAAGCGGCGGTGTCGATATCGATCGGATAGGAGGGATATAGGGTGGATAAGCGGGCAACGAGTGTAGACGTCTTGCATGGCGAAATAGCTGCGGAGCCGGTCGTGGTGGAGAGCGCGCCTTGCTGGGTCTTGATAGGCCTCGGCTCGGAAGGGCTCCGAACACATGCCGAAGTTCGGGCGGCTGCGAGTCCTAAGAGGGTAAGGCGTCTGCCAAGACATGCTGGCGACCTGGCTTGCTTGTGATCTCTTCGTAAGCCGACCTTTAATCGCATCAACGACTACCTAAGGAACCTTATGACTGCGAGTCGAAGCCAATCATGGGATCCAAGACACCAGATGGCCATCGTCGGGGACCGAATGGTATGGAAAAAGGAGTACTTGCTTTTGGGTTGTACGCTATGCTGACACCTTGAGCAGAGTCCTCGGCAGGCGCTGCAATTGCCGTCGCCAATCCTCCCAAGCTTGCCGCAGCAAGTGGATTCCTTCATGGTGCCCTCGAAGGGGAAGACGAAGATGGGGACGACGACGACGACAGCAAGATTGGAGCAGACCTGAAGTCCGGTGCTCAGCCCAGCAATAGTAAGCTAACTTGAAGTGAATGCACACTTGGAGCTAACCCTAGAAGGTAAGAAGAAGAAAAGAAAGAGTAACAAGAAGAAGAAAAAGAAGGTACCGGGACAGCAGTCGACTCCTCCGAGGGTTGCACTCGCCAACCTCTTTGCCGATCAGCGATATCCGGAGGGCGAGATTGTCGAATATGTCACTGCCAATGACAATCTTCGGCGCACCACGGCTGAAGAACTTCGTCATCTGTCCCTCCTGAGCAACATGGATGACGAATTCCTGAATGATTATCGCAAAGCTGCCGAAGTCCATCGCCAGGTCCGCCAGCATGTGCAGACGATCGCAAAGCCCGGCATTGCCATGAGCCAGCTTGCCCAAGAGATTGAGGATGGCGTTCGGGCACTGACCGACCACCAAGGTCTTGAGACCGGAGACGCTCTCAAAGCCGGCATGGGATTTCCGACTGGGCTCTGCTTGAACAACGTAGCTGCTCATTGGACTCCCAATCCTGGAGCCAAAGAGGTTATCCTCCAGTACGACGATGTCCTGAAAGTAGATTTCGGAGTTCATGTCAGCGGCAGGATTGTTGATAGCGCCTTTACCGTGGCTTTCAATTCGGCCTACGATAATCTGCTCGCGGCTGTCAAGGCAGCCACCAATACTGGGCTCAAGGTAAGCGAATCTACGGTACCCAGCGTGTTCAAAGCTCAATAAATGCCCAGGAAGCTGGGATCGACGCCCGGATCGATCACATCAGTGGGGCAATCCAAGAAGTGATGGAGAGCTACGAAGTCGAGCTCAATCGAAAGGTCATCCCTGTCAAAGCGGTTCGGAGCATAACTGGCCATAACATCCTGCGCTACAAGATCCATGGCGACAAACAAGTCCCCTTCGTCAAGACCCAAACATCCCAACGCATGGAAGAAGGCGATGTATTCGCCATCGAAACCTTCGGCAGCACTGGCAAAGGTTATCTCAGAGATGATGTAGGAGTTTACGGCTACGGGCGCAATGAGCATGCCAGCGCTGCTGGGCTTCATCATGCCTCCGCTAAGTCGCTGCTGAAGACGATCGACGAGAACTTCGGAACTCTGGTCTTCTCCAGACGTTACCTTGAGCGCCTTGGCGTGAAGCATTACCACCTTGGCATGAAATCGCTCGTCTTGAATGGCATTGTTGAGTCCTATGCGCCGCTGGTCGATATTCCTGGCTCGTATGTCGCACAATTTGAACATGTGAGTTGGTCCACGAGTTGAAGACCACAGAACCTTGCTGACACACTCTTAATAGACCGTTCTGCTCCGGCCGAATTGCAAGGAGGTGATCTCCCGAGGAGACGATTACTAAAGAAATGTGGGAAATCGGGGATCAAATTGATTCTGGGAATATTGGCTGCATTTGATTTTCTGTGTCCCTGGCTTCAACAGTCATGAAGACACCTTGGTTACGCATTTCAACATGCCTTACTCCTAGCATACATATATCGCGCCGATGACGCTCGTTTAGACCGCAAAGTATCAAGAATCGAACACTGCTGTTGCTCGTCTCTCTACTCATTACGGCCAAGTTCCCCGGATTCATCCGTTGTCACGAATGACATGTGGATAGTACAGGCTTAGCGTAACGTTAGCGGCTTGGCACTGCGGTAGTCTTCCCGAGGTCTAAGGTTCTCCGTCTTCCTTTCCATCCACCATCTCTTTTACTTGGGCTAATGCACACTTTGCGAGCTCGACCAACAACGTCAAAACTTGCCAGCTGCGAACTCCCAATCCGCCCGCAACGGAACCACCACCCCCTCGAAAAATTGCTCCTGGAACTCCTTATCGGAGAAGTCGCAGCTGACTGCATCGAACTTGAAGCGAATGCAGCGTGAGACAGCTATCGCGTAGTTATGGCTTTCTACAGTATGCACGTTGTCAGCCAGGCGAACAGCAAGTCTGTATTTCGTCATAAGGTCCTCCGCTCCAAATTCGTTTAGGTCTTCGGGCCGTTTTAAGGACTGGAGAGGAGCTTTGTATGCGACTTCAAGTAGTGCGATGCCGAGGGCGAACACGTTCTCGTTCTTGACGCAGCATTGTGGGCGAGGGTCTGCTTGCAAAGCTACTGAAGAGGCGAATGTTCGGGAGACATATGCGGAAGGCAAGAAGTCGCCGGAATGGTCTTTCAAGACGAAGATATTCTTGGTATCCCAATGTTTGGGTAGCCAGGCGGTATCGTAGAGCTGCAGGACGGACGATGCGAGCGCAAGAGCGAGGGTGCACCTAACCAGTTAGCATGAGGTTGACGAACCAGCGGATGCGTATACCTACTTCTGTCGCGTGGATATGGATCGACCGCCACTGATGACCTCCTTCAAAGAGATTACCTCGGAAATTCGGTTGCTGCTTCCAGGTCCTGTCACCGAATAGATACGATGCTGCCATGATCGGTCCTCCAACACGCCTAGGCAACATTCCCATGCCGGACCGTTCATTATTACCTTGCAGAGATTATCTATCTTATTCGCTAGGGCGGCGGGCGACGAGCGTGGGGCTTGTCTCGGTGACGGCGGTACTATGGTAATGGAAGGTCCGAAGGTCCCCCTTTTCCTCTTAAGCTCTCTTGCTGGAGGAGTGGGTTCGTCTACTCTGAGGTGCTTCGTCAGAATTACGTAAGTGTTAAGAGGATCTCAACTTACTGCGTTGGGAGACACGCAGATTCGATTTCGACATCCTTCCAGTTCCATGGTAGTGCTTGCGGGATGCCCGCAGACCTCTCAAACGTCAGGAGAAACGTGAACCTAGTACCTTCGAGCTCATATTCGCCCCGGTGGAAGTCCAACTGTAAGTTCGCCTGGTGCGGTTGATTGCAAGAGCAAGGGTGCAAACGCAAGCTGAGACTATCGAAGAGACGTTGAGCTTGCTCTCTGACGTTCTGCCAATAGACAGACTGAGTCTGGATTTTCTTTTTGGTTCGGAGTGGCTCCAATTGGAAGGCTCCGGTTGTTAGCTCGGAAATCTTCTTGATATCTCGATCGATGGCGCGAAGCAATCTTTTACACCTCCGCGTGCCGAATCCGAATTTGACCTTGTTTAGGAAACCGAAGAACTTCCGGCGGGCTTCTTCGTCGACTAGATCGCTATCTCCGACCCAGAATGGCTACGTAACGTTAGTCGGTGTTCCGCTCATAGCAAGGTCCGGCTCACCTTCAACTGGCTATTCAACTTCAGTTTCTCGCAGAGCTTCGCAATCCTCCGGTGGAGTTTATTCGTCATTGCGAGGTATGCGCTGTAATGATCTGGACCGAGCCGGCGCTCAATCGCGCTCTTAAGCGTCGGAGCCGACCATGCCTCGCTACTGCGTTGTTCTAACAACTCATTCATCCGCGTGTCTGGGAGGTTGAGTGGTCCAAGTAATCGATGGCATGAGTGCATGTATATGCACACCGATGCTCGGAATTCTGAACAGATATCCTGGAAGACCAATTCGTAGTTTCTCATGTCCTGCATGATCGACATCTGCACTAGGGATTAGCTTCTGGCAGCGCGAATGACTGGTACTCACTCCTTTCCTACAGCGTTCCAACGCGCCCACGACCAGCGGTAAAGATGCAAGAATGAGGCCGGTGACCTCGATACCTGACATGTTGCTGTTACGGTCATGGTAACGAGGAGGGGAGTGTGCTGTTGAGGTGAGTCTCCACTGGTCGTACCTTCCCCTCTCCACTTTCAACGCTAGTAACGTTGTGTCCAGGGACACCTCGCCTCCTCAGTTCTTTGCCCCCCTCAGTCGCTTCAATGCTCTTTCGCTCCAAAACATCTACCAACCCGTCTTTGTCTCTGTCTCCATCTCCGCCTCCCCGAATTCTCCACGCAGAGTAATGGCATCGAAGCCGGCACTCATATATGAAGCCCATGCGGGATGCTACATCGCGTTCGAGGGTCTCCTTCATGCTCTGCACCACCCTGCCCGCGATTTCGGCGACCAAATACGGCCGGAGAGTGTACAAGACGAATTTGATAAGTATAGGATTTAGGCGGGCAATGTCGGCGCTGCCCATGGAGGAAAGCGCTATGAGATCTCCCTTGACTACCGGTTGAGGGAAGCATCATTCCTCCGAGAACAGGTGCTTGGCCTAGTCCAGACTCTCGAAAGAAATCTCTCAAATGCAGCCTCTCTTATCCGAGCGGAGCGACAGCCATTTGAGGAGTACGCCCACGACCCTTCGGTATGCCCGGGCTCGCCAGCGAAGGAGGATCAATCATCAGATGATTCACTCTGGGAGATCTCATCAGATTCCAGCACAGAGAGCAGAACATCTCTTCATTCGAATCGCAGGAAGCTTGAGGCTCCATCATCGACGAAAACATCAGTAGAAATCGCTACGAGACCTGGAGAATTACCCACTCAAGAAATGTCGCGCTTGCTAGAATCGATCAAGTTCACGGTGGGCTGTCTGTACCGTATACCTATCCGCAAGCCCGCGTCGCTTGACCGACTCAAGCATAAAACGTCGCTTGAGTCCTACTACCAGCATTTCGACGTTTTATATGTGCAGGACAAGTTTCCAGCACTTGATCTCAACGTTACCACCAGACTGGGCAAGTTGATCACTCGTCGCCGCCAGGTTCTCAAATACAGAGAAGATCATAAGGAGAGCTTGCATACTGCGCGTGTGCAGCCTCGAGAAAGGCATCTACCGGCATCGGAGCTCTTGAAAACAGGAGCCATTTACCCAGGCATTTACACGGACTTCACGAGTCCGCCGATGGAGGCTGGAGTGGCAATAAGCCATGCAACGAGCAGTCAGTTCACACTGCACTCGAAGGCAACTACTCTCAGACCTGATGATATTGCGCTCCTCCTTCAGGAAGCTAATGAGACGCCTACTCTCTCTGCTCCCTCCGTCACAGAATCGAAATCGTCCATGGCTTCGAGCTATACGGGAGAGGATCTGCAGGTCAACGTTCCAACTCGCCCAACGGATGAGCAGGGCAACCATCCAGAGTGCTTCGAATGTCCGTACTGCTTGATCGCAAAAAACATCACTTCAGAACGCAGCTGGAAGTATGTATTCACCGTATTCTTCTTTGTCACTCGCAGAGGGGATCTTCTCTCATCCTGTACTAGAAGAACCAGCGCCTAATGGGCTATTTGAAGGTCACCAAGAAACACCTCACTGGCCAACCAGGCTGACGGAAATCCAGGAAACATGTGTTTGAAGATCTCCAGCCATATGTGTGCACGTTCGATGATTGCGACCTACCGGACCACTTTTTCGCGAGCCGCGATGAGTGGTTCCGCCACGAAACTCACCAGCATCGCGTCAAATGGTCATGCAATACCGACCATCACCCGGAATACGACACGCAAACAGATTTCTTACTACATATAGAAACATGCCACCATAAGGAGATCGACGTCAAAAACTTTGAGATCCTAAGGGATGTGTTTCGCCAGCCTTCCAGGGATGTTGACGGAGTCTGTAACCTCTGTATGCGATATTCCAAGAACCTCAAAACCCGTGTATCTCGACACCTAGAGGAGATGGCCTTGTCCGCTCTCCCACGCGCGAATGATGCGGTACGAAGCGGGTATGCGGGACAAGCTACCAATGCATCGATGCCAAAGAGAACGAAGGAGAGCAAAGGCAATAACCACCCAGATGACGAGGGCGAAGAGATGTCATCTTCGAGAAGCAATGAGCATGGGTTCGAAGGACTACAGATACTAGAAGATAATAGCCTAGAGGACCTGCATCTCGAGGACGACTATGAACTAGTGGCTGAATTAGCAGCCATACCTGAGACGACCGAGCAGCATTGGGATGACGTAATGGAGAAATTTTCACGCGCCAGAGCACGATCTTATCGGCCATTGAATGTTCTCGTCCGTGGGGAGTCGGAAGTCTCAAAGATTCTCTTAAGGACCCTGCTGGAAAAGATGCGTTGCAGGGTATATGAAGCGCTTGAGGGGACTACTTTCGACATCGTCATTGTAGCGTGCCTCTCAACCCAAGAGAGTCCGTCGTCCGCAATCACCGGGAGGGACGTTACCACCTACATAAGAAACAGCGAAAGCATCAATCCTAATACTCCGGTCATTGTGCTCACGCGTCCTGACGCTAGGCAATCCCTTTCCGATGACTTGGAGCGCATGGGCACGGCTGCCGCGCTCCTTGACATGCCGCCAACTAAAAGCCAACTGGAAGAGGTGCTGGGCAGATTATGTCAGTGGGAGCCACATTCACCCGAACCGAGTCCGGAAACTGATATACGTATGACGGAACCCGGAAATGAAAAAAGCTATAGTACGGACGTCGGAGACCAAGAAGCTCAAGAATGGGAAAATGAACCTGGCCAGGCTCATGACAATGAGCTTCAGGGCGACATGAATCAAGATGCGGTCGATGCACGTTTTATCGAGGAGTGGACAGCTGGAGCACAATGGTGGGAGAACGCCGAAATCCATCGGCAACTCCTACTCACCAAACAGATCGAGATTCTAGGCAATTTCGTACAAGACGAGGGAGACTCTGCAACGAATGATATCAGTGCCGTCATTGTGACTGTCAGGGAGAGATTGGAAAGTGCGCAGCAGGCCATACAAGACTGGGAGATGTTCCGAGATGCATTGGATAGCACCTGGAGCTCGATTTGCGGATATTCATGGCGGAAAGTACCAGAATGGGTAAGTTCCACCCCGCCGTAATTATTACCAATTCTAATGCACTGCTTAGAATGATGCTCGGAAGAGGCTCTGGGCCATGATTACTCGGGAGAGAGCCCAACTTCCAGGCTATGTAAGTGTTCACGTCCTGACTCATTCAAGACTGGCTAATAATTCATACGCTTAGCCTCATCTTCAAGACGGCGACATAGTGTGCATTACGCACAAGACGACCGGCCGCATAGAGTATCCTGCGCTTCTAAACCCCTGTGGAGAGTGGCAATATCGAGTCCGGTGGGATTTTGGTGGCTTCTCTGGGTGGCGAGGAGTTGAGTTAAATTTCAAGAAAAGACCGCATGATGTGCCTTCTTACGCCGGGGGGTTCCCTCCCTACATTGACGCGCGACAACTCCGACCTTCATCAGATCTCGGCTACAAACCTCCGGAGTCTTCCTCTGACCAAAAGTTACGGGATAACGGCTTTTATTCTGTAGAGTGCATTGCGCCGTTACTTAGGGCACAAATCGAAGTCCTGGCGACTCTTCTCCAAAGCGAGATAAAACTACCAACTATCGACTGCCCTTGCTGCCATGGATCTAGCATGACTCCTTGCGATTGCGGTTCTAGAGGATGTAGTGAGTGCGAAATGGGGAATGGTCTGGTCCTATGCCGCGTGTGCGACGGCGCCGGGGAGATCGATACTACTGGAGATGGTTTTCGAAGAAGGCTCCGCTTCCAGATACTGAGGTCTCGAGTTATGAAGCTCCTGAATCATCTCAAACTTTCAGACTTCGCGTACTTGAAATGGAGAACATTCGCAAAGGTCGTTTTGGATCAAATTACTGCACTGCTGAATGGGAATCCAACAAATGCTAAGTCGGCGGAAATATCAGACTTCACAGTATGTGCACAACCACTGGCTTTACTATTATTTTGATAGTTCTAACATCAGTATCAGATGATGTTTGAAAACTTGATTCAGGAAAAAGGGCTTGCGCACCCGGATAAGGTAACGCCGGCATTCACATCCTCCGCTAGCGATTGATCTGATCTTTTGTAGCCGGATTTTGAGATTGGTGACCTCGTCGATCTCCAGGGCCCTGAATGCGAAGGGAAACCGTTCAACTTCTCCAATATTTCTCCTGCACGAGTCAAGAGCCGGTGCTACGAGATAGTGAACGAGCCCAAGGCCACAGTGCCGAGTTGGAAGTATGAGATCACATGGCAAACACACCAGAGACCGCAGTGGCATTGGCTCCCCGAGGCCTCTCTTCATGCCTCATGTCTGCTCGAACTTGAACCACACTGCACCCGCGGTGAGTTCGACGTCTACGAAAGAGCGGCGTTCAGCCCATATCTCTGTTTATCGGACGAATGCTCTTTGAGCTTCCAAACAAATCAGGATCAATTTGATCACCAACATCAGGAGAACAGATCAACCTGCAATGCAGAGGCAGTTCCACCATCCAGAGACAATGCTTCGATTCCTGAATTTAAAAAGCGGTATCAATGGTTTTGCCGTCGTGATTGCTGCGGTGCCTATTTCGAGGACGAAGCTGGTCGCACCCACCACGAGAAGGGTTGCGAATATGGACGCTTGAGGTATAATCTGCGTTCCCTACGCGGACGAGTAGTATGTATACTGACAAACCTTTAGGGAAATGATTCGCTAGGGCTTGCTAGCTCTAACGAAGCTTCCTGCAATCAATCAGGCCACTGACAAGCAAGTGAGTAAACATCTCGCGAGCCTTTTAATTCACTAACCCTGCCGCTAGATAGCTGTAACTCAGGGATCCATCGGTGCCACTGTCTATAAAATCTTCTCGACCACTCAAATTGCTCCTTCGACACTCAACAGCAAACTCGGCACAACTCCCGCTTGACTCCGAACACACAACGGTGCCAAATACCTAGATTGAAGCAGCACCATCTAGCTTCCCAACATGGACCGAAAGTACTACGGCACCGTCGGCGCTACAGTGACACTCCTGGCTGCCCTCCTCTTCATTCCCACACCTGAATCCAAAACAGTCTGTGCGAATGCCAGCAGCCAGCCATTGGCCTCCCTAATCCCCGTCTTCATGGCCCTCGGCGACCCAATCCTGCGCCAAGCACTCGCAGTCATCACCGGCTCATCCGAGAACTCAGACTACGCTCTCCCCCTGAGCTTCAGCTGGCTCAATTATATGCTCTCAGCCCTGACAAACGTTTTCTCCGGCCAGCGCGGCCTGATGCCCGACCCCGAGCTCGACTGCACACTCATGAACATGCAGTCCGGCGAATCGCGCAAGAACCGGTCCTGGCTGCTCTCCCGCCTCGTTCGGAACCTGGAGAAGCAGGCCGGCTGCGGCACCAGCGGCCTGAGCGTCTCTATCTTCTACGCTGGCACAGGCGGACGGCCGTCGCAGGTCGGCTCGGGACTCCCCACGGCGCTGTTCGACGTTGGAAACATTACCGCGCTCGTGCAGATCCTCGTCGCTGCTGTGCCTTGGTGCATGTACCGCGACCCCACCGTGCTCATGCTCACGGCGTTCGGCCTTACGCTTTCGAACCTCGTGGTGACGATGCCAGTGTGGCGGGCTGAGAAGTTCACTGCGCGTCGGGAGGGCGCGAAGAAGGGCGTGTATGCTCTGATGCGTGGGAGTGGACATCGGCACGTTTTTATTATTCGGAGCCTTCACTCCGAGAGCCTGGATCTTGAGGAGCTCGCTGTTGCTGCAGTCACCAATTACGACTGGTTCGGCACGGGCGAGGGCTGGGTTGTCTGCGGTGTCACTGTGGGCTGGTTTATCTTTACCATCCTGGCTGCGCGCCTCCGGGCTCACGCTGGGTACCTTCTCGCAGCTATGGCCCTTGGGACTATCTCCACGATCTTCATCGCTTCGTTCCCTTGGACTCCTCGAGCCCATGGTATCCCTGCCACTGTCGACCATACCATCTCTCATCCGAACAAGGCAATGGACGCTCTCCAGGAGCTTGAGGAGACATATCCTGGCTATGGCGAGAAGCTCCTCAAGACGTTCTTCCCCGGCTCTCTGCATCCGGATGAGGAGCGCTGGTGGGCTGAGCGCAAGCAGAAGCAGGAGGCGAGCAAATCTATCAAGGACAAGTCCAGCAATGGCTTGAAGTACAATGTTCCTGATACGCCGGATTCGTCTCCCGAGGTCGTTGGAATGGACGGTGGAGAGGATGTCCCTGATGTCTCTGAGGGTAAGAAAGAGGAGGGTGTTCGAGGCGAGTGTGATGGATCGGTTGGTAGGCCTGAAAACACGGTGAAGCTGGATGCATTGTAGACTGCGTTTTTGAGGTGCTGTCCTCATTCGTGGTTCGGTTTTCTCTCACGGTCGGAGGTGTTAACGTCCATGGTTTTCTGAACCTGTCTCGCAATTACGGCTATCGGTTCTCCATTTGATTGGCGTCCTTTGAGAAATCTAGGCGTTTTGGTAAACGTAGCGTAGTGTGTGCGGGATGACTGGCGCGACTGGCATCCTGCAGAATGTAAAAGAGTATCGGATATGTTGTCTTCTTGGTCATCTTACAACAGTGCTACAACCATGCCAACAATACCCACGACGATATACCCCATCGCCGCCACCGCTCCTGCACCTCCCTCCTTATCCTGCACCTGATTCCCCTGCGTGTCCGCACCCCCATCCGCACCTCCCCTCCCCGTCGCAGTCGCCCTCGCCGCCCCAGTCTTAGTCCCCGTTGGCGTCTTCGTCGGCACCCTACTACTTGTCACACTAACCACCACGGTCTCGTTACCCGTCGCCGTCCTAACCAGCCACTGCGCCGCCTCCTGATCATACAGCTTAAAGTAATTCAAATGCTGCTCGACATCGACGGGCGAGCTGCCCACGGCACAAATCGGATCCCCGATATTGCACCACTCGCGCAGGAGGCCCTTGTCGGCGAACGCGTTGAGGCCGTCGAGTTGCGTGCCGTTGCGTGGGTCGGTGCCGTTGTAGTCCTTGCCGCCTTTGACGGTGTAGGGTTGGTTGGCGGTGCGGCGGACGGCGCCGAAGATGGCTGCTGCAACAACTGCGGCAGTGTTAGATCTCAGTGTGGAAGGGGGAGGAGGGGGAGAGGGAAAGGAGCTTACTATTCGACCCCGGTGATGTTTCCGGGTCCATAGCCGGATTATCAGCTTGCACGCACTCAAACGCCGGGCCTCCGCCTCCACCTAGCACATCCAACGCGACGCTCCCTCCCTGCGAGAACCCCAGCAGAATCAACTTGCTCTGCGGACACCGCTCCGCGTACTCCTTCATCTGCAGCTGGCCCGCATTGGCCCCCTTCGCCGCGCTCAAACACCACATCTCCTGCCCCGCGTACGTGCTGTTCGCCGGATACACAATATTCTCATATCCGCACGATACATCCGACGCATCGGGATCCGTATCTGGGTGCGGATTGCCCGTGAGCGTTTCGCACACGAGGCGGATGAGCGAGCCGAGATGGCCTGGGTAGCCGGAGTCGGAGCCCCGCGCGAGGAAGGCGTGGTAGGTTTGGCAGTCGGAAGATTGGAGCGCGTTGAGGACGGGGTCCTGGCAGGGGACGGGGGCTTCGCATTGGGCGAGCGTGGAGGGCGTGTGTAGGAATACGAGCGCGAGGACGGTAGTAGCTGTTGGAAAATGCATCGCGACACAGAATTAAAAGAGTGTATGTGCTAAGTAGACCCCAAACAAAAAGAAATATTAAAGCGACAGTACAAGAAAAACGGTCTCAAGTAAGAGAAACCCAAAAAGAAGTGTGTGAGAGAGAGGAAGCAGAAAGCAAAGCCACGAGCAAAAAGCAGGGAACAGCCACATTTTGTTTCTGCAGCCCTCCGCGGCGCCAATCTTGCGTGCGTACTAGCCAAGAAACCGAAAGCCTGCGATCTTGACCGAATGGACCGCAGCTCCTGTTTTCCGTGGGGGCTACTCGTTCGCCAAGAGGAAGCCGTGCCGTGCGTGCCGTTCGCTAAGGATCTCCAACACCGACCAGCTTCCGCCAAGTGTAAGGCGAGCCGTGTGGCGTTGATAATAGGGGGAAGACATCACGCATGGGCTTTGCACATTCGCATCGACTGCGCCTCTGATTATTAGCATAGGGATACGTCGCGGTCCTCACTTCTGTCCGGACTCCTAAGAATCCACTATGCCCCGTTCCCTACAGAGCATTTGCTCACGCGAAGACCGATTGTAGATTCACCTGACTCTTTGCTATCAGAAGATCGACTCCTGCGGTTAGTGTAAGGTAGCCGAGTTCGCAGGTGGGTGTTCTACGCCGTGTGCTGAAGATGGTGTGATGATTGCCTTACATTTAGGAGACGTGAGACTCTTCGTTTGACAGCCTACCCTTAGTTTTCCCAGGAGTAGGTCGGGGGTTTTATTTTCTTTCCGGCGTGAAATGAAAGAGTTTGGGACAATCGTTGTCGTCACTGGGTGTGGCGGGCGCTGGGACAGCCTCTGGCCAGATCTCGACTTGATCTACGATTGGCGCCCTGAAACGGTCTACTTTGGGACCCAAAATGGGCCTACGGCTAGCCAGGCACAAGCGGGGATTGGTAGATCACACTAGGGGAACAGTGAATGGGTCACTTGGGCTACTATTGCAATGGTCACTGTATGGAAAACCAAAGATCGCTCTGCGGATGTTGAAGCCGAACCCAATAGGAGATGCAGTGAGTATGTCGTCACTGGCTTTTTCCTCCCCGTCAATGTTCGTCATCTCTCGCTAAATGCAGCGCACCAGCATAACGCTTCTCGGCCTCCTAATATCGACCGTTAGCCGCCACCGGCGGCGCATTTCCGGCACGTCCGTTTCCGGCATGCCCATGGTGAACGGCCTTCTCTTCTTCGACAGCAGAAAGCCTAGCCCTGCGGCGGTGGTCTCTAACCTCGTGGAAGGCGGCGGTGATGGCGTGAAGAAGACTAGATACAACGCGTCAGTCCTGAGAACGATGGCGCTGGCTGATTTCGAAAACTTACGTGCTGATAATGGCCAGGATGAAAGTGCCCCAAGGCAGATTGCACGAGTCGTCCTTGTCATTCGCCGTTGCGCCCGTGACATTGTCCTCATTGCGAAGGTGTCCAGCAGAGTAGCAATGCCGTGGGCCAGCGTTCCCGCCGTTTGGAGAAGTAATGACAGCGACCGCAATGAAGGCACCCACAAAGGCAATGTCGAGCACAACCCACAGCCAGCGTAACCGCCTAGATCCAGGGCTGCTGTTCCGCTTGATGCAAGAGAGTAAGGTGGTGATGAGGGTGTACAGGACAGCCGCGGCGAGAATGCCCTCAACAGCGCCGTACGAGCCCGAGACGCCGCGACGGGTCTTAATCGAGTTGACCAAACGATAGACCTTGTAGACACGCTGGGAGAAGATGCCGAGAGAGACGACGGAAGAGATGAATTGGAGCACGCGGGTCAGGCGGAGGAACCATCGGAAGAGAGCCGAGTGCTTGAGCTTGTCGGGCACGAAGCGTGTGAGGAGTCCGGTAGGCCGCTCGCGGTCGTCGTGGACGGGTCCGTCAACAGGGCCATCGATAGGGCGCCGCTCCATCGCGTAGGTTTCGTTGAAGATTTGGGTGCTTGAAGGGGAATGTCCGATGGAAGATAGGGTTACCAGAAGATGAGGGTGGGTACAGGTTGTGAGATGCGCAAGGTGGTGTTTGCTTAAAGACGGAAGAGTAGTCGTGGAGAAGATCGAGTTCTTATGGGCAGAGAACGGTACCTAGGTACACAAACATCACCGTCACCGCCACGTAACTGTACCGCCACATGACAACGAAAACTAGGCTCCTATCCTTGCAGAAACGACGATGGAGTGATTCCAAGGTTTGACAGTGGTACCATGACAGCATAGCCGGAGCGCTTAGCCGGTGATGTCAGGTTGACCGCATGGACTTGTAGGATATGACGACTCTCGAGGCACGTCACATAATATCGGGCTTTGTGCCACGCGACCGCGCAAAAGCCCTGGAGTGCTTCAATGCTTCCGCGTAGTAGATGCAATACGCAGTTTGTCGCCGTAAAGCGCATTATGCTTTACAGGGTTGAGAGGGAAAGGCTGCTAGGTAGAAGGGCGTACGTCCTCGAGAAGTACCGGTAGCAACGACTTCGCCGCGAGAACCCAGCGGACATCAAAGAACTCTAGGAGGGGACCTCAACCGTGTGGAAGGATATCCACGGTTCAGAAACAACGGGATGACGACATTTCGTCCAGAAGGGATCCAGCACCCTTTCGTCAGGTCGGAATTACCAGCCGAACCGCGCAATTCCACCGTTCCAGGTCGCCCACAGACTTATATCGCCAAACTCATTCCCCTCCATAAACTTCAGACATCGTATCCTACTCTCAGCGGATTTATCCTTGCCGCCGTCGTGCCGGAATTCTTTCACTGTTTTTCCCGTCCACATATTGTGTACCCTAACAACGGCACTCGACGTCGACGGATCCTGTGCAGCGGCTATTAGGCCTAGTCTCGGATCGACGTCCATATCTAGCTCTAGATCGTCAGGATTCGACTGCTGGAAGCTCAGAATTGGCTGAGACCACCCCTTGGACGTGATACGGTTCAATCTTCGGCGTTTTCTGCTGTAACGAATTTCTGGATTCAGCGATTGGAAGTACTGCTCGCTGTAGTGTTGGTTGCCTTTGTTGCGAGAGAATCGAATATCATACAGGAATAGACTATCCTGGAGGCCTGCGCAGAGAATGCGGGTAAGATCGTCGGCGCGCCGCAATCGAGAGACGGGGTACGGGTGAGTGAGTATATGTGAAGACTGAGTTTGGAGATGTGGATTAGTGATCCTGGCGTGCTTCAAAGCGTAGGAATGTACTTACACCGTTTGATCGCGTGTCATACAGACGGATCTTTCCATCACGGCAGCCGAGGACGATCGTCGCAGGATTTAGCCAGTCGACAGCGAGTATATCTGCGTCGGAATGGAGCACGGTAGAGGAGTCCCAGGATCCTGATGGTGAGCGCGTGAAGAGGAGCAGCGAATGGGATGCAGCGACGGCCAGGCTCTCCGTCTGCGTTGCTGGAACAGTGTCACTGTGAGCGAAGGTTTCCGGTCGTGATGCGGCACCCCAGATCGCCGTACAGCTTTTTGGCGTAAACTGTTGGTTTACGTAGGGTCCATCTCGGTCAGGATCAGACAGATAGACCTGCGAAGATCGCATATGGATTAGCAATTGTTTTGTCAGGCAGATTGGGTATTCATCTATTGAGGCTCTTCAGGGTGGCTATTGCCAGTCAAGACTTGCTTGCATGTCAACGTACCACTGGAGGCCTATCCGAGCCATATGTTGTCGCCGCTAAGGCCCCAGACGCAGGTAGATAATTGAGCGACGATATCGGAGACGTAAGTCGAGCCAGCTCATCCCAGGGTTCGAAAGAGTACTCGTTCAGAGGCACAGCGTCGCCGTAGTCCCCCAAGTCGAGATCTACGCTCGGAAGCGGCACGCCGTCGGGAGTGTTGAGTCGTCGCCGTTTGATTCTGTTTTCGCCATAGACTGCATAAAGTGTTTTCGTCGCTGGATCACGGTCGAAGAGGCGAATCGAGGCTTCTTCCGGTCGCTCGACGACCTTTTGAGGTCGATGCTGCAAACCAGAAGCACAAGCATCTGGCCATACATTCTGCAGATAATACGATCTCCTTCTGCTGCGCAAGTAGAATTGAACGTCAGCATACATATTTATCTCGGCTCCACGCAACCTGCTGAAGGCCTTCGAATACGGCTTTTCACAGGCGTTAATGATGGCCTCCTTACCAGCCAATCTCCCTATCTAGGCTTGCCCGTGTCAAGAAATCCCTTGAATACTTTCTCACGACCGTCTCTTTCCGGCATTTGCTCAAACGCGCTGCCTCATCTTTCAGGGCTTTCTCCTTCTTTTGCTCCTTCCGGACGTTCTCTAGGGAGTATTTCGAACCCGGAGGTGGCACCGTATGCGGGTTCTGAATTTTGAAGTATTTTTTCTTTTCTTTGTCGAAGTAAAATCCCGGAATCTCACGCCCATCCATGACGGGCAGGGCTCTCAGTGCTTGCTAGCTCAGAGTTGGCAAAGGTCGTCCTGGGGGGTGTGGTGGGTGTAGTACTTCTGGGATTGATTTTGGCTGGTCTTATAGGATGCGCGGAGCAGCAGTGACAGGTTTGTCTGTACGAAGATTAATCCCCTGCGGCCTGGAGAGGCTTGTGCATCCTTGGAGTTCGGCCAAGAGTTGACCGGCGGAGGGGGAGCCGTGGAGGTATTTAGTGGACGTGTGTTGTGCCTGCGGGACGTTCACAAGTTGCGAAGCGCTCGAGTTAGACGCGAAATTTCTTATCGATAGCGGCGTCGTTTCCTCCGAGGCATGACGCCATTGGTTCCGCATCATTGTGACAGCGGAGGCGTCAACTCCTCTTCTATAACTTCTAATTCTCCATCTGCCCGTTCCGCCTTATTTCATCTCCTCTTGCGTACCGGCCCATGCTTTTGCGGACACTCAGCACCAGATTCGTGCTATTCCCCGGAAACGCCTGGAATATCGGAGGCTCCGCACGCAACTTCACGAGCTCTATGCGTCTATCCCAACTCATGGCGCATCTTGAGAACTCTGCTCCCAACGGGACGCCGGGCCCGAATGCCTCGTACGCCCTGCGAGACTTGCCGAAATCGAACGTCTTCACCCGGAACCTACCCGCTGATCCCGCGTTCGCCTCCCCCGCGGATTCCCACAATGCACCTCGACAACAGCTCGGACCGCGTCTAGTAAAGGACGCATTATATACATATGTACGGCCAGAGAAGACCGAAGATCCGGAGCTATTATGCGTAAGCCAGCGCGCAATACAGGACATCGGGCTCAAAGAGGAGGAAGCACAATCCGAAGAGTTCAAGGAATTCGTAGCCGGAAACAAAATCTTCTGGGATGAAAAAGAGCACGCAGAAAAGGGCGGCATATACCCGTGGGCCCAATGCTACGGCGGCTACCAATTCGGCCAATGGGCCGGCCAACTCGGCGACGGCCGCGCAATCTCCCTGTTCGAATCCACAAACCCCCAATCCGGCACGCGCTACGAGATCCAGCTCAAAGGCGCAGGACGAACGCCCTACTCGCGGTTCGCAGACGGGAAGGCTGTTCTGCGCTCCTCGATCCGCGAGTTCGTCGTCTCGGAATACCTCAATGCGATTGGCATACCCACCACAAGAGCGCTGGCCCTCACACTCTGTAAAGACAGCAAAGTCAGGAGAGAAAGATTGGAGCCCGGAGCCATCGTAACTCGCTTCGCACAATCGTGGATCAGACTCGGCACCTTCGACCTCCCCCGTATGCGCGGCGACCGCAAATTGCTCCGCCAGCTCGCCGACTACACCGCCGAGCACGTCTACGCCGGCTGGGAAAACCTCCCCTCCAAACTCCCCTCTGGCGACGCAAAAACAGCACACACCCAGACTAAAACCAGAATACCAAAGGATACAGTCGAAGGCGAGGGCTTGGAGGAAGAAAACCGCTATACGCGCCTCTACCGTGCCATCCTGCGCGCTAACGCCCTCACAGTGGCTAAATGGCAGGCGTATGGCTTCATGAACGGCGTGCTCAACACGGATAATACATCCATCTTGGGTCTCTCGATCGACTTCGGTCCCTTCGCTTTCCTGGATACCTTTGATCCGATGTACACGCCGAATCATGATGACCACATGCTGCGGTACTCGTACCGGAATCAGCCGACGATAATCTGGTGGAATATAGTCCGGCTAGGCGAGGCGCTGGGTGAGCTCATGGGCGCGGGGAAGGATGTGGATTCCGAGACCTTCATCGAGAAGGGTGTCACGGAGGAGCAGGCTGACGAGCTAGTTAAGCGGGCGGAAGGCATCATCGACCGGTGCGGGGAGGAGTACAAAGCCGTCTTCATGGACGAGTACAAGCGCCTCATGACCGCACGGCTTGGTCTCAAATCGCACAAGGAATCCGATTTCGAGGACCTGTTCTCCGAGCTCCTGGATTTCCTGGAGGCGTACGAGCTAGATTTCCACCATGCCTTCCGCAGGCTATCAGCGTTCAAGCTTTCCGAGCTGGAAACGGAGCAGAGCAGGAAAGACGTCGCAGGCCGCTTTTTCCGCTCCGGCGAAGCACCGCGTCAGGAAGCCGAGAGCCGCGAGCGGACAGCGAAGTGGCTCGAGAAATGGGGCGCTCGCGTCAAGGAAGACTGGGGTGAGGGGAAGGACGAGGCGCGGCAGGCTGCTATGCATAGGGTGAATCCAAAGGTATGTTTATCTCCTGTCCTTCCCTCTTTAGTAGGACGCATTGGCTGACTCGACATAGTTTGTCCCCCGCTCCTGGATCCTCGACGAACTGATCGAGCGCGTGGAGAAGAAAGGAGAGCGGGACATCCTGCCCGAGATAATGAAACTTAATCTGAATCCGTTCAACGAGCATTGGGGATGGAATGAGGGTGAGGAAGAGAGGTTCTGCGGCGATGTGCCAAAGTATAAGGGCATGATGCAGTGTAGTTGTAGTTCGTAGATGGACGGACATCGGGAGGAAGGCTTGGTACATAAGTACTAAATAAGCACTGCACAACCATTGGGGTTATGTAAGATTATGGCAGTGGAATATACTAGCTGCTATCTAAAAAGGCCGGGTGACCTACCTAATCCACACCCCCAACAAGATACTCCCCAACCTCCAAACCCACCACTCTCCCCAAACTCCTCACGTACTCCCACCCAAACCCCACCCTCCACCTCGCGCCGGCATCCAACACATCGCTACTCCCCCCCGCAACCCCCACCCTAACCAACAACCTCAAGCTCGTCAGCGTCGCAATCTGTGTCAACAAATCCGCCAACTGCGGCACAGTCCCATCCAACAGCGCCCTAAAAATGGCCAGTAGCCTGTCAAGACTAAACGGGCTGGGTGTCAACAGATGCCGCGAGATCTTGCGGTGTTTGGAAGCCGTGGTGGAGGAAAAGGCGCGGCGCTTGTTGCGACGCTTGTCCGTGTGCTTCATGAAGTAGGTTATGTCGGTGCGCGAGGGGTTGTAGGAGGCGAGGTAGGCTGCGATGAGGAGGTAGGTGGTGTAGTAGGGGAGGGAGTGGGTGATTGTGCGGGTGTTTCGCTTTGTGCTTGGGGTTGTGGGGAGCGTTGTTCCTGAGGGAGCGGTGGATGAGAGTTGTGTGGAGGTGGGGATGATGCGATCTAGAACGCTATCCTCGAGCTGGAACAGGTGTCGTCTGTTGACCATCAGCCTGCTGAAATCTCGCGTCCCGAATTGCCCGGCAACGATGGGCTCCACGAACGGCCACCATAGCCTCATGGCGCAGTTCTTGAAGCTTGCGAGATCGCGTCCCGTGTGTTTGGATAGCGAGTCATAGACTGCCCCGAGGAAACGACCCCAGAGCCAGGCGTCGTCTTCGGCGGCGAGGTCAAGTGTGTAGTCTGGGAATTTCTCGGTAGATGGTGGTGTGAGGAAGATGTTCGGGGGTCGTTGGGAGAGGATGGTAAGGAGAGAGGAGCGCGGGTAGGGCGTAAACTGGAGGTGTGGGATGCCGGGTTTGTGGAGGGCGTGTGTTTGCGGGAGGGTGGTTATGAGGATCACGGAGAGGTTGGGGATCTGTGAGGTATTAGCAGAGCTGCTAATGGAAGCTGGGTGAAATGAAGGGAGAGTTAAAGGACAATCATGACCACATGAAGAAAGCAGACTCACAATCTCCCCAAACCTCGCTAGAGCAGCCATCAGCGTAGGCGGAGCCTCCCTCTGCCTATCAATCCCATCTAGCACAAGCACAAACTTCCCCTTCCCCTCCAGCATCTTCTGCAAATTCACAGTTAAGCTACTCAGATTTTCCGTCCGCGCATACGGTCTCCTATCCGTCCGCTCATCGTCGTACTCGTCCAGCGCATCGAGACAAGACGCAACAATTCGCTCAAGCAGATGCCGTCCCGTTATGCATTCTCGCGACTTGACAACGGCGAAAGGAAGAGACGATAGCTGAAGGTACGACTTAACGATCGAGGATTTCCCGGTTGCGGTCAGTCCGTGGGCGACGAGGAGAGGCGGGGAGGGAAGATGCTGCTGGAGGAGGTTAGCGAGTCGTCACAAGTTGGGAGATGTGGTAGCGGACAGAGTAGAGTGCAGCCAGCTGGTGGATCTGTGTTTCCCGGCATGGGAATTCCCTATTGAGTTGCTCGAGGATCTCGTCGGGGAGCATGGTTGCGGTGAAGATTCTGGCGTTGAAGGGTGATGCTGAATGAGGTTGAAGTGGATCGACGCGCTAGCGACGCGGGTCGCGTTAGCACGTGCCCCTGAAGTTCACTGAATATCAAGTATGTAGGAAGCTTAAGTACTCAGTGTCCGTCATGTCCTCGCACCCAGTGCGAAATTAAATCTATTTTATGCTCTAGGCCTGGGCCAGTAGTCTATGTCTTGCTAAGAAAGCCTATCCAACAAAACCAATCCGGTGGTCCCAAATCTAAACATGCAGGGTATCCTTAATGCGCGCTTCCGTCTCCTTATCCTTGCTCTGCCATTCCCATACCAAAAACTTCCAGTTCAACTCGCTCGGACGCCAGAACATGCCATGTTGCAAACCCTTCCCGGGATTGCTGGGATTGCCCGCAGTGTCTGCCGTCATGCCGCCCGTCAACGGCATCCTCTTTCCGAAGACGCAGCGCCTAAACCTCGAGTGCAGTATAGCCATCGAGCACATGACGCACGGCTCATGCGTCATGTATATGTCCAGGTCCACGCACAAATATCCGTTCGCTGGGATGTTGTCTTGTTCGTAGTATTGCTTCTCGATGTCTGTGAGGGGGATGTCGCAGAACAACGAGCGGTCGAGGAGCGTCGGATCGGCACCTGCAAGTCGGAGTCGCTTTTTGGCGACCATAGCGATTGCGCGATGGACTGCATGTGCCATGACGTTCCCGGGGTAGATGTGGGCTTCGGTGGCGCCGCTGGGAGAGCGCCAGCGACAGTCGCCTGCCACGGCGATGACCTCGGGTGTCCCGCGCGTTCGGTCCACGACCACACAGCCAATGCTCTCCCCCAGCTCCATCTGGGATATGTGGCAGCCGGCCGACTCTGCGAGGGAAAGCCAGTCGCCTGCTTCGGCTTCGATCTCGGCCGTGTTCCGTGCGACAAGGCTCGGATGCGGTCCGTATGGGTTCGTGTTCTTATACGCGATGGGCCAGTATTGCACGCTCCATTGCTCTGCCTGCTCTGCCGACGTGGGAGCAAGCGCGGGAACCGTCACATAGAATATCCTCGGCGGGGTCTTGAGCGTATTGAAGGGAGGATTTTCACGAAGCGTGGCGAAGAGCTCGGCGTGCTGGAGGAAGCGAGTCGGGCAGAGGATGAAATAGCGCACTGCATCCACATCTTCAGTACTGGAGTCTTCAATACTCTCGTCCTCTGTTGGGGAGGGAGGCAGAGGGGTAGAGGTGGGAGATAAGGATAATGGGGTGGTATCCTCATCACCTCTCTGCAGCCTTCCCGGCGGATAGAACTGTTTCTGTAGATGCGGCGGTAGGTATTTGAATTGCACCACGCGGCGCAGGTGCGATATCTCGGCTGACTTGAAGGCCGGAAGAGCTGCTTGGACAACACTGCGCCATTAGCAGGGCGACAACACGACCGAAGGAGGGTATGAGCAGCTCACTCCTTCACCAGGTTGGCATAGCGGGCGGAGATCTCGACCACGTAGACGCTGTGTGTTTCGAGGCTGGCGCGCACTTCGTCCTTGGTCCTCAACGGGACGAGCTGGCCGCTGAGGACGGCAGCGTCGGCACCCATGGCGTCTTCGGTGTTTGGTGGTGGAGGGTTGGTCGGCGACGGGCTGGACAAAGCTTTCCACGCCGAGCTTCGAATGCGCCTGCCTCTACCTCCTCAAGCCGACCGCACTCCGTCGTGCACACATCACGGCCTAGTAAGACCGATCAGTCGACCTCGCCTGCCATATGCGTGAACATCGCTGTGCGCGATGATGAAGTCTGCCCAGGTGCCGTGGAAGCTGCAATGGGCGGCTCCCTCCGAGGTTCGGAGAAAAGTTATGCCGACCTACCCCAAACCTCCCCCGCAACAACTCCAGCAAATGATCATCAAGGATGGCCCCCGCACGAGTCAAGCGCCGGAAACCATTAGGCTAGTGACGCTGGAAAAGGGCCGGTGAGAGGCCCTAGCCCGGCATTCTCGACCTCAAATGCAACTGCCGATCGGAACGCACCCGCTCTCCAGCTGGACCGCCCCCAGGCGGGATCGGCAAAAGCGGTCGTCGCCATGTAGATATCATCGGCCCAAGTATCCCTTCTCGCTTCTGTCCTTCTCTCCTGCGCGATTTAGCTCTACTATAGCCTGTCAGTTGGGACCCCTTGGAGCAAGCGGATCGAGCATCTCAATATCTTCAGTCCACCCCTGCACTGTTCGGATAGAGCCAGCATGGATACAAAAGAGGAGGTCACAAACGTGGAAAACGTTGCCAATCCTTCGGCACACAGATCCCACGATGTTGATGCCCACATCGTCCCTCTCGAGCAAGAAGCCTACGAAGACGTGACGCATATCAACCTGACATGGAGGTCATGGCTCGTAGTCTTCATCACCGCCTGGGCGTAAGTGTTCTACTGCCTCTGCTCTCGCATACTCACATTGTATTAGCATCATGGCTCAAGTGTTCGTCGTCACGGCAGCGGGCACTGTCATAGCATTTATCATCCGCGATCTAGGCGAACCTGCAATAGCAGGGTGGATTATACAGGTAAATGATCCTATTCGTGTCCCCACATCGATGCCAGGATTGCTGGTCAGACTTTCTGAAAGCTGGCTGACACGATCAGGGTCCTCTCCTTATGCAATCCGTGCTGTCTCCCCTCGTGGGCCGCCTCTCTGATGTGCTCGATCGCAAACTATTTGCCTCAATTCCGCCTTTAGTCGCCTTTGCCGGTAGCATCGTCTGTGCCAAAGCTACGGATATGAACACGCTCATCGGAGGTGGCATTCTGATTGGCGTTACTCTTTCTACGATATCGATCGTTCAAGCTATTCCCTCGGAAATCCTGCCACTAAAATATAGGGCGCTAGCGAACTGGTTTTCTTACATGGGTGGCGCAATCGGCGGACTGTGAGTACATTGTGCCCTTCATAGGGTGATCGAGAGCGGAATATTCGGTCACAGATGCAAATTTGATGCGTGGTCTGACTTTTTGTAGCGTCGGTGGTCTGGGAGCAGGGGCCGTCACGAATGTCAATCCCTCAGGCTGGCGAAATATATTCTGGATTCAGGCAGCATTCCATGGTTTCACCTCAGTCGGCCTACTAGCCTTCTACTGGCCCAAGAAACGCACCGATTATCCAAAGATGAGCTTTAAAGAGTGGACCTGGGCCTGTGATCCTATTGGCAGCCTCCTGTTTATCGCTAGCGCTACCCTTATGCTTCTTGCCCTAAATTGGGCAGGGGGAACATACGCATGGAGTGATCCCCATGTATGCGCGAACTTGGTGGTAGGAATTGTCTTGCTTATTGCATTCGGCGTATACGGTGCGTTTCTCCTCAACCACTCATTGCAGAATATATACTGATTGAGGACAGAGTGGAAGGGGCGAACGGACGGTATGGTGGCCCACGTGTTCTTCAGTAACGGCCCTAACTTCTGGTTGGCGACATTTGCTTTTGCGGTCGAGGGGTAAGCTTCCCCTGTGGACACTAAAGTCAGACAACTAATAGACCGTGCGATCAGATGGATCTTCTACTCTGCAGTAAACTCCATCACGCCCCAGATCATTTTGAACCTGGGATTTGAGGACAATTCCTGGTCCATCGCTATCCGCCAACTGGCATTCCAGATCCCTAGCATCGCGTTCTCAATGGTCGTCACCTGGTGGGCGACGAGATTCAAGGACCTGAGTGAGTCGCTTTACCACAACGTCCACAAACCATGCTGATTATCGTCCCTTCCACAGAGTCGCCTTTGATCGCTACATTCGGAGTCTTTCTCATAGTAACAATATGTTACGCCTGCATCCGCCCCGCTTGGTCGACCCCCCAGATCGTCTTCGCAGTCTTGGCTGGCATCGGCCAATCTGGGCCTCTGACGCTTCTTGTAGCTTGTGTCCAATTTACAGCACCTCACGCTTTTTTATCTACTGCGACGGGATTAGCATTCTCAGCTCGAGCCATCGGTGGCGCATTCGGCTCAGCGGTCATCAACGCCATCATCAACGGCCGCCTCAACTCGCACTACGCTTCCGACGTCAGCTCCGCAGCCGTCGCCGCTGGTCTCCCTGCATCTTCCGTTTCCTCCCTTCTCGAAGCGATGAGCGAAGGAACGGCGTCCACTGTCCGAGGTCAGGGCATCGCGGGTGCGAATGAGGGCATAATGAGAGCAGCTTGGGAGGCAAGCTACCGGTCTTATGCGAAAGCGTATGGACTGGGCTGGTGGAGCATTGTTCCATTCGTGGTGCTGGCGACTGTGGGTGTAGGGTGCATGAGAGGTGTGAAGGAGTTGATGACGGAGAAGGTCGAGGCTACTGTTGAGAGGAGCAGCGATGAAACAGCGCCGGAGAAGAGCACGGCGTAAAAACGAGTGCATTGCTATATGGTTGGGGAGTGCTCAACCCGCTAATGGTAAGCGGCTTTGAAGCTGGAAGGAGTGGTGATAGATTCGAGCAATTCGACCGTCTCTCACCTGCAGCCGTCGGGCATCTCGTCTCTATTTGATATATCAAGGCCAGTACTAAAGTGCCTATGGCAGAGTGCATCTTAACCGCCTTCACTCACTCCTTTCCACACCTTTTCAGCCAATCGGGTTTCCAGAAAACTGCTGGCAACTCAAGGCCTTCTCTCAACCCCCAAGCCGCAACTACGACTACAACCCCCTCCTAATCCCAACACTCAGGCCATCCTCAGCACGTAAAAACCCCACAGCGCAATCAACCCATGGCGCAAAACCCGAGCCTCCAATCCACGCCCTCCCAGGCTCAATCTGGGACCGCACCAGACGTCACCACCTGGAAGCTCTTTACCGATAGATTCGTCATCCTCCACTCCAACGCAGAAACGATCCTCCAACTCACGCCCCCGTCACTCATTTTCTCTCAGCATGACGCAGAGATCGTGCATGCGGCGATGATGCTAGAAGCTAAGATCTGTCCCGGTCAGGCGCCGGATATCGTCAAGCATGCATTCGTACGCTGGGCTTGGAACATCACGCCCGAGGGGGAGTTGAAGGAGGTGCCGCATTTGACGGTCGAGGACAGGGAGCTGTGGTATCAGCTGATGGGGTCGAAGACGGTGCTGAGTGAGATTCCAGAGTGCTTTCGGAGGAATATGATGGCTCTTCCGGCTCCTCTTCTTAGGAAGCGGGGAGTAGATGAGGAGGGGCGGGGTGATGGGAGGGAGAAGCGGGCGAGGATTATGGAGCCGGCCCAGCAGGATACATCTGAGGAAGTGAGTGGTTTAGCTGTCGTTGGGATGGAAGGAGAGAAACTGACTTACTTAGGTGACGAAGCAGACGTCGAGCAAGGTCGAGAAGTATGTGTCTGCTGAGGACCTAGGCCAATTCAAGAAGCAAATGCTGGAGGCATGTTCCCCGCCAAATGAGCCCCACGTGCATTGCTGACGATAGCAGATGTTCACGGAATCCCAAACGAGGAAGGAGCAAGCGCCTATCAAGCAGATAGCCGACATAAAGAAGCAAGTCCAAGAGGTATGATACATCTCCGATACCCCCAAGTGCGCTGCTGACGTTCCTAGATCATCACAGGAAGGAAGAAGCTCGATTCACAGCTGCAGGAAATTGCTCAGCTGAAAGAACAAATTCTCAAGGTAATCAAGACGAGCGCTTCTTACTCAAGCTTATCTGACCAGTCACAGATGCAAGCCTGGCAGGAAGGTAAAGCCGACATCCTCCGCTTCGCCCTTCTCACGATCGCCTACTTGGTATTGAACCGAGAAAATGAAAACCTCAGCGACGATGCAAACGTCAAGTTGCTGGAATTCCTCCAGAAGGAGCTTGTCTGCATCAAGCGAACTGGCGACTTTTCCCGCGAAAAGGCCGAGAAAATGGTGAGATACCTCATCCTGGAGGAGGATTGGTTGGAGAGCGAGACGACCGAGGAATGGCAAAAGGCGTTGGAGAAGTTCAACCAGAAGCTGGAGATCTAGGTATTCCTGATCTCTAGGGGTTGGCAGTTTAGAGGAGTGAGTGTTTCCACCCTAAAGCCAATTTTGTCATCTGACATGTGTGCTATAGGTTTACGTCCATATGGAGTATATGAAACTTTCCGATTTAGGCTCTGAATTGCTGTATGGTTAGACGACGGCGTGGCAAAAGCGCTTCTTCCGACCATGAGACAAATGGAGAGGGCAATCCTTGGCTGGAGAACACTTGGCGCTCCGGGCGTTTCTTGAAATGCGGAACACCTTTCGGGGCAGTCGGGAGCCATGTCAAACATAGAAAAACTATATTGCGGAAACGGATCATCGGGATCCATCCGGAACACCCACCCCTTTCCACGCTCTGTTCGATAGGCCCTGGAGTAGGCTCAAGCAATTCACAATAGCATCCATCGAGTCTAGTCATTCCAGGGACTCGACGTCGCTTAGGGCCTCACTAATATGGCGACTGCCCTCTGTATTCACACTACATTCTGGCATGGACAGGATAGGCCTAGCGCACTTAGCGCCTTAGCATAAATAGACTTTCTGACTTTCTACCTTCCTTTCACCCTTAGACTAATACACATCACTTTTGCATAATACTTGTTCTTGGCACTACGTACTACTGCCTAGATGCAGCGCATTTAACGACTCAAGATATAAAATGCCCTGCAGCCTCTCCTTTCCGTACGACCTCAGTATCACAACCCAACACCGAGGGACAGTTGACAAAGGCAACTCCAACACCAAGCTCAAAAATGGCTCCCTCGACCCCGTTCCCCAGCGAGTCCGCCGCCCTCTCCGAGGATGAAAAAATGCGCCGCATCTTCCTAGAAACCCTCCCGGACTTCTTCACAGACTGCCCAGAATCCATTCTCCACTGCACAAAGCCCGCCAAAACAGAGGAAATACGCACCAAAACCAACCCATACATCCCCATCCCCAGCAGCGTCGCCGGCAAGCTCTCTACGAACGCTATCCTGCACCCGCCCACCGTCGACACTCCCAACCCAGAAACCCAATCCCTCATCGACATCCGCACCCTCCCCTTCTCCCAACGCTCCGCCCTTGCCACCGGCCGCACAATCTCCATCTGGGCCGACGACTCCACCTCCCGCCCCGTCATGCCTGACATGCGCCACGCCGCCATAACCGCCATGTCGCCCGTCGCCCACGAGCAGCGCCGCCGCGTCTTCATCCTGCTCACGAACTGCTCGCGTCCCGCCATCCTCGCCATGTGCTACTTCACCCGGGACGTTGTCACCAAGGCGAATCCGCCGACGGAGCCGCGCACGGGCCCGCACCTCTGCGGCGCGATTGACGTGTATCACGCAGGGTGTGCGATGGGCATGGATGTGTATCTGGGGCCGTTGAGGGCGCGGCTGTTGAGAGAGATGGGGGAGAGGAAGGAGGAGGTTAATGTGTGGTTTTTGGAGAAAGCGAGTCAGTTGGGGAAGGGTGACCCGGTTTTGCGGCGTGCGGTCGAGGTAGCGGCTGAGATGGGGAAGGAGTTCTTGTGGAGGGAGGGGGTTGGGGAGTGGATGGGGCGGCATCCAAGGTTTTTTAGGAGGGTGGAGAAGATGAGGTGGCGGGCGCGAGTGGCGAAGTTGCATGAGGATGCGGGATATGACGAAGATCCCGCTAGGATCGGTTGGACCTAGGAGTGTGTGTAGTTTCCACGAAATTGTGCATCGGGGCTTAGAGTCAACATTTGAACGATTCGGCCGCGCCTTCTTTTTATCAAGCATCGAATTAGCACCTTGTGCAGTGGTAGAGAACTACTCACGCGCAGGGACGGCTGCTGTTTAACCTTGGATGTAGTTGAAATGTGTAATGAGCAGGCAACCAAACGGAGCCATTCTTCTTACATATCATAAGTCACAGCCCAAAACCAAGCCCAGCAATAGCAGCACCCAGCACGAATACTGCCTTAGCTGTAGGATGGACCCCACTACCGCCCGTATACTGCTCCATCGTTGTAGTAGCCCTGGTGTAGTTCCAATTTTGTGTTCCGTTTGAACGCCCTGTTCCGGATGACATGTATGGCGCCGCAGTCACCGTTTTCTCCATTACTGATACCTCCACAATAGTTTGAGTGATGGCGATTGTGGCAGCTGGAGTTGCTTTTGGTGTCGGCTCGATCAACTGACTGACCCCATAAAGCGCCGCGCAGGCGACCAGGTCCAAGCCCTACAAGGTGATGAGCATATGTAGCCAAACAGGAAGGAAGTTGGACGTGTACGAACCTCTTTGCAGCACCATGTCTTAGCCTCCACTTCTAAGAATTTACTCGAAGCGAAACAAGGAAGAAATGGCGGAATATATACTCGAGATGTACGAAGCGCATCACCAAAGAAGCACAAGGTAGCCTCTTACAAACACAAACTTCCCATTACACAAGCTACTAATCGCATTAGGCTCTAAGGAACGTTTACCTTCCACAATACTCGCACATTCTCGGCGTCAAGATTGCTTGTTAGTTAGTTACCATGACATCACGACTCCATCGTCACCGAGTCAGGAAACCAGATATCACACTAGCCGAATCCAACCGTCTGGAAAATAGTTTCTATATCGAACCATGCTGCCGCGCCATTCAAGGAACGAACACCTTCCACAAGCGCCACGTATCAGCATCAAACAATGCCCCTTCCCACCCTCCGGGCTCACCCCAACCACAAACACAACCACACGCACCTACACCACCACATCCCCCCTGCACCTTAACTCCTCCTCCTCCTCCAACTCCAAGTTCATAGGCAAGAATCTCCCAGCCAACCAATTCGACTCAAACGCCACAGACGCCCGCACAGACACGCAGGACACGGATCCACAGAGCACGGCCAGCCGGGACGAAGGAAAGCCGGGCGATGCGCATCCCGCGAAGCAGCCGGATCCGCAGCCGCAGCCGGAGAGCACGACGGGGATCGGAGGGGAAGAGGGTGAGAAGGGCGGGGAGAAAGGGATGGGGGAGAGGAGTGATCGGTAGATTGGCGGGGGGGAGATGGACATGGAGGCTATTTGACCGAGGGTAGTGCGAGTATGAGCCGTTGGTGTTGTTGCAGCAAAGAAGGCAGACGTAGATGGAGAGGAATGGAGGTGGTGGTGTGCGGATGGGTAAGGGAGGGGCGGATGCTGTGTTTGGAGTGAGGAGGCCTCGATGCTATGGTGCTGCGCAAGCTGTGACATGACAATATATCTGAATACAATAAAGGTAGCCCTAAAACCATGCCCGGATACACTTTAATACCCCGTAAATAGTTTGTCTCCTGCTGCAGTGGATCACGAAGACAATGCAGGAGTTCGGCGCGCGCGGCATTCCCATGCCCTTTAATGCACGACCCGCAACTCCTCTATGAGCGCTTCAGCTGCGCGTTCCCTTTGATAATGGCTCGGGCGATAGAAGTCACAAGCAACAAGCACGAAGAGGAACGAAGACATTGATGAGAGTGACCACCTGAATTCCTTGAGATATCTAACCAGACCAGACACACCAGACACACCAGACTAAGCCCAACCATAATAACAACCTCCTGACCATATCCTAACTGAAATCCCTGACGCGATGATGTGTTCTGTGAGAGGTCAGCTGAGTCAAGAGGAAGGAGGGGTGAGTGACTTACTGTTTGATGACGATGTGAAGGCCACCATATAATATTTTCTAAAACTCCTTTAATCACAAAGGCTAGGGCACCCGCAACCTTTGTGGTCGCGTTCCCACTGTCTGGTGAGTCAGTCCATATTCCTGAAGGCTAGGGCACCCGCAACCGATGTAGTCGCGTTCCCACTTTCTGGTGAATCAGCCCCAAATATCAGGCTAGGGCACCCGCAGCTGGCCTACTGCGTTCCCACTTTCTGGTGAGTCAGTCCATGTAGGGGATGCGAGGTGAGAGCGGATTGAGGTGTCGATGCTTCAATCTGTCTGAGTGGCTGGTTGAAGCGATGGAATGTTGAAGCGATGGAATGTTGACATGGCGGAGATTTCTTTTCTGGTGAGAGTCAGCGTGGGTCAAGGTGAGGTGAGGTGAGGTGAGGTGAAGTGAATGCAGCTCACTGATGGAAGCCAATGTCAACAACGACCGAGCTCACGACGTGAGGGCGGAATGAGGTGTCGATGCTTCAGTGTGTCTGAGCAGCTGGTAGAAGCGATGGTATGTTGACATGGCGAAGATTCTTTTCTGGCGATAGTCAGTGTGGGTCAAGGTGAGGTGAGGTGAAGGCAACTCACTGATGGAAGCCGATGTCGACGACGACGGAGCTCAAGGAGGAGATTGAGTGAGGTGGCTCATGGTAGATGTCGAGAACGACATGAGAAGATGTGACGAAGCCTTGATGGAGGGTATGGGTGAAGGCCGAACCATGAGAAGAGTGAGCTCGAAGATGGTGGGTAGAGAGTTTGAGAAGCCAGACTTGAGTGTGGACTGGAGTGGAAGGAAAAGAAGTGCAAGTTGGCGGGGGCGGGCGGGGTTTATATAGACGTACAGCAGAGGCCCGGGCTCCCTGCTCACGTGAGCTTAGCGAGCCCGGGAGATTGCGTGCTCGTCGCGGTGAGCAAGTTTCTTGGGGCTCGAAGGCTCGCGGTGAGTCTCCCAGCCAATGGGAGGGCAGCATGAGTGGCGGACGGCGCGCTGGGGCCAATTTCGAGCAGGTGAAGTCGGCGGCGCACGAGCCTCAGACCACTTCCGGCGAGGCAGCAGCTCGAGAGTGGGCTTGTGACACGTCTGCGGGCATCGACCTGCTTCTATGGAACCGGGGGCGTTGCTGATTGGGCACCCGAGCAGCCTTATCAGCTCGCTGTCGCCAGGCACTACCTCAACGCGCCATCCTCGAGCTCGTACGAGCCAATCAGCTCGGCAGGCCGAAGACAGGCAGCCTTAGCGTCACGTCATGAGGCTCGCAGAAACGATCAAAATCTTCCGGCCGCAGTATGACTCCACCGGATCTCACTGCCGGCCAAGCCGCAGCGGGTACCTGCGCAATTGCCCTCAGTGCGCAATGACTCCGCCAGATCGGGATCGACGTGCTGAGTCTCAGGCCCCAGGTCAGGCGGCGATAGTGGTGATGGTCGAGCGGAGTGTTCCGGAGGAAGGCGCGCGGTCCAGCGCCGTGGATTGCCGCGAAGACGCGTCGAGCTGCCCTCACCACCAAACAGGCAATCAGAGGTTGTGTGGGGCCGTCGAGTTGGAAGAACACACTGGCGGCATTTCCGACGTGTATTCTGTTCAATTTACCTCGGTGGCATGGTGTTTGGAAGCCGTGACATGAAATATGGTGAAGCTGCTGAAGTGACGCCAAGAGTGAACGTTGAGCCGCACGTGACTTCGTATCCAGAAGGTCCCCTCTGACAGATACTTACTTCGGAAAAGATGCTGCCCGGACACGTAGAGACGGCCCACCTCAGTACAACCCTTCTCTTCCATGACGAACGCCTGCTAGCCTTGTGAGTCTGATGATACAGCCCTGGAGGACGTTCAAAGTTGCGCATTCCCGGTCTTGGAACGAGCCTTCTCACATCGGTCCCCATCTCGTACCTTCTTTCAACGGCTCGTAACACTGGTTCCGGGTTTAACCTTGGAAGTCTGAGGACAAGGCGGACACGTCGAACAAGCCGGGCGACCGGGCTGCAATCAACAGTCTTCGATTTATACATTGACTGCCCGCAAGGCATAATGGCAGCTAAAATGCATCCCTATAAACACCCAAAGGATATCTCTTTGTTTCGTCCATCCCCAGATAGATTCATAATACATGCAATGCCTCGTAACCGGGGTGAAACAGCGCCTCCATCTCAGGCCGTGCCCGCCCATACCTATAATACCGTGGGAACCGAAATGGCTATCGGAGATCGATCCTTAGAGCGCCGACCTGTCCGTAACCCATGTAGCATCCGTAACGGTAGAATTGAACAAAAAATGGTTTCCATCACACAACGCCGCCAAATGCACAAACGTGAGATCTCTTCTTACTCCATCATGTCGATATCGCCGTCAGCGTCGATATCACCGTCCGCGTCGGGTGTCTCGCCTCTTAGAGCCGGCGGTAGTCTGCCTCTGATCTCATTAAATGCCTCTTGACAGGTACGCGCATCTTCCAGCAGGCCGTTGCGCTGGAAAGTGTTGATGCATATGCCGTACGCGACTGCCCGCCACAGCGCACTCCTTCCGCCCTTGCTGACGTTGCGAGCGGCACGCACGCATTTGATAGGCTGCTCGCCGACCTGATTTGCGAAAAACCTGCTTGCCATGTAGTTAAGACATATGGCCGTAAACTGGGTGTTGTTTATCTTTTGAGCTCGTTGAGTTGTCGTGTGGATCAGCGTCTTCTGGCGGTTAATGGACTCGTCTGCCGTGGTAATTACGCGGATTATGCGAAAGGCGCATTCGATATAGTGATTCGGGTGGTTAACACAAAGGTGTTCCAGCTGTGCATACAGCACTTGCGCGAGATAGTGGTCTGGATGTGCTGGATCCCGAATGATAAGCAGCCGATTCATCGTTGCGAGGAGTGCAATGTCCGTCTTGAAGTCGGTTCCAGATCCCACATCAGGGAGGTTGAACTCTGGGCGGGAGTAAGTCGCCAACGCTGCGTCTATCGAGCCGCTGCTTTGGTCGTGGACCCCGGACAAATACGATAGCATTCTGGCGTAAGGCTCGAGGCAATGGAAGGGTGGTTCGGCTATCCGATCCCGAAGCATAGTTAAGGCATTCTTCACGGTCGACTTGTCTTCGTGGTAGCATGCGACGACACCGAGAGCGAATTTGATGTGCCAGTCAAGGATCTTGACCCAGTTTCGTTGCGCCAATGAGACTGGTATCGACACTCTGTACGAAGACTGGCGTGGCAGAGAAGCTGTACTCGTTAGCATCCCGCCAATCCCAGCATTAGTGAAGGAAGCGTACCTTGAGTGAGCCTATGCCCCTCCTGCAGATAGCTGTTGCCTCTGTCATGAGGCAGCGAGATCATACCGCTGAGATAGTAGGCAAGCATTTTGAAATCAGACTTGGGGAGCCAAGCGAACACCAGCTCATCCCGTCCATCCTCAGCTTTGCGGAAAACGTCACCCGTAGAGAACGTCAGGTTGCCACCGAAACTCTTCTCGATTAGGACCGAAAATACACCGTTATCGGGACCCGCGTCCCGATCAGCCTTCTGCTGCAGAGCATTCAGCTTCTCTGCATTGGGCTGGCCTTGCTGAAGGCTGCAGGCAACGTCAATACAGTCGATCAGTACCGCAATCTGACCCAGCTGCCTTTCCGAGGTCTGAAGCTGAAGACTTCGTGCTGACGCAATGGCGCGTTGGGCGTGCTCGAGACGGTCTGGTGCGGTTGTCCTCAAGTGTATCATGGCCTCAAGCGCACAGCAGGTGACATATATTGCATGATCTCCTCGTTTCTCGGCGTGGTTCGCAAGTGCGTGCAATTGCTGAAGGGCGGAAGCTGTCTCTGGGCGTCCTGGGACCTGCAGCGCCAACGACACCTTTAGAAAGCGGAATGCATACACCCAGACAATGTGCTGGAACGTCTCTGTTTCAGAAATAGGCTGATCCAGTAGCTTGAGCGCCGCCCGATGGTTGCTCTTGAATTGATACCGGGCCTGCAGATGCAGCATGGCATATTTCAGGTCGAGCAGGCGACTACGGTTGCAAAGAGCTATCTGGAAAATAATCAGCGCGAATGCTATCTCTCGTTTTGAATTTGACATACCCCCTTGGCCAGAGTCTCCTCAATCTCCTGATTGTTGTCCGTCTCCTCCACCAGTAAACTGGCGTATCTGAGCCTGAGCTTCGCCTCATCGCGCGGTATCTGGCTGTACTTCTTCAGAACAGTCTCCATGCAGCCCATTGCAGCTGCCATGAGCTTGTAGTATTGATCGTGGTCGGCGGATCTCTGCGATAAGGCCGCTAGTGATCCCAAGCTGCGCGCCGCGGCGATGTATTCGTCCGCTGCAGAGAGTATCAAGACCATTAGGTCAGCCGGAAGCGCTTTTGGGGGCACATGCTGTGGTCTCGTCGGTGTATGGAGCTGGGAAGAAGAAGATTTCTTGATGACAACTTGAGGGTGCGGCCGCGCTTGGGGGGACGAATGCTGGAGCGAAGGGGTTCGGTACTGGCTCGAGGGCGTATACGGCTGTGTTGGTGTTCGCGGATTCGGCGTGTTTTGCGTTTGCAGGGGAGTTCGATGCTGGTTGGCATTGCTCATAGGCGTGCTTGCGGTTCGATGCTGCGACCGCATAACATTCTCCTGTGGTGATTGTGATCTTTGCACCGGCTTCGATACCGGCGTCTGCGTCGGGGCCTGGTGTCGCGGCTGAGTGCGATTGGCATCCCTCGGCGCAACTCCGTCGCTGTTCGCACGCTGGGCTTGCCTTTGTACGGGTACCTGCACTTGCCGTATTCGCGGATTCTGCATCTGGGGAAGCGGGTTTGGATTTCTCGCCGGCATGACGACCTGCGGCTGCGGCTGGGCTTGTGGGCGCGTGTTCGACTGCGGAGGGTATTGCTGGCTTGGGCGAGGAGGTATTACAACTCGTGGGTGTCCTTGAGCGGGCTGCGACTGGGGGAAGCCCTGAGTCATGCCCGCTTGCGGAGGGGCATACGGCACATATCCAGTTTGCGGATAACCGTTTGGCTGCGACTGGGGAGGATGTTGGCCGTTGGGGAAGCCCTGCGCACCTTGGGGCGGCCAGGGGTCCATGGTAGGCAACTACAGGCGCGGGAGTCACCAGAAGTCGTTATGTTTGACGGTCATCGCCGCGGTGGGCGTGACTGCTGAGGGCGTGCGTAGACTCAGAGATCAGATGAAGTCGGGTCAGTTGCGGCGCGGCTGGCGGCTAAGTTAGCGCGTCGCGTCTAGGGGACGAATCATCCCCTGTGTATCTGATGCCTCGGCATCCTGCTTGGAGTCCGTTGGTGACGAACCTTCTCAACTTCTTCAATTTTCCTCCTTTCCCAAGCTGTGAAAGACTGCAGTGGCTTTTTATATATCATATCATGTGCGTTGCGAGGTAACCAACCCTCAATATCACTGAAAGGGCCAACTTTAACACTCGCTAGCAATTACCTATTCAGCATCGCGAATCGATTATACCTCTGGACAATCATAGGAACGTTCCGGCTTCCCCGGAATACTTCATTGCAAATTCCCCAGAACCGCTGTGGACACATATAGGACCGCACATCGCGTTTAGATACAGAAACTACTAGACGACGTCGTCCGCTCCCATACCCGGAAGGATCGCATTGGAATATATCCAGTCCCCACATCTCCAGCCCCTCTCCTCACAATGTTTGATCTCTCCTTCCTTCTCGGCCATGCCCAGACCACCTTCCACCACCACTCCTCCCCCCTCCCCCTCACGACCAAAACCGGCGCCAAAACCACGCTCGCCTCCCTCGTAAAATCTACAACCCCACCATGCCGCCTTAACCCTCTCCTCTTCAATGGCCACCTCCAAACAATGTGGACAGCGATCCACAACGCCGGCCCGCCCATCTACTACAAGCGCAAGATCTTCGAGTCTCATCATTCAGTCTATCCAGGCCAGTTCACAGTCGACTTCGTAGTCAGCAAAGCGCAGGGAGAAAAGAGTGGAAGCGAGGAGGAGCTTCCTGAGCGGACGACGTATTTCTCGGAAGAGGAGTTTGAGAACCTGGGATCTGAAGATGGGAAACCTATGCTGGTGTGCCTCCATGGCCTGACGGGTGGCTCTCACGAAGTCTATCTGCGAGAGGTGGTAGCCCCCGTTACTGCAACTGGATGGGAAGCCTGCGTCGTCAACGGCCGCGGCTGTGCCCTCTCCAAAATCACAACTCCGCAACTCTTCAACGCGCGCGCCACATGGGACGTTCGGCAAACAATCTCCTACCTCCGCACCATCTTCCCCAACCGGCCGCTCTACGCGGTCGGCTTCTCACTCGGCGCCAACATCCTCACCAACTACGTGGGCGAGGAAGGGGATCGATGCGTATTAAAGGCGGCGGTGGCATGCTCGAATCCGTGGAATCTGGAGATTTCTAATGTGGGGCTGCAGAGGACGTGGCTAGGGCTAGAGGTGTATAGTAGGACGATGGGGGGCAATATGATGAAGTTGTATGAGACGCATAAGGAGCAAATACTGAAGAATGAGGGTATCGATGAGGAGAGGGTGAAGCAGTGTCGGTACCTGTTTGAGTTTGATCGGTGAGTAACTGAGGCCATGAGAACTTGTGAATTTGCTGATGGTATTCGACTAGGGTCATCCAGGCTCCCACATGGGGCTATCCGACCGAGCGAGCGTACTACCGCGACGCCGAATCTGTAGACGCTCTCCTCGCCATCAAAATTCCCTTCCTCGGCATCAACGCTGAAGATGATCCTGTAAGCTACCTTCCTACCCATGATGGCCCTCGCAAATCTGACCACACCAGATCTCCCACAGAGAAGCCATACCATACGAAGAGTTTAAACAGAACCCATATACTGTCCTCTGCACCACCAACTGGGGAGGCCATCTGAGTTGGTTCCAACCTGGCGGCAAACGGTGGTTTGCTCCAGCCATAGCGGCGTTCGTGACGAAGATGCATGATGACATCGACTTCAATGCATCGGTTGGGGAGAGGCTGGAGGCCAATGGAATGGCACCGACCAAGAAGTATCCGATATTTGATGCGACCCACAGAAGGCTGATTTTACCACCGGAATAAGGACGGGCGGTGGTTGCGGTGCACGACCTTGGGTATCATAGATTTGTGTATAGCGTAGAAATGGGCGTAGACATAGATGGGGCGAAGTGGTCCCCACGTTCATCCGAACGAAACCCTCTTTTTCTTCGCCTTGGCTGTCTTCTCCGGTGCCTCGTTTTCCAGGTCCTCGATCCGCGCAGGGTCTGAATGCCGGCTCTTCCGCTTTTTCTTGAGACTATTCTTCGTCTCCTCCTGCACCTCGTTAGCACTGTCTAAGCACTGCCCCCTCGGCGTCAACACTCACAAATTTCGCCTTCTTCACCTCACTCCTCGCCTCCGCCTCCTTCCTCTTCGCCTCCCTTATCTCCTCCAACTGCCTCGCCCGCATAATCTTACTCTCAATATGCCCTTCCTTCTCCGCATTCACCACGCTCATGATCGCCATCATGCTCGCCGGGTCATCCACGAATTTCTTGCCCTTCTTCTGGCCCTTTGGTTTCGCAATGCCCGCCGGGATGATGCCGTTGAGCTTGGGTATGTCGAGCTCTTTCTCGGTGTAGACACGCTTCTTTTTCTTGCCGTCGACAGTCTTGGATCTCGTCTTTTGGGCGCCGCCTGGCTTTGCGAGGGCGAGCGATTTCGCTTTGCGTTTGGAGATGCCGGAGGGTGCGCTGCCGGAGGATTTCGACTTCGAGGCACCTTTGGGTAGGCTGCTAGATTTCCCTTTTGAGAATTTGCCTTTCGTGGGCTTTGTGGGCGCCATTTCGAGGGTTGTTCGTTCGAGACTTGTTTCGGAAAAAGTGCATGTGCGCTCGAACTTTTTCGAAGCTTGCTGGCCTAGATCGGCGGTTGCAGGTGCCGATGATTTCTTGGCAGCGACTGACGAAACCGAACCCCAGCCTCCGGCGCCGTAGCTCCAACATCAGACCTCACAGCTTGCGACCAGCTCACGGATATTCCACTGAGGTACTTCACGCACTCCCAAGTACTAAGAGGGCATGATGTCGGCACACCGTCTTTTCCGCTTCCCGAAGCCCGCCTGGATAAACAGCGCAAATGCCAGGACGGCGGGCGTCTATACCGCGGGAGCTCTGGTAGGCATCCTCTTCGCCGTTCGCACCTCTTATAGTACAGGAGTTGACTGCTGGAATTCCTAGTTCTCCCTCGGCTTCTACCTCCTCATCGACGTCGCCGCATGGTCCAAATCCGCCATGAACCCGTCCGACCCGCCCGTCCACGTAACCTTCGTCGACTGGATCCCCGGCATCTGCTCCGCACTCGGCATGCTTGTCATCAACTCGATCGACAAGTCACGACTATCTGCCGATTCCTTCTCATACAGCGGAAACGGCGTTGCGTGGAAGGCACGGCTGGTGCTCTTCCTCGGGTTTGCGCTGCTGGCGGGCGGACTCGCTGGAAGCGTGGTCGTACTGGTCCTAAAGTACATCGTTAGCGACTATACCTGGCCCACTATTTGGATGGGCGTGGGGAATGTGATTGCGAATGGAATGGTTATGCTGAGGTGAGGACTCTCCCTGATGCTGGATAGCGGAATATGGGGATCAAATGCTGACACGAGGTAGCTCCGCTGTTCTTTGGGTCGCGCAGAACATGGAAGACGAGTACACATACAATCTCGCGCTCTAGAGGATATCGCTTCGTTCATGGGTGGGCTGGACGTAGCTCAGCTAGCGTGTAGCGCAGCAGATGCGAAGGATGAGTTAGATGTGGAATACCCTGGGCTTTGACGGGGGTTGGCATTTGCGATTGGAATTGTACAAATACTGACAAGGCGTTGGACGTGCTTTTGTACCAAAGCATCCTTTTCATACTTCAAACCTGAGCATTTCAACCGATGGCACATGCTATTTCAGTGATATGCGTATACAATTGAAAGATGTAATATGTCCAACATAATGTTACAAGAACGCTTGACCAAACCGGAAAACCCATGCATTTGCCATCCATAGGATGGCTCATCCTTCCAAAACGGCTGCCTCGTGGCGGTTTCAAATCCCTGCGCCTGCCTTCCTCCACTACATCTTGTCTCCAAGCCCGCTGATCACATTCTCTACTCATCGGCCTGGCCGGCTAGTCAAAATTCTTGATCCTCCTGGAAGAACAGCGTGAAGCTGATAATCGTGCCATATATCAGCAAGCCGCCGAAGATGGACATAGCCGCGGCACCCCCGTCGATGCTGTTCGCATGCCATAGCAGGGTTGGAAGGGCTGCATTATTCTGTCAGAATGATACTCTAGGATGAACCACTCTTCATATACGGTATCCAAGCGCTTCCACTCATGCATGTAAGTGCCTGCACCGGGTCAGACTCACCTATCCCCATAACGACAAAGAATCCCGTCAGGAATCTTCCAAAGTCTACTACCCCGCTTCCCGAGCTCTCCATGAAATCATCGGGGTTCGCTGCCCGGCCGCAGATCCAGTTTGGCAGTGGTGCGATTACGTAGGTTGCGACGACGAGGAGCGTGAGGTAGTTCTTGAAGAGCGCGGCGCTGAGAATGACGAGGAGGAAGCCTATCGCTAGGATCTATCAAGTGGATATTAGTAACAGCGCGAGAGGTGGGAAACAGGAGGATATGCGGCGAGGCAGACATACGAATGACAGCCCTATGATCGTCTTTATGCCGGCCATGGTGGAGCTTCGGGTTCGGGATCTTGGGACGGTGACCTTGCGCGAGAAGATTCACGGAGTAGAGCAGCGTGATCGGGCGGTTCTGACGAAGTATAGGAGTTCTGGAGTCCTTCGGCGATTGCTGAGGTTGCGATGCGGTTGCGTAGCGCCTGCCGTGAGAGGCTGGGTTGATTCCGCACGGACGCCTTGGCAGGAAGCTCTGGGAGCTTCGTACTTCAGAAGGTGCCTGGCCTGCTGTTGCAACTGCCCTCCCACGAACCCAACAGTGCGAGCGTCCTATCTATAAATCCCGCCCGACGCGCTCGATTCCCCCTCTGCACCACGCTACAACAGAGCCGCCCATCGGAAGGAACACGGTCAAGTGTCAATTCAATCGGGCACGCCAGACGCCGGTACATAGCTCACATCCGGAACCTCCAACATGTTCCGAAACAACTACGACAACGATTCGGTGACCTTCTCGCCGCAAGGCCGAATATTCCAGGTCGAGTACGCTCAGGAAGCTGTCAAGCAGGGTTCCGTCGTCGTTGGTGTTGTCAGCAAAACCCACGCGGTGCTGGCAGCGATCAAGGTATACCTTGCCCAGCCTGAATTTCCTCACGATCTTCGTGCTAATATAATCCCCAGCGCAATGCAGAAGAGCTCTCATCCTATCAGAAGAAGGTCATCGCGATAGACTCGCACTATGGCATCGCCCTCGCCGGTCTGGCCTCCGATGCACGCGTCCTCTCCAACTTCATGAAGCAGCAGTCCCTCGCATCGCGCCTAACGTACGGCCGCGCTATTGCCCTCTCCGAGATCACCGCCCGCATCGCCGACCGCGCCCAGACAAATACACAACAATACGGACGACGGCCATATGGTGTAGGGCTCCTGGTTGCTGGCGTCGACGCGAAAGGACCCCACCTATTCGAGTTCCAACCGAGTGGTGTCACGCAGGAGATGGTCGCTTGTGGCATTGGCGCTAGAAGTCAGATGGCTAGGACCTATCTCGAGCGACATCTGGAGTCGTTCGAGAATTCGAGCAGAGAGGAGCTGGTCAAGCATGCGTTAAGGGCGCTCAAGGAATCCCTATCTCAGGATAAGGAGCTCACTGTCGAGAATACCAGCATCGGCGTCAGTGGCGTTGACGAGAACTTTGCCCTGTACGAGGGCCAAGACATCGCTGAGTGGTTGGATGCAACGTTTGAAAATCGGGAAGGTGGAGGCGATGACGAAGGCGGAGACTCTATGGAGACAGACTCATGAAGGCATTCTCACGAGGTTATGTCCATCTAGCTGGAGGAAACTGGCCGAGCGGTCTTGTAGAACCCTGGCGGACTTCGGAGGTTATGCGGTCATCTGTCTACGTTCTGGATCTTGGGTGACATGCTAGAACATTACGAATATCACTCCAAATCAGGACGACTCCGGGTCTCGTACCTATCCTTGGCATCTTTCATGAAATGTACCGTGCTTGCTCTAAGTTGGAAGCACAGATGGGTCGATCGCTGTTCACTAGCTAATTTAAGGCTCGTTTATTCACAATACTCCCGAGCTTGATTAGATGCTGAACGTTTGACCGTGGAGGCATATTGAGGGTGACGAGAGACAGATATCACGTGACCCTCCTTCCGCCGAGCCGCATCCGCGAATCTTCGGCCAAGCTCCGCTCAACACCTTCATAACCACACCCGCAGCCCGCAAATCCGCCTACACCCACGAAACCTCGCTGAACCATCAAAATGGCATTCGCGTGGAAAGCCGCCGGTCTCTCGTACGTCGCATCGATCGTTCCTCCCTCAATGTCCACCAATTGACGCTGTGAACAGCTACAACCGCTACATCACGGTCGCATCGCGCGTCGTGCGCCGCTCGCTCAAGGAGGACAAGCGAATTGCCGCCGAACGACGAGGCGAGACGGAGCTCAGGTTCTCCAAGTGGGAGGTGAGTTTATAGCAACTTGGGGCATTGGGTCGATGGAGGCTGATGAGAGGCAGAACGGCAAGCAGAGCGAGCCGAGGAACTTGAACGAGGCCAACCAAGCTGCCATTGCGGAGCATGCGCAGTCAGCGTCCTCTTAGACGGGCAATGTGGAGGTAATGGCAGGATGACAGGGCGATAGATGCTGGGCGGAGCTGTGATGGGGGAGGATAGCTATGCATGGTGAATGTATATTTTGTACCATCAGACACGGCACCTGGGCATGTGCGGAGGGAAACCCTAAACGCCAATGCACGATAAATTTGCAGCATCAATTGCTTCTCGTCATCTTCTACTATCCGTGAAATCGTGTGTTGAAACTCTAACGGAGAGCTTAACTAGCAGCTTTCGCGCTCGCCGGAGGAAAGTTCGCATGCAGCTGCAACCCGGCTAACCATCAAATCTTTCCGCTTCGGAAGCAACTCCACCACCAAACATGGCAGAGCCGTCTCTCCGCCACGACACCCGCTCCACCCAGGACCCAAATGAAATTGCGCCTTATGATGGGGCAGGTGCGTTCCACTCGTCTAGATTCGTGGATAATGATGTTGATGAAGCTTTAGGTGCTTCCAACAATGTCTCGAAATCGAGCTCCGCACATGAGAAGCCGGTTAGCTTACCGTTGAGACAGGCGTCCAAGCAGCCTGTCACCCCCCAGACGAGGATCCATGATATTACGGAGAAGTTTACGAGCGCGTGTAATAGTAAGTTTTCTCGTTCCTTGCAGCATGCCGCCGGACACATGGAGTTCGATGCCCCATCAGGCTGCAGTCACATGCTCCCACCGCACTATCATATGTATCGTTCTTAACGGACTTCTTGCTAATTTCCCACAACAGCACTCGACGTTGGTCAGCTAGTGAAAGATGAGTACTTCACGCTCTTCGAGTCGATCGGGGCCATCGAGGTAAGCCCTCCAACAATACCTCTCACCATCGCCGGCCTAATGAAAGGAGTTAGATCATGGACCCCAAAATGGACAGCGGCTTTCTCCAGCCCGGAGAGACATTGGAAGACGACTACGACCCATTGACGCCTTTACTTCCCGAAGAGCTCATCGGCATTATGGATCAGCTGCTCTGCTACGAAATGGCCTGGCACACCGGCTATCCTCTCTCGCAGACGCTCTTCACCTCCGTCTATATCGACAGGCTACTCTGGCCTGAGCCGAAGGCATTTGAGCAAGCGCAATTCTACCACGGAACATTCCCAAACGACACGAGGCCGGGGACGTTGTTAGAGGTGCTGAGAGCGTACTGCTTAGCGCTAATTAAGGGCTGCGATTTTGTGATAGCGAAGATCACGGGGAGGGACTATTTCGAAGAGGAGGACTTTTGCACACATACGTATAATCGCGTCCTTCTCGTGCATGTACCCGTCGACGTGTTCCTGCGGGAATTAGATGCCGCCGTGGAGATGATAGAGGAGTGAGTCTAGGCACAATCCTCAGTGGATAACATGGAGTATTTGCTAACACTAATAGAACCGATGTGGAAATCAACGACGGTCTTCGATCTGCCATCATAGCAAGATTACAATTCCGGAAGGACTTTCTTCTAGCGCTAGACCTAGACTGCCCTCTTGACAGCTTATCCAACTACTGGCCGCCTGTCCTCAAGCATATTGCCGCCATCACCAGCACGCACCAGCTAGGCAAGACCGTGCCTGGCTCTTTCAGCACCAAAATCCAGCGGAGACTTGCCTCAACGGTGCCACCCCGTCCAATCGTAGAACTAGACTTCAAAGACGCTTTCGAGAAGCTGAAGCAACTCTGTATCGACTGCGAAGAAGCCACAGGCTTTACCAACCTCCCGCTCGACCCACTAGAATACCAGTCCTTCCTGTGGACTTTTGCATCTCGCTCACCAACGCCGCTTCCGTATTCAAGATCCTACCTCTCGACTATCCTCTTCCACCCGGACATACTAAACACATCCATCTCGCTTCCGCTCGCCGATGTGAAGAGCCTCGTCTTTCCTTCGTCGCTCATTCTCGACCCTGTCAACTGGACAATGTCCCCGCCCCGTAACAACCTCCTTCCCAAGCCGCCGCGCCTGCAATTTGCGCTTCTGATTGACGAATTTGTTGAGCGCACCGGACAACCGTATCTGGACCTATGGGTTGCGCTCGGGCAGAATAGGTGTCGTCTTCGCCGGATGCTAACGCATGTCATAACGAGCTGGGACTTGCTGCAAGAAGATGCGACTCTGGTCGACGCCGATCTCATGAGCGCGGCCCATGAGCTCGGCATGTCGGACGATCTCGATAGCCCACTCTCGACTTGGGTCTACATCAAGAAGCTCTGGATGATCGAGAAAGTCGTCTTGCTTGGCTTCGAACAAGACATCTACCTGCCTGACGAATTTGCGGGGATGTACTACTTTCTCAGCCTCATCGCAGGGAAGCGGAAAGACGCGCTTCTTGTCTGCGTCAAGCATGTTAAGGAACGGACCATGCAGCTGCTCAAAGCGAATAAGTATCAAGACGCAGAGGAGGTACGCGACATGGGATTCTACGTCGACTCCGAACACAAATACGCCATCGGAGCTAGCGAATTCAGCAAAGCACTCCATCACTTCTACACAATCCTCCTCTACCTCCGCCTCGTCCCCTCCCCTCACAGACCCTTCAGCACTGAAGCCCTCCGCTACGAACTCCGGATGAAGCCCTTCCTCTCCCTCCATCCGCCCGAAGTTCCCCCCTTCGCCGCCTTCCAAACCGCTCTCAAACCCTACGGCCCTTACTCCACACCCAATTCCTCCTTCTACGCCAACCTCCGCACACCCGACTCACCTCTCTGGACCGACCTCGACGCCTCGCTGAAAGCTGCTAAGGACGCCTTCGCGAGGGTGAAGAAACACGGCGCGAAGAAGTCGAAAGCGGGAGGTGTGGAGCAGGCGTGGAATAAGGAGGTGCAGGGCATGCTGGCGAGTTGTATCGCGCTCGGGGTGGCGGTCGCGGGCGTTAAGGCTGCGGTGAAGGAAGGTGGAGATGGGGCTGGGAAGGAGGTGGGGGTTAGGGTCGAGATACCTGCTGCCGGGATGGGGAAGAGATATGCCGAGGGATGGGTTGTTGGAAAGGTTGTAAAAGATTGAAGCTTGTGTCTGTATAAATGTTTGCTAAACTCAACTCCTAGCGCTGGATCCTAGTATTTGACGTGGCGCTTAATATGAGTGGCCTCGGTCGACGGCATCGCCGCCAAACAGCAAGGGGCCCGAAAAGTTGAATAATGTATATGCTTTGAAGGGCGAAATCGCCGGGGTATCATGATCCTAACTCCGACCCCTCCCAAGAACGCCATGCCCACTTGCAGAGCCCGTCTCGTCTCACGCCCAAGCCCGTCTCCCTGCTATGCCCGGCTTTTCCTGCGCTCTTGTCCCCTGTGCCGTTGGTGAAATCATATCGACCATCTATCCGCTCACTCATCCCTTAAACCCCCTCAGACACCCTTCCCGAACCTTCCGCACGCTCCTCGCCGACAGACCCCGTTCGCCAGCCTGCTTCGACGCGATGCTCGCTTCCTTGACCAGCCTATATATCCAGTCAGCTCAGCTCAGCTCGACACTGCATCCCTAAACCCTCTACTCGCTATCCTCTCTCTACATCTCCTGTCTACAATCCAATCCAGCGCCGGTCGGGACAGCGGTAGGGACTGAGTGCGGGGGCAATGGAAGGCATAACATACTCCTGCATAAACAGCGCATAGTGGAGGAAGATCTGCCGCATTCGTTATTAGCATCTACGCATCCATCCATCGGCGGCACAATTACCCGCGGAAGAAGAGCAAACAACAAACCACGACGAACAACACAAGAGCGCGACAAACAAAACAAAACGCACCAAGATATCCACATCCCGACTCAGCGCGCGGTTCGAGTGCGCTTTTACAATCTTCTTGACCGTGCCGCGGGGATACAGCGTGTGCGCCATGTTTGTTTGCCGCCCTTGAGCTTTGGAAGACGGGTGGACGCGGGGGATTTGGCTGTCTCGCTTGAGGGGACGGGGAGAAAGGCGCTGGTAGGAAGGGCGGTTCGGCGAGGTTGAGTTTCGAGGACGTGTGCTGTGTGTGGTGGGAATATGCAGGCTGTGATGGAGGGGGGGTTGTTTGGGTTGGCGTTGGCGTTGACGTGCATGGAAGGGAAGGGAGTCTGTGCGTCAACAGCACCTGGGGAGAGCGCGCTCCCACGTGCGAACAGGCGTTCACCCGAAACCGGCCAATGAGAAAGTTTGGAAAAGTATGACATCCATAATATCAGCTCAGCAAAATTCGAATCTGCGTGAATCCTCTAACCGTGAAGGCTTCATCAAGGATATAAGTATTGACAGGATACCTTCCGCAGCTTGACGCGATTCTCACGCGCAGTCACAATGAAAGAGTAACAAATGAAAAATCCTCATAATAAACACTTCTATCTGGGACTAATCACAGGTAATGGTACACAAAGCCCCAAGTCAAACGATGTTTCCACCTCAGCGCTACTCCAGATATATTGTATTTACACCTTGAGGCCCAGGTCCTCAGCATACGGCAGCGCGAAGAGATCACCCACCGCTGATACTGACGCCTTGTTCTCGAGTAATGACTTGGCGGCCTAGAAGATCAAATCAGCATTTGGTTTATAAGTGTTGACTGCGGAATTTGACTTACCGACTTGACAGCCTCGTCTGTGACGCCGTCGATGGCTTTGGCAACCTCGTCGATCTGGTACGCCTGGGAGTTCGAAACGAGGCCGTCTCCTGTGAGCAACAGACCAGCCTTGACGTCCTGGCCATACTCGAGCTCCTTGAACTTGGCATTTGCCTTGGCCTTCGCAATATCCTCCTTAGCGATGTCGCCTCCCGCAATCTTTTTCAGGATCTCGACGGTCGTGTACGCTGTCTTGGCGACGTTCTCAGCAGCGCCGGTGATGGTGGTGTACAGCAGGCCGGCGTCCGAGTAGATGGCGCTCGTTGTTTTGACCTTGGTCCCGGGCGATGCCTTGGCATTGCCGAGGAGCGAGAAACCGGATGACCATTTGATGCTGGACTGACCGCCAAGGAGAGATCCGAGGACAGCGATTTCAGGCTTGTAGAATTTACCGGTAAAGGAGCTTGAGCCGGGGAAAGCAATAACCATAGCGTTGGCGCTATCGTGAGCAATGCGCTCCTCGCCTCCGTAGTACTTGGTCTGTTCAGTGCCAGCCGTGTTCTCCGGGGCTGTGGCAGGCACATCGTCGAAAAACTCATTCACCCATTTCGAAAGGTCGCTGTGCTCGGCTCCATTGGCGACAATGGCGAAATTTGGCTTGGCGTAGGCGACCTTGGAGAACCACTCGATGGTGGACGGTTCGAGGTACTTGGTGTAAGGCGTCGTCGATGCGGAAGCTGTGGGGGTACCCAGACCGCGGTGGAAAGCAAGGCTGTGGGCTGAGTTGATAGCCATGTCGAGAGGGTTGGCGAGGAACCGCTTGTGGGCAAAGTGGATGAGGGGGAGAACTTCCTCATGGTATACATGCGCTAGATTCTGTCAACGACAGCCCTCCATCTCAATTGCATTCCGGAAGCATACGAGAGTACTTGGTAGAGCTGGCTACCTCGGCGAGGAGCTCGACGAAGTAGGGCAGGTCATCGCGGAGGAACTTGGTTTCGAGGACGAGGTTCTCGCGGGTGTGGTACGGGTTCAATTCGGCTCCGAGGAGCTCGGATTCTCGAATAATGCGCAACGTCGACCTTCGATCGGTGCTCTGCAGCGCAATTGGCCGTCAGCGAAGCTCCGCATAGTGTCTGCTGTGCTCAATGGCGTACCCGGAATGCATAGTTCATCACACCCTCCGTCAGGCCGGGCAGCGGCTGGTACCTCGTCCCCGCCTTCGATACGAGCGCGAGAGTCGTGGTCGGGCCGGCAAAGTCTCTGCTGGCGAACTTGACGCCGTTGGCCTCGCCCGACTGATACTGGAAGGATCCTGAGGCCGGAGCAGCGAGGCCTCGGCGCTGGGCCGGGCGGACGGCCTGCTGGCGGGCAGCTCGCTGGGCGCCCCGGCAGGCTGTCGTGCGGGAGAACATGGTGAAGCGGGCGCCGGGCTGCGGGGCGGGATGTGGTGGGGAAGGGGCAATGGATGGGAGGTGCTGTCGGTGCTGTCGTGAGCTAAAAGTTGCCCTTGATGCCGGCAAGACGGTGGTGCTTGGCGCAGGCGCCGCGCTAAACCGCGCTGGTCACCCTTCACATTCCCCGCCATAGATTTTGCTCGTGCAATAGGAACAGCTCCCACCCGACCTGCACTCGAGCTCGCCTCGACACCCGCGCTCCAACTTTTCCCAATGCCTCCACGGTAGCACTGTCGACACCTAGATATCTGGCAAATATCTAGGCGCAACCATGTCTTATTCCCAGCGCGAGACTCCGGTAAGCATTGCGCGCCGCACCCGCAGCTCTCTTCTGGCCACATGAATCATAACCAACCAACTGCAGATTCTGGCAGAGCTCTGCACCTTCCTCGTCGAGCATGTCTACGGCGAACTTGCGGCGGTAGGTCTTCCTGAGCCGGCGGATTCCTGGGGCTCATTTTTGGCTCCGGGTTCCGCTGCCTAGTTCATCTTTCTGATCCTCGCAGCGTGTCTTCTCCGTGCTCGCGCGATTCGGCCGGCAACGCCTCGGCGACCTCTCCCGCGCCTCCTACCTGAACGGCCGGCAGCTCAAGTACGGCCTCGTTATCCTCATCCAGCAGCACCTCGTCTTTCACTCTCCCGCCGATGCAAAGTACATGTTCTACGAGATCGACTGGCAACACTCCTATGCCTTGGTCCGCTGTGGGAAGATCGCGAAACTTGTCGAAGACCGCTTTGGCAAAAAGGCCGCCAACGTCGTATCAAATCTGTTGACGCTGGGGCACACGCGCATCGCTGACCTGAAGGAGGCATACTTTCCTTCGCACACCGACAGCGATGACGAGTCAGACGATGGCATAGTGAACGGCGTCGGGTTGAGAAAGGGAAAAGCGAACGGCACCCGCCTAAACGGCGCGGTCGAAAAAATCAATGGCACTGCCAACGGGAAACCTACGGACGATGAAGACGCGAAACCCGCCACCGAGACCCTTGCCAACGGCGTCAATACCTCGAAAGCCACCTCAAACCCGGTCAAGGTGAACGGTGTCTCGAAGGAAACAACCGATCGAGACACAACAGACGGGAGCGAGGAACTAGATGATGGTTCTATCGGATCTGCAGAGGAGCTGCATGCCACAATCCAGCTGCTGATGGAACGTGGGTGGGTGATGAAGGTCGAGGACGCGCAGTATCTTTCGCCTGGAGATCTCCATGACATTGCGCGACGACAGGCCGCCGACGAGATTTTCGGCGGTATCATTCCCACGGGCACAAAAGACAAGGACAAACTCGCAGCAGGCACCCAGCAGCACAAACGACGGATTCGCGATGCTTGGTTAGAGGTCCCACAAGCATGCACACGGAAACGGAAGGCCGCCGACACGGATTATGGGGCCTCGAATAAACGCGTCAAGGTGAATGGTGGATATGGAGTTAGCGGTGCCACCAGCGGCAACAATGAGGACGACCTTGTCGTCCGTGTTAACCCTGAGAAAATTGCTGTTGCAATGCGCACCGAGCAGCTAGTCCACCTTGTCGAGCAACGGCTCGGCTATACTACAGCACGCATCTATCAGATCATGCTACGGATGCTCGAATCCAACCTCGCGCGCTGCTACGAAGAGTACCCAGATCCTCCCCTTGCTGATCCGGAGAAAGCCCCGGATAACGGCATTGACCCGCGCCTTCTTGTCACCACGCGCGATGTTGCGAAGCAGACCAAGGATCTCGACATTTGTGAAGGGCTAGACCCGCATGCCATTGCCCAGATCACGAAGAGGACGCACGTTGAAAAACGAACAAACGTCCTGTCCCAGCCTATCGACCCATCTACGCTGAGCCACGATGAGCGCGTCAGAATAGTCCACAAACACATCTCGCTGCTTTCCGAGGACCCGTTTCACTTCGTCACCTGGCACACGCGCGCCGGCTACTCGCAATGGCGGATTGAATTCGACGAGATCATGAAAGGGCTCATTCAGCACGAGATCGAGAACACAATAGCATCCCGAAAAGGTGCTTTGGGCGTCAAGTTGATCCGAGCACTGAGGAAGAAGGGCAAGTTAGATGAGCGACAAACGTGCAACACTATGATGATGTCCGCCAACGACATCCGCGGCATCGTCAACGACCTCACGGTCCAAGGCTTTGTCCAGACGCAAGAGATTCCAAGAGTGGAGAGGCGAGAAGCCAAGCACTCCATCCACCTCATCTGGTACGACCGGCAGCGCGCCCGCGAGAAGCTTCTCCACGACACATACAAAGGCATGGTCCGCATCATGCAGCGTATCGCTTTCGAGCGGGAAAAGGTGCAACCACTGCTCGCCAAAGCGGAACGGTCGGACGTGGTCGGCAACGAAGCGAAGTATCTCAGCAAAGGCGAACTAGAGGCGCTGAAAAAGTGGAAAGAGGTGGAGGAGAAGCTGCTTTTGCAGCTATTCAGGGAGGACGATTTGGTGGCTACACTGCGCGATTTCATTGGACCTTTAGTCTCGGTCTAAATTCTGCATGTGCATTGATATTTATGGGTAAGGTGGCGCGGACTGGGAGCCTTTTTCCCCTTTGATTATTACAAAAGCATGGGTAGGGACGAGATACCCCCGCGCACGGAACGGAGTTCGAGCTCTGTATACTGCTGCATTTACAGGAGCACTGCGCGATTTGAATACTACTCATAGGACATGCAATTTCACACCACGTACGAGAGTATATTAAGCTTGCTTATGTATTCTTCAAGAGAGACTCTGTCCCCCAAAGTCAAAAACAAGTTGGCCCCTTGTGTGCAGTACCGATCTCAGCTGCTTTCCATGATATCCAGGCCGAGGCTGGGGCAAATCATTAGCGGAGAGGGGGAAATAGGTAGACCAGAGATAAAATACTTTGCTCGTGCGTTTTGCCTTTGCTACTTACTTGAGACATTTGCACTGGGACTCGTGTTGGCCGCAGGTACCGCAGTGGGTGCCGGACTCGAGCTCGAGGACGAGCGCGTAGCACATAGTTGGTTGGGTAGAAGAGAGCAAGGTGTGCGGATTGCAAGGATAGATAGGGAGTTAGTTGTTGGAAGATGTGCGTGATGACGACTAAACAGCGAGTGGCTTTTTGGGAAGAGTGATGAAAGACCACAGAGAGCAGGGAAGAGTGGTGGTTTTATATACGTACGCCTGCCCGCCCGCTTGCTTCTCGACGTGCTGGATGGCGCCCCGCGCTCTTCCTGATGATGGGAGGGGATGCGTTGGTTGGTTGGGGGATGGTTGGCTGGAGGTTGATATGGATTATCTCACGCCCTTCTGCGCGGCTGGGCGAGTCAGCGCAGGGAGTTGGTTCTTCGTGGATGCTTTGGGATGGCGCTGCGCAACTCGTGCATGCAGTTTACACCGATTACCGCGAAGCAATGACTTGCTTGAGATTAGACACGGGGTGGATTGGGTAGGTTGTGCGACTGCTTCAGCCTTGGGTATGTGGGAGAGGGGGATTGGACAGCCTTGCGGGGCGATAGAATGGTGCAGTGATCGGTGAGGAGGGAGGGAGGGAGATTGGTTGGGGGATGGGATGGGATGGGATAGGATGGTGTGGTCGAATCGAGTCGAGTCGAGTCGTGTCGAAAGGGTGGTGTGAGAGGTGGGGGTGTTGGCGGGTTGAGAGGCCTTATGGTACACATGCATCATGCATGCTGTTTTGGTTGCGGATTCGTCGGCGAGGGAGTAGACAAGAAGGCGATTGGTTAGTGGCACTTGACGATGCGGTAGGCGTGTAGTTATGCTAGGAGTTTCACGGAGCACTAAATCTACTAAGCTCACGTCGACGATATCTCTATGCCCATCTACCACCCTCTTTTCAATCTCGCGTCTATCTCGCTCTACTCTGCCCTTAAATGCTCTTCTGTAGTCCAGCCATACCAACCTTTCCACACAGTCCACTTCACCAGTCCTCGGCATACCCTTCGTCAATCGGTGCATTGCCTTGCACGCAGGCCGGGCACTGCGGGCCCGGTCGTCGCCTTCAATTCGCATGTGACGTGCCTCGATGCAGATACCCCATGTAGGCATCGGCATGCACCTGAGGAGGTTTGGGTTCGGGCTGCAGTAGTTGCAGGATAAGAGGAGGTTTGCAGACATTGGACGTCGCAGATTGTGCTCGTCAACCCACGTTTACGCGTGCGAGTGATGTTCGTGCCATGTTGTAAGATCTTGGCAGGAGCATGGTAATCAATGTAGTCTTAAGAACGTTCCAGACTTGCGAAAGGATCCAGGAACGGGGCCTGTATGCAAGATAGAGATCGAAGGAGAGTTGATAGCAGAACGATAAAGGCCATTGATGAGTATTGCCCGCCGAGCGAGAGATGGGGCTCCATCGATGGGTGGGAGATGGAACCAGATGGCTAGCGATGGTTGCGCGCGGGGGGTCTACCACAAGGAAACAGGCTGCGGCGAGGCGTATCTGACTTCATGGTGCCCTTTACTTCCATATCATGTCATGCCGACCTCTGTGATATCGCAATGACCGCCAGCTTCCCCAGAGGCATGGCATCTGGCTAGGTGAGCAGAGTATGGGGTGTTCGTCCGATTGTGTTGTCATTTGTGGGCGATTAGAAGTGCTCTATAGTATGTGTAGTTCTGCGATTGGAGCTTCTTCAAACACTGTGGAATGCCCATTTTGCTCTTGCTGTCAATCAACCGTCCACCTCTGCAACAACTCCTCCACAACTTTGTCATCCGCCTCCTCTGGTTCTTTAGTACTTTTCCGGCTTTTCTTCATCTTTTGTGTGAGGCCGGGCGCCCATTTCGAGAACGGGTTCAGGGTAAGCGAATGCATGCTGCTCTTTGTAACCCGTGCAGGGATAGGCCAATAATCAATATTCAGAGCATCAAGATTTGGAGCTAATGGTTTCGGTCGGAAAGCTGGCTGCTTAGTTGGCTGTTCGGACTTCGGCCGCATCCGCATTTTAACAGTCCAACCTGGGCGTACGACGAACTCCCAAACTCTGGGGAGGACAACTTCACCGTCGGGTGAGAGCAGGTCAAATTGGCCTTGGCTGACGGGCAGCTGGTAACCACCCTCATGCCGGAGGGCATCAATGATCAGAGATTCCATGCCCTAGAACGATTAGCAAGTCAATCTCCGAAGACTGCATGTGTAGTTTTCATATCACGGCAGTAGGCTTACCTTCCATGTCTTGGCCAAATGCCAAGGGAATGAAAATTGCTTTCCGGTAGGGTCACTGAACTTGATAGGGCCGGTACTTTTGCCTAGAGTATCGTCTTCTTGAGCGCCTCCTTTGTAGATCGCCGTCTTTCTTCTTTCCCAAGGTGCTTTCTGGGGGTCCAGTGCTCCCTCCACTGGCGGCAGTCTTACGTCTTCGCGAGTCTCTTCCTCGTGGCCCAAGCGCCGTTGAGAGTACATAGAAGCACGCATCGCTCTTTCTCTGGTTACTGACGTGATCCAGATTAGAATCGCAACTTCCAATTCGCCGAGGACTGTGGGTATGATTTCATTGCGCCACGTGCCCACATACAATAAAGTTAAGTCGTGTCTGTTGACATGATCGAATACTAGACACCGCTGATACGTGTTCAGCTTGCTTAACCATTCCAAAGGGCTACTCTGTTGTGTTTCGTGATCCCCTAATATATCGAGGACTCTAGCTTCAGGAAGTGAAACCTCATGAACATCGAAGACACCGTCGTCACCAAGAGTGAGACCGTCATGAATGCCGATCGTCCAAGCTTGAAGCACCCCTCCTGCATCTTCTGCATCGTTATTGAAAGTTCCCGCGATCGGTTCAATTGTTTCGTTTGTATCTCTCTTCTCCGGAGCTTCGTTCCTAGACGATCGCTGTGAGTCGGATGTTTTCCAGTTCGAAGCGGCGGATGGTTCATCCCATACGGCAGACGAGACAGACCGATGACCATCACGGGGCAAAGCAGTCTGTGACAATCTTTCTGCAGGGGGCGTCGACTCGGCTGGGCGTGCATCTCGAGCGGTGAAGGCAATGGCATTGGTGGAATCTCCTTCGCGTAAGGTATTGGTTGCTGCGGTGTCCGCAACTGACTGACGGCCTTCCACTTGGTCTACATTCTCGGATTCCGCTGGCTTTGCTTCTGGACCTGGTGATCGGGGCGGGCAATCCGTGGTTATGAGGCCCTCGGGGCTGTCGTCGGTAGACATGTCGGCCTGCGGAGTATCTGTTGGTGGGCTGCTCAGAGCGCCGACCCTCGTTCCACCCGTGGTAGTTTGATTTTGAGGAGCCGAATCAGAGTTTGCAGCCGTAGATTGATCTTGTCGCAGCTCGTCCGGGGTCGATTGAGGAGGCTCCACTTCTGTAGGACTTGCAGTAAAGCCTCCGCGATTCCTAATTTCTGGCTTCCTCTGGGTTTCTTTCTTTTGAAAGCGAAATTTTTGAAACAGCCCTTTGACGTTCTTATTACTGCCCTCCTCCATCTGTTTATCGACGGCCCTGACTGCGAGTGTTCCTGCTCTGTGGAGTCTCTTGATCTTAGCCTTCATCTCAGTAATCTCTTGCTCGTCCATCTGCCGCTCAGGTTCTCCTTTCAAGCCAATCTTTAAATAAGCAATGAAGGCCATCAACATGAGGTTAATTTTCGATACCTGGAGTTCGTTTCGCATCTCCTGGAAGTGGGGCTGCAGGAATGGCCATCTTGCTTTCTCAGAGCGCGAAAGTTCGATTGTGGCGTTTCCGCGATCAGAAAGGCCTCCAATCTGCTTCGTCGCTCGCTCAAGGTCCGTATTAATCGATTGAAAGATGTTATCGCAACGGAGCACGGCCGAGGAAAGGTCGGAGAGCGCGGTGGGGCTGAGAACTGAGGTGTGAGTGCCGTTGGGTCCGGGTTGGGGCGTTACGAGATCGCGAAGTTGGTTCCTTTGTATTAGTCAACGAAAAGGCGTCTCCAAATAGAAGTAGCAAATTGGTCGTGCTGGAAATGAACGGCGACTGGTTCGGTACGCGATGAGGAAAGTGTAACTCACAAGATACCGCAGGTGCTACTAATATCGTCCGCGATACCCCGGACCCTTTCATTTGCTGTGCTCACCGTCTCTGCGAGGGCGAAGAGCGAGATCGCCGTTCTGGCTCCTGCTCCAGTGATGCCCACGATAGACGCGATAATGCTTAGCGGCTCCGCCATCATATACCATGATACAAACTCGAGATTGACTTGCTGAGCTGTAACCGCGTCGAGCGCTCGCAAATGTAAGTGTTAGATATTGAGATGTCGAAGATAGTCGAAGAAGTTCGCTGGGATAAGAGATCACAGTGCTGGATATCACGCCAGATCTTATCACAAATTTCAATCATCGCCAGATTCCTTGGGGCACACCCAGATTTGTGTTGGCTGTAGAGTTAGGGAGGCCGATTGGACAGTGTTTTGTGTCTGTTGGGGAGGCCGAGTGGTGTCTTCTCGTCGGAGCTGACAGCACGCGATGTACCGGTTCGAGATCGAGAGAGCATGTTTGCCTTGGTCCGATTGTGCCTATCTCAAGGCCGCTTGCCTGTAGTGACCTCATGTGGCTTTCAAAACAGACCACAAGTTGCATGTTCAGCTCGTGTGAGGTGGAGCCATCAAAGTGCCTAGGAGGACGGACTATGATAGGTGACGGGACACGGAGGGAGAAGACGAACTGGAGGCGACGGAGCCGTCTACCTTGGGAGTGCTATGCTCGATTGTCAAACTGCGGCTCTGAGCATAGTTGATGATGCCGAGGCCTAAATGGCTTGGCGCCAGTCCCCGCAAACTCCGCAAATCTCCAACTCTTTCTCCACGATCAAGAGGCGGCGAGTCATCGTCATGATCGAGCCGAAGTTTGGGTACATACCCCCATTAGGCGATCTTTCTCGCCAATTCTCGAAAGATTTCGCAATCGGCTGAGGGCCATCCTCAATTGAACCTACTGTTTCTCCTCGCGGTCGACGTCCGCGTACACGTCTCGACATGTCGCAGACTATGAATTTCTCAGTCCCGGCAGACCTCCAGCAGTACCTCAAAGACCTCGATGTCTTCATCGAAGAGAAGATCGTCCCACTTCAGAACATGGACGACAACAACCGCTTTTTCGACCACCGCCGCGAACATGCACGCACCGACTGGGACAACGGCGGCCTACCTCGCAAAGAATGGGAAGACCTCCTCCACGAATCGAAACGGCTCGCCGACGAAGCTGGCTTCTACCGGCTGTCGCTTCCAAAACAATACGGCGGGCGGAGTAGCGAAGATGGCCGAGGGAGCAATCTGTGGATGGCGGTTATAAGGGAACACCTTGCGAGCAAAGGATTGGGTCTGTTCAACGACTTGCAGAATGAACATTCCATGGTCGGCAACTTCCCGGACGTAGTCATGCTGATGAACTACGGGAACGAGCAGCAGAAGGCGGAATTGATACAGGGACGGTTGGCTGGAAAAGTTCGGATAACGTTTGGGTTGACAGAACCTGGTCATGGGTCGGATGCGACGCATATGGCGACAAGAGGACGCTCGGAAAGGAGGAATGGTGTCGATGGGTGGCTGCTGAATGGGTACAAGAAATGGCAGACCGGAATGCATGCAGCCACGCACTGCTTCATTTTCGCTAGAACGCAAGGCAAGGATGGCGAGGCGAAGGGAATCTCGTGCTTCGTCGTCCCTCGGAACACTCCAGGTCTCGTCGCAGAGTCGTACGAATGGTATGACCAAGCCCCAGGCTTGCCCTTCATTTGAAGTAACTGCTAATGATAGAACAGGACCCTCAATATGCCTACGGATCACGCTACAGTCTCTATAAAGGACGTCTGGGTTCCCAATAGCGCTATCATCGGGCCGGTCCACAATGGCTTAGGCGTTGCTCAAGCCTTCGTCCACGAAAACCGCATTCGGCAGGCGGCCTCGTCCCTGGGCGCCGCCGTATACTGTGTCAAACAATCCGTCGAATATGCGAATGATCGCGCTCCCTTTGGAACTCCCCTCTCGCACAACCAAGGCATCCAGTTTCCGCTCGTAGAACTCGCAACGCAATGCGAGATGCTGAGGCAGCTCATACGGAAGACGGCCGTCGAGATGGACTCTATGCCGCACGTGGAGGTCGAGAAGAGGATTGGCGATAAGGTCTCTATGTGCAATTACTGGGCGAACAGGCTGTGCTGTGAAGCTGCCGACCGAGCTATCCAGGTGCACGGGGGTAATGGTTATTCGAGGCATTACCCTTTCGAGCACATATGGAGACACCATAGGAGGTATAGGATTACTGAAGGTAGCGAGGAGATCCAGATGCGCAGGGTTGCCGCGTACCTGTTCGGATTTGGGGGCAGGAAGAGCTTAACGGATGCCACTGTGAAGGAGTCGAAGCTATAAACGCCGAGTTATGCATGAACCGATCATTTCTTCTGTATTTGACCTGAGACGCGTGTGATGAATGATCATTGTTGAGGAGTGCCTCGATGTCGAAAGCCCGCATCCCCTTTCAGTCGCCCGCTAGGACCTCATGATCCAGTGACCAGTTGCCGGAGAAGTCTATTGAGGCCCGGCATCGCATCTCTTTCCATAACGACAGGTAGCAGGACGACAACAAGTAGAAAACATATGAGAAATGCTGCCACCCAAAGGAGCGTTGTTCGATAGTCCAGCCGTTCGGGCCCGCGGGGTGGAAGTGGAGGCAGCGGCTTGCCAGCAGGGTTCTTCAATGCCGCCACGTCTGATATTCCAGAGTGCGGAATTCGGGGTAAAGGTTTGGTATCCTTGAATGGGACGACTGGCCGTCCGTCCGGTGACGCCTGGTTGTCTGGTTTCGGTGTAACTGGGGGCCCATGCTTGTTTGGACGTGTGCGAAAGCGTACGTTATGTGTGTCCTGAAAGCTGCTTGACATAGTTGAGGAATGTGTCTCTACAAAAGCGAGGATGGAGGTGGAAGTCGATGGTTGGGTTGGAAGGCTAGCGGAAGGCGCTTTACCACAATAGGTTAGACTAGGTACTAGACAGAAAGACTCATCACCTCACCAACACTCATCTCGAACCGTATACCAACTCTTCGTCCCATTCTTCCTATGCGTTATTTACTTGTGTGCGGATAGGCGCTGGTCCGTCCCGTCATCGGCGCCCATGCCGAGCTCTATGAGCAAGCGCGAAGAACGGCGGTACGAGCTGCAAACGCGCCGATGGATAGCGATTCCGGACAATACCTATCCTTACGAATACGTTCCGTTTCCGCAATCACACCAGGACTTAGAACCCGTAATACAAGCCGAGAAGTTCCTCCCATGGCCGACTGAACCAGCACATGATCCTTGCCGGGCTTGGCATCCTGAAGACGTTTGGGAGATTGGGGCTCTGCGGAAAGCTATCTTCAACGAGCTACAATCAGTGTCGGAAACAAACCATCGGACGGAGGATTGCCTAACTCACATCCTACATTGCTGGAACGCGAATCTGAAGAGATATGATTCCACCGGCCCCTCGTTTCTGATACACTTTCTCAAGCTGCGGTACGAAACGGGGCTCAACTTCTGGTGCTTAGCGCGCGACGATGCGCGGCAGGTCGATGTGCTAGCGAAGGCTTGCGAGAGAACGCATGTCTTCAGCCTATTTCTGGCTCGGTTTCACCGCACTGCGCACGGCTCGTACGGAATGCTTTCGACAGCGTCTGGACATGATCATTGTATGATGCGCGTTGATGGGACGGCGTGCTGGTTGGAAGACACCATGCATGCTGGGGGAAAGGAAGTCAGGATTCGACCATCGGTAACGGAACTTGATCTGCTAGATGAGTACTACTTCGAGGATGAAGAGGCCGATACGCTCGATGCCGCAAATGGCCGCGGCTCAGAATTTTGGGAAAGAGCGGTGAGTAAGCGCCTCTTCGCCGATACATGCGCGAACATGGCAATACGTATCAACAAAGGTCTCGATTCAAAGGGACACTCCATCGAAGGCCTCCGAGAGTAGCTTTCCAGGGCCAGGATCCAATACATGCTGGAATGTGTATCGCACCGTATCTTCCAAGGCTAACACAGAATAGGTTGCGATCATTGCCCCTAATCTCTTCACCGACGAATTCTTCGGTTACGAGGACGTGCCGGTCGACGAAGAGGATGAAGCTTCTGTAGATTGGGCGTCTGATGCAGAGGCCGACGAAGACATCGAGCCTGTGGACAAAGAAGAGCGAATGGAGAGATTTCATGAAAGTGAAAGAGAGGAGACGTCGCACGGATTCGAGGAACAATTGCAGGGCGATTAGTTCTACAAAGCACTACAGGAACTGGAAGAAGCCCGGCTTCCATGGAGAATCTGAGAAGCCGAGACCTGGAGGCGCGACACATGCATCAAAAGGCAGATGAACACCTAAGTGACGGTACGTCTTAACCTAATATATACCTGATCTCTTAGTTCTGATCCTGTTCGAGCAATATACAGGTCTATAGAAGGCTAAATAATCACTCATGTAGTTTTTGGCCCAATAGTCCACCTCTTGCTCCCGTCTTCAAGCGACAATTTCCGCCCCAAACCTAGCCGTACCGCATTCTCCAGTGCCTCTCTCACCTCTTCATCTTCAAGTACCGCAGCTGCAAGCCTCAGCCTGACAGGCGCTCGATCTCTATTACACCTCCTCGAGAACACCGCCAGAGCATCCATGATCTCCTCCACAATCTCCACACTCGCTTCAGCGAGCAGAGGCTCGGAAAGCTCCACCGAACTTCTCGGCGAGAAACCAAGGTCTGTCCATGGCGCCAGGGCGAGCCAATTGCAGTCGTCGTTAGGGTCGGAGAAAAAGAGCTTGGACGTGTTGCTGCTGGAGCGTCGTGTCTCCGCCGCGGTGGTACTTGAGCCTCGTCGTCTGCTTACCGAAACTTCGTCCTAGCTTGCTTCACTCTCGCTTTCGCTGCATGCTTCGACGATGACGTCGTCGTCAGAAACGACGAAGCCGTCGTATTCATACTCCTCGTTACCGGGCTCGCACCGGCTGTCGTAGGAGAGGTTTCTGGTGGGGTCGAGGTCGTCGGCGGCGCCCCATTCAACGTTGTCGGCTGAGAGGTCTGCTAGCTCGCCGTATGCCTCTTCTTCCTCGTTGTTTTCCTCGTTAGTAGAGCATGTGGAAGATGCGGAGGCGGAGAAGAAACGGGAGACGTGATGCGAGCTACGTCTTCTCTGCCTGCGCTTTGCTTTGCTGAGACATCGTGTCAGCTGTGTCTCAAGAAGCTCAAGATCCACCTCTGGTAGAATGCTTGAAGATGAGGAGCGTTTCTTCTTCCTTGCGTTTGGGGTCGTGGATGGGGACTGCGTTTTCTGGATGCGAGAGCGTGATTGGAAAGTCGTCTCTTTGCGCTCTCTCCGTGATCGAAGCCTTTTGGAGCGACGGGGAGCATTCGTTTGCGCCATTCTGTTAGAAATTGTGAGATGTCTGTTGATGCAGTGATGCCTTACTCGCTAAGAGATGAGTAGGGACTTGAGGCTAGCAGATGTTGAACAAAGGGACTCACGACAAGATTCTCGAAATAATCCATTGTGCTTCTTGACAAAGAACGGGTCCTAAGGGAGCGATGAGAGCTGAGTTGAAAGAGGGACTAAAGATAGTGTGCCATATAGACTTGAAGTGTGGCGTTCTTCTCTAGCGTTTATCTGTCACGTGCTGGCTATTTTCGGAGCAGACAGCGCGCTTCCATTTGCTGGCTATGTCCAAAGCGGCGGGGCGCGCGGAGGAAGACCGTTAGAAGAAGAAGATAAGCGAACTCCTGGTTATGAGACGAAACAAATTCAACCGCTGCCAAACTTCAAATTCTCCACTATGTAGCGTTCAGCGCGACTTCCATGCGCTCTCCGTCTCAAGCCAGGTCTTAAAGTCCCTCAACTCCGGGTTCAATTTCTTCAAGTGCTGAATATCGGCCCCATAGCCAACATCCCGGAACCACTTGTACATATACCCCAGCTCCTTGACCATCCAGTTGATAAGCGCCGCCACGAAACGATAAGTCGTAGGAATCTTCTCGCCCGTTGTCTGCTCAAAGGTTCTCTTGAACTCGCCGTAAGTCATCTCATCCCCCGCAATCGACAGACTCTGATCCTTATACTCGTCCAGACCGAGGAAGGCCTGAGAAGCGAAGAAACCAATATCGCTTGTCGCAATCAACTGCAGCGTCTGCTCCTTGCGCAGCACCATCTCCCAGCTCGTCGTGAATACCTTCCCAAAGAATCCAGGCACCAGGTTCTCGAAGAAGGCCACGGGCCGTAGGACGGTCCAGTTCATACCGCTGCCTTTAGCCTTGTGGAACAGGTGTTGCTCGATGTTGTGCTTGCTGATAAAGTGGGGAACGTTCGTCGGGTCGGTGTCTGATCTTGATCCTCCCCGGTCGACGGAGGAGTAGACAAAGTGTTTCACGCCGTTGGTGATAGCGGCATCAATGAGAGCCTTGCCTTGGCGTTCTTCGCTCGCGGCATTCTGGCCATTGCCCATCGGCACCTTGAACCGTTAGCGTCAATAGGCCGGTATCATGTGTGCATATGCAATATGTACCTGGACACTGAAGACTCCCCAGATTGGCAACTTGGTAGCATTTTTGGCGGTGCGGAAAGCGTCTTCGATGGCATCAAGGTTGCCAGTGACTAGCTTGATCTTTGGAGATTTCTTGATGAGCTTTTGAGCGGACGGTGACTGCGCGTTGCGAGTAAGAGCGAGTATTTCAAAGGGAGCATTGGCTTTGAGCAATGCGTTGACGACTGAGCCACCTTGTTTGCCGGTAGCGCCAGTGATGAGAACTGCTCTTCCTGCCATGCTGAAAATTGCTGAAGGGGTGGCAATGAATTTATTTGCGTTTTTTGATGGAGTGGGGAATGGCGTTAATAATTGATGGAAATGCAAGGGATGAATGCGGCATTCTAAGATGGCATGTTGACGTATTTATACGGCAAGTCGGACATCCATATTTCCAAGGTCCAGAAACATTCGTCAGTTGCGGATTGTTCGCATTAATCATCGACGGCTGATCGGACACCGCGAAGACCGAGAGGGTGTCTTGGCATGCGGGGAGGGACGTTGCCCGTCTTAGGGGTGAACACTAGCACTATCCATTCTACGATAGTGGTGATGGCGCACGAGCGGAGAAACCCCTACGCAACAGATATCTTAATTTCGTGGAGATGCATCAGCCCCCGAAACTCTATCACGACCGTGAGCACCGGTGAAGCGCAGAGAAGACACCGCTGTTTCGCGTTATCGATAAGGTGCGGCGCATCACGAGGCAGACTGCATCTGTTCAGCCTTGCTGCGGCAGCTTCCTCTCAGCCTAGGCGCTCTCCCTTCAGCTTCTCCGCCTACACGATGCCGCCGTCCTCCTCCTCCACTGCTGCTCCATACGCATCCGCCATCTGTGTCGACGTCTTCCCACCATGGAACCACTCAGTGCTGTGGCCAGCATCATCGCGGTTCTCCAGCTCTCAGCCAAGGTCCTCACGTATTTGAACGACGTGAAAGATGCCCCGAGAGACCGCACACAGTGCGCTGTCGAGATTTTAAACCTTTGCAGCCTGCTTTACAAACTAAGAGATCACGTTGAAAAGGGGGATCCTATGCAGCCATGGTACACAGCCGTCCAAGGCCTTGCAGTCAAGAACGGGCCGCTCGACCAGTTCAAGCAAGCGCTGGAGACGCTGCAGACTAAGATGACAGACGGAGGTCGGCTGAAGAAGGCCGGAGAAGCGCTAGTGTGGAAGTTCAAGAAGGAGGAGGTTGCCAGAATACTCGATCGAATAGAGCGTTTAAAGTCGCTAGTAGAGATCGCATTACAGATGGACCACTTGTAAGCTTCCCTGTTAGTGCCGCAGAAAAACATCGCTTATGCATAGAAGGAAACTCTCCCAAGCTATCAAAGACGACACAAGCTTCGTTCGGACGCAAATACCCATTATCCGGTCTGGAGTAGACGAGATCCGGCAAGATCAAGACTCCGTGAGACACCGCAAGCTTCTGGAATGGATCTCGCCCACAGATTACCCCGCTCAGCAATCCGACATTATAAAGCGTAGACAGGAAGGGACAGGCCAGTGGTTTCTGGACGCGCCTGAGATGACAAGGTGGCTTAGTGAAGCTAGGGGAACCCTCTTCTGCCCAGGGATCCCTGGAGCCGGCAAGACCATGGTAGCGGCCATCGCCATCGATCACCTGTTGAAGTCGGTGCAGGATAACTCACATGGAGTCGCTTACGTGTACTACAACTACAAAGCCCAGGAGGAGCAGGATGCTTCCACTATGCTGGCAGCCATCCTCAAGCAGCTAGTTCAGGCTCAACCGTCGATGCTAGATCCTGTGGAACGGTTGCACAATCGGCATGCCAACCGAGGAACTAGGCCATCGCTTGAGGAGGTGTTTGGCACTCTCCGAGATGTGCTTGCGCGTTATCCTACCGTCCACATTGTAATCGATGCTCTGGATGAGTGTCAAAAGAGCAGTCGCAGCCAGTTTCTGGACAAACTTCGAGATCTACGGACGGGACGAGATATTCGCCTAATGGCAACGTCGCGTATTATACCAGAGATTGTGGATGAATTTAGCGACGCGCTGAGAGTGGAGGTGCAAGCCAGTAAGGACGACGTGAAGCGCTTCGTGGCCGGCCAGACAGACCGACTGCCTAAATGCATTCAGCGCGACCCTGAGCTACAGGGCATGGTGCAAGAAAAGATCGTGGAGGCAGTGGGCGGCATGTAAGTGTTTCGTCGGCTTTGTGGAGCGATACAAATTAACAGGCTTCTAGGTTTCTCCTCGCTCGCCTGCACACGGACTCGCTTTTGGACAAGAGAACACCGAACGACGTCAAGTTGACTTTAAGTAAACTGTCAAGAGGCTCAGCCGCGCTCGAAGATGCCTATGAAGACGCCCTCCAGAGGATCGAAAGCCAGCTAGACGGTGATCACCAACTAGCCAAGAGAGTCCTATCGTGGATTACATTTGCGAAGATGCCGCTTACCACGGCTGAGATATGCTGTGCCTTGGCAGTCAAACCCAACACGGCGGAGATCGACAAGGGCGATATATATGACGCCGAAGACTTGCTGTCCGTGTGCGCCGGCCTTGTCGTTGTCGACCAAGAGAGCGCTATTATCCGTCTGGCGCACTACACTACACAGGAATACTTCGAGCGTATCCTAGATGCATGGCATCCAGGCGCTCAGCTGCATATCGCGTCAGCATGCCTCACCTACCTTTCCTTTAGTGTATTTCGAAGCGGCAGATGCCCCACCGATGAAGAATTCGAAGAGAGGCTCCGGCAAAACGAATTCCTGGACTACGCAGCCAAGCACTGGGGAGAACATGCAAGAGCAGTCGAGGCTGAGGTGTCAAACCTAGCCTGCTCGTTCCTTCTCGACAGTGGTTTGTTTTCCTGTGCTGCACAGGTACTCTCGGTTAGAAGTTACCGATACAAAGACTACAGCAAATTCTTTATTGCTGAAACGTGTTTGCACTATACTGCACAATTTGGGTTATCCCAAATAACTGGACACCTCTTGTCTAGGATTGAAGGAGAATCCGTGTCTGTGGTAAATGCGGCAGATAGTTGGGGTCAAACTCCATTGCTCCTCGCCGTAGAATACGGACATGAAGAGACGGTTGAGCTTCTGCTAGACAAGGGCGCCGACATCAATTCACAGAGCGTAACGGGTGGCATCGCACTCCAGGCGGCTTCAGCTGAAGGCCACGAGCAGCTAGTAAAGCTACTACTCAACAAGGGTGCCAATGTTAACGCGCAATGTGGAAGGTACGGCAGCGCACTTCAGGCAGCTTCAGCTAAAGGCCACGAGCAGCTGGTAAGGCTGCTGCTCGACAATGGCGCCGACGTTAACGCGCAAGGTGGATGGTACGGCAACGCACTGCAGGCGGCTGCAGCGGGGGGTAAAGAGCTGGTAGTAAAGCTGCTGCTTCAGGCTGGTGCCGAGATCAATACAGAGGGCGGACGCTACGGCAATGCATTATTTGCTGCTGTTGCGGAAGGCCACGAAAACACCATTACACTGTTGCTCGAAAAAGGAGCCAACGTGGCTGGCTTTGATGCACGGATGAAAGGCATCATGCATCATGCCGTCGACAACGCCAATTGCAAGTCTTCGTTGGTCGCCCTTTTTCTGGACCGCGGTGCTCCAATGGACACAGTCGACAGTGGCAACATGACTCCGCTGCATTATTGCGTCAAGTTTGGCCACAAAGCCGTAGCGAAATTGCTTCTCGATAGAGGCGTACATATCAATTCCGGAGTTCACCGAAAAGCGTGGATTCCCAAGACTGTATGGGACGGTATCACTGACGTGGAGGTTGCATCGGAGTCCACGCCGCAAGCCACACGCGTTTCAGCTGGTCTCACACCACTGCATTTCGCAGCCTTGACTAGCAACCTTACAATGACTGAATTCCTTCTTGAACATGGTGCTGACCCGAACGCCTTTTCGGACTATGGTGAAAGCCCTCTACACCTTGCATTGCGCACAACGCTCTATGGGACAAATTATCAAGACGATTGGCTTTCACGTTGGTGGAGGGTGGAAGCTCTGTATGATTTTATAGATTTCGATGGGGATGACGACGATACAATCGAAGCCGATATTTCTCAACATCGAATTGCAGTGCTCGACGCGCTACTCTCGGATCCGAGGACCAGTCTCACGGTGAAGGGCTGCGAGGACGAATATCCTCTCCACTGCATCCGGTATAAACGGCCAGAAAGTACGACAGTCATTCAGAAACTAGAATCCAGGGGAGCGGACCTGTTCTGTGTCAATTCAAAGCGACAAACTGCTCTCCATTTGGCCAGTAAAGCCGGCGATCATGAGTCAGTCATTCTCTTGCTCTCCCTAGGATTAGAGGTGACCTTGACGGACGATGAGGGTCTCAATGCACTTCACCACGCTGCTTGGAGTGGCAATCGCGAGACAGTGATCGCCATCCTGGACACTGAAAGGGCAAAAACAGTAAACCTTGTAGCGTCGACGGACAGACGTGGAAGGAACGCACTCCACCACCTGCTGTCTGTGGACTCCTTCCCCCAAGTTGAGACGGTGCAATTGCTACTCAGTCACGGGTTGGAAGGCTCGGAGTTGGATGAATCCGGGGCCTCACCATTAGTAAGCTATCTTCAAAGCTTCAGATTCAGCATTGACGTCGACATCTGCCGGCTACTGCTAGGAATTAAGGGAAACGCATCATTTGTTGATAACGATGGGCAGACCCTCGGGCATCTATGCGCCAGAACGTCACGTTTTGGAGTCCCTGTCCTAAAAGCTCTAAAGGAGCACGGCGTTGACATGACCAAGAGGGATCTAAGGGGAAGAACAATGCTACATCATGCCGCTCTTTGCGGCTCCCTTACCGAGGACTCGCTGGACTTCCTTCTTAATGTCGTCGGCCTTCAGCTGAGTGCAGAAGACTCGTGTGGAAGAACGGCTTTACAGTACGCTACGGAAGAAGCTGCGAAAGTCCGCAGTCAAGATATTTTCGATGGTAATCGTTGGAAATGGACTAAGAATATCTTGCTACGGGCAATGTTCTGCGTCGATCGCATGACTGGGTCGTAACGAATGAGAGACGTATGCCGTACGCCGGTTCCTTCAACCTCTCTTACGCGCATTTTTTTTCATCCTATTTTGAATTTGGCGCATATAGTACGAGTGCGAGAGACGGAATGAAGTAGAAACAGAAACAAGTGAAATGTCTCCTCGTCATCGTTCTTGAGCCCCAGCAGACTTAACGCGTTGCGCCATCTGAGTGACGGCGCGCACGGAAGCATCTCAGAGCCATGAAGACTACTCCGGATCGCCTATGAACAAGCGCCTCTCATAATATCCCAGAATCTATGCGAGTGTCATATGCAACTATGTCATTAAATCTTTGGCGCGCCCGCAGCAAGCAAAAGGCGGAGTGTGGCAAGCCACAGTATATCATGCCAGTATTCAAGAACCGCAACCGGTGGCAGCTCCTGGAGTGGTCTTCTGGAGTGCGTAAGTATTCACCGAGAATGTACTATCCTCAAGAGCCTCTAACTATTCACTGCGGCCCTGCTCCGGGAAAGCTATGAGCCTGGCTTCTAGGTCGGCGTTCAACCTCCACATTTCTAGAACCTGAACTCAAGAATCCCCATCCGCCGATGCGCGTTTTCGCCGGGGTACTCACGCGTCCGCTTCCCGAGCTCGGAACATATCCGGCGGCTGAATCTGGCCCATGTACGATCCTGCGAAGACTTGGCGCTGAGCAACTACATCACTGCTAATATGGGAAAATGTGATTCGCATGCCCGTTTTATGAACCTCATGAACGCGAGCAAAACATTCCGGCAGTGCGCGACCTTGCACATAGCATTGTCTCTCCACATGTATACCCTAACGAGGTATGCCACCCATCCGTGCATTGAAAATGACCCATGTCTTCCAATGGCATATCCCGGTCTTCAAATTCCTGCTTGTCCCCGGACCTCGATGCCCCGACATTCCGAATACGATATGTATGCCCCACGGGGTACGCATATTGCATCCCGAAGGACCGCAGCGCGGGGCCCTATAGGGCTTATACTGCACTCCACCGATCCCGCATTATGACAGACAAATGCTCGGCAGTTGCTTTTACGATCTGCAATCCTAAAGGATGATGCTGACGGAACATGGTATATAACTGATGTCTTCTTTTCTCGCGCCTGTGGCCACGCCTTCAGCGCATTTCCACCTCCGAATTTCGACTCACATCTTCTAGTACCGCATCTAGGACCGCCAAAATGCTGATAGCATTCGCGACACTGTCAGTCTTCGTGCTCGGGAGCGGCGTGGCTGCTGAGGACAGTGCAAGACCGCGATCGCCCATCACGCTCGAGAAGTCGGGAGGCTTCCAGATCGGCGGCAAGATAATCCACAGCCCATTCATGCCGAACCAAACGCTGTCATGCGATCACGGCTACATGGAATACTTCATCCCCTGGCGGCCGCGCAAAACCAGCATCGTCATGTGGCACAGCTCCAGCACGCAGGTGTGGCAGAACCGGTGGGACGGCGGCGAAGGCTACAAAGACATGTTCCTAAGGCGAAACTACCCAGTCTATCTCTGGGACGGACCCCGTGTTGGCAGAGCAAACTGGGCTTGCGAGCCAACGGTGTATTTCCCAACATACCAGGACCAGGCGAACTTTGGGGCGTGGAACTTTGGCCCTAGGTATCCCCAGTTTTGGCCAGACGTGCAGTTCCCGACGCGCAATGAGGCGGCGTGGCAGCAGGCGACAAGCGCGCGATATGTCGAGTATGACACGAAAGAGAATGTGGAGCTGCACTCGGATGCAGCAGCCATCGCCGCGGACTCAGGCCGGGTCGGGAAGGATATCGTGTACCTGACGAACTCGGCCGGCGGCCTGCGAGCCATGATGACAGCCACCAAAGCAAACAGCACCAACATCAAAGGCATCGTCACCTACGAAAGCATCGGCTACGTCTTCCCAGACACTGCCAACATCACCGCCGGGAACGGAGGGTTTGGGCCCTTCGTTGTGCCCCTGGAGCGCTTCAAGAAGCTGGCCAAAGTGACGGCGATCCAGTTCGTATGGGGCGATCATCGCGCGGACAACTATTCCTACGTTGAGCAGTCGAGGCTGGCGGCGAAGCTGATCAATCAGTATGGGGGGAATGCGCAGGTGCTGAAGCTGGGTGATGACGCGGGGTTGAAGGGTAGCACGCATATTCCGTTTGCGGATATGGATAATAGGAAAGTGGCGGGTCTCTTGGATGACTTCTTGGAGGAGAATGAGTTGGATGAGTATGAGGATGGGGATGATTGGAATTGATGCAGGGGAAAAATGACGTATGGGGGATTGCGACGCCTCTTCGTCCCTGGAAGTGGACTTTGTCTCTATCGCTTCCGGATAGAAAAAGCCTTGTGGACAAAGGTATGAGTAAGAATACGCTTGACCTGGCCTCCATTTAGCATAATTGTCGGAAACAGTTGAGTGGCTTCGACCTCGGAAGAAATTCAGTCATTGGAACCGAACTATTCCCGAAACAGCCTAGTCTCGTGCAACGTCAATGGGTCTCACGAAACGGCTTAACAATGTATAATTATGTTCCTCATCATCAAACGCCCGGCTCAGAAGCTTGCTCTTGATCAAAAGCTAATAGCAGGCCTATCCACGAGTGACCGGACGAGTCGTTTCCCGATAGTCAGGCGATAGCGGAGTACGACCCCACAATGCCTCGGCGTCCGCTCCGCAAGCCAAAGAGCGGGGTGACCGTCACCATGCATCAGCGTTCCGCGGCGTAGCGCGGCGTAGGCTATGGAGCGAATGAAGACCTATAACCCTCGGTCGAACCGTGAATGTTTTCGCGACCTCACCACCTTCTTGCGACAGATCGATTGTGATTCCCGATTGAGCTAGAACAGCATGACAGACCAGAAGGGCACCGCGAATCAGCGCTTGACGCAAATAAAAGACTTCCTCACGATGAACAAGACGGCTACGACGATTCCCTGGGATCCGGATTGCACAAAATTTCCGACTCGGAAGGAGCTGCCCGATATCCCTGGTGCTCCTCCTGAGGCTGCGTGGGTATGGGGAGATAATGACTACGTTCGTGCTGAGTCCCGCTTGTTGAAAGGTAAAGGCGCTGAGGTATCTAGCTCGGTCGTCTCAACTTACTTACTCCGACACGGGTCGCCGCTGCGTCGAGGGAGATCAAGACTGGCGAGATCATCCCAGTGAAGTATTGGCTCTCACGAACGTCGTGGGCAAATTGATGTGCTAATTTCGATGAAGCCTTCCGTTAAACGTGCCTAGCCAACCTGCTTTCGGCCGCGAAGTCTTCAAGCACGAGATCAAGACGCTGCATGAAAACATAGCCTACGATGACATCTACCACATGAACACCCAGAGCGGGACGCAATGGGATGGCTTCAGACACGTGCGGCTATTCCTCCTTACAAATTCATACAGTCTCTAATTTCCACCCCACAGTTCGCACATATCTCGACAGGAAGCTTCTACAACGGCGTATGCACTCTTACCCTTCACTGCTGCTCGTCAACTCACTATACATCAGACAAAAGGCTCCGACATCGTAGGCCCAGCCGCAAATCACAAATGCTCCATCCACCACTGGGCCGAACACGGCATCGCGGGCCGCGGCGTGCTCCTCGATTACCGCGGCTACGCTCACAAGAAGGGCATCAACTACGACCCCTACGACTACTACCCCATTTCCTGGGAGGAACTCTACCACTGCGGCAAGGACCAGGGAATCGATATCCGACCCGCGTCTCAAGGCGGCGACATCAAGATCGGCGACATGCTATTCGTGAGGGGCGGATGGAAAGAGGCGTACGATAGCAAAAGCCCGGAAGACAGGGAGAAGGCGGCTTTTATGCACGATACGGAGGATGGGCATCGGTTCGCAGGGTTGTCTCAGGAGCAGAAGATTTTAGACTGGTTGCATGACTGCTACTTTGCTACTGTGGCGGGTGATATGCCGTCTTTTGAGGCGTGGCCTACGCATGAGAGTATGATCTCCTTTTCTCCCTAGAATTTGAGGGAGAGAGCACTGATAAGGTCTAGGCTATCATTTACACGAGTACATCCTGGCGTTGTGGGGCATGCCGTTGGGCGAGCTGCTCGACCTGGAGAAGCTGGCGCTGAAGTGTAGGGAGAGGAATAGGTGGTTCTTCTTTTTCTCGTCGGCGCCTGCAAATTGCCCCGGTACGTTTTCCTACTCGTCAGCTTCCGCATACTAATTGTATATTCGACAGGTGGTGTTAGCTCTCATGTCAATGGGAACGCGATACTATAGCGCGGCATTGGTATCCTCGCGAGCAACCGACGTAGTGCGACGATGCACTTTAAGAGGCGAAGATATTGGCATTCCTCGTTGGAAAGCCGATAAGCTCGTCGCGGGTCAAATACACGTGATAAAAATCAACTGCTGCTTTGGCATTGCCCGGAGCGGCGGTAGCAACAGCAGATCACTTTCATTTCCTGATTCCGGCAATCTCTGATGCGGCTAGCCACGGTCCCATTGGACCAGCTGACTAATGTGGGTAACATCACAAGGGATCGCTCCCAACCCTTGCGCAACCATCATACAATTAAGGTGCCTAACGCTGAAATGGTTACACTTCAAAGGCGAAGACGACATCTGTATCAAGACCAGTTTCCTTTGAGATCTGACGAAGCCCCCTATCCTGCTGCGTACGCTCAAGCGTCCAATCTCACTGAATCGACCTCTACTCTACCATTACACCACCCGGCAATTCCGTAAGCCCTAGCAAATGCGTTAATGATGAGCTCTTCACAAAAAACGATCTGCCACTTACAAGAAGAGGAGCCAACATCTTCCTTAGCCTGCTGCGCCTTCGTGCATGCAATAGCATCCTTGCCAGCCTGAATCTTCAGAACCTGGGTACAATCTTCGCTCCCGCATTTCGTCCCAAGAGCATCCATACCGCGCTGAAGAGCATCATCCTTCCAGCCAAAGAGGTAGTCACCATGCGCCCCATACCCCGTGCTACACAACGTCAGCTTCCAAACCGAATCCGTCTCGGAGCAGAGTCACGGCACTCACGCATCGCCAAAGCTATACACCAGCGGCTGCTTCCCATTCTTCCAATAATCCGCGTTATTGAACTCCGCCGTGTCGAACATGATCTCGTACATAACCTGCGGGACACGCACAGGATGCGTGCTCGGACACTTGTCGCCGGCGAGCGCACTGCCCGATGCATATGCCACATGGCTCTTGTGGTCTGGGCTATCGAGATTCTTCCCGTCCCAGCACGAGGGGAAGATGATGGTAGCGCGGATGCCGCCCGGGCACGGCTTGGGGGGCAACTCTTGGGTGTCCTTGGAGTCGCAGGGCGCGCCGTTGCCGCCCATTGTTTTGTCGCCTGCCGCGAGGCAGCGGTGGCAGATGGGTTTGAACGTGCTCTTGGTGCGGACCGTCGGGTCGCCGGCGAGCATGCGGAAGCCCTTCGGGGTGTTAGCGTTTGGTTGGGTAGACTAGCCCTCACGGGGTAGAAATCTCTGGATAAAACGACGCACGTAACAGCCACCCTGGAGGCCTTCGCAGGTGTACAATAGAACGTATTGCCATCTGTACGAGCAATCTCATGTGTGTAGAGAGCCCTTGATCTGGAGAATTCTCTACCGCACCACACTTGGGTTGGGGGGGTGTTTGTTGCCGAGAGATATACTCACCGGCTTGAAAGCAGTGACCTTTTTATTGGTGCCGCTGAATGGTCGCATGTAATACACCGTGAGTCCTCCGTCTTGCTCGAGGAGGGTGCCGTTCAAGCGCCCGTTCGCCCTTTGCGGGACCCGCTTGAAAGTCCCGTTCTCGGGAGACTTGAAGTAGATGGAAGCCGTCCAGTAATTGCTGAGGTCCTCTGTGTAGATACAACTCTGCGATCTTAATTAGTTACTCTGTGAAGGTATTCGATCAGGAAGACGTACGGTGCAAGTGGATTGCTTCGGCGGATCAATGGTGTAGGGGTCCATCTATTCATATCTTAGTTACTGCTCTAACTCAGATGGAGGACGACGCCTGTCATACCGTAACGTTGAAACTGTTACCGCCAACAATTTGGTGGGTGTGAGGGGATGGATTCAACCCAGGGGTGACAAGAGGATCAAGGCGCTCCACCACAAGCTGAGAGCAGCCAAAGCGAATAAAGTCAGAAGCCCCCAGAGTCTGCTGGGCGGAGGCATCACGCGCGAGCAGCGCAACGAGCGCGGATAGTTGCCAGAGCATGGTTCGTAGATGCTGGTGTCTGAGTTGGAGCTGTTCAGGGCTGCAGTGTCCAAGAAAAGCAGCATGCTTTTAGACAACGCCAGCCCCTAACGATGAAGAACTCCCGGGCTTGGCTGCCCTCAGCGCCATGATAAGAGAGATTGATTCCTAGATGAGTATATGAAGCCATCCTAGACTATTTCTCGTGCGGTAGTCAACGTTTGAGTTAGCGAGGCCAATGACGGTGTCGCGAACGATTAAGCACTATACTGCAGATTGGTACTGCGCTACCCCGCCCCAACTACCGAGTGCAACGGTAATTCTCCGAATCGTCGGTATTGCTAAACCGAGAGACAATCCATGCAAGAATCACTCACGGCTTCCGATCATCGAGCATATGATCGGAGAGCAGGATGCAGGATGCAGCAGTCCACCGAGCGGGCAGTTCACTACCTAAGTATGATTTCGGAGTAGGTGGCAAGTATTGAGACATGAGTTGATTCATTGAGAATACGAGAAATATGGCTATATATATGAACCAAGTCACGTGTACCGGTAACCATATCCGGCAACATATGATAAGAGCGTTTTTTATATGGTCCAGCACAGGCGTGAGAACAAAGCCAACTGTTTCGAATGTCATGTTCTCCGCCCATACAAGGTGTGGCAAGTCGGTGGCGGCAGTGCCCTCGCTCGAGTGTCAGTTCCTCCTACCATTATTCCCGTGATCAACGGGCCCCCTGAAGGCCTCTAGGCTAAGTCATGCTCAATACCAGCGATGTCATCAAAGCTCCTCGAAGCGCTTCAGACTCCATTATGTACATCCGGCATCAGAGCACAGGTAGAAGACCAAGACTAGCATTTTCGTTCGGACCAATGTGCCTATATTTACGCAAGAAAACATGTCAGCACGCGGCGAGTGCGCTAAGATAAGCGAGGAACATTGAACTTCGAGGTGGCCCCTATTTTGCGCTTGCACGAGCTCTCTAAATGCCCTATGTGCATCTGCGATCTCGCCAGGATTGCTATGGAAGGTAGCAACGTACAATTGATGCGTCCCTTGCGTAGGGTTTATTAGCAGGATGGCCAACATCCCCATCTCACCACCGGTTCTCAAACGTCGCTTCTCACATTCCCCACTCCACCACCTTCCCCTCAATAGCCTTCGCGACCTCCTCCTTTGTCGGCACCTTGCTCATCGTCGCAGGATCCAGCTTCTCATTCAGCGCGACCAGCTCGTAGAAATACCGGTGCGGACCGTGACCCAGCGGCGGCCGTGGAGGGATGTACACAGCATTCCGTCGGTTCTTCCCAACTGTGCACCCACTCCTGATCACCTTCACGCCACCCTCTTCCTTCACAAGCTCCAAATCGGACGGAGAAAGCGAAGTAACAGTCGGCGGGATGAAGCAATAGATACCGTGCACGTTGGCGTGGCCTAGCGGAGCATCTGGATCTTCTGATAAGAGAAGGTACTCCTTGACGTTCGGGGCTGCGCGAGGCCAGGTCAGCGAGGGAATGCGCCCACTGCCAAACTTGGAGTATTCGCTGCTCAGCTGTGCGCCCGATGCGCCGCAGTCGGGCGATGAGATGGATATGGTCGGCTTGGGATGGTTTCTGAAGGCGTGAGTGTTGAAGAGACAGTCCGCATCGTAGCCGCGGCGTTGGAAGAGGAGGCGACCGAGACAATACTCGAGCAGTTTGAGGAGCCACATTTTGGAGGTGGAAAAGGATATCTAGGTGTTTTATCGGCGTTGGTTACTGATCGGGCGCGGATTCGCGGCTGCCTGCTCGCAACTCGCTCTTTCTCGGACTTTATGCGCGGCCTTAAGCGACAACGGACCGACCCTCCAACGGCTAGCCAGAAGCACGTTAGCTGACTATGCAGATCCACTACGAACGCACCATCAAGATGCTAAGCTCCTGTCAAATAGGCTTGACTGCTCTCCTGAATCTTTCCTGTCTATCTAATATCCACTATGTCCAGCCCCGAAGCACACCAGAGCCATGTCGAGGATGAGGAGATCAAACGCCCTGAAGAAGCTGGCAATTCTCCCGAAGAGAAGGAAAAGCCAGAAAACCAGCGGAGTCCAGCGAAGATGTCTGAAACAAATGATGCACCATTCTCAGTATACAGTGTGGGTGCTAGGAGAGCGATTGTCTTCGCTGCGTCGCTCGCTGGCTTCTTCTCACCACTGTCCGCGAGCATCTACTACCCTGCGCTGCCCCAAATCGCTCGAGATTTCAACGTATCGAATGCCAAAGTCAATTTGACGGTAACTACATACCTGGTATGCTTGTATCTTCTCACTACTATATATGTTGTGCTGAGACTATGACCAGATCATTCAAGGACTCGCACCCATGATTACGGGAGGCTTTAGCGACACTGCGGGGAGAAGGCCGGCATACTTCGTCTGCTTTACTATATACTTCTTCGCATGCTTGGGTCTTGCAATACAAAATAGTAAACATCGCCCCCTTTGCTTGCGCATCGCTCATCTAATGTTTTCTCTAGATTATGTTGCCCTGCTCGTCCTCAGATGCCTGCAGTCCGCTGGTAGCAGCGGCACGATCGCGATCGCCAACGGAGTCGTCAGTGACATCGTGACACCGCAAGAGCGGGGCGCCTTCATTGCATTTGCGTCGCTAGGTACGATTCTCGGCCCGTCCGTCAGTCCCGTCATCGGCGGACTTCTCGCCGAATATCTGGGGTGGCATTCAATATTCTGGTTCTTGGTCATCTTCACCGGATCCTTCTGCGTCCCGTTCTTCGCATTCTTTCCGGAAACCTGCCGCAAGGTTGTCGGTGACGGAAGTGCTTTCCCGCCTCCACTAAACCGATGCTTGACCGACTATGTTCGACGACGGAAACGGCAAGAAAACAACGACCCCCCCACTCAGCCTCCGCCCGGAAGACAAAAGATAACCTTCCCAAATCCAATGCTCACTCTCAAGGCGTTCGCTGTCAAGGAATCAGCTATGCTTCTCGTACCAGCAGGGCTATCGTTCGGTTCATACTACGCCCTGCTCACTGGTGCATCAGACACTTTCAAGACAGTCTACGGCTTCAGCGAAGTCAAAGTCTCGCTGATGTACATCCCGCTTGGAGCCGGGGGCATCGTCTCAGCATTCAGCACCGGAAAACTCGTCGACTGGAACTTCCAGCGGCATGCACGCCGGCTCGGCGTCAGGCTCGTGCCCAACCGACGCCAGGACCTTTCCAACTTCCCTATCGAAAAAGCACGTCTGCAAATCGCACTTCCGATATTCTGCTTGGGCTCCGCGTGTGTCATCATCTACGGCTGGGTCATCGAAAAGCAGTACACTGTCGCGGCGCCCATCATCCTTATGTTGGTCATGAGCTGGGCCATTTCTGCTTTCTTCCAGGTGCTCAATGTCCTCCTCGTCGATACGTATCCCGGACGGGGCGCTGCAGTCACTGCGGCAGTCAACATAGCGCGCTGCGAGGTCGGCGCTGCTGCGGCCGCGGCTATCAGCCCGATGACGGAGGGCGTGGGGGCGGGCTTTGCGTACACTATAATCGCACTGATCACGTTCGCGACGCTGCCGATGCTGCTTTTGGCGGCGAAGTTTGGTATGAAGTGGCGGGGAGAGACGGCGGACAAGGAAAGAAAGAAGGCGGAGGAGAAGTGCGCTCGAAGACAGGTCATCGAAGGCCAGGTCCCGAGGTAGAATACTGAAATGGTCTCCCGACGTGTGCACCGCAAGCTTGGCAAGTTACAAATCCAGCGGCAATGGCTAACGGGTACCAATGGAGTCAAGAAATGGGTCGCTCGAGGCTGCGTGGGGTTATTCAACCCCCAATCATCAGGCGCAGGTTGCTCGACAAGGCGGTTTGAAGCGGGTCACGGTAACAAATTCCGATTAGGACGACTCACTTCGGGCTCTCCTCTATTACAATTATCATCTATTACGAACAGCAGTATAATCGAAGCCCCAAGTCCTCCGTCCCGGAACGGAATTCCGGGTCTAAAACCTTTGCACACGCCATCGCACCTACAGCCTTCAGCGGGGTTCTCAAACTTACTATAGGGAAAAAAGAAATTATTATACCTCAAGTATGCCAGCATACGAAGGAGAAAAAAAATTATGCTCCAACGCTGGAGGCTGGATATGCACCGGGAAGCGTGTATACCTCCCACATGCTCTGCTGGCTTTGACGGCGACTGTGCGCGGGGCGGGATGGCTTGCCGCTATCCTCTCTTTGAATGGCGCTTGGGTTTGATGGCAGATCTTGAGTAGGCGCAGCGGGATGGACGATGTTGTTGTGTGGTTGCGGGTTGGGTGACTTGGTCCCATTTCCATTCGCGAAACCATTCGGAAGAATACCATTCGTCAAGCCTTGCTGGTTAAATTCTGGACGGCGGGGATGTGCCGGCCTCGAGGAGATGCTCCTGCTGTCTTTTGCGGCAATTGCTGTTTGGCATGCGGGCGGACTGCTTTTTGCCCGGGTGGGCATCGACTCAGTGTTACGCTGTTCTACAGCATTGCGCTGAATCCCGTTCGTCACGATCCGCTCTTTGCTATGCGGCTTCTCGTGGCTCGTGGCGCCGTTCACAACTACCTGTTCGCTACCTTCCGGTGCCTTTGGGTTCGTGTCCCCGTTTGTCCGGAGCCGCTCCTCCCAATGATTGATGCGGCTTCTCGCTATCCCGTTGGTGGCCACCGTCGATGGGTCTGCGCTCAGTTCATGCACCGTCTGCCGATCTGTCCTTCGTTCAGAATTGTTGTCTAGCACGCCGTTAACTCGACTCGTTACTCCTTCTACGAGCTCGCCGTTCGCCGGTCTTTGAAAGCCCACCCAGGTCTTGCCATGCCGTTCTCTTACGGACTTGCCAGCCTCATTCCGTCGATCAGCCCAGTCTATGCTCTTCACACCACTTTGCTGCGCCGCCTCGATAGTTGCTTGCGCAAGGCTCCTCAGCGCTTCGGATCCCCTATCGCTCTTCTCCCTTTTCTCTCTCTCCCTTCGCGCCCGCTTCTTCTCTTCAATTCGCCTCAATTCCCGCTGCTTGTAGCACCTAGAAGGCCGACGATGCATATGGTACTCACAGCCTGCGGAGGCCGAAGACTGGCGCTGCCCACCATCCGATATCCGCTCCAAAGCAGTCTCAAGCGCGAGATGCACGTACGCCTCCGGCAACCTCCCCGTATCCTCCTTCCTGAAGTTCTTCGCTCCCGCATCGATACAACGATCTACAACGAACTGCCTCAGTTGATTGGACATTCCCTCCGACGTAAAAATATGATGGATCGTATCATGATCCGCACAGACCCCCGGAGCGATCTTGTCCCCCAGGATATCCATAACGCGGTCCGCGAACTCGATGTCTTCCATCGTGGTGCCCAGGATGTACGCGTTGATCAGCGACCAGCAGTGCTGCCATGTGTATTTGTTGTCGCCATCGAGCGATGTCTCGCTGATGCAGTAGTGGATGCGGCCGGTGCGGAGGTAGATCCTGTAGAGGTCGAAGGCGTGCGGGTCGAGGACGGAGATGCGGGTTAGAGAGGAGTCGTTGCTGTCATCTGCCGTGACAGCTTCGGAAGCGGCTAGTTCGTGCTGGCTAGACTGGCTGCTGCCCTGGTCAGAGGACGAAGGTTCGGAGTCAGACCCATCGGTCTCCGGGATGCGGAAGAAGCGCGGAGTCAGATAGCGCGAGTCTGGATCTTGCTTCCCGACGAGGAGGTTCAGCATCGGCGGCTGCTTTTCCTCGACCCGCTTTGGCTTTGTGACTGGAGCCACGAGCGGCCATGCTAGCGGCGTCGACAGCGCTCGACCCTCGACTCCGGCACCTGGACGTCGCGGCGCCTCACGGCTCGGTGCAGGCGGGTGCGACGAGAGTCCAGCTCGTCTGCCCGCATTGCCGTCCACAGTAACCGGTTTCGAGCTGCCCCGAACGGGGATATCGACAAGAGCGGTCATTGCGCCACTTGGCACATGGACGTCCGGCCGCGGCTGCACGACTTGATTGAACGTGAGGCCCTGAATATCTTCGAGCGTGGGGTTCGGCTGTGGATTCACCCGCAAATCCCGCGGCCAGCTGATCTCCCTCGGGCCTCCTGCTCTTTTGATCTTGCTGCCGCTGCGACGGGGCGATTTCTTGCACTTGAAGAAGCCCATTGGCAGTTTGAAGAGCCTGCGAAGCAGAGACGAGGTTCGCGATGTGCGGGCCAGCAATAAAGACGATTGCGGAGAGCGGATGTCCTTGCACGAAGGGGCTTCTTGGGAAGATGATGGATATGGAGATATTGGATACCGAGAGTAGGAGCTGTGGCGACGTTGCCTTGATTTGTATGCTGCGGGGTTTGTCTTCTGCAATCGCATCGTCGAACGCTGGGAATGCGAATGGTCAGGAACGAGGTAAACAGAGCATGGAACTGCGTTTGGTGGGCCGTTGGGGGGTGTTGGGGATAACATGTTGGCGAGTGACGATGTATGTGTCATTTGCGGTGTGACTGTGAATCGCGGGTCAATGACTTGGTCCAGGCTCTGAGCCGCCCTCCACCACGATGACGATCGACGCAGAGTCAAGAAAGAGAAAGCTAATACCTGAAGCTAACCAGTCTACTCTCGAAAAATTCTACAGACCAGTCGTTGAAATGGCACACCGAAATCCAAACCCCTCAGCACCCGCGACACCAACCGCCGTCAAACCGCAGCACGGACATCCTCGAAAGGAACAAAAGTCTCTCCCAACACCAGAGCCCTGGCTCTTCAGCTCGAGATCTGAGGTACCGCGACGCTTCGAGTCGATAGAGTTACAATTGCCTGAGTTACCTCCACCTCCAATGCTGCATCCGAAGATCTTGGAAGGGCTTGCGGCAGCTAAGAAAAATGCTCAAGAGAAGAGAAATGGGGTAGTGGATGTCAGCAAGCCACTTCCACCGCTCCCCGCCGACGCGGAAACTGTGCCGTTCTCGACCGCGCCGTATCGAAATAGTGCTGCAAGCCAGCAAGTCGCCGAACGCTTTAGTATCAAGAGGAAGCCGGTGCCGAACTACTCACGGCCTATGTTACTTACAGAGTTACCCGTGGCACCAAGGAAAGACGGACCATTACTCGAAAGAAGGTCAAGGAGCGGCGCTGTCAAGGGGCAGGCCGCACCGCACCGCGGAGGCGAGCGTCGCACGCACTTCAGCAACTCGACAACAGCGCCCGTAGAGGCTCGTCCAGTGGAGACTCACGGACACGTAGTGGAGCCGGAACAGCTTGAGCGCGTTACAAGGCGGGGAACGGCTTGACGGTTCTATGTATGAAAGGAAAGCGACTTCGGTCCAGCGCTTTGTTTGTCTAGCTTTTCTCAAGCAAGAATCCCCCTCTTCATGTCCCAAGGGGAATATACTCCTTGAAGTACATCCCCTCCGGCACCCTCTTCCACTGGCCCTCCTCATCCAGCTTATCCGCCACATTCTCCCACTCCCTCCTCAGCGTCGCCGCCCTCTCCTCGCTCCTCTTCACGATGCGCACCGAAAACTTCTTCGGCTGTACAAAGACGCCCTCCGTCAGCTCGTCAGCGTCGACTCTCATCTCCTCCCCGTTCTCATCCTTCTCTGTCTCGAAATTGAAAGCCCACAGCAGCCGCGAATAGGCGAGGAAAAGCGAACGTTCGGCGATGTGCATGCCCTGGCAGACGCGGCGCCCGGCGCCGAACAGGAAATGGTCGCGCTTCGTGGCATCCCCGTTTTTCGCTGCTTCGGCTGCGGATTGGAAGTCGTCGGCGTAGCGCGTCGGGTCGAAGACGCGCGGATTAGGGAATCGACTCTCGTCGTTATGAACGCCCCTGGAGCTCGCGTTAGCTGCTGAGTTCGACCAGCCTGGGACGCAGACTCACCAAACATTCCACATCACGCTCGCGCCCTTCGGAATCCTATACCCCATATACATATCATCTCTGATAACCGCATGCGGGACCCCCAAGATCGCCGTCGGCATCCACCGCATCGACTCCTTCACACAGCCGCGTACATACTGCATATTCGGCTCGTCCTCGAGCATCGGGAACCGCTCGCCGCACACACGGTCGACTTCTTCTTGCGCTTTGCGTGCCACCTCCGGGAAGAGCACCATGGCTTGCACCCAGCCGACGAGCGTGCTCCAGGTCGTGTCGGAGCCGGCTTCGAGCAGCGAGCCGCTGATGTAGGAGGCGAGCGGGTCGGAGAAGTGCTCTTTGTTCTGCGAGTTGGCGAGGTCGATGCAGATGCAGGGCTGGGGGGAGGGTTAGCTGGTGTGCGTGTAGCTCTGGTAGGGAGAGGAACAGCGTACGTTGGCTGTGCCGTCCTGGATTTTCTTCTTGGCATTGAGCCAGTGGCCGAGGAAGAGCTGGAGCTCTTTCTCATGAAGCTCGCGCGCTCTTTTCTTGATGGGGAGGAGGGCGTCGGGGAGGTGGCATAGGAAGGGATAGGCTTCGAGGAGGTGGGCTTCGGGCGAGCCGAGGGTCTCGGAGAAGCCTGCGAAGCCCTGTGTCTCTTGGTTAGGCGAGCTTTTATTTGGATGCGTGGTCTCATACAGTGTATAGCCGGTGCATGTCCTTATCATCAACGTCCGTAGTGCGAAAGCCAAACACCATCTGCGTTGTCAGCGAATTCGTGTAGCGCCGCAGATGGTCGATCCACCGCTGCGGCTGGTCGAGGAAACCGAGCAACATTTGCCTATTCTCGAGGTCTTGGTAGGGGACATATGAAGTCGACGCTTTGATGTTGAGGTGATTATGCACCGTTCCTCGAATCATCCGCCATGTCTTTCCGTATTCCTACGCCCACCAATCAGCACCCACCCGCCGACTTGTCTTCTGGTAAAAACTACCTACCATGAGCAGCATCCGCAAGCCCCCACTGAGCATCTGGCCAATGTACAGCGGTGGCCGCGACGAGTAGATGTCGCTGCGCTTATCGAGCAGATCTTTAATCGCGCAGTCCGACGACAGCACGACCATGACGCTGGAGCCGAGCATCAGCGAGTACACCGGGCCGTACTCGTCGGCCCATTTCTTGAACTGCAGGTGTGCCTTCTCTTTGGGCATCTGGTGTAGGTTTCCGATGATTGGCAGGGTTGGTGGGCCGGGCGGGAAGTCTTTCGGGCGGCGGCCTACATTGCGCAGTTTGTAGAGGACGAGCAGGGTTGCTGTTAGCACCGCGGCGACTAGGATGCCCATAGTATAGTAGCAGCTGTCAGAAAGCTAAACGGCGCAAAAGGCAAGAAAGTCGCAGGGCTAAGAGGTTGAGGACTCGGCTCGTCGTGAAGGCTCGAAGAGCCCGACTTTTATACCTTGCGCGGAGCCTCATGCTGCGAGTCGATATTAAAACTGCCGTCAGCCTGGTGGAGCTCCTGCCCAGAGTGATGGGCTACGTATGATAAGGCTGGACGAATGCTGTCTGCTGCAGCGAATGCAGACCCATGTCTACCCCGCTCCAGCCGGTCCACTTAATTGTTGAAAGGGCCTGTACGTGCAGCTTAGAGCATTCCTGAGCGCTTAGAAGATGCTGGGGTTATACGAAGTGTGTGTAGGTACGTGACTTACAGAACGCCCTGCAGGTCGGACCGTTTAGGTGTCATCGGTACAGTACGCTGCTGGCTTGGCTGCGCCGGAAATAACGAGGGACGGGCCGAATGACTGACATTCGCGTTTCTTCGACAATATGGATGCTGACTGTAATTGTGCTGAGTTGGCGTAACTCGAGCTTGTCAGAAAGCGTTCCCGGGGCAGTAGGACGCGTCGCGACTTGGGATCCAAAACGGAAAAGTGAGCAGAAGCCGCTCAGAGGAAACACGGGACACCAGAATCAAGTAACGGTCTTTACGGTAGGGGCACTTGCATCTGAAGATGATTCTCATGCTATTTTCTCATATTTGGGTCGCTGCCTTTTGGGGGATGGCACGTGACCGTCCCATTCACTCTCGGCACACTGCTCTCCTATCTACCCTCTGAGCTGCTAACTTCGTTGTAGATTGGCATACGCCATAGCAGTCATACGGGCGTTCACTTGCCCATCCGTATGCCCGATAAAACTTTGCGACTGGCCGTTGATATCCGTACCTGCCTCAACCGCGTCACCTAGCCAGCCGCTTGGAGCCGCCTTATCAGGACCTGACAGCTCCCAATCTGGTTCTGAGTCACCTGCTCTAGGCTGCCACCGTTCTTATCACTTACCTTGACGTCACACACGCGCTGCAATTTCCGAAACTCAGGAACTTGCTCACCGTCGGTCACCCACCCAGCCAATCCGGAGCGCCGCTTTGAGCGCCTGCCTTCGAGCAAACGCGGAAATGAGCCGATGGTGTGATCAGTGACGTTCGAGCAGCTTCGACGGCTCTCGGGGAGTCACACGGTGCGTTCCTGCCCTCCCATTGGCCTGCCTGCCTTCACCGTGAGTCCCGCAACGACGCTCTGACTTCGCAGACCGCCTAAGCGAGGTAACGTGACTGCTTGGCGCCAAATCGCTAGCGCGAGTCCAGAGGGCATAAATAGCTGCCCTCCCACCCACTTTCTGTCCTTCTTCCCAGTCTCACTCCACTCCACTTCAACTCAGACTCTCAGTCAAATCTCATCTCTTCTTCGGGTTCAACAATGACAACTTCGTCTCAAGTCTTACCTCTCTTGACTTCAACCCGCCTCTACCAAGGTCACTCACCTACCTGACCTCACCCTGCCTTCACCTCATTGGCCTCAGCGCCTTAGGCAACACCTCAACGTCACTCAAGACACCATGGCCACTTGTGTCATTGACACAGTGACCTCGCCGGCTTCCAGTCACCATCCAAGTAAGCTGTCTTCACCTCACTCACTTCGCTCATTGCTGACCTTTCTTAGAAAATAACCTCAACCACGACTGAAGCCGCTCCAACATCTTCAACAATCTCACATTACAACATCATGGCGTCTTATGTCTTCGACAGAGACCCACTGTTGGCTCTCAGTCACAAGCCAGTAAGTGACCTTCACCTCACTCACCACCCTACTAACAAGTCATAGAAAAAAACCTTGACTGAAGCCACTCCCACCACCGGCTGACATCGTAACGAGCTCTTGCCTTCACCTGCTCGTCAGCCTTCAGCCAACGCCTCACCTCCAATCCTCCTATCATCGCCTCATCGACTTGACGCAAGTGTTGACTACCCGGCATGCACATACATCGGTATGTGTTCGGGTCAACGGTAGCACCAACACTTGCCTCACCGACCGCTCCGACCGCTTCTAAAATCAATCCTCAATCAATCCTCCTCTCCTTCGCTGCCTTGACGTGAGTGTTGACTACCCGGCATGCACATACATCGGTATGTGTTCGGGTCAACGGTAGCACCAACACTCGCCTCATCGACCGACCGACCGACAGCGTTCAGTTCTTCCTCAACTCAATCCTCAACTCAATCAATTCATCCTTCGTCCTCTCACTTCACCTCACGACACTTCCACACATTCGACCTTCATCTACGACATCACCTCACCTCAACTCACCACTCTCTCCTCTTGTCGTCACATCCTCCGCTCATAGATAGCTTCTCATCAAGTAAGTCTTCCTCCACCCTTCAGCTGTCGCCCACTCACTGACCTCTCCCAGAAAAAAATCGACCGTAAACAGGTCACCTAATCAAAAATACACTGACCCGAAAAGAAGGTCACAGTCAAACCAACAAGCCACCGGCCCGAAAAGAAGGTCACAACATCAAACAACAAAACACCGACCCGAAAAGAAGGTCATCACCGCGGCGTTTACCTCACCATTTCTCCCCGTCTCTGGCTACCACCAGATGACTCATGTACTCTCTTCTTCATGTTTCTTTTGCTTTCAGTCACTGGCTGCCACCAGTAGACCCTCCCTGTACCTTCCTTCACCTCTTCCTCTCCCCTACCTCTTCACCACACGAGACGATAATTCTCATCACCCGAGACAATAATTCTCAACTCTTCCTCCCTCACCCTTCCTCCCTACCTCTTCACCCCACGAGACAATAACTTCTCAGCACACGAGACAATAACTTCTCAGCACACGAGACAATAACTTCTCTCCCCCCGAGACAATAATTCTCAACCCTTCCTCCCTTACTCTCCCCTCTCCCCTCCGTCACGGTGCGCTCAGCAGGCTCTGAATCGGCGGCGAGTTGGCCTCAGGTGTCCGGTTCCAGGCTACCAGATGCTCTTTCGCGGGTGTCTGGTAGTCTGGAGCCACACCTGAGGCCACCTCGCTAGCTTGGCGGCTTCGGTCAGCCTGATGACTCGCTCTCGGTCTGGTCGGAGCAACGAACGGCCTTAGGATTCATCCTGTCTGAGCTACGCACACCCGGTTCTCGTCCTCCTACCATTACTCCTCCTGATCCGCCTCCACCGCCTGATCCGCCTCCTTCGACTTCTTCTTCGAGTTGTTCTTAGAGTTTATGTTCTGTTTCGCCCTTATGGCTTATCCTGCTTCTTCTGCTTTAGATACTATTCAAACAAACAAACAAATCAATCAATGAAATCAATCAAACCATCAATCTACATCAACATCTCGTGCCTCTTGTCTGTCTCCTTCGTGATGTCTCTGATGTCTTGCCTTGACTTGATCGTGATAGCTCTTCAGTGTTGACGCTTTGCCTTCCATGCCCTCCCCTCGCCTTCCCTTCGCGTGCGTTCGACTCACGAGTCTCTCCAAACGCCCAGACTCAGAAGCCAGCCCGCCTCTTCCGCGGCACAGTCCTCACTAGCCACCGCCAACACTATCAGCGTCTGCGCCGGCTAGCTAGGTAGCTAGTTGCAACCAAGTCCACGCCCTCCCTCCCATCCGCGAACGTCCTCGATTTCGTTTCGCCCCGCCTCTGCCCCTGCCTGCCAAAGACCCCTCCTAGGCTCACAAACACCACGGACGCTACGCTCCTCGTCCTCAGTCCGCCTCGACGCTCCACCCACCACCCCTTACATCCTACCCTTCGCCGCGCCCTCTGCTACATAACAAGGAGGCTTGGAAACAACACTTGCATGAGATTAGATATACCTAACAGACGGACAACGCGCGCGTAGAGGAAGACGAGGACGTATGGACGGAGGCTGCTGTGCAAGACACTCTACTCTACTCCGTTCCCGCTATCAGCGCAGATGCACGCCGTTGGTGCGTATCAACCCTGGAGACAAGCGGGCATCTTTCCCCAGTAGGAGTAGGTGGGTGGTGGAGCGCTCGATTGATTGATCCAGATCCCGCAGCGGAAAAGGGATGCTGCTGGGCAGAATGCGGGTATCGATGAAGAGAATGAGAGTGCGGAGTAACCAGTACGATGACTGAGAGAGCTTTGCAGCATTTGAAAAAGGGAGGCAGGCGGATTGCGTACGTAGTAGATGCCGATGGCATGGGAAGAATGATAACGAGAAGACGAAGGAAGGATGGGATGTGCTCTGTTTGTTCGACGTAGTCTACGCAGTCTACTTACGGTTCTCTCTGGAGATAAGGGCCTTGCCCGGCTTATCCTGCAGATAGTAAGAAAGAACCTTGTATAGCTGGACCGGCTAGCTAGCTATACGTGACATTCATTGTTCTCACCCACGCACCGACCCAGCTGCGAAGGCCTGTTACGTACTTACGGACGTCGTTATATCCGGAGAATCCTATACTGTAAGAGGGCAGGGAGCGAGATGGAGGGCTAGAAGAGGGACTGGGATGTGTGTCTGTTGAGTGCCTGGGTGGGTGGGAGGATAGAGGTGGAGGGATATTCGAGAAAATAAACTGGCGTAGGCATGAGACTGTGGAGGACGCGGGAAGTTGCAAACGTGCTTACAAGAGGCACGCGTGGAAGGAAAAAAAAAAAAAGAAGGTCCGAAAGCTTGCTCAAGAACTTAGAGTGAGAAACCGGAACTGAAAACAGACACAGCTAAGATGTATGTATATCGACAAATCTGTCGGGCAGTCTACCCTTCCTTACGCCTTCCCATGAGTGAGTATACGGCCGTGATATCATCCGCAAAGCAAAGCATAACAGACAAACAAACAACTACCACATCAAAGCCATGTGCAAGAAGTTCTCAAGCAACACTTCTCCATACCATCCTGTCCCGTCCTGTCCTATCCGTCTAAAGCCCGTTCGCTCGCTCATCATCACGCAACCGACTTCCTCACGAGCTTCCTTCTATTTCTGCATTAGCCTCTCATCTCGCTGTGTGAATTCGTTCGTCTTAGGATAGGATAGGTGTTCAAACTTACGAAGAAGCGCCCCAGCCCCTGCTCTTCGGCCGCGGACTGTCCACCACGCCTGTAGCTACGCCCTCATTCTCCTTATCTCCAGCCGCTGCTGCGGACGTCTTCGGCCTCGCCTTATCCGTCGCCGACTGTGGGGCTTCGTAATACCTCGTCCCCGGAGCAGCACTCTTCTTTGCTTCCTTGGACGACGGCGCCGCGGACGTCTTCGGTCGCTGCTCCACGGGGGCCTTCGCCTTATGCATATCTTTCTTACTCGCCGGCTCCGTGGGAAGCGCAGCGGTCTTCGGCCGCATCAGCGCGTTTTTATCCTTGGGCGCTAATGCAGCGGTCTTCGGTCGCTCCTTGTCCTTTTCCTTCTCCCGTTCTTTGCTCTCTGATTTCGCGCTCTTGCCCTCGTCGGCATCATCGTCCCTCCGCGTAATCTTGCGCATCAGCCCCTTGAGCGTAAGGCTCTTCCTGCGCGAGCTGCGGAGCTCAGCCGGCGGGACGTCGTTCGAGATGAGACTAAAGCGGTTCGTGTTGTCGCTGCGGAGATGGCGCTCGGGCGTGCCCCGGATGCTGGACTCTGTGGGGTCGATGGAGAGTGGTCGCGCGGGCATGGGCTCCTCCATGTTTGTGATAGTAATGGGCTCGGTGATGAGGGTTGCGCCGCTCGACCGCGCGGAATGGTGTTGTTCGGCGGAAGAATTTCTCTGGCGCGCGCGGTGCTGTGCGAGGCGTTCGTGGTCGAGCATGAGCTGCTCTTTGGTGACCTCCAGCTGAGCGATGGACTGCTTAAGCCGCGCGTTTTCCTCCTGAAGCTGGGTTTGCGTCGTTGCGGCGGCGTCGTTGTCTTTCTTCAAGCCTTCAACATGGCTGTCTTTCTCGGCGGAGCTCTTCTTTAGCTGCTCGATCTCCTCCTCCTTCGCTCCCAGCGCGTCTCGACTCTCCTTCAGCTGGCCCTCCATCCTCTGGAAATGCACACGATGCACGATGCTGGGCCTAGCCGTCCCCATATCATCATTGATGGCCTTCTCAAGCCTCAGCTGCTCCCTCAACGCCTCTGCCTCTTGTTCCGCTGTGAAGACTCGCGCGTTAGCTTCACGGACGCGCTTATCCAATGCTTCGACGTCTGAGTAGAGGCGCAGATTGTCCTGCTGTGCTGTGTTGAACATAGCCTCCAGTTCCTTCTTGTCTTGCTCCTCGATGGTGGGTAGCCGGGTCGTCGGCGAGTTCTTCGCGCTGCCCATTTTGAACTCGTCCAGCCTGATGGCAGCTTCTTGGAGTTTAGTCTGCGTCTGGGCATGCTGTTTCCGCTCTTCGTTTAGAGCGCACTGGACTTCGTACGTGGCATCCCACGCCCTCCGCAATTCGTCTTGGGTCTTTTCCAAACCATCGGCAGCGGTGACGGCACTTGCAAGGTCAAGCTTCAGCTTCGCGATCTCTACCTCCTTCTCTTGAATCGCGCTCTCCACTTCGAGAGAACTCCTGCCTTTGACGCGCAGCAGTCTGACTTGTACTGCGGCTTGCTCATCACCTTCAACAGCGGAGTCGACCTTTATTTCCCCGTTGGGCTGTGGGCTTGCTTGCCGCTCGAGAAACGCGATTCTCTCCTTCAGGTTCCGTAATTGAGCATCCTTGAGCTCCAGCGCGGCCTTTTGCTGCCTGTAGATTTCCTCCAGCTTCGAATCGCGCTCCTTCATATAATTCTCCTTCTGTTCGTTCGCCTTCCGCAGCGCAAACAGTTCAATGTCCTTGCGATAGATGACGGCCTGGTGATCTCGGCCCAGGGTTTGCTTCATCGTCTTCATCTCATCCCGCAGGCTGGTGTACTCTGCGAACGTCTCGTCGAGCGTCTCGCGGGCATTGTGCAGCTCTGATTGAGTGCGCCTGAGATCGTGGTCCTGGACTTTCTGGGTCGTCTTGGCTTCGGTGAGCGTCTTCTGGAGTCGCGCGATCTCGTCCTCTCTCTCGCCAAGTGGAGGACTCGGGTCGCCGTCTACCTGGGCATCTTTATCGGTTGCGTTACGGGGCTTGGAAGGAACCGCGATATCCGAGTCGGCTACGGTGTGTGACAGCAGGGTTTCAGCCGCTGACGAAGATTGCCCCGAATCATGGTACAATGTTCGTTGCAATGCCTCAAACGAGACCATGACTAAGGCTGTGACCAACAAGTCCTGGATCGAGATTTTCTGTCCTGCAGCGGTGACGACTGCAAATACATGCAATGCGTTTGCAATCTTTGTCTGGTGTCTTGCAGCCCAGGAGCCGGGATGATGTCTGACAAAGATGAGGAAGGCGCCGGGCAGTGCGGTGGTAATTGCGACAGCCGCGAATCGAGACGGCGGAAAGTGCGATGCCCACCGGTCGTCCAGAAGGTTCACGATATCTTGACTTATTCCCATCTGCGTGGCCACCGACGTGAGGGACGAGAGCATGCTCTTCCTTGTCCCTCGTAGCACCCGGACGATTGAAGCTGGCGCAGGCTTATCGCTCCACCTGGATACGGGAAGGCTCAATCTCACGTCGAGCGGATGCTGCGAATCGTAAACGGAAATACCATTGGCGAAGCTGGCGGGAGGAGAGGACACCGCGGACGGCGCGTTACTGCAGCGTCCTACTGCGCACGAAATTGGGCGTCCGGTGAGGTAGAGGTAGGTTCCGGTTATCGCAATAAACACGCCTGCGGCTACGGACAACGGGTGACTCTGGGCATAGTCACGGACGCCCTCCAGCACTCCAGTCATAGTGGAGGTGGTCAGAGGCCGCTAGATGGACGATGCGTGAGACAGCGGGAAAAGGAAAACGTAAATGGACGAGAGCGGAAGAGACAATGGCTGGTTTGATGTAGACCAGAGAATGCGTATGCACTCGTACGTTCAATCGTCGTAATCGTTTCCATTAGCGGCCAGTTAGAGAGGCGTGCATGATGCTACTGAGGATACAGAAGCTGCAAAAACAATGAACACGCCCAAGCGATGCCCAAGCAATGCACCCGTAGAGAGAAAGAACAAGAAAGGAGAGCGAGCAGACAAGTCGCATTGAACCCCAGAAATGACGTGTCGTGAATAAACTCTAGGAACGCCGAGCTTATATGCAGCCGGAAAGGATATCGCAGCCAAAGGGAAAAGGGGACAGCATTGACCCCGAGGGATTGGGCGAGCAGGACAGCCTCTCAGACCTTGAAACTCTTCGATCCTTCTACCAGCCCATCGCTGATTTTTGTTGCAATCGCCCATACGGGCAGATAGTGCTGCACCTCGTCGAATGCAGGCACGCCGCCTGCATTGGCGTCCGACCAAAGACACACGATTCTTCCAGAAAGCGTCGAATTCGCGGCGCCATCCCAAGCAACGCTAACGTTCCAGGGCTGAGACCATTCGCGATGCCAGAGGCGCAGCTCGCGAGAGCCGTTGTTCCCTGTCGCATTGAAGCGGGGGTCTGAAACCGCGCCGGCAACCGCCAAATCAGAGATCGGCGTGTCAAACACGACGCGACACGCGCGCGTGTTGCGTCCGACCACGCGAATCGTGGCCTCATTGGCCTTCTTGCCCTTGGATATTGAGTAGTCCAGCCAAGCGTCAGGCTTTGTTCTGTTGCTGAAGGGCGCGACTCTGGGGACAACCTGGGCTGGCAGCCCGTCCCACGAACATTTCGTCAGCTCCTTGCGAGTGGCGATATCTGGCGTCGTGCAATTCAAGTTTTTGCCCTGCGCACTGGGTATTTCCCTGATAATCTTCTGGACGTAGCCGTCGAGCCCCGTCAGGGACACGGCGTTTGCCCCGCTTTCGCAGTCTACTTGCTGGAGGAAGTAGACCTTCAGCTTGTGGTCTCTGGAAAAGGGGAAAGCCACGAGGTTGTAGATGGCCGTTCCAACGCAGATGAAGAACAGGAAAGTCGGAATGTGATAAGTGAAGCGGTGGATAAACGGTCCCGTGGGCGCGACGAGCAACGTGGTCAGGGCGGCAAACGCGAGATATATGAAGAGAGTGGAACTCCCGTCTGCGGGGGTCTGATAGAGCGCCGATGTAAGGAGCAGCGCCATCTGTCCGACGAGAATGAGGATAATAGGAACGAGGAGCAGGAACTGGGGCACCCAGAGCCAGTTTGGCATTTTGCCGCTCCAATCTTGCTCGCCTGCGTACGCTTGCCCCAGATTCAAAGGCCGTAGCCGTTCTCCGCCTTCAGTACCTTCGCTGGCAGACTGTCGCCTGCTCCCATACCGCGCATAGCTGCGACGGTCCCCTCTGAGAAGCGAAGTCGTCTCAGTCGCATCGTCGTCTAAGAGCGGGCGGTCATCGGACCGGGCGCCGCTGGTAGTTCCGGTCAACGGTCGGCTGGCGGTTTCTGAGTTGCGGCGTGCGCCATCATCCTCATCGAAGCGGCCGACATATGCCGACTTCTTCGGGAGGAAAAAGAGCTCGATGTAGGAGATGAGAAGTGCGAAGAAGACCGCGGCAAAGTAGAACATGATGAAATAACCTCCGGCAATCTCGTAGTTCCGCGCTAGAACCGTTACGACGACGAGAAGGGCGAAGCTTCCGATGAAGAGCCACATGAGGGTGTACATGCGCTGGAGTGCAGAGGGACGCATGGCACTAGCACCGCGCAAGAAAAACCAGGCAAAGAAGAACCACGCGGAAAGCATCATACTAGGGTTGAGGTCAGCGAGGGTTGCACATGGTCAGAAATTCCGAACGTACCTCCACACAGCGTAGGGGCTGCTGTACACAATATCCGGATTCACACGCTCAATCAGAAAGGCCAGGGCGATGACAATGGCGGTGACGACAACGAAAGCAATTGGAAATCGGGTGAAGCCGCGCCAGCCGTTGAGCTGAATGGGCTGGTCATCATCGGACGAATGAATGTACTGCTTCCTGGCGAAGAGATAGTACTTGTCGGCTTTGGAAAGGGCTATGGCCAACCCAATCAAGGCGACGGGTGCAACGACCAGCAGCGTTACGCAGAGGGCAAACATGGTATACAGGCGGAAGACAACAAAAGCTTTTCCAAACATGTCGAACCATACGGCATCAGCGCCGGTGCCTGCATCCACCTTGCCGTCAGTGCGCACTTTGCCATTGCCGCTGAACTTGTTGCTAGTATCAGACGCCAAGCCAGACGTGGTAGCTATTGCAGCGGAGAGCATGTGCCAGAGGGAGTTGATGGAAGTTTCGCGAGTCGAGTCTTCAATCGTATGGTATCGTGCCCGGGGCTCGAGAAAGGCGACATCAAGCCCGCGCAGTCCGAGTTCGCCGTTGAAGACAACATAGTCAGTCTGACTGCGAATGAGCCCTCTCTTGAAGCCATCACCGCTGAGGACCGTTCCAAAGGGATGACTGGCCGCCTTGTAGAAAGCGGTGACTTCGACATCGGTGCTCCTAAACAGAGTGGCTCGGCCGCCTGCTCCCGCGCCTTCGAGGTTCAAAAAGGTGTGCGGAAGCTGGGATATGGGATGGCGCATGAATGCCTTGGCCCCATTCAGGTAGTCCTCTTCGCCGTTGTTCAGCAGCAGCACGACTGTCCGCTTGGGCCAGTTCTTGGGCTCTGTGAAGTAGGACAAGAGCTGCAGCACGGAGACGACGCCGACGCCGTCGTCTGTCGCGCCGTAGCCCGAGCTGACCGAGTCGTAATGGGCGTTGACCAGGACGCCGCCATTCTTAGAAGCACGAGTGGACGTCAGGGGAGTCTGAAAGCTCGGGTAGAAGGACTCCTTGTCTTCGGATCCTCGAATGGCAACAATGATGTTGGTCCCCTCAAAGTAGACGCTTGTATTGCCATTCGAGAAGGTAACGTTGGAGATGGTGTCGTCGATGATCTGGACGCGGTCGCTGCCAATGTCCTTTGAGGCTACAATGTCCCTGACGCGTGACAGAAGATAGCTCCGCACATGGTCGTTGGCGTGGCTGTTGAACGGATGGAAATGGCGGGTAATGTGCTCCAAGTCATACCATGCTTGGGTAAGGTTCGTTCCGGCGGGCGTTCGGGAGGGATAGCTGGGGACATTAAAATGCACGGTAAGCAGAGCGGCGAAGAGAGCTATGTAGGTGGCGGTGGTCACTATGATGACGGGCAGCGGCGTGAAGGCGAAGGGATTGGAGAAGCGAGCCATGGCCGGCCCTGGAGCTGCTCACGGAAGCATGCAGCGTGCTGCTTCGCTGTGCGCGCCGGATGCTGCGAGCGGTGTGGCTTGGTGTCGTCGTCGGTGGTTGGAGGCAGCACCCAGCTCGCTGCGGGGAAGACGAATGGGAGGATGAGGCCATAGCTCCCCACGCTATGCCTCGAAGATGCTAGCTTTGTCGCTCCGCCTCGATAACCAAGCTCCGCGATGAAGACGGGCACTACGGCATTGCCATGATGCCTCGCCATGGGACCTGCGGGCGATGGCTTCGACCCTGAGTGTGCCATCGAACGGGATGCGTCGCGCCTGCCCTCCGTCCCCGCGCTTTCCTCGTCGCCAACGGCCTACCCTGGATGCTGCCTCGCCCTGAGCGCACCCCTCCTCCAGCGTCTCTGCTCCCTCCTGCCGCCGACCCCGAGCCTCACCCTCTCAATCGGGAGCGGCGCCGGCCTCCTCGAAGCTCTCCTCCTCGAGCACCATGCGCTCAACCTCATCGGCGTCGATGTCCACCCCACCCCGAATCGCTACCTGCCCTGCACCCACCACCGCACCGTGCCCGGCACCCGCTTCCTCGAGCCTCTCGCCGCCAACGCCCCAGCATGGCTGTTTGTATATCCAAGGCGCGTGGCGCTGGTGGAGGAGTACCTGGACGCCTACGGGAAGGGCAGCGTAGAGAGGGTCGTCTGGATTGGGCCGCGCGCTGACTGGGATGACTACAAAGGCTGCTTTGGGCGAGGATGGCATGTGCGGCTGGAGAGCGCCGATGAGCTTGGGGGAAGAGCCTGGGAGCTGGTTGCCGTCGCTCGCAGGATGCACGCGTGACCGCCGTCTCCAGGCCTGCTCTCCCCGCAACGTACCTGCGCCGTCAGTGTCCACAACGGCCGGGTCAAGGTAGTACAAAGAGCTTCATTGTCTTAGCCTTCCTAGCCTGCCTCCCTTTGTCTCCTCTACCGTCAAACGATACCGTCAAACGATCTATTATCGTCGCAGCTGGGCGGCGTCCTTTCACAGCTTCTTGCTAAACAAAGCCTTGTCTGAAAGGCTTGGCACTTTTTCTTTCACCCTTTCCATGCCACTACATATGCTAGCATCAGTCTCGCGGACTTTCCGCGCTCAAGACCAGAACATCTACCCGACTCCGACTGCATCGTGCTGACATCTTTTCCACTTTTTGCGATACACGCTCACCTTCTACTACGATAAGATAAATTTCACAATCTCGTGTTAACCTCTAATGGCCACCTTTCTCACTGCGGCGGTGGCCGTCGTCCTTGCACAAGTTGCAATCGACGTTGCACCGACAGCTCCCATGCTCTCTGCCGGCCTCTGGGCCACAGCCGTCGGAATTGTTGCGACACCCCATTACTTGCTTGCCGCCAACCAATGGAATCAGCAGCCTGCCACCGACTACGCCGCGAGCGTTGCGGAGCCCCCTCCCCAAGTAGCGGCCCAACAGCAAGCCGGCAGTACGAGTCGTCACGTCGCAACTGTAGTGTACAAGTACTGGACCAAAGCTGCCGATGCCATTTTGACTCCTGCCGGAACCTGCCCCCAAGCAGCGACCCAACAGCAAGCCAGCAGTACGAGTCGTCGCGTCGCAACTGTAGTGTACAAGTACTGGACCAAAGCTGCCGATGCCATTTTGACTCCTGCCGGAACCTGCTCCCATGTTGCCTCTAACAGCGATCCTGCCAGTAGCTCGACGAGCACATTTGCAGCTATGGTTCAGGCACCTATGACTGCTTCTAGCCCTGTGACCACGCCCGAAGCGGGTCCCACGACCCCGAAGCTGGGGTATACTCTCAAGACCCAGCTCGGTGCATTCTGGAATGCCATTGCGGATTTCGCATCCACGTGCTTTAGCTATATGTACGCTCGGCTCGTTGGCTTCTGGAGCTTTATTACAGATTTCGCTTCGGGATTCTTTGGCCACGTTTACGACCTGCTCAACTTTACATGGACTCTCCTTTCGAAACTCCTCGCCGACTTCTTCAATTTCGCCTATGCAAAGCTTGTTCTGCTCAGGAACATACTCTCGAACCCTATCGCGTCGGTCTTCAGCCCAATGTACGCTCAACTGGCCTCCTCCTGGAGCTTCCTCACTACCTCCGCCGCTTCAACCTTTCATTGCGACTCGTATCCTTGTGGTGACGCGGCAGATGTCGCCATCAGGGCCCTCGTTCTCTCTACAATCATTATACTTAACATTCGCATGTTCCCCGTCCCAAAACCGAGGTTCGCGAAGCTCGTCAGCCTTCTTTGTCTGGTCCCTATCATTCTCCCGATCGTGGACCATTTACATTGTCCCGCGGATGTTGGAATCGCCGTCTTTGTATTCGTGGCTGTTTATGGTACGCATCGCCTCTTTCTAAGCTTCGTATTTCTTGAAGCTGCTGGGCGGTGGGTAACCGATATGACTGTCCGCGTGGGGCAAGCTAGCGGCCAGTGGTTGTTCCAGGCCTGGGATATGGCACATCACTGGGTTGCACGAGTTGCCGTAGCGCTTATAACGCTATTAATACCCGGGGTTTTGCGCTGGTTCTCTCCCGATTCATATACAATCGCTCTCAAGGAGAATACAACCAACGTCTTCCGCGTTTGTCGCAAGGCCGCAAGCAATTCCTTCAGCAGCGTCAGCCGCACTGCTATGGAAGTGGCTCCCACGGGAGAATATAACTGGCTTGTCCGGGGTGCTGCTATGGTCGGGCCCATCGTTGTTATTGTTTATCCAGGCCTCGTCTGGATCCACCGCCTTCCCCTCGCTGGAGTTCGCTACCTTGCCTACTCCACTCTCGCTACGAGCACCATTGGATTCGCCTTCCTCTGGCATGAATACTTTGGCTTCCAGACCCGCGATGCTGCACTCCTGCTTCTCGGCATTGTTGTTTCTGGTTTGATCAACGGCATTTGGAACCCGTTCGCTCGTTGGATCGTTCGTTGTTTTCTGCGGGCTGGCGCCGCGATCGCTGACTTTGCCCGTTGCGTAGGACGCGTGATTCGGCGAGCCGGCGCTACTGGTCTCGATCTCATGCATTGGATCCGGGATTGCGTTGAGCAGGCACTAGCTGCCATGACAGACTTCTCCCAGCACCTTCAGGCACTAATCCAGTACTACGACAACTTCACCGTGGCCACCTGGGGCATGCTCTGGAATCTCATTCGACCCACTCTTCTAGTGCTTCTCAACCACGTAGGGGACTCCATCCGCAACGTTGATCGGGGGATTTGGAGCTGCGTTACACTTGCCGCTGTGGCGCTATCCTTCATTGATAACGAGCTTCGTGGACATTTGGACTGGTGTCCATTGCTCGCTTGGCGTTGGCTTTGGCGCGCTCCCATCATCGCAACATCCGTCGCTATCCCGATGCTAACGATCATTGCCGTGGTAAAAAGCCGTGGTCAGCAAAGGGTTAAGCTACTATGCGTGTTGCTTGGAAGTGTTGCAGTAGAGGGTGGGGTTGCTTACTGGTGTCCGTATGTCCACTGCGCTGTGGAGTGCATCCAGGATGCGCACATTATCATCGCTACGTCGACAATGCTCCTACTCCTGGGTCTCTGGGGTAAACTTGGCTTTTTGAATGCAAGCACTGCTGCGTCGGATGATGATAGCCCGGACGCTGGAGGTGCTTCGGTCGAGGAGAAGGAGCCAGCTAAGACTGTGAGGGAGACCAAAACGCCCCAAGGGGATGCCGCAAGTCAACCCAATGGAGCTGTCGAAAAGCAGAAGCATGCCAAGAAAGAGGAAACGCCGCTGGAGCGTCAAACCGGGGCTCATATCGAAGACATGCTGGATACGAAGGCTGATGGTAGGCCGGACGCTGGACCTGCTGCCGTTGGTCAGAAACAATCAATGATCAAGTCTCAGCCTGACCAGAATGCTCCAAGCCAACCCGATGAACCGGTGGATAAGACTGAGCCCGAGGAGAATGCTGCGGATCAACCTGATGAAACTAATGACAGTAAGGAGCGACCTGGGACCGAGACACAGTCCGACGAGAAGGTGGGCCGTGAGACCGACACTAAGGCTGAGACAGCCGACGACAATATTGCCAGTCTACCCGACGAACCGGTTGAGCATCAGCAGTGTGCCAATGAAGAGCAAAAACTGGCTACGACAGAGACTCATCCAGAAGCGAATACCACGGATCAGTCCAGCAAGGCTGTTGAAAAGCAGGCCCAGGTCAACAAAAAGGAAACGCCGCTAGAGCAACAGACCAAGGCTCATATCCGAGACATGATGGGTCCGGAGGCTGATATTGAGAAGGCCATCAAAAAGGACCAGCATCCCGATGGAGACGAACTCAAGCTCGTGCAGGACCAAAGGGCGCACAACGGAGATGTTCTGGATGACATGCAGAGCACACGCTCCAAGGCTAAGAAAGTCATGAACAAGCACAAGGAGAAGGCGGAGAAGAAGCGCGCTGAGGAGCAGGAAGCTAGAAACTTTACATCGGACTTGGCGTCGAGAAAAGCCCGGGTCGCGGGTAGGAAGCTTCGGGGTGACCCAAATGCTGCCATGTGGGCTGGGCTTGGAACCGGAGAGCCGCAGAAGCATTCTGAGCCTGATGCTGACTCGTTGGCTAATAGGATCGGGATTGGTGCGGGTGAAAAGAGCCCGCAGGGTCCCGCGCCTGAAAAGCCCAGGAACGAGGACTCCGGCGAGGCCCACGCCACGGAAAAGGAACAGCACATATCCACGCGACCGCTGCCTGGACGGGAACAGGGTCAGGCGCTGTGGAAGGCGTTCGCGCATGGCATGGATGCCGGAAAGGGCGCAGGCGCAGAGTCGGCTGCTGGTGATGAGAGCATTCTGAAGGGAGACGAGCTTAAGAGCTCGCAAGACCCTGCGCCTGAGAAGCCCGGAGACGAGGAGTCTGGCGACCCTCAAACCGCCATGAGATCTGACATCCCCAGGAGACTGTTGCGCTCAAGGGAAGAGGTCCAGGCGCAGTGGGCGGGGATTATGAGAGACGTAGCTTCCCCTAAGCCTTCTGCATCGCAGGAGTCGCAAGACGGGGTGCAAGATGAAGAGCGTCCATCTTCTACGCAACAGCCAGCCTCACTCCTACCCCTACCTGGAAGGGAACAGTTCAAGAAGGGTTGGGAGCAGTTCATGAAAGATAAGGCTGGTCCTGAGGCTTCTGAGTCGCGGGAGTCTCAAGGCGGGGCGCAAGAGGAAAAGCGCTCATCGTCTACGGAGCAGCCGGCACCTCAGACGATCGGAGAAGGTGGATCCACCGACTTTCCAAATCCCAGCGATACGAAGCGGTCACCGGAACAGCCCACAGGCGCAAAGATGGCTTTAGGTGGTGCTGGGGATCCCGAGGATTCTGACTCCAAGTCTGATAAAGACGAGGACAAGAAAGGCGATAAGGATGCGAAAGGCAAGGCGCCCCAGTCTCCAGAGCCCAAAAAACCTAGCGAGGACAAGGATGTCAAGGTCCAGAAATCCAGTGATGAAAAGGCATCTAATGATGCAGTGTCGTCCAGCATGCCCGTCGATTCCAGTCCTAAGTCTGGCGAGACGTGTAATGAAGAGATAGGGATACCGAGCGGAAAATCTGATTCCTCGGAGCAGCCGCGTTTGGACAGCTCCCCCGAACCTAAGAGCACGCCCAAACCCGAAACTCCACCCAAATCAGAGACTCCCACAAAGAGTGCGACCCCCGCTGAGCAGCAGACGGCTCCCACTTCCGAGCCGAAACCAGATGTCGCTCCAGCGCCGCGCTCCCCAAAGCCCTGGGAGCGACCAAAGTTCAATGCTGACGATTTCCCACTGCCCGTCAAACCAACCGAAGCACAACTTGCAAAAGGCCCGAACAGTGCAAAGGCGCGCCGTGAGAGGTTGCTGGGAGGAGAAAGTCTTTTGACACGCTTGAGGAAAGAAAAGGAGGCGGACGAGGAAAAGAAGAAGAAAGAGAACGCTGATTCTTCAGGCGCGGGAGATGATCCAAATGCTTCGTCGTCTAGTGGTACTGCTTCTGGTCCTTCTCAACCTCTTACGGGAAGTGTGGACGGCAAAGCGCTGGCCGAAGAACGTGACAAGCGAGAGCGGGAGAAGCAAAGACAAGAGAAGGAGAAGCAGGAGGAGAAGCAGGAGAAGGAGAAGCAGGAGAAGGAGAAGCAGGAGAAGGAGAAGCAGGAGAAGGAGAAGCAGGAGAAGGAGAAGCAGGAGAAGGAG